GAGGGAAGGAGCGAAAGGGACAGAGGGAAGGAGCGAAAGGGACAGAGGGAAGGAGCGAAAGGGACAGAGGGAAGGAGTGGAAGACTCAGATGGAAGCAGCGAGAGAGACAGAAATCGACTTCCAATCTGTACAACCATGCCTTCCTCTCTTTCAGTTCATGGTCAGATTAGGTGAGTGGGCATAAAGTGTCAGAGGCGCATTGCCCTACTAAATCGGACAAGGCGCGGACTATTTGTCTTCGTCCCATCGGCCATGCGCTACGTATTAGGACACCTCGATGTTATGATCAACTTCAGGTCCTGGCTCGCCCAGGCCTTCCATTCCAGCATCACCGCCACCAGCACCACCATCGAGCCCCTTCTCAGCCTCAATAGTAGCACCAATCTTCTCACACGCCTCGACCCACTGCGTTTGCACCTGCAGATTCTGCGCCGCGCTCAATGCCTTCACGATGACCGCCTCATTCCTCTTCGATGTTGCGGCACGGAAACTCCTCACCAGAAACTCCGACAGCATACCCACACTCCACTCATCCGGCACCTTTAGCAGGATCTCCAGAGGGTCGAAGTACGTCGCAAACTTTCCAAGCAGCTGGGACGTATGCTCCAGACAATCTTCAGGGTCTGCAATCTGCAGAAACTCCTGGAAGAGATACGCAAAAAGCGATTCTTGCTGTGCTCTAGGCGGAAGCGAGCTTGCGTCGATGACACCAGAAGAGACAGTGGGACCGCCAAAATAGCAGTACCGCACGGCGGAGTCGTAGTCACCGAGGCCGTGGGTGAGGAGTCGGAGCGCTTCTTCGTGGCGACCCTGACGGGCGTCGAGGATGATGCTTTCGGAGACGAGGTACGAGGAGAATGGTTGGAGGCGAGCAAGCACTAGGGGCACGGAGTACGGGAGTTCCTTTTTGTTGGATGATGTCTCGTAGCCGCCGCTGCCAAGTAATTGAAGTAGACGTAGACGGCTCTGCCACCATGGTTCTGGTGGAGCATTGTCGCGGATGAAGTTCAGGTACGTTGGCTTCGGGCTTGGCAGCGCGCGGTACACAGTGTAGGTCTGTGCGAGCGACTCCTTGGCCTCAGGGCTGGACTCGAGAACCGATAGGACGGAGTCTAGGTAATAGCCGATGAGGTCGTCAGCGTAGCGGTCAAGGTTCTTCTTAAAGACCAGGTGCTCAAGGTACAGCTGAACGGCGGAGGGTGCATGCTCCTTTAAAAGGCGGACGACTTCGTGCGGGTCGAATTTCACGCGGCTGGTCTCTGAGTCGGCAAAGACTTCGACTCCGAGGGGTGGGTTCCGGTGTGCGAGCCAGATACCATAGTCCTGAATGAGCTGAGTGTCCCGGATAACAGTGAGGTAGCGCTTGATTTGGAGTTCGAGATCAGGCGAGTTGGGCGGGTAGTCTTGGTCGGCTTCGCCCTCTACGATGCGCCGCCAGGTGGCCAGGACGTGCTTTGCCTGTTTCTTAGATTGATAGAGGCGACTGAGTACATAAAGACGCTGGTAGCGCTCAAGCATAGAGACGGCGCGGTCGAAGTCGCCTTTCCAATGGTCGACCACGTTGTTGAGTTTGGCTCTGACTGATGCCTGCACGCCACTATTGCGAGGCAGAGCGTGGTCGAGATAAAGGAGCGTCAGAAGTAGCGCAGAATCGACCGAGTCGAAGACGAGTTTTTCGTCTGTGATGCTCCCATAGCCGCGCTTCTCCTGCCATGCAGTCAGGTAGTGACGGATCATCATCCAGAATTCTATTGGTGCATCCTTGAAGTCTGGGATAGGAGACTGGAAAGAAGAGCAGGCGTCGGCTATTCCTTGTTGCAGCCACATACCCTGCTTGCCCTGGCTGACTTCTAATGCCAGTGGCGGGTTCAGCAGTAGGACCACGCGTGGATCCAGCATGCTCTCGAGCATGGCGTTTTCGATAGCAGACTGATTTTCTGCCAGGTCGTCCTTGGAGGCGAAGAGGCTCATTAGATGTATGAAGAGGATCAGACTGACCTTCTGTCGAATATAGCTGAGTGACAGAAACTCGACTTCGTCAATCGCCTCTCGCCCACGTAGACTGGCCAGCAGACTTAAGAGAGCTTTCGCATCTACCCGACGAGCCTCGCTTCGGTCAACCGCATTCTGAATTCGAGCTTCGAGCTGTAGGAGCAATGGATTTGGCACAATATGCCACAGATGTTCACCACTCCACAGCATCTGGCGACTGCTGCTCTTGCCGAAGGACTTCACAAACTTCCACTCTTCGTCGATACGTTTGGTGATGACTTCGATGCGTTCCTCGGGAGGCGTTGCTGCTCCGTTGCTATTCTCGAAAAGTGCTTTTTCTTCCTCATGCTGCTGAACAGCGGAGCTTGTACGTGGATCCGGCTCTGCGGCATCATACTCTGACAAAACGCCTTCTTTGTTCAGCCTGACTGGGACAGCACGCATAAGCTCCGGCACATCTGCAAAATCGCAGTCTTGACTATCGAGAGCCCGATGCAATCCAGACGATGGGGAGACGGCCGTTGTGGGCAGTTGCATCAGATAAGGCGGAGAATGGACCGCAGCAGATTCATCCGGCAGGGCTTGTATGTGCAGACCAATGACTTCTCTTCCGCCAACCTCACGGCGGAGTAATGCGACGATGACCTGCTGCTCATCATCAGGAGACGGCGCCTCAGGATTCGGAGGCTTTTTGTTATCCACGAGGATCGCTTCTGGATACGAGGGAAACTCGACAGTGCCACGAGGGACGACATCCCCGTCAACGTTCACGAACATGCCAACACCCGGCTCCGAAGGACTGGTGCCAGTAGTAAGCATAAATTCAGAAGGCAACGGCGTGACGATATGCGGCTTAAGCGCGCCCGAAGTATTCTTCTGGGTCTCGATCTTAGGTCGCGTGGGCAGGCTGTCGGTCGATGAGCGTTGTCTGCTAGTGGGACTCTCGGTACCAGCTCTAGACGGCGATTGACTCTGGTCTCGGCCTTGTGCGCTGTCGAATCGTGGCGGGAGGAGCCTGCCATCGGGTGTCGACAAGGGTCTGGGACTGTGAGTGCGGTCGGCAGCAGAGCCGATCACGTTGCCGAGGCTCGTGCTACGGCCATGGCCGGCTCCCTCTGGCGGCGATCTTGAGGCTTCCCGATTTGGTGCGTTGTCATCGGGCAACTCTTCGCCGACAGCATCGGATGCGATGGGAAACAATGGGATCTTCTGTCGGTGCTCGACTTCAAGCAGAGAGTACCCTTTCGAGTCCGCGACACAGGCAATAGTATCGCGCCTCGTAGACCTCAGACACCCTGGGAAATCGATGTTGGCTCCAGCCGGTCTCAGCTTGTCACCGATACGGACACACAATATCCTCTTGGAGTTTGCTATCATCAGCACGGGTTCCTGTCCACCGGAGAGATCTAGATTCTGATCTATTCCTCCAATCCATTGCACGTTGGTGGGCTCCTTGTTTGGAAACGCAGGACTTAGCTCAGGGAGAGAATAGAATGACACTGTACCATTGCACAAGGCGCATGCTTTGGACGATGAGGGTATGAGCAGTATCTGCTGGACGCCCCGTCGCCCGAGAGCATCTTTCTGGAGATCATGGCCACTTGGTTGTAGTCTTGAAGCGAGTATGAAGGTTGGCGGTGATGGCTCATCCGACGGATCGGCCGGTAACGCTACGAAATGCAGGATCTCGGAGGCAGAAGTGCCGATATACAGATTGTTGTTCCAGTACTCGACACATTCAATCGAGACGTCCTCATCCTCGTCTTCCGCCTTAAGAGGGATATTGTCAAGGACACGTCGAAGCACGTATGCTCCAGGCTCTGGCGGTGATAGCTTCCGCCTCTTACGAGGTCCATATTCGTTGTTGCTCATGAGGGCGGGCAACCAAGACCGGCGGCATGCTTGACGTCCTGCATATGCTTTGGGCGAGTTGACATGTGGTCATGGTCGCAGTTGCAGTTGCCCGGCACACCTGCCTTATTTGACGGTCTACACTAAGCTCCACTCTGGACGGGTGTGGCTGCCCATGCACTGGCAGGCTTGATCCTCCTCCCTTGAAGTCGTGAATCCAAGTCTACGATTAATGACTACAGTGGGAATACTTGACTTGAATCGTTGATCCGCGACCTTCAAGATATACATTACTTGCTCGTATTGACTGACACAGCATCATGCCATGCTTGTGAACAATCATACCTTACCTGTCTCTAGCTCGAGCTCTGCAGCCATGACTCACTCTAGGCGTCGCTATACCTACGTCTCATGGTCCCTAGGCGGCGTTCCCAGGGCTATATTCGTGTTTCAGATTCGACTCACGCTTCGGGATTGGAATCGGCTTCGGCTTCGGAAAAGGCCTCGAGCCAAACTGCCTCGAGGCACCCGCCCTGCCATAGAAGTTTGGCACCATTCCGCACTTTGGGCGCCAAGAATTGCAAACATGGTCATCGAATAACTCCTTGCCGCAATCGACGATACGTCCCTTAGGCTTGCTGCTTGTGTCGCGAGGTCTCGGCTCACAGCATTGCGGAAAAAGGAGCTCGCTGGTACGATCGCTTGGTAGTCTCTCGGAGAGGTATTCCCAGGCACTGTTGAGTTTTTGCTGCTGTTCAGTGGCCGACTTCTTGTCCTCTTCAGTCTGAGCCTTATCCGGATGGCGCTGCAAAGATAGTGCATACCATCGTTTCTTCGCCTCGGCTTTGCTGCTGTGCTTACACAGGTCCAACACTTTGAGGCTTGCTAGTGCCTTAGTGTCCAAGTGGTCGAACATCGTCGGACGATTGTAAGCAGAGTTGGGTATGTTGTAGCTGGTAGACACTGATGAGAGTGCCTAGGCTGCAGAGAGGTTGCCATGTGTCCGTCCTCTGGAGGCCCATATGTATATGACGAGTTCCGTCGCTTTACACACGGCCGATCTGGTTCAATGAACTATGTACACAAAGCCGGATCAAGGACATTGTCAACTACCATTGTCACTGAACAACACCGTGACAAAGACTTAGCACGCATCGCCAAGTCCACCACGGGGCGGACAGTAGCCACATGCTTGTCGGACAGCTCCAGGGTGCAGGTAGTAGATGAAGATGAAGATGACGGTTGAGAATGATAAGGGATGATGCGCCCATCAATGCCAACGACTCACCGTACGAAGTCACGGAACCCAAACCCTGCAAGGGTCTTACACAAGGTCAAGTTGGAACTGACATTCTGATATCTAAACGATTCGCTTGCTAATCGATCAACCATGATCTACCTTGACCTGACTATACTCATCTGTGACGGTCTTACCAGGTAAAGCTCTCCTCATCCATATCCAAGCAACCCCAATCCACTCTCTCCCTTACTGCCTTCCTCACCTCATCCGCGAACGCACCCGGTCCACACACGCTGACCATGGTCGCGCCTACCCGGTCCCTCAGCTCTCGATCAAGTATATCACCCGGACTACACCGGCCCGCGTAGCTGATCAACCTCCCGTTCTTATGCTTGTAATCCGCATTCTTTCCTCTAGTGACGTACAACAGGATCTTCAGCATCTCCTTCCGGCCAGGCACAGCCAAGATCTCGTTCATCCAGCTCGCGACCCACGCGAATTGCTCGGCGTCGCGCACTGTCCAGACGAGGACGATTTTGCGGGTGGCGACAGTGTTGGCCGCGGCAGAGGCTAGAAGGAAGCGAGCCTGAATCAGATGATGGGTTATGCCGGCGCCGCCTGCGAACATGATGACCGTGCCGTAGGATCCTAGGGAATCGTGGCCGGCGTAAGGGCCTTCGATCAGACCTGAGCACTCGAGGGTGCCATAAGGTCGAGAGGAGGCGGCGTCGTAGAGGGTCCGAGTGAAGCCGGAACGGGCCGCCACGACGAATGAGAGTGATGTTGGTGGTTTGGCGCGCTTCATCCACCGCGGCTCCTTTGCCAAAGATTGGGATTCGAGGCTGTCGGGTGAAGCCGGTCGTGAAAGGGGAAGTGTGGCGAGTTCGATGTTATTGCCTGGGTGGACCGAGTAGCGCGCACCTTCCATGCCCGTGGATGGCTCAGAGTCAGAGGGGACCCACGCGACAGAGAAGGGGTGCGACATATGCCACGAGAAGCGTGGAATGTACACGTACGAGTGACTGCCGGGTCTGACTTCGATGTGTCGGGGGAGCTGGAAGGTAAGCCGGACGGCTTGGCCGGGCAGGGCCTCGATCACGACAGTCGTGACTCCATTCTTGAAGGTGAAGTTGAGGTATACCAGGCGGAGGATGCGGGCGAGACGCTCAATGGCCCAGATGACACAAACCGCGCGGGCGTACGGCAACGCGGGCAGGTCTGCGACATCCAGGTGTAGGTAGATACCAAGAATGGCAATGAAGGCGAGGAACTGGTGGAGGTGTAGAAAGATCTCGTAGAAGGCGTGGCGGATCGGTGAGAAGCTTTGGACGAGGATGATACCGAATGCTGTCATACCAAGTACGCCGTATTGCAGGAACGGTTTATCGGCGACGGCTTGATTCGAGCCGCCCGGGGGTTTAGCGATCGAGATGGCGCCGTACCATGCAAGGACATGGGCCAGTGCTTCTAGGATGATCAGTCTGCCAAGCCAGCGGTGGAAGAGGTTGAAAGTGTCGAAGGAGATCTCCAGGAACCAGATTAGTGGATTGTTGCGAGTCGCTAACAGCACAAGAGCTATCATATTGAACACACTAAGCATGCCTGAGCGTCCCCTTAGCTCTGCTAGGATCTTCGGTATTTCGTGGTCGTATTCGAGGTATAGGCAAAACACTAAGTTCAAGATGATGTACGTGACCAGAATTGCAGTGTGTACTCGACCTGGTGTCGTACCATAGTTATGTGCCTTGGAAAGCTGCCATTCTCGATTGTGTCTTACTTTTCCGAGGGGCGCATATATGATATGCTTCTTCAGCCATGGCCACCAAGCATTCCTGTCGTAGGACCAGTAGTTTTGTTGTGATGTAGTGGCTGTTAAGCAGAAGATCTGTCGCAATCGTCCAGTTCTGACCTGCCAAAAACGTACACCAAGCACTAGAACCATGAGGCACAGGACTGCGATACTGAGGGCTCGAGTAAGCGTACGGTCGCGTTCGAGATTGACGCCTGTGAGGCCACTGTAATATGTGCCGTTCGGCGCTTGCGTGAGATTGCCATTTGCTATAGCACTGGCAATTGATGGAGGTGGTTTTGTGCTGTTCAGTAGAGATCCGTAGGTGCCGGGAAGGATCTGGAAGTCTCGCTTTCGGAATAGGCCTGAAACAGGCGTTGGTGTTCGAAAATGTTGCATCATTGTGTGCCGGTAATTTGATACGGTACTGTGGGGACCTGGAGCGTGCGCGCGCACGGACGATGTCGTCGCCGCTTCTCTTTTATTCAGTGCTTGTCCTGTTGCTTTGTACAGTCCATTGTATTGATTCCCTTGTCTCCAGGTCTCCCTTCTTTCAGCTCGACCGATGGAAGGCATTTGTTCTATTTGGTGACCAAGGCGCTTGTTCGTGATCTTGTCAAGGTATGCTCAATAAAGAATGCGTCACGGAGGAATTGTAGAGGCAGGCCGTTGCCAAGGTACATTGTGTAGCAACTTATAGTCGTGCTACATCTTCGAAGAAGCTGATCAGGTGCTGCCGTGACGGATTGAATAAGGTGTCTTATTCAGCATGAGTGCCGTCCTACGCTGTCATTCGTTATTGTAGACCGCTTCGGGAATTCCGCTGGTGAGTGAATCGATTGGCATGCAACTGAGGTCTTGGCAACGTTGTCGACCGGACAATTTCTAAGCAGAACCTAGAAACCAGAATGACAGAAGGCAATTTGCTTGGGCATGTTTGATGCGTCTGCCTTGTCAACTGTGGCAGGTCTGCGTTTAGCTTCCAATACCTACCTTCCCATCCAGCCTCCATCGACCAGCAAACAGTCGCCGCTCACGTAGCCACTTGCCTCGCTGGCCAGGAAAATTGCTGGGCCTTTGAAGTCTTCAGGTTTGCCCCATCTGCCGGCTGGAATCCTTTCCAGGATGGATTTCTGTCTCGCCTGATCTTTCATGAGAGCCTCATTCATGTCGGTGTCGATATAGCCAGGTGCAATGCAATTGACCTTGATTCCTTCGCCGATCCACTGGTTGCTCAACGCCTTTGACAGTTGACCAACACCGCCTTTCGATGCAGCGTACGCTGGTACATTGATGCCTCCTTGGAACGTGAGAAGAGATGCGATGTTGATAATGCTGCCTCTGGAGCCCTTGCTTGGCTTTGGCTTCGAAAGCAGGTAGGCACCGAAATCTCGGCACAGTGTCCAGACTGTGTTGAGGTTGACCTGCAGGACGAAATCCCAGTCTTCATCCGGGAATTGGTGGGGCGCATGTCGTTTCTGGACCCCGGCACAGTTCAGAAGAATGTGCATGTCGTGGCCTGCCTTCGTGAGCTCCGCGATTACGCTTTTGACGGATTTCGGGTCTGCAAGGTCGGCGGTATGGATAAAGGCCTGACGCCCAAGCTGCTTTATCTGGTCATATGTGGTCTTGTTGGTATCGTCGCGCTAGTCCGTTGGTCAGGACTGCATAGCTATGCTGAGGGTACGGGACTTACCTGAATCAAGATCACATCAGCACCTGCTTCAGCAAAGGCCAGCGCCATAGCTTGTCCAATGCCACGAGTTCCGCCGGTGACAACAGCTGTCTTCCCTGCAAGGGAGAACAGGTCTTGGAAGGACGACATGGCGGCGAGATCGTCTGTGGGTTCTTGTGAGATCAATTGGGTGTGTCACATGAGAAGTAAGAGAGTTGAACTGGCGATGTTTGGACAATGGGTTGAGAGCAAGAGCAGAGTCTCATTCTCAAGTCTACGTAGATGTTTGTTTGATGGTTCGAAAAGGTGCCTGTCGCCCTGATCCGGTCATTACGCCGGCTGTGCCATCAACAATGGGAAATTCGCGGCTACTGAATTCAAGTGAAGTCGATCGGCGTTTGGCACCGACGTCGGACCCGCTTTTTCGACATCCAGCCTTGCAAAGCTTCAGCCTTGCCAGTGAAACAGGTATCTTACTCCGCACCAAGTTTTCTGCACTCGAGGTTCCTTACTCCGTAGTTTTTCTGTACTTGAAGACTTGAACATGCAAACTGTTCTCGACCTCGGCACGAAAGGGCATAGAGACTTCTTGCCGGCACAGATGATGAAATCAGCTGGAAAAGGGACCATCTGAAGATGGTTCGTCCGTCCGAAGTCGCTAGGTCTCTTATGCAGGTAGGCAGGTAGACATCAAGGATCGCTGATAAGTAATACCCTTGAAAACACACCGAAGGACCTCGGATGGGGCAATTGTCGATCGATGTAGAGGCGCGAGTCGTCGATATGAGGTGATTGGGAACCCTATGGTGTTTATTGTCGAGAAGTCAGCCTAACAGATATTGCGCGGCCGATGCTGCCAAGGTGTTCGTTGTTACAGAAACGCCCGGGCTGCGCACGAGCGTGGAGCGGCGGCGGCGTTCGCGTTGATTGTTGGTAAGCCTCCGCGTTCCCCTTGGCCCCGACGGCCGACATTTAGCATTTAACGGGTATCTCCCGGGAGTTTCCTTCAACTTTATTAAGGTAAGTACCCCATCTGCTGGGCGACACATCGCAACATTGCCGGCAGCGTGCGAGGTGTTGAGTCCACGAGTCTCTGGAAGCTACATGCTAGCTTCGACCGGAAGGTCTTTGCTGATGTCTGATTGATGATGGGTATCTGGGAAAGTGCGGCATGAGAATTCTGTCTGCGAATACCAAGGACAATCAGATGGATACGGTCGCGGGAACCCGGCTGTCTCGATCATATTGCCGCCAGTCCTGGAGCGACCCGATCTGAAAGTTGGCACGCATCGATCGGGTCGTGGATGGAATGGCAACGCCTCCGACGAAGTCTCAGTTGGTAACAGCCGCGGGCCCACGGGTCGTCGGAAAGGGTCTGCCACGCAGCGAAATGTGAAGAGGGAATGGACGACAGACTCGAACCGTCAGGTATATAAGGGCTGCTCTACATCGTCTGGCAGGAGCAACCATACCAGTCCTGAACTCCCAATCTCAGTCCTACAACACAGTACCTCAGCATGAAAGGAAAAGTCGCACTCGAGGAGGCTTGGTCTCTACCTCGTCTTCACGAACTCAACAAGAAGTGGACTATCCAGTACTACACTCCGAAAGACCTCTTCGATCAACACGTCACGGAGATTGAAGATCTCACCAGCATCCGGCTCCATCACGCTGACAAGTATGGCGTCGGCTATCAAGTAGTCTCCTTCACGGCTCCTGGCACTCAGGAGATTGCAGACCCTAAAGAGGCCCACGAGCTTGCCGTCGAAGCAAACAACTATGCTGCGGAGAAGATTCGGGATCATCAAGATACCTTGGGTGCTTTTGCGTAAGTGTATTCATCTTCACCAGGGTGGAACCATGGCTAAGAAAATGTAGTGCGCTGTCCATGCACGACCCCAAGCAGGCCGCTGCGGAGCTTCACCGTTGCGTCACCCAGCTCGGATTCAAAGGCGCTCTTGTCAATGACTGCCAGGTCGCAGGTCCCAACGGCGAAGATGTAATCTTCTATGATGGCCCTGAGTGGGACGTCTTTTGGAAAACCTGCACTGATCTTGATGTTCCTTTCTACATGCACCCGGGACCTCCAACGGGCATCTTTTTCGAAAAGCTCTGGAAAGATCGAAGCAACCTCATCGGACCACCACTTTCTTTTGCAAATGGTGTCAGCCTTCACGTACTCGGTATGGTTGTCAACGGTGTTTTCGACCGTCACCCAAAGCTTCAATACATCATTGGTCATCTTGGTGAACACGTTCCGGCAGACCTTTGGCGCATCAAGTAAGAATATGAAGCATCGATATTTGAGAATAAAGCTGACAGACCGCCCTCACAGCCACTGGTTCGAAGACCGTCAAAGGTTTTGCGAGACTGCACTGAAAGCCAAGAAGACTATCTGGGAGTACTTCAATGAGAACATTTGGATCACCACGTCCGGTAACTTCTCAACGACGACACTGAACCTTTGTCTGAGCGAAGTCGGCAGCCATCGCATACTCTTCTCCGTGGACTATCCCTACGAGACATTTGAGGATGGATGCACCTGGTTCGATAACTTGGACCTCAACACTGCTGACCGCCTCAAGATCGGTCGAGAGAATGCCAAAAGGCTGCTCAGGCTGGGGCAGTACAAGGACTGCAACACCAAAGTAGTCTGAGAGATGAGTGATGGCTTAGACATAGATCCTCGGATGGTGTACATCTGCCAGGTAGTTGGACTTCGAGGGTAGTCTCTCCTTTCAACAGTGCTCCTCCTCAAACACACCGCGTCTCGGCGCTTCGAAGAAACGCTCAACGCCCCCTTTTCACTGTTTGTAGCTCGACACAAGCTTCTCAAAGCTTCGGCCATGTCCTCAGCCCACAAGATCTTCCATATGAACAACTAGCACGGGTGTCAACTTCGATGACAGCCGCTGCAGTCGGCAAACCCCATCCCTCCTTCCCTCTCCCTCCCGCGTTCACCTCAGTGCGAGGGCTGCATTAGATCGCAATGACTGGCAGCAAACACTGCTATATTCGAATTTCTCGGAAAGGAAGTCGCAGTCCTTGAGAACATTTCTGTACACCCGTAAATCCAATCATGCAACAACAGCCTACCATCGCGCATTTCAAAAGCCTGTACGCATCACAAGACACGAAACTCGAAGAGCATGCAAAGGAGCGTGAGAGTTGAGAACAAATATTCAATCGAGGTCCAAACGAACGCGCCTTTTGATATGCATCCAGGTATGTATATATATGCAGCCCAGCACTGTACCGCCGTTGAACGCCTGTATGTTCGGCCGTAACAGTCATTGCCGAACCTGTGTCCATCGCGGGACTCCATCACAGACTATCGTCGTTCTTAATTTGCACCTTGATCGCCCCAGTCTTTGGATCCGCTGCCGTCTTGAACGCCTCCAGCGCGTCGCTCATGTTATACCGATGCGTGACCAACTTGTCCAGCTTGATCACGCCGCTCTGCACCAAACGGATCGCTTTTGGCCACGTGTTGCTGTATCGGTATTGGTACTGCAGGTCGATCTCTTGAGTGGACAGCCGCATGAAAGGTACCTTCATTTCGTTCTTCCCCACGCCGATGATAAAAACCTTGCCACCGAATCTGACGCTGAAAATTGCTGAAGCGACGGATGACTCGACACCAGTGCACTCCATCGCGACCCGAGGTTTGATCCCACCAGCTGCTGCGATGATGCCCTCGGCGCATTCTTCTGCTGATTTGCCCATCGGGATCTTGAAGGTCGAGACTCGCGGGCACAGCTCCTTCGCGAACTTCAACCGACCCTCATCGATATCTGTAATGACGATCGGACAGGCGCCAGCAGCCTCTGCACACAACAGAGTCACTAATCCGATCGGTCCAGCACCACAGATGAGCACTGGGTCACCCAATCGCACGCCAGCCCTGTCCATACCAGCCAAAGCCACCGACAGCGGCTCCAACAGACTCCCATCCTCGAACCCCATATCCCCAATCTTATGACACCACACCGCGGGGTGCTTGATGTAGCGCCGCAGCAGGCCCTCAACCGGCGGGGTGCTCAAAAACAGCACATTCTCACAACCGTTATATCGACCAGTAAGGCATGGCTCGCAGGCGTGGCAGGGGATATTAGGCTCAATTGCGACGCGGTCGCCTACCTGCAGGTCCGTTACTGAAGAGTGGACTGCTAGCACGGTACCGGCTGACTCGTGGCCGAGGATGTGGTCCCCTTCGACGATCATAGGCCCTATACATCCTGCATGCCAGAAGTGGACGTCGGATCCGCAGATGCCCGTGCTCTTGACTGCGATGTATACCTCGCCCGGTTGAAGATCCTTGGCTTGTTCGACTTCTTCGAGGGAGGGCTTGGCTTCGGCGACCCAGAGGTCGTGTGCTGGGTTGGTGTACACGCCGATGTTGGACTTAGAGGTCATAGTGTCTTTTGACGCGTCTGTGGTTGTTTCGGTCTGGGGTATTTCCTTTGTTGAGGTACTGAAGGTGTCCTTGATGTCGCCGTTGATAGGGGCGGCGACTTCGCTATGCACGCCGTTGACTTCTGTCGTCGCCATAGTGAGTCTTGAGAACGAAGGAAATGGGTTGCGAAAAGATCAAAGCAATGCACGTAACACGGACTGGAAAGGGAAGCACAGTGTGCGAAAATGCGACTATATGTATAACGAGCGCTTTGGGAAGGTCAATGTACCCACGCTAAGGCCATCAATAATTATCACCTACCGGGAGAGCGTATGTTCCGGTGATGTTCGGGCAGGTTGCAACGTCAAGAAATTCTTCCAGCGGAGTATCACTTGTTGGGCGAAGCAGAAACGAAGCACCGCAATGTGGTTGTGGGCGGGCGAGGACGACGTTCCCCGCGGTGGGGTACTCGCCTAGGAACGGCCGCGGTGCCACCGGCGCTTTGCTGAAAGGAGTGGGCGTGAGTGCGTGGGGTTTGTGCGGTGGTTCGTCCGTGATGTCCCCAGTGACTTTGGTTATGCTATCGACATCACGCACCAGGAGCTTAGTTGAGAGAAAGATCACGGCTCCATGATACACGGTTGCAACGACGCCGGAAGTTGTCTCGTCTGCCAACTCTTCAGTATTGTTGCGAGCGTAGGCTGTTGTTGCATAATCGGATGTAAGTGTGCGTTTTGCCTGCGATGTGGAAGCTGGAGGACCAGCGAAGGGCATTCAAGAGACCGGATGACACGTCACTCGAATACCTATCTCTGCTCCTCTTCCTACCTTTGTCAAACCGGTCTCTTAATCTCGTCAGATCAGTCTTGACAACGCGTCGGCTGAGTCTGCTCGTCTTGTCAAGTCAGTCTCTACGGTGTAAGCAGATCAGTCTTCCCATGCTTTCGGCTCAGTCTCTCCGTGGATTGAGGAGTAACTTCGACCATGTTGAAGTATACATACGCATATTGGCCTAGCATCATATCGAATATCAATTCTGCAATGAGAGGGATTGGAGACACATTCACGTTACGACAGAGGCATTCACCAACATAGGACTACATCAGTTGTTCACATAAATCCTGCACACCTGGCTACTGTACGTTGTGGACAGGGACAGACTCGTCGGACGCTATCTGCGAGTCGCGTACAGATCATGACACCAATTGCTTCTCACGAGCTTTGAGTAATCTCAACCAAGTATATGGACATGATGCTCCCAACATCTTCATCGATAGGACAAAATTGCAGCGCTTCGCCAAAATCTGACTGAAACTTAGTACGCTCATCAAATCAAACCGCTATCTCATCTATCGCCCGGGGGTGGACTCCCACCATGCATTGTGATATTATTTGCACTGCTCTCTTGCCGCTGCAAGTAACTCTGCGTCGTCACGGGCTGTCCTCGGCCGAACAATGCGCTCGAGTTCTGTTGTTTTGGCGGTGGCTGCGGTCCGTCGTCTTCGTTCGCATGCGCGTCGCTGAACGGATTCTCTGAAACGCCATAATCGCCGGAACGAGTGTGGTTGTGTGTTGGTCCAGTGGGCTGCATCGCGGGGATGTGCGGTGCAGGAGCGTAGGCGTCTTCGTACTCGTAGGTGTTTTGCTGGGGCGCGGAACCACGAGCTTGAGATGGAGGTGGGCCAGGCGGCGCGGTGAACGCGTTGCCCGGTGTCTGTTGCGGACGGGGTCCAGATGGTGGTGTGAAAGTCTCCGGGTTGCTGATGGGTGACACAGCTTGCCGAGGAGGCTGCTGTGGCGGCTGGTTGTAGACGTTCTGGTAGACGTTTTGGCCTGGTGTATGCGCTTGCATGTAGTTGTTTGCTTCTGGAGCCTGGCCGGGAGGAGTGGGGCTGGCTAGGCCAGCGGCTTTGCGTGCTTGAAGCAGTGCTCTCTGATGCTTTGACATGGCTACATTGAGCTGGTCGTTCGTCTCAATGAGGGTGAGCATGGTGTCCTCGTCTGGTGCGGGGTTCTCGCAGCCCATGTAGTTCTGTATGCTCTTGTGTGCTGATCTGGCTCGCTCGGCGAACTCTTTCACCAACTCGTTGGCTGGCAGCTCTGCTTGAGGGGTGGACTGGACCGTCTGAATGAGCAGACGAGCAGTAGTCTTGGCTTCTTCGATTCTAGCAGCAAGTTCGGCGGGTGGCGGCAGCTGATGTCTGCTCGACCGGTGTGTTCGGTGACCGCCGTGTCCGCCATGTTGACCCTGAGCCATAGGCATGCCATTGGGATACTGCGAGGAGTCATCAGCATCATAAGGCACGAAGACGTCGCTAGTACGTACCACAGGCTGGGTAGGAAATCTGGCGCCTTTGCTCTTCTCTTTTCGCCACATTGCCATGAGAACATGGAGACCTTGCTGTTGTTGAGCCTTCTCGGCCTCGAAGTAGTCAAGCGTTTCTCTGACTATCTGCTGTACATTGGGATCTCGCCCGTCTCGGAGCAGGCGTTTGATGGTGGATACGAAGGAGTCGGTGAAGAATTTGGTGAACGGCTGGCCGGGGTTATCGGTCAGTATTCGCATGAGCATGATGGCGTTGTATTGCGCATATCCTTTGGCGTAATTGTCTTTGTGCAGATATCGAGCGATCGTGTTGGCGGCTTCTTGGGCTGCGGTTGGACTTGACTCGGCCGCATCCACGATTGCCGGAAGGTGTAGATATTCGTCTCCGGCAGATTGTGAGCCAGGCGCTCCGGACTCGCAGAAGGCGACCTGCGTGGTATGTCAGTGGCATACTTCGCGATTGCTTGGATCTCCTACCATCTCGCGGACAACGACTGCCTCCGGCGCATCTCCCTGGGGTGGTCGCATAACAGGCGATGCCTGAGCACCTTCTCGGCCGCCATTTGGGGTTGGACCTATTCCCTCGTCAGCATCTTTAAAGTCGTGCGAATTTGCTCCAAGCTTACTGCCGCTCTTCTTCTTGATCGTGCTCATCAAGCGCTTCATGGTGAATTTGCGCTGGCTGCGACGCTTCTGTGTGGAAGAGGCGAAGACCTGAAAGCGATTTCAGTCGTCGAGCTTACAGCGTATTTCCTGGCCGTAGAAGTGAGAGACTTCGAAAGTGCCTGGCCTGCGATCCGAGTGCAGTCGACTTATAAAGTGGTGCAGGTAAACAATGATGTCGAACGCCCAGCACGTGTTAGGGGCGACTGGCAGAGTTTGGAGATGTGAGACTGAAACGCAGGGTTCAGTGGGATCCTGGGGCGCTTTTGACGGGCGGGAGGACCCTCTGCAGTAGTGACCTGGAAGCAGATAAATTCAATCTTCGCCTAGCAGATGCAGTTCGGGACCTAATCTGCCTTCTCAATCGAACCTTCGTGAGCCAGTGTATCACAGTACCACAACTCGCGGGCGATAATTTCCAATTGATGGTTGACGAAATCCTGGTATCCAGGTCATCAGCAGGGCGGCGGCCTTGCAGATTAAGATCTGTGCAATATGGCGGGGCACTCGGGGCGCTGCAGCGTGGCAACTGACAGCAGGTGACGAGCTCAAACGGCTTGAAATGGCGTGGCAGAGCTTGGCGCTCGCGAGCAACTCATCGCAACTCCTGGAGTGACGACGAAGTCTTCTGTCACACCAGTCTATATTCTTACGCGGCTCCCGTCGGACGCGTGCCCGCATCGTCTCGGCGCCCGTCAGATATGCGACTGTGGCAAGCGGTTGGGGCTGTGCACGTTCGTGCCGTAGGTTTTCACTGCTTACGGGTGAAGCATGGCTTAGTAAAAGCTACTATCATTTCCAGTCGTCGACGAAAATGTGCGCACATGGTACGGCGGTACGAACTCACGCCTGAATGAGGTAGCAGATCATTCGGGTTTGAGACTCGCTGAGGAAACCCTGACGGTAGACTTTTACAGACTTCTTTCTATCTCCGATCATCAGCTCGCGCGAACTACAGAAACCCTTTCAATATGGCAGCCTCCGCGTTCAGTATCGAACTTCCAGCAGCGCCAATGACGGTATTGTGACTCAGGCACGCGAACCTGATGTCAAAATGTGCGCCCTTTGCAGCTTCTCGTACTCTGCCTACCGACACAGCATATCCTCCTGAGATGTCGCGGTCCAGGCGCGGCTGAGGTCTATCGGGTTCTTCGAATACCACAATGGACTGCTCTGGCGCCGACGGACAGCCTAGCTTCTGCGCTTCCGACACATACTCGCGCATCGCGGCTTTCACGTCTTCAGCGCTTGGTCCAGGCCGATTCTTGAACCGCAACGATACGAATGCCATGTGACCGTCTGTGACGCCCACCCGAGTGCAGGTAGCACCCACTGTAAGGCCTTTCTGCTCCTCGAATGCAGTCGCGTCTGCATTCATTGATCCGAGGATCTTCTGTGCCTCTGTCTCGAGCTTGTCCTCCTCACCAGCAATGTATGGGACCACGTTGTCAAATATGTCCATGCTTGGCACACCTGGGTAGCCTGCTCCAGAGACAGCTTGCTCAGTAAACACCTCGACATCCTCGACTGGTCCAAACTTTGCTTGCAACGCAGCGAACGGAATGACTATGCCAATGACAGCACAATTCGAGTTGCAGACGAGAAAGCCTTTCTTTAAGTCGAATTCTTTTCGTTGATGTGGAATGAGGTCCAGGTGTGATAGATTGACGGTAGGTACCACGAGTGGGACTTTGGGATGCCGTCTGTAGTTCTTCGCGTTCGAGAAGACTGGTATATCGGCCTTGATGAACTCCATCTCCACGTCTCCAGCAACATCACTATCCAGCCCTGAGAACACCAAATCACAATCGCTGAAGAGTGAAGCCTTGCATTCTCGGACGACTAGGCCAGCCAGGTCCTTGGACATGGGTCGCTGCTGCTTCCACCGAACAGCATCTTTGTAGGCTTTCCCAGCGGATCGTGAAGAGGCCCCCACGGCTTGTAGATGTAGTGTCGGATGGTTTGCCAAGAGAAGAATGAAGCGCTGACCCACGGAACCGGTGGCACCCAGCACACCACACTTGCGCTTTTGGTGGCTGACAGAGTCTCCCATTGTTTCTTCCCGCGAGGTTGCCTTCCGAGGATGATCTTGAGTATATCAGATTATTGAAGTTCTGGCGCTGAACAACTTCGGTAGGGCAACTTCGAATCGAATTTGACTCAAAAACGAAATCAGAGCCTTGTGGCTCTCGAGCTTGCAGCCTCGTTTAATTGGACTGGGATTGGACGCTACGACCAAAATCGTTAGCCTGCCAATATTTTCCATCGCACCTGCGATTTTGACCTGCACCTCCAAATCTCAATCTACGACTTCGCACCTCGTCGCCGCATTTTTCTTTGTTCACTGACAACTTGGAACTACCGCAAACATGGCTCGCGGTCCCAGAAAACACCAGCACCGCCTGAGCGCGCCGTCGCATTGGATGCTTGACAAGCTCCAAGGCTCATACGCTCCTAAAGCCTCGCCAGGTCCTCATAAGCTCCGCGACTGCCTGCCTCTCATCGTCTTCCTCCGAAACCGATTGAAGTATGCGATCACCGGCAAGGAGGTGACCATGATTCTCATGCAACGCCTCATCAAGGTCGACGGCAAGGTCCGCACCGACAGCACATACCCAGCCGGCTTCATGGATGTGATCTCGATCGACAAGACTGGCGAGCACTTCCGTCTCGTCTACGATGTCAAGGGTCGCTTTGCTATCCACCGCATTGAACAGGCTGAGGCCGAATACAAGCTTGGCAAGGTCAAGAGAGTGCAAGTCGGAAGAGGTGGTATCCCATTCTTGGTCACGCACGATGCTCGAACGTAAGTCAAGCCATCATTCAGACGTTGGACCAAAGTTTGGTTGGAAACAATTTGTAGACTCCTTAAAGAGGCACAAATTTGTAGATCTGTGTGGAAGAGACACATGCTAAACAAGACTACAGTATCCGCTACCCAGATCCCGCTATCAAGGTCAACGACACCGTCAAGATCGATCTCTCAACAGGCAAGATCACCGACTTCATCCGTTTCGACACTGGTGTGGTCGCCATGGTCATTGGTGGTCGCAACATGGGTCGTGTCGGTGTCATCACTCACCGTGAGCGACACGATGGTGGTTTCAACATCGTCCACGTCAAGGACGCCATCGACAACTCGTTCGCTACCCGGGAGAGCAACATCTTCATCATCGGCAAGGAGAAGCCATGGATCTCGCTGCCCAAGGGCAAGGGTGTCAAGGTGAGTCTCAGCACCAGTCATGGATCTTGTACTTGTATTAATTGATTACAGCTTTCCATTGCTGAGGAGAGAGATCGTCGCCGTGCTGTTCAGATGGCTCAGCCCCGCATCTAAGGTGGTCATGCTGTACTTTTGATAGAACAAAAGCGAAGCCTGCCCCGAAAGGCAGTATCCGAGCAGGAAAGGCGTAGGACTCGCTCCACGAGTACCAGAGCCGGTCGGTATGCAAGCCAGGTGATGCACCGCCTCACGGCTCGTGCCAGGGCACTGACAGATCTCATGATCTACGTGCCTCAAACTACGATACAGTTTCAGCCAACCAAATGGAAGCGATGAACAGCTCCCGTCCTAGATGATTGATGGGCGATCGATACCAATATGAAGCATTTCAAAACTGGATGTGTCGTTCTCTCTGGTCCTGTAGACTTGTGCGATGCATGCTAATCCGTCTACGGATTCCACCCTTCGCCATCTAATACTGGTACCTTTTCTCAAGACCGCAGATCCAGCAGAAACCACAATCATTTCCCGAACGAATGTCAGTACAAGCCTGTCGCGCATGTCGGGTACTGGGCGACCTCGCAACTAAAGCAGCAATTTGGCGATACGAACGCTGGTGGCCTGATACCGAGGATCACTTAGCATACGAGCAAAAGACATCATCGCGGGATCTCAGATGCTATTTCATGATCGCGTCCTTACTGAGTGGCTGCAAGTCTAGCTCTGCCTCCCTCCCACTGTTTGCGCCGACTGAAGTTGTCCTCTCTCTAGCGGAAAGAGTGCCTGACCGATCGCCAGAATGGCATACTCCTGCCTGCCCACCTTCCCGCTCATAGTCCTCGGCATACTCGAGCCTCTCCTCGAGTCCGTCCTCCCTGATTCTTCACCAGCATACAAATCGCCCTTCCCAGACTGCATGAAGCCAAGCTGACGAGTCCCTCCTGTAGCACCGCAGGGCCCTCCAAGCCTCCTGACACCCACCGACTTCTACAACGCCCAAGACCCAACCTACACCCCCACCACCCTGTCTCTCACCAAACCCATGGTCCCCACAGCCGCAGCCCTCCTCACAGCCCAAACAGCAAACGCGTACGCCGTCTTCGCCCTCCTCGCCCTCGCCTTCTCCTGGACGACGCACGCGCGCAGCGTCAAGATCTATCTCTTGTGTGTTGGTTTTGGGGATATAGGGCATATGTTGGCGACGTATAAGGTGTTGGGCGGGGACGTGGTGTTTGATCCATTGGGGAAGTGGACGGTGATGGTATGGGGGCATTTGGGGATTGGGATGGCGTTGAATGTGGTGAGGTGGGGGACGCTGGTGGGTGTTTTTGGACCGCTGGAGGCAGGTGGTGCGACGGAGCGGAAGGTCAAGAGACGTTGAAGAGGGGAAACTGGGGAGCAAAGAAAGGACGAGGGATTGAAGCAGGGAGGTCGAGCTGAGGGTAGACTGACGAGGCGACGCGAGTGACGGCGATCGAGGGCAGCTAAGCAGCTGAAGGGGGGATCTCGAGGCAAGGTTCACACCTCGCGGAAGGCTGCCAGGTCACTCGGCCGAAACAAAGGTACAGCGACATCGAAGGGAGCGCACGCGTGGGCATGGCGGAAGATGTGGCCAGCAACAGGAAGCGCCAGGCTCGTCTGCTTGCAGATTGGTCGCGCAGAACGCACAGTGATGTTGAGGCGGTCCAAAGCTTGAGAAGTCAGAGCGATCTCCCGAGCAGGACGCCTGGATGGGCTGCTGGAGATGGCGACGGCACCGCGACAGCTTCGGAAGGAGAACATGGCAATGTGACAGGCCGGCAGCAAACATGTATTCCTGTAGCCTGGACCCTCGATTTGTGCCATGACTTGCCGGAGTAATGGTGGTCTTTATGGCAAATTATCGACACAGGTGTCCAGCTCATGGACGTTCTCCTTGGCTTTTTGGACTTCGTATCCTGAACGCGTAGAACCGAGGTGCAGATGATTTCCACTTCCAGCATTGCGACAATCGAGGGATCTGGAGCAATCTTTCGCCAGCTTAAAGGTTTGAATTGGCGATCATCAGCCACAGTGTTAATCTCGCATCATGACTTCGAAACTCTGGCAGTGGCAGACTGGGACTCTGTCCATCTTACCTCAGGCCACGGGGCTTTTCGCCGAGATTCCAGGTTGAGAAGCCCTTTGGTCCAGTGCTGCGGAGGAACGAACATTGCCGAAGATATGCAACGGGAGCGGGAAGTATGAGCGGACGGTGGACAAACAGATGCGGCCACATGCACTGTGTGCAAAGTACTTCCCAGGGTTCAACTGCGATGCGACGGGCTGCTCTCTGGACGAGATTGGTTCGAGCCGTCTTCTGTCGGTACAAGGCTCTGGTGAATCCATTATAGAATTGCCGTAGCCATGGACTGGACGCAACGGATTCGGGACATCTCGTCCGAGAGTTCTATTCTGCGACACTCATCGCAGCATTCGTGTGCTGGGCAATCCTTCGCGTCGATCTCGTATTTTATTCGAGTCTCCGCCTGGTTGATCCACAGATTTTGACCATCCTATCGACAAGACGCGAAGAGCATAGTTTCTGGCTGGCTACGCCACCGGCTTTGGGGCCCGTTCTGTACCTAAGCTTGGCAGACCACAACCGAGGTGATCGCCGCACCTCGCGTATACTGTCGGCAGCTCGAGGCCCGGACATGCGGGTGAGAGAAATTCGATTGAACCCCTGGAGGGCCTTATCATATAGGACAGACCATGCCGGTATGTTCCTTGCATGAATTGATTCAGATCGTGCTCTGGCCCTGCGAGCCCTGGTTCAGAGGTCGATTACGCACCTCTGAGTGCGTTCAGTCATCCAGCAGACGTCGATGATCTTCTGCAAGCAGGGGTCCTAAACCGCAGTTGGTAATGCAATCGGGGTGGGTGCATGAGCGGCATGTGCTTGAGGAGCTTCTGCTTGCGTTTCACCGCTTGCATATTGCATCATAAATCGTCCTTAGCAAGCTTACGATATCCGACGGATTTTGATGTCAGACCACTTTGGGCATGGTCAGCAAAGCAATAGTTCTCACCCGTGGAGAAGCCCAGAAGGCTTCTTTGATAGGGCCATCAACCTCATTTCATATTGACAGAAGCACAAGGATGCCAGGCAGACGACTTGATACACGGGAGGTTTGATGCGATCGTACTCTAGTGGCAAGAATCAGGTGCACAGCGAGTTGAATGCAAAAGGTCGTTGCAACGTTGAAGAGAAGGAAAGTCAAATGGGATCAAGCCTCAGGGCTTAAGGCAGTCACGCCCGAATTTCCCCTGACTTGGCAGGGGTGAGAAGGATTCTTTATTCAGGAACATCGCAATCGACAAGGATTGGCGTGTCATTGTCAACCACAGCCACCAATGCGACGCTGGAGATACCAGCCCACACGCACTGTGTTGCTGTTGGATGGCTCGAATGAGGGTGATCTCCATGTTTCTGTGACGTTTCTTCTGATGGACACGAGATCTGCCATGTGTGCGCGCAGCTTCCTGAAAGCCAGACACCTTGATAATTTGATAATGAGCTCACGGTAGAGCAGCGATCTCTGCGCACTGCTGCATGGTGATGTGAAGTTGGGGAAGCCATTAAGCTAGCAGCAGGTCGATAATACCTCGATAATACAATATGCTCGACCAATCCACACGTGGTGATCGCTTGAGACCCCGGGACATTGTGGTATCCGGCTCTGATAGGCCGTCGCGGTGGACATCCAGACCATGCTTCTTCCGACCTTTATCTCGGCTTTTCGAGGAATTCGAGCATGTGAGTGGTCGTGTCATCACACTGTGACTACTCTTTGGGCCATATCGCCTCAGAGCAGAAATGTGGTCCTCGAGCTCGGGTTCGTGGCAGGCGAGACTGCCGTGACACTAAACCACGGACGGTGCTTACGCCTGTGACTCCACGGCACTGTTCAGGGAGAGTATGTAGTGTTTGGAGCCCCAGGTCGATCGTTTTGGCGACTTCTTCGTTTCCTCGAGAGCAAGTGCAATGGACGGCTTTGATTTTTCAGCGCAGTCGCCGTCGAGGATGGAGCGAGGTCCTCGCTCTACGGACAAGAATGTCCACCACACTGTCACCAGTGTTGGCTCGACATCACCCATACTTATGGAGAACCTGGACTGGCGCGGATATGATGGCTACGTTGCGACAACAAATATGATGTATGTCGGTTGAACGGACGCCGGGCTTATACTAACAAGCAACCAGGCTCGTCGTGGCTCGAAAATGAACGAAGCCGCCGAGGTGCTCGGTGATATCAAGACAGCAGAAGAGTATGGATACGTGCATCGTGGGCTCAAATCGCGGCATATCCAGTTCATCGCCCTCGGAGGAACCATCGGTACGGGTCTTTTCTTGGGTATCGGCAGAGCATTCGTCAACGCTGGTCCGTTCAGTGTGTTGGCCGGCTATGCGTTCACGGGCGCTGCCGTCTACGGCATGATGACCTGTCTCGGCGAGATGGCTACATGGCTACCGCTTCCCGGTGCGATCCCACAGTTCTGCGCACGATTTGTGGATGAGTCTATGGGTTTTGCTGTTGGCTGGAACAACTGGCAAGTATCCTGTGCACTGAAGCTGGCTCTTGCTAACTATCTGCGTAGGTACTCGTATGCTATCACGCTATGTGCTGAGATATCTGCTGCCTCGACTTTGATTCAGTACTGGGACGGCGCCAAGGACATCAATGTCGCCGCCTGGATCTCCATCCTGATTGTTTTGGTACTTTTCCTCAATGTCTTCGCTGTCGCCGTCTACGGTAGGTCTCCTCACCGAAGGATCATGTCTTGTACTTACAAGATCAGGTGAGGCGGAATTCGTGTTTGCGTCGATCAAGATCGTCACCATCATCGGCCTTCTGATCTTATCACTGATCATCGACCTCGGTGGTGCGCCCAACAATGACCGGTTAGGCTTTCGCTACTGGAACGATCCTGGCGCCATGAACGCATACGTCGCCGAGGGTGACGCAGGTCGCTTCCTCGGACTCTTTTCGACGTTGCTCAATGCTGCCTTCTCCTTCGGCGGAGTTGAAATGATTGCAGCTTGTGCCGGCGAGGCAGAAGACCCACGCCGTAACATCCCAAAGGCCGTGCGTCGTGTGTTCTGGCGTATCTTGTTCTTCTACATCGGCGGCAGTCTCGCAATTGGACTTACTGTGCCTTCAAACGACCCTGGGCTGCTCAATGCTGCGGAGAACGGCTTCAACGACGCCGCCAATTCCCCTTGGGTCATTGCCATCCAAAGAGCAGGCATCAACGCTTTGCCTTCGATCATCAATGCTGTCATCCTCACTTCAGCCGCATCTTCCGCAAACGCCTTCCTGTACACTGGCTCTCGGTTCCTGTACGCGCTTGCACAGAACAACCAAGCCCCTCGATTCCTCCTACGGTGCACCAAGAACGGCGTGCCCATCTGGTGTGTTCTGGTCACCGCCTCCCTCTCCCTCCTAACATACATGTCCTGCGATCATGGCTCCAGTCTGGTCTTCGCCTGGTTCCAGAACCTAACGACGATCGCCGCCCTGTTCACCTGGGTGTCCATCACAATCGCCTACATCAAGTTCTACCACGCCCTTCGAACTCAGGGCATCCATCGCAACACGATGCCGTACATCAGCAAATACCAGCCGTATTCAGCATATGCAACAACCATATTCTTCATCATCCTCATCATCTTCAACGGCTGGGACACCATTGCTGGAGGCTTCAACTATGAGGGCTTCATCACAGATTACATAGGCATTCCGATCTATTTTGGGCTGTACCTCTTCTGGCGCATATACAAGAGGACAAAATTCATCCCGTCTGCTCAGGTGGATCTGTGGACGGGCAAGTCTGCGCTGGATGCGATTGTGTGGCCGGAGCGGATTCCTAAGAATCTGCTTGAGAGGTGAGTTTACATTGATTGTTTCTCAGTAATCAGTGCTAATTATACCAATAGGTTCTGGTTCTGGTTGGCATGATCAGTGTAAAAGCTTTGTTACGATGGAATGTTATGGGTAGGTCTATTTTCGGACTTCTTGTAGAGTGTGGTCTGTACAGATGCGGCGTCTGATTGCTAAACCCAGGGATAGATGATTATGAGGGAATGGGCACAAACTTATGCACCAACGATGGAGATATGGGAAGTCTTAGATAGTGTAGCAAAACCTGCCCATCTTGAGTAGAAGCGAATATCTCAACGATCTGAAAGAGTGTAGAATCTTTCGTTCTTCCCTGCTATTGTTCTTTGTCATCTGTACCCATGCAAATGCTGTTGTCGTATGCTGAACTGATGCTGGTATTTTGAACTCTCCACTTGTCCGCCACTATATGCCTGTATGCCACGCATCTTTGCTAGCCAGCTTTTCGTGCCCACTGTATTATTGTATTGTACAAAGCCATCGTTTGCTCTTCCAGCCACCTTTCCCCTTCTTACCCAGTCGCCACAGGATCAGACCTTCTTTATCTTCACGCCAGCTCTCATGAATCGTACCACACAGAACAAGCACCCACTGGCAATGGTGCACACGCCACCGTAGACCCATGCGCCCGTCCAGTCCAAGTTCTCGAGCCCCTTTCTCTGCAGGATACCGCCGCCACCAGGGCCGCCTGCAAGCACGCCAAGACTCAACATGCCCATTCCCATGCCAATTCGCGTGCCGATTCTGGATTTGTCAGGTGTCAAGGAGACAAAGATGACGGGCGGCAATGCAATATAGATTCCGGAAAAGAAGCCCAAGAGCACGGCTTCGACGATGAGGGCTGCGGAAGAATGCACGGCAATGAGTGTGAGGATGAGAGTGCCGGTGATCAGAGCGCCTGTGTGATCAAGTTAGCTCAACGTTGCTTCTTTGGCATGTGTGACGAGGAAGAAGTCCACGACCGGAAACCAATGTACTTACCAGGAATGACCGTGTTCAACGGCCCCGTGTAGTCGCTCAACCAATTCGGCAGAGTCCTTCCAAAGACGCTGCCAGCATTCAGGATCGGTACCAGGTAGAAGCTCATGCTGTCGCTCGTGATCCGTTGCTGCTGGCCGTAGAAGCTGATGTAGAAGAATGCGACATACAAGCCGATGTACCCAATTAGCGCTCCGGCCACGAAGGTCATGTACGGTACATCCCTGAACGCTGTCCAATCAATCAGATCGCGTGCCCTTGGCGGCTTGAAGCGCATTTTCATGACCGCCAGAGGCACCATTAGCGTCCCGAGTGCGATAAAGCCTAGCACACGCACCGACCAGCCGAAGCCGATCTGGTCGATCAGGCGATAGAACGCAATTGGGTAGAGGATACCACCGGTCGAACTGCCGCTGGCGGCCAGACCGATCGCCAGGCCGATCTTGGACGAGAACCAACTGGGCATGATCGCGACGGCGGGTGTGAACAGGCAACCGGCGCCCAGGCCGATGACGAAGCCTTGAGCGAGAATGACCTGCCAGAACTGTTGCGCCTGTTAGTCTGACGTGTATCGGGAAGAATCAGAGCCGGAGAATTGACGTCTCGTCCGATTCGGGTTCGTTGATATACGTACTTCGTGACAAAGGGAGAGCATCATGTGCCCAAAAACGACGCCAAAAGCGCCCACGACTAAGAGGAGGCGGAAGTAGCCACGGTCGTAGAGTGGGCCGGTGAAGGTGCCGACCAGAAGCACGAGGAAGGCTTGAATGGCGCCGATCCATGAGATGTTGGAGGATGTTTCGTTGAATAATGCGCCGGATTCATAGTAGGTTTGGTAGACGCCGAAGGTGTTCTGTGTTAGAGATGGACAGTTAGCAAGAGGATTGGCGAGCGCGACTGATTGCTGGCGGTCTTGATGGACTGAGACCAGAAGATCATGGGAAGACTGGGAAGGGAAAGAGCTGCCATGAACGTCACGATTGCCTTTCGGTAAGATCGTGGAGTTCGTGTTGCTTCCAGAAGGAGAAAACCAGAAGGGGAAACTCACCAGAATACCCCAGGTATTGAAGAACAACATCCAAGATCCCAGCACTTGTAGCCATGCCGTCAAACCTCCATTTGGCGGAGGCGACACGCCTGGCGGCAATGGCGGGCCCTTGGGAGGACCTGCAGCGGCAGCTGGGGGAGCAGCTGTTGGTGAGCTATCATGCTGAGCGCTGTCGACTTCCGCTTTCTCGCTGGTCTGTTCGCCTAATGACGAAGACGATGAAAGGTCGTGACCATCACGATGTGCAGTGTGTTGTTGTTCCTCCTTCTCAGCGCGTTCGCGCATATCCGTGTTGGATATTGGTGATGACATAACCAATTCTGGCTTTATTTCCGCGTGGCTGCCACAGGGGATGCAGGCGAAGCTTGTCTTCGTTGCCAATGTCGTGGTCAATGATCCAGATCCCAATTCTTATCAAAGGAAGGTGTGTACGACGTCTCTGCCACTACTGTCGAAAGTCACGAAGATATCACAACAAGATCTCTTAATTCCGGATCATTTGAAGAGGACAGAGACGTTCTTTTGTTTTCAAATTCGGACTCGGCCGAGCTCTAACATCCGCGAGCGAGCTCCAGATCGCAGGGGCCACCCGTCGGGTCCATGCCTAAGACGACCTAGCCTGCATCCTTCGGCACTATCAGAGAGCGAGCATTCGCATGAGGCTCCTCAAGCAGTCAAGATTCTTTGAAATGATCTGAACTCCACGTTTGTAAGGCTCTGGCTAGCAGACATGCGACGGGCAAGGCCAAAGTGGCTCTTCGCTTACCGTATGAATTTACGCTTCCGGACTGTCCACGGCGGCGACAGCACTTATACCAAGCGACTGACCAATTCTTGATATTTGAAGCCGCCGCGTGGACGGACTTGTCAGGGAATGCACACAATCTAAATAATGCGTTTAACTCATTAACTTAGTCGCCGCCGCTGACATACTGTGGTATTTGGTAACGTTTTGGTTTGCAACGACATCGACAATTTCCAGTACGATTCGATGTACGAAGCCGCTGCTGTGAATCGGAGTGGCTTGGCCCATCAGGCCCATATCAACATGTTCGCAGACGCTAGACCTGAAGTCGTTTACAGAACATTCAAGTCATTTGCATCATCAACAATAGGCAATTATCAATTTTCGCAACACAGACACACATCTGAGATCCCAAGATGCGGAACGCGAAACCAGGCACCAACGGTCCTGCCAGTGATTCGAACATACGCGTCCTAGACATCCGAGATCATCATCACGTACGACTATCCTCACACGTGCCGCCGCGGCGCCCACTTGGTCAAGAACTCGCGTCCCGCGAGCCTGTATGTGTCTTCCTCAACATAGCTACCGCCCTGCTCCTGTGTTTGCAGCACCAGATTCAGGCCATTTGTTCCCTGATCATATGTCGGCCATTCAGGCAAGCCAGCACTATTCGGGTCTCCGTTGTACACAAAGGATAGCCATTGCGCGCTCATCTGATCGCTCAGAGCCTGATATTCTGGATCACTTCCCACGCCTGGACTGCCGAAGACGAAGGCTACCTCCGAGAAATGAGCGACTCCTTTCGCGGCTGGCGCTAGTGCATCTGTGGCCGAGTAGGTCGTGGCAGTCACGTTCGTCCTGTACGCGCGGGTATTGAAGCGGTAGATGTACGTTGGCCCACCGAATTTGGCGTACTGGCGTGCATCGTGCAGCCTCGGGGCGTGGTAGAAAATATCCCCGGCTATGGCCGCAGCTCGCTTGTACTGATAGCCGAGATCTGCGAAGCGTTCGGTGCCAGTATTCAGTGGGATGCCTGCCATGGTGTTAGCAGATTTTAGCCGCTGCGAAACGGATATAAGGACTTACCTTGAGCAGGATCGTCCGGATATAATTGCATGATCTCGTTCACGGCAGAGGTCGGATAGCCGAAGCCGACGCCCGTGCTCAACCAGGTGTACACGTCTTCGTCTGAGTTGATGGCGCCCACGGGTGCGTTATCGGTGCCTTCGTCTGAGTTCGAGCCGTAGAGGTGAGGAACGTGTGCGAAGCGTCCGCTGTCAAGCAGTTTTGTTGGAAACTCGGGGACGATGTCGCCGTCGACTGTTAGGTACCAGCCAGGTCCGACGACGGCTGATGAGTTGATGTAGGGAAGGAGAGCCTCAAATGGAACAGTGCGGAGACACTCTAGAGTCTCGACTGCGTCAGTGCAATTGACCTGGTCGACAATCTTATCGTATATCGGCTGGTACCATTCTGTGCCATTGTACCAGGCAGTCGTCGCACTTCCACTCTCCTGGATCGACTTGTGGAACAAGCCGTCGGTGCGACCGGCGTACGAGAGGAGCAGCTGGCCGACCGCAAACGAGCCGCTTGACTCGCCCCATATCGTCACGCTGTTTGGATCGCCACCAAAAGCCTCGACATTCTCCTGCAACCAAGCCAAAGCTTGCCGCATGTCCCGGAGAGCGATGTTGGTGTTGCCGGAACCAGCTATCTCAATAGAGTACATGTTACCCCAGCCGCCTTTCCTGTAGTTGATACTCACACCAACGATCGGCTTCTCGATCTCCATCGACCTTGCCACAATGTACGTCAAGTTATACTGCGGTAAGCCTGTTGTCCCTCGTTGGTAAGATCCTCCGTGGATCCAGACCAAGACCGGCAGCAATCCAGAAGTCGATCGTTTGCTCGCAGACGCAGCAGGCCGCACGACATTCAAACTCAAGCAGTTCTCGCTCTGCCCGTAAGGCGCGCCAATAACATAGCTGTCATCCGGGCACTGATCGCCATACTGCGTTGCCGAGCGGATATCATCCCAAGACTCATTCAGTGCCTGTGGAATGCGGAAGCGGTTGGGCCCGCCGGCGTCTCGAGCATAGGGTATGCCGAGGAAGACGTCCTGCTTCCACGTTGGGAGGTATTTGCCGGCGTAGCTGCCGTTCAGTACTTTGACCGTTGGCTGTGCAACGACAGCGACGTTCACAGAAGACAACACGCAGGCTAGGACCAGCATCCACACCGAGCTCGGGATCAGTGTCATGATTTGCGATGTGGCTCGATAGAACCACTTGTAGAACGACAGCAAAGCCAGCATGGCAGACCGCAGCGGTGTGCCGTCATTTTTAAGTCGCAATCGCAATCGCGCTCGCAAGTGCTTTGTGCTACGTCGGTGTCAAGAACATTCCCGCTCCACAATCGCCTTAGCCTGCAGCAGTGTAAGGTGAAGGCTCGGGTGACACCATAATTCAGTGAATCAGTGACGCCTCGTGCGTTCGTATGGCGCCTGTGGACTACTCCGTTGGGGTCATGGTGGGACGAACGATAGGCAAGTCCGAAGCTTTTTGCTTAGAAGGGAAAGCAGTCATCTCCAACTGGACTCAGCATTCTGCGAATCGTGATACGGGGTCCTCCCGCGTACCTACTCGAATACTCTGAGCTTCGCTGTGCGGCTGACTTGATGCAATGATCAAAGGCATCGTCTCCCGCCTACGGATGACACTGCGGTGCATTTCATCCGCTGTGATCAACTCTGACTGTGCTCTGCCTCAGCCCCTATACAGGATGATTCTATCCAGACGTTCTCGCACGTGCTTGAATGACTATGCTCTGTAGACATCGACGAGGTCAGACGTGGGCAGCAACGGAGCAGGTGAGAGCATGAAGCAATATTGACTTACTCCGAATGCAAGTTTGTCGTGCGTGAGAGTACCCCATGCGAGGCGAGATGCTGCTCCTGCTGCTGCGGTGAGGCTTGAGGGTTTGTGACTGGAGCGACATGAGTCATTTCACCTTCGTGTCGGCCAGCAGGCTAGCAAAGAAGTCCTTCTGATCCTCTGCAAGCTTGCCTTGAGCGTCGCCGATGATAGTCTGCACCAGGCTGTAATTATTGAATAGAAATCGTGACCGCTTACTCGTGTCGCCTGCAGCTTTCGAGAGCTTTGTCATCAGGGCTTGGTATTCGCTCCGCAGTCGTCCTAGACTCCTGGAGACCGGCTCATCGTCGCCAGCGTCTTTGCTCAACGAGAGAATGGCATGCAGAAACTGTCCAAATCGCTGAGTGACGGCATGAGGAGCGACTGATGCCTTCGACGCATCGCCGCCGCCACCAACGAGGCTGAAAGCAGCGGCCGCGCCACGATTGCCTGCGACGGGAACTTTTTTCAACGATTCGCAATGCAGATCCATGACTTGCTGAAAGCGCGGCCAGAGCAGTATGTTGGTGTAGTTGATGTATGAATCTGCGATAGGGACTTTGCGGCGTTGCAGCACAAAGGCGAAGTGCTGGTTAAGGCGTACGCAGATCAGGATGCCAATGCAGTCAGCGGTGTTTTCGACGAGATGCTTGGTGAGGTCGTGGCCGAGTGTGAACGTAGGCTCAAACATCTCGACGGCTTTGCGGGAGACTTGCTGATATGAGGCGGTGGAGAACATTTCGGTGGCGATGGAGTACTCGGCAGTCACATTGTCGATGAGTGCTTGATTGAAGTTTCGGAAGGGAATCTCGAGGTAATGCGCTGTCTTGCTGTCCTCGGCTAGATAGGACGGAATGACGGTCTCGTCTGTGAAGCGCAGGACCTCGCTGCGTCTGCCTAGCGAGAAGAGGTCGTGTTGTTGGGACGGTGTTTTGCTAGCGCCGAGCATCGATCTCTTCGCTGCCGCGGGATCAGATCCCATCAATTCGGTCTGATCGACGAGGTGAAGTGGCAGCTTCTGAAGTGCTTGCTGGTAGCGGGTGAAGTTGCTAACATAGTACCATTTCATCGTGTTGATGTATGCTTGAGCAATCTCTTCGGACAGGATGGGATGGTTGTGAGCGAGAAATGTAAACATATCTCTGTGCCGCGTGAAGCTCCGCATCTGTATGACCTGTGCATTGACACCTGGTGCGCGTATGGCCTTGATTTGTGCCACGACGTAGTCCCTGATACGTTCCACAGCTTTAGCCTTCAGGTCGTTGAGAAGTGGCTTCACATCTTCGAGTGCCTTGACAGGTCCGGAGCCCTTTTTGCCGTCGAGTATGGCGGACCGAGCGTCAACTTCTGTCAAGGCCTTCATGAACACATCATCGATAGGACCGTCGGCGATGGCTCTGACTGTCACGGGCGAGATGCTGACATCTTCAACAGCTGGGCCAAGCAGTTTCTCTACTTGTCTTCGATTCTCAAGTTTGGCATTCAACTGGACTGATCTTTCTTGTAGATCCTCGATCTCAGCAGACACTTGGCCTAGTTCGGACTGAAAATTGGTCAAGTATGATTCTACAGATTCGAGCACCTGATCAGATGCAGATATGGAAGCATGAAAGTCCTCAAGTTTCTGGCGGTTGTCCACGGACGGACGCTGCGTTGTGGAATGACTTCGGATCTGCGCTGCAGCCTTCTTCTCAACCAACTGCTGCAGACTCAAGCCAGCGAAGTCAACGTGTGCTTTATTTTCTTCGACGATGACGCTATTGGCGTCATGGCCATTCACGTCACCTCCCTGGGCAAGTAGGCTCTGCAGAACATCCACGGGATCGTCCACATCCGCGGGCGGTCTCTGTTCATATCTCAGGGCAGACCCATTCACGGCCTTGGTGAACGAGACGAGGGATGCCGTAGAGGTGTTTCCGCTCAAGTCGAGGGAGACGTTTGATCGGTTCGAGCCCAGTCCAAGCCCCGAGCGCTGGCCTGGAGCGAGGTGAGATGTCCTTCGAGGAGCAGGTGAGGGATATCTATTGGGAGTATGGTTTCCTGTGGGCGTGGACTGGCCAGAGAATCGGTCCAGCCACATGTTACTGCACGCGTCTATTCATGGGAGGCAGCGTATGTTGCCAGAATATGGGAAGGACACTGCAATCGAAACACCCGCTCGCTGCAGCGGATGCCGCCCATGAGGCTTGGCAATGTCACGCCAAGCCGTGGCCCGAATTTGGTCTAGGCCACCTTCACTGGAGAATCGATCTGATTTGCCCCTCTCGCCCCTCCACACTTTGAACTGAGTCTTTCTCTTCACTGTTTCGAGTTTCGGCAAACCTCTCACGTTCGTAAAATATCCTCCTTCATCACGCTTGTCATTCTTGGGTCATTTTTTGGCTCAGAGATACATCGCAGTATCTCGCACATCCGTTGACCATCCATCATCTGCACAGATCGATTAGAACCCCTCTGTCACTATGGCCGACGAGAATAATGATGCTCAGGTGAGTTCCATTTCGATTTCCTCCGGGCGCATTGTCCAGACGTTGCGCAGAGGTACTTTGGCTGATCACCTAACTCCAGCACGAGCACACCTTCGAGTCCGCCGATGCTGGCGCCTCTACCACCTACCCGATGCAGTGCTCTGCGTTGAGGAAGGGCGGTCACGTCGTCATCAAGAACCGTCCCTGCAAGATCGTCGAAATGTCCACCTCCAAGACTGGCAAGCACGGTCACGCTAAGGTTCACTTGGTCGCTATCGATATCTTCACTGGCAAGAAGATGGAAGATCTTTCCCCATCCACCCACAACATGAACGTTCCCAACGTTGCCCGTAGGGAATTCCAGCTCGTGAGTGCTCCGCATCTCGTGCCTACGGCTAGACACTGACATGTGCACGTAGCTTGACGTTACCGACGATGACTTCCTCAACCTTATGGACGACAATGGTAACACCAAGGAAGATGTCAAGGTTCCCGAGGGTGAGGTCGGCGACAAGATCCGCAAGATGATCGATGACGGCAAGGACGTCAGTAAGTGCACACTCTGCGACCCAGTCCTGCAAGATCTGCGCTAATATATTCCTCAGATGTCATTGTCATGGCCGCCATGGGCGAAGAGGTGGCCGTTGATGCCAAGGAAGCGCCCAAGGGCTCTTAAATCGATGCATCGGGCAATGGGCAGTCTTCTTTTTGGCGCTACAACAACATGGAAACGACAGACACGACCAACCCAGATTCTATGCGCGGGCTGTCACACGAGCCGGTCTGTGGCAGGAACCCGAAGTGCTCTTCACGACGACTGATGAGCGTACAAGCGCAATCAAGATCTCTTGCGGCTTTCTCTGACTACACACTGCGGTTAGGCAGGAGCAATTATCCAGTGTGCCTGTGCTATCCAAAGGTCACGGCATCTGAGAAGCAGGCTTGATTTCACGGCCAAGGTAGATAAGCTCAACATGCCCAAATGGCCTCCTATCCAAAATTTAAGAACAACTTGCCCCAAGCATTCGGCACATGCCAAGAAATTGTACATTTTGCCAGACCCTACCCTGACGTTCGTTGCCCATGAATGCTGCTGTCGATCAGAGTCACGAGCGAGCCAGGGGCGAATTCATGATGCCGATCCTGCCTCACCAACGCAGACTTTCGCTGAGGAGCGAATGCTTTAGACAAGCTTGCAGGAGCGGGACAGGGCTCTGCTGGAGGTGTAGAACTGCCATAGTTTGTTGTTCCCGTGTAGTAGCTGCCTCGAGAGCAAAGCATGCGCGACAAATTGGATGAAACTGTTGGCTGATAGGTAAAGGTGACCTGGAAGATGTTATTGACTGCTCTCGTCATCCGGTCTGAGATTTCATATCATACTCATGGTCAACTGGCTTGGCGGGCGCCCGTGCATGAATATCAGCCGGTGCCAATATGCGACAAGTTCGTCATCCGGTCCTTCGGCAGTGGGTACCCTTCAACATCTTGTCGCGCCCGTTTCTATGGCCAGAATTATATATTGGCTCTGTGCATGGACAAATTGCCTCCTCTGACATATCTGCAAATGATCACAGCAGACCCACACGAATCCGTACATGTATATTCCTTTCTTGCAGTGAACGGGCTTGGCAGAAGCTGACTTTCTCTGCAAAACGGAACATATGCAGCAGTACCTAACCTACAGCACACAATCCTAACAAGTCGTCCTACCACGCGGTCTACGAACTTTATCATCCAACATATCTGGTCCTTGGAGCTGCGTTCAAGTAGTCTGGAGTATGTCTGCACTCATACACGGCAATTCCGATTATCGAATTTACGACCAACTGCACCCACCTTGACACAGCCGTTCTCCCCAGAAACATCATCGGAACCCGCATTTGATCACTGATCCACCTCAACCTGAGACCGGAAGATATGGCACCAACCACTTCCCAACCCCCACCTTGCCCCTTCTGCGACTCCACAACCTTCCACATCGACGCGGGCCTCACATTCTGCGCCAACGGCCACGAGCAAGCTCTCGGTCTGGTCGCCGAGGAGGATGAGGCGGACTTCTTGCGCAATCGTGGTGGGAGACTTCATCGGGATAGTCGGAGGGGTGATGTAAAGGGTGGGAAGAGAGGCGGGAGGGGGAGTGGGAGGGTGCTGAAAGGCAGGGAGGCGTGGGAGTTGTGGCAAAGGCCTGGGGTGGGTTGTTGTGGAGGGTGAGCTGGGCTATGGGTCGTTTGAGGTTTGGTGTGGTGCGGAATGAAGATGAGATGGAGGTGTCTCTGGACCGGAAGGAGGGAGGAGAAGAGATGTGGGCGGTTGTGAGGGGGCTGTGGGCGTTGAGAGTGCAAGACATGGTGGGCAGATGGGGTGACGGGCTTGACAAGCTCGACGACCTGAGCGACGTGGAGGATGCGAAGAGCGAGGGCGCGACTACTGGCACAGACACAGACACCGGCTCAGAAACTGACGACGAAAATACCGGAGCCCATTCAGCGAAGACGAAGCAGAAGGGAATGCTCAGCGGCAACGACACACCCAAACTCATCGACACAATCACCCTCCCCTACATCGCCTTGCTGCTGCTCCGCCATCCAATACGTCTCCACGATGTCTATGACCACCTCCGGAGTTCCGCCATACCCTACATTCGCGCGATCCGCCATGTTCCAAAGGAGATACGCGACCGCCTACCTCCTGAACTGCACCGCGCACTCGACACCACCTCTATCCTCGAACCAGCAGATCTCCAGCTCGCAGTCTATCGTACCGCTATGCTCTACCAAACCAAGTTCTCAATGACCCTCCCACCACTAAACTGGCGGCCCTTGCTCCTCTCATACATCGAAGCTCTCGCGCTACCACTACACGTGTACCCTATGGTCAAGCACCTCAACGCTACGATCTGCAAGTTCGACTTCGCATACCCTTTACCATCCTCCCAACAAAACTCCGATACGGGACGACGTCGGCGCCAACGACGCAGGGTCCTAGCCTACCCCGAGCTCCAACTCATGACCCTCCTCGTCATCGCAGTCAAACTCCTCTACCCCTTTGACGCCGCAACCGTAAAGCGGTACCCCGCCTCCACCAGCTCCCATGGTGTAATCTATATCGATTGGACGATCTGGACGGAAGCACAGTCTACCTACCGCTCCGCCGTCAAACAGCTTCTGCTTGAAGACGGCAATGGTCTGGAGTTGGGCACGGAGATGCAAGTCCAGGATATTGATGTCTTGGAGATGTCAGACGAGGGTGTGGATGCGTACATGGACTGGTACCAGCGGACGTGGATGACGAACACGAATCGAAGCGAAGAGCCGGTAGGAGTTCGCAAAGAACTGCTCGCCTTATTTCCCACGAAGGAGCTGGAGGAGGTGGACCACATCGCTCTCGCGCGACTTCGGGAGGAGAAGATCAAGATGCTCCGCCAACAACGCCTGCGCAAAGTGCTGGGGCAAGGCGGTCTGAAAGCGCGAGAAGTGCGCACGGAGGAGCAGGTAGAGGAACTCGATCAGCAGCGCCCAGGATATGCGGCACGGATCTTGAGGCCGGGAATGCGGTATCAGAGTTTTCCCGAGATAGAAGGTTTGACTGGTGCAGCGAGGGCCTTCTACGAGGAGGCGGCGGAGGTGGCGTGTGTGGATCTGAAGGGGCTGGTCAGGGCAGTGGTGAAGGCGGAGGGGATGATTGAGAAGTGGCGGTTAGAGAAGAGGAGGGAGCGGCTTTCGCCGGGGATGGAGAAGATCGAACAGTTGGGGATAACGGGATGGACGTCGATGGCGACGAAGGGCACCCGGATGTGGACCGTGATATGCTTGATGGTAACGCTGCTGACGACTCTTCGCCGCCGCTGCAGCCTTCTTTCGAAGTCGACCGGGTCTAATACAGGGTTTAACAATGGGAGGAGGCCCGTGTCGTAGTAGAAATCAAGTCTGATCTTTACAAAACAGTCGCCATTGAGGATGCTCTAAGAATAGTCTCCAAGTCGTTGACTCCTGCTATGAATACACCACCTGCGCCTCTGGCCCGTTAAGAATGTGGGCATCCTTCAGCTGTTCCTTGAAGTCGGCCTCCTTCATCTGTTCCTGGATGAGCTCCGTCAACTTCATCACCACTGCTAGAAACGAGAAAATGCCCCACGCTATGATCAACAAAGCCCACACGGCAAGCATCAACACCCCAAAGTTGCTCATATTGCTGCTCCGCTGACATACCCGACACCACAGAATTGCTAAAACGCCCTACGCTAGTATCATCACAGCCCATGACACGAGCATTATCAGCTTAGCCGCGTCTAATGCAATGCCCGGAACCACCGCATTGGCAGGATTGCTGCTCAGCCCAAATGGCAATCCTTGATAACTGAAACTAACATTCTGCGGTATCGAAGCGTTTACGCACTGCCCGTTCGCAATATCCAGATTCATCAAATCGTCCGGCACCAAGAAGAACATGTATGTGCTGTTGTCGAGGTCCTTGAAGCCCTCTGTGTTATAGGGAAACTTATCTTTCGGGTCTGTCGCAGTCGTGTTACGAAGGAAGATACACTGGACCTGCCCAGGATAGTCCGTGGCCATTGCAGGATAGTCTCTCATGACATCTGAGTTGGATGTATCGGCGACGAGAATGAACTTTCGCTTGGGGAAAGTTTGAAAGACCTTGTCGAGCAGGTACTTGCGGATCGAGAGGGTGGCGCTGACGTCGGAGAAGTTCAGAGGTCGAGTATCGAAAGAGCCGCCAGGATATGTGTCGTAAATGAACTGCTCGTAGTTGCGAGTGATCTGTTCGGGAGTGGTGGTGAGGTAGTGGAAGTGTGTCGTTGGCAGACTCTGTGACCAGTTGCGATAGATATCGGGCATGTTCATCCATGGAGTGAACGGCGCAGCGAAGGTGTTGAAGAGGCCATCCTTCGGATCGTAGATTTGTGTCACTCTCTGTTGGGAGTTAGAATGGACACCTGAGACCACTTTCTGTGACTTACCAGGATATCATCAATGTCTGAGATGATGGTCAGGCCTTCCTCAGACACCAGATATGATGTTGCGTTTCCTAAGTTGTCGGTACCATTGGCGTACACGTTGAGCCGCTGAGGCTGGCGATTCCCGTCACCTGATGCCAGTCCATCAGACTGAATCGGCACGAAGACATCGAAATCACCTTCTGGCGTAGTCTCATAAGGAAGCTGGAGGGTTTGCTGTCCTCCAGCAGGAGTGACAGCTCCGCTGCCACCAGACTCGCCATCGCCGCCATTCGAAGGTGCCGGAAACAAGCTCATTGTCACGTTCAAGTCACCCTGCTGAACAACATAGATCTCCCTCGTCAAGTTGCGTGCCTGGTCAGCTTCCGAAGTAGTCAGGTTCTGGATATCCGTATCGATCAGAAAGAAGTTGGCAAGCCGGTCTACTGTCCCGTTTGAGAGATTGGGCTGCTTGTATACATTGCCACGAAACCGCAGATTCCACGTGTTGTTGGTCCAATTGGCGTAGCTGGGGATGTTGAGCACCAATGTCGGTGATGCGGCAAGTTCATCGCTGCTGATGTTGGCCGAGCTCAACACTGCACTGCCAGTTGGCAAGCTCGCAAAATTGGGTAGAATTCCCTCTGTGACATAAGATGGAATGGCCGTGCCGAGTTCTGAAAAGATCTCGTTTACGTATGAGTTGACCTCGGCGGTGATTGAGTCAACGACATCGCGGCGGTATACCGGCTCGCCTCCAAGTAGAACTGGTGTCGGTGCAGGAGTGACCAGCGCGATGGCTTCTAGGGCCGCCTGAGTCGGGTCCGCTGGCAGAGCTGCAGTTAGTCCGAGAAGAGATAGGATCGCCAAAGACCTCCCTCTTGCCATGTTGTTGTAATTGACCGGGCTCCTGAACAATGTACGAATAGTAGAACAATATGCTGTAGTGTTACACACGAAAGATAGCCAATGAATGTCAGCAGAGCTGAACTGCTCGTGTGCTGTGTACTCGTTTAAGGAAACAAAATCCGGCCAACACGAGCGAAAGACAACGAAAGAAGTACAACGCAGTAGTAGCTGCCCTTGTCCTTTTAGCGACAGCAGGAAGTTGGCCTTGAAACTCCAGCAACCAAGATGAGGAAGCAACGATCGACGTCATTTAGCGCCTCTCAGCAATGCTTAAGCAACTTTAATTCCTTGGTTGCCGATCCCAGAATGGCAATCACGTGGAGGGCAACCACGAACCCCAAACTGCGCCCTTGGCCGCGATCACCACGAAGGACCCCGAACACGTAAGTACTTATTCTCTGCCATTTTGACGACGCCTGTTATCACGATCGATGCAGTACTTGGAGGTCTCTCGCATAATATCATTCATACGCACTAGACCGCGCTGACAGGGTTCTCCTCGCGGCGACCTGGGTCGAACAGTGCAATGCCTTCATTTCGAGACTCGCCGAACGGTGCCCCTCCAGCCGCAAGCACGAACCCCGTACTGGAGCGAGAACAGTCGCAATGGCTCTTCACGCCCCAAGAACTTCTCAGGAGTCCATCAATACTCGACGGCATGACGCCAGAACAAGAGCTGATCAACCGACAGAAGGGTGTTAATTTCATCACTCAGGTTGGCATCATGCTCAAGTTGCCGCAACTTACACTGGCGACAGCCTCAGTTTATCTACATCGACTCTTCATGAGACAGAAGATGCCCACGGAAAGGTCTGCAGGACTCCATCACTATTCTGCCGCCGCGACAGCGTTGTTCCTGGCTACGAAGGTGGAGGAGAATTGTCGAAAGATGAAGGAACTGGTGGTGGCTTGTTGTCGGGTGGCACAGAAACAGCCAAATCTCGTTGTGGATGAGCAGAATAAAGAGTACTGGAAATGGCGAGACACTGTCCTGCACAATGAGGATGTGCTGTTAGAAGCACTCTGCTTCGACCTGGACCTGGTGCAACCATACCGGATACTCTTCGAGTTCCTGCAGTACTATGGCGTTCAGGATCATAAGAATCTTAGGAATACATCTTGGGCATTTCTGAACGATTCGCATGTCACGACCATGTGTCTTCTACATACCCCGCGCGCGATTGCAGGCGCAGCACTCTACACTGGCATCCGCCTAGCGAACCTCACTTTGCCAGACGACGAACAGGGCCGATCATGGTGGGAGCACTTGGAACTCGACGTTGTGGAAATTCAAGCGGCCTGCAACCTCATGTTCGATGTCTACGAAAATCCGACCTTGCCTCGAGTGGGCGCGAAGGATGCCTACATCAAGGAGGATGATATGTCTTTCCTGGAGCGAACGCGTGGCATGTTGTCCCCACGTACAGACATGTCTCCTCCGCAAAGTGTGCGAAGTGTCAGTCAGTTGTCCGGCACGAAGCGGGACCGCGAAGAGGCAGAAGGTCAGCAAGAAGAGGAGTGGGGAGCACCGTCAGCTGCTGCAACGGCTGGTCAGACGAATCGCTCTCCCAAAAGGCAACGTGTTGACACACCTGAGGTCGACAGACCAGCCTCGAGGGTGCCGCCAGGGTCCCGCATACCTCCTGCAGCGAATGGCGGAGGAAGTCGTGTGCCATCACGAGTGCCGCCCTCAGCACGAGTCCCCCCGCCGCCGCCCCCGTCTAGCAGTGAAGGCGTCGACGATGTTCAACAAAAGATAGATGATATCGTTAATGCAAGCTCACGCCAAAATAGTGAGAACAACGTCCCAACGTTGTCACAGCTGAATCGGAACCGACCACCAGCTGTTTCGGATCGTCGGTCGTCAAGGGATGACAATAGTGGCGGCGGAGAGTCACGGCGGCTGTCGGCGAACGGCGACAGTACAGACAACGGCCGACCGAAGAGTCAACAAAGCAATGTCAACGCTCCCCGGACGATACCAATTGGTGATGGTAGACGTCCCAACGGAGCTCCCACGACAGGCAGCCCTGAAGCGACTGCCCACGCGGACGAGAAGGCTACTGACTCTGGTAGTGAGGAGGGGGAGGTATAGCAAGTCTTCCGGAATAGGTTGCCCCGACCAGAGATGATGTGGGCTGCGCGCCGAAGAGATGGCTGTGTTTGTGCCATTGGAGAACCTATGCCTGAGTTCCATAATTCTTACTGTCTCGCAGGTTTTGACGTAAAGACTTTGTGGGCTGACCTGCCCGCAAAGTCCTTAACGATCGGTGACGAGGAAGTCTCAATGTTTTCCAGAGGGAGACACTGGCAGCTCACGAGCGTAGCAATTCGCAACACTCAGCGACCGCCGGTCAATCCAAGCATGACGTCATCGCGGAATTTGAGTCCTGAGGCTCTGGGCCCATGGTCTTCTCCAATAGATTATACAGCAGAGCAGAATAATCAGATAGATCACTAAGCAGTCAGTGTGCTACCCACTTACGATCGCGACTTCGCCTTCCGCTTGACAAGGAGCCACACGCCTCGTCTCAACCTGATCGCTAGTCATTCACAATATGGCATCCAAAAGCGCAGCCACCCCGCTCGCCCGCTTTTCGCGCCTGCCTCTCTTAACCAGCGCGACGACAACACAACAAGTCCCCCGCCTTACAGCTCGCTGCTGTACGACTGCGACGACCGCGCAACCTTCGCGCACTGCAGCAGCTTCACAATCTCGAGTTTCTGCACCGATACGTCACAGCGCTCTCCCCAACATCATTGGAAGGGACTACAGCACCTCCCCCATTTCCCGCAAAGAAGCTCCACCACCATCCTCCTCGCAACCCCCTCCCCAGCCCACAGAGCTAAAACCCCCAACACTCTACACCTACCCCGAAATCGCCTCCCTCTCCTCCTCCCCCGACCCCTCCCGAATCCTAATCGACGTCCGCGAACCCTCCGAGCTGCTCGCTACCGGCACCATCCCCTCCGCGAAGAACATCCCCATAAAATCCTCCGCCGACAGCTTCTTCCTATCCCCGGAAGAATTCGAGGAGAAATACGGCTGGGAGCGGCCGGGGGAGGATACAGAGGTGGTGTTCTTCTGCAAGGCGGGGGTGAGGAGTAAAGCGGCGGCGGGGCTGGCGCAGCAGGCTGGGTTTGGGGGCAGGGTGGGGGAGTATGGGGGGAGTTGGGTTGATTGGGAGGCGAACAATGGGAAGATTGAGAAGATTTGAGGTGGTTTGGGTACCGCAGTCTTACTACGCTCGGACCTGTTTTTGGATCGGTTCAATGCCCCAGGGTGAAATTTTGACTGCCGGACTGAGCTGTTTGTTACAGATCCACGCGCCCAGCCGGGGCACTACGAGCTGTACACTCGCTCGGGTCGGGATCGAGCACCCTCCGCGAGCTGGTAAGCTGTCGGCATGACATGCACAGTGGCATATATAGGGCAAAACAGGAGCGGATCATTAGCGTACGTCTACGATTGTGTATGTCGATGAAGGGCACCAAGCACGAAGGGAGCAGAGCCGGAATTACCATTATGGGCAATATAAGCTACCCTCTGATCTGTCTGTACAACGACACTGCCCCGTCCCATCCTTCACGACCAATTCCATCATCGCCTTCTCGTGGAGTTACTCGCCGAAATCGCCCCATCATAGTCCACCCCGCCCGTCACGTTGCTGATGGTGTAGTTCCCAAAGCACGCATAGTCGTACTGACTTAGCTCATACGCATCTTTTTGACTATCCAAGAAGTTCTCCCGCGCACACATCCCATCCGTCCTGTTGCCGCACGCTCCGCCTCGGATCTCGCTCAGGGGCAAGATGCCATGGTTCAGACGCATCCGCACGAACTTGTACGTTGCGTTATTGGGGTCGTACCCGAACTGTGTCGGGGTGGTGTATGTTCGTGTTGACTGTACGGGTTCAGGGTTGGAGGAGCCGCAACCGACGACTTCGGTGATGAGTTTCGCGGCGAAGGGTGTCAAGTGACTGAGGATGAAGTGCCGATTGGGGTTGGGCGGGTACGCGGTCAACGAGGGCGGATCCTTCAAGTAGTCGAAGGACATGGCGGTAAGGACGGAGACAAGGATGTCGTCGTGGGAGAAATCGGCGTAGAAGTGCTGGTTGAGCGGGAAGTCGGTGCTGTTCGCGTCGATGGTGGCGTTGATGGAGGAGTTGGAGGAGGTGATGGGTTGGTGTTGGAGGCGGGAGAGCAGTTCGAGGAGATAGCCTATGCCTTGAGCGCGGCCCTGAGAGGTTGATATTAGCTCGCGACAGAGGAGAAGTGAGATGGCTAACTTACAGTAGGGTTACCGAAAGAGTAGTCGTAGCTGCCGATATTGGTCAGCCTGAACCAGAAATTCGGAATTTGGCAAGAGGTAGGGAAAGGGAAAATGGACTTGAGGCTTGACAATCGTGAAGTCGCCGCCAGGAGAGCTTCAAAGATGGCAGTGCCTCGCCCGGGGGTAGAAGATGATCCGAGACATCATCCAGAACAAGTATCTCAGGTGTTGAGTCGGAGACTGCCCCTTGATCGACTGACAGTTTGGGCTTACGAAAAGCGGATAGACTTACTAGTATTCGATGTCAAGGGTTTGTTCGAAGCCTTGCCACTCTTCCAGCGTGAAGAGGTTGCAGAAGCTAGAGGAGCCGAGATAATTCGTCTCGTAGGCGCAGATTGACTGCATGGCGTAGGTATCTGTGACATGTTAGTCCGGTCGACCGAAAAGGGAATGTCACTCGTTCGTACCATTCACTGTGAGGTTGAAACCTGACGGAGCATATTGTTGCAGTCGTTCTGTGGCGTCCTTCAGGTAGATCTTGAGATACTGGATAAGGTTGATATCGCCGATCTGTCCAGTCGGATCGTCGTTGTCGTTGAAGCAAGAGTCATAAGATGCCAGTGTGTTGTTTTCTGTGCCGCCTTCCGGGATGACAACGAGGTTGTATGGACTGGTAGCATTGGCGATAGTAGGGTTCGGATCTGTCTCGAACGACGGTCCAAAGAACCCAAGCGCCCAATTGATCTCACTGTTCCAGATACGAGACTGCCCTGTCGTGCGCAAAGTCGGCTTCGGTCGAGCCGTACCATTCGGAAAGGAGGCATTGTAGGCCAACTGCCCGGCTGTCGCGTTATACAACGTCCGACCGTACCTTTGCCAGAAAGTCACACCAGCGTCAAAGGACTGCACAGCTCCTCTGCCGACAAGAAGTCCTGAGCCGAGCTTGTACTCGTAGCCATTGAGGAACGCCAGCTCTCCCGTAAACTCGGCACTCGCATTCGCTTTGGTGAGGTTGACCAACTTCTCGGCAAAGTTCGCATCGTTGAGGCCGTCGTCGTAGTATCTAGACACCGGTCAGAGACCAACCAGCGTAGACCAGGGACAGCACTTACCCAGTCGGAAACCGTGAACCATGCCGTTCAAGGAGGTGGACCTGCTCGATCTGGCAGCCATCAGGAAGGCCAGTGTCATTTACACCAAAGTAGGTCTCGTTGTTGTCGAAATAGGGCGTGATCTGGCCCCAGTATCTTTGGATTGTGCTAATGTCGGTAATGGGAGCAGAGCTTGTACCAGAGCTTTGTCTCTTGGTGATAGATGCATAAGGCGAAGCGGTCGCATACGCGACCAGCGCTAAGATCACGGCTTTCATGATGAAAAGTGCTGGTGTAGCATTGGCGAAGCTGTACTCGCCATGATCAACCTTTTGTACCTGACTGAGCCGACAGGGTTGTCGTGCATCGGAGGCTCGCCTAGCCAATGCACAGATAAGCTACATGCACGTGTAAGTGGTCGGATCGAAATACTAGTTGGGTACTGTCAACAGGTTGCGCAGTCATGATCATGTCGCAAGTCGACGTCATGGAAGCCTAAACCACAATGTCGAAGTCGCTAGAGCTTATTGTGCATGCTGTCTCACGCCGGGTTGGGTAAAAGCTTTCGACCTGTGCCCGGTAGGCGGGCGCTGATCAGATTTCAAGACACATCACGCTGGCAGCACTGCCAGTGTAGCCCGTGTCTTGCGGATGGTTGACGTGGATGGCAGCTACAGAGCCAGCAAAGTGGGGAGGGCCACGGAAAGAGCCATTGCTGGGACTCGGAAGCTGGGGGTCGAAAATTGTGCTTACAAGCTTCTCCCAAGCTTCCCAAGCTTTTAGCAAAGTTTGACGACAAAGCGGGCATGTGCGTCGCGCTACTGACAGCTCGAGTCGCAAGCAGGAGCTTCCTTGGGGAAATTTCATGGTGCAAGAGCTGGGCTTTGTCAAGGTCAACAGCGTGTACTTCAACTGTCGCGTTCGATAGACTGCATATATAGGTCCTGTTCAGATCTCCTCCGTTCTTCCCAACAGCCAGCTCAAATGCCGGTATGCCACTCTTGGTTGGAACTCTGGCTGCATATGCCCGCTCTGATATGTCTAGATGAAGGACGAGAGTCAGCAACCTGTTGAGCCTCCAGGAAGCTGGAAGACTTACCTCAACCCACATCAAACCGCGCTCATAGTGCTGTTGCACTTGTTAGCTGGAACATGTGACCGGAAGAACCAGAACCGTAAGACTAGACGTCTCGCCCGATCCAGGTTCATAGGTATACGTACCTGGATGCCCATCACGCCTTGCGCGCCGTCGGTCCCATTTAGACCATTCTCATCGTACACCTCAGCATATTGCAGATCTGGCAGCGTGATGTTGATCGGCGTGCTAGGTCTCTCATCAAAGCCCAACTTGCCGTTCCAGGTCATATTCTGGATTGACAATAGTGTTCCGTTCGTAATGATAATCATGTCGAAGTCACCATTGCCGACCAGCACTCGATTCGTGGCCTCGATGACTTGCGGGAGCACATGCTGAATTGGGTCTGGCGCAAGGTCACCTTCACCTTGAGGTCCGCCAGTGTAGTAGCCATCAACTTCAGGGCCACCAAGGAATACAGGTCCTTTGCATTCCGCCCAGTCGCTGTCGCTTGGGGCGTGCATGGCAGACTTGACGTCGCTACGGTTGAAGTAGGTTTGGTTGTAGACGTTGTCGACGAGCTCGGTGGGGAAGCCGAGGACGTCGGAGAGGAGTGGGCACATTTCGACGATCTCGTAGATGTCGAAGCACGGGTTCACCTGTTGCGAGTGTTAGATTTCTGTGGGATTAGGAGACCTCTGGGTGGGGCTGTTCGGCTTACCTCAAGAAGTGCGTTGTTGGCCATATCAAAAACGTCGCAGCTGGCGTTGGATCCGGAGGTATTGAAGTAGATGGGTGGCTGAACACCAGAGGCGGGGAACGTCAAGTACTTGTCGATGTAGTCAGCATATCCGCAGGACTGATGCAGACTCTCCATTTGCTGCATGAAAGAGTCGTTGAGGTTCAGTATGTTGTTATACTCCATCAGATAAGGCACGGCAACATATTCCTCCTGGATCGCGTTGAAGTCGCCGATGCAAGGATCATATACTAGAGCTCCAGAAAGGTTGTAGTAGGTCGTGTCGTTCTGGTCAAGCATGGCAGCAGAGATGTATGGCACATATCGTCCTGCATACGATTCGCCTGTTACATAGATCTTGTAGTTCTTGATCCCGAAGATGTCCTCCCAGTTTTTGAAGAACTTGATGAAATCCTGAGCGGTCTCATACTGGGAGGTCGCAGTTGCATTGCCTTGGGTGTATCCAGTGCCGACGGGTTGATCAACCTGCAATTATCGTTAGCGGCGACGTCAGAACTAGGTACGGCGAATTTACCCAGAGCATATTTGTCAGGTTTGCCCAGGTGTAGGGGTTCTGAACAGGCGCAAGGGTCCCGGGTTGCCAGGTGAATGGGCCATTCTCTTGGAAGAAGCCCTCCAATGAACTGCAACCAGGTCCACCATTGAGCCAAATCGTGACTTCCTCAACGGAATCACCAAGACTAGGCGCAAAGACGAAGAACAAAGTCCGCGAAGTGTCATTCGAGTCGATTGGGACACTGCCGGAGTACAACTCTCCGATGTCAAAATTGACCTCAGGCAGAGACTCCACAGCGTAAGGCTTGGTGCTGTTGCTCATGAACTTGAAGGACTCGGAGCGCTCTTCGAACGACTTGCGCACGGGCGCTGGCTGGGAGAACTTCTCGAACCGGTAGTTGCGAGCATCGATGCGGTCTCTGAACTTGCCCGCAGACGCTAGTAGCGGCCACACGGCCACGGTGAGTAACGATGCCACTGAGGAGCGCATTTTGCGAAAAGGAAGGCAATAGGTTCTGGACAAGCAGGAGGGGCAGAAGTCTTCAGAAACAGTGCTATGGCAGCTTTATAACTCACCTACATCTCATGCCAGAGCACACGACAGCTGCCACATGCTGGTTCCCCAGAAACCATCCAGACCGGGGAATTGTCCTGGAGATCTGCCATTCAACGTCACAATCAAGCTCATGTCATGGGTTGGTGCTGAACCTTAGCGGTCGCTATCTCGCCACTGATGTATGACCCGAGTGCAAGTGGCCGTCGCTGGCGAGAGGCAAGGTCTATGAGGTGACATGGTGCGGTTCAAGGTTCGTGTCCAGCGCAGGGTAGGTTGGAAATCCGGATATAGCCGCCAGTGTGGCAGAAAACTGAACGGCGACTCAGCGCTGGTCAGCTGTAGTGATGGTGGCAAGACACTCCGGTACCTGCCTGATGCGAGTAGTGTAGGACTGCATGGATTACGCGTTCGAGGCAACAACAGGTAGCGCAGGTCGTCGGAGTCGAGTCAAGCACTGATTAGCGAAAGGCTGCTGGCAATAGAGTTCTTCTGGAAAGTGTAAGGCAAAAGTTGCGTACACAGCTGGCGAAAACACTAGAAGATATACCCGAGATTCCGTTCGATGCAAGCTTGTGTTAGTAGTTCAATCGAATATTGAATATGCTGCAGTACTGTGCAAGCTCCTATCATGAATGAATACTTGCTTGTTCGTTGACACGCGAGAAAATTTGAGGGAGTTGGTCATGTGACACTATGGATCCTAAGCGGGCAGAGAAAACCGTCATGCATCTGTTGAGTGCTCGTCGACGGTAGCTCAGCTCGTTCCTCGTAGAACAGAGCTCGGCAGACATCCGTGAGGCAACCTGATGTAGAATACTTCGTGACTGACCTTGAACTGGCACTCTGAGCTATACGGCGAGCGTGACTTGACCAAGTGCGCCAATCGACACGCTAGGCGCAAACAGCCCCGAGTGTATTTAGGACACTGTGTTGTCTCTAACAGAGAAGTAGCATGAACTGAGGACGAAGAAACCAGCTCGAGACATGGAGAGAGGTAGAGGAGCATTGTAGAGGCCTTGGCGCCAGTTCGAATAAGCTTTTCGGACAGCAGCGCGTCCTCGATTCAAAACATCGAGTCCGAGGCGCGACATCATCATTATTCGTGGAGACCTTTGTATTTCGCGTTCCCACAACACTTAGGCTACATGGTGATTACTTGACCACATGCACAAGTCGGCATACAGTCACGCATAATCGATGCCACGTCCTCCAGCGCGGCGGCGGCAGCTTTCGCGAGGACCGACGCCAAAGAAGCACAGCCCTCGACAGCCCAAGAATGTCATCAGTCCGAACAGCGTCAACCAGATACTCAGCAAGAAGCCCGAAGGACAGCGACTCGATAACAGCGACGACAGCGATGGCCTTGTAACGAAGGGAAACGGCGCGAGGAGAGCCGCATCTCAGCAAGAGGTCTTCGCGTCTGGTGCCGTCGCACGGACTGACAAGCCAAATGCGCATCCCACGCGCGCGCAACGGCGCAAACAAATGCAGAACGCCATGAGCTCACAGTCCAAGTCATCTTCTCCGGCGGCCTCGCGACCAGTCTCTGCAGCCCCTCCACCGAAAGCCGCGCCTGTCTCAACCGCATCGGCCGTACGACCACCACAAGCCCTGCCAGTTAGCAGTCGGACACCACTTCGCGAAGACTCGGTACTGAACGGCATAAGGCCACGGAAACGGCAGAATAGTATACTGCGCAGTCCTGAATTCAACGACTCTACATTGGACAGTAGTCTACTATTACCACAAGACGAAAACTCAGTGCTGGTCCTGCCGAAACACGCATCTGCCACAAACACACCAGCGTCCGCCCCACAAAGCTCTGCATCCAAGAAGCGGAAGCTAGACGTGAACGATGTTCCAGTTGTAGCTCCAACGTCTGCAGCAGACGACCAAGAAACCCAACTTCCAGCCCCACCAAAATCTGTACTCAAGTCTTCGGCCAAGAAGCAGCACCGCCAACATGATCTTGACGACACCACAGATATCATGGCACCACCAATGAGCAGCAGCAGCGAGCACTCGTCGCCTCAGAAGCCTCCACCAGCCAACTCGAAGAAGACGAAGAGTAAACCCGCACCAGTCACTCTCACTACCCAGCAGCTCCAAGCCCAGCTCATGCCGAAGCGCCGCAACAAGCAGCTCCGCGAGCGCAAGACTACCCTCAAAGACTTCGACATCCCATCTGACACTGACCCATCCTCAGAAAACCAGCACGAGGACACGTCATTCCTCGCCCCTAGCAAGCGGAAATCCACCCGTCGTGCGACAACCGCAAATACGTCCAAGAAAATGCAGCCTACCATGCGACGGAAGGGACCACCTGCAGCCTCGACAGAGAGGTCTAAAGCTACCAGGCAGAAGAAACCCACAAAGAGTACGGCACCACCATCTCCTTCTCCTCGCGCTCGATCCCCTGCGGCAGAAGACCATACAAATACATCGGCTAAGTCACCATTACAGCAATCCTCTCCCGTTATAATCGAAGTCGTCCCCACCGCCGACGACAGCGACATTCCCTCATCGCCACCTCAGTCTACTACACGCAACGTACGGAGCACGCGGGCCGGAGTTCGAAGAAAGCAGCTGTCAACTTCGTCCATAGCAAACAAGCGGCAAAATACTGGCTCCCGTCTCCAGCTGTCTTCTCACGCAAGCGCCAAAGGCAGAAGGGGCGGCAAAGTATTGTCCATCGTTGGCGGTGATGTTGAGGCGGATAAGGAGAATACTCCTACTACTGTTGAGGAAGGGGAGAGCGATATCATTGAAGTTCAATTAGGGCGCGGCAATGTGTCTGAATTGAGCGACGATGGGCTGGGTTTGGGCATGAGTGATGGCCTAGATGAGGCGCAGGACGACGACGCCGAGATCACACTGCCGAGTCCGCCACCAGCCAAAAGGCGAAAGGGCGCGACGACAACGACGGCGCCAACGAGGAAGACCTTCGGTGGCAGGTGGGCCGCGATCGATGACTTTGAGATGGACTTCGAAGAGGTCAGTAGGGGGAGCTGGAGCAGTGATCCGCTGGCAAGATGATAGCGAGAGACAGCTCACAAGTGAGTGGTAACAATGGAAAAGTCACGCAGAGCCCTCCCGAACGGAGCATGAAGACAAATTGATTGATTGATCAATTCCATTCAGGCGCCGTGCGGATGCTTTTCTATCCATGGTCTAGCCCATTTGTGCTTACTTGCTTGCATTCAATCGTCATCCGCGTGAAATCCTCCGGGCCAGCTTCTAGCCTCGCCTGTGCAGCACATCATCAGGATGTTCTGCTTGCTGCTCCAGGTCCTCACTTGAAGACCTTGACATCGCCCTCCTTGACCTTTCCGCTGCTGGTGAGACCGCTCATCCGCTCCGTGAATACGCCTTTGACCTTCTCTCCATCCTTGCCCGCAACATTGAGCTTGCTGACCAAATCCGCGAGCTCATCCGGGTCCGTGCTCGCCAAAATCCGATCAACATCATCCAACACAGCATCCACCTGCGCGGCCGAAGCATCCGCTCCACTCGAGAAATAGTTGACGTCCTTGACCGCACCCTTGACCACACGCTTGTTCTTCTTCACAGCAGTCTTGGCCGCCTCCTTGCTCTTCTTCGCGGCATCCTTGTCTGCTTTCGCTTTCTCCTCGTCTTCCTTCTTCTGCTTCTCTGCAGCGGCGGCAGCGGCGGCTTTATCCTCTGCTTCCTTCTTCTCTTTGGCTTCCTTCTCGAGGCGTTTCGCGTTCTTGTTCTTGCTCGCTGCCTGTCGGAATTTCTTGATGCGCTCGTCGTTTTGAAGACAGGTATCTACCGTGTTGCGCAGCCGAGCGGTGTCCTCGGTCTTACGCTTGATGCGGGCATTGCGGTTCTTCTTCTCAATGTGCCGCTTGTGGTCGCGGTCGGCGTTGTCGTCGGGGACGTCCTCGTCGAGGTACTCGAATGAGCGCCAGGAGTCGAAGTTGTACCAGAAGTCGTAGAACTCCTCGACGTCTTCCTTTGTGGATTTATCGTCGCCGATTTTTGGCACGGGCTGTTTGTTGCTGAAGCGGGCCTCGGATTCGAAGAAGGCGTTCCATTTTTTGAAAAAGGATTTGCTGGACGAGGTCATTTCTTTTTTGGTGGGGGGCGCGACGTCGGCGGCTTCGTCGACTGAGTCGAATTGTCGGCGAGTTTTGGGGTCGGTGAGGGTCTCGTGGGCGCGCTGGATGCATTTGAAGAAGGAGTCGTTCTCGGCTTGGCCGGCGGCGGCGCGCTTGTCGGGGTGGTGCTTGAGGACCTTTTTGCGGTGGGCGCGCTTGATTTGCTCGTCGGTTGCGCGGTAGCGGTGTTTTGAGAGGCCGAGGACGGCGTAGTGGTCTTGTCCCTGTAGACATTGTCAGTGCGTGACGGCGTGGTAGTCTGTCTGGGGTGGACTAACCTTCCAATCTTTGGCATCTCGCTGTAGCATTAGAGGGTCTTCCGGTTCGCTGATTTCTCCATCATCGTCGTCTTCTGTCTTCTTCACTTTCGCAAGAGCCTGGATGCGGTCGTCTTCAGAGAAAGTCCGGCCGTGTCGTTGTCTCCGTGCATGCGCCAAGAAGGCCGCGCCGAAAGGCTCGATCTTGCGGTCGATCGCCGGTGATAGAGATCCTATGCTCTTGAAGTTGGGTGTCTTCTCGTCGGACTTCCAGTCCTGGGGTAGGGCTAGGGTCGCCATAGCAAGTCCAATTGTGAAGCGAGTCCTCGTACAGTAGACGTTCTCTTGATGTCTGGCGGAAGCGCTCCCGAACCGATCGCTCGTGGGCTTCTATGAATAGGATAATCGTGCCGCGCCCGGGAATGCAGCACAAGATGAGGAGGACTTCAACAAGATATATCAACTCCCAAAAAAGTTTCAAAATCCAAGAATTCATCATGCCTACGGTCACGGGTAGTGATGAGGAGTGCAGTGCCAAGACGCTAAATCATCTAGCAGAAAAGCAAGTTGTTAAGTGGGAAGAAAGCTAGTCCATAGTTTGACTAGCTCCGTAAATGAGCAGTGAATTCAAGCACCTCTTTCATCTTCTGGACCTACAGGGAGAACTTCATCTAGGAATCTGTGTTGTCCTGTACAACCATTGCAGCAGCTTGTCTGGACCGTATACGACATTCGACCAAGACTACCCTGACATCCTGGACCAGGAAATAAGCATCCAAGATCCCATCTTTCCACTCCTCGACCTCTAACAAGTCAGGCGCCACATTCGATCACATCGACTTTGCCTGGCGCGGCGCAAGGCTTGACCGAGCTCTCCAGCAATTCTGCGCTAGCAACAAACAAGTTGCTCCGTTCACCCACCTCCCGCAAACTAGCGCTTTGCGCCCGGAGGCCCTCAGCAATGGCGCTACCAGCCTACCGTGCCCTCCTCCGCGCCACGCGCATCGCATTCGCCAATGACACCGCCCTCCTGCACAGCTCCCGCGCCCAGATACGGGAAGGCTTTCGGAGCAAGCGATCACTGGAGCCTGGATCGGCGGAAGTGGAAGGGGCGGTAAAGCACGCGGAGGGTGTTGCGGAGGTCTTGCGGACCAATGTTGTGCAGGGGAAGAGGATAGGTGGGGTGGAGGGGGAGGGAGAGGGCGTTTACAGTGAGTTCTACTGATTTTCTTTCGGGTCCTGGGGAGGTGGGAACGGGTCGAGATGTGGGAAAGGGAGCGGTCGATTGGTTGTGCGGCTGATCGAGTGTCCAAATGTGAGGGCGTGATTGCTGACAGCCACTTCTGCAGAGTTGAACATACACAAGGACACCGAGCGAGGGGACAACGACACGGTGAAGAACCCGAGAGGGACGGGTGGGGTAGTCAAGGTCGATACTGGAGGCGCCTGAGAGCCAGGATGTAATCAGGGCATGCGATGGTCCGGATCGCATACAATGGCAACCCTATGGTGGAATTCAAGCGGCACGACTGCATAGCATGGGCTGGGAGACATGTGCAGAGCATGGAGGTGTACTCTGTTGTACTATACTATGATACCCTTTTCGATTCGATGCCAGTGCCGAGGGTCTGCCTTTGAGAAGGCGTGAATATTTATGACGCAACCAGAACGCCTTGCTAAGATGTCGGACGTGACACCGAGACCACTTTGTCCACCTCAGTCACCCGCCAGACTGGCATATTGCACCTCTCTCGATCCTGGAGGAGGCGCCACGACATACGTGCTGTTCTGCTCAGCACCATCCTCGCCCTGTTCACCCGACGCGATCGCCCTTTGCCTACTCTGCGCCTCTTTCACTCCAGCAGCAGTCTGTCTACCCTCCGCGCCCACTCCATCCTCTGATCCCGATCAGTATTATCAAGCGGCTTCGGCTTGCCCCACTTTACGCGCAAAGGACAGCCCTGGATGACGGCTTTCCCCATACAGCTCCCGGCGGCTGCTTCAGCCGCTTCCCGCGTGGCGTAGTTGATGAATGCGCAGTGTGAGCGATGTGAGCAGACGATGGATCGTATCTGGCCGAAGGGTGTGAAGAAGGTGCGGATGGCGTGCTCAGGTAGGTCGTCTTCGACGCCGGTAACGAAGAGAGATGTAATGTTCGGGTCTTGTGGTGGAAGCCAGTCTGATGGCTGAGGAGGGCGGGCGCCGGGTGTGGCTCGTGGTGGTGGGCGTGAGCCAAGCGGTTTGCCGGCGGCTTTTCTGGAGTCGGGTGTTCTCACTGGACCCGGACCGGGACCGTAGCCGGGTTTCCTGGGTTCCGAAGATGAGGATGTGGGTTGTTCTGTCTCTCCGGCGGCTTCTAATCGTCTTTGTTTCTTGTAGTATGGTTCGCTGTTGGCCAGTCGCCGTAGTAAGTCTCGTGCTTTCTCGTCGGTCTTCTCGTAGGCCTCGACGGCGCCTCTGCCCTCTTCTAGTTCCTTTTCGTGCTCTTGAGCGTAGTATTCTCGGTTGATCTCGGACTGTGGACCAGGTGCGACCATCTTGAGCGCGGCATCTCTCACGGTGATGGGCAGACCAAAGGACAGATCGAGCATGCATGACTGGCAGCAGTTCTTCAGTCTAGCGCATGTAAGGCATATCATTGTCCGTTTACTTCTGGCAGTCCTGTCGGCTTTCCACTTGAATACTGTGTATGGTCTGCTGCAAATCTTGCATTCTGCGCCATAGTCTTCCTTCAGCATCTGGACATATGGATTGTCGGGCAGGCAGTCCTCGCAGACGGAGGGAAAGTCGGTGGTCTCCCATCCTGATCGATTCAGGTCTTGCTTGATCTGTGGTTGCGCCATGCCGGGCGAGAGCGGATCAGTGCGTGGGAAGAGGTGAGGTGGGTGAGCGAATATGTCAGGCGGGGAACAATTATCTGTTTCGATGCCGTTAATTTTCGCCGCCCGCTTAGCAAGTGTCCGGCGGCCTCTACGAGTGGTTCGCGCAGCACGAGTCAGGTACGGTGCTTCATAAGGGCAAACACGCAACTCAATCGCGGCTCTTTTTATCCTTGTCTTTTCCGACAACGCCGAGTCGTTCGAGTCTCGCCAAAGCGTTCAGTGGGGATTCAGGCACGCCAATCGGCTGTCTTGATTCGTGTCAACCCATCAAAAAAAGTTGCTTCCGGGTAAGTTAGTTGAGAGCAGACCGTTGCTGGCGGCGCAGTGATACGCCGTCGCGAGATACCCCCTCGCTATCTTCACCGCCGACTCGACTTTTCTCAATACAGTCGTTACTCAAGATCGTCTTGAACAAACTTGTCAGTCCCTCTTTGATCATATCCCCCAGCACATTCAACATGGCGCCCGCCTCGGTGACCTCCACCGCCTCCAACTATGAGCTAGAACGAGAGGACAAGAAACGCGATGCGGCCTTCAACAAGGTCCTCCACGGCAAGAGCGCCCAAAGCAGAGGTGGTCTGTACGCCATGCGTGGCAAGGACGCCGCTGCCAAGAAGGAGGCCGTCGAGGAGTACTTCAAGCACTGGGACAATAAGGCCGCTGCTGTCGAGACCGAGGAGACGCGGAAAGCGCGACGGGACGAGTATGCTACTTTGACTAGACAGTGAGTATTCCACAATAACCAAGAGGGTGTGCATCTGCTGACGTATGTGACCAGCTACTACAACCTCGCAACCGACCTCTACGAATACGGCTGGGGCACCTCCTTCCACTTCTGCCGCTTCGCACACCGCGAGCCCTTCTACCAAGCCATCGCTCGCCACGAGCACTACCTCGCCCTCAAGATGGGCCTCACCGAGAACCAGACTGTGCTAGATGTCGGCTGCGGCGTTGGTGGACCCGGTCGGGAGATCATTAAGTTCACGGGTGCCAAAGTCATGGGCCTGAACAACAACGACTACCAGATTGAGCGAAGCTTGTACTACGCCGCGAAGGAGGGCATTGCAGACAAGTGGGGCGCGACGAAGGGGGATTTCATGCAGATGGATCTGCCGGAGAACAGCTTTGACGCCGTATATGCGATTGAGGCGACCGTGCATGCGCCGAATTTGCAGGGAGTGTATGAGCAGATCTTTCGGGTGTTGAAGCCGGGCGGGGTGTTTGGAGTGTATGAGTGGTTGATGACGGATAAGTATGATAATGATAACCTGGAACATCGCGAGATCAGGTTGGGCATTGAGCAGGGCAACGGCATTTCGAACATGGTTAGAGTGTCTGAAGGCCTCGAGGCGATCCGCGCCGCAGGCTTTGAGCTGGAACTGCACGAGGATCTCGCCGAGCGGGACGACCAGGTGCCCTGGTACTACCCCTTGGCTGGCGACTGGAGATATCTGAGTGGTCCCGGAGATCTGTTCACGATCGGGAGGATGAGTTGGTGGGGTCGGGGTCTCGTGCATAAGTTCATTGGCTTGGGCGAGATGTTGAGGGTCATGCCCAAGGGAACGCAGAAGACGGCTGATAGTCTGGCAAGGACAGCGGACGCTTTGGTAGCTGGTGGTAAGCAGAAGCTGTTCACGCCCATGTATCTCATGGTGGCGCGGAAGCCCAAGGCTTGAGTTAAAAGGGGTCAGATCTGGTGGGGGCGTCTTTCACTGCACAGGGGGTTTCTTCGAAGCGGTCCCGGCGCATTTGTACTAATAGAGCACGAAAAAAGAGAGCAGCGGTCAAGCATATATCAATACGGGGTCTTCGACCGGGAACTCGCGTTCATCTCACGTCTGCTTCTCCCCCATCCATCCCATAATGCCCTCGTAAGCATACCACTGTACTGCGTTCACCACGAAGGCCCGTAAACTACACACCCCAATACCCCTGTAAAAGCCTCTGATTCCTGCCTCCTTCCACACCTCCTTAACCACCTCCCACGTCCTCGGTGGTTTCTCTCTCCCTGTGCCACCCAGCAACCCCTCCCGCTCACTCCCTACATTTCCAGACGGCACCCAGCATTGCACCCTTGTCTTGACAACATCCAACGGGTACACGCTCGCCCACGTGACCACGCCTGCAACTCCGCCCGCCACAACGACCTCCCACCCTTTGAGCTCAGCCCACCAGTCCGGTGTCCGCTGTGCGATGAGGAGGCGCTTACACACTTCATAGCTCCAGAAATACCACCCATATCCAACCGCATCGCGCAGGGAGGTGAGAGTGCCGCCACGGAAGAGCCCCGGTATACCCTCACGCTGGATCGTTGAGCGCGCGACTTGCCATGATGACGACGTCGACGAGCTGCTTCTTGTCTGACCAGCTGCTCCGGCGGAGGTAGGAATTCCAAGCTGGGCACGACACTTGACGTACTCCGACGGCGCGCTGACGATCCACGTGGCCAACCCGCCAACGAAGCCCGCGAGCCAGATATGCGAGAGGGAGCAGCCGGCGAGTTTGGTGGGTGAGGGAGGTGGGTGTGGGGTTAGGTACAGGAGAGTGCGGTTGAAGGTGATGAACAGGAGCTATTCAGGGCGCCGTAGCCGAGGATGGGGGCGGCGCTGCCGCGGAAGTAGGAGGTCAGGGCTCGGATGCCTGGGTTCGGGATGCTATGTGAAGGTGGCGATGATGTTGTGGGCGACGGGGGAGTCGAAGTGGGGAGGGTAGGTGATGTTGAGTTGATCAGGGTCCGTGACGAGAGGCCGGCTTGGGCTTGTACTTTGAGAACGTCAAGGCGGTTGCCGACTAGAATGCCCAGGGCGCCGGAGAGGTAAGAGGCCCAAAAGGTAGAAGACATGTCTGTGGGGTAGGAGGTGAGGAGGGCAGTGGACAGTGGACAGTGATGCTATCGCTGCATGGAGGTTCGTCGTTTGCAATATACGTCGTATTGCTGTGTTGCTTTTATGTTGCCTGGGTCCGAGTTGTACAATTGTGAGACCTGTGACGAGAGTGGTAGTGGTGTGAGATTGGATATAAATAATATCCTGGTACAGAGCTACCTCATAGTTCGATGCTTGGCATCGACTGCACGAGGCAGGAGCGATGGTTTGAGAAGAAGGCCGCAGGCTCTGAAATGTCTTGACTTCGCGAAAACAGGGGACAGGACGGTCTGTTGTTCGTGCTATAATTATTCTAACAGTTTTTGCACTGTTGGCGTCGGAATGAAGACCGGTTGACAAGCTGCATCTTGGACGCTTCTTGTCAACCGGTCTTAGCTGTGCCCATATGTATTGGGCGGAGATTTTCACGGCCAAGCGAAGCTTCGCAGGACTCACATTCGGTTGTCTCGCAATACGATTGGAGCCCTTTGAGCCTCACCCACGCCAAGATCCGTCGCTCAAGAACGTGTTATCCTTCGCCGCGCTTCGCGTCACTGTCTCCCTTTCCCATGATACGCCGTACCTCAAATTCACTCCTCAGGCAAACCTGCTCACCCTCGGGGTCAAGCCCTACGCGCCTCGCGTGCAAATCAGATGATTTGTTGTGGGTAAGTACCAACGCGCTCGGCTGTTGTCACATTCCACGAACTTTTGTGAAAGAACCCTAGCGGCATCAAGTCTATTGGAGGGAAAGGTCTGCCGGCGAGCACCACGCGATTGGCGTTGTCCGTGCGGCGTACTTTAACATCCAGACCACGTCGAATATGGAGCAGCTTGGCACGCGATAGAATGGCGCCTCGTGGGAGGACGACACCGTCCGCCGACAGTCCCAAAGGAGCAGTAGACCTGCAGCGAGATGCTCCTGGTGATCCGTGCCGACGGTCGGATGCTCCATGTCGTCCCCTGCGGTGCATTCAACGGTCAGCCACGATGCCGCAATAACAAGCCTCTCAGGACGAGGCACCCCCACGACCGAACGATCTGCGTCTGTTGACCTGTGTCGGGTCAACGAGCCGCAATGCTACATTTCATCTCGCGACGACCAGCCAGCCACTGTCCCGTCGCTCGGACTGGACAGGAGGTCGAAGCCTTCCCAAACAACCCTGGGTCAGGTTTGATACCCTTTCGTTTCGGCATTGATTTGTTGTTCAGTATCTGCCTTGCTTGTGTTTCTTGTCCCGTCTTGCTGTGCACTTTCATTCTTTTACGGTGTGGCGGCCGAGATGGCGTCCGCAAAGTCCCTCGTTTGGTTTTCGATAACTTCTCTTCTCTTGAGCACAAACAGTGCGCATGCCCAAGGCCTCGTGACAGTCAGCGTCGACAGTCAGGGCAAGCTATGTCCGGCGGCCGCCACTGTTTCTATCTTCCCTGTTCACTACGAAACTTTCGTCAATGCACCTAGTGCGACGATCTATCTCAACGGCGGCAACGTTGTCATCAACAATGGACCGACCTTTTTTGTTACAGACTTCACAACAACTGTAACAGTTACGAATACTGTCACTTCCACCGCCACCAGTGGCGGCAACACGCTCAACCCAGAAATTCAGTCCACGACTGGCTTCTCCCTCCCTTCGTCATCCGCCACTCCCGAGTCTGCAGTCACCGGTTCCGGCACAGAAGCCTCGACAGATGAATCCAACGGTCAGGCCACGAGTACACCGAGCAGCTCAACCGTACGGACCTTCCCAGTCGTATCGCCTCCAAGTACGACGTCCAGCACACGACCACCTATAGAGCCTGGCGTGCCTGAGCCGCGCCTTGCCCTCGGAGAAGGTCTCGACGATGGCCTGGTGAGCGAGATCGACCCATCGAACGCAGTCATTGTAGGCTTCGCGTATAACGGGCCAGCACTCAAGGGAAAGCGCGAAGTGGGAACAGACGCAGCTGCTATTGGCTATGCTGGCTCCCCTAAGGGCGAAACAGCCGACAGATGTGCTTACGCTAAGCGATACTATATCAATGATGGGCAGATGATTGAGCGGGACTCGGAAACCCGAATCGGCAGGAACATCACAGACACCTGGGTCCCATTCGAGTCGACCTTTGACTCAAATAACGCCGGTTCCACATTCTTCTTCGTGGATGGCATCCTGACCTGGGACGTCGCTGGACAAGGTGGTGCGGAATTCTATCAGTGTCCTGATAATCGAATATATGCAGGTTGGATCGGATCTCAGAAAGAGAACTGCTTCGAAGTAATCTTGGGTGGCATCATTAGTTCTGCATGCCCTCGCGACTACTCCGATGACTCTGTCGAAAGCAGCAGTCCTGCAACAGCGGCCCCAACACAAGAGTCGTCATCAACAGCTACAACAAGCCAACCAGTGCCTCCATCCGACCCGACTGCAAGCTTCTCTCCTCTGGCTGCTGAACCAAGCAGTGATCTGAGTAGCTCGCAGCAGGACGAGCTCACGGTCATCTCTACAGGCAAGGCTTCTGTACAAACGGCGGCCCCCTCATCCAGTGGTAATCGACCCACGGGTCCTGCTTCGCAAAGCTTCACAGTCCCAGACTCGAGAACCTCGAGTCCTATACAGAGTCCACTAGCCACTTCTGTACCAATTGTACGGTCCTCGAGCACTGGATCTCAGTCCATCAACAACATCATAACGCAAAGCTACCCGAACTCAGGGACCACTACATTGGCAGCGGTATCGGGCTCCTCAACACGTCTCGCAACCACAAGTCCTTTGTCCAGTCCCATTAGTTCCTCAACGGTACTGGCGTCGTTATCATCGCGAGCGGTATCCTCGGTTTCCGCCTTTGTATCATCTGAGCTTTCGAATATATCGCCGTCAAGAACAGATCAGAGCAGCACTGAATTTGGTGGTGCCGCAACGAGCGGCCGTACGACTGGAGTTGAGACTTCTCGCAGTGGTAAGTCGTTGTGCGCAGCCATTACAAATTTTTGCTGACCGTGTACTTAGGCAGCACGGCTAGCGATGGATCACTCGTGTCTTCGACTGCTATACCAAGTAAGTCTATGATAATGGTCAGTAACACTGTCTCACAAATCACAGCCACTTCGTCGAACTCGAGCACACGATCTACTTTCTCACGGTCTCGTACCCGATCCGACTCATCGAGCTCATCCACAGGGAGCGCTGATCGAAGCACTATCAGTATAGCTTCCAACTCCACGTCATCTGGACGCAGCACGTCGTCTTCCATGACACAGCCTTCGAATGCTTCGAGCATGAACAGGTCGTCGGCTTCACCGACCAGCCAATTCACTGCCACAAGTGCTGTGCAGAGCTCGGCGTCCTCTCCTTCGGGCTCCTCGAAGACGTCGCAGACTACAAGCTCCGCTTCAACTCCGTCATCAACGCAGCCATTAACAGCTTCCTCCCCACCAACCACGAGCTCTCGCATTACTTTGACTTACGCCGCCAGCTCTTCAGACCAAGACGATACGTCGACCTTCACTCCAAGCGAAGCATCGTCTATGACCGAGACTACGTCGACCTCGGACAGTCCATCGTCCTCGCCCACGCCGACCGACGAGGGTATAGTACTCAGGTTAGGTCCCTTTCCCGGAGATCCTCCCGATTCGATGCGTACGCCTCCATCCGACCGCACGATGCGAGCGCCTGCCTCCAACCGAATGATGCTAGCGCCTGCCGCCGTCGGAGTGTCCAGACGTTCTCGCTCCCTAGTCAAAAGAGATTATTATCTATACGTGGCTTTCGATGATGAGGGGATGAGCATCCTTGTACTTGACAAAAGTCAAGCTGCGTGTTCACCGTGACAGAAGATGGGGATCTACAAACTGTGACAGATGACGGCGAAGTACAATTTGTGACATTTGCTCCTCCCACGGAAGATGGCGGCTCAGGCTTCCAGCTTCAGCTCGTCGATGATCCTCCGTCTGCCACAGCGCCTGATGACCCCACCGATCCCGATGGTCCGGGCAATTCGGGAAGTACTCCCACATTATCGTTCGCCATCAACCTAGATGGTGAATTGGACATTACAGGAATCAAGCAGTTTGCTGCAACCGAAGATGGGACGCTATACGTTGTACCCGAAGGCACAGACGAGGATGGCAACGAGTATCAAGCTCCAGAAGAGGCACAAGCAGTCGAGGTCGCGGCTGAGGCTCCGCCACCACCAGATCCAGTGACCACGACGGAGGCATTGTCAGAAACTACGGGTTTCACTACATCTACAGAAGTGCCGACTGATACTCCAGCGGACGTCACCTCAACTACGTCGGACGATATCGCGGAGACCTCTTCGTCCGCTGGCACAACAGATTCACCGGCTGAGGCGACTTCTACGGAGAGCTTGCCCGCAGAGGACGCTTCAACTTCGAGTACTGATAGCACAACAACTTCCGAGGCACAAGAATCGTTAACCGATCTGGCTGACAGCACCACTACAGCCACAGTTGAGGACGAGGCCACTTCGATGGCGACAAGCGAAACTATCGACAGTACAAGCGACTCCTTTGCGCCTGTTACAACGTCAACAGCAAGCCCCGAAAGCGTTTCTACAGACACGCTGGTTGACACTACACCCGGTACGTCTCCTCTCATTGATGTTCCCTCACCCACCCCTATAGAGGAAGCCACCCCCGTGGTCACGACGAACGAAGGCCCGACCGCGGATGTTACCACAGATGATGGCACGAGCCCGGTCATCACTATAGATGAAGGCACGAGCACGAGCTCTTCAGAAGATTCTCAAACGATTGTCCCAGAGTCGACATTGAGCGGCAGCGGCTTGTCGTCGGCGGACGGAGGTTCTGCTGTAGCAAGCGCTCCGAGTAGCTCGAATGACGCCTCAGAAGCCACGTCAACAGATGCCATTGATAGCCCGAGCGGCAGCGAGTCCGAGACGGCATGGGTGTCCACCACTGCCACAGCTTCTGCCTTCACTACATCGGAAGGAGCAGAGTATTCCAGCACCTCAGCTCAAGCCATTGCTGCGGAGTCCATCACGAGCGATCTCTTCAGCTCGACCGAGCTGTTGAGCGAGGTCTCTCCTTCTCCAAGCGTCTCGCAATCGTCCCTTGACGAGGGTACGAGCTCGGTCGTCACAGAAAGCTCTACGGGTGCGGAGATATCAGCTACGGCAGACATTTCGAGCTTCACTACCACTGAGACACCGTCTGCTGATGCGGTTCCAAGCGTGACCGTTTCTGGAAGCTCGAGTTCTCCGGAACCTTCGACCGCGCCAGACTCGGCCAGCTCAACTGCGACCGGAGCCTTCGATGTCGACGCATCTGCTTCCGAAAGCCCCAGCACTGTACAGACTTCACCAAGCAGCTATTTTGAGGAACCGATCACATCCACTTCGGAATCCTTGCAGTTCCTAGAATCAGCTACTCCCAGCAGTGATGAGGTAACGAGTACCACATCGACGAGCGAAAACTTGGGTACTTTGGAAGGATCTAGCACAACTGAAGCTGTAGCTATCAGCTCTTCGGATTTGTCGACCACAAGTCCTGGAGAATCTTCCAGCATGGAGCAGAGTACAGCTTCTGGAGACTACGCCACATCAGCACCCAGTGACTTTTCAATCGCTACATCATCCGAATCGCTTTCTACGAGTACCTCGCCGTTCTCCAGCCCTGTTGTCAGCCAAGGTCCGGACACAACTTCGCCATCTACATCGACCACGTATGCAATCGATAGCTCGAGCACAAGCGCTGACGATTCCGCAGTAGTAACGACGATCTATACTTCTGCTACAGATACGACTCCTGATCCAGAACAATTTCAGCCTACCTCGTCGTCAGCGAGCTCTTCAACAGCGCCTCTGAGTGATGATTTGACCTATAATTCGGAGAGCACCTCGTTTTCTTCTTCGGCTGATGCGGAAACTCTTTATTCATCAGCTAGTGGCGCGGATAAGACAACTCCGTCCACAAGTGACGCTGAAGCCACAAGCTTGACAACGATAAGTTCTGACTTGCTGTCATCGAGCGATATCGTCACCACTGTCTCATCTGCGAGCGACGTTGCCATATCATCGACTAGCGATGCTGGCGGCTTCGAGGTCTCAACAAGCACCGTCACATCTTCGATAGACGAACAAGAGACGACAACCACGTCCGCAGCTGAGACTGATTCGATCACCTCGACTAGTGACGCCAGCACCGCGTTCTTGACAACTGAGGGTGTGACGACGAGCGTTCTCCCCACTGATTCTTCAACTGTCGAATCAGTGAGCGTGGACGAGACAACGACCTTCTCGCGGACGCAAGATGACACAGCTACTTCCACCGCCAGTGAAGGTGTCACTTTAACAACGTTTTCAAGCGAGACCGAGACAACGAGAACATCATCGACGGACGTGAGTGTCAGTTCCACGTCGCTGGCAGGTGATGAGGGTGCCACAAGTACATCATCTAGCGAAGTCGACCCTGTGACTTCGCTTGCGACTTCTAGTGCCTCAACTACATCAGCCGCCACACAAGATGACGCCACAACGTCCTCAGCTGGTGAGAGTGACACAACATCGTCGTCAGCAAGCGACGAGTCAACCTCTTCGTTGCCCACGAGTGAGACAATCACTTCCTCGGCCGAGAGCGGTGACATGAGCATATCAGCTTCGTTTGCAAGTTCTTTGACGTCGCTTTTCAGCACAACACCTGAAGTGACGACGTCCGACGAGTCCACAGCGTCAGAGTCTACCACGGAAGCGGAATTGTCAACCCAGGCTACTGCCACAAGTGAGTAATCTCTCTACTCAGTCCGAGAATCGCACACTAATTACGCTCCAGCCACAGAAGAAGGTCAGTGTTGTCCAGCATTCCAGCTTCGTTACGCAGAGCCAGATTGGGGAGACATGTTCATGCTCCGTCAATACCTTAGCGGTGCAAGAGCCCGGAAGTTGGCCCTGAAGACCTTTAGACGCTATATGCAGACGAGCGACTTTCCTATTGCACTAGTGGACTTACACAAGCGATCACCAGCACACAAGTCCCCACTTGATTAATCCCTGCACTGTGTCCAGTCGTGTGTTGGTATCTCTGTGTATAATGAATGCTGACAAATGCACCTCAGTGTCGACGGAATCGAGCATGACAGCGATGAGTACAGCTCTGCCTACTGCCTCCGCAGGTGAGACAAGTGCTACCTCGGAAGCAAGCACTGAAAGCTCTACTACTCCGAGCGAGGAGGCAATCTCTACATCGGAAACAAGCACCGAGAGTCCGACGACCTCAAGCGACGCGACAAGCTCTGCAACGAGTACAGCTGATTATGCTTCCTCCATGGGCGAGACCAGCTCTACCTCAGACACAAGCACCGAAGACGTCACGACCTCGAGTGATTCCTCGACCTCTGCGACGAGTACAGCTGAGGCTACTCCCTCCGCAGACGAGACAAGTTTTACGTCGGAAGCAACCACTGAAAGTCCAACAACTGCGAGTGACTCGACGACATCTGCAACCAGTACAGCTGATTATGCTACTTCTGCAGAAGGGACCAGCTCAACCTCAGAAGCAAGCACCGAAAACCTGGTGTCCACAAGCGATGCTATGACCTCTGCAACGAGCACAGCTGACTATAGTTTCTCAACAGACGAGACCAGCTCTACCACAGAGGCAAGCACCATCGATGCAAGTACCGCGGATACGAGCACCACGGACACAAGCTCTATAGACGCAAGCACCACTGATGCTAGCACCACCGACGCAAGCACCACAGATGCTAGCACTGTGGACGCTAGCACCACAGATGCCAGCACCACGGACGCAAGCTCTATAGACGTAAGCACCACAGGTGCTAGCACTACAGACGCGAGCACCACAGAGGCGAGCACCACCGAGTTGAGCACCACCGAGTTGAGCACTAGCGAGCTGAGCACCACGGAGGCGAGCACCACGGAGGACAGCACCACGGAGGCAAGCACCACGGATAGAAGTACCGTGGAAGCAAGTACCGAAAGCCAGACGACCACGAGCAATTCCTCGCCCTCTGCAACTTCGACTGAGGGCAATGTGTCTGCCTCGACAACTGAGCTTGCCGCCTCTACTACGGAGCCCAGCCTCAGCACTTCTGAAAGTACGTCAGACGCAGCACAGAGCTCGACAGAGACGTCTGAAGCGCTTACCACCGAGACGACGGCATCGCAGGAGTCCACATCGCGCTTCGAGATCTCGTCTATGACGACTTCTGCAACACAAAACCCATCATCAAGTACTAACGATATGACCACAGATCTGACCACAAGCACGCCGACATCTCAGGACTCGACAACGAGCACTGAGACGACGACACTGCAAAATTCGGCACCGAGCTCCTACAGAGTGACGACGTCAGCAGATGCCACCACGGAGAGTACAGCGGCAATTACGGCAGAGACCACGGCAGAGACCACGGCTGAGACCACGCAGGCGACTACACCCGAGACTACAGCAGAGATTACGACAGCGACTACACCCGAGACTACAGCAGGGACTACGATAGCGACTACACCCGAGACTACAGCAGGGACTACGATAGCGACTACACCCGAGACTACAATAGAGACTACGCTGGCGACTACACCTGAGACCACAGCAGAGACTACAGCTACTACAGCAGACACTACGGCTACTACGGCAGGAACTACGCCAGAGACTACACTAGAGACCACGCCCGAGACCACAGCTACTACACCAGAGACGACAGCTACTACACCAGAGACTACAGCTACTACGGCAGAGACGACAGCTACTACAGCAGAGACTACAGCTACTACACCGGAGACCACAGCTACTACAGCAGAGACAACGCAAGAGAGCACAGCAGAGACCACAGCTACTACAGCAGAGACTACGCAAGAGACCACAGCAGAGACTACAGCTACTACAGCAGAGACTAGCACAAGCGTAACGTCGACCGAAAGTAGCAGTCCGACTCCTGAGCTTGTGGACGGAGACCGTGTATACATCGTGGTAAACACAGCGCCGTCGAAGGCGAAGCGAGCCGCTCTGTTGGCTAAGCGTGCAGTGTCCTACGTTCATTTAGACAACGCAGGTGTCGCTACTCTTGTTGATGACCTAGCCTCTGCCACCATCTTTACGGTAGACGACCAAGGAAACCTAAGGTTCGGCAGCAAATTCGCCGGAACTAACGCTGGAAGTGGAGCAGGACAGGTACAGCTATACGATTCAGCTCCCAGCAGTCCTCTCAAGGGCAACGCGATACGTAATGGCTCGGCACGCTTCTGCTCCAGTAATTCAGACTTCTTTGTCGTGGTCAGTGATGATGGCCAAGGAAGCTGCACCGAAGTCTCTGTCGCTGCTCCACTGGCTCCAATAGCTTCCGCAGTCTCTTCAGGGAGCAGCAGCTCGTCGGCTCTCGTGGCGAGTTCGACTACAGCAGAGCCTACCACGACCATAGCGCTCACTACTATGACTATAGCGCCTACTACTACGACCATAGCGTCTACTGCTACAACTGTAGTGCCAACTACAACCGCAGAGCCTACTATTACGACTATAGCGCCCACTACTACGACTATAGTGCCAACTACAACCGCAGAGCCTACTACTACGACCATAGCGCCCACTACTACAACTATAGCGCCTACTACGACCGCGGAGCCCACTACGGCCACAACAATCACAACAACCACGTTCGACCTGGATGCGTCGCTCGCATTCGCCAATCGATGGGCGCCCAACTTCCGCTCTACGATAACGGTAATGCCCTCTCAATCTGCAAACATCCTATGCAGGGGCGACAACGTCAAATTTACTGGCGGTTCGCTGAGCTCTATCGCGCAGCCCACCCCGATAAATGCTGGAAGCTACCACGGCAGGAAAGTGGCTTTCGATAGCAGGCCCAACAAAATCTTCGCCATTCTTTGCAATGAACGTGCAGTCAATACTGCCGCTACCGCTACGGTAAGTCTGAACTGTTGACTCAACCTTACAGAGTGGATGCTTACACAGCGTTTAGTTACCCTTCGGGACCACTACCGTCAACGGCATTGCCTCGTCGGTCATACCATTCGAGTCCTGCATCCAATCTTGTGGAGATTACACGCCGCCAGCAACCTCCAGCACCAGCTGTGTTGGGGTGGTCTGGGTCGCGACTGCCCAGACTCCCAGTAACGCTGAGCCGTCCCTCGGTAGATGTGTAGGTTCTGTATCCTATCAGGCTGAAAAGTAAGTCATTGAAGGGTCTCGCTGGGTGTGCCGCATCACTGACACATGATAGTCCACCCCCAGTTGACGGTGCGGCGGGGTCAAACACCCAAGACCAAGTGCGCGGCGCGCGTCTTCTCGACTCTGCAGTGCCCAACAGGGGCAGAGTGAACGACGCTATTTACTTCCAGTCCAATGTATTGGGCGTCGATCTGAGCTTATGCGGAACAGACGGGAGATACGATGGAGCCTGGGTGAATGTCCAACAGAGGTTGGGCGCTTTCAGAGCTGGAAACAGCATGTCTTGGTTGATATCGTGTAGCAAGGATCAGAGCTTTGCCGGAACCACAGCGTTCACAGATGTCAACGACAGATGGACGCGCACCTCAGCTGGAGGCTTGAATCAACCCGGTCCGGGTCCAAAGACGGCGGACGACTGTCTCCGCATGTGTGCTTGGATTCAAAGGGAGGGCGGCGGCACCACCACCTGCAAATCCTGGGAATGGGGCCCGCCCACGAGTGGTGCGACACCAGAGTGCAGACTGTGGCAAAACCGTGGTCAGGAACGACGCTCACGCTGGCTGACTCTGCTAAGAAGGCTTATTACTCGCTTCTGGAGGATTGGCTGCCGGCGAGGCAAACTTCAATGCTTTGACATCCTGGAAGCGAAGTATCTTCGATCAAGGAGCCATTGGACGCTACAAGCGGGATCTATGGGCTGAAGAACGCAGCGAAGACTGGATGAAGCCGGATCTAGTCCTTCCAGGGTAGCAGAAGACCCGTTTGGAGTCATGTTCACTCGCTTCAACGAAAAGAGCCACGGTTCTGCGAGAAGTATTTTCTTCGAGACGTGCCAGCTTGCTACTTTCTAGCAAGGATTGGATTAATGCGCTAAAGAACTCAAGCGTCAAGTGTAGAGGCTAGATCTCAATGCATACAATCGTTGCCCAGTGTATCTATGGAATTCTAAGATGGCGCACTTCAAAATGTACTGTAGGCTTACGCTACAGCCTCCGCTCTGGCCGACAGGCGCAATACTTGTGTGACAATGCTCGGGGAATGCTGAGACGCCGTTGCGATCAAGTCGACCACGCGAGGGTTCCCCCATACCATCATCGTCAGTCGGTCAGGTCTCAGATCCAGATATCTGCGGGTACGACGCTCACAGACATTCTGTCGACGTTGCGTTGGCTGGCACGTATTGCATGTAGCTGGTCCCGAACCGTGGTAGAGGCCATACCATACGCGTAGTGGATCCAATGCCATCGTAATGGCGCAGGCGTGAGCCATTTTAAAGCAAGCTTGATCGCTGACTAGGCGTCGAGCAGGCAGCTGTTTCACGCTCAGCGGCACCTCTGCATCGTGCTGGCTGCCGAGCACAAATCAAATATTCCGGGACAGATCAGAGTTCCACCGTGGCCTTCTCTTCTCGGACCGAAGTTCGAGTGGATTCGTGTCGCCAATCCAGCTTGCTCGGAGTTGGAGACTTTGCAAGCCCCCTGGATTCGGTCAAGTCTTGATTCTTGGAGCCCCCAGCTTGCTACATCACCTCGAGACTCCGCAACATGTCAACGCTGTGGGACAGCCCGAACCTGTATCGATTTGCTGACATTCGAAGGAGCGACGCAGGTCCCAACAGCAGTGACGACCTGGGCGTTTCCCTAGCGTCAGGCGGTGAAAGCCTGCAGGCGACGCCGTTTCTACCAGAACAGGAATATGTAGGCGTATCGAGGGCCGACAAGCACATACCTGCATGACTCAGGATATCAATTAGCCTTTCGGGGTATCTAGCAAACATCTATTGCTGCTCATTCAGCAAGTACCGAGGTCTCTGGATCGAAACGTGACACGATGAGAGGCCAACCGACGTGCTCATCTCATGTTGGGCCGCAGAGGGTACAAGACGACAGTCTGATACAAAGACGCATGAATCGGCTAAATCTCATCGGACAGCACTGTTCGAGAGCTCTGTGAACTTCCATCCACTGCAGAGGTATTATAGAACAGTTCACTGATCCCAAGACTGACGCTCACTTTCACCACGTTTTGACAGAGATGGATCAACGTTCAAACTCCACGAGTGATGGCGCCATCAAGTCGAATTCACCCAAGGATTCGCGTCCGTCAATCGCATCAGCCGCGAAGGAGATCCTGCTTGCCTTGATCAATAACGCAGATCTGGAGATGCCAGCAGCCGCGACGAATCATGCATCGGCTGTAATCTTCACGCCGGAAGACGCTGCCTCGTTTCTGCCAACGCCACTGAAGATGACCGAGTCCGCTTCTGCCCTATGGGCATGCATTGGACTCTTCGCCAACGCCATCAGCCGGGAACGGTACGGTATTCCGGAGCCCAAGAAGATTGTAGTGGACGTGTACTCGGCAACACTGATGCTATGCTCAGTGTTCCTGTTCCAGGTTGACGGGAAACCCTTCGTCGAGAGCAAGGTGGTACCGAGAGCCATTCATCTTGACACGGGACATAACCGTGAGACATACAGAAATGTGGTGTCCAACATGTATGATGCGACTGGGATACTCGAAAGAACACATTACTAACCAGTCTTCCAGGTTCAAGACCAAGGACAACCGCTACTTCCACCTCCACGGAAGCCTCAACGCAACACCAACCTTGCAAATGCTGGACCTGCCCCAACATCGCCCCGACCTTCAGGGTAACGAGCACCTCCCAGCCATCAAAGCCATCTACGCCGCCGAAGTGGCCAAGCGAGACAGCTTGTCTCTCGAGGTCGAGGCCAACGACCGATATCTGATGCCAGGCGGAACCTGCCGCACCATCGATGAGTATGCGGCCACGTTGCACGGCCGCTTGAACATCGAAGAGCCGCTGTACAAGATCTACAAAGTCCAGGAGCAGCTGCCGCCCACCCCTTGGCCAAAGAACTATAGCCAAGAAGCCAGTTATCGTCCCCTGGCGGGCATCAGGGTCCTCGACCTGACCAAAGTAATCGCTGGCCCTACGGTAACACGTGTGTTAGCGATGATGGGTGCCGAAGTCCTCCGCGTATCTACGAACACCCAGCCGGAGGCGATCCTATTCGTTGCTGACGGTCAACTTGGAAAACGAGACGTTGATATCAATCTCAAGACTCCCCAGGGAAGGCTCCAGCTGGATGAGCTCATCAAAGACGCCGACGTGGTCGTGAGTAGTTACAGGCCCGGTGTTGCGGAGAGACTGGGCTTCGGCAGGAGCTGGGTCCACGAACTGGCTCGCGACGTGGAAAGGGCGTCGTTTACTGCAGAGAGAACTGTTATGGCTGGAAAGGCGAGTGGAGCGGTCGGGCTGGATATCAGCCGATCAGCGATTGTGTGAGTTCTACAAAGCTACTTCTTCCTGATATCCTTGCACCTAACAGACTTCTAGGTCACGGGTGCGTCTTGGGAGCAAGGCAAATTCCTGGGTCTTGAGGAGCCCGTCATGCCGCTGTTTCCGAATTCGGACTCCCAGTAAGTTTGCAAGTTGTCTAAGTACTGGGCGTTTTGCCTAAGTTGGCCATCTTCCATGCTTGTGCTATAAATGCTGCTCATCATGGATTTTTCGGCCAGGGAGGGCGCTAAGGCCCTTGCTCTGTTGCACTGAACGAGTCGATGGGCTTGAGATGAGCCTCACTTGAACGCCAGTGCGGAAAAGAGATATCTCGTCAACTTCCTGGCCAGGGACGGCGCTGTAGAAAAAATGCCCAGTACTTTCAGTCACCACTTGCGTGGAGAGAGCTAACTATACGCGTCCCAGAACCGGTCTCACCGGAGCAATCGCAATAATGCAAGCTCTCCACCGCAGAGCCTCCGAAGGCGGCTCCTACAACATCGACATCGCGCTCAACACATCCAACAATTGGCTCCTTCAGGACGTTGGACTCCACGACAAGCAGACCCAGGCCTCCCTGCGAGCTTTGCACCCGGACTTTCGGCCAAGACACGATACTGGGTTCATCGAGATGGCTCCAATGATATTGGGGACGACCCAGAAATCCAACGGTGGTGGGCCTGGTCAGCTCTGGGACAGAGCTAGATGGACGAGAGGCAAGATTCGATGGGGTGTGGCGGATGAAGAGGCGACGTATCTTGACTGGAGGCGGATTGTTACCGTGGAGTCTAAAGGCGAGGGAGGAGAAATTGTGTTCGATTTCGTGGACGGTTCGTGTATGCCAGGATCAGATGAGGCGAAATGGCTTTAATTGATGCGGCAAGTGGTCTCGGACGCAAGTAACTGGCCATTAATGGTCCTGGAAGATCAACCTGAGAAGGTGTGAGAAGTTTTGCACCTGACGGTCAACATCACAACAGAGGACACAAATCGACCTGTCTCGTTTGAGGTCACTTAGCCCCAGTCTAATCTCATATTGTTAGTCGTCCGGCCTCATTTAATGCCCCTTCGTCATCCGGCGTCTAATAGAACTCATCGATTCCAGTTCACGCAGACTTGCAGATACCCAGGTATCTATTGGGCTCTGCATGAGACGCTGTATCAATATAATAGCTCAGCACGTCATTGATCCACGATTCTCACGCCCACGTCAGTCGCTGACGTGCCACGGCTGTCAACCTTTGAGTCTTCGTAGGTCAATATACTTGCAACACAGGGAGACATAGCTCTCGCGCACTATCGTCTGCCTCATCGAACTTTAATGCGGACGATGGCACCAGAAGCACAAAGATTGACGATCTTATGGAGCTCGTTGAGAACTGCACAAAGACACAGGAAGGCGCTTCGCCGCTTCCCTTGCACAGTCGTCCGGTCTGGCCTGGGCCTTACCCGAGACCGGATGACAAGCGCATGTCCCGCTAGCGCCTTCCGTACCCGTCTGCCTGACCACAGGCAATCGCGGCAGGAGCATACCGTAATCGCCCCTTCTCATGGATGCTCCCCGACGATATCGCCACGAGCTGCAGGTGCCTCGCCCGCCCCGTACCTGCCATGACTACTGGCGACGTCAACCGGCTTAGGGAGAAGTCTGCGCAAGACCGGATGACGGGATTTCCTCGAAGCTCTCAGCTGAATACAGTATTCCAATTGCATTCGTTGCTTATCTGTGCAGAGCTCTGCTTTTATGCGTAGGCAGTAGTCGAAAGTTTCAAGAGTGACGTTAAAGTGGCATGAAGACCTCCCGGATTGCCAGCCTGTGGACACAAGTCATGGGCGGTTTTCTTCACCAGGAGCTGTATGCTACCCACTGTCAATTTTTAGGACCAGGCGGGCGCTGAAGGCTCAAGAAACTCTCGCTGATCAAGACGATGGTTTTGAGATGAGCCTCACTTGAGCGTTCAACACCACAGAAGATTCATTCGAGAAATCTTAGCCAGGGAGGGCACCGTAGAAATTTTGACCATTTCGAGGCACGTCGTGATGAGTCTCATGCTGATCCTGTATTCACTGCATCAGGCACGCTGTATCGTAATTGGAGTAAACGATCCAGCGTCTCCAGACTCGCAAGACAAGAAGACGGCACCGGATCATCTCTCCACGTTCGAAAGCTTGAGTTCGCAGACTTGAACAGTTCTGCCAGCTGTTGGAGTAAACACCCGGACAGATTGACACCTAGAATGACCTCAAATGAGGCGAGTAGAATCGCGGACGCTTTAAAAGCGCGAATGATCTCCCACGCCAGCACTGCGACTGGTGAAAGCTGTCGAAGCTTGAGATAGGCTCTGATAACCGAGCTGAACTTCGAGACCATGTCGTGAAAGTGGCGCAGGCGCTGCTCGGGCGAACACGTAGTAGTTGTTGCAGCTTGGAGGTGCAGCGTGCCCTCGAAGAAGTCCAGATGCACGGTAAACACCAGTTGCTCGAGTATCGCTAGCACGGAGCTCGGACGATATATCGCTGACGTGTTGCTGTGTGCAAGGCGTCGTAGCTGAGTGGTATGCTGTAAGTATGAGTCCATGACGTCCTCCCGGGTCGAAGCATTAGTGTCATGGCCTGCAAGCGACTGCCAATGGATTTGTAGGCAGTGCAGGTTGAACAACACGTCCCAGAACTCCAGATGTTTGGCACGGACGACGGATTCAAGGTGGTCGAGCCTGCCAGGAGGAGAAGTTATCGGGGCTCGGTCGAAAATCATGGATAGTCTACTATCCAGTATGAGGACAGCCCTCCAGAGAGGCTGCAAAGTTTCCAGACACTCGCAACTGGCTACGTCGCAGGCGCATTCGCATCTTGTGTGTATACCGAGACCCTGTGCTTGCTGGACAGCCATACCGAGCATGCTCATTGCGACGCCCGGATTGCCATCATTGCAATTGACACTGGCAAGGATCAAGAGAACCTGGATCGTCTCCGAGGACGGGCTGACGTACAGATTGGCGAGGCCCAGGCAATCGAAAGAGCATGCCACGAACACGCGGGTGTACAACGCAAGCTCGTAATCGTCGCCAGCGACAAGGCAGCTTTGGCAGCCCGAAGCGAGAACTGCAAATAGCAAGGCGTATCTCACCAGCTCCGCGCGCGGCAGGTGAGCTGCAAGCCCCAGCTGTGTTGGAGACGAAGACGGTCCATCGGCTTCTGCAACGAGGCGCTCGAGCACTGCGCAAAGAGTCGTACCTGCCAGTATTGGTCAGCCTGAACCAGGAATTTGAGGGATTTTCAAGAGATACAGGAGTGGGAATTGAAGTCGACGCGAGACAATCGTCAAGTAGCCGCCAGAGGAACTTCAAAGATCGCCCAGAGAAACATGAAGTACCTCACAGAGGACTATGAAGGCGATGCGAGACAACATCGAAAAATTTGTCTCTGATGCTGGGGCGAAACTGTCTCCTGGTCGACTGATGGGTGAGGCTCACCAAAAGCGGATAGACTTACACTCGAAAGCTCCGATATCAGTGATCACCGGGAAGAATGGATGGCATGAATGCTGGAAGGAGCGATAGTAGCGCAGACAATTTTCGGGTGATGGCAAGGAGTGCAGGATGTCGCCAACTGTGACACGAGCTGTAGTGTTCCAAAGCGACACAAAAGGTTGCGAAATTGAACGGTTGGTCAGGCCGAAGATCGCTTCGACGGACGTTGCACGAGGAAGTGCTTCCTCAGGAAGGCGCGACAGAAGCGCGCGGAAGACAGTGGCGTGAGCGTGGCTGCCAACAAACGTCCCCTGGCCGGTCACAGCGTCTGTCTCGCAAGTCGCATTTGCGCCAGCGGAGATGTGGTCGAGAATGATAAGCAGGTCATCGGGCGAGACATCAGCTGGATCGTTGATATTGCGTATGGTCGTCTTCGGTCGGGTCTGTGGCACAGGTGTCGGACTATGCGAAGAGGGAGAGCCAGTCTGTCGGGGAGTAAAGTGAGCGTTTGCAGCACTACGTCGTTGAGGCTAAATTCCAGGTCAGGCCGGGCTTTCAGGCTGATCAGATCGAGCCAGGAAGTTTGGGAGGAGCCTCACCTGAGCGTCAAATCGCGAAATCAATCTATCATCAATCTGCCTGCCAGGGAGGTCGCTGTACGAAATTTGGCTATGCACCAAACGCTCATTCCTTGGCCGAACAGCTTGAGAGCCTGCGAGCGTCCTCGGGCCGCTTGGAGATTGAACGACCGCGGTCGGTTCCTTCTGGACGATGACCGCTGCCCTTTCGTAGCTGCAAAGTTCTGGATGGCGCCGTATGCATGTGCCGCAAGGATGCTGGTAATCGCAGCGTACCTTTCTTGCTCGGCACGTGCGACAAGCTTTCGGCCTGCGATTCCGTTGACGCTGTTCAGGAGGAGTGTCCTCAGGCGTTGGGACCATCATGCTACCATCGCCGAGTAACATCGTACGGAGAGCACCGCTGACCAGGAAGACACGTTCTCCCAGACGTCAGTGTCATTGTGTCATTGTACTGCTATCGCCGAGAGGGCACAGGGACGCCGATAGGGCACGGGGAGGCCGAGCAATGGCAGAGTATATACAGAAAGCATCGAATGTATGTATGCCGAGGTGCGCGATGACAAACCCAAACTCGGTCCGAGCTAAATCAGGCATCCAAGCAAAGCAAAGCCAAGCTGTTCGGCTAAGACACGTGCGCTAATGCACACGCCGGACATTTCCTACAGCGACCTCCCCGGCAAGCAAATCAATGCCAGATTCATTCTGGGACTTGATGCTCAAGTGAGGCTCCTGCCAAACTTCCTGGCTCAATAGGTAGAACAGTTTCGGCCCTCAGAGCTCGCCCTGAGCCCCAATTGAGATGCAACGGCCAGGTGCTGAGAGCGCTCAGTTTATGCCCGAACAGCCTGGCATCCTAATCGGGTAGCGATCTTTCCCGATCCAGCTGCTATCGGTTGTCGAGGTATGCGGTCGTATAACATACGAGCCATGAACTATGCAGCATGACGATTGCAGCGTGATGATCGACCGACACAGTTGGATGTGTCAGCCTTCGAATTCGCAACGAACGGTGATGCGTTGCGGAACTTCCAAATAGACCAATAAGCGACTTGAAAGTTGAGCATTCGTGGCAGGGCGTGGAGTTCGATTACCAATTTAGCTATATAATATTAGTCGTGTCATTAGAGCCGCGTTTCACGAGACTTTCGGTGGAAGATGCTCCCAGTAGACGGTCGAAGGTGGTGGTATATATGTCGACGCCTACATCAGTGGACTGTGAGATGCGAATTGAACTGAGCTCCGTACTCTTTCTCTTGTGGAAGTGAAACACCTTACACCCAGACCATGACGGAAACAACACCAAGAAGTACAGGATCGAGGTCCTTACAAGCAGTCCTGCTGGTCGGAGCGACTGGCGAGTACAGCTTCGGCCAATTCGTGCTTCGGGAGTTGATCAAATCAAGGCAGTCTTTCAGTCGAATTGGAGTCTACCTTGATCTGAGCCGCGACAACGCGACCAAAACGCCCCTACTGAACCAGCTGAAGCAGGCCGGAATAGAGGTCGTTAGCGGCACAGGATTTGAGAGCCCAGAGCCCTTCAAGGGTTTTGATTGCATCATGAGCTTTCTCGGCAACCATGGTCTGCATCTGCAACCTTTGCTGATCGACTCTGCCATTGCAGCAGGTGCCCGTCACATCTACCCCAGCGAATATGGGGCAGATCTTCTTGTCGGCCAGAACTGGACTCAGCGATACTACGTCGAGAAAGTTAAGACTCGACGTCACCTGGAGGAACGTGGAAAAGATCTGCCTGAGTTGGGATGGACGTACGTGCTCGTTGGTCGGTTGACCGAGTGGGCAGTAACGTCACACTTTGGTTTCGACAATCGAGCTGCGCGAGCCCGAATTTATGGAACACCAGAGGGAAAGCAGAGTTTGATCAACGCAACAGATGCCGCAGCGTACACGGTGCAGACGCTGCTGGACCCTTTGAAAGATGGAGGAAGGAGGACCTACCGATTCTCGGAAAGCTCACCAACATACGCGACGCTATTCAACACCATCGCGGCAGTGACAGGCAAGGAATATCAGGTAGAGTATCTTGATGTCGAAGCGGCGCAGGTCGAAGAAGAAGCTGCGAAGCAGAGTGGCGACATTGATGCAGAGCTTTCCGCTAGCCACAAGCTTATACAGGGGCGTCAGGGCACTTTGCTGCCCCTGCCGTGGGACAACAAAGAATTTCCGGGCGTTTCACCTTCAAGTCTCTACGATAGCCTGAAGGCTGCATTCGCTTCACCCAAGCTCCGAAAGGCTTATGGGCTGCACTGATGATGAAGGATGATGATGCGGTCGGAAAAGCTGAACTCAGAGAAGCGAACGTGGAATCGCTCAAGGTGACCTGCGTGAATATGCGGGTGTATTTGGGACAATCATGATGTGAGAAGCTTTGTGGTGAACACTTTATCATTACACACCGTCGCAAAGGCGAAGAGCACTTCAGCATGTTAGAGTCGTCGAGATTCTGAGGAACGAAGTACCCACTGCCAGGTGCTACGTCATTGCAATCACGTGACTTTCTGAGCTCGCTTAGGACTGCGACTGCGTCGATCTCACCTACCATCCTACTACCTAGGTATTTACCTACCGACCGTGACAATGCTAACGCTGCTGCAATGGCTGTAAGCATAGCGACTTCTATTGAAGTCGACATCATCTGGTATGGCTCACAGAGTCAAGTGGAAGCGAGACTGGTCAGTCTCAGCCCCGGAGGACTCTGAAGTGGCTGGAGACTATCACGTCGACGAAGGAGATGCAAGCAGCCAGTCCGCCGCGGCGATTGTAAGACTGAAAGCAGAGGGTGCTTACAGCTTGTTGAGTACGCAAAGGTAGGACGAACCAGTTCACCAATGGCTTTAGTGATCTATACTGTACCTTACCTCGGCAAACCAATTTCCCCTCTGCTAGGTAAGGTGACCCGAGCTACAACCAGGCAGCGTGCACCAAAGTGTCCTTGCTATTCGGCTGGCACCGAGGAGACATTGACGTATCTCGTTCGACAACTGTACACCCGAGGGACCGGATACATGTGCACAAAGTACATCTAGTCGTCACTCAGCCCATGCATAGGAGCGTCTGACCCGCGAGGACACTAGTTGTACGATAGATCAGATCGAAGTTCTCCGTAGAGCTCAGTCATTTCTTGCACAGTGCTTCCCTAGGTGTTACAAGACCTTTAGACGTGCCAACACATCGCTGGACTGCACCATCGACAGAGATCCATTGTCCAGGCCATCATGGGTAGCCTTGGCCAGACATCTCCAACCAACCTCGAGGTCGACTGTTTGATCATCGGCGGCGGCTTCTCCGGGATCTCAGCCTCTACAGGACCCGCAAGCTCGGTCTCAAGGCAATCATCCTCGAAAGCAGCCACGACTTTGGGGGCGTCTGGCATCACAACCGTATGTTATCCCCTTTTCGTGAGCCTGAACCGTTGTCTGGGCTGGACAAGTCTCGGACGTTAGAGACAGTCGTCTCAGATGGCCCCTAGACTGCCTCCTTGTCCTGTTGCACAAGGTGTCTACTCACACAGCCATTCTTCAATCACCAGCGACTGCTTATTCATGATCGGCTGGCCCTCAACTTCCACGTCCCCAGCTTTGGTCTCTCGCAATGTCTCAAGCTTCTGGTTCAGGCTGACCAATTCCGGCGAAACAGGTTATCCTGGCGCTAGAGTTGACTCGGAATGGCCATATTACCAGCTCAACATTCCTGAAGCATACACAACATGGTCCTTCAGTGAGCGCTTTCCCGGCCACAGCGAGCTCCGGCAGTACATGCAGCACCTCGACAACATTCTCGACCTCAGGAAGGACACGCTCTTTAACGCCCATGTTACAGACTGCTCGTGGAACGCCACCGAAGCTCGATGGCACGTCAAGACTGAGTCAGGCATCTCAGCAAGCGGCAAGTACCTTCTACTCTGTACTGGCCTCCTACATCGCCGTCACTACCCCCACTTCGAGGGCCTCGAGAACTATAAAGGTGAGATTCACCACAGCGGGTTCTGGGACGAGAAGCTCAGCACGAAAGGCAAAAAGGTAGGTCTCATTGGGGCGGGCGCCACTGCCGTGCAGATCACCCAGGAGGTAGGCAAGGATGCCGACCAACTCACGATATTCATGCGCCGCCCGTCGTATTGCATTCCCATGCACCAGCGACCACTGTCCGAGCTGGAAAATCGTGGCTTTCACGCCTACTACGATGCCTTGATCAAGGCCGGCCGCAGCAGCTACGCGGGCTTCCCAGCCATCCCAGCATCTAAACCTGCATCAGAATACACGCCCGAGCAGCAGGAGGCTCGCATGCAAGACGCCTGGACACGCGGCGGATTTCAATTCCTCACTTGCTTCACAGACACTGTGACCAACAAAGAAACAAACAAGATCATGTATGAGTTCTGGTCGCGCAAAATTCGCGAACGGATGAGGCCAGGCAAGAAGCGGGATCTGATGGCGCCCGAGCTGAAGGATATGCCGTATCATATGGGGACGAAGCGTAATCCGCTGGAGCAGGACTACTACGAGGTAGTGGATCAGGACAATGTGGATGTGGTCAATATGAACGAGAAGAAGATTGCGAAGTTCACGGAGGAGGGGCTAGTGTACGAAGACGGGGAGGAACTGGAGTTTGACATGCTGATTTTGGCAACGGGGTTTGACTCTTTTTCTGGAAGGTAAGTGAAAGACTTCCACGTGATTACGTGAGGCTAACTTGGGCAGTGTAACGAACATGGGCTTCAAAAACATCGACGGCACCGATATCAAGAAAGTTTGGGCCGAAGAGGGAATTCAGAGCTATCTCGGCATGACAATGGCTGGCTTTCCAAATGCATTCATGATATACTCGCCTCACGGTATGTGTTCGCGGCCTGAAATCCTCTGCGCACCCGCACTTTCCCATATGATTGTGTCTATTACGTCTGCTCTGGCTTCGTCGCCAGGCTCATTCACCGAGCACTTCTGTCATGAAGCACTCCCTGACTTCTGATCCACATGGTCTCCGCACACGTCGAATGCACCGTCGCGCCCCGTGTTGCTCGCTTCGCCCTCCAATTTGAACTTGTACTGACATCAGCACAGCACCAACGGCTCTCAGCAACGGACCGACAATAATCGAAGCCCAAGCCGACATGGTCACCGACCTGATCTCCTCCCTCGAGACGCAAAACATCCGCAGCATCAACCCTCAGCCCGTGGCGCAGCAGCAGTGGGTTGATATGATTGACGACATGACCAAGAATACGCTGTTCCCATTGACGAATAGCTGGTGGAATGCGTCCAATATCGCCGGCAAAAAGGTCCAGATGTTGACTTATATCGGCGGTATCAACACGTACGAGCCGCTTTGTCGGGCAGCTTTAAAGGAGCTGAAGGGCTTTGATGTCGAGTACAATAAAGGGGCAGCGGTCGAAGGTGGAAAGGAAGACGCCGGCTCGGACCCGGTGGAGACCAGGTCTTAAACGGATGAGTGACAGGCTTCAAGACTTTGTCGACTTTTCCGATTGCTCCGGTGACCACTCCGGGAGAGTCTTGAACCCGTAATCCTTCACAGGCACGGTATTCGCTGGTGGGCCGAGATACTTAAAGAGAATTTTCGGAAGTCCAGACAGCTGAATCAGGTACACAATAAGATTCAACACCCACACGCCCCAAGCGGTCTCCGGCGCGAATATTCGAGGCATGCCGGGGAAGAGCTTCTGCGCTCGCGTGACGACTGGACGCATCTCGGTCTCGTATTCCTCAAAGGCCTGGTCTGGGCGATCTGGATGGCGTGATAGAGCGCCGGCAAGATTGTAGGCACCATCCATCGCGAGAGTCGTACCCATACCACTGAACGGGCTTGCACAATAGCTACCAATGTCAGCACGGTGTACAGATGAGTTTTGATGCCGAGACTTACCCAGCATCGCCCAATAAGACGACCCGACCTTTGTTGTAGTGGTCCAATTTGACTTGTGCGATCATGTCGTAGTAGAAGTCAGGAGTCTTTCTCATCTCTGACAAAACCCTGTCTGACTGCCAGCCAGCGTCGCTGAAGTACTCTTGCATGATGTCCTTCTGTGATTCGAGACCTTCCCGGCCCTTCTTGGCAACTTCTTGCAGTCTCGTGTCTTCTTCATTGACAACGAACATGAAAGCTGTGGTCCTCTTATTCTGTTGGTCCGGTCTGAGCATGATGTTCCTTCGTCCGGAAGCATGAAACCATTGTCGATGAACTGTGTCAGAGGCGATTCGAGGGATACTAAAGAAAGCGCCATAAGCACCGAGTTTCTTGACGCGGTCCTCTTCACCAGAAGCACCCCACACCAGTCGTCGTACCTGACTCTGAAGACCGTCCGCTCCAACGACCAGGTCGTAACGCATCTCTCGTCGTGACTTCGCGAATCGTACATGCACTTGATCATTGTCTTGCTGGATATGGTCTAGGCAGTCGCCGAAGATGAAGTCAATACCTTTCCCACCTTGAGCTTGGACTGATTCGCTTATGTCTTTGCTCCTGAGCCAGCATAACTCGGCCAGCCTTCCTCTCAGGATCTCAATATCTGCTGTTGGTGTCGATAGCTTGCCGGTGCGATCAGCTCCGATCGATGCCCAGATCGCGCCCTTATCATCGACCCATTGGACGCCAACCTCACCAGTAGTTGAGGCGCGAACTGCACCTTCGAGGCCAAGCTTGCGGATGATAGTAATGCCAGCACCTCTGACATCGATGTTCTGACCTTGGGATCGCATGCCAGGAGCGCGTTCCAGTATAGTAATTTTTGGTGTCTCATGTGCTGGCATGCCTTCTGAGAGGAGTAGGAAGCTGGCCAAAGTTGAACCAGCTATTCCACAGCCGACGATGAGAATGTTGAGTGGTGCCATGACTCACGAAATAGGACTTGTTCGATGACTGAGGTGAAGGCAGCCCATACTGGTCGCAATCCCACGTCCTTAAGTACTGCAACCTTTCCCACGCTGCGGCAATCGATCATGGTCGTCGTGATGCAAGTACTACCTGTTGTATACTATCGAAACTCTAATCGCCAGCATTGTGATTTGCTGTTCGGGTCGCAGAGCTGGCCCCGGGCCCGACGCGCGACGCGTGGACAACACTGCAGGACTGCAGGGTCTGATCGTCCTTGGATTGCTCGATACCCACAACGTTTGAACCACGCTTTCGCGAGCGCAAGCTTCTAGTCTAGCCCACGGAGATGAGGGCAAGGACGACAGTTGGGACGAAGAGATCGTGCAAGCGACGTGATGGAAGACAAGCTCATAGGCTTGAGACTCGAGGACCGAGCCCCCAGACAGCCCTAGAGACTGACGTAAGTAATCCCCAGAAACTCTCAGGCAAGCATTCAACTCCGTGTCGTCCTTCCCCTCGCCTGGAATCCCTCGGCTGGCCAGGCGGGCTTTGGCCGAGTCGAGGTGGTCTCCCATAAGGTCTACAATTTCCACATCGTTCGGCGCGGTGTGACAGAGCATGTTGCCTCGACATGCCCGAATGAGATTGAAGCGGCCAAGGATGGCCAGCTGGACGCAAGAGCGCAAGAACCACTCAACTGTCGACACTGGCTACACACTTAACGCTTCACCACTTGAGAATCCCGTGACATCGGATAATGTCTTCCAGCGCATCATAGCTTGGTATCTTCCGCCACATATACGCGATGAAGTCGTCCCCCAACTCATCCGATTTGGTGAAGAAGCTGTGTCACCTCGTGTAAATGACTGGATCGCAAATGCTGAGAAGCAGGAGCCTTATGTGAAGCAATACGACGCTTGGGGAAGACGCTATGCCGTCGACAAACTAGTTACAAGCGAAGGCTGGAAGCAGCTTGGAGTCTGGGGCTCAAAGAATGGCGTGGTCGCACGCGGCTACGAGGCAGAATTTGGCTCCCATCGGCGTCTGGTACAGCACTCTTTCAACTACATCTTCTCCGCCTCCAGTGCCGTCAGATCGTGCCCCGTCAGCATGAGCAGCGGCGCGTCGCGTTTGGTTTCGAAGTTGCTCAAGGACTTGCCTCCAAAGCATTTCTTACACGCAGTCTACCAGCGACTGATATCTCGGACAGATCCATGGGTGTCGGCTCAATGGATGACTGAAAGGCCTGGCGGATCTGACGTACAAAACTCGGAAACATATGCCACGCATTCGCCGTTCGCAGAAGCGCGGTCTGAAGATCCCGAGATTGTTCTTGGGCAAGGAGACTATCTTCTCTCTGGCTTCAAGTGGTTCTCAAGCGCCACCGATTGTGATATTGCCCTCATACTAGCTCGTACAGAGCCCGCCGCACAGCTGTCCTTGTTCATCGCGCCCACCCGAATCACGCAACCTGATGGGACCCTGGTCTCGAATGGCGTGCGCATTCACAGGATGAAAAAGAAAATGGGAACGAAAGAGCTTCCCACAGCCGAGCTAGAACTTCGAGACATGCGAGCACATCTGATCGGCAAGCCAGAGCGAGGCATAGCGACAATTGCACTGCTGTTGAATGTTACACGGACCCATAATTTCTTTGTGGCTCTATCATGCTGGCGTCGAGGTCTGGCGATCGCGAAGGCCTTCGCCAAGGTTCGAAGCACACTCGATCAGCCGCTTGCCACGTTTCCGATGCACCTGCGACTTCTGGCGAATCTAGAGCTGAAGCATCGTGCGTGCATGCAACTAGGCTTCTTTACCACAGCATTGCTCTCGTTTGCAGACAACGGTCATCCACCGGAGACATCGAGCACCACTCAACTACCTGGGCCTGGCAAACATACCGAGGTCCTGCTTCGAGCATTGACAGCAACTTCGAAGGCAATCATCTGCAAGATCGGATGCCAGGGGCTCCAGGAATGCCAAGAAGCAATGGGTGGAGTGGGTTACCTGGATGACCCAGACGATCCCGAGTTCAACATCAGCCGTCTGTACCGAGACACGGCAGCAAACATGACTTGGGAGGGCACTACAAATGTTCTTGCGAGCGAAGTTGTCAGGCATCTTTGCAATAAAGACCATCTGGAAGTCGTTGACGTATGGTTTCGTGCCAGCTTTCAGCGCATACAGAGCGAAGAGTTGAAATCAGGCGTGGAGGCTGCTTGGTCCGTACTTCGCGCTCGGCTCGCTGCGGGTAAGAACAATGTCGGACCTCTCCTAGCAGATGGCAGAGAAATCATGTTCTCCTTCGGGTGGCTTGTCAGCTCAGTGTTGCTGTGCCATGACGCACAGAGAGACCACGAAGCGATTGCCGCTGAGTGTGCCAGGAGATGGGTCTTAGAAGGTCAGGGTGGCTATGGCGAATGGGTCTTGCCGGATGTCATCGCGGCTGCAAGATCCCAAAAAGGACCAGACAAGATCTCGTCCCTGGAGGCAGAGTGTCGGAATTGGGATTGCAGGATCGTGTGGGAATGCGATCTACCAGTCGACGCAGCCTTGGGATACCGTCCAAACGTCAGTATGAAGGCGAGACTGTGAATTGTGGCTCCCGGTTGAGCAGGCCTTGTGTGAGAAGATGAGACCTGGTCGCAACGGCGACTGGCAGAGGTCTCGCATCACTGTTCGACTGGCTCCAGGCACAGTGTGATTAGATCTGTCGAAGACATGTACTCTACCCCTGAACGGCCCTTCCAAGTATTCCGTGTCCGTTGGTTGGGAAACTAATTGTGGCTCGTGTAGCTGAGTGCTGAGGCATCCAATAGTCGCGGTGCTCGTTGCTGGTTGATTACATCACTCATGCGAAGCCCAGATTTGCCTGACACCTTACGGCACTTTAGTACCAGAAACGGCTGCCCCGGTTATACGTAGAGTAGGCGGGTACTTTCATGCTCCCAACAATGCGCTTTGCAGTGTGCTGGCAAGGAGTTTTCTCGGTCATTGTGCTGTGGCGCTTGTCTTTACTGAGGCCAAGCGACTGACTGACACAAAAAGTCTGCAGCCAGCGGAGCAAACCCTTTTTCGGAGGGGTTGTCCGGTAGCGGTAGCGGTAGAGGAAGGAAGTATGGATGCCTCGGCTTCTGGAAGGATATGCAATCCTCAACGTCCTTCGGCACAGTGACTTCATTATTAATGCATGACGGCCGCTAACAATGACATTTGGCGTCACTTAACACGCATAAAGTTCACAAAGAGGTTCCATATTATCAAGCCATCGAGAAAACCCAACTGTGGATTCGAAGCAATAAATCTAATTGAGACCGTACGTCGGGCCGTATGTCGGGGGTGCAACTACATAGTATAATATAAAAGCCCGAAAGCCTGACTCTGGAGTTTGGCACATCACTTAAGGAAGCATCTCAACAACAGCATCACATCATGGCCAACGACAAGAATTTAGCGCTCATCTACAAGAAGCTGCCCCAAGGCTTTCCCAAGGCCGGACAGGACCTCACCGTCGAGGACCTTGGCGCCGATGCCGCCAAGTTGCCTTCAGACGGCATCGTCGCCCGAGTTATATATTCCAGTCTAGATCCATATCTCAGAGGCCTGCTCCGCGACCCATCAGTCAAAAGCTATTTCCCACCACTACAGCTCGGTGCTCCCGTGAAGTCAGCTTCGGTCGCCAAAGTCGAACAGTCAAACACCGAGGACTACAAAGTAGGTGACCTCATCGTCGGCCGCCTCCCCATCCAACAAGTCGTGGCCATCTCGGGCGAAGAACTCGAGCAGCTCAAAGCCGCGGGTCTCAACAAGCTGGATACTACCGGTGGCCCCTCCGACATCGACCAGTACCTCGGTGTGCTGGGCATGCCCGGCCTCACCGCGTACTCATCGCTGTACGAAATCGGCAAGCCCCAGAAGGGCGAGACCATCTTCATCTCTTCTGCCGCTGGCGCCGTCGGCCAGCTCGTCGGGCAACTGGCCAAGCACGAGGGCCTCCGTGTCATCGGTAGCGTCGGCAACGACGAAAAGCTGCAGTACATCAAAGACCTTGGCTTCGACGACGGCTTCAACTACAAGACTGAGAAGCCAATCGACGCTCTGCGGCGGCTTGCCCCGGATGGGGTGGACATCTACTACGAGAACGTCGGTGGCGAGCAGCTTGAGGCCGCGCTCGAATGCATGAACACTCATGGTCGGATCGTTGCGTGTGGTATGATCAGTGATTATAACGTAAAGAATCCCGAGGATCGATACCCAATTCGCAACCTCATGATGGTGGTTGGGAAGCAGTTGACTATGCGCGGCTTCTTGGTCGCCAACAAGGACTTTGGCCCCAAGTGGCGTCAAGAACATCAGCAAAAGGTCCGGGCATGGCTGAAAGATGGCAGCTTTAAGGCCAAGAGCCATGTGTGGAACATTGAGGACGCTGACAAGGGCTTTGTTGGAATGTTGCAGGGCGAAAATCACGGGAAGGCTGTGGTGAAGTTATAAAGGGCGGATAGTACGCACAGATGGGACGATATTGAGACACGGGCATCCAAACCAGTGATTACCTAAAGTATTCCACCACGCGGGCTCTTAGGTGTTTCTCCTCACTGAAGGGGCACCGAAAGCAGTGCTATCGTCTGGAGCATGACATCTGCTGGACGTAGATCTTTGCCCCTGGACGGTCCTGGATCACAATCGAATACAACTCGCCGGTCTGATACTTTGAGAAGGATTGACATACGTACAAGGCCCGCCCTGTCGATTGCGGCCTTCAATGGGATAAAAACAGTTCTTCAAGCCCTTATCTCCAGTCTGGTTTTTGCGATTCGATAGCATCGATGGTCATGTTCTCGCTACGTTGACTACGGACGGTTGATATCCGAGCAGTGAGAGATTCGTCTCCTTACATTAGTCTGAGTCAGGGTTTTCATTCAACGAGGGCCTAACAGCTGGCCAGAGACGCATCCGGAGTACTGGTGATCCCCATCAGTCGATGACGAAAATCTTCCGCCTCTTCGGAGAAGGGGGCGCGATGATCTCAAATCCATCGCTGCCAGAATCGTCCTGAGCACTCTGGTCATTGCCAGAGGTGTCAAGCTCTCTTTTCACTGCCTTTCGCGGTCCCTGAGTGTGCCGAAGACTGTCAGTCGCATCTAGCTCTCGTTTGATTGCCTTTCGCGGTCTCTGAGTATCGTGAACATCATCAGCGGCATCAAGCTCTCGTTTGATGACCTTTGGCGGTTCTTGAGCCTGCTTCTCGGCCTGGCATCGTCAGTCATGCTGTTGGGAGTACGCCGTGTTCATGACCGTACCAATGATTTCTTGTACAGTTGCAGCAGCTCTTCTCTTCCGAGCGTGTCAGGATCTCGATCGGCGAGCGGGATCGGATCAGGACTGTCTTCAATAATACCAGCGTTCTTCAATCCTCCTGCGCTTGTCAACTTCATCTCCTGAGCGCTGCTCCGCCCAACTTACGTCGGGTTTTGTACATAAACTTGAACTGGGATACCATCGGTTTGTCGAAGCGTGTAACTTGACGCACAGCAGGAGCTGCCGCCGCAGTAGTTGGGACGACTTTATAACTATTGTGTGTCAGCGAATATCGTTGATCTGTGATGAATGTGGTCTCGCCCTTGTTAGACATACCCGGTGGTCAGATCACGATGTCCATCTCGCAATACTTCTTCGGGAATAAGACCGCTGACCGTGGGCCTCTGCGTCTTCAGTCTGCTTGCCGGGATCTGCTGTCCGAGACGGCCACGACAGACGTTCAGTTGCAGGACGCCCACCTCTCCGTACTCATCCGCGATCGACGCAGCCGTCTCGCCGGAACGAGCCTCTCCTGAAAATAGTCAGACACCTCACATCTTGGACAGTGTTGGGAGCGCCTTGCTTGTGTCGACCTCTTCAAAAGTCCATCTCAGATGCTTGCAATCTTCTCCGTCATCTGCGACCTTGTACACTCCGTCGAGGTCGGCGGTCCAAGTGCCATCCGGCCGTTGATCGCTTTTCGTGAAGCAGCACGCCTCCGGCGCCCTTCCCATCAATGTAAGCATCGACAACGACGACATCTGCTGCATTCCATTTGAACTTCTTCTCGAGCTTGATAGTGAAATGGAACTCGGCACCGGGCTTGCCCTCGATGTAAACTGTGGATAAGTGCGGATGCGCGCTGGCATTGGGATCGTTGAGTGGGCACCAATACTCTCGCGCAGCCTGGTGGTTGACGACGACAACAACGCTGATTTTGCGATTGATCGCCATCTGAAGTCGATGCTGGAATGATGCAACCGTGCGCGTGGTACAAAGGAATTTTGAGTTGGCAAAGCGCAGGAGGTAGGGCAAACCGTGACAACAACGCCGGGAGGTGGCTACTCAAAATTACTCGCTGCCGTTGAGGCTGCGGACGGCAAACACAAAACTTCAGAGCTCAGGAGGACCCGGAGAGGTCTCCTCTCGACGTGACTTGACACTCATCTGTAGCTCACTTCGTTCATTCTGCCTCATTCCCTCCCCGACCACAAGCCCTTTCACGTTGAAGTTGTGAGCACTCCTCTGCACTTTCCATCAACTTCCCTCTCTACCCGACCAATCGCGGTCTGAGCATGTGCCTAGTTGCAGTAAGGTATCCGCGAGAGCCTGGTGGACAAGAGCGAAGCACTCTATCCAAGCGAGGCTGCTCCTAGGTTCCGCTGCCAAGACTTGGCGGAACTCGCGCGACAGTCTCCATTGTCTTTATCATTCCTTCCAGACACTCCTTCAGAAAAGCACAGCGGACATCAGGAATTCGCATGTCGTGACCAAAAGCACAAGGTTCACGTATGTAGAGCTTGAACTTCCTCTTCATCACTTGTAGGCACGTCGATCAGATCAGACCAGTGACGGCGCTGTGACGAGCATGCTTCGAGCAGCCTTCAAGCGCTACATCCGTGCCGACCCTCTGCCCAACACGGGAAGCGTAGCGCGCGATCTACTCGCCTCAGAGCGGACCTTTCTAGCCTGGACACGAAGCGGACTCGGGTTCATCGCTTTGGGCATCGCGCTGGAAAAGGTCGAAGCCTTTGCGGCGCTCAGTCCCTCCCTACTTCATCTGTCAGACTCTCGAACGAAGGTTGCCGCCGGAGTATTGGTTGGTACAGGAAGCTTGACCGTTGGACATGGTACTCTACGCTACTTCTCGACCCTGAGACACATTCAAAGTGGCAAGTTCGTCCCTAACACCGGGGGAATCACCCTGATGGCTATCACCTCGATTGCGATAGCCTTTGCTGGTGCAGCGATGGTTGTGGAGAACGAAGGCGCAAAAGAAAAGCTCAAGGCGACTTGACTGAAGTCGCATCGCAATGTGGTTGCCGACGGTACTGCAACGATTTAGGGCTGCCGTTTTCCAATGAAGAGCTCCCGACGACGGAGCGCAAAGTGGAAAAACATTTCCGAGTCGACGAGTGCTGCTTTTTTGGGCCAAGGACGGAGATCTAATTGCACCTTTGACGGATAGAAGCTTGGTTGGGAAGGAGACTTTCCCAACCCGGCGATACCTTGTGTGTCTACAGGACTACGCATCGTACGGGATGAGCTGTAGCCAGATGAGCTCGAGAGACTCTGCATGACAGGCGCAGCTCCGTGCTGGAAAGGCTAGAAGATAGTATAAGCGTCGATGGCAGTCTGGGATTCCCAACCGTATAGGATGACGTAGTTCCATCCGCCCGCCACGTCGACTCGGAGTTCTTGGGCGTCGCAACCATGTAAACCTTCATGCACCAGGCCAAGCACTATTGTAAGTCGCAACATTTGAAGCACAGCGGAATTCAGCAGCAAATGCAAAAATGGGATACGAAACAATCACGTCCCGTCGCGAGTTCACTGCGGCCCTCGATCGAACGGAGGAGAGCAACAACATCATAATCATTGACTGCTTCACTTCTTGGTGTCCGCAGTGCAAAGCCGTGCAGCCTAAGATCGATGAGCTGAACAAGGAGTTCGGCGACAAGAAGAATGTCTTCTGGTGAGTGTTTGTGCTCAGGTTTCTGATACTTCGGTGTACCCCGGCAGATGAGACTACAGTGCCCTAATAGGCCCATGGGATTGCAACACACAGACTTTTTGATTGTTGTCATCATGCTGGACGCTTAGCTGACGAGACTGACCTCTACAGGTACAAGATGAATATTGAAGAAGCAGAGGACGTTGCCATGGAGTACGGCGTGTCTGCAGTGCCGACCTTCTTACTGTTCAAGGACGGAGACATGCTCCCGGAGGAGAAGATTACCGGAGCACATCACCTCAAGGTCAGGGAGATGATCGAGAAGAATATAAAGTCATAGCAGCTGTACCATATCCATATTCACCAATCATACATGTTGGCATCGACGTCCCAAGCCAAGGAACACGAAGCCTTGATCTGGGCAGACCGCATCACAATCTTGCCTTCTCCGCCTCCGGCAGCAGCCCCTTTCTCCTGAAGAACCCCGTCATGAAGCCGTTGCACTCATCGGGCTGCTCCAGATTGGCCCAATGCGCCGTGTCCACGCTCGCCATCTCTAAGTCCTTACAAAGTCGCTTCATCGGCTCCGCCAGTGTCGGGGTCTGCGCAACGCTGCAAACGCTGTCGTACTTGGCATCGATATAGAGCACCGGCATATCCAGTACACCTCCCTTGTGGACATTCTCGTCTCTGTTGTACTCTCTATTCCGAGTATGATTGAGATAGTAAGCCGTTGGTGCCCACCACCCATTCCTCTCAAGCGACTCGACCAGTGCCTCATACATCTCCTCGTCAAGCACCGTGTTGCTCAGTGGCACTTCAAGTGAGCCTCGCGTGGCGAACCAGCTCCCAAACTTGGTGACAGAAGCAGTTGGGCCGGGTTTCATGAAGCTACCAGGTCGAGCCTTCCCGAAGAACAGTCTAACCGCGAGAGGTGTCTGCTTCTGGAATTCCTCTGCAGCAGCTCTTCCATTCTGCTCGTAGTGGACCTGATAATCCCATTGTCCGTGCGGGAACTCCTTTTCCGGATAGATCTCGCGATTGATGCCCCATTTCTTCAATTCTTCCAGTCCGAGCTCAAGGACTCGGTATGGGATGCAGATTGAGATGATGGCGCGGCATTTCTCCGGGCAGTGTGATGCCAGCGTCCACAACGGCCCGCAACCCCAGTCGTGTCCGACCCAGATGGCGGACTTGCTTTTGAGGTGGGATAAGAGCAGCAGCTGGTGGGCGACTAGATTCTCACAGGAGTAAGCAGAGACGTCATCAGGAGCTGGTGATTTCCCGTAGCCCAGCAGATCCATCGCGACACAGTGGTAGCCAAGCGCCGCGAAGTGGAGGAGCTGTGGTCTCCAGCATATTGCTAGAGCTGGCCATCCGTGAATGAATATCATTAGTGGTCCATCTGTCGGTCCGCTGCTGATGTAGTGAAGTCCCCCGCGTGGGGAATCAAACATATAGGAGGTTATAGAGGCGTCCATCGTTGCAGGTGTGATCCGGACGTGTTAAAGCTTCGAGGTCTGGTAGACAGAATGGACTGCACGAGCTACCCTTGGGGTGAAACGTGATCGGTAGCCCTGAGCAATGGTGGCCTCCGTTCAGATTGCGTATCAATGCGACTACAGTGATCTCTTCTTCAGAGTTGTGCCTGGGATGGTCAACTCAGGGTTCAAATCAGATTACTATCCGTGATCCTGAGCGCATATACCTAAGTATGTCAGTACGCTCGAAAGAGAAGACGGCGTACAAGATGGCCTGGTAGGGCCTAAGATATGCCTTCGGCGATGGCTGCTTACTGATTGTTTTATCTGGGACAGCGATCTCGGGCACCATTCGTGCAGTGAAGCCTCCGACATCGAGTGCCCCGCGGCCCGAAGTCGACATCAGCCAAACCCAGGACTTGCCTTTCTTGAGGAACGTCTGTGTCTGATGCGCACGATGAAGCTACTTTCGTCGCCCTGTTCGACGAATACCATAGTCAACATAGTCTCTCGGCATAAGTACATGTAGGTGCATGCCCCACCAATCCCTGACTCGTCTACAAGCCAAAGCTCGACTCTACAGGACTGGAAATGATGTCAAATCCAGCATAAGCACAAGCTATAGACAAGTTGTTCGTGTCCATCACCCTGGTAGATTGCGGAACCGAACGTTCGAATACGGTAGGTACCTCGCCGACGGCTGGTCTTGCACACAGAAAGTGGCCTGGGTGGCTCACGGTCACCCCCACATCGTTTGTACCTGTTGCGAGCCTGAAGCCCGGCGGTTGTTGCAGAACTGGAGGGGTTGATCCTTCGGGACTATGTGTACTGCAAGGATACGGAGTCGTCGCTGCTGACTTCGTTTGAACATGCAAGACTCCCTTTCGACACCACCCAACGATGGCCATTTCCCCGTTCAAACTCAGTGTCCCAGATGAAGAACTCTCACTGCTCAACCAAAAGCTCAAGCTGGCACGGATTCCAGATCTGCCCGAAAGCCTAGCCGACGACAATGGCTTGACTGGGCAGTCAATTCGTAAGCTCGTCGACTTCTGGCTAAACGACTTCGACTGGCGCAAGGAGGAAGCGGAGCTCAACAAGCTCCCACAGTTTCCCACACCCGTCGACATTTCTGATGATTTTGGCCCACTGGATGTCCACTTCGTGCATTCGAAGTCCTCAAAGACCAACTCAACGCCGCTTCTGTTCTTCCACGGCTGGCCAGGCAACTTTGCAGAGATTACCAAAGGCCTCAAGCGCCTAAACGATGAAGGCTTCGATGTGGTGGCTCCTTCACTTCCAGGATATGGATTCACAGCATACCCCAGAAAGCACGGTTTCGATTTGAGCAAAGTCGCGGAGATGGGCACGAAGCTGATGATAAAGCTAGGATATCAAAGATTTGTCGCACAAGGAGGTCAGTCGACGAGTACTTGGGGCCAGTAGAGACAGGGATCTCACCGCTTACACACCGACAGGTGACTGGGGCTCCATGATCGTCAAATTGGTTGCTCAAGACTACCCCGACAACGTGATGGCCGTACATGCACAGCTCTGTATTCCTCGTTGAGCAGCTCGCAGTAACGTGGCACCCCAACAGCTTGGCGACCTGAATAGTGAAAGTGCCTACGCCTCCACTGCCGCCATTGATGAATACTCTCTGTCCGACTTGTTTCCCCCTCACAAACGGAACTAAGGAGATGTAGGCGGTCACGATGTCGGTCCCTAGTGCTGCTGCATCCTCGAAGCTCATCCCTTCCGAAATCTTCATCAGTACCTTCTTCATAGCTTGAGTATACTCTGCAAGCGTGCCATTCTGGTACAGCCAAGCTTGGGTGCCAAAAACTCTCATACCTTCTCGAGGGCCACTAGCGACTGTGCCCGCGAAGTCCAGACCCGGTGTTGCCGGCGTACGTATCACGCCCAACTCATCATCGCCCCGAGTATGGCCGCTCTCTCGGCCATCTTGCAGTCTCCCGGGTTCAGCGACATGGCGTGGACCTTGATAACCTCGTGATCGGACTTTGGCTGAGACACAGCTGAGGGGATTGGTCCGTCAACGAGCTGCATGGATCTCTCGAGACCTCCGCTGGCGTCGGTGTAGCGCCAGGCTCGCATCGTCTTAGGCAAGGAAGCCATGATCCTGGGTCCGTTCTAGCTGTCACGATCGGGGTTTGATGATATGTAAGCCACTCGCAGACGCCGGTCTTGCGTCAACGTTGTTAGAATATTCGGCCACGATAGTTAAGTCACTAAGCAAGTTGCATCATACCATCCATGATGCGTCTTCTGCCTGCTTCAATGTAAAAAGGATGGTTGACGTTGAAGGACATCCATCGATTCTAACGCTTCATTGAAATGCTAACGAAAGTGCCAAGACGGAACGGACCAACCGACCTCGGATTCGACCGAACGGAGTTGGTCTTGACCATCTGGTGATCTAACAGGCAAGAACACGTTATTGCGACAGTATTCGAGGACTCAAGACGTCATCGAGCCGTCATTTTGACTCAAGATCACATCATATAACGACTTGAAAGCGAATTGTGCGAGCCAGAGGTCGCCCGGTACTGTTACCTGCAGTCGGATCCGTTTGCGAAATAGGAATGCAAGCACGTTACCTGTTGCACCAGGACCGCCTGATCATGACTCCGGGTAGACGTAGCCAGTAGGTCCAGACTGCGTGTTCTAGAAGACCAAATATCCTCGTCGTGTTGCACTGAGCAGCCCAATCGCACTGCCTGCTCAGCAGTGGTCACACCTCCGGGTCTTCAGACACAAATTCGCGATGTCGACACAAGTGTTACAACCGGTATGAAGAACACTGTACGCCAGACTGTCATCAGCAACGACCCAAGCATTCGCAGCCTCACACTCAGTGCTCTTACCGCATAGTACCAGGTGGCAGTATATTGGGTGACCAGAGTCTTCGAAACGCTCGTCAGGCTGATCGGAGGACTGGACCAGTATGGTGAGTAAGGATCAATGGCCAGACAATTGGGTGAGCCATCCATCGAGTCGAGATCCGCGAACGCCTGTACGATGGCTAGAACCGCAATATGGCAGGGCGCAGGTTGTCTTGGGCGTGATGAACACCACCCTGCAAAACAAGTTTCACCCACTCTGCAACTAACATTCCGGTATTTACTCACCTACCGCTTTCAAGGTATTCCCGGCGGCCCTATGTCAGAATTTGTAGCTTCTCTAAGGGCAAGCGACGACGGTCGCAAACCATTGACGTTCTTCTGGATTTCCTGAATCGCTGATGCCGGGCCTATGCCATTCCATAATAGCGACGCAGAGGTCTCTGCGCAGTAAAGCAGGCAATCGAAAATTTTCCAAGTCATGCCGACATTGTCCAAGAAGCATTCATCGCCAATCGAAATTGCCATTTGCCATAGCTACCAGAGGACCTCGAATGTTGGGTGAGTGCTGCGCCCGTTGGATCATGCTCTTGAGACAACGCCGAGGCTCTTACGAGTGACAAGACTGTCCATCAGCTTCTATGCGCACCGCGCGCCGAGGCTCTGTCGGGGCTGTGCATTTGCTTAATGAGTCGCCGTCAAATTTCGCACTCCTTGTCTGCAGCGTGTCGCTTGAAGACAAGGACGTTGTATGCATTAATCATTCCTACAATAAAGTTTAGCGAAGCCGTCCGTGCATATGCATACGGCGGGCAGTTTCGGGAGGTACATGGAAGTGCCCCTGACAGGGTCAGATGGTGCAGCTGGCTCGAAAGCGATTCCGAAGTCGTGAGGTCTCCCGGAGTCGAGCGTTGCACTGCCTCGTGGAGGTGGAGGCGACCCTCATGCACAGTAGATCGCAACTTGATAGCGAATCGTTCCGCATCCTTAGCCTCGAAGCTTGGCGTCAATCTCTATGTCTGAAGCGCCACACTGCCAGCCTGTGGATGATGTGTGTTGAAGGATCTTCCAGCTCGCGAAGTGGCCCAGATCATGAAAGTGTTGAGTGAGGCGCAGTTGACCGATGTCCTCAGCGTAGACTCTTGTATTTCGAAGGGATTCCGGAGCAAATACCAGTTGGAGCTGTGCCACTGTGGCTGTGTGCGAAAAGCTGTGGCTGGTGCGCGGCAATGATTGGTTCCCACGGCTTATTGAAGTTGTAGATTTCAGCTTTCAAATTGTCTGGTTCAGTCTCTGCCTTATTCTGCTTGCAACATCCATCACAAGCTTCAGGCTCTCGATGCGATCATGACTTCAGCCAGTCCGCACCGAAGACATACTCGCGAACGTTCGATAACTCGTAAAGTCGTGACGCGATGATGAGTCGCCAAGATTATGATGACAGTGGCGGGCTCACCGCAATCCAGTACTCGCCCTCGGGCCAAGCTTGGCCGCAACCGCAGAAGTCTTGTTCTTCTCTTGGTGCTTGGAAGGAGGAGAAACTTGCAAAAGAAGCGAAATCGACCAATAGACAAGTGCTTGGTAGAGTCTTTGTCGTTGCGAGCGCGATTGTTTACATCGCAGGCCGCAGTACCTCGATGTTCTGTTTCGTCGGGTCTGCCTTGCGCAACGGCGCTTAGAGGGCGCCTAGGGCGCCTCGTAGGCGCTTCAAAACTTCTACATCCGTGCAACAACCAGCAGGCTGTCGAGCAAAGATGTTTCTTTCAGCCGGTCTGCACACGGCCAGCTTGCAAGGCAGCAAGATCCATGGCCAGATTCTTACTTGATCCTTGGGCAGTTCGGAGCGATGGTTTCCAGGTGGTCCACTCACGGAGGGAATCTTGGCGAAGACTCCACCGTGGCTTCCCCTGAGTTCAAGAGCGCCCGCGCGTGGAGTGAAATCGACGAAGTCGATGACTTTTTTGATCGTTCCGTGCCTGTAGGCTTATTCATCTACATGTGTTGGGATTCTTACGACGGGGTAGATAATCATTGAGGGCACGTAGGCGATGCGGCTTGATCGACGAGCGAGACAAGATCTTCCGCTGAAATCAAGGAGGAAGGACTGGACCTCCAGCGAAGTGGAATCGGCCTTGGCACAACATCCCTGCATCCTTTCGGGGCAGTGCAAGAGCAAAATGCCAGTACTCGATGTCCCACATCCCGTGCAAACATGAAGACCTCGATTCCAGCACAGAAAGCTTTTTGGATTGCCACAACCACCTCATTCTCGCCTTCACACTATAGACCTGGATGTTTGCCTCCGCCCTCGCATCTACAGCCTTTGTCTGCCTTACAGCCCGATCTATCGGTGGTACTGTCCGGAAGCATATGGACAGCTGTTGACTCCGCCACACAAACACAAGGTACTTGCTCGATGTCATAATACGCTGCGCCCGGATTGTTAGCATACAAGATGGCCGCTCCCAAAATCACCCTGGACACTTCTGTACGTTCTGCCTTGCCTGTGAATTTGACCACTCGGGATCCGTTCAGATCTTACCGTGGTCGAAGGTGGCAGCACTGTTGGATGCACGTTCTTCTGACACTTGCTTCAGAACCTGTCCGAGGACAACCATCGGACAACTGCTCCTTCTCCAAGGACTACCCACAACCGTAACGCCAGCATGTCGACACCACCAGCAACAGCGGACAACGATAACTATCTATCACCGACATCGCCAGACCGGTCTAAGCATCAATTCGACGGAGTGACCTTGAACTCGAGAACAGGCTCTATCAACCTCAGCGAGACTTCGACAAGGCTACGGTCGAACTCGGGGATTTCAGCAGCGTCGACCAACACACTCTATTCGAAGACTAGCTTTGAGTGTGACTCGGCTGAGGACTCACTTCGACCTGATCCAGGCAACGAGCAGGACTTCAATGTTGCCAACAATCCTTTCGCTTTCACGCCTGGGCAACTCAACAAGCTGCTGAATCCCAAATCATTATCAGCATTCAAGGCTCTGGGAGGTCTGCGAGGGCTTGAGAAGGGTCTTCGGACGAGCATAACCTCTGGACTATCGACAGATGAGGTCACGCTCCAAGGTCAAGTTTCTTTTGATGAGGCAACGCGTGCAGAGCACAAGGATGTGCTAGAACAGACAGACAGCGATTTGAGAAGGACTGAGTCAATTCCTAACACGAGGGAAGTGAAAGACCAGTTTCAGGATCGCATACGTGTCTTCAGAGACAATCGATTGCCCGAGCGGAAACCTGACAGCATTTTCGTGCTTATCTGGAGAGCCTACAACGACAAGATTCTCATACTATTGACGGTCGCTGCGGTCATATCCTTGGCTTTAGGTGTCTACGAAACCGTTGCAGGTGAGGGTAGCGTCGATTGGGTAGAAGGTGTCGCTATTTGTGTAGCCATCTTCATCGTGGTGGCGGTGGGATCAGTGAACGACTACCAGAAAGAACGTCAGTTCATGAAATTGAACAAACGGAAAGATGATCGTGAGGTCAAGGTTATACGATCCGGCAAGTCAATTCAGGTTTCTGTGTATGACATTACCGCTGGCGATGTCATGCACCTTGAGCCAGGTGATGCTGTGCCCGCAGACGGTGTGTTCATCTCTGGCCACGGTGTGAAGTGTGACGAATCTTCCGCAACAGGCGAATCCGATCAAATGAAGAAGACGCCAGGCGAAGAGGTCTGGCTACGGCTTCAGGATGGAACAGCAACGGCCAAGCTCGACCCCTTTATCATTTCTGGAAGCAAAGTGCTCGAGGGTGTGGGCACATTCCTCGTCACCAGCGTTGGACAGAACAGCTCATTCGGCAAGATCATGATGTCACTCCAGACGGACAACGACCCAACTCCATTACAGGTCAAGCTAGGGCATCTGGCGAACTGGATCGGTGGCCTTGGGTCTTCTGCGGCCATTCTCCTATTCTTGGTCCTGCTCATCAAGTTCCTTGCTGGTCTGTCCGGCAACCCGGCTCCGCCAGCTGAGAAGGGGTCAGAATTTCTGGACATTTTGATCGTGGCCATCACGGTTATTGTGGTCGCTGTGCCTGAGGGTCTGCCGCTCGCTGTGACCCTGGCATTGGCGTTTGCTACAACACGAATGCTCAAGGAGAACAACCTCGTCAGAGTTCTTCGAGCTTGCGAAACAATGGGCAATGCTACGACTATCTGTTCCGACAAGACCGGCACCCTGACTCAGAATAAAATGACTGTTGTTGCTGGCACTCTTGGGGCGGATCAGAAATTCGCAACTTCCGGGTATCATGAGGAGAAGGCAGCAAGCCCACAGAAAGTATTCGGTGATGTGCCGAAGGACCTAAAAGATCTCGTCCGAGCTTCAATCACCCTGAACAGCACTGCTTTCGAGGGAGAAGAGAAGGGTGTGCCGACTTTCATTGGTTCGAAGACCGAAGTTGCAATGCTGACACTGGCGAAAGAGGTTTTGGGCATGGACAATCTTGCTGCAGAAAGATCGAACTTCAAAGTCAAGCAGCTCATTCCATTCGACTCTGGCCGCAAATGTATGGGCATCGTCATTAAGCTCAGCTCCGTCAACGGCGGTGGCTACCGGATGCTGGTCAAGGGTGCTGCTGAAATCATGCTCTCCAAAGCAAGTCGCTCGGTTGTAACCTCCAGCAGTGAGACTCTCCAGGTGGAGCCTCTCAGTCAAGAGCACAAACAGGAAATCGGCCAAGTCATCGAGGACTACGCGAAGAACTCATTACGTACCATCGGAATGTTGTACGCCGACTATCCTTCATGGCCGCCACCACATGCGAAGCTGATGGAAGAAGACCCAAAGATGGCCGAATTCGACTCCATATTCGGTGATCTGACTTGGGTCGGCGTAGTCGGTATTCACGATCCGCTCCGTGAGGGTGTCGTGGATGCCGTGGCTCAATGTCAGAAGTCAGGCGTCGTGGTTCGTATGGTCACGGGTGACAACGTCAACACTGCACGGGCTATTGCTCGAGATTGCGGCATACTCCAAGGAGGCAAAGAAGACGAACAAGTCGTAATGGAAGGACCAGTATTTCGCACGCTCAGCGACGAGAAAATGGACCAAATCCTGCCAAAGCTTCGTGTACTGGCCCGGAGCTCCCCCGAAGACAAACGAATTCTTGTCGGCAGGCTCAAGCAATTGGGAGAAACTGTCGCCGTTACAGGAGATGGTACCAACGACGGACCAGCACTGAAGATGGCTGATGTCGGCTTCTCTATGGGTATTGCTGGCACTGAGGTGGCGAAAGAAGCATCGTCTATCATTTTACTTGACGACAACTTCAGCTCCACCATCACAGCGCTCATGTGGGGACGATCCGTCAACGATGCCGTCAAGAAATTCCTGCAGTTTCAGATCACCGTCAACATTACTGCTGTCGTCCTGACATTTGTTTCAGCAGTTAGCAGCAGCTCCAACCACTCGGTCCTCACTGCAGTTCAGCTGCTCTGGGTCAATCTGATTATGGACACTCTGGCAGCGCTTGCGCTCGCCACTGATCCCCCAACCCACAAGATATTGGACCGCCCACCACAGCGCAAAGACGCTCCTTTGATCACGATGAATATGTGGAAGATGATCATGGGCCAGGCTGTCTATCAGCTTGTTGTGACCTTTGTTCTCTTCTTCACAGGCGAATCAATCATTGGCTACACACCAACCGGGCCAGACGACATGACCATGGCCACTATAGTCTTCAACTCCTTTGTCTGGATGCAAATCTTCAACGCCTTCAACAACCGCCGCCTCGATAACAAGTTCAATATTTTCGAAGGCATGTTCAAGAACTTCTGGTTCATGGGAATCCTGGCCGTTATGATTGGGGGACAGATCATGATTGTATTCATCGGCGGCGCCGCATTCTCCATCACACGGCTCAACGGGCCCCACTGGGCTATCTCGGTACTCACTGCGCTCCCTTGTTTGTTATGGGCCGTTCTCGTCCGCTGCTTTCCAGATGCCTGGTTCGAGGTTGGTTTTGCGCCATGTATCAAGGCATTCCGTTTGGTGTTGCTGCCAGCCTGGTCCGGACTGAAGAAGACCTTCAGACCAGTCTGGCGTGGGATGAAGGCTGTGACAAGGCCGATTGGTCGTCTCTTCGGTCGCAAGAAGAAGTCGGGGGATGATGACGAGTCCAATATTGATGAGAAGGTGTCCGATGTCGAGAGAGGCAATAATAGTCGCGATGGCAAGGATGCAGCTCCTTTCGCGATATCGACCAATAAGCCAGAGCTCAGGGTGGAACCTCCAGGAAACGAGGTCGAGGTTCCCGTGTTCCAGGTCACGGAGCCTGAGGAGGAACGATCCGAGAAGGAACAGTCAGAGAGGAGGAAGGATCATGAGAGTACGACTTCGGATGTTCCGACCTTCAAGATTCAGGACCACAACGGTTCGTAATGTTTTCACGGCTACGGCGTTCGAGTGGGCAGGCATTTGCGGCGTTGGATGTCGAGGAAGGCTCTCAATCAGCCACAACCCTTATCTGTACTATACTCATGACCGGTGTTTTGGGTATACCAAAACAAGTCCTATACATAGATAGATTCGAATACTTTTCCCCTTGGCCGCACGTTACAAGCATAGATTCTTTAGTGAAGGCTAGCACCAGGAGCTTTTTTCGCAAACAGCAGAGGATGTTTCGCCTTGCCCTCGTCGACCGTGCTGTCTGCAAACTTGAACTCAAGTTCATGACCAGCAACGACAGCCTTTTGGGCGAGTATCTGAACCCCCCTGGACTGGAGTTCTTGGCGATACCATTCATCCTCATGGCTACTCCAGTACATGTCCACACCGTAGAAGTGCTTCGCTGAGGGCTGGACGACCTCACCCACGAGAGCGGAACTCCTCGACGCTGGCACTTGGTCGTCCGTGGACCCTGCAACAGTCGTCATCAATAAGTATCCACCGGGTCTCAGCCACGCTGCAATACGATCAAGCACGGTGCCATGCTGCTCCCGCGGTGTATGGAAGATCGAGAACATTGCGACCACGGCATCGAAACTTGATGGGGCTAGTGTCTCTTCTGCAGTAGCTGAGAGCATGTCTGCGCAGAAGAATGTAGCAGCGGGCACGTTGATCTTTGCTTGCGCAATCTGGGAGGCCGAGATGTCGAAACCGGTGACGTGGAAGCCTTGGGAAGTAAGTGAGGACGCGACGGGTACGCCAGAGCCACAGCCAATGTCCAGGATGGTGGCTTTCGATGGTAGACGCGTGGTCAAAAGGCATAGCTCAGGGGCTGTGTCTTGCGAACGTACCGCAGTGTAGTCGGCGTGGCAGGTGTTGTAGCCCGAGGCAACGATGTCAGATGTCGATCGAGATGACATGGCGAAATTATTTCCTGCTGCTGCAATTACAAAATGTGCCACATCTGTGCTGTCTTCGCATTCGCAGTTCTGATTATAATAAGTCCATCGAGGGAACGCGATGCATAGCGCTAGTTCAGAAATCTGGCAGCTCTAACCCGGCAATGGCATTATGTGTCACAGCTGCATAGTTCTGAAAAGCGACATTGGAGTGCTGTACAATTATGCCAGGCCGTCAAGCACGATCAGCATCGAGCGTCCCACCGTGGCATGACTCACATTATGTGGTGATGGGAGTGGCCATTTTGGCTGCACACACGACACGACTGAAGGCCAACTGGGCACTCGGAACTTGGGCTTTGGAAGTGGTACCAAGTAATTTTTTGGCGCTTAGTCATTGCCCGAACGTTCCAAGGTTCCTTTGCCGGTATGGGGACCAGAAGCTTAGGTCTTGTCAACCTACTAACAACTACCATGACAATTCAGTCACAGTGACATGGGCAGCTACAACTCAGATTTCTGTCACCATCCCATGTCCCATGTGACCTGGAAACGCAGCCTGCATCCTCTGGTAAGCCACAAGCTCCTCCACTGTCGTCGCTACAAGCACGCCTGCCGCTCGGGGTGCGGGCAGGGTGGGCTTTCCTTCCCAAGACTTCCAGGGCCAGAGCGACGCGCTCAATTAGTATTCCCCTGGGCAGGTGCGCGTCCCCGCGTCATACTACCTAAGCGCATCGACAGCAGTTCCTCTTCGCCGCTCATGATCGAACTTATTTTACTCAATACCATTTCGGGGCATAGTCCGGCCATCGCATCAGATCCGCTCTATACCGGTTTAGCGCTTCACTTTTGGTGTCGAAATCGACGCCAGCGCTACTCAGTTTCTTGTGATCGACCTCGCCGTCAACATACTCGGCGTCGAAGACAAGCTCGTCGCTCCAGCTTTCGACCGTTTCTCTGACATCCTCCGGCAGCACTATCTTGCTCTTGGCCTGAAACCACGCAGGTTGTGCAACAAAAGCCAACATAACTCGGGGTACGTCTGTCAGGTTCGGCCTCCCCGCGTGCCACAATCTCAGATCGCGAATGACCAGACTGCCCTTTTTGGTGCATGCTTGTATGGGTGGAGAGTGCTTTCGCCTCTGCTCTAGGATTTCAGGCCTGATCGGCAGCTGCTCTTCGTTCTCCTCGCCGTTCATATGCACATCTTGCACGCTGACATGGTGTGACCCTGGCCAGACCTCTGTGGCTCCGTTTTCTGGGGAAGTGTCGACGAGAGTAATATTGATGACCTGCGCGAAGGAAAAGAATGCTGGATGAGCGAATTCGCAATCAGAATGTACTGGTTGCCTGCCGTCGGGTTCTGCCTTCAATGCCGTGTTGCCATTCGCGTAATGGATGACAGGCTTTGGACCAAGCACTGCAGCCAGGATGGCCGCCGCGAACGGATTACACCACACGTCCTTGAACATCAGTGATTTCGTCGGAGGAGGCGCTTGGTCCATATTTGAAGTGTGTTTCCCAAAGTTGAAGTGGTGCTCCGGGTCTCGCGCTATCTCAAGCGCTTCGGGCGAGAGAACTGCATTGATTGCATCGACGTGCTCGACAGCGATGGCATTGTCAAGGACAATTATGCCGTCCTTGTGTAGAAAGGCTGCACCTTCTGCGATGATGTCGTTCGTGGGCACGCCCGTCGCACGCACGGCCTCCGGAATGTGAATGGTGTGGATGTCCTGGTCATAAGCGAGGGTACCGATTGAGCCCATTTTGTCAGGTCACGTAGTTAATGCTTTACTGCGATAGTCACAACTGCGGTGTTCATGCCAGCTCACTTTCTAATTTGCGCTGCCAACTACCTGCAGTTGTATGAGACTTACCGTGGCTGCAAGAGGGGTAGCAAGGATCTACGACCATGTGGCAGTTGGTCATAGATTGCATGTCTGGTGCGGATTGCCGGACTCGCCTTCACCAACCTTTTTAGGCAGCGTGAGGACGGGAATATCCATGGATCCGCCTAGGAATGGATATCACGTGCTTGGACCAGCACCAGATCGTACTTACCGACTACCGCACGTCAAACCTACAAGCGCATACCTAGGCTGTAGGGTTTCACTACGGTGAACTTACTGCTGCCAGGGCGGGCACGCTGAGCCCGCCACAGCTCCCGTCGGTAGGTGTGTACTACAGTATTTAGGTGATGGGTGGCCTGAAGAGGCTGAAACGAAAATCGAGTCCTGTTGCTTACCTTTGATACTCATCGGATCTTTACGTCGTTCGGAGTTTCGAAAGCGTTAGCATACAATGAGTAACACTGTGCTGTATCCTCAGGGTCCTTTGCTGATAGTCGATCGTGGCATGCGCAGGAAGACAAAGCTGAAAAGCTACGAAACATGCATCTCGGATGAAAAGGACATCAAGGTCTCAGTATATAGGCAGGACAGGACACGGTCAGATGCTCACTCAACTGAGGCACGACAGCAATCCAAACGAGCTCCGGCCAAAGCTGTCTCGTCAAATATTCGCTTCGTTCTGTCGAAGCCGAACAAGCGCAAGAAAGTACGCAAGCATCAGAGCGAAACGACAGCGCAATGCGACCCACAAAGCACAAAACAGACGAAAGTTGCCTTAATAGAGGATACTGGTCGCCTTACACCTCCGAGCAGTGATACCGACAGCTCTTCGGACATCTATCCTTTGAGCAGGTCGACTCCCTTATCACCGCTGTCGCCAATCTATCTTGCAGGTGTAGACCACGGCATTGACGCTGAATCATTGACATACCTGCCCTACTGTACAAGACCTCCCATCATTGCAAAGGCGCAACACTGACGTGCACAGTTCTTGATACCTCGACTCTCTTCTACCCGCTGCAGGATGTACTTCTGATGGACTATGATCCTGTATCCACAGACTATCTACCTGAAGGACTCACTGACGGCTGCTGTCTGACTGCCATACTCTACACGACCGTGGGACGCATTGATTACTTTCGGGGCCAGCAGATCTCGCGCAGAGTTCTGCTCTCTATCAACAAGCAATATCACGATTGCGGAAACGTATTGCGGATGGAAGCGTGCAAGACCACACGATCTGCGCCGTCGCCATTCTGTTGTTGTATGAGTATTTCGTGCAAGCACAAGGAGCTGATTACGAGGCTCATTGTCTGGGCATGCAACGTCTCCTCGATGCACGTGGTGGACTGCTCACTCTCGACAACAGGATACACACTAAAATTCTGAAGCACGTACCACTGATTTCAGCTTCCGTTTCCTTGCTAACTTCGTCGCAGGACACTATTGATACCAGCAGCTGACAAACTCGCCCGACCGGCCATTCCATATATAAGGAGAAACAGACCGCCCATAGCACAATCCCTAGGCTTCGTCGCCTCGGAGGTCTCAACATCGCGAATCGAATCTTTGATCGCCGATTTCCATCCAGTCTTATATAATGGATTTTTGCAGCTGCACCGACTCGCAGGAGCTATCAATCTAGCAATCATGGAACGGTGTCGCGTACACCCTTATGCTCTCGACTACGACATCATAGCTATTCAGCATCAGCAACTATGTCTCAATAGCACCGAATGCTCCGATTACGAAAACAGTGTTCGACTTGCCATCCTTGCTTTCACGAGAATACTGATACGCCCGAGACCTTTCGAGGGGTTTCACTGTCTCGAGCTCACTAATGCGATGCGGGAAGCATGCACCAATGCGACAAAGAGCAATTCCTGTTCAACGGCTACTGATCTAAAATTGTGGATCTTAATCATGGGCGCATTGGTGGCTCAGAACACAATACATCGATCTTGGTTCTTCATTCAAGTCATTACTCTTGCCAAATTGAAGGGCTTGACCAGCAAACCTGAGCTTTGCACATGTGTTGCTGATGTTATCTGGATACCAAAAGTTCTCGATCAGCATTTGCTTGCCCTCGACATACCATTCTTGAGGAGGAGGACGAGCGCCTTATGTACACTGTATAGCGACGCGTCGCATTGTAGCCAACAACTTGTTGAAGTCTCTACGTGCACCTGAGGATCTGAAGTGGTGATGCGCGAGCGCTGAAGCTTTAACCTGCCGCAACTCGATTCTGAAAGCGCACAAATGAATGGAGCCAGTAGTGGATGCCGCGGTAGAGACCGCGCAGCAGGTTGCCCAGCAAGGGGCCAAGCTTGCCTCTTGCGATTACGCCCGAGATAGTTATCGTACTGTGGTAAGCTACTGCCTGCCTCATATCGATGGACGTTCATATCACACTGTTGCATTGTCATCGTTCTGCTATCAAGGTCACAGGGACCACTAGCGTCTGGCTTTTATGCAACGGCCCAGGTCTGGACCACTTACAGTTTGATATCGCGGCCGAGGATGAACTCACCCCTCTCCTTGGGATATGGAGAAGAAGCTTGCCCCTACCATGTGGCGCTTGAATCCCCTCGCCCACACGATAGGTTGTAGGTTCTGCAAAGCTTTCTACCACTGATGCTTCAGCCAATGTTGGCCAGTCACTACCCGGATCGTCGCTAGCAGCGCGTGGCCAGCCACTGGCAGTCTGGTTGATAGTGGCTATCGTATGGCTATCGCCCTGATTCCGCGGCAGCAGGTCATTCGCTTATGGCGGGGCTTTCCAGGGTCTCATCACTCCAAGCTGCGGGCAGTAGCCGCTTCGATACACATGGAGCTCTACTAGCTTCATGCCCTTATCAAGGTTGCGGAGCGTCTCTTCGGCTGCTATCTGTGCTGTCGACAGCTATCACAGGACTTTGCGCCTTCGCCGGCCTAATTGCTTTGTATGTTCTCAATCTAACAGATACAACAGCCCGGAGTCCTCAAGATGGCTTCAGCAGACTTGAAGGACGTCGAAATCAACAAGGTTGACGCCGCCGAAATCGCCGCTGCCCCGATCGAAGAGATCAACAATGAAGCTCGGAAAGCATTCGAGGCAGAGCATGCCCTCAAGTTTGCCGACGCCGTCAAGTTGTATCCCACAGCGATAGGATGGGCTATATTCTTCTCTCTCGGTGTCGTCATGTGAGTGGCATCACTGCCAGCGTGGCGTAGGTCCAGTGCTAACACAGAGGCTCAGGGCGGCTTTTGACCCTCAATTGCTGGGTAATCTGTACGCTACACCGGCATTTCAGAAGGACTTTGGCTATCTTTACGAAGATGGCTATATCATTTCCGCGCTTGGCAGACGGGACTGTCAATGGGCAGCCCTATCGGCCAGGTCGTGGGCGCGTTCTTCGCAGCCTATCCCATGGAATGGTTCGGCAGGAAGAAGACCTTCGGTGCCTGCGTCATTTTCTCAACTGGAATTGTCTTCATTCAATTCTTCGCTCGCTCGCTTCCGGTCCTGCTGGCGGGTGAGTTGCTCGGCGGACTTGTCTTGGGCACCTATGTCATCATCGCGCCAACCTATGCTTCTGAAGTCTGTCCAACGACTCTTCGAGGTGTGTTGACTAGCTGCATCAACATCGCGTTCGTCACCGGGCAGCTCATCGCCAATGGTGTCATCGCTGGTACATCCAAGCTCGACAGCCACTGGGCCTATTCGTACGTATACCTGTGAACATGCATCCGGCGAAACATCGATCTACCGGTTCTGGTTCTTCCCGATACCTCTTCAGACTAACACCTGCAAAAGTGGCCCCTTTGCCGCTCAATGGGTCTGGCCGGCGGTGATTCTCATTGGGCTGCCCTTCGCGCCTGAAAGGTGAGCTCCCGTGCCCATAGATCGAGCCAGTGCTGACAATGCGCTAGTCCGTGGTGGCTTCAACGTCAAGGACGATTCACCGAAGCGGAGAAGTCTTTGAAACGACTTGCATCAAAGAATGTCGATGTGAAGCCAGCTCTGGCCATGATCATCGAGACCGACAGGCTGGAGCGTGAGATGGAGGCCGGCTCAACGTACGCCGACTGCTTCAAGAAGATCAACATTAGGCGCACTGAGATTTCTGTGGGAGTGTATGTGATTCAGGTCCTTTGCGGTATTTACCTGGTGGGCTACGCCACCTACTTCTTCACCTGTAAGTCCGCCTAGAGGAAGCTACACGTGCTCGTGACTGACGTGAAGCGATTTAGTGGCTGGCTTGCCCACGGAGGATTCCTTCAACATGGGGGTCGGCTTCCTTGCCTGTGGCTTCGTCGGTACGCTGCTATCGTGGGTCCTGCTCATCCATGTCGGCCGGCGCAGAATCTATATCGGCGGTCTTGCGATGCTGGCCACTCTGCAATTCATCATTGGCATCATTGACTGCGCGCCGAATTACGAAGACCATCCTGGTCTTTCATGGGCTCAAGCAGTGCTGATGCTGATTTGGAACTTCATCTATGGCTGGTCCGTCGGTCCAATCTGCTTCGTCATTATTTGCGAGGCCTCTGCGACAAGAGTGAGGAGCAAGACCATCGGCGTGGCTACAGCGGCTCAGGCAACAATGGGAATCGTTATGACTGTCGCCATCCCTTACATGATCAACCCAGATCAAGCTAATCTACGCGGCAAGCTCGGGTTCTTCTTCGGCGGGCTCGCCACGATTTCGTGGGTTTGGGCGTACTTCCGGGTGCCTGAATTTAAGGGGAGAACGTATGAAGAGCTGGATCATATGTTCGAGAAGAACGTACCAACTCGCCAGTTCAAGTCGTATACTTTTGAGCGTTGATCTGTCGTTGGGGCAGCCGTGGTAGCTCATTGGCTATGGTAGAAGTCGAGGGACTTGAACAAGTAGGCAATGACTATTGAGCGTATAAACCTATCGTGCCATGTTCTTGATGTATGAGGAAGCATTCCACGCTTCATAGGTGATAGGCCTTGCGTCTTGGCGGCATGAATGACGTGCAGCCAAAAGTTCTAAGTCGCCTTGGAGTTTTCGAACCTCGAACCTGGAGAATCATCATCGCAACTGCTCCCCGCTCTGCATCACATGGCATGCTCGTCTTCGGTCGCTCCTGACGGGGCACGACCTCTCCCAGACAGCTAACATACTGGTACCTAAGTACTCAAGGCACATATCAGTAACATCCTCGACTAAAACATTGACAAGCTACCTAGATATGCATTGATAGCGCCTAATTTCGACGGCTCGAAACAGAAGCAACCGGCATGGCTAAGCTCTCCAACCCACTTGCATTCAGCAGAGGTCCTGTCACACTCATTGTCAGCGTGGTGCTCATTGCTGTTCTTGTTCCCCTCATCGTCGTCCAGACCGGCGTTCCGTCCGCCCCACGCAATGCTCGTCCTGTGCAGGGCATTGACCTCGACGAAGCATGGCTCGATCTCCGGCGGCTGACGGCGAGTTACCATCCATACAACAGTCGAGCCAACGATGAAGCCCACGATTGGCTGCTTGGTCGGCTGCAACAAATTGCGAAGGAGAACTCAAATACCACGTCGGCCACTTCTACGCAGATCGCACATATCTTCGACGACGATGTGTCCAACTTAACCTACTCCACGTCCGGTCGTCCCTCAGAGCCTGGCAGTGGCACCAGCGTCTACTTCGAAGCAAAGAACGTGATCGCATACATCCCGGGCAAAGAAGATGATCCAGAGTGGTTGAGCGCGGCAGAGATACCGCCGCAGCATCGGAAATGTCTCCTCGTAAACGCACACTACGATTCAGTATCCTCTGGCTACGGTGCTACCGATGACGGTATGGGTGTAATCACCTTGATCCAACTGTTCAAGTACTATACCATGTCTGGCAATACGCCAGAACATGGAATAGTATTGCTGTTCAACGATGGCGAGGAGGACTTTCTTAATGGGGCCAATGTCTTCAGTCAGCATCCCACGTCCAAGCTGGTAAGCTCGTTCCTCAACCTCGAGGGTGCTGGAGCTGGAGGTCGTGCAGCGATGTTCAGAAGTACAGATGCAGAAATCACGAAAGCCTATGCCAATTCGCCACACCCTTGGGGCACGAGCATGTTGGCCGATGGCTTCAATCGAGGGCTCGTGCGTAGCCAGACCGACTATGTCGTCTTCAATGGCGTCATGGGCCTACGCGGACTGGATGTTGCCTTCATGAAGCCAAGAGCACGGTATCATACGAACCAGGACGACATTCAGCACACGAGCAAGAGCTCGCTCTGGCATATGCTCTCGGCAGCTCTTGTCACAACGAAGAAGCTGAGCTCTCATCCACTGGAGACGAATCTGAAGGCAGGGAAGACTCCTGGTCACCAGGGCGTATGGTTCGATATCTTCGGCACGCGACTTGTGGTCTTCCAAATGCACACGCTCTTCGCCGTTTCTGTGACGTTACTCGCCGCTGGCCCAGTCATACTCGGAGTCGTGATGTTATTGCTGTACGCCGCAGACAAGATGTACCTGTTCTCGGGAACTAGCAGATATCACGTCATTGATGGAGACGACAAGATATCCTTAGGCGGATGGCGAGGCTTTTTTCGCTTCCCAATCATTCTCCTGATTTCCTGCGCTGCTCCAGTGGCCCTTGCTTATTTGCTGTTCAAAGAAAACCAGTTCATCGTACACAGCAGCGAATGGGCTGTTTGGAGTATGATGGTCGCATCCTTTGTGTTCGTCTCATGGTTCCTAAGTCGCATGGCCGACTATGGTAGACCTTCTGCACTAACACGAGCGTACGGTTTGGGCTGGATCTGGACAGCTTGGTGGGTAGTCCTCGTCGCCGCCACTGTGGGAGAGCAGCAGCTACATGTAACCTCAGGCTACTTCGTTCTGATTTTTGCGGCAGCTGCATGGCTGGCTACCCTGCTTTCCTATCTGGAGATGTTCTCGTTGCAAAAGAAGGAGGTCTTCTGCGACCAAAACTTCGAGGAGTATGTGGCTACCACAGCTCCAAGCTCATCTCGACCTGGCCGGCCAAGTGAAGATGGAGACCAGACTGAAGAGCAAGAGGAAGAGGAAACAGACGAAACGTCAGGCTTGCTCTCGAGACGTGGCGGGTCTGGCTTCAGAAATTACAAGACTCGATCAGGTGAGGACGAACACGAAGGTGATGTTAAGGACGCTACTTCGAATGGCAACTCTGAGCAGGGATGGGCGAAAGACCAGTGGAACTGGATGTGGATCTTGCAATTTCTGGCCATTGTCCCTGTCAACATTGTCATCGTTGGCCAGATGGCGTTCACTTTACTGGACGGCCTCGGTCAGACTGGACCGGATGGGAGTTCTGTGTTTCTGGTATATCTCTCCATGGCGATCTTTACGATTATCTTGTTCTCGCCCGTTGTCCCCTTCATTCACAGATTCTCCTGGCACGTTCCCACGTTCTTATTACTTGTCTTGATCGGGACTATTATCTACAACCTCATCGCCTTTCCATTCTCCGGCAACAATCGATTGAAGCTGTTCTTCCAGCAGACGATCGATCTCGATACGGGAAGCAATAACGTCACAATACTGGGTCCGACAGTCTTCGCACGGACTGCGATTCTATCGCTACCAAGTGCCGATGAAGAGAACTTGGCATGGACCAGTGTGGACGGCTTCGTTGAGCGCCGGAGATACTCTTTCCCGGGCTTAGATCCGCACGCCGCCAACATTGACACGCAATCAGTGGCGGGGAAACCATACTCGCACTGGCTTGAACTGAATGTCACTAAGACTAGCAATAACAGTGATCTGGTCAGGGCACGTTTCAGCATTGAGGGGAGGAACACGAGAGCTTGTAAGCTGGTCTTTGACGAGCCCATCCAGCATTTCAAAGTCAAGGGGCAAGGCCCGAGAGACGAGCGCTTCAAGTCTGTTCCCGAGGGCGGCAGTAAGGAGATACGACTGTGGTCTCGTGAATGGGATCGGCGCTGGGAAGTCGATGTGAGATGGAATGCAGATATGCTTAAGAATGGCACAATGCATGGAAAGGCCGTCTGTCTGTGGAGTGATGTCAATCAGCGAGGCGTTCTGCCGGCTTGGGACGAGGCTGTACATTACATGCCTGACTGGGTGGCTGTCACGAAAGCTGGCGATGGACTTCTTGAAGGCTATAAGCATTTTGAAGTATGAGCGGGCGTTTTGCATTGGTCATCAAGGGCAGTGATTGCATTAGGGGCGGTCACCTAGTCTTTTGAGCGCGGCATGGTCGGTGGCTAGAAGCCCTCCTCCATACTTCATCAACCAGATTGCTCCAATCCTGAACATGACTTGTTCTCTTCATGTCTCGATCGTAGGTCTTATGTCAAAAGCGGGATCCTCGACACGCACTCAGCTAAAGGCGTGTAGTCCGATCTCGATTGTAACCACTGGTCAGCCGAAGACAGATAAGCCCTACTGATGGTCATCCGGTCTTGTGTAGGAGTACACGTCGACTCCATATAGGACTTGCTGCACACGCCCGACCGCAATCGTAGACACAGCCGGTGGAATCATGCATGTGTTTGAGCAATGACAAACACCAGTTAGGCAAGGCTCGAACGGCCATTGCTCCCTATATTTCCGAGCCTCACTTGTTCGCTGCTTCGACATGAATATCCAGACTCAGACCACGTCCTTTCACGACCCACCTATAGAAGCCGCCAATCTCGCGAGTACCTGGAAGGACCTGTATCGTCCACCGAAGAGACCCCTCGATCGCGATACGCCTCTGTCACTACCGCCCCTTGCGAACAATCTCTATCCGGCCCCCCTGCCAACTCAACACCCATTCGCCAGTCCCTCACATCACCCTTCTCAGCCAGGCTCCACCTTACTCGCACAAAATGGATCCACACGACTTTCATGCTCAGCAAACAGCCTTCGTTCGCCGCCACCAAGAGTTGTGCCGCGCCCATGCTCGCATGCTAGCGGTGAACGGCGCGCTGCCGGTCGATATGCTGTTGGGATGGGATTGTGTCTTGCTTGAGAGTGATGGCGACGGGGGTTTTGACGGTCTGCAGTTGGAGCTGGGGAATGTGGAAGGCGTGGGGTTTTCTGCCGTTGCTGTAATGGGCTCAGATGCTGGAGAGGGGAACAGAACGCAGAGGGACGGCGGGGCTGTGGCGCAGTCGGTGGGTGGTGGTGGAACTGAAGATGCCGGTGAGGACAAGGGGCGGCAGGGCGGGGACAAGGAGGGGCAGAGTGAAGGCAGCGTCAGTGCTCATGCGGGAGGAGGCATGAGGACCGAGCCGTCCAAGGAAGTCTCGCAAGGAGGGAAGGAGCGAGGGAGCGCTAGATGAGGACAGAGTGGCAAGACACAGGCTCACGACCGCCTCCCGCTGATGTTCACGTTCATTGAATGAACTAGTTTGAGCGCTGACCTTACCTGTCATGCATTCGGTAGTTCACAGCATCTGCCACCAGCAGATAACATCCAACAACTTGAGGAAGGAGCGGCTCATCGAGGTCGCGACCTGATGTACCTGCCTTTCAACCCAGCATATCGTCTACTTACTGTGCTGACACGAGCCTGAGGAATATGCGCCTTCTGGAAAGAAGCTGCGTTATGCATCCAACATCGATCTGCCGGCCCATGGTAGGGTGCCCGGACCGAAATTTTGTTTTGGTTCTGCTCTGGGCGCCTCTCGACCGGCAGATGGATGTCGAAAGCGCGGTCCATGTCGGGCGATTGGTCGTGATGTTTTCGCAGAGACATCCATTTAGTGGATGGCCTTGAACTCGGAGGTATGGGCCCTCTGCACTTTCGCCCATGGTATGGATCCCAGAGCTAAGGAAAAGTGCTGCATTGTTCCATACAAACGACTTGTTCGCTTCTTACATCAGGCTGATGTCTGGAGTGAGGCTTTGGCAAGTCATTCGGCGACACATCTGGCAGAATTAGGCGCGATCCGGTGGTCGTCACTTCAACGTCGGCGCCGTGCCCAATGCCAAGACTTTGTGTACTTATCCTTGCTTTCGGACGGCATAGCGACACAAAGACGTTTCGCAGATAGCTGCCCCAAGGCAAACCGATAGTTTGAGACTGTGGCTATCGATTGATGCCAATTTCATGACACATTTCACCGGATTGACGGACCTCAAAATAGTTGGTCGGAAGAGCTGTTTTCGCGAAATGGCTGGCCCTGCGGGAGCAGAGCCGCCCCGAAGCTTAGAGCTGGACCAAGAGGGCCATTGGCGAGCTTCCCATGGATCCCCAAAGGTTTCGTGGTCGGCGCGGCAAGTTCGTGAAAATCGATGTGATGGGTGGTGGTGAGCAGGGTCGAACTCGGGGGTCATCGGACATCTTCGGGCAAACCACGTGACCTCGGTGCCGCCGGACGATACTATGTTATTGCGCCTAGAGACATATCGAACTGTCATTTGCCTACAGAGCAGGCGATGGCGCTCACGCCCTACATCAGTATGCTCTTCGACCGGAATGGACATGGTGGACGGAAGTCATCAATGCCGAAGCTCTCAAACAATGACTTCCCGCCGTGTGAACCACGGAAGGGGGTCATTGCTACACCTCCTGTCAGCCACAATGTTCACACACTTGGCCGCACCATTGCTCTTGTTCGAGCGCCGGCCGTTGGAGCGGCCGATTTTCGATATTCATCGTTCGTGGGAAGTGTCTCGGGTCATGCGAACACAGTTCAACAGATGAAGCGTCACAGTTGGAGGATGAAACACGTATGTTTGGGCAAGGCTCGCTTCGGGTGAGACTAATCGTAGCACACCCGTTTCGCTAAGTGTCGCACACCTTCATATTTACGGGTATGCATACAGTAAGTTACAATCTGCACCTAAAGTTGAATAATCTCCACCTCATTTAGACATAAGCTTTACCTAATCTACAGGCTCTCTTTTAGGCTTACCTCCAGGGCCTAGGCTCAAAACTTGCCTCTAGAGCTTCTCTCCAGGCTTACCCCCAGGGCCTGGCCCTAAAACTTGCCCCTAGAGCTTCTCTCTAGGCTTACCTCTAGGGTCAAGCCCTAAAACTTGTCTCTAGAGCTTCTCTCCAGACTTTCCTCCAGAATTCTCTTTAGGCTTCTCTCTAGACTTCTCTCCAGGCTTTCCTCTAGACTTCCCTTATCACTTACACCTCATTCACAACTCACTTGCACCTCACTTACACCTCACTTACACCTCACTTGCACCTCTTATATCTGACTTGTATCTGACTTGTACTTGATTGATGCTTAAGTCTTGCTTGAAAAGGGTGTGAGAAAGTAGATTGGTGAGTGCTGGGTGAACTCCTTCTAGGGGTGTAGCCCCTGGAAGGCCTAAAGTGCCATCTTTTAGACTCCAAGATGTGGTGTATTGCTATTTCAATAGATTTCTCTAATTATGACACCTCGTCAAGTTTGCATGGGAAGTGTGCTACAATTAGCCGATCGGGTGTGCTACGTTTAGTCTCACCCGCTCGCTTCTGAAGTAAGTGTCAAAGTCCTTGTTTATTTTTTAGCGATTGCAGCATTCTCGCTAAGAGCGAATTGCCTATTTCCCTTCTGTGACCGTCTGGTCCAGCTGGTATCCTACGGCTATGCGTGCACCTTTCATGCAAACTCCGTGTTGGAGCCCAAATATTCTCCCTTGATGCCGCAGCCATCCCCATCGTAATAAGAAACGCAAAACATCGCTAGCCTCTCAGTAAGATGCCTGAAGCCCAGTGAAGCCCTGGAACAGTTGCGCAAGGTTGCCACTTCCATGACCGACCTGGCCGAAATCGAGCAGCTTCTGTATATCCTGCAGTCCACCCAGGTACTGACCAACGAACTGGTTCAGGAAGTCAATATTCTGGAGACCGCCAAGGTTAAGCACCTGCTGGTTGCTACCCAAAATGCCGATGTACTGATTAACAGCGAAGCTGAAGTTGATGACGATAGTCTGACTGAACTGGAAGAACTGCTGCTGGAAGAGCAACTGGTCGATCTGTTGCTGTAGCAGCAACAGCTCAAGCTCAGCTTGCTTCTGCGCAATGAGCTGCCAAGCATGAGCCTGCACGTCGAAGATGGCTTGTGCGGCGAGCTGCTGAACAAGGATGATGTCGAAGTTCTTCTGGCGGATGATCTCGTTGTTGTAGTCGTTCTTGTTGAACTTGTCGTCGTTGTTATCCTTCCTGTTCTTGTTCTTGTTGTTATCCTTATCCTTGTTCTTGTTCTTGTTGTCCTTTACTTTTTGGTCTTGCTTGAGCTTATCGGCTTTCTCTTGGGCTTTCTTGGCTTCGTCCTCGGCTTCCTTCTTGGCCTTGTCGGCGTCGGCCTTCGCTTTTGCTTCGGCATCAGCTGGCTTGTGCATCGCCTGTGGCGTTCGCTGCGGCGTTGTTGTCCACAATCTCGGTCACGTTCTGGGTAACGTTATCGACCACGCCAGCAGCAACGGCGGCGGCGATCTCGTCCTCTGAAGCGTCAGGTACAAGCAGGTTCTGGGAGAAAATGCAGCCCTCGGCATCGTCCGCAACATTGCAGGTGTTGCCGGCGGCAGTGGGGTCACCGACGTCGCCAGGCTCAAATGTGCCGGAGTTGATTGCCTGGAGTGGGTCGCCGCCGATGGACGCGATCTGGATGGCGAGCTCGAGAACGATGGCCTTGTTGATGTCTGCGGCACCATCGGAAGCAGGGTCTTGGTGCTGAGAAATGGCAGCGATTTCCGGGTTCACGGCTTGGAGAGCAGTGCAGTCGACCGATGCAAGGCCGACCTGACCGGTGTTGCGCTCTAGTGCACGGTACTGCAGAGCGGCAACCTGGCCTTCGAGGTCACCAGCTGCAACAGCATTGGTGAATGCTTGGTCAGCGGTGGCTTGCTGGAGGCAGTCTGGGAGCAGAATGTTAGTTGCGAAATCAGAAAAAGGGATGGTGGGTTCTGCGTACCGAAGTCGGTGATGAGTCCTGCGCCTTCCGAGGCCGCCGCATTACCAAGCAGACCAAAGACGGAATCCACGATCTGGTTTGGGTTGTCGAGCAGAAGCATCTCCTGGGTTTTGACGAGGATCGGCTTGTGCGACTGTTCCTGAGGGACCTCTCGACGCGACAGCTTCATGTCGCGAGCATGCATGCGGCTGCCCAGTGGGCTGCTGTTGACGTTTGCGCGAGCAGCAGCAGTGGCCACGAGGGCCGAAGCGGCGACGATCTCAGTATATCTCATGATGTCGTCGTGTGGTCAGTAAAATTTACAAGTACCGTTAGGATTCGTATATGCTCAATGACAGTCGTGAACGATAAATTAGCACCAGCCTTATGTGGTTAGAAAACGTTCGCCAGGAACGGAATGAAAGAATGAAATGCAGGGTAAAGAAAGAGAGACCGTGTGAATGAGGGACAAGCCTGTGTTGGGTGAAGACCAAGATCGAGGATGGTCATGGTTTGGACTCGCCTCTATATACTTCTGTGAATTTGAGGTCGCTCGCTTCAGTCAGCACAGGAGCTTGTGCTGCGACACTGCAGAGTCTTGTCGACGATGCCGGATCTGGAAACAGCATACCTGGATGATGGCACAATGTGAGCAAAGACGTCCCCAGACCGGCATGATCCATCGAGACGTTACCGGATCGAGAACGGCTATAGATCGTGCCAAGCGCGGGAGTGAGTGCAGCTCAACGGCTTCCGATGTGGCCGACAACGTTCAAGCACTAGTGGTAACGTGCTGGAGCAGTAACTTGGACCTGGACGATCGAAAGTTGGGGCGGGCTTGCGAGCGTTGACGGAGCTGAAGCAAGTACAATGTCAGAGTGTAGTCGAATGAAACTGTTGCCAAGGCTCGCTTGCTCGGCATCAGAAAACCCGAGGGTTTGCCTGTCTCGTGGGATAACCCCTCTCGCCTACCTCTCAAATACACGCGAAGATCGTGCTTGAAGGTCCCCCTTTGCAGAGCTTCTGGGTCGTGGAAGGTAGCTTGCACCTTGGCAAACTGCGGAGAGAAAAATTTCCGTGCACGTTCCCAAACGTTATAACAACCCTGTTGTGTAGCGAGAAGATTGGACGTGGAATAGATTAGTCTCTTCATCGGGCGTCAGCAGAATTGCTGCGCTTAACGGCCGAATTCTGCCTGAGCTCTGCATTATGCAGACCCTTCAAACCCTTCTCACAGCGGCCAACCACCGCCCAACGTCATTAGCATAAGTCGTTGTTTCATCAAGTAGAATATTCCACGATAGTCTCAGCCGTTTCATCGGCCAGCGCCCATACGAGCTATGCCTTCCATCAAGCCACCACTTCGACCACCATATCCCACACCACGTCCAACGTTACTTGGGGCCTTCAGTCCGGATCCGGGCCCTGGGATGCCGGAGAACTTGCCACCTTTGGGCGCTTGCAACATACTCATCGGTCTTGGACGAGTTGTACGCGCAGCAGAAGGCGTATCGCCGGTGGCCCCAGTGCGTGGCTTCCCCGGGCTTTGGAAGGAAGTTAGAGAAGATGGCCGAGTATTGCTGCCACCGTCCTCACTCCTGGGTGGGCTGACAGGCTGCTGGAGGGCTGCCTGGGTCCTGGCTCGTTCAGCTTGGATTTCTTCTTCCTCTGCCTTCAACGATAGGAATTCGTCAATCTGTGCGACGAGTTCGCCTTTCTCCACACGTTCTTGCTGTAGATTGAGCCGTAGACTATCCGTCTCTTGCGACAGAGTCTCGGCTTGGCTTTTGAAACCTGCGCTCTCAGCCTCAACTACCCTCTTCTGAGCAGCCAGGTCCTCGTTCCACCGACGGAGCTCCTCGATCTGGCCTTCCATCTTCATGATGGCATCACTTTGACCAGGAATAACTCCACTCATTGTTGCTTCCTTTTCTGTCTGTAGTCTCACCACCTCGTCTTGAGAGGCCTTGAGCTCGGTGCGCAACTGTTCGACCTGCTTGATCCATCGTTTTTCGTAGCTGATCTTGAGATCGGCAACCTTGCGCTCGTGTTTGGTTTTATACAAAGCATGCAGTTCCCGAGCTACACTTTCTGTAGCATTCTTGACGGCTATATCAACATCGATGGTTCCTCCGGGAGTCGATGGGTGCTTTGCTGGACTAGGCGTACCGTTGAGACGGTCGGACCGGAGTGTCTCCAGCGACGCGTTGAGCTCCAGAATTCGGACTTCTGCATCTTCTGTCTTTCGCTCTGCGTCCTCAATTTGCCGCCTTAGCTTTTCCCGCTCGCGCTCTTCGACGAAAGCATTCTGCTTGACCTCCCTGAGGACCTCTTCCATCTCTCGACTACGCCGTTCCATGTCTTCTTTAGCATGCTCCATCTCTTCTCTCGCTGCTCGCTCGCCTCGAAGCTCCTCACTGGCCTTACCCGCTCTGACCTCTGCATCTGTTATGGCGCGGGTCAGTGCCTTGACCTCAGCTTCTTTGCCGGAAAGCGTGGCTTCAAGTCCCGAGATTCTCGATTGCAACTCAGATCGGAGCGTCTCCAACTCGCGAGGCGTTACTGTCGGTATAGATCGTGGTGTAGCCATAGGCTCAAATTCAATGTCGATGAGGTTTAGACCGAGGCCATTGGATGCGCCATACATACTATGCCGGTGCGCGTGGCGACCTGCCGGCGTCTCGGGCAATTGCTGGTCTGCTGTGATGCCACTTGCTCGGTCGCGATCAACTGATGCTTGTGCGCGGTGAGCAGGAGTGGCGTTGACCTTGATTGGGAACGCGCCTCGCCCGGAGGGGCTTCGTCTGGACGTTCGGGGCGTTGGACCCGGAGGCGGGATGAGTATGTTTGTTTGGCCAGTGAAGTTCAGCAGATCAGTCGGAGAGTCGTTGGATCCGCGTGGTCGCCGAGGCGTTGCCTCTTCGTCTTCGGTGATGGAGTTTGTGCGGGAGAGGAGCTGTAACGGGCGTTGACTTGCACCAGGGGTATTCAGAAGCACCGAATTTCGCAATTGTTTTGACGGGGACCATGCTTGGCGGCTGGACTTTGTGGGCGAGTTCCGCAGATTGGCGAAGCGTGTAAGGTCTGTGGGGATGGCCGAGATGCTGCTGAGATCTCCAATTGTGTCATCAAACGCGGCATTATGTGGTGTAGATTGGGTCAAGTCCAAGGTGAAATCAACGTCGTTGTCGAGTCGGTCTGCGGAACTTTTTGGTGGTGCCATATGCCGGACTGTGCCAAGCTCTTCCGCTTCGGAGACCTCTGTGTCTCGCGAAGCGTCTGTCATCTGGTCCATAGCTCGAGTGAGGCCATCGTTGATGCGTACTGTGCCGTCTCTGGGTGACTCTGGAGGAGAACTAAGCATTGTGGCATCGTCTTGCAAGCGGTACTTGACTGGCGACAGTGGCTTTCTCGGACTCGACATGGCGCTGCCAGTATCTGCATTCTCAGCATCAGCGACAGACAGGCTGTCCATTGCTAGCGACGACGGAGATTGTGCTTCGTTCTTGATGTCGGTAATGCTGTCGGCGGTCCGCATAGGGGATAGCCGCGAATTGTGTCGAGATGGCGAGAGATCTGCGAGTGGTGCAGACATCACTGCCCAGATGATGAGCTGGGGAAAACAACAATCGGGTATCGCTAAGGGTAATAAAATGAAGCCCAGCGCAGTTGATTCATGGGGGAGTCAACGTCGTGTTTACTTTACTCTGAACAAACTCCCCGATCAAAATAAAGACCGGGCCAATGCATAGCTTAAACCACAAGGAGGCTAGCGGCTCCCAGGCGCCATGCACCCCTGACAGCACGAGATACTCAGGCACGTACTTTGGAGATTCCGAGCCTTCTCCTTTTCTCTCCTTTCGCACAGTCACTCCCCTGAGCCTCATGACCATCTAAAGCCTGCCGAGCTGGGACAAATTTGTTCACAGGGAACGCTCTGTCGTGATGTCCTGCGTTGCGTGTAGACAACTCCAGTTGCTATCGCGCTCTCACAATATCAAATGCTTGGCAGCCTTCACGAGCCTACAGTGCTTTGCGCTGATTCACGGCTACGACCACTTCCCAACTCGAGCAACTGCAAACTGTCTCACAGGTGGGTGAGGTACAGCGACTTGCACTCACTTTGGACTTGCATTCACTACTGCGACCTACAAGGCCTGAGCGGCGTCTCTGCCCGCGATACGGCCGAACGTCAACGAGCGCAGCACCGACGTTGCTGGAGGATACTCATTGTAGACTGCTCAGATGTCAGCAAAGTACGCAACATAGGCCAGCACCACCTACACAAGCCAGACAGCTCTCCAGCGGCGTACAGGTTAGGTATAGGCGCGCCATTCGTGGCAAGTACTTTGGAGTCCAGATCGCATTTTATGCCTGTCCAAGGTCAGTGTTCGTTGACGAGCCAGGTCACGCTGCAAGGGGCCATACCGCCATAGGTGAAGGTCAATTGTGCCTTCATTGGATAGCCAAAGTAAGGCGGCTTGTTGATGGGATTGGCCCAGTTCGTTTTATTTGGCGAGAGACCACTCGTAGCCTTGCCATCCAACTTCAACAGGTCGAACTCCTTGTCATTGACCGCAGCGTTGAAGTCGTCGACAGTCTTCTTGAGCTCCTGCGGGTTGAGCTTCAATTTCTCTGCAAGGCCTTCGATAGTATCGGATTGCTCAGGCTCTTTATCAGTCGTGTCAAATACCCAGCCCGGACGGAATCTGTCCATGATCACGGAGTCCGTGACAAAATACGATTTCTGGTTCTGATCTCGCCAAGTCTCAAGGGCGATCATTTCAAAGGTTGCGAACAGATGGCGCTTGCCTGCAGGGTACGTAAGTTAGGGCCAGGAGAGGCTGCGGCCGCAGGCGGGTCGCCTTTGTCCATCACTCACCTTCATCGTAGAAGCGTTTGCAATGCTCATTCACTACGATACCATAGTTGTGACCCCAGATCACGGCATCCGGCTTCGTTGCTGTTTGGTGGTAGTGTCAGTAAGTCTGCCACGGAAGCTGCGATCACTGGTGCAGGCTTGGGAAAATACATACCTCGAATGTCGACAAGTTCGCAGTGCATGCCGCTCATGGAGCCAGCGGTAGCCGCACCAACCTCTAGTGCCATCTGGAGTCCTCTGCCAGTATTGTACTTGAGGCCTGGAGCAATCAATTCCAAATGTTCAGTCCGTGGACCAACATAACGACCCAGCCTGTCCTCATCAGTCATCGACTCAAGCAATAAGCGAGGTAGGGACAACTCACATCTCGCGATTGCCCTCAAACCCTCCGCAAGCAAGCATGACCTTCCTTCCATGAACACTCTTGAGCTTGCCATCACTCTTTCTCACTTTCACACCACACACTTCCCCATCCTCTGTCATGAGCAGTTTCTCGCCCTGCGTCTCCCACATTACGTCCACATTGTCAAAGCTTCTGATGTGGTCGAACAGAGCATTGATGATGGCGTGCCCGCCTCCCTGAGGAAACACGAAATGCTGGTTTGTGTTGAACTCAAGAAGCACATCCTTCTCGTCGTGGTGGTTGAATTTGACACCATGGTCAAGTAAGTACTGCACGGTGATAGGGACTTCCTCTTCCATCTTCTTGCAGTAGTCTTGATCAGCAAGGCCTTCACTGACCAGAGCCATCTCGTCCTTCCACTTGTCGTCGAAGTTATTGTCCTTATCCAACCTCAGGTAGGCCATAGTCCATCGGGAAGCTCCACATCGCTCACCATCCTTTCCGGCCTCGATGAGGGCGACTCTGCCGCGTTTGCCAAGCTTCTTGCATTCTTCGAGGAAGTTGATCGTTGTCATCGACCCAGCAAAGCCGCTGCCTACCACGACTAGGTCGTAGACTGTCGGAGTAGCGGCAGTCAGATTGCTGGTGAGATTGCTGATGATGGAAGCCATTGTACTGGTCTGCTGGTTCTGCTATACGGTCGATTATCGAAGGGCAATCTCCCACACTCACGGATACGAGGAGAATGCTCTCTTATACGTCTTTACTCGAACGACCTCGGGGCCCTGCCTCCACGTCCTTCGCCTGCATGCTCCCCGCAATAACATGGATGTTCACTCATGCTAAGAAGCGAGGAGCCAAAATGCGTTGACGATCATTTTCCCCGCAAACGCAGTATGGCAGGGGTTCTCTATCAGACCATGATGATAAGGTGGCCGCACTTTCGCCTCCGCAGGGTGCGAAAGGGCACGATATGCTCTTGAAGAGTCCAGCAAGTCGCACTTACTGCAGTCTTAAGCGAGTCTCGACAAATATCATTGGTCTAGACTGCAACGAGAGGACGGCTTAACGAGTCCCTGCTGATGTTAACGCCACGAGGTAAAAGGCTCTTCAGTCGGTTCAAGTCTCACCAGGTCTCGAAAAGTCCAAAAATGAGGGGGTTGTGCAGCTATAGGCTCTCATCCCTGTAAGCTGACAGCTCCCGAGATGCAGAAGACGCTTTCGAGATCGAACAAGAGGAACTTTACTACCGTAGCAGATTCTCGGAAACATGGACGGGCGGTCGCGGTTTAGGATGCTGGTTGTTCGAGAGTCGGAAGTATGAAGTTTACAGCGACTTCGGAGCACTCTCATTTCGGATGCAGCCGAGCGCTGCCAACTGCTCTGTGAAGTTGCCGCAGTCGCCGCTCCAACAATGTTGAAGCAGCGGCTGTGCTCTGTACAAGCTAAACGACAAAGGCCTCGACCCACGTTCAAGAGTCCAAGTGGCCGCTGTATTCGATGGTGACGTCGAAGCTGTCCTCCGAGTTTGAAGCTTGAAGGGTAAAGTGACTGCCCCGCATGACCTGTGCGAGGAGTATATATACGGTAAGGTACCTATGGGTGTGAGAGTGTTCATATTGAGACGAAGTACACCGGAGGCGACTAAACTAGACTTACAATAAGATTTGCACATACTGACAATCACCCAAGCCGCTTCACGAGCAATTGGTTCGTCCCCAAGATGGAAGGCTCGTGTCTGTGCAAAGGTATACTCCCCTTTGCAGCCAGCAGCGCCTTCCGACTGAAGCTGACGACAACATCAAGCCGTGCAAGTCAAAGTAAACGACGACAACCTCTTTGGCAGCCAACGGCGAGGCCACATCTGCCATTGCGCTAACTGCCGTAAGGTAGCTGGTGGTGTCGGTGAGCCACCTACCACCTCGGCATTTGTCTGCGCGGCAGACATGACATCTACTAACACAAGCCTCACCAGCGGGAGTCAACCTCATAATTGAAGAGGAGAAGTCGAGTTCCCCAACGGTAAGGAAGGCATCAAGACATTCGCCGACCCGGACACGTTGAGCGGTACGCCTGTCAATCGGAACTTTTGCGGGACCTGTGGATGGTACGTCGTGCAGCAGCATCTGACGGGATTGAGTGCTAATATGATGCTTGCTGTCCAGCCCAATATTCAGCCAAACACCACTATACGCGGGTAAACTTGTGCTGAAGCTCGGTCTGTATCCCAAATTACCGTGAGTCTTCTGCCTTCCCCTAAGCCCAATAATCCAGAGAAAAGATCGCTGAGGGCCGTTCCAACAACAGAGTGCCTGAGTGGGAGTCTTTTGTCGACAAGAAGCAGACTTGGGAGGACGCGATACCCGGGACAGTCCAGTATAAGATCAAGAGTTTTGGCGAGAAGGTGGCGGGAAGCCAGAGAAGGCGGCAGCTGTCACAAGGATCGAGAGGGATGGAAGTTGATAAGGTGCTCGAGGCCAACAACTCGATTGGTACATCAAGAACTGTGTAGAAATTACCAACTCGCGGCCTAGGATTTACTACTCCTTGTACGACTTGCACGAGTATTCTTCCCTGTCCAGGGCCCGCTCAAACCTTGCATCGCATTGCCCGCATCCGCCTGACTTGCACGGCTCGCTCTCGTTGACCCTGAGGGCTCGGCGGCGCGAGATCTGCTCGCACGACTACTTCTCGTGTTTCGCTGCGGCGGTGGTGGAGGTGGATGTGTCTCAGAGCTCGGCTCACCGACAGGTCCTTCGTCATCAACATCGTCGTCCGCAGCATCATCATCATCATCATCATCATCATCTATGTCCATCTCGTCGTCGCCCCTTTGACGAGAGCGCCTTGTCGTCGGCGGGCCCTGGGCTGATACTGACGGTCCGCTAGGGGTGGCAGATTCGTCGTTCCGTTTCTTCTTGTTCAGTGTAGCAATCTGCTCGCGATAGGCCTTTTCGGTGCGCTTGTTGTTCTCCTTTTCTCTGATTTGTTTGTAGGTTAGAGGCGGGTCCTGTGCGCGGTAGGCTAGGAGGCGGTCGATCTCATCTTTCGACCATGCGTTCGGTTGGCCTGGCTGGTCTCCAATGTCGACGAGTCCCGAAGCAGAATCCGATGGCGCAATGGATGAGGCCCTTGAATCATCCCCTAGTAATCTTGCTCGTTCTGCCCTTCTCTTCTTTTCTCGATTCACGACCATGCGCAGATTTTCCTTCTTGACTTTGCCGTGAAGGCCGAATCCCGTGTCAGCTTTCACTGCAATCTGTTCGTAGCTATAGCCTTTATTCCTCCAGCTGAAGATCTGATCTTTCTGGTGCTGCGTCCATCCTGGCTCCTTAAATGCCGGAGCAGTGTTGTCAGCGGCGCCCTGCCGTTTCCTCGGCGGAGATGGACTTGCAGAATCAGGTTCTGGTAGCGCGCGTTCCTTTGCTGAGGGTTTAGCGACTGGTTTGGCTGCTCGTAAAGGCCTGGCTGGTTGCTGAGGCCGGATCGGGGGCTCCTCGTCTGAAGATTCTTCATCGCTTGAAATGAACCACTGTCCATTGAAACGCCGCTCCGTGTCTTCACGGGTCACGGCCTGCCTAGTCCTGGCCGCCTCGTCCACATGACGCAGCGTTACAGCAAATCTCAGAGGCCCGTGGTTTTCGACCTTATGCTCGAAGCGCTGATCGAAGCTCCCATACATGACCACTATAGACCCATGGATGAGAGGAATTCTATTAGTCGCTAGCCTGCGAGCGTCCTCATCGTGATTCACAGTCGGGTTTTCGCTAGGCTCGCTGGCTCGAATGAGTAGCTCTGCATCACCACCCAAGCTTAACGTTGTGATCGTATTGCCGAGATCGTCGTACCCATCGGCGTGCCAATCCAGGTGCATTCCCTCAAGATAGGCATGCACTTGAACGGAGTTGGTCTCGTCGGGCATATACCCTGCCATTTCTTCTTTCAACACCTTACCCATTAGCGTTTCTGCTTCGACGACGCTCATGTTCGAACGAAAGATCTTAGCTCTTTCGGCAGCTGTGCGGCGGTGACCAGCTGAAAGTCCATACTCCACGCCATAGACTGTGTGAAAGTGATCGTCCAGCTTAGGATGTAGATTCGCTCGCGTCAGGCCAAGGCTCTGTTTGTCTGCTAGTTGATTTGCATCCCTGAGCAAGTCGTGAAAGAGCTCGTCTGGGCCTTTTCGCGCAGTGTTGAATTCGGCTGTTGGGCTGACGATCTTGAGCATCCAGTCAGCTTCGGACCATGTATCTACCATATAGCTCGGCCGATGAACCCTCCTGACTACACCCAGTATGTCAGCGGAAGTCCCACGAGGCAGACCATTTAGGAGAGTCTTACCTGACCCACCAAGCTCAGGAGCCCATCTCGGCTCAATCAAAGGGTGACCTTTCCAGCTCACAAACGATCTCGGCACAATAGCCTGCAGGGGGATCTTGCCCATATCGAAGTCAAAATAGAATGGTTCTCCCGCCCGCTTGCGACACTGCTCGTCCACACAGTCCCACCTGCACCACTGCGTCGTCGGCACGATTGCCCTGCAGTTCTGACAAATCATCCCTCTCCAAAGCACATTCATCCTCGTCGTACCCAACACCGTCTTCGCGGTCTTCCATGCGGTCAGAGCGCCTGTCAAGTTCGGCGCGAGATCCCAGCTAGGCTTGAGATTCTTATCAAAGATCGTCCTTGCCATCAGGAAATCAGCATTGAATCGCAGCTTCTCAGGTATCTTGACAGGCAGCAAGCGTCCATCAGCACCGACCTGAATACCCTCGCGCCAGAAATTAGGACATTGTCGACTCAAACAAATCCAACAGTTCCGATATATTTTTGGACTCGGCTCGTTGCAACTTTTGCACCTGATCCGCTTCCCCGGGTCGAACTGATCCACCCAGAACCGCCTCTGATCCATCGACAGCACAGTCGGCGCACCCTCCCTCCCCACCAACCACCAAGCCTCCTTGTGCAGCTCCGCCCTCTGCAGTTTCACCATTCCCACCGCCTCCAGCTGTCCTCCACCACCAATCTTAGGTCGCATCTCCATCCAAAACTCGCTCACCCGGAAATGATCCAGCACAGCCCAATTCGCCTGCTGCGAAGGCCACAGTACAATTTGTTCAGCCTCGCCCCATCCCTTCCCTACAATAACCACAACAGAAGTATCCTTCCGCCACGTCTGACTCCACGCCTCCAGCAATCGCCTGCGCATCGCTTTACTCTTAGGTCCGGTAGCGACCTCGCATACCACAATCTCCCCATCAATCCAAGTCCTGCGCATACGGACATCCATCTCTTCGCCATCATCCTCCACGAAGTCTTCGTCGTTCACCCCACCAGGGCCGAGAACCATACTGACCACGACCTCGCCTTCCCGCTGGCCGCCATCGATCGCCAGACCGCCGCCAATGACCTCGCTGCTTAGTGTTTCCCCTCGTCGCTTTCCTGATCGTGCGCGACCGATGTGGCGGCCGACATAGTCTAGTCCTTCGCTCAGCCACGCCTTGTGTGGTGTCCATACTGGCGGTGGAGCACCGTTGCTGCCGCGGACAAAGGGGCTTTTACGGCATTGTAGGATGGCTTGGGCGTGGGCCATGGTGCGTTGGAACATGTCGTAAAATTGAGCATGGTCGAGGTGAGGTGTTTGTTGCTGCTGATGGGGTTGCTGGCTAGTCCTGGTGGCTGCATTGCTGGGGCCCGCCCCGTGACCAACAGGGAGATCTGTGAAGAAGGCGGAGAATTGCGTGTCGGGAGTCGAGGGGCGGGAGGCCATCTTCCTTGCTAGCGCGGCACGCGTCAGGGCGAACGCAAGCGCTGGTTCAGGTTATCGAAGGGTGCTTAGTCGCAAGCCCGAGGCATCGGTATGAAATGCTGCGGCTGGCATGAGGTCGCAAGTCGAGAATCCTCTGTTTATGATGAGCCAAAACAAGTTGGGGGTGGTCGGGGTGGTCCGGGTGTACTCTGTCCGGGAATGTAATGTTGCAGAGTGACATACCAGGGCAAGAGATGCTCATGGTCAGTGCACATGTCGAGAACTGCAGATGGGGAATCTTGTGAAGACCAATTCTTTACCTTGGGTATTTTTGTATCTGTACCATGCCGCGAGAGTCTCTCATAGAAGCCTCTGAGCCATCTAGGCAGTCTTCATGGCCGTCATGCACCTCAAGCAGATCTCCCTGCTACCAGGCCCTGGGTTTGCCAAACGATTTTCTCGTTACCTCACACCCTCGGACGCATGATGAATGGATGCTTCAAAGCCTCCGTCGGCGTAATCCTTTTCTCTGGTCGTAGATCCAGACACTTGTCTAACAAGTCGAGAAACATCTCCAGCTCTTTCCTCTCCTGATCATCCATCTTCTTCCCTTTGGGCATAAGCCGCGAGCGCAGATCACGTACTGGCTTGGCCTTGATATCCACTAGCTTCATGACCACTCTGCCCGTGACCTTATCGGTCTCCTGAGATCTGAAATTGAGCAGGTCGTCAAAGTGTTCGTATATCAATGCGCCACGACGAAGCAGTTTATGTGGGAACTTTCCGCGGCAGTCCATAATGGCTCTGAGCATGTTGTTATTGTTGCGTCCCGTGAAAAGGATCTTGCCGGTGTAGAGCTCGAATAGTGTGCAGCCGACAGACCACATGTCGATGCCGAAGTCGTAGGGGATGCCGAGGATGACTTCGGGAGCACGGTAGAAGCGAGAGACTAGATAGGGCGCGGTGGCGTTCTCAGTAATGGGACTGGCGGAGCCAAGATCAGCAATTTTAATCAGGTTGTGGGCGTCGTTCGCGAGGATGTTGTCTGGCTTCAAGTCGGCATGAATGTACTGACACTTCTTCAGAAGACTGAGACCGAGCATCAGCTGTTGGGAGTAGGCCCTGATGGCTTTGATGTTGATACCGATGTCACGCCCAAACTTCTTGAGAACTTCACGCAAGTTCATTGACATGTTCTCGAAGACCATGCAGAGATGGCCTTTGTGGTCGAAGGATCGCAGTAGTCGGACGACGTGCTTTTTGTCGTCGGGATCGTTGGCGGCGAGGTTCTGGAGGATGTCAAGCTCTTTTGCGCCGGCCTTCCTCATCGACTCGTTGTTACGCACTATCTTGATGGCAACAGGCATGTTAGTTTTCGAATCCGTCGCTCTGATCACTGACGCGAACATGCCCCGGCCTAGAGTATCTGTAACGCTGTAACGGTTGTCAATCAGCTCGCCCAGTATTGTGATGTAGTAGCCTTCGTGGTCGTCCCAATTATCCATCAGGCGAGCATCGAGAGCTTGTGCACCTTTGGGAGCTACCGCGGTAGCGTTTGATGGCCTGGCCGGGGCTTCTTCTGCGAACATGTCGTCATCGTCGTCATCGGCAAACATGTCAAACTCGCGGGCTTTGGGCGGTGCTTCGTCGCCCTCGATCGAGGCGTGAATTTCTACTTGCTTTTCCGCTTCCTCGATGGATTTATCGTCTTCCTTGAACAATCTGCTGTCGTGGCGAGCACGCTCGTCTTGCATGTCAGCTGTTGGGTCATAGTCAGCAGCAGATGGTCCATCCTCTTCGGGGTCGCCATCAGCGAACATGTCATCTTGGCCCGAAGATCTGGCAGGTGAAGCTTGGCTGTTGACTTGCGGGCTGCGAGGTGAGGCCGGTGTAAGCTCTCGGCTTCGTGGACTGCCATTATCGACCACTCCCAGCGTTGACGCCGCGGGACTGGCGCCCTCCGATGCTGTGGGTCCTGGGGTGTCTCGATTGGAATCTGCGTTGAGGTGAAGTGCTTGAACAAGTAGTGGTGTGGCCTGCCCGCGATACTTATCCCTCATCGCTTCTCGCCGCTTGCGGCGCTCTTCGATAATGGCTGCTTCGTCCATCACAGGTATCGGCTCATGCTCCTCTGGCTGATCTGTATAGGTTCTGTCCTTGTTGTCAGTAACCTGTCGCGTAGTGTTCTTGAAGACGTACTTGTCACTCTGCGATGTCTCTGCTTGTGGCTCCTGGCTCAATATGCTCGGAACAGCAGACGAGGTTGCTGCCTTCGATGACGGCTGAATCTGAGTCACTCGTGCCTTCCGGTCGTTGTGATTGTTCGACTGATCTACCTTCTGACCATTCCTGTCAGATCCATAGTCCCGGGTGACCTTGCTCGTGTCAGCACGTCTGCGCACAGGCGACCGCGATCGACTCCGACTGCGTGAGGACGCTCGTGATCTTTTAGGCTCGCGGTAGTCGTGCGATCCGCCGGGGCGGTGTAAATATCCATCATCCTCGTACCTCACGTGAAACGTTCGGGGATCGTGGCGGGATCGGTCGGGGCCATGGTCATCCTGCCGACCGCGTTTCTCTCCTCGTGGTGCGCGATATGGCGATCGGCTTCGAGAGCGGCGGGACCTAGCTGCTGGAGATCGTGGAGCTGAGTATTGTCTGGTATGACGGTTAACCTTTCTGTCATTACTGAAAGATGGCGATGTCTTTGCCTTCGCTTGTTCTGAGTCTGAGCTCAAGAGCTCGCCCTCGGACCGACTTGACGATCTCGAGGCCATGGCAGATGTAGCGATGGGCAGACACCAGTCTAAAGCTTTAGTTTGAATAATGTGTCAGCGATCGTTTCTCAGTACTGATATGGTGGTTGCGTGCCGACCGGTATCTTTCCTTCCACAACTCCCAAACTTCAGATTCGGGAGGCCTCTGATCGTGTGTCAACACATGACGGGAGTTTGAATAGTCTGTTGAGTGAGAGCAACGAGTGAGGCCAGATTGACCTTGAGAAATGCGCCAGGTCTACCTGTGACGCCAAGGATTTTCGCGACTTCACTCTGCCCCGCCAGTAATGGAAGATGCGGCTATAACTGTACGCTTAAGCAACTGCGATCTGGCCTGCACGCATCTGGAACTCATTTGCTCGCCTCCACTAGTCAATACCAACGCATCCGTTTGAGATGGGAGGCCAAGGAAGAGAAGGTGAGCGTTTGCGCAATCCTACAGCATACAGACTCATTACTGACCAACACTCGAACAGGTGGCAAGGCGAAGCCCTTAAAAGCACCGAAGAAGGAGAAAAAAGAAATGGACGAGGACGAGATCGCATTCAAGGCGAAGCAGGCCGCAGATGCGAAGGCGAAAAAAGAACTGGCAGAGAAGGCCAAAGGAAAAGGTACATCACCTACCGGTCTAGTTGCGCGAGAAGGACTCTGGACTAACACGGCGCAAACAGGTCCCATGAACACTGGCGGGCAGGGAATTAAGAAGAGCGGCAAAAAATGAGCACACACAAACTTTGAACACAATACACGATGCGACAGCGAACCGGTGCTTGGAGGCGTTTCTGGTAGGATCTGGGCAGATAGAAAAATCATCATATTCGCTGAACTCATGGGTATCTTCGTCAAGAGGCCAAATTCCACAGCCTCTGTATGCTTCGTATAGCTCACATGTGCCATCGTCCACACCTCCTCCACAGTCTTTCTTTCCGCCGGCTCGCTGTCCACGGACCGACAGCTTCTTACTGCGTGACCCTGGTAATCCAAAGCGCAGTACCACCTTCATATTCGTCAGCATTATCGCGTTTCTTCTGCGCACGATGCAATCGAACACCGACGTCGTGCTGTTCTTGCGTGATCTCGTCGTGTTCCCGTTCGAGCTCCTTGATGCGGACCTCGACCTCCTTCCGTTTGTAGATGTCGTATATGATGGCGTTTCGTCTAAGTGCTTCGGTCAGTTCGGATCGAATTCTGCCATTGTTGACCTTGCGTGTGAAGAGGTGTGCTTGCCGTGCCTCAAGTATGTCGACTTTGTCCTTGTTTGATGTGGCTTCAGGAGGTGGCGGTGGTGGTAGGTCCTTCGCTGTTGAAGACTGCATTGAGGACGATCTACGTCGATCGCCGACAGGTTTCCGACTTACGATACTTGCAGTTGAATGCCGTGCATCGCTATTGGAGTACTGTCGCATTGCTCGAGACGAAGCTGAAGGTGCAACGTTGGACCGAGGCTGTACTGGAGGGATCGAGGACGGCATCGCGGGCACAGGACTGCTGTCTGTGGCCGGGTGCATTGACAGCGGACTATCGTTGACCGTAGTCGCGTAGGTGGTCCAGCTGAAGCGTGAGACTTCATCCTGAGGTGCTGCAGAATCGGGATGCAAGCCCTGCTTATGTTTCATCCGAAGTGACGACCTGCGTGGCGGCGTTGACGGTTCATCGCCTAGACCGTCCGGGGACGCAACTCCATGCTTGTGCGTTGCAGCTGTTTCAGGGGCGCGTGTGGGTGCTGCTGACCGTGCCGGAGGACTCTGAAACGGACTTTGTAACAAGCCACCACTGGTTGGATCAGTCTGCGATTTGACTTTATCCTGTCTCGTCTTCAACGGTGCGATGGGCTTCACGGGCTCTTGAGATGGCACTTTGCGGATAGACCGCTCGTTCTCCGTACTGGTCACTTGCTGGTGAAAAGAATGCGGCTCTTGCACTGGGAGGTGGCCAGATCCAAGGGCTGGGCTGGAGTGAGCAGAGACCTCGGGCGACTGCGTCCTGGCCTGTGACGCGACCGGATTATCACGACTTACATTCCGTTGGGGAATGTTCAGTGGCCCCTTTCGAGCACTTCGATCGTTCCTCACAGGCTCGACGACGGCCTCTCTGCCACTCGCACCTTTCCAAGCTGGTCGTTGCTGGACAGGCGCATCCAGCGGATCTTCAACGGGCGGTGGCTGTCGGCCCCACGTTGTTTTCTTTGCTTCAGGATCCCGCAGGCCGGCCAAGATTTGCTTTGTTCTTTCCTTGAGCTGAGGAAACTGCATGGCAATTTGATCCGGCTCTAGGCGAATCGACCCGCGCTTACCAGTATCCGAGGTCGTCTGTTCACCAGAGTATGCGTCCCACTTGGTGTCCTGCTTCTTGGTTCGCTGGCCCGGAGGTGTTTTGCCTTCATTTGCTGTCGTAGACCTAGGCAGCGGGATCTTGCTCTTGACAGGGTGCTCGGGGAGAGGCGCGCGTGCAAAAGTTGGAAACGAGGACTCGATAGGAGACACAGTCGTGTCTGAGCCTATTGGGAAGGTCGCTGATCGCGGTGTGCTCACGGGCGATATCTCGTCTCGTACGTTCTCCTTATTTGACAGGTCTGCGGTCTTGATGTCTTCTGGAGGATGACCAGGCGATGGCTGGGAGTAAAGAGACGAGGCGATGCGGCTGTCGCGCTGTGTGGCATCATTAGTCGAGTAGACTGAGGAAGCGACTCGACTGTTGTCATGCTGTAATGGCGGGACGGCTCGACTTGAGGAATGTTAGCCTGTGCTCCTTCCAAAGTTCCAAACCTCCTTCAAAGACAGTCTCAACCTACAAAGGTAATTCTGGCAGAGCTTGAGGATGCGCTACGCTCTGTGGCCTCTCTCGAATGGACTCTACTTCATGAATTGTTTCTAGATATCGCTCATCCTGGTCGTAGTATTCATCGTACGACATTATGTTCGATTGCTCCTGTGGCCCCGCCGGCTGGCGCCAACTCTTCCACATCCTGCCGGACCTTCGGACTCCTGAAGATAGTTGCGCTGACCGACTGCTGTGTGGTGAAGTAAGTGTCTCCTCAGCTGTTGAGACTAACTATGCGCATGTGGGAGGGTTTGTCCGGCCACGTAAATAATCGGCTCGTGCAAGCGTCGGCAGTTGCGAATTGAGTAGAAGTCAGCACTCCTTCACACCAGTGGGCGATCGTTTGAGGAGTGATAGACTGCAGCAAACATTTCAACAGCTTACAACGAGAACAACAATCTGACCGAGAATGGATGCTTCCCGTCTGGTGCGTCCAAAAGATTGCCTGACGCCTCATTGACGATCAGCAACGGATCACGCGCTGGCCCGCTTTGATGCTTGCTCAGAAGCGCGTTCAGGCCAACGCCTCCAATCTCCTCGAGCTGTTTGCCCCTATTGGTGCTGCCTCTTCCTCGAACTAAGAGATCTGAGACCTGAAACATTAGGTGGGTAATTAGGGGCGTGGCTGAACTCCGCAATTCATCTGACGTTTGGTTCCGAGATGTTTCACTCAACGATTGTCCTGCTGGACCTATATCAAAATTCGGGATGACAGCAGCGTGGCCGCCACTCTCTTCCTCATGACACATGTCAGCTGAAGGAGCATTCCTTGGTGATTGAGCATCTGGCTGACCGCTGCGACTGGGCTCACACTACACAAAGGCGGCCATCCTCGGTCACGTATCGATGTCTACCTATCTGTTATCTGTTGCATCGTTCATGCCGTGAAACCTCCTTCTGAGCACACACGGTATCAGTCGAGTCCTGTCTGCACCACGACATCCTCTAAGGGGTCTTCTTCTTGGCTCCTTGCGTGCCTATGGTAAGGAATGGTACCGCGACCAGACCGAGAAAAGTCGCGCCCAAACTGAACCAGAAGGTTGCTTGGTATGGCCGATACTGGAGAGCATCCGCGCCGTCTGCTGTCCCACCAGCGCCTTCGTAGACAGCCGTCTGAATCCCAAGGGCAATCGTCGAAGCTATGCGGGCAATGGTGTTAAACATGCCTCCAGCGACAGACTGTTGATCAGAAGACATCGAACTCAACACATACATGTTTGTGACGGTGAACTGGAAGTCCACTCCAATGACCGAGCATAGCAGGGCCGGGAAGCTCAGAGCCCAATAACTCAGTCCAGGACCTGTGGCACTCCATAACGCGCTCGCAACGACCAGACTGGCTGTGCCGACAACCATCAATACTGAGGATCAATTAGTCACGCGATCAAACGGTTGCAGGGTCCGAGTACTCACATTTGTTGCTGACCTTGTGCATGACCAAGCCAGCCACAGCATTGACCACGATGCCTCCCACACCCGCGGGGAGGAGCCTGACAGCCACCATCAAAGGCTTCTGGCGCTCAACCCGTTGCCACAGAAGACTTATCCAGAACAAATTCCCTCCGAAACTCAGGTTTCCTATGCAAAGTGCAAAGACCAGAATCGAGAAATTCCGATCCTTGAACACGCCCAACGGCATCAGAGGATTCCGACAGATACTCTGCCAGTAAATGAAAGTCCCGATCAGGATCGCCCCAACGATCAAGAGCGCCAGAACATAGCCCTCCCGCCAGCCCCCCTCCGAATCCCCCGTCAACGTGAAGCTCGCGGTGAACATCCCCATCCCCGCAACCGTCAACACCGCCCCTACCAGATCAAATTGTCTTAACGTCTTCATATTCCACCCACCCAAACTCTGCTCACCATCGCTAGGCACGGTCCACCATGCCGCAACCGCAAATACGGCGTACAGCACGCCCATCGCCCAGAACGACACCCTCCACGTCCCTACGTCCGTCGCCACCCCAGCGATGAATCCTCCTAAGACGAACCCGACTGGATATCCAGCCGAGAAACACGCGAACGCTCTATTCTTCCTCCAGCTCGGCACCCTGTACACCCCACCCAACTTCCCCAACGCCGGCGGCACGGCCGCCGCGCAACTAATCCCCTGCAGTCCACTCATCACATCCAGATAGACCGCATTCGTCGCAAAACCAGCGACAATACTGAACACCGCAAAGCTCGCCAGCGCAGCAATCAGCAACCACCGCCGTCCAAACAGATCCGCTACACGACCGAACAGCAGGAGAAAGGAGCCGGCGGCGAGATTGTTGGCGGCGGACAGCCAGGAGATCTCGGCGGAGGTCATGTTGAGGGACTGCCCGATGGAGAATGTCATGACCAGGATGGCGCCGTTGAAGACACTGTTGGCGCCGACCGCGACGGTGGTGGTAAGGACGAAGAGGCATTCGGTTAGGGTGCTGTTGAAGTAGGGCGGGCGGGCGCGTAGGAGGGGTCGGCGGTTGGGTCGTCGGTTGGGGTCGTGGTGAGGGTGTCGGAGGGATTAGCGGTTGAGGGGCTTGTTGCGAGCGTTGGGTCCGGGCTAATCTGCTTTGCTAGGGGCTGAGGGGCTGCTTTGTCGTTGTTCGATGCGTTCAGGGGTGTGCTGGTCCGAGAGTGAGATGTCCCCGTGAGCTCGATTGACTCACTATGGATGGCCTCGGTGTGTGCTGTCATGGCTGCTGGAGGTTGATAGTATAAGATATTGAGTCAGACTTGATGCGTTTGGGGCGACCATATATAAGAGTATAGTCCAAGCCAGTCACTGTATCAAAACTGCTATGTACTATTGTTGAGGGCCTTCCTTCATTTCGCAGTGCCAGTTCGGATCTGTCGAATTCGAAGTGCGCAGCAATGTTGGTCACCAAGTAGAATTTCAAGCACTGTAACATATAGCATGTATTCACCGAGCCACGTCCCTTTATTAAGATGTTTTTTAGCTTATGCTACTTTCAGGCAGCACGGTCAAATTCCGCTTGTCATCAAACTATCGATTTCGCAACAAGGTGACATGTAGAGCAGCTACCTAGGTATAGAAGATCATCGGCGGCCTCGTCATAAAAAGGCAAGATCGATCCTGACCAATCCGGCGACTTCCCAACGGCTTCCCGAAGCAATATCCCCGAGCATAAGGAAACACTTAGTACACTGCCCTGCTCCTCGTGCAAACCGTGCGTTTCGGACTCCTTGAGCATAGACAAGTCGCATGCTGCTTTTGGAGCGCTGCTCTAATTGCAGAAACGTGCTGTGCTGAACATCGGCGTCTTGTGGCGGGAAGTCTACCATGTCAAGAAATGCTGTTGGAGAAACAGAAACCGCGCCGGATGACGAAAGATATTTCTGCCTGACATTTGAAATTTGAAATTTGACCGAGCACCCGTGTGGCCTTCGGTAATGCTGTGATCCAACATTTAGGCATTGCAGCTTGAAGGCCGCCAACTGCTTCACACGACCGAAGACACGCACCCGTGGCACATGGTGAGGTGTCTCTACCATCTTACTCACAAGTAGCACCTCTCCCAGACCACTGACGCTGTAGCATGATACTGCATGAATCCCTACCTGCACATAAGGCAGTCCTTGTGACCCTGAGTGCCGCGTTAACCGACGTCCCAAGTCTTAAACCGTTGTGCGAGAGGATGAAATCGAGGCAACAGAATGCATCGGACAGCAACGTGATAGATGGTTCGCGGACGATATGCTTCGTTGTACTCAGTAGCCATTTTAATGCAACGGATTCATTCAGAGATGTATGATCAAAGTAGCGGCTCGGATCCATTCGATTTGGACCTCGCGCGTGGCTATGCGTAAGGGTCATCCCGGGTGACGGAGAGGTCTGCACAACTGCAGACAATAGTCCGACGTCCACTTGCGCCGTATCTCATACTCAGTGGAACGAAGTCTGCCACCAGCATCAGTAAACAGTCCCAAAGCAATAGGATGAGAGCCAGCCTCACCTTATGGAATGCCACAAGCTTCCCAACAACGAGGTACTGCACACGCACTTGTCAGCCTCATCCCGATGATACCACATCTCCCTACCAGCACCACAACTCACCTTCTCATCGAACCTCTCCACCCACCCCTGCAGATTCTCCCTCTGCTCCCCCGTCAAGTCCTCACACGTATCCAACGGCCCGTCCAAATCCTTCGTCAACATCTCTTCATCAAAGCTCTGACACGCCAACCCCCTCGTCGCATCCCTCCCTGCAAAGTTCTCGTACATGCCGCCTGGCCCGTAGAAATTCCTACCGGATGAAACATCGTAGACTTTCCCCTTCACCGCCAAGTACACCGGCCCATTATTCTCGCCATTGTTCGGCAGTAGCGTGCGGGGCGTGAACGTGCGGAAGACGGTCGCGGCAGGTCCCTCGGGGAGCTCGACCGGCGCGGTGGGGCGGAAGCGCAGGTACAGGACCGTGCAGAGGAGGACGAGAAGGGAAACGTTGAGGGGTGTGAATAGGGCGTGGAAGACTTCCTGGGCCATTTCTTGGTTTTTGCGGATGTCTATGGTTCAGGCGAGTTAGCTTATGCTGGTAGTGACCGGTTTGAAATGTGGGTATGGTACGAACGCTCTGGGATCTCTCCGCCGAAGGCTCCTTTTGAGGCGCCGGGGACGACGGTGACCGCAGTCACCGTCTGTGTGAGGCTTGACGTCGTCATCGTAAGCGCGAGGCGGAGAGTATAGTAGGTTTGGGCAGAAACAAGAGTAGAAGGCGCTACTGAGCCAGACGTTAAGATGAGTACTGAAGTCAGCACTGATGATGGTTCATGCGCGTGGATGATCCCGCCGGGGCTGTTGGAGACATGGGCCTTATTTCATTTCGCGCTCAACGATGTACAGCGGCGACCTACAGCAATGAACAGCATACCAGAAGTGGCTCGAAAGAGGTACACCGTGATTTTCAATGTTTATCGATCAGGGTATTTGGGTCATGAAGACGCTGTCCATCCTATCTACTGCAAGCCGCTATCGTTAACGCTGTAAAGAACGCCCATGGTCAAACCCAAATCTGGTTCCCGGTCATACACCACATTCCCGCGGCCACTGATGATGAAGGTCCAGCCAAATACTTCGGCCGTCTGGCTTTATGGATTGTATGCGCACATACGCTTCGGAGGTTCATTGTAGTATTGAATCTGTTCACGCTCACAACTCAGACTTGGCAGATGAGGCATGCTTGGATGCAATGCTAGCAGCCGAGCTGGCGGACTTCGACGCCTGAGCGCTGCCGCTCTGAACAGGGCCGGAGACGTATCCAAGAACCCATGACAGACCACTCTTGATGCGCTCGTAGATAGTCCCAGATGGAGTCGAGGTGCCGTATTTGAAGTAGTTGTACTGCTTGCGGGCCTCGGCGCGAAGCTCATTGAGGGTGGTGCCTTGGTAGTTGGAGATGCCGTAACCATCTGTTGCATTTGTTAGAATGGACAAACATATATCGGGAAGGACCAGAACGGGAGACTGATGTCTCGCCTCATTCAGGTCTAGAGGTATACTCACCAAGGTACTTCTTGAGCTCGGACTCTGACCATGTGTCGAAGGTGGTGTCCTTGGCAGCATCGGTCTGCTGGGCAAGATAGTTGGTCGCAGATGCGTAGTTGCTACCGCCGGTCTTAGATGCTGATGCATAGGCGTCCTGAGCTTGCTTGACCAGGTCATCACGGGAAGCCTTCGCAGTTTTCTTGGTGTCCTTTCCCTGAGCCTTCAGATACTTCTGCAAGTTATCAACTGTCCACGTATCGAAAGTCCACGCAGACCAGCCGGACTGAGCTTTGTGCTTGTTGAGGCGAACCTGCTTGACGAGTTCGTTCTTCTTGCTGCCTTGTGGTACCGGTACGCCGCGGGCATCTAGAAACGCTTTGAGCCGAGACTCTCCCCAGGTGTCAACGACGCTGTAGAAAGCGTCGTCAGCCGCAGCCGAAGCACTATCGGTGGCCTTGGCGTATGCGTTGCCTGCTGAGGATGTGGCAGCTCCATAGGCTGAAGCGGCGCCGCTGGACACAGACGAGGCCTCGTTGCCAGTGAGTTGAGCACGGTGCTTGCGCGCAAGTGCGATAAGCTCATTCTTCTTGCTGCCCTGTGGTACAGGAACTCCGTGCGAATCCAAGAATTCCTTCAGCTTCGAATCGGACCATGCATCAAACAGCGCATCGCTTAGGCTAGCCTGAGCCGATTCAGCAGAGGCACTGGCTGAGGAAGCCGCGGATTGGAAGCTCAGAGAGGCAAGACGGGAGTTTCGGCGAACAGAGGCGATGAGCTTGTCGCGAGTCGAGGGCTGAGGGGCAGGCCAACCACGAGACTATCGCACTTGTTAGAACGGACTTGTAATGGGGCACAGGAGTGACTGGGGGACTAGTCTCGTTAGAGACAAACTCCAATGTTACGTACATCGAGGAACTCTTTCAGGTCCGACTCGGTCCATGAAGAGTACAACCAATCACCAGGATATGCGGAGTATTCGCCAAGCTTCTTCGCAACGCTGTCGTAGTTCTGACGAGCGCTGGTGAGGTACGAATCACGGGCTCTTGGCTGAGGAGCGGGAATGTTGTTGTGGTCCAGAAAGGCTTTGAGTTGCGACTCAGTCCAGCTAGTCATGTCAGTAGTGTTAGAACGATCGTCGAGGTTTAACGTACCTGTCGAAGATCCAGTCCTTGACTGATTCGTAGGAGTCGGTAGTCTTGTCACCAGCAGCAGCGAGTGGGTCGACGATGGTGGATTGCCAGTTGCTCTTAACGAGGTTCTCCAGGTCTTTCCGATCGGCAGGGGTGGGATATGGGATGCTATGATCAGAGAGCCAACGCTCGAGCTCGGTCTCATGCCACTTATTGTACGCTGTATAATGTTAGACCTTGACTAGACCGGTTTGACCTCATTGAACTTACCAGCCTTGCCGAACCACGAGCTTGCGGTAGCCGTCGTGGCCAGAGCCCCGACGAGGATCTGGGAGAATCTCATCGTTGCGATACTCAAGGACACACTTGAGTCTTAGTACTTCGCAATTCAGATATGGTGGGATGAGAAGGAAGGAGGAAATGGCCGTGGTCAGCGAGCCAGAAAAGGCGGTTCAAGTTTGTTGCACTTTGACGTCAGTGAAGACTCCACATACAAACACAACACTTGACGCCTGGATGACGAGCTTTTGTTTCTTTTCACCGCCACAAGCGTCCAGAATTCAGGTGTGGCCTCAACCAATGAGTTGAATCATGTCCTATTCGCTTCAGGAGGTGGCGTCCGAAAGCGATGCCCTGGCGAGTAGCAAGAGCCGGCGTGCTTCAAAGACATCGCTCGGAAGCATTGCGGGGGAACAAGCATGACGTTGGGGCACCGACGGAAGCTGTATCCGGATCTGATACAGAACCCAGTACCACCAGGTACTTCGGCTTCACTCAACTGCAGTGAATGCTACTGGGAATTCAAGATCAGCCAGTCTCACCAGTCCGCGACTATTCGCGGGCTCAAGTGACGACGAGAGGTCGCTTTCACTGCCAACAACGCGTGCTGAGCATTTCCGTTGAACTTTTTCCTGAAGCGGATAGGCTTGCGCATGACATCAAGATCTGCATGAAACGCGAGGTGCGCGCTGCTATTTTTCTGGTCGTGTAGCTCGATCTTCGCTTCTTGAAGAGCAGACAGAAAACCCAACAAAACAATGCTAGCCCTCAGGAACATTACTCGAGTGTCGGGAGCCCAGAAGCAACCGCTTGCCGTCTACTTCACTCGCAGGTTCGCCCATAGCGACTACGGCGGAGACCAATCTGTTCACGACAAATCGAACGCTGCACCAAGACGTGACCTAGAGCACCCAGGTCCTGAGTCCCCTGCCAGTAAGGGCTCATCATCGTCCTCAAACGGCTCCTCCATAGCCTCGAAGTCGTCCAACCTCTCTCATACCGAAGCCAAAAGTGATCAAGGCAGCCCGGCGATTCATCAGCCAAATCAGCTGCAGAAGACAGTGATCCTGAAGTCAAGAAACATAACGAAGAGATGGAAAATAGACATGGGAAAACGACCAATCAGTTGTCTGAAAAGGACAACAAGGTAAGCCTATCCGTTTCCCGTGAGCCTGAACCACCAGTCAGCCAGGAGACTGTCTCGACCCAGCGTTAGAGTCACATCTTCCCGACGATTATCGGATCATCTGAGAGTCCTGGGCAAGGCACTGCCACCTTCGAAGCTCTCCTGGCGGCGATCTGACGATTGTCTGGCCTCAAGCACATCTCCCCTCTTTCCTTCTCGCGATGCCCAAGATTTCTGGTTTAGGCTGACCAACATCGGCAGGTGCCTCCTGGGTAGGTGCCACAAGTGTACACTTCTGCGTCTGGTCCGCTTTCAGCGGCCTTAGAAAACGAGAACTGGTTCCTGACAGCTTATAGATATTGGAAAGGCGATGTCGGCGGTCCCGACAAAAGCGGCGGGCAGTGATTGTCGAACGATGCGTTACATATCGGTTGCACGCAGCACTTGCATCTCGTCATGAGGGAGTCCGCCTCAGTCTCAGTAAATCTGCCAGTCTCAGTGTACCTCTTTGGCCCCAGCCAGCTTGCCCTTGCGCGACGTCGGGTCGGACGAGGGAATACCAGGACTGTGCTCTGCGATCGAGTTCTTCTGAGGTCAGCGTGCTTGCCCATGATTCACATACTATTTCGATAGCACGCAATACCACGGCTGCAGCCTCTTCCTTGTCTGCCATAATCTCGGCGGCCGATTTCTTCTTGCTCCCGCTCTGCGACGTCTCCTGTGTGACAATCTTCATCGACTTGAGAAGGTATTGTCGAGCGGATTGTGGAGTATGAATTGGAGGTCCTATTGCTTCCCTACCGCCACTTGCTCCTGCGATCAAAGGCCCGTTAGATTTGCGCAGAGCCTCGAGATCGATTCCCCAGAACGCTTGGTGTGACGCCGTGCTCGTTTGCTGCGCTCCAGGCTCTGAGGGCACCTCTGACGCGCTAGATGTCGTGTGTCTCCTCATGACGGCTACGTCGCGGCCCTACCGTCACAGTTAGCACTGATTACCCACAACTGCAGTAGAAAGCATGCTCATCCGGTGCGTGTTCGATCGAGACGGCCGTGTTAGGTCGACATGCAGATGATGCTTACCATAACACGGAGCTTGGGCTGACCCTGAGCCAAACATCCTCCTCGGCTGTCGGCGAGGTTGTCAGACCAAGATACTTCGCCTTAGACTGTGCGCCTGCGCTGACCACCGCTTGAGCTATCGACAAACGACTTGAAAGTGGCTGGTCTGGCTGGAGAAATCCAAGCATCACAATAGTGAAGGCTAGAAACAGCGGAGCGCGATTTGTCTCGATACACAATTCACATAGCTCCTCCTCGGTCTTTGACGTAGTCGGTAACGAAAGCAGCGCCTCACTTTCCTGCCCATTCGGTTCAGCAGCAGAGCGGGAAAGAGATGCCTTATTGACACTCGACCGCTTCTTTGGACTTGACACTCTCCGGGCGGCAAGCACCACTTGCTTCATGACCTTTTCGTCCGGGAATATGACCTTCAAGTCGGCACTTGGGGCTTTGCTGATAGCTGCCGGATCCGAGAGCGACATATTTCTGAGTGGATGAATCTTGGGCATAGCATCCGATAATGAAAGTCGAGCATCTTTAGTGAGGAAACGTAATAAATCTTGTACCTCTGTATGTGCTGGACTACTTGCCATTGCGACCGGCCAGTGATGGAAGACACAGACCAAGAGATGGCCTTGGCTGCCCAGGTGCGGTTGCCGAGCAGTGAGCGGACTTTGCTATGGTAGATGCCTTGTTCCTGCCACGCGCAACGCTCCAGAATGTCTTATAACACACGAGAGTACGAAGAGTTGGCTTCAATTGAACACAAAATGACCTCGAAATCAAATGGTCTGTAGCGATTTGTGGGTTGGTTTTCTCTATGCCAGGTCCTTACGTCTGTTGTTCATCGAGGATACTAGAGTCCACGCCAATGACACAATAATGAAGCAACTGCCCTTCAGTTGCAGCACCAGCAGAAAGGTCAGCCTTATGATTCAGCCTCGGCCGTCTCCCTGAACCTGCACTTACGGCAGCACGGTCGCAGCAGCTTGGCGAAGACAGGCCACACCCGCACTGTCCTCTGGCTCGACGACAACTGTGATACAGACGAATAATGGCCCGCATTCTGTCTCTGCTCAGATCTTACACTACACACATGAGTTCCTCTGGTTCTGTCCATACTATAATCAGTATGTCGGTGAGCGAGCGACCAGGAACAGCGATCGGGAAGAAACCGCTCTAAGGCCGTGTGTATCGGCGTTTTGATCAATGACGGCATTGCCTAGCAATTCTGGGGCTAGGCGTGCATGAGCGAGTTAATTCGATGAAGCGACCGGGCCACGGAACAGCCAGAATGTTAGCACGGCGCTCGTTACTGCACATTGGTGTCATACACTGTGCCTGACTCCAGTGTGCTCAGGATAGGGACGACTCGAGTTCTAATAACACAACCAAACAGTGCCAAACACGAAAAATGCAAGGTAGGTCAGCACTGCAAAGGTGACCACCCCTGATGAGGTTAGCCATGACGAACTCTGCTTGGGCGCTCCCCTATTATCCTGCCTATGAAGTCAGGGCCGGAATGGACCCACGACCTATTTCAGAGCCCTTTCGACAGCAGCACTGCATGGACGACCTTGAAGAAAATCCAGGTCCATAAGCCTGCAATGCATCGCTGATGAGAAGTTATCGAGTAGAGTTCGACAAAGTTTTGAACCTCCCAGACTAACCACCTCAGGCCGTGGTACCGTGAGCGCAAGCCAGAGAAGCCCGGTAAGAGGTCTAATTCCACTGGACAACCTGCGCCTCCAATTGCTCCATCAATGCACCCAAGCATTGGAGGTTCATGAGAGGGTGGGCACCGGGCAGGGCTCTCTGGGTTTAATTCTGCCAACCCGTAGTAGGGCCTTCATCCTACCACATCCGCCCAGACGATACCGCTCTCTGTCTCTGCGGTTGTCTCCAATCTCATCATCAATCCTGCACAGACTCTTTACCATTATTCACCTGAGCCTGTCCCACGGTTACGACAACAGATGTTGCCCTATGGTTTTCGCATACCCTTTTGACGACCGAAAGACAAGCTTTATCGCCGCTGTCTGCGACAAAAGGTCCTAAGCGGCCTCCTTCGGCTGGCTTGGTGCACAGCCCCCGATGGACCCAACTGCCACCTCGAATCCTGAGCACAATCCAGTTCGAAGATCATCAAGTCACGCGTCGCACCCGCAATCAATCGCATCATCCCGTACACAGCGTACAGACATCTTCAGTGATGAATTCGCTGTCGACCGTGCCGACATTGGCGAGATGACACCAGCCGACACAGGCATGGAGAGGTTGGCACCTGGAAATCCTTCGCAGCCTCCGAATCCTACACGCCGGGACTCACAAAGCCAACCACAAATACCGATAATCAACACGACGAACGATGAAGAGTCGTCTCCTGTAACGCCAAGTTCGAAGGAAAGGAGAGCTGACGGACCAAGCTCGTCGCGCCCGACTTCCACAATTCTTCTGCAACAAGATGCCGAGCCGCGCAGATCACTCAGTGTATCATCACAATTCTCGATACCCCGAGCCCCGAGCCCTTACAATGGCCCAACTGCACCTAGCCAGCCATACGCCATGTACCCACAAGTCACACGTGCTTCGAGTGTAGCAAGTGGATCCACTGTGCGCCCTGTCGAAAGACCGTTTGTGCCACAAGGCGGTCCCGAACATCCCTACGCCATGTACCAGAACGCTGTACCGGAGGAAGATGACGATGAAGCCGACGGATCGGAGAATCCAGCGGCTGGGTCGGTCCTGGGCGCAGGCGGAGTTGCTTCCAGTTTCGCGGGCGGATCGTCCTCTTCTGGGAACGATACAGGGGACATAGTAGGCAGGGATGGTCACATAGAACAGCTTCCGCCATACACACGATACGCTGACAATGTTGTGGCAAAAGGGGACATGGCCCAAATCAATTCGGGCGGGTCGATGCCAGTGACGATGCCGGCAGAACAAGCATCACCTTCGCTGACAGATGCGTCGCTGCTTTCGCCGAACCAGTCCAGCTCGGAAGCTGAGATCAACCCCACGACATCAACATCTTCTGAGGAAGAACAAGAGATAGCGCGGAAGGAGGGGTTGTACGAGAGGAGCAAGAGAAGGAAATGTTGCGGGATTCCAGTCATTATTGTGGTGCTTCTCGTCATAGTCATCATTGTGTCTGCAGCAGTCGGCGGAGTGGTGGGCGGAATTGTTGGCAACAGGAAAGGCGTTGACCATGCCAAAGCAGAGTCTGCAACAACGACGACAATGTGGCTAGATGCTGACCCGGTTGAGACCGGACCCTCCACGCCGCCTTGCCCAACCGGTCACTTCAGCAGTATTCCCTTCGATGCGATCGAGGACATCAACCAGTGTGTTGGCAACCCTGGCCTTCAAGAAACTTGGGACTGTCTTCCTCAGGCGAACCTGGGCGTAACAATCCTGCCAGAGCGAGACTCGGGCGAATACTCGATCACCTTCGACGATTACTCGAACGTCCCCCGGAGATTCGCTTATGGACCGCAGCCACCTGACTTCAACGGGACCAAATTCGCGCTCGAGCCAGTCGAAGACCGCGACAACCGCGATTATGGAGTGGCGATGTTCTTCAGTTATCTATTCGATAAAATCGTCATTCGTAAGTGCTCGAGAACCCTGGCAGAGTCGTGTAACTGACCAAATATAGTGCCCGAAGGTGATCTGAATCCTCAAGACTTTGACAAGCGAGACGGATCGAAGCCACAAATAAGTCGTCGTTCAAATTACTCAGGGTATCTGAGAGAAGGCGACAATCCTTGGTATTGCTACTGGAACCAAACAGTGGAGGAGTTTTGGATATTTCTCGAGCAGGACCTCAACTCTTCGTCGTCGACCACTGCCAACGTCTCCGCCGCAGCAGCCATGGCAATGTCATCGACATCCTATGGAGGTCCGGGCTCTACCGCCACGCCATCAACACCACAGACCTCCTCACTACCATCGCCCACTTCTGGATCGAGCCCAACCGCAGCAGCACAAGCTATGTACGCAGAGGTTGTTTACGAAAATCCACCCGCCGAGCCTACGCCTTCCGACTGGTACGGACCAAGATATCAGCGGGTCAGACGAGCAACTCCTACTAGCGAGAGTCGAGGAACCTACCCGACGTTCCCCAACATGATTAAGATGATCGAGAAGCGAAAGCCCTTCGGAAATATAGAGCCTTACTGCCAGCAGATGGTCGTCCTGGATGATTTTGTTGGCATCGTCCCCAAGGAAGGCGGAGCGATCATCAACATCGAAGAGAAAGAATTCAACGACAACCCGTACTCTTCGCCCTCATCCGATGATGAGACGAACATTATTGGTGATCTGGAAAGCCTGTGCGTCTGCGAGTGGAGATATCCTCAGACCTGAGTCGTCGAAGGTTGAGTCGTATCTCTACATCGCACATCCGCGGACATTGGCTGAAATAGCCGAAGGTGGTGGGCCGTTGTCCTCGCTGGAACCATGGTAGCACGAGCTCAGAGGGAGCTCCAGGCGCAGCAAAGCCGTGACCAGCGACCAGCGAAATAGGCGGTACCAACGACCCCGTTCCTGGAGGCCACTTGGTGTTGCGTGTGCGCGAAGGATGACACGGAGGGAGAAAATCCACTTCCCACCCGGTCGATGCTTGGCAACTGGAAGTCGAAGGAAATTCCAAAGAGCCGTGACGTCGATCGCGTCCGATGAATTGAATTCGATGTTCTGACACGGTATTTCCGAGGAGGTCATCTACAGCATTCACCAATGGCTTGGGTTGATCGACGATGAAGTCAACGAGGGGTCCCAAGAATGGAATGACGCCCATCTGATTTGTTCGAGCGGACGGATTGACGGTGCTCCAACAGAGTGTGAAAGAGCGGAAGAGTGCAGCACTGCCGGATTCGACGGCATCGGTTACATGCCATTGTTAAGTATACGAAACAAGTCATGGGGAGTTAATAGAGTCGGGGAGGTGGCTCTCCACGCCTGCGGAATGGGAACAGCGGCTGCCGACAACAGCCCGTTCAGAGATGGTAAAAATGGGATTTAGCTAGGACATGTGAAGCGTCTCTGGAGACATGCTTGGGTTGCACGGTACGCAAGTAGCCACGTTATACATATCTATGCGCATATTGGCTGCTCATAAGCACTGCAGTATTCCACAACGAATCTGTCCGGAAGTTCGCGGCTCGAAACATGGTGCCCTTTGCCATTGGAATCGCACCAAATGCGGCTCGCATAGGAGGCCGCGGCGGCAGCAGTGACAGCACACAGCGTCCAGGAGCCATCACAACGATCACAGCGTCCTGTGTATGCTCCCTATCGTAAGTGTCTCTTAATCGTGCTGCCACCAACCCCCCTCCTGGATAAGAGGGTATCCGTCAGGCTATCGACACTAGTCATGGGCGTTTCATGTCCTAAGATGACCACCTGGGCACGCAAGGGTGGTGCTCATCCTGAGATTTAAGAGGGCGCTGAAGGGCTGACATCGTTCACTAATCCTGTCGGTGGGCTTGAGAAGAGCCTCACTTGTGAGTTTAAGTTTAGAAAAGATATATCGAGAAGTCACAGCCAGGGAGGGCGCTGCAAAGACTTCGGCAGCATGCCGCAAGTTTGAGAAACCGCCCGGCTTTTGCTCCCACAGCTTGATTTGTCGCCTCGACCCAATTATGAAGGCTCTTCGACTAGTCTGCCACTCTTCTTTCGGTCACGCGGTAGCTGCTGACTGCTGATGAAGGTCTCCGGAAGGACGTACTGGCAGCGAGGACGGTGCGGTGGTCAATGGCGGCTGGATGCGTGAAAGTCGTGCATATCACGGATGGCAGAGTTGCGGGCGCAACTATCCACTGCTCCTCCTTCACAACCTACGTTGGGTCGTACCTTCCCGCCTCAGCGACCGGAAACGGATCACACGTCATCCTATCTGGGAAGAGCCATCCCGAAGGCTCTTCAAATCGGTCGTCCTCAAACGCGATGCTGGTAATATCTATCCTGCTCCGCAATGTGTCTAGCGATGGGATTCCGATGAGAAGAGTACTCCCGTCTTCTTGATGCTGTACGTATTTTGTCCCTTTCGATTTCATGATCGACTGGAATATTCTTCGGGCGTCTACTGCTCCTTGGGGGCGGGGTAGGCTCGTCTCTTGTAAGACTGCTCTCACGAGGCGGTGGGTAGTCCTCTTGGAACGCTTGATCGGCACGTATGCTATTAAGTTGCATGGCCTTCGTGGCGGCACGCGCACTTCGCTGATGCGCTGCAGATCGATAATGTTCGGCAGGTTGAAGAGGTTTTCGGGGAGTAGGTTCAAGATCTGGCTCTCCACGATATCCTGGTACGGCCGGCAGATGCTTCTTTGGTGGGGGCTGGGAAGGAGGTGGCATTGGATAGTAGTATTTCGATCGATCACGTTCGTCGTCGGAAGGACTAGTGCTGTAGTCCATGTAAGTGAGCATGGTCTGGTCGGAAGTCCTTGTGACTCGCCCGTCGGTGGTACTGTCATTGTCGTGGTACAGCTGTCGTGGGGGTCCTAAGATTCGTATGGGCTGGTTGCTGCCCTTGCTTCGATCCGACTTTGGACTATATACCGATTGGTCCCGTGAGCGGGCCACCACCGTCGCCGAGCGTAGCGAGTCGATCTCCGGGTCGATATGCAGAGACGAAAAGGAGTCTAGGGATACCGCGGGCGGCGATGCTGGGCGAGTAACCGTCCGGCTCGTCGCTGGCCGATCAGCGTAGTCGAATCTCGGACTGGGAAGGTCAACGGTAGCAGTTTCATCAAGCTCGAGGATCGGTGTCTTTGAGCGATATGTTCGAAGAGGTCGCCGTTCCGCCCGGCCATCTCCTTGTTGACTGGTGGCGCGGTCGATGGATCGTATTCGCCGGAGAGAGCTTTCCGTCAATGGATCTGGTACCGCTGAGACGCAGTGCAGATCGGGAAGCCCAGCGAATTTAGAAACATGGTCTCGAATTTTCCGTTCAAACACGTCGCTTTTCGGGCGGGCTTCAGGATCCTTGTCCATGCAGAGAACAACTTGCTGAAGTATTGCGCCCACGGCGGACAATACTTTGCTCTCGTCTTGTTTGATCTTCTTTTCCGCATCGTCGGATCTGTTCGAATTAGCGAAAGGAATCCTGCATAGGGCATTGGCCATCGCCGGGGAAGGAGAGGACTAACAGTATCTGTGCCCAAGACAAAACTTGGCTAGGATTAGCGTGGAAACTCGCATCAGCCAGACCACCACCTCTTCCAGCATTTCGATTGTTCTTCGACCGGTGTCTTGCAAAGGCGCTGTACGTCCGCTTACAGAGCACTGTAAGGATATCCATGATGACTGCCCCTAGTGTATACACGTCGGCCGCGAAAGAATCGTGCTGAACCGACCTCCACGTCTGCACAACTGCTGTTCGTTGCTCTGGGGCGGCCACAAAGATGCCCTTTCGAGGATCAGAAAACGCTCTTGGACGTCCCTCCGAGCTGTTGGAGGACATGACGGAAGGCGGCTTTGTTGCTTTCCTCTTGGGCAACCCATAAGATTCGATTGAATCACCATCCATTCCGTTCCGTGTAGAGAGACGAGAGCCCAAGCTCGACTGCCTGCCCGAATTTGGTGTGTTACTCAATTTGAGTCTACTGAATTCACTTTTAGAGGCCGCCTGAAATGTGTAAATCTCGTCTTTGTCGGAATACTGACCCAACGTAGATCCCGACCTCCTAGTGCTGGGATCGTTGCTATCTTCGTCCCTTTGAGCCTTCCCGCCTGATCTGTTCCCGGATGGGAGTGAAATCTTACCGTGCCCTGTGTTCTGCACGGTGACGGACCTCTTCCAGCGCTCGGGTGGGGCGTATTGATAGGACTCGATGTCGTCGGCCTTCGCTATCGAGCACAAAACGCCTTCGCCATCCATAGAACCAAGACAAACATCGAAATTTTGGGTGACATGCACGTTCGAGGGACGAATTGCTCCGTGGTGGCCTCCGTTGTAGTGGAGCCAAGCCACCGCATTTGCTAGGCAATGAAGCCAATTTATGAGTTTGCGTCGCCGATCTGGCTTAGGCAGCGCATCAAACGCTTTTGGCTGGTCCATAAGGAATGTCTTGAGCGAGTACTCGCCAGCAGGAGTCGAAAGAATGTACAGGGAATCGCCTTGTACATAACTCGCGAAGACTGATAGAACGTGCTCGTGCGAAAACTTCTTCAACTCTGCTATCTCACCGAGAATCGCTGTCTCGGTCGTTTTAGTGTTGAGAGCGACTCGCTTCCGGACTAACACGCCGCTTGTGCCCGACGGCAGGCGCACAGCATCAGTGCTGTCTTTGTTGAGTAACGCTGAGGGTTTAATCCCGATCACCGTCAGCGGGACACTCTCCTCTTCCGCGTAACGAATGTGCTCGCCATCCTGGAGGATTCTAGCAAGGAACTTGAATTGTGCTTTGTAGAAGCGTTTGTCCAGTGCTACATCGTGCTCGATTGAGAGACGCAAGGTCGGAACGATGTGTTGCGCTATGGGCAGGTCGTCATCCTCGAAACCATCATCAATCACACCAAAGATCTGGTCTGGCACACCAGCGTCGACAAGAATGAGGAAGAGGCGCTTTGCCCGAAGGACAATCCAATCCAGATAGGTGTTGTCCGTAAGATCCCCGGCATGGTAGAGTGATCGTCCCAATATCTCCTGTTCGTTGGCTCGGAGATGTGAATGGACATATGCAGGCGTCACCGTCTCAGCGACTCTTTCGTCCGTCCACCATGTTCGCGCCCCAGGAGGCATAGTCGAGATAATGCCTCACGTGATGGTCTGAGACGGACGAGAAACAAAGGTCTGCTGGACGACACGAGACCGAGCTCTGCCACATTGAGCGTCAAATTGTCTGGACCGGGCAAGAGATACTCAGGTAACGAAAAAGCATGTCCTCGTTGAGAGCTCTTGGTTATCTGAGGTGACACGTTACGCTAGCATGCCGCCAAAGCCATTCTTCTTCCTAAGCTGGAGTAGTGAATCCTTCTCGAATCTTGAGCTGTGAATAACCAAAGCTGCCGAGATTTGGGACGCTGTAATTAGTATATGCACGTCTGGCAATTGGGAGAGATCATGAGCGTTTGATCCTTATCGTGCAGCGTGGCCCGGAAGGTTGGCCTGATACAGGAGTCAACTAACTGTCAATTAAGATAGTCTCGTCTGAAGGTGGGACTGAACCTATCAGACACGTGGGGAGCTCGGCTGGGACAAGACAGCCGATGCAGTCAGCACGGGGTTGTGGAAACATGCTTTTGAAAAAAGACGTTCCCGACGAACGCACGAGTCGTAGTTCGGACAATCCAGGATTCTCGAAGTGACAGCTCATTCATGGTTTCATCTCAGCGGCTTGAAGGACAGCACAGGAGTGACGACGACCTGCGAACTGATTTTATCTCCGATCGACTTCGAAGCTAAGGACGCAACAGCTTACGCGCAATAACAACTCGCGGTTGAACTCGTCGTAGTGGATTATCACGCTAGTGGTCGCGAAGTGCTGGGAAGCCACGGCAGCATTGGCAGGGCCGGCGGGCCCATGCTCTAGCTCCAGCAGAAGCGAGACGTCAACTATCGAGGACTTATCCGAACTTCGAGCATGGAGAGAGGTTCGGAAGGAAGATAGATCTGAGATGAGACACCTCCAACCCCTGGCTGACCCAACAAATAATGCGAGGGCATGAAGGTGAGCATATCGTCAACCCGCAACCACGAGATCTAGGGCCACGGTGCGAGGGTACGCAACAGAACTCTGAAGTGAAGCGAAGCGTGCGCGTCGTTAAGTATCCATGCGATTTGCTTGAGCTTTCGAGGTGGAAGCCAAGGCGATCCAAATGTAAGGTACAGACTCCAGAGCATACATCATAATCTCGGTAAGACATCCCTGTACTCAAGCCCGTTATAACCTATAATTCATGTCGTTTACCATCATCCTAGGGATTTCACCGAGGCCACGGTCTAGTCGCACAAGCATCTGACGCGCTTCTGGGTCCTTCTCTGCTCTCGTAAGATTTGAAACCTCAAGTGCATGCCCGACGCTCTATGTCGCTCTGAATAGGGACGCACATGCTACAGACTCTTTGACATATACCTTTGCAGGAGAATGGCTGCGCCTGCAACACAGAGCTGTCTCAATAGTCCTCAGCTTTCTTTTGCTGTATATCTGCAAAGCCCGCCAATATCAATACTCGAATCTACTGCAGGGTAAGAATGAAGATGCTCTGTCAATCAGTTGGCGTTGGCAAAGCATCAACAGTGCATGCCTAGCTAGGTAGGTACGGGCTGAGATCAAGCTGGCAACCATTGGTGCTTTCAAGGACTGGTCACAGTGGCTGACATTCCTAACGGCGCCAACACGCCACCTGTAGCTAATAATTTGGAGCCTTTTGCTCCCTCCCAATATCTTCTATAACACAGCTTCCAACGTTAGGAATTGTTGCTAGTTGCATATCACATTCATTGCGTTGCTGTGCCATTTAATACAGCTAAATAGACTTACTGAGCACACCCACAGCCGCAGCTGTACGCGTTTAAGGACCAAACCTCCAGCACATCCTGCTTCCGCAACCGCAATTGCTTAGGCAAGCAAAGTACTTCAGCTGAACATGTTGGCCTGCACGCTCGAACATCGTTTTCCACTCAAGATATGCCCCGCCTGTGCATGCGCCTGTCGCGCCTTACTGAATTAGTGATCCAAGAGGCAGAACTGCGGTTGGGGGTACTGAAGGCTCCCGAACACAAGACCTTACCCAAGCAGTTGTTACACAATTCTAAGCAGGAGCCTTACACTGGCAGCGCAGAAGGCTTCGCCAGCGTCCACGTTGTGAAATGTTGAGCCCTGCGAAAATGTTCTCTGTTATTGTAGCAAACCGTTGGAAGTATAATGTCGTGCATTAGGGCTGCTAAGTCAGCAACCAACCGGGCTGTCGATCACCCGCGCCACTAAACTCCAAGGGCCTAGATGGTGCCTGTCGGCCTGCAGCTCCATGGGAGTCTAGAACATTTTGCCCAACGAGCCGTAAATCGCATCTCTGCCTGGCATCGTAAATGTCGCTTTTTCGCTCCTTCTTGTGTTTCTGTATGCCCGTCACCCACTGCTACTGAAGAAAATAGCAGCGCCCAACTTTGGCTTCACTTGATCACCACGATAGCGTTGCGAAGACTGCATCGAAAGCACAGCCTGCCTTAGATATCGCACACCAGAGGGAAGGCGGGGAACGGAGTGCACTGGAAACGAGCCCGGGATCTGGAGTGACCTGTGCACACAGCGGTTCTGAAATTATCGGCGTGAGACCTGCGAAACGAATAGTCTGCGAGTGAACAAGTGGGAACGAAGTCTTGCGTGAAGGCAGGCTCGTTGCCTTGCTCTCATGGAGCCTCATTGTATGTCAATTCTGAGCTCCCTCACCAGCGACACTGGAGCCTCAAGCAAGCGAAGTCTACGAAATCTGTCTTGCGATGCACCCAGGACGGTCAAGACAGATGCCTTGTCACATCCGTCCGCAGATGAAAGCCTTAGTTCAGAGCGCACAAATCCATCCCGGTCAAAGTCGTGCGACTTGAAGTCAATCTCAACGACTTCCTCACAACATCTGCAGAAGTGTCTGCCAACCTTTGCCATGGGACCGTTGAGAATGCCACCGCGAGAGAAAACGGCGCCGGAGACCTCGTTGCCTCGTCATACGCGCTCATGGCCGCCAGCAGGTGCATCTACTCCGTTCGAGTCTGAGGTTGATATGACTCCCCCACCCACACCACCAACGGAGAAGGATGCGTTCAATTTCTCGACATCAGCCAGCAAAGTCCATTCAGGCGCTCCTCAAGTATCAGCGGCATCGCAGGTTGAGAATGAAACGACTGTGCCTGTGAAGCAATCCTCTGGAGACCGCCCGGCGTCCATATCATTACCTTCAAGCAACAATAGCGAGGAGCACACCGGACCCGCCACTTGGCTGGACCGCGCTCTCCGGCACTTGCGTAAGGAGTCCCTGTCGTGCAATGACTTTCGCTTACATATACTGCCAGAACCGTCCTCGAATGCTGCCATTACAGCTCCAAATTTCCAGATTGTTGCTCAGGCAATGCCGGGATATGCAGGCGATACTTCTCCGAAGCAAATCTTCGAAGCAGTCGTAAGCAAATTACAGGAGCCAGCTGGCAATGTGCCGAACATCACGATCACACATGTTTTTACATCGCGTGTGGATGTGAGCCTAAAAGATGCACCAGTCTCTCCGCCTGCGACTCCCAACGCATCCGATGGCGGTAGCGATTATTTCAACCATCAGAGGACCTTCACTAATATCGCACGAATCCGAGACTATCACTCGATCGAAAATGGACCGCAAAGGCTCACCTACAACGTGCACGTAGCTCCACCCAACTCTGTACACGTCAGTCTCCTAGAGAGATATCTTCCTCCAACGACACGACAGGAGTTTCAAGATTTCTTCAGCCTGGACAATCGGTCGTATCTTGTCGATCGCCTCACAGAACTGCAAGACGGGAGCTGGGGTCCGACTGGCGGTTTGTTGCTGGTGTATCCCACCCTAGCAGGCGCGAGAACATTCAAAACTTACTACAAAGATCCTATACTCGATCCTCTTCTCCGCCGAATCATTTCACTGCGAGGATTGACGACAAGAGCTGGCGAAGCCTTGGGCAGAATGGATGCACTCGACGTCATGATGGACTTCGACGATATGCAGTCTGCGATCGAAAGGATATGTCGTGGCTTGGAAGCACGTTCGACTGCCGCCGGGCGCGCAAGTCATTTCACTCTTGAGCACGCGGAGCGAATCGAAGTCGTTCTAGAGAAGCGAACATGGATCCAGCAATTCATCGCGCAGGAAAGCTCACGTATGAAGCAGGACTTGATCGATTATCAAAAAAGCGGACAGCGCATGCCAGCAAAAGACTTCGAAGCTTCACCTGCAGCTCTCGCAAGAGAGGTAGAGGATGGCATTCGTAACAGTACAGAGGCCTCGGGGGGCATTGGCATAGAAATGGGCGTCTATGTCATTCGAAGAGCACTGGTCTGATTGTTGTTGACCATGCTAGGTGGTAGCCATGGCGCTTGGGCTGGTCTCGTAGCATTCTGTGTATAGTGGCGGATGACAGTCCCACGGTTCAGACATGTCTCCGGCAATAACGAAGATATTCAAGCACAGTTTACACTCCGCATACTTACACAGGAATCTTCTTCTGTAGATCTGGGCGGTCTAGACGCGGACTGCGCCACTGTGGCTTGACCAGCCCGTGCGGAAGAGCCGGAAATGCATGGCATCGAACCCCAGCTGGGTCCCAAGGACTTCCCTTCTCTTTCTCTTCATGGACACTGTTTGCGTTCTCTCTCAGTCGACAATGAAAAGTGATGTCTGGATGTCTGCCCGATCACATCGAGGAAATCATTCCTGAGATCTAGAGTCGCTAGCAAGCTCAAGCTTTAACGGAAGACCGCGTCGGTCATGTCGGCTATCTGCATGATTGCCCTGATATCTGCCAGAAAGCAGTAGCCAATGGGATGGTGATCTTCAGTACGTGAACCTGCTACGATAGGTCGAGCATGTCGTACATGGGTATGGAAGAACACTACCGCTCGATGTGTCGCAAGTGTGCCATGTGTTTGAAGCTAAGGTATCTTTGATCTTTATCACTTGCCAATTTTTATCTGTTGTTTGCGTTTTGTTTTCGCGTTGAGCTTTTTCACTCGTTTTGAAGCACCGAGCTTGAGGATGAGGGTAGTTTCATTGTTGTGGTGAAGAGGACCCTGAAGCTGTTGAGTGGACTAATCTGAAGGTGGATAAGAAGGCGCAAGGTGAAGTCGAGTTTGCTTCGCAACTGCCGTCGAAAACAACGCTGCAAGAGCTTGGCAGCAACCACCATAATTCCATCGCTGGCAACTATCACACTCGCTTGGACAGCCTCTACTCAGCCGGTCAATCACCGCTCGACATCGGACAGCTTCACGGCGACAGCAGTCTCCTGAACGGACTCGTGCATCTGATGATTTCACGATGGCCTTCTTTTTCTTGCTTTGCTTAGTGCTGGGCGTCTTCTCCACGATCATCAATTCGATCCCAACCATCTCGGTTACTGGGGCCAAGTTCTTCACCAGCGAGGGCAAGCAGTTCTTTATCAAAGGTGAGCGGAGTCCTACCGAGCCGGAGTCCTGATCGTCGATGCTTAAAGTCGCATTTTTGACCACGACGGACTCGACAACCATCGCAGCAGCCTCCCCAGTGCCCTTTTGTGCCGCACCGCTGACTCTGACTTGTGCAGGTGTTGCATATCAGCTGATCGAAGACGACCCGCTTGTTGATGTTGACCAATGCGAGCGCGATGCCACCCTAATGCAAGAGCTTGGGGCCAATACTATCCGTGTCTATCATATCAATGAGACTGCCGACCATTCTGGATGCATGAACGCCTTCGCCTCTCGAGGCATCTACCTCTTCGTGGACCTGGACAGCTTCAAGACCTATATTAGCTATGTAAGAAGTCCCTTGCAGCATGTTGAGGACGGGCTGACAACATCCAGAGCGGTCAGCCATCCTGGACAGAGGAGAAAGCTGCCTCCTATCGAGCCGTGATGGACAACTTTCAACAATACGATAACACAGCCGGTTTCTTTGTTGGCAATGAAGTGCTCAACTCTCGCGAGTCCGCCCTTCCTCAGGCACGACGTTGTACTAATTACATGCACAGAGACGGACTCCCCAGCAGCTCCCTACCTACTCGCTGCTGCGGCCGATATGACGAAGTATCGTAAGGCAAAGGGCTACCGCGATATTCCCGTAGGCTACTCCGCGACAGACACAGGTGCTCTCCGCCCAATGCTTCAAGATTACGTTGCCTGCCGTCCTGATGAGACTGAGCGGTTGGATTTCTATTCCGTGAACACTTACTCCTGGTGCGGCGCCGCGACCGAATACCAGACCTCAGGCTATCCAGCTCTGCAAGCACTGAGCCAGGACTATCCAATCCCGCTCTGGATGTCCGAGGATGGCTGCAATACTGCTCCTCCGCGCGATTTCAAGGATCAGAACGCTGTATTTGGCCCGGACATGATCGATACATGGTCAGGAGCCATGATCTACGAGTGGATCCAAGAAATGAATCACTACGGTCTGGTCAGCTATGGAGCGCAGCAAGCACCTGACGTGACGGATGGAACGCGCATTGTCAATGGGTAAGTCACAAACTCCCGGCGTGAGAGGCTCACTGACGCTACGCAGATTCACCAGAGAAGGTCAGCCAGTACCTGTGCAGCCAGACTTCGACAATCTGAAGCAAGTGTGGGCCACAATCTCGCCAACTGGAGTCGAATCGGCTGCTTATGCGGCCACCTTTTCCGCCAAGCTGCCTCAATGTCCAGACTACACTGCCGACGGATGGAAGGTCGATGCTGCTGCTGCCTTGCCAACCTTGGGTGCTCAGGGAGTCAGCTCAGGTATGGCCAGTGGCGTCCCATCAGGCAGTATTACAGTTACCGGTATCACTAATCCGAGTGCAGCACCCACAAATGGCACAGGAGCGGGAGAATCTGGTGTCAACGGCACGGCGACGCCATCCTCAACATCGACTGCTGGCGCACAATCAGGAGCTCAAGGAAACGCCATGATCGGCGGCAACTATGGCCTATTTGGTGTGCTCGCAGCTGCGCTGGCCATGGGTGCATCCTTTGTGTTCTTCATCTGATGGACGTCTCCCCTAAAGGATTCGTGCATGTAGCTGGTAGTGTTGTCGGAAGCAGACCATCATAGATACGTGCGACTGAGCTCATGCTGGCGCCAGAAGCATAGTGGCATAATTCTTAACTACTTCAGATTCAAGCAATCACTTTTTACTTGAGCGTCAGCTCCAAGCTCTATACATCAGTCTGAACAATTGATCTCGAGACGCCCCACTCGCTACCTACTCGCTCCCGCATCCTTAAGGCTGGCTTAAGGCAACGTACTACGTTGTACAAAGACCTAGGTAGACTGCACATCTGCTATATCTCGGGGTTCCGATGTCCCTTCACTCGGTAAACCACATACCTAAGTAGTGATGACCCTATGGGCCGCACATCATTCAGATGCAATTATGATTCGTCGGCTTTGACGAATAACACCAGCCGATTCTTCCGTTGGGACCGTCGGCCAAGACAAAAGCGACTGACTAATTGCTGGCTTTGCACGGTACTCCGTGGCATTATTGCAGGAAGACCATGCCGGTGTTCCTGAATGCCCATGTCGTCGACCGCTTTCCCCCTCGAATTTTCAAAATTGTCTTTCTTTGACGGAACAACAATCAGCTGCAGAGCCTGCAACGACCCACCATAGATTGTAGATCGTCCTTCAGCATTTTCGATTTATCATCCGTCCAGCTTGGCACTGGCGGAGCTCAATCGCAAGCTTGTTGACCTTCGAATGAGGAAATGCATGCGCAGTTTCGGGTTGCCAACGTCAATGTTTTTGCGGCCAGTCCGCTTGTACGCCGTCTCGGACTTAACCTCGAAACGGAAACTTCGATGATGAAACAATATGCTTTTTCATCCATGTGCTTTTGATGCTCTAATCCACCGCCTTTTACTTTTGATGTACACCCTTTGAATCCTCCATTCCTTTACCTACCTTCGTTTCCGCCAATTGTCCTCTCGTCAGATTGTCGCCATGCTGGGTCAAAATAGCAGTCATCACCAGTGGCAACGCGGCGCAGGTGACGGCAGTGAGTTCCAATCTAGTGCACATCCCTAGCCGGCCAAGACTGACTGACGACACCAAACCCAGGCTATCGTACAGAACTGCACAACATCGCTCCAGGGGATGCGAGTCTCGACACCACAGCCGTTCAGTCACCAAATTTGTCCGACGATGAAAGTCCAGTACGCCGCAATGCATCAGCACATGGGGCGAACGCGATATGGGAGGTCCGGTCAGCAGGGAAGGAGCTATGGAGGAATTCGAGGAGATGCGACGGCAATTGACCAGTCTCAGTTTGCAGCGGACAAGAAGCAGGTCAGCGGCAGCACCGACTCGATCTCGACTGTCCTTTGCACGTACGCGATCAGGCGCTGGTCGACCGCCACAGCATCCGAGCATACGCCGGCGTGACAGCGAAGCTACTGCAGATACTACGAAGACCGAAGAAGGTGAAGGACCTGGTGCCGAGCAGGATGACGACAGTGAGGACTTCCAACTAGGTGACTTCCTTAGGGAGGGTGGCTTGGAGAAGCGAACTCCAGAGGGAGATTCGGCGAAGAAAGTCGGCGTTGTCTACCGCAATCTCACAGTCAAGGGTGTTGGTGCCACGGTCGCGTTCACTAAAACGTTACCGCAAGCCATCGTGGGAACTTTCGGACCTGACCTTTATCAACTAATATGCAGATTCTTCCCAAGCTTACGACTTGGCAAGAAGCCTCCCACCAGAGATCTGATCAAGGATTTTTCGGGTGTAGTCCGAGATGGTGAGATGATGTTGGTACTTGGTCGGCCAGGCAGTGGCTGCAGCACGTGTACGTATACCTACGAACCTGGATCGGGAGGGACAACAGTCTCCCACTTCAGGTTTTCCCGATACATATTCTGACTGACAGGTGCAATAGTCCTCAAAGTCATCGCGAACGACAGAGAAACATTCGCCTCTGTGGAAGGGGACGTCAGCTACGGCGGCATACCAGCATCGGAGCAGAAGAAATACTACAAGGGGGAAGTGTCATACAACCCAGAGGACGACCAGCATTTTCCGGAGCTCACAGTGTGGCAGACGTTGCGCTTTGCCTTGATGAACAAGACTCGAAAGCATGAGCATGGTTCAATACCAATAATTGTTGGAGCGCTATTGAGCATGTTTGGGATTACACACACAATGCATACCAAAGTCGGGAATGAATATGTTCGAGGCGTCTCTGGTGGTGAGAGAAAACGTGTTGGGATTGCGGAGACCCTCGCTACGAAGAGTACAGTAGTATGCTGGGACAACTCTACTCGCGGCCTCGATGCTTCCACAGCTCTTGACTACGCTCAATCGCTTCGACTCATGACAGACATCTCCGACCGCACGACTCTCGTCACACTCTATCAGGCCGGGGAGGGCATCTACAACGTCATGGACAAGGTTCTCGTCATTGAGGAGGGCCGAATGATATATCAAGGTCCTGCAAACGCAGCCCGACAGTACTTCGTCGACCTCGGATTTCACGCGCCTGACCGGCAGACTACGGTATGTCCCCTTTTCGCAAGCCTGAACCAGTGAGTAACTGGGAGCTGGTCTGGATCGGGTAGCAGAGACAATTGTCTCGGAGGCTCAATCTGCCTACCCTGGTCTCCTGGATAAGTGGTTCTCTTTGTTCTGCCAGCCTACCTCAAATCCCACTGACGGCCACTTTGTGGTCGTCTAGCTTTGGCTCGGGATCCCCCAGTTTCTGATCTCACACGTCCCTCCGAAGTTCTGGTTCAGGCTGACCAAAACCGGCGGTAAACAGGCAGACTTCTTGACGTCTGTAGGCGATCCGAATGAACGCCAGTTCCGCTCTGATGTCGACATTTCAAGTATTCCGAAAACCGCTGAAGAGCTCGAGGCTACCTTCCGCAAGTCCCAAATATGGCAGATTCACTAGCTGATGTGGATTCGTACGAGAAGAAATTACGCGTGGAGGACTGTGCCGCCACGAGGCAGTTTCAGCAGACAGTCTCAGAGCAGAAGTCACACTCCCCTATCGATGCTTCTCTGAAGCGATCTAGCTATACCGTATCGTTTATGCGACAAGTACTGGCCTGTTTTCGACGCGAGCTTTGGCTCTTCCTCGGCGATCGGTCCAGCCTGTACACCAAGTTCTTCATCATTATCGCGAACGGCTTGATAGTTGGGTCGCTGTTCTACGGTGAATCATTTGGCACGGGTGGCGCCTTTTCGCGAGGTGGCGCGCTGTTCTTCAGCATCCTGTTCCTTGGCTGGCTGCAACTATCGGAACTCATCAAAGCTGTCTCTGGCCGGGTCGTGATCGCCAGACATCGAGAATACGCCTTCTATCGGCCCAGCGCCGTGGTGATCGCCAGAGTTCTCCTGGACATTCCCGTCATTGCGATCCAGTCGGTGATATTTTCTATCATTCTGTATTGGATGTCAAATCTGGAGGCTGACGCAGGGAAGTTCTTCATATATCTGCTCTTCGTTTACACGACGACGATCTCGGTGACCGCGCTCTACCGGATGTTCGCAGCGCTGAGTCCCACGATCGATGATGCTGTGCGCTTTTCAGGCATCTCTCTCAACCTTCTCATCATTTTCGTGGGCTACGTGATCCCGAAGCAGACGCTTACCAGTGATGTCATCTGGTTTGGATGGCTGATCTATGCCAACCCAATCTCCTATGCCTACGAAGCCGTCCTGACGAACGAGTTCTCTGGACGCATCATGGACTGCGATCCCTCACAGCTTGTGCCTTCAGGACCAGGAGTCGTCCCTGGCTTTCAAGGCTGCGCGTTGACAGGGGCGGCGCCGAATTCCGTCACTGTCAGTGGCGATAGCTACTTCGAGACCTCGTTCCACTACTCTCGATCACATCTCTGGCGAAATTTTGGGGTAGTGCTCGCTTTCACCGTACTCTACGTCATCGTGACAATGGTCGCGTCTGAGTTATTTTCGTTTGCACAAGGAGGCGGCGGCGCTCTGATCTTCAAGCGCACGCAGAAGGCCAAGCAGATCGCTGCGGTCGAAAACAAGCCTGTTGATGAAGAATCGCCCAGCTCTGGTGCCACTACCCAGATATCTTCAGAAGCGACAGATCCGGAGAAGGACAAAGTCGCTCAAGATATCTCGGGAAGCAAGTCAGTCTTCACGTTCGAGAACGTCACATACGACGTGCCGTATCAGGGAGGTCAACGCCGCCTTCTTAACAAAGTCAATGGCTATGTGAAGCCTGGGGTGATGATAGCACTTATGGGGTCGTCTGGCGCCGGGAAGACCACTCTCCTGAACACACTCTCACAGCGTCAGAAGATGGGTGTCGTTGGCGGTGACATGTTGATTGACGGCAGGGCCTTGGGAATTGACTTTGCACGGGGCACCGGCTTCTGTGAACAGATGGATCTGCACGAGCTGACCGCAACAGTGCGCGAAGCACTCGAATTCTCTGCGCTGCTCCGTCAGGACCGTCATATTCCCCGGAAGGAGAAGCTTGACTATGTCACTACAATTGTCGACCTACTTGAACTTCACGACATCGAAGACGCTATCATCATGTCGTTGGGCGTCGAGCAGCGAAAGCGACTGACCATAGGGGTGGAGCTAGCCGCAAAGCCGTCGCTGCTGCTGTTTCTTGATGAGCCAACAAGCGGACTCGATGCGCAATCTGCTTTTTCGATCGTGCGGTTCCTTAAAAAGCTTGCCGCCGCAGGTCAGGCCATCATCTGCACTATCCATCAGCCTTCGAGTATGTTGATCCAACAGTTCGACATGATCTTAGCATTGAACCCTGGTGGCAATCCATTCTATTTTGGCCCCGTTGGCGACAATGGTCAAGCAGTCACGAAGTATTTTGCCGACCGTGGTACACAATGTCCACCAAGCAAGAACGTTGCAGAGTTCATCCTTGAGACTGCCGCAAAGGGTGGCTCCCGCGGCAAAGACGGCAAAAGAGTCAACTGGAACAAGGCCTGGTTGGAGTCAGACGAGAACAAAGCCATGCTCGAGGAGATCCAACGTTTGAAGGAGACTCGTCTTGCCGCAACTGAAAAATCACAGAGCGGCGCGGCCCATTCAAAGTCCGAACAGGACAACGGCGCGGAAGAGGCACACGCCTTCGCTGCTCCCGTCTGGACTCAGACATACCTCCTCACGAAACGCACTTTCATCGCTTACTGGCGCGATCCGTCATATCTCTATGGCAAGCTCTTCGTGTCGGTCATTGTGGGCATCTTCAATGGCTTCACCTTCTACAACCTCTCGAACACCCTGGCTGCGTTGCAGTCCAAGCTTTTCACGCCTTTCCTGATCCTGCTCATCCCACCCACCATCGTCAATGGCGTCGTGCCGAAATTCTATCAAGCACGCTCGTTGTGGGAGCTCGTGAACACCCCTCGCGAATCTATGGCTGGTTTGCGTTCTGCACGGCTCAGGTGGTCTGCGAAATACCCTCGTCAATCGTCTGCTCAATCGTCTACTTTTTACTGTGGTACTATCCAACAGGTCTCCCACGAGACTCAGACACCGCCGGGTACGTCTTCCTGATGACGATGCTGTTCTTCCTCTTCCAGAGCAGCTGGGGTCAATGGATCACTGCGTTCGCGCCATCCTTCACAGTTATATCGAACGTTTTACCATTCTTCTTCGTCATGGTCAGTATCTTCAATGGCGTGGTCCGCCCCTACGAGGCTCTTCCCGTCTTCTGGAAATACTGGATGTACTGGGTCAATCCTTCTACATGGTGGATTGGTGGTGTTCTGGCAGCTGTGCTGGGTAAGCAGACCGTGCAGTGCGCTGAGGGCGAGACCACCATCTTCGACGCACCAGACGGGCAGACGTGCGCGGAGTACGCTGCGGATTGGGTCAGGAGCACAGGGATGGGATATCTGACGAACCCGGAGGCGACGAGTGGCTGTGGCTACTGTCAGTATGCGAATGGTGAGGAGTACTTGGCCACGATCAATGTGAGCCCTGGCGATAAGTGGAGGGATTTTGGCATCTTCCTGGTGTTTGTCTTCAGCAACTGGGCGCTTGTGTACTTCTTCATCTACACGACCAGGGTTAGGGGGTGGTCGTTCGGGATGAGTACACTCTTCGGGGGCGCTGGGAAGATGATCGGTTCGGTCAAGGGCCTTCTCCGGAAGAGGAAGCAGGAGCAGGGAGGGGACGAGAAGGCGGTTTGAGACAGGTGCACACCCGCCGTGGAGGAAGGAGTGCTTGCTGCGTCGGCCCGCGGGCATTGGTTTGATAGAACTTAGACGAGCGATCGACAGCATCTAGCGCTGTTACAGATGAGGCACCTTCAGACTTGCCAGCACCAAGTTAACAATACTGACAACACCCTCGCCAAGAATGAGTCCGCTGGCCAAGACGATCACCTTCGTCTCGCTATTGCCCTTCCAGTGGATCCAGTAGCCGGCGATCAGCCACCGACAGTACGCGCCAGCGTGAAGCTCGGTGTGTTGTACATCCCAACTGCGACTGCTATGCCTCCCGGTATCCAGGGGTGTAGCTTTCGGTGCCACGCTTTCTCCGACTGGAGGAGGTAGATCCGCAAAATCGTCGTGGCAGAGAAGACGGCGCCGAAGGCGACAGCAAACTTCCACGCCATGGGTGGAAGACCTTTTCCAGTGACGAGACGCGCTGTGAAGATCCAGACATATGCTGTCGGCGTTGCGAAAAGGTCGCCTGGGATAGGGTAGACCGATACATAGAGCTGGTAGACGGCGGCAGAAACGAAGGCGCCGACAAGACTGCCGATGATTTGTCCGTAGAACTGTGCACGGGGCTCGCGCCGATGAGGTGGCCGGCTTTGAGGTCTTGAAGGATATCGCCTGCCTGGAGAGCACCAGCTTCGCTGACGGCGCCGGCAATGAGGTTGATGATGACAGCATTGCGGGAAGGCGCGATGGCGGCAAAGATCAGTTGAGTGAGCTTGCTGATGCCGGAGACTGGGTTTAGATCTGTTTCGCCCAGGGCGCGAACGCCCATGATGGCCAAGACAAGGGAGAGGAGCAGCGAGAGAATGTTGAGTGGTATGGAGATGTACTCGCCGAATGTGATGTGGACGCAGACGACACATATGATCATGGTCAATGGTAAAAACCACGCGATAGTACTGTTGGGAACCAGGTGATGTGGTGGTGCATCGTCCGGTGGATCTGTTGACGAGGACTTCCCATGGTCGTCAGCTCCGTCGAGCGCAAGATACTTGTTCGGCTTCTTTAGGAGGTCTGCCCAAGGTCGATTCTGTTGATACTGTTGTCGAACCACGCGAACGAGCTCTGGCCCATAGTGGATGGCTGGGCGCAGTAGAAGCCAGCCAAGATTGACAACTGCATCTGCAAGCATGATCGCTAGACTGACCCAGACGATCCAACCTCTGCTACCAGTCTCCCAGTCGTTGACGTCGCCGGGAGCCCAGCCATTGCTCTTCGCAACTGGACTGAGTACCGCCCAGCCGACTATCGCACCAAGCAGCATGTGCAGCGTAGTCGCCGGTCCCATGATTATGCCCTGACCGACATATGCCGGAGACGGATTGAGTGTCCAGACCCAGGTTTTGGCCAGGTACATGCCAAAGATTGGGAGCTTGTGCAGTATCGGAATAAAATACTGGATGAGCGTATAGAGACCCGAGCCTGCACAAGCTTGCAGGAGCATCTTGATTTGTGCCTTCCAATCTGCTCGCTGATCACGCTCATTGCCTTCGTTTGTGTCTTCATGCTCATTTTCGTTGAGAAGCTGCTCACGTTCTTCTGTGCCTTGCGTACGAATTCCATCGCTTTGCTTATCGCCCTGACTAGTGCCACCATGTAGTACGCTAATCATCAATGCCGTTGCTGTGCCACTCGGAAACTTTAGCCTTTCCCGAATGATGACTTGCTTTCGCAACGGCATGCCGAATGCCACACCGAAGAGGCACAGACCGATGCCCCAGACGATCAGGCGCCATAGACTGAAGTCAAGCGGCGCTCCCTCATCTTCTTTGAGCAAGAATTGCAGACTTGGAATGACGCCTACGAAGCCAATACCAAGTGGCATCGTGCCGACTGCTCCAGCCACAGTTTGGACGAGCACATTTTCCACAGGTGTGAATGGCAACGTTAGGATCCTCGAAATGGACTTGAATACCGCGAAGCCCATCAAGGATGCCGGCATCGCCATTCCAGAGACCCATCCTGTCTGGAGGCCGAAGTATGTGTTGGAAAAGCAGATGATAATCCCGATTCCGGTTCCTACTAACAGACCTCGCAAAGTGAAGTTCGTCCCGTCGAGAGGCGAGTCAGCATCTACCGTACTGCCATAACATGCATGATCTGATCGTGTGCGACTTAAATCATCGTCGGCGTCACCAACTGCTGGCCCCTGCCCTCCTGGCGATGATGTGTCTGACAACTCATGATCTTCTGACAAATCCGAGCTCTCGCGTGGTGTTGATGTCTGGCTATGAGGCGTTGTTCCTCTATCGGGCGCCATGCCTCGTCGCAAGTCCGAGGTCTTGTTGACGAATAACGAGCTTAGTCAAAGGGTCAAGCCGGTGCGTTTGTGCCATGATTGTACGTACCGCCTGTCATGATTCTGGTGGACTGAAAAGGCTGAAATAGCGTGCAATGGTATAACCGAGGCGGGCTTGCCCCGCCGTCACGCCTTGGGCGACGATAATGACGCCGCTGATGGAGGAACTCGAGCCTATCAATGCCCATGCCTTCCGCCCACCTCCTCTCGTGGCGCTCAGGCGTTGAAGTCTTCATCGTCGATCAAACACCATCTGCGATAGGCATGGTAAACAGACACAACTGCAAGGCACCGAGCTTGGTCCGACAACTCATCCATCTCGGATCTCGCCCCTGTAAAGTGTCTTTGGATCGCTCCTAGTACTTTTAGTTCTAGATCTGCATCCCACTGTACGTACACGACTGTATTAGCATTGACTGATCGATCAACGTCCTAAACGTTTTGACACTGGCGACCGAAGTGCCTGGACACAGTGCGTCGAACTCTACTAAGGACGAGCTCTCATACATACAGTTAACTCTGTACCTAATGCATACCTCAACGTGCTGTTGAGCCCCGACCATGGCTAAAGATAACAACGGCGACAAGCCGTAATCAGAATCGCGCTCCCAGTCTGAAGCTGCATACAGAGCTCCCACCTTTTTGCCAGCGTTGCCGATGGCACACGAGAGTGCCCGTGTGCGTGAAGTGCATAGGTAAAGTTGCCAGAACTAGTGCGCCAGTCTGTTCTGACGATATCAGATTCTACCACCCATGGCTAGAGACCTTCCATACGGATTCAGTCCCACAGACGATAGAGAAGAACACCCAAATACCTCGTCAAGATGGTCATATCCCTCAGTCCTCAAAAGACCGCTCCCTCACAGCCTTTGCGCAGCTGGGCGCTCTACGACTGAATGCGAAACGTGGGCTCGTCACTCTGATCGATACCAAGACGCAGTATGTGCTAGCCGAAGCGACGCGCTCTCTGTCCTTGATGGACGATGCTCGTCATGAGCCCGGAGACGAGCTTTGGCTGGGTAACTCACGACTGCCCCGGTCACAAGGTGTTTCGGAGGATGCGCTCATGGCTACAGATCATACAGCGAGAGGACCTAAGGACGAGGAGTTCACGGCGCCCGCTTTGGTGGTGCAAGATCTGGCTACACATCCACGGTACAAGGACAGAAAATATGCTGGGGCAGGCATCAGTTTCTACGCAGGCGTGCCAATCATTACGTCGCGCGGCCACACGATTGGAGTGTATAATATCACCGACAACAAGAGCCGAGATGGGTTACAAGCCGAGGAGTTACGGTTCATGACCGACATGGCAGCTTTGGTTGTACAACACCTTGACACTATTCGCAATGAACGTGCGCGAGCGCGTGGCGAACGTCTCATCCAGGGTATTGGCACGTTCATCGAGGGCGACCCAATCGATGCAAGTCTGTCTCTCGAATCGCCCAGTCCATATTTTGAGACGGACCCGCTGGCAGCTGCTGGCCAGAAGCTGCCAGCACGGCCAGGTATGGCAGCCAAACAGTCAAGTGGATCCTTCAAGGGTCTCACAGTCGAGGACTCGAATGCGATTGGTCGCGAGCAGCACGCAACTGCTCACGGTGGCGAACCAATTCATTACAGCACTCGAAGCATACTACCGCCTGTACAAAAGGAGCCAGTCGAGAACCACGATGATCCATACAAGGCCAAACAGAAGCCGAGATCACAGCATGCGCTTATCTTCGATCGCGCCGCAAAAATCATGAGGAAGTGTTTGGGTGCGGATGGTGTAGCATTTCTCGATGCAAGCTCCGCTAATCTGAGCAAAGGAACAGCCCGCAGGGAAAGCAAACAAAGCCAGAGCACTGTCGTACGCCATTCCTCCACAGCAGACGCCAAAAGAGACACAAACAGCAAGACACAGAGCGCTATTACGCCTGAGGGTGATTTGCCCAAAGGCACGATCGGTGTGACTGCCACGGCACAGCGGTCGTCAGAAAGTCTCCCGGAGCAGCGCCAGATGAGCGAGCTTATTGCCATAGCTCTGAAAGACACGAACAATGATCTGTCTCTTGAGATCTCGGAACACGATTTGCGCAAACTTGTCAGAAGGCAGCCACAGGGGAAGTGTTATGCATTCGACGAGGATGGCAAGCCTGCTCGAGTGACGACAGCGCCTCTGACGGTGTCGCGTATGTTGACGGTCAGGGATCAGACGATGAGCAAGCGCTAGCAGCCGTAAAGCGTAAAGACATGAAGAGGAATGCTTTGCTCGCAGCCCTCCCAGAAGCTCGCACTATCGTGTTCCTTCCTCTATGGGACTATGCGAACCAGCGATGGAATGCTGCGGGAGTCATGTGGTCATCAAGTCCAGCAAAGATGATGAATGTCCAACAAGATACCTCTTACTTGCGAGCCTTCGCCAACAGCGTCATGAACGAAATCACGCGGTTGAATTTATCGGTGTCTGACGCTGCAAAGTCGACGTTCCTGGCCAATATCAGCCACGAGCTCCGCAGTCCGTTGCATGGTATACTTGGTAGCATTGAGTTCCTACACGACACAGCGCTGGACGACTTTCAATCGAGCATGGTCATAAGCGTGGAGACATGTGGCAAGACTCTGCTTGACACTGTCAACCACGTCTTAGACTTCGCAAAATTGAACAATCTGGCAAAGAAAGAAGGCAAGATGAGCAAAGGGTTTGTCAGCGATAAATCGCATCAGCCGCTGACAAGCACTTTCGATTTGGCAACCGTTGTGGAGGAAGCGGTCGAAGCGGTCTACTCGGGGCAGGTATTTCGGGCTGCCAATCAGGATGCTTTGGCTGGACAAGGCCCTTCGCTCTCTTCTTCAGACAAGGTCATGGCGACAAGACGGCAGCACAAGGAGGCCATTGCGGCAGGTCAAGCTATTGGCTCGACCGCCGTGCGGCTAACGCTCAACCTCGACGATGGAACTAACTGGCACGTGACATCGCAGCCTGGGGCTATCCGGCGCATCGTCATGAACTTGCTGGGAAACTCGTTGAAATACACTGAGAAGGGCTCCATTAATGTAGCGATGGAAATCGACTCTTCGAGAAATCGTGAGCAGGAAGCTGGGCTGCTCCACGCGATCATCACGGTGACTGACACTGGGAAAGGTGAGCTGTCCCGATGGAAGAAGCCCAATTCCGCTCATCTACTGATTCTCACACAGGTATGTCCGACGACTTTGTGCGCAATCATGCCTTCACAGCATTCTCGCAAGAAGACTCTCTGGCTTCTGGTACAGGGCTGGGATTGTCCATCATTCGGTCTATCGTTGATTCGCTCGGCGGCAAGATAGATCTGCGCAGCCAGAAGGGACTTGGCACAGAAGTTAAGGTCTGGTTAAGTCTTCCCAGCGCAGACGATCCTGACTCAGGAGTGAGCGGTAAGAACATCGTCCGGCAAGTTGCAGAGGAGACCATGGACATGTCCCTATGCATCCTCAAGCCTCCAATACACAAGGACGACGAGGAAAAGGCTTTCAGTGAGAAGTCCCTCACTGCATTACGAGACATGCCTACGGTTGAGTCGTCGGTGAATCGTCTCATGAATCAGTGGTTCTCAATGAAAGTCTTTACAGCGCCAAACATGAATGGCGTCGAGGAAGCTGACTTCTTCGTCTATCCCGAGCCGCCCTCGATAGAGTATCTGCTAAACGAGCACGGTGAGCATGGCGGGGAAGGGGAAATCCCGGTCATAATCCTGTGCCAGAATGCTTTTCAGGCGTCTGCACTGTGAGTCTATCCGTTCGCTGTTCCAAGCAGAGCTGACTTTCACAGGCGCGCGGCTGGGATCCACCATCTCACCGAGATAGGCCGTATCATTGAGGTTGTCGCGCAGCCAGTTGGTCCTCAAAAGCTCGCCAAAGTTCTACATCGCTGTCTACAGCGTTACAAGATGCTGGATCGGACAACCCAAGCATTGTCCAGCAACCATGTGAAGCTTGCAGTTCGAAAGACTGATCCGACGAACGGGTCAACAAGCGGTGATGGGACTTCAAGCCCTGAGGCGACTCCTAGCAAACCGCGGCGTCCGAGTCCATCACCGCAGCAGGCACCGCAGCCAAAGATTGACCCATCGCTACCATCGGTCCTGGTTGTGGATGATAATCATATCAACTTGCAATTAATGGTGGCTTTTGTCAGAAAGATCAAGCATGCCTACGAATCCGCCGTTGACGGCGACCAGGCGGTAGAAGCCTACAAACGCTCAGCAAGAGACCCAGAAACGGACGAGCCGTCGAGCTCGGCGCCAAAACGCTTCAAATACATACTGATGGACATCAATATGCCAAAGAAAGATGGTATAACAGCAACAAAAGAAATCAGGCAGTGGGAAAAGGAACACCGTATTGAGCCGCCCGCCAAGATCTTTGCGTTGACGGGCTATGGAGAACCTGACAGCCATAACTGGGTAAGTGAGGCTGGATTCGACCGCCTGCTCAGCAAACCTATCAAGTTCAGCGACCTAGGGAGTTTCCTGGAATGATCGTCGGCTTTGTCTCCCACGCAGCAGGCGTTGCCTTGTTCGCTTCTGCCAGTCGCTGCTAACCAGACTGGTCGCTATGGGCCTGGTCGAAGAAGCCGGCCAGAATAGTGGTCTCTTCTTCATCACCGATGTCGAGCAGCTCTGTCGCTCAGAATAGTGCAGATGCTGCGGCGCTCACGAATCGGGGAGAAACCGGGTGCGCGTTACAGACGAACGCGTGTGCATACTGAGATGAAGAAGGCTTGTCTGTGATGTGTTACTGAATGGTCTAGGCGCGAAGCATGCACCGCAAAAGGCCACTTCTAAACTTCGCCTGATCTGGAAAGTAGCGTTGCAGTATACGTTCCACGCGGAGCGTTTCGGAAGCAGTCGACTGTGACAATTCCAGGCATTGTGCCTGCCGAGTCAGGGGTTGCTTATAATGAGTTCGATGAGGTGTATGAATGGCATGAACGATCGGACTTCATTTGCGCAACATTGCTGTTTGTGACTTTTGAATGAGCAGACTTCCAGTCTTTGCACTGCACTCGCGCGGTGAGAGTCGTCGTAGACCATCACAAGCTTTATCACCAAGCAACAAATAGCCAACGCTTAGGTGTCGTTACACGAGAGACAAGGCTTTCCAAGCTTCGGTTACTGCTGCTTGTCTGCAGCCACTTGCATCAGCCAAGTATCTCACGATAATGACCTACGCCTCTCGACAACGATCGACTCGACTCAGCGTTGCACTTTGTGATACGAGATCTCCTTCAACACGCTCTATAGCTAACGAAGATACGAGTCCCCCCGATCCTGTTTCACCCGAGCCGAAGAGGAAGTCCTGCAGAATTTCTAGAAGAAGTCAAAGTAATGGGTCTGCTTCGAGATTATCGCAGACGCGAGCTTGCGGTGGCTTCGGAACAAGCGGCAAAGCTCCGCATCCAATGCCAGCAGAGATATTGATGCTTCCACAGGACGGCACTGAGGCCGGCATGAGCGTCCGAGTCCGTTGCATAGCAGAAATCCACAGAGAAGGTGGAAACGATCACCCGACACCCCCTCGATGGCCTTCCACACTCCAGAATATACAGTTACTAAGTTCTCGTGTCCCCCGCAATGTTGCTTCAAGCCGCCCGAATCCAACCTCTTACTGGCAAAAGTCAGAACCATGACTCAACACTAAGTTTCTTCTTGGTAGGATCTACGCAATGTGCCCGTAGCTTTCTGCTGGAACTTACGGGGATTGCATGCGCTCCATTCTCGAGCTAAAGTGACAAGCGCAATTCGAACGGCTATAAAGCCATGATGTCGCCAGCTGTTGTTTCCGGCTTCTGCTCCAGCGATCGTGTCTGGTTGCAGAATTACTCTTATTACGACTTCTGCCAGTAACCGCAGTCATGGCGCAGAATTCTGAGAACGAGAAGACCGTGCGCTCGGGCTCGCCTTCTTCGTATGAGCACCACCAACCTCAGCTGCAGCAACGACCTTATGATGAAGGTCACATGTCGGCTGGTCGTTATGCGGCCACACGCCTCACCACGCTCAAGCCACCTATGGCAAAAGCTCCAAACCCGATCACGTTGCTTCGAATGCTCAATTTCCAACAATGGATGTTTTTCCTAGTTGCGTTCCTTGCCTGGACTTGGGTATGTGACAGCTTTGCGAAAGTGCGCCAAACAGCTCTGACTAACGATCATAGGATGCGTTCGACTTCTTCACCGTTTCGCTCACAGTTGAGCAACTGGCTGAGACCTTTGGGAAGACGAATGCCGACATTACGTGGGGTATTACCCTGGTCTTAATGTTTCGATCCGTTGGCTCTACCATCTTTGGTATTGCCGCCGATCGATATGGCCGCAAATGGCCGTTCATCATTAACAATCTCCTCTTCGTTGTCCTCGAGTTGGGTACCGGCTTCACCTCGAATTACTCGTCTTTCCTGGCTGTGAGAGCTCTCTTCGGTGTCGCCATGGGCGGTCTGTACGGCAATGCGGCCGCGACAGCGCTCGAAGACTGTCCTGATGCAGCACGTGGCATCATCTCTGGCATGCTACAACAAGGCTATGCTTTCGGATATTTATTGGCCACAGCTTTCTCCCGTGGTCTCGTCGATACGACATCACACGGTTGGCGTCCGCTTTTCTGGTTCGGTGCCTGTCCACCAATACTGATCATCCTCTTCCGTCTCTGCTTGCCCGAGACTCAGGCTTACCAACGCCGCCAGGCCCTACGCGAAGCTCGTGGTCCTGGTGTCGCTGGAACATTCATTAAGGAGGGCAAAGTCGCTCTGCGCAAGCACTGGATGGTTCTGATCTACCTTGTCTGCTTGATGGCTGGCTTCAATTTCGTAAGTCCTTGATGCGCCGGAGATCCTCCTACCTGGGCCCCTGTCCGCTTCATTACCACCTATTACCACTTAGCTTAAAGCCTCCGACTTTCTACCCCAGCTGTCAAGCCTGTGCACATGAGCTGACCTCTTGTCCTACAGATGAGCCACGGCTCCCAGGATCTCTACCCAACAATGCTCAAGAATCGTATGTATTCCCCGGACCTCAATCGGGCGAAGCATTAGTCTTCCTGTTGTGGTGTTTTCCGTTTCATGTTCAATCTAACAGGTGCAATAGAATACAAATTCAACGCCAACAGAGTGACTGTCGTCCAGGTAGTAGCAAATCTCGGAGCAATGCTGGGAGGCACCACTGTCGGCTACTGCAGCCAGATCTTTGGCAGACGTCTGAGCATTATTGTCATGTCCGTCATCGGTGGTGCGCTGCTATACCCCTACACTTACACCTCTTCCAACGCCGTCATCGCCGCCGCCTTCTTCGAGCAGTTCTGCGTTCAAGGCGCTTGGGGTGTCATCCCCATTCACTTGATGGAGCTCAGTCCAGGAGCCTTCCGCACGTTTGTCGTGGGAACCAGCTATCAGCTGGGCAACCTGGCTAGCTCGGCTAGCAGCACGATCGAAGCGACTTTGGGCGAGCGATTTCCGCTGCCGCCAACGACGCTGAATGGGAAGCAGGTGAAGAGGTATGATTATGGAAAGGTGATCTGCATCTTCATGGGCTGTGTGTTCGCGTACGTTATCGTTCTGACGTTCGTCGGCCCGGAGAAGAGGGGCAAGGATTTGAGCGTGGAGGCTGATGAAGATGCTATGGAGGTCAATGCGGCTGGTCAACATCACGGGCACGACGGGAATCCAGGCTTGCACAGCAGTGATGACGAGGAGAAGGCGGTCCGGCGGGAGAGGGAGCTGTCTTGAAACCTATGTAGCTCGTTGGGTTTCGCAATTCGTGGCTCAATTGCATCTGGATTCAGTCTGAGCACGGAATGAGAAGAGAAGGACAGGGGACTGCAGAGGGATTGTGTGCGCTCATTTTCGACCATGCAACGCTGGATATTGTGTCTGTGTCAAGATATTGGACGTGCCATACTTGTATACAGGGCAGTTATATTCAAATCACGTCAAAACAGTCCCGGGATTCAACCCGGCTATTTGATGTCGTATGAGGACATCGGTCTCGTCCTGGACTCATTGAGGACCTTTTAAAGCGAGACAGGCTGAAGGCGCAGACTGTTGATGTTGCTCACAAGCCTGCACTCAGTTAGAGATAGCTCTGGAGCATCCGTGTCAACCGGCTTCATTGGACCTTGCAAGATGGGTCAACCGGCCTTAACTAGATCCCGAAACACAGCCGGTCAACCGGTCTCGAAAAAGGGCTTGCAAAGCTTGTCATATTGCGCAGAACAGAAGTGAACTAGTCTATGTCTACCGGTCTTCACACCTAGAATTCGACTGTGCACAGCCAACAACCACGCCACATAGTAGCAACTTGCTTAATGAGCTACGATGGTTACATTGCTGGCACTTCATTCACCCTCAAAATCGACTAGGATGCCACCTCAATACATCGCTGTCTCAGCCGCTTGTACCAACTTCTCCCAGTCCTGCGACCCGAATGGCCCTGGCACAGTCCCATCAAATAACGACGCAAGCACAACACGATCCTCCTGCTCACCACCCCAAGGTTGTCGTCCATGCTGAGCAATAACGTTGTCATACACCAACACATCCCCTTGCTGCCACTTATGCAACACCCTGATCTCGTCCGTGATCTCGCTCAGCTTCTGGAGGTACACCTCTGGGATCGGGCTACCATCTCCGTACACCTGCGAGACCGCATTCTTCCTCGCCTGCGCGGTCAGATTGTTGATCTGCGCATTCTTATAGTAAGCTGCGAGGGCCGAGAACAAGGTCGGGAGCTCGGTGCCCGGCTGGGTTCTGATAGCAGGTAACCGGTGCGTGAGAGTCAGGGTCTGTCCATCGTCGGACCATTCCCAGGTGGTGTGATCGCCACGGCCGTAGCGCGCAATCTGTGCCTCAATCTTTTTCCGTTGCGTAGCTTCGTCGTCGCCTTCGACAATGTCTTTGCCGAAGGCTTGAGCTAGGGTTGAGCCGCCCGCGTATTGCTTTTCGACCTTGTACGTGACCTTGCTAAGGATGCCCTTGGCGGCGAGATTGTCGATGAAGTCGGGAATGGCCTGCTTGGCACGGTGAAAGAGCTCTACGGAAGAAGAGATGGGAGTCTCGCCGCCAATCGTGGGTGCGCGGTGGCAGTAGAAGAAGATGTACTCTGGAGCATGGGGTACCTGAGGAGATTCGTTGTGGTTGTAGATTAGGACCTCCTTGGGAGCTTCGTTGGCGGGTGCTACATTCGGTGCCAGCAGGGGTCTGTTGACGACGATGCCAATGATCTCGTGCGGCTTATAGCCGAACGCGTGGGCGAACTTAGAGAAGTCCTGTGCAGAATGAATTGGCAGGCCGCGGAAGAGGAGGGTGCCGTGGCGTGCGAGAAGGTCGGTCAAGGTGCCGTTGTTCTGTTGGAGGGTCCTGATGGTGTCGACGGCCGCATCGAGAGAGACCGAGGAGGCACCAGTGTGATTGTTGGATGGCTGCAATGCTAGTGGGATGACAGTGTTTGGCTGATGGGGCTCGCCGAGGGTACGCTGATTGCTGGCGGGGAGATCAAAGGGCTCGAATGACAGCCCATTGGCAACGGGAGTGTCAAGCTTGCCAGCGGCAGCGACGCTCTGAGTCGAGATTGCAGCCATTCTTGATGCTTGTGTATGAGCTTTGGGTCAATTCACCCTTGACCGTACCTATATCATAGATTCATAGCCCACGATGTCCCTCGGTCGTCTCTCGGTCGAGTTGAACGGAGATGATCGCAATGCCAGATTTGCTGCTTTGGTCTAAAAGCACGTCAACGGTATGTCCACGCAGCGTCATTGGCTGCAGACTGGAAGCCTGAAACTATCGCAAGATATCTGTTTCTTAGTAGTCTTGGTATAGCAACCTTTCAAACGCAACCTTGCACGTTAGCGAACCGCACCGTCGGAACGCCGATAATGCCATATGGCGTGCTCAACTCTGGAACAACCGGCAGACCCTGGGAGCAGCCATTCTTGCGAACCACGTTGCCGGGACCCTCATAATGCCACATGGCGTGCTCGAGGCGTGGGCAGTACAGGTGGAATCTCGGGTACAGTCCGCGAAAAGCTGGTCGGCATGGCGCGGCGAAGTTCGATAACAACAGAAGTCTTATCAGGTGCATAAAGTCTGTGCTACCATACCCCGACTTCATCAATCCGCTTCCCAGAGTATCAACCATGGCCGCAGCACTACCGCCCAAGGAGTTGCCCCTGACCGACACCCAAGGAGTCGACGTCGAACGTAACAAGTCGATCAGCTCTCTCAAGCATGCCAGTCATCCTCTTGATAGCGCGAGCTTCTTTCGCTCGACGCTCTTCCAGATCCTTGTCGTTGGCCTCTGTGCTTTCTGTGCACCAGGAATATGGAGTGCAATGAATGGCCTGGGTGTCGGCGGTTCACAGAGTCCGGATCTTGTCAACGCAGCTAACGCCCTGCTATACGCCTTCATGACTGTGACATGTTTCGGAGGGCCATGGCTGACAAACCTCATCGGCTTTCGCTGGACTCTGGCCATCGGCGCTCTGGGCTACCCGCTCTATGCGGCAGGACTTTACGTCAACAATCGTTTTGGGGACGAATGGTTCGTATATGTTGGGGCCACCACATGCGGTATCTCTGCCGGCTTCTTCTGGAGTGTGGAAGGCGCCATAGCGACAGGCTACCCCGAGAGCCACAAGCGAGGTCGCTACATTGCGACTTGGTTCACTTTCCGCAACTTTGGAAATATCATCGGTGGCTCCATAGCCCTTGCTCTGAATCACAAGACGACGCAGAAGGGCAAGGTCGGATATGCAACTTATCTGGGCTTCATCGCAATCCAGTGTCTTGGCTTCTTCGCTGGACTGCTTTTGTCCAACCCTGAGAAGGTTCGCCGAGATGACGGGACGCGCATTGAAGCCCTCGGGGTATCAACTGGCGAACAGAAGGCAGAGCGATGTGGCGGCTGCTCCGAAGCAGATCGATCTTGCTGCTTACGCCCCTGTTCTGGTACTTCGGCTGGATACAAGCCTATCCAGGAACTTATCTCGCGAGCTACTTCTCAGTCAGGTCGAGAGCCTTGGGATCCTTCATGTCAGCTGTAGTCGGCACCTTGGCAACGTGGCTAGGTGGCAGCCTGGTAGACCTTCCCTGGCACAAAAGCCGGAAGGTCAGAGCTCTCACCACGTACGGGGTGATTGTGGCCATCAACAGTGCAACTTGGATTTGGGCGGGTACGTATATCTCTGACTTGTCTCCGGGAAGACCCTGTCCCGGGGAGGACCCTGTCTCGGGAAAGACATCATTCTCCCGGTCCTGTTCTTCCCAATGCGTGTCCATTCTAACAGTCGCAATAGTATACATTCAAAACGAGTACCGACGTACTGATCCTACTCTCGACTGGGGAAACCAGAAAACTTTTGGCCGCGGTTTTGGCGTGTATATGCTCGAACGGATCAGTCTTGGGATGTGCGAGAACTATATATACTGGTGTATCAGCAACCTGTCAGACTCGCCAGGAGACCAAATCCGGTACAGCTCGTTGTTGCGTGGCATCGAGACGGCAGCAGTTGCGGTGGGCTTCGGCGTGCAAGCAGTTCCAACGCAGCTTATCATCACAGCCGGCATCAATTTTGCGTTCTGGTTCATCGCGTTGCCTTTCAGCTACTACGCTACCGTTCAGGTTGTCCGCAAGTTCGATGAGCAAGATGCGGCGAAGAAGAACGAGGATACATTGGAGGTCGGTGGGACACAGGCCATGGAGGTCGGTAACAGGACATCGATAGGAGGCTAGCTGGTTCTTGGAGCACGTCTGCACATGTACCTGATTCGTTCCGGGCGCGACGAAGAAGTCGTGTCAGCACCTACTCGAGTGACAGTGAGAGCCAACTACCCCAAAGGGGTTGGGGTGTGCCTTCCAGAATAGATTCTTGTCATCCGTTTGGGTAAGGCGCACCTTACAAAAAGTCGTGCTCGAAGGTAACAGATCTGTTTGAGACATGACCCTGTCTAAGGCCACAGGTGCAGGCTCACGGGTTGCGCTTACTCCACACCTTGCGAAAAATGGCAATAGTCATCAAGCTTTGCGCTTCCCTCTCTTCCCAGTACTACGACCAGAAGCAGCAGAGAAGTAGGGGCTGACGACCGTCGAGTCGTCTTCATCTTGATCGTCGTCGCTGTCATCAGCAGTGTAAGAGACCTTCGTCTTGCTAGTTGACGTACGCATCGATCTTCTCATGTCCGGCGTGGTCGTTGCAGGCTTCGGAGTGCGCGTATTGGAATGTGCTGGGCTCTTCAAGCGACCACTTCTCTTCTGGGTCAGGCTCACACCGGCTGCCTTCGCAGCACCCGTACTGCCGTTGATGTTTCTCCGCGCTTTAACGGTGCGTTTTTGCTGCTTGGACATGGGGTTGTAGTCGTCCTCGGAAGATGGTGGTGATTCCTTACCAGCTTCGGGCGATGCAGAAGATGCCGAGCTGTCGGAGTTTGTTCCATCATCGTACTTGTTGCTCCCGTTAGCGTGGCCATCATGTCTGGTCGCTGGCACTTCCGCTTCGGAATTATCAGCTGCTGCTTCAAACTCGGCTTGTCGCTGCCGATGGAAGTCATCTGGCTTGGTAGTCCGACCGATCGCAGCCTTCTTCGATTGTGGTAGCGGGGTCTGCTGCTCCTCGGGGCTTGATATCAATATTCGGTTGCGTCTGGACTTAGATGGACCTGTGTCTTCATTGTGGTCGTCCATGATAAGTTCGCCAGCCTCAGACATTTCTTCGTCAGAATGGGGAAGGAAGAATCCTCCACCGGCGCCACTCGTTTCTGCATCGTCCAGACCAGGTGTCTCAGTAGCAGCATCAGCTGCTAAGCCGCTGTTTGCACCGTCTTCATCATCATCGTCAACATTGATCGCCTCTGCGCGACTGACTCCTGAAGTGGCTTTTGCAGGAAATTGCTCGACTGCGACGCCACTAGAGCCCATCTCAACGTCCTCGCCATACTGAGCCTGCACCCGCTTCCTGATCTTCAGCCCAACAATGAACTTCCGCCACAACTCAAGACAGAGTTTCTCTAATTTCATTTCTTCCTTCCGTTTCTGCTCCTCATTCCACTTCTTCCACTCCTCGCGCACCTTCTTCTCGTTCTCCTTGCTACCACGACGCCCTTGATGACAGGCACGGCGCGCTTGTTGCCAAACTCGAAGCCCACGACGCTTCTGCGAAATCAATCTCTAGACGTTTGCAGATTCGCAGACAGCCTTTCAGAGGTATATGCGACGCGCCCTTTGGTATCATAGAGGGCACGAACGCGTCAATGTTGCCAAAGCTGTTCTTCGGGATGATGCCATCTTCGATTGGTGGTGGGATAATATACTCGGTCTGATCCCAGGAATACAGACCTTGTAGCTGCTTCTCACCAGTAATGCGCTCATGTTCCTCGGCTTCACGCTTCCGCGTGATTGTGACGGCACGTACAGGGACATGCTTCAGAGGGGCCTCGCCAAGTTTTGGTATGCGGCCTTCTTTGTGCCATGACTCTGTGGTGAGGCAGCGTTCGACATCTGCTCGTAAGTAAACCGGCTCCTCTTTGAGATTGTCGCCCTTGCCGGACGCGAACATTCGGTCTGGCTGTGCGCCCGGTCGGATGGCTTCTTCTCGGCGCAGGAAGCGCTCGAGTACAAAGTCAGGAGAGGCCTTGAGGGACGAGAGCGTATCTACTGTGTCATCAATCTCCTTCTTCTCGGGCTGTTGTGGTACCAGATCTGTCGACTCTTCCACATCATCGACGGCGGTGCGCATCTTGTCGGTCCGGGCATATGCACTCATGGTGTGTTTGAACCAGTCGTAGTCTTCGTAGCGTTTGATACGACCTGCGCGATCATAGACCGGAATCTTTTCTATAGGGAAGCGGAATGACTTCGTTTTGCCCGGCCAAATGTGCTTGCGCAAGTAGCGTACCGTGACGTCTTTTGCACTGCCGTCGGGAGAATATGCCACCACATAGGCTATCACGAGCTTAGCTTTGTCGGCTTTGGCGCCACGAGGCTCAAATCCTCCTAACGTCTCCTCATTTGTGGCGACCGGTCTTTCGAGCACTAATGGCGACACCGGATACACCTTATTCGTGATTGGTGAGACAGCTTCTGTCCAGTAGATTGGATACGGGACTTCACGATCGTACAACGCCGGCTTCCTCTTTGGCAACGTGGGTGTGATATCGATGATTGAGCCGTCATCGGAGTCAGAGGCAGCAACGCTAGCAGATGCGCTCTCCGCAATTGCGGTCCTGCTTCCGGACTGGCGAGCTGAGCGCGGCTTCTTTGACTTTTGCCGCTTCTTCATCTTCGAAGTATTGATTGTTTCGATGTCCGCGAGCTTCACGTCACTTTCTGACGATGATGGTGTGTCAGGCTTCGCCTTGGCCGCACCGTTGGCGCCGGGCTTCTTGGGTGTCATCTCCTCTGCCTTAGTCGCGCCAAAGCCAGCAGGTTGAAGACTTGCTACTAGACGAGCTTCGATGCCGAGTCCTCGCAGTAAAGCAGTGAATAGCTGAGCTCCGACATCTCTGGACCCTTCGCATTTCTTTGCGACTTCGCGGAACTCCTGAATATTCTGTATCTTTTCACCGTGTTTCTCCGGATCGTGTGGATCATTTTTGAATGAATTGACCTCCTTCCGCCGCTCCAACCGCGTGCTGTACCCTCGCTTCCTTAGGCCCGGGGCAGTGATGGCGAATCGCTTCTTCCAGTAAGCAGACAAGACTTTCAGCAAGGAAATGATGGGGTCTCCAGAGCTCATGTCAGCCTTGCCCTCCTCGAGTCGCATGCTTGGCCTGCCCCAGTCCCGCTCTTCTCGAACATTGATTGGCTTCTCCTTTCGGCCCTTCTGCTTCTTGCTAGGAGCTTCTTGGGCGTGTTTTGCTCAACAAAGCCACTCGCGCGATGCCATTTCTCTACTTCAGACTTGATCTGAGCTGGCAGCTGGTCCATGAGAGTCTTCTGGACTACCTGATCTGATATCCATCGGTTCCTGAAAGCATTATGCAGGAGAAGGAACTGGACGTGTAGTTGGTGAGCAACTATGCGAGTCGCCTTCTCCGTCTTCGAGATGCCTTGCTTACGCTGAAGACTAGCAGCTGCGAAGCCACCAAACTCATCCTCATCTGCCTCCAACGAGAACTGTACGCCGCCACTGACCTTAGCTGGTTCGGTGGGCGCATACGTCGGATTCTCATGCTCAATGGCGTTCTCCCACTGGACCTCGTCCGAATCATCACTGTCTTCTGCATCCTTGGCGGGCTCTGAGGCTGTCTTCCGTGGAGCAGATTTTCCCAAAGCGATGTTCTCGAAGTCAACGCTGTCGATGCTACTCAGAGAGGAGTCCGAGTCATCGCTCACCGCGTAGACCGGTTGCTTGGCTTTCTGTCTCCTGGGAAGGGATTTTGGTCCAGACTCCTTGTCATTACCGAGCTTGGGCTTCTTCTTTGTCGATGGGGCTTCCGCTGGTGGCGGCGTTGTAGCATGACGCTTTTTAGGGATGAAAGGCGGCATCCTTCAGTGCTGAACGCGTCCCCTTAGGCATTGGCCAAATCTCATTGATCCAAACGCCCCAATGCATGCCATACAACGCGCGAGTCATCCAGGAAGTGCGACGCGATGAACGTGTGAGGAGGAATAGAAGGCATGGGAATGTCAGTAGTGAAAACGGTGACGTCGATGTCAGTTGCCTTGTGGGTCTCAGCTCAGCCTAGTTGCGAGTACCGACCGCCCGGGGCACTTCTCGATAGGCGACGCGGAGAAAAAGTTTGAGGCGATCTTCAGGCACCAACAACCTGTTTCGACACAACTACAACTTCGTCTCGTGTCTCGATCATTGCAACGACGGCAGGCATGGCGACTCAGCACACAAGTGTGCAGACGTATCACTGCCTCTGCACGACCTTGATACTGGCCTCGCCTTACAAAATCGATCAACTGCCCACACGGAAAGGCCCGGCGGATCAAGCTCACATCCTGCCACTTCCAGGGAGCGGCGACAACATACTCGAATCTCACTACAGAATGTCACGAGTGATCGCAGACCCATGATTGTCAAGAGGGAGGACGGGTTCGAAAAGCGCTTGTTCATGCGGTGCGACAGGTGTCAACTGCTTCTTGGGTATCGACTTGGGGACGACAAGAATGCGCCGGACGTCGTATATCTTCTCCCAGGAGGTCTAACATCGACTGCGCAGATGCAGGAGGAGGGTCGTTCGCCGCCATGAGGATGCGTGACTGTGTCATTCTCTTGGATCGATGTAATTTACATTGGTGTGGGACGACAAGGAGGTACTTCTCGAATACCTGCGTCTCTGGTCTCCTTCTGCACCTAGCTAGCGTACAGCGGTATATCATATGCTCGTGCAATTCATTTCCAACGCCTTGTGTTATGCTTCGACTTTTGCCATGGGCCTTCGCTTAGTTCGCGAGGATTGTCCGGACTAGGTCCATGTAGTTGATCTCTCCGCTGCTGGTATCGACTGCCTTGAGCAGCTCATCGACCTCATCATCGCTCATCTTCTCGCCCAGGTTTGTGAGGATGTAGCGCAGTTGACCGACGCCGATGAAGCCGGTCATGTCCTTGTCGAAGACCTGGAAGCCACGGCAGTATTCTTCAGGCTCGCCTGGATCTCTGAAGCCGCCTGGTCGGTTGAGGACTTTGCTGAAGGAGTCGAAGTCAACTGAGCACCACATTAGCATGGAATTTGTCGCAGGGTGTATTGTCCTACAATCGCCGCCAACGTTCTTCTCCAGATCTCTGATCTCGGCCAGTGTTGGATTTTGACCACACGCGCGCAGTAGGTCGCCGAGGGAATCGAGCGAGACGCGGCCATTGCCTCTCTTGTCGAACAGGGAGAATGCCTCCTTGTAGTTCGTAGCGGACTGTTGTACAGGTTGTGAGTTCATATTGTTCATGTATGGAGTGGTAGACAGAAGAGAGCCACGATGCGCAAGGCCAGCATGATGTTTGTTTCCTCCTGATTCAACGGGTTCAGGCGGCTCGCGATGTTTTGGCTTTCGGGAAGAGAATCTCGCATTGAGAGGGGTTGCTGACGAATGAGCGTCAAGCCGGACTCACCATATTGATCAGCTGTACAATTGCTCGTCGACGGTAATTTCTAAGGTGAAGACTCCAGCTTCGAATCTGTGTGGATTTGCTGCTTGAAGAGTGTTGGTAGTCGTCGATGTCGTGCACAGACACCGCAGAACAGCCGACGAGTCAAAGCCAAGGGAGAACGTTAAGCGTGTTTGGCAGTGGCACCTGCCCCTTTCTGTTGACCCTGCGTTACCCAGCAACCATCGACGCTACCTGAGATCGATTTCGTGTACCTCTTTGATGCACGCACACTATAACATTTTTTTCTCGATTTATCTCAGCATTGATACGCATCGCAGCCAAAGGCCATAGCTGATGCTACAGCAGACCCATGCCGATACAGGCAGGACGGTTCCGCCGACCGCTGTGCTGGCTCAAGTTCTGACGAGGCGCAGAAAGGGGTTTGACTGCGCCTCTACGAGAAGCACTAACGAACCACAATTGGCAAATCGCTATCCTCCACAACGCGACCGTGCGTACAGGTACTTCGTAGGTCCTCTCCTCCTCGACAACGATGCCATCGGTTGATTGGGTCTATACCACACTGGAATTTGATTGCTCTTGCAACCTATAGGCCCTTCCGACACAGTTTGAAGGGGTGGAGAGCAAGTCTCGCAACTATGGCCCACGACCATGTCTACTGCACTGCCGGTGTCGGCGGGATAGCAAGGTATTCAAGGCATCGTCAGTTGACTTTCGACCGAAAATGCCGTCCTGGAATCATTTCATTAATGACGAACGGGATCATTTCCTGGATTCATTCGTGAAGCCTGACGTACTTCGGTACTAGAATTGCTCTCGGACGAACCCATCCGTGTTTGCCGTGGTACACGCCCGGAACACCGCCTCCCCGCTGACAATTCGCGCCCAACCATCAACGCTGCTATCCTCTCATTCAGGCATTCCTGCCGCCTATTTCTTGCCATTTTCGTTTCGACGCAGCGTTCTCTGTTGACGTGCTTGCTCACCTATCCATGGCGGATTTGCAAGAGCCGCGCCAGACAGCCTATTAGGGTCGCGGGTCTCGGCTTCTGGCTGGTCATAGCCACAACGTACTCGCAGTCCTAGTATCAGAATATGGGGGTTTCGCACGAGCCACTCGCAGTCCGACACCGAAATACTAATGTTTGACCACAGTATCGCCCGAGTGATGATCTGAGCATTGATGAGTGCTGGTGTTTCTACATTCGCGTATATATCAGAAGGACCAATCGCACATCATCTGAGGTAGACATGTTGACGAAACGCATTACTATTACTACAAAGTTCATTCAGTCTCGCTACTTGCTTCACCTACAGTATAGCCATTTATGTCCTCTTCCCACCTCAACGTCAACACCATCTCTGCTCACCGCGCATCCTTCTCCTCAGAGCGCTCCAACAACTCCAGCATACACAGCAAGCTAGCAGCACAAATGACCAGCGGCAGCCAGAACCCCCATTGCGCCGCTCGATGGGCATCATGGCAGCAAGCACAGATCGACGCCTTCCACACAACCACTGCCCGGGTCCACGAAGCACGAGCCGCCACTCCCAACGAGTCCAACAACCATGACGACGATGTCATCAAGGAGAACAGCGACGACCTCGCCGTGAGGCGACATCATCCCCATCTCCATCGCGTTGCTGCTTGGGGGAGAAGGGTTCGAGGATGAGGTAGGAGGAGCTGTTGTTGAAATGCTTTCAACTACTCACTTTATGCGCACTTCACAGGAGCTACATCCGCACGGTAGATGAGCATGTGTAAGCTGCTGCAATGGTTCGGTGGCCCTCTGAAAGAGCGGCATGCCAGGAGGACGCTCGCGATGAAGCCAGCAGTTGCGTAGGCGGCATAGCATCTGGGTCTAATCTCTACGCAATGGACAAGCGACTCTCGTTTCGATACCACCTCGTGCTTCATGTACTTCAATCGAGGTTGAGACCAGCAGAGACACGGCTGCAGCAACGAAGCGCCAAAGAAGGTCTTGAATGAACCTAAACGAGCTTGATGTCCAGGGGCCGCCCCATGCAGCTACGACGCTGACGGCACGTCGTGCCGAGGACAGAGAGGACAAAAGTAAGAGCACGATCCGGAGGTAGAGAAGCAGTGCTGAAGCCTCACTCGAACACTCGATACTTCGTAGCGTAAATATGTACAGACATTGATACATACTGCCGCAGGGTATGCATGTCCAAAACCCTCGCAAATCTCCCACAAATGCTAAACCTGAAATTGCTCGTTCCCGTCCCACCCTTTCGGCTCAATGAAATCCTGCCACGGAACGTTCAAAGCATGCCAGTCAATGTCCCCATCTGCCACTGTCTGGCTTGTTTCTGATTGATGCACCAAGTTGTTTTGCGCATCAGGCAGAGCATCCGTATTCTGCTGTTCAACTTGTGTTGCAGGCCAACTGCCTTTTGCCGTCGGAGCAGTAGGTCGACGGGCCAGGCGTGCCGAATTTGTGCTTCCGTACCCAGAATCGACCGAGGCTTCTGACAATTGTTTTGGTTGTATGCTTGTCAAAATGGGTATGCCGTTGCTTTCGAGTCGATCGCCAGGATCTTCTAAGCTGCGAAGATTTACTGGAGCCAGAGGCGCAGGACTCGGATTCCTATCAGAAACGGGCTGCTCCACAGACGGCAACTGGAAGTCGAAATCAGTGGTCAGAGCCAGCCCTGCCTCGTCTCCCTCTTCCCAGCTGTCTGCGCCCTCGCCCCAACCGTGGTCGTTTGGATCATACGCAGTAGGGACATTGAAGAAGTGCTCCGACGAGGACCTAGTATCGATAGCCGAATCTATAGCTGAGTCTGTAGATTCATGGTGTGAGTGAAGCGGAGCTTGTGGCGGCGTAACTTTGTGGGTGAGTGGACGACTGAAACTGAATCTGTGAGCTGAAAGATTGTGCCATCTCGAGTCGGAAGTCGATGCCGAACTGATAGCCGACACAGGTTGTGATGATGTGTTCTCGGATGGACTCATCTGGGTGGGTATCGACAGCCGAGGCGGATTCGCTGCCATTCTGCTTCGGTCTGCGGCGCTGGCAGGAGTCGCCACAGCACTGATTGTGGCGTCCCTTGAGCTCTGCTGAGTCGCCAGGTCTGCCATGGAGGCCCATAACTGGTCAAGTACGAATGACCTTACCTCGTCCGGCAATTGCTGACCTAGCCGAGCCCCTAAAAGCTCTGCCAGAGTTTGTTGATTCTGCTGGTCTGTCAGACCTGGCTGGCCAGATGTTGTCTGATCAGTGTATGGCGATGATGGTCGCGGCGTTCCAGGGAACAAGCTGTCCCAGACGAGAAACCACACCTCTTCTGGACTTGTCTTCGGCCGCTTCTTGTGAAGCTCATTGTACACATCCTGATCAAACTTTTCAGGAAATGGGCATTCACCAGGGATGCATTCAGTGCTGCGTTGGTGAATTGTGACTTCTTCGTCAGATTTGAACGATACCCAGCACTTGTGGCAACGGTGGTACTTTCGATAGTGCACACGGTAAAGATGTTGCTTGAGTCTTGAGATGTCTGTCCAGAAGCCGCTCGAGCAGCCTCGATAGTGCTTTTCCGTGTTGTTGCAATCGCTATATCTCGCAGAGTCAAACTTGCAGTAATGACAAGCGTAGAGGGACGATTTGCCCTCGGCTGGAAGAGATTCGCTGCCTCGTCTGGGCCGTTTCGGCGCTCGTCCATCATCCGCTTCCTCGTCTTGGGCGTCTTGGCCTTCTGTACTGTCTTTGGAAGTCGATTGACGCCCGCTAATCGAGCGCGAAGGGTTTACCCGGGAGCCGGCGCCTGCTTTACGTTTGGACGCCCCGTGAGCGCGGAACGCGGCAGAACTGCTGTCGAGGGTATCTGAGCGTGACCCAGGAAAATAAGGATCGAGGTGATCTCCGTTTGTGGATAGCGGAGGAGGCGTCGTTGAAGGCGTCGTTGAAGCGTTCGAGCTCGAGCGGCTGATGTTGGCAAATTGCGCGCCAAGGGATATGGCCATTTCCATGCAAGATCGCATGAAGTCAGCGTTCTGCTTAGCCTCGCCAGTCCTTTCCCGCGAAGCAAGCTCGGCCTCTCGAATGCGCAGCATGCCCTCTCGCTCGCGCAATTCAGATTCTCTTTCCCGTCGAGCAAGCTGCTCTTCTCGTTGCTGGAGTTCTAAGACTTGAGCTCGGAAGGGTGTTTCTCCTTCTCGTTGTACAGTAATAGGCGCAGAGGTATCAGAATTGTACTTCACTTCGTGCGGATGGGGGATTTTCGTCCGATCAACAAGCAGTGTGTTGTTTCTTTGCGGTCGACTTGGCGACGGTGACCGGTCTGAGTTGCTCCGGTAGAGCCCGTCCACTTCCTGTAGGTAGTTTCTCCTTTTCCTAATCAACTGATGACGGCAGCTGTAGCCTGAGCTGTCGCATGCATCGCACAGAATTCGGTCCCCGTGATTGCAGATCAGGCATTGCAGGTACACATCTTCGTGTTTGATACCGAACTGGCAATTGTCACACCTCATCATTTTTGGTGCCGGATCGCAACAAGGCATCGGCGGTGAGGACGTTGCTCTTTGCAACCCGTTGACGGGTGTCGGAGAGACTTTGGCCGTATCTTGCTCGGTCGATGCAGCAGGTGAACCACGATATGGTGTGTATGCCGGCAAGGGAATGCTTCCGGGAAGTTCTGCGATTGCCGCTGGAGGCTGATTCACTACGACGGTTTCAGGTAACGCGCCTTGCAGATACCTCTGTAGGTCGGCTTTAGATTCGAAGTCGTCAACGTGTGGAGGTGCTGCGGCAGGGGATGAGCGTGGCCTAGTCAGCTTTGCAGACTTCGATCCCTTCATCTTTTTGATTAGTTGTGCAGCAAAGTCTCGTGGGCGCCTCATCGCTGGATCGGATATGGACCGCCGAGGTGCTGTCAGGTCGTGTCTCCCAGACATGGGCCCGTTATTGTGGTGCCCACCGGACTGCTCAGCCAAACGCTGCTGTGACTTCTGCTTCCGTAGAGACTTTCTGTGCCCTTTCTCATTCTGCCTCACCTCCTTCACTGTGTAAGATCTGAGCGGCGGGCACGGGTCGTCGACTTCCGGGCTTGGGTCCAAGGGGACTCTGTCTGTGTGGCAAGCTGACACTGGTGAGTCTCGATACTGCCTTTGACGGGCAGCTTCCTCCATGCGCTGCGCAATGGATACAGAGTCGAAACTGAGCGTGCGGTCAAGCACGACACTTTCGTCCCGTATCGTGCTCACAGAGTCCGGCCTGTCTTGAAGCTCGTCTTTACCAACTGAAGCAGAAAGTCGAATATCCGTATCCTCCATGGTCGGAGTCCTTCGGGTTGGCTTAGGGTGCCAGAATGAATATGCATGTCTTGCTCTTTGCGCACTTTGGATCTTCTGAGCACACTGTAACTGAGCCTTGATCTCGCTTTCCGACACTGGTGACGAGGTGAATCGAGCTACCGGGTCGCGACGATTGCGGGTTGACGGTGTTGCTGCCATCGTTAGTTGCAACAAATATGCTGGACACAGACGAGGTGGGCAAGAATGATATTCAGCACGAGAGACAACAGCGAAACATGGAACGAATATGCCTGCTGTGACCGATCGCTAGCTAGAGCTGTGAACCGGGTAAGTATGAGATGTCATTATATTGTAGAGGCATGATTCCACAAACGTGTGTTCACCTGGGCAAGCAAAGGTAAAGCCGGTGAGAACGGATGCTATCATTGGACTAACGAGTCGTGGGTCGTGTCCGAGGCGGCGAGGCATACTCTGGGAGGATGGCTCAGTCACGGTCAGCCTGAGCCCCAGAAAGAAAGCTCCAAGCCGCGCCAGCATCGTGGTTGCCGGGATGGGGAACTTTGGCAGCACTTGCCTCGGCCACTGAACCTGGGGCCATCATTCGCACTGCCTTTCACTGCACAATGCCAGAGCTCCTGCTTGTCGCTCGATGCCCACCACGTATTAGTCAGTCACTTAGATAGGGGTTTTGTTACCTACGTTCAGTCGCTTGCCCTGACAATCGGGGCCTAGGCACGAGCGGAACGGCCAGGCCCAGTGACTCAACGACAGTAGGGAGGCCTCTGTACTCTGCGATTGCAAGCACAACACGCAACTACTGTAGATTGAGGCCCCCAACCCACCCGCATGTGAAGATTCTGTTCTCCCGGACATCGCTGACTACCCATCTACATATTCGACAACCTGGTGAATCCGGTGATACTGGACCCAATCACAGCACTCCGTATCATTGCACGCAATCGTCGCCATTTATGAAGACATCCTATTTGAACAAGCCCAACACCGCGTTCTTGCCTAGGATTGCTCGTCTTCACACAACGCTTTCCACTTACCCAATTCGACAACATTCGACTTACGCAATACCCAACATGGACGCCTCGGCCGCCCGCTTCTTCTCTACGCCACACTTTGCTGTCGTCGGTGCCTCACAAGATACCAGCAAATTCGGATACAGGATATTAGCCTGGTACCATACCCATTCACTGGACGTAACACCGATCAATCCAAGGACGCCGACTATCAAGTTGCCCTCGAAGGCCTACTCAACGGTGAAGTCTGTCAGCGAACTCTCGGCTCCGTCGGAGACCGCGCTATCCTTCTCACGCCGCCCGCGGCTACGAAGAAGGTACTGGAAGAGGCAAAAGCTGCTGGGATCAGCTCGGTGTGGTTGCAACCAGGTAGCTTTGATGACAGCATTTTGACGTGGGCAAAGACCAACTTCGAGAGCGCTATTGGTGGCTATGAAGGCGGCACACGGGGCGGCGAGGGATGGTGTGTCCTGGTCGATGGAGAGGATGCCATGAAAGCGGCTGGACGGACCTGGAAGCAGCAAAAACTCTGAGCGCATACGTCTTGAATCAAGGCCGTTATGCATCAAGTTGACAGCGCTAGCGAGCTACATCACAAAAAGAGGCCGAGGATCGTCTAGCATTCATTACTGATGATCCGACCGTCGCGCCAATTCACCATCTCTGAGACTGGAGGTAGGTGTGACTGAGTACCTCCAAAACTCATTCCCTTCCTCATGACATCGCGATAGTTCTTGCCTGGTGAGATCTTACCAAGCACGTACTCTTGCCGAGTGGCTGTTCGATCCGGAACGGGAATGCTTCGACCGACAATCGCTTCCATGCCTTGCCAGGCAAAAGTAATGGCTTTCTTCGCATCCGCTGGAATCCCGGCCTCATCAAGCATTACGATTCTGGTCTCAGGGAATGCTTGTTGCAGAAAGCGGGTGATGTTAGGGTTCTTAGCACCGCCGCCGCACATAAATATCTCAGCGAGCGGGCCGTAGTTTTGCGGCATGTATCGATGATAATGTTCTACAATTGCCTGTGCTGTGATTCGTGTTATGGTCGCGACAATGTCGTTTGGCGTCAGCCCCTTGGCAAGGCCTCTTCTGATTAAGTCATCAGCTATAGTGTCTCGAAACACCTCCCGGCCAGTGGTCTTGGGAATATCCAAGCCGAAGTAGCCATGGGTGCGCGAGAAATCATCCATTATCTCCTGATCAACTGTGCCTGCCATGCCCATCTCGCCATCTTTGTCATACTCCCGTTCGCCATCCGTGAAATGACGGACGGCAGCATCAATGAATACATTGCCTGGGCCGGTGTCGAAGTCGAAGAACTCACGATTCAGCTTACCGTCGATGTCCGGTGGGATAAAACAGACATTGGCAATTCCACCAATATTCTGACAAGCTCGCAACTTGGTCGGATGATGTAGTAGTAACGAGTCGAAGAATGCAATCAGTGGCGCGCCTTGCCTGCCAGCGGCCTGGTCGGATACTCTAAAGTCAGTGACAGAGGTTATGCCCGTTCGTGACGACAAGAATGTCCCTTCCGCCATCGTCAGAGCTGACCTGGTTTGACCGTCCTCAGGCATGCTAAGTAACCAGATTGTCTGGCCATGGGAACCTATTGCGTCGATGGTCGCAAGGGCAACATTGTGTTAATCCGCAAATTCAATGGCCGCAGCGGCGAACGTCTCGCCCAGCAGGACGTTGACTTCTGAGAGTTCCTCCGGAGTGGTCTTGTTATGATAGATCATGTTCATCACTCGCTTCTTGATTGTGGACTCCAGCGGGATCTCGTCGTACTTCACCAGCTCGAAGTTCATAGGTGAGAAAGGTGTCCGCTGGCGGAAGCGACATAGCGCACAGTCGATGCCATCCATAGACGTGCCTGAGTTCATTCCCAGAACAGTTATGTCAAGGGCGCCAATCCCCTGTTCCTCGCCTTCGACGGCCGTCATGGCTGAGATCCTGCCGTTGAGCGACAATCGCTTGTGCACCAGGAACAAGAGAAATTAGACCTACCTCGAACCTAGCAGAGTATCTCGCATTTTGGGGCTTTTACTTTCCTTTGAAGGAATCCAACCAAACCAAACCACAAGATAGATCGTCTCGTGTACCCGGGACGTGTACCGGTGTATTTACCGGCAAAGTACGACAGGTATGCTGTCGTTCGGGGTGGGGTCCGGTTTGGCTTGAATAATACCCGTCGGCTACCAACAGCAGCAAGAGCAGCAGCGCACCTAGGTAGGTACGTTGTTGAGACTCCTACTTGTATTGGTAGTAAGTTACTCGAGGAGTCTACGGAGCGCAAAGGGCAAGGCCAAGCAGTGCTTGCAAGTTTTCTATTCAATGAGGGGCAGGGGCTGGGGACGCTGCACGTTGCCCACACCCCGGTCTTGCTGTACTGTACAGTAACGCTCACAAGAGCCCAGGGTCGATCCATGAACAGACTAAGTTGCTCGCTTCAATCCACGAAACGTTTAAGCGATTCACCCACAGCTCCATCTTTTTTACACCATGCGATAACCTCCGGCGCGACAGCCGCTGATGTCTAATGGCTGAGGAGCCACAAAAAGGCGTCAAGCGTCGTCGCATCACGCAGGCATGTGACTACTGCCACCAGAGATCGATCAGATGTCGGCCCGACCCTGAGGATCCTGACGAGCGCTGCACGAACTGCGTCTCTTTCCAGCAAGAGTGTACTCGACTTAGGCCGGCAAAGAAGCGTGGTGTTAAGCCACGAAACTCTTTGGATGATGATTCATCCGTGGCCCCTACACTACCGCCAGCACCTCAGGCGATTGCAACTCAACCAGCAGATATCGAGTTATGGAGGGCACCTCATGTCGCTGGACAGGGGTTGATCGTGGATCTTGTGGAGGTCTACTTCGAAATCATCTATCCCATATTTCCGCTTTTCCATCGACCGAGCTTCATTCGCAAGGTGTGTTGATCCAGACTTCAGCCCTTTCAATTCTAAGAAAGATCAGATCTCTCGAGGCGAATACAATGCCGACCCAGCGCTGTATGCCGTTACCATGGCGGTGTGTGCATTGAGCTCTGCACGAGCCAACGACAACGCAGTGTCCAAGCAATCACCAGATGTCGATGAGCTTTCGCGCGTGCCATCAAGGGCGTTCTACCATGCCTCCATCGACGCACTGCCAAAGTCAGACTTGCCCAGCGCAAATTTCAATGTGATGAGAACGTATGCCATGCTCGCCTTGATTGCTATTCAATATGGTGACCATCGTGGCATGCAAGGCTTTCTTGGCAAGTACCATGCAATGGTGGCGATGGACGGTCTGCACGATGAGAAAAATTGGCCCCAAGGACTCGGCATCATCGAGCTCGAAGAGCGCCGGAGACTGGTCGGTGCTCTCAATCTCCCAGAGGCCTCGCCCGCTTGCTGACACTTCCAGTTCTGGTCAATCTACACTCTAGACGTCTTTTCCAGCATAGTCTTCAAGTCCGTCATCCGAGTACGCGAACAGCAATCAATAGTCCACTATACAAGTGAGCTTGACGATGCGTTCTTCGACAATGCAGGGTACCGCCTTGATCCTCAATCCCCAACGTCGTCAAGCCCTGGGAGCAGTGTAAGCACTGAAAGCTGGGTGGTAAGTGGTACAGAGACTTCAAGATTGTCGTGTACTGAATTCCCGACTCATTGCAACCGGGTGCTTGAGTGCTTATCGCCATGCTGCCCCTCGGCGTAGCGCCATGTTCCGAAACAAAGCTGACCAGAACTTTTGGAACAGCATGGCTGGAACATCACTACCGATCTGTGGCGTCTGATTGAAGTAAGTGTACCTATGAACCTGGATTGGGCGAGACAATGATTTCCCGGCTCTGGTTCTTCCCTTACACGTTCAGTCTAACAGGTGCAATAGCATGTTGCCATAAAGCTGTACAGCCACACCAGGAGAAGGCGGACTTTTTCCGAGGTCGCAACCAAATTTGAGACCTCACCATCAGCTGCTGCCCTTTCGGCCGAGGTCGACAAAATATACTATTCCCTGCCCACGCATTTCCGTCACATTGAGGAAATGAGTGGCGACTCGACCGGTGCGTACCCTGCCAAGGGCGATGCTGGAGCTGAGCTAATTCCTACAGAGATCGATATGGCTTCCAGGCTGCGAACATCACGGCGACCGTTCAATTGCTTCGTATGGTGTTACTAGCCTCGGAAGAGAACACCATCGAGCAAAGGTGCCACGTCGTGAGCAGTGTCGTGCATGCATTCATGCGCATACCAATCTCTTACCTTCGTGCAATCAACAGTCCCCTTTTGCACCATCTCGGCTCAATAGGTGCTGTCTTGGAGGGCGTGCTTGCCGAACGTCTGACTGAGCAGCAGTATCAGTCTGTCAGAACTGTCCTGCTGTCATTAGCGCAGTTACTTGAGAATCTGGACTTCGGCTTCCATTCAATCCAGGTCGCCAAAAAGTTGAGAGATCTGGTCCTTCAGATTGACGACCATATGTCGACACACCGGCCAGTGGCGAACAGTCTGACCTCGCCATCGTCTTCGACGTATTCGCCCGCGACAGAACCTGGTACGCATGTACCGGGCTCAATTTTGACACAATGGCCGTGGAAGACTGGCTCTTCGTATTTACCTTAGAGGCTATGGGGCTCGTTTGGGTGAGAGTACCCCCAATGCTAGAGTGCAGTACAGGTGTGATAGGGGCATTAGGGGGCTGTCGTAGCCTTGCCAAGGCCGCTGTGCCCGGAACCTTGAATTGACGCCCCTCGAGCGCCCTGAACTCCAATGACCCGCGTTGCTCGGCCGCGGTTTCAAAAAAGTGAACGTGTCCTCAACTTCCATTGATCACAGTCAGCCACGGTGTACTTCAGTGTGCTACTTGGACTGACTGACACTAACGATCCGATGACCCATCACACTCCTTGACTTGCTTTTGCTCTTCAGGTCTGGACACGACCTGCACCCGTACTTCCATCCAGCCGAATCTTCCCCCTGCTTTGCCTTCAAATAACATGGCTCCTCCAGGTCGACGGAAGCCGTCCTTACTACTTTCTCTCTTTACATTGTTCATCCTGTGCTCGTCAGCGTCCGCCGCCGCCGCAGTACTGGGAATCGACATCGGCACTAGTTACATCAAGGCAGGAATAGCAAACCCTGGCCATGCCATCGACGTAGTCCTGACGAAGGATACGAAGCGAAAAGAAGCGGCTGCCTTGGCGTTCAAGCCGTCACGGACCCAATCCAACGATAAAGATGCCTTCCCAGAACGTCTGTATGGCTCTGATGCCAGGTGCTTGCGCCTCGCTTTCCCACTGATGTATTCCCGAACCTTAAGCCTCTCCTCGGACTGCCGTTCGATCACAGCGATGTGGACTTATATAGGTCGCGGTTCCCCGAAGTAGAGCTGGTCGAAATCCCAAGAGGCGAATCGAGCAAAGAGGCCACAGTCGGCATAAAGAGTAAGAGCATGGGAACGAAGGCAGAGCCGTATATGGTGGAAGAATTGCTAGCCATGGAGTTGAAGAACATGCTAGCAAATGCTGAAGCCGTGGTCGCAAAGGGTGTCTCGGTCAACAACGTTGTCATCACGTACCCGTCCTTCTACACAGCACAGGAAAAGCGGGCAATAGAGCTTGCAGCGGATCTTGCGGGCCTTCGTGTACTGAGTTTGATCAGCGACGGGGCGGCTGTTGGCTTGCAATATGCTACTACCCGCACCTTCGAGAGCGTCAACGATGGGGCCAAGCCTGAGTATCATGTGATCTACGACATGGGTGCCGGGTCTACAACTGCTACTGTTCTCAAGTTTCAAGGTCGGACTATCAAGACAGCTGCTAAGCGCAACCAGACTATTCAGGAAGTTGTAGCCTTGGGAACCGCCCACGACAGAACGCTTGGCGGAGACAGCCTGACGGATGTCATCGTGGCCGATCTTGTGCATGAGCTGGTGCAGAGCAAGAAGGCTCAAAGTCTAGGAGTCGAAGTAGGGGCTGTCAGAGAAAGCGGCAAAGCCATGGCTCGCATCTGGAAAGAGGCTGAGCGCCTTCGTCAGACGCTAAGCATCAATCCCGCAGCATATGCATCGATGGAGGGATTGTACCACGATGACATTAATTTCAAGTACAGTGTGACCAGAGATCGTTTCGAGGAGCTGACGCTCGATCACGCTGGACGTGTCAAGGGACCACTTGTGTCTGCACTGGAAGCAGCAGGTATCACTTTGGCTGAGCTGGACTCGGTCATCTTGCACGGCGGGGCTATACGAACCCCTTTCGTCCAGAAACAATTGGAGCTGGCCGTCGGCGATGCCAAGAAGATCAGAACCAATGTAAACGCCGACGAAGCTGCTGTGCTGGGCGCCACCTTCCAGGCAGCCGCCGTCAGTCCCGGCTTCCGTGTCAAAGACATCCGAGTCCACGACATCTCTGGATCTCCGTTTACGTTGAAGTGGACGGTAGATGGTAAAGAGCGCCAGCAGAAGCTCTTCACTCCTCTGTCACAGATCGCGACTGAGAAGCAGGTGCCATTAAAAGTACTCGAAGATACAAAGTTCGAGTTTGTGCAAGGTGGCGATGTTGACACCATCATCTCAAATGTGGAAGCCACAAATCTGACTAAATCTATTGCGCAGCTGAAAGAGAAATATGGCTGTACACCGTCAAACATTTCAACTGTATTCAGAATAAGGCTCAGTTCACTAGACGGTCTACCAGAAGTGGTTTCGGGGTCTGTGAGCTGTGAAAGCGATGGAAGCAAAGACGGAGGCGTCCTTGATAACGTCAAAGGACTGTTTGGCTTCGGAGGCAAGAAAGAGCAGGCGACCTTGATCGAAGACGTCGATGATCCCGCTTCTATTGTGCCGGAACCTGTCGATGACCCAACCAGTTCAGCTTCGACCATTTCATCGGCGTCTCCTTCCGAGTCAGGTTCAGCACTCTCAGAGGAGTCTGCGACCAAGAGCAGCTCGAAGGAGCCGGCCACTCCTACCCCATCAGTGGTCGTAATAAATCTTGCGCTCAGGTCTTCTCCCTTCGGTCTAAACGCGCCACCAGAGAAGGCGCTGCCACAAGTTCGTCAGCGACTTACTGACTTTGACACTTCAGACCGCAATATAGTGCTCCGTGCTGACGCAAATAATTTGCTCGAAGCTTTCACTTACGAAGCACGGAACTACCTCGAGGACGACTCTTTCATTGCTGTCTCCAGCAAGAAGGCAAGGGACAAGCTAGCCGAGGAGCTGTCCGCTGCATCTGACTGGCTGTACGGCGACGGTGTAGATGCTAAACTCAAAGACATCAAGGAAAAGCTCAAGGGCCTTCGTAGTCAAGTTGATCCGGTGCTGAAGCGAATCAGCGAGAACAGCAAGCGGGACGATGCCGTGAAGGCGCTGCAGGACGGTCTCAAGAGTATGAAAGGCACGATGGAGATGGTTGAGAGCAGTGTCAAGAAAGCCGCCGAAGATGCAGCGGCTAGTGCGAGCTCTGCTAGTGCTGCTGCAAAGGAGTCGCCTTCGTCGACATCGAGCTCACCCTCGGACGATCTGGATGACGATCCCTACTCCTCCGCCAGTTCTGCGGCAGACCCTAGCGAGACCGAGAGCGACACACCGATCTTCAAGCCCTATGAATACAGCCAGGCTGATTTAGATTCGCTGACAAAGGTTCAGGATAGTGTTCAGAAATGGCTGGATGACAAGCTCAAGGCACAAAAGAAGCTCGGCCCATACGACGATCCTGCCGTACTGGTCTCAGAACTTGAAGCGAAGGGGAGCGAGGTCCAGAAGGAAGTGACCAACCTGTTGATGAAGTCGATCAAGATGAACGGCCTGCCAAAGAAGCCCAAGGCAGGCAAGAAACCAAAAACCGCAAAGCCCAAGAAGTCGGCCAAGACGACAGCGTCAACGTCTGCTTCCGAGTCAAGCGAGACGGTCTCGACGAAGTCCATCAAGGACGAGCTATGAAAGCTGCCAAGCGTGAGCGGCTTGATGGCCTTTTCTAGGAATCATCAGACGTTGGCTTCGCTCACTGGACGGATGGTACTGTCTGAGTGCGGTCCAACAAGTGTTGAACCGACAAAACTAGTCGGAGCCTTGATTCTGCGCCGGACCCTTCGCAACAGTCAAGACACCTTACCGTCCTCAGCCAGCGCAACGGCCAAGGACTTCGGAGATCTCAGTTTCTAGCACGATGTGTAATGCTAGAAACGACGATGCAAGAACATTATCGTGGACGTCGGCCTGGTACAGGGGTACCTAATGAACATGCCAAGCATCCGACTAGCGGCCGACAGGGCGCGAACTTGGCCCCGCATTCGGCGATGCAATGCCAATGTGTGGCCCCCACTGGCACTGACAAGCCCGGGCTTTCTAGCTTGGTGAACGCAGCTGGGCAGTTGGAGTATGACGAGAGCGACCTGCAGACCCCATGTTGCGATCGCACCTTGTGCATTCGTGCGAATGCCAGACCACAATGGTAGATACACAGATTGTAGACTGATGCTCGAAAGAGCATATCCATAGATTTCAAGTTACAAAGAAATTTTGATACAACCATTTCTTCTTGGCTGTCTTCAACTGGCCGAAAGTAACTAGCACATAACTATTGAATTCGAAATCGCTTTCGAAGGCTCCCAGGATTACTGTACCGGAGTGTGCAAGCCCCAAGAATAGCTGGTGACTTTGCCCGCCTCACTGGACCTTGGGTCTCCCTGCCATTGTTGCCTTCGGCTTTCAATTTTAGGCACGGTCGCTCTCCTGCAATCTGGTTACCGCTCCAGCTATATTCTCCATGCCACACTCTTTTCCATCTCTCGCTTCTCCGTCGAGGTCATGAGCTCTCGTCTGAAGAGTCTAGGCTTCGGTTCCAAACGAAAGAGCGCGGCCAATATCCAGACCAACACTGTCAATCCCTCCAACGCCTCCACATCGACCACCGCCAGTACCCCTCCACCGCCAAATTCCTCGCAGACCAGCCTCCCTATGAACTCCCAGGGACTGGGCCGCCCTCCAAGCTATTCATACAATACTGCCGCTGGTCGTCCCCAGAGTCCTATGCCCCCTGGCCAACAACAGACAATGGCCCACCACCCTGCCCCGATCGACACCAGACAAAGCTACATGAACCAACACCCGCAGCAGCAGATGGGACCCCCACAACCGCCTGGATATGGCGGTGCGTACAATCAGATGCAGCAGCAGCAACAAGGTATGCAATACATGAATACACAGCATGCTGGTGGCCGTCCGGCTGAAGTCGCAGGCGATTCCAATCGCAGCAAGGCGCAACTAATCGTCGGCATCGACTTTGTAAGCTACAGCCTCGCCCACATCGCTCTTTGTGGATCGCTAATACAGTCCAGGGAACGACGTTCTCCGGCGTCGCCTTTGCCTTCGCAACCAACACCGAAGCAAAAGAAGACATCATCACAGAATGGCCCGGCGCAGGCAACCAGACCAAGCAGAAGGTGGGCTACACCCAACTGATAATGTGTTCACCGGCCGCTGACTTTGTCTAGATCCCCACCGTGCTTTACTACGATCAGTACCAGAAAGTCGTTGGCTGGGGCCCTGATATCGCAGATGCTCTTGCGCCCACCGGCTATCCCAAGCCAGGAGTACAGAAGGTGGAATGGTTCAAGCTACAGCTCATGCTGTCAGGCAACACATATATCGACCCCATCAACCTCCCACCTCTCCCTCCCGGAAAGTCCGAAATCGATGTCGCGGCCGACTACCTGTTCAAACTACGGCAAGCCATGCGCGTACAACTACAGAAAACACTGGGTGAAGTCTTCAATCGTGAGGAACGCAACATCAGGTACTACCTGACAGTGCCTGCCATCTGGAATGACGCCGGCAAAGCTGCCACAAGAGCGGCTGCCATTCAGGCTGGCTTCATCCGTGACGAGAACGACAACCGCCTGACCCTGATCACAGAACCCGAAGCTGCTGCCATGTTCTGCTCCAAGACCGGCTTGCTGAATATGAAAGTCCACGATGCGGTCCTTATTGTTGATTGCGGTGGTGGTACCGTTGATCTGATCGCATACGAGGTCGAGGAAGAGACGCCGTTCACAGTCGCCGAATGCACAGCTGGTTCCGGCGACTCATGTGGCTCGACTGCTCTGAACCGAAACTTCTCAAATATTCTTCGCGCCAAAATCCGAAAGATGAAGCTGCCGGACGGCTCAAAAACCGCCGGGCGTGTGTACGCCAAGTGCATCATGGACTTTGAGAACCGAATAAAGGCTGACTTCCGTAACAATGGTCAAAAATGGGCCGTCGACGTTGGTATCGAAGCAGAGTTCCCCGAGGCCGGCATTGAAGAAGGATACATGACGTTCACTAACGAGGAGATCCTGCAATGCTTCGAGCCAGTCGTCAATCGCATTCTCGAACTCGTCCGGAACCAGATTATCGCCATCCAGGCGCAGAATCGATCACTACAGCACGTACTCGTGGTCGGAGGCTTCGGTGCTTCTGAATACCTCTTCCAACAAATCAAGCTACATGTGCCGCCTCAATTCCAGTCGAAGGTTGTCCGACCCATGGACTCAGTGTCTGCCATCGTCAAAGGCGCTGTCACAGCCGGTATCACAGAAAAGGTCGTCACATCGCGTGTTGCTCGACGGCACTATCTCATGGCGACATTACAGCCTTTCAAGGAGGGTCATCATCCTGAGCAATATCGCGTGCCAAGTTTGGACGGCAAGGATCGCTGCAAATACACTCGACAGATCTTCGTACAGAAGGGTGAGAGAGTCAAGGTTGGCGAGCCGGTCAAGGTCTCTTTCTTCCGACAGGTTGCACCAGGTGCGACGTTGATGTATGAGGATATCTTATATGCTTGTGATGAGGATGTGTGGTAAGTCTTGTCCCCAAAGTGTCATACCAATGCGATTACTGACAACCACAACTACAGCCCCGAATACACAAAAGATCCTCGAATCAAGGAAGTCGTCACCCTCACATCAGATCTCTCCCGCAAGAACCTCGAGAAGGATTTTGAGCGCATGGACACTCCGCAGGGCACCTTCTACCGTGTCTACTTCGACATTTATCTCACTCTGGACGGTTCGGAGTTCAATGCTGAGCTCGTATGTCAAGGCGAAGTAATGGGCCGCTGTACCGCTCGATTCAGATAAGGTTTCGTGGCAGAGCTATATGGAGTAGACTGGTGGGCAGCGGCGATGGTAATGAGCAACGAAGGATGGCACGAGGACGACGACAGGTCAACACAAGGCAAATCGCTCGCCGAGCATCAGTCACGGCGGCCTTTGGTGAATTGTTGTGGCTGAAAATTATGGTTCAGCCAACGCCTTTGTTCATTTGGGAGCTGGAAGCAGAGCGAGTCATGCACTGCCAGGTCGCGACTCCCACTTACGAAACCTGGAAGATCTGTTCTGGATGGCAGATGACAGACGAAGTGGGCGCGAAGGCCAACCACCGACTGGTCACAATCACAGCGCCTGGTGGACAATTTTCTCCCGGATGTGTAGCGGAAATGTTGACTCTAGACGGCGTCCACGAAAAGCCGGTCCAGCTCGGTGCCACCAAGGATAGCCAGCGTCAAGATGGGTGGCCACAGATGTCGACATAGAAATGCTTATGGTACCCCGTCGTCAAGATGGCGACAAAATGGTTAGATAGCGATTACGTACTCACTGGGAAGCGGGTCATTTGATAGCGAGAATGAAGAATGGTGTTTGAGCATTATTCTGTGAACTGCCTCAAGCATGCTATGTTCGAATGGACAGCACGACAGACCGGATTCCGTGCTACGTGTTCTCTGGCCAAACTGCGTGGCATGAGCACGCCCGTCGACCGATCTGGCCTTAGCCATTTGTCCTGCTATCGTCTTGCCGACATACTCGGTCCTAAAGGCCGGAAGGTGACTTGCGTGCGTGTCTGGCCCTAGAGTCATGCTCGATCAGACTCGTGTCCGCTACACACAGGATCCTCCCTCCTTGGATCCCCTCGGGACACACGCTCTGTAGCCTTTGTGGCCTTCAGGCGACCTTCCTCGCGACGAAATGGCCACATCGATACCGCATCTGCACCATGCTTCGCGCATCCTGGAGATACAGGCCCGGGTCGCCCATAATCTTGCCCTCTCCGTCATCAGTATCGGATCCAGCCGGCAAGACTTCATGATGGAGGATCTCGAAGCCTGATTGACCAATCAATGCCAGGACCTCGTCGTATGTCATCTCGAAGGAGCCAGGCTCGGCGATGCCAGTGTCTTGGAACTTCTCTTCTTGTCGGACGCCTTTGTTTGCATTACCGGAGGGTTCATGGGGTGGCGGCGACTGGGATCTTGCGTCAAAGTGCCACAGTAACGGTCCAATGTTGATCCACAGTCCTCCAGGCTGGAGACAGTTGTGAATCGTCTGGATGTATCGGAAGAGATTTGGGGAGGTGTCGATAAAGTATGCCGTGACTACACTGGTGAATGTATTTGCACTCTCAGCGTCGTTGAAGCTGATACAGAAGTCTCCTGAAGCCATGCCCATCTGACCGATTGGATCACCTCTTGCGCGAGCTTCGGCCGTTGCCGTTGCTGGATCGACGTCTGGCATGGTGAAGGATCGCAGCTGATCGGCACGGGAGACGACATTGCAGAATTGAGCTACCCAGGGTAGATGGTCCAGCTGTTTGCACCCGAGGCATTGCCATTAAGAATGAATTGGGAGCCCATCAATTGGTGGTAGCTGATCTCGTTTCCCGTGACATTGTGACCACGAAGGGTGAGCTCGAGGAGAAGACGTGAGAGGCCGGAACCTGGCAGGAGGATATTCGAATACTCATTGGTTCTGAGAGTCTTGTCCGCCAGTGGTGGTGAGTACTTCTCAAGATCTGCCAAGATCATGTTGAGAAGCGGCTCAATCTCTCGAGCGAAGCCTTCTGCCGTCCAGTCACGGTAGAATTGACGTAGAGTAGACTGTGCTTTGTTGTGCTGTGCTAATGGTCAGCCACGGAGAGCGACAACAACTTCGACATGTGAAGGCCGGAGATTAGCAGCTCAGAGCGAGACTTACGTCGTGAATCTTAGCAAAGCCGTTCCAGGGCATGTCAGCGGCCGAGACCTCGCCGCGAGGGAAGTTCTGCGAGGACATGGCGGCCTCAACGATAGCATGGAAAGCCGACTGTTCACATCGATGGCATCGTCAACAGCCGCCAAGTTGTCTAACAAGTTGAATGGTGGGTTGGCCAGGACTTGGAAGTTTGATGAAGGCAGGGCGTAGAGGTTCTGACGGCGACGGTGAACAGTCATGTGTGCCATAGTTGCGTATTTGTCAAACGAGTCGAGCGCCTGATACGAGACGTCCAGTTCAGTAGGCTCGTTGCGCAATGGCTGTTCGCCATTCTGACCGGTCTGCATCGTTGCTTCATTCAGATCGTCGTCGGCGCCGTTGTCTCTCTGCCCAGCGACTTTGCCAGGAGCGATATCGTACATCACGGCGCTTGGGTCCATGATTTGTTGTATCAATCGTGTTGAACTCCGCGATGTGAAAGCCTTTGTGTCAGATAAGAATGCTAAAGTACCCTGATGGACGCTCAAGAACAAGGATGGGCAGGAGCCGTGAATCGCTCCTGTTTCTCCGGCTTTATATCATTGTGGTAGCTGGAGTCTGGGCCAAGGCCAGAGCGCTAGTCTTGCTGGTCTGCTCTATAAGACATGTTCACAATTAATCTCAGGGCTCAGCTTGGACAGCCCGTCATGCATATCTTGCCTGTTTGTGTGCTACAGCAAGCAATAATGAGGACACAACGGGATTAGCAATACATCCCCACCATGCCAAGGACGAGGCAACCATTTTTCGATTTGCCTTGTCCTGCAGCCACAAGTATATTCTTCCTTTATGTCCGACGAGATTCGAAGCGCCCGCGATTTCACTCACCGAAATAATACTGTTGGCCAGTCCGCCTGAAGCACCTTTCATTGCAATCTACCACTTCAATGTTAGATTCAAGGCCATCCATTTTAACGACTTAGACTGGAAACCATCCCACCTGCTGAGGCCCGGCTCCCTTGATTGTGATACAATCTCAAGCTCGGATGAGTGCCATGTCGTGATGGCTTCCTCCAACACATCAGCACCGTCTTTCAAGCCCCTCCAGATTTCGTTCCCAGTGCCACGGCACCCACATCTCAGTCTTCAGGCACACTTGACTTTCCTTGACAGCTGCTCCATGGTTCATCTCACAACCAGTACACTAGGCGAGGGCGCCTCGACACATGCCCCACTCGGAAGCTTTGTCTATGCCATGCCAGATGTAAGTAGAACCCTGATACAGTACGGTTCAGACCGAATCTGTTCGTCACACCATAAGCACAGCTTAAGGCATGTACCCTGTTGACCAACCTCCTACAGCGGATCGACAATCGAAATACAATCAGCACAGCTCTATCGACCGAAGGCTCGAGCATAGACTACGCAACCCGACTGTCGAAGATATTGGCTAGGAGGCTGAATCAACCAATCTACGTGGGTTGCAGCATGAACTTTGCCGGTATAACGGCGGAAGAGGAAATGGAAGGAATAGCTGCCATCGTTGGGAAAATAGTGGAAGCGTCCGAACGCTATTCACCTGCGCATCCAACAAGACCTCTCACGAACGGTGATGTGTGGTGACGCAAATGCTACGGCCATCGGAAACCGCTTCCCGCGCCGACATACAGCCCCATGAAGTTAGTGCTGTAGGTCTGTCCAGTGTCCAAAAGGTCCATACGAACCCCGGGAAAAGATGGGTTTCATCGACCGGAGAACAACTACAGTACATCTGCCGTGCCAATCACACGGGCCTGTCATGGCGTGGCTGGGAGAATGCTTTTTTGAGCCCCTTCTTGGGGTCAACATGCTTCAGGGATATGTACCACCTCAGAGATATGCTTTCCCCTCGCCGCTTTCCCAAAGGCGGTGAAGTCATTGATTTGAAGATGCTTTGCAGTTCCGAGCAGACCAATGCGCACAGCACTGTCCCCTGAAGAGACGACTTCTTCCCGGTGGCTCATGTCCGAGAGCCCGTGGCTCTGTGGGAAAGCTACCGATAGCCTCAATGACGTCGGTCTGGCAGGCTGCGGTGATCTTCTGCTCCTCGTCTGGTGAATGCGCAAGTTTCTCATCATGCAGTATGTCTTCATGATCTCAGTCATCGTTCTTATCATTGAAAGCTACCTTGTTGAGCTCAGCATCGACTTGTGGATTGTTCTCATGGTCGCTGTCAAGAAGCTCGTTGTCGATGTCCAAGTCATTGTCTTCTTTGTGGGACTCAGCATGAATGTACTCGTCATCGTTACTATTAATGAGTGCCTCGCAGTCAGAGTTGCAGGTCTCTGAAGTCTCTCTCTCTCCTCTGCACAGCAATTAGCTACTCTGCTTCCCCTTTGAGAAATGGAGCCGTTGGCTATGTTCTGGGTCTTGAGCAGTCGCCTCTTGACACCGATAGCGTGAGCAGTGACGCCGAATCGTGATACACTTGATGATGACATGCTGAAGGCGATGACTGTGTGACAATCGATGGCAGTAGGAAGGAAAGGCGAGTTCCGAGGCGTCTGATACAAAGCGAACTCTCGGCATCCGATGGAAGCGTCCCAACGCCATCGACCGGCACATTCCAATGGACCTCTGACGAACGGCGATGTAGCCTGATGAGCGAGCTATTGCCTTCGACACGCGCCTCGCCGAGCTACATATTCGGCTGCGCATCCTCCATATCTGCCTCCAACAGATACAGCTCACAAGACATACCTAAAAGCCTTGTTGTCCAGCTCAGTCATATCCAGCATGCCGCCCTCAATGCCTTCTCTTCTGACCTTGACGTCCACATCTGTCTGAAGATGTTCTCCACCGTCGCCACTTACAGCCTGTTCTCGGTCGCGCTTCTTGTTGGCCATCCACATGTAGACGTACAGCACAATGATAGCGATCAACTTGACGACATATCCAACCAGCATTGCAATATAGGCCGAATGATAGCCAGGCTTTTCCGAGTCTTTGAACGTCTGCGGGCCAATGATGTTACCAACACAATACCCTGTAAACAAGATCGCGCTTGTGAGCTGCTTTTTGGTGTAGCCTGTGGGACGACATACGTCAGCATTGAAGGCCTCCGCATGCTATGCAGGAGCGACAACTGATCACCCTGTGACATTTCACTTACCAGCAATATTCGATGACACGATCGTCAGACTCATACTGAAGCCCAGACCCTGGAAATAGCACAACCACAGTGCCACCAGTCTGCCCCATTTATTGCTGTTTGGCAGTCCAACCAACAGTCCGGCACCTAAGATGCAGATACTGTTTGCAACAATCATCGTCGGGAATCTGAGATTCTTGAACCGACTGCAGATATATCCCCCAGTAATGAGTGCAAGGAACTGTACCGCCCCACCAGGAATTTGCATATACTGCGTTCCCAGCGTGCTGAAACCGAAGCTCTTGACGATGATACTGGCGAAGCTCGTCAGCGCCGCATTTGGGATCTGCGCGCCTGTCGCCATGATGAACAAGATCCACGTCTTTGGATCGCGGATGGTCTGAATGAGCTGGTAACGCTTAAAGTGGTGGTTCTTGATGCCCTGGCGATTTGCTGCGACGCGGTTCACGGCCACGGCGCGTTCCTGAGGGGTCAGGAATTTGGCAGTAGAGGGCAGATCAGGCAGGAAGACAAGTGCTGCCAGACCAGCAGCGATCGAGCACGAGCCGAGAACGAGGAAGATGTACATCCATCGAGGCAGACCGTGCTTGATATTGCCGACAGCGTAACCAATAAGGCCACCGAACATGGTGGCTATCCCGTTCGTGCAATAGTAAGACTCCAGACGCAGAGGCTGCTCTGCTGAGCGGTACCAGATCGACATAATGAGGACGAATCCAGGATTAACGACACTCTCGAAGAATCCAAGCAGGAACCGGTTGATGGCAATCCCGGCGAAGTTCGTACATGCCGGAGTCGTGATGAGAATTATGCCCCAGATGGTCGTCGTAACACCAATGACTTTGCCCAGCGGGAGCCGCTGTATGACATATCCGGCAGGGAACTGACTCGTGAGATATCCAAAGTAAAACAAGGAGCCCAACCACGAGAAGTCCTGGCCATGGAGGTTTGTGCCTTCCTGCAGGCCATACACACTCGCGTAATTTATCCCGTTCTTATCTACATAAGAATTAGTAAGAGCCACAGTAACAGGGACAGAAGGGTAATCCCCTGGCCGGGGTCATATCGCCAAGGTGTTTGTTGCAATACTCATACCAACTTACCTATATATTGCAGGAAATAGACGACGCTGCCGGTATTTGTCAGCCTAAACCAGTATTTTGAGACTTCGCGACGGGTAGGAGGGAGGTTGGCTTGAGGTCAGACAGTCGTCAATTCGTCGCCAGGAGGGCTTCAAAGATGGCGGCGCCTTAGTCAGGACTTCCAGATAACCCGAGACATCATTCGAGACCAGTGTCACTGATGCTAAACCGAGACTGTCTGCTGGTCGACTGATGGTTCAGGCTCGCGAAAAGCGGGCAGACTTACATAAGGATCGGTATCAAGCGTTGGTCGATCTTGCGTAGGACACGTTTCTCTTCAGCCGGATCAATTTCTTGATCGGCATTGTCCTTGTAGATGGCATAGTTGTCGTCGAGATCAGATGAGTAGGCGGACTTGTCGTCAACAGCTGATGTCGAAGGACTGTGAGCAGTAATCTTGTCCTCAAGCCCTGCTGAGTCGCGATTCTGGCCAACCATCTTCTTTCTGGTCCACGTGGTTACCGTGTGGCTGCAGAGAAGGACGAAGTAGCAGCAAAGGCTGTACTTAAGGACGGGCTTCGGGGCATGCCAAAGGGAGCCACGACCGAGAAAGCATGGCGGCCATCAAGCTCGTGGCGGTAATCGGTGCTGGAGCTTAGCATCTCGGTTCCTGGACCGACCACCGGTAGCAACGTCACAACTGGAAGATGTCCATCCGACAAGCGCGAGCGTGATGGAGCATGCGGTCCTCGAACCGAGTAGTGGGATGCTAAGAAGACTCCTTGTGAAGGTGATGAGTGATGTTTTTTGGAGAGGCTATCGATGGTGCAATCCGCTACTAGCGATCACGACATCTGTGACATTTCTGGTTCGTGGGATCCTGATCCTTACCTCAATCGAGGTTTTGTGTCATTGCACAAGGTCTGTCGAGCACTGCACGAGTCGACACCTGGTATCATCTCTTGGTGCTCGAGTTGATACAGGACACAACTAAGCAAGAAGTCCAACCTTGCAAGTCAACGGTAAGTACGAGCCAAGACTTGTTGCCAAGAACGTTCCTCCGCCCTGACCTTGGGACGCATCTGAGCACCCCAAGTTGACGTTTGCAGCTCACCTGGGTCACGCGTATTGCCGCAAGTCAGGCCTACTCATACCAGTTCGTGGTGGCCGCTAGAGACGCAGCCGAGCCTACGGCTGCAAAGCGTGTCGCAGATTATGCATTGAGCCAGGTCCTGCGAGATAGACTCGTTTGCGCTGACCATCTCGCCGTCCGCGGCCCAAATGCAACACGTCTGGCGGTATGAGCTTTGGCGATAGCGACTGAGGCCAGGCTTGAGTCTTCAACAGCTTGCGTACACAATGTTGGTCCTCATGCTGGTTACGAAGAGGTGCTGCCACGCTTAGGTCGACCTTGGACCACGACTTGTACCACAGAGAGTATACCTTGAAAGCAAAGGATGAACTTCAGAACCTGCCCTCATCAATCTCGAAGTTGTTGACCAGATTAAAGGTTAGGAGCGTTGAGAATAAGGTAGTAAAAGAGGACAGCGAACGGCTAGACGTCTATGCATTTGAAGTATAAGTCGGGCAAGTGGGTGATAGTGGTCCTGCTTTGTAGACAACGGTGAACCGTGGGCAATGAACCGCAGACGGCGTGGCTGGGTCTCTCATGTGGAAGTCATACTTTATGCGCTGCACTCGTTTGCTGCAGTCATGTGTACCAAACGTTTACCTTTTATAGATCGAGCACAAGATGACAGCATCGGTGGAGAAGGTCAGACCTCGCAGCTTTCGATGCCCTTACTCCCTTCGCCTGGCATCTCATGGGGTGCTCGGCGCTGCTCGCTGATCGCGAGCCACGCCACCGCTGCCACGCGCATTGAACCGACCGCCATCGATCATGAGTACGACCGAGCAAGTTGCCGAGTCGATGCGTCGACATGCTCCATATGTTACACGCCGATTGTGGCATGCAGGACACCTTTACGGATGTCGGTATCCAGGTGATTGAAACATCAAGGTTTGGAAGTCGTCTGCAGCCAAGGACAAAGCCCAAATGCGATGATGGCTGTGTTATTTCTCCTTGGCATCGGGTGATCGCCGCTGTGCTGGTGGTACAATGCAATCAAGTGGTGGGCACATCGACGGCATGATGCCCGGACGGCATCCTGCAATTCAACAAGAGCATGTTTGTGACGATTGCCATACGGGTGTGATGATCATTAGGCTCGAGATCCATAGTCGGTGAGGCACACTGCGCGCTAGATAACCAGTAGTGACTTGACAGCTTGGCAGGTGTGAAACGTTGGCCGGAGACTCATGGAGACTAAAGGCTTCAGCGTTATGCTATGATGGAATAGAGTGTTATTCTGGGTAGGTGAAACACCACGCATGCTGCCGGAGTGGAAGTAGAGAGGCACTACGCAGTCACAGTCTGACGCTGCCAATGTGATAACTCGACGACGCGACGTGGACAGTAGCGGAAAATGTCGGCAACTTTGAAAGATCGGACAATGGAAACTCTGTTGTGGAACGAAGGTCTACGAGCTCAGCCTCAAAAGCAGGAGATTTCATATGCAGCATGGCGCAATGATCTTCACAGGGATCCCCACCTAGTAGCTTTGGAGGCTGACGGGAGGGCCGGGATACGCTCGGATATGAGCTTATCTCGATCGCATCCTTTCTTCTCAGGCACACCTTCCCTTCATGCAGATGCACTTGCCCAGACCTGCCAACGCGTACTGATACAGCAGCTTGCCGCTATTAATATCATGATGTTTCGAAGACTCTTTGATACGGTGGAAGACGTCAGAAGGCCGACATGATGTCAATCAATAGGGAGAGTCCGGATCGGCCTTTAAGTTGGCACTATGCTTTCAGTTGCTGCGCACGAGCATCCCTGGGGTGCGAAAATGTGCTCTGTACCATCAAGGGCTGATCACGATACAGCCTTTCCATGTATACTTATGGACGGAAAGGCATGTGTGGTACCCGCGGGAATGTGAGAACAAAGGACCTGCCGATCAGCGTGACGACGACCGCAATGTCTACGCAATCTCTGATGGATATCGACAGGACCAAGTAAGCCTTGGCCGGGCTGGGCATAGACTTCGAGTGACCCCAGCGGACCGACGTGACTGCATGGAGTCCTCCCCACTGGGCCCTGCGCGCAACAAACAACGAGAAGAGTATTAAACGCTGGCCTGCATCATGTCTTCTTCTCCAGCATGCATTGACACTGCAGTACAATCGCGACTGCCAAATGGACAAGCGCAGCGACTTTGCTGTTTTCCCCTTTCCTTCGTGCCTGGAGATGGTGAATTCCGAGGACATGGCAGGAGACATAGAAGCCCAGAAAGGATCAGTCCCTCCTATGCTGACATTTGCGGACTTCAAGCGCGATTCATACCATCGTCGTGATAGCAGACCGAAGCTTTCTCTTTCAGCAACGATGTCTCGAAGCACGACACTGACCGAGAATACTCCCGTGGCATCTAGCCGCAGCTCCAGAACATTGGAGGAGGGAAAGTATCATGACGGAGCACCCAGCAATCGCTCTCAGATGTTCGGTTCCGTCCGAGACTACCTCGAGCAGGAACTCGTGGCCAAATACATGGGAGCCGTCATCTTACTCTGCTTCTTCGTCTCCGGCCTCATCGATGCCGTCGCATTCAACTCATGGAATTGCTTCGTTGGCATGCAAACAGGTCAGTCGTCCACTACCATTTTTCCTGCCCCTATTAACTCGCTGCATTCAGGCAACACGATTTTCGCCGCGCTCGGCCTCTCCGGACAACCAGAAGCCACCCACAACCGCCAGTACTACAAGTCCCTTCTCGCCATCGCCGCTTTCTGCTTGGGCACGCTGTTCTTCAACTTCCTCCACCGTCGTCCAACCAACTTCCACTCCCTGCCCGCCTCCCGCCGTCGTTGGATTCTCGTCACATCCTTCTGCATACAGACAATCATGGTTGCTACAGCCGCCAGCCTCGTCACGGCACATCTCGTGTCCAATAGGCCGTACATCAGTGGCGTCTTCTCCTCGGGAAGTCAGAAGGATGAGCCGCATATCAGATCGAGGATGATCTGGCTAGACCTTTGTCCCATTGCTTTACTAGCATTCGGCGCCGCCGGTCAGGTCACGTTGAGTCGTGTGCTAGGGTTGATGGAGCTGCCCACTACGGTATTGAGTGCGCTTTTCCATGACTTCACGGCCGATCTCTACAACCTGAAGTGGGCGTGGGATAAGAGCATGTCAGTCAAGGGTTTCTTCTTGGTTGAGGAGAGAAGACAGCTGACGCGACTGAACTCCATCGTTGCATTGTTCTTGGGCGGGTATGTTGGTGGGCGGATGTACAAAAGTCCCATGGGAATGGCGGGTGCCCTCTGGTTTGCGGTGGGCATCAAATTCTGTATCACGGTCGCCTTTCTGCTGTGGAAGAAGGAGACAGCTGTAGCTGAGCAGGAAGAGACGGAGATGCCGCAACGTGGGGGACCAGAGACTCTGCCAAAGTGAGAGGGACAGAGTGCTGGCTGAGCTGTAGGGATGGCCGTGATCTCTCAAGCTGCACTTGGGTGCTTTCTCCGATCTGTCACCTCACAGTGCTTCTTTACTGATGAAGTGGCTAGAATTCGGATGAGCCTCACTGCGACGTCACTTGGGCGGTAGCGTTTATCGTTCGTTTCCTGACTAGGGAGGGCGCTGTACAAGTTGGACACGACTTGCATGCTAAGGAGCCTATGATAGAGACTCGACTGCTTTCAACGACTCTCGGGGCTAGCGTTAAAATGAGAATCGTCCAGGTCTTTTTTCCACAACCTACCTCTGCCATGTTTCTCATTCGTGTGTGAGAAAGCGCGCTTGTGGCGCCATGTCACAGCTTACCAGCACAGACCTTGCTGAGCTCGCACAACAGACGAGACTCGAGACATCGAAGATACACTGAGCGGGTCGAACACTTTTGTCTACCAGCTATAGGCTTTGCTCTGCTAGGTCGAGGTACAAATGCTTGAAATCGCAAACTTTGAAACTGCTGGAGCTTGACAATGCTGGGCTGGGGTTCACATTCATGTTAGCGCTGGCATACTTGTTGTGCTCGTGTCACCACCAGCCATGTTTGTCAGCTGATCCTTCTGGATCACAGGCCTAGGTCTTGACGTCTGGTTCGGTACGGCCGATGAACTTCTGCAACTGCAGCAGCTCTTGAGCGACGCCAACCGAATCCTTCAGATACTGCTGCGTATCCTCTCCGACCTTGCTCTTGTCTTCCTCGAGCTTGTCGACGTAGAGACGAATGGTAGCGCCAGCACTGCCCGTGCCAGACAGTCTGACAACAACACGGGTAGTGTCGTCGAACTTGAAGTAAATGCCCTGACCCTTTGATACAGAGCCGTCGAGGTCAGTGTACGAGAAATCGCCCGCCTCGGTGACTTTGCGGCCTGCTACACTGGAGCCGACGGTGTCTTTAGCTGCAAGTTTCTCGCGAAGGTGTGCTACCATCTGGTTCGCTCCATCGCTGCTGACGTTCTCATAGTCGTACCTGGTAAAGTAGACGCGGCCATATGTGTTCCAGAACTGACTCTGGATCTCAGCGATCGAAGGCAGCTTGCCAGTATCCTTGTTCACGCCGGCCATAATGTTGAGCCAGGCACATACAGCCCATAGGCCATCTTTCTCACGGATGTGGTTGGAGCCAGTACCGAATGATTCCTCGCCGCAGATAGACATCTTGTCAGAGTCGAATAGAGCACAGAAGAACTTCCAGCCAGTTGGCACCACGTATGTCTCCAGACCTTGCTTCTTGCCAACCAGATCCAGGGCGCTCGATGTGGGGAATGAACGAGCTAGACCATAGACTCCCTGCTTCTGGAAGTATGGGATATACTGCTTAGCATAATGTGCGATGATGGCCAATGAGTCGCCTGGTGAGACGAAGGCATTCTTGCCGTAGATCATGTTTCGGTCTCCATCACCGTCGGATGCTGCTCCAAAGTGGATGCCGTCTGCGTCGACACGTTCGACAAGCGAGTGGGCATACGTCAGGTTTGGGTCTGGGTGACCTCCGTTGAAGTCGGGGCTTGGCTCGCAGTTTTGTGTACTCGATGGAGGTAGACCAAGCTCTTTCTGGAAGATGGCGACTGCATATGGTCCGGTGACACCGGATAGACCATCGAAGAGGACCTTGAAGTCGGGTTGTGCTTTGAAGAAGGAGCGGATGAGTTCGAAGTCGAAAATCTCCTTCATGTACTTCACATAATCGTCGACTGAGTCGATGATCTCCACTTCGAGCTTGCCATACTTCCTTGACCCAATGGTTGAAATGTCGACGTCTGGAATATTCTCAATCTTGTAGCTTGTCAAGCTCTTTGACTTTTGGTAGATCTTGTCTGTGACTGATTCGGGAGCAGGAGCGCCGTTGGAGAGGTTATACTTCATACCGAAGTCCTCGGTCGGGCCTGTAGGAGGTCAGAGACCGGCTTCGGTAGGTAAATGTTCATACTGACCACCTGGGTTGTGACTGGCTGTGAGCAAGATGCCACCAGTGGCTTTGCGCTTGCGGATGACATGGCTCGCAGCTGGAGTGCTCAGGATACCATTGTGGCCGATTAGGAGCTTCTTGACGCCGTAGGCAGCGCCAATTTTGGCAATTTTCTGAACAACCTCAGGGTTGTAGTATCTGCCATCACCACCAATGACAAGGAATGAACCTTCCACGCCTTCTGGTATTGACAGGAGGATTGCTGTGATGAAAGACTCGCTGTAATGAGGCTGCTGAAAGACCTTGACCTTCTTTCTCAGGCCTGATGTTCCTGGTCTGCCATTGGCTTTAGCCGGTTATACATTGTTGTCCCTCGATCACTTACTTCTGGTCCGAGAAGGACGAGAACTGGACTTCTTGTACCATGGTTGAGTCTCTGGGGGATGTTTTGAAGGCAATAGAAAAGTGCTCTTTCTCGACGAGCTCGAAAAGTAAAGTTAGCTGTCACTGACCGATCTCGAGAATGAATTATATCGCAGTTGCAGTTGTCCCGCCAAAATTTTGTTGATAGCTCAATTGCAGTTACCGCGGGGCAATTTTAGACGTCATGCCCGCCGTGTCGGAGAAACGGGGTCCAGCGCCGCCGCCCCGCTGACGGGGATTTTCCAATGCCTGCGCGGTGGAATTCCAAAACCCATGGCAACAGAATACCAAGCCGAAATCCTTCAGATCGCGTTCTGTGGTGCAGTGAACTATGTAGACATGCGTTCGACGTTCCTGAATTGACCCGCCGTGTCGCTGAGGCTGCCCCGGTCATGGACGCCCCTCATACATGACGAGGACAGACCAAGAAGCTAAGAGCAGCCCTGCCAGTGTAGCGTGACAGGACACGAATGCACCGGCGCCATATCGTCACACCTGGCGCTCAATGTGCCAAAGCGCGAACAGATGGATGCAATGGATACAGACGGTAAATCTACGCAGTGTGATGGTAGGTGCTAGGGCGCTGCGACGTTACTCCCAACCTGTACGGCTTCACAGTTGGAAGCAACAATTGTAGCCAAAATCGATCTGTTGCGATGGTTCAGGGTGCTTGGCGGCATCGCCGCGCGCTATCAGCGATCGTCCCAGGTTGGTGGCAGGGGCGATGGTAATGATATTGAACGCACACAGTCACAACACTGGATGGCTACGTGATTAGTTTGTAGCGCAATCCAGTACAGGCGCGGTAAGTGGTCGTAGATGTGTATGGTAAGCAGCGTGGAAGCACGTCGTGAGCAACTAAACCTAGCCGCCAACGCATTTGCCGGCATCAGATCTTCAAACCGCAACGCCACGGTACGGACACATCGACCGCATGGCATTTGTTCCGACAACGCGGGAGAGAATCATGCCCACCTGTTTGCTTGGTTCCGTGGGTACTCTTTTACTGGTCACCGTGATGACTGCCGATGCCTGTTGGTAAGGCGGATCATAATTCAGACCAGCGATCTGGCAGCAAAACTACCTTACAGCACCAACAGTCGCCTCGCGGCTTAGTACGAAGTAACGTCTGAAGGAACCATTGCACCTCAGTCTGGTCGGTGGTTGGCGAGAATCTAGATTGTCTCGATCCGACGGTATTGTTAGCAAAGATCTACCATCGCTCTAATGCACAGCGCAGATCTCTTTTCTCTTGTGTTCGACGAGCACTGATCGGCAGGATCGGCACCTGTTGCATACCGGTACGCAGGAGTAATTTTTTGGTCGCTGGATTTCCTACCCTTCCTGTCTCACCTTCTCGATCGGTTCGAATGCGGTGAAGGGCTATAGTTTGTTGTCCTCAGTCCAGCATCCTGTAAGTAAGCTTTGTATTGCGACTATGCCACGCAGAAGACCGTGATTGACCTGGTCGCACGAGAGGAAGTCGTTAGGGGCCGTTGACATGATCTCGAACGAAAATGCGTGCGTAGTGTCGACGAAGACCTCCGGCCAGCACGGCGCCACAGTGGCAGAAGACTATGTGCAGTGGCACTGTGGCAGCCACAAAAAGTCACATGACATACCGGCGTCTCTTATCCTGCTGAGTGTGAACGATCGTCCGATCTTCCATGCCGGTCTGAGTTTCGTAGAATTTTTCGAACCGGCAGTCTTCATCTGCGTTGCACAATTCGCGAGCACGGACCATCGATGCACACATGTGGACATTGACCAATCGGTGTGACCACTTAGACATCAGCTTGGCACACGGGAAGTCTGGCAATTTCGTCAGCGTTCGAAGCCTGAAACTTCCATTCGATATCCATGAAAGTCCGGAAGGGTGAGAACGACTGTGAGGCTGTTACCTACTGCTGCCACACGAGCGTGTCGCTATTGGCTGCTTGGGCTGAATGCTATGAATCCATCTACACCACGGTTCCAGAGCCACGCTCACAAATCCCTAGCAGCGTGTCAGAACAGGGCCCTCGTGACTCGTGCGACAGGCGAGATGTCCATCCAATTTCAGATATGCTCCACGTCCGAGGGTCTCTTTACTTCTCAGAGATAGAACCTGTGTTCATTGGTCAAGTCTCCTGAGCATTGCAGCCCGGGACATCCATTTCGGCACCAAAGGTGAGATTTATTCTGCTCAGTGCTCGAAGTACTCTTGCAATAACTTTAGCACTATCACAGACACAGAAACATTGCCGGCTACCGGGCTGCCGTGGGCTTGGAACAAATTTCAGAAATCACCCTCTAGTTGACCACACATCAATAGTAGCATAATGATAGTACTGTATCACTGAAGATCAATGGGCGCAATGATCGCAGCCGCCTGCTCTTCCGCAGTCGGGTTGTGGCTGCTCGCGTGGCAGGTCATGAACAACAAAATCCGATCTGACACCAACACGGCAGCTACGGCCGCTGATTGTTCCGTGTGAAGGCATGCAAGCGGACTCCCTGTCGACATGGAGGCCATGCTCTGCTCCAAGGCATTGGACTTGAACGTGGCAGCAGGCAAATCAGCGCAGTGCCTTATCCACAACACGAGTCGAAGGAGCACACGTATGATGTGCCAGGTCTGTACAACTAGTACGACTCTCAGCGAATGGCTGCATCGCAAGATCAACCATAACCGACATGGACTTTCCGGAACACCTTAGCTTCTGTGGCCTGCAAAGCCAGCCCGTACTGCGTAGCGCTGACCGTGTTCAATAACAGCCTTTCTTGCCGTGCCATCGAAACCTCGAGGATGTACAAGTTACCCGCAATCGTGATAGCTGCTTCCTTGACGTACACAAGCGCATGCAATTGGCTGTAGCACGAGGTCTTGACGTGCGGTCTCAGATCTGCGGACGTTCGAAGTGGACTAGTTCCAGAATGCAATGACTGGCTGTAAGCGAGCGCAGGCCCAAAATTTCAAGGTAGATGAGGGAGATTCTGGTCTATGGAGCCCGGTGCTCAAGCGCCTGGTTCGTCGCCCGTCCCTACGAAGTTTAGCGCAAATGAAATGCACGCGTAAGTCTGAGACCGCTCGGTCTCAGCTTGCACTCAATGGCATGGATCCGCAGACACCCTCATCCAGGAGTTCAACACAAGAAAAGCCACCTGCAGGACAGCGCGCGAGCGAAGAGGGAAGGCCAAAAGTCTGACCCACAGCCTGAGCGCATGGCGCACCCTGCTGGTTTGGACGCTCTCACAGTTTGAGCACGAAGGACTCACCGGCGAGCCGATGTATGGCTGATCCTATCGCTCAGTTCGTCTCAGGTCCCGGTCTTAATAATTGACCTGGCGTTTCGTCTCACCAATAGCAGCTCTGGCTACGCTGCGTGGCCTACTAATTAGCGATACGCAACGACTCAAAGATGTGTACATTGCCGGTCCGACGGAGTAGCTCAAAAGTAGAAGCCCGCTGCCTGTGTTGCGTTGATGGAGGCTCGAAATGTGGCAAAGTCGATCTGCCACCTGCTGCGAGTTGTTGGGCTGGGTGGCAACAACAGTCATCGTGTGAGAATGTGGCAGGTTCTACTTGACGGTCACAGCAGGGGCGTCCATCCAGCAATCTCGCCCAGGTCGCCCCATAACGCCAGCATCCGGGTTGGTCAGAGCTGGTGTTTGTATGCAGCAAAGTGCCCGCTAGACTCAACAACACCCCTGTCTAGCGTACTCTCAAGGCACTGAAGGAATGCTGATCGGTTGCAACTCTGTGACCAGAAATGCACGCAAACACGGGAAACGGGGTCGATGCTCAACATGTCTTCGCCTCATCTTGCTATCCACATCTTGAACTAGCTCTGCCGCCTAGTCCCTCACGCCATTCCGAATCAGAATATGGGCCGACTCGTCATCTGGCATCAGACGACTGGCCAGGGTGTGATGCTGATGCACATCAGTGGACTTTTTTTGCCTCCAATCTATTCGCAGCGCTACCTGAACAGTCTTTGCCCCACTGGTATGGGCGAACTGTGCTTTCTAGAGTGAGGCGTCATACCTACCCTAGATAGAAAAGGTATACTATCGCCTCCTACGCTTCAACAACACCAGAATCACTATCTCGACAACACTTCCATCCAACACCTCACTCGGCGCCCTCTCCTCTCTCAACACCTCCCATCGGCAGTCTCTCTGGTCTACATCCGGATTTCAATTCAACTTCAGTCCTTCATTCCCATCTTGCTGCCGCGCCCCCAACAACGCCTTTAGCTACAGGCCATTGGACCCACGGCTACTATATACCAAGGATAGGCCTCTGAATTCTTGGGACTGGTAGCACCATATACGAACACCTACGTCGGCAACCGCACCAGTTGGATCCATGTTTTGAGCAGCTCCTTCTCTTTGGTTTTTGTGGTCCCTTTTCCTTCATCAAGTACTTGGTACTTTTGGGCTCTCCCAATAATGCTGCCCACGCCACCTCCATCACCTCAATTGTCGACATGTCTTCCACCTGAGGCACGATTAGGATGCATCCTGGCTGGCCGTTTGGAGCTCACTTCGATCCTCGGACACGGCGCATTTGGCGTTGTCTATCAGGCTGTTGACGTCTTGACCAACACTACCTACGCTGTGAAAGCTCTACCGAAAGCTGGTCTCGATGCACGGCAAAAGCGGATCCAGGGACGCGAGATCGCTCTCCACTACCAAGCAAGCCAGCACCCAAATGTGTTGGGCATGCAAAGGATCCTGGAGAGTCCGGACTGCACCTTCGTAGTTCTGGAGTATTGCCCTGAGGGTGATCTATTTGCCAATATCACGGAACAAGGTCGGTACGTTGGAGACGACCATCTGGCCAAGCACGTTTTCCTCCAAATTTTGGACGCCGTGCGATATTGTCATTCGGTTGGTATCTATCACCGCGACCTGAAGCCTGAGAATATTCTCGTAAAGGATCATGGCCACACCGTCAAGCTTGCCGATTTTGGTCTCGCAACGAAAGATAGCGTCTCGAACGACTACGGCTGTGGATCTACTTTTTACATGTCACCTGGTATGTTTTTGTCCTCTCCTTTCATGTCATAACTCTAACAATCATTAGAATGTGGCCATAGCCAGCCCCACGCCCGCTACGCGACCGCTCCCAATGATGTCTGGAGCCTTGGCGTCGTTCTGGTCAACCTGACCTGTGGTCGCAATCCATGGAAGAAGGCCTCTCTTGAAGACTCGACCTTTCGTGCTTTCGTAAAGGATCCAAATTTCTTGAGATCAATTCTCAATATCACCCCCGAGCTCAACCACATCCTGGAACGCATCTTTGAGTGTGACATTCGACGTCGCATTGGCCTAGATGAGCTACGGGAGTTGATTGTTGCTTGCCCTCAATTTACGACCTTCTACTCCGAATTGGCACCTAGTCCACCCAGGTCGCCCGTCGAGTATGCTCCTGCTACTGTTGATGCCATGGACTGTGCCGCCACTGCGCCATCGTCACCCGAGACCGATATCCTCCGTCAGAGCCTCAGGTTCACCTCGCCCGCTTCCCAATGGTCTATGTTCTCGCCGTCCTCGAAACAAAACTCGATCTACTCTACTACATCCTCGGATTCTGGATACGACTCCGACGCTTCTTACACCGAAGTCTCCAATAATCAACCTTTCAACTTCTACGGTAACCTCATACCGTTCCAGGAGCAGAACAAAGGCCCGTACTTCACACATCAACCCTATGTGGCCACCAACATCACCGCATATTAATCGCCCTACGTTTCATGTGTCACCATCATGTCAAACTTCTATATACGATACTACGGAGTCACGAAAAGTACTTTTAACAGTGCACGACTATTGCGACCTGTCTTATACCCGGCATATTTTGGCCAAAAGCGTACAACCATGAGTCGAGATATTCTCACAGACCATTACCGGAGTTTGTCTAGACCTTGCCGTCTATAGGATGTCCTCGAGGCTTTCTCAGACCGGGCATTTGCCCTTTTGTTTTGTTAGGCGCTATGTAACACTGCCTCTGCAACCAAGTGCTGGAACAGAGTGTCTGTTGGGGAGGTAGCAATGAATTTCACACAGCCGCTAGCGACTGAACACTTTTACCACTTTCTACCTTAACGGTCCGTTTCTCCAAGGAAGCGAGGATTTCGGAGCTACTCAAGAATCCCTTTCGTTTGGAACGTGATGTCGCTATTCAGTTGTGCTGTCAAAAAGGAGTTCTTGCTCCTATTTTCACCGGAGTCGCAATTGACTTTCGAGAAGTAATCGTCACGTGATCATATGATGGAAGTCCTCGAAACTCGATCTTGAACATGAATCTGCTGATTGCTTCGGCTTCATCAAAACTCCGACATCTCCAACAATCGCATTATTCACATTGTGAACACCCGATCAGAGAAGCCTTTTTGCCACCTCGTCCTCCTGCATTATTCGGCCAATGACTGACTAGCAGAACTTTTTGCCACTTCGCTACTGCAGGTCTACCCGTGGGCAGCTGCAAGAGGCCGCAGTCTGGTCTTGCCTGTGAGTGGTTCCGTGACTTTCATCATGCCACCTTTGCGAGCGAGCGGGTGCTGCAGGACGTCAAAAACGGGCTTACAGGCTTACAGCTCACGGCTTAACGAGTCCAGGATGCAGCCACCTCGACGCAAGCTGGGCTTGGCCGCATGGCTGCATCTCCGAAACTCGTGCTCAGGCCCTCGTATTCTTTGGTGGGTCAATCCTTGACTCTTGCTGCGCCTTTTCCATTTCGTTACTCACACCATTGCTGAACTCCTCTGTACGGGTCTGGTGAGAAAGCCTTGCCAAAGTCGCCTGGCTCGAGCCGACTGACTTTCCCCTTGCATGTATTGCGGTTGAGCCTAGGGTCGGTTCGATCGAAAGCTTGGGCCCGATCGAAAGATCCTACGTCGCTTCTTGTTGCTGACCACGAGGAAGCGCCAGTCAGAGATGGGCTATCTCACTTTGAAGCATCGTTCTCACGACACGGTGACACAGTTCCCCGTAAGCATTTCACAACGCCACCCAAGTATCCGTCGCTCCACTGAGAGTTCATCCTCCCTGTCAGTTGTCGAACCTGCCGTGCAGCCATGCTGGGCGCGCACGGCTTGCCTTGCGATTCCGCAGCTTGACTCCGGCTGGATTTCACATCAATCACTTATAAGTGTTCCTAATACACTAAGCAGCCACACAGTCTGGCGAGTGGCTCAGGACTCTTGTCGCTCATTGGTTCTCGGCGAAATACCTGAGTCAACGGTCGAACCTGCCAAAGTCACCGGCTTTCTTCCTTGCATGTCTTTATGTCTCTAGAGCCCATTTTTCCCGCGCTGTCTGAAGTCGTTCAGGAAATCCGTGTTGTGTGACATGGATGCTCTGCACTCCGCCGTTAACGGTGGCTCCACGACTAAGTATGTGGCGGCGTTTGTCCGATCGAGATTCGTAGGGTCGACCAGTGGCTACGGTGGCTGCCACGAGTCGCACCTGTCAAGTTTGACAACACATGGCATTGACGAACTTCTGGGAGGACTTTTTGTGGATCGATCGCTACTGCGTCCAAGCCCCCATTCCCGGTCACCAAGTGCTACTGACGAAGTACAGCTCCTGCCTCCTTGCAATGTACTCAGGTAGGCCACCATACCAGGCTCCCTGGCTACCCGTAATCTGGAGCTAGCTTTACCATTTGCTTCCCATAATTCCAAAGCGCCAGAGAAACTTCGAAAGCCTGCAGTCTGCCGGCCGGCGCTTCATCACTGCAGTAAAGCCACTGCGCATGAACAGAGCGGCCTAGGCCCGGCTTCGGATCCTGTGGCTTCTGTCACTGTGGATGCCGTTACGCCATGTGGCTTGCAATACACTTCCCATTGTGCCAAGATTCCTGGAACGAGACTGTGATGGCGAGGTGCGCCGGCATCTGCCCAACAACAATAAAAATGTGGCATATGCATGGGTCGAGGTATTTCGAATTTGACGGCTCGAGATCGAATTCGACCCCATGTCTTGTTCCCGTCCTCACTAGCGAATCAGTGGTGACTGCATTTAACTTCCCTTCTGACACATTTTCTCTCGTCGAGAACGGGGAGAATCTTTGGCTTTCGCTCAGTATCAGGGCCGGGACGGCAGGCGGACAGAATCCATCACTGCCTGCAACTCCCAAGGCGCTGTTACCGAGTTGAAATCCAGCCAACTGCACGGTGATCCCTCAATTGTAATACTAAGTTCACATTTCTCGGGCGCCCCCGCGGTGTGCTATACGGCGCATGCCACCATGTCGGTAGAGACCGGCTTCGTGAAAAGTTGTGGAACGTCTAGGGCACGTCGCTGTTTGTATGCTGGGAGGCTTCCCGAGTAGTGTAGGTTCATCACCTAAGACGTCCAAGAACCCTGCTATAGCTCACACAGTTATGATGCGGGATCGGCCTCTTCCACACCGCATCATCGCGCCTCTTGTCAGCGCTAGGTGGGCTTCAAGAACAGCGAGGGCAAATGAGAACATTGATAACCTTCATGAAATGCTTAGGTCTTCATAGCCTGTGGAGATACTATTGTGAATGATCTAATGACGATATGGCCGACTACTGATGCGCTTCGTGTACCTCTCCACGCACCGCTCCGTGCATTGATCGGCCTGCGGTTCTCAAGTATGTTCACGCCGCCAGTGGCGGTGCTCTCTCTGTATCTAGGACAACCGTAACTTTCGTGTCGAAACCCCAACACTCACAGAGGTACTCAAAGCAGCGTCGCTACTCAATACATGCACTTCGAGCACTGGAGACCAACTCCACGAGGGGCACTCTCTCGTCGTACCATCGTCGCAATGTTTCATCGCGAGCATGAACGAAAAACGACTTTGGGAAGCTGCATGCGAAAATGTTAGAACCGTCCCATCTTGTAATAACCACCCTCAGCAGCCTTCGCTGGCCGGGCCGAACCCTTTGGCGAGAACGCTAAGACCAAGACTTGCCAATCGGAATGCCAGAGGTCCATCGATCGCAGCCAAGGCGTACTGCCAATGCCTGTAATGTCGATAACGTAACGGTCGCTCCTGCTTCCGAGCTGTCTTTGACTGCCCCCTCTCGACTTCACATGGACCCAAGGGAGATGACACTGTCGAAGGAAGCGGCGACTGTCTCACGGCCAGCCTTCTTCAACGAAGGAGATCCTGTTTGACCGGCTCCCTTGTATGAGACGTGAAGTTCGAGTTTCAACCTGACCAGCCCTCAAGCATTGTGCCGAGTCTGCCGAGCGAAATCGACGCGCAATCAACTCTGCTTGACGTTTGACCTGAGACGATCGCCTCGCATTATTGTGGTGCTTGTTTGCTTCGTCTACTCTCTCGCTTCTGCACCCGGTCCTTCATCTTCGGCATTGACTTCACCATAGGTCTCGATAGCCTGTCGCCCATCAAACGCAAGTAAATACACGCAGTCGAACATCGTTCAGGATAGACGTCGCCACACTCCCTCCCTCATCGGCTGAAGTTCTCCCTGCCATAAGCCTCATACCCGTCGGTCGTTTCAGCCTACGAACGAAGTCAAAGCTTCCACCAAAGCGAAGGACTCTCTGCCGACCACTACGAACACCTGGCGATTCAGTCCCCGCACATACAAAATGTCGGCCCCAAATTACCCACCTCCTTCCCATCAGCAAGGTTACGGCCCTCCCCAAGGCCAGTACTACGGCGGCGACCCTAACCAGCAACAATACTACGGACCTCCACAGGGTGGCATGAACTATGGGCCCCCTCAACAGCAGTACTACCCGCCGCAACAGCAACAGCAGAAGGATAGCGGTGGTGGAGGTTGTTGTGCAGGTATCTTGGCTGGGTTAGCTTGCTGTTGCTGTTTGGATGCATGCTGTTAGTTTAGGAGGAGGGTATGCTTTGGGTAGAATCAAGGTTGCGCACAGCGGAGGCTAGAACATGCCAGCGAAACAGAGAATGGAAGGATAGGGCGGTCTCTACGTTGGTATACATTCGAGGTCGACCACATCACTGACTGCATCGATCACAGCATGAAGGAGTCTTCCATCTACCCAATCCGGCTCCAGATAATGGTTGTGTCTGCAAATGAAGCGGCCGTTACTGCCTACGCGCAAAGAGCAGAGCCCATAGCACGACCATGGATCATGCTACTCTGAGAAAACATTACCCTCCGAGTCATCAGAGTGACCGTCTCGAGCTTGCCTCAATCTTCACTGTGTCGAAGAGCTATAAGTAGTCGCCTTGCCCACGATTTTCTTCCCTTCTTTTCTCCGTCGTGCTTGTGAAGGCGTAGAGCAAGCCTTCCATTCGGCTCGCCATGCCCGGGTAGCGCCCGTTGCTTCCTGATTGGGCGAGTCGCTCTTGCAGACAAGTGTGTAGTCTACCCGACGCGGAGCAGCAAAGCGATGCCGTCTCTGCTTGGAAGGTGCTCTTCCTAAGGCTAGAGCTGCTTGGAGTCTTGGTCACTCGACTTCGCATCATATCGAGCTGATCGACAGGCATCTGGCCAAGCAGACAAGCCGCGTGACTGTCAGATCGACGCCGTGTTCAGCTTGTAGCTACACCAAGCAATCGTAATGTAGATGATGCTTTCATTGCCGAATTCGCCCCGTTGCAATCTGTTTTCGTTATCGGAACCAGTCAAAGTACAGATCGTCGGTAGGGAAGCCCTCTGGATCGTCGAGCTGGAACAGTGCTGGCAGATCTTGCATCGCAGCTTGGAAGTCGACATCTATACACAGTCAGCGTGCCGTTCCCAGACCTCGAGTAGTCGTCCCTACCATTAGCAAATGCACTGGTCCCATCCTGATTCATATTCGAGGTCCTGAACTGATCTCGCCAGCGCCAAAGAGAATCAAAGACAATACTCATCGACAGACGGGACTGAATGTTCAGCTGCAGAGCGTGTCTTCCTTCCGCGCAGACCACGCGTGGGTTGTTGTGGTTGTACAGGTATGCTAGTACGTCGCTCAAACGCAGCGCTAGATCATTGTCGCTGACGGACATGACTCGCATCAGCCGGATGCAGGCTTCGAGCAGATGTCGGGCGGTTGCGAGCTCTGAGCCTATGAGCTGAGCAAAGTACTCGCTCCTGACCACCTTCAGCAAGATGAAGCCTGCCAGTGGCAAACTCTGATAAGCATAGAAAGAGCAGTATGGCATGAAGGGCGGCTCTTTTGACTCAGCAGAGAGTATGTGTTGTATCAGGGCAGATGCGGAGGCTATGAGAGTCAATATGCGACGGTCGTAGTCCTCGGTTGTAGGGTCGTCGAAAAGGAAAAATGCATGTAGATGCAGACGAGCAGCAAGTACGTGGTAGCGGATAAGAACGCTTTCCACGTCTAGCATGGCAGACAGCAGGTTCCAGTCTTTTTCTAGGAGGCCGTACAATGGTATTCGCTCCTGCATGTGCTTGGCCGACTGGCCGCTAGATGAATTGTCCGCCAAAGCTGAGGTGACTTTATCACGGTAAAGCTCCGTCTGTAAGATCTGCTGGATGATCTTTGGCAAGGCCGTTTCGGTTCCGGAAAGTAGCCCTGTCAGGGAGGACCAGTCTTGGGCTTGGCTCTGGACGCCGATGACAAGACTTGTTCCATGAGCCACTATATTGCACGCTGCCCACAGTGTAACCCGGGTGTTCATGTCTTTTTGACTCAGGTTCAGTCGATATTTGGTGAAGTCTTGCTGGTGCTGCGGTCTATGCAAGCCCATTTGCACCGCCGCCGCTACAGCAGTGTGCGAGAGGATGTAGCTAGGGTCAGTTGCAGAGCTGCTTGTTGGGAATGGCCAGGTACATAGCAATAGAAGGCTTTCAATGAGGACCGGCGAATGAGGCACAGAGCGAATTGCTTTCCACAGAAGGTCCATGACTGGTTGCGCCATGGTGGGAAGCAGTTGCGAATGCTTCCACGACCGTCGCACGGCTATCGACATGATACTCCAGAACAGCAACGGCGAGACATCGCAACAACGCTGCGCGGGAATCTCGGGATCGAGGATAGGTAAAGTGGGATGATAGAGCTCGAAGTACGTAGAATAGAGCTCCTCAATGGCTGACTGGGACAGAGTAACGACCCCGTTACCCAGGCTTCGAGGTCTCGAAGCCGACGCTGTAGCCGTATTTGTGGGTGCCTCAAGCTCATGCTCGTGCGGGCGAGTTGCAATCGCGTCTGACGAGTGATGTCCGTTGCGTAGATCTGGAGAGGTGCCGCTCAGCTCAGATGGAGGCAGTAGTCCGTTATTCACCAGGCTCGGCGTCCTCTTCGTCTCGTGTCCCACGGTCTTGGAAGCTATAGGACTTGCAGATATCCTACCTGGCGCAGAGCGGTCAGGTGTCTCGTCGCCCGGCGCATAGCTAGGCGTGGACTGCGGAAGATCGTGCCGATCCTGGTAGATTGAGAGCTTGCGCTTGAGATCAGCTATCTCTTCTTGAAAGTCGTGGGACCGCTTGCGCTTTCGCGTGCGCTGAAACGTCTCATCCACCTTACATAGCAAGCCGAGTTTAGCGCACCTGGCACACATCTCGATCGATACATTCTGATCATTGGCAAGGTCGCATTTCAATTTCTGCTGACGGCACTCATTGCAAGCCCGGCGCTTTTGAGAAGCGTGCTTGCCATTATATTCCCTCCAGGCTGTGGTCAATATTGGCGACGTGTGCTTAAGTTCTACTATTGCTTGCTGGCTGTGTTTCGCTGTGGGCTCGAGGGCAGTTTGGTTCATGATCGGTGACGCGCATGGTCGATGCCGGAGCGCTTCTGCGACGGTGCCACGCGCACTCGTCCTCGACTTGCGCTTGGCCTCCTCGTCGGCTGGCCGTGAATGCCCGTCAGACTATGGCCGTACTGCTGTCGCGTTCCAAGTAGTGTGACCACAGGTTTGGAGTTGCATGTGTCTGCAGTCGGAATAGCTGCCGTCGTCACTGCCTCCGGCGCAACATCGGAGATGCACCCCGCAGAACACCTGGGCAGAGCTCTCTGGAGCCCGGGACTCATCTCCATCTTCTTAGCTTGTGATTTCGGCGTGCCTGACCTAGCAGCCTGGCTCGCGCTTAGAGATCTTCCAGTAATGGGCCGCTGGGCGCGCTTCAAGCGGCGGAGAGGCTTCTCGTCAGAAGGCGAGTCGCACTACGTCAAGCGGCCTAATACTGTGCCTAGGGAGTCGGCCGGTCTCTTCGTGATACAGTCAAGTCGTCAACCGGCCTGCCGAAACATACCTCAAGCATTGCAGCTATGGTGTACGTCTATGTTACTACTTCTACACCCTCTGTATCAGGCCAAAGGCACATGAAGTAGTATGGGTTTGTACTGATAATATCCCTCTGTCAGACAGCACCCATATCACCTCTGTCATTCACTTCTGAGGCAAATCCCATTCGCCTACTCCATGCATCCAACATCCTCGAAATTGAGAACCTTTGCCTTTCACGATACGCCAGTACCTCGGGTGTCGTGGGCAGAGAGGGCTGCTGGGCAAGTGTTCTGGTATATTGTAATCGAAAAGCTCCTCCTCCTTACGCTTTCGAGCCTCCGAGAGACTGCTCACAGTGTCGCCACGCTCACGCGCAGTCTCGGAGCCCAAGCGAAGGGCTGTAGACTCTTCCTCCGCGAGGTAATCGTCTTCTGGGTCCTCTAACCGAGCTAGTGCAGCCTCGTACCAATCACTGGCCCTTTTCTTCGTCACGACTCTGCCATTTGCGAGGAACATCCGCTTGCCGGCTGTGTCCTTCCGACTTGTGCTGCGAGATGGAACAGAGCTCGGATCAATGGCATCGCGTGGGCTGGCGGAAGATGCCCGAGGTGCATTATAGTCGAAGAAGAAGCCTCGTTTCCGCCCATCTGGACCATCCTGTGGCAGAGGTGGTGTGTGAATCCTGCGAGCTTCACTCGGCAGATAGCTCGTGCCGCCACGTACGCTGATATCAATCTTGAGAAATTCTTCAGACTCGGCGCTAGGACTGCGTTTGATCTTGTAAGTTGCGCGCTCATCCGGCGTGTTGTTAGGCTGAGCTCCCATCCGTAGAGCAACCTGACTGGAGGTGTAGGATGATACAGCAGGCGCGGAAGTCTGGCCACTGTCAGTAGTAGTTATGGGCACATGCTTCCGCGATCTCGTGGTCTTCTTCCAGAAAGCACTAGAGGCTTTAGATGAGGTCGACTGTCCAGATACGCTTTTGACTCGTTGAACACCGACCAGTGAAGGTGAAGACACATTACCAGAGACGCCTTGAGCTTCTCGAAGAATTGAAGTGACGCGACGAAGAGCTTCAGACGTCCGGTTCTTCTTCAGTACATGTGCAGTCTTGTGATCCGGCATCTGAATCTCTTGCGGATGTCCTCGTGACTGTACAGTTGCCCCATTTGCTGGCTTTGATGAACGCCTTGGGAGACTTAGGCGTTTGGCCAACTGAACATATGCCGAGAAGAAGCGCAGGGGGTCCCACGAGGTCCGTCTCGACTGTGGCTCTTTCTCGCTTACCTCAGTCCGCTCGTTCCCAGTGGCTTGTAACGACGTGAATGACTTTTCGACTCGAACATTGTGATGGTCTGATGTATCGACAGAGCTCGACACCAATCTTGGCGGCTGCAGAGGAACGATGGTTTTAGGCGAGACCTTGCCAGATGATTTAGGCGACGAGTCTCCAGACTTGTTTGACGATTGCTTCAGTCTCTCAATCCACGAGCCGCCCGATTTTGTGCGAGACCGAGAACGGCCAGGCCGAGGTCTTTCGTCGCTAGGTGCTGATGAGTGCTTTCCGTCGCCATCTGAAGAAGTCCCTCGCCGGCGGGAACGCGTCTCTGTGCCCGGCGAAGAGGCCGGCGACGCACCGCCAGCGACATTGATAGCATGGGCGCGAAGGCGCGGTGTAGGAGAAGGAGGCTCAGATGTCGGCCCGGACCGTTGGGTAGGATCTTCGGCGATTGTGTCTACGTCAAATTTGCGACGTGGGTGGATCTGATCCGAATAGGGACGACGTTGTGGTGATGGACGACGGCGTCCAGAGGAATCAGAGCTGAAATTTTCACTTCGATCGCTGAGGGCCAGAGAGTCTGTATTGCTGCTGGTAGACCGGCGGCTTTCTCGACGATCGGTTGCCGAGAAGACCTGTTCGAGACCTTGACGTAATGTAGACATTGTTATTGATCCCACATATAACACTTAGCTCATACAGAGTACTCTCGTATCATAGTCGGAACCGTGCAGGCAGTTGCTAGAGGGTTTCGTTGTCTGCTCAATATACTGTACAGGTATCAGGTATGAGTGACGGAAGCAGTCACGACCGTCATGCTCGCCGCTAGGATGGCGATCACTATGCCACTGGCCCAGTGAAACGCAAGCGCGACTCAATAGTGAAGGCAAGCGCGACTCACTAGTAAAGGCAAGTGCGTCTCTACCACCATGGTTGCAACAGTGCACTCATGGTCGACATGCAGACGCGTGAATGGCCGAGAGTGCCAGCCTGTACGGGCGTAACATGAGCGTTTCCAGCACTTGTCCTGTAGAGATCCTAAGTCAGGTTGGGCTCTGGAGGCTCAGAGAGTCTTGCAGATCGAGCCGACAAGTCTGAGATGAGCCTCGCTTGAGGGCTGAGTAGCAGGGACGATACATCAGAAACTCGTCCTGCTAGGGAAGGCGCTGTGGGAGATTCACGGCAACGCCTTTGTTAGAGCTGAACGGAACGCTCATCTCTTGGCCGCACAACTCGGGTGCACGTCAACGCTAGGCATGCCGAGGACTCTGGACGTTGTCTTCACCCAGCTCCGATATTCATTTGCCGCATGTCTTCTTCAACGGACATTATTCCCATAGCCCAATGCACTCTACTTGAGCCGTGCTTGCTGATAAGTGACCTATCGTGGTTCAATATCTGAGAATCATGCTCGCCCTCGACTTCTGAAACTGCAGCGACATGCTGAGCGACAAGTGGAGCTATTCGGATATCGCTCTGAAGAGATGGGTCATATGTTGTGCGTGTGTACGGCGGGCCTCGGCCAGCTTGTGCCATTCGTTCCCATGCGATCTCGCATGCGGCAGCAACAGCAGCGGATGTTTGCCAACCAGTCATCTGAGCAATGTTGTGAAGCTTTGCGACTATCCAGCCTCGTTGTAACGCGTCAATGTACTGTACACCGCAAAATAGTAGTGCGAATGAGATCTCCATGAATGCCGCCGCGAAGCGTGGTGAAAGCGGTTGTCCAGGAGCGGCAGCAGGGAGGGATGCAAACAATCCAGCACAAATTTGACCGACTGCCTGTGCATAGCCTTTCGTCAGACCAGCTGTAATTCCAGCGGCAATCATCGCAGCAGGTGGCATGTCTGGGTGAAGGCGTTGGATCAGCGTCAGTCCTACATAGTAGTGAGCCCACACACAGGCGATCTCGGGTCCAGCAAAGCGCAGAGCCCGCCCGAACGGTGACGAGAAGTCTGTTCCATCATCTGGCAGCGCTTGAAATCCTGGGCCTAGAGACCTTCGGAAGACAGCGAACACTTTGACGATTTGTTTGTGTTCGGCGTAGGCCAGCTTAGTCTCTTCCTCAAGACTCAATTCCCGGGCGGCCTCTGTCAACCTCGGCTCAGCTTGATATGAGGCGCCATTGTTGATCGACTTCTCCAGGGAACGAAATGCGGAGTGCATCTTCGGGCTTCCAGACGCTTGAGGCATCATGCCGAACCCAGCACCCTCCCCAGCAGATTGTACGCCTTCGGGATGTCCCCGTTGTATAGCTCTGCCCTCGTTGGCACTGGGATTGCGGTCCCGGACAGCGGGCTTGAGTCCCTGCGTGGATGATCCGGCTGAGGTGAGCTTTGTGGGATGAGAAGGATGTGTGGCGTTGGGAGAGAAAGGTGTGTTTCGACTCGACTGAGGTGGCCCCTCTGGAGTAACAGACAGCCATGCCGGCGGCATCCACTGGCCTCCCTGAGCTGTGACTGAGCGCTGTTTGCGGTGTCGATCCCTTCCTCCGAAGTCAGACAGGCGTGACATGATGAGGACAAGGTGATCAAATGTCCCATATGGCCGATCAGGCACATTGATCTTCCCTCTTGGTGGGCATGATATGTTGTGCCCGTAGGGCATGAGCAGCCGGTCGCCGGAAACCATAGACTGGAAGAGATCTTGCTTGCAGAACCACCACCAGAGATCCATTTTGGTGCGATGGGTTCCAATTTCTGCCTCAGAGACCGCCCTGTAGTCAGGTGTCGCCAAAATGCCGGGTTCTACTTCATCGTATTGAATTGCTTCCCCTGTCAGTTCCTGTATCAAGCTGACATCCACGTCCCACTCTATCTCGTCAAAGAGAGAAGGTGCAATGCCGGCACTGAAAGCATCGTCCGTGGGCAAACTCGAGCTTGCAATGCCGTTGGTCGAGATTTGTAAGGCGCGCTTTCTCGCAGCTCTCACCCTCCGTGACATTCTCGTGATGTCTTGCTCACTTAGGAGTTTCGTGGCTCCAGCAAGATGCAAATTCCACCTCGAATGATCCGCGTTCAGTATCTCATAATATCCAAGCAGCAGAACCGTGGCAAGCGTCGTTGCTTCGTGTCTCTTTCCCGCCACACTTAACAGCTTTCCTACCCGGCGAGCTGCATAAGTAAAGTGTTTCAGTGCTATACTGTCTGAAGTGTGCTGTATCTTCGATATATGGAGGCTGGACACTGCTAAAATTGCATGAGCCAGCGCAGGATTTGCGAAAGCTGCCGATGCCATTGTGTAGGACCAGAGGTGCTGCTGAGGCGGTGCCAAGGGGTTTGTTGGGTGTCTCTCGAATGTCGACATGCAAATCCCGAGAACGTCAACGAAATGCCGGAAGACCTTTTCGTTACGTTCATCGAAGACTGGAGACAGAGGTTGTGTTGGTCTGATTGATCTCAGCATCCCTGGGCGCTGACTTCTGTTAGGCTGAGCCTGTATCCGGTCTGATGCGAGACCGCCTGTCTGTCCGTGATGCCAACCCACCTCACGATCATCTGGATACGCTTTGTACTCGCCGTTGGCACTGAATAAATTTCCAGGGTGGCCGTTGCCGCAGCCGTCTAGCTCCTCGGTGGGTGTCACGAGGCGTGAATCGCGAGACCGAGGGAACTTCGACTGATGCGCGTCTTGCGAGAGATGATGCCTAGGAAGCTGTTCTGAAGCCCATATCAGCCTCGCGTCCGTAACTTCGACTTTTGTTGCAGGGGAAATGTGGACCAACCGTATGTGTGTGGCAGATACCCGGAGGCTGGAACATCGGCCATGCCACTCGGAACGGCTGTGGCCCTATACGAGACTGGATGTGGCTCATAGATATGCTGAACATCGGGCGTCCATCCCCCACGGGCAGGCCACACATTGCCCTGACCAGCTGCAAAGCTCGGCGTCCGGTGTAAAGCATTCTCGAAGTGCTGCATATGGTGACCATTGAAACCGCCAGATTCGGCGTCATCGAGGCCCGACTGTGGCGCCGAGTGAATGGTGAAGTTGGAAGGATCGGGATAATGATATGATGGTACAGCGCTTAGAGGAGTTCTGTAAGTAGCCTCATTGACATATGCATTCTGGTCGTGACCGGTATATGGCATGTACGGGCCGGTTTCGGGCTGTGGGTGGAAGTATGGAATGGCTGAGTCCCTCGGAGGATAACCGAAATCATGTACATGTGGCTCACGAATTCCTGGCCCCATCCCAGTATAGCCTTGCTGTTGCTTGTAGACAAGCGGTTGGACATAGCCGGCGCACTCCCGTTTGGACTTGCTGCAATTTTTACAGAACTTCGAATGAGCTATCAGCAGCGTCCACGTAACATAGAGCTGAAATACCCACAGGTTTCTCTTCATCACATTTGATGCGCCGCTTCCGGCAAGCTGATGTCTTGTCAGCTAGAAGCGCTACACAGACTGCGCGTACTCACTCAGACATCCAGTTTTAGTGCGCCTCTTAGCAGCAGGCTTGGTAGACTGAGCCACATTATCTTCCGCCTTCACCGGACTGTCCGCCTCAGATCTCGACTCTTGTTCTCCATCATCGGAGCCAGACTTTGAGGACATATTCAAGAAGTACCACTCATCTTATGTTGTACAAAATGCACCGAACTCTGCATCATCCAGATTGGAGGGCAAAGAAGATCGGAATACTCGGCTGCCGCGTGTATCGTATGATAACGAATATTGAGCGGCCCAAGGCCATGAGAAGGATTGAAAACGTTCAACACACGTTGAGATTTGCACCTGCTTTGCGACTCGAACTTACAGGACCGGCTACTCTTAAGCATTTTGGAACTTGTGTGGAGCCACAATCTGCCTTCTTTGATCAGGCAACGTCGGGGCACGGACGTTCAAGATCTGCAAGTAAAGAAATTAGCCATGCGCGAGGAAGGGTGTTCCGATCGTTGCCAAACGTGCAAGCCAGGGTCCCATGTGGGCGACAAGGTCTTCATAGTGATCATCCGCTGGTTCTCCCGTCGGTGGAATCCACACAGCTGCATCGGTGCAAGCCATTGTCAGCGAAGCTCTATACAATGCCATGTGGGGGGGTGGCACGGAATGGGCATAGGGTTGAGAACGATCAACGTGCAAGTCTTGGTGTGTATGCAGCTCCCGAGGTTAAGGTTGTTCAAAGATAAAACCCAGCACATCGGAACTCGGGGACTGGACCTGAAGGCGGCCGCGGCCTTTCGATCGATCGGAACTTGCCTCCAGCTGATACCACTGGGGACCGAGATTGTCTAGTCACTACTGGGCTTTGGCAGGCTCTCTGCGACTTAGTGCAGGGACAGATTGACCTTTAGGCAGCTCAGTCAGGTACACTCTGTGGTATACTAAGCGTGATAAAGTGTCACGTAGAACTACTGCAAATCAACCCGCATGTTAGACAGAGCAGCTAGTGAAAGCCAAGCTGTCAGGACACAATCGTAGGGAATAGCAGGCCCTGATTGGTCCCGGCTGTTCGAAAAGGACAACAGGGTTTGCAAGGTTCGACCTCTGGGTTTTGCGGAGGGGCAATGTCAGGCACAACTTGAACCTGAAGCTGTCGAACGGTGGCATGTTGCACTCCACTGCTCGACGGACAAGTCCCGGATGTTACGAGTTAGGCATCATGCCAGTGCCAACTCCTGATGTCGATGGCGTGGCTGATACAATGGGTGCATTGTTAGGCAAGCGATCAACAGCCACATGGCGAAGTTGATCTGCAAGGTGGATCTGGAGAGCAGACCCCGGAATGATTGGCATCGCATATCCAGGTACAGAGCATGAGAACACGTGCTCCATGGTCCGAAGCTGTTGATTGACTCGGAGGCCCGCGACCATGTGGTCAGCTCACAAGAAGAGGCATTGATAGCCCTCCATATTGCAACGCAAGTGTACATCTGCGACACAGCGGTGCAACTACTAAACGTGTACAGGAGTAAGAATTGGTTCGGTCTGCTAGACCACATGAAGAGAAACGGGCCAACGGCTATGAGATGATCGACATCTCTATCAGACAACTGTTAGCTTGCCTCGAGCTGGCTTCCGCGTACTGAGGCCTCAGAGGCTCAGACCCATGATCGTCCATTGTCCGCCAGCGCGATGCATTCCGAGATCGCGATGTGCACCTGTACAGCGCCTTCACGTCGTTATTATATGGACTGGGCTACTGTTGTGATTTTAGTGCACGCCTGCAGCCAGATTTTCATCAACATCGCTGCTTAGCTTCTGACAGATGGGCCATAGACGCCTTGAAAACCAGGCATTCTCTCAGTGCATACCTTGTGGCTTGAGTGGCTTGGGTGGCTTGACGAACAGTCAGGTTCCTTACTGTTTCTAGAAGAACATCAGAGGGCATCACCGTACCTGTTCTCCAAAGGTTGGGACTACTCTATATAGACGCGTTACTGTAGATCAGTTTCTGGACTCGGAAGTGTTTCTTGAACAAGATGGAAGTTGACGTCACTATCCGGCTTACCGCGCTCATCAGCCGGTCTCGCGTCCGTCAGAGAAATAGTAAACCGGTCTTGACTTGATTCTCCGAAAACTTCGTCAACCGGTCTTCCGCAGCCGTGCGATGTCAACCGGTTTTGCAGGTTGGCGCTGACCCCAAAACCGTTGGAGAAAATAAATTGTGGTTGGCGGCATTCGACGACCTGGAGGCACGACATATTGGCATCTATCGGGACCGCCTACCTTCCTGCAGACCATCACGTCATGTTTGCAGTCGAAGGCTGGAATCTCTCGTCTCCCGCGGTCGCACAGCATAATGCTCAGTCGCATTCTAGCCGGGACGTTTCGAATGGGCTAGCAAAGAAGCGGAAACGACATGAACGGGACTTTGAAAACTCCAGAAAGATTAGGCCCGGTGACTTAGGCAAGCTCTGGGATCAGGTGACTGGCGATAGCATCCCTTCGAAAGCGAGTGAGCCGAAGAATGGCACTGCCCGAACGTTGAAGAAGTCGCATTCGGACCACCAAAGACCAGACGAGAGAACGGGCGACAGCAATAGCAGACCAGCTAAGAAGCAAGACAAACGGCCGCCAGGGGCGAAGAATGCGACCGCAAAGCCACAACCAGTCGATCGAGACCAGAAGAAGAGTGCCGACGTATCTAAAGGTGGGCAGCCTCGGAAGAATGGAGTGTCTGTACCGACCAACATACCTGTATCTCATGCAAAGAATATGCCACCTGCTCCTCCAGCAAACGCCAACTTGACCCCTCTCCAGGCGAAGATGAGGTCAAAGTTGACCTCTGCTCGATTTCGGCACCTCAACGAGACACTGTATTCAACGGATTCCAAGGCTGCCTTGTCGCTTTTTGCGTCCTCGCCAGATCTGTTTGCTGAGTACCACGCAGGTTTCTCGCAGCAGGTGTCCTCATCTTGGCCCAGAAATCCTGTCGATGACTTCGTGGACACCATCAAAAGAAGGGGTCCGGCGAATAACACCGACCAACCACTTCCGCGGCGAAAAACGCAATCGTGTACGATTGCAGATCTAGGTTGTGGTGATGCTCCTCTTGCCCGAGCACTCATACCCTCCTTTACGAAGAAAATGCAACTCACCATCCACAGCTACGACCTCCATGCGCCTAATCAGCACGTTACTGTTGCGGATATTGCGAACCTACCGCTCCGTGACGGTGAGGCTGACATCGCAATCTTCTGCCTGTCTCTGATGGGTATCAACTGGGTTGATTTTGTTGACGAGGCGTGGCGTATTCTTCGAGGTGACGGTAAGGGTGAAGTCTGGGTTGCCGAAGTCAAGTCACGATTTGGTCGGTCCTCTGCCTCGGCATCAGGTGGCGGGAGGTCGCAACGCCCAGGCGAAGCGGTGGCGCATAGCGTAGGCAAGAGACAGAAGCCGCATCATAAAACAAAAGTCACAAAGAGGAAGATAGGCGATGAGGAAGAGGCTGACGAAGCAGACCTGCCTTCCGACCTGTTCACGAGCAGCGATATGGTCAAAGATCAAGCTGCTGCTGGCCACGAAGGTGATACGCCTGATCTTCGACCATTCATCGATGTTTTCACCCGGAGAGGATTCCAGCTGAAACCTCAAAGTGTTGATGCAAGCAACAAGATGTTTGTGAGCATGATCTTCTTGAAGTCAGGCATTCCTACTGCAGGCAAGCATAAGGGTATGAAGTGGAATGGTAAGCAGTATGAGCGGATTGGCAAGAAAATGGACGAGATGGAAAGCGAGCAGGACAGAGTAGCTGAGGGCAAGGTTCTGAAGCCGTGTGTCTACAAATCTAGGTAACATTACGCATATCGCAAAAGAAGGAACTGCCCGCAACAAAAGGTATACTCGGGATGGTCCTTGGACTTTCATACTATGGGCAGTCCTTCGTGTGATCTGAGTCATGGGTGGTGCATGCTTCAGCGCGTCTCTGCGAATTGGCAGGCGCGTCCGGGGCATCTTTTTCGCGTGAGCAGCGCGGACAATCATCAACTTCGATGCGGTAGTTCACATTCAACTCGCCTCATCCTGGCCTGGCCTGGCCTGCGCAGTTCCCAGATATCTGATTCTGACCAAGGGCCGACGTTCAGGCAGACTACTAGAGCCTGGCTCGTCGAGCTCGCGCGTCTCGATAGTCTTCCCCATATACCTTCCATTCTGTGTGCTATGCCGAACAGATGATGACACCATAACTGCTTTTAGACACGACTAGGTCAGCCTGATTTAGTCGGAGCAGTCAGGCTCCTCCCAATCCTTCGCTGGCTCGTCAAATCACAAGTAACGTTGTCCACGTCGCCAGGACTGGAAGGATCATTGCCAAATGCTGCCTGCCGCAAGCTAGACCTGGTTTGGGACAGGAAGGAGCAACAGCACATTTGAAGGGGGAAGTTGCCGTAAATTACGCTGTGACCATGTCAGTACGTCTGTATTGACGAAATAGTCTCAAACCTTCTGTTCCAGGCCTATACAACCGTCGGCTCCCCGGATGGCCTGAGCTACCCTCCCTGAAATCTGCTGATTTCACGGATGGCATTCGAGCAGAAAAGCAGAAGCTCGAGAGGTTCTTAGGGGCCCGCCCCCCATTCATTCGAGCCACGTCACATTCCATTTCTGCGTCCAAATCATGCTGGTCAAGCTACCCCGAAACATTCGGGTAGCGCAACGGCATCGAAACAAAATCGTCCTTTGCCAATTGCTTAGCGGTTGCTTGTTCGCGATTACCATAGTCGTTTGGTTGCTTGTTCACACATTAACCAATCATACCTACCTCGCCTTTCCGCCCCAGCTTCAAGCAGCCTCGAACGTCCTGATTGTACTCGCACATCCTGATGACGAGTCCCTATTCTTTGGGCCAACAATCTTACAACTGATCCAACGCAAGCCACAGTCGGCAGTACACCTTCTGTTTCTATCAGCGGGTGAGTCAAAGCCATGACCGGCATGTTCTGCTCGAATTCGGATCTCGTGTTCCTAAGCACGGACCCCCTAGGAGAGACAAATGGCTAACCAAGAATGTTGTCGTTCCTTCCAGGCAACCACTATGGCTTAGGAGCTCGCCGCAAAATTGAACAGAAAAACTCCTGCACGGTATTTGGGGTCCTAGCGGACAACTGCAAGGTTCTGGATCTTCCCGAGCTGCAAGATGATCCCGTCGCCGTTTGGCCCAACGACAAGATCCAGACCATCCTCGCCGATCATGTCAGTAAGTGGCACATCGATACGGTAAGTTTGGGATTTCGATTATTCAATATTCCTGATCTTTTCGGTGGCATCAACTTAGACTTTGCCCCTCTCCGTATTGCGTACGCTGCATGTGCAGGAGCTGGTATACCATTACCTAAATTCGCGCGTGCTACGTGTTTCAATCACCTGATTATTCACTACTCAAAGCTAATGCTACACACAGATCATAACGTTCGATGAAAGAGGCGTCAGCGGGCACAAAAATCACATTGCAGCAAGCGATGCAGTCGTGTAAGTTACGACACTCCCTCAGATCGTTGTTGTCATGGAGAAGGTGGCGCCTTCCTTCCTTCCTTCCTTTCTGCCTCCGTTCCTTCCAAGCCTTCCGAGTTTCCACTTCAGGAAGGATCAAACTAGGCAATCTCCGTCCTACGATACTTCTGGTACCTGAAGATCTTTGCAACACCAGATCTGTCCAAGAGACGCCTGATTACTGCAATCGAGACAGCAACAGCGCATTATTCTCAGCTTCAATCCTTCATGATCCTTGGACAAGCCTCGATATTACCGTCGACTTTACTATCGATGATTCGCGGCATCTGCAGCCAAGGCGCAACGACAAATGATCCCTTCTGGGGCCAAACCCTTAGGCTAAGCCGAGTATGGCAATATCGATTGCTCTCAGCCCTATGTGCTCGAACAACAATATGCCAACCCTCAGGGTGCGGCTGTGTGAACCGTTCGTGATGCTGCATCGCCTGTTTCTTGACGTCGTCGAATCCTCGGACTGTCCCGGACCGCTCACATGAACAGTTGCCGACCAAAATTACAATCCGCTGGTCATAGATTCAAGCACTAACATGACACTTTGCAACAGATCATATGTCCAGCACCACCACTCAAATGCCCTCACGGCATACACCCTGACCACGACCTCTATCCCACGCAAGTACGCCTCGTTGTTCGATCTCCCACTCACACTGCTCATCCACGTCTGGCGTCGTACCTTCGGCGCAATTACCTCCAACACAGGACCGCCAGTCTTCGAGGTGAACAGCCTCTCCATGTGGTGGCACGGGGTACGAGCATTTCAGCAGCATGAAACCCAGAACAGCTGGGATCGGAAGCTGTATGCCGTGGTGAGCAGGTATATGTGGTTCAATGATTTGACGGAGGTTGAGCGGCGGGGCGGGCTGGAGGACGATTGAACTTGGCGTCGTTAGAATTTAGACAGAATACGAAATATGGTATACGTTGTTGAATCCATCCGAACAGAATCCTCAAACCACATCTTCCTTACTCCTTCTCAAGTCGCCCCCTGATAAACCGTGCTTTCCTACCAACAGTCTCCGCCGCCGCACAGCCTTGTACACAACCTTCAGCACTAACACCATAGCACCTACAATGCCCAATAACGGCACCAAGCCCAACGTTGCACATTTAGCGTCGCGCGCGTTGGCCAGCAGTCCGCCAGCGGCCTGCGAGGGATGTCGGAATAATTTGAAGAAGGCGGCGTCCCAGGAGTGCCACGAAGAGGATCCAAGGTGGCGAAAGATCGGGGTGCTGGCGTTGCCGTTGAGCTGATGCATGCGTGGCTGCGACGGTGGGCCTTGGAGGACGCGGAGGTTCGTGCGTGGGAGGGTCGTGGTTGCGTACATTGTTCTGTAGGTACTAGTCAGATGGGTACTCTTTTTAAACGGAACGGGCGTAATAAGGAGACAATGGTGTGGTCACGCGGAGGCGAAGCACTTACGATAGGAAGTGGCATCCTGTGCTGAAGCTGACGGTGGCATATGGCAGGCCGAACCATGAGAGGTCAAAGGCTTCCAGACGCTGGATGACTTGACCCAGGAAGGGCAGGCGAGGCTTGGCCATGATGAAGCCATTCGACACGCCGGCGGGATGGGCAGCAGCAGCGATAAAGTCGAATTGACGGAGCGGTGTCAATGGGCGTTCGCAGTTGAGGTCCATGTCCATGAAGATGCCTAACGAATGCTTGGTCAGTATGAGATCTCCTGAATGGTCTGTAGAGGGCCATTGTGATGGATTATGGCAGCCGGTCATGCCTGGCAACAAGGTTGATCGACTCACCCCCATAATAGTACAAGATCATGTACCGCAAACTGTCAGCCTTCTGAATGCTGAACTCATAGTCTCTCCACATGGGCCACACTGCAGGGAACTGTCGTTGAACAAAGTCCTGCGCGCGGTCTTCATCCCAGAATTCAAACGTGTAGCCGGGATGCTGCTTCCTGCAGCTCGCTCGGGCAACCTCCCATGACGGTCGTAGCGTAGCGTTGTTGCCAATGAAGATGTTATGAATGATCGGTGGCACTACATTGTGGCTGTCGTCAAGGCCAGCATCTGGTGTTGTCGAATAACTTTGGAAAGTGACGTCGAAGTTGTCAGCGGCCAAAGTCAGTGGATTCGACACGTTGCCCAACTTGAACAGCAAAGGCATTGCTGCCAGCTGTATGCCTGGGAGAACATGATTCCTGAAAACGACAAGAAGCGCGACGGTGACAAGCAGCGCGATCTTCAGCCATGGGTGACGACGATGAACATACACCTTCATCATCTCGCTGCGAGGTTGAGCGGAAGGCTGTGGTGGAACAATTGTCTTGCGTATGTGTGTCTTCCAGAATCCCAGCATTCCAGCAATGTGGCACAGGCACAGTGGCAACCCTAGACACTCTCCCTTCCATACATTCCATCTTCACGTGACAGGAAGCTCTTCACCCTGAGAAGCACGGATCCTGCGCATGTTGACACTGTCGTTGGGCCACGTCAGCAAGGTTCTAGAAACATAGGATCGTAAACGCCTTCGAAAAGCAACCAGGAATTTTAATTTTGGCATCATCCTTCCACGGGAGTGATTCGTCACCGCTAACCTCAGCTCGCTCAAACTCTTTTGTCATTACAACCTTACTCGAAGCCAATACGACTTGACCCTGTGCAGCCTCCCGGTTTGGCTTCCGCGACATCGAAATGCGCACGGAGAACTCCAGCATGTGAATTATTAGGTGTTGCATCGTCGAACTGTCGACCTTCACAACCCCTTGCTTGCATAAGGTATGACCTTGCTGTTGGGGAAGCAGGAGATCGCGGGCCGGACCTCAAACGATGGCGACAACATCGTGGTAGCTGACGAGAAGGGTCCAGCATGGGTAGAGCCTCAGGAAGCTCGTCGGACTTCGTCAATGTTTGGCGTTGCTGTACTTGTCTTGTAAGTGCACCCCTGAAGTACAGAAATTTGTCGCCAACGAATTTGATAGATTATGGATGTGTGCGAGCTGCGGGATCACACTGCATAACAAAAGAATCCTGAGCACACTTGGATTTAGTAAGTGCTAAATCATCAGAGCAACGGACACAGAGCAGACTGACAGTCTTCAGACTACCGTAAGATGTAGTCGACCGACGGTGATCAGAGACTCCGGCTTACCTGACTCAAGCATTTCTTTTGACGACATGGCACCTAGCGTTTGCTTCTGTGGCAACGCGGATCATGATGCCGTTGCTGGAACACCATGGCGTTGACGTCCAGAAGACAATTTCGTGGCGAGCGTACTTTTCAAGGATCTTGCCATTGGCGATCTTCTCCAGCTCTAGCATCATTCTTGGGAATCAAGCGTACTTGTATCTCAGCATATCGTCGATTCAGATGCTCAAGGTTCGTACCTATCACTCCCGCGTGGTGTGACACATTATTGACGTACCTTTCAGGCCACAAGCCCTGCTGTCGTGTCGCTGACGACTAGCATCTACGGCTTCAGTATACCGTCATCGCGCGACATGCTGCGCCTTCTCATAGTGGTCTGTGGTGGTGTGATCATGTCTTATGGCGATGTGACGCTCAATTTGGTCGGGTTCCTGTGTCAATTGTCAGCCATTCTCGCCAACGCAATGCGCGTCACACTGTCCCAAGCCCTTCTGCAATCGGCGAACTTCAGGATGGATCCTGTCTCGTTCTTGCACCATTTCGCGCCAATCGGTGCCTTAATATCTGGAGTCTGTGCATACTACCTCGAGGTTCCGAACCTCAACATGGATCAGGTGTTTCGCGTGGGTTGGATGGAGCTTTTGATCAACGCGAATCTTGCATTTGCTATCAGCCTCATCACATTCGCTTTAGTTAGTACTGTTCCCTCCGATTTGCAGAGCCTGACTTGCTGACTCAGTTAGATTGGCAAAACATCAGCGTTGACGTTGACCTTCACGAGTATGGTCAGAGATATAGCTCTTATCCTGGGTTCCGTAGTTCTTGGGGCGCGCGTCAGCGTGCTGCAAGCAGCTGGGTACGCGATAGTCAGCCTTGCACTCTTAGACTATGCGATACCTGCGAGATGAAAAATGGTCCGCATGCAATACATATCTCCATATCAAGCTCGTGCAAAAGCGATGCGCAGTCCGAATTCTCATGATTGTGAAGCCGCCCGCCACCCGGTCGCTCTTGACCGAAGGCCAAGCCTGTATGGCATCAATGGCAACAAGTCGGACAGGGATCAGTCAGGCTTGGCCGAGAGACGCCCGCAGTGTAAAAGGCATCTGCTGCTTGTAAGGCTGTGGCTACCCTATAAGATGCCTGTTTCTGCCCAGCACCCGCCCCAGCAACAACGCTACTTCAGTTGACGCAGAACGATAATGTCACGCCGCGAGGGTGGCAGGGCGTCGCGACCACAGTAGTATACTGTTCAAAATGGGTATCATTGAATTTTGCATACAAGTACAAGCCTCGCTCATCATCGTAAATCATCAGACCTCAAATGCCCCGGGCTCATTTCCGCTCATACCAACAGATCATCTCTTTTCTGAACTTCGGCATACTGCAGCCTCGCGCAAAGACCAAGCAGCACCACCGTCTCAGTCGCCGCATAGTAATTCAGACTGTCGATCAAGATCTTGAGATGCCTATTGAAATGGTTCTCAAACCTCCTCAGGTGCTCCTCCAGGTCGGCAATCTTCTTCTGCTTCTGCTCGTCGTTGGATGCTGCTGCACCATTCTTGCCGTCGCTTGCATCAGACGACCCGTCATCATCTGCAGCATTCAGGTCTCGGGTGAATCTCGCTGTGTAAGAGGCGAACATCGTGCAACCCACCATGAGCTTTTCATGGATGCGAAGTAATTTGCCTTGAGTCAGTCCAAGATCTTTCATGCACGAGTCCAGCATGTCAAGATGATCTTGCATGAGCTCGTCCACGGTACGCTTAGTACGCGGCTTTAATTGAGATCGTGGTCGCTCTTCGTTCTGGTCGCCGAACTCAGCATCGTCCACCTTGGTCATCAACTTCTGATAGTTCGGCTCAATAACTTCAGCCGTTGCGTAGAAAAGCATTTGTTGTACGAAGACTAGCATCCTTGCTCTGAGCGTCCATGCTCGCCGCTTCCAGTATTCAATGCGGTTGTCAGATGTTCGCCGGGTCCAAGCTCCCACCTTGCTATGATCCGACCAACAATCGACAAGCAATGCTTCCAGGTGTCGCAAAGCAAGCGTATACCGGAAGATGAGCTGATAGCGCAAGACAGTCTTCCTGCTAATTATCAAGGAGAGCGGGAAGGGCACTTTATAGTCCAGCTCGAGCGCTTCGAAACCGGTGATGTCCTTCTCGTCCTTCTTCATTGCTGCTGCAGGTGTTTTTTGCTGCTCGATCATTGACTCCGGATTCTCTTGATCTATGCCTTGCACATTGACGATCTTCATCAGCCATTGCGTCAGTCCGATCTCGTTCATTCTGACCCGAACATCTTCCTTGAAGGGATCAGCGACGGCGATGCTGCCAGGCTGATTCACCACCAGCTCGAATAAGGATTGAAGTTTCGCCTCGTTGACAGTCGACTGCTTTTTGCGCAATTCGGAGGCACTGAGTTCAAGAAAGTATAGAAAGAACTCGCCCCTATCGAGGAAGAAGTAGTGTTTCATCGAACGGAGGCGGCTTCTTAGCGAATTCTTGGTGAGCAGCAACGTCATAAGCTCTTTGTTGGCGAAGGAATAAGCATGATTGATGTTGTCCAGAAACCTCGGATCATCGAAAGTGGTCGGGATGTCGATGATGGGACTAGCAACATTGACACCACCACATTCGCGAACAACGTTGAGGTACTTGCCTGCAAGCAGCACCTTATCCTTCAGATGCTCAAGTTGTGGAGGGATCTCCTTATCCCGGATGTAATATCTCTTGTCCCAATACTCATCTGTGTAGTCCTCCTCAAGACGCTCCCGTTTGATGCTGCTCTTTCGCCGATCAAGAATTCCGCATGGGGATCATGAATACCTCCGTGATGTAGCCATTCATTCAGCATCAGCATGTACGGCTTCCCGGCGTCCCTTAGCAGCACCTCGAGTATGGACTTGGCGGCGGGGTCGCCAGAATATGTTGCCAGCCGCCTGCTAAGCAGAGCCAGTACATTGCCTCCTAGACAACGTTTCTTGCTCATACTTCCAGGAAGCAGATCTCCGCCTTCGCGCAGTCGTTCGATGATGTTGTCCGCGTCGAAGTCGTCCATCGAATCTTCAAGATCTTCTTCGAGCAAAGAATTCTTCTTCAGAAGCTCCTGCGCCATGGCGTAGATCGAGGCCAGACTTTGCGCGGTGGGTATCACAGACAAGTGCATTTGATGCAATGTGAAGGTGTCATCGGTCAGCACCTTTGTTTCTAGCTGCGCTACGAGGATGAGGTAGTCCTTGAGAAGCTTCCGTATTGAGGCACACAGCGCATGATTGACGGAGCCGTACTCCTCTCGGCTTTGGACCTCGACAAAGGCGTCCATTGCGCAGTAGTGCGTGGCCATCGTGAGCATTGACGAGGTCAGATCTCTGAGGCTCGGGTCTAGACCTGGCAGAGCGTGAAACGTTGGTCCAGTCAATCGATCTTTCTCATCGTCGGGGTCGTGTTTTTCATCAAAGTGAATGTATTCGCCCTCATAGCCCATGAACACATACAGCAAATCGTCGACCAATGCTCTCTCTTGTTCTTCCTTGGGCATGCCTAAGAACGAGGCGGTCTGCAACTCGTCCGGAGCATTTTTTGCAAGTTGCGGCCGCGATATGCGTGCAGCCAGCGGCGCTGAGGAGTGCGGTATGAGTGTCGCGACAGGATTCCATGATGGCTTCTCTGGTTCGGCGGGCTGACTGTATAACTTCGGCGCATCTGTGCTCTTGGGTCGTCGATCGGTCGCACCACGATTTGCGGTACCAAACGCTTCCTTCAGAGGACTCCGCCGAGAGAGGTAGGTCTCCGTGGTTGTGGTAGTGGTCTTTTCGCGTCTGCGCTCCGACGTGGTGGCCCTCTTGCCTGGCTTCAAGTGTGGCCTTTCATCTTCCGAATCATTCCTGTAGTCGGGCTCCTCATCCTCGTCAATTCCATTCTCCCTGTGGCTGTTTTGTGTGTACCGGCCAGACCTTGACGAGGTGACCCGCATTGGCCCCGCCGAAGCGGTGGCACTCCTGCGATCAGTCGCCGAAGACGCGTTCCGATATTGTTGTGAATTCATGACTTGACCCGCTCATTGCTGTTGAGTGCGCGTCTAGTCTCCGAAAGTCAAGAACGCGTCGAGACAGACTGATAGTTCAATGCAAACAACGGACAAAAGAAACGCGGAGTATTCGCGGTCTAGCGCTAGTCAACCGGTCGCTGATTTGGAGACGCATCACCGCCGCCGTGCCTGTTATTCAAAACTACCTACCTCGCCTTTCTCCAGCACTACTATCACCTAGCTCATCCTCGATTGAAAAGCACTCTGTCCCGACGAGGAAGCCAGGGACTGGTCATCGGAAGACAATATGTTCATCGCAAGATCCGAATATGGTATGTCTGATCGCTGCACTATCGGCACGTCGCTAACTCTCACCTTAAGATCGGGGCATCAAGTACGTGCAGGACACATTGCCAGCAATAGTACCACCAGGACTGACCAGAGTAGCACCTTCTCCCCAGAAGGACGTCTCTTCCAGGTCGAATACTCCCTCGAAGCCATCAAGCTAGGATCCACCGCCATCGGAGTGAGTTGAATCATCCCTCTCAGCAATGCGCCAGGACTGACTGTGGGCAGGTCGCTACATCAAAAGGTGTCTTATTAGGCGTCGAGAAGCGAGTTACATCCCCTCTGCTGGTCTCGTCCAGTATCGAGAAGATCGTGGAGATCGACAGACACATTGGCTGCGCTATGTCAGGTCTGCAAGCAGATGCCCGAAGCATGATTGAGCATGCCCGAGTCGAGTCACAGAACCACGCTTTCCACTACAACGAGAAGCTCGGCGTCGAGAGCTGCACACAGGCTATCTGCGACTTGGCACTACGGTTTGGTGAGGGTGCTCAGGGCGAAGAGTCGATCATGAGCAGACCTTTCGGTGTCGCATTGTTGATTGCTGGTTGGGATGCGGACAATGGCCCTCAACTGTGAGACCGTCTCCTGCCTAGCGAGCACCTGACTGACGATTCTAGATATCATGCCGAGCCATCAGGCACATTCTATCGCTACGACGCGAAAGCCATCGGCTCCGGCAGCGAAGGCGCCCAAGCTGAACTACAGTCCGAGTATCACCGTTCGCTCACCCTCGAAGACGCCGAGACACTCGTATTGAAGACCCTCAAGCAAGTCATGGAGGAAAAGCTTGATTCGAAGAACGTGCAGCTTGCGAGTGTCACAAAAGAGCACGGCTTCAGGATATATACTGATGAGGAGATGACTTCGGTGGTCGAGAGACTCGAAGAGAATTGAACGACGCCGAGAAATTTCCCATCTTGTGCATAGCCAGGCGTTGGTTGGACGACAGCTAGATACGGACAGTACATCAAGCTTACGAAGACGTGTCACAAGCGACCATTTCTCATCGACAAAGCTTTTCATCTATCTGCTGACTAGTGCGCAGTGAAATGGCTGGACACTGCCATCCGAAGTCTACTTTGTCTCCACTGGTCGCTCAGCTTGAGGGGTGATGCGTGCAATGTGTCGACGGGAGCCATTCTCCCAATCGATCAAGGCGGAGTGAGCAGTGACTCTGTTGTCCCAAACCACGACAGTGTTAGGCTTCCACTTGACGCGGCAGTGGAGATCCTGGGAGTACGCCAGATGGTCGTATAAGAACTTGAGCAGGTAGTCGCTCTCTTCTTGCTTGAAGCCGATGATGTACCGAGTGAACTGTGGGTTAACGTACAGCGCCTTCTCGCCAGTGGCTGGGTGCGTGCGGACGAGTGGATGAATCTAGACACCGATCAGCAACGGTCAATCAACACGGGGAGACAAAACTTACAGATGAAACAGGTGCTCTCCTGACAAACGTGCCCTTGCTTTCGGCAGCGGTTGCCTGCTCATAGCCGGAGTGCAAGGCAGTCAGTCCTTCCAAGCGCTCTCTGAAAGCCGGGCTCAATCTCTCGTACGCCTTCGCCTGGTTGGCAAAGATCGTGTCGCCACCAGCATCCGGCACGTCCAGGGCATACAAGAATGTAGTCCCAGGAGGCTGGTTCTCATATGTCACATCCGAATGCCACGCAATGCTGTTAGTTCGGTTATTGAAGAACGACTTGAAGCTCTGGTCCTCAGCACCACGGTGCACGAGATGCACTTCTGGGTATCCTTCCGGTGCACCTGACGTTGGATGGATGTGGAGACGTCCGAAATAGCGTCCATAATCCAGCGCCTTCTCGATGGGTAGCTGTGCAAAGTCCTGGTCTCGGAAAGCTACAACCTTCTTCTGAGCAACGAAGAGTGCAAGCTCGTCCTTGCCGGCATCTGTCAGCTGCGAGAGTTGGATGCCTGAGACCTCAGCGCCAATGGAGGAGGTGATGTTCTCGACTTGGGTGCCCTGTGGAAGCAGATTGGGAAAAGACGGATCCGCGTCCTTACCGTGCTCGACGTGCTCGAAGGGCTCGAGGGGAGGGTATCTGTTCAAGTTGTCAGAGCCGGAAGCAGCATTTGATATGCAAAGATAGTCGTGGGGGTACCTCAGACTCCTCCAACATAACATCACTTTTGGGGAGAATACCGGTCACACTTACTTTACATTCTTCTCATTCTCCCAAGTTGGCAGGTAGTGAGGGAAGCTAGCTGCCTTGAACTTGTCGGTCCCATGCAGCTCAACGTCTTTGTTGATTTTGTGTATCTGAAAGTCCTTGTATGCACCGACTGACCCGCGAGTGTCAGGTGCGCCGGGCTGAGCAGCTGAGATAGTCTGAGCAGCCACAGACATTTTGGTCGTTGATACAGGTATGGTATGTTTGGAAACAGTTGTGCAGGAAAGAGAAACAGAATGTGCACGACCTAAGAAACGTTACGCCACCTGATCTAACGCTCGCTATATACCAATGTACCAAGTAGCGATCTTCTCCAAACCCACGGTCGCTATATTTATGAACCACTCATGCAGCTGGAGAACACTGCCACCCCTCCATGGCCTTGGGAAGTGTTCATTGGGTTCGCTCATTCAACGTGGCATACGTGATGTCGTAGTCGCTCCATCCGAGGCTTCGGAAACTCCTTCATTTGCTTCTGAGTAAGTGACACAATCTTGGCCATTCTTGCGTGATTACCCCACTTCGAAAGCCATATCACATTTCACATATACTCAGCGCTAATTTTCGGTCGTCGAGCCGATAGCCATGGGACGAGTTCTGCTGCAACTGATCGGGACCCTACCGCGGAAACCGTCCCTTGATGTCCTGCCTACTTGAGCCCCGATCAGGTTGAGGCATCACGCCATACCTACCATGACGATACGGGTTCTCAGTGGGATGGATTTTGAGCTCCACGGCAGTAGCTTTGCCATCGACCGAAGCGCTGACCGGTTTCCAGACCCAGCTGAACGGCGGTCGTTGTCCCAAAATGTTGCGCGTAGTCCTTACTCGGCCACGTTGTCACCTGCATGCTGCCAGCATGCTCTGGGCTAAAGGGTGGGCCATTCACTGCCTGGCCTTGGCATAAGGCAATCACCATGTGGCTGCTTCAACGTTTGCCTTCTTTGACCAGCCGGCTTTCTAAGTCCCAAGGACCAGCGACCAATTGATCTTCACTGTACTGCCTTGAAACATGCTCCTGGACAGAGTATTGAAGGCCAGAGTTTTCATCTGACCGAGACCACTGAGCCTTTTCTAGGGCACTATCTGTAGGAATTACCTCCGCAATTGTTCCCGGCCCATGCCCACAGAAAGTGCCAGATAGGACTGCCAGTGCAGACTGGCGTGACTGCAGCAATACAACAGCGACTGACCCTATTGCGCTTGCCACATGCAGGGCTCCGGCCACAGCTGCCACGTCAAACAGCAATCAGATGGTTATGTCTGATCAATATCTTAATTCTGGACATCCCCAATCGATACAGACTTATCCCGATCTCAGACATTTACATCAACCCGTCAGGGCAATCATGGCCGGGACCAACAGGCGCGATCGATATTCGCCTTCAGACAGCGCATACTATGCCGTCGGCCCCAAAGACATGACGTCGTCCCCAACGGGCACATTCTACTTTGCTTATGGCTCGAACTTATCCACCACACAGATGGGCATAAGATGTCATCAGGATCCCCAGTCATCACAGCCCGTTGCAATTGCTCGCCTCGACGACTACGAGTGGATCATTTGCCAGAGAGGGTATGCCAACGTCGTTGCGTTACCACCACTACAACCGCAATCCAACTCATCAAACACACCATCGATCTCTCCTGGATCGCAGACAAAGACGACGTCCTCCACCACAAGCATCAACAAACGCACAGTCCACGGCCTTCTCTACAATCTCTCACCCGCCGACGAAGCTCGCCTAGACCTCTACGAGGGCCACGAAAATGGCCGCAACCCCCATCCAGAGCCCAATCCCGATCCCACTACTGCGACAGCCATCCCCTTCCTGCAAGGAAAGTGGACTACAACAAGCACTACCTCCCCGTCACCATCACGAAATGGCTCACGCCGCCCGAAGACTTCGGCCTCGAATCAGTTCCTCAGAACGTGGAAGCCGCCGCAGCAGTAGCGAGAGAAGAACAGGTCAAAGTCCTTGTATACGTCGATGAGCTTCGCACTTCGCGAGGTGTCATCAACGAGCCGTACATTGGGAGAATGAATCGTGGGATCCGTGAGGCAGTGGCCTTGGGGCTGGACGAAGGTTGGGTCGAGGAGGTCATGCGTGGTGACATTCCTCCGGAGGGCATGGCAGAAGAAGGGTACGTCGGGGAGGTCGAGGGTTACGTAGAACAACAAGACTAGGGATCTTGGCCTCCACCAGAAGAGACCCGAGAAGCAAAGAGCACTCTTTGGTGAGAAGAGCGAACGGAGAAGGGCAATTAGATCATCAAGCCCAAGAGCATGCGCAATAGATATAGAGGAAGTCGGTACGGAAGTCAAAGCGCCATCGTTCAACGCTACATACATTTTCCTTGCCGAATCGCTTGACCGTGTGTTTGTACAATTAGATCGTGACTCTTCGTCGTAGCGCTGCTGGACAGGCCGCCGTAACGCCTTTGCTTCCACCCTATGCACAAATAGAATAAATCAAGATGTGGACATCGTTAATACCTGCACCCCGCGCACCAATGATCCCTCGCCGCCACGCCCGACGTAAGCGCTATACTCTCAAAATCTGCCAGGCGCCGTCTGGACACTGGTCACACTAACATCGCGAGTATCTCTGCTGCTCATGCCACCAATGACGCCCTCCTTCAACATTATTCCTCTCCGAGCACTTCCCGGTGTCTTGCTCCCAGCCTCCATTTTCTTCATGTTCAGACTCCTAGCTCGGTCTCGTCGAGCACGGATTTGAGCCAGCGCAGCATCTCGCGAGACTGGTGTGCCGGTGATGCCGCTGAGCATTGGCGCGTGAGCGCTAGAGCCCTGCTCCTGGCTGGTTGAATAAGGATGACCGTGCAGATCGGATGTGCTGTCGCTATGTGCGCTGTCGTCGAAGTCACGCAGTGGAACAGTGGTGGTGGTTGTCACGGTCTGCTGTGCTTCAAAGCGGTGATGTTTGGCCATCGGCGTGATTGGGAAGACCGTGCTCGCAGCAGGCGATGCAGATGTGGCTTTCTCGAAGTGGTGGGTTTCAGACTTGTGCAGAGGTGATCGAGTCTGTGACTTTGACCGACTGTTAGGTCGGGATTGTGCTCGACGATGTCCCTGAGGTGATGAGTCTCTCAGAGCTACTCGAAGCGTCTGTGAGGTATAGGCTAGTCGCTCGTCGTCACGTATGACCGAATTTGGTGGAAGTGATCTAACGTCTGGAGAATCTGGGACCAGTCGGATTGGTGATTTGTCTGGAGATGGCACGCTGAGGATGCCCATCGCTGTCGATGGTCGTGGTGGATGATCCTTAGCCATCGCCATATCGAACATGTCAAGATCAGGGACTTCATTTGCCGACCGGGTGTGGATCAATTCAGGTGCCGCTGCTCGATCTTCGAACCGAGAAGAGACCGATGTTGAGAACACGAACGGCACTTTCCCCCTCCCGTCCCTACCAGGCTCTACCATCACCTGGGTCAGCTCCTCGAGTAATGCTGTTGGCTCTGGTGAGGGGTCTTTCGACTTCGAGCCGAACTCGTGCTCCACTGGTGATGGCAGCGGAATGCTGGCGGCTGCGTCGACGGTTGCGATGACAGCGAATTGCTCATCATCCCGAACCGCAGGTACTGCAGGGAGTGGTCGGCTTGGAGGCTCTTGGTCATCGAGTCTTCGCTTCTTCCTAGCACGCTCTTGGCAGAAGTTTTCGAATGCTTGATCGTAGATGTACCGCTCTCCACGCTTCTCGGCCTGTCTGCATTCGCAACTCCCACTCTGACACTGTAGGCGCATCAACTCGACTTGTTCTCGCTGTCGGACGACTTCATCTTTAGTCGCCTGAACTTCTTCGTAGAGAGCGTGAATGTGATCTTCGTAGGTGAACGGCTCGTCGTAGAGATCGCGGAGATATTGATCCCGATCGACGAATTCTGAATAGAAGGGCTCTGCTGCCCGAGAAATAGCCTTGCCAGGCTCCGATGGTGCAGCAGATGTTGTTGTTTCTCGTGACTGTTGAACAGTGGTATCGTCTATGATCTCCGGCTGAGCGGTTTCGACAGCTTGCTCGGTTGGCACATGCTGCTGAAGCGGCGATGTCTGCACTGCACGTTCTTCCACTCTGGAAAATGCCAGTTCTGGTGCCGGAGTCCGACGCAATTCTTGAATAGCCGCATCTCTCTCTTTCTCGACGGCTTTGAGTGTCGTCTTGAGTGTCTCAGCCTCTTCACTGAGTCCTGACACAGCATAGGCCCGCTCAAATGCTTCTTGTCGCGCTGCTTCCTTCTTCGCACGTTCAGCTGCTACCTCCGCCTGTGCGCGTCGCAGTTCTTGTTTGACCTCTTTCAGAGACTCTTGGATTTCCAACTGGCCCATCTCCGCTTGATATGCTTGCTTCCTGCATTTCTTGACTTCAGCGACGTACGCTTTCTTGTCATTTGTGCGCGATTCTCGCTCGGTAGCTAGTTGGTCTATCAAGGACTCGATGCGCTCTGATACCAGCTTCTCACGGTGTTTGCCGGACTTGAGCTGTTCCTTCAGTCTCTCAATCTCGGCGTGAGCGGAGGCGAGGCTTGCTTGCGACTCCTCGAAGCCGAGCACAGCTCGCTGGAAGGCAGCATTGGTTGGTGTTTGTGGTAGAGCAAAAGGCCGGCTACCTTTCGTAGGCGACGATGGGTTGCTCAAGCTGTTGAGGAAGTCGACCTTGCCACGCACGTCCGACGAAATGGACTCTCGTGACCGGTGATAGTTTGGCCGCTCATTCTCATTAGAAAAGATTGGCATTGATGGTGACTGCGGTAATCGCTGCTGATTGATCTGGTCTGCTGAAAGTTGTCGCAATGGACTACCGATTGGCGTCGACGCAGAGTGCTGAAAAGCAGCAGGCGACTCCATGACTGTTTCATGCACTTTCCATACTGTTACTATGCAGCTGATGTAGTACAATCCAGAGCAAACTTTGTCTTCTGCAGTCACTGCAGCAAACCGCGAGGCAGGTACGACTCAGGCTTGTTTATCAATCCCAATTCGATCTAGCGGCTTGGCACCGTGACTCGACCCAGAAGTGCCCCTCCTACTTGCCGGGAGAATTCAATCAAGAGAACGAAGTTCACCAAGTGAACTGCAAGAGCATTGTTCCATGTCGCTCTTCCCGATCTCCGGACAGACAGTGTCAAGATGTGGGCCGGAAGGTAATAAGTCACCCATGTAAGGTAGGAGAGATTGTTCGCTGTTGGCGAGAATCTTGTCACCGCCGCACGATGAGTGCGACCCTCTATTAGCTGATTGGCCTCACTGGCCTCTTTTACATGTACATAGCGCGTTCTCTGTCGCGCAACCAGACGGGTTTCGCCCATCGCTTCGCCTACCAGTCGATCATCGACGAGGCATACCCTCGCTCGAACCGGAGCGATCCTATTTTTCCCAACGAACAAAATTCATGAATATCATAAAACACACGCACGTGAACGTTCCCGTCCGAAGTCAACGCCAATTTCTGTCGATCGATCTCCTCGCATCTCTCCTACGAGCAATCCATGTCGATATCCCCTTGCGGTTGCAGAAATGATGCATCTTCAAAGTCCGTCATGTTGGCAGCAACCTCAATCGACATCATCCGTCGATGACAGTGCGACTTCTCGGGCACAAACTCAAACTGCTGAGATTGGGGCTGCATCCCAAAGTTCTCGAAGGGATTGAATACAGATGGCGGCATGGGCATGTCCTGCATCTCTGCTCTTTGCGGTCGAAGACGAGACTTTGGTTGCGCGACCTTCCGGCCACGAGCGTTCTGCTGAGACCTGTTACCGGTCTGCATGAACGAGACATCGACCATCTGTTCTGTCCCAATGTTGAAATAGTCAATCGGCAAGCTTTCGCCTGCGTCAGGATGCAAGGTCGGTGTGTCAGGTTGCCAGTCCTGACTTTCGTCGCTATCGGAATCACCCTCGTATCCTCGCTTGGAGCTAGTCGTGTACGACCACAAGCTCTGTTGTGAGATTTCGTTGGTGCGATCTTCGCTGTAATGAGACAGAACAGCAAGGTTGATGCCACAGAAAGTCGCAGTCGATGTGGGCTGCATCGCAAGGCCGCCAACTTTGTGCAGACTACCAGCAGAGTATGGTTCGGGATCCACGGGCTTGCTTCGAGCCATCAAAGCCTGCTGTGTCTCTGGCGAGAGCCGAGCAAGGCGGTTGCTGAAAGGGTGAGGTGTGAAGGGTTTCTTCTGAGGAGACTGATAGCCATCGGCGACAGACTTGCGGACGCGCATGCCGACTTGGAGTAGAGATGCCTCAATCTCAGCTTGCGACGGAGCTTGAGCGGACAGCTGCGCCAGGACTGGAGAGCCGAATGTATGATGAGCAATGTCACTGTTGGTTTCGGAAGGAATAATGCTGAATTGTGGTGGTGTGAACTTGCGTCGTTTTGATAGCGGGCAAGCATCGTTGAACATATCGGACGCCATCGTGATGGGAATCTGAGCCATGATGACTGATTGGCACGAACAGCGGGAGAAGAGGTAGGCTGAAGATTTTGAATGGTTTGGTGCTGATAATACGGTAGGTGAAATGAGCACAGCCGTCAGCGAAGAGGCCGTGTGGTGTCTGAACGAGTGTTATATTGTGATGGAAAGGCAATGGCTGATAAGTGATGGTATGGAAGGAGAAGAGTAAACTCTGAGTTCGCGAAGGAGAGCTTTTGATGTTACAGGAGACCCTCGCAGCTCAACCAACCATCGAGATCTTATCGAGGTAAGATGATGGGCGGGCTCGGCGGGCTAAGAATTTTGGTGGCGGACTGCTACGAAAATGGTCCAGACGTCCAAGGTGAGGCAGAGTGCACGGACTGGCCTCTGGGAAAGGGCCAAAAACGCACCAGCAGTGAAGCTCTCGTTCAGGGGAGCGACTTCGCCAAAACAGAAACCCCAGCCACCGTCACCCCGTAGAAATTAATCGAGCCAATCTCCCCTTGCTGGAAACCGGCAATCCTAAAATTGGACCCTGTAGTCCGCACGCTAACGCAGCTCATTTAGACTCAACAGGTTAGCTCTCAGGAACGCGCCTTTCTTCGGACTTCCTTCGAGCAACAGACGCGTGCTTCTTGTGCTGCGAAAGGACTCCGTGAGTAGACATGCGAGACATGCTTATCTGTCAGTATCCAAGATGTGCCGCAGCCAGTCAATCTGATCTATGCAATAATAATTGCTCTTCGGCATCTCAAAGGCGCGAAATCCATGGCTCATTAGCGGGCCGAACTCTTATGATTCCACTCTCTCGTCCAGCCATGGGACGGATCGAGGGCCACAGGATGGATTTCGAGGCTCAGACAACGCCAGCATGCCTGCTCGCATCTTGATAGCAGTTCACTTTGACGAGGAATGCGCATAATAAGGTAAATCGCGATGTTGCCTTCTCGGCGTCTCTACCGAGCTTCCAAGGCGGGCATGGGGCTTTCTCCAATATTTCGGGATTCGTGCGGAGATCTGCATCAGAGAGTACGTACCACGAGAGTCTCTGATGACCGCGAGCTCAAGCAACCATACTCTGTGCTGACGCACGAAATGGGTGTGCGCGAATGTGATGATAGCTCGGTGGTAGCGATTTGGCAAACGTTGGCTCCTCAGCAGAATTGGACAGCATGAAAGATCTCTCCATCATCGTGGTTGGAGCGGGAATTGGTGGGTTACAAACAGCGCTTGCTCTGGCTGCCAAGGGTTTCAAGGTCACAGTCCTCGAAGAAGTAGAGGAGTTTCGAGAAGTCGGCGCGGGCATCCGAGTACCTCCAAACAGCATCATTCTAAGCGAGTCCCATGGTGTCGACTTCAGTCGGATATCAAAGTGCGTATCTCTCGGCAATCGCTTTGTTGACTGGAAAGGCAAGAACCTACTCGACGTACCGTTCCAGGACATTGAGGCGCAATATGGCGGTTCTTACTACTTTTTACATCGCGCAGACCTGATCAACTTACTGCTTGATACGGTACGTGCTAACAACAGCATCGATCTACGCATGGGCGCCAAAGTCGCGAGATATGACTTCGATAGGCCAGCCGTCTATCTCGAAGACGGTGAAGAACTCTTCTGCGACCTGGTCGCATGCTCTGATGGCATCAAATCTGCTGCAAGAGACACGATCAACGGCAAGCCCTGTCCACCCGAAGATACTGGAGACGTTGCATATCGAATCCTTGTACCCGCCCAACCGCTCCTTGATGACCCAGATATGAGCCATCTGGTCACCGAGCCGTGGGCAGTACATTGGATCGGCCCGTCTGCCCATGCTGTGGGGTATCCCCTGAGGGACGGCAAGCTCTATGTATGCCCTCCGTTTGCGTGAGTGTGCTTGATGAGCTTTCCTCGAACTGACTAGATCAGAACATCATCATAGACATCACACACGACACAGATCCCTCCCCACCACTGTCCTTCTCGGATTGGATGCAGAAGCACAGCAACGAGGAGCTCGTGGATCGCTTCAAGGACTGGTGTCCTGAAGTCCGAAAGATCTTATCGTTGACAGGCACATACCTGAAGTGGAAGCTGGCCGACTTCGAGCAACTCGATACTTGGGTGCATCCCAGTAATGCTGCGGTATTGCTTGGAGATGCCAGCCATCCTATGATGCCCGTAGGTCCACGCTTTGCTTCCAACTTCTAACCGAACACTTCGACCCATTCTGATCTGACAATCCAGTACATGGCGCAAGGTGCCGCCCAAGCCACCGAAGACGCCGCTTGCCTCGCATCCTGTCTGGCACATTTCGACAACCTCCCGGAAGCACTCCACGTCTATCAGGAACGCCGCATTCCACGCACAGCATACATTGCCAGGAACACACGCGTCCTACAGGAATGGTGGCATGTGCACGATGGACCATTGAAAGACAAGCGAGATGCAGCTATGGCGACGCAGGACAGCGACGACAATCCGATGTTCTGGGGCTCGAAGACGCGGCGGGATTGGCTATTTGGGTTTGATGCGAGAAAACTGGATGCCGATGTCCAGATGCCTTCGCTGCCGCCTGAGGTTGATGCGGAGGATAGTGTGTACAAATACCTTCGATTGCGGAGGACAGAGTGAGGCACGATTCTTTGAATACGCTTCTCAACCCACTGCATTTCATCACTCAAACTACTACTAGTAGACCCAGGATCTCAGCCCCCAAAGACCTCCTCTGCCATGCACGCTAAGCCCAATCTACTCAAATCAGGCAGAAAAAGGCATTCCAGAATCTCGCTTAATGAACGCACGGATCCTCTCTTGTCACACATCAACGAACTCCTGATCTGTTGAGTGTAAGCATGACGAAGACTTCCACTGTCTTGCAATTTCACGCCGCTGGCTCGACGCCAACTTCACTCGCTCAGGGCCGTGCAGATAGAGGTATTGCAGACACCGGCGGCTCCCCTTCAATAATGCAATGGACAGCACCACTCCAGTCCTCGCCGCCCTCGACGCTCTTCTGGCCTCTGTAAAGTCCACCACGCTTACTCTGACGTATCCCTCAATTCCCGTCACATCCTTCTTCCGTGCCAAAGACATTGGTCTCTTCAAAGCCGAAGTTTCTCGTCTTGTTCCTGTCCTGCAATCTCTCCGGTCACGCCACCTCGCGTTGCCCTCGGATCTGGAAACGCAGCTCATAGAAGTTCTGTTAGCTTGTGACACGGTCAGAGCAGAGAGCCTTTTTCTGCTGTCCAAGGACGACTCTGAGGATGATGATGTGGAAGACGGGGAGCACGCAAGGCACAGGTCAGAGGAGAGCCTCAGCAGCTCGCCGAGCAAGCAAAAGGTCTACCGAGCCTCTTGGATGCTCTGCTTGCACCGAGATAATGCATTTTTGCTGCGGCATCGCTTGATGCAATATCGCTGTGTCCTCGAAGCGACGCTAGCAATAGCGAATCTGTTGTCGCTCAAGGCAATCGCTCGCACAGCGATGTTTTCTCGTGCCGCTGTCAAGGACATCTCCGATCAGCTGGCGGCGCTCAAGCGAGCCCTGACGCAAGTCATGGGCGGCAATCCAGCGAACTTTGAGGTGAAAGAATTTGGTTTAGTGAACGAAGGGCAGAAGGTGGATGGGGCGGCGTTCCTCAGACGAGGGCTCGTGGCTGTCAGGGCGGCGGTGCATGATCCTCGGGATCTGGGAGTGACGGGTCCGAGTAGCGAGTTGATCATGTTCGTGGATCGATTACTGGTTGAAGGTATTCGAGAGGGCTGGTAAGGGCGGTTGGAAGTTAAGAACAGTGTTCCCAATCGAGGTCTGAAACATCACCCTGGGAGGTTGAGATACATCCGAGAGAGGCCTTTGCCGTCTGACCAGGGCGTGTATATGCAAAATATCCCTCTACGACGTATCTTCGAGATCAGGATGAAGGGTGAGCTGTATTAGGAAGGTGGTGAGTGACAGACGGAACTGCGCATGCTTCAGCGGCAGCCAGCTCACTCGGAGTGGCATGGAAAAATCGAGGGAGCAATCAGAAGTCTCCGAATGGCAAGGACGACACCAAATCGGTGTGGAAGATGCTTCTGAGAAGCCTAGAAAAGTGGAATGGACCGACGTCGAGAAAGCGCTTACCCACGCCGGATGACAGGTGCTCGAAGGAGCGATTGACGGCCTCATGGGAAGAAATCGTCTCGCGAAAAAGTTCGAGTGCCTTGCCTTTGCGCCAGAAGTACAAAAGTCCTCTTACTGAGTTCGAGCGAGCCGATCTGTCCTGCTGCTCCTCGGCATCATTCCCGTCGTAGCTCATAGATCTCCTCATGATGCGTAACCAGTAGCGACGAGACTCTTCAAGCCTACAAGCGTCTTCGTCGAATCCCACATCCAAATAAACATGATTTCGAAGCGCATACAATCCACATATCCACATTACGAACTTCTCAAAGCCCTCAACCGATCGCCCAACCCTTCCTCCATGACCCTCCTTTCCTCCTCCGGCTTCGCCGCCACCTCCTGCTCCGGCACACCCTTCATCTCCTGACTCAATTCCACCCCAGCTTCGTCCGCAACCCTACCCATCAAAGCCTCCACCTCCCCTTGCCCTTCCACCCCAACCTGCTGACTCTCCACCCCACCCGCTACGCCCTCATAGTAGCTACTCACCACATCCAGGTCCTCAAACTGGCTCTCAAACTTCTCCATCACAGTCCCAATCTTCTCCAGATCCATGCTCTTGAGCGCCACATCCATACCCTTGACCGTCTGCGCCATGGAGCCCGTGACGGTGCGCATAGTGATGGCGGTCTGTACACGGGCAGCGACGGCGTCAATGCGCGCGGCCAGGGTCAGGAGCTGGATGCGTTGTTGCGAGTTGCGGACGCTGTTTGTGGCGTAGAGGCGGGCGATCTGGGGCTGTGGAGGAGTCGTGGTGAGGGCTTTCTTCAGTTTGGCTTGTTCGGTGCGGCTGTCTTTGTCGGCTTTGGCGGCTTGGCGGTTGAGTTGTTTGGAGGTGAACTGTGACGTGTAAAGTCAGCGGTCGGGTCGGACTTGTGGCATTACGGACGAGATGAGGTGGGAGGGGATCGTTGAGCCGGCATTGCCGGGTCGAGGACATAGAGACGCTGCAGCGGACTCACTTTGAGGTTGAACAGAGCCTTCTCGAGGCCCGACATAGTGGCGTAATTGGGTGTGCTCCGCTTTCAGATCTGGTAGTGTGTTTCTCTTGCGGGACGGGAAGACTGCAATGTATCGTTCGGAAGTGGGCTGCTTTGCGGAGGTAGGACTCTGCGGTGGTGGGCACGATATGTGGAGGCAGTGGTTGTTCGCGGAAGTGGTATAGCTGATCTGATCGACTTTGTGAATGAAGTGTGTTGATCTAGATTGGATCGACCTCTACAGTCTTGCGGCTGATCAGATGTGAAGTTGCAGTGCTGCCGGGAACGAATGACGTGCAACTGCCTGCGGCCGAACTTCGGTCTGGCTGACTTAAACTGCTTGGCAGTGAAGTAGGTAGAGGTAAGTTCTGCGTCGAGCTCACGTGTTTCTACTCTTGAACCATTGTGCCAATTCTCGAATCTCTGAGGTATGGGACGAGATGAAGCGACTGATGGGGATTTCGAAGCAGAGATAAGCATTCTCAACGTAGCTGACGTGCCAGAATCACTCGTTGTAAGAAGGGCATCGAGGGGAGCCTGTCAGCTATAGGAAAAAACAGAAAATGTGCTTTGAATCATTTTGCGAAGCTAAGCTGCTAATCAGCGGCTACCTATCCGATGGCACACAGGCGCAGGTATCAGGTTGTTCGCCCGACACTATACATCTTGACTGCCACCGTAAGGAAGACGCCACACAGACCGAGGCAAGGAATAGGGCCGACCTTCGTGGAGGATGAGCTATCACTCGTCTTCGTTTTCGAGTGAGTGGACTGCCCTGTGCTCTGCTTCTCCCCCTTCTTTCTGTTGCCGCCTTCCTCGCTTTTTCTGTCCTGGCCCTGCGGAGCAGTTGCAACCATTCTGCTTGAGATTGCATCGGGGCTTCCCGCAGTATGGCACAGATCACCTCATGGAACATACTTGAATCCTGGAACGCCTTCCAACATAGCTACCTTGCCTTGCTCCAAGAGTCTATTCTGTCGTCTGAAGTGCATTGAGGCAACAAATATTATCATGCATGACGCGAGCTGGAATGCTATGGTCGTCCACATCCCTGGGAGGTAGTCCTGTCACTGTGTCAGAAAAGAAGGCCAGCGCAAATTGGATGAATCGCGCGATGTAGTTGACGTACAGGAGCATCTTGAGATCTGAAGATGGTACTGCCAGTGATACCGCCCATACCACCGACCGCGATCATGATTGCTGGCAATATCCCTCTTTTGGCCATCGTGGGAGTCTGGTTTTGGGCGTACGCAAGCAGCTGTGGGCCGTTGGCTTGAGAGCCAAAGACCGCGATGAAGAGCCCAAAGTAGCGGAATGCCGGCACCTCACCATAGAGCATTATGAGAAGCCCCGCAACGGCAACGAGATACTGTGCGCACATTACTGGCCAGCGCATCTTTATTCGATCGGACGCCCAAGCCGTAGCCATGCTCGCTGCCATAGTAAAGAGATATGGCATGCCCGAAAGGACCTGGGCCAGAGTATAGCTGAATCCCATTCCTTGACGGAGAATGATCGGGGCAAAATAGGACATCGCGTATATCGAGCTCCCGCACACGTAGTATGGAAAGCAGCTTGAACCGTCAGGTCAGCACAGGTGGGAAGAAAGCAGTCAGAGAGCGAACAGGGAAGAATGTCAACTCACTAGATGAGCAACTTCCAGTCCACTAGCATCTTTAGCACCTCTGTGATTCCGGGATGCTTGATTTCTTCCCGAGACTGTCCTTCAAGGAGACGTTCTGTAGCGATATGTCTCTCTCGGTCGTTCAAGAATCTGGCTTTTTCGGGGACTGTGTAGAAATATCAGCCTCAGCACAGATATCGCAGCAACGACAGTCAGTAAAGCGCAGCGAATACGATTTCTGGTGAACAGGTAGGGATTCTTACATTCAACGAGAGTGAAGGGCACCGCGACCGCGAGGACGATGGTGAAGATGCCCTCGACGATGAAGACTTGGTGTCAGAAATCAGTCCTAAAACTTCTGGAGATTGACACAACAAAGACTCACTCCATCGCCAGCCTTGACGATATGTGCTATCCCCAACTCTGATGAGCGACAGAGCATATGCGAACTGGTGACAGTCAGTCGATGAGGTTGGCTGTCAGAGAGGGGCAAATCAACGATTGGACCAAAGCCGGAGGCTAAAAGCGCTGACATGTAGAAAAAGGATATTCGTTTGGCCATCTCGAACTTCTTGTACCACGAGGTAATAACGAATACGGCCCCGGGATACACTGTGATTGATCAGTCTCTCTAGATTGCTCAGAATCCTTCCAAAGGCTATGCTCACATCCAGCCTCGAAGATACCCAGAAGCGCTCTGAGTACCGTAAGCGAGACCCAGTGATGGACGAATCCCATGGCGAGCACCAAAGAACCCCAGATGACGATGAGCAACGTCATCCAGATTCTGGTACCCAGCCGGCGAATCATCATATTGGATGGAATCTCAAAGATAACATAACCTTGCCATCGTCAGCTCTTCTTCTGCGCCCGTAGAGGACTGGCGACTCACCAATAAAGAAAACCAGCAGGGAGATTGAATAACGAGGACTGTGTGGCGGAGGTCAGGCTCGATAGACAAAACGAGGACAAGATGATTGTACGTACCCTTCAGCCAGTGCAATGTCCTCGTTCATCCCAGCAATGTAGGCGGCAGAGATGTTGGTTCTGTCCAACACGGACACTCCGAACAGGGTGCACAGCATCGGGAAGACGCGAAGGTCGACCATCCATCTGTGTTGCTCACTATCAGCCATCGGTCTCGGCAGGCCAGCATGACGAATGTCTGTCGTTGCAATGCAGGCTCATCGTAGGATCCGACTCACACCAAGGCTCGCTCTTCTTTCTCACTCCAGTCGTGGCTCACGCCATGGTGTTCCGCATCTTTGGCATCTTCATTGTGCACCACCGTCAGCGTGCCTTGAGAAAATTCTTTGCCGACCAAAGGGTTTGGCTGCTCAGAAGTGGCCATTTTTCAAGCCAAGGAAGGACCTCGGGGGATTGGGGACACTTTGGGGATCTCAGCGTAGCGGGGATTGCAAAGACTTTGGGATGGCTCGCACATATACAACGTGTCAAAGGAGTAGAAGTAATTCTGGATCATGCTGGAGGTGGAACTTATAGTGCCTTGACTTCCGGTTCCAAGCACTGGTTCTCACAGCCGTTGTTGCCGTGGCTGATCAACGTGGCTTGGTCTTCTTGCTACGCAGACTTCGATTGCGGGCTTCCCCAGCATTGCGAGATCGCTCGAGCGACGATTGCGACTGGCTTCTCCACGGGGTAATCGTCAGTCGATCCAGCATCTTGGTCAGCTAGCCCGGATCAACACGAACCTATCATTAAGCTCGCCGTGTCTGAAATGTGTATCCCAAATCTCGGTAGTACATCAATGTCTGCTACAACGCTAAACGAGGATGTACGCAGAAATGTGGATCATCGACAGCACCCGTGGACCAAGGCTACCAGGCTGAGCCAGCCTTGCCCCCGCGGCCGACGTTTGTGGAGCTTCCAACGTGCAACGCTTTCCAGCAGTGTACCTTTACCAAAGCCATTATGATGGGCCAAGTCTCTAGGTGGGGGACAATACCTCGGCCAGATGGGCTGGGAAGTATAAGGGATGAGATGTTGCGAAGTCTGACCAACCTAGTTGAGCATTGAGCCATCGGATCGCGCCCACATCCTTCACTACCATTGCCAACCAGCTCAATCCACTGGGTGATTGTCATGCCTCAAAAGCCAACTACTTCACCCGCCTACGTGCTTGGCGTCGGACTGACCAAGTTCGTCAAGCCTCGCGGAAAGGTCGAATACACGGAACTGGGCTATGAAGCAGGAATCAAAGCTCTTCTGGACGCCCACATAACGTATGATGATGTCGACCAGGGGATTGCGTGCTATTGCTATGGCGACACCATGTGCGGACAGCGCGTATTCTACCAGTTTGGCATGACGGGTATCCCAATCTACAATCAGAATAGCAATTGTGCAACGGCATCCACAGGCATCGCCCTGGCGAGGAACTTCGTGTCTCATGGCATGGCCGACTGCGTGCTGGTCGTGGGTTTCGAGAAGATGAGCTCTGGCAGTCTCAAGTCATTCTTCCCAGACAGAACCAATCCGTTGGAGAGAAGCCTGGCAAAGTCATACGAGATAAGGCCTAGAAATGAATCACCATGGGCCGCCCAACTGTTTGCAAGTCTTGCCCAACATTATATCGACAAGTAAGTCCTCTTGAAAGCGAGCGCAGCTGCAAGATCTCGGTGCGTGAACAATCGTTGACTCGGACGCAGCTACGGAGCGGAGCCACGCGACTTTGCCGAGATCGCTCGGGTCAACCACGAGCATTCCCAACGGAATCCGTATTCGCAGTTCCAGGACGTCTACAGCCTTGAAGACGTGATGCATTCTCAGCTAGTTGACAGTCCGCTGACCAAACTACAATGCTGTCCCACGAGCGACGGCGGATCTGCGGCGGTCATCGTGTCTCAGGCGTTTCTCGACGCTCGGCCCGAGTTGAAGCTCAGGCGGTCCTCATCGCCGGTCAGGGAGTGGAGAGCGATCTCCCGGATGCCTTCAACGGCAACCCAGCAAGCCTGGTCGGTGGACCTATCATCGCGTCCCTCGCTCCTAAAGTCCTCAAGGAGGCAGGCATCAAATCGATCCACGACATCAAATTGATCGAGCTGCACGACTGTTTCTCGGCAGCGGAGATGATGACGATCGATGCCCTCGGGCTGTGTGAGCCTGGAAAGCCGCACGAGTACGTCCGCGCAGGCGACATCACGTACGGCGGCCGTACGCTCATCAATCCTTCGGGCGGTCTGTTGTCCAAAGGCCATCCACTGGGTGCCACAGGCATGGCGCAGTGCGCAGAGCTGGTCTGGCACCTACGTGGGTGGGCGAACAATCGTATGGTAGAAGGGACGAGCGCGGCCCTGGCCCAGAATTCTGGACTTGGGAGCACTGCAGTCATTACAGTCTATAAGCGCGCAGATGGCCAAGCCAGTAAGAAGGTCTCGGATGAGGAAGTTGCCCGTGTGACGGGGCTGGGGTATAACCCCGCCGTACTGGCGAAAGGTTTCACTGGGGAGCAAGCTGAGCGGGTTCGTTCGAAAAAGGCAAGGAGCGAGTGGGCTTTAGGAAGTACACACACTCGGGTTCAAGCAAGATTTTGAAGCGAGCAGCTTCTGAGCCACCGAAGATGTATCTCAGTATGTCATCTCTCTCCAATTCCATGGCCTAGGGCAAATCTCAAAGGGTGCACAGCCGATTGATTTTACGAATAAGGAGTGATGGCGAATCACATCGATACACCCTCAAGGCCCAAGGACTCAAACAATCCGGGTTGGAACCCGGCAACGGGGATTCCGAGAAGATCCACCGTTTCGTCCCAGAAAGTGGCATCAAAAGCGTAGCGTACATCCTGACTGGACTGGTGATTGTCGCCATAAGCTCGATTGCTTTCACCGTCCATAGCCCAGGAGGGACGCATGTTACCAGTCGTAGCCTCGGCATTCATGTCGTAGACCGTCTCTTGTGGATCAAGCGCATCTGGCGCAGGACGATTCACCACCCTCGCTGCGATATTTTCCTGCCGTTCTGTAGGTGGAGTCGCGCCTCGACTCGGCAGAGGATAGCCCCAGTTTGCGGACAGCCTCGAGATTTGATCGTCGAAGCCGTCCCCAATCCACTCGCGGCTGGCCATGTCGGGCCTGGAGACCTCGGAGAAGCGCCTCGCCTGCGCCAGGATCTTGCAAAAATCTGCTGAAAAGTCGGCTGAGTAGAAGTTTTCCCGCAGCTCGTTCATCAGGTGAGTACATTGCCCGAATGCCCGAAGTCCCGCGCGGTGCATCTGTTCTGACGCGCAGAATATGTCACAAGCATGGCTGACCGCGGCAGCCAACAGTGTGGCGAGAGATATTTGTGGCAGCAACCGAGCCAGATCAAGCTGGTGCAGTTCAATTGCAATGTCAGTGATCGCGTGGGCGGAATCCCGCACGATGCCCTGAGCCTTGTCCTGGAGAGCCGCGTCTGCTGAGAAGCTATCGCTTTGTGGCTTCACTGGCAACCAAGGCCGGTAAATCATGATGAAACACGTATGATATAGCATATGCAGGAATGATCGAAATACAACGAACGGCTCAAAGGCAGGTTCGCTTATATCGGGCGTGAGCTCTGTGTCTTGTAGCTCAGGAGGAAGAGAAGATCGCCAGGTCCGAAGATCCTGGTCCAGACGTTGCAAACCATCACGTGTGGTCTGGTTGGTGACGGGTAGTAGTACCATCTTTGAACTCTTGCCACCAGTGTCGGCCGATCTGCGACGATAAGCGCCCAGACGGTATTGTTTGGTGAAAATACTCCGTAAGTGGACCTGCAGTGTGCACTGAGCCACACTGGCCAGACGCAACAATCTATGTTTGAGTGGGGGCCAGTACCCGAATTGGGCTTCTGCATCTTCGGGCACGTCGCCCAACTCGAAATCGTCGACAGTGAGTGGCGGAATCTCTGGATCCAGAAATTGCAGTGCTAGAGGGCCTTTGAGACCCAAGGCACATTGTGCATCACGACTCACACAAGCCCACCAAATTCGTCTTGACATGCGGCGCTGGTAACTGCTCAGGTTCATGTCTGACATGTCTTGGTCGAGGCCCCCGCGACGTGCGAGTGACAAGGCGATCACAAGCCAGTGTGTCGAGTCTTTCTGATCATCGGGTGTATCGTACCAGTAAGTCATCATGGCAAGGGACTGTATGACGTAGAGGCGATTCTGTTCGTACTCCAACTCGTACAGTGCCTATGCAGATTGATCAGTGGTAGGCGTAGAAGATGACCATAACAAAGGGCGTACCTTGGTCTTCAAGTACAGTGCCCGTCTCGCCGCCTTGCGAGTGAGAAAGCCCAGCGCCCGGAGAGGCTTAATGTCGCAATGCGAGCTACCTGCAAACATGACCGATTGGAACAAGAGGAGGCTGACTCCATTCCCCAGGATATCGGGCTTCGTCACATCGTGCACAAACTGGGCGAGATCTAGCACTGGCATAGCTGGATGAACATACTCTGCATAGGCCTGCAAGAGGGCGTCTCGAAATTTGGGAGACGGAATCTCGAAACATCCTTGTCTCCGCAGATAGTCAATATCTTGTGGTCGCAGATGCTTTGGTACAGCCTTGATGTAGCTGGGAAGGGTTAAGTGTGTCGAAAAGGGCTCTAGAACACTGTCCTTCGTCCGTCGCGATGTCGCTGAGCCTGGGATCGGCGTAGAAGGAGCGGATGGATATGCTACAGGTCATGTTGTTAGAACGAACTATCTCTGGTGGTTCATGCACTTACGTTGGAGGTGACTGCTAGCCCCATGTGCCTCACTGTTGGCTCTGTTCGTTGGAACGTTGACATTGTTAGAGGTGCTTTCTTCGCCCAAGGACGCGTGACGGCCAGTTCGGGGGGCACTGTTCTCCTCTGGCGCCGCCAGTATGGCTGTCCCAACATCCTGCAGTGACTGATGCGGTGCGAGAAGAACATTTGATGACCGGTGTACTCTTCTGAGCAGCCCGTCAGCCGGAGGCGGGTGAGGGATGTCCTGACGTACTTTGATCGACTTCTCTTAGTGACGAAGCAGTCCAGCTTCTCCAGAATACATTGGTTGCAAGGGTATTGGGCTTCTACATCGCACCGAATCTTTCGCGACCGGCAGGAAGAGCAGGCTACGCGAGCCCTGCGCTTCAAAGGTCTAGTCGTTAGTAGAGTCGAATGTGCGGGCTGGGCAGCACCGTCCAGGCCTGGGACCGCCACGGTGCCGGGGCGAGGAGGCTGTTCCATGAGACAACCCACAATGGACAGCCAGGATGTTTGAGAGCTGGATTGTGTCGCTGACGAGGGGACCACAGGTTGCCGCAAGCGTGACGGTTGACAACTTGAAGTACATCGTGGAATATCCGGCCGGGCCGCGGGATGATTGTTAACTGGTCGAAATGATTTACCGCTATTTTCCAAGCTAAGGTTACCTTCCGTACTAGGGTATGTCATGAGTGCTGGCAGAGTGAGCAGAGCGGCGACATCCAAGTAGCCCAGAAATAGGTAGGTACCGCGCGATAAGTAGTACTTGTAATGGGAGGTGTGTATACCTTCTCCGGCACCCATCCTAGTGCATCTAAAGCCTTGCATGATTCATGTCGGAGCAGGTCTTACTGTCTAGCTTTCTAACAGATTCGACTCGGTTAGAACGAAATATGTTCCTTGGACCTGGCATTGAGCTACATGTACGAACTGCCGCCCCGAGGCTGCTAGCTGGGTCAGATGGCGTCTCATGGGTTTGCCGTGGCTATGTTGATGCCTCGTTCGCAGATCCCGGCATATACCTGCGACTGGTGGTCTGGTAAGGGTGCATCTTTCCCGGCAGACAACCGGGTAAGTTCGACACTGTGAATTTTGATCGCTCTTATTTCGTGCTGCGCTACGAGAGTATCAACAGACCAAATAATCAAGTTGCCCTGAGTTTGAGAGATTCCAGTTCGGACAGACATTCTGATTGACCATGCCGCACACTTCACGATGGTCAGTTGATATTCCGATAAAATATCTGCACTCTTTGTTGCTTGGAACTTCACAAGAACCTCTGCCAGACACGCTTGCCTTTGTCGATTGCGAAGACCCTGATAACCTTCATCTAACGTGGGCGGAATATAAACTATGGGCCAGGAGAATCGCTGCCGGCCTGCGAAGGGCTGGCCTCCTGAAAAATGACCGTGTCCTGGTCTACTCAGCAAACAACATTTTCTTTCCTGTCGTGTTCATGGGAATCATTCTCGCAGGGGGAATAGCGACCACAGCCAACCCCACTTATGTTGCACGAGAAGTTGCGTACCAGCTCACCGACTGTGAACCACGATTCTTGTTGGTAACGGAATCCAGCAGCGGTACCGCTTTGGAAGCGGCAAAGATGACCAAGTTCCCCCGGGACCATATCTATCTGTTTGACGACGGGCCACTTCTGGGCCGCAAACCGGACACAAACCGCTTCCGCCATTGGAGTGAGCTCATATCCAGCGTTGAAGTCGGAAAAAGCTTTTCCTGGAGGGAGGCAGAATCAAAGGAGGAGGTCGATGAGACGGTTGCCATTTTGTATTCTTCAGGTACGACAGGGGTACCCAAGGGAGTGGAGCTCACTCACTACGGACTGGTCGCAAACTGCGTCCAGATGGGCACACTTTGGGATCTCGACCAACGGCACTCAAGCACCAATCCAAAGGCAGAACGGCAGCGCATGCTCGGCATCCTACCCATGTATCATGGGTATGGCTTCTTGTGGTTCGGAACGCTGGCACCGTATCGTCGTGCCTCCAGTTACATTATGAAACGGTTCAACTTGAGAAACATGTTGCGGAACATTGAGCGATATAAAATCAGTGAGCTCACGCTGGCGCCCCCGGTTGTGGTCATGATGGCGAAGAGTCCAGATGCAAGGAGGTTTGATCTCTCCAGCGTACGAAAGGTGCAAGCAGGCGCTGCACCTCTATCACGAGAGATGTGTGTCGAGTTCGAAAGCCTCTGGCCTCCGGGTCAGATCAATGTAAAGCAGGGCTGGGGCATGACGGAGTAAGGCCTTCTGATTCAATCGACATAATCTGTTGTTGATATACCCACAGGGCACCGATATCGATACTGAATTGGGACGACCGAGAACTCGCGATGACCTCAGCAGTCGGTGAGCCGCTTCCAAATTGTGAGGTCAAGGTCATGGATGATGATGGCGTCTGGGAAGTGCCGCGAGGCCAGCGTGGCGAGCTATGGTGCAAGTCGCCCACGATGATGAAAGGTTATTGGCGCAAGCCCGAAGAGACTCGCGAGGTCATAATGCCTGATGGCTGGCTCCGAACCGGAGACATTGTCTATGAAGACAAAGACGGGAAGTATGTTGTGGTGGACCGGAAGAAGGTGAAGAGGCTATTTTCGTGTTACTGGAAGGATTGCTGCTGACCGTAAGCCCAGGAGTTGATCAAAGTCAAGGGAAACCAGGTTGCTCCCGCAGAGCTGGAAGGTGTTCTACTGGAGCACCCGGACATACAAGATGCTGCGGTCGTTGGCATCAAATGGCGAGAATCCCTTCCGGTGTGACGGTCGATTGACTTACGTTCAATAGTGGCGAGGACGAAGAGCCCCTAGGGTATCTTGTCCCAAGACCTGGCAGGAAGCTGATCGCCGAGCAGATCTTGAGCTATATGGCCGAAAAGACTTCCAAAATCAAGTGGATTACAGGAGGCATCATTCTTACCGATTCGATTCCTAAGAATCCGGTGAGTCAGTCTGGTTGCGACGACAGCTTTCAAGCGTCGGTATGGTTGAAGAGACTAACCTCGATCCACTACAGTCTGGTAAAATCCTTCGCCGCATGCTTCGAGATAGACTGGCAGATCCAGCAGAGAGGGCTAAAGCTCAGGGCGCCAGACTTGCTACACCGGTTCAGCCCACTGTCATGGCTCGACTTTAGAATATAACCAGATGTCGACGTGTCAGAGCAATAGAAAGGTCCTTCTGTCACAGATCGACGTCGGGTCACTTGCTTTGGCCTGATCACTCAAGGCAGATCGAGCAAGCCAAGGCACTAAGCTACAAGCAGCTAGCCTAATTTTCCCAAGAGAGATGTCTCTCTTGCGGGCCTGGAGAGATGAGCGTTTTCTCTAGCTCTAATGGTGACACCACGAACTCCTACAGCACCCTCCCTGGCCAGACAACTAATGAAGAATCGTTTCAGCGACTCATCAATCAAGTGTGGCTCATCTCAAACTTGCTGCCTCGATTTGCAAGACCATTCTGGTCTTCAGAGCCCGCCCTGACCTGGGATCTTAGAACCCAACGGACATATACACAGAATGCTTAGTATATGACCGGACAGCCTGCCGCTACGGAGCTCTCTAACACATTCGCCGGCAGCAAAGTAGCTTTATCGGTTTTGCAATCGTCAACATGCTTGCCTCCATACTATCAGGATCGAGAGACCAAATTCGGATCAATCGACGCTAACGCTTATAATTACATCGTATGTAGCTTGATGTACTCGGTTGGACGCGTCGAGTGGTAGAGGCCGTTTGGTCCGTTAGCTTTCTACATGTCTCAACATCCACTGTGATTGAGAGCCGGGCTCACTGCCCAATCCTTGAACACATCTCTTAAAGCTAACCGCGTTTGCCGACTTGTCCATTTGATATGATTGGCCTAACAGCCCGATTGGTGAGTTTTACCAACAGCAGTCAACGAAAGATCACATATCTAGTTGTTGTAGTAGGTTTACCTCGAGCGATGACAGACGTTCGAGCCCAGACTGTTGGCAACGTGGTCCTGCAAGGATGTCTCTGCGCTTTGAAGGCCAGACAGTGCTCGTGACCGGTGCTGGCCGTGGACTTGGCAGCGTCTTTGCGACGCAGTTTGCCGCGCGTGGGGCGCAGGTTGTTATTCACGATCAGAACGACGAGGTCAGAGCTACAGCCTGCTTACTTAGTTCTTCCCACCACCAAAACAGGACTGATCCCTACGCAGTGCTCGGTGAACGATATCGTTCAGAAAATACACGATGCCGGCGGCAAAGCTGTTGGGTGCGAGGCGGGACTGACGGCTGCTGCAGTCGTGGATACCGCCGTCAATACCTTCGGTCGTCTAGACGTCCTCGTCAACAATGCTGGCGTGGACTCAATGCCCACTTGGACGGACACGCAACTGTCAGATTGGGATTCTATGATCGCTGAAACCTTTGGGTCCTCGTATAGGGTGAGTAGAGCTCTTTATCAGATGCCCTAGACTCTCATCAAAATCAACGGACAGATCACAAAGGCAGCCTGGCCGGTGTTTCAAAAGCAGAAATATGGCCGGATCCTAAGCACAGGTACCATCCTGAACAGTGGAAGTTCCTATGCATCGCCGCTGCTGTCTAGTCTGTGTTCTCCTCGAGTTCGTCCTTTTCCTTCTCCTAACACATTCGCAGCGGCGACGTACGGTTTGCTTGGCTTCATTCAGACCATTGCATTGGAAGGCTCAAAGTACAATATACTGGCTTCGGTGCTTGCAACTCCTGACAAGGACAATGGCAGCAGTGAGGATCGCGAACATTGTATCTTGCAATCGGCAATGGCACTCGTGCACGCCACTAACAAGCAAGAAACTGGTCATTTATACCAGATTGTAGGACGGAGGCTCAGGAAACTGCGCTGGGAAGAGGCTTCCGGCTCGCTGTTGAACCCGGATCTCTCGCTGTCTATTGGTTCTCTTTTGAATACGTGGCAGCAAACTAACGATTTTTCAAGCCCAAGGTACTCACCAGGCTCGGGTCAGATCATCGATAAAGTAATGCAAGCTGTATGTCAAACGAAGAGGTTGGAGGCAGTCATCAAGGGCGAAGAGGTTCGTTTCGACGGGCAGGTTGCCCTTGTGACTGGGGCAGGTGCTGGGCAAGTCTCCGCCCATCCTGAGGCCAATAACAGGTCGCTGATATCGAGCACAGTCTTGGACGAGCATACGCTTTGTACCTCAGCAGCCTCGGAGCCACGGTGATCTTAAATGACGTGAAGGATCCTTCGCTTGTCGCCAAAGAAATTACTTGTGCTGGTGGAAAGGCTTATGTGCTGACAGGCTCCGTCAGCGAGGGAGAACGGATTGTTCGAGAAGCAATCAGAATGTGTGGTCATGTCGACATTGTCGTGAATAACGCTGGTTTCATACGTGACAAGTCCATTGCCAACATGACAGCCGATATGTGGGATTCCGTTGTGGACGTCCACTTGACCGGGACATTCAAGATCATTATGGCTATGTGGCCTCACTTTCTTCGTCAAGGCCACGGTAGGGTTGTGAACATTTCCAGTCCAGTGGGTATTTACGGAAATTTTGGGCAGTCAAACTATTCGCTTGCGGTGAGTGAGAATGGAGGTGCAGTCGTTGAGGCCCAGCAATACTAATTAAGTGTTGGGCAGAAATGTGGCATCATCGGGCTCTCGGAAGCCCTGGCACGCGAAGGCGCGCGTTACGATATCCTCATCAATACTGTAGCACCTGTTGCTTCGACGCCAGGGATGGCAACGGTCATTGCAGATAGCAGTCCTCTGGCTTTGCCTGAATACTGTGCTCCATTCGTGGCGTTGCTGTGCACCAAGGCCATTCCTGCTCCCACTACAGGCGGCGTATATCAGATTGGAGGAGGTTGGCACGCCAGAACTCGAATGCAGGCCAGTCACGGCATCGAAGCAATCTCAGAAAAAGGCACTCAGCCCCCAGACTGGCCAGGCAAGTTTGAACTTCTCTCGAAGTTTGCACATTCTGTCGCCTACCCCGAACAGGAGAACTGTGAGGACCAGTGGCCAGGCAAGCCCACCACAGTGGTAGCACCTTCAGGACGAGGACCACTAGACTTTAGTCAAAAAGTACTGTCCATCCATGGACTAAATCCGCTGACGGCCGAGTAGCAAGCAGGATAATGAATCAACGTTGGAAGCAAGTCTTTTCATTTTCCTTTCCAAGCGCTCTATCGTCTGCGAGGCCGCCGTATTGAGTGTTCTACATCCTCGCCCCGAATTTCCTTTAGTAGCTATTCCTACATAGCGTACTCATGAATCCCCGCAGGTCCCAATTCATTGTATTCCGTCCGACTCATGAAGCCTTTATTTGAACCGCCGTCCACCATGAAAATGACCTTACCCGCCACCTGCGCACCCAGAAACGCAGCTTCCTCCATTCCCGAGACTGATGCATGCTTCCACTCGGGAAAGTAGTCTGGTACTTTGACTGTCTTAATGGTAGTAGGCGACTGGCTGAAGCCACGGTGATGTTGCGCCATGTGTTGGTCTGGTGTGGGCGTCGCTACACCCGGTACTTGAAGATGATGTGGTGTCATGTTTGGATGCATGACGTTCCGAGTCGCTGCGACAAGCAGTGGGTTCACGCCATGGCCGCCGGGGTGATGCATCGGGTGGCCGGGTTGGCCTGGCACTGGTGTGTTTGTGCCAGGTGTTGCGACGGGTGTGGTGAAATTTGAAGGCAGCTCGGAGGTGAATATTGTCGCCGTTGAGGGTGAGAGGGTATATCGCGCTTGCAGTAGCGTTAAAAGTGCTTCTCGAAATCCTGCTCATCGTTAGCATCGATCTGTACATGTGGAATGAGGAAGAAGCATACCTCGTACGCGACTGCCGTTTCCAAGCAGTATCACACTCTCCCAGAGACCCGATCGTAAGGTGACATCGGGCACACCGAGCACTGTGGCATGAGCTGCAGCACATATCGTGTCAAAAATGCCTTCAGTATGACCCTCCGCAGGAGTCGCAGCCATAAATCGCTCGGTGCCAATCTCAATCTCACGTTTCCGCTTCCGTGAGCCATCCGGACCAGCTGTTCCATAAGGCAGTAACTCGTCGTACGTGAAGGTGGCCTTTTCGCGCTCAGCATTCCGTAGTCGGACTGGCCGAAGTGCTTCAGTTGTGGCACCTTTCTTCGCGGCAGCTTTGGCCGCCTTTTCTGCTTCTCGCTTGGCCAAAACTTCTGCAGCGTTGCTTTGAGCCACGATTGCAGCCACGTCTAGAACTCCCTCGTTGTCGTCTTCGTTCTCACCTTCCTCGCCGACCACTGTCCCGTTTCCTGGTCCACTTGGTGCTTCGCCCGGCCGAGCACCCTCGGCGTCCTTCGCATCCACACCAGAATCGACGGCACCAGTGCTCGCAGCAGCAGCAGGATTAGGGACTTCTCCATTTGTCGCCGTTGCCGCAACCGCTACCGCAGCGGCAGGTTTGCCGGTTGGAAGTGCCGCGCCAGGGGTCAATATCTCGCAAACGGCGCTTCTCTTCAGGGCTTCCGCCATAGGCTCGTCGCACGAGATACCGTTCTGCGTCAAGGCCTCTTGCAATCGTTTCGTCATCGCGCGCCCACCACAGCCTGACAATGCCACGCCTCGCCCAGCCTCATTGACTGTGAAGTCCGTGACCGCAGAGACGTCGCACTTGTCGAGCCCGACATCGATGACCAGGCCACTCGGAATACCATACGCATAACACGCAGCCAGCGCCGAGTCCATCATGCAGAATGCAGGTATCCTGTGGTCCTGGAAGAAATACTGTGTAATCATCTCCTTGTCTCGCGCTGTCCAGCATGGCTGTGATATGACAATCAAGGGCGACACAAAATGCGGGCCCATGGTCTTCCATATATGCGAGAGCAACGCGAAAAAGCACGGCCAATTCTCGACACGACCCTCCACGATTGGATAAACAGCGCCCTCCTCGGAGTAGGGATCATCCTCGTACTCAACTTCATCTTCTTGTGTCGTGGTCGGCTGCTCAGTCTCGGTTTCCGGCGCATTGTCTGTGCCGTTAGTAGGCTGTGCTGCTGCATCGCTTCCTGCTGCGGGCGCTTCAGACATTTCGACATCGGCGCTGGTAGGCACAGGCGCATCAGCTGCAGTCGACTCGCCGTTGACCACGACGCTCCCGGTATCGGCGACACCATTGGTATGAGCCGGTTTGTGCACTTCCGCCGCCTTCACCTTCGGTCGCGTTTCAATTCGGATGGGTTCCCATTCTCCAGGTCTCAGTCCAGGGAACATGCGTGTCGCAAAACGGCGCTGCGGCGGCGTGAAACTCTCGGGGAGACCGAGCTGAACATTTGTGTATTTCGAGCCTGGCGCAATGATCTGATCAACATGGTATGTCAGTAAGTCCTCGTAGACGAGCGTGTTCAGATCATGCACAAGAATTGTGGTGTAGTTGGCAGGGTTGATGGTTTACGTACGAAGACCCATTCATCTTTAAAAGGAGGCATTGTGCAGGACAAGCCTGCCGCGCACAAGTGACGACAGGACAGGCAGGAGACTCGGAGTCCAGCAACGTGCAATCACGAGTACCGCTGTTTGAAGTATTCACTCGGCATTCGAATCTGAGTCCGCGTCGCAGGAACGCGCAAACAACGCTGTCACTGCAATAGAGTGCGCGAGGGGGCTTCGTGCCCCCCCCTACAATTTCTCCCGGCCAATATTGCGCAACATCGTAGCTATGATCACTTCTATACACTCCATGAGCAAGACACGCTCGTGAGAGACTTAAGAACAGTGGTATACTTTTGGAATGAATGTATTCCTATGGACTGGAGCCTGGTATTCCTGTGGCAAAAGTTGTGTGATAAATCATGGTTTGAGAATTCGACATTTCTGCCTCCATACCAACGACGAGAAAGACGATGATCGGGCGGCGCCGAAGGTCCTGCCCAGGCGAAGTTGCTTCAGGCACGGCCGCGCTGCGCAGTGCGTTGTTAGTCGCAGCCAGCCTGAGGTGGCGCGACGAGTACACATTGCGAAACAGCAGCTCAGCGAGAAGGTCCTTTGCCAAAAGGTAGGGATCTTCTGGTGATGATCACTTCTGCCTCAGCGGAACGTAAATCATCAGGCCGCAAACCCTATCAGTGTTTTCAAAACGAATTGAGCCACTTATCCCACTCAATGCCAACCTGCTCACCGGAGAACGGTGGAGCTATGAGTCCCATGGGAAGGTAATCGTCCTGTCTTCCGGGGACAATGGATTCACCGTATCCTGAGTCCAAGGCTCTCCAAGATTGGGATCCTCCGAAGGATTCCTCAAACTGACCATGGGTCCCGGTGCTTCCGACACGTGCATCTGGAAGTCCGTGTCCAAGTTGGACGCCGGCAATTGCCGCAACTGTGCCTGAAACATGTTCGGCTGATATCGCGGACGTTGATGGGACTTGGTGACGCCCTCTGAGCTGCTCTGCTGGCGATCCAATTCTGCTGATTGGAGTGGCTCAGAGGGGTCGGGAAACGGGGTTGGAGGAGTGTCGTCGTCGTCGTCGGGTGTCGTTGGATCGAGATCTGGGGTTGGATGTTCATCGTCATTAAACTCCATTGGGGTGGGAGCGTCTGGTGATAGGAATGGAGGGGTCTCCGTTGAATCATTGGTCGAATTCATGCCCGAGGAGGACGATTCGTGTGGCATGTTTCGTTCGTTGTCCTCCATGTATGAGGACGATGCCGTCGAGTAGGCCACTGGATCCACCGACATCTGGAAAGAATATCCGTCGTCGGCTGGCTTGAGGATTCCATACGAGGCCCGATAGCGCCTGAGCTCAGTGCGCAGGCGTTCGTTCTCTAGGCGAAGTGCCTCGACCTCTGTATTCTTCTTCTCCCTGGATTTTTGGGCAGCTCTTCGGTTTCGCAGGACGCGTTCCTTCTTGCGCTGCTCCTTCTCTGCTTCCGTCTTGGCTCGCTTTCCAGGTCCGATGACAATTGGACCTAGTTCAACGGGCTTGCCCCATCCGGTGGTGTTCTTCTTAGTGACACGTGGCATGATGGTGACGTCCTGGTAAGGTTAGAACCGCTCGGGAGGTTTCCTGGATACCTTTGAGCTACGTACAGTATTCGATGCTGATAATGCCACCTCAAGATTCTTCGCAGGGCAGTAAAGGCCTGTGTAAATGTGATCAGGTGGGTAGCGAAAGGACTGCGTAGACAATAATATTGGCGATGTGTTCGATAGATGATGCAGGCTAGAGTAGTGCGGAAGTGAGAGTTGTGGCTCCCATCGTGAGGATGGGAAGGCTTCTATAGAGAAGAGAAGAGTTGTCCTTTCCTGCTTTTTGGGATACTCGGTTTTGTTGTGGTGTGTTTATGTAGTAGGAAGGAAGGAGAGGGTCGTGGAACAAGGGCGAAGCACAGCCCGAAATCAGCAAGGGGGCGGATTAACCTGTCAGCCTAAAACTCGAGTCATACCAGCCCCACAAAAATATGGGCAACCAATAACGAATAAGAAATTGTGTTGTGAAGGTGCAGCTGCAGTGAGGTACCATATTTCTCCTGTGCCGCTGAGCAGGATATACTATGAATTGTTTAGGTCTGTTATGAACGCATACTATGATGTAGCACTAGGAAGCCCCTTCGCAAGGCTACAAATTGCTCGTTCCGTCTCTCTGAGCAGCTCCTACCGGAAGCTGACCCTGGGTTCGACGATGGCCTTCAGTTCAGCTTGGTATCAGCCTGATTCAGGGTGACCCCGTAGACACGCTCACGAGATTTCCATGCCATACAAGCGGGAAATGGTCGATGATCCACAGCTGCCAGGACGGAACATCCTATCCAGTGCTCGATTGCTGCTCAATCGCGTATAATGTCCTATGAGCTGCACTTGCGTTTTGCCTGATGCCTGAGCAATTGAGCTGTGTCGAGCTGATTCTGCGATGAGCATGTTGCGCTTCCGTGCAACAGGCGCAGGTGTATGGACTGCCAGTGATCCCTTCAGACCAAGCCAATTCGACCAAGTCCACTTTGATGGGCTCCGATTACCTCTGGAAGCTCACCATCGAACTGTTCGGCTCCTGGCAATCGCATGATCAAAATTCCGTGGTTCCATCCCGCCCGGGATCTCTTGGTCTCCGACCGTGACGTTCTGGTGAAGCGCGTCGCAATAGCCGCCTCAGCTGAGCCTCGCTTTGATGACTTACCCAGGCAATGATCCTAAAAGCGGCGCATGTAATGAGCTTGAGAGTACGCGCTTCTTCATCCACTGCTCGTCGCCCCATAGCTGCTCCTGATAGACTTCATCGACCATATCGCTGACGAAGTCTTCCACAATCTGTTCGTCATAGCGCACTCCAATTGGTCGACACGCTGGTCGCGCAGGACCGTCCTGATGCCCGTACCACCATGGACCATCAAATTTGCATTCTACTGCGCCGCCTGTGTAGTGGCTGATTGCGGGATAGTAGCCGAGGAGGCCATCGTCGATGTTGCCGTCCATGAGACTGGTGCGGCTGCTCTTCTCTATCGTGGATGCGGGCGGTAGAAATGCAAAGAGGTGTTCCCAAACTATGCCGTGGTACTTCCCGTTTACCCATAATTCTATCTTGCTGCCTGGAAGAGTCCTCAAATGTGGAAGCTCGTGGTTGGGGTGCGGGTCAGTCGTGAGATCGTACCTCTTGCCCGTTTCTGGGTTGACTGATTTGCTCTTCGCGTTGAGCGTCGGTCGACTCAAGTCTGGATGCGGTGTGTAGTCGGGGCACTCGTAGTATGCCAGGCCCTTGAAGAGGAAAGGATTTCGGTCCCGAATGATGTCTTGATCGGGCACATCGGAAGCAGCAGGGCTCAGGTCGCTCCTGAGATACGCTCGCGATGCTCTACCGCTGTCGTCTTTGTGTCGATGCGGCTCTGTGTCCTTGTCTTTCGACTTGGTAGGGGCTTTTGAGGTCTTCTTAGCCCCAGTGCCTTTCTTCGACTTGATTACTGCAGGACCGCATTTCAGGTGTGGATAGTCTGCAGAGTTAAACGTGCCTTCCATAACCTTCTGTTGTACTTCGAGAGGCGGTAGGGTAATCATCAGCCCGACAACATCTCCAGGCACTAGATCTCCGGGATCACTGGCGCCCTCTCCAGATAAGTGGTGCATTGCGGTGTTGAAGCGAACATTGCCATACTCGCGGCCAGTTCCACAGCGACATACGACAGCATAGCTGTAAGCATTACCGCCCATGGTCTCGCTCCAATGATGTTCTCTTCTGCAGAATCCGACTCTGATTCCACCTCGGTTTGTACTTGACTTTTCCTGCTGTTGAGTGTTGGCTAGTGCTGCATCTGGTCTCTCGCGTCCTGGAGGCGCCTGTGATGTGATCTTCGCCTCGAAAAAGAATTGTCCTTCTCGGGCGAAGACGTTTGCTCTGGTGGAATAGCTGCCCATCTCGCCGGTCTTGCCTAGCATGTCTCGCGTGAAACAATTCTTGAGACCCTCTACAGCACATTGCGGATGATTTTCGTCGCTCAGTCGGGCAAAATGGGGACTCGCTTCGGCGGTATGGAAATACATGGTTTGAGGATCTCGCTTTGTTCGAAGATAGATGCGCTTCTCCTTGCCCTCCAGATGGGTTCCCAATTGAAAGAACTCTATCCTCTCGCCATCGAGACCGACTTTGCTGTGGTCGTAGAGTTTTGTAAGCTCTGGTGGGTCGAGAAGCAGTTTGGCGTCATTCGGCGCAATATACGTGGGTATGATGACCTTGTTGTTCTCGTCGCTCTTTTCTGTTTTCGCGCCTGGCACATGCTCGCGGACTTTGTCGGTCGGGATCTTCTGGCGATGGCCTCGACCGGCCAATGTGCTGTCGTCCATGACGCACTATCAAGTCAAATGCAGTCCACCACGATTCAGAGTGCATGCAAGATGTGGCTGTCTCCAGAGAGATCAGACGCGGGCTCAGGTTTGGCGACCGCGACGGACAATTGAAATAAGCTTTAGTTAGGGCCATCCGAGATCTGGGGCAGCGGCTATCATCTCCGGGTGAAGGCGAAGGCGATCGCGATGACGAAGCGGCCGCAGATTATTCGAGAACAATTAGTACCAGCACGCTCAGCGTGGTCTTGAGGTACTTCCTTGTGTTGATCTTTGCTATTGCCCTGAGCCCATCGTCATGGCCTGTCACACACTCTACTATCTAAAAGAACAACATCGGAGATGGCATCGCCTGAGTCGCATGCCTTGAAATGGTCAGAGCAGCTCGTGCTCGCCCCGTCGCGAAAACGACTGGTCGGCGATAAAATCGCATTGCCGCAATCTGCCCTCGAAGCCCTTCTGGCTGCTGCACCAGTTGTCCAGGTAGAACATGGAGGAAACCGCAACTTGACATCAACCTTCGATCCCTTCAATCAATTCTCATTTGCTGCCGAAGTGCGTGCAAGAGAAGCATTTGCAGAGCGACAGCAGCAACTCCCACACCCTCTCACTTTCCGATTAGTCAACCCCAGCAATGGGCAGGCAGTATATGCTGGTATCAGGGAGTTCTCGGCTCACGATGGGACGGTCGAACTGAGCGCCTTCCTCAGGTCCGCCCTTGGCTTTGACCTTGATGCATCCGAGCAGCCAACAAGAGAAGCTACACCTGATCGGGATGTCACCATGTCGAACGGCGTGGGTGACAAGGCCACGACAGTCACGGTCCACGCGCAGCAGTTGCCGAAAGGCACGTATGTCCGACTGAGACCTTTGGAAGCCGGCTATGATCCCGAGGACTGGAAATCGTTACTTGAGCGATACCTGCGAGACACCCACACTACTCTCACCCTAAACGAGATTCTAGATATCAAGGGAGCAAGACACGAGCATTTCAGGTTCCTGGTAGATAAGTTCGAGCCCGAGGGAGATGGTATCTGCATCGTTGACACTGATCTGGAAGTTGATATAGAGGCGCTGAATGAAGAGCAGGCAAGAGAGACATTGGAACGGCGCTTGGCGAAAGCGCGTCGAGCGCCTGGAACTGAGCATGGGAGCTCATCTGGACGCACCATCGAGCCCGGTGTTGTCGTTGAGGGCCAGGTCTTGCCTGGAGAGTATGTCGACTATCGACTGGAGACGTGGGATCGGAGTCGAGATCTACAGATCTTCTTGGAAAGCGACAAAGAAAGTGTCACCATTCCTGATGTCCTCATAACTCCATCCTCGAGTCATCAGCGATCGCTCCCTCGAGAAGACGAATTCGTCTTTGCGGATCTAAGCAATGCGGCTAAGAAGAGTATCATTATAAGATCAACCAATGCGGAGCTGGAGAACGCCGAAGCCTTGACCATAAGCACACATGCCTGGAAAGGCCCGAATGTGTCACAAGATCAAGCCATCGCTTTCTCGCTGCGCGTAGAGTATGCTGGATCCTCGACCGAAGTTACTTCTGGCGCCGCAGAACTATCGCCGGATGAGACGATCTGCAAAAACTGTCGGCAGAAGATACCAAAGCGAACACTTCCTCTACACGAAGCTTTCTGCTATCGCAATAATGTGGTCTGCCAAATATGCTCGAACGTCTATCTCAAGCACTCGGATTCGTGGAAAAACCACTGGCACTGCCCACACGACAACGAATTTGCTGATTCAGATGTTGGGAAGGACAAACACAACGCATTGTTCCATCCGCCAACGCCACTGAAATGTCCAGGCTGCGAGTTCGAGGCCTACGACGCAACAATATTGGCGCAACACCGCACATCGACATGTCCAGAAAAGGTGATACTTTGCCAGTTCTGTCACGTGGAAGTTCCACAACAAGGTCCGGACGACCCCTCATTCACAGATGCAGAGGTTCTGATGTCCGGTCTGACACCTCACGAGCTGGCGGATGGTGCGCGCACAACCGAGTGCCACATATGTTCTCGCATCGTGCGGCTTCGGGATATGCGTACGCACCTCGCGCTACATGACAGAGAGCGGCTATCGCGACCAGAACCCAAGGTCTGCATCAACGAGATGTGCTCACGAACAATCGCACCGGGAGACGAGTTACGTGCTGTCCGGGAACAGCTTGGCTTGTGCAACACCTGCTTTGGTCCGCTGTACAACAGCGTCCACGATCCGGAAGGCAAAGCCCTCCGCCGCCGCATTGAGCGGAGACTATTGCAGCAGCTCATGGGCGGGTGTGGGAAGGCCTGGTGTCAAAACCACGCGTGGTGTCGGACAGGCCACAAAAACGTGACTGGCGATGAGCGCATCTACTCCGCAAAAGATGCTCTGCCGGTCGTCAGGCCAGTCATGGAGCGACTGAATCAGGACAAAGAAGCAAGGACCGTGGCCTTCTGTGTAGACGAGTCACAGCAGAGGCGAACGGTGCTGGTGAACTTCTTGTCTAATGAGGAGTCTGCATATTCTCGTGGGTGGATTGCAAAAGCAGTGGAGGAGACAAAGGGCGATCCTAGCTCTGCGGAGTCGTGGCTCAAGGAGCGTGCGCCGACGATACAGGAGAGCAGATGATATCATGACAATATAATAGACGATCATCTTTCAACATCAAGCGCAGAACCTAACAATTGTCATGTGTCTGTATGAGCACTTATATTTGGAAATCGAGTTGCCGTAACCACGTTATGTCGAGTCAACAGTGACGTGTTTTTGGTGCCCAGTAGCTGTCCGCGGCGCCGAATACTGTATATGCTGCTCAAGCTCAGAGAATGTGCGAGAAAGAAGGCTGAGAAGGATCAAGCCGTCAATCTAGGTAGACGGAAGTTGGTTGTCAACCGGCTCAAAGATAAAGCCCTTGTCATCCGGCTTGATGTTCGCCTTTCCTGCAAGGCGTCTCCTTCTCTTATCACACGTGGTCCCACTTCTCAAACATTTGTTTCAATTAAAGAATGCATGTCATTGCATTCCTGCGGCTGTTTGCAATGCTGTGAGAAGATGCTCGCTCTCGTCGTCGATGAGCTCAGGGGCTGTGTTCACGTATCACGTAAATGATTCCTCAGCAGTGTGCTTTGATTCCATAAACTACCTGCAAATGCCTTCAACGTCTGGTGCTAAGCAATCATAAAGGTGAGCAGCCGCCGCTCATCACAAAGCGGTTGTCGCTCGACGATGCTGGCTTCGCCAAAGACATTCCGGTGGCATCATCGGTACCTATACTAATCTCAGCCTGAGTTGCCTTTCAACACATTGGACGCTGAAGCCTCCAGCCACGCCTTCCGACTATGGCATGATCTCCGGAGCTCGGGCAGCATTCATGGCCGGTGAGCAGGCATAGCGCCAGCTGTTCGGCAGCCTATGCTGTCATTATGATGGATTAGATACTGTCGTAGCGTCCGTCGCGTTCCGAAGACGGCGGCGAAGCAGTGCAGACATGTCCTGTGCGCTCTAAACCCAAGCAAGCGAGGTTGCGTATTCCATACGCGCGCGAGGTCTGCGGTCAACAAGGCGACGCTACCAGCCAGGCTCATGTCCATCGAGTTGAGGAATCATGCTGTTGTCAACGTGGAAGATTTCGACGCTGCAGCATAAGTATCGGCTGTCCATGCAGTCGAGCACTTCTCATCATCTCAACAGCCTACCAACCGTGCCTGACGTTGCCCAACCTTTCAAGATGCAGCCAATCTTAGCATTGAGTTTCCTCCTCCCACTGCTCGCGCAAGCAAGCCCTGTCAACACTCACAAGGTTTGCACTGAGCACACGCTCAGTGTGGATGTGACGACGAACAATCTCAAATGGAATTTTCCCGCCCTCAAAACCGAGGATGATATTGCAGCCCTCAACACCTACATGGGTCGGCGAGATGCCAAGTCTTTACCTCCGTTGCTACTTCCATCCGAGGAACCTCTTACGAACGCTACCTACACAATCTCTGGCACGCTATGCAAGCCCGCGAAGGGAGCGTCCGATACGCTGCTTATAGCTACACACGGTGGTGGGTATAACAGAGCGTCGGTGAGCCCATCCGGATTAATTGAACATGCTGATCAGAAGTGACAGTCACTGGCATCCCGCCATCAAGCCTGAGCAGTACAGCTTCGTGGACTTCGCTCTAAACAAAGGCTACTCCATCTTCTACTATGATCGAGTGTCGACAGGTAAATCACAGGTCGTGCCGGGAATCTTTGCGTCCGTCTACAATCAGGCCCACATCCTCGCAGGGATAATCAAGCAGGTCAAAGGGGGTAGCTGCCTCAGCCCGCGTCATCGAAAATCGTTGTCGTTGGCCACAGTGTCGGCAGCGGCGTTTCGAACGGCCTGTTAGCGATCAACCCGGAGCTTACTGATGCTGCCGTCCTCACTGGTGTCAGCTACTATGGCCTGGACAGTGCGGCAACGATGCAGTCCAAACAGAGTCGGATTGCAAACCTAGTGAATCCGAAGAAATGGGGCCACTTGGATTCGTTCTATACATCTTGGGTCGACAAGTGGTCTAATGCAGAAGCGTACGTGTATCTACCTGCCCAGGCGGCCTCTGAATTATGACTGACCGGAGAACAGGTTCTTCAAGTTTCCATACTACGAGCCAGATGTTCTTCAATACGCAGAAGACACGAAAGAGCCGGCCAGCTTCGTTGAGACGCTGTCGGTGCGTAACTCGAACTTCTCTTCTCCCGGGTTCACCGGGCCGGTTTTAGTGCTAGATGGACAGTGCGACTTCGTCGCGTGTGGCGGCCTGTGTCCTGGCGCTTTCGAGAATGGGACAGAAAAGATCTTCCCTAACGCGAAGAAGGTCGTCACCTACTCGCACCCCAATTCCGGACACAGTTTCAATCTGGCGCCGAATGCTACCGCGGCTTTCGAGGTCATCACCGACTTCTTGCAAGACAACGGCTTCTAGAGTTTCTGAGGCGCAGGATGAGCTACTGCGATCAAAACTGAAGACGTCCTGGCGTGGCGTCAACTGTCTGGGAGGGCTGTCACTTGAATAGAATAGATATACTTAGATAGTCAAAACGCGAATTCTTTCCCCGCGTTCCATCGTCTAAACTCATGCGCTTCGCGAGACCACTCGTCGACAGAAAGACACAATAGTGCCGATCTCCCAGTAGTGTTTAGCGGGAGAAATAGTAGCTCGTCAACCGGTATCTCTAGTGGCCTTCAAAGCCAGTCAACCGGCGTCAATGAAACCTCGGACGTCATAGCCTTCTGTGCCGTATTATGCCAGTATAATGCAGTGCACGCCACGATCATGAAACTCCATTCACGATAGACCGCAGCGTCCATCCTACCAGCGCTGCTCTCCTACTTGGCCTAGTATGCAGACTGACAGAGCACAATGAGCTCATCATAGGCATTGGCCGCGCATGCAGCAGACGCGCAATTCACAGCGCGCCTCAACAGTCTGTTCGATCGTTCCCATGGCCCCGGCCGGGCCCCTCCGTGTCAACATGGACTTCGAAATACAGATACAAAGACTCGCGGCAGAGGCCGCGGGCCATACTGCTTGCTGCTGCTGCGCTATCTCCGGCGGCGTTCGTGGAATTGAGCGAGGAGGACCCTGCTGGTGACGAGACACATGAGAAGCACATGCTTGCCGCGTCGAGAAAAGAGATCAGTAAAGAAGTGCCGAAGGAAGTCCATGGGATCAAGAGAGTGTACAAGACTATCATATATGTTCTAGACCAGTATGTCTACGAGCCCATCGCCACAGGACTACGGTTCCTGCACCTGGCCTTGATATTCGTCCCGGTTATGGCTTCTGTGCCCATTATATGGATTGGCCGGCGCAAGAAGGACAGGGACAACGAGCGCTCGGGGACTCTCTGGTGGTACTCGTTCTTGGTCTCAGCCATGGAACGCGCTGGGCCTGCGTTCATCAAGCTGGGTCAGTGGGCAGCATCTCGTTCGGACATCTTCCCAGCCCAAATGTGCAAGGTCATGTCGGAGTTGCACTCGAATGCGCCCGCCCACTCGCTTCAGCATTCGATTAGGACGATCTCAGCAGCCTTTGGTGGCCTTCCGTTCGAGGAGATATTCGAGGAGTTCCAGGAGAAGCCGTTGGGTGTTGGTGCTATCGCGCAGGTGTACAAGGCACGATTGAAGCCAAACATTGCGTTACCAGACGACAGTGATCTCGATGCTGGCTCGTCAGAGCGACTGCTCAGTCGGGTAAGGAGGAATGTAGACGCGCTTGCAAAGTCGTCGCCTGCGAGAGTTCCTTCGTCTTATGTTGCGATCAAGGTACTGCATCCGAAGGTCGAGAGGACTGTGCGGCGAGATCTCAAGATCATGGGTGTCTTCGCTGCTATCATCAACGCGATACCCACGCTGGAGTGGCTGGATCTTCCAAACGAAGTGGACAACTTCGGAGAGATGATGCGACTACAGCTAGATCTACGCATCGAGGCAGCCAATCTGACAATATTCCGGAAGCAATTCCAGAAGCGGACCACGGCCTGGTTCCCATACCCATACTCTGACTTTACGACAAGACAAGTGCTAGTCGAAGAGTTCGCCCAGGGCATTCCTTTATCTGCCTTCCTCGAGTCTGGTGGCGGAGTCTTCCAGAAAGAGATCGCAGATGAAGGACTAGACGCCTTCTTGCACATGCTCCTCATCGACAACTTCGTACATGCCGATCTACATCCCGGCAACATCATGGTTCGCTTTTACAAGCCAGTCAAACCAGACGTGCGTCTACCTTACACGAGTAAACAGGATCCGTCTCGGCCTTCGTCACCAGATGAGATTGACGAGACCGAGGCTGTGCTGTCTCGTCTGAGGCCACACATGGGAAAGCAGCCCGACTGGGATAAGACTCTTGCACAGATCGATCAGGAGGGATACCGACCTCAGCTGATCTTCATTGACACCGGCTTGGTCACAGAGCTGAACAACGACAACAGAAAGAACTTCTTAGACCTCTTCCGTGCGGTAGCTGAGTTCGACGGCTACAAGGCCGGACACCTGATGATCGAGCGCTGTAGGTCACCAGACGCCGTCGTTAACGGCGAGGTCTTTGCCCTGCGCATGCAGCACCTTGTCATCGGCGTGAAAGGCCGGACCTTCGCACTGGGAAACATCAAGATCGGCGACGTGCTCTCAGAGGTTCTCTCCATGGTCCGCGACCATCACGTACGAATGGAGGGTGACTTCGTCAACGTGGTCATTTCGATCCTTCTGCTCGAGGGCATTGGGCGGAGCCTCGACCCGAATCTAGACTTGTTCAAGAGCGCGCTCCCGATTCTGCGGCAGATTGGAACCGCAGATCCGAAGGCCGTGCTGAAGAGCTTTAAGACAGGGGACTTCTCGATGCTGAAGATCTGGATTGGACTGGAGGGCAGGCGGTTCTTGCAAGCTTCGGCTGAGTCTGTTGAGCGGTGTGTGAAGAGCGACTTGCTGAGTCCGAATGTGTAGGCAGCTATATTTTGATCGAAACGGTCCGTGCTGGGCAATAGATCGTGCAATGCAGCCACTTCTCACCTTTCACCTCAATCTGACTTTCGCGGGCACTGCGGACATCCACGTTATCGATCGTCAAACCAGATATCTCTGATACTGCGGCGCCAGCGGCTCGGCCTCAGGAACTCGCTCAAGATGCGGTCGAGACCCTACACAAGGGGCATCGGTCTCACGTGTATCAGCCAAAGATCAACTTCCCGAGAAACGTACGTCGAAATACAATTGGCAACCCTGACTGGTAGCTGCGGGAGAATGGACACCGATACATGCACTATCATGCATGCTGTCTCATGTTCCTCGAAGTGGGCTCGGTCAACTTCCTAGCAGCATATCTGTGCCGTCGGCACGTCTCACAAACGCCGCGTCAACGGGTCGCCCATGTGATGTCTCCGTAAGATTGACTGCGCTCTCGAAAGGGACACGAAAGGGCATTCTCACCCTGTGGTTAGCCAGCCTGCCGGGTACGGCACCGACAGCCGACGCCAGTGTAGAGTTACCGATGTCAGATTCCAGCCCTGTTCCGGGCAAAGCTTTCTCCGGGGCAGAATGCTCCTGGTGGACAACTTGCAAGCCATTCGACAAATGGGCTGATTTCTGTGGCAAATGGTGTTTATCCGAGCCTCATCATCCATAGGCGAGAACAAGCAATTTGGCGGGGTGGTCTTGGAGACTCTTGGTGAGCTTATGGAGTCTTGCTGAGCGTGGAGTTAATGCTACTGGCCGAGCGGGATTGTGCCGCCTCTGAGCCAAGGACGCTTAAGCTAGGGGAAGACCAGGTCCTTTCACACCTCTACCCGCACTGCGGGCATTCCAACTGGTTGACTGTCAGCTCGATGATGCTTTTCTCGGGCTGGCAACACAGCTCTAGCTCACAAGACCACAGCTGGCGTTCGCTATGCCTGCCGCGTGCCTGTCTACGAGGGGCAACTGGTGTAAACACCCCAGTGAACCCCGGCTTCGAACCCCAAACTGTTCTCCGGTCCACACGTCATCAGACTTTTCCCGCGGTGTCGCTAGTCTCCATACTACCACATCGCCTCGGAGTGAACTCTCGTCCCGCTTAATCGTAAGGAGTGGCGATCGACTTGTGATATCACTTCGCCCTCTGCCGCTCTTTCGCGTAGTGTTCTTCTCAGGCCTGCTCACCACGTGGTTTCTGTCAATTTTGCCTGCATCTCGAACCACACCACGCCGTTCCTCACCATGGCTGAAATTAACAAGGACACCGAAGATGGCCGTCGAGCATCTTTGAGAGATCAGGACCTCTTGGAAGACAAGGGAACCTTAACCCACGAAGAGGTTATGAAGCTCACCGAATTGACTGAGGAGGAGTTGGCCATTGAGAAGAAGCTCAAGCGACGCATTGACTTTAGTAAGTACTCGAGCAAATTCACATCAGAATTGGAGCAGGGAAACGAGTATTGGCTTGATTGAGAGCACACAGGCCGGCGCAACGCACCATTGCCAGTGCTTCTCTGCAACTGTCTACTTCACGTCCCTGTCCCAAAGACAATGCTGACGAAGGGTCTTCTCAGCTATCATGCCGCTCGTTGTCCTAGTCTACCTCATGAATTACATCGATCGCAACAACTACGCCGCCGCCCGTCTGCAAGGCCTCGAAGCCGATCTCAACCTCAAGGCGGAAGAGTACCAGACAGCATTGAGTATTCTCTTCGTTGGATACATTCTCGGACAAGTACCATCGAACCTCCTCCTGAATCACCTCGGGCGGCCCTCGATCTACCTGGGCTTCTTCACCACGGCTTGGGGTCTGGTGTCTGCCTTGACATGTCTGGTCACATCCTATGGTGGAATTGTGGCTGCTAGGTAAGCAGGATCTGATTCTGGATGGGGACAGTCACTAATGTCCGGCTTAGATTCGTTCTTGGTCTTGTCGAAGCGCCGTTCTTTGCGGGAGTCCTGTTCTACCTGTCCAAATGGTACACAAAATGTACGTATTCTCGCGATTTTGAACCGAATGCTTTCCGAGGAAGTCATTGTACGGCAGCAAATACTCCTTTCTCGCATGTCAGAATAGCCTCATTTTCTCTGGTTCCTGCTCAGGCTTCTTTTCTTTCTTAGTTAGCAGTTTCTGCGCAGAGAACTTGCTCGGGACACTCCCGTTTCCTTTTCTACACTACTTTTCCCCGCAAATTTCTCTCCGATGTGCTGGTTCAAGCTGATTGACACCTGCAATCTATAGCCGAACTCAACCTTAGGATGTCAATCTTCTATTCTGGTTCCCTGATATCTGGCGCCTTCGGAAACCTGATCGCAGCTGGTATCCTCAGTGGACTGGCTGGCAAGCGAGGACTGAGTGCCTGGCAGTGGCTGTATATCATCGAAGGAAGCATCACATGCTTTGTGGGACTTTGCGTTATGGTCCTCTTGCCTGACTTCCCTCACACTTGGAAGCGACTCTCGCCAGAGATGAAGCATGTTGCCAACCGAAGAATGGCAATCGATGCAGCAGAGGCAGATGTTGATGAAGCTGGTGGAATGGTAAGTTTCAATTTTCTGAACAATATCATGCCATCCTCCTGACATCCATCGTTTCTATGCGAGGTCGTGTGCTGACGAGTGTCTGGGGATTCAGAGTCAGTGGAAAGGCTTCAAGCTTGCTATGTCAGATCCGAAAACCTATATCCTGGCAATTGCGTACATGGTGAGCGGACTCCTGCCCCGGGGAGGGTCCTATTGCTGACAATGTGCAGTGTATCACTGGCGCAGCTGGATTTCAGAACTTCTTCCCAACCCTGACTGGAACATTGGGCTACAGGTGAGTCGACTACTTATTGTTTTGGTTCTCCAGACAACTGACAAGTCAAACCAGCCACACGATCAGTCTGCTACTCGCCGCGCCACCCTATGTTTTTATTACCTTCTGGGCTCTTGGTCACTCCATCCTCTCCGACCGTATCGGCAACCGGTTTTACTTCTTCATGTATCCTATCCCGGTCACGATTGTGGGATTCCTCATCTTCATGTTCACGGACAGCTTCGGCCCACGCTACTTCTCACTCTTCCTCATGTGCTTCATCTTCGCCATGAACGGGACTACATATGCGTGGATCGCCAATGCTATTCCCCGCCCACCAGCAAAGCGCGCCGCCGCGTTCGCGTTCATCAACGCCATCGGCAACTCGGCTTCCATCTGGACACCATTCGTCTATACCAAGGGCTCTGCTCCGCATTATCGCCCTGCTTTGGGCATGAACATCGGGCTCCAGGCAGTAGCTGCTATATGCGGCGTGACAATGTACATCATTCTCACGCGCGCCAACAAGCGGCTCGACAGACTGGAGAACGAGAACGTCGAACTGTCTGCCAAGGAGATGGCGAAGCTCGAGAAGACGGCTCAGATGGAGGGCACAGACATCGCGGCCGCAAGGAAGATGCAGAAGAGCTACCGATACATGGTTTGAGCTGGAGGCGGGTCTCTGTGAACCCGGTTCAAGGTGTCTTTCACCGTTCTGACAGTAAGCGCCTTATCTCGTTCTCGTCTAGATAAGGTTCCAGGCTGGTGGGGAAGAACAATCGCGTTATCAGTAATGGTCACAGTAACTGGGCTGCCATGAGTGCCGGGCGTCCGATGCCAGACAGAAACAAACAGACAATGCTAAGCATGTCGAGGCAAGAAACATGTCAGTTTTCGTAGTGTGAAGTAACTCCTTGGCCAACGATGCGACGGTGAGAGGATGCCATTTTGAAATTTCTCGAACAGAAAAACTAAGTTTCGGGTCTGTTCGCGTGGCAGTTACTCCATAAATTGGCACTGGGAAGGCCTCTAATTGGGGCAAGTAGTCACTGCGGCGCGCTTGCCGACTGGAATTGTAGCCGGGGTCTTAGGGCGTCAATGAATTCATTACCAGATTGATTCAACGTGAATGCAACCACCAGCCAAGCACTGCAAACGTGGTCAAAAAACATCGCTGCTCATATGTTGACTTTGGTCGTGGCTATTGTATGTCAATCACGACTATGTTGACATCGTTCCTGCCCTAGCCCGGCATAAATCCCACCACAATGGCTGCAAGAAGCGCTCTTGCGCGCACGACGCCACGCACCCTCCTCGTACCACGTTACCTCTTGCCAGCATGCCAGCCTGTACGCAGACATGCCGGCCGGCGACACTTGTCAACAGAAACACGAAACGCTACCACGAATGTCCCGTTTCAGACAAATGTCACCAACTACTTCGCTCACCGCCACATTGGTCCCAATTCGACGGAGGAGACGGCCATGCTTTCTGCACTCGATCCGCCTGTGTCCGACGTCGATGACTTCGTCTCCAAGACTATTCCGAGTGACATAAGGTTGGAGCAACCCATGTCACTAATGAGCTACAACCAGTCTGGGAAGCCCGAATTGGTGGTCGCAAGGAACATGAGACATCTGGCAAGACAGAATCGAGCCATGTACACCATGATCGGTGCAGGCTACTACAATACCATCACGCCCGGCGTCATCAAGCGCAACGTGCTTGAGAACCCCGCTTGGTATACTAGCTACACGCCCTACCAAGCAGAGATAAGTCAGGGTCGTCTGGAATCATTGCTCAATTTCCAGACCATGGTCACTGACTTGACTGGCATGACCATCTCCAATGCCTCAGTCTTGGATGAAGGTACCGCTGCAGCCGAGGCCATGACGATGGCATTAAATGCCCTGCCTGCCAGCCGTGCCAAGCTTGAATCAAAGGCTTTTGTTGTTTCCAATAAATGTCATCCACAGACAATCTCAGTCTTAGAGACCCGTGCTAAAGGGTTTGGAATCAACATTGTGGTTGGAGATTTGCTGGCCAACGACTGTGAGCTCATCAAATCTCAGGGCGATGCACTCATTGGCGCCTTGGCCCAGTATCCAGATACAGAAGGCGGTGTCTTCGACTTCCAGAACCTGTCCGACACAATCCATGCAACAGGTGGCACCTTTGCTGTGGCAACAGACTTGTTGGCTCTGACCATATTGAAGTCACCAGGCGAGTTTGGTGCGGATATTGCCTTCGGAAACGCACAACGTCTGGGCGTCCCTCTAGGCTACGGAGGCCCGCATGCAGCCTTCTTTGCATGTAACGACAAGTACAAGCGGAAAATTCCTGGACGGCTTGTGGGTGTTTCAAAAGATCGCTTGGGCAACAAAGCTCTACGCCTGGCATTGCAGACCAGAGAGCAGCACATCCGCCGAGAGAAGGCTACCAGCAATATCTGTACCGCCCAAGCATTGCTCGCTAATATGAGCGCACTGTACGCCATTTACCACGGGCCGGGTGGTCTGCGGAGCATCGCCGAGAGTTGCGCTGCCAAAGCGCGCATCATGCAGAAGATCTTGACAAGTAATGGATTCAAGGTCTCTACCAAAGGCACTCACGAAGATGGCACAGTCTTGTTCGATACACTCGTCGTCGAGATTGAAGACCCTGCTAAATGCAGCCAGATTATTCAAGACTGCTTCGACAACAGAATGTTGGTACGCAAGGTCGACGACACCCATATTGGCCTTTCGCTCGATGAGCGCGATAGCTTCGCGACCTTTATGAGGTTGTTGAAGGGCTTTGGTATCGACCCGACGAGATATGCAGACCAGATTAGAGCTGAGGTTGACGAGTTCGATCTGCCATCCAACCTCAAGAGGCAGACCGACTACCTCACGCATCCTGTCTTCAACCAGCATCATTCCGAGACCGAATTGCTCCGTTACATCTACCATCTGCAATCAAAAGACCTCTCGTTAGTGCACTCGATGATTCCGCTAGGCTCATGCACGATGAAACTGAACGGCACCACTGAGATGGAAGCTCTTTCGAATAGTGCTATGAGCGACCTGCATCCATTCCAGCCCATCTCTACAGCCGCGGGCTACAAAACGTTGACTTCAAGGCTCGAGTCCGGCCTCGCGGCCATTACGGGAATGGATGCCGTGAGTCTGCAGCCAAATTCCGGTGCTCAAGGCGAGTTTGCGGGGTTGCGGGTCATCAAAAAATTCCACGAACTCAACAACGACGGCAAGGATCGTAAGATCTGCCTTATACCAGTATCAGCGCACGGGACTAATCCTGCCTCGGCTGCGATGGCTGGCATGAAGGTCGTCACGTTGAAGTGCGACACCAAGACGGGCAATCTTGATATTGCAGATCTGCAGGAGAAGTGCGAGAAACATAAGGACGATCTGGCCGCAATCATGATCACGTACCCGAGTACATATGGCGTCTTTGAGCCGGAGATCAAGAAAGTGTGCCAGATTGTTCATGATCACGGTGGACAGGTGTACATGGATGGCGCCAATCTGAATGCGCAGATTGGACTCTGCAGTCCAGGCGACATTGGTGCTGACGTCTGCCACCTGAACTTGCACAAGACATTCTGCATTCCACATGGCGGCGGAGGCCCTGGTGTAGGTCCCATCGGAGTGAAGGCACACCTCGCTAAGCACTTGCCGACGCACCCCTTTGTTGACCCTCACGCGAGCGATGCTTCGGAGGAAGAGCGCAAGATTTCAGCTATCGCCCCCATCAGTTCGGCGCCATGGGGCAGTGCTTCCATCCTCACAATCAGCCATGCATACATCGAACTGATGGGAAGCACAGCACTGACCCACGGAACAAAGATTGCCCTACTCAACGCCAACTACATCATGTCGAGGCTGAAGCCGCACTACCCCATTCTGTACACCAACGAGAACGGCAGGTGTGCGCATGAGTTCATACTAGATGCACGAGGTTTCAAGGCCTCAAGTGGTGTCGAGGTCGCTGATATTGCGAAGCGACTCCAAGACTACGGCTTCCACGCCCCAACCATGAGCTGGCCAGTGGCGAATACTCTTATGATTGAGCCCACAGAGTCAGAGTCGAAAGAGGAGCTCGATCGGTTCTGCGATGCCATGATCGAAATTCGGAAAGAGATCCAGGAGATCGAAGACGGCAAGGTCCCTCGAGAAGGGAACTTACTGAAGATGGCACCTCATCCGCAGGTGGACTTGTTGAGGGACGACTGGGATCGACCTTACACACGTGAGCGCGCAGCATATCCCCTCCCTTGGCTCAAGGAGAAGAAGTTCTGGCCGTCAGTCGCACGAGTTGACGATGTGTATGGCGACTCACACCTCAGTTGTACTTGTCCGCCGATTGAGAGCTACGAAGAGGAGTCGTGAGTTGAGTGAAAGTCAGGGCAGAGTTCAACCACCTGCTCTTGTCATTTTGGGACGATAATGAAAAGTTCAACAACTTCTAGCATTCCTGCAGGGCGTTCAGGTATGGCTGCTCGAACAGCAACCCGAGCGGCAATTTAAGGTGCCGTCAGCAGTGTTTGACATATGTGGTATTGGGCAGATTAATGCATAGGTCTCGAGCAGTTCATGGCTTAGCCAACAGCCGCTCCGCGGTCTCGGCCAGGCAAGAAACATGCTTGTCAAATCAAAGCATTTTCATCGAGTTTCGTGTAGCATTGTATCACACGTAGACGTCTTCACACGCCAGATGCAGTGGAAGCAGCATTGTAACATCGTTGTGTCTCCCAGACCCCAGTCGTCGCCAAACCCCTGGCCCCTGTCACAGTGACGAAGCCCAAGCCCAAAATGACATCACACGTTCGTGTACATCAAGCGAACCACAGTCTGTAAGACCGTGTCGCCAAAATCAAGAAATGCTATGATGTAGTTTCGAGACAGGTCAGGTAGTCAGCCGATCAGCACTGCCACAGGGGTGGTAGAAGAAGGTATATGAGGGTGGTGCGCGCGCCACCTCCCGCATCTGCGAGCCTTCCCAAGTGTACAGCCACTACTCCTCGATACACACCACTATACACAGGCCTTGATCCGGTTACTCTATACCTCTCAGCAACGCCACCATCACCAATCTTTCAGACCGAACACCCACAAAATGCCACTCGACTCCCACCAGAACGAAGGCGCTACCGGCGCAGCCAAATACGTCACCTCTACGGTCGGCAACACCGTCGGAGGTCTCTCTCGCACAGTCGGCGGTGTAGTTGGCGCCGCTGGTCGCGGTCTGGGCCAAACGGTCAATGGCGCAACGGGCTGGGCAGGGAAGCCGGTGGGCGATGGACTAGCGAATGCAACCAGTGGAATCGAGGACGCGACGAATAAGGTTGCCAAGGGGGTGGAGGATGCTGGGCAGTGGAATTCGGGGCGGAAATGGTGAAGTACTGGTTCGGTGGATGGTGCGCGGGAAGGATGAGAGGGAGTTGATGGTAGGAAAGTGTTGAGGCCAAAGAGGAATGACAGGCGACGGCCGGGGAAGTAACGACTTTACGATATACTGACCAGACGAACGTAGTGGCATGAGCACTGTGCGCAACGTTCCTGCCAACGATGATCCCAGACAGATGATGAGGCAGGAGTCGATGGGCGTCGTGCTTGCCTACTACGGCTCATTCATGTGTTGCTCCTGTTCCAGCAAGTCGTGATGTTCCAGTTGCAGCACCAGCAATTGAATGTTGTTCCAGTTCCAGCCGGTCAATTACCTATTTTTCTCTTCGCCTTCATACATTAGTCTCTCCGCCTCGTCAGGTCAATCTTCCCATCTAGTCGCATCCCCACCTGTTCAGATCGTGCTACCCGTCTCCTCGTCCCGTCAGATCAGCCTGTGCCCGCCGCCTCGTCAGACCAGTCGCCACGTCTAGTGGAGTCAGTCTCTCCCGCTACATTAAAAGTTGATGACTTTCATAGTACGATCTCGTCGCTTCTCGGGGTCAACCTTCTTGGTACGTTGCTGCCCATTCGTGATCATCTGCTCCCCTTCAATTGTAATTGCGAGATATCAGCGCTTGTTGTCTTTCCCAACACCAGCTCACTAACAACCTTACCGGTCCCTAGGCTCAGACTGATGCCCCACGGACCATGCCCGCTTGCTATGAACACGCCTCCTGAATCCACCTTCTTGATCTCACTCCCAAGCAGCTTCTCATCCAGCCTACCGATGAGTGGAACACCCGTCTGGCTGACGGGCCGAAAGCACAGTCCTTGACGGACGATGTCTAAATCATCTTCGTTCAGACCACTGTTTCGAGCATCACTGTTTTCGAGCGCTACTTTGCCACAGAGTTGGACCAGGCACTTGCGTAGCTCATCCACATCTGCCGTACCCCTGCTCTGTCTGAGAGCCTCCACGTCTTCTGCTTTCTTTGGAAGAGACAAGTGTGGATGATTCAGGCCGCCGATCCAGATTTCTGGTCGAGAGTCGGGACCTAAGCGAGCGAATGCTTCGGGTGCATAAGAGTATCGGTGACCACGAAATGTGGGTGGCATGGGACTACAGTAGATGGCGTAGCCCATACTGTGGTTCTCATTTCGACTCGGATCCGTAGCTGAGGCGTCCAGCGAAAATGGCGTGGTGTAACGAGGCGAACGAGCGAGGAGACTCGTGCCAGCTAGTGGAGAAATGGGTATGCGCAGCTTCGACGAGGGGAAGAGGGTCTTGAAGACGGCTGGCGTCCAAGCTCCAGCTGTCATGATCAAGGTATTGCACGGCAGAACATCTTCGTTGGTCGTTCTCCGGTCCTCGTTGTAGAACGAACAGGACAAGCCACTGATGTTGTTCGTCTTGGGATCAGTCTCGATACCTAGTGGCGTCGTGCTGAGATGGAATTCGACGCTGCGTGCCTTGCACTTTTCGATGAGGAACTCACACAGCAAGCGAGGCTCGATCAGTGCTGTTGTATCGGGTTCTGCCATTGTTTCCACAGTACCAGACGGCTGTGGCGTGAAGCATGTCGCGATCCGTCTGGATTCAGCATCTCTGTCGCATCTATCGCATTCTGTTCCCGTGCAGAGTCCTCCCTTGCGTTTGCTGGCGCAACCCCAGCTCGCGACGTCCCTGAGGTCACCCAGTCCTCCCCACGCGACTGCTTCGCTGCACTGCCCACGCCTCGCTCGTCAATGCTCAATGAGTACGTTCTCGTGCCCACGTAGCCCCACTTCCTGAAGCCATCATGCTCATCCGCCAGTCTTCTGTGCAGAGCAAATGAGAGTCCGCCCAGCGATGCTGACGCCGGTGAGAACCAATCCTTCGCCAGGAAGCCGCCCGCATGGCCCGATGCAGAGAGGAGTAGTGAGTGGGATGAGTCAACGACGTGTATTGAAGGGTTCGAGCCTTCTACTGGTGGTCTTTCCTCGGAAAGATAGTAGGCGGTGGCGAGACCTATGATTCCGCCACCGATGATCACGGTGGCCATGCTTCTAAGTGGATGGTCGAGCTGATAGTGAGGCGGTCATGGTCCGCACACCATGCGAGGCGTGGTTGCCTGGTCGTGGTCCTCGCCTTGTCCACGTTGTCCTTCTGCAGTGAGTAGCGCAATGACTTGGAGCTCGCGCCTTCCAAAGCAACTGAATAGCTTCTTTTGCTGCATGTATGAAGCTAGGATGTGTTCATTATATGCCCTGAAGTTCAACTTCCGCTTGATATTTGCGGGCTTCTCCATCGGCAAGTCAAAACTGACTTCGCCGCCTTTCGATTTGCTCGAGAGACTTTGCATACGCTCTGGTGTCTGTGACTGCAGTGATTGGCAAATTCGTCTCATCTGAGGTTCTCAGGCTCTTGTCTGACTGATCAAGCGAGACTCGACTTGGTCAAAGATACAGGCATGGCAACGATCGTGGTAACAGGCGCTTCGAAAGGTCTTGGTCTCGCCATCACGAAATATCTACTCAACGACAACGAGAAGAATCAATTGATAGTCTGCTGCAACACGGATGACAAGCCTTTGAAAGCACTGGCCAGCGAGGACAACAATAATGGCCGAGTATTGATCATCAAGGGCGACACTGCCGATGGCAACTTTGCCAAGACTGTATTCTCACAGTCGTTAGTCCACTTCGAGATCGATCGCATCGATGCGCTGGTGCTGAATCATGGTGTCATTGGTGATGGTCAACGGCTGGCAGACAGTTCACAGGAGGAATGGGAGAAGTGTTTCAGGATCAACTTTTCTAGCTATGTGGGCATTGTATGTTACTTCAAGGTGGACTTCGTTATACATGCTAATCGATTTGTGTGACCAGATCCAACAGACCATACATTTTCTACGAGAGAGCCACGGCCGAATCATCATGACATCTTCCGGAGCGTCAGTCTCGGGAACGCCAGCTTGGGGTCCGTACAGTAAGTTCGCCTTCGTATACTTGTCCACTGCCAGGCAGCTGAAGCATTATCAGGCGCGTCGAAAGCGGCAGTCAACAACCTGGCCATGACCCTTGCGAACGAAGAGAAGATGGTCACCACAGTCTCTCTTCGACCGGGCATGGTTGACACTGCGATGCAAGGGCTGATCAGGGGAGAGGTCTCGGCGAATATGGACAAGGAGGACGCGCAGAAATTCATGGACGTGCATAAAAATGGAAAGCTGCTTCCGCCAGAGAAGCCTGGCAACGTCATGGCGAGACTCGCTCTTTCCGCAGACAAGGAGTTGTCAGGCAAGTTCTTGACCTGGAGTGACGCGGAACTCGTCAAGTATCAGGACAAGTGAGATCTACCAGGTTGCGACTAAATGTACTGGGCGTTTTCCTACAGCACCCTCCCTGGCCAGGAAATTCGCGAGGTATCAATACTTCACACTGACGCTCGAGTGAGGCTCATCTCAAGCCCGCCAATCTGATCAGCGTATTAGTGCTAGGCCCTCGGCGCCCTCCCTGGCCGAAAATTCATGATGAGGCAGCAATTGTAGCACGAGAATGGAGGTAGTCGACTCGGAGAGAGCGCCAGTTCTTAGAGCACAGCTCGCCTGAGCAGCCACATTCAGTGAGTGTACTAGGTGTCCAGGCTGTGAACACGCGTACTGGGCGTTACTCTGTGCGCTACTCATCATAGATTAGTCGGTCTGGGAGGGCGCTCAAGGTCTCTCGGGTTGTAGCTCCTCAAGTCGTCAACTTTGAGATGAGCCTCACTTGAGCGTCAAAGCACCAAGAGCGTTGTAATCACAAACCCTGGCCAGGAAGGACGCTGTAGAAACCTGACAATCGCGACTCACTGGCATGTGGCAGGGTTGGAGAGAAGGCCTGGCCCTTGCTCCCATAGCTTAGTGTCCGACATTCAACGAGCTTCTTCCGGAGCTGAACGGTCGAGACTTTCTTGGGACGTACTACAGTTCTGACACCACCTGGAAGTGGAACGTACCTGCCTAATTTCAGACGATTAGCGAACGAAGCCAGTGATACTGCGAATGTGGCAGGAACCATGACGTGATCAGGCGAAAGATGAAAATTGAATACACAAATTCTAAGCATTAGGTTGAGCCTTCATACTTAGCATGGAATGTAGTGATAGGCTTCATCAGAGAAGGTTGAGTTGCATGAAGATAGTCTGACGTACTAGTATCATTGACGGTGGCTGCAGAGTAAGAATCTACTGCGGCGCAGAGCAGAAAGGACGGACCTGGACGGATGTCAGCAGTGCTCGACCACGTCAACATGAGTATGCTCGGATTTAGCATCATATCAGGTAATCGAACCAGTTTCAAATCCACATTGTTGAGACTCGGAATTTGATAGTACTTTGAAATTGTTGCTCATCATGGTGGAAGAGGTGGTTCCGAGACGGAGGCCAAGGATGCTTACATTATGTTGATTGATCGTTATGAGCTCCTCGCAGCTGGTCGACCTAACTTCGTCTGGTCAGCAGAGATTCCCTCAAGAGTGTTTGAAGGCACAATAATGTGGTAGGAATGCTCATTCAGTAAGTCCGAGTTTGGGTTGGACAGGTAATCACCACAGTAATTGGGTTGTAGTATGATAGGGGCGACACGAATGTTCATCATCTGAGCAGGAGGGACAGGATGGAAAGAAGCAGCATACCTTGACAGTGATTTGTACCTGGGCACAGTGGTCGGCCAGCTGTTTCGGAGCTCATTTCAACAAGTCGTCAAGTACGGTCGATGCTCCCTTCCGAGCGCACGGAGGCTGCGGTCAATGAGGGCATCGTTGGCAGTAGCGACGTACAGGACGGCAACTGCGCCGTTGTGTAAGCTATGGTGGAAAGTGCAACCTCGAAATGATGAGGATGAATGTTGACGGGTGAAGTTGCCAGTGAAGATGGAATTTCTCAAAGCAAAAAATCCATAGGTCGATATCCACATGACTATCACGTGACAGCGTCGAATCTGTGACCGAGGCCGCGATGCTATAATAAACACACCTCTGCTCTCTAGGCTCAGTTGCCTCTTTCTCGGACACCACACGCGCAGCCCGCCTCGTCGAACCACTGTATCACTGCACCGATTCCAGAGTCGCAACCATGTCCGACAAGGAGTTCGGAGGCGCCAACGAGGATCTCTCGCTCCCCAAGGCGACCGTCCAAAAGATCATCACCGAAGTCCTCGCCCAGCTCTCTCCACCCTCCGCCAATACAAAGTCACCCAGTGATCAAGACAAAGAATCCCATCAGACCATGACCAAGCCTGCGCGCGAGTTACTCATCACATGCGCCCTCGAGTTCCTGCGAATGCTGTCCAGCGAAGCCAACGAAATCTCCGAGCAAGAATCGAAGAAGACTATCTCGATGGAGCACATCGAGAAGGCGCTTACGGAACTAGGCTTCAATGAGTACATCCCGGGCTGCAGGGAGGTCGTAGAGGAGTGGAAGGAGACACAGAAGAAGCGGGTGGATCGCGGCGAGAAGATGAAGGCGTTTGGCGGCGCGAAGGATCTTGGGGAGGAGGAGTTGTTGAGGATGCAGCAGGAGCTATTAGGCCAGGCAGGGAGGGCTTGAGGGAAGCGAATGCCAAGGAAAGAAACCACAGGAGCAGTCCATGCAGTCACATAGTCTGGACCAGCTGCGGTCTCGCTGACATCTGGCACTGCAAGACTGGCAAGACTCATGATGAAGACCCAGGAGCGATCACTGGTCCGAATGGAAGAGCAGGGCGGGCATTGAGCTGTTCCACGCCACCCATGAGTGCCAGCCCTACCAGGCTCGAAGCACGGGTGCCGCCGAACCCAGATTGAAGCAATATCACTGTGGAAACCGCATCGCATCGCACCACGACTCGACGCAACGGGGATGCGTTCTAGCTGCATGTACCCTCGACCCCGGAATCCGACCAGACACGACTCTCGGCAGGTACATTGGCGACTTACTCGCAGGTCACGTACGGGGTCGCCCGAAATTGAAGTACCAATGAACGCGACTAGCCTTCACTTCGAAGCAAGCGCGAACAGGATGGCCTTCTCCACGTTCAGAGAAACTGGAGGGTGCGGTCCCAGTCGACAAGTATGCCGGACGCGAAAGCCACGTTAACGGCGACCGGATCTCGGGAGAGCAGAAGGCAACCTCTCACGAAATTATGACTCTAACGCATCGTATGTACATTATGACTATGATTGTCCCTAGATGGACATGCGGTCCCCTATACATCGAGACCGAGGCCGCAACCACAATTGTCGATGTCGAAATCACGAAGCAGTCCGAAACCCTCTGCGCCGCCTCGTCGCTTTCTCCTCTCTGGCCGCCATGCCCAACATCTCCCTCTCATAGACCTGCATCTTCGACGGCTTGCCCACTCGGCTCTCGATACCGCGAGCTACCAGCGAAGCATCTTCGCCATCCTCCAGCACAATAACCTCCCATTCTGCAACAGTAGCGCCGTCTCCACTCATGTTTGCCGCTGTGTAGCTGGAGTTATACAAACTTCCCCAGATCGTCAATGTGGCATATTCCGCAGTCAGAATCTCTGGGCCTAATCCCACAGGAACGAGATCGGCGGTATTGTTGCCCATGAAATCCACAAACGTAGTATTCGACATCGGCGCCGTGATTGCCGCACTATCAATTTCGGAGAACGGAATCGAGATATTGACGTGGCCGCTTGCTATGACCGTGCCAGAGGACGAAGTATCGTTGGACATGGCAACGGAAAAGTTGTAGCTGGCGCCTGAGCCCAGTCAAAGCGGATGCCAAGAACTTGTTTTCCTTGATCTGCTTCTGGGATCCTCACTGTGAGCGAAGCGGTCTTGTTGGCGTACGTGGCTGCCACGTCGTGCTAGTGGCGCCATCAACAGCAGCCTCAGGGAATTGGCCAGGTGCGAAGTCCGTAGAGGCATTGATGGGCCGCTGGCATTGCAGAACATTGCCAGGCGTGGTTTGGTTGAGGTGATATTGTCGATTTGGGATGACAACAGCTGTGCCATTGGCAGGCAGGGAGTACGTTGTGGTGTTAGTCGAACCAGGCGCGCGACGACAACGGGAATTGCGGCTTCGGTGTAGGTGCTGTTGGGAGCTGTTCCAGAGGCATTGACGATATTGGAGGGACGGCTGAGCGTGGTGTGCGTCTGGTTGGAGAAGGCACTGATTGGCCAGCCATGCCAATAGAACGTACGATAGCGCACCTGTGGGATCTGTGGCGGCAGGGAAGGGTTGACGTGTAGGGCCCAGCTCGTTGGCAGAAGGCGAAGGCCAAGATAGCCGAAGAGGACGACCTGGTTTGCACCACCATGACCTGTCAGAAAGGGGAAAGCAGGATGATATCCTGTCACGGAGTAGGCGTCGACGAGCTGCTCGGAGAACTGGAACCAAGGAGCACGCACGTATGGGTGATGCGAGTACAAGTCGTACGTATATGCGGAGCACCCTGATGGCGAGACCTGGTTTGCTACAATCGAAAAGATAGCGTATGTCATGGCCGGACCGTTCTGCGATTGCTTGGCGGCATAGTAGTCCAGATCAGACAAGCTCTGAGTGTCGGTGTAGTTATCTGTGTAGGAAGCAGGGTATGTGATCAGTACAACGTCGGCTTGCTTAACGTCGATGGATCCATTCATGCCGGTGTATTCCAGGATAATATCGGCTTCTTGATCCCGACTGATGAGCACGTTCTCTGCCTGCTCGATCCATGTTTCGTTGGGAGTTTCATTGAACAAGGAACGGAAGAAGTTGGTGTAAGTCAGTTGGTTCGCAATCAAAGCCATGGTAAAGCCGCCATTGTCAACGTTTGCCGCGAATTCGTCTGGATCTGTCATGTTAGTAAGGGAGTATTCCGACCCATTCTTCTCCAGTAGATCGGAGTACAGAACGGCCACAGAGTTTTGGATAGGAAAGTAATTCTCCCGGAAGAAATCTGTATCACCTGACACGATCCACTCATTCACCAACGCTTGAGCAATATCGCCATTGATATGATATTCGTAGTCCCAGCATGGACCCATGGCTGTGCAGTTCCCCGGTCTCGCAGATATCCACGGAAAGATGGCGGCGTCCGAAGAGAAAGTGGTCTCGTTCCTGGACGATTGATATGCTGTCTCGATGTTCTTCTGCGCCTGCTCGTAATGCTCCATACGATAGTTTGAGATGCCTCTGGCTGCATACGGAGAGCTAGCCACAAGCCCGGGCTGCATCCACGTCTCTGCATCCCAGAATATACCGCCAGCATAAGCGTCGGAGGCGAGCCTCCAACGGAAATCGAACAGCTATTCAGAGAGTCCGAAGCATTCGAAGCTGCCGTAACTGCGTTCTCCGACAAGGTGTTCTGGAGGAGATAGTATACGTTCGCAACCGCAAGGATTGCAGATTCCACAGCGTACGGGTCATCAGGCAAGGAGCCATTCGTGGGATCCGAGAAGTCGTCAACCGAATGCTCTGGCAGCACCTCCGCCCATTCTGAGACGTGGCTTGCCAAGGCGTCGGCGTAGCCCGTGTTGATGGCGGACAACACAGCATTCTTGGCCTCTGCTTGGGGATCTTGGAAGGCGTCCGACGACGCAATACCGACGTACTTGGTGACCGTGACTGGAACGCCCGCTCGTAAGCTCAGTTGCAGGCCTGCCGCGATCGAGGACTGATTTCCACCCACATATGGTCGATCTAGCTCCTCCTGTTTACTACTGTTTGTAGTCGAGATCATCTTTGCGAATACAGAGCCGGTCACGTTCATCAGACCGTCCGGATGAACTGAGCTGTAGACCATATCGTCGTCAATACCTTTGTCTCCTGGTTGTGTGCGAAGAGCACAATCTCCATTGAGTACATTGGCAACTGTGACATTCGCATCTTCGCTCGCACTTATGTTGAGCTGGACAAATGCTTTGTTGATCTCCAGTTTGTGCGCAAACATCTCGTAGCTGATGTTGAAGGAAGGGGAATCAGGCGGGCTCCACGTGAAAGCCCAGCTTAGCAAGCCACGTTTCATATCTAGAGACGAAGTAAAGTCTTGGATTTGGGAAGCATTCGTGGTTGCGTCAAGGTATGCGTCGTCGCCGAGATCGACAACAATACCCGACCAGTGTGGCACTCCAGAGATGACAGATTCCCATCCGTACTGAGACAGCCACGGGAAGTTGGTGCCATTGGTGTCTGGTTGACTGTCCCAGAAGCCGGCTATGGTTGCGAAGGACTGACGGCGATCAGTCAGAGGCCAGCCGGCTACATTGTCTCCATCGACAGGTTCGTCGACCTCGAAGAAAGGACCCAGTGAGGCAACGTTGATGCCTATGTACCCATTCGCTATGCTTGCTCTCGCTTGGTAGTGCCCTTGGTCCAGCGTCGTAGTCGACAATTGCCAATTAGCATTGTTCCAGGTTGTCCCATCGAAGCGGGTGTCGTATACATCAGACACACCATTCTGCCGCCTTCCCAAGGTTTGCGCAGTACCATAGGTGACAAGACCCGACAGGGCGGTAGCGGAGAGCAAACTGGTCCAAAGCTTCGGTACCTGCATGATTTGGAGGCGCGGAACTTTGAGATTATGCGTTACTGAAGGTCGTGGTTCCGAGCATACGTCTAGCTGTTCATATTTTTGAAGTGACCATTGGTGCTCATCGAGGGCTGTAAAGGCACGCTGAGATCTTCTTAACAGACTCGGTGGCAATAGCTGGGCAGCCATCCGACTGTTCAGCGGGTGGTGTGCTTGCAAGGAAGAATCCGTTAGCGTGGTAGCCAGTGATGTCATGCCGCACCGAGGTTGGGAGCTACCCCAGATCTTGGGGCACCCAAACCCTGGAAAAGCATCGCGTGCAGGCTAAAAGACGCCGAAAAGGCAAAGCTCTTCGCTTAAGATCACGTAACTTCTCAAGTGCTGATGAAAATCGCAGGCCAAGCCGCGGTTGCGTTGACATTTTCAGGATGGACCATTGAATTGCTCATTCGTATCCGGATCCAGGTATTTGATGTCGGTCGAGCTCCTTCAGGCCTCGCCTTCGCTCTCCTCGTCCTCTTCCTCCTGCGCCGCCTCGTTGTCGCGCACAGCACTTGGTCGACCGCCGGTGGCTCGGTTCCGGTTACGGCCTGTATATCGATCTGAGGTGGTGAAAGCCTTCTCGCCGACGTAGTGCTTACCGTCCCACGCAGTCTGGCACAACGGACAGACCTGCGATCGCTGTGTTCGGAAGAAGTTCTGTATGCAAATATCGTGGAGTCTGAATGGACACTCCCGGCGTGCGCAGCGTTGGCCCTGCTGTTGTTAGCGGATCAGTCTGGACGAAAATGGAACTTACCGTCGTGATGATCTCTTTGCAGGCATGACAAGACTTGATCTTTCTTCGACTTGCGGCCTCCTCTTCGTCCATGTCCTCCTCATCGACATCGTTATATGTCTCCGCGAGCCAGCCTTTCAATTCCATAAGTGCTCTGGGAGAAAGGGCATAGAAGCCTGCGTCGCTTTTCTCGAGCCAGCCTTCAAGCTCCAGATTCCTGACCAGATCCTCAACCTCGTTTCCCGTTAATTTCTTCTGGACAGGTTGTGCGCCTTGACCCTCAGGCTGGACCTGTGTTTCACGGCGGTTGATTTGCTCGAAAGCTGCACAACCTCTATGCTGCTGATGCACATTGCTTCCGTCCTGCCGCGATTATTGCTGTTGAACATAGTATCCAGCATCTTCTTGACGAAGTTGATCTCATCTGCGGAATACGTGGTGGCCAGCTGTGTCATGGGGTCGCTAGCGACGTTTACAAGAGCGTACACCCGATTGCGAGAGGTCTGGTGCAATGTGCTTCTTATCTCGAGATCCAGAGGTGAAAGCGCTCTGTTTGCCAGCGTGATATACGATTCGAGGTCTTCTTGATTGATGCTGTCGATAGGCACTTCCTGGCCACTGTGAGCTGAAGATATCGCGGCAATCAGCGTCTGCGCACTGCCCCATGTGAAGGTGTTCCGGCCCAGAATTGCTTGGACGAATGCTCTGTTCTTGTCTCCATACCCAGGCACGAGGAAGTCGGCCATCTGGACTTCACGGATGTTGCGACTTGTAAGCTCAGTAGCCGTTTGACGCTGTACAGAATGTTTTGCGGGTCTGCGGCTGTCACGGGGCCTGCTCCTGCACCAGTAGACGCGTCTCCAAACGCGTTGGTGGCGATGTAAATAGGCTGGCTAAGGCTCGATGTACATTGTGCTGCAGTGGAAGTCTTCGCAAACTTTGGTTATGAGGGCAACACGTATGCTGTTGGGAGTGCTGTAAGATTGCAGTGAGACAACAGTAGATGCGGTGTTGTATGAGCTGAGATTCATGTAGAAAGTGATAATGCTACTCTTGTGCCTGAACCAAAAGTTTTAGGTTGCCCGCCTGCCTGGCCGGCATTGGAGATCATTATCGTGGGGTAATTGCCCATATCCACAGCAAAATCGAATCGCAGACTCGGAGCTGCAAGATTCGCGTGACCCAGTCCTATCTGTCACCACAGTCAAGTACAGATCAGGATATCGTGCAGTCGCAGTGGGTCTACGAGTCTGCTCTCGAGTCCTGAGCTTCTTTGAGGTACAACAGTGGAAGACACCTCCAAATCAGCAGTCCGGGCAATTGTCACCATGATTGCACCTGCATTGCACCTCGTCACCTCTCACCTCGCAGCTGGCAGTAGCGAGACGCCCCTCACAGCTCACGAGGCAGTCTCTGGAGTCCTAGGATCAATATCACTTTGCTGCTGGATCTTCCTGCTCCTCCCACAGCTCATCGAGAACTACCGCAATGGCTCTGCCGAAGCTGTGTCCCTGGCGTTCATTCTCGTGTGGTTCCTGGGCGATATCTGCAACCTCGCTGGCGCACTGTGGGCCGGGCTCGTCTCCGTGATCGTTGCAATTGGTGTCTACTTTTGCATAAGTGACGGTGTTCTCCTCAGTCAGTGCCTGTATTATGGCATCAGAAACAGGAGGAGGCAAGCAAAAATAATGCTGGCTAGAGAAAGAGGCGCGAGCGTGACTGGCGGGCAGAGTGCTGTCTTTGGTGACGCTGAAGCCGCTCGGGCTACAGAGACAGCTCCGTTGCTGAAAGATGCCAGGAAGCGGAGCGGCAGTTACACAGGCACTATCCCGGGCAGTGAAGAGCGGCGACGAAGCAGTCAAGCAAGTCAGGGAAGTGCAAGGCGAAGGAGTAGTGCCGCAGCGCAAGAAGCACGCAACGAGAGTCTGGCGAAGATACTCGAAGAGACTGATGAAACCGGCACAAGGCTGTGGGCGAAGACGTGCTCAGCGTGCTCGGGATCTGTGTTATTGGCGCAGCGGGCTGGGCGATTGCTTACGGAACAGGGACTTGGAAGCCTGCTCCACCGCCTGGCAAAGTGCACGCTGAGGAGCTCGCAACCGGCGCCCAAACCTTGGGCTATGCGAGTGCGGTGCTCTATCTAGGTGCCCGGCTCCCGCAGATCTACAAGAATTGGCAAGAGAAGAGCTGCGAAGGTAAGTCGCACTCAACACTGCAAAGCAATGGTCAGCTAACGTATCGCAGGTTTGTCGTTGTTGTTCTTCATCCTCTCACTTCTAGGAAACCTGACATACGGCGCCGGTATCATCTTCCACTCGACTCAAAGAGAGTATATCGTGAAGAATATTCCGTGGCTGATAGGAAGCCTGGGAACGATGTTCGAAGATGTCATCATATTCGCACAATTCCATATGTATCGACCAGGCAAGATAAATTCGGAGTCAGCCGTTGAATGAGAGCGCCAGAGGATGCGATCCAATTTACCGAGCCTGGACCAGCGAAAAGATCTCCGGCGAAGCTCCTGGCTAGCACCATTGGACTAGCTAGCGGCGTTGATACGCCTTTGTGTCCAGCTGCTAGGCTCATTCGCCAGCGATTTGGCTTGTCCTGTTTCAGACTCCCGGCATCCGTGACGGGCGTCAGGATCGGCCTCGTCCCAGCTGCGCCATTCTTGCCTCAGCGGTCTTACGAAGCCAACATCTCTCAAGATGAACATTGTTGTGGCGCTGTTCCAGGGCATGCGGCGTGGCCGTGTGGCACAGACGCAAGACTCGCCAGCTCGGGTACCAGTATCCAAGGTAAAGGACCGGCTGGGGCACGAGCAAGCGGATTTTCGAACCGAGCTTTGGATACTAGATGATAGGTATTTGGTAGCACTCCAATGCCGATATCTAGCGGCAGCAATGGACAATATATGGTGGATTGCTGGGAACCTACGTCTTGACCCTATCTAGGGGAAAGGCATTTAATGTCTCGATGTATATGGCGCTAGTCCTGTTCAATCAGTCCAGGCTCAAAGACACGTTCGCCATGCCTGTATACGGCGTCTGGAGTCTCATATAGAGCACGAATATCTCGCTGCTCCAGCGCTGCTTCATCAATCTCCTCACGCCGAAACCGAGTGTCAGAAAAGCTACGGACGCTGGCATCATCAAATCTTCGCCATATGCGCAGATCGAAATTGTATTCCGCATTTGTTGATCCTCGCGAAAGGTTCAGCTCGAGATCAGTTTCGCACTTCACGCACTTGAAGCTCTCAGAACTTGGTAGATGCTCTGTCATAGCGCCGATCATCTTGTCCTCGCCCTGTATTCCAGCCGGAGTCCACACAGGATGGGAGCCGCAGCGTGTATGCCGACACAAACTACCAGCAAATTGTGCATCCTGCCAGTAGCTCCCAGGGTGCCTGCACCGTGGTAGAGTCAATGTGAGATGGGTAGAGATGACCACTGAGCCATCGACGACACGGGATCGAGTGGTCTTGATACAGCCTGTTTGGCGATGCTCGAAGCCGTCTAGAAAAGATGGCGGCAGTCCGTAGGACGGACCACGCTTTTCTGCACGCAGCATTAATTCAATGATTGCAGGCGTGATGAGGACTCTGCTCGTCATGATCGGGATCATTGGAAATTGCAAGTGAAGTTCAGAGTCGTGACAGTAGAAGGACGGACAGCAGACACATTCTTGATCGGCATGCCGCCAGTTGTAGAGCAGCCCGCACTGAACACAGAGGAGATGGTTGGGATAGTCGGCGTCGAGCAACCGGAGGAACTTGACGCGTGTGTCTAAGTCACAGTCCTGTAGGGGAGGCAAGGTGCTGAGGAGGCTCCTGGTATGCCTCGAGACCTGTGCGAGGACCATTCGTTGTTCTGTTTCCAGCAGATCGATGATATGAAGAAAGATCTCATCTGGTAGGTTAGGAAAGGTCCGGCAGGATGTATGCTGCGCTAACAGCATTGTTGAAGACACCTGGGCAGAATTGTTGTTTGTTCTGGGTGAGAATAAGCATCAGATGGATGGACGAGAAGACTCACTTGCGGGTGACAATGAAAGCCAGGACCATAAGTCTTGCTGTAGCCAGAGCAAGGCAACCACTGCAGGGGCCAGCACCAGAGTGGGGCGTCCCCTCACAACCTGCACGCTAGGGACTCGGTAGACTTCACATTTTGGTGTCCACGGGTGCTTTGACTGATATTCACTACAGTACAAAAGCTCTTGGTTCAGTCTCACCAACTGTTCTCGAACTATATCTCGCAGACTCACCACGTATCCCTCCCGCCCGTTTGCTCTCATCACAAACCACCAGCCGTCGTCTCTGTACTATAATTTCTCCCTGCGTTCTCCGAGTCCCAGGCTCTTGACCCCCAATCACGACTGGGCGCAATTTCCATACCAACCATGTCTGAAGAGGCGGAACCCAGAGTTGCGGACGAGCACGAGAAGAAGGATGTCGGTGACGGCGCCGAAGTTGACGAAGTCGGTTCCTCCTCACCTGCCATGGGCGCAGCCAGAATCCCAGACTGACCCACTCTCCTAGGATGAGATCGCAGCCATGAAGCGGCGCGTTGCCGAGATGGAGTCTGAAGCCGCCAAATTACGAGAGATGCAAAAAGACCTTGAGCACGGTCCAGGAGAGGGCATGCGCGAGGACAGAGAAGACGTTGATGCTCGCAGTATCTTCGTCGGCAACGTCGACTACGGCGCCACACCAGAAGAGATTCAGTCACATTTCAACACCGGTCCCGGCACAATAAACCGCGTCACGATACTGCTGGACAAGTTCACCGGTCATCCCAAAGGGTACGTGCAAGAGAATGCTATGCCACGGCGCGAAAGGCGCTCACATCTCGCCATACTTCATCACTCTCGCGCCATAGGATATTGCTGACAGACGTCTAGCTTCTGCTACGTGGAGTTTTCTGACCCGAGTCTCGTGGCCGAAGCACTGGTGTTGAACGAATCGACGTTTAGAGGCCGGGTATTGAAGGTATGCCGGCCAGCGCGCATCCAGCATGAAGCCTGGGCTAATTGTCCTCTAGGTCGTCCCAAAGCGCACCAATCTGCCAGGTATGAGTCGTGGAGGCCGAGGCGGACGAGGCGGTCCGCCTCGAGGGCGCGGAGGAGGGTTCGGCGGTCCTCGTGGTGGCGGCGGCTTTGGTGCTCCCAGAGGAGCGCGCGGTTCATTCAGAGGTGGTGGTCGTGGTGCTCCGCGAGGATATTCACCTTATTGAGGACAGCGTCACTCGTGTCTGCTAGTGGGACAGGTTCCATCGACATAGGCAGCGACTTATCTGCGAGAAAGAGCTACTGGGCCCCGATCACTGCGATGGCTTGGAGATGCCGAGCGTCAGTCACAAACTGGTCGCGTGACGGTTATTCCAGAGCGAGAAACGGAAGTCTGGCAGTTGTAGACCAGGTGAGCGGAGGCCTCAGAAGTGGTCGAATAATGCATCAGGGCAAGCTTGAAGCTAAAGATTTGGCATTGAGAAGGCACAGGTCAGACGCCTACGACATTTGATGCTCTGTGTGAGCAGCGGAACCATGTGCTTTGCACAGTCGCAGAGATGCCAGTATCGGGCACCTGGAGGCACTACGAAGTACGCCGGCGTATTATCTGGGTGAGAGAATGATGTCAGCAAAATTCTATCGTATGGCTGGTAGCTAGAAATAGATTCACTATTTCCGCAGTGCGACAACGCGGGCGTGAACTTCCATATCTCTTCCAGAACGTACGGACAGTGTATTTCGAAGCAACGTTTTGTCGCAAAGAATTGATTTAGCATGATGCAATAAGCAGAAGTGGATGAGCAGCGAAGGGTCAGTTCAAGTTCAATCGCGGCAAGCCGCAGCCGAGGACTCTAGCGCCAATCGTTAGGAGGACTGCGCCTTCTTCCATCTCCAGCGACGGCACTACCAGTACTACTACACCTCTGAACCTCCATCGTTCCGGATACGCCCTCCAGGCCCCGACAATTGTGTGTTATTTCTATTGTCTATAGCGACGCGGCCTTGTCAAGCATCTGTTCCGAACCAGCAAACATCATCTGTTGCCTGTGCGCTGCAGTCGTCATCCGATCTGACGGAGCCTGCGACCTCTCTGCCCCGCGATGCCTGAGCAGGACCTTCCCTCGTGCGTACTATGTTCCCGGTACAACTCGATATGGTGTGATCGCTGACAGCAATAATAGTGAGCCAAATTTGAGAGTGACGAGTATGTATCTGTACCGCACACGCCGATCGAAATATACCTAACCACTCTTCGCAGTCATTGCCGCTGATGGCCTATATAAAAGAGATGTCTTTCGTGAGTAGCTCCCAACAACAGACAAGCCAAGATGCTGAACGGCAGCTACAGGTTTCCCAGACCCGTTTGCCGTGGTCACCATTGGAGGCCTGCAGACACGCACGACGTCCGTGATCAAGAAGACGCTGAATCCGTATTGGAATGAGGTCTTTGATATGTAGGTTGCAACCCATATGTGCGCACAGGACGTCGCTGACAATCGAACAGGAAAGCTGGTGAAGACAGCATACTTGCAATCCAGATCTTTGACCAGAAGAAATTCAAGAAGAAGGACCAGGGCTTTCTTGGAGTCATCAACATCCGCGTTGGCGATGTGTTGGATTTTGACGCTGGTGGCGATGGTAAACGAATCTCTCTGATATTAGCTTCTGCGTTTCCTGGTGCTAACTTGTTCTCAGAAATGCTTACCCGGGACCTGAAAAAGTCTACCGACAACCTCGTTGTACACGGAAAGCTGATCATTAACTTATCGACCAATCTCTCAACGCCGCCCACGAATCAGTCGGCACGTCCGCCGGCATCTCAGGGTGCCATGAACGGGGGTGCATTAGCGACTACCTCGAACAACTCCGCGCCTTCGAATCGCACTAGTCCTGCGCCTTCGCGGACAACGACGTCGACCTCAGGTCCACCCAACGACCGTGGCCCTGCTCCTGCCATCAATGCCGCAAGCTCTTCCTCAGCCAACGGCACTGGACGCTCGGGAGGATTTTCGTCGTTTGAGGATGCACAGGGTCGTCTGCCAGCGGGCTGGGAGCGACGAGAGGACAACCTGGGTCGCACATACTACGTTGATCACAACACACGCTCGACTACATGGACTCGACCCACGGCAGGCCTGAGTGAGGGCGAGCAGCGATCGCGCATAGAAGCCAACATGCAGCAGGAAAGGCAACGACACCAGAACCGTATGCTGCCCGAGGATCGTACTGGAGCCAACTCTCCGAATCTGCAGGAAGGCCGTGGTAGTTCTCCTTCACAAGCAAATGCATTGCAAATGATGGCAACTGGTGCCACAACGGCCGGCACAGGAGAGCTTCCAGCTGGCTGGGAGCAACGACATACACCCGAAGGAAGAGCGTATTTTGTTGACCACAATACTCGTACTACCACCTGGGTCGATCCCCGCCGGCAGCAGTACATAAGAATGTATGGCGGAAGCCAGGCGAACTCGACAACCATCCAGCAGCAGCCGGTCTCTCAGCTCGGACCTCTGCCCAGCGGATGGGAAATGCGCCTCACTAACACTGCAAGAGTGTATTTCGTCGATCATAACACGAAGACCACAACCTGGGATGACCCTCGTCTGCCTAGCTCGCTGGACCAGGGTGTGCCGCAGTACAAGCGTGACTTCCGCAGGAAGCTGATCTACTTCCGATCACAACCAGCACTGCGGATCTTGTCAGGTCAATGTCATGTCAAGGTCCGACGCGGCAATATTTTCGAGGACTCGTATGCAGAGATCATGCGCCAGAGCGCTACAGATCTGAAGAAACGGCTCATGATCAAGTTCGACGGTGAGGATGGTCTGGACTACGGCGGATTGTCTCGGTAAGTTGAGCATCTCGTCTCAATGGCGCAAATACTGACATCGACAGCGAATTCTTCTTCTTGCTATCTCACGAGATGTTCAACCCGTTCTACTGCTTATTCGAGTACTCCGCCCACGACAACTATACTCTCCAGATCAATCCACATTCTGGCATCAACCCCGAGCATCTGAACTACTTCAAGTTTATTGGGCGAGTGTCGGTCTCGCCATTTTCCACCGTCGATTCCTGGACTCGTTCTTTATTGGTGCATTCTACAAGATGATGCTGAGGAAGAAGGTTGCGATCAATGACATGGAGGGTGTGGATGAAGAGTACCACAAGAACTTGACATGGACACTCGAAAACGACATCACTGATATTCTGGATCAAACCTTCTCGGTGGAAGATGAGCAATTCGGCGAAACAAAGACAATAGACCTCAAACCTGGCGGACGTGACATCCCTGTCACGAATGAGAACAAGCGGGAATACGTCGAGTATGTTGTTCTGAGCCACTTACTTGCTGACGCAGTCTACTAACCATTTTTCCCAACAGACTAGTTACGCAATGGAAAATCCAAACCCGAGTCGAGGAGCAATTCAACGCGTTCATCACCGGCTTCAATGAGCTCATCCCTGCCGACCTGGTCAATGTCTTCGACGAGCGTGAGCTCGAGCTCCTGATCGGTGGCATCGCTGACATCGACGTCGATGACTGGAAGAAGCACACCGATTATCGCGGCTACCAGGAGGGCGATGAGGTCATCCAGAACTTCTGGAAGATCATCCGCACCTGGGATGCGGAGCAGAAGTCGAGATTGTTGCAGTTTGCGACGGGAACGAGCAGGATTCCCGTCAACGGTTTCAAGGATTTGCAGGGAAGTGACGGGCCCAGGCGCTTCACGATTGAGAAGGCTGGCGAAATCAATGCGCTGCCGAAGAGTCACACTTGGTATGTTGTGAATTCTTATCATTATTATAGATACTAATTCGGTCACAGTTTCAATCGTCTGGATCTCCCGCCATACAAGAGCCATGATGTGCTGCAGAGCAAGCTAAGTACAGCCGTGGAGGAGACATTGGGCTTTGGACAGGAGTAGTCGTTGTACAGAAAACGACTTTCTTGTCGAGGGAGTCCAGGTAGGCAATCAAACAAGCAGGCAAGCAAACTCGTTACCATAATCATTCATCGTCATGACCAACGAGCCACCTTTTTGTACATACATGGGCTGTGCAGACATCAACATGGCCTCATGCCTGTCATTCTGTCTCACGAAGTCCTCCCCGGAGTGACACTGTGCGTATTACGTCTCAAAGCTTCGGAAACTGGTCGCGCCCATATCCGAAGCCATGCTGTCAATGGAACCGTGTTGGCTGCCATCGTCTGAGTGATTGTCGTGTTCATTGGTGCCTAGGGCCTCCGCAGTGCCTTTATCGTCGCCCACTACTGATTCAAGCGACTCTGACGATGGTCGTGCTTTGGAGTGGTGCATGTGCCAGTCTTGCAATTCGTGCGGGTCGTCTTGGTCAGAGTCCTCCAAGGACGAGTCAGACAGTAAAGGGTCGTCAATGATCGCGGCTGTCAAAGGCTGCCACAGTGAATAGTCCCGTGGCAGGTTATAGCTTGTTTTCGGCGCAGTGTGGACTTCCGTACGCAAAGGAAGGACGACACCTTGGTGGACCAACTTTTCTATAATCTTGGCCGCATCATTGTCGATCCTGGCTTCGATTTCCTGCATGATATGCTGGTCGTAAGTTCTTAATCCGCCGACATCCTCTTCCAGCTTATGAAAATCGGCTTCGGACACTAGGTCCTTCTCTTCCGTCTCCGTGCCTCCCCACAGAGGAGTCAATGAACATATGTTCAGCATCGAGCGAAACTCGGCCCAGGTCAAATCAAAGTCGTATTCCACTTGCAATGTGACTTGCAACTGGAAGAAATCCATCCTTTCGGTGAAAGCAAGAGACAGAATTCGTGTCTTGAGGGCAACCCACTCCGCTATTCGTCGTCTCGACATCGGAGGCACGAATCGCTCTCCCCGTAGAACAAGAATGTTTCGATCGCCATCGGCAGTGCCCTCCCAACAGTACTCTTGCTCGCGACGCCGCTCGTAGACTGCGCGGGCGAAGACTGACGAGCCCTGCGATGTGATATCTTTCAGATAGCGATACTGCTTCTGCTGTTTGCTGCGTGTGCATCTTTTCCCGATCTCCACGAGGAACGGCGTTGAATATCGCCAGTAACCACGCTTCGATGCGTATACATCATGTCCATCTGGCGCGGCCTGTTCTCGCATGTGATTTCGATAATTGCAGCAAGAGTCGAGGTGTCGAATGAATTGTGGCTCGTCAGCATCGACATCGCCTTCGACAGCGGCATCCCCTCGCATCTCTCTTCGTGACATCCTCATCATCTTCCGCCGCTTGACTTGGTACTCCAATACATCAGCCTGTCTGCTGAGAGCATTTCTTTGTCGTGCTTCGATGATTTTCTGCGTCCAGGCGGTTCGAGCTGCGTGGCCAATGTGACGAGGTAGACTTTGATTGCACCAAATGCAGATCCTTCTGCTCTCATAATCCGGCCCGACGAATTTGGAACATCCATCTCCGTGGCAGGTGAGCCGCTCGCTGGAGACCGCCTCGTAGTTCTGCCTGTCTTTGCACTCGATACAGAGCCAACCGTCGGTCTTCAAAGTGCACCGACAGATGCCGTGGCTTGAGTCTTGCTCACGCAACCTTTTGGCAGCTTGGGTAGCATTATTGCTGGGCAGGTTCAAGGGGTAACGTAAAGATTTGCTCGACGTGTCCTGAATCCAACAGTCGTGGCAGAAAAAGCGTACCCGATTCTTAAATGTCTCCTCCTTCCCCCGGGCGAAAGATGAACGAACGATACAGGCCTCGCAGATGAGTGCTGAACAAAGGCAGCAATTATGCACTTTGTCGCCTTTAGTATGGGTTTTGGAAGAGCAAGTTTTGGCGGTAACTTCCTTCAGGCCTTGCCAATATGAAGTGCCGTGCAGACCTACATATATAGACTCTCGGACCTTCTGATCCGGACGGACAGGCTCTGATGGCACACCGAAACCATGAAGGGCAGCTCGTAGGCCTGTGCTGCATTGAGCAGTAGAGACAAGGTCGTCAGTCGATAGATGCGAGCTTAGGCAGAGAGCCACCGGCCATATGGTGATGAGAGCCTCGAGCGACATGGGTGATGTCTGTCATGTAGCAGTAATCATCTGCGCAAGGCTGTAGCCAGTTCGTTGTCTATTTCCGCCTTGCACTTCATGGCCTTCACGGCGAGCACCTGATTCTTATACTTGGGACCGGACGTGAATTGCTGTGGCTCGTACTTGACCCGCTCCATGAACCGGCTCTTGAGAGTGTCCTAACATGTCAGGAGAGATATCAGCAGGGTCGTCTTCTTTGTCAGGTTCCCTTGATCATGTGAGAGGAAAAGAACTTTGGTACATAGTATGAGATCAGTGCTTAACAATGCCTAGCCTGATCAGATCGTTGACGGATGCCTGAAAAAGGCTGCCGTGGGCTCCGACCAATAATTTTCGGGTACATTGGTACGCGACACTCTTCCTTCCTGCGCACCGCATCCGATAGATGACGACGGCATGACTGCGCACCAAAGATGAGGAGAGAGGTGAATGTTTGAAAGGTCGTAGGTAGAGGCTGCAGTTGATCCGAAGGTCGAAGCGCGATGTCGCTTTCCACCTATATCAATCGTACGTTCCTTCCCTCGCCAACGACCCTGCCTTATGCTAATACTGTGGTAGAGAAGGTGCTAGTCATAACCGTCGACGGACGAACACTGGTGGGCACTCTCATCTCTTGCGATCAGGTCACCAACATCGTTCTCAGCGATACGATCGAGCGCATCATACGACCGGCAGACGATGACGAACCAAGCATGGAGCAAGAGCACGGCTTGTTTCTCGTGCGCGGTGATAACATCACAGTGTGCGGGCCCGTCGATGAGGAGCTGGACAAGAGCATAGATTGGACCAAAGTACGGGGGGAGCCGATTGGGACTACGAGGCACGATACGTGAGGACTACACATTGTAGCAGCGAAGCGTCTCAAGCAGTCCACGCGCACCATAAACGGGTAGGGCGTGGCACACAGTCCGCCGTCAACAAATGGCTCGAGCTGTGCATGCGCAGGGCAAGTCACACCCGGGACCTTGCTCATGGCTACGGCTTTCAGTGGCCCTCGACCAACTCAAGACTGGGGTCGAGGACGGGTAGCAGAACGGGTGCAAGCCACAGCAGTCAACGCGACCAGGCTGTGCGAAGAAGGCTGGATACTCGATGGCACAGCGAAGGGCATATTGTTCCGGCAGAATTTCTCAGGGAGTTCACAAGGCATAAAGTTGGGTGCTGTGAGCACTCTACATTGGACAACGCTAGTTGTAGGATGATCGAAAGAGGATATGACGAAGATGAAGATGAAAGTGATTAGATTGGTCTGATGCTCGCTAAGCACAAGAAGGAAGCCATAAAGAGGACTTCATATGTCGACAAGATGCTGCGTAATCTCACTGCAAGCTGAGTTTCCGTAATAAGCTCGGGAAGGGATGCTCTCCGTCTTCCTGCTTTGCGATGTTTGCAGTGACCTGGCTGTAGAGATTCTCCGGGTCTATGCATTCCAATATGCTGTCGTCGTAAAATTTGTAAAGCGTGCCCCCAGCAGTCCATATTCGCCGCAATGTCGCCACAAGCGCAAGTGGCGAGTAGATCTGATACTCCTCCTTCTCCATCTCTTTTAAGCGCTCAATTGATGTATATGATCGCTCCCACGTGCAGCCAGTCTGCTCCTCATACTCGGCCAGGATCTCGTGGGGCGTGGCGGTAAATGAATGCACGATAAGGGTCGTGTTGCGAGAGGCACGCCCGTTCAGTAGCGAGGCGACAAGAAATTTCCCCACGCTGAGCCGCATCGTCAGCACTTTGTTATACAGGGGTCTGTACGACTGGGTATGAACTTACTCAATCATGGCAGTGAAGCTGACCGGGCCTTCTCCGTCCCCAAGCAAGACTGCCCGCTTCAGGGAAACATCGAAACTGCCCAATTCAGGCCTGCCCTTCATTGGGCCGAAGTATAGATCACTGTAGCTGTAGGACACGAATTCAGTGGCGCCCAAGAGAAGGTTCGAAGTGCACTTACGGCCCGGTCACCAGATATGTGTATTCTAGCTTCTTCATCGATTGCATATGTGCTCGCACTTTGAGCTTCGCAAGATGTGGTGGCTCGTGCACTGACTCTGGCCAATACTCGATATCTGTCCCAAATTCGGATGGGTAGAATCGTCGGACGCCAGCTTCTTCGGCCCAGGTGATAAGTGGGATCTGCTTCTCAACACCCTTGCGACCAACACACGATACTACTGTATCGATGCCTGCCAATTGACCATGTTAGTCTCCGTCGGTAATCAATCGCGGATCTGGCTTGCTATTACCTCGATATGCCTCTTTCACCCTGTGCTCATCGTCCAGGTTCCCTACAAATACCTCCACTCCCCATGATTCCAGTGCGCAGATATCCTGCACTTTCTCGAGCAGTGTCTTCTCGCTGGTCAGGACGCATATCCGGTTGAAATGGTGCTGTGCATCGACAATCGCTCGTGTGATATAAGTCCCGATTACGCCTGTTGCACCGATTACAAGTATATTCTGAGCCGGTTGTCCCCAGGACATGGCTGGCAGAGGCTTGATCATGCAGCGTAAACTTGCCCCTACGGGCAATCGTCGGGTAGGTCGCGGGGCGAGTGATTCGGCCACCCCCAGGCGGAGATCTGATCTGACGTAGATCTGGGTACTTCGTGGTTTATGGGAGCTATAGAGATCGATTTCAAGAGATCGTGATGTCAATGCTATGGTGTTGAAGGTGAACCTCGTGTCGTCGAAAAGTATACTTTCGACTGTTGTCTAGGAGTTTACAATGGAATGGGCCCCTTTATTATTCACCAATCGATAAACCCTTCGGCGCCAAAGGCAAAGGATGCCACGGGAAAGCTAGAATCGGCAACGAATGCAATCTGGACGGGCCGCAGATCACTTCATCAAATGGCCCTCCTCCAAGAGTTCAAGTACGCCTTGGATACAGTACTGATCAAGTTTCAAGATGCTACCCACGCAAAAGCACCCGCAAGCCTAGCCATCCTCGTTCGCGATCGAGCTCAGTCGCTAAGCTTGACCAAACTGCCACCACTACTGACCAGAATAGATAACTATAAACTTCACTACGGAGTACACGGATCTTCCCACAAGCCACTGCCTACTTTTCGTTCCCGTATATCACCAGGACGCAATGGCACTGGACGATGTCATATGCCTGTCATGTCCAACAGCAGACCCGGCCTGCATTGGATACTGTCCCCAGTATTTGGTCAAGGGTCACACAGAATACCCGCATTATCGCAGTGTCGTGGTGAAACGCGAGCCTCAAAGCAGAATATCCCGCTCCCGCTAGGGTAGGAGTGCGAATACGCTCCAACATCGCCACAAAGAGACTTGGAGCTAATGCACTAATTTCAGGGCAAGCAGAGCAGGCCAGGCACCAGAAGACGTTCCTGCTTGCGGACAAAGCGACCGTGCATGGCAGGCACACCTGCATACCTAATGTATGCGCAATTCTTCCTGCAGCGGTCTCCGTTTGCAGATATTACTTGAGATCCGGTGTCCCGGACCGCTGCGCGATGCCCACCATCCTGTTCTGTTCCGCCGAATCTTCGAGTCGATGACAAGCACTGTAGGATGCCATGGCCCCCACGAACACCACCCTACTTCTTTCAACTCAGCTCGAGGCGTATTCCCGAACCAACACCAATGTCTCAGTGTCAGACAAGACAGACCACATCCTGGCGTGACGTTTAATCTACATTACATACAGCCTCAGTGCTACCCTCACCGTCTGAATACGAAGTAACGACCACAAAATCATCCCACCCAAAGGCCAAGTGCGTTCGATATCACACCACGCCGCCGGGGCTGCCCATACCAAGCCTCCGTCAACGGACGAGCCTAAAGACGACTCGCTTAGCAGCAGCCCGCTCGGAGATTAAGATTTACCCTGCAGCGACGTTAGGACGCCGATGTTGATGCTTCGGCGTCTGCAGAGACAGCCTCGTTCATTTCGTTCGTCCGTTTCTCTTCGCAAGCCAGCACTGCTTCGGGCAAATTGTGCCGCTCTCGGTGCCATAAATGACTAACAAGCGATCGCAGTAGTGGCACTCTATCGGCGACGCCGTTCGAAGACTGTATCGCAGCGGGACGCAGGTCCTCAATCATGAAACTCGCTTTTTTTTGTGTTATCTACTTATCGCGAGACGCTGAATATATACGCTGGTATACACATTCTATCGCCTCATTCCTGGGAGGCCGGTGTCGAAAGAGCAGAAAGTCTGGTCTCCAGTCCCACAAATGTTCGTCTCGCCTTTACTGGCCCTTTGCCTTCTGCACCTCCGCCAAACCCTCCTTCAGCGCCTCGATCGCCTTGTCGATCTCTCCTCTGCTCTCGTCCATCGCACTCACGCCCATGTGTCCGAAGCGAATATACTTCGTTGCGATCTCCTTGTGCAGTCCACCCGCGAAAACAACTCCTCTGTCCATCAGCTTCGGAAGGATCTCTGGCGGTGTCATGCCTTCTGGTAGGTAAATCGCAGTCATAGTATTGGCTGCGTTGTCAGGCGACGTAGCCAATTGCTTCAGTCCGAGGTCTGTGACGACGGACTTAACCTTTTTCGAGATTTTCTGGTGCTGAGCCACGCGATCCGCAATGGGCTTCTGAAGCAGTTGAGTGAGAGCGGTGTGGAGTGCGTGCACAAGCTGCGTAGGAGGCGTGGCGAAGTAGGAGGGCTTCTTCGCCTCGTAGTTCTGCATGATTGGTGTCCAATTCTTGAAAGAAGCATAGTATGACCCAGGCGGCGACTTGCGGGATTTGAAGACGTTCATGGCTTTCTCTGATGCCATCGATATCGACAAGCCTGGCGGGCAACCGATAGCCTTCTGTGTAGCGGTCAAGGCGAAGTCGACCCGCATGTCATCAAAGTGAAGCTCTTCACCACCCACTGAGCACACACCATCAACAATCAGCAGCGTGTCGGGAGAAACCTTCTGGATCAAATCGGACAGAGGCTGGATTTGTGATAGAACGCCAGTTGACGTATCGACGTGCGTGACGGTGACAGCCTTGTACTTCTTGGACTTGAGGGCTTCCTCGATCTCCGGCAGCTGCGGCCTCCCACCAATCTTAGCTTTGAGTTGTGTGGGTTTGGCGCCATATGTGGTAAAGCAGTCGGCGAAGGAGTCAGCGAAATAGCCAGTGTGCAGAACTAGTACCTCCTCGCCGGGTTCGACGAGGTTGGCAGCCGCGAGATCCCAGCCTAACGTGCCAGAGCCAGCGATTGCGAATGGTTGCGAGTTGGGATTCTTGGTCTGGAACAGTTGCCGCAGCATCGATAGAGCCTCGCCGAAGGTGTTCACAAATGGCTGGCCGACATGCGACTGCGCAAACGTGGCCATGGACTGAGAAACTTCATCGGTGACCTCGATAGGCCCAGGTATCAGAAGCGTCGGATGCTTCGCTTGTGACGACATCTTCGAAGTTGTTGATATGCTTCGCTGTGAGGAAGGCCTGCATGCGAGTTTGTCGTCGTGTGTATGGGACTGTCGCTCGATCGAATATGGTGTGTTGAACGATTGAGGCGTGGCCGTTTCCAGATGTTGAGATATCAAAGAGAGCCGTGAGGCAGGGGAGGATCGTGATGGCGCCAGGGTGACTATGCCTCGAGAGGCTGAGGGGTAATATTTATTTTGATGATGTCGAGCGGGGTGCTCGCGGACTGGGGTAAGTGGAAGCTTGTGCGTTCGCTCAGTGTGCCGGACGGTCGTGCCTGAGGGCCGTATGGTGCCAAACGATCGGTGCACAGCCGTTCTCAAGAAGAAGCGTCGATTGAGAGAAATCATGGCTGGGTTTGCCGCCTCCTGTCAGAGCTCGCTGGCCCACACTTTGCATGCCTTTTTTTCCTCGTGCTCCTGCTTCGGAGCTCAATTCTGCCTGCAGTAGCCCAGATTAGCAGCAATGGCAGCTCTCTGTGAAGGGGCTGTTCGTGGGGCCTCCGCGCTAAATAGTTATGGCAGACACGAAGGAGAGGTGTGCCCCAGAACAAAAGCCCATACACTGTCAGCACAGGGAACAAGAATCAGCTGATATAGACCTCGGGAAGCCGTCGCTTTATGTCACGTTCAGTACTATGTACTCGCACGCGTCGTCAGTACAGACTTCCGTCGTAATGGTCAAGCATACAGTACGGAGAGAAAGAGCTGCTGAGCTCCCGGCACTGGCCCTAAGCTCTTGGTCCACTGACTCAGCATCCGGCTCCTTTCTCCAATGCCTGAACGTGCATCGTAGTTGCTGAGTCGATGCTCAGAACGAGGCATCACACAGTCTCGAGAGCCGCTGTGGCCATAGAAGACGCCTGAGCGGAACAAGAGGTAGGAGCTTGCCTGCCGTCCTGTTCGACCACTGACGACGTTGCGATGATCACTGTCAGAACGCCTGATAGGCATCAAGGGCGCGCTTGCTGACATCGACGGGATGGAGTCAAGATAAAAAGGTCCGAGACTGCTCCATCTTCGAGATACAGTACTTACCTCGACTTACAGTGCTACTCATGCAAGCTATCTTACGAAATTCTTGTGGTTCATCACTGACTTCTCTGACAAAAGGCCGCGTCCAACCTCGGTTGAGCAACATTGTGTACTCTGGGATGGCCACGTTCAAACCACCACCATTGCCTACGGGTAAAGATAAGCACCACGTCGTCGTCCTAGAGGCAAAGCATGTTCCTATGCCACGTTTCGATTTCCCACATACCATTGATCTGCATCCACTCACAAAACAGCATGAGGTGGCCGAACGTATCAAGGACGCTACCATCGTGATTGCATGTGTCACGCCCGTCACCCCAGCTGACCTGGACGTTGCTAAGCATGTGGGATGTCTCGCAATCATGGCCGTGGGAATGGCCTGGCTCAACAAAGAGGAATTCGCCAAGCGCGGCGTGACGGTCACAAATTGTGCTGGAGCGAATGTGGAGGCCGTGTCGGAGCACTTTCTCGCCTTGTACTTTGCGTTGCGAAAGAAAGTCGTCGAGATAGATCGCACTGTCAAGGAAACGGATGAATGGAGGCAAGAAGGCACTGTCACGAACCACTGGGAATCCAGGAAGCCTCCGCCGGGCTGCGGGCAAGAAGTGCTCGGCATATTGGGATACGGCACAATAGGAAAGAGGATAGCACTCTTGGGCAAAGCGCTGGGATTTGCGGAGATCCTCATAGCTGACCGGAAAGGCGCAACTGCGGAAGCAACGAAAGAAGGCAGAACGCCATTTGATGAAGTCGTCAAGCGTTCAAGCACTTTGGCAGTTTGTGCGCCTCTTACTAAGGACACTGTCGATCTTATTTCCGAATCAGAACTTCAGTCCATGCGAAAAGAAGCGCTTGTGATCAATTTGGCGAGGGGAGGTATCGTCAACGAAGCCGCTCTTGCGCGAGCTCTGACGAGCGGACAGGTGGCCGGAGCCGCCACAGATGTACTCGAGACGGAGCCTGGAGGCCCTGGCTCGACGCCGTTGCTCCCAGATCTGTCGAAAGGCGAACCTGCGATACCGAATTTCGTGATATGTAAGTTTAGACCGCTCCCTTGCCCCATGTAGCCAGCAGACTGACCATTCGCAGCTCCACACATAGCCTGGTTCACACAGGTCACGATCATCAACTATCAACAGATGCTCAAAGAAGGGGTCGAGCGGTGGGTTGCTGGCTCACTCATTCAGGACGGCAAAGTGATCCATGCAGTCTGCATTCATGATGGGAAAATCTATCGGTAGATGCAGCCTCGGTCAAACAGCTCAGACTTGCCTTTGCGCTTCATGGTAGTGACACGGCGGCTGTAAGTGGTATCTTGCTGCCAGCACGCATCGCATCAGAAGTATCTGTGTGATCATCATCGCTGTGTCGAGGCTTCGGCTCTGCCTACGCGAGCGCATCTGTGCCTTTCCGGCGCCCTGCTCCAGTCTCCATCTTCGCTGTCCGGGCGCCAAATTGTATCGCTCGCTTTTTCTCCGAAGCGACTTGATACATGCCAAGTTTCCAAGCCACCAGTCGTAGAGCCATCTTCGCAGCGTCAAGTCTTGCAGGATCAGTGACTCGTACCGAGCCGTCGAAATGCTTCGGGACCGCTCGATCCGGCCTGAAGCCACACTTCTCCCACACTGGCAAACTCAGTGTATATGCAACAAAGTCTTCATCGAGGAAAGGATAACGCGTTTCTCGACCCCAGTGACTTATAACGCGATCATCTCGGCCGAGGTTACGTTGACCTATTCGCTGATAGTCCAGATTGAGTTCGTCGGCCAGGCCTTTGAAGCCGCTCCGTACGAATGCAGCTGCGTGTCGAGAATAGCCGCCGAAAAGCTCATCGGCGCCGAGACCTGATAGAAGGACACGCGAAGTGGTTGAGTAGTCCTCAGTGCGGACATCTGGTGATAGTGAAGAGTATGCTCGACCGTGACCTCTTGCCGCAAAGTAAAGCGCCATGGCGATCGATAAATCCATTTCAGAGTTATGCGGTCGCATCAGCTCTATAGTATGCGGTCGGTGTTCCTGGCTCAGGGAAAACGGTATGTCGATGGCGACAAATCGCCACTGTCTTTGCGGGCACACTTGTGATAATTCCGCGAAAGACGCCCGACCAGTAATTCTGTCGGGACAGATCTCATAAGGAGAGGCGTCTGCATCTGGTTGCGACTTCATCGTCCGAGGATTCTCGAAAGCAACGTTCAACAGATCGATCGGTTCGTCGTGAGCAAGAATGTCATGCACCATGCGCGCGAGCAACGTACAGTCAAGTCCTCCCGAGAAGAGTACAGCGACCTTTGTTAGGTGTGGTGTTTGATGAGAATAGCGTGATCAGGAATGTCCAGGACGCGGAGTCTTAGTGACTCGGACAGGTGTTGCATAAGCTGGTCTGTCGTCGCTGCCGATGGCGTGGCTGGTATTGCTGCTGCAGAGCTGTCATTGTTGAACTCAGGTGCCGGTGCCGGGCTAGGAATCGTCGAGGTCAGGATCTTGTCGTCACCGAATTTTACTGAGTGTAAACATGCGGGATCAACTTCTTCCAGGTCTCCAGCCTTAGCAACAGCAACACTACACAGTGTCATCCCGCCATCGCTGCCTCGCTGCAAAGTAAGCGAACGTCGACCAAGTCGATCTCTGCCATAGTAAATAGTCGTTGACGTGGCATCGTAGAACACGAAGGCATATGGACCTGCAATACTTGTCAGCACATCAGGAATAGCTGCTCCTGGCGCGGATGATGCAGCAGCGTTTAAGAGCTCCTGGAAGACCTGGACCGTGTCGTTGCCGGTCACAACCCTTCCGTCGACCTTCCAAGCTTCACCGTTCCAGCATAAGATGGAGCCTGTAGGCTCATCGACAAATGGCTGAGCCTCAATCTGGCCACCTCTGAGTGCTAGCACACTTGAGCAGAAAGTCACGCACTTTCGCGACTCGTTCTTCGCGCAAGTAGTCTGGTTCGGTAATGGCAGCGTGACATGTTGTAGGCTATCCGGACCACGCGCATTCAGCAGCTGCGTCGTGCGCTCATCTATAGTCACATCTCGCTGGTGGCCGATCGAGACGAATATGCCACACATTGAGCCGTGGAAAGAGTGAAGCTGGAAATGAATGAGTGGTCGCCTGGGTTCATGTCACGCGTTGAAATTGTTCGTTTAGAGACCTCAGAGGGGGAGAAAAGATCTAGGCCTCTAAAGGACTAGCCCCTTGGGCTTGAGGGGCATCAGCCTTGCCTGAGCGCTGTCAGACAGCTGTCAGACAGCATGCGGACTCGGCAACGACTCCAGACAATGGTCATATACAATAGTGATTGTACAGCGGCATACTTAAAACACCCTCCTGCCATTGCAGAACATGACTCAAATAGTCGCGCGGTTGACGCACTTCTCGACATCGGACTTGAGCGTGCATAAATGCCTAGGGTATCTGGAGCACGGCAGCGTTGCCGGTGCGGGGACGACATGTATGTCATTGACTGCCGTTCTGCCACGAATATAGGTGCGCTGCGAGGATAAGCCAACGAGGCACAGATCTTGCTTGTCCGACAACTGTAACGCCACTGGAATTCTGGGTGGACATCTCGCACCATGGGCAGTATAGGACAAATCGCGACGCCACCACGGCGGATAGAGTTAGCAGGCAGTCCGCACGAGGTTCGTTACACCTTCCTTGCTGTATCCATTGCCTAAATGCAGCAGATCGGTCTTGAGCATGGCAGGCAATTGTCGCAAGAGATTCGGAGCCAGATCGAAGTCTACACGGCTATGTTCAAGCAGACATCGAAATTGGACTGGCCCGACGTGAGGGAGGTCTCCCGAGACTATGCTCAGACCGTTCAACGTCTAACACCCGATGTGTACTCGGAAATGGAAGGTAGGACTCATAAACGTTCGCTGATTTCGTCCATCGTCTGACGTGCGGGTTCGAAGGCATCGCCGAAGGCGCGCGCCTTGACATTCTGGACATAGTAGCACTCAACAGTCGCAGCGAGATCGCGCTGGGCCTTTTTTCGGATGGCTGTTCGAGCCTCGGGTGGAAGCGGCAAGACCATGTCCTTCTTGCCCAGAACTGGGACTGGACTGCCAGGGTCAAGACCAACTGTGTGTTGATGTCGATAAAGCAGGAAAACAAGCCCGTCATCTGGATGGTAACCGAGGTTCGTCCGCCGACCCCGATGAGAAGTATTGGCGCCTGATGACTGCGTACAGGCTGGGATTGTCGGTAAGATAGGTTTCAATTCTGCCGGAGTCGGCGTATGCTTGAATGCAATCCGAGCAAAGCCTGTGGACTCGAGCAAACTTCCCGTCCATGTTGCTCTAAGGGTGTGTCTGGACAGCAAGACGAAGCAGGAGGCCTTCAGCCGGGTCACAGACCTTGGCGGAGTTGCGTCAGCTCAGCACATCTTGATTGCTGATGCTGAGGGCCCGGTAAGCTGGGAGGTATCCCCCAAAGGCGACGTACAAATTGAGCCGGACGAGGACGGTCTTGTATGCCATACAAACCACATGATACAGAACAAATTCATCAACGAGCCTCCATGGCTATCTGGCTCACCGACTCGACTACAACGAATCCGCGAGCTCTCGAAGAAGCTGGAGCAGAGTGAGCAGAACTTTGGCACCCAGAAGTTAAGAGACCGCGTGTTTTCGGACACTTACAACGCACCTCAGGCGATTTGTTGCCAGGAAGACCCTTCGCGGCCAATTGAGACGCGCAGTAGCACGCTCTTCAATATCATTACGAAGTTTGGCCAGGACCATCCAGTTGCGGAAGTAGTTTGGGGACGGCCGGGTTCTGGCGAAGAGGGCGAAGTCATTAGCATGCCATGGTAAAAAGAAGCCCGCTCGATGTAGACCCGAGAATCGGTAGAAAGCGAAGTCATCAGCATGCCATGGTAAAAAGAAGCCCGCTCGATGTAGACCCGAGAATCGGTAGAAAGCGAAGTCATCAGCATGCCATGGTAAAAAGAAGCCTGCTCGATGCAGAATCGAGAACCGGTAGAAGGCGAAGTCATCAGCATGCCATGGTAAAAAGAAGCCTGCTCGATGCAGAATCGAGAACCGGTAGAAGGCGAAGTCAATCAGCATGCCATGGTAAGAAGAAGCCTGCTCGATGCAGGCCTGAGAACCGGTAGAAGCCTCTCTTTCTTTCATTAATTCGAGCGCTATAAGCAATCGAGACCCCAGATCAGACGATGTTCGGGTCAGACGGCATGATGGCCACGCGTGGAAGACTGTCGATCGCGTCGCGATTGATCTCGCTGATCTTGGGATAGCTGCTCACCAATTAGCCGAGCACTTATCAGAGGTATACAAAACTCACCCAGCACATTCCTGCAGAAGGTCAAACTCAGCAAGCAGAGCACGCATAACGTGATCGACCCCTTGCTGCCCACGGATCGATAAGCCCCAGACCTAGTGAAGAACCCCGTCAGCAAAGCAAAGCAGGGCTTGGTGGCCTGAGATACTCACCCAGAGGCGGCCGACAAAGACGAACTTTGCTCCGAGAGCCAGCGCTTTGAACACATCGGCGCCCGTACGAACTCCGGAGTCATACATAACAACGATCTTGTCCCCGACAGCCTCCGCAATCTTCTCGAGGGCGTCCAGGCTCGAGATTGCTCCGTCCACCTGCCGTCCTGCATGATTACTCACCACGATCCCATCTACTCCCAGTTCTACCGCCTTTTTCGCATCCGCCACGCTCTGGATACCCTTCAGACAGAATGGCTTCCCGCCACTGATCCGCTTCCACTGCTCCATCAACCACGGCAGCTTCTCCCACGTATGGCTGTGCCCATGCCAGATATTCTCATCCATCCACTTCGCACCCGCCTTCTTCGGCTCCTTCGCAGGATCAATGTTCGCCTCCTTCAAGCGCTGCAGGAACACCTTATCATTAAGTCCGATACCGCCAGTGCCATGCTCGTGATAAAAGGCATAGTTGCCTTCGTACGCGTCATTGTGCCGCCACGCGAGCTGCCACGTGTCAGTGGTGAGCATGAGGGCAGTGAATCCGCTGTCGTAGGCGCGCTGTAGCATGTTCACCGCCTGCTCATCGTCAGGACTCTGGTAGAGCTGGAAGAAGCGTACGCCGTCGCCATTGGCTTTGCCAACATCCTCAATGCTATAGCTGCCGGCGGAGGAGAGACAGTACAACAGATTGAGGTCCTTGGCTACCTTAGCAACGCTGAGCTCGCCAGTAGGATGGTAGATGCGGTTGATACCAATAGGCGCGAAACCAATCGGGCCAGCAAGCTTGTGGCCGAAGAGAGTGGTTGCGCTGTCGCGAATGTTGGTGTCAACGAGCATGCGGGGGATGATTTGGTGGCGATAGAAGGAGGTGCGGTTCGCATAGTGCGTCCAGCTGATGCCGGCGTTGCAGCTACTGTAGTACCATCCGCCTTGGCTGAGCTTTTCTTTGGCAAGCTTCCTGATTTCCTCAGGGTCCGTATTGAAGGGCTGAACTTTACCTTCGTTCGGTGCCCAGAACATCTCCCGTTGCATCAAGCCCCATTGTGGTGTGGAGCGGGCGTGGATGTTTGGATTGTTTGGGTCACTCATTTTTGAAGGATCGTGCCTGTTCTTAGATACTGCTCGGTGTATCGATCTGTTGGTGAAGGAGGTCGTTCGACTATTGCCCATGTTCGCAAGGCCTGTTCGGGAGGACTGTCTGACTATATGAAGACATTATCCCCTGGTCTGCGGTCACTCATGCCGATTCGAGTGCTGAAGCTGCGTCACCAACATCCTGATCATTTACCCAGGAGACAATTTGATGTGTTCCAGGTATCTGATGCCTCTCCATCCGAGCGATCCCTGGAGCACCAGCAACGAGTGCCTGCGATGAACATGGTAGGACCGGAGCACTGTGCCACTTTTCCGGAAAGAATTGATGCCTGTAAAGGGTCTGTACACGGACTAGATCGCGGTCGCTGACTCCTCCGGTGTCGTGCTCGCTGCCAGTGACGATAATGTTTGGGTGGAAACGTCAGGGAGACGAACTTGAAAGGCCAAAATGTGCTCTTTCGTGCATGTTTGCTAAGCGCGGAGGCGGAGGCTACTCCAATGACGTCGCCGTGCGATCGCCAGGAGTATGCCCCCATACATAAGCTGACAAAAGGACAACGTGAAAAGAAAGCCGTTCGGTCTAGACTCCTATGCTAGAGCTCTGGCGGTGGTGAGCTCACTGCTTGGGATAAGAAGAGAAACCACATTCGTCTTGGGGCCCGATGAGTAAGAAGTGCTGAGCAAACGAATCCCTCCCGGACGGCTCTGGGCTAGGTATTCTAGGCACGCAGCGCATTGCTGCAGCTAGGTTTGCCAAAGGTGGTCGCCTAAAGATTGAAGCAGCAGCTTCTGAAATCGGCCTAAGGACTTTGCTTTTCTCAACTGCAACGATGCTTCGCAGCCCTGGCTTGAGAAGCGATCTGCAAAACAATGGTCACGTACGATTGCTGGTTCCATGAATGTCGTCTTCATGGTCGCACCTCGCGATCATCGCGTGGTGTCCGCTTCCCCAAAGCGTCTAAAGCACACTTGAGTCGCTGACGCAGCCACGATGGTTGTTCCGGACGTCAGTATCTATGGCCCCGTGCTTGGTCTCGATTCTCCGGACAGCATGCATTGCTGCTAAAGGGACTAAGTATGCGTACTGAGCTAGTCTCTCGGAACTCACCATGGCATTAAATGGAAGTCGACGGAATGATATAAGATCGCGAGTCAGACGAGCAGATCCTGGTGCAGGTCTGAGTATCCTGGATCGTCAGGACTTCGCCTTCAAGTCTAAACAGACTGCAGATCGATCTCGCGACTCACAGGATGGCTGACACCCAAGCTTTCAGTAGCCTCCCTGGCGACAATAACACTGAGCTCAGGACCACGGACTACGAGGACGAAGTGTACCAGAGAGGGCTGCAGTTCTCCCGGCCACCGTTCACGTTCAAGTCACTCGACTGGGAAGGTCTGGCCATGCAACGTATGTCAGCGGAGTCTACCGGCTATCTTGTCGGCAACGCCGGAACAGGTGAGACAGCCACCAAGAACCGCAAAGCGTTCGAGCGATGGTCGCTCGTCCCGCAACGACTGATTGAGACTGAGAAGTTGCCAAGGCTGTCCACTCAGATCTTGGGTCATCGAATGCCTGTACCATTCGCCATGGCCCCAGTTGGAGTGCAGCGCACCTTCAACCCTGAGGGCGAAATAGCCGCAGCCAGGGCGGCCTCCGATCAACACGTGCCATTCATCATGAGCTCTGCTAGCAGCGCAAGCGTCGAAGATGTGGCTGCGGCAAATGGCTCTGGGACACGCTGGTACCAGCTCTACTGGCCGAGCAATAAGGATTACGACATCACCAGATCGATCCTGAAGCGTGCGAAGGATGCAGGATTCTCCGCTCTTTTCGTGACCCTGGACACTTACGTTCTCGGATGGAGACCAAGCGACATGGACAACGGCTACAATCCATTCCTTCGTTCAGACCGTGTCGGTGTGGCTGTGGGCTTCTCCGACCCTGTCTTTCGAAAGCAATTTAGGGAAAGGTATGGGAACGAGATTGAAGACGACCAGGGTCTAGCTGCGGCCTTGTGGACCAGAACCATATTTCCACGCTACAGCCACTCATGGGAGGACCTCCAACTGCTTCGGGAAGCATGGGATGGGCCTATAGTTCTCAAAGGGATTCAATCCGTGGCAGATGCTCGAAAAGCCGTCGAGGCAGGTGTCCAGGGCATAGTTGTCAGCAATCATGGCGGTAGGCAGACGGATGGAGGTGTAAGCTCGTTGGGTATGCTTCCTCGCATTGTCGATGCTGTCGGAGGAGACCTCGAGGTTTTCTTCGACTCAGGCATCAGATGTGGTGCAGACATCGCCAAAGCTTTAGCTCTCGGGGCTAACATGTGCCTTGTTGGTCGTCCATACATCTATGGACTGGTCCTTGGTGGAGAAGCTGGTGTCAGCCATGTCTTAAAAACGCTGGCTGGAGACCTCCAATTGACTTTGCACCTCTCTGGCATACCTTCGAGTGCACCTGAGCATCTCGGCAGACATAGACTGATCAGGGAGGACGAACTATAGTAGACCATATGTATCTACTAGTAGACATGCGAAGCTGCACGATTCATGCGTCTAGATACCGAAAAACAAGTTGTCGGGAAACCTCTGTACCTCTGACACCATACCCATGTCGCTCTTACGATTACTCGTTGTAGTCAGCACATCTCGAGTCGTGCCAAACGTACGCTGCCTTTCTCTGCTGCCCCGGCGGGAGAACTCTGCCAGTATGGTGATCCAGCGATGGTAGAATATCGTTTGACTAGGCTATCGTTACACATCACGCGATTAGATGATGCTACGGGGGCGAGACCGTTGCAGCAAGGTCTAAGACACCAGCATGGACGGAATGACAGAAAGTCATGGCCTAGTAGCGTTGGCTTTCTATCGACGCTCATACCCGTTGCATGATAGGTAGCTAGTAGAAGCGCAGTCTGGCCACCCATAGCACTCGTGCTGCCCGTCGAATTCCTCTCAGCTTGCGTATCCTTGACGGCGAGCTCACCGCCGGCATTCCTTCTGCAGGCGCTACAAAGACAGGGTCCTGGACGCAGACCTCTCGTGTAAAGTGGTGTGCCAATGCTGTCCGAAGAGTCCTGAGATCATCAGCGCCATTTACTACAGACCAATTGACCGGCTAGCCATGTTGATTAGCTGACGAAACCGACCAACATGGAACCTGTAGGCTGACTACTATGGCATCTGACTAGGGTCTGAAGCGTCTGTGGCCACGTAGAAGACACAAGTACAAGTCTTGGTCCACACACGAGGACCACCGGAGTGCAAATAAGCCGGTCGCATTTCTCGCCCGGCCGCAGATCATCGCCCTGGGCGGACTAGCGGTACAGAGAGATGGCTTGGAATTCCCTCTTTGAGCTGCACTTGTGCAACCCTGAATGCTTCCAGTTCAGGAACGAGGCTGCGAGTACATGCGAGCGTCAGGGCGTGATGCAACAGCACACAAGTCATGGACATAAACCGACGGCATATATGCTCCAGCACGAATGTGTCGGAACCTTAGTTGAATCAATAAACGTTAAGATCTCAAGTCATGGCGTCAGCAGACCCGTTGTTCATCAACTATTCCCCAACCGGCAAGCTTAGTCGCAAGGATCGGTATAAGGTGGCGCAACACATCAGCAGGTACCATCGCAACAGATCGAAACCGAATCTCAGGAATAAAGCAGGGCTGTCCTTCGTCGATGAAGCTGATGGTGCTTCATGGATTTCGGGGGCTGGCCATGAGGCAGGACGCCACCAGCGTGTCGCAGCTGGCGCCAGTACATCCAGTTCAGAGGACTTCATCGCTACTGGCGACAGAGCGAACATGCAACGAGGTGGTCCGTCCAATCGTGATCTCCCACATGACGGTCATGGCGCTTGGTCCGACCCATTTGCCAGTCTGCCGATCAGAACGCGTGGTGATGTCGGTCAGACCATTCAATTCTGTAAGGCTTACCTGGCGATAACTTACCTCAACTTACGTTGCCAAACAGCAAGCGCAGCGACTATAACACGTCTTAGTCGCCAAAGTCTATGCTCCATACAGATATATGATACAAACCAATCTGCCTCCCAGCGAGCAACAATGCCATGTCCAGGAGTACTTCCGATTCGCGATGCAGCACGGTGGATTGTTTGCAGCTCTGCTCGCAGTATCTCGATGCCACACCTCTGTCCTGCAAGGCTCTGCAACCGTGGGAGATGATCTGGTCCTGTACTACTATGGTCAGGGCATTTCCAGTCTGCACAAGCTCTCGGTGGGCCGCTCCAAAGACACGGACAGTGCTATCGTCGCCACCATAATCACCCTGATGAACGTTGATGTGGGCCTAGTCTGTACTGCACCTTCGATACTCCTAGACTGACGCTTCCTAGTTGAACATTGGACGTGAGAGCTCGTTTCACGTCCACATGCGCGGACTGCTCAATGTAATCAGGGACGCTGGTGGCCTGAGAGCATTGCGCTTCGCCACGCTCAACCAGCCCTTATCACACATGTTAGTTCATACGCGGCAAAGGCAGAGAACAAACGCTGAATTTTGCAGGTTGTATGCTTATGATGCGTATCTCAGCCGTTTGTTCGAACCAGCACCGGCCCGCAAAGAGTATACAATTTTCGCGGAACAGATGCCGGCGGCTGACAAAACACACGACACTCCCCAGATACAAGCACCAGCTGACCGGAATCCGCTTCTTCCAGCGTTGGTCATCGGTCTCAGGGCTCGTGGGTTAGTCTCGGACGAGACCGTAGATCTGTTCGTTCGCGCAAAGGCACCATTGCAGCACCGAGCCACATCGGACGCAACAACATCAACCGCTCTCAGCTCTCCTGGTCAGTACCCTGGCTCCCTCAATCTTGAGGTCCTGGAACAGCTCACCGTCATGCTCAATCGGACAAGCTTTGGATCAGCAGATCATGTTCTATGCCTGGCTTTGTTCTACGAGCAGATCGACACGTCGGCTATGGGCCGCTCAAACCAGATCGTACACCGTGCAGCGGTAGAGCATGCCCGGAAGCTCTTGCGGACGACGGTGGACGCTATAAATGGGCCTGACACAGGTCTCCTGTTGATCTGCCACGTCATGGTGATCAGAATCATGACAGTAGCTGGGCCTAGCTTTGCGCGATCTCACAAAGTGCTGATCTCAAATGTAGTTGAGCGCGTTGAGAGGCTGCTAAGCCAGACCAAGCTTGGCTTGGTTGCTATACTAGAAGATTATTACCTGACTGCTGAGCCTGTGGAGAGCTTGCTGGAAGCATGGGACCTTGCAAAGCAGTATCAGACAGGTCACAGATAATCCAATTCGCAGCATACTGTACAAGCATTGGGATCTGAGTGGGCGGAGGGTCGTAGCCCTTCCCGTCGAGCAACGTGGCCAGTGAGTACTTTGGGAGGCTTTGTGGTACTGCCAAAATACGTACCAGGATGACATCCAAGTTCCATGAGGTTGCTGTCAGATTCGGCCCTCTGCACATTTTCGGCAAAGAGTGACTCGGATATACCTAGTCGAAGATGCCCGCAAGGACGGGTTTCACGCGACTTCACGCCAAGCTTGCCGGTAAGGCATGATAAGGCTGGATAAGGCTGCCATCTTGATGATCGACGTGACAACACCGTTTCATATCGAGTCCCAGACTGAAGCATGGCCTGCCATTTGCAGCCCAGCTGGACCTGATATGTGCTATGGCATGTTTCAAAAATAAGAGCTGACGTTACTACCGGTGTTCGACCACATCACCGACTCGAGCCAAAGTTATGCAGTAACCACCCTCGAGCTTGCGGGCAGTGACGACCGGCATCGCGACCGGCACCATGTCGGGAACTCCTGACAACCAGGAACAACATGTCTCCGAGAAGGCGGACGAGTCAACAGGGAATCACGGCGAAGCAGAGCTCGACGAGAAGCGGCCTGAGAAGGAGGCAAATACCACGCCGCAAGCCGACATGCTGGACGACAAGATCAAGGATCTGAGCCTCGGTGTCACGCAGAGCAGTAATGATGACCCAGGACCATCAAAAGAGCTACCGAGTACTCCGCCACCACCTGAACCTCCAGCAGTGGATGAGAAGCCTTATCGAGATCCTACCCCGAAGACACCCATCCCATCACGTATGCCCTCTACTCGAGCGCCCGAAGTGCAAGACGGGCTGGGCATAAGCGAAGGATCAAGCAATGGGACAAAGCTGGGAACGGAGAATGAGTCGGCGTCAGAGATACAGAGTATCATGGATCAATTCACAGACATGGCAGCCGCCCCGACTAGAGAAGAGATCATGTCACCAAGGCATGAGCTTACAAGTCCACCGCTGGGATCACCAGCTCACTTCCCTCCTCGCCAATCAAGTCTCGAACCGATGCGATCGAGGGACTTGGATGCGATAGCCAGCTCGCCGGTGACAGACAGACAGTCTATATCAGAACAGTTGCCGCTATCACCACCGCCGGTCCCTCCTAAGAATGATTCTGAGAGTGCCGACACGCCTGTATCCGAGATCAGGTCTTCGAGCTCCGCTCTTCCACACCAGCCACCTCCGCCAGAGCCAGAGCCGGATCTGCCTTTTGATTTCCACAGATTTCTAGAACAGCTCCGGCATAAATCGGCGGATCCTGTAGCGAAATTCCTACGCTCATTTCTGACCGAGTTTGGAAAGAAGCAATGGATGGTTCACGAGCAGGTCAAAATTATCGGCGATTTCCTTGCCTTTATTACCAATAAAATGGCTCAGTGCGAGGTGTGGCGAGAAGTCTCCGAGAACGAGTTCGACAACGCGAAGGAAGGTATGGAGAAGCTAGTGATGAACCGCTTGTACGCACAAACATTCTCGCCAGCTATCCCGCCTCCAGCACAGCTACCAAGATCACGCTCGAGAGGTCGACGGAAAGACGTCGAGAAGATTCTAGGTCCCGGGAGGAAGGGTCAGCATCAGGAAGATGTTGAGCGAGACGATATTTTGGCACAAAAGATTCGAATCTACAGTTGGGTCAGGGAAGAGCATCTCGATATCCCACCAGTGGGTCCTAATGGGGAGAGATTTCTTCGCCTCGCCCAGCAAGAACTGCTGAAGATCAAAAGCTACCGGGCGCCTCGCGACAAAGTCATTTGCGTACTCAATAGTTGCAAGGTCATATTCGGCTTGCTCAAGAACGCGAAAAGCTCCGATACATCCGCTGATTCATTCGTGCCGCTGCTGATATACGTTGTGCTACAAGCCAACCCGGAGCATCTGGTGTCCAACATCCAGTACATTTTGAGGTTTCGCAACCAGGACAAGCTCGGCGGCGAGGCAGGTTATTACTTGTCGTCACTATCTGGCGCTATCCAGTTCATCGAAAATCTCGACCGGACCTCGTTGACCGTCAGTGACGAAGACTTTGAGAAGCACGTCGAACTTGCTGTGTCAGAAATCGCAGCTAAGAATCGCGAGACCGAGTCTATGAGCCCACGTTCGACGTTTGCGGAGAAATCTGCGCTCGTTGAACCGGAGTTGACGCCACGCAATTCAATGGACGTCACATCTTCACCTCGACGAAGTATGCAACAAGATAGGAGCACTTCAGGACCAAGCACGGGGTCAGACGACAGCGACGCGGTCGCAGGTCTGCTGCGGACCATCCAGCGCCCATTGTCAAGTATCGGACGCATGTTCTCAGATCAGGACTCTGGACCGGAGCAATCAGGCCCTGGTGGCACATACGGCACGCCTCCAGCCCGCGCTAGTCCTATGCCTTACCCTGGCGACCCAGAGAGGCGTGGCTCACAGACCAACATTGCTCAGCAGCAGCAACATCGCGGACGAGAACAGGTATATGACGCACAGGAGGCGGCAGCGCGGCAGGCTAGTGCAGAAGCGGCGGAGGCCAGACGAATCCAGCGAGCAGAGCACCGCACTGTCGTAGAGACACTTTGCGGCATGTTTCCAAACCTGGATAAGGAGGTCATTGATGACGTGGTACGGCAGAAGCAGGGTCGTGTCGGGCTTGCTGTTGATGCCTGTCTGGCCTTGACCGCAGGTGGGTAGTAATTAGAGTGACGACTAATTCTAATCGTATTTGGATGGCCGCAAGAGGTGGCCTAGAGCACATGTTCTGTTCCCCGCCGTCTCTTGTGCATTGATAGCGGTCGAGCAAGCCAGTAGTAAGTCATCTGGACTTCGCCATTTAGTCCTTGAAGAGGAGAGTTGACTCGCTCTGGTTCGAATCACGTTGGTTTCGAACGTCGTCGTCGCTAGCGATCAATCTGGAACAAAGATGACGCTGTACGTCTGGTTCAAACCGACTCGGTCCGGCTCAGCAAAAGGCGTCTCGAACGCTAGATGCGTGCTGTCTCTGTTAGGGGCGCATCTACGCAAATCAAAACCAGCGGCAGACAACTTCAATGACCATCAGCGTGGGTTCTGATAAGATGAGCGAACAAGGCGCGTCCACCATGTCCGTGAAGTCCGATTTCCGAACAATCATTTCGGCTTTCTTTGAACATATTTGAAGCTTGACCGCTTTTACCGTTCATTTCTGTGCACAGGGCGATCACCCCGCGGTCCGATCGGCTGACGCGCCTCAGCATTGGCAAGCCTGATGGGTCTAGAGTATCAGTCTTGAGCGTGCGCTGTACAAGCGGAGCTAGCCGTGCGGTGCCGGGATTCCGAACTCCTTCGTCGAACCGAGCCTGAGACTCATCGGTACCGAATCCAGCCATTGGTTCGGTGGTTCGGCGAATCGGCATGTCTGGCACTTTCGGAACCCCAGGTAAACTCGCTGTGGATAGCACGATCTAGAGGATGCAGCCTCACTATCAGCTTGACTATGCGCTACGTACACAATGGGGTGGATCTGAAAAGCCACTCCTACTTTATGGCGTTGGCGATCTCAGTAGTAAACGCCAACCTGAAGTTAGGGGTGTGCTAAGTCTGGAAGAATGCTCTGAGGCTTCGGGAACACGTGGGACAACAAGGGACGGCGAGAACAGCGAGAAGTCCTGACATTGTGCTAGCAGCGATTTTGTGCGAATCCGTCTTCGTAGCGAGTCTAACGACCGCGAAAGCAGTATTTCTGAGCCGAGCACGGCACAGTGCCTAAGTGAATGCAATGGCCTGACTGCTGTGCCTCCTGGTCCGACGTATCGATGATTGTCGACTCAAGAACTTGCGTTGCGCCTGCATGACGGAGGGGCCCTACACGAGATCGGCAAGATCATTCGTGCTGATCTTATCGTTTGTGAGACCTGCTAATGCTCATATCGATCTCGGATGGCCATCGACCTCTGCACCATCCACTGCGTTTTCACAAGCAGCTTCAATGTTGAAAAAGTCCTCAAATGGGGATTGCCTGAGTGCTGAATCGAGAGTAGCAGCTCTGGGAATGTCGGCGCTGGTTTCCGGATGACTTTGTTGGCATTCTTGCTCTTCCTGCTCCTCACACTCATCCTCCTCGTCCACTTCGTGGCTCGAAATTGCAAATCCTTGGTATGATGGCCTTCGCTCCTGCTCAAGCTGCTTGCGACGAAGTAGAAGGGCCGCTCTTCTCCTTTGCAGCAACTGAAGTGCGCGTGCCTGGCTCTCTGCAGTCCTGTAAATCGGTGTTGGTTTCAGCGGTGATATTGCTGTTAGCAGACTCCTTTCGTGAGTCGTGACCGCCAATCCGAGACGGAGAAAAGTGTCGAGGCTGCATCCCGACGTGCGAGCCGGCGAATCTGCCAAGGTTTCTACGGATACAGGCGAGTGATAATCGGCCGGTGAGACAGACTCTTCGGGGGAGTCTGCTTCTGATTCTGCTTCTCGTGGAGGCGACGAAATGCTGATGCTGGCATTACTATATAGTCGTGCTCGCGCTTCCGCAATCTTAGTGGTGAAGTCATCCTCGTCCGAGTGCGAAGACGAAGCTGGCGAGTGCGCGTTTCCCGAAGTCTTTGACGAGGTCGAATGGTCGGAGTGGTATCCTGAGTCGTTGCTTTGGCGGGAATGTATGGACTCCTGTCTGTCAATCTTCCTCCGCTTTGCTGTTGGCAGGTCGTCCATGGCGAGGACAGCATGCTTCAGAGCAGCCAGCTCAGAGGCTGGAAAGACACGCTCCACGAGCGACATGATTACGAAGCGCGATGTATGTGACTGGGATATATCAGTGACTAGCTGGTAGCTTTGCGAGCTTGTATAAGGAAGGCCAAGGTTCAAGAGTTCGCAGGAAACAAACAAAATTTACAGCACATGCGAGGCATGTGGGAGGGCCTCGATGTTATCAATAAGATTCTAATCCTTGTCCGGGAATCATCATCCAGATTGCGAACATAAGCAAAGGCCGAGTTCTGGCTACTCGGGATCGCGACCGCTTCGAGTTGTGCATGGCGAACGCCCAGAAAGGTTGTCTTGCTCCGTGATCAGAATGACCCCATACCCCAGGTGTCGAGACCTGAAAAGTGGTCGAGTCGGAGTCAAAGAATAAAATAACGAAAAGCGGGCACGGCATCTTCCTTGGAGTGACCTATGAATCAAGACACTATAACGGCCGAAAGCAGTGCGACTCGCGTTCGGCACCGCAGGCACCCCGGCTCCCATCTCGGAGGAGATCGGTTGCCAGCGAATGGGGTTGAGCGACATCCCGAAGCAGAACACCTCAAGTTTTCAGCCTTCTTACCGGTACATGGGGAAGCTCCGAAATAGTGCAACAGTTCGATGTGTGGTAGATTTACGGTGCAAATCGAACAGGACGATCATCGCAAGTCTGCAGTGCTGTTCGAGAGAGGTCGTGAGGGCACGGACTCGCTTATACTGGCTTTGGTGAAGACAAGACAGAGATTATGTTCCTGCACGTACAGCCGCTTGCACGCAGAAAGTCTCTTCATGGCAACGACTGAAACGTCCTGCCTGAACGCACACGCAGATGACTGAAGGGCCATTGTCTCACAATGGATGAAATTTTTAGGGGACAGAGTATTGAACAATTGTGAGGATTCCTGCCCTAGGGATGCAATCTTGGCTGAGTTGAGGTGGGCCCGGCCTCGCTTCTCGTTCATTTCTGACATTTCTGACCTTACCTACATCTTGGCTCTGTAAAGTCTCGCCCGCGCCTCCGAAGACTGATTCGTATCGGTGCCGCTCAGCTGCAGGTGTTCCTGCGTTGTTGGCGATCGTCTATCGTAACATTACGACATATACTAAAATCCTGTTGAAGAGCCGGTGGAAATGCTTACGGATCCTCCGGTGGAAGCGTGGGAGGACTCCCTAGTCCAAATGGCGCTAATATTGTGGTCTTTGTTTCCCAACACCGTGCTTTCGAAATTCCATGCTGGCCCTCAGGCACAACGACAGTGATCTATGCTCACGGACTTTCAGGGTTGATCCAATCAGGATCCAGTTCTCTCTGTCGCCGCCAGCTTCGCATAACCGACTCACGTTGCGCAGCATCTTCAATCTCTTGATTCTCCTTCTCCTTCTTGACCTTTAACCGCCAGCGTCCTTGACTGCCACGGGAGCTGAAGTCTAGATACCACTCCAGCGGAAGCTTACCCTGTTGCTGCCCATCTGCAGTATCCTCCGCCTCCGTGCTCATCCATTTGTACCCTGCCTTCAGAATTACATTTGCATAGATGGAGAAGGTGCCCCAACCAAGCCTATGTATTTCGTAGGGTGGGAATTGGACAATAACACGCGGTTTCCTAAATGTAGGATGCTTGAACACCTAATGTGAGAACACGAGATGCTCGCAACAGCAACAGCTTACCAGAAATATCTGCACCTCCTCTATGATATCTGTACGAGAGGGACGAACAACTGCGAGTTATCAGCCTCGTCTCGGCAAAGGATTGTAGGTTCGAAGGCAAGACTGTAAGGCTAACGAGAGCGCTTCTCAGTCAGGATGAGAAATGAGCTCGGGCAACTTTCGAGGTGGCGCTCAGTCTCGAATATAAGCTTGACCAACTTACAAAACGTCCAGTTGTGGGTGTTTTTGGATTGCATCTCCGATCTCACCAGTGAGTGCGTGTTACCGATGTAGAGCGTGAGAGTCTCGATGCTCTCAGAAGCATCGTCAGTAACGGTACGCGCCTCAGCCTGTCGTTGACGGTAAGTGCCAGGGTACTTTGCGCGAAGCGCACCTTCCCGCCTCTGATCTGCGCTTGCCCTAGTCAAGGTCCGACACATGGGACAAGCGCTCTGTATTTCGCTGGGCAAGAGTGTCATAGGCGCGTCGTCGAGTCCAACGACTTCCATCTGCCGAGTAATCGATACTTCAGCCCACTTTTCCATGCATTCTGCGCACATTGTGTGCCCACAGTGTGTCTTCACCGGCGCATAGATCAGTGCAACACATATTGGGCAGAGATCCTCGTCGTCAACAATCTCAACGCCGGCCTCTGTTGCTTCATCCGCTGTTCTGGGATCCAGAGCCTGAGCAGACAACTTTCGCTTCATGTCGATCCAGCGGGCGCAGCCCTTCAGAGCATGAAAACATCAGAAGCCTTGACACGTGCTCAACATGGTTGCGGCGATGACTTATGTAGGTAAAGAGTACTCTCCCGCGCTGTGGGGCGACGAAAGTGATATTTGTTGTCGTTGCGAAACGTCAGGCAGCGCTGTTGATCCTTTTTGGCAGAACTTGAATCTCTTTCTACCTATATTGACGAAGCTCGCGAAATTGGGCTACTGGCAATGTTCATCGTGTGTCAGTCGTAGACCCTCTCATGTCACATATGCCTTCACAGGTAACGTGCCGCAGGCATCAACGAGTATCGCCAGATCTGTTCTAATGACACTATATATCAATGAGGCGTTGTGTGTGGCAATAACAGTCGCGAGAGCCTCGAGAGCATAGACCCGCAAGCGCGATATTGACTGGCCAATACATCATCACTTTATCCTGATGACAATCATGAATCACCTGAGATCAGGAACGACATCCGGCCCATACAGATGTGCTTCAAGCATTCTTTGCACTTTTGATTCCTGTCTGGATCCACGTTGAATGGGCGTTCATGCCAGCCTAGCAGTCTCTATGACTACATCTCAACGATCACAGGCAGGTGCATCTCCGGCATGTTTTTCCGTTGTCAACTACATCACTCCAGCATCTCGCTTCAAGTCGGTGCATGCAACGATGAATGCAGGTAAGATATGATACGCGCAGTGCTCCTTCCTCGCCGTGTGCTGAAGCCATCCTTTCTACATACTACCGGCAACCCGTGTTTCCAACGTGTGTTCTTGCACGCCACTGCCAAATCTCAAGACAATTTCCGAAAGAATCAGAGCATTCCCTATTCGGCACAAGTAGCCATGGACGCCATCAAGTCAACGATTGCGGAAAACTTCGGAGGTGCAGCACACAGCGTCGCTGATCAGTCTAACCAATTTGACATCAAGAAAGATGTACCAGATCTTTCTGGGAAGGTCGCGCTGATTACGGGTGGAAGTGAAGGCATTGGGTATGCTACAGCATACACGCTTCTCAAGGCCAATGTTGCGAAGATCTTCATCGTCTCGATGTCGGAGGAGATCATTGACGAAGCTGTTGAGACCGTTCGCACACAGCTCTCCTCTGAGCACGCCGACCGCATCACGTGGTTTAAGTGCGACATGTCTGATCTCACAGCCGTCGCGGACGTCGCAAAGCAGGTGCGATCTCAAACCGATCGCCTCGACATCTACTGCCAGAATGCCGCGAGAGGCATTATGACCTACCAGGTCACATCCTACGGCATCGACAGGCACATGGCAGTCAACCACATCGGCCACGTAGTGCTGACATCGCACCTCCTCCCACTTCTAAAATCCACAGCCGAGAAGTCCACAGTACGCATCCAAATCCAGGCATCTAATGCACATCAAGCGACACCGTCCGACTGCAAATTCGCCTCGATCGACGAGCTCAATACTGATCTTGGTCCGAATGGTCAGTATGGCCGTTCGAAGCTTGCTGGAATCCTCTACGCCCGGTACCTTGACCGCCACTTACACTCGTCGCACTCGAAGATCCTCATCAATGCGACGCATCCCGGATTCGTGGATACTAAGATGTCAACAGAGGATATCCACGAGCCATACCCCATTCTAGGCTACGGTATGTCCAAGGGCATGCAGCCATTCAAGAAGGACATCTGGATGGGATGTGTGAGTACAGTGTTCGCCGCGACGAAGACAGAGACCAGTGGCAAGTACATCTGTCCGCCAGCGATCGAAGAACCCGGAAATGAGCTAGCACAAGACGAGCAGTTGGGCGAGAGGCTGATGGAGCTCACGAGAAATATTGTCAAGGAGAAATTTGGAAAGGAGAGTGTTGATAAGGGGTGTCCGTTGAAGGACTACTAAGACTACAGTGCGTCTGTAGGCACGGCCACTGTTGGAGATACCAAAACCTCCTGATCAGTATTTGGACGGAGTCAATGAATTAATTCATAGGCAGGTCCTCCTCGTCGACCTTCTGTCTGGTTTTGCCCTGTAGGTGATCTAGAAATCCAAAGCCCGTGAACTGGGTTTCGCCAGGGGCTGATACCAGTCTGGCCTTCGAAAGCAATTATTCTGGACAGTCAGCTCAGATGAAAAGCAAGGAACCTTCACCACAGCCTCGCGATACACCCTGAATCGAGGCCGAGGTAGCGAGAGAGCCATCTAGAATGGCACATTCGAGGGTCGACAGCACAGTGGTACGATCCGCTATGTCTACAGACGCGGATTGGATCAGAGAACTTTGCTTGTCTTTGTGATTTCATGATTTCTTGATTGGTTGTTGACCTCCTTGCGAGATTTATTTTCATGGAATCGAGCCAAGCAGGGGCAATGATCTCTTCTACGACGCGATGCAGTCACCTCTCATGTCTCTTCTTGCCGCGGTGTCCGTCATTGTTATCTCCCTCCCACAAAGTAGCTCGTTCGTCGTGGAAGCTCATTCTACCTTGGTGAACCGCGTCTGATCTCCTTTCCCTCCTTCTGCACTCTTTCTGCCTTCTCGCGCCACTTATCACCATCTCGGTTCACACTACCATGCCTAGGAAACCGAGATGGGTGTCTCGGCGTACCAGGCGGCGAGGTAGGTGGTTGGATGATCTGATCGACTGGAGTGACCAGAATGGTGTTGCTATTTGGGCTCGCTCCTTTGTTGGCGTTGTTTGCGGAAGCAGATGTGGAAGACGCGTTGTTGTTGGCGTCTTTGCCGGGCGAAGAGGCGGAGGCAGGAGTGTTGGACTTGGTGCCGTGTCCCGAACCGGAATGTGAGGTGTTGGACTTGTATCCAACTTTGTTCGCACTGGAGCCATTACCAGACCTCGCAGAGCTCGCGTCGGCGTTGGAGGAGGCCATGCGTGAAGGACTCGCTCCACCTTTGGTGTCAGCACCGGCATTGCTTCCCTTGTCCTTGCCACTCTTGTCCATTCTGACCCAATTGATGAATCGTGACTCTTGTCGGCGGCGTTCGGAATAGACAGAATGCCTTGGTAAGCCGGCTGCTGGTAATGGCCAGCTCCTCGTATACCTGAGTGTTGTGTAAGGATGCGCGCCGGAAGTAGAACGAAATCAGCAACCGCTTCGGGCAAGACGTAGAGCAGGTGCTAGTACTGGCTTCAGTCGTCTTGGATTGATTAATTGATTCGGTCGTCGTGGACTGAGAACTGGAGTCTTTCTTGGGCAAAGCCACAACTCCAGACATCACCATGGACCTAAATATATATAGATTTGGGAGACCAGGCAGCGAAGTGCACCCAGGAAGCTTTTGCCATTGAATGTGAATCTGGGTGTGTCACGGGCATGATTGACAACCACACTGTCATTCATGTCTGTGACGCTGGCTATTCACCACAATCTGAGCTCATTCACCATAACTCAGAGTTAGGAGTGACTTGAGATTTGACCTTGGCAGGTTTGCTTGGAGTAGCAAGCGCTGACGCATCACTCTCATCGAGGAGATGAACTGCCGTCTGGTCTGGCAGAGAGTCGAAGATGACTTGGCCATTTTCGTGTCTCAATAAGCCGTAGCCGATTGCCTTGTTACTGGTCATGACAAACGGATGTCTTCCATCAACTGCCGGCTCTACCCATTTCGCTTCGTACTTGTTGGACCCTGTATCCGTCATCGGAATGGCGCAGCGTTTTGGTGGACGGCTTTCAGTATGCCAGCAGTACACCATGGGATCCTTGCTGCTGGTCGTTACAACGAGGACGTTCGGTTCGGTTGGATGCCATAAGAGAAATTTGACATGATCTGTGAATGTCACAATGGTATGTGGATCGGGATGATTGGGTTGCCAGACCCAGCAAGTGTTGGGGTTGTCTTGTACTGTCGAAGCCAGGAACGTCTGATCGCAGTTCGTCTCGAGCAGAATCACATCTGTCGTGGAGGCCGCTGCTTGCACAGCATCGAACGCTGCTTTCTGGAGAACGAATTCGCCATCGCCCGTCTGCTGCCAGACCAAAGACATGGATCCGTCGATTGTCGGAGGGTGTTGAAGGATACCGATCTCACGAACCCACAACTTCTGGTGGTTCTGTTCGCGAACAAGTATCTGCTTCTTGCCATCCGCAACAACAAGAATGCTGTTGTCCATAGATCTTGCCCATCTCAGCTGGGATACACCGACACCATCCAACTCCGACGATGTCCCGAACTGACCACTCATGTTGAGGGCTTCGAGCGGATGACCCATGGCAGAGAAGAAGTTTACTCTCACGCCATAGCTCGGGGAGTCCACCACGGTCAGAACAGGATCCAGTCCCGGAGAGAAATGTGCTGACTGCGCGTCCGTTGTCGGCAGGTTGAAGCTAGCTTGTGGTCGGACCTCACCTTCTTGGAGACCCAGCAGCAGGAGCTGATCTTGACCTTTGCTTCGTGTTAGGAGAGAAACAGTCCTATGATTGGCTGATCTGGTCAAACCGCGCTGACCTGTGAATTTGACATTCGCGATATCGTCCCGCTGTGCTCGAGTGGTGGAAAGTATCGATGCAATGCCGGAGGACTCAAACATGACAAGGACGTGTTTGGTATCGAATAGGAAGTCTGCGAATGATAGTTTACCAGAGTGCTCCCCGAAATCGTAGTCGGCTGCGATGTATGCCGGACTGGAGGAGCCGTGATCTTGTGCAAGTTCGAGGAGTCGTTCTGTGTTGAAGACTAGCAATCGAAGACCATCCGATAGAAGCAGCCATGGCGGACAAGACCTCTCGTCTGCGGTGGATGACAGAGGCGACCATTTCAGGACTGTCAAGTGAGAGAGAAAGCTGGCTGCAACTTTGGGTGGGCTTCCATCGAAGAGAACTTTGACCTCAAGAGTGTCGACGACCTGTATGACTTGCAGTGCGCTGGTTGGGGTGATGAGTGCAATATAGCGGCCATCACTGCTTACAGCAGGACGAAGGAGTGCTACTGCGTATCAGTACCATGATACCTTTTGTTATCGACAAGACTCACCTTGACCAAGGGGCAATGACATGGCTTGCGATCATCCCATACAGGGCCTGGCGGTCTGTGAATGCAGTGGGTGCTCATGGACAGCTATCTCTGCCTTGTGCTCTGTCGGACTACATTGGAAGCTACTGAAGCGCTGACCCAAAATTGTGCTGTCGGGGAGGCGCCAGGGCTTTATAGTCGTCCAGAAGAGCCAGTGTCTTAATGCGCCACCGTATCAGTGTTTGCCTTGTCTGCCTGAATGTCTGTTCACAGCCCGTCACTGTTGCAAAGAGTCACCAGCAATACTGACACCAGCTGTTGACTGGAGACGATGGCTATTCACATTGCTTTTCTTTTCATACAACACCAGAACCCTCCCCATGCTAGCGAATCTGACAAGACGTGAATAACTCATTGACACGATCACCTAGCCAGACCAATTCACGGTCTAAGTCACCTAAATTGGCCTGTCCAGAATCAATAGCACTATAGACGTGCCTGTAGATCGAAGTTCAGTCACAGTATTGTCCTTTCGACGACAAACGAAGTTCGCCTTAGCATAATTCCACTGCGAACGTCATGTGGTATCCTGGAAGTAAATGCGGCGGTATTGATTCGAAACATAATCTGATTTGCTACATGCTCGGTCTGACTTTTGACAGGCACTTTGGCTGCGATGTGGTGACATCTCTCCTGAGGTATCTAAAACGCCTGCGACTTCCAGATAGAGGTACATGAAATGAATATGGCTACCCGTACACTGTGGTGCATATGCACGACGATATGAAAGGGGCTCGTTTCTCTTCAAGAGCCTGGACAGCGTCATGAGTCTCACCTATGCGAGAACTGATTCTAATTGGCGCAATCAAAAATTCATCTGTAGGAATGTTAGCGGTATCAGAATGACAAGGTTGTCAACGCACCCGTCTGCCTCCTCGCCCCGCAGTGTGCACGGGCTGCATAGATGGCGGATAGAAATATTGCTGCTGTTGTGGCTGCTGGTAGTTGTATACATTGTTGGCCATATTCGGGAGGACATTGACCGGACTTCCTGAGTACACTGGAGATGCTTGATTTGGCATGCGGAACGGATCTACTGAGGGCTGTGGTGTGCTGAAACCACCATATGGTGAGCCTGGGAATCCTGCGCTTGCCGAACGAGCTGGCGCAGTAAAGCCTTGATACTGTGCCTGAGGGTTCATTTGTTGATATGGCATTCCGTTATAGTTCTGCTGCTGTCCGAAAGCATTGATGTTGTACCCAGGATAGCCGAAGGGGTCGGCCGAGCCAGAACGAACAGGACTGGCACCGGCATCGGGCATAAAGGCCCCATTATACTGGCGCTGGAAGGCAGATGGCTGTGTAAGGGGCGAGGGCTGCGTCATCGGACGCTGACGGTCGTTACCCACGGGTGAGTTAGAAAATGGCTGTGGTGGTGCTTGCCCGCCTCGAGAGGACATGCCAACCTCATCCATCAAGCGCTTGTATCCTTGATTTGGTTGTGCTTTGATCTTACTCAAGATCTTAGTGATGTTGCGAACGATGTCTGGACGAAGGCCGTCGTCGAGGAAAGGCGTTGTCAAAATCTTGAAGATCAATGTCACCCCCGAAGTTTGGTCGCGAAGAATGTGCTCCAAAACCGTGTCATTATTGCTGAAGAAGAGAGCTTTGAGGATCATGTCGCGCGCTTCAGGCTCATTGCGTTGGTTAATAATTTTGAGAACTGTCAGATACGCGACCTTGTGGGTGCATAGCTGGACAAGGTGAGGCACCAGGCGGGGCGCGAGCACTGTCCGGCGACGAGGAAACGAACATGTATCAAGGAGCCAGGTCAGTAGCAAAGCACCATTGGCGTTGGTTGCAAGCTGCATACTGGAAAGAGCAACAGCAGCTGCGAGCATGCGCTGCTGCGATTTGGTAGCATAGTGGGACTCGAGGCAAGCCCGCATTGCACGAGCACCGAATCGTCCTTGAGAGATCTCGTTGACATGGCTAAGCATCATCTCGAAGATGAAGTCTGTGTATGGTGCTCCGAAGCGCAGGCAACATTGCAGAACGTAGTTGCCGTACTGGTCCATGAACAATGGAATGGTGTACGGTCGAAGGCTTTCGACGATGAGTTGAGTTTGACTTTCTGTTTTGCAGACGTCGATGATCTTCTGCGCCGCCCAGGTACCGTTCTTGTGCACACCTATCTCGGCAAGATGAGGTGCAATTTGCATGAGCATCTGTTCCTTGATTTGCTCCGAGCTGAACTCGAACAACTTCTGGACGACTGTATTGCCTAGATAATCTGACGCGAGCTCGGCAATCTCGGGAAGCATATCAATTGCGATCTGCTCAATCTCCTGGAGCCCACAAGTGCCATTGTCTATCCTCTTACGAATATCGCGAAGTCTGGGAGCATCGTACATCCGAGCGGAGTTCGGCTCAGGAACAGCCGGAATCTCTCGCAGAACCGGAGCGTAGCTGGCGGCACTGGAGACGTTCGCAGCTATAGTTGCCATGTCTGGGGGACTGGCTCCGAAGTCACCGACAATCTGCTGAATCTCGGGTTGCAACTCGCTCAGTGAATCACCCAACGATGTATGAGCTACCGAGCTGATCTTCGCGGCGCCGGAAGAACCGTCGCCAACGCCAGGAGTGTTCATTTCAGCAGAAGTTGGCGTTAGTGCTGACTCGTTGGGCGTCATGGCGGTGGACGTTGGTGCTTTGGCGAACCCAATCCGTACTGGACCTGATCCAGGGAAGATCTCCTTGTTGTTCAAAGCGAGTCGCGCGCGAATAGCATGCTCGGATGATTCGAAATTGACGAAACCGCAATTCTTGTGAGTGAGTACTCGGGTGGATTCGATTGCGCCAAACCGACAGAAGATAGCATCGAGAGATGACATGGTCGTCGAGTTCGGGATTGAGCCAATCCATAAGGACCGTGAGGGCTGCAGATCAGCTTCATCGTAGCTCTCGCCATGTTGTACCGTGTTGTTGGACAAATTGAGGTCACTGAGAGCGTTGGCAAGTTCGTGACCATGCATTTGCATATCACTGCCAGCATAGCCTTCCGCAAGGTTAGTGCCCTGCACATAGTCTCTCATGGCTGTACGCTGGGGTGTCTCCACCAAGCCAGCCGTACTAGCACGAGGTCTGGCTGCCATTGCATTGACTGCGAAAGCTTGAACAGCTTGATTGTGGAGGCGGACTTTCTCTTGTACTGCTTCGAACTCGGCCTCCATGGCAGCAGCAGCGCCAGGAGTCAATGCACCATTACGTAGGATTCCTGCATTCTCGAGCGTGTCGAAGCCATATGGCTGAGGTTGTGTATTCACCGAGAAAGAACGGAATCGGTTCGAAGGATTGCTCCGGTGAAAAGCGGATAGAGAGTCTAGAGGCTGATCGGCAGCGTCGACGTCTGCTGGAAGAGCTCGCAATGGCTCTGCACGGGTTTGCTGGGGCGTTTCGGCGAGCCCAAGATAGTCAAGAGTCCGTACGCCGGCATCGTTCATGCCATCTTTGCTATAAGCAGGCTGTGAAGGGGAAGCGGCGTCTTCCGCCGAGGAGATACTGTTCAGAGTTGCAGCGCGAGCACGACCGCTGCCCCAGGAGGGGGTGAAGGTGGACTGTCCGCTGAAGACATTAGACTGACCCAGTATACTGGCTCTCTGTGGCATGCTACCGGCACGGAGGCGTGACAGTAGCGTGGCTGTGCTCGGATTGTTGTTAGTCAGTGCATTGTTGAAAGCAGTTTCAGCAGCTGATCCCGGTCTGAACGGACTGGTGGATGGCGTAGGTCTTGAGGTCTTCGACGCCGTGCTGGTGTTGGTACTGGCAATCGCGCTGGGAGCGGAGATTCGAGATGGCAGAGTGCCCGCTCTACCACGCCTTGCGGGACTATTGATGCCGGTCTCGGTGAGGGGCACGAGATCAGGAAATCCATCCTGGTTTGGAGACTCCGGTATCTCGAACAAAGGTGTGGAGGTACCACTCGTGGGAGGACCCCAGATATTAGGGGATAGGCCATTAGCAGACTGCAGCTCACGGGTCCGTTTTGGGAAGAGACGAGCAGCCTGGTCATGCAAAGGGGAGCCAGCTCCCATTCTTGCACCTGACAGACTGGCGAGGCCAGTGGGAGTTGATTTTGCGCCTGAAAACGGGGACTTGATCGACTGTATCGTGGATGGATCTGAGATATTGGGTAAAGATGACAAGTTCAGATTCAGAGGTTGATCAGGTCGTGTGGGGGCCATGTCGAAGAAAGCTGATGATGCGATGAATAGATTATAGTATACTTCGAGACCCAGGGCTCATGAAGGGTATCTCGCAGTCGTCCGGGTCCTGCGGATGCCGCTATAGCTGCCGGTGTGCCGTACAAAGCGTCGTCGAGGAGGGAGGAGCAATGAGCGTGCATGCGGATGCGCGGATGATGTGTTCAGTTGTCACAGCCCTGATGCTGCCTCACGGCCTGCTATAGCCGTAAACTTCTCTTTACGATTCTTGGAACAGTAGATGTAGTTCGACAGCTATTTGTATTCTGTGACAACGGCCGGGGTCGGGCACGCGATGGCGGTGGTATTAGTATTGGGCGGGTCGTCTGTTGCTCAGCACAAGATCGTGGGGTCGATTAGATGCAGTATAGTAAGACACAAGAAGTGAACGGGAGTGCGTCTCGCGCGTCTGGTAATAGGTCACAAGGATGTGTAGAGGGAGGATGATGAAAGTCGAGAATGAACATTCACAAAGAAGGAGACGGAGACGGATAGACGTAGGAGGAGGTGTAGTGGGAAAGGATTAGTGCGTGTTGAATGGAGATGGAGATGGATAGGGGATCGACGCCGGAGGTGGTGCAGCTCAGGTCCCTCGACGCCCAAGAGGTTCTGGGATTCGAAGCCCCGAAGCCTGCTTGGGAGCTGGGATCCGCCTGTAGGCTTGTGCCTGCCAAGCGCCACCGTCCGCAGTCTTCAGCAGCAGACTATAGTACGGACAGACTGCTCACTTTCAACCTTCTCACTCCGTAACTCAAGGTGTATGATCGCAAATTTGTCAACTACAATATACCCGCCTCAGCCGTCCGGGTCCCAAGCGATCACAAAGGACTCTATAGGCCTCAATCCAAGCTTCGCTGCCACACCCCGTCATTACTGACGGAAGTCATGTACAACTCTGCGTGGGTCTTGAACCGCTGGCCGCGCAAGCCAGCCCTTACATGAATCCATCATTCAGTCCTACGAAGTATGGAAATGTCACACGCGGTCTTGCTTTATCGCTCAGGTACTGTGCATCGCCCCAGGAGTTGGGAAATCGACACGCTGAAACATAGCGTCTTCCGGTGCTCGAGACCCCACCATAGGCTGTGACGATGCCCATCTGCGACTTCGATAGGCTCGAGTTTCAGGAGTTTTCGCGCTGACTTTACGAGAGAATGGATGGCCTCCTGCGCCTTACTGGCTGGTAAGGTGTGCGACTATAGCAAAATCCTTGCTATATGCAGATATTACCCATCCGACCTTAGCAGTACTGCTAAATGATGACTCCTTGCATTATTCCTCCTCCAGAAGCTACTGGCAAGGACACGGAGAACTGTGATTTAGCCCTCCCCCGGACCACCATTCCCTGCTCGAGCTTCGTCTGAAACAGATCCGGAAAATAAAGTCGGACCACTTATCGCCTAGTACCAACTTGTCAATTCAGGGGCTTTCCCATGGTCACGTGCTCCCGAGCCCGTCTTTGCAATTGCTGCATTATGAGTAGCTGCGTCGCCGCTCGGGCACGTTCGACATGTCGTATGTCACGACCGGGTCCTGCAAGCTCGACGGTCGAGTGACCGTCTTGAGACAAGAAATCGCAATTTGGCTGCATGCTGCGTAAGAAGGTCAACATGGGCTTGAGCTCGCTGTAGATGCGATTGCATCCTCGCTCTGCCCCGGATTGTCCTCTTGGCAGCGAGGTGAGTCCAGCGAGGCTTGCTATTGCGTGAGGCTACGAGCAGCTCGAGACGACAAGCGACTGCTGATCTGCTGATGCTCGCTTAGCTGTGACTCCAGCGCTCGCCAACAGCACATTATTGTCTGAGCCTTGCAGTAGACAGAGTCAAAACGCTTGCACAACGGCGACGTATGCGATCTGTGCCATCATGGTCGATCTTGCTCCTGTATTCAGGGCCATGTTGTCCGACAATGGACTCAGGCGCGTTTCGAGAAGCTCTTCCACGGTCGACACTCCGATGCCAAGGTCGCATAATCTACAGAGGGGAAAGAGTTGTCGGCGCTAACTACAGAAAGCAACTTTCAACGACAATTGGTACCTCGACCGGTCGATAAAGCCGTCTGCCCTGACGTACGCCGTACGGGGTCTTCAGGTCTGAAGGTCAACTCTTGGCATCACATCCCAGCGTCATTGGCGACGTGGCGAAGGGATCCAGTCTCTCGCTAGGCACGACTTGCCTATGGAGAGCGTTGCAGCATCGGCGCAGAGTCGGTTGGAGTTGTGCTGGATGCCCCAACGGAGCACTGAAAACATCCCGAAACGCACAGTGTAGGAGATGTGGCCTTGGCACTGGAGTCGGTACGGACATGGACATTCTGCTTTGCGGCACAGACGATGTAGGCGGCAACGTGTCAACAGAAGCGGGCAACTCCTGCCGGCTGAAATATTGCCTGCCCCGATCAGGCTCTCTTGTTGCTTCACGAACATTCCTCCGTGCAATTCCTCCTCCACTTGGCCCCGTTCTAGCGCTTGCCACGAGCTGGTAGGCTCGCCAAGAAACCACGATCGACAGTCAACGCCATCGGTAGGCCTCTGCACTGGCATTGAGACAACGGCGTGCTGCGCCGTTTGGGGGACATACTTGGATGGCGCCTTGAAGCCGCGTCAGCGAACATGAGGACCATCTTGGTATCAGCAGCGTTCAATTTGCGGGTACAGACAACGGCGGGATTGCCACGTTGCGGCTAATGCCGCTGGTGATAGTGCCTGAGCTTGCACGACAGCAAGACGAGGCCCGTGAATCAGTGTGGAAGCCTTCACCTGCGCGTCGCCAAGATGTGCCGTTCCATGGACCCAAAGACTCAGCTAGGACAGGCGAGGAGATCCTGGTATGGTCAAGCCATTACCGACGTTGACGTTTACCACTATCAAGTGCTTCATTCTTGTGCTTGATACCCAGCACATGCGGAGAGTACGGTACCCCAAGACCGGCCTTGCTACATAATCCGCAATGCGCCAAGTTGACGGGACCGTACGGCGTTACAGATGCGTCCTCAATTTGGTGAGGCTACGCAGATACTGTCCATGGACACAGGCCATGTAGGCTTCCGCCTGGCCCTTCTCGGGGACGGCGCAGATCAGATACCGCCTGTACAATGCAAGCTTGACGGTGCACCAAGTATGGCCGTCACCGATGGTATGATCGCAAGGCCCAAGCATGGACTTCTAGCAGGGTTCCAGCTGCAAACGTGGATGCGAAGTGGGCGAGTTGCGTGGCTACTAGTTAGCTCCAGCAAATGGAGCTTCGTGGGGAAGGATCGACTCAGTCGATACTCACTCGCCTGCCGTAGTCACAGCGGAGACCTTGTTAACCTATTGGTCGGACGTAGTCGAATCGCGGTTTCGCCGACCTAATTTTGGTTGTGCAAGAATACCTCTCGACGAAATAGGAATAGATGACGCTTTATTGCATCTCGGATTGAACGGGTGCGCATATACGTAAGCGCACATAAGGTCTACATCAACCTTTGGGAATCCCTAGTAGAAGTACGAGATGACGATGACGGTCTAGTGGTAGGGCCAGAGTTCAATTTTGACATTGGGGAAGGAATTCAACGGACCCAAGGTCCCACTTCCGCAAGGTCAATTTGGTAGGTGCATGCCCGACGACTCGACGAGCGAAATAAGTTCAAGTAACAGCTTTTTCGGTGCATGGCATGTCGACACGAGCGACCACGCCCTACTGATCGACAGCACAGGAAAATCAGCATCGCAAAGGCCTCCTTGTAAGAAGTCCCCGTACCTATCGCAAGAGCTCCCATTTGAATGGTGCCGTTACTTGTCCGACAGAGAACGAGGAAACCGGACGCGAGAAATGCCAAACAATATTCGTCGAGAGAGCTCGTCAAAGCGCTTGGAACTCTCACGGCCACGTACCGCGTGTCGGGGATGAAGTCACCAAGCCATGCAGTCAAAAGTGGTGAGGGTTATTACTGCTGAAGTATGCGCTCGGCCGCTCTGAAACCGAGCTGACGACTGGGGCGACGCGTCCTACCTCGAAGCAAAAAGTGACATGATCCATCTCCTGCACTGGCCAGGGGAATTGGACAAGTCTATAATATCGGTAAAGCGAGCCGCAAAGTTTGCTCAAGTACGATGGCATGCATCTGATAAGTAGTCGTTGCCTCGCCACCGTCAATCATCGTGGTTCTTCGCGTTGATAGACATGGAGACGGAGTTGCTCATCCGTGACCGTTAAGCAAAAGCAAGCTTTGTGCAGTAGTGCTGTTTGACTACAGCATTCCTCTGTTGCCCGATGTGGCAGCCCCACAAGCACTGCCGCCTTTAGCCAGACATTTCGGACCACGTCTCTTCATGCTGAGGACCAGGGTATCTGTCCTCGCGCCTCTGCAAAAAGACGCAAATCACCATCAAGAATGGTTGAAGACACCGCCGAGCAGCATCAGCATGGCAAATGGTTCCAACGAGCCACTCCCTGGCCTCCTTGATGATCCTCAATTCCAGACTGATCTGCCATGGACCGACTTTCAGATAGCACCATTACGCGATCCGGCACCTCAGCGTAACGCCAATGTTCCATCACCTCTCGAGCCCGAGGCTGGAGGGGCGAGCCAGAACGTACAGCGTACAGCGAGATCTGAGCAACAAGCAGGGCCATTGAAGCCAAGTGATTTCCTACGGCAAGCACGCGAGCCCAGGAAACCTCATCTCGCCATCAGTGAGCTTGTTGACGACAATGACAGCATCGGAGGATCCTCTCAGCAGCTACCATCATTTGTGAGCCTTTCAGTCGTCGAAAAGTCTCCTACGCAAACGCCACAGGCCCTAGGAGGAGGCAGCTATGGCCACCTTGCCAAGCGACCTCGTCTCGACCAGGACATTGAGATAGCGAACCACGATCTCGGTCGGCAGCTACCTCGCCCGAACCAACGAGAGCAGAACGTGCTCCGGCCTCCACCTTTGCTACCTGCAATGGTCACGGGCCTTCACGAGCCTCCACCGTCCGCTGCCCTGCTTCCCTCGATGGATCCGGATCGCCGTCATGGTCTGCCACAGCGAGCCGCGACAACCTCCAAGATCCAAGTCAAAGATATGCTCTCTGGGTCACGATCGCCATCTCCTTCCACCTCCTTTCAGCGTCAGCTGCCAGTCCCACATATCCGCGGACATCCCAACCGTTCATTGCCACATCTCGACTTCTCTACGCAGCGACCAAACGCAGTCCCAACACCACCGTCATCCGCAGCCACTCCCATCTCGGCGACAATCCCGTTGGTCAGCAGGGAAGGTAAGCAGCGACGTACTCGACGGAAGTGGTCTGAAGAGGAGACCCGCCACTTGTTAGCGGGTGTCAAGAAGCACGGCGTGGGAAAGTGGAAGCAAATACTGAACGACAAAGACCTTACATTCTCGGATCGGAGCGCGGTAGATCTCAAAGACCGCTATCGGGTCGTGTCCAAGGACGGCAGTGACCGTGGTATAGCCCCAGTGCTCAGACGTTCCACTCCGACGCCCACTCCAGGCACAACTTCCGCAGACAATTCCGCCCCTAACACGCCCGCTCACACTCCGCCACCACCTCCGCCGCCGTCATTTCCGGTAAAGTCGGCCTCGTTGCCGATTCACCCATCTCCCAGCATTGCCTCAAACTCGCCCTCTCCCAAAGACGTCACAGATGCAACGGGCTCTGCGGCATGCGCCACAAGCACCGCCGTGCCACGAGCCCGCCGCAAACGCCGCGCGTGGACATCCACTGAGGATGATGCTCTCCTCCGAGGCGTGCAAAAGCACGGCTTCCAGTGGACATTGATCCACGACGACGAGTCACTGCAACTGCAACATCGGCGAGCGACTGATCTGCGGGACCGGATAAGGAACAAGTTCCCTGACGGATACCGACAAGCAGAAGTGAAGCCATTGCGGAGCGAAGTGAAGAAGGCGGAGAAGGAGAAGGGAAAGGCAAGGGAGCGCGGAGCAGGAGACGAGCAGCAGCAAGGAGGACCAATGAATCGGAGTGGTGGAAACGTGGAAGACGAGGACGAGGACGCAATCTCCAGTGAAGAGAGGTGGGTATTTCTGCTTCGTAGAATGAAATTATTTACGATTTTGAGGAGCCGAAGGGATTCCCAAGATATGAATTCGTAGACTGGACGTATTGGAACGGGAACCCAAACCCAGTCACCCCCTGCCATTTTGCTTAGTGGGCAAGGCAGGACGCCAACTGGGCACAGGAATCGCTAGCTCTCCACGGAGGCCGCTGAAAGACTTTTCCAGGTTTCCTTACCAACACCTTGAACTTAGCACTATTGAGTGATCGTCCAGTGGGAAATCAGAACTTGCGCCTGCCCAAACTCCGATCGCTAGGGAGCACGGCAGAATAATAAAAATGCTGGAAAACTACTTGCCCGCCGAGCATGCCTCAGACGTATAGTGAGAGCAACGCTAGACGCACATGTGAATCGTCAGATACTCTGTAGCCGCCCGTAGCTCTACCAGGCATTTCGGTCCCAGTTCGGATCTATCACTCATCTATCAGCTCATAGCCTCACATCAGCTCGAGTGCGCAATAATCTCACCTTGCACAAACGGTCCGAGGACTTTGCTCCCAGTCTGCAGCAGCGGATGCCCCACCACAATCTGTAAGAACCGTTGCAAGCCTTCCCTCCTGTGCTCAATTACATCGTCCGAGAAGCGATTGGTGAAGACTTTGCCTGGCAGAGGAGGTATAGTCACGCGAGCCGACTCGCGCTCGAGGATATCGCGGAAGTATTCGAAGTCGCTGTATCGTCGGCGTACTACACTGTGTCGAAGCTTGAATGCTGGAATATTTGTGCGTGTGTGTATTTCATAGGAGGTGTACATGTTGCGAGGCGATGAGCCGTGGGTTTGAGGGTTCTTGACCTATTCGCTGGAGTTAGAACAATGCGCTTCGGAAGGAGCGGGTGTTTGGCAGTCGAGGACTGTGCGGCGAAAGTGCAAGCCCCATCGACGAGCGTGGGAAGGTGATAGCACTTGCCTCGATCTCGAGGAAGTTCTCTGGCGGGCCATAGATCTCCTCAAAGGTTTGCTGCCTCGACTCTGGCATCGACTGCATCTTGGTCTAGAGAGCAGAGGCCGCGTAGCGTCGGGCGCAGTGAAATCAATGCGAAGGTGGGGTGACCGTTGGTGCTGATTTCCTGGTTGCGGTAGGCGCGCGTAGAGCCGTGTGTGTCACAAAGTGCGATCCAGGTCGTCGGGTGATGAGTGGTAGCAATAAAGGTCTCAGGGCGGGATCAGGCGACAGGCTTCTCTGGCTGTGGCTGCAGTGCAGTTCGATGCAGTGTTCGAAATCGGCACAGGGAGTGGGGTAAGACGTTCGGCCTGGCTAAAATTCGGCAGCGGTCCGGAGAAAATCCTCTTCCGGCTTTTCGTCAGACCAAAAAGTTCAATTCGGAGTTTGTCTGGTAGAAGACGAAGGCATTTGCAATGTTCGGTAGAGCGAACAGATTGTGACAATGTCGAAGAAGAGAAAGAGGGACGGCACTGAGGTCGATGTCGACCTTGTCAGCATCTACAACAATCTCGCTCACGAACATGAGTCTGTCCGACTGAAGGCCGCCCAGCAACTTCTTTCCAAGGCCTTCTCCGATGCTTCAACAGAGGACCAAGTCAGAGCGATCTTGAGACGTCTTTTTCGCGGACTGTCAAGTAGTCGAAAAGCCGCACGCTTGGGCTTTGCAGTCGCACTGACAGAGTGTCTGTCTCAGCTCAAGGTGTCAAATCTCGAAACAAGCTTTCGACCATCTGAGGTTGTTGATATCTTCGAGGCAGCTACAGAACCAGAAGGAGGAGCACGCGGCCAGGAGGAGCGCGACTATTACTTCGGTCGAGTGTTCGGCGCTGGCGCCATCATACAGTCCGGCATTCTGTTCGTTGCGGAGGACCGAAGTCTTTGGAAAAAGCTCCTTGTTCTGTTATGCGGAATCGCCCTCAAGAAGCCATGGTTGAGACAGGAGTGCGGCTGGACTCTGTTCCAATTCTGTGCCAGCGTTCCGGCCGATACTGCAACTCTTCAGCCCTTCATCGAGGACGTCATTGCCGTACTCAACGAGCATAAGCTCATCCGCACTCCTGAAGGCGTGGCTATTTGGCTAGCAGCCAAGCAAAGCTTGCCACATGCAAACCTATCAAAGCACGTCTGGAAGCATTCACATCCGCTGGCCTCCAAGGACGTCAAGAATCTCGCCGAGGTCATGAAAAACGCACGTACGCAACAGCTAGACGATGAGCACGGCGCACAAGGCTCAACCTCCTGGTCGGCTAGCTTGCATTTTGCTTGGGCAGTGGTGCTCGGCTCGCTATATCAAAAACATGAGCAAGGTCACCCGAATGGCGTCAGCACAGCAAGTACCTCTCACGACTTAATATCCTTTGCAGAGTTTTGGAAGGCGGCCGTGGACGAAGGTCTGTTGGCCGCTGGCAGCAGTAATGAGAGAAAACTCTGGGGCATACTGCTCGTCGCTCAGGCAGCATCCACTGCCCCAGCCGCTCTGCTGTGCGACACATTGAGTCCGAATGCGCTTCATGTGCTGATGCTTGCATTCACGTCCGAAGGTCGCTACTTACATAAGATTGCGCAGGGTGCATTACAGCAACTCGAGAAGCGCATAAAGGCTGAGCGGTGGCACAGTGCAGCCAATGCACCTGGCGACTGTCTTGCTGCTATTCTGGAGGCCACTGATTACGCTGACTTTGATCAGGCAACAAAGTCAAAAATCTGTCCAACGTTGCTGGACAAGGGTGACCAGAGACACTCTCTGTCCCAGCTTCGCAGACTGCAGACCGCTTTGCGGGCTCACACAGATCCAGCAACGATTAGGAAGTCCAAACATCTGATCACCTTGGAATACAAGCTCCTTGCCGCATGCATTCGGAAGCTTGACTCGGATCAGGGTGACGACGCTAAGTCAATGGTAGCTGAAATACTAGGCCACGGCCTCCATCGCATAGACGACGAGCCAGAACAATTACGACAGCATGTCAGAGATCGTAATGCGGCAGCATTCGAGCAGCTCGTGAAAGCTGGGTCGAGTGGCCAGTCGCTGTTCTCTCGTGTCTTGAGCATACAAGACCTGCTGGCAGACCTCTCAGACCCTGCCATACGACAGGTACTCGAAACTGCAGCCAAACGGGTACGCAAACTAGAGAAAGCCGAAAAGAAGCATGCTCAGCAGCAAGAGAATGCGAAAGCGAAAAGCAGAAATTCCTCCTTGTCAGACGGCTATAAGCTACTGTACTCTCTCGTTGCATTCGACATTTACAACGGCGAGCAGGAATCCATTGAGATCATGCAAGATCTGCTAGAAGTCGTCCTGCCGGACATGAAGTCAGAAAACCCGTCCACCGATCCATTGATTGAAATATTACTCAGCTTCTCGTCCCGTCCTTCGAGGTTCCTGCGGACGCTGACGCCAATCATCTTCGAGTCTATTGCATCAGGGATAAGCTCGAGTGGCATTGCATCGTTGACTCGCGTGCTCGCCAGCAAGGAGAATTCCCAAGGTCAGCAGGAGATATTCGAAGCAGCGGACGATGCAGAGTCAGCCATGGATGTGGACGGCTCTGAGGAGGAAGGCAGTGGCGATAGTGACGACGAAGAAGCCGAAGAGCTCGATTCCGACGTTGAGCTTGTAAATGCAGACCATCGGTCGGAAGAGCACAGCAGTGACGAGAGATCAAGCTCAGGGTCAAGCTCAGGAGCAGAGGATGACGGAGAGGAGGACGACGAGCTAGCAGCCTTTGACGCTGCGCTCGCCGCCGCGCTGGGGCCTGCGAAAGCCAACGGGACCGCAAACGGCAACGAAGAAGACCCTGGCTCCGATTCCGACTCAGACATGGATGACGATCAGATGATGGCACTCGATGAAAAGCTTTCGGAAGTCTTTCGCGCTCGGAACCTGTCTAGCAAGCCTGATAAGAAGAAAGCAGCGAGGGATGCCAAAGATACAATTGTGAATTTTAAGAATCGCGTCCTCGATCTCATGGACGTGTACGTCAAGCATCAACACCTGAGCCCAGCTGCAGTCGGTTTGATACTTCCACTCCTGGTCAGCATTCGCACGACACAAACGAAGCAGATCGCCGAGCGCTCGGCCAAGATCCTCAAAGACCTCTGCACACGGTGCAAGGGACAGAACGTCCCAGTCTTGCAACTGAGTGAACTAGACGAAAGCGGGTCATCTGCGTTGAAATTACTGCAAGACGTACACGATGAAGCATGCTTGGAGGCGTCCAACATTCACTCGTCGGCCGCAAGTCAAGCGAGTATCCTTCTATCGAAAGTCCTGATCAGGAGCGGAATCGGTATTGCTAGAGTCACGGCAGTCTACGCTGCGACCACGACGAGAATGCTTACCGACGCGAAGTGTAAGGTGCAGCCAAGTTTCTTCACGGACTGGAACAACTGGTGTGTGAGTGCAAGAGTGTGGACTACAAAGTTGTTGGCATGAACCTCTGCGTAAGCAGCAGAATCTCTACGCGGCATGTCAATATCTTGACATCAACCGTCTTCCAAACATGTAATTAGCATATTCCGTACCTACGATGTCCCTGTCGGAGTGATACTGAATGATGACGAGGACCACAACAGAAGCGTCGCATCTGTGCTAGGCCATTGTACTATGGAATTTGATTGCGTTAGTCGAAAGCCCGTAGATCTTGTTGAGAGTCTCAAGTCCGACACATGGACGATAGAGCGCGACAGATCGATTTATATAACGGTTTGAGGATCTGCAGAAGCATACGAAGTAAATGCACCTCTCCCATGGATCTATGGTTCAGGCACCTTGTATGGTGTAGTCATAGCCTGTGGCGTGGGGAGGTCATTGGTGTGATTCGCTTTTTTGACTCAGCATCCTCTGCACTGGGGCTCCGCTTCTTACAATGAGGTACACCATCGAAAAACTTCATGCACAGCGTCGTTCGCTCCGCTTTGTTTGTTGAGCAGTAGTTTGCGTATATCCACCTCCCGTCCTACCTCACTCTAGTCTGTCTGTCCATCTCCAGAAACACATAATGTCACGCCAGCTCGCGGACAGGTGGGCTCGCTGCCGATACATTGATTGACTACTGTCATAAAGTACTCATACACCGCTCGCCCTTGCGCACGGTTCAGGTCATCGCAAGCCTGCGGGCCACGAACTCGACACCCTTCGCCAGTTGAACACTCACAATAAAACCAATAGTCCTCAGAGAAGAGACTGAGACAGGATGCACATATCGCAGAAGCTGGCTCAGGCTGCCAGCCAGCAAAAGCCGACTTTCTCCTTCGAATTCTTCCCACCGAAGACCGCTCAAGGCGTTCAGAATCTCTATGACCGCATGGACCGCATGCATGATCTAGGTCCAGCTTTCATCGACATAACATGGGGCGCAGGAGGCAGGCACTCGCAGTTGACATGCGAGATGGTCAGCGCAGCACAGTCCCACTATGGCCTGGAGACATGCATGCATTTGACTTGCACAGACATGGAGCGAGAGAAGGTCGACTCAGCACTGCGCCAGGCGTACAAAACAGGCTGCACAAACATATTAGCTCTCCGCGGTGATCCGCCCAGAGATCAAGAAAAGTGGGAAGCCAAAGCAGACCAATTTCGATACGCCAAAGATCTGGTCAAATATATCCGACAGACCTACGGCGACCACTTCGACATTGGCGTTGCCGGCTATCCCGAGGGCTGTGAGGACCAAGAAGATCCAGATTTGCTTATTGACCACCTCAAGGAGAAGGTCGATGCTGGTGGCACCTTCATTGTGACACAGATGTTCTACAACGTCGACATCTTCCTAGACTGGGTGGCCAAGTGCCGCAAACGTGGCATCACCGTTCCGATCATACCCGGCATCATGCCCATCTCGACGCACGGAGCGTTTTTGAGGCGAGCCGACTGGACCAAGTGTGACGTGCCACAGTTTTGGCACGAAGCGTTGGAGCCGGTCAAGAACGATGACGCAGCAGTGCGCGACGTCGGCAGAGACCTGGTCGTGGAGATGTGCCAGAAAATCCTTGACGCTGGAATCTACCATTTGCATTTCTACACCATGAATCTAGCCCAGGCAACGAGGATGGTGTTAGACGACCTTCTCCTCACGCCTGCAGCGTCCGGGACGCCAATCGACAAGCCTCTGCCATGGCGGCAATCCCTTGGGCTGAACAGGCGAGATGAGACTGTGCGGCCTATCTTCTGGCGTAATCGCAACACATCATACGTAGCGCGAACGGCTGACTGGGATGAGTTTCCCAACGGACGATGGGGCGACAGTCGTAGTCCTGCCTTCGGAGAGCTTGACGCCTACGGTATTGGTTTGAAAGGCACGAACGAAGCCAACATCAAGCTATGGGGCGAACCAAACACCTTGAGGCAGGTCAGCAACTTGTTTGTCAGGTACCTCAAAGGAGATCTCGATCGTCTACCGTGGAGCGAGGGCCAGATGTCCGCGGAGGCGACGGTCATCAAGGACAACCTCATTGATCTCAACTCCAGAGGCTTCTTGTCCATCAACTCGCAACCTGCTGTGAACGCAGCAAAGTCAACCGACCCGATATACGGCTGGGGACCTAAGGGAGGATATGTATACCAGAAAGCGTACCTTGAGCTGCTTGTGTTTCCAAGCGTTATAGACGAGGTCATCACGCGTTTGGAGAAAGATCAGAATCTGACATATTATGCCGTCAATAAGAACGGCACTCTCAAAACCAATGCGCCTGACGAAGGGCCTAACGCTGTCACATGGGGCATCTTCCCCAACCGAGAGATCGTGCAGCCAACGATTGTCGAGACAGTGTCGTTCCTGGCCTGGAAGGATGAGGCTTTCAGGCTGGGTCAGGACTGGTCTCGATGCTACCCAGCCGGTTCAGCTACCCGAAAGCTCATTGAGGAGATAATGGACGAATGCTATCTGGTCAACATCGTCAACAATGACTTTCACCAAACTTTCGAGATCTTCGAGATCTTCGAGGGTCTCCAGGCGGATGATTTCGACAAGGAGTTTCATTCCACAGCCCAAAACGGCCATCACAATGGTGATCGTCAGGTTGTCAATGGTGACAGCAAAGCTTCGGAGGTGGAAAAGGCAATTAGCAATGAGCCAGCAAAAGTGCCGTTTCAAACCGCACTCAGGCCTATCGAAAATGGGAGCAAAGCGAAGGCACGAACAACAGAAAAGTGATTGATGGCTTCTGCAAGATACGACCTCCTCTTCGAAACGGCGTTTAGGCAGCATGGAGTTGTCATGAAATATGAATGATGAGAGGCAGCATACTCAACTATGATACCCCTGGGAAGACACGGAAAAGTTCCAGTTGATGATATTTGCGGTTACTGGGCATTGACAGCCTGCATCAGCTCGACCATGCGCTGTAGTTGGCTGATTCTGTGATATTCGAGGACTCTTTTCAACATTTGAGCACTCGAGAGGACGGATGTTGGAGTCAACCTCCCACCGCGCCTCCGCAGAGAGAAATACCTAATAGACAGCAGAATGAATGAATATCGCAAGTTCGTCTCATGATCGACCTGACCAGGCGAAGAGCACACAGCGTAAATATCTGGCCCTAACAATAATGCATCCTTGTTTCCCCAGCGCTCGAATATAATTCCAGATCTTCGATAACCGAGATCGCACCTAGAATGCTTGCACCGGGAATTGAAGATCGCTGTTTCCCATGGTCTACCGTCTCCATCGTCACAAACATAGTCTACATCAAAGCTCATATCGCACAGCTGCCAGCTTTGACATCGGTGTTAAGCAGGTACGCCGGTTCGTTACAGACAGGCAACGGCGCTCACTGCCGGCACGTGTCATTCTGCTGCATCTGACGTCACTTTGACTACTGCACATCTTCCCACTTGAACTTGGTCCAGTTGATACCGACTTGAGCACAACCTGGCCATCTTGTCCTACAGGCCGTTCACTTCATTAGAAAAGTTTCTTTTCTCTTGTTTAAGCTCCTCTATGATCGTTCTGTCGACGCGTTATCACTGAATCCAGCATGACTAAAGAGCCAGGTTTGTCCAATTTGGACGTCGATTACGTTGTGTCGTACCGTGTAGATTCTAAAGGTAGGCGTCAGGATCCGGCCATCTCTGCACTTACTGACTCGGGCCAGACAAGGAAGGATCCATCAGACAGTTTAAGGAGCTGATCAGGGTACTTGCTGAAGTTGGCTTGACATCTGAAGTACGGACAGGCGATGATACCTCTCTGCTCGTCTTTGTGAAAGCGGCAGACGAGGATGTTTTGGCCAAAGTCGTCCATCGGTCTCGCATGAAGGACTGGCTTTATGGCGTGCGACAAATACAGCCCGTCGGAGATGCTGCCACAGCCTTGACGAACGATCCTCTCACGGACGCTGAGCGACACAGACAAATTTATCACATGATCACTGGACTACGGGAAGACGGGGGAGCTGGAATTACTCCTGAGTCTGGTCGATGGAAGAATGTCGAGTCGGTCTTTCCGCTTCACGATCACGCAAGAAACAAGAAGTGGTTGCTCGACTTCGCGAAGAAGACCTTCTTGACCCCACACGATCTGGACGACATCAAGGACGCTGTTGGCGAAAAGGTAGGGCGACGTCTCAACATTCGCTTTGATTTGCTGACGTACCCAGATCGGATTTTACTATGCTTTCCTGCAGTCATATTTCACCTTCATGATCTTCCCAGCTGCCTTTGGATTCTCCTGCTGGGTCTTACTGGGCAATTTCTCTGCTATATACGGCATTGTCAACGTTGTTTGGTGCCTAGTGTTTGTCGAATACTGGAAACGCCAAGAGCAAGAGCTATCTATTCGTTGGGGTGTGAAGAACGTCTCTGTGATTCAGGAGAAGCGTCGCGATTTCAAGCCTGACACCATGATTCGCGATACTGTAACAGGGGAGGATGTTCCACACTTCTCAGGCAAAAAGCGACTTCAGCGACAATTGCTACAGATCCCGCTGGCCATCCTATGCGTGGTCGGTCTCGGCACCATTATCGTGACCTGCTACTCGATTGAGATCTTCATCTCTGAGGTCTACAATGGTCCATTCAAATCGGTCCTCACCTTCACTCCGGTCGTCCTTCTCACCTTATCGATTCCTCCTACGTCGACTTTTCTCACGTCCTTCGCGGAGAAACTCACCGCCTACGAAAACTACGAAACTCAAGACGCTCACGATAAGGCTATGACCTCGAAAGTCTTCGTCATCAATTTCCTGACTTCCTACACGGCCATATTCTTGACGGCCTTTGTGTACGTGCCCTTCGCCACGATTCTTGTTCCATACCTGGATGTCTTCAGCCTGACTGTCAAGCCCTTCGCGGAGAACGACGCTCAAACGAGAGCTCCGACTTCAGAGTCCTTCAGCATCAATCCGAACCGCCTCAAGAATCAGATGATTTATTTTGCGGTAACCGCACAGGTTGTCAACTTCGCTACAGAAACCATTCTGCCACTAGTCACACAGAAAGGCAAGCAAAAGTACAACGAGATGCAGGCCTCCCGCGCTGAACGTCATGGTGGCACCTCTCCGACGCCTGATGCCAACGATACCCCAGAGGAACGCGACTTCCTGCGTCGCGTTCGCCAGGAGCTGCGCTTCCGTGCTACGATGTCACATCCGATCTACGCGAGATGTGTATTCAGTTCGGCTACCTCTCCCTATTCAGCTCAGTCTGGCCATTGACACCCGTTTCGTACTTCATCAACAACTGGATCGAGCTGCGTGGAGACACGTTCAAGCTGACCACAGAGTGCAGACGGCCAAACCCTGAGCGCGCCGACAGTATCGGACCATGGCTTTCGAGCCTCGAGTTCCTTGCCTGGCTCGGAAGTGTGACTACTGCAGCAGTATGCTACATGTTCAGCGGAAGTGATGACCCGGAGAAGGGCGGATTAGGTCCAGACGGTCGTCCACATCAGATCAAAGGCTGGGCATTGCTACTCTGCATCTTCTTCTCCGAGCACATCTTCCTCGTGGCAAGACTGGCAGTGCGCACGGCTTTCAGTAAGCTTGACTCGGTCAATCTGCGCAAGGAGCGTTCCGAGCGCTTTATGGTGCGCAGAAAGTATCTCGAGGAAGCTGGTCTGAGCGATGCAGTCAAGCCATTGGGCAGCGGCAACGAGAAGCTGTCCACGAATGCAACCCGAGCGCTCATTGACGAGAAGGGAGACGCAGACGTATTGGGTGACATTACGCGGAGCTCGCTTGAGGAAGACGCTAGACAAGAATCACTCACCGAAGACAATATGGAGCCCGCCGCGAGACGATTTTGGGGCCGGCAGCGAACTTGGCGTGAATCAGAGAAGGTCGGGCTTCATCTCCTAGAAGAACTAGAATGGGGAGGTGCGGAAGGAAAGAAGTCGAAGTGAGGCGTAGGGGCAAGCACAAGAACCAGAGCACTTCACAAGACGTCTTGGTCACGCAGGCTGGAAGCTTCAATTTGTCGAGCTTGAAGGCCCTACTGAATGTCACGGTGTTGACGAGTGATGATCTGTAGTTGGATGGGCTGACAGCAAGGTCGTAATCTATCAGTAGGTCTCACACCATTGCTCGAACCAGCGAGAGTCTCTACAGGTCCGTCATTTCACACTGCTGTTACCGTGTCTTGCGTAGCGTCCACCGGCATCTGCATGTGACCCATGTCTGTGGAGGCTACCCAGGTCGCGGTCACCGTCAACCGGTCTGACATCCTATATTTGCTGTCAACCGGCCTGGCGATTTGGAAAGAAATGTCATCCGGTCTGGTGGGCGGCTGTCAGTAACTCCCCTGGCTCATCCGTACATGTGTGGTCCTTTGAAGCCATGCTGTCGGTCCCGGTACCAACTCTCGTCGCAGCCAAAGACTAGTATCCTTGACTCGTGCCTACTCACTGAATAGCAATAAGGCTTTGTCCATGACCCAGCTCAAACGTTTCTCTCTTCTTACAGAGCACCAAACATCTCGTTGCCACGACTCGCAACACCTGTCCAGGCGGGCTGATTCCGGCCATCAGGACCTCCCTGTTCACATCCGAGCTCTTCTCGTCGTACTCACTCACGTCTCCATCTCCTCCAAGCTACCTAGGCAGGTAGCCGTGTCTCTCTCCGCCTTGCGCCTTCCTCGCCGCAGGCACTCCAGTCATCTCGGCAGGAAGTAACGCATCGTCGGTCACTATCAAATCAGTGTTCACGATCATCAAGGTTCGCTTCAGAAGTGGCGTAGGAAGACGCAGGGCATTCACTCGTATGGGTGGAAAGCCCTGTAATAGCTTTGGAGATGGTACTACTGCTCTCGGTCTGTCATCGTTCGCTGGTCATCTCCCCTCGTTCCGGGCGCGGCACAGGGGACGATATAACTGCTGGATTATTTGCAAGGGCAATCGTGATGGCTGCGGACCGTAGCAGATGACGGCAAGAGGACCTCGTGCTGCCAAAGTGAATACGTGAGTGGGATGCTGTTTTGTCTCCCTTATATTGCTTTCTTTTTGTTCCGCCACAAGTTGCCTCGACTCGTGGCTCCTCCGTTCTGGATTTCCGTCTCTTTCATCGATTCCTTCCTCTGACTTTTAAAGTATTGCTCCGGGCTGCTCTCCACTACATAACATCAAGTCCTCCCCGCGCTGCTTCGTTGACTGGGCTTGAAGGGTGTCTGATTTCGTGATCAGCTGTGTTCAAGTGACTGGTATTGCGCGAGTCGGTCATGCGCAAAATCCGGATCGATGATTAGCGAGGCGCTACCAACCGTCCTGCCCAGTCATGATGACGTGTGTCTCCATGTCTTGGGCAAGCTGCTGACTTCTAACATTGTGTTGCTCGGTAACAAGGCTAACATACAACTGTTAGGCAACCATGGTCGAGCGCAATGGTGAGTCGTCCCAGTAGCAATACCAGCGTCCGAAGTGGTCCAGCCAATACCAAGTAGCGAATAAGATTTCACGAAGAGAAGCCGGTCAGTATCCTCCTCGTCCATTAGCTCCGCCACCACATTCATCTGCACTGACATGAGTCCAGTCCCAGACGTCATTCAGACGCTGCCTCTCGGGAGAATCAGCAGACCATCGGCCAGCGTCCCGCAGCCAATTTATTAGATCGATCTTACTCTGCATGGTCGACTCGTGTTTCCGACCCAATATCTTGACCCTCCCCTCTAACACTTCCCAGAGAGCAGCTTCAACCTGCTGTTGCTCTGCCTGACGTCGCCGACTGCGCTCAGCGCTCCGCTGAGCTTGTACTGTTGCAAAAGCACTGTTGATGGTCGCTAGGCCATGCCTGTTGTCACTCTGCACATCCTCTTTTTCTTCTTCAACCCGCCACCGTTTTCTGAGTAGCTCGGCACGGATCCTCACGTTCTCTAGCTGTCTTGCATGCTGTGTGCCAAGAGTGCTTCGGCCATCTTCGATGGCGATGGAAATCGTTTCGATCGCTTCCGATAGTCGGTTCTGGCGTTCGAGCACAAGTTGCAGCTTGACGAGTGCGGCGATGGCTTGCAGATGGCTCTTGTGGAAAGTTCTACAGGCAAGACTGTAACAATGTCGAAGAAGGCCTTCAGCGTGGGAAAGTTTGGCTTCCTTGTACGGCGAAGCGAATCGGATGGCTTCGGTTGTCAAAGCAGATGCGTAGAGGTACATGGCTGGAATTGCTCGGCGACCAGCTTCACCTTCCGCTGGTACCGAGAAGGGCGGCTGTGCTTGAGCTCCCTCCGTTGTTGACGGTGGGGTCCAGCCTGTAACGAAAGCATGCCAGGCATGCTCGAGCATAGGCGTTGTGATCTCAGTCTGATCGTATATGGTCTTGCCACTCGACATGAGCGTGCTAGAGAACTATTAGCCGTCCCGCTTCTAAGTCGCTGTCACTTTCATTGTGCCCATCAGCAAGGCGGCATGTCTTCGTTCTTGTAAGAAAGGGAAAATGAATCCCGCAAGTGCTGTGCAATCACTCAAGTACTGGGAAAAGGGGAAGTTCTTACACAAACCGAGCCAGAATCGAGATGGGATGATCCTGTCCCAGCATCTCCCTGGCCACGTCTGATGCGCGCCCCATAATGAATTTCGTGATATTTCCCCAATTATGCATACCTAGAGTCATGACTGATTGATTGATCGCAACCAAAATATTGGGGTCGTTGCTGACAATCATGGCTCGGAACTGCTCATCCGCACATTCCAGATCGTATCTTGCGAACACGAAATCGTCAGTTGCTGTGGCATAAGATGGCGTATTTTCCACGAGATTGCGATCTGTCAAATCGGTGTACCGACTGCGCGAGTAGTATATGCACGCCGAAAAGCAGTGTGATACCCATTTCCATGAGTGGTCGTTCGCGGGCGATGGAACGGCAAAATGTACTGCTGGCGACGGTAAGTCGGGCGTTGGGTTGAAGATGTTTCGTGTATTCCGCTGGATCGACGGCGAAAGAGTCAGAGAGGCTGGACTGTCGATATCGCAGGGACTTGAGTGATCTGACGTGGTCCTGTGACATCGTGGACATATCACGTCGAAGTCAGATAACGAAGAGGTATCTGATGCACCATGACTCAACACAGTCCAAGCCTCGAGATTGTCGGCTCCATGAGACTGTCGTAGCGGATTCGAGTAGATCGTCGAATGTGCCAGTGACTCGACATCACTTCTGCCGAAACTTCTCCGTGGCGAGTGCCGTAAGTGGTTCGTTGGACGAAAACTCACACTCGTGGGTGAAATACTGAATGACTCAGGAGTGTGGTTGTGTGCCGAGTACGCGTCCGTGGGAGATGGCAGTGGAACGGATCGAGGCTCCAGCGTTGACCATTGGCCCTGTCGTGCCGAATGGGATGCAGAAGAAGACGTGGAAGGCCTATGTCGTCGTGGGCGTTGCTCTATTGGAAGGCTATTGCCGTTTGAGGCATCTGACGATGTCGGTGTCAATTTCACGAGAGCTTCATGACTGCCATCGTTTTCCGAATCCCCTTCGGAATCGTGCCCACCGTCTTCGTCTGGCTCGGGCGTGACGGCGCGGACCTGCTGACCATCTCCTTGTAATTGATCTGGTGTAACATTGGCGACCGCCAAAGCATAAAAGTCCTCTACGGTCATCTTCCGTCCTTTGATGTACTTGAAAAGATCTCGGAGAGTTCGACGGTTGCCATTGATGTCGAAAGCTGTGTGCTGAATGCCCCTATCACGCCGCGTTTTGTGGAGAACTGCACAAATCTGATACTCCTTGTCCGAGGAGTTCTTGGTAAACTTCCATGCATTCAGTCTCGACCTGCGAATATCATTAGCTTGTCCCAAGGAACAGGTATATGGCTGAAGATTGGACTGGAAGCTTAGGAAGAGCAGTTCTATGTCTGCCCGAAACATGCTCTGCGAGCATTCGATATAAACCTCATTTCCGGGTACCATCTGAGCTGTCCGAGAGTGACTTACTTGAACATGCGCTCCCTAATCGATTCGATGTTAGCGAATTGAATCACGATAGGAAGAGCAAGAATGGTGCGTTATCAGTAACATGGCAACGAGCTAGTGTATGCAATAAATGGCGGTGGGTTTAACGAAGTCGAGACTTGAGCGCAACAGCGGAGTCGGAAGCTGGGCCGGGACGTAGCATGCTCACCGCCAGTATAGAGGCGGGGCTCATACAAGCTTCGGGGACCACACCTGAATTCAGGGCACCATATCTTGGATAAGACATTGAAACCAGAATTTGTGGGATGAGAATAATGGGTCACGGAATGGCAGCTGGATGAGGAGAGTGATACTTACGTCGCTCGGAACCCGCGTCGCTGTTCCAGAATCTGCTTGACGTGCTTGAGAGGCTTTTTCTCGATGAGATACAAATAGCGAATATCCTCTTTAACCGCACTCCATTGCGCTGCCGTTGGACCCTCGAGCGTTTGTGGAGCGTCGCCATGATTCGACGCTATAGTTGCCATGAGATGTGTCAAAACACATGCATGGCTCGAGACGCGACGATCGTTGAGTCGTACTGCTGGTGAGGATGCTGAGGGAGAAGAGGAAAGAACTCGAGAGTTGCGCAAAGTTAGCGCAGTAAGGGACGCCCGACAAGTCCGGAACACAAGGCTGTTACACTTGAGTAACAGCTTTGAGTGTCAGGAGCGATACGCCTGCGGTACCGGACTTTCTTTTGCCCAGTGTTGGGATAAGAAAAGAAGAGAAGCTCCTCAGCGTGGAGGAACCATGAGTGGGAAGTGACGGCCGCAGCCTGATCGTGGGAAAGTGCTGGGCGCGCTGAGATCACCAGACTTCGGATTGTTGGACGCTCTTAGGACGGGAGACCGTTGAGGAGCTAGTACCAACCAGATGAGGTCGAACTGATAAAACGAGCTTCCAATCCCACTCTGTGTACAGAATGCTCTCAGGCGGTAATGTGACAGAAGTGACGACTATCCGCTTGTGAGAGTTGCGCCTCCCCTCCTCATTTTTGGCGGAGTGTCGGCACAGTACTTTCTGCCTGTTAGCGCCAACCGCGCCACGCCGGAATTGACAGTGGAATGATGAAAGGGATCGCGAAACCTACCTTAGGAAGGGGCCGACTGGACTTTTGGCGGCTCCAATTTCGGGGCTCCAGCGAACCAAACTTGCCCTAGCTCAAGCCCCAGGAACTGTAGGGAGATTGGTGAATAGTAGTGGCTTCAAGTCCCACCGTCATGCGGGTTTCTATCGGTAACGTGACTGCAGCAAAGATGAGGCGGCACTTGTCTGCATCTCAAGCTGCCTCACTCTTAGCAAGCAATCCGACAGAACATCAGAACATGCGGCTGAGCAGTGATGACTCTACCCTCGTGCTGAGAAGCTCTGCTCAGAAGCCTGACTGTCAATGGCGATACGCTGCAAGTCCAGGGTAATGTACCTCGCGCTTATTGTGAGATCTAATCTGTGAGACTGAATTTGGTCGACGCAGATGCAGGCTACGCACGTCACAGGTCCTATGATGGGGATAGCACGACCGGATGTATTTCGTACCATGCATAACAAAATCTATAAGGTCGCCCCCATGCGGATCGATGCGGTTGCTCCGTTGCTATACACCAAGCCAGCTAAAGCATTGCGCCAACCTATGAAGCCCCGATCTCCTGAGTCCGCATACTTTAGGGCTCTTCAGGCTTGAAGACCATGTGACCCATGACGGCGACAGCCGCCCTCGTCCTTGAACACGTTGACATCCTTCTCGTTCCGCTGTGAGTCGTCTGGGAAGGTTCGACCGTCCGACGTCCTTATCCCGAGCTTCATTAATGTAAGGTCCCGGGGAAGAGCGATGCTCCGCAAACAGACCACTTCCTGTATCTGGCTGCCTAACACCTCTTTTTCCCGATGGACACAGTTCTTGGTGGAGCTACGCTTCGAGTCGTTTCCTGAAGCATTCGATGAAAAGGTCAAGGGACATCGACAACGGATTCCCATAGGCTGATGCCTTCGTTCGGTGTGGAAGGACTCTTCGATTTACATGGGCTTCCACCACGACGCCTGGATATCGCCCAGTAAAGAAAGAAGCCGAGAGATATCGTCCTTTCAGCGGTCCCCAGGATCGGGAATCTTGACTGCTGCCGAGGGTCAATGTAAAGGACCATGCAGTAGCTCGAGTCATACGTTCTACACGCTTGTGTCCTGCGTTTGAACGGTGTTGTCGCCGGTGGTCGACATTCTCATATCGAATCGCAGGGTCTCCTGGCGCTTTCTAGCTCTGTCGTCCATTGCCAGGTAGCAGTTCCTTCGACGCCCCAGTGCAGTGCGTTGGTCGTGTGTATACATACCTCTTACCTCCATGGCGGGTGATGTGTAACGCTGCACGAGGTTGATTCTCAACACACTTACCGACCACCTATTCATCGTGAGGATCCACAGGACTCAAAATCTCGACATTGCCTGCACAAAGTATGACAAGTGTACGGGATCAACATCCTGCTGCAAAGCACAAGGAAAAGGTAGGTGTTGACAGTCGTACACCCCGCCTCTACGTTGGTGGAATGGACATCATGCTGACATCGTCGCATCACAGCTCTCATATGCAATGACGAGCTTCCTCGACGCTTCGAGTTGCGATGATCCGTGGTCCCCTGGGCATGCGGAATCGAAACCGAAACACATGCATGCGAGACACTGCCGGGTCCACCGCCTTTCGTCTCCCAAGAAACGACGCCTCTGAGTTTGGTTCGGGCCGTGCACAACACAAGACGCCAATCGGATACCATGTACCATCAACATGCTTTGGCATATCAAGCCAATCACCGTTTCGAATGACGATCGACCCGGTCATACCTCACATCCATCGGAGTATCATTGAGTCTGCAAATCCCACAGCCATTTGGTTTATGGCTTTCTGAGTCTAGTGTACAGTAACTGGGGGCGTTCCTGAGTGTTGCTGTCACGGGCGCTTATTTGATTTGGTCGATTTCCTCCATTGAATCAGTTCATGATGGACCATGTCGGCGCCCGCCATTGGCGTTGTCACCACGATTAGGTGACCTTAGTACGCCTGCACATATTGCACGGATTTGGTCATGTTTTCCAGATTTGGTTCCACGTCACAAATGTTTTGGTCAACGTGCATGTCGGTCATTCCGATCTTGCCGATCTTGTCGGTCTTGTCGATCCCTTCGCGATGTGGTCGACATCACATCGTCGTCGTCGATGGCATGTCTATCACGCCTGCTCGCTGCCACTGAGAACCCCACCCCAGCCTTCGTGTCGTCTTCTACTTTGTCGCGATGCCGTGAAGATGTCGTCGTCGTCGATGTCGATGGTTGAATCCTCGCACCTCGGTTCGCTGTTGTGTCAGTAGTCGTTGTCATGCTTGTTGCTTTCCTTTGTTGCTCGCGACCTGTATCCTGATCCTGGACGCTCAGCTTCCGCATGTCCTTATTGATGTCGGGCTTGGGTATCCTAGTGCTAAGCATATCTGGTGGTGGATGTCCAGGGCGGGGTGGCGGCTCCGGCGACGGGTCGCGACCATGCCGGTTCGTTGTAGATCTTTGTTGGTTCTGTGTTGTTGCTGAACTTCGCGACGTAGAGTCTGGAGCATCTGTAGCGGGCTGTTTCCTCTTGCTCCTCGGGTTGGTGTGACCTGGAGTTGCGCCATTTTTTCTCCGACTGTGCCATGTGTCTGAATCATTGAAGGAGTAGGGGTCTCGTCGGTAGGAACCTGCAGGAAGTCAGAACTGGATACGCCAGCGACGGGGTTGATCCCACGAGTCGCCTTTTCCTTCTCCCAGTTTCTTGAATCTTCAATAATGTCCCGACATCCAGCCTACCAGATCAGCGCACGGCTTTTCGTACTGTCACTGATTGAACTTACAACACTCAAAGTATTTCGTGCTCCTATCAAGAAGCCTTGTTTTGATGTATTCTGGCAATGTCAGACTCATTTAGCGACACAGGTGTCTATTCGTCGTACCTGTGGATTCGGAGCAGGCTTAATTGTTGCTGTGTCATCAATGAACTCTTTCAGATACGTCGCGAGGACGACAAGATCGATGTCAGAGGCCGGGACCCAGCACTGGATGTGAGTGAACGTTTCCTCATCCGATGACGATTCCGACGATGAATCTCGTGCACGTCGGCCTCTGTCACGGCCTGCCATGTCTTGAGCGACGTTGTCTGGATGCTGAGGCTGAGCGCAGAGGAGGGGTCTGATGTGGCATGTGTCCCACGGCCTTCCCCACGACTGGCTGCCTCGCAGAGGTAATCAGAAGCGCAGGACACGAGAGGCACAGCGCGGCTTAATCGTCATTGGGGTCCGACAAAAACAAAGTGGCGGCACATTCCAAGTGGCAAGGAAGCGACGTGAGGTAAAGGGAAGGGCAATCAATGAGGGTTGAAATCGAGTCAATCCCGTAACAATTGTCTGCCCAAAGTGGCACGGGTCAGAGTGAGAGGGTTACTGGACGCTCTGGCTCGGCCTGGCGTCCATGAGGTAAGGATTCGGCATTGGCCACGATGCGAAGCGGCCACATGTCGCCTGCTCACTAGGTCGGCTATTTTACTTGCTGTCTGCCTAGGTTAGCATGGCGGGATGGTGTAGTATTCCCGTGTTTTACCGGTCGGGACATGTGCCCCACGTGGAGTGGGCGGAACCAATGTCGATATAAGGCGACGAACTTCTTCCACGGCTGAAGTTCCACGAGCTGAAATGGCGCACGGAGGGCGACGAATACCGCCGATTTAGCAAGTTGCGTTGCTATGAAAAGGCGCTTCGGACAGCCCTGGAGGTAAACGGGCGTGGCCGATTCGCATCCGTAGATCGCCTTGTGGTTCGGGAAGGGGGAAGCAGAAAGAGGGGCACGCCCATGTTGCATCGTCCCGGCTTGCGCTTTGTGGCTAAAAGAAGGTGGCCCTGGTCCATGTGATCAGTGACCAAAGCTTCGTCGAGTCAACCTGAGATCTAGGGTGATAAAGTCAAGCTCGACTGGGAGTGAACAGCGATTATTGCTGACGTGCCTTGTCTTTGGTTGCACCTACGCCGAATGCCGCGACTATGACTCGCTCCGACACCAGCTACGGTACGAACAAGTTAGAGGGCTGCTGTGTCTCCTCTCAAACCTCGATGAATCAACTTTCAGGGAGGGTGATGCCTCTCCCTGACGAGTCGGAAATTGGTCTCACTGTATGAAATGGTGTGAAGGAGAGGATGAAGTCAAGGTAAGAATTTTTAGCTCGACGGCCCGCGACGGCGAGCTATTGAGGTACATGAAAACCCAGCCCCTTGTTACCATCTAGCTTCGTCTCATGTACACCATTCTTCACCGCCACTTTGCTATGGCCAAATCTGCAGCAGATTGCATCATTATGCTTCATATCTCTCGGTTCTGTCAGGGCAAGAGGTGGAGATTTAGAACTTCCGCATGCACTACTTCTGTCAATCTCTTCATCGATCCCATGAAGAAGGGTAGAAGTTCTCGGGTCTCTTCGGTTCACTATCCAGGCAGTCAACCGGCTTTCCACTGAGCTCAACGACCACTATTGCTGGTTTTCAAATGGAAGGCCACTCTCTTTCCGCTTGGCTCCATACATCCCGGCGATGTCGCCTCGAGCACCCATATGCTCTTTGACAGCCACGAGCAATGAATCGGCCAATTGAACATTCTTCATGGTCATTCCTGCCTCCTTCGCGATTGCTTGCGCATGGCGTGCATCCTTTCTGGCCAGGTCCACAGCAAAGAGCGGCTCCTCCCGCTGGTAATAATCGCCGCTTAGCATGCGGTTCGAGTATGCAGTATATGGCCCAGGAAACATGGTTTCGATGAACTGGTGCAGCTGCTTCGTACCCAGTCCGGATTTTTCAGCCACGACGTGCCCCTCAGAGAGCGTTTCGACCATGCTCGCTATGAAGGTATTGCCGAGCACTTTCAACAAAGTGGCTTTCGCTGGTGGCAGGTCTGAGTAGTCGATGATGGCCCGGCCCATAACTCCTTCACAGTAAGGCTTGATCTTCTCCACGGACGACGCTTCTCCCGCGAGCACACAAACAAGCTGACCAGCGTCCGCCGCCGCTACTTGAAGTCAATGAATGGCTCAACACGTACTTGGCCTCGTTGGACGATCGCGAACGGGAGACAAACCTGGCGCTCCGAAAACAGGACATGCCACGAACGATCCCTTTTTGGCCTTGATCTTTTCGGCTTCCTTCTCCGTACTGTCTGGGTGCTGCGACGGTCAGTAGCGTGCATCAGCGAGAAGTTTGCAAGGTGCCCTTTGAGTAGACGCCGATCTCTGAGCTGACTTACTATCGTCGAGCAATCAACCAGTATCTTTCCAGTGACATCGCTCTTCAGCAGCTCATCGACGGTGTCCAATACTGCCGCGTCGTCCCCCAAGCAATAGAATATTATATCAGCCTTTGAAACAAGATCAGCCAGACTGGTAGAGACCTCCGCGTGACCGATCTTTGCCACGAGGTCGCTCGCCCGCTTGGTTGTCCGATTATAAACCAACAGCTTCTGGGTTAAGTTTCCCTTCTCGACAAGGTTCTTACACATGCCCCTGCCCATATTCCCCAAACCAACCCATGCAAGTTGTGGTGCCATCTTGGAGTGTGCGCTTCGACACTGACACGTGTATGGAGCACACCACCACCATAAGAGACACAAGTCAATCACCCTAAGTAGCTGGACTACCTTTACAATGTGCCCGCATGACGTCTATTTCCGAGCCCGCCGGGCCTAACTGCTCACTAACTCCTAGCACAGTTGGAGAATGAGTTGCGTTGCGAAGTCGGGCGGTGAATTTTAAACGTGAATAAAACATTTATGACTGAAGCGAGAACCTGAGAGGTACTGAGTGAAGGTGCAGTGGACTTATTGAGGCTCAGAGACATTGCAATGCATCCCTACCCATGCTATGCCTGTTCTCTGTTCACCCGATATCGCCATGAACCATGGGTATCTTGAACGAATACTGTCCTAGACTAGGACGCGTTCAGGTAACCACTTACAGCCTTCAGCAATTGAGATGGCAAGCAACTTCTTCACCTGCTCAGAATGTCACCAGCCCTAAATCTGGACGCTCGAGGAAGTCTCCTCTTGGAAAGCTTGCGCAGCAAAAAGAGGAAGACAAACAGTTCTTTGCTGACCTTCTCTCTGCTGCTGCAACCAAACGCGATGCGAAAGCATACCTCTCACGACTGAAGTCCGACCGCTTCAATGCAAAGCCAGACTTGTCCGGAATCTTCTTTCCGACGAATGCTGTCGCGGACACCCCAAAGTTCGAGCAGAATGCCCTAAGCAAGAGCAGCGAGATTCAATATGCAGAACTACCGCATGTTGCACTGGTCAAGATCTCAGCAATGAGCCAGATTGACGATGGCGTGTTGCGAGGTATCGCAGGCACTTTGACCCAACTCGCTAGACTGAGTATGCTTCCCTGCATCGTGATTGACGAAGACACCGAACTGAGCCCCATTCAGCGGCGGAAACAGGTAGAACAACAGGCAGACCGACTCGTGAGCGCTATTGAAGACTCGGCAGGCTATAGCGTCAGAAAAGTGTCCGACATTCTCAGCATAGGGTCCGATGGACGAGCTATGGTAACGATGCCGGCCTTGCTCGAGAGACCGCTTCAACGTGGACGGATTGTCTTGGTCATGCCTGTTGCCTATGACCCTGCCACACAAAGCATCACCTCGGTAAAGGGTGATGACGTCTTGGTGGCATTGACGAAGTACTCGACAGGTCACGAGTCTTCTTCGTGGTCCGGCGGTGTCAACACCACCAGCACCTCGCCCAAGGCAGCTGTGATCGACCGGGTCATTGTCATAGATGCAGCAGGAGGTGTCCCAAGCACCAAGTCTATCGACCAGATGCATGTCTTTGTGAACATGGAGCAAGAGTATCACTCCTTGCAAGAAGAGCTTCGCAGCTCAAATGATGACAGAGTATCGCCTTCCCATGCGTCGAACCTGTCAATGCTTCGGCAATGCCTGCAGTTGCTTCCATCAACAGCTTCTGGTCTGATTACAACTCCATTCGAAGCCGCAAATTCATGTCAGAGAGCACACGATAGTCCTCCCGATGTCTCAACAGTGGGAACTCGTCGTCAGCGTAACCCTCTTATCCATAGCTTGCTCACTGACAAGCCCGCCTATTCGTCTTCGCTACCATCGAGCCGCTTGTCGACAGAGTTTCCAGTACTGACAACCTCGACATCGGTCAAGCACGGATTGCCGCTGACTATTCTGCCAAATCCCGATGCTCAGCAGTGGACACCAACAAAGAAGCCATGGATCCAACTGACGGACCCACGCATTGACCTTGATCGGCTGGTCTACCTCATCAACGATAGCTTTGGTCGACAGCTAGACGTTCCAGCCTACCTTCGGCGGGTCAACGACACAATCGCTGGAGTCATCATCGCTGGAGACTACGAAGGTGGCGCAATTTTGACATGGGAGCGTCCTTCCTATCTTCCTTCTGATAGTGATCGACTGGTCCCTTACCTCGACAAGTTCGCGGTACTGAGGAAGGCCCAGGGTGGAGGAGGTGGCGTAGCCGACATCTTGTTCAACGCGATGACTCGCACTTGCTTTCCTGACGGCGTGTGCTGGCGCTCTCGGAAGAACAACCCGGTCAACAAGTGGTATTTTGAGCGAAGTCGAGGAACCTGGAAACTCCCGGGCATGGACTGGACCATGTTCTGGACGACACCAAATGTTGTGGCTCCTGGAGTTAGGTCACCAAACAGAGGAGGGGTGTCGAATCAGGACACGTTCCTTGACTACGAGACTGTGTGCCGAAGTGTGCAGCCGACTTGGCTGGACAAAAAGGCCGCGGCCTGAGATCGGCAGGAACGACATACCTGGAACTTGACGAAGGACTGAGACTAGGCAGCGACCTCTGAGGTGTTCATGGCTGATCATCGATATCTGCGAGCTGGAGTGTGCTGAAGCACTGCAAAGGGCAGGACTGATGCTTCGTGTCTGCATGGTCTGCAATTAATGCTGCATGGCGTTGGGGAGTGATTGAGGCTCTATTAAGCTTTATAGCTAGGCAATCAGAATATGAGTCAACCTTGGAAGCTTTCGATTAGGCTTCCACTTAGGTACCGAACGCCTGGACGCTTCAGGTGGGGTGTCCGTCAAATTTTCCCCTCACAGGTCCTCTTTTCGTGCCCGCAGCCATCTTTGCTTTCATTCGGTCAGTACCTCAAGTGGAAGCACGGCGCATACTCGAGCTCGTACCATAGAGTACAACTTCCTTGGAGGAAGAGATGGCACCCACCACCGCCGACCACAAAGCCCAGCTCCTTGAAGTCCTCCTCAAAGCCTCCGTTCTCTCCTTCGGAACATATACACTAAAATCCGGCCGCATATCGCCTTACTTCTTCACCTCTACATTACTACACACTTCCACTCTGCTCGGCGCCTTGTCCCGCGCATATGCGGCCGTGCTAGCCGAGCCACCATTTTCACTGCCACTCGGCACAGAAGAAGCTGGAGCCGACGCAGATGGATCGTTGAGCCCACATTTCGATATTTTGTTCGGGCCCGCATACAAGGGCATACCGCTGTCAGCGATCGTGACGAGGGAACTAGAATTCCATGGGAAGGCTTTTGAGGGCGTGTCGTACTCGTTCAATCGGAAAGAGGCAAAGGACCATGGTGAGGGTGGCACCATTGTTGGTGCCCCACTGAAAGGCAAGCGCGTGGTCGTGGTGGACGACGTCATGACTGCCGGAACAGCGCTGAGGGAAGCGGTGCAGATAATTAAGGCGCAAGGTGGGCAGGTGGTGGGCGTAGTACTGCTGTTGACGAGACAGGAAAGAGTCAGTGAGGACGAGCCGCGAAGCGCGATGAAGGTCGCAGAGGATGAGTTGGGTGTGCCTGTAAGAGCTGTGTTGACGTTTGAGGACATCGTCAAAGCGATCGAGGATGGCAAGATTGAGGGTGCTGGACCCGAGCAGTTGGAGCAGATGAAGGTTTATCGAGAGAAGTACGGAAGTGTTGATTGAGAACCAGACTTGCCGGGTCTGTGGAGCTGTTGAAAACCAAGGCGAAAGCATGGGTGTCATGCCCAACTCGCAAGATGTTAGAAGGACAATATTACAGCACTGAAAATCGCGAACTCCACGCAGGCCAGATGCCGCCCCAATCGAGGACAATGCAGATCGCAGTCAGGAACAGCAACCCACAAAATCTGGGCTCCAACAATCGAAACGGATCACGAGATCTCGATGTCAAGGTCTTTTCAAGCACCTAGTCAGTCAAACATATCAAGAGACTGCCTCCCCTCATATCTGCGGGAAGGAGCGAAGCGCAGACAGCCGTTGCGGAACCGGCAGACGGCTAACATGACTTCTGGCTTTATGCACGCATGAGTGTCGGCCTGCGAGTGCCACACGCAAGTCAACCAATCAGGCTCTCAGGGGACGCGTAACACATGGTCAGTGCTATACAGTATCAGTCAACAACTTTTAAAAATTGGTACGGATCCATGACTTCCCACAGCTGTTACTCACTCGACCTCACACTCTCAGCACGGCGAGGTTCGGGATGGTCAGGCGACGATATCGCTCTCCGATGGGGTCTGGTCGCAAATAGCGCTTATCGCTATGGCTCGATCAAGACTTCGGAGCGTCACTTGCGCATTCGAGAACTTTCAGGTGGCCTACGTAAAGAACCAGGCAACGGGTTGCCTGGAATCTGCCCTGCCAGCCCCAGCTTCTCCAATCAGACGTGTACCCTACATATCACATAACCTGTAGTCCTTCACCGCGACCTTGCTTCGTCATGTCAGACCACTCTGACGCACGGAATAGCGTGGAGCACGCCCCGCCACCATCATCTCCGCCGCCATTGCTCCCCATCGAAGCACTAGACCAGCTCTGCGACCAAGGCTGGCTACGTCTCGCACTGCCACCAGATCTACTCGCCGCTGCCCACCGTCTACAGACTCTTGCCTCTAATTTCTTCGACCAATCATCCACAGATGACAAGTACGAAGCGTTTCCAGCCAAGCACAACACAGAATTCGGATACTATCACGTCAAAGACAGAAAGAGTATCTCACACTTCGCTGCTGCACTAACTCATCATCAACTTCGGCGGTTGAGGAGGCCGCTGCTGACTACTGGGCACAGACAACCAACCTTATGATCAATGTGCTGGCAGATGCTCTCTCGCCATATCTCGAGATCCCCAGTACGATCTGGGACGACGTCATAAGTCCTCCAAGGAAAAGACTGGCATTACCGGAAAATGTCACCACAATGCCAGCCAGCGAAGCTGACATCCACAGCGGGACGCTCTTGCGCCTGTTCCGATACTTCCCCAGAAACGATGATCAACACGGGCTGAATATGCGCGGCGAGGGTGACATGAGTGGTGGAGCAGGCATGCACACCGACCTCGGCCTGCTAACCCTTTGCATTGGACAGCGTGGGCTGGAGTGCTTTGACTTGAGCAGACAGCAGTATATCGATGTGCTGGATGCTCCTGCTGTCACTGTAAGACCCATAGCAGACCCTTCAAACTCATGTACGACCTACAATGAACGTGACGAAGCCCCACAAGACCAGGATCTCGGCGCAGTCCTCCTCCTAGGCCAAACGATCCGCGGTCTCACGCACCAGCAACTCCCCGCCGGCGTCCATCGAGTCAGACCACTGCCGGCTACAGGCCGCGAGAGCATAGTCTTTGCGCTGCGGCACGCATTCGGCGATATTGACCTGCGTCCCTGGGGGCTCGGCGATGGCAAGGTCAGCGCTAAAGATCTATACCGATGGCTGGGTGTAGGCAAGGTAAGCGTGAATGCTGCGGCTGGAGTACGGGAGCGGCAGCTTGCCGAACTGGCCCGCAGCAACGGCAACGAGGAGTAGGGGCAAGGTTGACGAAGACCGCGGAATCCGAGCGAATGCTTTCAGAGCAAGGGCGGCGGGGCCGGTCTGGCAGCCTACCACGGGTACCAAACGACATCACGCCAATCACTCGAACGAGTCGTGATCGCAGAAATGAACCGGCACAAGCAAGAAGAACGGCATTATGCTGTACCGAGGATCTTGATTTGGGAGACTATACAAAGTTTTTCTGGCGTCACCGATCCAGCCTAAGGCTGCGCAGGCTCAGCACGTTCAGAGTCGAGATGAAGCTCCCAACAGCCATGTCAAAGGTCCATCTGTGCCGAGAGAGCGTCAGCCGCGCTCACTGAATGACACAGCCGGAGACGGTCTTGGCGGCGCCGTGCGCATTGTAGTAATCACTCCAGGATGCTTCGTGCATTGTTGGGTTTGTTGAGATGGATTTTCCTGATGGAAGAGATTTGAATTGTTTCGTGTGATTGGAAAGTATGCGATGATTGTGTGAGATGGAAAGCTTCAAGACGAGGTAGGGAGAACAGGAATACTTATAGCACAAGACATGGCTGCGCTAGGTATTTGACGAGGCCTTGTTACGAGACACAGGCACAAAGGAGGTCCAACAACGAGCGAGCTAAGGCTCAGCAAAGGACAGGGTACGTCTTTACTCAGGAATAGCAGCAATAGCAACAGGGTCTGGCTGCCATTACCACATTACTCGCAGCGTGTAGCATTGAACAAGGGCGCAAGGCTCGCAAGGAACAATGTCGTTGCAAAACACCAAGAGTCAGATAAAGACAAGGCTGATGAAAGGAGACCATGGCCAGGGGGACGCTATGGCCTTACTATTGTTCTTGACGCCGAGGCTGAAGCTTAGTATTGTCCTTCGCTTGGAGGCACGAGGTCCGAGCGTTTGGCAACATTATTGTGCTCTAAGTGCGTTCTCGAAAATACGTGCTTTCCCCATCCGAGACCAATATTGCATTAGGAAGGCAAGCCTCTATTCTTACGCTTGCTAAAGGAAACGCCGATGAATGATCCATGCTTGCTTCCCCGTGAACGCCTGCGTCCTGGACGCGATTTGTGCTGTGCTCGAGCCCTGATTCCTAGGTAATCAGGACCCAACCTCAATCTCGCCAGCCCACTCCCTCTCACCCTCCTCCGGCCCCGCGCCCTTTGCGTTGGAGATCCCTGGCGCGCCTTCACCCAAACGCATGCCGCACTCCATTTTCCAATTCTTCGGCGTATACCCGTCGACCACCCGTTTGAAGGTCTCCAGCGTACAAAAGCTCTCATCGCCCTCTAGATGGTTACCTGGCCGTTTGCACGCAGGCACCGTCATGACCTTGTCGTTGAAGCGAAGGCGTACATAGTAGCCGGAAAGTTTGTCTTTGGAATGCTGAGGTATCTCAGACCAGGGCCGTCGGGCAATGCCTTGGGTCTGCGCACCCGGCTGAGGTATTGTTGAGGCGTTGTTCAGATGTTGCTTTTGAGCACTTGGAGACGAAGACGAGAGGCCGAGCATTGAAGAAAGGAAGCCTGGCCTCGCTGGGGCTTGAGTCTCTTCGGCTTGCTTCTCAGTTGAAGACGTTGGTGCTGAGGCTGACGTTGGATCGACCGGGGTGATCGCGCCCGCGGCTTTCTTCCGGAACAGTTCGACGGCGACGTGACTTGTGTAAGGTGGCCATTTCTCTCCATCAAAAGCTCCCAGACTCGTCAACAGCGCCGCTAGAGTCGTGTCATGACATCCCGACATCGCAAAAAGTATTCCCTTCTCGCCGCCACGGCCACGACCCAACCGCCCATTCTCTCCTCCAATCTCGTTTATCGAAAGACCCGCTCCCTCCACCTTACTGATCATCCTCTCCACAATATCGCCCGCCAACGGACCAATCCCCAACTTGCGATACTCCCTCGACTCCGTGTACCCAGAGAACCACTCCTCCACCGCAATTCGGTCAATTATCGCCGCCATTTTCTTGTCGTAGAACTCTTTCGGCAACCTGGTCTCCGGTCCATGCGCCAGTGTCGAGTTGATCGTATCCATAATCCCCGATAACCGTGGATGCGAATCCACCGCCACTTCTTTACTCGTCTCCGGCATCCACCGCCCAATCTGCTTCGTGAGGTACCTCATGTCCTCTGTATCATTATGTCGGTCAGCAGTGCGCTGAGCAAACATCCTCCCCAGCTGTGCAAATCTCCTACAATTGCTGTCGTTCGGGAACAGTGTCTCGTCCGCCGGCGTCCTCGTCACAATCGTCGGCGCGGGGAAACTCGCCGTACGCGCTGTAAGCGGGTACATGCCCCAAAAGCTCTGCTGCACACTCTCCAGCGCGCGGGGCATGGGCGTTGCCCGCAAGTATATGAGATCAGCGTTGGCGATCAAGGGTGGCATGAACTTCAATTGGTCGACGTAGAGATGTCTCAACCGTTGGCCGAGTGCGTATGTTGTTTCACGACCCTGATCAGTCAGCTCTCCGAGCTGGCAGATGCCGTCGACCTGGCCGCCAGCACCGGCAGCGATTATGGGGCCGTCGTCTGGACCGAAGCGTTCGAGGCGGCGGCGCCATTGTAGTGAGTCCCACGAGGAAGTGTTCTGTGACATGACTACCGAGCGCATGCGTTGAGCTGCGTTGCAGTAGGGCCAATAGGGAGCCAGGCCTGCCTGCCAACTTGTTAGTCGCTGGCTGCGAGTATGTAGCTGTGACTTGCATTCTGAAAGCGGACTGAGACAGGCGCGCGCTCGCCATGCCGCAGGAGCACTTGGACGAGACGGAGCTCGAGGTTGGCTGGGTACAGCTTCTCGAGCTCCTCCGGCGTGTATGGCTCTCGAGGCCTTAGGGTGGTCATCGTGTGGGAGGCGTACTCGTCGCGTAGGGAAGGAAAGATTGTCACAGCACCGCGTTCGTGAAACTGCATCGACTAAGAGTCACTTCGGACTTCTGCGGGGCGCGAATCGAGAGTTGGAGATCGAGCCACGTGGGGTGGCGCCTGCAGATGGGCGGAAGGGCGGGGCATTCTGGCTGCCTTTTTAGGCGACTCCAGGCAATGGAATAAGCGAGGCCAGGTATTGATATCATCACTCGAATGCAGTCGAATTTGTGCTGTACTATACCTACACTCGAATTATCGATACACAGCACCACCCACAATGGCCTTGGAATACTTCGCTCCAGCCCACCTCCCGGCCTGATCCTCTCCCTTGAGCATTTCCTTGGCGGCCAATGCCGGATCACCCCCCGCCTGACCCCAATCCTGTACAAAGTCGCCATGAAAAAAGCACCCGGAACCGCCGAGGCTCTCTATCCTTTCATCCCAGTCAAGGATCCGGTCAGGCATACCAATGTGATTGGGTGGCTCATGCTCCTCGAGGGAGTTCTACTGGCCAGGCCGGCCACTAGGGGCTCCCTAGGTGCATTGGCACTGAATAGTGCGTTAACGGGCATGGGCATCTATAGTTTTCGGCGGATGAGGATTCCTTATTGGTTGCCGTGTGTGAATTTTGTGCTGGGGTTGATCGTTTGGTGGATCGAGAGTGGGAGGTATAAGGAGCCAGCGAGAGTCGAGTGAGGCTGGTAGTGCGGTGGCTATGAATATAATTGTCCAGCAGGCCACAAGCTGGTCGTCCGGTCTCGGGAAACGACCCCAACGCAACCGCCGCGCTTCCTCGCTGCATCGCACAGATCTTCCATCACGGCATGACGACCATCAATGAACACTTTTCCTTGGAGCACTTGCCTTTTTTATGTCAGCCTGGGAGTACTCGGGCGAAATTTGCGGCGATAATTGAGCCATGGATTTTTCTTATGGATGGGGAGCGCTCTATCAGTGTATGAAAGGCCAAGTATGGCATTATACTATCTCAGTATTAGTACGAGCACATGCAGGACATAGCGACGCTACCGCACCAGTTCGGGAGGTTCAGTCCCACTCAATGCGCCAGGGAGGCCTCTGCATCGAAAATCAAAATTTTACCAAACAAGATCTACTATTGCCTGTGTCTGACTTCAGCGTCACTTCAGCATTAGTGACCAAAGCTTGATAGTTGAGAATTTTCATGTCAGGGAGGCCTTCACTGCTGTAGGCGACCTCGTTTCACCATTCTGGTCTTTCGACAACTCTTCAACACCCTGAGCGTCCTCCTCATGCTTAGCAGACACGTTTACAGCCAGAAAGCTGGCTGGAAGTTTCACGGTATCGAACTTTGCTTTCAACGTCGAGATGACTTCCTTCCAGTCCTGGTGATTCGTTAGACTCCGGCGAGGTGCTGAGCCAATAACATGCTTTGAGTCAAGTGTCGTATCCAGAGGATCGATCGTATGACAGCCTGGACTGATGCTGATCCGGATGGAGTACTCCGATGATTTCGTGTCCGCATCTTGAGCTTCGTACAATTCGAAGCAGATTTGGCTAAGGTAGTCCAGCTCGGGGATCGTAGCACGCTTAATCTTGGTATGGATCCCACCTTCCATGATGCAATTGAGTAGAGTATAGATGTGTGACTCTTTGGTGAAGTAGACAAAGCTCTTGGCATCCCCCGAGGCTTGCAGCTCCTCGAGGTCCTGGACGATCTCCCGCAGCAGCGGCAGAGAAGTGAGAAGGCCGATCTCGAGCTTTTCGTGATCCGAAATGCCGTACTCCTGTGGTCCTATGTAGTCAAAAAGGACTTTCGCATAGCGATACAGCTCTCGAAGTCGCCCTAGCCGCTTGTCCTGTTTGCATTTGGTGTCGCTGTTACCGCTAAAAAGCTTGAAATAGGATGCATCCTGCTCGAAAGTGGTGAGAGGTGGTGTCGTGGGAGGCTGAGCCATGACCGATCTTCTGCGGAAGCCAACCTTCTTGGTCTTGAGTGGTGCCATTCCGGCGACCGAATCTCGCTGCTCTCCTGCTGGGGCATAACTTTCCCTCGTTTCGTCTGGGGACTCCAACTGTGACTGGTCGGCTTCCTCCAACGTGAACTCGTCGATTACAGTTTGGCTGGGGGTAAAGACCCATTCCAGGAATTGCTTATTGTGCAGGGCATCGTACTTCATCGTATCGTATAGCTCTGAAACTTTGCTAGGGTCCGCCTTGTCACTGTCGCAGAACTCAGCGAAGAGCTTCTCCCAACGTTCCTTAAAAAGCTATATTGCATTATTAGCACAGAGCCCGCCCAATAGAAGTCTTGTCACTCACATCAGGATTGTCTCCGTTCGTGCACCAGCGAGCCTGGATACTATCAGGGTCCTTCGTGTGGGCATCTTTCGGCATATTGTCTTTGGGATCGCCGAGAGCCGCCAGGGAGGCCGCTGCACCACCAGTCAACTTCTTGAAGTTGTAACGCAATACTTTCCGGTGAAACCGCATCAGTTCGATGACGGTCTGCATGACGACAAACGGCTCGGGCACATCTTTGGGCCACGCGAATTCTTCCGGAACCGAGTTGCCCTCACGTAGAAGGTGCTTAAGCTTCTTTTTGACCTTGTCCATGACGTCTTTTGCCGCGTTTGAGTCGTCCAGGAGATCCTTGCGGACGTGAATGCTCTCCTCGCTGATATCGCCTCTGCCGAGGAACGACGCAGCCCATATCTGTGCGCTCGTCCGTACACGCTTTTCCGAGCTTGTGAATATTCTTACGTCGTCAAGCACTTTCCGATTCAGGAGCATGAAGTCCTCCCGCATGTTGGCACCCAAGTCCGACGACTGATATCTAGCTGAATGAGTTGGTTCGCCACCCCACTTCATCACAAGCTGCATCTTGTCTAGAACGAGATCGTTCTCCGCGGCTGCGTACCGAGAGAACGTCGGTCCCGATATGGAATCGCTCCTGGTCGGAGTTTTTTTGAGATCGTCGTTGGCCGAGGGAGACAACGGAGTCGGCGGCGGAATTGCCATCTCCCTGTCCTCTGGAATTGGCGATTCTACTGCCATTGATTCTGCTGAGAACGACACTCTCTCCTCCGGTTTCCGCTTGCGAAACATAGGCTTGATCTGTACTTTAGTCGCTGGGTGACTTCGCTTCCGCGCCAAAGCATTGCGTAGGTTACGCAACTTGTCCTGATCCTCCAGATTATCGCGTTGTGCAACTTTGACCGCAGCCTCGACACTGGCTAGCGCTGCTTCGCCTTTAAGAAGTACTTCCTCGTGGTGGCCTTTGAGGAGATCGACAAAGACTTGTGAATGCGCAGTAAGCTTGATCTTCTGCTTTGGCGTACGATCAGCGTGACGGATGACAGTAACCACACCCTTGAGCTTCCATGAGTGTTTCGAGCTCGGCATTGGAGCGACGACTTCCGTAGGCTCGGTGTGCTCGGCCGAGTTGATGGTGCTGTTGAGAAGATCTGGTTCAGAAACTGCGCTCGTTGGTATGCTAGGCGGTGGAAGTAGTGCATTCGCCTCTGGTATCTTGGACCCAAGAACAACACTCTGGCTCGCGCGCTCAATAGTAGGAGGTGAGCTGACTGGCGGAGTCGATGTCTTGGGCGACGACGGAGCTGTCTGATGGTGTCGTGAGTGAGGCAAATGCTGTGACAGTTTCGAAATGCTGGGTGACTTGAAGACAGATTTGAGGGCGTTCCTGTGAGAATGCGATCCTCCGACGCTTGTAGCCGTGTCCCTGCGACCAGGATGCTCCGGCACGCCTTCAGAAGACGTATCCTCTGCGCCCGAGTAGCTTCGTAATGCGGCTTTAGCCTTCTCGTGGGAGAACAACGACCGCAGGATTTTGGCGCATTCGTTATAGTAGCGTTCGTTGTCTTTGACGAAACTCCAGCCGTTGACATCGATCACAAAGCTTTGCCCGTTGGCACGTAGCATATCGAATCCACATATACGTTGGCCAAATCCTCTACTCACTCTGGCGGCCATTTCCTTCTCTGCTGGGCTGAGGTTTGTGACGTATCGCACTTCCTTGCCATGGGTGTTACGCTTGACAAGGCCGTCGACAACAGGAGATTTGCGTGTTTCGGCGTGGCAAAAGTCCGGTCCAACTGTGTATGCTTTGACGTCTTCGGCATTCTCGGTCTTGAGGAACTGCTCGTATACAAAGCTTCCGTTTGGCTCGGTAATCGCGCGAGGGACAATAAGTTTCGGGTCGAACTCGGATGATTTGTTCCCGACCTTACGAAACAGGCGGCGTCCACCACCTCCTTCGTGACTTCGAGGAAAGTAGATAATAATGTTGTGGTCTTCTCCCGACACTGGTTTCTCGACGAAAGGCTTCTTGATGGACTTGCCATCTACCACCAGGGTGTCATCGTCGGGCATTTCGACGACTTTCGGTGGCATTGTCGTCCCACCTTCGGGCTTTCCCTGCAGAGTGACTCCGCTCATGTTCTTGAGGTGCTGAGCCATTTCGGCGGACTCTACGGCAGGGCCCCCATCGCGATTGACCTCGAGCCTCTTAGGGGTAGGTACTTGCATCTGATCGAGTATTCGCAGACAGAGGCGGCGATCCCACAGGATTTTCTGCATTGGAAGATCGTTGACGACGAAAGGTTTGCGAAGCTTGACGTACTCTATCGCTTTGTCGAGAGGGAAGCCCTCAGAAAAGAACGCAATGAGGAAGTCGCTGCGATACGTCAGCACGCCCATGAACAGTATGGGATAACGCTTACCAGATGGGCCAGTTGGTGACATCTACAAGGTCAGCTGTTGGCGATTTGAGGAGCCAGGGATGTGAACATACCTTCGTCGAGGATCGCTTTGTCGCCAAAGACCACGACCTCATACTCGCCGTCCCCTTGCAGACGAGTCAGAATTTGGCGACTGGGTCGACTCCTGGCCTTCACGTCCAGAGCACAGACGCCTATCGTTCCGATGGCCTTTTTCTCTGGAGCAGGTTGGACCTCAACAGATTTGGTGCTTGGCGTACTAAGCCGACGACTGCTCGAGATCGATCTAGGCACACTCCTAGCAGGCCTTGACGGCAGAGCGCCACCATCCTGGGCGGCGTCCGGCTTCAGCGTGGCAGGTGTCTGTGCCACGGGTGATGTTGTGATCTGAGATTGCGCACCAACTATATCCAATTGATTAGGAACATCTTGCGTAATGGTAGGAGGCGAGAGCACGGGCAGACCTGGTACTGACGGCGATCCTGCAGAAGCAGTGGTGATGTGCGTCGGATCGGTAGCTGTAGTTGGACTCAACACTGTCGGGTTGCTGGTCAAGGACTGGCGATCTTCGTTGCTCAGGAGGGATGTAGGAGAGCTCCGAGGACCATCATCGGACTTCCTAGGCAAGCGAGCGGAGTTCATGGTGGCAGAGAGACGTCTGTCAGCGCTGGGCTTTGTCGATGGCGGCGGCATGCTTATGCTTGGCCTATCGACTGTAGTCTTGTCGGTTTCTATGTGAGGCTTTCGTCTTAGCTCAGCTGGGTTGTGGCCTCCGAGAAGAGCATGGCCGGAAGGAGCGCGAGGACCAAGCCTGGGTGGGCTCCCTGCGGCGCTGATGCCATTCTTTCCGCTGCCACTAGACGAGGTGCTGTAGACGGCGGTCAGGGGCGCTCCGACACTTTCTGATGCTGGAAGATCAGCATCGGCGTCGCCGTTGGCCGGCTTCCCCATGGAGGCCTCCATAATGAGCATCAACGAGTGGTGAGGTGAACGGCCGACTATCTATCCTTGCTGATAAAGCTGACCATTAAAAATGTTTGTCTATTGGTGTATGCTGTCCTTGGAGACTAAGGAGACCCGCCCAAAGATGCGTCAACAATGCCCAGGTGGCCTCCAGCGCCAGAAACGAAGGAAATGATTAATGGTATTAGAGGTGAAAAGGTTGAACGAAGATGCCGTACAAATTCATCGATATCGGCGCAAAAGGCATGTGCGTCATCCCGCACCTGCACGTTTAATGTGGGGAAGCCCGATGATTTTCCGCGACGGCCAAAATTTCTTTTTGATGTATCGATCTGCGAGTGACAGGCCATGACACGAGAGACTGTTCAGACGACATCTGCTACGTGAGAGCTTGCTGGAGGCGAGGTTTGGAGGAGTGATGGACGATGAGCACGACTTTGCCTTGCCGGCAGCCAAGCGACAACGTGTAGACGACACAGATGTTCTCCCAGCAAGACCGACCGGCTCGCGGTTGTTTGCACCATTTCGAGTATGCATTGTCCTGATATTTAGGCAAGAGCAGTCTAACAGATCTGTAGAACATCGGACTGGTCTCTCCTACTGCAGTGCCCTTCACGTCTGTACCTTTGGGAAAGACAACCTTCCAGATCACAACCTCTGTCGGCCGCAGCTTGCAAAGTTACGATCTTCGCAGAGGCCTCCAGCTGGTCTTTCTGAGCCGACCTCAATGTCCGGAAGCCATCACTGCGACATGCGCCTATCGAGATCGAGTATTTGTCGCCTGGGGCGGACTTGCTGGGAAGGAGCAGGGAGTCTGGGTCGTGAAGAGGGGGAAATTGATTGCAGAGCTCGAGCGACCGCAAGTATCTCAGCAGATTGACGCTGTCCTGGTCTTTGGAACATGGATTGTCGCCTGTGGAAAGCAGGCCATTGAGGTCTGGCGGAACGGAACATACGAACACTATACCACAATTGTGCCCACGCTGTCCTCGAGTGTCGGCGGCTCGTTCTCTGGCAAGATCTGCACCTTGCCAACATACCTGAACAAGATTTTCGTGGGCTGCTCAAATGGCAACATCGAGATCTACAATCTCAGCACAGCAAAGCTCGTCCATACCTTTCATGCGCCTTCCGCAAGTGCTGGTCATGTCACTGCTCTCGCTCCGGCAATGGCACTTAGTGTTCTTGCTGTCGCGTATAGAGACGGGTCTCTTAAGATCTACAACGTCGACACAGAAGACACTATAATCTCCGTCAGCGCCCGATCAGGCACGCCAGTTACGTCAATCACCTTTCGAAGCGATGGCGTCGGTGCAGGAACTGATGGACGCAAAGATGGTGTCATGGCCACCGCAAGCATCGAAAGCGGTGACATCACGCTATGGGACCTCAATCGTGGTGGTCGTATCACTGGCGTGCTTCGAGGAGCTCACGAGACATCTGCACTGTCAAAGGCTTCTGGTATATCCGGACTCGAATTCCTCCCTGGCCAACAAGTGTTAGTTTCTTCAGGGCTGGACAACGCGCTTCGATCTTGGGTCTTCGACGCAGCTCCTTTCTCACCCACACCTCGCCTTCTCCATCAAAGAAGCGGCCATGCTGCGCCGGTTACTGAACTCATGTTCTTACCAGCGGCATCAGACGGCTCAGAGGCCGCTGGCAAATGGCTTCTCTCTGCAGGTCAGGATCGAAGCTTGTGGGGTTTCAGCCTGCGCAAAGACGGCCAGAACACGGAACTCAGCCAGGGAAATGTCAAGAGCAAAGCCAAAAAGACAGGACAGCTGTCCGAAGATCGTTCCGCAATCGAAGATTTCAAAGCGAGCCCCATTATTGACATTGCCTGTTCTCTGAACCGCGACGGGGGCATGGGTGCTGTCACCGGCAACCCGTGGAGCAATGATCGTAAGACTACGGCCGAGGAGTCAAGTATGACTGGTTGGGAAAGTGTCGTCACCGCACACGCAGATGATCGATATGCACGAACTTGGTCATGGGGTCGCAAGAAGGCCGGCAGATGGACTTTCGAAACCGGCGACAAACAACCTGCTAGCAGTGTTGCCATCACTCAGTGCGGCACATTTGCTTTGGTGGGTTCGGCCAAGGGTGCTCTTGACATGTACAACCTGCAATCCGGCGTACATCGACAACGCTTCCCGGCCAGACTCAAGCCGTCTCAGGCCAAGGAGATCCAGGCGAACCCAGATGCCGCAGATGCAATGCTAGCCACACGCCGCGGCCACAGAGCCGCCGTGACTGGCATCGTGGTCGACAGCCTGAACCAGACCGTCGTCTCGGCGGCCTTGGACGGGACCATCATATTCTGGTCGTTCACCACCGGCCTCGTAGAGCATCGGCTCAACCTACCGGATGCATCTGCTTTGACGCTCCGCTATTCACCCTCCTCATCCCTCCTTGCCCTGTCCTGTGACGATCTGTGTATCCGCATCCTTGATCTCGAGTCACGACGGATAGTACGAGAGCTCTGGGGCTGTGTAGGTCCCATTAACAGCTTGACGTTCTCGCACGATGGCCGGTGGATCATCGCATCATCAATGGACAGTGTGGTTAGAGTCTTTGACCTTGCCACGGGCCATCTTATAGACGCTTTCAGGTTGTCGCCGACCTGCACAAACGTCGCCTTCAATTCCACAGGTGAATATCTTGCCACGACCCACGCAGGAACACTAGGAATTCAGATCTGGGCCAACAAGTCTCTTTTCTCACACATCGACCCGCAGCCGATATCTGAGGAAACCGGTATCATTGACCTTACAAGCACAGCTTCAACTCTAGCGCCACTGTCGGCCTTCGCCATTATCGACACTGAGGGCACCACCCAGCAGGTCGATGCGCCATGGTCCTCCGCATCAACAACAGATCAGCTCTCAACCTCGCTACTGACCCTCTCACTCCTACCACGCTCCCGCTGGACAACACTCCTCAATCTCGATACCATCCGACAACGCAACAAGCCCATCGCACCGCCCGAAAAGCCGAAGGCTGCTCCTTTCTTCTTAGGCTCCGCCCTCGCCCTGACCAACGGAACCTCCAAGGCCAGTGGTGGCAGCGAGCAGACCAATAACGAGCTCTCACGAATCACTGCCCCGCCATCATCAGCTTTCACAACGACCAGCTCAGCAACAGAAACAGGCCTCCTCTCTTTGCTCGATGTCCCGCTCGATGGCAGTCTGTCTGCCGCTCCCTCAACGACACCATCCTCAACGGCACATCCACTAATTTCCCAACTCCTCGCCCTTCCTCCATCCGCGACCTCCACCTTTCTGCGCACACTCCCGCTCTCCAAACTCTCCTTCTTTATCACCATCCTCACGGCGCATCTACGCACTACACGCCGCGATTTTGAGGTCATCAACACATACATCAGCCTGCTCCTGAAGTATCACGCCGAGTTCTCGGCAGTGGATGATGTCGCAGAAGCATTGGAGGAGTACCAGAGGGTCAACGAGGACGAGGGCCAGAGGCTGGGAGAACTTGTCGGATTTGCAGGCGGGGTTCTGAGGGGCTGGTTGGGCAGCGCGCGATAGTGTTGACCGAGCATGACAGACGGTCCTGTGACAGTCAAGGCATAGAGATTCGAACAGGATGTGGTGTAACGTTCTAAGCTATTTAAATTCTATGAGTGTATTGGGAGGCTCCCGTCACCGCGAAAGTGGTGTGAGCCTCATCCTCGATCAAAATTAGCCGACGGTGACTCATCCGCAGTCACACTGATCTTTCCAACGTCCAGCACTTGCATCGGCCACCACACAGGCCATTCGGTCAAATTCCCATATCTCACACAACTTTCGGGGAGTCGATATCCTGATCAGTACCGAAAAGTGGTGAAGGCCCTGACATTACTCCCATCAGTTGCGATCCAGGGAAGCGTCTGAGTGCGGGCATGAAAGAACTGAAGCGGTCCACGCCTTTGAGGCCCCCGCGAAGGCGACTCTGCCCATTTGCTAATCACCCGGTCCACTTGAGGCGAGAAACGGACTGCTCTTGGTTGCTTTGGCGGCTCTTTGGTGGTCGACGGTTCGATGCTCTTCACGTACTTTGTCCTTGTATCTTCGCGCTAAAGAAATCGTCGTTAGCATGATGTCGAAAACGAAAATCAAGATTTATGTGATGGGAGGCCTCTGTCTAAGTGTGTGGAATTGGGCTCGGAACATCGAGGTCCACGTCTCGGATAGCCCCAGTGAAATCTGCTCAAGTCACTTACCTCAGTGAGCTCATCAAGATAAATGTAGCTCTGCTCATTTCGCGGGACGGCCGCTTCACCATTACCCGTCTCGTAATTTTTGCAGAAACCCAGCGCCAGGCATCGGTCTCTCTTCGGTCCTGGCCCCCAGCCAAAGTCGCGCCACGGATGATTCGGCCATTGATAGGTTCTGTTCGAATCCTCGTCGAAGACCGGGGCGCTGGACTGGCTTCGTGTTCCCAGATCATGCCAGGCTGTGAGCCAGACGCGGTGCAGGCGGCCGTCCTCGCCGAGATGAGCGAAGCTGTTCTCTCCAGTGTCCTCGTCGGAGTCGCCCTCCGCCGCGATTGTCACCAGCCAGTCAGTCGGGCAGGACTCGCAGTTGAGGTAGATCGATTGGCATTTGAGATCCCTCAGTGCCCCGGATGACATGATGAACTCGACAACATGAGACAAGTGATCGACTTGGTGTCTGCAGAAGCCTCGTTCGTCTGAACAAGCGCCATTTAGCCACCATGCGTGGTTCTTGTAATAGACCACGTTGTACTCGCGTTCGTACCGCAGCAGTAGAGTCTCCCCAGCGACGCATGCCGCAATCTTCATGCTGTTTGGCTGAGTGTTTAGACTCTCGCCCGGGCGGCCCATGTCAAAAGTCTCCTGAGTGGGAGAGCATTCGTGGTCGAGCTCGTGTGTCGGAAGCCCGTGGTCGAGGTCTTTGTAGTGTGCATAGCGCAGAACAAGATCTCGGATGGCTGGTGTGAGGTACGAGTAATGCCTCCGATCCGGGCGATTGTAGTCGCATTTATGTGTGGCCTCCGCTCTGAACCAGTCCATAGCGGCACAGGATATTCCGATCAGCTCGTTCGTCTTCTCGATGAACGCGGATCTGTCCCATCCGGCCGTTCCTGTGTGCACGGCATCAAAGGCTCGTTTTCGACTCTCCCCACAGCCATGGTCGTAGCACATGTGCATTGCAATTGAATGCCATTTGTAGAGTTTGTGACAGTACGAGCATCGCAACAAAAAAGGTCGATCATGCTCAATGAGATGTAGGAAGAAGCGGCGATCATTATGATCAGCGACCAAAGGTGTCAAAGCATTCCTGTACAGTCCGTAAAGCCCGCGAATGGCAAGAACCAGGGAAGCTTGCGCTACAGGATCGGGAAAGGTCGAGATGTACAAGAGCACATCGAGTGGCACCTGATCGAGGACGCTCTTTGTGGTCGGCTCTGTATCCTTCTGCTCGCCCTGGTGACTAGCATTAGATTTGTGCTTCCGCTTCACGATGCGTCCTAGACTGGGACGCATTGCTGACTTGTCCTGGAAATGTCGAAAGCCTAGGCGACCCAGCATAGCAGCTCGAGATCTACTCTTTCTGCAGCCCTCAGCACTGAAGCCCAGATATAGTCGAATTGATCAGGTGGTAGATGGCCGACGTCGTTGAATGCCACAGAGCACTAGCGCTGCACTAACAGCTGAGATATTCCTGTTTGGTACAGGTGGCCTGTGGGACTTGGCAAGGCTTAACCAGGCTATCCATTCAGCTTGAAGAATCATCTGCCACTGCAGGGATCACCCTGGTTGACGCACGGACTAGCTTAAGGCAGTTTACTTTAGATCGACACATCTGGAGGTATTTCTTCATCAGTTGCACCCAGCCGTCACTGCTAGAGTGAATTTACAGCTATTACATGATACACAGCATTTATCTCGCCATCGGCCCACAGGCAAGGTGGCGGAAGAGTGCGGCGGCTTCCGTCATGGCGAGACCTAGTTACAGAGTGCGCCCCATCCCAATTCCCGAGTCGACACTGCCAATGGAGTCGCCCCTCAATTTGGCAACAGACATTAGCGGGCTTGCGGTCTCTGATCGTTCATCGCTCTCGACCTGCACCATCTCGGCTTCGTCCTGGTCTGGCATGACGCTCTGACGGGCCTTCTTCTGGAGGGGTTGCGCCTGTGCATCGCACCCGTCTTTCGTGCGCTTTCTCTTTCCTGTGACTGCGTCTCCTGCTTCAGTGTGTGCCGAACTGGATACACCAGACATGTGGTCGTCATTCAAGGGCCCTGGTGGTGATCCAGCAGGAACTACGACATCTGTCGATACTATGTTCGCTTCGGCGACCTTTTGCTTGCTAGACTCGTCGGACAGGCTCTCTGCCTGTGGGCTGCCGACAATCGTAGACTCATGCGAAAGAGCATCTTCTGTCGTAACTAGCGTTGCTACGACATCTCCTGGCGCCGCTTTTGTCGTCGTGCTGCTGTGAGATTTGGACTCGACAAAGATCTCTGCTGTTGCTGGTCGTGAAGGCACGGCCTCTGTCGACACGATGTCTGCTCTTGCAGTTGCCGATCGTGTGACAACGGCTGGCATACTGTCTGCCGCTACATTGCTGGCAGCAGTGAGCCCAGATGGCATGCTCTCTGCTCGGTCGGTCTCTGACGGTATGATAGCGGCTGGCATACTATTTGCTGTTACAGTGCTGGCACAGGAGAATTCAGCTGATATGATCTCTGCTGGCTCTATTTCCTGTGGCGTGATAGTGGGTACGCTGTCCGCTGAGAGAGTGTCGGCAGTATCAGTATCCCATGGGACGATGGAGGCCGGCGCGGTGTCCAATGGCGTGCCAATGGCTGGCGTGCTGTCTGCTGATACAGTGTAGGTAGAAGTTGCATCAGACGGCACGGTCTCCTCGTCTGAGATCTGTGCTGGATGCATATCTGGGGAGATGGGCACTATCTGCGTGAGCGTAGGCTCTGCGTGCTGTGGGTCGAGCCACTCTGGATCCTGTATCATATCAAATATGTGCTGCAGCTCAGTCTGCCAAAGACTGCAGGGCGATTCAGTCTGCAGCTTGTCAGAGGCGTCCAGAACGCAGCATGATCCATACTCACCGCAGATCTGCACGCGACCCTCGCCTCGCTCGCCTTGATTCGTCGGTGAAACCAGGTTAGTGATACCTGTCGTTGCGCAAGGAAAGTATGCTTCAGCCTCATATATGTGCGACCAAGGTGTACACTGAATTCGTCTAAGCCCATGGACTTTGCGATGGCATCGAAGACTGCAGGAATGTTCGGCTGCTGCTCGACCATAGCGACCAAGGTACGCAGTTGTGGCTCTTTTACAATGTCCCAGAGAAGGCAGCCGTACGACGACAGCGGAAACTTGAACACGGCCCTCAGCCTGTTCTCCATCGACTTGTTGAGCGTTTCGCCAAGCTGCTGGATGCCACGATAGACCATCAAGACATGAGGACTAGCGTATTCACAGCTACCCGGTCTCCAATTCGAGGGAGCGAGGAAGTCGAATATGTTGAGTGTATCGTCTTGAACGTTCCCTGCGCCTTTGTAGATCGTCGTCGCAAGCTTCGGAAAACATACTGAGAGCACTCCGGACTGCAAGACCGTATCCCATGCACAAGTGTGGACTGTGCTGGATACCTTTTTGTTCTTACGTCGGAAGTTTGGTAAGCACAGAGCATGGAAAAGCAGCGGAACCCATAACGCTGGAGCGCCCTCGCAAAGAAGTCGCGCAAACTCGAGCGCCTCGTCCGCCTCTTGTGGGTGAGGATCATCCTGCTTGGGGACCGAAAAAAATCTACTGGCGCTCGAGATCTGGCAGTCGAACTCCTCCAGGACGCTGGCGCGCTGCCTTATGTAGGGCCCACTTCAAACCCCTCCATCCGTACCCCAAGACAGTGGTTCCCGTCGAGGCTACCGTGGCAGTGGTTGCTGCGGCTACCTGCATAGCAGGTGCTCGATGATTCCAGCTCCACCAGCCCCCACGCAACATCATTCCAGCACAATCCCCGATCGAAGGCAAAAAATTCCTAATGTTTCGTATGCTATTGATTCCACCTATGATTCCACCGAAGCTGCCGGGCGCTAGCAAGTTGAAATTTTCAGGTCTGAACAGAACATATTGATTGACAGCTTGTGGAGCCGGAGCTGATGCTGATCTCGTTGCCTCGAGCTTCACTAGATCTCGGACGATTTTCTCCAGTCGTTCGCTAGAGTCATCGGATCGTATCTTGACCGGTTTGAGCTTTCGATTACGTCGTTGCTCGAGATGTTTAGCGTTGGCTTTAGCGTTTGGCAGGGTTTTTGCATTTCGCTTTGGCTTCGGCTACACATAACGTTAGCAGCTGTGCGATCGACAAGACTTCAACAACGAACTGTGTGATCTTTGAGGACGATTGTTGAGCAAAATTCTGGGCATATGACTATGTATAGTTCCAATACAAGTCTGCGCAGCTTCTGCTTGGCCAAGGATAGGGGAACAGAGGCATGGGAGGCCTCCACTGGACAAAGGAGATGATGGTATACTTACCGCCTTCTCTGGGCACTCTCGTTCCCTATGACCGAACGCCTTGCAGCCGCCGCATTTGCCCTAGCAACACGTCAGCCTGTCACTCAGCCCAGCTCACGCCACGGCCCTGCACAGCGCAAAGTCATGAGAAAGAACGGGTACTGACCTTGAAAGGCATCTTCGTCACCGGTCTGAGATCTTGGATGAATATGACTTTGGTGCGGATAGGAGGGAGTCGGCCCACGACCGCAGTTTAGGACAAAATTCTACAGCCAGTACGGGGACTCCTACGACGAATTCTCTCATGTCTGCAACCTACGATTCTCGACATCACGCCCAACTCCCGACCATTCTACACAGATCGATCTACGTACAGATATGTCCTCACCAGTCAGTTCGATGCTTACAAGTCCTGGCATATCGTGAAGCATCGATGCGGGCTCGGAGTCACCGTTCGGTGCTCAGAACAATTAACGACTGACATTATGGACAATTTCGACCTCACGGCCATTGTCTGAGGTCGCGGAATTCTTGGAGGGGATTATAGCTTGGCACCTGCACGCCGCTGATCCTCCGGCATAGGACCAATGGATAGGCTCTCCGAAGCCTGCAGCCCCAGATTTTAAGGTGTAGTGGGTACCCTTCCATGAGTTTATTTCAAGCGGACATCTATGTATTCCTTCTATCTTGCATAATTTTACTACACTGAATTGATGGCAACAGACGTCTTGAGAATTTGTAGCGATAGTGCGAGCCTGGAGGAGTTGGATGCATGCGAAATTCCAGGCCAAAACGGTCAAGGCGCGGTGCCAGGAGACCATACGGCAGTTTCGCCTCGAGACAGTCGACGCCGGTCTGCAGCGATGTGTGGAAGGAGCGCAGTCATGGCCGCACAATGTCGAAATTCATGTCCTCTACGGCTTCAGTCCCAGCTACATGTCATCGACAACATACTCACGTTTCCTCTGTTCATCTCCGTTGACTTACTCTCAATTCCTGACCATACCACAACTTCCTTGCCTCGCTTTCTGATCTTCTTACCCGCCCTGCTAACCCCCCTTCCCGACCGATCCCACCCTCGAGATGCCTCTAACAATAAAGCTCAATATGCCAAAGCAGGCACCGGCCAAGGAGCTCCGCCGGGCCAGCAAACGCCAACGCTTGGGTGAGTTCCATAGCTAGAGCTACAGCAATACAATTCATTATCCATACCCAAGAACTACCACACCCTTCCCATAGGATGCTGCACCTTGCATATCGGAATGCTGGGACAGTTGTTGATGGGAATCTAAAATGGAGGAACCCATGGATACGCACAACACCAGTCTTGATGGCCATACCGTCCGAGAAGCATTCTTGCATATACTGATCTATGACACACAGAGGAGAAGGAGAACTACGACGACGACGACTACAGCCACGCCGGCGACGATGACGATGACGATGACGATAACGACTACGAGGAAGAGCTTGGAAAGACTGGGCTCGGCCAGTTTTTCGAGGATGAGGATGTCTGGGAGTCGGATCCCGAGGAAGACGACGAGATCTCCGGGCCCTCTGACAAGTCTGCAGCTCCTATGCCAATCGAGGAGTTCACGGCTGGTGTGAAAGAACGCACCAATCCAATCTTTTTCGACATCATTATGATGTACATCTTGGAGATGTTCTCGTTCTGTTCGGTGTCCAGCAACTGGAGCAAGCTCCACGAGAGCCCTTACACCAGGAATATGTTCCGCTGGATCCATTCCTGGAAAGATCTGCTCCTTGACGACATCGCTCTAGTCATTTGTCAGGCAGTTCCCCGCGATGTACAAGACATCATGGCCTCCCCAGATCCGCTCAAGACCAGGTTGAGGCGCTTCGCAAACTCATGAAGCTGTACGCCAAAGATCGCAAGAAGGACCGCGGGATCTACATCAACATAATGGTCAACGACGTCCTTTCGGCAGTTGGTTGTTACGTTGGGTCTACCATGCGGAACTTCTGGAAACGCATTACGACTGAACACCTGAACCCAAAGCATCGGAAGAGACATCCCACTAGCCACCACTATTCGTTCTTCAAAGATGACTGGAGTCCTTGTTTCATCGTCGGTGCTTTCCTGCGAGGTCCGTTTGACTCTCAACTGTGGGCATTCCTGATCGAAGTGATCTTGATGATTGAGCTTGGTGCATACTGTCTGGATGTTGCCCGAAAGAACACTGCACACGATTTCCAACAATCACGCCAGTGGGCAAGACAACTGCGAAAACAGAGCAAGCAGATCCGCCTGGCTCGACAGGACGTCAACCAGATTCCCAGCCGCCATGGATCCAGGGATGAGGACGACGTACAGCCCTTGAACCATGCTCTGCCACTTAAGCAAGGCATCAAGGACCGCCGAACTGCGACCAACTGTGCCGTATGTGACGTTCCGTTTCAGCCATTGATAAATGGCAAAGGGTTGCTATGCTATCATGACAATTTACTCCGAGCGTTCAACACTGGTCAGCATATGCTCATCTGTGGTGCATGCTGTTCATACCAGAAGAGAACAGGAGCTCGCCGTCCGGAGTCCCTCTGGCGGACTGCAGTGCAGCAACATCAAGACAGCGAGGACGTGAACTGCTTACACTGTGGAGAACCCGCTGCTGCGACAAAGGGGGCGAAAAAGGACAGAGTAGCTCGCTGGTTACCTCAGCTCGGTCCTGGTAAAGCGCTGTGTACAACCTGTTACAGTTGCTTGGGCAATCGACTGTGCCTGCTGCCACCTCCAAAACACATGTCGATGCAGTCACTTTCTCGTGCGATCGTTGTGGCAACAGCAAAGCGATGAAAGTGCCAGTCGGAGGCTTGTTGAGTGCAGCCAAGCTGCGGAGACTGGGCCCTTTGTTTGCCAATCCTGCCTGGGCTTACGATCGCGAAACCGACCACCTCTACTGTGCTGACTGCTGGCTCCGGGACATCCATCCGCTACACCACCGCGCGGCAGAAACAAAGAACGAAAGACGTACATATCGGGGGCTTGAAGACTATGCCCAGGCTGTTCCACATCGTCCCACTGTCCAACAACGTACTGAGTCATGGTCGCCCTACGGGGTCATGAATCACCTCCCAAAAGCTTATCTGCAGCGCGTGGCACCACAGCTGCCGTGGCTTACGTTCTCGGAATTTATGCAGACGCACGGTGTGGACGTTCCGGCAGGCACCAACATAAAGGGCTACAAATTCACGGCCGAACATGACGCCAATCTTGCGCCAGACAATGAATTCTATCAGGACCACAAAGCTGCCGCTGAAGCCGTGGCGAATGAAAAGAAAGCGAAGCGCAAGCGCTCCTCTAAGGGCAAGAAGCAGTAAATTGGTCGCTCGCTATTTCCGATCAGCCATCGTCAACGCCGACTCATCATGTACCAATACTACTCGACACACCTCTCGACCACATCGTCTCCTGGCATTACACCTCCCCATATGGATACCGAAGAAAATAGGGTCCAACCGCAGAAGAAAATATGCAACGCTCCTCGACTACATCTCCTCTCAGAATAACACCTCCCCATCTGGGTACCGAAGAAAATAGGTCCCACCGGCAGAAGAAAATATGCACCATCTCTCAGCCACACCACCTCTGAGACAACGCGTCCCCATCTGGGTACCAAAGAAAATAGGTCCCATCGGCAGAAGAGAACATGACGATTGTCGGTTTCCAAAGAAAATAGGCGATCGATAATCGACATCTCAATTGGGGAATCCGATTTCCAATTATGGAGAAGCATCCCGGCACGATTACGACCGGCACCAGCTTTCGACCACCAAACGAATTCGAACGACGGCAAATAAGGTGTTAAGAACCAGGCATCGGCGAATGCCTCATCGCTTGTGGCTCAACTCAATTGTAACGCCTTGTATCGTCTTATGGGCCGTTGAGCTTGGACAATTACGATGGAAGAAGGAAGATTCTGGGCTCTGATCACGACAGCCAGATATAGGAACATGCTCTGAAGGATCTCTTCTGGGAATCAAAGGCCTCCCGGAGTCAGCGATGGGATCCGACAAGCCCATCGAGCGCCACAACTTACCGTTTAACATCGTCTCCTTCTCCTCCGGCGTTGGCCAAACTAATTGCGGTAAGTTGTTTTCCTCGCCTGTGCTAATAGCAAATGCAGAAAATGGAATGGACCAGTGGGTCCATTCCCCGCCAATGGCGGTACGGTCGATGACGGGCAGTGAATGTCTTTGGACACTCGACACTGCCCAGAGGCCTGTACGATCTGGTCGATGACGGACAGTGATTGTCTTTGTACAGTCGGTACTGCCCAGAGCCCTGTACGATTTGGTCGACGATGGGCAGTGACTGTCAGTGGACAGTCGGTACTGCCCGGAGACCTGTGCGATTTGGTCGCGACGACGGACAGTGACTGTCAGTGGACAGTCGATACTGCCTAGGGACCTGTGCATTTTGTCGACGACGGACAGTGACTGTCAGTGGACAGTCGATACTGCCCAGACACCTATGCAATTCGCCGGCTAGGTACCGATGTATCGAAAGTCCTTTTCACTATTCGCCTCCCTCGCAAGGGAGGGCTTGGGGAAGGGGTATGTGCAATGCCGGAAATGAGTGCAGTCGAAGTCTGACACTGGCTTTAATGGATTCTCGGTACTAGTTGTGCCCGGAGACCTGCACCGTCCACTGGATACCTGTATGACGACAGCGACTATGGTTCGCTAGCTAGCCGGGCTGCAATTAAGGTCGCCTTCACGCGGCGCAGCCTGTGGGTTCCCCTGCAACATAGAGCGAAACTAGGGACCTTTCTATCCCATACCACGTTTGATACACAGCCACAGGACTACGATTCATCAGAGGCGATGAACCAAGGGCGCAGGAAACAGCATCGAAACACATTCCTTAGGCTTATTGACGGATAAGACCACCACCAACTACATCCTATCCAAATACAGCTTGCCCTCCGAATGCGTTCAGGCGCATGACCAACTCCGAATGCATGCAAGCGCAGAAGGAGGAGAACACCACACTTTCAGTGGCTCAGTTGCCGAACCGCAAAGCCAACGCGAACGCACAGACCATGTATCTCCACCAAGCCAAAGCACAGACTCCTCTAAACCTTGGACACTCAAGGAGGCGCCACAGAACAAGTACGAAACTATGACAGCCAGAGAATCGGGAAGGAGCTTGGCGGCGGGTTCAGGTTATCGCTCTGGTGGCAGAGCATACTGCACTCTCTTGTTGTGACAAGCGATGCTGCTAGTCGCATAGCTATCTCCGGCAAATCGACATTTTACGCACTGTGGCGGTTGTGGGGAGGACTTCGAGTTAAACCTCGTTAAATGAACCTGGACATCGTTCAATGATCGTGGATATCATCTGGAGACCGCCTGGTGGCAGACCGGAGCCAGAAGAATATGTCTGGCCAACTTGAAGTCGGCTCAGTTGCTGGCGTAGACATCGAGACCGGAGGTGCAGCTCATGTCATGACAAAATTTGAGCGAGGAGGGCTTCAAGTTAGTCGTGACCAGCACGAAGGAATGCAGCAGCAATAATGGCTGCACGTGTAGGATCGATGTTGTAATCAAGAACGAGGATGCTGGTGAATGTGGAACAAGTAGAAAGGTCGGGTGCTAGGCAACGCAGTCACGATTCCTAGAAACCACGAGGGGCATACAACACCGCACTGCATGTTGGACGAGACCACACGCGCCCATAGGACATTTCAATTCACTGTCCCTCAACTTAACAACACATACATGTGAGTAAAGACTGACCTTGCATGCATTCTACCTGATGCAAGACCTTCCCACTTGCGACGCTTTCAATGGCAATGGTTCGACCTACCACGCTGCGACAATCGACACGCTTCTTTGCAGCGGCGCACGATGATCAGCTGCATCAAACGTTAGCGACAACAATGCCCATGAGAGTTGGGACTCACCTTGTAGCTCTTTATCGATCCTTGACTCAAGTTTTGCTCGCTGTCGCCAGAGCCATGCTGCGCTATTGACCTACATCTCGTCGACACCTCACTCTCATGCCTGCACGCCTCCGTCGCTAATGGCGGTGCTGTCCGAGGTTGGCCTCAAGTCGTTCAACTACCGAAACAGAACAGGTGTGTATGTCAAATGCGACCCGTCACACAGCCTGTCCAAGTCCATCGACACGTCGATCTGACGGCCATAGACTCATGGGGAGGTGGGCGAAAAGAGTTCAGGTTGTCGCCAGCGTGATAGGACACATCAAGCAGCAAGTTGCTGCGATCAGCTATGTTCCTGGTCCCACAGCCATTGAGAGTATCTCATCATCCGTCATGAACGGCAACACTTATATGGAGGACTCCAAGACGATTTGTGTCGTTCAGGGGATGTTGATGTTTGCCTTTTCTGCCCCCACGTCCACTGCTACTGCACGGTCCTTTCTTCGGAGCAGTTCCGCCGAAATACGAGTTTTGATACGAGCTCGGTTCATCAAGCGCGAACAGGTCATGAGGCACTGGTGTTGGACATACCACGTTGCGGCGGCTGCGACGGGATGGAATCTGTGGACAAGATGAGAAGAATAGCTCAAGAATGCAGAGAAGAAAACAAGACATTATGGCATAAGACTATGGCACGCTGCCGAAACGAAACTATGCTATGCTGCAGACGCTCGCGAACATTCGTAAAATTCGCCAGAAAATGCCACGACACCCAGACAATCCCAGCCAACACCAAGACAATATGATACTCGCCGCTCGAAATGGACCGTGCATTCGTCATGCATCAACAACATCTACCTCGCTGACGAGCCTCCTCGGGGTCTGTCGTCATTCCAGGCACCCTCGGGGTCATCACGCTCTCAATCGCAGCGGTTGGCAGGCCCAGCCATGATTGCCTCTTGCTCCGATCTCCGTGTCCAAGGCGAAAAGAGCCAGTGTTGTGCCTTCCGTGGAAGTAATCACCGCCAGAGTCGCTTGTCGTGGCTGGTGTCCGTGCGTGTGTTGCTGTGTCTCGCTTTGTGCGCTGGTCGACCAATTTCCTCGCCAGCACGCGCAGTAATTCCTCAATGCCTTCGCCATCTTTAGCTGCTGTGTTGTTAGCAGTACTTCCAGCAAAGTAATGACCAGCCCAGCACTCACCAGTCACCTCACTGCAGGTATCCCAGCCTTCGTCCTGTGCCCAGAGCATACTACTGCGCTTCGAGCTCGGACTACCGTAATTTGGCGCACTAGAGGCTGCCACACCAGAGACCTCGCTGGCGAGCCAACTGACAGTCTGCTCGAAGGGTACAGCACGCCGCGATGGATCCTCTGCGATGAGATCGATCTTACAGCCCACGACATGTATGAGCAGGTCGTCATCTGCTTGCTCCATGACCTCCTTGAGCCATCCTTTCATCTCATGCCACGATCTCTCGTCTGTGACGTCGTAGCATAAGAGTACTGCATGGGCACCACGATAGTACAGACGGGAGATACTGCGCTACGACAAGATCAGCACACGTCGACAAAGGCAGTTATTGACTCACGAATCGCTCTTGTCCCGCCGTGTCCCATATCTGAAGTCTGACTGTCGTATTTGAGTCGACGTCAACCAGCTTCCTTGAGACAAAGGACGCCCCCACAGTACTGAGAGGATTCGATTGAGGCGCTTGGCCCATCAAACGACTGACGAGCGAGCTTTTGCCAACGCCTTGGGACCCAAGGACCACTGTCATCTGTCAGTACGAGGACAGTAAAGTGATAGCCCGCGAAGTTATGGCCTCGCTACTTGAAGAAGCCAAATATAGGGTCCCGTACCTAGCTTTGCCTCTATCGCTGCCTGGTTGCTCGTAGCCATGCTCTCCGACACCGATTACTCGTCAAAGTGACGGTGGTACCTCAACAGGCGGCTATGACATCGTTGACAGACTGATGAGGTCAGTAGATGAGCACACTGGGCGGGCTCCGTCGTTTGTTGATGGTGTTGTTAAATGGTTGTCACTGCCGAAATTATGACAGTGGATTTTCGGTCTCACAAAACACCATGCAATGCACGCGAACGATCACGACAGAACAAGCTTGCTGTAGGTGAATGCAGGAGGGCAGAGAGAGTGACTGGATTGATTCCGAGCTATTTGCTGAGAGTACGAGAGCTGAGGTGCAATATTTGGTAGAGGGATGCAAGAAGAGAAAAGTAAACAAGGCAAATCGAGGGGCACTCGCCGCCATTCCTTTAGCGTCAGATTGGCGGTCACGAGGGATGATAACGGTGCCTGCCTGCTGGTCGCCTTTTGAAGATCACTGCAGCATCACCAGGCGCATCTCAAATATTTTTTGAGCTTTGGCCATCGTGCGATAAGTGTTAACGTTTCGTTGCAAGAAGTTGACATCTGCATTGGACACCGGGAAAAGACCGCCGAGTATTTATACGTCCACTGAGTTCATGCCCGTTCGCCCCTCTAGGCTACGTCCGGGGCGTCTCGGATCCTGTAGTTGCTCGCTTGCGTCCTCTGATAAGCATGAGAGGTACTGGCGGAGCTCCAGGTCAGACACGTACATGAGCATCCATCTGTCATGCAGGACATACACACATGTGGTGCCATTCACATACCAGCACGCATCTGCGGAGCCCAATCATCACTTCTTGCTGCCCGGTACCCGAAACCAAAGCCGAGCGAGTCCAGCGAGTTCGAGACTACGCTGAATATTTCCGCGGCCACTATTGGCCCGAATCAGCGAGCCCATCTCGAGACTTCGATGCCGGGCTGAAAGCCGGGCGCGGAGAACGGTCCCAAGCCCCCAGTTTAAGCGGAACGGCGTCATCGACGCAGCGGTTCTTCCATCCATACCTGCGTTCCGACACATGGAGAAGTCCCCGCGAAATGCTAGCCGGCTAGATGGATCTGACGGCGAAGTCTATCGACTTCGATAAAGTCGGTCGAGCACTGCTGTTATGCTTCTGCGCCCTCATAATTCTTTCCTACTTCCTAGCCTTCTTCTGTTGCCCTTTGCCCTTCGTCGAGCGTCCTATAGCCGAGGCAGATCACGATACTGAAGCCAATCGTGAACGCGCTCCTCTCCTTGCTAACGAGACTTAATCAAAGCCACCATGAACCGCGACGAGGGCGAGAATCCTGAGGTGGGAACCTTGACGGGAGATGAGGTAGCGAAGCACAACTCCAAGGACAGCTGCTGGGTGATCGTGCACGGTAAAGCATACGATGTCACCGACTTCCTGCCAGAGCACCCTGGTGGACCGAAGATCATACTCAAGTATGCTGGCAAGGATGCCACAGAAGAGTACGCACCCATTCATCCGCCCGACACACTGGACAAGTACTTGCCAAAAGAGAAACATCTCGGCCCAGTCAACATGGACACTGTCGAGCAGGAGAAGAAGGAAGACAGCCCAGAAGAGAAGGCACGACAGGAGCGCATGAAGAGCATGCCACCACTCGAAGCATGCTACAATCTCATGGACTTCGAGGCCGTAGCTCGAGAAGTCATGAAGAAGCCAGCATGGGCATACTACTCTTCCGGCGCAGACGACGAGATCACAATGCGAGAAAATCATTCCGCCTTCCACAAAATCTGGTTCCGGCCGAAGGTATTGGTTGACGTGGAGAAGGTCGATATGTCCACGACGATGCTGGGCACGAAATCGAGCATACCGTTCTATGTCACAGCGACCGCGCTAGGAAAGCTAGGAAATCCAGAGGGCGAGGTGCTCCTCACGAGAGCAGCTAAGCAACACAACGTCGTCCAGATGATCCCAACGCTAGCATCGTGCAGTTTCGACGAAATCTGCGATGCTCGGGAAGGCGACCAGGTGCAGTGGCTGCAGCTGTACGTCAACAAGGATCGCAAAATCACTGAGCGAATAATCAAGCATGCCGAGAGCCGCGGTTGCAAAGGCCTCTTCATCACAGTTGACGCACCGCAACTCGGTCGCCGGGAGAAGGATATGCGCAGCAAGTTCGACGATACTGGCAGCAACGTACAGTCCGGCGACAAGGTGGACCGCTCACAAGGCGCTGCTCGTGCAATATCCTCGTTCATTGATCCTTCACTCTCCTGGAAAGACATTCCATGGTTCCTATCGGTCACCAAGATGCCGATTGTCCTGAAGGGTGTCCAAAGAGTCGAGGATGTTCTCAAGGCTATCGACTACGGTGTCCATGGCGTTGTCCTGTCCAACCACGTAAGAATATTCTTGAATCTCCTCCCTACCTCTCAATCCTGTACTGACATGTCTATGTAGGGTGGCCGTCAACTCGATACAGCCCGGTCCGGCATCGAGATCCTCACTGAAGTTGCACCAGTCCTGCGCGAAAAAGGCCTAGAAGGCAAGCTCGAGATCTTCATTGACGGTGGTGTGCGCCGCGCAACCGACATCATCAAGGCGCTCTGTCTGGGTGCTACCGCTGTGGGCATTGGCCGGCCGTTCCTGTTCGCTATGAGTGCTTACGGCCAGCCTGGTGTGGATCGTGCTATGCGTGAGTTGATCTCCTCCCCAGAATTGCTTGCACTGTGACTAAAACAATATCTCAGAATTGCTGAAAGATGAAATGGAAATGAACATGCGCCTAATTGGCGCTGCGAGCATCGAAGATCTGCGGCCAGACATGGTCGATGTCAGCAGCGCGAGACACCATGGTGCAGGACCGACCGATTCGTTGAGTGAGACCGCTTACGACAAGCTGATCACGCCTTACCAAATGCTCAAGAGCAAGCTCTAATCGCCTCTTGCGTTGACCAGATGTGTACATGGTTGGTTCTGGAGTGAGATGGCCGGCTTGGAGCAGCCTTTTGCCTCTGGAAAGGGAGCGGAAGTATATATTGGCAATCTTTGGAAACGTGGCAGGACGCGGGCCCAAAACGATTTGTGCATGTCGAAGCAATTGTACGGATATTGTCCGTCATACCGGAAGCATTGGGCATGAAGAGACAGAAAGACGAATTCTCTCGGCATATGGAGAAGGTTGATGCCTGTCAAATACGCTACACTGCGAGGTCTGCATTTTGTCTAAAAAGCCGTGTCCGTGCCTGTCTCGACACGTGTTTCGACTGGTGCCATGAATCGATTCCGAAATGCCCGATGCGCCAAACTTGACCACAAGGCCCAACACAACCCAGACGGGGTCTACTTCCAAAGCTTCCCTAGTGACACTTCTTTGTCATTGGCTTTGTTGAGTACCTTGGCAGTCGCGAGGTCAAAGTCTTCTTGTGTGACGTGCACTCTCCGCTCGCGCAGAGCGAACATACCGGCTTCGGTGCATACACCCTTCTATTTGAGCTTTGTAAGTATCGAGAAAACAAGCGAAAATGGCTAGGGGTAGATGCTTACCAGTTCTGCACCAGAGCAACCATTCATCTTCTCAGCGATCTTCTTCAGGTCGATCCCTCTTGTTAGGTTCATGGATCGTGAATGGATCTTCAAGATATCTGCTCTAGCCTCGACCGTTGGTGGTGGAAATTCAATCTTGCGGTCTATCCGGCCTGGCCGCAATAGCGCAGGATCGAGGATGTCCAATCGATTCGTGGCCATGATAACCTTGATGTTCTTTGTCGGCTCAAAACCGTCCAGCTGATTCAACAGCTCCAACATGGTTCGCTGCACTTCCGAATCGCCACCGCTAGAGCCCTCCACACGTGATGAGCCGATTGAATCAATCTCGTCCATGAAGATGATGGAAGGCGCATGCTCTCGAGCCATGACAAAGAGCTCTCTGACCATTCGACTGCCCTCACCGATGTATTTCTGTACCAGTTCTGACCCTGAAACTCTTATGAATTTGCAGTCGGCGTGATGAGCGACGGCACGTGCAAGCAGCGTCTTGCCTGTACCCGGAGGTCCGTAAAGTAGGACACCTTTGGGTTGTGCAATGCCTAGCGACTCGAAGAGTTCTGGGTGGTTGAGGCCGAGTTCAATGACTTCCTTGATCTCTTTGATCTGCTGGTCGAGACCTCCAATCATGTCGTATGTTGAGTCTGGCACCTTCTCCACCATCATGAGGGACACGAGAGGATCGACGGAGGAAGGCAGCATCTTCTCGAGCTTGTATGAGTCTGATAGTAACGACACTCGCTTTCCGACTGTGAGTTTGGCAATGTCGACGCTGTCGGCAATGTCGACAACATATTTGCCCTCTGGGTGGACCTTCACCAGCACCTTCTTCGTGCCCATCACCTTCACCACCTCTCCGACGTATGAGCCTGGCTGTTGCAGCAGACCGAGTTCTTCTCGCAACAGCCGCACTCTCGAGTTGTAGTCATTTCTCTGTGCTTCTAATCGCCGCAGGACTGCTTGTCCGTGTATGATTTCGAGCTTCAACGATTCGATTTTGTTGTGGTAGAAGTTATCGAGCGCCATGACGGTAAGTGAGATCAGGAGTGGACAAGATACGGTGCAGCGCAGGATGTAGAAGCGATAGAAGCCGTGAAGGAGATCGGATGGCAACGACAACTTGAATGTAGAAAGATGCACTCCGACGCGCATTCAAGATCGAAGCCTGGCGCGGTGATTATGTAAGTATAAGGCTGATTTTCACTGCCTGAAGGCCAAAGTACAGGCACGACATGGCACCCAACCCCTTGAAGCTTTGCCTGAATCTCCGCCCCGGAGATTTAGACTGGGGGCATTCTCGAAAGGCAACCTCGAGCTGGACTTCAACGTTTAGCCCACTTCACGTGTTGTTTATAAGGAAGTTTTGCTATACCGTATAGCTATACCGTATTACACACCTATGAGCTTCGACTACAACGTAGCTAAGACAAAAGCCCAGGAAGAGAACATCAATATGCTGTACCCTCGTCGCCGTCCATGCCATTCATGAGAAACAGCATTCACCATGGATCCAGACTTCGATGGAGACGCCTTTTTTAACGAAGAATCACTACCACACATCAATGACGGCGCGCTGCAAACACAGATAGATCAACTCGATCCTACTGCTGTTGGACTGGGAGTTCCGGACGCGGTTGCTTTGCCCACCATTAACGCGGATGTCTTGCAAAGGCTTGTGAGCCTTCACGCGAATGGGTGTTCAAATCGCCTGGCATGGTCTCGGCAGGGTCATATTGCTTCTATCTCAGGTGATGGAAGAGGGATAGTCTTACAGTACTTGGTATTCGATCGGAGGAAACAGTCGTGGCAGCTCAGTCCCAAGCGAATCGAGCATGTTGGCCGAGGACAGATCGCCAATATCATCTGGAGCCCACTGGCTACTGACCTTGCCGTTCTCGGTGTTGCGGGCAATCTGACTGTGTTGCGACCAGTTGGTACTGCCACCAACAGGCTGGCCGAGGTTAAACTAGGAGCTGGAGGCGATCTAGCAGACTTCGGACAGGTCATTGGACTGCATTGGCTGGGCCAGGATCGCGCGGAACGTCCAAGGCAACTTGTTCAAAGCGCTTCAAAGTCCAACGACACCGGCAGATGGCAGCACCGCCATGTCAAGGCAGCAGTGCTGCAGCCAGTGTATCCGAGAGCCATCATCGTGGTAAGTCGGGAGGCGAAGTTGGCTCTTATATATGAAAAGATGGACAGCTCCTTTGGCAAATTGACGTGCGACCTTGTCACTCATCTCGAGGAGTACACTCATGCAGCAGTCGCACCCGCTACAAACGGCAAATTACTGGTGGCCTTGCACTCGAAGACTGGAAACATATCGGTACGCTCAGTCGCGATTGATATGATGCCTGTAAGGTCTGAAGGCTTGCCGACCTTGAAAGTTGAGCTGAGCGCGAGCGAGCTTTCCAACGCTGCTCTGCCGAGTCTTAACGGACAGATATACGATGGAAACACACAGCACCTTACTCATCTAGGCATAATACCAAGCTCCGAAATCGAGAAGGCAACACGGCTACCCACAACGGTGTTTGGGATATATGCCCATATGAACTACGATATAGCCGCCGGCATGGGCCCCTTTATGTCTACTGCCACTATACGTCGCTGGAGCATTTCACCGCTTAATGAAACGTTATTCTCGAAATTCAATGATGGCCCAACCAAGACAAAACACGGCGCCACTGCAGCTACGGAAGAAAGTAACGTTGTTGAGGCTCTTCCCGATAAGGACGAACAGGCCATCACGAACGTCAGCGTACTCGAGAATGGCCAAGGTTTTCATATTACAACAGTCGACGGTAGGACTGATCTGCTGTCAACGGCAGACCTGAGCTCATCACTCGCCTTCCCTTCCGAAGATGGCTCAATCTCGTCGCTGATGCAGGCAGGCTTTGCCCTGCCTGTAATACAGAGTCCAGCTTCGGTTGCGTTGTCGCCAAATCTCTTCTGCGCAGCAGGCGTGGACACGCATCAGGATGTCGAACTCGCCATCTCGCAACACAATCCACCAGATCCGACCCAAACGCTTGACCCGAGTACAACATCCGGCGACACTGCCGTCGCATGATAGTGCTCGCTTTCGCCCGGTCCTGCTGGAGCACCTCCAACATCGACGACCTGTTCACCATGGTGCTGCAGACCTTCCCATCGACCTCTGCCCACCCTCTCATCATCTCCCTCTATCAGACCCTGTTCCGGGAGGCCGAATTTATGCACGAGAAAGACCAGCGGTCCGAACTGGAGAAGGTGGTACAGAAGCCAGTTCTCGCCAAAGTCTTCTCCTTTCACTACGGGATCTCCTATCTCCTCACCAAAGCCCCATCACTCGAGCCCCGAAATCCGATTCCTCTTTCAACCCAATGGGCATGGATTGTCGCAAACCTCCGCCTCGTCGCCCAGCTCATGTACATCTCCATACGTGAAGTCTCTCCTCCAATCGCCAAGCCCTCTCCCGAGTTCCTTGACATGATCTGCGGCAACATCAAATGGACACTCGACCTCATCCGCTGGATCGCCGCGTCTGTAATCGAGACTTCCGACCGTGAGACCAACCCAGACTTCTTCGACCCCCTACTCACCCACACCAATTCTCCGCCGATGGATCGCAGGGCCTCGTTGCCTTACTCCTCAACTGCCACTGGTCGCGACAGTTCTTCATCGCCATCGTACGTGCATGCGTGTCCTTTGTAAATTACCCGAGCCTCGCTCCGCACCCCAGCTACAGATCATCATGACCATAATGAAGTGGTCATCAGGAAAAGGTCTAGCTCTCGTTGCCATCGAAGCCATGCTCGACCCACGATGGTCTGGGCTTGCAGACAACGAGCTGGACAACAACATGCCGAAAATTGCTGCAAGGCAAGTCAAGATGATGGCAACCGGGAAGGTGGAGGGTGGCTACGAGGGCACGGTCAGGAGGATAGCGACGAAGATGTTGCAGGCTGGAGGCGGCCACAGGGAAAGGGGAATGGTGGATCGTTTGAAGTTGTGGCAGGGGAAGCCGAAGATGGGGTGGCTTCTGTTGGATGATGGTTGGGATGGAGATGAGGGCGGAGAGGTGCCGAAGGCGGAAAGGAAGGTCTATGATGTGCTCAAGAAGAAGGTGATTACGAATGGGAAGAAGGAAAACAACAGGGCTGCCAGTGTTGTTGGTTCGGAAGAGTTGATGATCAAGCGATGTGTGAGATGTGGGAGACACAATGAGGACGTGAATGGAATGGGTAAGGAGTGGCCTAGGAACGTCGCTGGATTGATGATGCGGTGTATTTGCGATGGGTCGTGGGTCGTTGAGCCTTGGTCGACAGCGATAGAGCACTGAGCAGCCATCATTATTCCCAAGTACACGATTCTCGCAGCTGCAGACGGACACGCCTTACTTCTGTCCCTTTGAACACGTCACGAATGATTTCACTTCGCCGGCGTTCTCGGGCCCGTACGACCTCGAAGCCGATAGTGAGACGAATGTACCCATTAAAGTGGACTCCTCAAGAGCTCGAACTTGAAACAAAGCAGGAACCAGACTGCTGACCGATGAATCGAAGCCGAACGTGGTTGCCATAATTTTGCATTCATGATTGCTCTCCGCTTAGTGAGTATCTACCACCTCAGCCGAGACTGCCACATAGTTTTAGCAGACGTCGTTGGCCACAGACATCCTATGGCTTCATCAGGGTTACTAGAAGACGGCGTATTTGTCGTGCGTCTGGTTCGTTGGCGGGTGGTACTTCGGGCCCTCGCCGCGCTGCTGACCGCCGTGCCTGACCTTGTCCCAACCTTCTCCATGCATTCCGAAACGCAAAACCAGATCTAAGCCTCCGCCTTCACAGCATACTTCCGTGCCGGGAAGTGAGTCTGCTTCTTCTTTTGCTTCTGAGTGACGCGGGCGGCATCCTTCGGCGAAAGTCTTCGTCGAATAGCGCGAGTTTGCTTCGCTCGGAGATCGAGAGGAAGGTACTTCTTCTTTGAGTAGAACTGTCGGAGGGAGTGGCGCTGGTTGGCGTTGATGATTGTGAGGGTGCGGGCTATCGACTTGCGGAGATCGTGGCTACAAGGGAAATCTCGTTAGTCCTCTTGCATCACTTTTGCTTCCTACGAGTCGATTTGTGGTCTCATACTCTCGATTGTAGGGTTCTGGTGTACATACATTCTGGTGAGTTTTGATGAGGCGCCGCCAGCGATCTTCTGAACGCGCAGCTGGCCGAGCTCGGTCTTCAAATCATCGAGTTGCTTGTGAAGTTCCTCCTTGTTCTTGCCCCAGAGCTGGGAAGCCTTGATACGGGCGCCGGTCGACTGCAGAAGTGTCAGCGGTGGGTGGAATCGTATTCAGGATAGTCATTACCATCGTGAGCGCGTTGTGTGTTGGCGAGGCTGGATGTCGAACAAAGATTCAGTCGTGATAGCAGTGAGGTCGCTCGCCGCAATTCGAAGTGCGGATGAAAATCTTGGCTTGGCAATCACCAATGAGATTCAAGATCTACCGCCCCGCTACCAGGACGAGGCTCACATCTAGCCTTGCATTATGTGCTCCACCCAAACTTAGTGGTTGGGGAAACAGCAGGCGCTACTGAGTTGGCGACGACGTGGCGACGCCGGAGAGATACACCTGACAATGTCGATGCGACTGCTGCTGTAAAGACTTTTGCGAGGCGCCGACACCGGTCTTGGAACAGAAGAGATGGCCAGCGGAACTGGATGGGCGCAATTACGGCAACAGATCCGGACTCTAGAAAGCCAAACCGAATCGCTCTTCCACACCTACTCACAGTACGCATCTGCGTCGAATCTGCCAGAGAAGGCATCCGAGGAGGAGCTCAAGAATGAGACCGATATAAGCGAGTTATTTGAGAAGCGCGAAGCATTAATACAGCAGCTGTCGCGCGTGCTGGACTCCGAATCCAGTCTGAACACATCATCCCTGAAGCAGAACAACCTCTCACGACATCGAGAAGTCCTCACAGAACACAAGACGGAGTTGAGACGGCTGAAGTCTTCGATAGCGGAAGCGAGAGATCGGCAACACCTGCTTACAAGCGTACGCTCTGATATCGACGCCTTCCGGTCGTCAAATCCGGGCGAAGCAGAGGCGGAGTACATGTTGCAGGAACGAGGCAGACTCGACAACAGTCACAATGTGATTGACGGTATCATCGCGCAAGCATACTCGATCAATGAGAATTTCGGGTTGCAGGGAGAGACTTTGGCCAGCATCAACCGCCGGATCACTTCTGCAGCAGCAACGATACCAGGCGTCAACGGGCTGATTCAGAGGATCGGCACAAAACGACGGCGAGATGGCATTATCCTTGGCACGTTCATCGCGTTTTGTTTCCTCTTGTTTTTCTGGTTCCTGTGAGTAGAGCGAGCACCAGAAAGGCTTTCCAAGGCAGCATGTACAACAAGTACCGCAAGGTCGAATCATGGTGAAGTATGCTCAGCAATGGGAAATGCAGCAATAGAGACTGCTGCAGAGTGGACAAACCGACCAGGTCGATGCAACGTAGCATCTACGCTCAGAAAAGCCCCGTCCCCGTCCCACTTTGCCGACATCGCATGATTGTGTTATCAGGCTCAAGTGATGAAGAACTACCCTAGCCTGCTTGTCTAAGGCGCGGAGTATCGAGTCAGCATGATATAGAAGTGGTAACAGCGCAAACGACCACAACAGTGGAATTCCTGTCTGAGTCGAGTGGAGCGCACTGAGGTTGCAAGACCACACCAAACGGTCTGTGACAATCCTGCGATTCAGCCCAACGCGCCGCCCAGCACCATCTTGAGAGGTAGAGAGTGCTTCTTGTGCCTGGATGATGATGTCGTGGCGAAGGGCCTTGGCCGATTCCAGTCAGCAAGGCAAACTCAGCGAAAGGCAAGGGCTCCGGATCGGGATGGGAGGGGCCCTGGACGACTGTGAGCTCCGCTTTGGCTCTTACGTTCCAGGGGCAAATAGAACAGCGGTCACCGACGCAAGGCTCGACACAGTTGCAGACAAGTCTGGTGGTTCGTACTTCTGCTACGTTGTCGCAAGCACTCGCTGGGCGGGGTCATCTGATGGACAAATCAGGCAATCACGAAGTGTTCGGACAACCTTGCCGGAACTCTCGAACGACCTCATCTGCAATTGTCTGCATCCGTTGGTGCCTCAGAAGTGTGTCAGTCTCACCCTCGCCGTCGCCTGCTATGCTGGCAATACAGTGTTCAAATGCATGTGTGCGGACTTCCGTTTCGGCGACTTTCAACAGGTCAAGCATCCTCAGCTGCCTTGGCAGAACTGTATCGATGAGCTATATTCTGTGATCGAGACCTCAGCGCTCGCCCGCTGCCATCCTGCTCTTACTTTCTTGGCACTTTGTGTCGTACTGATATCAGCTGAAAAGGCCGCGCAAGCTCTTGACGTGTTCTGCTGTCTACAGTAATCCAAAAACGAGCTCAAACCGTTCTAGTGATGCACTTGTCACAAGGACTGCTCGCTTACGTCCACGACGCAACACTTTCTCTTTTTAACCAAGAATTCAAGGTTGTACTGCTTCAGTGCTTATCAATAGCTAAAAGGCTTGTTTTGATGTCTTGGCTTCAACGTGTTGCTCGCATTGGCCTGATTCCTGGTTCTCGCTCGAGTCGCGAACTCCAGAATGTCTTGTTCTTGTTGGTCATGTCTTTCCCAACGCACATGATGCAGTTGCCAGTGGCCACCACTTCTTTTCGCTCGTTTATCCTTTTCACTCAAGGATCAAGACTTTCGGGGCTTCTGACATTTACCGGCCAAGGCGGTTGAATTCCTGGCTGCTGTTGGACCTGCCACCCTTGCACTCGCGCATGCACGTCTTCTTGGTGGTAGCAGAAAGCGTAGTCGGCTCAGATTGTACTTTCCTGTGGCTGCTACATCGTAGTCGTCTTCCGCGTTACCCGTCGCTATGGCAGTTGTCTTGTCAGCTGGCCTGCCTCAGTAACCTGGCGTTAGGCATTTATTTTCGTGCCACTGTTGGTTGCAGTGTCCTTGCTACGAGACAATTTGCGTCGTTCGCTCGTTCAATCTCAGAACCGACTTTTCCGGCACAGCAGAGGCAAGATCCCATCCAGGCCCTCGAGTCTGCTCGCCCGTGAGATTCTCATCTGCTAAGCAACATTCCAATCCCGTGCTTTTTCTCTACCTTCGGTAGCAACTAGAATTGATGCGCGCCTATGCCATCGCTCGTGGTCAGTGTGTGCTTCAGTGCTCCCCGAAATCCAGTCAGCCGCACTTCCGCGCCTCGTTGTAGGTACTGCCTATATCCTCTCGTTAATAGCACGCCCCCTCATCATCATGTCACCGAACTCTAAGTCTTCGAACCGCACTAAATAATATTTCCCTTCGGAGTCACGTAGGAGCGAGAAGCAGGGGTTCATAAGTTTTTTTTGGTCCTTTCAGCGTCCATCCTCGAATGCTTAACGACTGCGTTACGTGGTCACCAGTGCTGTAGATTTTCCTGACAAGCTTCTTGCGATTATTGCTGGCATCCTTACTTCATCATGCTGGGCGTTGTAGACTAATCCTATATGTAGAAACTGCTTTCCGCCCCTGCTCTTCCGCTGCGATTTCGTGAACCCTCCTTTCGCTGCCTCATACCTCGCAGAGGATTACTACCAAACTCCACCTAACGTCGAGCCAGCGATTACCTCGAAATTCGACTCCAGCGATTACCATACTGAGACAAGCGCCCACACCCGCTCTATATCTTGCATGTGGTCGTCCCGGGGCGAGTTGGATGTCATCATATATGAACGAGGCCGTGCGCATTGACCCATATTACTCACGCTGACCCGGCGCCTTGTACCCATTTGGAAGATACGATAATCTAATATCGAGAACCGTGCGCCTTTACGTATACCCGACGCAGACCGCGTCGAGCATATAGGTTCAAGCACCTGGGCGAGGTATAAAAAGTGTGTGCATGACAAAGATTCGAAAGAAGCAGAAAACAAAGAATAATCGTCACTGTACGTTTGTTCCGGGCAGGGGTCACCCCTCACGAGGAGCGATCGTCACTGCAAACCTCGAGTCTCCGGCGCATGCGACTGCTGGAAATTTTGGTTGGAGAGACCGCGAAAGCGCATTTGCATACTTGGGATCGAGGAATTAGGCGACTGGCTCTTGCCATAAGGCTTTGCGGGCATTAGTCTGCTATCCGGCTGCTCCTGCTGTTGGCTGCAGCGCACTTCCGCAAGTCTGTGGTAGTGAGATCACAGTGTGGGAAGAACGACATTCAAGAGGGTGCGGGTACCGAACCCGAGAGAAAGTGATTCACTGCCTGAAGTTTTGGCCGGTGGCCATTGTACCTTGCGGAGCCGCGCTTCTTTGTCAGGGCATTCTGCTTGCATTCTATACAAGGCAGGGCTATCCCACGTGGTTTTGTGGTCGCAGCTTCGCACATTGATTGCTCTGTGTTACGAGAACAATGCGCTTGGTCCCCTGAGTTGGTCCAGATTGCTGCAGGACAAGTTTGTCGCAACGTCGCGACGTGGCATATAACAACTCTCTGTCCGCCCACAGAGGAGCAACAGGAGGCTGCTCAACATCAGAGGACTCCAGCGAGAAGCAATCAGCAGTACAAATCCCAGCTCCTTCCGCGATGTGCCAATACACGACATTTCACTGGTCATGCTGCCCAGGCACGGCAGCTCCTGCTCCGTACTACATGCATACCGAATGCGAACTCGCACAAGCGCCGCGCCGCAAGGGCTTCATCAAGCTGAGGTGTCGAATCGAGCACGTGTTGATGGATGGCGCCGATTATGACAAGTTGTGTCCGAAGTGCGGCCAGAAAGCGTCCGACCGAGAGCAGGAGGAGACTGAACAAGTCGAGGCCGCTCCAATGGAGGCTGTCAGCTGCGGCGCGTGAAGGCGAGGAGGATCGGTGGGCGAATGCTCACATCAACACCAAATCACATCACTGCAGCGGTGGGACGCGATATGTTCCGGACGAGTTCCTCCTGGGGCGCAGAGCTAGTCGAGTCGATTCTCCGAGCAGTCGTTGGCAAGGATCGCTCTTCCTCTACTAGACGCTCTATGGCTGCATTCATACCAGCCACCTCACCATCCCAGGCGTCGCCACTGCCGGCCCATCGAATTTTGGCGGAGGAATCGACCAGGTACACGTACCCAACTTGCGAGTTCAGCAAGCCCATGGCGTCTCTGACGTCTTCCGTCAGGCCTTTTCTGATGTCGCGTGGCAGCTGAATGAGGAAATATCTCGACCATTGATCTCGAGGGGTCTTCTGGCGAATTCGATATTGGAACAATCGCACCAGCCACATATCCAGAACCGAGTCCTGCATGTTCACGGACACGCGCTGTACCAGGCCATTGGAAGAGTCAATGATCGACTGCAGTCCGGGGTTGGCTTTTGTGCCGACAAATGTCTCGACCTGCTCATGCGCCCATTCGGCTTTCTCTAAAGTGACAACGGAGATTTTGCCATTTAGGAGCGGTGCAAGGTCACGACCACCATCTGGGCCATCGCCCTCTTTCGATAATGTACGACCAAAGATATTAGGGAAATATAATGCTTTTTCACGCTTGAATAACCTCTCGTTAGACACGAAGCTCTTTCCCCGATAATGCTTTGCGCGATTCCGCTCTTGATAGTAGGGTCGGAAGTAGGATCGCATTAGGACTCGCTGTCTGATTTTTGCCTTCTCCGGATCAGTAAAGTCGCTTCTCCGTTGCTCTAGGGTCCGTTTGTCCAGTGGACTATTGTCGCCTGGTCGTGGAGGGTTGCGCAAACCAAGCGGTCGGGCTAGCACAGATGGCGTAAATACCTCCCCTTTCGCACCTCTAGGGATCGGAATACGCGAGATAGCTGAGACATGATCGGGATTCCGGTCGAGACCGACGTTAAGAGGGATGCCGGAGTTTGATGCGACAGTAGCTCGTGGTGTTCGTGGTGGCCGAGTGTCGCTCGAGGCTGCTCGAAGGAATTGCACTTGCGGTCGCCATGAGCGTAGACATTGTGAATGAGGCCTTCTAGCTAGCAGCAAGAACAAATCGACGGCTTCGAAAGGCCGCGGTTTCATGGCCGGTGTGCTTGGTCTGGCGACTTCGACGATGCAGTCAGAGCAGCGAGCTGCAGTGAACGTCGAGGAGATCAAGGAAGATCTTGCACGTGATTTCGTGAATGCTTGGCGCTGTTGGGTCGCGCACCGCGACAGCTTCTAAGGTTCTATGGTACCTCACTTCAACTTCAACCTCACGTCTTCAGAAGTTGCATTACGCAGGTGACATCAGACCCCAGAGTTTCAGGTTCTTCTCATGTCAGCACCTGGCGAGAGGTTGCAATTCGCTGATGATACTGCGCGCGAAACTTGCACTTACTATGAGATCGATGGCGGGGCTCGCGGCTTCACTCTCGCACAGCACATCTGTGCCACCTTTCCAACTTCACTAATCATCTGAAACCCAACGCTCCGCACGTTGTCGACGCGTGCTTTCCTTCTGCATACCCTGGCGCAATTATGAGTGGGTTCTCGGTTGTACTGTATTTCATTAATCATCATCTTTCTTTTCTCGACGGGGGGGCATTATGGCGTCACAGCGACGCAAAGCACGGGAGGAGTTCTTCGATAGGCTGGATCAGCTGGACGATCTCAGCGACTCCGAGACCCAGCTCGATACATCCTCTGGCGCAAAGGACGCCCTGAGACCTGATTCAACGCGAAGGTCAACCCGCTCTAAATCTGTCAAACCGTCTCTGCAGAAAGCTGCCTCGAGCCCGCAGGTTCTCACCGCGCCGGTCCCGCCCGTGACCTTACTGCCTGCAGCAAGTGCACCTGGACGACCAACAGCAAGCCTGAAGCGCGCTCGCTCAGATGCTGTACCACCATCATCTAAGCTGAAGCGCAATGCTAAACGCAAGCAGGAGACTGTTGTGCCAGCTCAAGCCCTCATTTTCCCGCCAGAGATGTGCTTCCTCTTCGTTCCAAACCGTGGCCTCACAAGTCTGCAGCAAAGTCAAATCGACGAAGCCGAGAAGCATGGTGCCCGCCTCGCAGCGGAGTTCTCCAAGAATGTAACACACATTGTTGTGGACTCCAATTGGACTCTGAGCCAGGCGCTGGAAGAGCTGCCGGACAAGTGCCACCCTACTGGTATAACCATGGTCAACTGGACTTGGGTTGTTGAATCATTGCTTTATGGTCTGCGAGATTCAGATCAGCATAGGTTCCGCGTGAAAGGAGCGACAGGTACTACTAGTCTTCACCAAACCAGTTCAACAGACAAAAGACCAGCACCTAGCACCGATCACGACCTCATGGTCGCCGAACCCAAACAGCGAAACGTGGGACAAACGACCCCGCAAAAGAATGGCCGGGCAGCTAGTGAAGCCGACCCCGAGCTGTCGCGGAACGAGACCGACAAAAATGCTCAGACAGACGACCAAGACGAACTCGATCTGTTGCAGAAGGAGATGGACAAGAACGATCCCGCCATTGAGGATCTCATGGAGCATGATCCATCCTCCAAGTTTGAGGGCAACTATGTGATCGAGCAGTCCTCAAACGGCAACCTTGAGCACGGCAGCTTTTCGTGTATGAACAAGAACGAGCGCAATCGATCTTCTTCCAATCCCAATCAAGTCACTATTCGTCTACTGAATCAAATGGCGGAGATTTACGATGCGAATACTGCCGACCAGTGGCGAGCAAGAGCATTCAAGCAAGCCGCTTCTGCTCTTGCAAGACAGAAGGAATTGGTGGCTACCGAGGAGCAGGCAGCAAAGATACGAGGCATTGGCGCGAGCATCGCACCGAAGATCGAGGAAATCGTCACAAAAGGCAGACTGGCCCGACTTGATGAGGCTAACAACGATCCGCTCCACAAGACACGTGTTCTGTTTTCCCGGGTGTATGGGGTTGGTGGTGCACAAGCAGCCGCTTGGGTCGCCGCCGGTTATACAACACTCGATGACCTGAAGCGGTACGTTGGTCTTACCCCAAATCAACGCATAGGGATTGAGCATTTCGACGACTTCGAGACTCGCATTCCACGGGCGGAAGTCGTGCAGCACGGCCTTATCGTTGACCATGCGCTCAAACAGACCGACCAAGAGCTCAAAATGTACATTGGAGGTTCATTCCGACGGGGCAGCCCAGACTCCGGTGACATAGACATCCTCATCACAAAGGAGGGCGCTGGAATGGAGCAGATTCAGACGGTTGTGATGGATACACTCATTCCTCAGCTCAAGCAACAGGGCTTCATAGTAGCCGAGCTTGCCTCAGGCCACTGGACCGACAAAGAAACTCCTTCCAAATGGATGGGTGCTTCAGTCTTGCCGGGACAGTCCATATGGCGGCGTCTGGATATCCTGTTCGTGCCATGGGAAGAACTCGGTGCGGCACTGATCTACTGGACTGGCAATGATTTCTTCAACAGAAGCCTCCGTCTACTGGCAAGTCGTAAGAAGATGCGGCTGAATCAGCATGGCTTGTAAGTGCGCATGCAAAGCATTCGAGGCGCACCCCAGTGGCTTTTCGCTAGATTTTCAATGTACTTCACTGACATGGGCATGTAGGTACAAGAATGTTCTGCGAGGAAAGAACCGCGAGAAGCTTACAGAAGGAGAGCTCGTTGAGTCTCATAGCGAAGAGAAAATTTTCGCGATTCTCGGTGTTACATATCGACCTCCGGAGCATCGCAATCCTTGACACAACACTTGACGCACGGAATGTCGCTTCAGAAGACTTATCTCATTGGAAGTGAGCCATCAGTTGACCAGCATCGGTCTGCTTCTCGAGATTTTGAAGGACCTTGAGCAGTTCTTCCGGGTTGCTGTTCTTCGCCAGCGATTCCATTTCGGTCTGGAAGCGAGCCTTGATGCCACTTGCGTTGACCCACGGCACATCATTAAGCTCTTCCGTTATGGTGCTACCGTCCGAAAGCTTCAGCTCGACTCTCGCGGGTTGCCGCCTTTCGGCCTTCATGCCTGATCGAACTCGTCTAAAGGAGTGATCGAGCATTTCGATACGAGGTCAGTAATGTCCTTGTCATCAAATCGGAGGAAAGTCTCCTCTGAGGGCGTCCCGTACAATAGCATAGCGCTAACACCGTACTGAATGCTCATCTTTGTCTGTTGGACGGTCTCAAACTTCTTCGCAGGGTTATCGCAGCCTGGGTAGTTCTTAGCCGCACTGGTCGACCTCACGACTATCTCCTCGATCTTCAGCTCCGGATTCTGTTGCTTCTTCTCCTGATACGGCTTCGAAGCCTTCATACCAGCAGCGATCGGCGTTTGTGCATAATTGCAACCTGGGACTGGCTTCATAGTGACCTCCATGATGCCCCTACCGATCTCACTGTCTAGCCATTCGGTGAAAAGCTTCTCTGCTTTGCTGCCGACACTGTATGCAGCAAAGTAGCCAGCCTTGCCCTCCAGAACATCTTCGCTGCATTGCAACCCCGCCTTGGCCACATCGTACGCGATGATACCAGACTGAGCAGCGGTGCCCATCTCGGTATAGATCTCAACACCACCTGTCCATGCCCACTGGTTGAAACCGCTCGCCATGTTCGCGGCAAAAGCCAACGCGTTGGTCGCCACGTCCTCGTTGACCTTGTCGAAGTTCGTGACCAGCGCAGCAGCAGCAGAACCAAATGCGCCACAAGAGCCGCTGGGTCGGATATGTCGGTTGTAGCCCTGTGTTTGCTGGAAAGCCGTGCCGAGCAGCGCTGACATCTCGTACCCAGCTACAACCGCCTTCAGAAGACCTTCACCCGACACGCCGTCTCGCTGTGCGATAGCAAGGGCAGCAGAAATGACCATGCTCCCAATATGTGAGTTCGAAGGCAAGTGCATATCATCCCGGATGGCGCTGTGAGCAAGTAGTGCGTTACAGAACGCAGCAGATTCAGCCGTGACGTTCTTCTTGTTGGCGAAGGTGAAGCAAGGTCCGGACTCGCGCGCTGAAGCATACTTCGCTACGTCGCCGGCCCATGGTGCTTGTAGGCCGGCGGAGACGGAAGAAAGGTAGTCAAGTATAGCGAGTGTTGCCTTCTCCTTTAGTCGAGGTTCTAAGGGATTGTTGGCAATCTGAGCGATCCGGCGCGCGCAGAGACGCGTCAATGGTGCTGAAGGTGCAAGGGATCCCATTGTCGTTGGTTTCTCAGTACGTCGATGACCTTATGGGCGGCGTTTGGGAAACCGCGGTCGGTCGTCGTGAATATGCTCCTGCTGATGTAGTACTCCAACTGCCCCACGACTTACCCCGAGGCATCTCCCCACCTAACCCCAATGATGCAGCGGCATGCTTTGCAAGTCGAGTCGCATGGCATCTGCACTCGCCTAGCCGCAGTTAAAGCTTCATTTGACGCTTCTGCCAACATTAGATACTCCTGCTCGTACAAAAGATCTGCTTCACCTTGCGAAGCGCTGTCGTTGCGAAGCTTCCCGGGGTGGACTTCAATGCGTTCACTGCCTGACTTCGTGAGCTAGTCTCTGAGTAGCCTAGGGTTCGTCCATTCATTTGACCAATGAAAGATCAGCATTGAAGTTTTCGATATTTATACACGACTTCGTTGTGCTGTTGTTTTCGAATGTGCGCTTCGAGTGTTTATGATATATCATTTCGCACGCGGTAGGTGATCTACATTCATGATGAGCGAAGCTATGGAAGAGCGACCAACGAAGAGGCTAAAGATCTCGGGTGACGAAGTTCTGTCAACTTTTTCGGATCCGGCAGTCATTGCTGTCATAGAGAGGGAGCAGAAACTCGGAATTTCGGCCTGTGTCACAGAACAGCTGACGCCTGTCACTGGTGTTGTCAAGCAGCGGTATACTGACTTCCTCGTCAATGAAGTAACTCCCGATGGAAATGTGTTGCATCTGCAGAAGACCACTTATGACCGAGCGGGCCAGAACACGAAGACTCAAAATGGTACAGCCTCAAATGATCCCGGGCCAAAGGCCAGCAATGGCGACGAGAACGAAGCCACTCCTACAGAAACGACGGACAGTGATGACACGTCGACACAATCCGCCATCTCAGCCGAAGACCGCAAGAAACTCGTTGGCTATCTAGGTGAGACTGCTGTTGGAGAGATCCTAGCCCTGTTTGCTTCGATCAAAGAGCATCCCAAGAAACGATCACGAGACCATCCAATCGTCAACACGCCTTTCACTTCAGATCGTATGGTGCGAACAGAGATCCACCAGGCCATAAGGAATATATTTCATTCAAGGATTGACTCCTCTACGAACAAAGATGGCCTACTTGTGCTCTCTGCGGCCAATCCAAATTTTCGCAACAATCATCAATCACGAGTAGGGAAGCTGTCATGGATCGAGCGAGGTGGCGAGCACTGCCACTTTACCTTGTACAAGGAGATGAAGGACACGATGGAGAGCCTTTCTTTCCTCGCATACCTCCTCAAGAAGAATGCTCGAGACTTCCAGATCGCCGGCACGAAAGATCGACGAGCTGCGACCGTTCAGCGTGTTAGTGTCTGGCGTGTCGAGGCTGAGAGATTAGCCGCTTTGAACAAGAACCCAACGATGAGGAATGCTACACTGGGAGACTTCGAGTATCATCCTTCCGGCCTTCAGCTTGGCGACCTTTCCGGAAATGAGTTCACAATCACCGTTCGTGATGTGCAGCTCGTGGGTGGCAAGACAGATGATGTCTCTCGAGTTCAGGCAGCTCTCGAAGCCTCCTTGTCAAGCCTACAAACCAATGGCTTCCTCAACTACTACGGCCTCCAACGCTTCGGCACTTTCGCAATCAGCTCCGACGTTCTCGGCCTTCAAATCCTCAAAGGCGACTTCGAGGCCGCGTGCAACTCCATTCTCGACTACAATGCAGCTTCGTTAGCGGACGGAGCTGATGTAGGCCGCGACGACCGTGATCGTGCCCGAGCGATAAAGATATTCCGCGACACGAATTCGATGCGCGACGCCATGGACGTCATGCCCAAGCGCTGGTCCGCCGAGTCGTCTATCATTCGTGCTTTAGGCCGCAACCCCAACGATCACCTTGGAGCGCTCATGACCTTACAGCGAAACATGCGCCAAATGTACGTCCACGCCTACCAGTCCCTGATATGGAACAAGGCCGCCACGAACAGATGGAAGGTGTACGGCAACAAAGTCATGGAAGGCGATCTCGTGCTCGTCACCGAACACAAAGACAAAGATACCAGCTCCACGTCGATCGCTGACGGCCCATCTGAGGGCATCGATCCTGAAGGTGAGGTGATTATTCATCCCGCAGGCGACGACCGCGCCCGAAGTCAACACCCTGCCAACAAGAATGATGCGTTTGAACGCGCCCGCCCTCTTACAGCCACGGAAGCCTCCAGCGGTGCCTACTCGATCTTCGACATTGTCCTCCCACTACCTGGCTTCGACATCATCTATCCCGAGAATGCCAGTGGAGGTGAGTTCTACAAGCAAGTTATGGGAGAAGACGGACTGGATCCATATGACATGCGCCGCTCGCAGAAGGACTTCAGCCTCAGCGGAAGCTACCGGAAGGTGATGGCGAGGATTGCGAAGAGCTATACCGTGGACGTGAGGACGTACACGGACGACAATGAGCAATTCGTTGACACAGATCGTGAGAAGTTGTTTGGGCGCAGGGAGGACGGGAGAAAGAAGAACGTTGAGGCTGGCGAGGAGGCCGGTCAGCAGGAAAGCGACACTCAGCAGAACGCGCAAAGTGCTGAGATCAGTGAAGACAAGGAGGTGAAAAGAATGAAGACTGCAGCGATACTCAAATTGCAGTTGGGCACGAGCCAGTATGCTACGATGGCGCTGCGCGAGATCTCCAGAGGCGGGCTGGTGGAATACAAGCCTGGATTCTCTGGCGGTCGGTGAAAGTGATCGAGCGGCTTCGTGCTCTAGGCGGACCCGGAAGGAGGCTGGGACTGATCTCATGTCCGGACCAGATGCACATCGATGGCATTGCACAATGATGCGAGAAAACCCCGAACGGATCTCCCAGGAGCTTAGGCTATTTGCGATGTACTAGACACGGGACCTCCTGCAGGAGTTGACAAGGGCAAAGCAAGCATCGCTTCCAGCCACGGACGGACAGATCTACTAGTGCCAGGGTAGGTGGCAATATATTATCATTCTCGCTGTCTCGCCTCACGTCGGTATAGGACCTCGCTTGCAATGTGCTTCGTTATGAGCATTTCCATTCCCCTTGTTACCACGTACAAAGTTTTTGAGCCAGATGAGGCCACGTGCTGCCCTAGCCAGATTGCAGCAACCGGAGCTCACTGTTCCTTCCGTGACTCAATCCGTTGCTCCATCCTGGTCTTCACTGTTGCTCGTTCCCGTCTTCAATTGATGCTCCTTCCTGTCTTCAATGTTGCTCCCCCCTATCTTCCATCGTCGCTCCTTCCGATCTCCTCTGTTGCTCTTTCCCGTCCTCCACTGTTGCGCCCGCCATATGTGCTGAGACATCTTCCTTCTCACAGGCTTCGCCTCGCATGCGAAGGAGGCACAGCCTGCCTCCCTTGATCGAGTTCGAGTTGTGGCCCGGCGCGAGGCATTGCAGGTTGGTGGTTCGGGTAGTCCGCGTAGAACGTAGACTTGTTTTGACCTTCACCAGACATCGCATTATCGCACATGGACGTCCCGGAACCGAAGTGAGGCACTTGCAAGGTGACGATGGCAGTACTACCCTTCCAGAACGACTGATCTACGCGCAGAATGCTGTTGTTGCAAGCCTCAGACCCGCCTTCCCTGGTTCGTGCTAAGCTTCCTGCCGACCTGTGCTTCCCTCAAACTAGCGACTTCAGCTACGCTCGAAATTGTAGACTGCGCATCATCGAAGTCGTCCCCGCGAGGCCGCCTGATCGACTGACTCGGCGAGATAGGCGGGTCTAAGAATGGTGAACGGGTGTCGTCTGGTGAGACAGGTGAGACTATGTCATTCCTGAAGGGATCGTTCAAAGAGCGTGTGGAGACAGGCGTTTGTGACGTTGTAGAAGCGCGAGAGCTGGCACGCGAGAGGTTTGTAACAGCTGCCAGTCCAGTTGCGCCAGCACCTGCTGCAGTTGCACCACTAGCAGCTGGGTAGGCAGGTGGTGCGGTAGAAGCGGTGGCCACAGAGTTAGGGCGAGGGAAGGGATCAGACGTTGTCGGCGTTGCTCCCAGCGCCATTGGGACAGTAGAAGGCGGCTGCGTGTGGGATATGGCATCTCGGTATGGGGGTGCCACTTCTTCATCGACGCTGTGAATGCTTGGGCTGGCAGTGTGTGCCCGTTGCCCGCTCCGTTGGCTGCCTGTTTCTCTGCTTCGCAGACTATTGCTGCTTGAGAACCGTCCTCCCATCAGTAGTTCAGCATCGAATGAGAATATCCGCAGATGTCGTGACCACTTCTTCGGTAGTTTCTTCCTCTTCTCTGACATCGAGGCTACAGCGACGTCTTCCCTCCCTGCCTGCCTCCGCTTCCGCCTTCGTATACAGCAGAAGGCCAGAAGTAGTATGAGCAGTGAGATCACTACCACTGGGACAGCAATGGCTGCTTGTAGTCCAGCATTGCATGATATACTGTTACAGGCCTTGTCTGAGACTGATGGATTCTCGCCGTTAGATCCGCTACTGACACCAGAAGCCTCGGGTGCAGCGGACGCAGAGTCCTGTGTTGGTGTTGTTGATGTTAACAGTGTCGAAGGTATGGTCGGAATCGACTCGCTTTGTGTTACAGAGGCGACGCTTGCTCCACTAGTTGTGGTTTCCGCCGTTCCTGCCGTTGTTCGGGTGAAATCAGACTCGAAGGAGGCAGCGTTATTCGTTAAACTACCGAAGTCGGCAGTGTCAGCTGTCCGCGTGAATGTTTGCACATTACCATTATCTCCCGTGATCGTGAAGGTGAAGATCTTGTCTTGCTGCGGGTTGGGAGCCGGCGCTGACATGCCGCCGAATGCTGGGGTTGGGCGCGAAATCTTGACGGTTGACAAAAGAATGTGCCCTGGCGGGGACCGTGGTCGAGATGTAGCTCGGTAGCTGAGGCTACGAGCAGCGTCGGGCTTGTGCAGTGATTAGCACACCTTGATGCAAGACGTTAAGGCGCAGTTCAGGATTTGAGCAAGCAAAGGCTCGGGGCGACACCAAGGCGGAACGGCCTGGCAGGTTGCGTAGGATCAGGAGGCCGTTTTGGGTTTCAGTTGATCCAGCTGGAATGCCGATTGATAGATAGCCCACTGGGGCCGATTACGCGCTGCGCAGTGTTGAGATACGACCACTGTTGCGGCTGGGGAGTTGGAACAAGTTTGCTTGCCAGGAAAGCACAACGATTGTGGAAAACTGCCTCGTGTTGGTAGAGAAATTGAACAAAGTCAATTACCTAGGGATGAGTCGAAGAGTCTTGGACAATTTTGAAGCCTGGCAGAAGAGGGGCTAGTACGCCTGTGACAGCCGATGAACTACGACGTACTCGCTCGGCGGGACGCCAGGCGTGAAGGGCCAGCAAGCTTCGAAGCCTTAGACACTGCACACAACAATAGGCGAGTCTGAGTCAAGAATCGACCGCTAAGACGGCTTCGAAACTTCAGTGGATGGGGCAAGTCGGGCGGCGGCATTCGAGTCGTTGGCGGTGCAGGAAAGCCAGCTTGGAAGCCAGTTCGCGTGGGCGGCGTGATTCGATGAGCGGAAGTCCGAGGCAGGGATTCAGCAAAGGAATAAAGGCAGAATAGATACAGGGCCAATGTTTGAATTGGCGTGCCTGGCTATCCTCAGCTTGGAAGCGATTACCATACAGTCAAGTCCTGGCGTGCGCTATCTTTAGTTGTTTGCTTGGGAGACTCCTTGATCGTCCACATTGTCGCGCAGCTATGCTATATCATACGCGACAGGAATGCGTTCTCCTCTTGGGCTAAATAGCATTCATGTAGAGTGGATGCACAAAATCAGTTACATTGATATTGCACCGATGTCTTCTTAACCTTGATAAGGCACCACAGCATGCAGTGCAGCCCGGGAATCTGGAGTAAGAACGACAAGACTATCGTGCAGCATGCAAGCTGCAAGTCGTTGGGACTACGGACTCCGGAGCCCATTATGGCAGTCGCCTTTGGAGATATGGTGTCGAGCACACTTGAACCGAGGACGGCTGCTTTCCTCTGCACAATCATGACGCCTTCAGTAGCATTTTAATCATGCACGTGGCCATCGAACTGACCAGATAGTGAGACATGGCGTGTTGCTTCTTGCCAGGATTAAAGCGCCTTCGTCAAGCCGTGCGTGGACCGTCGAGACTGTGAATACTGTTCATGCAGCCAGGAGGGCCACGGATGTCGGCGGTCTGACCGCCGACCCTAAGCCTCTTTAGAGCCAACTCCGATCACCTTTCAGCTTACGTCAACTTCAACGTCAACTTTCTCGTACAGCTGGCAGTCTCAAGTATGTATACAGTTGCATGGCGAGGAACATGCGCTCAATAATGCCGAACATTAGGATGAGCATACTCCATGCGAGCAGCCCCAACCATCAAATATATGACTAGACCAAACATCGCGCCGTCTGAAGAAGCTTTCCGCCCTTGGCCCGGATCAAAATCTGGTACCATCCTGCATGCAAGGCTGTAGAACCTGGGCGTCATTGCAGGCCTTCTTGTGCCCACAAATAGAAAGTACAAGGCACAACCTTACATTCTCGATTTACAGTGTACTCAGGGCTCCGTTGATGCTAGCACAACTTGTATGAGATGCTTCGGCTGCCGAACAGTGACTCGAGTTCGCGTTTCGGTGCAATTCGACAGCAGGTGGGTGAACTGCGTAGTGAAATCTGGACTTTGAATGAGTATTGAACGCGTGTGAGGCTTTGATCGCCGATTGGATCAAGTGTATACGTTCAGCTTCAGTTAAGGAATTGACCCGACTAGTTGCTTGGACCTTGCCAGGCAGCTGGAGAATTGATGACCAGGAACATATTGTGCAGCGCCCTATGGACAGACTTCAGTGACATCTCCAACAGATTTTCCTCTACCATATCACGAGAATCCTGGCTTTGTACCAAGCGGCACTGGCGGTGGTGGACTCCCCACCGAGTTTCCATGCATACCGCTCGGTTTCTTCGGCGGGGGCGGTGGGGGAGGTTTTCGAGATATTGATGCCGATATTTCTGAGCTGGGAGTCTGCACTATCGGTGTTGCACTGGGATGCTGTTGGGGCCACTGTGGCTGAGGTTGTTGAGCGATTGGCGACGGCGTTGACACAGCTGGAATCTGTCCGGACTGTTGCCCTTGCTGCTGCTGGTCTTCCAAAGGTGCATGCTTATCAAGGAACTTCTCGAAGCGTGACTGTATTTGATATTTGTTATTGAAGGCGTTGCCTCGCTGCTGGGCGGCTGCAATAGAACCCGAGTGTTTCTCGCGGAAAGCAGATGCTGAGCGGGCAGCGCTGTTGGCTGTAGTGGCAGCGTCTTTCGCATCACTCACGGATACAGATGACGGATCCCGGCGAAAATTTTGCGCTGTGTTGAAGGCGGAAGTTGTCTGCTGCATCGTAGGCGGCGAGGTAGCTGCTGCTGGCTGGACTTGAGAAGCACTTTCGCTGCTGTTCATCCTCGAAAAACGAGACTGTAATTCTGACATCGTATTGCCAGACGTCTGTGTTTGATTCTGGCTGTGCTCGCCCTTCCACGGATTGTCCTGCGAAGTTGTTGCGCCGGAATCGGTCCTGCCAATGCCGAGGCCTGGGACATTGATACCAGCCTTGCCGAGCCTGTTGACGGCGCTTCTGTTCAGGGTAATACCAGTCGTTGATTGAGGAGCTGGAGCCGCAACTGCATCATAGGATGGCGGTGGATTCGCAGTTACGCTTTCATTAGTGTTCTGGCGGGCAGGTAACCTAGGCGGGAGACCAGGCTTGGGTGTCGACGCCTGCGCAGGCTCTGCCGGAGGATGATCTCTGCGAACTGGCGGAGGGGCAAAATGATCCGTAGCAAGACCAGTAGTATTTGCACGGTATGGTAGGGCTGGAACAGGTCTCGCCGGCTCTGCTGCTTCCTCAGGCTGGACCGCTCTACTTGCACTTGAGATCTGCTCCTGTGTCAATGGCGCGCCTATGCCGCCTCGGTGCGGCGTGATCTCGTTCGGCAACGCCGCGCCGCCATGGTAGTTGACGTTTTTGGGCGGAGGTCCGAATGAGGATGGATCTTTGAGGGATGCTAGCGGTCGTGACACATGCTCTGAGCCTGAGTTGTCTCCAGGCTTCTTGCCCTTCCCTACCCAGCCAGCCTGTTCGCACTCAGCGGAGGTCATCTGGGCCGTGAAGGACTTCCTTACCACTTGATTGATACCCTTGAAATCGCCTCGCCAGGATTCTTTGCCTCCATCTTTGCCTTTGGGATGCCAGCCTCCCTTCATGATTCCCTTGAAGTCACTCATCTCGGATTCGGACCGTCAGTCGTGTAGATTCGCAGGCATAGAATGCGGGGCGGCCGTTGGACGCCTCGAGGGTGGTGCTATCGGTGTCTGCCGACGCTTAGGAAGCAGCTTGAGTCCAGTTCTCCACGCTCGCGGGCAGAAGTATTACGAGTTCGACAGCACAGCCACATTAGAAAACGAATCACTATGGGAGGCGACGGTGTGCTGCAGCTGGCGTTTGCCGAAGGATCACTGACGTCGGGTTTAGTCCGGCTTGCCAAGGAACAGCCGAGCCTATTTGAACACGCCTACAGAATTATCTGCGAGTTGATGTCTCATATGAATTCCACTCACCAGACTCACGACAAGTCTCGGACAGCTGTAGGACGCAGGCACGAGCACGGGCATACAAGAACGGATGTCAAGGTCACGAGCTGTAGCAACGGCACATTTGGGAGTGACAAGTAATTATGCTCGAATTTTCCGTTGCCTAATGCCTGCCCATCACGAGATACCCAGTCGAAGTGAATGACAGTAATCCAGGCTTGTTCGACCAAGCTGATTTTGATTGTTAGCAGTCCGGTGCGTCCAAATGGAATCTCCGACACTGCGCCCCTCACGATGCGTAATTGTTCCCAAACTTGTCAGAACTCCTGAGCATCTCAAAGGCTTCCTCCGGAGTGATGCCCATTTTTTGCGCCAAAAACACCTTACTCATCGTCAAGGAATTCGTCTGGAAATGCTTTTTGTCGCTATGTGTACACATTTCGAATGGTCTGATGCTGTACCATCCCTGGTCCTGGTCGATAAGAGTCTAGTCACCAACAGCTGCTGAATGCGTACATGCTCGAAAACGTTCATGAACAGTCGTCAAGTAGAAGACATATCGATCCACACCTGCAAAGGTCCTTTGTCAGAGAATGCTGCATCGCTCCGATGACAGTATTCAAAGGCGGCCTATTTCTCCTAGAAGAAGTGTGTATAGACCTTGGAAGACTCGTGCACTTCCATTTCCTAAGTACTGTCAGCGGGAATCTCAGGTGATCAGGTGGGGACAAGCTTACCATTTTGAAAGTGTTCAACTCCTCCTTGATTTGCTGAGCCAGCATGGGAGTCAACCTGTTGCAAGTCGCTATGTCACCACGACGATCGTACTCTCCACTCGGCCAGGTATCATGGAATTGAATGCGAGGGCTGAAGGAGATGTTGCGCATGGCCTGAGCCAGTGGCGTGCCAGACTTCGAGTCCATGCTCGCGTAGCGGGTGACTGAAGTAACAGACCCGAAGTAGTTGTCATGGTCTTCGCCCTCGATGGCAATGGAGTCGGTTCTACGGTGTCCCGATCGAGGCGGATCGTCGTTTGGCGTGCTGGGAGCGCTCGAGCGTGGTGAGTCGTTCATATTGGGAATCTGAGGCAGGTTGAAATCCGCTCCACGGGTTGTGTTGAGCCTCGGAGAAGGCTTGTCAGAGTCGGTGCGCTTGAGAATGCCGCGCTTCACGGCTGCTAGGACCTCAGCTCGCTCGCGCTCTCCACCAACGATGCTCCGCCGAGATCTGTCACTTGAGACGGTGCCACTTTCCATCGACAATTTGGTGTCAATCGAGTTGCGCTCGAGCTTGGGAAAGCCAGTGCCGCCACCGGCCTGGTCGTGGGGATCGACATTAACATTCACCTTCTCTCGCTCGGCTTCGACAGTCACCATCGACACTTGAGGGACGCTAGCTTCATTGACGGGGCCGTCAGCAGCAGGTACGCCAACGACTGACTTGGGTCGGAAAAGACCGACAAAGGAGCGAGTGCCTTTCTTAACGCCCTTGCCCATTTTCCTCAACATGATAGAGGCCGAAGACGCCGTTGACGAGATCGAGAGATTATCAGTCGACCCAGTGAAGAAGCGCCCCTGCCCAGAATAGATGCTCTCCCCAAGACCGGCAGCCTCCTGCTTCTCGGCAATTCTTGCTTGCTCCGGCTCCATTTCATCTTCATACTTAGAATTGCGCTTTGTGGAACGTGCAGGATTGACGGGCTGTTCGGAAGCCTTCTCTGTGGCTTTGCGTAGCTCAGCACTGCTGCCGAAGGAGAAAGCTCGTCGAAGTTTAGATTTGGACTTCTTAGCATCTTTTTGAGTCAAAGCTGCGAGCTGCTCAGCTGCAGGGCTGGATCTGGGGGCGGGCTGAACCGGTTGCTTCGCCTGGGCCTGAGGCTTGGGTTGTGGGCTATCACCGTCGACCGGTCTCGATAACGGGGAAGGATTTCTCTTCGGAACTTCGGCTTGGCGTACGTTCAGCGTTCGGACGTCCTGTTTGACTATATGTGGAATGGACTGAGGCTTGCTCTGCTGCTGGTTCGATGCAGACGAAGGTCTCGACGAACGTGCAGAACGAGATGACGCTGCACTCCCTGAGCTACCGGTATGTGTGTGTCCTGATGTTGGTCGAACCTGTGTCGTCTGAGCTGTCTGGTGCTGTGCCTGTGTCTGTGGCTGGCCAACCAAGAAAGCGTTGGGGTGAGGGGATCCAGTGTCTGAGCCATCAGCCCCATGCATCAGACCAGCGGTATCAATGCTTCCAAGACTGCGCCGCCGATACCGAGAGGCAAGGTCGGAATTGTGTGAGCGGCTTAAAAGCATATCATCGGCACTGGTCTTGTTTTGCTGGGCGGGATGTGTGTAAGTTGAACCACGATATGATGGATATTGATTCAACGAAGGCGAGCTGTTGGACTGGACAGGGTGACTGTACAGTTGACCGACATTCTGAGCATTTGAGATGCGGGTGGCACCTGTATCATTGGTATCAACACGTTTAACGGCTCTGCGGTAGCGATCTGGAGATGGCTTTGCAGGCGAAGCTTGAGCAGTAGGCGAAGTGGTAGGTATCGAGGAAGGTAGTGTCAGCTCAAGAGACGGCATCTTACTGAAATCGAGCGGCACTGCGGTCTCGAGTGACTGGACACCGGGCACAGATGATGAAGATGGATGTCGAGGTGGCTGTATCCTTGGTTGGGTAACACTCAACGGTTGTTGCTGCGGAAGGACCGACGTCGAGGCAGATCTACCAGCATGGGACGGCTGGAATGGTCGTGCATTCATGGCCACCTGTGGTGTGCTAGTGAAAGCATATGGAGCCACAGGGCCGGAGTGAATTGTGCCCCGGTATCCTGTAGGAGGCATGTTGTTATACCTGAACATGTTTGAATTTCTTGTTTGTTGAAATGTTTGGCCATGGCCGCCCGAAGATGATGGCCGACCAGACATCATGGATACTGTGTTTTGTGGAGGCAAGGTCTGAACCAACGCGGCCATCTCTTTGCTTGAGTGTGGCTCAATGGGGAAGTTTCGATGCCGAGGGCGGGAATCGAAGGGCTTCGTTCGAGTGGCAGTATTATTGACGACGACCTAATGGGAGCAGATCTATTGATTCGTGTCAGTGTACGTCGACTACGTGCCAGATGGGTGAAAGAGGGGAGAGAGCAGCAGAAGAAGTCGTGGTGTTTGAGGAATGTGATGTGCAATTTCAAAAGGGGCCGCTATCTTACCGCGTAGCAGATTCGCTATTGGGGATGTGAGGTGAGGCAAAGCCGTTTAAGCAGCGGGCGTGTAAAGTCGATTGTTCAGATATTATCAAAAGTATGCAAAGTCCGTGAGCCGTGAGCCGTGTCTGAAGGTGTGACTAAATCGTGTACTGAAACGGAATTATCGAGAGTAGAAGCGAACGACGGTGGTGTTGTTGGGCAAGAGGGAAACACGTCTGCCACGACCCTAATAGCTCTGACGAGAAGAGCGGTGAGAAAGTATGTCGACGAGAAGATACAAACGGGGAGGTGAAGATGCTGCTTAGTGATGGAATTGAGGAAGGAACTCCTGGTGTAGATAGAAGACGCAGGTGTCGAGGGAAAGATTATTTGGGAAGGGTTGAGGGCCAGTTCGGGTCAGGCCCGTACAATGTCTCTCAGGGGACGGAGACTGCGAGACTGCGGCGGAGAGACAGTGATCTTTAGGCTGCGACTCTATTGGAGATTGACTTAGCCGAAGTGACAGGCAGGGTATCTTTACGCACCGTGCGGCAGCTTGGAACAGGTTATTATGGCCGGGGATGATGTTTGAAATGGATAAGTGTCTTGTGGTGCTATGGATAGCGACGGCAACAACCAGGACGACCGTATACTGTAGCTCGTCGATGAACATCGACAACGTTGTGTGAAGAAGTTGGTGCAGCTCAGCGGGAATGGATGAAGTCAATCTGGTTAGGGGCTTGCTGCAGACTGCGCTGCATGTGTACGGCGGACTCCTGCGGACGAGTTCTCTGCGAGGTGCTGCAAGATACTACTAGCCCAAGCAGGCGTCAGGGAGTCAGGGCTTTGGAGAGTGGGCTCGCGATGGGCGTCATTTCGAGGCCATCTGCCCCGCTCTTCAGTAAAGGAGACCGCCAAAGTACACCCTCGGTCATCCCGTCCTTTTCGCCTTGCCTCAAAAGCTACGCGGCACTCCATTGGTCTCTGGTCTTACCTGAGACCTCTCATTACGAGTTATCACATCTTCTATGACATTACTTAAGTTAGAGGGTCTTGCTGAAGGACAGCAGCTGTGCTTCATTACAGCGTTGGTCCTCAGTCTGCCAAGGGCGAAGCGAACTCCGCGCGATGAGACGTGCTGGCGAAGTCGGGCAGGGCCACCAACCAATTGGGCGTTCGAGTCCAAGCACTCCAGGCAGATTGACTGCTCCTGATAGCCATGGCTAGTCTCAATCTTGCCTAATCATCAGCAGCTCAATTTCAACGCGCATGTCGCGGTCAAGTCCTCGACTACTCAGCATCAATAATTCATGTTGATGCCGCATTGACCACAACGCGATCCGCGAACATGTCAGCTGCCAACATTCCAGGAGTGCAGGAACATTGCATGTGATGAAGAGAATCGGCATCTGTCTCTACTATAGTCTGCCAGAAGAGAGACGAGCATGAGCGTCATCACCTTACAGCATCTTCGCCAGGACTAATGCCGTGTGGCGGTTCAGACGCTGTGTATCTTCGACCTCCAGCAGTCCGTTCTCAATCGGTTTGTGATGAAGTGTACATTCGATACGCATTCAGGCACAAAGCTCCCACAGCCTATCGATTTACCCATCCCACGCACCTTGATCGTATTTCGTGCATATTAGACCTGCAGCATCATCTCACGGCATCGGAATGTAAGGCCACGAGAACATCATCTAGCGGAATGTGATTTGGAACATGGTCCAGACCATGAGATGGCGGGAACAAGGCAACCCCTCATCACCGTATGATTTGTGTCTTCACTTCTACTCTCCTTGGCCTGCCGACAGTAATGTCGCGTTCTAGACGGGCTTGCTAAGACATTCAAGGTGATTGTACGTCACGCCAGTGGCCTCGAGTTCTGTGCATGATTGAGAGGCTGCATAGGCTGAGACTCTGAGAGGCTCGACTTGGGAGTGCCCAAAGGTTCGACGTTCGAGAAGCGCTCGAGCTAAAAATCGAATACCCCGGAATATCAAAAAGTCCACCCTGTATCGCGTCATCCGATGCCCCTAAAATTTGGTTCCGGCTAAGATCCGTGCAGGTGTTCGAGATCCAATATCCGCTTCATGGCATCTTCCTCGGAACTGAGCTCGATGAACACGGACTGTCGAACTGCTCGCGGATTTTAGGCCTGTCGACCTCTTCTCGTCCGCCGTCATCTGCATGACTAACGAGTAGCTATTCAGGCTCGCGACCGTGATTTGACCCGCGCTCATCCTGGCCATGTTTCATCGAGCCTGCATAATTTCCCCACCAATCCACGTCAGTTGGCCAAGCTAAATTGGTGGTGAACGCCGGCTCTTGCCCAGCTACATGGAAAGGGACAAACTCTGAGCACCTCGGTGGAACACGGTAACCACTGTCGTATCTTCGAGGATTTGAGGTTGGTCAAACCTCACGCGTACGAAGTATGGCCAACAATGCCTTGACGGGCCTTTACTGGCCTTGGCTACTCGTCTATCTGAAACTGGTCTACGCCAAACTTCAATTATTCCGACTCTCAACTGAACGTAGTTATGATATCGGTCATGCAACTAATCTGGTGAGGCATCACTCCCGGTGCTCGTCGACATGTATGTTACGCGCGGAATCTTCAGCACTGGGCGAGCGAGACCGGTTTCCCTCATATCGGACTAATTGAGCTCAATACTTCGAAATGCTGCGGGAGCCTCGATCCTGATCGGATGTTGACACAGCTACACAGCACCAGGATCGCTCACGTATAATAGCGCGAGATCCAGTAAGACACACACCCATCAACGGACGGCCCCGAATCTCTGGATGACAGCCGGTCCCGTTGTTCGTCCCCCAATCTGAAACCAGCTCTCCACTTCTTCTGACCACTGCAGCTATGATCGGCTACCACTGAAGCATACAGGCTGCCATATATAGCCGACGAGAGATATCCTGGTGACGCTGCAGCTATATGCTACGTACCGCGTACATTTCCCGCTCCACCCTGGAGATGTGGTACCTTGAGTACATTTGGCAGCGCGAATCGATGATCTGCCATAGCATGGCTTCCTGTTCACGATCTCATTCATAAAGCTACATACACTGGATGGTGCCAATCTGCAGGATTTCTTCGCGAACATGGGCAACCGCAAGCGAGCACGCTTGGTATCCCCCCATCGGCATCGTGGTGCACTGACAGAGGGGTGGAGGGATTGTTTGTCGTGCTTGAAATCACAGTAGGTGAAGTATATTTGTACTTAGGACTATGCAGTGATACATTATTATCTCATAAGGACTCTGCTGCTGACCCTTTGGTCTTCTGACCTGCCACAGTCGACCTCTCTCTGCGGCGTTGTATCCAGGAACATGAGACACCACCTCCGTGCGAAACTACGCCATCGAGAAAGTCCAGGGAACCGTGGCAGAATATGTGTGCGCCTGCCATTTGCGCCGTGCACCTAACAAATTGCGTGAGCGGCCGTGTCTAGTAAGTCTTGAAAAGTAAGTGAAGGTTGAATGTGACGCAGTCCCGTGCCCTTGGAATGGTCTGACGACCGGTGCTGTTATCGACCTTTTCCCCGGGTCTTCGTCGCGACATGGCCGCCTTTATGGGCCAGTGGCTTCCCGCCACGGCAGCCGAAGTGTTCATGCTGTTCCTTCGTGGGTCGCGTATTCGTCCACCCCGGAGCGGTGTCTGCGTGCAGAAGGCACAGACATAATCCTTGGGTATGCGTTGCGAGTCGATACGGAGGCATTCAACGTGAAGCCACTTATCGCAGGAATCGCTACATTTGCATTAGTGCTGCACTTTCGGTCGACTAAGGGCTGAGAATACGTACCACTGAAGCATCAGACCCGGATCCTCGGGCGATGTGCCACAAACACACCGGGTACTACCGTGACTGATCTGACTGCCGCGATCTGTGCTAGGTGTTGCAAGGTCCGGGTCTGTGATTGTTGTTGGACTTGCGTTGAAGTGCCCAAAATTCCCCTGTGGCACCGGAGGCGAAGAATTAAATTGAGCAGATTGGCCACTGTCCAAAGAGCTGCCATGGCCAGAGCCCGATCGAGCCCGATCATCTATGAGTGCCCTGACTGCCTGTGCCGCATCGCCAGGACCTGAAGAGGATCCAGTCCCTGGTCTCATGCGACTGGCTTTGACCGTGCTCAGTTGGGCACTGCTCTGGATGAAATCGTTGTTGTCCACGTAGAAGGAGCTGGGTTGTGATCTCAGATCTTGGAAATCTGCTCCGTCCCGTGAACTTATGACGCTTGAAGCATCTGACTCGTCGTCAAGGTCCATATCATCGTGATCATCCACTTTCGTGATGACAGTCGTGGCTACTCCATTCTCATCGATGGCTAGAGACAGTGATGTTCGTTTCGGAGGCTGCCTGACATTCAACATCGATTTCAGTGGCGACGCTCGACCATTTCGCGACCGGTTGCTGGACCCAGAAGCATTCGATATTGAATCTAGAAATGAAACATGACTTTGCTGCCGATTGTGCGGTCCTCGAGCATTGACTCCAGAGTGGGTCAGACTTCGCTTCAGACCCGGACGCTCTGCCTTCACTGGGGACACCGGTCTTCGCAATGCCTCCATGACAGATCTTGTGATTGAAGGCGCACGTGCTCGGCTCTCTTGAAGCTCCTCTTCGCCTCTTGCTCTCTTTTTGACTCCTCGATCTGATGGTGATAAGCTGGCAATTGCTGTGCGTGTCTCATGACAGGGTATGATGTACTCTGGTCATTGCCGAAACGACGAGCTGGGGAGCTGAGGAACATGCTAGGGTTGTCTTCCCTTGGAGGTGGTGCTCGAGGGCTGGTATGAAATGGGGCTGGGAAGGCTGATCCATCGACATAGGTCGGAGGCATTGAGGTCGTAGTAGGAGGGAGATAGTATTGATCTTGTTGCAAAATCGGCGAGGGCGCAAAGGGTGGGACAACGGTTGCTGTCGAGCCGAATGAAGCTGAAAAGTCCGATTGCGTTACTGCGAATGGTTCCGCATATTGAGCCATCGAGGTTGAGTCCTCCATCCCCATGCTTGGATCCCAGAACAGACGCTGCTGCGGATACATGGGAGCAGCCGCTGGACCATAAGGAGATCCGGCAAAGATGTCTGGTGAGAATTGCAGGCTGGGAAAGAGGTTCGGTGAAGGCTGTTGCATTATTCTGGACGGGGTTTCCGGCGGGGGCGGTGGTCCCATCAGCGACCGCTGTGGCGGATGGCCGATGGACCGCCTCCGCTGGTCAGTCATGGTCTTTACTTGTGTCTTGCGTGATGTATACTGGAGATATTGCGCTATTCAGAGGTGCAGTCTGCCAACAAGCAATCCACTATCCGAAGCATCGTCTGTCGACGGACCACGACGAACCCGATGACTGGGTACACAGAGTGTCCGCCCGGAGGCTCGTATGTGTGTTAAATGGTCGCAGGAGAGAAGCCGATATATGTTGAGGGGTGTTGTTGTCGACGTCAGATTCGGAGCGGTTTCTCGGGCTTCGAAGGGTTTGAACTGCGCTCATAGCAGCTGCATCATGTGTGAGCAACGTCGTCAATGTATCGGCAGCGCAGAAGAATTGTATGCACAGGCTATCATTGGTACATTGGACAAAGTCACAGGTTGTACAGTAGTATGTGCAGCGGCATGCAGTCGTCGAACTTCAAGTTGGATCTGAGTTTCCTAAGATTTGCTTAGGACGAATGGGTAGGGATATCGACCGAGATTGGCGCCTGTGGAATGTTTAATGCGCCCAGTCTTGCCGCACTTTTGATAGCCTCCTCATCAGCACGGAATCGTTCATTCTGCAGCGAAATTTCCTCAAGAATTGCTGAGGTCTTGTGCCGAATCGCTGCTATGGGCAGGCATCCTGCAGTCGCTTGCCCTGTCCAGGAGATAGTAATTTAGTGGGGTTGGAGTCGTCTGCTCGTACCGTCCTCGGGCAGCCTAAGATTAGTTTCGACGAACAGATGCAGCCGATTTGCTTGACTAGGCAGGTAACTAAGAGTGTACCGACCGGTTGGAGGGGCATGCGAGCAGTAGTTTGCGGAAATGGAAGCCTGAGATGCCTGCTGCAGCTGCCTCAAGAGTCAATAGTCAAGACTCAAGACAGGACCAGTACCCCTGGGACTGACGCTCATCAGCCGCCGCCGCCACTCGCCTACCAGTAGCACCGGGAACCTTGGGGCTTAGAAGCAAGAGACTCAATATTCGCGACGGCTTCTTCTCTGGTCCTTCCACAGTACATTGCCATTCTCCGTCACACTTGCTTGTGTATCACTGAGCAATGTGCTTGCCGGTTGGGTTTCTGGAACTATGATCCGCTTCGACAGACTTCAATGAACAACACAAGCCATGGAGAGTGTCACTTATTCAAGACTTTGCTACGCTGTCCTGGCACAGGGTCGCTACATTGTAACTAGGTAGAGCAGCTCCGAATACAGAACCTTCCGTCTGCGACAACGTCAGCTTGAAGCCTGCCCTGGTCGAGAATCGGATCCATTGATCATTTGACGTACGTCTCCTCGGCAGAGCGACCCGCCAGACCGCATACGCTTTGCTAGTGCCCTGCATGAACCATGTCAATGTCGCCATTTGTCCAGGGGCGGTGGGACGGCAAGGAAATATGCATACACCGAGCGACGAGGATGTTTCTAGCATTCGAGCATAGGCAGCACCGTTGAGTACACTCTGCACTTGGGCCGTTACAAGTCTAAGATTGTGTCTATATGCTCTATGCCCCTTCTTCTCCCTCCTCGTCTATGATCGGTTCTACAATGAGATTAGCCCCCTTTCCAATCTTGTCGCCAATCGTAACCCCATCTTCTATTGCGTACACCACTCGAGGCATAGGCGAGACGACCCTGAAGCCGAACTTGTGGGTATAGGTACTGGGCTCCGTGGCCCTTTCTGACGAAGACTGTCCATCAAGGATGCCATGGCAGTCAATGAAGGCGTATAGCTCTTCCACAGTCGCGTCAGGCTGGAACTTGCGAATCACTCGCTCACCAGAAGGCAGCCGGATGCTGACCCTAACAGCGTCCTTGACTTCGGCACCAGGTTCCTGCGGCAAAGATTGAGCCCGCCAACGTCGCCACTGTTCTGTCCGCAGCTGTAGATCTTCTTTCGCTTTGGCGGCAGCCTTCGCCTCTGCCTCTGCTTGCTCACGAGCTTGCTGTTCCTCGCGTCGTACCCTTGCCCTTTCCCGATCTTGAGCCAGAGACCTCTCGTATGCTGAGTCCTGCTCTTGACGGAGGTTCCGTGAAACCTGCTGTTCGCTCCGTTGAGATCGGGCGGTTCGTAGTTGCGTTTGCTGTGCAGACATTGCTGAGCCCAATTTCGCTACCAACTCTCCAGCTGCCATCGGTCCGGCTGCACGCATCACCACGGTCATGGCAGACGAGCCCGTATCTGATGTTTGACAGATCAATGCGGCGAACGGGAATTTGGTGCAATTAAGGCTAGAAGAAACTTGGTACGCTTCAGCATCCTGCACATTGCCTCCCCAGAGTACCACCTCATCTTTATGCGAGGCCAGGAAAGAGGCTAGCTCCGAGCTCAGGAGAGTCTCTCTGACCCATGTTTCATTATCGTCGTGGTCAGGTGAGAGTAGCACCACAAGCAGATACTTCAGATCCTTCTTTGCATTATCGAGAGTCAAGTTGAATCCTGATTCCACGAACGGTAACGAATTGTCCCCATACGTTTCCCCGAACTCTCGAATGAACCTCCTGGCGTTGTCACCAGGAGGCAGCGCTCTCCTGACAGGTCTTGACCGTTGTGTGAGGAGTCGGCTGAGAAGTCTGGATATGATTGTGGGCACCAGGAACCCGAACGGCGCGAGCAGCGTGCCAAATATCCGGTACGCCAGGTGGAATGGCACCAAAAGTGCCGATAAAAGAAATGACGGCTGCTGGTGTGTGGTCCCAGATGCTGCTGTATCGATCTTCTCCACTCGGTCTTCTGGCGGCCGAGACGCCGATGCGGAAGGTCTGCTGGCGTCGAGTAAAGCCTCATACTGAAGATTCGTGGTCTGTCTTGGAACGGGAGCCATGGCGGCTCGCGCTTCTGCCAATGCGTCTGTTGTTGGTTCGCCATCGAAGAAGCGCGCAATAGCTATCTGGACGTTCCATTCTGCCCGTTGTAGCATCGCAATGGCCGCAAGCGGATCTTGATCCGTGACTGAAGTGTATGTCTGAAGAGCCTCCTGCTGGGTCGCAGTAAGCTGGGAAATATCGGGAGTCGACATCGTGTAGCAGCGTTCAGGCAATCTTCTCCCTACACGTGCAGCCAGGTTTCGTGCTCCATTGTCCAAAAGATACTTAGATGGACGTCGAAGAGGCACTGGGGAAAGTTGCAGTGATGTTGAAGGAGTTGCCTGAGGTGCCTGCGATATTCAGTTGTGTTGAAAATGACATCGTTAGGGCCACTTTTCTATGACAGCGGACATGAGCGGGGCCAGCGATCTTCCGGGGCTTCGGGGCGCGCTAAGCTACATCGAAGCTGTGGCGGTGCCTGAATCGCAGCCCGCGTTCGACTACACTCCGACACTCGTCGACAACTCGCCTATCTTCCGGGCATTTCATAGCAGCAACACTTGGTATACCAGCATCTTCCCAACATAATAGAATGCGCATAGACTTCAAGTGAGTCGCGGTCCCCTCGGCACGAGCATATACATGCTGAATGCTGTTCGTTAGACAACGCAGTCGATCGCTCCCGCCATGAAGCAAACGGGACGCTCCATCTGATCAGATACCACCAGCGACGTCTCACCCACAAAGTAGGAAGCTCATGGCGGATTACTAGCCAAGGTCTCATGTTGATGAAGCATTCCTTTCAGTGCTACCAGTAGCCGTGTCCATGGCGCCTGCTCCTTCCCCTCCGCCCGCTTCACCTCGACGATAAATCATGGCCACGACGAACAAGAATTTCTCAGACGAAACCAAGAGTAAGCATGTGAAAATGACAGAGCAGCCCTGGCGCCAGCTGACCGAATGGCTGACCGAACAGAAACACCAAAAGATACATTCTGTCGCAATGTCACACTCTACGGCAAGTGCAGATACGAGGACAAAGGTAAGACATGTTGAGGGACATCCACATCCGGGAATTCACACTCTTCAGGTTGTCTGTTCAATCACAAGACTGACAGCTTCAAGCCGGTCGTTTTGAATGGCGTTAATGCCGACAGGTAGGCTGCCCAGTGATATCTTTCGTGAACTGATCTGACATCGTTATCAGTCACGCGAAGAAGTCCCTCAATGTAGATTCGCCGAGCTTCACGCCTGCTCATCTGTCACCAAATGCTCCGACCGCAACTCTCGTCGCCGCGACGCCTAAGAAGCTGCCAACCATTTCACCCAAGCTGTCAGTGCCGCACCGTTCATGCCTAAGGCGATCATATCCCGCTCCTCGAACGCTACACCCTTCCGCCAGGACACCCGTACGCCGGACTGGCTGGTGTCCGACGTCCCGGAGTTTGTCCCACGTCGTCTCGATGGCAGTCTCCAGAGCAGTGAGGACAGCACCACGTCTCAGTATGAAGTTGTCCAGCCTCAGCCGCAACCAAACCCTTACCTGGACCCGGCGGTCAACGGCGCCACCTACTACCAAAGTACGCCCGCGTATCAGCAACCAGTCATGTATCATCACTATGCGCCGATCGGACCATATTCCAGTACACTGCTCCCATATCAGAAGACGGTCCATGACCTCTTCATCCCAAATGACTTGAGAGAAGATATCCACAAGAGGAATGCCGCTGCATTGCAGACATTCCCCAATGCTCATTTACCTGCGCAAGTCGAGAATTACCACTCTCTTGTGCCTCTAGACGACACCTCGCATAAGGGATCTGGAGTCTTCGGTGGCTACACCTCCTGGGTCTACAAAGTACAGTCTTCTCAAAACGGGCAATTCTACGTCCTGCGGCGTATTGAAGGCTTTAGGTTGACGAATGAACTAGCCATCCGCACTGTACAGCAGTGGAAGCATGTGGCTAGTGCCAGTGTCGTCAAAGTCGTGGACTACTTCACCAACCGAAGCTTCGGCGACAGCTCGCTGTGTATTGTGACCGATTATCATCCTCTGTCAAGGACGGTAGCAGAACAGCACCATACCGGACAGTATCGCCATCTTCGTCAGCGGAATACAAGCCTAGATCAGGTCACAGAGGCCACGATGTGGGCCTACATCACACAGATCGCATCCGCTCTGAAAACACTGCATAGCAATGCTCTTGCTGCTAGGATTGTTGATGCAAGCAAGCTTCTTGTGACAAGCAAGAACCGCGTCCGACTGAATGGCTGCGCGATTATGGATGTGCTCAACTACGAGAACCAGACCCCACTGGCTCAGCTACAGCGCCAGGACTTGATCAACTTTGGCTTGACGATATTACAGCTAGGCTCCAACATGCCGGATGCTGGCACGAATTTTGCGCGGGCGATGGACCAGTTTAAGAGGTTCTACAAGCCTGATCTACAGAACGCAGTTGTTTGGCTCTATAGTGTGGCACAGCATCCGGATCGGACGATTGACCACTTCGTGGGTAATATTTCCGAGCAGATAATCATGGCTTTCGACGGCACACTTCACAACGATGACGTCATTCACAGTGAGTTGAGTCGAGAGGTAGAGAATGGACGACTTTTCAGGCTCATGGCCAAGTTCGGCTTCATTAACGAAAGACCCGAATTCGATCACGACCAAAGGTGGTCCGAAAATGGAGAGCGATATGTGCTGAAACTATTCCGAGACTACGTTTTTCACCAAGTGGACGCCCAGGGTCGTCCCGTGGTAGATCTGGGGCACGTGTTGATGTGTCTCAACAAACTAGATGCAGGTATTGATGAGAGAATCACGTTAGTGAGTCGTGATGAACAGAGTGTGTTTGTAGTGAGCTACAAAGAACTCAAGAAAGGGGCAGAATCAGCGTTTCAGGAGCTCACGAAAGGCGGCAGGCGGCTTCATTAAGCTGAGCCATGGGGACTGGTGGCCGCATTGGATGGGTTTCATGCGATCGTGCCTGAACTATTTGTTTGGCCAACTCGTTCGTCCACCGAGATTGGGTATGCCGAGAATTAAATGGTGCCATACCGCTACCATTTGCCAACAGCGCAAGTGCCATGAGAAACGAATGAGATTTTCGAATTCAATCGTTTCACAGACTTGTTGATGCCGCCTTCCCAGTAATCTCCCTTTCGCGAATTCGGTGTGCCCGAAACGCGGGCGTCGCGCAGTAACCATTCGCAGCTCCAGCAGGGCACGAGACAGGCGGCCCGCCTGCCCCCAGAGGACCGCAAGAGTACCCCATATGCCTGTGCTCGCAGTCATATATGGCTCACTCGTCCTCGGCACCTTGGAGGAACGGATTGGCGATCTCCTCCGACCCATCGACAGGCGAGAGCAGCACAAGAAGCGTTCCTCGTGCAACAATCAACCCCAAAGATCTCGAACGCTCGTTTCCTTCGTCATCTGAGTTTTGTCAGCAAAGTCTCGTCGCTGCTCGCCAGACGCCGGACGCACCTCTCATCGTTTCTTTGACGTCGTCTAGAACCAAATTCATTAATTGATCGTAGCCCTTTAAGGTGCCAACAACTGTGTGAGACGTCAACCAACCGCACTTAGACCAGGCCTTGTAGACTACTTGCTTTCCCTTCCTCCGTTGAACTTGACGTTGACTTCCTTATTGATGTACTTGTTGAGGTCAAGGATGTTTTCTTTTTTGGGCTTCTCGCCAGGCTGACTATTTTCGTTGCGACCCCCTCGTCCGCCGCCTCGACCGCCGCGGCCGCCGCCACCCCCACGGGAGCCACCACGAAAGTTGCCTCGTTCTGACATTCCAGGTAGCGCTACCGAAACATTGGGGTGCAGAAGTAGCAGTCGTACAAAGTCATGGAAACCTTCAGCGACACCGGTTTACAGTAGGGCTGCTAAAGCGGCTATGACCGCGCCAAGCTACTCCACTATCTCGACGACCTCCGCGAACAAAAAGCTCTTCATTTTCGATTCAACTTCTGCATACCAACGCAGTTCCGGCCACGACCTCACGCCGCTTTAACAAGACCTGTTGCTCGCCAATTCAAATATCCCGACCAATCACCCCTGGAGAGTCTCGCGTGTCGGGAGCGGAACCCCTCCACCTGCGCAAACGCGTCACCTCACGCCTGGACCACCAAAGATGGGCTACTAGCCTCGATCCAGGCCACACTTCTTCCATTGAAGGCCTTGTGACGAGTCCCATCGCATTGAGACAAGCTCCGACATCGAGCACCTGCAAAGCACGCGGGGCTGCCTCAATCACTCCAATCTTGGTCGACCACTCAAGCTGCCCACTCGAGCACATAATAGTAGCTTTCGATGATGAATGCAAATCTCCAAAAGCCCGCCAGCTTCATTGAACCTGCTCTCAGACTTCGCGGAGACAAGGACTGTGGCCTCCGGAATCCGACCCTCGGCTCGAACGCGACGACATTTCTGGTCTAGGATCAGTCCTCCAATTCCGCCGCCCGAGGGCGCTCTTCCCATGGTCCAATAAGAGCTGTCTAGGGCTTTATGGGTGCTCCGACGCGGCATCGGTCGTTTGCTGGGGTGTAGAGCACCTCCTCTTCTCGCTCTGAAATCACCACTTTGGAGTACGCGGCCCATCTTCCACCCCTCAGGCGCCACACTCCGGCCTCCCGCCTTCCCAGCTCTTCTCGCTCGTCTTCTTTCTTCTCCTCCAAGATCAAAAATCTCTCGCATTTTGCCCGTAAGCTCAATTGCTTTACATCGTCCTTTGTAGCGCTGTTGCGTAACGGCAATCGTCCTACAGCACATGTCTTCAGCTGCTTTGCGTCTTTTTATTTTACGCATTGGAGCTTGCTGGGTAGCAATCATTCCACCCTATTCTCCACCCAAGACCAACTGCAAAGTGCCCAGCCTGCCAGCCTGCCAGCCTGTCAGAATCGAAGAGCGCACATTATTTGGCTTACACGAGTATCTTCATTCATCCTAGAGCAACTCTATCGTAATGGCAGCTGTTGCTGCAGACACTACAGCTCACAAGCGACCAAGATCCCCGAGCGCTGTCGATCAGCCGTTGCCGCCTGCGAAAGTGCAGCGGACTCACGTCAATCAGCTGCAAATCAACTATTTGGCCAGACAACACAAAGAAACTATTCCTCTGGTTACACCCAACGAGAAGCTCACTGACATCGCCACCCTCCTCGGCAAGTACGACGGCGTACTGCAACGCCATGAGTCCATTGCGGGTAACCTGGGTGCCTGTCCACTGGGACCAATATTACTCAAACGCTTTGATCGCCTCTTCGATGGCCCTCCGCGCATACTGAAGACACATGGCAGAGAGGGCAACGTTACTTGGTTGGATGTGGTTGAGTTCGCTCAAAATAAGCCGGAACAATTTAATCTGGAAAAGATGAGGAACGGCATTCGGGTCTGCCAATTTTATACCAAACAATGTCGTGTTGAGATCTCGGAAGAAGACTTTGTCCTCATCGCCAGCGGTATGCCACAGAAGCTCATACCGCCTCAACCGATCCTAGAAGATGAGGAGAAGGAACTCGGTGTTATGGATCTGCTCGACCGAAACCTCGGACAAGTCATTCAGCTTGCTGATCAAGTTTCTGGTAGAGCGCGACAACTCATACACAAGATGAAAGGTCGTCGCACGGCTATTCTCGCCCGCAGGGAGACCGAGAGCGCTGCTCAGCAACCTCAACTCCGCTCAACTGGCTCTCCATCATTGTATACGAAGGCAAATGGCTCGGCAGCACGCCCATTTCATAGTGTTGAGACGACTTCGCCACCAACCGGCTTCACGGCTGTCAACAACAGGCAGATATCCATTCCTGAAAATCCGAAACCCTTAACTGATGATCCGTTCCCGGGCGCAAGTGCTGGCAACGTCACATACATCAACGGGAGATCAATCAAAGGAGCCTCACCAACGGAAAGGGCTGAGATGATGAAGAAGTTTATGTCCTCTGCCGACCAAGAACCCCTGAGCCATGACACTATGCGTCGATCATCAATGGGCAGCTCTTCACGAGCTCAAATGCAGGTGCAATCTGAGACAAGGCCACGATCTGGTTCAACCGATTATCGAGATAGGAGTTCGCTGGTAGCTATCCCAGGCACGCCATCTCAATTAATGCCTCAAATCAAAAGCCCGTTCCTGGAGAGAGACGATGGTGGGCCATTCAAATCCGAGATGGTGAGCAGGATGGAATCGATGCACCGTGGTGAACGAGTGATTCCACCATGTGACCGGTGTCGGAGACTTCACATGGACTGTCTCAAGAACCTAACAGCTTGCATGGGCTGCACGAAAAAGCATGCGAAATGTTCGTGGAAAGACGTCCGACCCGATGAGCTACACGAGCACGGTCAAGCGATGGACGTTGAACATGATCATCACATCCACCATGACTCTCATGCTGAGCACTCGTCCCCACCCGCTTCGATCGCTGAGATCTCGCGGCAAGTGGAAGAGAATGCCCGACCCACTCAAGAGATCCTAGCTCAAGGTCATCCGGAGTCTTATGCACAAAATGCGATGGCCTACCAGTCTTCACGGATCGCTCACAACCCGGAGGAGGACACTGCTGATACAGTAATGGGCAATGCAGAGCAGATGACGAGAGAGCCGACATCACCCAAACCCGAACCTCCTCTTGCAACAGAGGCTCTGAGACCTTCGTCTCCTTCTCATCAGCAGCAGCCACAGCCAGATCAGATCATGCAGCCAGTACCCGCTGCAGATGCAGCAGTTCCCCCGCCGCCGCCACCGGCTCCGCCGGCGGCACTGCCACAGTATCCAGTGAAAACGCAACAATCTCCACCACCACCTCCACCCCCTCAATCGAAGTTCGATCTGAAGCCACCAGCATTGGTGCAGGGCATGCATGAAGCAGCGCGACAACACACATCACCTCCTCCTCCACGCTATCAAACATACTCTACTTACCCACCCCATCGAGAGCAAGCGCCCTCGCGGCAGCTTGATCCCGACGAGGACGACGAAGGCGACAGGCTGCAGCAGCTAGCTCGTCAGGTCTATAGAAGTGCCTCACAGAGTGCAAAGCCACAAGAGACATGATAATGTAGTGAATCTTTAAATAATGTGGAGCGAGCGTGGCTGCGGCGTTCGTGTTGAGAGCGAATACGAAGATGTGCTCTTGCGCAGGCTTGTCTATATCATCCTGTCTATATCATCTGTGCTCCAAAGCGTGCACCAGGGGCCTGGCCTTGCAAAATTGATATCCCGAGTCAACTATCGTCCAGTCCGTCGCGCTTCATATGGCACAGTCGATCGGAATGGTTCCGGAGCACTCTGCCAAAAACATGACGACCCAATCCCAGCCCATGTGAACCCCAATTGTCATCGACTGCTTGCCCCACGTTAGCAGTTCTTGCAGAGTGGGACAGGAAGTCAGAGTCCATATCCGATGGGCATTATTCTCAGCACAAACCTGTAGTGTGATCGAGCCAGCTTGCCCCTATGCCTTGTCATTCGCCTGCCTTCGGATAAGGGCCTTGCCGCTTGAGGACTGCGAAGGTCATGACTTGCGTTACGATTTCTGCATCCAGGCCAGTACCTGTACCAAATACTCCTTCGGTGGGATTTCGCGGCAAAACCTAAGTTATTTTGGCCTTCATTTCGGTGTCTGTGACTATTCCTCTCAACGAGCTTGGTGAGGGTGTGGTAATTGTGCTGCCAATCGAAAGCCATTACATTCCTATTGATCTTAGCTCCAGCTTCGTGAAGAGCCCGAATTGACCGTGACTATACGGCCAACGACCATTCACTGGTAGAACGCCACGACAGCATAACATATAATATTCTGCCGTCTCGCTGCTTCTGACAAGCTTGCAAACGTGGTAGCCATCCTCTCCCAGTATCTGGTGGACGACAGAAGTATTGAAGACGGAAAGATTGTCATCAGAGCTCAGCCAAGATGGATCCGGTAAGTCGACATGAACCCATAGACTCTGATCAGCATTAGATTAGTTGGACAACGTACTGACGAAGCACGGATTGGATAGTCAAAAGTCAAGATACCGACTCTGAAGAACCTGACGATTGATAACATTACAGAAAATGTAAGTACAAATGCATGCAAAGCGGCCATAGCAAGGACCATCACCACTGCCTCACCTCACTTCCTTTTCACTACACGAAGTCAAGTGCTCGTCTTCTACCAACGATACTCACGCCGCATCTCGATCAGGTCCACGCCATCAACTCAAATTGCTCAAACCCTCGCCTCAAGTACATTCTCGAGCGCCTCGCCACCCATCTGCACAACTTCGCGCGCGAAACCCGCCTCTCCACAACAGAATGGATGGCCGGCATCAACTTCCTCACCGCCACCGGCCAAATCTGCAGCGAGACTCGCCAAGAGTTCATCCTTCTCTCCGACATCCTCGGTCTCTCCCTCCTAGTCGACAGCATCGACCACCCCAAGCCACCATCCTCGACTGAAGGCACCGTCCTGGGTCCCTTTCACACGCACGACGCCGAGGACATGACGCACGGCGACGCGATCAGCCACGACCAGCAGGGCGAGCCGCTGTTGGTGCTGTGTACGGTCAAGGACACGAAGGGGAACGGGATCAAGGGCGTGAAGATCGACATTTGGGAGACGGACTCGACAGGGCATTACGACGTGCAGCTGCCGGATCGGTCGGAGCCGGATGGGCGGTGTGTGATGCGCAGTGATGAGAAGGGGGATTTCTGGTTCAAGGCTATTGTCCCAGTCCCGTATCCGATCCCGAATGATGGACCAGTGGGGAAGTTGCTGGAGAAGTTGGGGCGGCATTGCTGGCGGCCGAGTCACATGCATTTCATGTTTGAGAAGCCTGAGTTTGATCACCTGATTACAGCGTTGTATCTCAGGGGTGACCCATATGAGACGAGCGATGCGGTATTTGGAGTCAAGGAGAGTTTGATTGTGGACCTGGGCACAGTGAGCAAGGAGCAGGCGGAGAAGTATGATGTGAAGGAGGGCAGCAAGCTGTTGACTTATGACTTTGTGCTGGTCAGTGATGAGGAGAGCAAGGCATTGAGAGAGAAGAACTCCAAGGATGCGTTGGCGAAATTGGGGCGGAAGGTCAAGATGCTTGATGGGCTGCCAGTGCCCGATCTCGATTAGGTACGACGTGGCATTACTTATATTTATCAGAATACACTGTCATGATGGCTGCTTCAGTGCTTTCTGTCCCGGTCGATCTTTAGACCTCTGACTTTCCGCCCTGTGAATTCAGCTTCAGCCCTACCTGTGCTACTGGAAAGACGTCGACACATCCTCAATCTCAGGCCTTGGCTCAGCTCGGTCCTTCCTTGATCATGTATCGCCAGCCCAAACAGCAAGAGCATGCCCGCCGTTGTAAGGAAGTGCATACTTGCTCCGTATACGCACGTGATGTCAGAACAGCTCGATGGTGTTGGAGTGCCAGGAACAATCCGTAACTGTGTCGTGCACCAAGTAGCACCAGTTCCGCTACATGTACAGTCACAAGGATTACAGTTTTGCTTGTTCGGCGCCAGGTCCATCAGCACCAAGCACGATCTTCAAGTCCCGCTCACTTTGCTCCTTCAACGACAAATTGCCGCTCTGCAGAAAGGCACTGACATTCTTTTCCTCGAACCAAGCGTTCATGACGAGCACGGCTACCTCATCTTCATCCCGAGCTGCATCGGTCATGAGCAGTATCCCCTGCACGACATCCACCAGTCGCGTCATGATTGTACGTGACTGAGACTCAAGCTGAGCTTTCGATCCCGTCTTGAGTAATTCTGCAAGCTCGATCCACCAGCCCCAGACAGTATTGCTCGCCGTGTCGAACGCCTTAGTCTTGGTCATGGCCTCTTCCACCCACTCTGACAACGCAGCCATGACCGGCTCCTTGGTCTTTCCCGCAAAACAGCGAATGATTGTGTCGTCGGCCATCATATCAGTGGTGCCCTCCCAGATCGGCAGCACAGCACTATCTCGCCACAGGCGGGCAATGTTGAACTGCGGGTCGTCGTTCTCGAGATAGCCGACTCCACCGAGCGACTCCATGCACTCCTGTAGTCCCGCGATGGCAGTCTTCGAGCAATGGCCTTTCAATGCTGGCGTAAGCAAGCGAAGCAGCCACTCGGCCATCTCTGCGTCTTTGACACCGTGAAGCTGACCTGTCGACTTGAGGCTTGCATCGTGCGACTTGCCTTCGAACTCTGCCACCTGCTTCTGCTCAACGCAGCCCAATAAACTAGCCACGAAGAAGTTGAAAAGCACGTTGGCCCTGTACTCAACGTGCATCCGGCTCAGCGTTCTCAGGTAGGCAGTCCTCTCCCACAGCGGCCTTCTACCAACGATTCGTACCTTGACGAATGCTCGAACAACAGAAAGACCTCGACCCCAAAGTCCAATCGCGGTAAGACCATTATGCACTCGTGCAATATTCAACACAGTTGCAATCTCTTTCGTACCACGTCCCTCTTCTCCGATCAGCCACCCACGCATGCCTGCCAATTCGAGCTCTGCAGTCGGCAAGGCTCTGGTACCGACCTTGTTCTTCAGCCGCTGAATTCTGACCCCATTCAATTCCGTCTCACTACTCTTGCCCAACAAAGTCCTCCTCATGGGTGCAAAGAACAAGCTCACACCCTTGGTCGTCCTCGCCAGCATGACGACCATATGAGCGTCTGTGGCCGAGCTGAACCACTTGAATCCATCCAATCGCCAAGGACCCAATTCGCGTCCATCGCTCGCCACAATTCCTTCAGTCTTACATATTTCCGCGCCCTCCGGATCCCACGTCGCAATCGTCTCTGTCATCGAGACGTCGCTGCCGCCCTGACGCTCCGTCATCCATTGTCCTGTAGTCCATGCCCTATCTGTGTCCCGACTGACCAGCCTCTCGTATGCGCTGCGCAGTACCGTACGTTGCTTCGCACTCATCTCGCTAGCATCGACCGTTAGATGCCGTCTCAACAGCGCTGCAACCCCGTCCACCATCAGTGTCGGGCAATTCACCCAGCACGCACTCCCAGCCCATAGCACGTAGCGAGCTGCCCACAGCACCCTCGAGTACTCCCGCTGTCCATTCTCGTAGGGCTGTGCGACCATGCCTTCCTTGATGCCGAAGTCCTGTAGTCCACGCCAGCCTTCGCTGGTGATGAGGTTATCGATCCGGCGCCCAAATGTGTTAAAATGCTGAACGTACGGCGGATGAGCTTCAGCAGAGATCATGTGGCGGAGGATTTGTGGCGATAGGACTGCAGAGGCAAAATTGGCCAGTGATGGAAGAGAGGACCTGAAGAGCGATAATGGTGTGAAGAGTTCGAGACCACGCTGCAGTGCGACATCGTTGTAGAGTAGGTTGCCGAGTGGAGGCGTTCGTTGGAAGAAGCCTGCCGTGGACGATGAAGGCGTTGGTGGTGACTGCAGCAATTGCTGCTGCTCGAGTGCTGTCTGTGAACCTTGGCTCTCATGCCGGTTCGGTCGTGCGGCAGGCACGGTAGTTACTGCCCTCCTAGCATGAGCCGTATCTCCTATCCTGGAATTGCGCAACGTAGTACCATTGCTTTCATCCTTGTCTACCATTGCGGTACTGCTGGAGAGTTGGTCATTGCGTAGCCTCGATGCCATGGGTGCTGACGCCAGAATATAATAGTCTCCGTTCCTGTTACGCTCTGATGCTTGCCTGCTTCCACGACGAAATCTGCCCGTCCGTCAGACCCAGTGGGCAGACTAAGCACTCTACCAACCAGAAATCAAGCTGTTGTTACAGCGGCTGGAATCGGACTCTCACCAGGTGGGCTCTGGACTCCAGGACTCAAGGAGGATGGTGGTATGAGATGAACCTCGGTTATTCGATCAGCGGCGCGTTGAACTTCGTCAACCGGTTCCAACTGTCGTCAAGCCCGGAAGGCACAGAGCTTAGTGCGTACGAGCGCTTTATCTCAACTTCCTTCCTTCCCAGTTTCTAGCCCCGATCATCGAAATCACTGCTGTCCGCTGACTGCTTGCTTATGTCGTGCTCAGCGTGGGTGAGATCTGCCTGGCCGTGGAAGCTCCATACTAGTTAGCAGCAAAATGACCTCGATCGTCGGTTTGGTAGCTCAGGTGGATGCCCCGTTATTCGGATCTGGCGACACGATGTGCCAAAGTGTTCGTGACTTGACTTGTTGCGACAACTGACCCGAGTCCATATCCAGCACACTTCGGAGCGGACGTATTTCCGTCAGAACAACATGTCTGATCTACATGAACATACGACTATCCTAATAGTCATGTCTGAAAGACCTTGCAGACGGCAGGCGCCTATCGTATGTGCGGGTCGCGCTTCGACTATACCTTACGAAGGAGAATGAAACGCTGCTTCGCAGTTCAGGCGACCTGAGCTCCCTATCTGTAAGTTGGCGTTGCGAACTCTATAAACCCAATATGGCTCGCAACGCCGAAACGAGACATGGACTTTACCTCACTTCAGCAGAACGCATGGCTGCATTCCGATCTCCTAACACTTTCAAGAGCGAAAGAATTGACCCGACCCGCCTCATGCTGGCTCAATAGGCGCATTCAGTGAGCGACCCAGCGTGTCGGCGCTTCAGCTCCCACGATACGTCATGGGTTCTCTCAGCAACGACAAGATCTCGGTGATCATACTTGGGGGCGGGATCGCAGGCATTACGCTTCTTCGTGGTCTTCTTCAATACTCGCATATAGATCCAGTCGTCTACGAGGCCACTCAATGCTATCGAGATGTCGGGGGAGGGATGGCGTTACACAAGAATGCCATCGGAGCCATGGAGAGCATCGATCCAGCTATCAAAAATTCATACTTCCGCAATGCCAACTCAATGGCTGCCGACGACGAGACCGAATTGTCAACACATGTCGTAATGGTTGAAGGGCCCTTCACTGGCGAGATCCTCGCCCGTCTCGGCACAGCGAAGGGTCGCAAGACAATCTCGCGGTATGACCTGCTCAACGGCTGGTTTGACCTTGTCCCGAAAGAGCGAGTGCACTTCGGAAAACGGTCACATAGTCTCGAGGAGCTGTCCGATGGCAGTGTCAGGTGCTCCTTTGAGGACGGCACTACAGTCACTGGCGATTGTGTCATCGCAGCAGATGGTATTCATTCCAAGAGTCGGCAGTTCCTCCTCTCGAAAGACCACCCTGCGGCCAGACCCGTGAATCACGACAAGTGGCTGTCGATCAATCGCCAGATCCCCATGGAGGACGGCCTCAAGGTGCTCACAGGACCGACCGAGTATGTGCGAATCATGATCGGACCCAGAGGCTATATTTCCACGTCTCCGCTTCACAAGGGAAAGACGCTGAGTATGACTCTCATGACTACAGGAGAAGCCACTCAGGAGAACCTTGATGTTCGACTTGAGCATTCATACTGGGCTGGTTATGACCAAGAGTGTCTGAGTGTGGTGTCTGTGATGCGATCTGGTTCAGGACCCGATGTATTCTGGAATCTTGCGGATCATGATCGGGCGCCTATATACCATCGCAACAATGTTGTGATAATCGGAGACGCAGGTAAGCTTGCTCTTAGATCACGATGGCAGTGGAGCAGTAAACTGAATGTTCATCTCAGCACACGCCACGATGCCTTTCATTGGCAATGGCGCAGCGCAAGCTCTCGAGGACAGCGCTGTTCTCCATGCCGTATTCGCCAAAGTCCAACAAAAGGAGGACGTGCCGCTTGCTTTTCAAGCGTTCGAGACAGTGCGGAAAGAGAGAAGTCAGCTGGTGGTAGAGGCATCAAGAGAGGCTGGGCGCATCGACAGATACGATGTTGGACATATCCCTGGCGCCGATCCTTATACGCGAGATGGTCTCGATGCGATCAAGAAGCGATTCAAGGAGATCGGAGCTTTTACGAATGAGGTTGATGTGGTACAGCAGAATAAATGTGGGGTGCGGGTGTTTGAGCAACTGATAAAGGCGAGGCATGCTCAACGTGGTGGGATCCATGATTGGCATTGAGCGCGGTCAGATTGAGAGGTCGGCCTCGGCTCAGATAGATAGGAAGTGAATGATGTGATGTACGATTCACCAATCAAGCAAGAAATCGTCCTCTGCGATGGGAACGTTCCGCAGGTTCGTTGAAGTGTTTTTGATGCACCTCGGAGTGAATGACAAATATGTACCGTGCAGCAGACAGTGAATACTTGGTAGCCGAGTCGGGGAAGAAATGACTCTGAATCACCTACATTTACTGGCTGAAAGAACCTATAAGTATCTGCTTCGCCCTCGACTATCTCTTCTTTCCCTCCATGGATGGACACTCGTGTCACGGACTGTTTGCCATGACTTGTTAGCACCCACAGCTACCTGATGGGGGCGACAATTGAATGAGTCCTGAGGACGTGTCTAATATGAGCAGGATCTATGAGCAGGGTTTGTGAGTAGGACAAGTCAAATAGTGCAGCCTGTCCAACATGACCTAGGCAGTTCCGCTTCCCACCCTCCGCCATCGGCGGAAGTGGGGAAATGTGCGTCGACCCACCCCACGTAGCTTCTTTCCAATGCTCTGTTATTGTGAACATGACAACATAGAAAAGTTGAAGCCACGAAGAACTCCTCACCACACGATCAACTGCCCTTGTCAATGAACAGAGCCCTCCTGTCACCATCGCGCCACCACTCCATCATCCGCCCTACCAAACGACCACTTCTCACCATAACCCGCCCGTCCCTCCCCTGTCAGCCCATCCCAAACACCCGCCCATTCTCCCACTCCACCCGCAGCATGTCCTTCACCAAATCCACACCGACGCCGCCGCTCCTGCCGCAGGCCCCTACTCGCAAGCAATCAAAGCCGGCGGCACAATCTACTGTTCCGGTCAGATCCCTGCCGACGCTTCAGGCCAGATTGTCGACAGCAGCATCACGGCGTCGACAAGGCAGTGCTGCGAAAATCTGAAGGCTGTTCTAGAGGAAGCGGGGAGTGGGTTAGGGAAGGTTGTGCGGTGTGGTGTGAGTGTTATCCATCGATGATGTGATGGTGATGGGAGGGCTTGTGTGCTAATCTTCTGCGTGTGTGCAATAGGTTTATCTGACGGACATGGAGTATTTTCAGGAGATGAATGTAGAGTATGAGAAGTGGTTTGGGCATAAGCCGGCGAGGAGCTGTATCGCGGTGAAGCAGCTGCCGAAGGGTGTTAAGGTGAGTTTGGTTTTGAGCGCAGGGCGTGAAGGACGCCTGGCTGACTTTTCAACAGGTCGAGATCGACTGTATCGCTCTTGCATGAGCCCACAATCCCTCTACCAGATCCGCAGGACTACGAGCAAGACTATTGTCTCATTGTACGATGTCTAGATTAGTCAGAAAAGTCCGGCCGATTCCTGAAATCTCTTCTATCTTGCTTGGCTTGGCTGGCATCATAGCTTACTCCGCGCCTCTTGCTCGTCACTGATCTCCACAGTCACCTTGCCCCATGTCGCTCTGCTGCCCAAGTCTACCAAGGCTGCTGGAGTGCTCTCAAGCCCTTTGTATTTCCTGTCGGTGTAGGTGATCGGCCTAAATTTCCCAGCTTTGATCAGGTCGAAGATACCCTGCCAGACCTTTGGCGGCGTTTCTGGTTCCTTTGTGGCGTACATGCCCCAATGTATTCCGACGATCGAGATGTTCTTCAAGAGCACTCTGTTCAACGCTAGCTTTTCGATGGTTCCGGACGTGAATCCGACGACCAGTAATCGACCATTCCAGGTAATGCATTTTATCGAGGGGTCGATCATGCCTGGTGAATGTTAGGAGTAGCAGACAAATGATTGAAACGAAGAAGCACATACCAACAGGATCATAAACAACATCGACACCAGCCTGTCCATTGCCCGTTCTGTGCTTCTTTGCCAGTTCGATCACCTTCTGGGGCCAGGCCTTGTCCCGGTAGTCAATCACGTAGTCCGCGCCATACTCCAGGCAGACCTGTCGCTTTCTTTCACTTCCAGCCGTTGCAATGACTGTAGCACCTAGGGCTTTCGCAATTTGCACGGCGGCCAGACCGACACCACCGGCTCCGGCATGCACCAAACACCATTCGCCAGGTTGCAGGTTTGCCCGAGTGACTAAAGCACCGTAGCTCGTTGGGCAAGTCACGTAAATGCCACAAGCATCGGCGAAAGTCCAGCCAGCCGGTATGGGAAACAGTGTAGCCTCAGGTGCCAGGATATGTGTACTGTATGCGCCGTGCATGGCGCCAAATACTCGGTCGCCAACCTTGAACCGATGTGAGGTCTGTGTGCTGATGCTCCCTGACAGATCTGACGCCACAGTGCTGCCCGTTGCTTTCTTGTCAGTGGGTGTGGCGAGCACAACTCCCGCAAACTCCATGCCGGCGATCCATGGTAAGGGCGGTTGATGTTGGTATTTGCCTTGGATCTGGAGCAGATCGAAGAAGTTCGTCCCAGCGGCATGTACCTTTATAAGATATTTGTCTGAGCAGGGCTTGGGCGTGGGCAGCTCAACGACCTGGAGCTCGGACGGGCCTGAGACGTAGGCGGAGACTTGGATGCCCTTCATCGCGGACCGTAGTATGGAGGTATGCTGGGATTGCGCTGGTGGATGTCGGGCCACGAACTCGAAACGCACGACGGGATGCTTCTTTTGAGCAGCTGCTGATGATTGGGACCCGATATTACGATGCGCAACTTGTGTGGCTGATTGATCAGAAGTATCACGGGCTGTGAGCGTGTACTTAGATCTCGGTTCCTCGACCTCACTGCGGGACAGGAACGGGAACCAGAACTTTGGGCGCAATGCCTCGGTAACTCTCGTCATCCGGACTCGTGTAAGGTCGGCGGATCTGATAAGGTCACGTGGGTCCGCAAATTCGCGATTTGATGGCTGCGCCTGCCTCAGATGCTCTTTCATCTCTCTGCCACCTCACGCGTATGTTTCGCCCTACTGCGCCTTCGTCCATGTCTTCGATATCAGTACTCTCCTGCAGCCGGTCGACTGAGCTCTCGCACGTTGTATTACGGTAGCGGCAAGCGCGCTCGGAGGCTGCTTGATCCTCATCTCTGTAAGTCGTTCCACTAGCCTGTGTTTACCCTCTTGAAGATGAGAACTTTCTTTATTAGCTCTAGATCAGTAGTCGCTTCGGCGACGGTGAGCGACATATGCATGTATTACCTGAAAGCTATTTCGATCCCATCAGATGTGTAGAACAGTGCAAGGACATTCCACTGACTATCTCATACAGCACGATTCAAGTATTTCCCAATCATGTCGACCAAGGCTGTGCCCTTGACGCCCTCACGGAGGTGTCCTGTGTCACACCACACTACCGACCAGGAGGATCTTGTGCCGCGTGATTTCACCACCCAAGGCAAACCATCAAACCTCGACTGTCCTTTCGCAAAATTCGCGGCACAGAATGGGCTACCAGATACACCTGAGAGTCACGACCCAATTGCTGCAGAGTTCCATCAAGACGTTGTTAGCGTCAACGCCTCGACTGCTGCGACTGGTCCCTTAGGACGGTGTCCTATCAGGTTCTTGGACAAACATTCGCCCGAAGAGATTACCTCCTACTTCGAGAACCACAAGCACGAGCTGCCTCGCAGTCACCAAGTATGTGTGCAGAGGTATCAAAGGAACGAAGCCGGCGCAAAACAGCTCGACGCGAGATATGGAAGTCTCACGAACATGATTCAGGGTTTGGGCAGATCTCATAAGCCATATCTGCCTGGCGATGAGAAGGCCATCAACCAGGACGCCACGTCTTCGTCTGCAGTGGAGAAATGGGCTGAATCTGTCAGTCGCCCAGATTCGACTGTGCCCAAAGCCGAGATCGCTGTTGAGGATGACCAACGACAATCTCACTTCGAGCGACCCTTGCGAGAGATCCGAGTCGGCGAGTCTCCGAGTCGCCCTTGGGGCATTTCTGTACCGGTCGCAAAGGAGATTCCTGCCAGTGCTCTCGCTTCTGAGGCAAATCAAGCCCAAGTGCCAGACATCAGCACTCCGCCTGCTGCCATGCCTACAGATCCCGCGATTCGGGCTGCCAACAAGCAAGCCAGCTCCGCGCCACCAAAAGTCCAGTCACAACCACAAGCGCAGCCTGTCGCTTCTGAAGAAGCGACATCAGCAAAGCCCACGCAAGTCATATTCAATGGCCCGGTGTTCTTCGGGTATTCACCTGAAGACGCTGCAGCTTTCCTGAAGTTATTGGGCGCACAGTCGCCTGACGCTGGCAATACTTGAGCCGTCGTTTCGGTCTCGAATGTTTCATCCTGCTGTGTGCGTTCAAGCGATATGATATGAGTTACGACCACTGTACAATCATCATCTTTCTGCGCCTACATTTAGGCAACTTGCGACGTCTCCCAACATTTCTTCTGCTTCATTGTCCCCAGTCTGAAACACAGCCGCAACATCACTTTCCAGCTGCTTGCAATCCCACAAGCTCTTCCTTTCGAGGGAGTCACGGTCTTCGAGCAACCATTTTGGGAACTCGGAGTATCAGAGTTGGTGGTATTTATCACACACCGTTGCCAGAACAATCCTTTGGAGCTTCATAGTACGCCTCGTTACCCTGTTCTGTGGGCTCGGTGTCTCCTTGCATCCGACATTCTGAGCCGCTTCGTCCAGTTCTGTTTGATATCGGTCTACGGTGAACTGGTCAAAATTGCATCGCCCTGACTAAACTGACGGCTGTGTCTTGAAGGGCAAGACGGAGAAGCCCCTCCTGCTCGGGCCTTGGCACGGCAACAAGTTCAACTTTCTGCTGTAACTCCTTTCACTTCCAGTCATGAGTCCTCCGATTCCTAGCAAGCAAACAGGCTTGTGCCGGTGCCACGACTCATGTGGCGACGTTGTTCTTGACTCAGACCTTCTTCCCTTATTCGTGTTACGGCTCAAGTTGAGTGCGCAATGAGCATGATCTGGTAGCCCTAAAGTCAGCTGGCAAGCTCAAAAATGCCGCAATGTGGGTATTGGCCAATGCTACTCGTGTTAGGGTATATTCTCCATCAGACTACTGCATCAACTGGTGGACTTCACCCGCAATCAGGTAGGCCAAATGTCCCCGTACCAATCAACCCCCATCAATGCATGTGGAGGATTTTGCGAATCCATGACACAAGCAGACGATACCATGTACCCTCGCTTATCATCCGGAAAGAAGCGAATGTTGCTCTTCGCCCAGGCACGTGTCGGTTGTTGACTTACCTTCCTTCTTCTTCGTCGAGGTTTGGCGAAGCTTGAGCGTGGTATGGACGCCCGAGATGGATCAGCATCTGGCACTCAAAATCACACACAAGACACTTGCAACGACGCCGAAAGTGACGACCCTGACCTTGCCGGCGAACATCGACTAGACTCAGCTGAATGGACTGACATCGGAGCACAGACAAAATGGCCTTTTCATGGTATGTGCTACCGTGAGCGAGCTTCGTCTAAAGGTCTTATCCTAAGCTCTTCACAGGTCTCAGCAGGAACTTACTAAGCCATGCCTCCTGCTTTCCCTCCACACCACGGCAGCAAGCAGCCTACAGCCCTTTAGCGATTTCCGATGAAGCTACCAGACGCAGCCGGAATCACTTCTTCGGGTCCGCCATCTCAGTGTGCAAGGATATCTTCCTGTCATCATGGATCAACCTCCTACTCGTCTTCGTGCCAGCAGGGATCGCAGCCGGCTTGCGCCACGCACCGCCGGTACTGACCTTCGCCCTCAATGCATTGGCCATTGTGCCACTCTCCAGCTTGCTGGCTTACGCGACCGAATGCATGGCTAGTGAGCTGGGCGACAGCGTTGGCGCCCTCCTCAACATCTCTTTCGGCAACATTGTTGAAGTTGTCATGTTTGTGGTCGGGCTGATTCATGGAGAAGTGAAGGTTGTCCAAGGAGCCTTAGTAGGGAGTATTCTTGTGAACACACTCCTGATCCTTGGCTCTGCTATCATCTGTGGCGACTTTTTGCCGCAGGAGATGGTGTATGACAGGCGGAATGCACAGGGTTTGGCTTGTCTCCTGTCTCTTGCTGTGTTCAGCTTCTTGCTCCCGACGGCGTTTCAGTTTGCTTTGGAGAATGAGGAGAAGCGTGAGAGAGGTGTTCGCATACTAAGTCGCGGATGCGCGATCACCTTGTTGGTCGTGTATGGCTTGTACCTGGTGTTCCTGCTGAGACCTAGGAACCAGCGTCAGGCTCCCGACGAGGGTGAGTCTTTTGACCAAAGAGCCTCAGACAGCTTAATCGCGAGTCTGTTGCCCAGGACCATTAGGTTTGCAGATGAGCACGGAAGTAGCCACTCTACCGAAGCAGCAAAGTCAACTGAGAGCATAGTACTGGACGACTTCCAGTCCGACGAGCGGAACGCAGACCCGGCAGCTGGCACGGATGAGCACCAACAAGATCAGGACACAGGCAAGAAATCGTCAGCTCATCCTGCTCCCGGCGACAGGTTCGGACGCGCAAGCCTCAGCCAACCTCCATCCTATATCGAAGGCAGGAGCCGTCCTGCGCGGTCCAGAGGCCGGTCTCGTTCCGTCAGTATTCAGCGCCGTCCACGACATAGTGACATAGCCGAACGATATGGCTACTCGATCGATTCCATCGACCGCACGCCTCTGCAACGTCTATCAGGCCGCTCATCGTTCTGCTCCACCGCACCTGATGGCCCTCTTCGGCACGTCTTGTCCAGCATCCACAGTGACGATCCACCAGTGATCGGCCGCGGCACCGCACTCGCCCTGCTAATAACCTCATCACTACTTGTCGCCATTTGCGCCGATTTCCTCGTCGGCACAAATCGAAGCCATCACCACCCCACCCTCCGCGCCCCGCCCATCCTCTCCGAATCGCTCATCGGCCTCATTATCCTCCCCATCGGCCGGCAACGCCGCCGAGCACATTACCGCCGTGACCGTCGCCCTCAAGGGAAAACTCGATCTCGCGATCGGTGTAGCCCTAGGCAGCTCGATCCAGATCGCGCTGTTTGTGAGTCCGCTGATGGTGATTGTGGGGTGGGGTTTGGGGCAGGATGAGATGACCATGTATTTTGGGGTTTATGAGACGGTTGTGCTTGTGGGCAGTGGGATGCTGGTGAACTTTGTGATTTGGAATGGAAGGACAAATTGGTTGGAGGGGGTGTTGTTGGGGGGTTGTTATTTTATGGTTGGGGTTGGGGCTGTGCTGTTGCCTTGAGGGAAGCACTGGGATGAGAATGGCTCTCCTTGATTCTTGCGGTGTTTGTCCAACCAAGATCTCTGCCTTCACGCGTTCATCAATGAAGCTGCTCAAATTGAAGGGTGGGCGCAAGTTGAGGGACTTGACGACAGTATACCACCTCTAGAAGACGTTGTGTTCAATAGTAAGATGGGACCGTGTCCTTGAGACCGACACAGGAAACGTGGAAATACGCATTGCACGACTGCGGCCATTCATCCTGTGACGTTGAAAATCGTATGCTCGACTGAATGCGAAGCTCATGTACAGCCTAACAAGCGGACAATACTGCAGTCCCACCTCTGTAATGTTGATATCGGTACCAACTGACGGTATGCTGTGTAAGACTTCCATACTTGCCATCGTACAGTCTGGGTTTATGAAGACGAAAGAAGTTTTCGAAGCAAGTCCATCTCATACATTTCCGGGTACGAGCCCGGTATGCACTGAGCCATGCGCGGTCAAGTGAAAGGCAGCGAACTGCACTGCTCTCATGACAAGGGCCTCAGAGATAGCTCACAGAAGACGATCTCTCCACAGATCTTCACTACGCTGCAGGTGAAGTGAACGTAACAGGAGGGGTTACAAAATTCTTTATTCTTTCTTTGCCCGCATTTGCTCTTCTTGATCAGCAGCCTTGCTTCCAAACAATCATGACCTTGTGCCGCACACATTCCGTTGACGTGCGTCAGCGGTGTAATACAGGCGCCACGTCCTGGGCTGATGTTCGCAAATGCCTCGAATCAATGACTGAGTTGGTGAAAGCAACAAGAGACCATCTCTCGCAAGTGGGATCATGTGGTGAAACCGCCGATGCGCTCCGCGAAGTCGAAGAGGCAGCCTCCCTATCATTGCGTCAGGGATTCGAGCACATTCGGCATCACAACGAGAGACCCATCATCGTCGAGGGGAGGTTTCGAGGTTTCGAGGGCGTCTGCGGTTGCGATAGCGACCAGGATCTCGTCTTTGGCGGGAAGGGCCTTCAGTACATTCAGTGGAATGACAACGGGTCCTACACCATCAAAGGGAGCGGTCCACTTCATGAGCTGGTCGCTGGAGTCAACGCCTATATCTCCAGAGTTCGCACCAGCGAGGCAACCGCCAACACTCTCCAAGAGCTCAACAAGAATGCCGAGGAGCTTCTTCGGAAGTGCTTTGTCGGCGAAGACATGCGGCTGCAAGCCAAAGTGAGCTTCATCAAACGAATCATGAAGTTGAAGCAGCAGCGCAAAAAGATCGAAGACGCACAGGACGTCGAAAACACACCCAAGGTCGAGAACACACCCAAGGTCGAGGACATGCTCAAAGTCGAGGACGCTCAGAGAGCCGAGAACGGCCAGAAAGCCAAGAAGATCAAGGAGATCATGGTGAAGCTCGAGTCCAAGAAAGATCTTGATGAGGTTGCCGCTCTTTTCGCAGAAATCAGCCAAGTCGCTGGCTCGAAGCGCAAGGTCGACGATGCTGGTCTCGATGGAAGCATCGAGGAGGAGCAGCAATGGGTCCACGTTTCCGAGAAGGCGATGTCACTGCAGGACAGTCCCAAGCCACTGGAGTTCCGGCCCAAGCATGTCTGTAAGTGCATTCCCTTGTTGCGCAAGCCTCTGAGACGGACATTTGCTAATGTGTTTTCGCGTTGGCAGCTACGACCTGATCAATCCAGGCTAGTGGTAGGCCTGACACAATTCGACGACGAGAATCTTCCGCCACGAAAGGAGCGTGGCGACCACGGTGAGCTGCCCAGCTGACACAAGGAGGCTCGATGGTCGTAACAATAGCGTGGTCTATAGAACATCGGAGATATGGCAAAACTCCGCTAGTGGAGCTGCATGTCGACGTCGTTGGAGTCTGTAGCATTGAAATGGAATGATGCGCTCGTCATTTTCTATTGCTTCTGCGGTGATTGTTAGCCCGTGATCACTCCTCTGCTGCGTCGTAACATTCGATGGATAGTATGCAGCTGTCGTATACTTGCATCCGTTGCGTGCGAGCTATCAACGGTGGTCAAGCAACCCGACACGGCAGCAAAGTCGCTCAGATCGCATCAGGAGCCCGGAAGCTAAGCTCGAAATCAAAGTCGACCCCATCAAATCGCAGTGTACTGAGCAAGATCGAACGAGATGCCTTTCGAGAACCCAAACGAACGGCGGCGACGGCTACAGCAGCGGCCCGAAGAGACGATGACAACTTCGAGAGGCACAATCAACTGCTACATACGGAACCCTCAGAATATGGCATGTACCGACCGTCGATAAAGTTGACCCAGGACAATCTCTTCCACCCGTTCTCGCAGTCGCCGATGGCAGAGATGCGAGAAAGGGACCGACTGACACGAGAGAATGCCTACTGTCCACATCCACACCACTACAAAACCCGCGAACCTTCGTCACCCAATGATCCCGAGAGTAGGAAGCAGAATGCTGATGCAGTCGGCGAACCGCCAGCACATGTCTCTTTTGAGTGTCCGGACTGCGGTATCGCCACATACTGTTCACAAGAGCATTGGGAGGACGACTACGAGTCACATCTTGAGATCTGTGAAACGCTACGGCAGATCAATGAGGACGACCATGATTTGCGCTCAGGCAGATACTTTTCAGAGTTCGAGTACCCTGGTCCGCAGCTGGATGAGATCTTGGTGAATTTGACATCGTGGGATACGGCACTTGTGAGTAGACAGAGACCTTTGATTGGAAGCTCTAACAAGAATAGTATACACGTGGATTCGAAGCCATAAATGCAGAACGACCAATGCGGCAGGCCACAAGACTGCTTACGTATCCGTACACCGTCGGCAGTATCTTGCACGAGTTGAGCCCGTACAATCTACGACAAGGAGGACGACTAACCACAGAAGGCCTGAAAAGCTTGAGCGGTAAGTGTAGCAACTGGCAACATGATGCTTGCTGATTCAAATAGCTCTACGATACACGTTACATCCACCACGAGCCGGTCAAGGCACAGACATAGCTGGTCTACGATTATCCAGTCCCCCCGTCCGGATATTCATCCTCGGAGCTCGAGCAGAATCGTCATTACCACGCGAAGTCTGGATCCAACTCAGCTATCTCTTCGGCCGTGCAAAACTACATCTCGTCTTCATCGGCCCTGAAGCCATGGCCAACCGCGACGCAGAATTTCCCCTACCCGAACGGACTCCAGAAAATCCATTCGGCGCCATCGTCGAAGATCGAATATCCGACAACATGAAAATCACCACCTATGTCGACTACTTCCACACACTACATGAAGCACAGCACTTTGCACCTTACGATCCGTACTTTGACTGCTTCATGCTTTACCATCCCGGACTGGGCCACCCGAGCTCAGCTCATGAGTGGGAGAAAACGTTGCCTCAGCTACTAGAGACGAAGGTTCCGGTCATATGTACTGGTTATACGGACTGGGATATGCAGAGAGACATTGACTGGGTGTCGACCAAGTGCAAGGGCGAATACGATATTCTGATGGAGCCGGGAGAAAATCGGTTCAGGAGTTTACGATGGGATCTAAACGACCTAGATCCGCAGGACATCAGTTGTGGTAACTGGGGAGTGTGGGCTTTTCGAGGCAAGCGCTATGAAGCGCAGCAGAAAAATAACGAAGCATAGCGAAGCGGTCGCGCTCCGGACCCAGCCGTACAGATTTAGCGGTAGAGCTGTTGGAACCAATTGTTCATACACACCACAGCGTTGTCATTACGTCCCAGCCGTACTTGCGACCAACGCCGGCGGCTCTCTCACACCAACTTGGTCCACGATTCGCGAGTACTTGTCTACCTGTCGATGCTCTCCAAAGTTAAATATCTGTCAAACATTTAGTATGCGTGCGGCTGGCCAGAGAAAGAGGCAGACCAACCTTGCTTTTGCCCGGTATGCAGTCGTCAAGATCAATCTCTGCAACAATAACCTCGTCGCCTTCTGTGACAGCCTCTGCTAAAACGTCGCCGTCAGGGCTAACGATGCAGCTGCCTCCAATAAGGCGATGAACGCCATCCTCGAGGCCTGCTTTGCCCGCCGCAACAGTAAAGCAGCTGTTCATGTAGCTGTTTGCTTGCACTACGAGTTTGTGCTGGGCCATGATCCTCGTTTCAGCTTTCTCTGGGTCCGGAGAGTCCGTCGTACCCCAGAAAGCAGGGTTGTATCCTGGCGTGTTGTACCCACATAAGATAAGCTCTACTCCTTGAAGGCCGTAGCACCGCCATGCCTCTGGCCAGCGACGGTCGTTGCAGATCAGCATGCCCATGATGGCGTCCTTTCGGCCATCAGAGCCTGGGTGTTCGCCTACGTTGGGCGCGCGAAATGCCTCGAAGCCCAAGTCGCCAGGCTCAAAATATCTCTTCTCCAGATGATGGGCGCCACTGCCATCTTTCAAGGGCTCTCTTGTGCCAGGTATGTGTACCTTGCGGTATTTGGCTATAATCTCGTTTGTCGTCGCCGAGAAGTACACAGAAGAATTGAACGTTCTGCCATCTGGAGTCCGCTCCGCGTAGCCTACGCACAGATCAATTCCTAAGTCACCGGCCTCCCTGAATAACCGACTAAAAAATTCTGACTTTGCAACCTCAAGATCGTGTTCCAGGTAAGATGATAAGCTCACATCGTCCGGAAAGAGGTGCCGCGCGAAGAACGTGGTGAAGGCAAGTTCAGGTAGAACCGCCAGCCGTACACCTTGCGAAGCGGCGGATCGAAGAAGGCGTATATGGCGGTCTATCACTTCTGGCTTCGTATCTGTTGCATGCACAGGGCCTAATTGAAGAGCAGCAACTTTCAGGATCCGTGACATCGCTTCTATGCCTTGTCCAGTGGGCGTATGGTCGCGAGGCTTCTAAGAGCGCGGCACGATGTTGGCAGCCGTCACTCACCCTATAGACGCATCACTGCAGTGTACTCTCATGTATTTGTTCAACATCTTTGTTCACTGACGCAGTCGATGAACCATGTCGGATCCGGAATCGTTGGAGCACTCAGTCCACCGGAGCAGGGTGATTATCTCTCACGACAGCGCCCACATTGTAGCTGTGCTTGATAAGTAGTCGGGAAAGGCTATGCGTGGGTGACGTCGACCTTGGATCGTATTGAAAGAGTCCAAAAAGGGAAGGACGAGACGGCAGACAATGCCAAGACCAGATGGGCGTCATTGCCTTGAGTTGTCGCGACTTTCGTCCTCGTTTCTTGCTTGCAGATGCTCAACCAACCGTCATGTAGAACACCTGGGCAACTTTGAGCCGTCGTGCTCCGTTCTATTTCGGACACGCAATGAGATCAACGGCTCCTTGCCTTCAATGTCATCACGTGTGTTGTCCACAACACAGATGGACCCAACCAGGAAAGGTCGTCGTTCGCGGACTGGCTGTCATCAGTGCAGAAAGCTCCATCGTAAGTGCGACGAGACACGACCTTCCTGTTTGGCCTGTCGCGCAAGTCAGGCACCTTGCGAGTATGGCATGAAAGTACGTTTCGGGGGCCGTCCTTTCGCAAAATCGACCTTCGGCAAGTGTTTGAACGGGTCCGCAGCTGTGGTAGCAATTGAGTCGGGCGATAGCCCGGATTCAGACGCAGCGGATCAAGGCTTTGTCTACGGCCTATCTTCAACACAACGGACCGTAGCCATCACGAGCGGCCCAGCGGAGGCAAGCGGTAGCAGAGCCGAAAGAAGCGTCATACGGCCCTACCGGGATGAGATTGCACAGAATCCATCGCACCTGCAGCGTCTGACAACTTCTCAGAAGCTGCTGCTGGACCACTTCCTGCACACTGTGACCCGGTCGTTCTCTCTACACGCCAAGTCTCATCATGGCTTCTGCTCGACCTATCTGACTCTGGCTCTTCATTCCTCTGCGCAAGTTTTGCCGACTGTGCTCGAAGCCAGCGCTCACCACCGGAGATCTCTTGGCCTGGAGCACTCTGATCACGAGCTGTTGTCGCTACGTCAAGCAAGCCTACAGAATTTCCAGGTGCCTCAGGATGTTAGTGATGACAACACACGAGACATTGCTGCTGCCACCGCGCTCATGTTGTGCCTTTGTGACGTGATCGCTGGCGGCGAGAAGGCGGGATCATGGAAGTTGCACCTTCAGGGCGCTATGGCAATATTGCGGCAGTCACCGACAGGTGCTACCAACCAGACTCAGATGTCAACTCAGAGGAGATTTCTGTATCGATGGGGCGAGTCTCTTGAGGTCTTATCTCTGCTTGGTCCTGCCGCAGCCTTGAATGATGAGCTCGTCGAGTCTAACGACGATGAGTCAGACTATATTGACGAGTTTCATGGGTTCTCGCGATCCTTGGTTCAACTTATTCGACAAGCTCACCTCCTCCTGCTCGAACAGCAATCGCTGCGAGAGGGACTGGTACAAATTGGCGGACAGTCACACGGCGCGGGTCTTGACAGACTATCACGCATCATTCAGACACGGTGCCGAATGCTGATTCGACTGCTGAAGCATCGCTCAGCAAGGAAGAACATAACTTCCACCCATCGCTGAAGTCGTACATTGGCAGCGAAACGCAATCCGATTTTGTAGCCGTCAACGTTGCGTTTCATCATGCAGTCCTTCTGCAGCTGTACAGACGAGTGCAAGGCCTTGCCTGGGACGACTCCTCTGTCGAACAATCTACGGAAGCAATTCTGACGAGTCTGTCACAGTTGCAGCTTCGTGAAGAAGCATGTCCGGGAGTGGCAATCTTACAACCGCTATTTGACGCGGGATGCTCATCGACTCAGAACCACCATCGAGAGCAAGTTTTGGATCTAATGGACGTTTTGCGAAAGTACTACGCCATGGGCAACGTCAGTCGTGCGAAAGCATTTCTTCTCGAGTACTGGCAAATGTGGGATGACACTCGTGCTCGTGGAGGAGACTTGCTTTGGAACGACTTTCTCTGTAAGTATCGGATGAACTTCCATCTTTGAAAGCAACAGGGCTAATGGTGACCTTGCAGCTCAGAAGGGCTGGGAGCTCTCGCTATACTAACAGTTACGCAACCTTCATCCCTCAGAGACCCAGCCGTGAGCTGCACCTACTACGTACGTCAAGCTGTGTATTTATTCGCCCTGTTCACGTCGAGGGTTTCTGCTCACGAAATCTTCGTAGATATCGCCCATGGTAACCCATTCTACGCCTTCGTGTTTGTTGATGTGCTCAATGATCCTGCGTCCAGTTAGGCTCAAGCGCAATAACATATCGCTGGGGTAATAAGACTGACCTCTCCTGCATGAGCAGAACGTGCGGACGACCCGAGACATCCGGATGAATCGTCATCGGAAAGATGAATTCATCGTACTCCCGGTAGCAGAAGTCGAATTGATCCTGTTCACCAGAAGATACACCCGTCAGCACTGGTCAGAGCCACGCCACTGTTTCCGCTGAACTCGCGATCGACATACCTTCCAGAGCGCTTCGACATCACGCGGATTGACCCATCCGTGGCTGTTGGCAGAGCCCTTGATGAACATCAACGGTACCATGTCGTCCAAATACCACGACGCAGGAATCTCGACAAGTTCGCTCTCTGGGCCCCTGACCAACGGCTTCATCCAATTTTCTGCAGGCTGATCATAATCGATCTTAGTCCAGCTGTCTCCGAGGCGCGCTCTGTATGCTTGGCAGTCGTGATGGCTCAAACTATGGTCATACTTAATGCCGAACTCGAGCAGGAGCTCAATTGTCTCCTGACCCACTTCCCACCAAGGAGCAACATATCCGCGAGGTCGCTCTCCGCCACAAAAATCTGTCAACATACCCACAGTCCTCTCCAGGATATCCCGTTGTTGCTGTGAGGATAGTCGGTTGGGATCTTCGTGGGAATAGCCATGTAGACCAATTTCGTGGCCAGCGTCGCGCACTTGTTCGCAAGCCTTCGGGAACGTCTCGAGTGAGTGTCCAGGAATGAACCAGGTCGTCCTGATGGAATACTTCTCGAAGAGCTTAAGAAGTCGAGGCACCCCCACTTCGCCAGCGAAGACACCTATATAGCCCATGGTCAGTGTCAGTGCCGCTGGAGCGCGCCTGGAGAATTATGCACCTCGACTGATATCGTGCTCAGAGTCCTGACCGCCGTAAGAACCCAGCCAGCCTGAAACGGCGTCCAAATCAACACCATAGGAGCAGAGAACGCGTTTCTTGCCCATGTCGAAGGTGTTCCCGTGTCTTTGTTGTATAGCGCTCGTGTGCGACAGACAATAGTCGCGCCGCCTAGAGTCAGCCGACCAGGAGTACTGCTACGGCTGCCAGCATACCGAAATAGACGAGATATCGGCCCAGAACCAGTATTTGTGACCTCTTCAAATCCACGTCGGTCCGCCTCCATCTAAGCCAGCCGGTTCACTAGCTATCATCAACACCCGGCAATTGATGGACCACATTGGGTCGTACGTCGAATGCTAGCCCAAGGGCCCTGAGGCCCAGGATCAATGCAGAGCCACCCTAGTCCTAAAAAGGAAAGTACAGTCGCAGTGGATGTGGTGGATGATCACTATGATTTGGCTTCTCGCCAGGTTCGACAGTCAGGGTCCCAATTACCAACACTGACGAGCACGATGTCCCGGATCCGAAGCACGTCCCTGGTGCGCATGCTCATGGCTTGCGCAACACTCCACAGGTCGATTGCTCTACAATAAAGCCGGACGCTCCTTCCTCCGCCACGATGGGAGAAGTCGCGACCACATCAACTCACACCACGGTCAACTTTCCCAAAGCTAGGCCTTACTGCTCATCTTCTCACCAAATATGTGCTCAAGTCATGGCACATCGTCTCCAGCCGACGGGAATGGAGCTGCGCAAACGAAGCCCTCATCATCCGCTCTTCAGGGATTTTTAGGCAATGTCATGGAGATCTGTATCGTCACACGCGACCACAAACGCACAATCTCAGGTCTTCTCAAGCTAGGAATCGGTCCATGGAAAGCCTACACATTCACACCGCAGAACACTACGCATCAGACCTATCGTGGCAAGCCAGCAGATTTTACACTGAAGGTCTGCTTTGCTCAGGCAGGAAACGTGGTCTATGAGCTCATCCAGCCCATAGAGGGACCTACGATCTTTGAGGAGTTTTTACAGAAGCACGGCGAAGGGATACACCATATCGCCTATGATTGCAATGGGATCCCTTGGGAAGATAGGATGGCTGGGTTCAAGGAAAGGGGGTTTGCCCTCGCCCAGTCTGGAAGTTGGCAAGGCAAGAACCACTTTGCCTTCTTCGAGACCGAGGATGCAACGACGACTTGTTTCGAGACGTACTACTTTCCTGACGACTGGGTCGATCCAGTGGCGGACGAAGTTTATGGTTTTGAGACATAAAGTACTCCCTGGGACGATGCAGCATGTGGGAACTTCGAAACGGCTATGGACGCTATGTAGCATTATGAACGCTGAGGACGTATCTATTCACTTTCCGGTCTACTAAAGTGTTGCCTGATTGAGGAATACCAAGTCCATTTGCATACCAAATGATCAGAACTTCGATCGACCTCCACGCATCCATCTCTCAACGCAACCAACTCCCCCTAGACCACACAGCCACAGGCTCTATCGGCATCAGATCTGTCCACGTCTTGAACACAAAACAGTCAAATTGATGAATCCAAATGTGATTGTTGTTGTGAACAACGATTGCGAAGACTTGCCTATCGCCACGGGAATTTTACATCTTCAGACCTGTGCGAATGTGTGAATGTCGTGTTAGACGAGGCCCCCAAGTCTAGTTGCTTCGCACAAGCCGGGGAGGCGTGTGTTAAATTTCGGAATTTGATGTCACGGTATGCCATGCACCGTCGACCGGCGCGGAACTTGTACTGCCTCGACTACTCCTTCCTCAACCGCTACTGACTCAAGTGCTCCCTCCTCATGTGCTCCCTCCTCATGTGCTCCCTCCCCAAGTGCTTCCTCAAGTGCTCCTTCCTCAAGTGCTCCTTCCTCAAGTGCTCCTTCCTCAAGTGCTCCTTCCTCAAGTGCTCCTTCCTCAAGTGCTCCTTCCTCAAGTGCTCCTTCCTCAAGTGCTCCTTCCTCCTCTCTTTCCTAGACTACTCCGTCTGTCCTTCCTCGAGTACTCCTGCCTTGCCCGCTCCTGCCTCGTGCATCTCTGTGTTTTTCACCATCGCTGCTTCTCTGACTAGGAAGTTCTGGGATGCAGCCTCCACAATAGCTGCCACTTACGTGGAGCTGCAGCGCAGCTGACGAACGATAGCTATTGGTGAGTAGCTGGTCGATCTATCAGGTTTCATGAGTCTAGCTAAGAAAACTGACCGTAGCACTCTTTTCAAGGCCATCACATACTCTCTTACGACATTCCTACAGTCACTGGTCTTCTCTATCTGTACAAAGTGATCCTGCCCACACAAACAACACTGCTACTTGCCGTATAAACAATTGGTCTGCATATAGCACCCTAATGCGTCTGTTTGTCTTCCGTGCCATGTGCCACAACGGGATCGTCCATGGCTCCGGGGTCATTCGTGGCTGTTCCTCCGGTAAGCACGTCGACATCCGTCTTCGGTCCTTCGTAGCCTCTCCCACGTTTCCAAAACCACAACGCAGTTACCGCGATCGTGATGCCTCCAGCAATGACACTAGAATAGTTCATTGTTCCGCTAGTCACCGGCATCGTGTAAGGCAGGGAGAAGATGACGATGAAGACGACCATGTACACAGATGCTGCTGCGATGACGATAGGGCCTTCACTCCGCTCATCCAGAAGTGGCCGCATCGTGTCCAGCGACTGCGCCCGTACAGGTACGGCAACAGGGCAGCCAGGTACGACAGGGTGGTGAGAATGACGAAGCTGCCCACGAACGCATTGAAGGCAGTCGCGGAGCCAACTGGAGAATTTCGTCAGCGCAGGCCTGCTGAAGGAACACTCTGCGACGTTCCGCCGATGGTGCTACAAGAAATACAATTTTGCGGATAGAGGTGGACTCACCATAAATGGCACCAAAACAAGTGTTGACGCAGGCACAGAGAATGGTCGCATTGACAGGGTTGTGCATAGTTGGGTGTATCTTGCCAACGAATTGATGGCATGGCGTTGCACCGTCTCTGCCCAACGTCCACATCGTGCGGCCAGCAGTGATGTATGCTGCAATCACTGAAGAGACGGACGGTAAGAAGACCACCAACAAGAGACCCATTGCTCCAGCTCTGGTTCCCGTGGCTTGCAAATAGATTTGTGCCAGCGGAAAGTTGCCGCCGCCAGTCAGTACCTCGTCCAGATCAGAAATCGAATACATCAACGCTACCAGATAGCAGAACGTGGATGCAAAACCAAAAATCATCTGCATTCCAATGGCTTTCGGTATGTTCACCGAAGGGCGTGGTATTTCCTCCGCAAGGTGAGATACGCTGTCAGGAGTTCCCATTGCGTATGCGCCGTTTAGCATGCCGAGCAAAAATGTCAAGCCATCGCTAGACCAGCCTGTGGAGTTGATCCAGTCTTTCCAAACGAAAGCATCGTCGGCATAGCCGCTGCCTGTCTGACTCGGCATGACGGCGCAGACAATGATTGAGGCCAGCCCACCAGCAACAATGAAGACCAGTCCGATATCATTTAGGACTGGTAAGAGTCGATTCCCAAGTACAACAACAAAGCAGGCCGTCCAGGAGATGATCAGATATGTGACGAAGACATGCCATCTTTGGAAAATGTAGTCCGCGTGGAACAGAGCATACATCTGAACAAGCTGCTGAGCGACCACTGAAGAGGTCGACACTGTTGCGAAAATCCATGCCGAAACATTCCACCAGCCTGCATAGAAACTGACCACCCTTCCATATGCCTTCGACGTAAAGACAGCAGCCCACTGGTAGACCCCAGCAGAAGATGGTATAGCCGAAGCCATCTCTGCGACCGAAGCTGCGACGAGGCAGTACATGAGCGAGACTGCTATGAACTCGTAGAGGACGCCTGGCGACCCGCCATTCAGAATTGATACCACCAGAATGCCACCAGTCAGTGGCCATGAACAGCCTGTGATTATTCCGACAGCCGAGATACTGACCAGACCAAACTGGCGCTCGACCTCCTGCACGTGTCCGGAAGCATTGACCTCAACAAATTCGCTCTGGTCAACCGTAGGACCTCTACTCTCGACGTCGTCTGGAGACATTGCAGCAATGCTGATGATATCGACCTTACAGTAAGACTCGCCGGACCCGTAGGCATCATCTCGGTCCCTTTATACTCTCGGTCCTGAGAGGTGATCAAACATCGCTACCTGTCTCCTACCCCTTTGCGATACCGGTCATCTCCTTGTTTCCTCGACGAGTCGGACGCGTGGCAGGCATATTTTCGATACAAGACGACGGCGGGCTCCTCCGCATTCGCGTTAATACTTGTGCAGTAAGAGGATTCTGCTTTCCTCCGGGTCTGGTATAAAAATTATGCTTTGCCACTTGCACGATGCCTCTCATCCCCGCCAAGACCCTCATATCCTATAGTTTCCGCATTAGGCATAGAGGCTTCGATCAGTATACTTTGCATACAACCATTTGACCAATATTTAACGTAGTCAGTAACGGCACATCAATGGCTTCGTAAGCGTCCAAACACTTCTTGAGAGTGCAGAGGTCGGTCGTTCGTCGGCCAGAAACACCAAAGGTATACAAGACCATGTTTGAGCTAATCTGACACCTTTCACACCAATTCCAGAACATATGTCCAATATGCCAACCTCCTCAGCTCGGAAGGTCCAGATCCTCCCTGCCAGATCGGGCGCAGCAATACGTCTCTCCGAAGGCCAGACGATCGAGATCATCAACGTCCACGGCACGCAGGTCGTGGACACCTGGCTCTGGCCGCTACTGACTTGAATTGTTGCTTGTCCATGGAGCATATCCGGACTAGACTTCAGAGAATCACCATTTCAGTTGGCGACGCGCTGATCAGCAATCACCGGACGCCCATGTTGACAGTCGTCGCTGACACGTCGGCTGGCGTACACGATACGCTCATCGCGGCGTGCGACAAGTACAGATATGCTGAGGTAGGTCTCCCTAGGCCTAGACAGTTGTACGCGCTGGTGTGCTGATTGTTTTCTTAAGCTTGGTGCGACAGGCTATCACCCCAGCTGCACCGATAATTTCAGGGAGGCCTTGCAGCGGATTGGACTTGCAACAGAGCATGTCCCATCGCCACTCAATCTGTTTATGAACGTTCCTGTGGCAGAAAACGGCAACTTACACTTCGCGAACCCAACATCAAAGGCTGGACAATTCATTACCTTGAAAGCAGAGATGGACATTATTCTTGTCATGTCTGCTTGTCCGCAGGACATCACGGCGGTCAACGGCATGGGCTGTACCGACGTGCACTATATCGTCAGTTGATCCCGATGAGATGTTGCGAGGTTCGGAGTCAGTATTCTCAGCCAAGGCTGGGCGTCCATGGCAACATGGCAAGATAACCCTCGCTCTTGGACACAGCAACATGGTTGGAGCTCCGTGTCAAGTGGTTGGGTCCATATACGCCGCTAGCCGTCGGGATGACCTACCATGTCGAATTTGCCTTGCTGGCGCTCTTCGTACAATACTGGATACCAACACCTTCCAAACTCGACATGTTCGCTTCGCTGCCGCGACGACGGGGCTTTGCAGGACTTTAGTCGAAGTGAGTGGGCTGTGTCGACTTTCCAGGACAGCGTAGCAGAAGACCAAGCGAAGCGAATCGGCGTGGGAGCTTGACACCATTCAGCCAACATAAAACTTGCTCTGTGAAGTCGTCGACCGAGTCATTGCAGTCAGTTCTCGATCAGCATTGGCTCCCGAACGACGAGACTCGCCGTCAGGTTGCATCTCTGTAGCAGCGCCATCTCGATGCATATATGCTAACCTACCAGACCACCCATAGGAGCAAAAGTACTGTACAACCCAAAGTCAGCCAAGGCCTGCGAGAATCGTGATGTGATGGTTTAATTTCCGCGTCGAATGAAGACAACGCCTGCACTGACACGGTCAGCCCATCGAGACGCCTTGCCACCGGAACACACGGATTCTGGGGGAGTTCTGCTTGCATGATGCTCCGATCTGTACTTCGTGAAAAGTGTGTGATGAGTGTGATGGCTGTGTCCGATGATCTAATGATCACTATTCTCCATGAAGTTCGATCAAACCCTGGGCCAAGTCGGTTAGGCGGCCTCCTGGCAAATCACAGGCGCTCTTGCCTTTATTTCGTGGCGAAGTTTTGTGTCCACAATTCACCCACAAATCCCGACGTCACAGGCGCGGCCTCTCCTTCCCTTCCCTGCTAGGGTTTCCTCACTTGAGTTCTAACCGGTATAAAGCACTAAAACACCTCGTACTTGCTGTCTTTGTACCACTACGAACGCACTGGCCTTGTATACGTTGACCATCATTTACTTGATTGCTTCACTGTTTGTCCTGCACGACGCTATTCGCAGCGAACAAGATCAAACAAGATCAGTCGCATCATCACCCCGAACCTCCTGCTGCTCGTATTTCTCGCAAACAGGCAAATAGAGTGCGCGCGAGCGGTAATCACCTCAACTCGCCACTTAGATAGAGTGGACTGCGCCTCGTGTGTATTGACTTATATACACGACCTGCGAACCGGTTGCCTTGGGGCTCGTATCTGTTCGCTACCCTATACACATCCACCAACATGAGATTATTTCCCGCGTTCCTGGCCCTTAGCGCCGCAACAACATCAATCGCGTCACCACTCGCGGAGCCAAATGCGCTGGTCGAGCGCAACCCAGATGCCTTACACTCTTCCTCGAATCTTGCCGTTCGTCACAGACGGACGCGCAGAGAAGACGAATATCTCGAACGACGGGTAGCTGAAGACACAATCGAAGCACGGTCCGCTGAGGCAGAAGCCGACCTCCTCGAGACCAACGTGTTCGAGAAGCGGAAAGGCGGAGGCGGCGGGAAAGGAGGAGGTGGCGGTTCAGGAGGCAAAGGCGGATCTGGTGGCAGCGGTGGGCGCTCGCCATCCTCGTACTCCTTTTCGCCACAATCCAACATCGGCGGCAGAACTGTGTCTGGCTCTGGGCCACGACCGCAATATGCTGGTGGTCGCTATGCAGGTGGCGCCACGGTACCCTTTTCTTCAGGTGGCCGGACGCCATCGCGAGGCATTGCTCCATATGCCTTCCCTCTGGTCGGATTCGCTGTCTTCCCTGCTGCGTTCCTGTTCGCATACGCATACGCCTATCCTTACGGTTACGGATACAACTATTATCACGATGGAAGGAACCGTACTGCCAATGTCACCTGCCTGTGCGAGCAATATCAGGTCTGTGGGTGTGATCCCGATGGCAACCAGACGGTGTTGGCGCAGCAGATCGCCAACGGCACTGAGGGTGGTATTCCGGTCAACAGCTCAACCGTAAGTACACCAGCAAAATGTGGCGTTGGGTTGAATGCTAACCAAATCGACAGGTCAAGACAGTCGACTACGGCAACGGCACCGAAATGTCCTACATTAATGGCACCTTACCCAATGGCACCACGCGCCTGGCGGCACCGAGCCATCTGATGAGTCCCAGATCAGTGCGGCTGTGCAGCATGTCATGAGCTATGCCGGATACACAGTCATGATGGGCACTGTTGGCTGGGGTGTGTGGATGGGTGGCTTGCCATGATCCTGCCTTTCCTGATTTAGGCAAGGTGAGATGAAGGGTCCGAATCAGCAATGAGCGACGTTCACTGTGTGTTGTGGAACCACGTAAGTATCGAAGCCGAGCAGTCCGAGATGTCAGGCTTGAGTGCCAGCGGATCGTGCCAAAGTCTGCCTTGGCGTTCTAGGATGATGCGTTGAAACCGCACCTGAATGTGGCAGTTGAGAAGACCGAGATGTCGAAGACAGGGCGGACGGTGAATAGACACCACAACTTGAAGTGGCGTTTGGATGACTATGAAGTGATACCCCATTGCGTCCCGATCGTTTGCAGATGCGATGGGTTTTTCTTGTGTACAGGAATATTTTTACAGGGGGCTCAGTTGGCAGTCCGAAGGAGCAGAAAACGTTCAAACCAGTTCTTCTTACGTCTGCTCCTCATCGTTGCCATGTCAGCTTTTGCTTCCATCTCGCGCATTCGCCTTATCCAACAGCGGGCGACTGAGCACATCCAACATCTCCTCAAATCTCACAACTACTTCCCCATGCGTCCCCTCATACTCCCTCAACTCCACCCCGTCGCTCCCAATCTGCTCCGCCATCCACCGCGCGCATTCAATGGGTGCGTTCACATCCTTCGTGCCATGCCACATCACCACCTTCTCCCCCTGCTTTCCCCTCCAATTCACATCCTGCAGCTTGAATCCCCAGCCGACCTCCGTGCAGAAGATCCGGAACTCCTCCAATGCAGCCCGTGTTCCTTGCCGAAAAGGCTCCAGGGCTTGGTTTACGAAGGACTCTCTTTGCTCACTGACAGACCACTCCTTCGAATCCTCGCCAAGGGCAACGTAAACGACCAGCTCAACCTCCTCCGCTACATCCTTCGCAGGCTCTCCGCTGCGGTCCTCAACAAGCTTCTTCCTCCTCTCCCTCGCCGCGATCAAGGCGGTGTCAACGCGCCGTTGTACCCAACCTTGGCCCGCGAGCAAGCGCACAAGTGCAATGCACGCTGCTGTGAAGCCCCGAAGCAGCCACGGCGTATAGAAGGCAGCATAGTATCCGACCTTACTCCACCATGGCAGCGCGGCCCATCCCTCTGGGCCTTGCGCGGACCAGTGCGGTGCGCCGCAGGCGATTCCCACACCGGCTACCTTGGGAGTGAGGAGCGGGATCGTGCTGGCGGCGGCGGCGAGTGCGTAGGGACCTCCGCCGGAAAGGCCGAGAATGCTGAAGCGCGATAGCGATAAATGCTCAATGAGGGGGAGGAGGTCGATTGTGGCGTAGTCTGCGATGGTGCGGTTGGGAGTGGGAGAGGTGAGGCCGAAGCCCGGGCGGTCGGGTGCGATGATGCGGACTGGGGGGTTGTGGCGGAGGGCGAGGTGATGCAGGAGGGAGGCTTCGTAGCGGGAGGAGGGGTAGCCGTGGAGGTAGATTATGGTTGGAGAGGTCGGGTTCGGCGAGCCATAGCGGGCGTAGGAAATCGTGCGGTTGGTGAGGGTAGTGAAGGTGTTGTTTTCGGAGGGAGGACTGTCGTCTGTGGGATTGGAAACCGAGGTGGTCCGGGGGAGAAGTGGTGATGTTTCTTGGTTGGTCATTGTTGCTGGAAGGCTTCGATGAGCGTTGGTGCCAAAGGCACTGTGTCGTGTGTTCAGAAGGCTCGGCTTTTGTTCAAAAGCGTTCCTTGATGTTCTTAAGATTCTCAAGCGGACTGACTGTGCGAGACTGGCAGGCAATGCTTGTAGCTTGGGACCGGCCAGTATGTTCATCGCCAGGCACCAGCAATTCGCGTAGGGGAGCTTTCCTATCTACACATTTGCCCAGAAAATCTCGCTGACTCGCAGAGACGTCTAGAAAGCAAGTACGGCGCAAGTTGGCCGCGACCCTGAATGTTTTGCCCCAGGCCACCACGCGGAAGCCCTTAGTTAGTTCCAAAGGCTGGAATGACAGCAGGTCGTTTTTTGAGAAGGAGAGACATGGTGACCTACGTCCGCCTCACAGAGGACAATGTGGCCTTATATAGCTTGTCCGACCTGTTGCCAGAGGCTAGTAGCTCCAGCTGATGAGAATGCTGTGTTGTCGTTGGTGGGAGGCAGACACCTTCGGCGCGCGAGGAATCCGGGGCTTTTCGGCGAGCCGAAGCTGAAAGGCGGCGGGATGCCTGGACGCCTTTTCGTAGCTTGGGTTTGCCTTTAGTACATATTGTACCTTAGCTTAGACATTTATCTTGTTGACCTGCGAGATTGGCCAGTCGACTTGCCACGCGATTTTCGAGTCAGTCACGCAGAACTATGATGACTGTATGTGAATGGTGGAACATCCTCATCGATGTCAGAAGGCACAGCAGGTGAACATCATCCAATAGACATATCAAGCTTGTGTTCGTGGGATATGCATCAAGCAGATTCTACACTTGCCCTTGAAAGGACCGCTCGGGTGCAATGCTCGAGACAACGAGGCTCAAGTGACAGCGTGGAAAGATGCTCAAGTCCCTATAGATGACTATGCGAGTCTCTGAGGCAACGAAAATACCCACAATGAATTCACTTCGGTAGGTGACGAGCACCAGAAAGAGGAGGCACCCATTTTCGCGCGAACTTGACACAGCAGCTGGCAAGATCTGAAGTTTCATGAACGCGTGCCATTTTCATGAACACGAACGCACGCTATCATCTAGATGAGAATTGCCCTTCCTTGCACGGTAAGTCGCGTTGATCTGTTGCGATAAGGTCACTGACGAGGACAAGACCTCGACCGGTTGTTACGCGCATCTCGCCCGACACGATGGCTCAATTCCTCGATCTGCCGATCGAGATTCGCAACATGATTTACCGGAACGTAGCACGTCGCGCCAGGGTCAGATTTGCATATATGACGGTCTTCCCACTGTCTACCTGCGGTGCGCTTCTGGTTTGCTGCAAACAGATCAATGCCGAGTTCTTCCCGGCCTTCCTTGAGCTGGCTCGGATCGACTTCTCGCGCAAAATTCATAGAAAAACCGGCGTCGTTCAGCTACCAGGCATCCAGTCGGCTGCCATCCAGCACGTCAGCCTGGGTCTCAACGTTTTCGCCAGCGATGGAGGCATGATCTTGTTGAAGAACATGTCCAACCTCAAATCATTCACCTACAAGGCTGTTGGTTACTATAATATTCCAGGAAGCGTGCTCAAGCATGTGGAGGCATGTCACAACAAGGACGATACGGTTCCGGATGATCCATCAGACGAGTGCTGTGATATTTGCAGCGAAAAGTGTGCGGTAGATCATCTGAAAGATCAGGTCAACAAGTATCCTGACATCCTGCTTGGAAACTGCACAGCGGCCGACGATGAGAATGGCTGCAATGGGGACCCGCAATGCTGCGCTGGCAATCCCATTCGCAAAGTCATCGGCGTCTGGGAGTATACGGGCAAGCCCTTCAAGCTGATTGCTCAGGTATACATTGAGGATCTTGAGTTCGCGCTGGACGATGACTGGGTAGGTTCTCTTCCTCCACCGAATGACAGATCCCTGACTGCATGCAGATTGGGTTCTTTGACCTGGGCTCGAAGGAGATGGTGATCTGCAGTGGTGAGGACCATGACGACATCAAGACTCGGTTCCTTGTCGACCTTCATGGGTACTAGCTATGTCGATGCCTTCAGGCTCGTGCCGTCGAAGGTCCAGCACAACTGGACGGCGCCATGTTCGCGGTACTGAACTTCGGTTGGGAGGCATCTGCCATGCAGTCACGCTCAGCAGAAGCTCGACGTCTCTCGAAGTATCAATAGGCAGGCACGGTCATACTGCAAGCAGCGTGGAATGCAGTGCTCGGAGGACGCCCTCAAGGGTAGCTTTCGTTGCTGTCGACTCGCTCTTAGGTATGACAACGGTCGTTACCACAAAATTGGTATTCGATTGCCTACCTGCAGGGGACTCCCCATACCGTTGTTATGCGGTCAAGTGATCTATGCTACACACTCAATACCACAGTGATTTCACAACCGTCTGACATTCGGACTCCTCGCGCCCCCAAACTTCAACCTCGTCGCATCACTCACCCTCTTAACCAGCGGTCTTATCAAATGCCCCTCACTCCCCAATAAGGCCTTCTGAAAGGCTCCCTACCCGGCCCGAAACCACGCATGATTACCTCCACGGCAAAAACATCCTGTATCGTCCTCAGCGGATTCATGATATCATCCTTGCCTCCCCTTTTTTCAGCCGCTTTCTTTCCGCCAGACTTCCAGCTCAACATGGCCATCTTCTTCATTGCGTAGGTGCTTAGTTGGTAGGCGGCGTCGAATGAGGAGCGTTGTGCGTGCCGGAGGCCGATGTTGCCGCAGCTGAACGACAGGAGTGGATTGCGTGAAGGCTCGGTAAAGGTGATATGGGTGTTGTGCTTGTGGGCGTAGACGTGGATGTGGTAAGGCTCGTCGATGGGGATCCCGCCGCTGCCAGATCGGGCGGAGGCTTCGTTGCGGGCGTCCCTGAAGAGATTTTGGACTGCAGACGAGCCGGAGCGGGTGGTATTTGTGTTGGAGGAGGACTGAGTGGAGGCGGAGGGGTACGAGTAGGGTGTACTTCCGGGAAGTGGGCCGCCGCCCAATATGGTCGCGAGTTGTTCTTGTTGGGCTCGTTGAGCGGCTTGCCGTTGCTGTCGGGCATTCGTCTCGCGCAAAGCTCTGAAGTATTCGCGGGGAGAAGTTTTACTTGGGATGGAAGTCGGGTGCTTGAGGCGGCAGATTGCTCAGATGGCTCTTTGGGATCGTTCATTAGACTCTCACCCAGGCCAGCGAGAGGATTCTGGGCACGCAGAGTGCTTGTCGAAGAAAGAGTGCGGCGTGAGTTTGGATGCCGTGGATGCCGTTGTGCTTTAGCGTGTTGTCGGCATGATCTGCACATCGAGGACAGCGCGCTCCGGCCAGACGAGGCCGCTACTGCCGCTGGCATGGCTGCGGTGTTCGTGTGTGTCCGACTCGCGACGTCAAGACCAAGTGTAGGTCAATGGTCGTCGAGGTCGGGACGAGCTTGGTGAGGTTCAGAAAGATGTCCAGGGTAGGAAAGTTACGCGAGACAGGCGAAAGTTGAGAACGGAACGCAGAAGAAGAAGAATCGCAGCAGCTTCACCTTCAATCCGCCTTCATCTCAGTCCTTCTTTCCCTTGAATTTGTATTCTCTCTATTCCAGCTGTTCACTCAGTAGTAAAATTGAAGGGTGCATCAACCTCTTTCAGAGCATGCTAGCTGCTAGGCGTGCGCCAGCACATAGTGTTAGCCGCTATGTGACCAGTACTTTTGCTTCTGCTTCAACACATTCTGGCCGCACTGCGGCATATAGGAGATTAAACACACTCTCTACTCTACCGAAGCCCCATCGCGAGAACGCGCCACTCCTTCAGCGGTCGAACATCTTCTCATCTCAACATGCGCCACCGTCCGTAGCCGCACTAATTCGGCCGTTCCACTACTCTGGACTACGGCCACAGGAGCCCAAACCGAAAGATGGTATAAGAGATTCGCCGCGGCCTGCAGAGCCTGCAGAGCCGTCAGAGCAGAAGGCATCCGAGGAGCCTAAGTCCGAGGAGGGCAAGGAAGGCGAAAAGAAAGAGGGAGAAGATGGCAAAGAACAGAAGAAGGAAGAGGCACCTCCGCCACCTCATGGCGACAAGACGCCATGGCAGGTTTTCACCGAGACTTTGAGGACTGAATTCAAAGCATCGCAAGAATGGCAAGACTCGACAAAACAGCTGGCTGGAGAAGTCAAAGCTTTCAATGAGTCTGACAGTGTGCGCAAAGCACGGGAAGCCTCGTCAGCCGTGACTGGAGGAGCCAGAAAAGTGGTCAGAGGCACGGGCGAGGTCGTCGGGAAAGGTGTCTCATTTGCCTGGAACACGTCTGCTGTGCAAGGAGTGCGAGCGGGTGTGAATGCTACAGGAAGAGGCTTGGAGAAGGCCAGTAGACCTATAAGGGAGACACAGGCTTTCAAGGATCTTTCCGACGCCCTCGACGACGGCAGCAGCGCTCGCTACGGCGGTTGGACAGAGCGGGAGGAGCGCAAGAGACTGCGCGAGCAGCGTGAGCAGGAACGCCTGACTCGAGGCGGCAAGCCCATCGAACCTATGGTTGAGAACCCTGAGTAAGTGCCTTATTCGACGCCGATCACAGTCACTGACCTATATAGTGCTGGTACGAATGTCACAGTACACAAGGACTCGGCCTGGAAAGAGTCATGGAACGAATTCAAAAGCAACTCGAAAGTCATGCAGGGTCTTTTCAACATGAGAAACACTTATGAAGAGTCAGAGAATCCTCTCATTTCGACTGCCCGATCGATAGGCGACCGAGTCGCTGGGTTCTTTGCCGAGAACGAGACAGCTAAGGTCATCAAGAAGTTCCGAGAGATCGACCCCAACTTCCAACTGGAGCCCTTCCTACGAGAAATGCGGGAATACATGCTGCCCGAAGTTTTGGATGCCTACGTTAAGGGAGACGTCGAGACGCTGAAGCTATGGCTATCGGCCGCGCAGTTCCAGGTCTGGCAAGCTCTAATGGATCAGTACACGAAAGCTGGCCTCAAGTCGGACGGCAAGATCTTGGATATTCGGCACGTCGATATTATGAATGCTCGGATCTTGGAGCCCGGCGACATTCCGGTGTTCATCATCACCTGCCGGACACAAGAGGTTCATGTCTATCGAAAGAAGAAGACGAACGAGCTAGCAGCGGGTATGAGGATAAGGTGCAGTTGGTCACTTACGCGATTGGCGTGACGCGACTGCCTGAGGAAGTCAACAATCCTGAGACGAGGGGCTGGAGGTTCATCGAGCTGCAAAAGGCTGCAAGGGACTATATCTGATCTGGGACGTTGGCCGGCCATCTCATCTGCGTTGCAGAGAACCTATGAGCACGCGACGGTAGTCGCGTCCCGCAATGGTCTTCGTAAAGCGAAGGCAGGAACGCCTCGGTCTCCTCCAGCGCGGCAGCAGTCAAGTGGAACTGGGTGCAGCAGAGACTATGCTGTTTCGCACTCAACTCACTTCCTCTCGAACGATTTCTATTTGTGTATTCATACTCGACAGGAGCGTTGCATGTCTGGAAACGGCGCTTGTACAGTACTCTGCCCATGAGGCTATTTTCGCGGAATGAAGAAAAGCGACAGGGTTGGTTCGGAATTGCTTTCAAGCTCTGGGGACGCGAGGACCTCCCAAACTAATGGCTGCTAACATGTTCAGCCTGATGATGATCTGTAATACGGGCTTGGAGGAAAAGCTACGATCTGCTGTTCACCTAGCTTGACTCAGATCCGACGTGTACTGGGGATATGACGATGGACAGAACGAAGCAATTTTCTCTCTCGCATGCCTTCCCTGTTTGTTCGGCTTCCGACTCAGACGTTCGAAGCGATACTCAGTGAGTTCCAACTCATCAATCGCAAAAGCTCGCAGCCGACTCGAATACGCCAAGAGCATTGTGCGGTTGCCAGGTGATCAAGTGAACTACTCGCCGCACTTTCTACTTGCCATATTTCATTTTGACCTGCGGCCCTCCAACCTCTTCACTCTTTACGTCCATTTTCCTCCCACTTCCAACACACTTTCTGGCCCCGGAACTGTTCAAACCTCTCACGCTGCCAGCCACTCTCCAAAACACTTCCGTCAGCTTCACCTCGACAACGATGGCAGATCGCAAGCCTCTTCTCAAGACCGAGGAGTCCTCCGTAGGCTCTGTCGACACCGCGAATTCTCCATCAGCATCGAATTCATCCCTACGACCAAGCGGTCCGAAGAAATCAGACTCAAAGACGGGTCAGACCAAGATCACCACACCGGCCCCTGAAGGACCTCATCTCAATGGCTCAGATGTGCCCAATACCACAGTCGCAGAGGCCCCTCAAGCCGGGGACTGGATGGATTCCAAGTACACGATTCTCATCGTCTACCACGTCCAGCTCATGTACCTGGCCTGGCTCTTCGTCCAAGCAAGAAACAATCCAGCCGCGGCGGAGACCGCCTGGAAGTGCGCCGGCATGGTAATCATTGGGTGGACATATCGTTTCCTCAAAGCCCACACTCGAGATCCTCGCATTCTCTATCCGCTGGTCTTCGTCAACACCCTCTGTTGGTTGATCATTGTGGGCGAGCTCCGATGGCCAAACCGTGTCGCAGGTCGCAACGTCGCACCATTTTGTGCAACTGCATGAACGGTCATACACAGACCCCAAATCCTGAGCGGCTAGCAGCGGCATGATCCCCAGACAGTTCGAGGACTGACGTCAGATCTGCGATCCACTGCCTGACATTAAACTACCACGCACCTACATCACATACCAGGCACCAGTGTTTCTTTCGTAAGATTCGGCGTTCGACACATCCTTAGCCTTGGTCTAGAACATCCTCTGCTCATAGCAAGGCCCTCAATCGAACGATCCCAAGCGCCACACCAACGCATCAGCACCTATATCAGCACCGCCACTCCTTGTATCCTACATCCCGACGCGAATTCCTGCACGTACAACTAAACCACAAAACAAAAGCCCTTACATTTATTCCCAACCACAAGCCAACATGCCTCTCATCGTACGTACTCCCCCTCAGCACTCCCTTCACCCCGAGTAGCTCCCTCACAGCACCTCCCATCCCCATCAAAGATCCAGCTAACATCGCTCTACAGGATCCCGTAACGATGGGCAACTCGTCCGACTGGAAGACCAAACTACTCGGCAAGTCCCTCGGCGATAACCACAGTGAATCGACATTCGCGAAGAAAGACCTTCCCAAAGAACACCGCGTGCTGGAGGAGAACAGCATGAAGACCATGGACCACAAGCCTGAGCGGTTGAATGTGCATGTTGATGGAAAGGGTGTTGTTAGGGATGTTAGCCATGGCTGATTGGGAGGCATCCAGGGTCGGCTTCCGATGGCGAGGTCTGATCCAGCGGGGCACCATCACGTTAGCATTGCATCTGGAAAGAGCACATAGGCCGGACGACATGGACCGCTGACGGAGCATTCCATGAGAGGTCTTCCTAGAACGAACGCATCGATTTGCCCGCCTTCTATGGATGGATTTCAATATCCTCCAGGGCTGTCAGAGAAGTAGTCTCCGCCAACAATCGGCGACTTGCCCTTTGCCAATGATTCCCTCCTATCATCTCCGTTTCCGTCTTGTGCAGGGCTTCTTTCACCACTGCCCCCTCTTATCCTCGTATCTCCCCGCTTGGGCACAGTCAAACCCAGCCCAACACCAGACCGTCCAACTTGACTGGTCGTCCTCAGATCCCCCGCATCACGACTCAAACTCCCAGACGAAACAACAGGACTGGCCGCCGCACTAGCACTCATGCCCTCACCCAACCCCGGTACAGCGGCCACCACTCGCTTGAGCACCCTTGCAGTCGGGTCAATGCCCATGACGAAACGCGCCAGCTCGGCGCAGAGGTCGTAGTCGCCTGTACTGAAAGCTATGCTCATCAGCCGGATGATATGGGTGTGTAGTTCTGTTCTTCTGTTTGATGTTAGGGACTTCGATGCTGTAGCGTCTGCCTCATCTTCTGTGTCCTCTCCTTCGTCAAGGTCGCTTTCGTCCTCGTTCTCGTCTTCTTCTTCGCCATCGACTTTTTGGATGCCCTCACCGTCCTTCTGTTGCTTCTTCTCACCCTCGAGCTCCGCCTCGTCCTCAATGCCCTGCAATATGATCAACACGCCGCTCGCAGTCTTCAAGTCCTCTAACGCGAGCGCGTCTTCGAACATCTGGGCTGGAGGCGGCAGGTGCTCGAAAAGTGTTGGCCAGACGGTCACTTCTGTCTTGCGGATGCATTGCACCAGCGTGCTGAGGTATGCGGTGGGAGATAGCGACAGCTGGAGGAATGAGAGGGTGGCTGGGAGGCGTCGGGCTGGAGAGTGGATGGGTGGGTTGGCTGTGTGGGCGTTTTCTGGTCCAGAGTCAGGTCAGCCAGAGCTGTTTCGACTTCTGTGCTGCGTGCTTTAGCGAGCTTCCGCTTTCGTTCGTGCTCGTCGTCGAGGATATGGTGCAGCAGTATCTCCAGAGCGTGCGGGAAGTATGAGAGATGTTGGTATTGGTTGACGGCAGCGAAGGCAGCAGCGTGGTCGTTTGCAACGAGTAGCTGGTGGCGTAAGACGTATGGTAGGAAGAGTTGTGTGCGGATATCGGAGCGAAACAGTGGGAAAGGCGTATCGCGACGTTGGAGGAGCGTCGTCTCGATGCCCAGCACAATACCCTTCGTGAGAAGTATTGAGAGTGGGTAGAAGTCGACGGGTATGTCCACGAGTGTATCAGACAGGGCATCCGCTGAAGACGAGGAAAGCACGTTGCTGACGGCAGGCCAAAGCCGCAACTTCTGTCCAGTGAAGGTCCAGAGGGAGTCGCGAAGCGTAAAGGGCTCCTGCCGATAGCTATAGCTGCCTGTCAGGAAGGCGCCGGGCGATGGAGTCTGTGGCGCCGAGCCTTCCGCGCCTGTGAAGTTGAAGTACAGCTGATCTCGCATCAGGATGTAGTATTCCACATGCTGTGCAATGACACGGAGATCGTACTTCAGATCGTCTTCCGGCGTTCGAGAAGGTTGCAACAGGACAAGCTTGTCGTCTACCAGGAATAGGACTGACGCGAATTCGACGTCTCGTGATGGATCTCCATTACGTAGCTGGCTTTCGGGCACAACCCAGCTGACCGACCTTACTCTGCTTGGAGCTCTGACAACTCCGTGGAAGGCGATCTGACCGACCTGGATCAGCTGCGACTTGTTGTTGTCCATGCTGATCACATAATGGTAGAGGATGTTCTCGTGGGTGTATACTAGCAGCGAATCCTCTCCAGAGGGCCCCACAAAGACGATCGGCATGTTGAAGATCTCCGTGTACAGCGGATTGCGGCCCAAGTCGAGATCGCGAGAATACAATCGTAGGTCATTGCCCGCAGCGTTCTCGGTTGCGACTGCCAGTATGTGGCCAAACCAGCACATTCCTCCTCTGACAGCAAAGGAAGCCTCAACGGCAGGATCTGAGAATGTCTTCCACCTGCCACTGTTGACAGAGTAATGTGCGATGCCTCGGCGACCAGCAATTGCCACGTACCGCCCGTCCTGCGATATGACAGATGTTCGAATCGGCCACTGATTGTTCAAATATGCTGCCGGGTACTGCGCGTGATGCCACAGCGAAGACTCGCTGGAGATCGATGTGAGATCAGGTAACTCGTGGCCTTTGTAGATCTGTATCTCCATCGGCGTTTGTATAAGAGCTCGCACCAGGTTTGCGCAAGAAAAGTAGCCAACAGCAGCACTTCGGGCAAAGTCGAGCTGGAATATGTTCAAGGTGCCAGCAGTCAGCATTATCTGTGCTCCCTGTCCAAGCCATGTAGCTGTGCGGATCTGTGTAAGCCATGTATCACCACTGGTCTCAGCATGCTCGATATTGCAGTTGAAGGTAGAAGGTCCGTCCCTGCCAAAGACGCTCCAGGTCGTCCAGCCCTTTTCGTACGCGACAAAGAGGCAATACCCATCGGGTGACCAAGCGAGCGACGCAATCGCGCCCGTCATGGCAGTCGAGAAGCCTGATTGGAAAGTATGCGAAAGTGGCACATTTCCAGCGTAGTCCTTCGCCACATAGCAAAGGATCGTACCATCATCGATAGCCGTTGCCAGTAACGAGAACCTAGCATTGATGGCGGCCATAGTCGCTCGACGACTTGTGCCAGAATGGAAGCAAAATCCGTCATATAGACGGTTGTTTGGTGGCAACGGAGACTTGGGGGTCTGACTTCCGTCATCAGACGACGCGTTTCTCATCATCTTTGGGCGTACTCTCTGCACAGCATAAGCTGAACCGCTTGATGTGATCCAGACGCTCAGGTTCATCGCTCTGTCGTGCGTCATGAACGCGATGTTAGATTTGTCCATCCAATCCAGTTTGCTGAGTACTTGCGCCACGGCCTGTGTCCTTCCCTTGGCGGCTCCCATCGTATGCATTGTATTGCAGCAGGCTTCACGGTAGCGACTACAAGCTCTTGGTCGTTCGCGACCACATCGTTGATGCCAGCGTCAATCTTGATCACTCGTCTGAAGTGTAGGTATAGTTCAGTCAATCCGAGCGACTCGTCAACACCAAAGTACTTCACCACACTTTGTCGACGCGATTGGCTGTACCCATATTGCTGCTGCAAGACACGATGGGCTGGATCTGCCTCTACCGCAAGAGTCAAGATGTAGTCCTTGCTAGTCCTAATCGCGATGATGCTTCCATCAGGTTTGAGCAGAACCTTGACATTCTGTCCGAACGATTCAATCGACTTCGCTGATCTCTCAAGAGTCGCCAGAACCACTGTTGGACGCGCGGACCATATATTGAGACTACTGGCGGTGATTGATGCAAAGAGGTGATCCGATCGCGTACTGGAGACGTCTACGATGGCCGAGTCGTCGGGTGAGGCTGCGTCCTTTGTGGCATGACTGCCATCCGCCTGTGCGCTGGTGTTCCCGGTAGATCTGACATGGTGTACGAAGATCTGTGGAACACCGCACGGCCAATACATGACTCGGCCCGCTTATGTCTCGAGGTCATTTTCGGATCTGCGTGAATGTGACGGCAAGGATTGAGTTGGCCGCTCAGTCTTGCACCCAGTCAAAACAGTCATTGGTATCGCATTTATTCCGAGTCCGAGGTCAAGAATGTTTGTCGACAGGTGTTAGCATTGACTAGAAATCTAGCAACGTGACGGAGATGTCTTTGGTGCCAAGGGTTCGTCGTATGTGGCGCAAACGTGGCGCCGCTTGTGGCGGCAGGAAAGCTTCCCCTTACTTCAAATCAAGCTCGTTTTTGCACTCTTCGTTGTCTTTGGCTCAACGATGGCCAACATGTCGCTCTGCAACGGCTTCCAGGTCGTGTGGCTCACTCTTGCCGCAACTATGGCTGCGGCTGCTCGGCGATGCAAAAGGACAGAGGCATGTTGGAAGAGCTACGAACCCCTCTAACCGAGCTAATCAGCGGGGCATCAAACACGTCCGCTAAGGTACAGTATGTTGCATTGCGTATCATATAGAAGCAGTCGGATCCTCTTCCATGACAGTCCTGCTGGAGCTGCTCCTGCTCGGTAGGTTGTGATTCAATCTCGTTCTTAGCAGCATTCGCACATCAGAGCCCATCGAAGAGCTTCCAGTCGATTCGCCATGAGCGACGCCCTCCCACTTCGAATTCTGGCAGGCGCGACCATCCCGGATACGCCGCTTGTAGCTGCCGCCATTGACTACGCTCGCAAATACAGCAACAATCCCACATACAATAACGTGCTCCGATCTTTACTCTTAGGCTTCATCATTGCGGACAAGGTACTGCCCGATCGCGACCGTGAGGTCCACGCTGTTGCCGCTATCCTGCATGATCTGGGCTTTCCAATCGGTCATCCGCCAGACTCGCCACTTTTGTCCAAGGACAAGCGCTTTGAGGTCGATGGAGCTAATGCTGCCCGCGAGTTCCTGAAGAGAGAGGCAGACTCGGCGGCATGGGACAAGCACCGGGTACAGCTGGTTTGGGATGCGATCGCCTTGCATACGATTGGTAGTGTTGTTTTTGAGAAAGAGCCCGAGTGTCAGGCGTGTAGCTTCGGGATTTGGGCGGACTTTCAGGGCCCGGACCGCGTTGCTGGCGGCTTGCTGACTTGGGACGAATACAATGCTGTGGTCAAGGTATGGTTATCAAATATACCGCGCTGGCCAATGTCTTGCCTCGCAGCTCCTGATTGAGTACAGGAGTATCCCCGTCTGGGTCTGATGAAGGACTTGAAGGAGCAGATGTGTACGCTGTGCGTCACCAAGCCAGACACGACTTACGATAATACTGTTGGTGAATGGTAAGTCTGCTAAGCTTGTTGGAAGCTTCCGTTCAACACTCTCTTCCAATGGACAAGCGTCAGCCTGCGCTGTGACACGGATTCTGATACACGTGGCAGGGCGATCGCTATGTCAAAGACTACAGTCGCAAGGGCAAGCTGACCCAAGATCTTCTCGAGACCTGCAACTTGGACGATATCCAGCCGAAGTAGCGGAGTCGAGATTGAGACGGGTTGCTGCACTTGACAACGACAACAACGCCTCTTGGCAACAAGGCAACTCGCACCGACGTCGACACCAGAATCCAAAAAGTCCGAATTCGAGTTCGAACCATGTATGCAACACACGCATACGCCACAAGTAGACAATATCAGCCAGATCACGCGCCCTCGAGCACTTCATGTCATTGTTAGCAATCTACAAAAAGGCAACAATGTTGGGGGGCTCACGACTTACTGCGTGAACCCCCCGAGACCTCATTGAGTACTCTCAGAAATTTTTCGTTTTAAATTAGGGAGCGACCCTATTGTACTTGCAAGTACTTTAATTCTTAAAGCACCATACCCTTCTTTTCGGGGCAGGTTACGACGCAAAATCTGGAGATCAAATATATAAAGGTGTTGATGTTGCCAGGGGTGACGAGCCGGTCAGTGACCAGTGAAGCCGGGACTAGGGAAAAGTCAGCAGCGGGTGACTTGACTTGGTCATGATCTTGGCGTCAACGCGACAGGCGTCTGCGAAGACCGAATCTCGAGGAGCTACCACTACCGCTTCCGAGGGCTGCGTCCTGCCGCCCTCTCTATTTTGAAGTTGCTGGCCGCGGCATCCCATCACCAAACACGAGCCTGACTACTCACACCGTGTCCGTCTCATACCGTATCTCTGACAGTCCATCCTCAAGCGCTTCCGCAAGCCACTTGCTTCGAACACGCAGCCGCCATTCTTGTTCTTGATACACTCATTCTTCAGCTTCTTGAAAAGAGTCTCCGTCTTCTCCTCCATGGTAGCGAACGGAAGGCCCAAGTCATGTGCTCTCAAGCACTCTATCTCTCCATCGATTGGCACACCCTGTGCAGGATGAACCATAGCCCCGTCGCTGCATTGGTCCCTGTCCCGTAGAATTAGTTTTGAGATTTGGATAGATGTGTGACCATGCCACAAGGCGTTGTGCTAACAGTTATGAGATTCGAGGTAGGTACTTAAGGTTTTGGTCCTTGGCGAATATATATTCATTCATCTTCTCCTTTTCAACCTCATTCCACGTCCTGATCCTAATAACAACATGAGTCTGGACTTCGAGCTCACCGATGTGCACGTCCTCATCACCGGAGCTTCAGGCGGAATCGGCGTCGCTCTAGTCAAGACCTTTCTCTCCCTTGGCTGTCGTGTAACCGCCCAGTACAACAGCTCTGGCAAGTCGTTGCACACGCTCTATGATGGTCTGGAGCCCCAAAAGCGCGAGTACCTCTATTCCTTTCAAGCTAATGTGACATCTGAGGCCGACGTCGCCAAACTATTCGCCACCGCCCAATCAGTACATGGCATTGACGTTCATGCTCTGGTCGTCAACCACGGTATCTTCCCAACGACCGACGTCCCTCTCGCAGATATGTCCCTTGCCCAATGGCGCAACACTCTCTCGGTCAACCTGGACGGCACCTTCCTCCTTTGCCGCGACTTCCTCCGCCAATTCCGCAGCGCCAGACCGTCTGTCTCCAGCTCCCCAGCAATAAGCATCACCCTCATAGGCAGCACCGCCGGAAAATACGGCGAAGCCAACCACGCCGACTACGCGGCCTCCAAATCCGCCATACAGACCGGCCTGCTCCTCTCCCTCAAGAACGAAATCGTCGCCATCGCTCCTAAGGGCCGCGTCAACGCCGTCAACCCAGGCTGGGTACGCACCCCAATGGCGGAGGAGATCGTTAAGGACGAGGCGCGGATGAAGAGGGCTTTGGCGACGACGCCGCTGCAGAAGATCGCGACGCCAGAGGATGTGGCGAGGCAGGTGGCGGTATTGGTGAGTCCGGCGTTGAGTGGGCATGTTAGTGGGGTTGGGTTGCAGGTTGATGGCGGCATGGAGGGGAGGGTCGGCGGTTGGTTTTGATGGCTGAGGTACATCGCGGGCACACAGGACGAGCATGACAGTACACATAGATGCTTGGCCGCCTGGATGTACACCACGTCTAATACTCGTTGAACGACACCCAGATGCTCTCGGACTCCGAGACGACTCACGCGCATCATCGAGAGGCCACAGCACCACAGGCTGCCTTATTTCTGGACAGGTCACGAGATATGGACCCCTCGTTGCATGACTGAGAACCATGATGCTGCCTGGTGTATCCGCTCGAAAAATCATGACAAGAAGCACAAGAATTGTGGGAGAAGCTCGCCCCATCGAGTAGTAGACGATGCTATCTCGACGTGACAAGTGTCGACGTGGGTTTTGCCGTTTGTGAAGAAAGAGGAAGAACAATGCGAGGGCACGGAGACTTACTTATACCCTTCCAACGCAGTGAAGATCGCTGCGATCAGTCGGGCAACTTGCGTAGGAGATATTCACTGTTGAGAGCATGATTCAGGATTGGGCTGCTGCCTGGTGTATTCACTCTACCTGACCTGACGGGGGATATTGACAGTGGCAATTGAGAAAGGCCTGAGAGAGTTTCAAGTTTCGTGTACTTGAGAGGGTATACCATCATCCACAGACTTTCCACACCCACCGTCTTGCACCCATCTGATCAGCCCGTAAGGAGTGCAAGTGGGCTCAACGACCCGGTACCATTTGACCCAACGACGCTTAAGCCCTATGTCACCACCACGGCTACATTATCTCCAGCCCGGTCGTCACGCTTGATCCGTCACAGAAGAGTGTTTCGGATCTGACCATCACTTCCGCACAACAGGGCCCTTCTCCCCACCATCATCACTTCCACTGGCCCCCTCAGCCACATAACCACCCACAGGCACCACATTGCCACTAGCATCAGTATCAAATTTATACAACTTCGGCTCCGGCTCGCCCTTCTTCTGCAAAACCCACCGATTGAACCACCACAGCAAAACCGTGCCCCACTGGTACTTCATATGCGTACGAGTCGGGACTGCAAAGACATAATCGAGCTCTTCAAGTGAACGCTGCTTGGTCTCCTGCATCCAGCTGAATACCATGAGCATAGCCAGGATATTTAGGCCGGCGTAGAAACCGAATGCGCCTTGCGGCTTGAAGCTTCGGAGCATGTAGGGGAAGGTGAGGGAGAGGACGGTGGCCCAGAAGTTGTTGGTCGCGACGGCCCAACTCATGCCGATCTCTGTAAGGAGGATGTCAGCTACTGCTGTGGCAGGACTAGATGCATGGAGAGAGGGCCACGGGCAAAAGGGACGTGGGGGTAACTTACCGCGGTGTGACAGCGGAAACACCTCGGCGCTATAGGTGAACGGCACAGGACCTTGGCCTGGTGAGTAGAAGGCATCGAAGATATAGATGAAGAGGGCGATTAGTGGCAAACGCGCGCCATTGTCTTCGTCCAGCCAGAAGCAGAAGCCAGCAGCCAGGAGGGGCCAGAACATGTCTATCAAAGGTCAGTTGACGAGATCCATACTGATTGGATGTGCTCAGCTGGCGGCACGCCGTGCACTTACTCGGATGGGTGAAGAGTAGCAGGGCTCGACGGCCAAACGTGTCAATCGTCCACACCGCAGGCCATGCGAACAGGAAGTTGATCAAACCGAAGCCCCAAGAGGCGAGCTTTGCGTTGTCAGTGGTTATCGAACCGCTTCGGGTATCGAGTACTTACCAAGGCTCCAGTGTACGAAGCACCTGCCTCGGCAAATACAGTGATGAGTAGAAGGCCTTGTTTCTCTGATCAGCGAACGAGTAGTGTGGAGTAGAGGACACCCTGAACTCACAATGATGTTGATGCCACACATTTGTTGACCGATCATTATGATGCCGCTAGCCTGTGTTGCGCGACGAATTCTGGGAATGGTGAAAAGCTCAACAAATCTAGTGAACATGTTTCCAGTCTTCGCGACAGCAGACTCTTCGACCAGCACTTCCTCTTGCACCAACTGTGCATTGACATAATACAGATCCCTGGCAGCCTGCAATGGACTATTACGTAGACGAAGCAGAGAACGATAGGCCTTGGCATGATGACCTTTCTTCATGAGCCATCGCGGTGACTGGAGATCATATCAGTCTCATTGCGTCCAGGACGATCGGTCAACTCACCTCTGGACAGAAGTAGATACCGATGCACAGAGGTACTACAACACCGAATTGTCAGCTATCGGGTAGACTACTCAGAGCGCTTCCCTGTTGCTGCTATCATGGGAGACTCACCGGCAGGTATGAAAGCGCTTCCGAGCTGCAAGCGCCACGCAATATCTGGGACATCTTTAACGGCAAGGTTGGCGCATGTGCCTAAGAAGATACCGAACGCCTGAAGACCGGTTGTGTCAGTTCTCCTAACAGCATGATTCTGTATGGTTGCTGAATGTGTGTAACTCACCGTCCAGACTTGCCAGGACATGACAAGGCCACCTCTAACGCCTAGAGTTCCGAGTTGTCAGTCATCTTCGATTGCCGCATGTACTACGAGGACGATTCCGTGGTGGCTGCCAAAGGGCACTCACTGGTAGGAGCATTCTCGGCTGAGAAGACAGGCACAGTCACTTCCTATCACATCTCTTAGCATGACATGCTAAGAATACATATCGGAGGAGAGCCAGAATCAGAGGACTGATGTCTCGCCTGGTCGAAAATCATGAAGAGTCGCACTGTTGCAAAAGGAGTGAAATAGATACTTCAAGACGCACCTTCAGTCCCATCCCGATGCCGAGAAGCATCCTGCACGCCACCAGCTGTCCCCAGGTCTGGCAAAGAGCCATGCCAAAGGGTGCGATAAGCGAAAAGATTGCCGCAATGAAGATTGTCCCTCTGCGGCCGATCCAGTCGTTGAAACGATCAGAGATCCAAGCCGTACTGTCGCCTCGCGTTAGCCAGACCGCTGTGGATGTTCAGGAGAATGCTTACAAGAGCGCGATAGCGATGTATGGAGCACTGTTCACAAAGCCGATGATCCAGGTATTCCTGCTGCAATTCGGCGTACAGTCCACCTCAGGGTGATCTTGGATGCCGAACTCAATTGGAAAGCCCAAATTGGCAGCATTCGACCTAGTGAGAGTGGTGTTAAAATATGTTACTCAAGCACACTTGATGACAACCCTGGCCAGGGGATTTGCCCTTTTGCCTGAACCACTATACTTCATATCTCACTTACCCTGTCTGATCCCATCCCTGGATAGCAGCAGCGACCGAGTTCATGATGATAGTGAAATACAGCATCTTCGGATGTCGCCATCGGTGGGTGACCTCGTCGCGGAGGTGATCCCTTTCATCATCATCGAGCTCAGGCATCTCCTCAAACCCAGCTGGGTTCTGAGCGACGAGAGCGGCCTTGCGTAGGATTGGCAAGATATCATTAAGATCGTTCTTGCCAGCATAGTCGTCCACGTCGGCCATGAGCTGTTCGCGGGAAACATTGGCGAGAGGGTTGCGGATTCTGTTGGTTCAGGCTGTGAGTTGGCTGTGGGATGGTTTGTGTTAGGGAGGGCAACGTACTCGCCGGTCAAGTTGGACGTCATGGCGGCGATGCTGACTTTGCGCTTGCTTTCGTCGCCGTAGAGGTTGTCGCGCAGAGAGCCTCGCCGGCCGCTATCGACAGGCGCTTGGTCGGTGCTAATGCCCTTGTTGTCTGCCATCTTGACGGGGAGGTCCTTGCAGGCTCGGGTTGGTTGTGGGGTCGGGGCTGCGAGACGGCCTTTGGCGGAGTCTTAGAAAAGTATGAGTCGAATCTGAAAGTAAGTTCGGAGGAGATTTGGTTCAGCAAAGCTTTACGACACAAGCTGTCTGCCGTGTGACAGACGCAAGGGAAGGGACAATCGAGGTGTGTTGCTTAAATCCACAGCCCAGTGATCCTACCTTGAGTTGGGCACTGTCGAAGGCAAGTGGGTCAAGCTGAATACTTATACGCTGCAGGAGCGACTTCGGGAGGGGAAACGAGAAGTCCAGGTCTGATGTCTCGCCAGTTGAATAATTTTGGTGCAACGCCAGCACTCAACGACCAAGACGCGAGCTGTGCAGTCACTTTCAGCCACGAGAGGAGCACAGACACGGTTTCTGAGTTGCCTTGTGCGAGTGGTGCCGTCGATCTGGGGACTTGGTGGTCCTTGTGTAGCCCGATCAAGCATGGTCTTCCTGTGTCTTCAGGTCGTTGTTGCAGGAGAGGAGAAAAGGTCATGGCCCGTGCTCGTTCTTTCCAGGCCTCCCCTCCTTCCAAGGGCACAGAGGAGAGGGATCGTGCATGTGCCAAGACCAGTTCATCTCATCGGCCAAGGCCATTGATCGACGTGTCAATAGGTTCGCTTGAAGCTTTGGCTTGGGATGAGTCTTGGGCAGTCTTGGGTCTTCTTGGACGCTGTTCAAGCTTGTTGATCCATGTCCACGTTACGAGTTGTGGAGTGGCCCATTGAACGAGCTGAAAATACTGAGAAGGTATTGCAAAAGAGAGTGTAGAAACTGATCGAAGTTCATTTTGACTTCGCGAGGAGGTTCTTTCTGTAGGACGGAGTGATGGCCTGAAAAGCCCCTCTAGGTATCGCATGCTTCCTATGGCTTGGCGCTTTCTAGGCATATGCAAATTGCACCGGGGCTTGTGAGTCTTCATGGCGGTTGGAGGCAGATGACCGCTTTGATTTCGGATGCGCACCTCCGCCTCCTTCACAGCCGTGCGGTCATTCAGATGTCAAGTCAAATACGAGCGCAAGTCGCGTGATACATACAGCAGGAGCGAGAGCACACAACCTAACGAACTTTTGAGCTTGGGATCGAACGGTCCTTTGCCTCCCGAAAGTACTGGTGAAGGAAGTAACGGCAACACAGGTGTCCCCAGAACGGCAATGTTTTGCGGCATTGCCAGAGCTCTGGAAGACCGTTTTCTGTTTGTTTCGCCAACCTTGCGGCTGTTGTCTTTCTACCCACGCTATCCAATCCGCATACTTTTAGGATGCGCTTGATCATGCCGCTGATTGATGATGTACACTTGCGCTCGAAAGAATGCTGAGTCGTCGTACTAGTACAATGAATCCTCCCCCTTGTGTTTGTCTTCATCGCCGTCTAACGCGATGCTCATCCCTATACCGCTTCCCCTTCTTGCTCCTATCCTTCGGTGGTGCAAGAGGCACATCTCTCAGCAAGAATCTCTGGAGCTTGATCATGTAATTGTCGATATGATGCTCGGCCTCGTCGTCGTTAACTTCAGCACCTGGACCAGGAGTCTGAGCTTTGCTGGAGGCCTCTGTCGCCGCAGCTTTCTCCTCGAAGTCGCCGTCGTCGGCATGTTGATCTTCTTTGGCGGCTTCTTTCGCGGCGACGATGTCCTCTCTCTCCTCTGCTTGCTCGAATGCTGTAGCATTCGTCCGATCGTTGCCAAGCACACGATCCATGGCTGCTCCGGCGACATCATCATCGTCAGGGGCGTCATCGAGCATGTCCCGATAAGTGGTTTTGTTCAAATAGTCTGTCGTAAAATCACCCTCTTGAATGACCACATCATCCAGAAGCTGCTTCTGATTTGCTTTGCGCAGAATATTGGACTCAATGGTGTGCTCAGAGACGAATCTGTAGATGTGTACATCACGAGTCTGGCCAATTCGATGAGCACGATCAGTACACTGCTTATCCATGGCCGGATTCCAGTCCAAGTCGTAGAAGATGACCGTGTCTGCACCGGTCAGATTGATGCCGAGCCCACCAGATCGCGAGGAGAGAATGAAAGCCAGGATGCGTTTGTCGTTGTTGAAGCGTTCAGTCAACAATTGTCGCTGCTCGATCTTTGTCGCGCCGTCGAGTCGCAGGTACCGATGTCCGTGGATATTGAGGAACTGCTCCAGGATGTCGAGAACCTTTGTCATCTGCGTAAAGATCAGTGCCCTATGTCCGCCGGCTTGTAGCTTGCGCAGGAGCTGGTCCAGTCGCTGCAACTTCCCACAATCGTACTGCAGCAACCTCTTGTCGGGAAAGGCAATCGACAGCTTCATCCGGGCTTCATGAAACGGATCTGAACCCTGAGCAGCGGGCGTTTGTCGCAATGCCACAGCGCCTGCGTCAGTGACCGCCAGAGAGCTCATGTCATTGGCCACAGCTGCCGGAGTGATACAAGCGTACTTCTCCACGAGCGGCTGCATGGCCCGTGAACGATTGTCGATCGATTGTACGAGTTGCAGCGACTCAACCGGGATCTCGCGCTCCCAGAACTTCGTCATGATTCTATCGCTCGATAGATGGGCCAATTTGTCGTAAGTCGTCTCGCATGTGAGTTTCTCGATAAGTCCGCGTCCATAGACCGGATGAGCATGATGCCGATATGCTTCTTGGTACATGAGCTGATCAAGCTGTCTATAGCGAGCTTGCTTCTTGACATTGTCGAGTGATTGCAGAACACTCAACCTACTCTCGCCGGACCATATACCCTGATGGTCGATTCGTCGATTTTGTTTGTCGCGCAGGCTCTTGATCTGGTGGAAGGCATGATGTCCTGTAGATTCGTGGTAGTCGATATACGAAAGGTTCTCACGGCATATGGGCACGAGCTGCAAGAAGTCGAGATTGACTTTGTCAGCCATAGCTTTCTGCGTCCTTCGTTGGATCAAAAGGTTCTGGATGTCGAAATCGGAAGCAACCGACTTTGACATTGCGAAAGACGTGTTGATCGGTCGTGTCTCGAACAGATCGGGATGGTTGCACACCTTCCGTAGCTGCATAAGGGCATTGATGATCGACAAGTAGTTGCCAGAAGCAAGCGTCTCTTTGGTTTGCGCTCTTGACATGAAGCCATCGTAGAGCTGACGCTGGCGTTTTGAGAGCCGACAAAGCTCAACGTGTTCGTACTTCAGGGGCATCTGCTTTTCCACGTCGGCTTTCAGACGACGCAGCAGAAACGGACGGATGACTTTGTGAAGCTTTGACACCTGTTCCTTGTCTTCTGCATCTAGAACTTGCTTGTTCTGCTCCATGATCGATTCGACGGGTTTCTTGAACCATTCAGACCATTCCTTCAGGCCAGCAAATGCATCATCCTGGTCATTCGTTTCTTGGCCATAGTGCAAGAAGAACAACAATGACCAAAGTTCTGTTAAATTGTTCTGAAGAGGCGTGCCGGTGAGCAATAGTCGAGCCTGGGTGTTGAACGTCATCATAGTCTGCCATCGATCTGAACGGAAGTTCTTGATGTTGTGGGCTTCATCCAGAATCATGTACTGCCATGCTCGTCTCTTGAAGGAAGCTTGATCTTGCAAGACCAGCTGATACGACGTGATGCAGACGTTGAAGCTGTTCTCATCCAGCCAGCCGCGGCGCTTGTTTTTCCGTTCCTCGATTGAGCCATAGTAGGTCAAAATTTTGAAGCCAGGCAAGAACTTTTTGAACTCCATCTCCCAATTCAGCATCACGCTGGTTGGCACAACGATTAGGTGAGGTCCCCAAACTTCGTGAACTTCCGCCAGGTGAGCTAGTAAGGCAATGCTCTGAATGGTCTTTCCGAGGCCCATCTCATCAGCAAGTATCCCGCTTCGTCCGTTGGCGTACAATGTGGCCATCCAGTCCAGGCCTTCATGTTGGTAGGTTCGCAACACACCACGTAGCAGCTTAGGCACCGGCGTCTTGATGCTGGAAGTCTTGTCCTCGTTGGCCTCTTGTGGCAGTGGGTCCACTGGTGGCTCGACTGAAGACATCGACTCTGGAGCCGAGGCTTTGCCGGTGACTGAAGTTTGTGGTGACGCTGCGCTACTAGGACTCTCACCGATCTGACGGTCTGGCGTCATCGCAATTTCAGCCTTGGCAACGGCTTGCTGTGTTTCAGAACGATCTTGTGTGGGCTCGGCATCTTCAGTGGCGCGTCCCATAGTCTCGTCGTCCCCTGCACCGTTCACAGCTTCCTGCATCGGAGTGTCGGCATCCGTAGGCAACTCTTCTATCAGTGGAGAAGAACGAGTCGCTTGCTCAGAGGTATCCTTAGCCTCATCATCCCCGACGGTAGGCGTGGAGGGCTCTTCGTCAGCAGCAGCTTCCTTCAGCTCTTTCTTGGAGAAGAACAGACCAAGCAAGCCACGGCTGTCCTCCTCTGCTTCTTCCGCATCCGAGCCCGATTCCTCATCATCGTCCTCGCTTCCGTCAGAGTCGAATTCGCTGTCCATTTCCGTCTCGGGATCGCTCTCATCGTCATCAACGGCAGGGCTTGCAGGATTGGAGTCCATGTCTACATCAGCATCCATGGATTTCTCCAGATCCGGTAGGTTCTCATATTTCGCTCGAAGCTGTTCCACACTCAGATCTGCATCGTTGTCCTCAGGCGCAGCATGGCTGCTCGAGTCAGAGGTTGAATCCGACATTTGCTCACTGTTGTCGCTTCCATCGTCGCTACCGTCAATGCCATCGTCATTCTCAGAGTCCTCGTCAGTGGCATCGGCGCTATCTAAGATTGAGTCTTCTGCGTCGGCGGCCAGCATTTGGGTTGTACGATCCAGGACTCGTTCGAGGTGACGCTTGTTCTCGGCCTGCTTTTCATCTTCGTATTCTTTGCGACGCATAGCTTCAACTTCATCCAGAACAGCAGCCCATAGCTTATCGACGTCTTTGACAACAGTCCGATACGCCGCACGGCGCACAAGGAAAGCTTCATGCTCAAGCTCCTCGACCGTCTTGACCCTGTTCTGAAGAGCTTTTGCCTCGACGTAGCGTTTGGCTTCATGTGCGATGATCTCCGCCTGCTTCTTGTGTGTTCGGTGCTCGCTGACCATCAACTTGTAGAAATAGCCGGCATGTACGTTGAGGTGGTCGCGATGAGAGTATTGATGATCAAAATTGATGGGCTTGCTGGCGTTGATGGATGCACGAGATGTATTTCCATGTAGCACGCCCCCTCGCTTTCGCGCTTGATATACTCTATTGCGCATCGCCGCTTCCCTTTGTATCTGTTCCGTTGACAAGACGTCCACGCCCAAGCGGTACTCTGTGTCGTCCTTCGCTAGGAACTCCTCAAACGTAACATATTTCTTGCCCGTCGGTATGTTCGCAGGTGTAACGATCGTTGGCTTGGGCAGATGGACGCGGAAATTGACCTTCCGAAGATGCAGTGGTGTGGATGAGTGCTGTACTGAGGCCGCTGAGTCGTCTGATTCCTCGGAGCTCTCGTCGGTTGACTCTTGATCATGACCATTAGTCATCGTGCGGCGAGCATTCTTCAGTGCTGCGAGCTGAGCCTCCAACTCTGCCACTTTTGAGGTCTTAGATGGCATGCTGCCAGACTTTGACCGCGATCTCTGATGCGATTTGGAGCGCGCTCGTGGCGCATGATGTGATTCTTTATTATTCTTGGGCGTTACGACGCGCTTAGTAGAAGCCGACGCTGGAGTGGTCTTGATACTCGGTTGCTGGGTTGCTGTTTGCTTCCTTTGACTGACGCTGTAAGTAGGCTTCTGCGATTTTTGGTCGCCGGCGGCTTTACCGAAGGCGGCTCGGGTCTGCCTGGTCTTTGACTGTGGCTGCAATTCCAGAGGTACGGCGTTTGTCCGTCCAGATTTTCTTCGGCCATCAAGAGTGAAGGAGGTAGGGCCTTCGGCAGCAACTCTCTTCCACGGCGGCGAGATTGGTCGCGGCAGTTTGATGGACCCATTGGTATCTGCAAGCTTCCGTCTCTTGGCTGGCGGCGTCTCGGACTCCTCAACTTTGGTTCGACCGTCGATTCCATTGTCCAAGGGAGTATCTCGCGGCGGAGGGGTATCGAGGTTATCTTCGCCTTTGACTGATAGCGCGATTAGACTATGAAGACCAAGTACGAGTCTGATCGGAAGCTTACCATGATGACCGTTGACATGTGGCTCTTGTTCTGATGAATGATAGCCATTGGTGTCGTGCATTGGGTCGATTGAGATGGTCTGCGTCTTCGGCAGCGTTGCCGGTCATGGCAAACAATCTGATCCGCGCCCTCTCATACAAACTGCGTCCACTATGCTCCGCCAATACCAGTTTATATCACTTGAATGACGATACAATTACTCTATGGACCTCAAAGATTACCCTCACGAAGTTTGAAGGAAAGACAGATTGATTTGCGTGCTTGCGCAGGAGTTGAAGTCAACGCGACTGATTTTTTGGTATTGGGCAAGAATGAGGAGATGCGATGCTCGAAGCCGCCTAGAAGGTGCATTTCGAAGTCTCCAAGCCCTGTTCGACCAATCACAGCCGGGATTGATCACTTCAACTTCACTGACCTCAGCCCTTACTCGACCTCCCTCTAAGCTCCTATATCACAAAACACCGACGTCCACCGCCTTCAAAGGCGACAGCTGAGCTCGAAACCTGCCTCCGCTGTCGCCATGCTATCCCGACGGATTGCTACCGCCGCTGCGCGGTCAGCGCGACCTTCACTACGGCCTTCAACCCACATTCCAAGAGCTCAGTTCTCAGTAGCCATGCGCAGGCAGGCCGAGGAGAAGAAGGAAGAGACAGAGGAACTCGAGGTACGCATCAGAAACGCTGTTCCAGATTTACACTCACATACTGCGTAGAACGGCGGCTGGATCAACCCTCCCAGGATCAAACGCCAATACCGCGATCCCTATGCCGACTGGACCGACAAGATCGAGCGGAGAAACTGGGGCGAACCTGTTCACGAGGACAATGATGTCTTGGGAATGTTCTCGTTATATGAGTACACACACATGAGCCCAGCCAGAGCAGGTATCATGTGGCTAGGCTTCCTCGGCTGCATCGGTGCATTGAGCTACGCGGTTTATGCTACAATGCCAGACTACCCAGTATTTCCGAAGGAATATGAGGGTGGGCTCGATAGGGAACTGGGAGGCATGGGTGCAGTCAGAGTGAGTTAGCGTCAAATCTTGAGGTTAACAGAACTAACAGCGACAAGGCATTCCAGAAGGGTGACACGCTGGAGACAACGGAGAAGGAGTTTGAGATGTGACCAGTATAGCTTCCTGCCCTGTCGTGCAGAGTCTGAAGGCGAAATACTGGCTTGCTTTACGGCTTCTGTACCAGAAATGCGTATCACGAAAGACCAAATCCTCGATAGTCACGCTCCCATGCTGCATCCCAGACACTTTGTGCCGTCACCCGTTGCAGGACCTTTGCCTGCGTGCTCACATTGACATGATACATCGCCAAAGACCCAAAGACTCGAAATTCCGAAGGCCATTCGAGAAACTTGTCTTAATAGGCTTTTGAATTATGGTTATTTATTGTTCCTTAAGTTCCACACTGTTGACTCTTACCTAGGTAGGCATTGTGGGCGATCACGAAAGACTTGTTGAGCCTACAGGATCCTAAGTCCTGGCCCCGTGTCATTACTAGTAGTGTACGTGTAGGAAGCGAGCAGCAGTGGCCACTGTCCGCCTGTCTATAGCCCAAGCCAATTTCCTGGACGAAGCAGCACTTGAAATTCCAAGCCCACTCCAGGTCCCGACTCACCCTCCTTTCTGCACCGCCCTCAACACCCGTTCCATCCCCCTCAACCGTTCCCTCTCCCTTACCACAACCCCACCAACCAACCTCCTCACCTCCTCCCGCCCCACCACTCCCTTCCAACTCGTCCACCCCGCCAGCTCCCCCAACACTACCTCCTGCGTATACCTCAATGTCCTTCCCCGGCTATCAATCTCCGCCTCACTCTCCAAAATCTTGTTTTCCGCCTCCTTCATGCTCCGCAACCTGCTTTCCTCTGAACCGGGAAGACTTATCCCAAGAGGTCCTTTCTTGGGAACAGAATTTGAGAGCAAGTTGGCGCGAGATCTCGCGAGGGTGCGATTCGCGGCTTGGATTTGCGTTATCAGGCTGGAGGACCGGAGGAGGGCGGTTTGGACCGCCAGGGTGGTAGAATGGAGCGCGAGGAGGGAGGAGATGTAGTTGTTCAAGGGGTTGGAGGCGGGTTGCTCGGAAGTAGAGACGCGTATTTCGACAGGGCGTCGGTGTGTGATTTTGGAAGGGTCGTTGCTCCCATTTGTGGGCCCAGCGTGCTCATCCCCGTGGTGAAGAGGCTGGTGGCGCTAGCGAGATCATTCTGCGCGTGCACGTACGCGAAGCCCTTACGGATGAGGTTGCGCGTGTGGATGCTGACGCGGCGGACGATGTCGCGGGAGTGGTTGATTACGGATTCGACGTCTTTGAGGTCGGAGGGTTGGGTCATGGGCTCGTAGTCGTCCGAGATCCGCTCCTGTGTCAATTGCCCCTTCAATTTGGCGCGCTGCGCGATTACTTCAGGTGCCATGTCTGGCACGAGGAAGAACTCCCAGAGCATTTCGTGGGTGCTGAATGTTGGATGCGACATCATGATCTTGAGGAAGCGGTCGACGTGGGTTTGTGATTCGTAAAGTGCTGCCCGCGAAGGTTTGGCGTGTAGAGCGAAGGGTGAGCGAAAGTTTGAGGCGTTCATGGCCGGGATGTATGAGGCTGGGTGGTCCATTGAGAGCCACTTGGCAAGATTCTCGAAGTCCTGGAGCGAACGACGGCTGGTGGTGATGGTGTAGGTCGTGGCGGAGACGGCGGCATTTGGGGCGCCGGACTTGAGGACGAAGCGAGTTGAGCCGTCTTCTACGAAATAGGAGCGCACGATGGCGGTGATGCGACCGGAGGAGTCGGGTACGTTGCTCGTAGCTGTGTTCGAGAAAAGGGACAGGTCGTCGATTCGATTGCGGACTTCGTCATCCTTGGCCAACTCGACAGCTGTCAGCCCTCTTGCCTCCTTCAGATGCAGGTCGACTCGGGGATCGCCGAAGAAGATGCGAACCATGTCGACTCGACCATACTTGCTGGCGAGCATGAGTGGCGTAAATTTCTTGTCATTCATCATATTCGGATCGACATCACATTGGTTCAGCATGCGAACCATGATGTTGGCGTCCTTCACAATGTGCAGTAGACAATTGCTCTTATTGTCCTGGTGGTCTTCAAGTCGAAGTGGCATCTCGTCTCCTTGTGCCACTCTCGCGGCCTCGAGGGCTTCCGACACCATGTTACTGTAGTCTGTATGGTCATATGTTCTGCAAATCGCAAACAGTGGTGTGTGTCCGATCTTGTCTTGTTGCCTCCATGGCAGAAGTGTTGCGAGCTCTGATATCATCTCTGGTGTGTTAAAGATGTAATGAGCCGCGCTCCGTCCTCTACTGTCCTGCTTAGCTAAGTAGTCGCGGAAGGTGCCTTCTTCGACATTTGCTTCTAAATACTCGAGCAAGCACTTGACCAGGTCGATATTAGCGAGCTGGATGGCGGCACTGAGTAATGTTGTGCCCTCTGTAGTCGTGTCTTCCAGTACTACTGGGGTCGGATAGTACTCGTCTAGACTGAGCAGGTACTGTAAGATTGGAATTTGTTGGCTCTCCACCGCCATCATTAATGCCGAATTGCCGGTCGGATCTTGCGTCTGCGAAAGCGAGGACACGGACGTGTCACCCTCTATTCCACTCAAGGTCGTCTCAAGGGTCGCCGTTCTGGATAGTAAGGACACGGTCGAGGAGATGGAAAGGCTCCTAGCTGCCATTTGTACTCGCTTCTTCTTCTTCGTGGGTGCTTTCTGGAATGGAAATACATGTGATAGGCCACCATCGTCATGCGACGACTTTCGTGATAATGATCCATTGGTGTTGGAGTATGATGAGCCTCTTGAAAGCACCGGTCGCTCCTCTGGCTCAGCGACAACCTCATCACAGACGATCGGGGTGTCGCCTTGGTACACCGATCGCGTCTCTTCCATGTTTCCAGACTTGATTGCATCCCACAGAGCTTTGTTCTGCTTCGACGCTTGCCGCAAACCACCAGAGCCACGTGCTAGGTACGTCAAGACTGCCTCAAGAGTGCTCAAAGCATAGCCAGCCTCGCCGCTCTCGACATCTTCGATGTAGATGAAGCGTTGCATATATGAAAGGCGAGCTTGCAAATGTCGGATTTGCGATCTTATCACGACCAAGAGGAGCAGCGAAACCAAAATGTCGGCATTGATCGTCATCTGTGTTGCCCTCTTCTCGTCATCCGCAATTGAAGCAGCGCGTCCGCTCTCCGAGACCGCCTTCTGCGTAGCCAGCAGCACGTCGAGCATTTGCTGTGGACTACCAGCCACGCCCATCTGTCGGAATGCTTTGACGCCGCTATCAATGCGGACAAGGAGGTCGCGCTTGCTATCTCTACCGTCTTCGAGAGCAATGCCGACTTGAGACACATCCAGACTGTCCATCTGTCGTATTCGCCGATCGAGCTCTTGATCGTGCGGTTTGTGGAAAGCACACAGCTTCGGGAACAGGAGATTATCATGAACCGATTCAGACACATAGCGCTCTATCAGGCGTTCGACAGCAGGTCCGGTCAGATCGGTAGTCGCTCCGAGTAGTGAAAGCTGCTGCTTGTCGACGCCTTGAAACAGATCGATGGCAGCTGTGACTGCTGTCTCAAGTGCTTTGCACATCAGGTCCTCTTCATCCTCAAAGAACCCTTCATGATTGAGCGGTAGTTTGACAGAGCCATTCGACTTGATCGAACCATTCTCCGAGACTTGCGTTGTGCCGCTCAGTGATGGTTCTGCAGAGTCCTCAACGGACGGAGGTGGCGGCAGAGGTCTCCCTAGCTCTTTCCCAAATTCGTTGAATAGTCTCTCCAGTCCAGGTTGCATCTGCCTCGCGATCATAGGAAAGTTGTTCAGCAGCTCATTGAAAGACTTGATGTCCTTCTTCTTGGGCTGTGAAGAGTCGACTGGTTCCGCTTGCGGTCGTGGCTGGTCCAACAGCGCGGGCTTCACCGGATCTGCCTCCCATGACCCAGTCAGTGGTTTTGATATATAGTACAACAGCCACTGCTGCATGTCGCTGCCAGTCGAGTGGTAAATAGCATCCTGCAGTATTTGGGCCTGTGTCAACTGCTTGAAGCCCTTATTGGTGAAGACGACATTCTCCTTGACTATGACAGTCCGCGCATTGACTGTAGAGTACGTTTTGGCCTTCCCGCGGCTGTCTCGTACGTTGGGTGTCTCCTTGCCCACCGGTGGCGGCACTCGTAGTATATGGGCGGCGAGGAAGTCTTCATCGTCGCTTTGGTCGGCATATCGCTTCCCGGTCTCGCGATCGAGACCATATATCAGGGACTCTGTAGTTGGTACAAGGAGGATGTAATTCTGGGCCGGGAGGGCGTGTCCCAGCACACTACTCTGGAAGAGCGCCCGCAGGAAAGGGTTCAGTACTGGCATCAAGGCACGATGCGCCTGTCGAGATCTGGAGCCAGCATTGATTATGCGCTCATGTCATTGCTACCGGCGGGTGCCTAGCAGATGAATGCGGCTGTATTCGGGGTGCTTCGTCTGAGCGGGATTAGATCGGTCGTTCGGAGCACTAATGGCGACAAAGTGCGGGAAGCGGTAGCTGGCACAGAGGCGACCGATATCTGATGAGTTGAGATACTGACGAGGCTGGCGCAGTCAGCACGCTTAATGTGAATTGCAGGAATGAGGCATGGAGTCTGGTACCTGGGAGTACCCCAGATTCACATGCCAGAAGCGCACATAGGACAGCGACAGATTCCAGGGTCCAGAACGCCAAAGGTCCCCAGACATGGAAGTTTGGGCAAGGCTGAGCTAAAGCGGCATTCGAAGTTTTCTAAGGTTTGTACCCGTGGGGCGGCCTTTGACTCACGGAAAATTATTTTTGAAAGCTGGGACTACGATGACTCTTCAATCACTTTCCAATCACATATGAACTACAGCTACTCCCATGGCGCCCTCCCGAAGGGGCCGTACTTCGCTCACACAGGGTCTCGATCGTGAAGTTCACCAAGTCATCCGCAACGTGATTGACCAGCGCTCCGCTTTCGCCGAGGACGCTTTTGTTCCGACTTTTGCCAACATCTACGATGAGATCAAGCGCTCCAACTCTAGCTTGAACAGGAAGCCAAAGAAGCTCCTGGAGGACTCCATAGAGCGCGTCTTGGACGTTATACGGCAGGATCTTGCAGAAACAGATTCGGAAGCAGAACTGGAACAGCAGCAGCAACGCCTTCCTTTGACGCCTGGTCCGCCTAATAAGGCGTCAAATGCCATGAACAAATCTATCGTCGCCAAATGGAGTGCTGCCCCTGCCACCAACGGCATGACTACCCCGACCACCGAAACCATGGCCGAGGAGACCTCTACGAAAAATGCGCAAGAACCGCCGCGTAAGAAGCGAAAACGAGCGCCAGAAATCAACCTCAGTCCGCCCACGAACATCAGCCTGGCAAACCTAGGTGGCGTTGATACTATCGTCGAGCAGTTCCAAGACCTCCTCACAATCCCCCTGATGTGCCCGACGATATCCATGGTCCAGTCAGTGCGAGGGATTTTGATCCACGGCCCGCCAGGCTGCGGCAAGACGACAATAGCCAATGCCATCGCGGCAGAATACGGTGTTAACTTCATCAACATATCAGCACCGTCGCTTGTTAGTGGCATGTCTGGCGAATCCGAGAAGGCTCTCAGGGAGTGCTTCGAACAAGCTAAGCAGGCTGCGCCATGTCTACTATTTCTAGACGAGATTGACGCGATAACACCCAAGCGAGAGTCTGCGTCGCGGGAAATGGAGAAGCGGATAGTGGCTCAATTGGCAACCTTGATGGATGGACTGGACCCAGCACTCAACGAAGGCAAGACTGTGGTGGTCCTTGCTGCTACGAACAGACCTGATGCTCTAGACCCCGCGTTGCGGCGTGGTGGCCGCTTCGATAAAGAAATCCACATGAATGTGCCTAGCGAGGACATGCGGCATCAGATCCTACGGGCACTGACAAGCAAGCTAGCACTAGCAGATGACGTCGACCTCCAGATCATGGCCAGGCGAACTCCAGGGTATGTTGGTGCCGATTTGAAGGACTTGGTGTCAACAGCCAACAACCTTGCCATCAAGCGCTTTCAGGCAACGCTCGCTCAGGATGCCGCCGATACAGCAGTCGTGGAGGCCTCTGCGATGCAGCTAGATACAAATGGAACCTCGGAAAACGAGAATGACAGAGCTGGGGAGAACTTTGCGGCGTCAACACAGGCGCACGATGAAGAGCTCAGTCCGGCAACCATCGCTCTACGCAATATGCTGAAGTTTCTTCGACAGCACCCTCCCGAGCAGACCACAATCACCATAACCCAAACCGACTTCCTCACCGGCCTCCCCCGTGTCTCCCCCTCCGCCCTCCGCGAAGGCTTCGCTACCGTCCCTCACACAACCTTCGCCCAAATCGGCGGCCTGACCCCCATAATCGCCACCCTCACCGAATCCATCATCGGGCCAATCCTCAACCCGGCAATGTACACCACCATGAACATCTCCATGAGTTCCGGCGCCCTCCTCTTCGGCCCGCCCGGCTGTGGCAAGACCCTTCTCGCAAGGGCCATCGCTAACGCGAGCCACGCGAACTTCATCGCCGTCAAAGGCCCGGAACTACTCAATAAATACGTCGGAGAGTCGGAGCGGGCTGTAAGGAGTGTCTTTCAGCGCGCGCGCTCGAGTGTGCCATGTTTAATCTTTTTCGACGAACTAGACGGCGTGGTTCCTCCCAGGGCGGACTCTAGCGAAGCGAGTGCTCGCGTTGTTAACACTCTTTTGACGGAACTTGATGGGGTGAGTGGGGACAAAGCTGGTATCTTCGTACTGGGCGCGACAAATCGGCCGAATATCATCGACCAGGCTGTGCTACGGCCCGGGCGGCTCGATAGCTTGGTGTATGTGGGCATGCCGGATGGCAAGGGCAGGAAGGAGATCTTGCAGGCGCAGACGAAGGATATGCCGGGAATGGCGTGGAATGAGCGGATGGATCGACTGGTGGGCTACGTGGAAAATGGCCAACAGGGCGGGCTCTGTCCATGTGACGGGTTCAGCGGTGCAGATATGGCACATCTCAAAAATAAAGCAGGCATGGTCGCCATTAGACGCGCCAGAGCCAAGGCGGGCCCTGGCAAGGAACCTGACAGACACGCGTTGAAAGTCGCCACCGAGGACTTCGAGGTTGCCGTGTCCGAAATAGGAAGGAGTGTACGCGAGTCGGATCTCAAAATGTACGAGAAATTACGAAAGGAATGGGAAAAAATCCCAGGGGCCGCCCTGATCGCCTCTTGAGGCTGAGAAATGGGAATGCAAGCACTGATGAGGCAATCGTCCTGTTCATTCAAGACTCTCAGAATCCTCCCTGGCGAAAATTGTGGCCTGCTTCTATTCTGGCGCGTGATGTCCAAGTGAGACTCATCTCAAGCCACTATGCATATAACGCCGGTTCAAGAAACACAGACAGCGGCCCCCCGACATGTACAACGTCAGGCATTTGCATCGGTCAAGAAGATCACACAGAGGCCTCACCACGGTTGGTATGTGCTACCTTGGCTCAGGACCTTCTATTCTGCACGCGGTCGAATATGCAAAGAATGCCAGTTCTGATAATGATACACGCTGTCTACTGTGGTTTCCTATTCCTTCATGCATCCTTCCTACGCATGCTTTTTGATCCAGGACCTGTACATTAATGTCCAATCGGAAACCCAACAATGCTCGTCTGCTATCGTACGGAGCTCTCCTGCTCCTCCCGTTCCTGCTGTACACATCTTTTCGAGGCCTGGACGAAGTTGATCGTCTCATCTCGTCATGCTTCGAACGCGTCCAGTCGATTAATAGACAGCATGCATGAGTGCAAAGCGGCCAGATCTTTGGCTTTCGCTCGAGCTACGAGAGGCTTGTGAATTGTTCGAAGTTGCTCGCTTGTGCTTTTTCAGCCTTTTGCCCTTTCGGTGACTATCATCAGTTCCGATGAGGACGTCAGGCCAAACACTGAGTACATTGACCTCAGGCTCCTTGCTGAAAGTGCCTGCAGGGAGGATTTCGAAGCCGTCGTTGACTTTGCGGGCGTGCTTGTTCTCGATTGGGCCAAGTTCAATGTTAGGGACTGCCGTGGAGTATGTTGTGTCCGAGCACAGCGAAGGCGCTGTGTCGACAGTCGTGGCTACGCTGACTTGTCTCATCATACTCTCATCCAGTAGCTCCCGCGTTCTCCTAGTCCACGCAGAAGGAGGAAGCTTCGTCGGTGCTCGACCCTCGATGATGCCGGCTCGTGATTGAATCGATGTCTGCGAGACAGTCTTTGGCTTCTGGGGTGTATTTGAGCCAAGCTTGATGTTCTCGCAGCGGGCCAAGACACGGTGCGGTAGCCGGAGCTCGAGCTGTCCTCATCGCAAGCACAGTAGTCAGTGACGACTGTGGCGTTGTCCTCTGACTTTGGTCGAAGCCGGGGCGTCAATTGTCCAGACTCCGCCGAATGCAGTCTTCTATGAGCTTCCATGCGACGGATAACGTCTGTGTGATCGACTGGTGGTACAGCTTTCGAAGCCACTGTGTGGCTCCGGCCTCCGATCACGAATTTTCGGAGACCACTGTCCCTCTTTGGCGAGACTCGTACTCTCATCTTCGTAGTCGAGCCGTCGGCAGACGAGGAGTACTGCGAGGGAGCCGTCGTATACGAAGTCTCGGTCAGCAGAGTCTGCTTCTCGGCCTCGGCGCCGACTGCTGCTGATCTTGCCCGAGATGAGGGGCCGCTGTAATTTATTGTGATGGAATTTGTCTTCTTTCTTCGAGCCGGATGAGCTTCTGGGGATTCTGCTGGCTCATCATGAGGCGGTCGAGGTGCCATAGGTACTGTGAAATGTCAGTAGACGCGCTGATGAATGCCGAGCAACGAAGTATTACCTGTGGCTTGGGCAGAAGATGGCTCTCCAAGGTCGATCGTTGGTATGGAGGAGGTCGAGATATCCCTCTTGGGTCTCTTGCTTTTCCGCAACGGCTGAAGTAGAGGACTGCTGTTCCTCGACGGTCCGTGCAAAGGTGTTGAAGTGTGAGCGTTCCAGACGCCTTCGATGGACGAATCCTCATCCAATGCCCTGACTCCGAAGGGCCGCCCAACAAGCACGCCGACGCTGGTTGTCATTTCGCCTCTTTCTGCCTGTGCCGAGGTGGCTTTCTCAAGCCGCAGCATCTTGCGCCATTTCATGACTTTGACCACGCCGGCGATGCATCCGACAATAACGAGCAACCCGCCCAGCACCTGAACACCGTCAGTACTCGAACCGAATGGTCCGTTGCGAACACTTACGAAGCCTAGCTTTGCCCAACTGGGCCAAGGTAAGAAGAGAACGTCAGCAATTGCCATGATGAACCAAAACGTGACATGCGCTGGGCTACCGAAACAATGTGGGATGCTGTATGCAGACTGGCCAACCCATAGTTGCAGATAGACGCAACAGAAGAGCACAATAGAAAGGATACGTGCTATTTCGTCTGCTGACAGCGTGAACCCGATGCTGTGGCTTAACAAATGGTGATGCAAAAGTGATGGCCGCGATTTGTGGTGAAGAACGGTACTGCCGTATTCAAGTGTCGATGATGCGTTTAAGCAGGCGGCAAGCATCGGCCTGGCTGGCATCGAGGTGAAGGGAAACTGCAATGAAGACATACCGCAGATGATGGTCGAGGTTGCCTCGAGCCAGAAGCGCTCCTTCTTTTGTCGGTGTGACTGACGAGATGGACGCGTTGACACGATCGATCTTCACAGCCCGAGTGAGGAAAGATACTGTTACCGGTCCAACGTTGGAAGGTCGACTGCGTCCAAGATTTTCTCGCCGACCAGCAGATGCGAAATCGGTGCTGGCACAGAGCGATCGAAACGCCTACATGTACCTCAGCCTCCCAGACACATACCTACGGTCCATAGCTGTCCGTCGTTTGCTTCGTCGCCTTCTATTAGCGTCCATACTTCCACCTCATGCATAGCCTGTCATGATTGCATCGTTGCGCCAGCGCCTCGTCAACAGCATGCCTTCCACGTGCGGTGACAGCTGCGTTTATACTTAGAGCCAGCTACACAGTTTAAGACGACATCCTTTGCATCTGGACTGCCGTTGTCCTGGCACCTGCGGCGGCCAGGTACGTTTGGTGTAACCTACATTGATATGCCGATGTCTTTCACTTCCCTGTGGACGTCAAGACAACTGGAAGCTCGGCGGCATTACTCGTCCACGTCATGTATGGGCGATTTCTTCTATCCAGTTGATTCGCTCAACTTCGTGTTTCTGTCCCTCGCACGTTCGATTTATCGTCGATCATCTCACCCATATGCAACAGAGTGCGTTGATCAAGCAGAACGTCCGTCACCCACACTGCACACTCTACACAACTGCCACGTTCGTCCGGAGACCATGTGAATGAGGATGAGTTATCATGAGGGATCCGGGCCGATTTATTTCCAGCCTCTAGAAGGCCGTGAAAGAAGTTCAAACCCCTGACTAGAAGTATCGTGTAAGCAGGCTTTGGTCTCGATCAGCAAGGAGCCGCCCAACTGGTTGGTGGGATGATCATAGGTCATGTCATCACTGCATCTGCGTGGCTACACTTCACACACCACCAAACTGCGGCTCGGACATTTCTCCTGCCTACGATTCAAGGCGAATAGATACAGCTGACAGCCCTCTGATGGATGCTTTTTCCTTCTTGCACTGTGTAAATCATTTCGAAGTATAAGTTTGTGTTTTCTTGAACAGCGGCTGCCCACCTAAAATAAGGTAGAATTAGAGCCGGGAGAGCCGCCGCGCGTAACACCCATTTCCTCCACAACTTCGATCTCCGAGGCCCCGCCATCATCAACAACCAACAACTCTAGAAGCATACATCACCACGTCTGTATCGCTTTTCGCCCGTCTTATCACTCCTCCGACTCGAGCGCAACATTCTTCTGTGCATGTAGCTTATTTTGAGGCATCGCATTTTGGTTCAGCACCGCACACAAACCATGCCGCCGTTCCGGATACCATTCACGTCGCGCAAGGGTCCGGTGACCAACGGCACCGAGGTCACGGATGAGAACGCACGGCCGGGCCCTCGCGATGTCAAAGCGTCAAACAGCCCATACTCGAGCAAGCCTTCGCTGGCGCTGGGCAAGAAGGAGAGTCAAGACGAGCCAAACGAGTTCCAGCTGAGTTGTATGGTCCTCCGCCCACACCACTGCAGCTTACTGACCGAATCTGTAGCGGTCGACAGCAGGGGCCAGTTTGTGGCACCTGAAGCGGCAGAGAAGACGTCCTTCTGGGCAAAGTCACCGTCAGCGACGTCGAACCACCGGAGTCTAGTCAGCGAGCACGAGCCATTCTCGATCTCTCGGGAGTCTTTCGACTCGTATAGGCGGTCTTTCGTACGTACTCTACAATTCCGAGATCAGCGTCGACCTAGGAGCTAACAAGCAGAAGGACGTGTCAGGACGCTCTCCCATCACTCACACCGACAGCTTCAACTCTCGAACCTCGTTAGACTCCCGCAGTTTTCAGCACTCTCGACCTTCGCTCAATGGTAATACCTTCGAGCGACCGAGCCTGGTCCATGACGACTCTTTCGATGATGTCAAGCTCAACGAGGACTTCGCAAAGACACAGCCAAAGAAGAAGTCATTTCTGTCGCGGTTCAGTGAGACAACAGAGGACGCCGCACCAGCTCCCAAAGATGGCAAGCATTCACACTTCCATTTCGGTCGTAAGCGAGGTCAAAGCGGATCTGGACAAGAGCTCGGAGATGTCAAACGCCTGAGACGCAGGTCCAGGCGACCGTTGAGACTCCGACGAATTGAATGCTGAATCTTTGAATTTACGTGCTACGTCTTGATGCAGAGCGCTTGGTTTTTTGCTAGAGTGGCGTTTCGTTGCACATGCATGCTCTGGTATGGGGTCCTGGTACTAAAAGACAACCGTCAACATGCTGGGTTGTTTTGTCAGGCGAAGCAATACCACAAACACTGATGCAACAGACATCAGTCTAATCTTAATGAAGAACCGCCATCAAAGAATCCGTTGTCTCTATACTCGGTCCCTTCAGCACATCCAGCAAACCACCAAGATAGGTTCATGAGTTGACCGATGACAGTTCCTTGGAGATCACACCCTCGACAAGCACGATGTTGTGGCGTCACCACCCTGGCATATGCGATATACCGGTCTGGCTCTCACAGCAACCGCCAGAGCAGACCAACAGGAGGAGATATGATCTCAACCGGGCTATCAATTCAGGATATACTCCACAGATCGTGCCTCAAAGCGTGGGGCGTTCCTAAACCCTGCAACCGCAAGCAGGATCAGTGCCACTATTGAAAGAAGCCATAGTTCAACTTGGGATCGAATCGATTAGTACAGCCGACAAATTTGCCCGGCACGGGCAACGCCTATGGAATTCAGGCACAGGCACACAGGCACACAGATGCACCTCGCAGTTAGGGCACCACTCGGGGCGCTCGCAGAGAGAAGAGACCAACTCGGTCACTAGTCCCACGGCCTGGTGTCTGGCTCTATCGAAGGATTCCGCAGCAAATTGCAGAAGCTACATTGTACTGGACCTCGAAATGGAGCTGGAACGAGCACTGCGTGACAGTAGGCTAAGCAGCCGCTATGCCAAGAATCGCAGTTGCACGACGACATGCCCTGCAGTTACCTATTCAATACCAATTACAGCCCTACGGCCAAACCACTTCTGGTACTCACTATTTCGATCTGATTCGTCGGTTGTTACACGAGAGAATGCTGTTCGTTGAATACAATGAGTAATCGGTGCCACCGGAACTTTCGGCCAATGTTTAGCCGGCAATTCAATGTTGAGAGCAGTGAATTGTTGCCTCCGTGATAGTTGCTGAGCACTGTCTAGGGCAAACAACCACTCTACCAACAACGTCACTACTGGCTGTCACTGTCACCAGCTTTCACCCTAGCAACCCAGTATTTATATATTGCCTGCACAGCATCCCCACAATGGACAACGCCACCTTTTCGTCCATCGTCTGCCCTATCTGCCTGTCGAGGAGCATTAAGAACAGGTCGCACCTTCCACCTTGATCAAGGAGCAGGAAAGTCAGGGGTGTCGCGAAGATGAGGCTTCTTGCGACGGTCCTTCAACTCCTGGCACTAGCCACTCCCAGCTTTGCGCACGACCAAAATTGTCGCAACCTGACAATCCCCATCCAGATCTCCGCACGCAACGGCGCATTCGCCGTCGGACCAACCCAGACCGACGTCGATGTGACCAACTTCGTCCTCGCTGGGACGCAGCCCGGTCACAATGCCTCCGCCTCAATTCTCAAAGGTTACAACACCGTGAACGGCACCTACAACATCTCGGCAACATACTGCACACCCACTGGACCCTCCCGCAACGCCATCCAGATTCTCACACACGGCATTGGCTTCGACCGCGCGTACTGGGATCTGCCATACAATGGCTACAACTACAGCTACGTCATCTCCGCCCTTTCTGCCGGCTACGCTACCCTTACCTACGACCGCTTGGGCATCGGCTGCAGCAGTCACGGCGATCCGATTTCCGAGATCCAGATCTTCCTCGAAGTCGAAGCGCTTGCCGCTCTCACTGAACTCGTCCGCACGCCTTACGGCCTCTACGACCACGGTATCTCCGAGAACTACCAGCATGTCATCCACGCAGGCCACTCCTTTGGCGCGATCATGACCTACGCCCTAGCCAGCACATACCCCGAATCATCCGACGCGATCATCCTGCAAGGCTTCTCAACCGACCCAACCTGGATCCCGTTCTTCATGCTAGGCGGAGAATTCGTCACCGTCCAAAGCACACCCTTATCCTCACAATACCCACCAGGCTATCTAGTCAGCGGCAGCAAAAGCGCAGTGCAAACCAACTTCTTCGCACCCAACGACTTCGACCCCGCGATCCTAGACTACATCGTCAACGTCGTCGGTCAACCCGTCGCCATGGGCGAACTACTCAGCATCGGTGGCGTCGGAGGGCCTTCGGGGTACAAAGGTCCCGTACTCGTTATCACGGGTGAGCGCGACGTGCCATTCTGTGGTGGCGACTGCTATGGTCCGAACAAGGGGAATGCGCCGAGTGTGCCGGCTAAGGCTGCACTGGCGTTTGGGGACCCGAGTAAGGTTGATACGGGGATTGTGAAGGGGGCGGGTCATGGTTTGAGCGTTAGTTATTCGAAGGGGGAGACGTACACGCGGATGCTGGCTTGGTTGGGCGAGGTTGGGCAGAAGTTGGGGTGGGGCGGGCCGAGTCGGGTGAAGAGGGGCGTGCAGTGATCGGCTTGAGATTGAGGCGGCTGTGGCCTATGGACCACGGGCAACAAGCATGCCAGGCTCGTGGCTCAATAAGCGAAAGTGCTTGGAAGAGCTTACAGGGAGGCCTTTGGCATGAACACGATTCAGAGTCAGGAAGACGACCCGAAAGCCGGTCCTACATGGCAGTCGGCTCAATCCATAATATTAATGCCCACTCAGTACTAATATGCACATCGTGACACTCCGAAGCTCTTGCTCTTGCAGACCAGCGAACATGCAGCAGCTATATCTGTCGTATCATACATCCCTCGTTCGCTATACTCCCAAATATACATATATACACAGCCATTACCAGGCCATCCTACTGCCTCCCACCCAGCCCCCAGTACCGCTCAAACCGCATCTTACACCCTTCCACACTGTTCAACTTTGGCCGCACGTCAAGAAAGAAATTCAAATTCTTGTCCAACCCACCACCACCCTTCCCCTCGTAAAAATCAATAACATACTCAACCCTCTCCCCTCCACACCTTTCCACGACCCAATCATGCCGGTCGAACGGTTCCTTCTTTCCTTCGACCCAAGCCTTCCACTTCGCCCTCGGCGTCTGCGCACCCGCGCCCCTGCCGGCAAAACTCGCTAGTTTCGGCCCGCCACAGCTGTCGCTGGAGGAGCCTCCCAGGAGCGGATGAGGGACCAAGCACGCTCGTTGACGGCGTTGTGGATTGGTATGATCGCGCCAATGGATGTGGCCAAGGCGTGAGGGTCTGAGGTGGTCTGTTTCTGCATCACGGCGGTGTAGAATTGGGATTCGGAGGGGTAGATCCAGTTGCCGGAGGGGTGGGGACCGGTTTCGGTTTCGGCGTTGGCTGGGGAGGTAGAGGTCGTGCTACGTAATTGTGCGCGCGGTATGGTGCTGACTTCTCGGTCTTGAGAGAGTGGCCGTCCGGTTGGGGTCGGAGTGTGCGCCGGACGAGGTGGTGGGGAGGCGGACTGGCCGGTTATGCGGGTTGAGGAGCATTCTTTTGAGGCGAGGGTGGCGGTTGTGGTAGATGGCAGGGAAGGGTGGTTTGATGGGAGGGGCGGAGGGGGCGGAGGTGTCGTTGCGGCAGATTGTGAGGCTTTTGAGGCGGCTGCTTGTTGCAGCCATAATGATCTTGTCTTGGGGTCGACCGGACATGAGGACTCGGAGGGTGATGTTTGTGCTGGTGGTGTAGGTCGGGCACCTGGTGCTGGTGGAGGTGGTTGTGATGATGCTTGTGCTGTCGGTGCTGCTGGCACTGGATCTGCCTTCCACCACCCCATATTGTGTCGTCGTAGTATTGGGAACTCAAGCTGTCTCTCATGTTAGAATGGACATATGGTGATGGTGATGTCTTGAGGTCATTTCGGGCCGAAGTTTAGCCGCCCGCATTTTGCAATGCTCTCGCGGCGGTCAGCGAGAGATGATTCTCTGCTACGCTCTTCATACCTGCAGACTCTTGTGTTGCAATCTGTCTGGTCGTAAGGACTGACCTGCCGCAGTAAGCATGGCGGAAGCAGGCAAAGTCCACCGTGCAACGACGACAGCTCCAGTCAACATTGCCGTGATCAAGTAGGTACGCCAGCGGGGACAAAAGCACGTCCAACGATGCGGTTACTGACACAGGTAGGTATTGGGGCAAGAGGGACACGAATCTGAACCTCCCGGCCAACTCATCGTTATCGGTCACACTGTCCCAGAAGTCACTGCGCACGCTGACTACAGCCACATGCTCCGAATCGTACACCGGCCCAGACTCCCTGATCCTCAATGGCGAGGAAGAAGAAATTCAGTCCTCAAAGCGGACACAAGCATGTTTGAGGAATTTACGCCAGCTGAGGGAGGAAGTCGAAGCCAAAGATGGCTCTGCCCCTAAGCTGTCAAAAATGCCCCTGCGGCTGGTCTCAGCAAACAACTTCCCAACCGCTGCTGGCCTGGCCTCCTCAGCTGCTGGCTTCGCAGCTCTTGTCAGAGCAATTGCGAACTTGTACGAGCTACCACAAACGCCGCAGCAGCTGTCTCTGATTGCACGACAAGGTTCTGGCTCGGCGTGTCGCAGTCTGATGGGAGGCTACGTAGCTTGGAGATCCGGAACCAAAGAAGATGGTTCAGACAGTCTCGCAGAGGAGGTCGCACCCGTAGCGCACTGGCCGGAGATGCGGGCTTTGATACTGGTCGTCAGTGCAGACAAGAAAGGCGTCCCGTCCACAGCCGGCATGCAGACAACAGTAGCGACTTCAAGTCTGGCACCAGCACGGTTCAAGGATATTGTGCCCGCACGCATGGCGGAGATCGAGAAGGCGATACAAGACAAGGACTTCGAGACTTTTGCGAGAGTGACCATGCAAGACTCCAACTCATTCCACGCCATCTGTCTGGACTCCTGGCCGCCTATTCAGTACCTTACAGACGTCTCGCGGGCAGCTATGAACGCAGTGGAGACAATCAATCGCAAGGCTGGCAAGCTCATCGCTGCATATACCTTTGACGCAGGTCCAAATGCGGTTATTTACTACCTGGAGCCCGACTCTCGCGCGGTGGCGGGTGTATTCAAAAATCACCTGCCTCGAGTAGAAGGATGGGACAATGAATTTGGCGCGGCTATCCGATCGAATGAGATGGGTGGTCTAGATAGCAAGGCTGTCATGACCTTGAAGAACGGCATCAGCAGAGTGATCTGCACTGCTGTTGGGGGCGGCCCCGAGTCGGTCGAGACGCATCTCGTTGACGAGAGCGGCAAGCCCGTCGAGGGAACGTGAGTGTTCGATGAAGAATGTGGGCAGCCTTTATCGCAAAGACCGAGCATGGTAGCGAAGCTCCACTTAAGATCTCGCAACGCGAGGACACTCGCCAGTCCTTGTTGGACAGGGGACCTTGTCGGATTTCGTGTGCATGGCGCACCATCGTGCAGTTGGACACGCTTACCTTCGGTACGTGGCTTGTGGTCTACCACTGTGTCCAACGTAGGGCGTATGGGCAAGGCAGGGGCCATGCAGTGGCTGCGAGCTGTTCTGGCCCCGGCAGAGGAGATAGCGGTACGGCTGAAGAGAAAGCCCACTGTCAGTTCATAAATTGCGGCCATATTGTGCAAGTGTCGTTCGCATGAGCGACTACATATCACCGCCACTGAGTTTGCCCTTTCATACAGTACCTCCGACTCCACAGTACACGCTGCCGATTGGTTACGTCAAGACGACTTGACTTGACCATCCTCACACATCTAAGCAAAATTGTAGCATTCGCGAGCACAGCGATTTGATTCACGTCGTCAGACACAGCGTTATCTTTAGGCAGTGGCGTTTAGTGATCAGAAATCGACTTGGCTGCCACATCGTGTTTCGTAAAGTGGTAACTTCGACTGGAGCATCTCGTATTTGCTATACGAGCACGAGCGGAGGCACGATCGATCGTAGGGCATACAACACCTCATAAACACCACCCGAGCCTTGCTGTCCTTCGAAAGATTATCAGCTTCTCGCCATCCCCTTCTGGTCCACGACGGGCAACATGGTCCAAGAGACCAATTTCGACGTCATTATTGTCGGAGCTGGGATCAGTGGAATCGACTGTGCCTATCGCCTCCAAGAACGCCTTCCACATCTCAGTTACGCCGTCCTTGACGGTCGAGGCGAGCTCGGCGGAACGTGGTCGCTCTTCAAGTATCCAGGCATACGCTCCGATAGCGACCTGATAACTTTTGGATTCCCATGGCATCCGTGGGAGTCGGAACGCGAGATTGCCACCGCCCCAGCCATCCTTGACTACCTCCAGGATGCATGCCAGAAGAACGGCATCGACAAGCGCATCCGCTACCACCACCATGTCTCCGAGTTGCACTGGAAGTCAGATCTGCAACTGTGGCAAGTCAAGGTCCTTCTGAACCACACTCCACAAACCCCCTCAACAAACACCCGAATGTTCCACGCCAGGTACATCGTGATGGGCACAGGCTACTATGACTACCACGAGCCTTTAGCCACATCAGTACCTGGCTTGGAAATGTTCAAGGGCTCGCTCATTCACCCACAGTTCTGGCCAACAGACCTGGACCATAAGAACAAACGCGTGGCGATCATTGGCTCCGGCGCCACAGCGGTCACCATACTTCCGGCAATGGCTCAGACCGCCGAGAAAGTCACCATGATTCAACGCTCACCTGGATTCTTCTTCACGCCGCCCCTATCAGATGGTTTCAACATTTGGGCCAAGCGGTGGCTGCCAGCAGGCCTTGCATATCGTGTAATGCGGGCTCGAATGATCGTGATCTTGTTCCTGCTCATCAACTTTTGCTGGTGGTTCCCGAACACGGCCTCGAGGTTCCTCAAAGGCGAAACGAAAAAGCTCTTACCGCCTGACACCCACCTCAAGATGGACCCTGACTTCACGCCAGCCTACACCCCGATGCAGCAGCGACTATGCATCTCACCTGGAGGCGACTTCTTTGACGCCATAAAATCCGACAAGGGCGACATCGTCACCGGCCAGATCGAGCGCGTCGAGGCAAATGGCGTGCGCATGACGGACGGCCGCTTCGTGGAGGCAGACATCCTGATCACCGCCACGGGTCTCAAGATTCATATCGGCGGCCACAGTAAGCTTTTTGTCGATGGTGAGGAAGTTCCCTACAGCTCAAGATTCGTTTGGAAGGGCACCATGCTGCAGGACGTGCCCAATTTTGCGTTCGTGGTTGGGTATGTCGACACACCGTGGACTCTGGGGAGTGATGCAACTGCTCGACTGTTCACGCGTATCATCAAGGAGGCGGAAAGGCGGAAAGCTGCGTTTGTAATGCCAAAGCTGACCGAGAAGGAGGAGAGGGAGGTAAAAGTTGTTCCGTATATTGGGTTGAATAGCACCTACCTGAAGCGTGGCAAGGAGTTGGGGTGTTTTCCCAAGGGCGGTGATCGAGGACCTTGGGTGCCGCGGCATTCGTATATGAAGGACAACTGGGCGGCGAACTATGGGTCCATGAATGGGCTTGTGTTTAGAGGACGAACAACGAAGTGAGCTGGTTCAGTAGGCTTCAAGCGATTCTTCGTCGACAGCATCGCGGAAGACATCAGGCATTTTCGGGATCACTGCTCTGCAGCAATGTGTCGGGCACATATGTAGAAAGACAACATGCATTTCTACCCAGTCGCCTGTATTGTATGAGTGAGTAAGCACCCAAAGTTCACCTCATCCAGTGACCTCCGCCCGAGTGAGAGTCCTCAGACGGGCACGGGAGGCCTGATTCCAGAGTCGCGACAACCGTGCCCTTCTGGCCAAGTACCTGGGTAGACGGTACCAGCACTCTGCTACTCTGCTTCGGAAGGCAGTATCATAGACCCAACGCCTGATAGGGCGATAGCCCAGGGTCTTGTCGAAACTCGGGCAGCCACTCGGCGCAAACTTAGTCCTTGCCTTGTGCGGACAGGCCGCATCTCCTCATAAAGTGTATTCCGTCCTCTCGGATTTAGCATACTCAGAGCGATTGCTACTGACATGCGTTCTATGCGATGTGCGCCGACGATGAAACGATCTGGAATCTTGAATGCAGGTAGGTTTTGCGAAGGAGGCTATAAAGATGCACGGATCGCTCTTGCCAACACAGCAGCATCAGAGCCTGCTCAATGAACAGGTACAGGCACTACGAAGGTGACAACTGAACACTGGAGGTCAAGTGATAAAACCGTGATTTCAGCAGTAGCAACCAAGAACACCATTCCGAGCGTCCCGCAACACAGCTGGACAGTATCATCATCACAACCTACCGACTCATCCCCCTCACTCCCACAACCAAGCCCTCGACAATGGCCACCACCAGCACCACCACCACCACCACCAGCACCAATCCGCGCCGCACAGTCCTAATAACAGGCTCCTCCTCCGGCTTCGGCCTCGCCCTCACCCGCCACTTCCTCTCCGGCCCATCAAACTGGAACGTCATTGCCACCTCTCGCAACCCCCAGCGCACCCCGGACCTCGTCGCCGAAGTCGAGGCATCTGGTCGTGGCGCCTGGCTGCAACTCGACGTCTGCGATCCGCAATCCAAGATCGACGAGGTGATCGCGCAGGCGGGTGGATTATTCCACGGTGCCGGTATCGATGTAGTGTTCAACAACGCCGGGTACAGCGTGCTGGGCGTGGTCGAGACGATCGATGAGGAGGCGGCGAGGAAGCAAATGGATGCGAATTTCTGGGGGACGTTGAAGGTGTGCAAGGCGGTCATCCCGGGGTTGAGAGAAAGAGGCAGAGGTGGGTGGATCGTGAATTTCAGCAGTATTGCTGGCTTGATGGCGGGGATGACTTGTGGGGTTTATGCCGGGAGTAAATTCGCCGTTGAGGGTGAGTCTCCTTGTTTTCTCTGTAGTCGCTCAGCGTTCGTTGTGTTGAGAATGAGTTGCTAACAAGATCCATACAAAAGGCCTAACCGAATCCCTCGCCCAAGAAATCGCCCCCTTCAACATCTCCACCCTCCTCGTTGAACCAGGCATGTTCCAGACGAATTTCTTCAACGAATCCAACGCCATGAACCTTGCCCCTTTACCCGCGCACTACCGCGGCACAGCCGCCGAAGAGCAGCACACAAAATTCGCCAACGCTGGGAAGGCCACGCTCAGGGGTGACGTGGACAAGGCGGCAGCGAGAGTGAGAGAGGTGGTGGAGGGAAAGTTGGTGTTGGAGGGAAGCAGTGGGGAGGGGAGTGTGAAGAGGTTGATCTTGGGGCCGGATGCATTTGGGCGGGCGGTGAATACTCTGGGTGGGAAGTTGGAGGAGGTTAGGAGGCAAGAGGAGATTAGTGGGAGTACGGATCGGGATGATTTTGATGGTTGAGGATCGCCGTTCTGCTGTCAATCTATGTACCTACTTGCCCCGACCTTTCCAAATCAGCCGCTTGTCAATTTGGAAATGCGTGGTATCGATTTGAAGAAAAGAATGCCTGCGTTGAATAATGTCCCCGTGCCTGCTCCAAAAACAATGCTATCGCAGGTAGTGATGTTCTCCACGCCGTAGGAAAACGAGAAGCTTGTATGTACTTCGTGACGACGTCGACAGTCGCCATTGAAAATCGACAGGTGTGCACAGGCGTTAGTAGTCGTAAAGTGTCGTGTCGCGCAGACAACTCCAGTAGATGAGCCGCCCAAAATTTAAAGAATAGTCGTGTAGCTTCGTTGATTTGTGTGTGTCGACATGAATCAACACCAGATGAACGGTCTCGCATTCGTGTCCTACCAATTGCCTCCAGTTCGCATAGTGACTGAATCCATGCCATACGATCCAGAGAAGAGCTGCTGTCGAATGCTGTTCTGCTGCTGTGATGAGCCGGTATTGCTTGCTCGCAGCCAGCCCAAAGCATTCATGAGCTCGCTGTACGCGTCCTTGAGTAGACCGCCACTCTTCTCGTTGTGAATGCGGAGCTTCTCTTCCCAGCCGTTGTACTGCAGGTTCATGCCTCCGCCTCGCTTGCTGGCTTCTTTAATGACCGCCGTCCATGCTCTCGAGATCTCCTCATACGCGTCGTGCTTGGCCCGGTTGTATTGCGGGGTATCCCACTCTGGCATATCATGAATTATCTGAGTAACGTTGTCAAGATACTCGAAAGAGACCGAGGTTTGTGGTTCGTGTGGTGGTAGGAAAGGAGGTGTAAAGTCGGTCAAGGCATCAAGAAGAGCTCGCCACTGCGGTCGGACTCTATCGTAGCAGTAATCCGACTTCGGATTGGGATCAAGCGGGAAGGCGTTGATTAACCGATTGTAGTATTGCCGTAGAACTTGCAAGGTGCTCTGGACACTAGGTCGCGGGCTGATTCGTACGACGTCTCGTGTGAGTTCTGGATTTCGCTCGATGAGAGATGTGAGGACCGAGCTCAACTGGTCTTTGTCCAAGGTCTCCAGCAAGCGCTCCACAGGGAAGGGTCCTTCTCGGATCTCGGATTTTGGTCTCTTTCTCGATGATGGTGCCAATGTAGGCGGTAGTCTGGCGTTCGATATTGCAGGAGAAGTGGTCATCTCATCGTCGCGATCGGGAGAGGGAGACGCTTTCCGCTTGCGGGGGTTCTGTGCAGACACTGATACATGGCGGTTAGCTCCGGAGTCATGGTACGATTGACCTGACATACTAGATCTTGTAGGAGATAGACGATGCTCATGAAGATGTGGAGGAAATGGTGTTGGAGCAAGAAGGCTATGCATATTGGTGGTGTTGATGCCTCTGAATTGGCGTCTTGCCGGCAGGTGCAGACAATGAGAAAGGCAGTTTCACTGCAGGTCGGCGGTAGGTGTGGACCAGATGCAAACAGATTGGCAGTCGAATGGCGTGCGCCCAGCAGACGAGGGAGCTGACTCGAGTTAGGCAGTCGATAAAGTCGACTCTGTTGTTTGGGAGATGTAGAGATGTGTTTTGAGGTGGATGGGAGAGTAGATGAGAGGTTGCTGAACAACGTGGACGAAACGAGGACGAGTGGCACGGGCCTCCCACTTGGAACTCGGCCTTGAAGCCTATTGGCTTGAGGGTTAGGGCTCGAAAGTCAACTTCGACTTTCAGCTTCATCAGGTTCTGCGACCTCTTCAATAACATCCATGGAAAGATTCTTAGTGCAGCTTCAGATTCTCACGCCGGTCTTGGACGTTGTCCTCAAAGCGTCGGAGACAATAGAAACGCTACTGAGTTCGCCGAGATCTGACGTTGAGATCACACATAGTCTCGTAGCAATGGATCAATGCCTGGAATTCTTATCGTCATGGTAACTTTATATGTACAGTATTTGACAACCACTATATTCCCTCGGACCAGCCGCTGCAAAAGTGGCGACTCGCTCCGATACCAACGCTGTCCCCAGGTGTAGAGGACTTCCATTTCATTACGCTGCTCTATTCAAAAGTTCCCGGACATTTGACAAAGGAAGGTAGGCCAACCGGCCAGGACCTTCAGACCAACCGCAGCGAAAGTAAGGCCCATCGTCTACGGCGCTCCCGTGCACACACTTTCATCACAAATGACACGGAACCCCAGATCCTTGCCCGGCTTACCCTCACAATCTCCATCCAGTGGCAGATACCTCTGAATCGCGTCCAGGGTCGAGCTCGAGTTATAGTTGAAGTAGAGCGGCGTTGATGGGTTGAAGGTCTCGCGATAGACTTGGAGGATCTCTATTCTGCGTGTCAGTACCGCGAAGCCTAAAGTGGATTGGAAGAGACTTACTCTCCAAATGGACCGTCAACTCAGGCACCACAGAAGCGCGTACGCCCGCGCCGACGCCGACGCCGTCGAAGCGCACGTCTGAGAGCTCGCCCTTGAGGTCATCAATCTTCTCCGGGCCGAAGAGGGAGACTGTGCGATTGGCAGTTAGCTTTCGATCTGAGGGATCTGATGTCTGGGGAAGGTAAGGCGAGTATTGACTTACACCTGCAATTATACCCGGCATCAATAATCCTTTGATGGTCAGCTCGAAGTGTGGCGTCGATTACGGCTGGATCGAAGCCTTGGGCGGCAACGAGCGGGTGATAGCCCGATAGGCCGGTGAGGAACACGTTGAGCTCGCCACAGGTTGCTGGCTTTGGATCTGCTGGCGGGTTAGGTGGTGGTGTTGGAACGCCTTGCTTCTGAGGGGCGGGCAGCGCAAAGCTGGGCGCGAGAATGGTGGCGAAGAGTGCCAGAGGTAGGATTTTGGAATGCATTTTAATCTCAAGTGATGCTGTTTGACTATGGGTGTTGCGTTCGAGAGGCTTTGACTGTGCTGTGTGGAGAAGTGAAACTACAGATGTGTCCCAACCTCGTCACCCTCTCGAGATATATATACGCCATGACATGCTCTGGACGACGCTGTCCATCAGGCCCGCGCGTTCGTCGTCGTCATCTTGGTCGGGCCCGGCGCAAAGGTTGTTCAATCACGGCGTCGGCCAGGACATGCCCTCTGATTCCGAGCCCGACGCCGGGCAACTTGGGAGACATGGCACGCGCGTCCTGGCTCGCAAAATGAGCTGTGATGCAATATCATTTCTCGAGGACTGGGAGGCACAGAGGCAGCCCAGCGTTTACTGTGATCATCACCATAAGGTATGTCTTGCTGCGCTGGGTAGCCCGGCGCGACTGCTTACCTTGTTGAGGAAATCTGACTGCTTCTTTCAGACTAGCCGGCTGGGGTAAAGGGAGATTCGAGGACTTCGACGAGGTGCCCAAGTCAGAGCAGAAGACAAGGTATCCAAGGTACGAGAAGAGCAGGCGCATTGCGCGCTCTCGGAACGGTGCTGTGATTTTGCCCGTTGTGAACAGGCATAAAGGCCCGAGATACCTGGTATCTGATCTGCTAGAGTTCGTGCGAGCCACTGCATTGGGTGTTCGAAAATGCCGTCCGCCGACCTTCCGAGCAACTAGGTCAAGACCAGGGGTTGTAAGCCTCAAGAAGTAGATACTTGCTTGCTGCCATGTTGCGTTGACCTCCTGACGCGGCCTAGCAGGCTAGCCTCAAGCATGACCAAGCTCATGGGTGGACGACGTAGCGCCAAGCCAGGTGCCTCAACGTGATGAAGTAGATTAGGCGTTCCGCCCCCAAGATCCGGGGTACGCCCACCCTCCAGCGACCTTACGAGATTGGCGAGGGAATGCTCTCGGGATTGGCTACCTGAAATTTATTGTTGACCACTATCGTATGACAGATCCAAGTATCCATGGATATGACTTGCGTGATTCCTCATCACGAAAGGAGGCGTAAAATGGCGCAAGCTCTTGACCTGACGGTGCGATCGCGGCAAGAGTGATGCCCGACCTTCATGCCAAGGATATGGCTGCTTCATTGAGCCCGTGGCTCTCGCATTTTGGTGCCATCCGGTGATTGTCGGAAGTCGGTGTCCTGCAGACCGTCAATAGACGGCACCTGCCCTCGGGCTCAAACGAAGACCTCACTACCCTTGAACGCCTTCACCTCAGGCGCCTCTTTGCTTGCACCACCCCCCTCACCAACCTCAACCTGACTATCCCAAAACACTCCATCCGCACCGCTCGGTCGGCTTCCCGCAAGTGTACAATCTTGACCGGTTTCACTTGGCTCGCTAGGCGGCCAGATGTCGCTCTTCAGTCCACTCAAGAGCGTCTGTACCTCTTCCATGCCCTCCATCACAGTCCTCGCCTCCTCCCGCCTTCCCCGTCTCGCCAACCCGCCCAAAAGCCTTCTCACTTCCTCGTGCGTCCCATTCCACCGCTCTATCAGTCTTGCTAGACTGTTCACCAGGTATTCCTCCTCGTACACGCTTCCTTTCTTGCCCCGCGCGCGCTTCCGCTCTTCTTTGCGCTTTGTCTTGGATGTTTTCCGGGAAGCTGTGCTGAGTTGGGTCCCACCGAATTTCGAGCCCGCGCCGGCGCGCGTGAAGAGAGAGCCGTTGGCGAAGGTTGTGGTCGTCATGTCTGTCGGGGCAAGGGAGATGTTGTCCGGTATGTTATCACCGCCCTCGCCGCTAGGCAGGTTCGTCGCATCTCCGCCGTAAAACGCCAAGGGGTCAGCGGCCTTGATGGCGCGCAACTCAGCGAGTCGGGGTGGCTGAGAGGTCGCTTGTGAGCGGACGTCGGCGAGGAGGGACAGAATTGATGCGAGTTGTGTGCTCAGCGCGGGATCAATGATTTCGGGGATGGATGTGGGGGAGATGCGGGAGAGGAGAAGGATGCGTCGGCGAAGTAGGAGCCTTTGCAGAGCAGAGATGCGGCTTCAGTGGGAGATGAGAGGTAGTGCTCGTGAATGTATGCTGCGGAGCGGTAGTCGCGATTTTGCTCGCTGAGAGTAGTTGCTAGCGTAGTGGCGAGGGAGGTGAGTTGTTCTGGAGGGTAGTTGGAGAGGCTGGCACATGAGAGAGCCTCGCGCCACGCGTGGGCTAGGGTATAGAGATTGCAGGCGAGATCGAACTGGCCGAGTGTTTCGTAGAGGATGGCGGCTTGTAGATGGGAGTTCTTCTCCGCTAGGTAGGCGGCGTAGTGCTTTGTGATGGTCGCATGGTGAGTCGGGGAGTACTTGTACAGCGAGAGAGCTTCGGAGTAGAGTGAATGCTTGATGGTGTAGGCTTCGATAGCTTCGTGGTCCTCCATGGCATGGAGAGATTCCAGTGCTTTAGCATAACTCTTGAGGTGATTATCAATGATGTACTTTCTCTTCAGGATGGGCAAAGCATGCAAGTCCTGCAAGAACGGCATGTACTCCCTGGGGTCTCGTTGAGCGTTCTGTGCTACCAGTAATGTGATCTCTAGGTCGTACATAGCCAATGCCGTATTGTAGAGGCGTGTGGCATCCGTCAAGAAACAAAGATGCGAGATCGCGAGATCTGCTTCGGTAGGAGAGTTGCTGTGAAGTCGAGAGACAAGCGCCAGGGCTGCTTCGAGATCTGGCGGTCGTTTGCAGACATGTGCCGTGATGATGTTCTGGGTATAGCCAGGATTGTTTGAAGGCATCGTCTCAAGGGCCGTCATCATCGCTGCACAAATACTGTTGACTTTGCTGGCCGGTTTGTGCTCCACTGCTGACGAGACAGCTGGCTCGTTCTCGAGATCACCAGCGAGTTGTAGAGTGTCCCGATACAAGGTCTGTGTGACATCTTCTTCTTTGAGCTTTGCAATGAACTCATCAATTCGACTTGGTTTCTTCAGCTGCTCGATGAATTTGACAATGTTGACCCTGAATGCATGTGGCTGAAAATCATAAAGGATATTCATGTCGACTTGCTGAGCTTGACACGCAAGAAACGCGGCCTTGTAGTCCAGCTCTTTGATATGTTTTCTGATACCAGCCAGGACAAGTACTCGCGGGTAGATTGTTTCGAGATTACCTCGTGGCATCTGTAGCACAACTGCGTAGGTGGAAGGCATGACAGTGACGAGTCGGGCACCTCTTTCGATACTTCTACATCTCTCGTCCACTTCTGGCGTGTTGCTGGGCACTTTCATCTCATCTGGAGACACCAAATGGACAAATTTGAGGAGGTGCTGATTTGTTGTGAAGATCAAATGGGAGTCGGTGACCACGTATGAGGTACAGTCTTGCGCTATGACTATATCGTCGACTTTCAACGTGCCATCTGTGCCCAGACTGCACACATTGTACAACGGCGAGTGTCCGTTTCCAAGGAGTCTGGCACCTGAGTCGACAGTCTCCGTGAGGTGGAACAGCGTCGCGTCTGAGGCCGAGGGTTCCTGAACAATCATGATCGGATCGTACTTCTCCCTTGTTGGAAGGGAGATGTTACCATACAACGGCCCGACCTTGCCGTCAGTGCCTTGAACGACGATTCTCTCTTGCCTGACGTCCGTGATAAGATTTTGAGCAGGCGATCGAGCATGCGACTTGGGCTCCGTCCAGATTGGTGGATTGAGAGGCACGCCTCCACCGTAGTGTTCGCAGCGAGAGATGGATTCTGGATTGCCACGTTGCGCAGGCTCGAGCACATACACCACCTTGTTGCAGAGCTCGATCTGCGTCCGCGCCATCCGTAGTTCGATTTCGTCAGTCTGGAACAGAAGTGATATCTTCGATAAGGACGCGGAGAATCTTTTTAAGGATGTAGGAGAGCGAGTCCAAGCGTCCGCGTCTGGCCATGTGCAAACCTCGACGCCTTTCGTGGTGAGTACAGCAATGGTTTCTCCATCTGCGTCAACAGCGCAATCGACGATGTTGGTCTCGAAACTGACCTCGCAGAAGCTCATCGGAGGAGGAACGCCGGCCTGCCGAAGTGGTGTGAGTTTCAGTGTCTTCCCATCTATCACAGCAATAATACCATAGTCCTGACCAAGCACAACCGAGCCTCTGGCTACAGTAAAATGGTATTCGAGACTGAAGTGATCGCATCGATCTGACAACTGTAGTCGAAGGTGGGATTTCGGATGCCATTGAACGGTTAGTGCAGGTGCCTGGGGTGTCATGTCCACGTCTGCCATCAGCAACTCTTGTTTCAGATAGTAGTGGTAGTTCCCCATGGTCCAGAGCTGAATACGGTCGCAGAACCCTACGGCTAGCACCGATGAGTCTCCGTTCCAGTGCAGGCTGATGGACTTTGCCAGGTATCGAGCTCTATTGAGGACAGTCGGAGGTCGAACTGGCCATGTCGAAGACCGTTACGTTCGAAAAACACAACTTCCGCCTTATCTTGTGATCGCTTGATACCTGCTATGAGATTGCCGTATGGTCTCCATGACAGAGCACTCTCGAGGCCATCCACCGGCTCGCTTGCCGAGTCAAGAGCAGCTTCTCGGCTGAAGACTCTGATCGCACGTCGATGACCCGGCACAACGCTGTTCACGGCGAAGAACTGGCCGTCTCCTCGCCAGCTGATAGTGACTCGACCATCATCGTTAGGACTTGGCTTCCCGTCGTCCACGGTCTCAGGTAGGGTGGGGTCCTTGAGTGCCTTCGCCCTCTTGCCTTGAAACTGGGTCTCCTTCTTGCCCCATCCGACCGAGACGTGTTTGGACGCCTTGAGATCTTCTGAGTAGAGTGTTCTCTCTGTTACCGGCTCGAAGCCGCGACTCATCAACACCAGTGTGTCGCCTCGAGTGACAATGGCGAGTACTTCTTCGTCCGCTGCCCATGCTGCCGCCGCGATACCGACGTCGACGCTTCCAACGATCTCGATACGCTCCTGGTCTTCAGTCGGCTGTTCTCGAACAACAACAATATCACCTCCAGCAAGAAGCAAGCATGTAACCGCAGTGCCTGAAAAGTGGTGTAAGAGCAGAACTTCGTCGCACTCAAGTTCCGGTAGTGGACATGGCGCGTCCCATGACGCTATTGTCTCGAAGGCTGCAGTATGTGGCTGTCGACGTCGCAGTTCAATTATTGGTCTGTCAGCTGTTGGACCAAATGAGCAGATGGCAGCATTTGTGGTCGTGTCCCACGCCTTGGCTGTGAGTGGCAGTCCATCAGGCAACTGCACTGAGTCGAATCCTATGTTCCGGAGATTGCGCATGTTGTCCGTGGCGGCCCATAGCAGTTACTGAAGCCGCTGTCAGTACTGTTGCTTTTACAGTCCTATGCCTTTGTCCATGGCCTGGTTGTTCGCGGGAGCAAACAGACAAATTATTTCAATATCAAAATAAAGTGGAGCCCAACGACCAAATCGAGCACTGCAGCCAATAGGAGGACTTTCGAAACTACATGCATGACGGCGACTTGGACGTGTGGAAAACGGCAATGCGCCGTTTCGTGTGGGAAAAATGACAACATGACTGCTGCAAGTGCGTGGAAATTGATGCTTTGAGGGTTCATCGTTGACCTATGACTTTGTACACCACGATCGAACCTTCCATTCCCCAAAAGTCAATATCACTCCTGCCTTCACCTTGCCTGCTCAACCGTTCTTCTTTGTCTGGTACACTACCACATGGTCAGTCTGACAGCGATATTGTTCGTAAGGTTCGGCTTACCAGCGATAGCGAAGGGGAGTCCAAAACCACAGGCTGTGCCTCCATTAGTCTCTTGCATGAATCAACATATATTTTGCACTTGCCCATGAACGTCCAATACCTCACGGCGAAGAATCTCGTCTGTGTGTTGAATGGCAGATTGCTTCGTGGACCCTCGGGGTAGTGGTACGGGCTATCAAATCGTGCTCGAGTTGTAGAGAAGCCTCGACGGGTGAGGGGTGTCGCGGCCATTCTGGCGCGGACGGCGGTTTGAGCGAGCATCTGTAGGCAGTGAGTAAGCGAATTTGAAGTCGGGAAGTGTTCCGGAGCTCACAGTGTTGGTTCCGCTCGCTGTAGTGATCGAATTCGGGCAGAGAAAGGACCGTGGTTGCGGAAGTGAAGCTCGAAGCTCGCATGTCGTCGGCTTGAGATAGGGTTAGGGCTCGCGCTCACGGGCCGAACTTCAAATGACAGTGACAATGCAGGTGCAGGTGGAGCGAAATGATCGCATACTTCCCCAACTTCAAAAAGTTGTGAACCTCGATGTTCTACGACCGGGCCACATATATTTTCTTCCACGACCTGCAGCACGTAGAACCAGTGCGACAACATGGATGAGCTGTTCGACGCGTTCGAGGCGGCCCCTGCGCCTGCCGCTGCGCCTCGCCCAACCATGAATGGCAATACCGGCGACAAGAAGAACCTGAAGCGTACCGCAAATGGCATACTGAAGTCCGAGACCGATGCGCATGATTCAGAGGACGATAGCGATGACGGCGAGGTGTCATCGGACGCATCGGATGCAGGCTCGGAGGGCGACAACGAAGCCGAGACCGAACACAAGCGGCCGCGCCTTGAAGAAGAGCCCGAACCCATCGTTGCCGACACTTTTGAGACTGAACAACAACGAGAGGTTGCCGCTGGAGGCCTTGCAGGCGACTCAGAAGCAGACCGCGTCATACTATCCCATCAAGTTCGCCATCAGGTTGCTCTGCCACCGGACTATGCATACACCCCCATATCAGAACACAAGCCGCCCGCCGAACCCGCCAAAACCTACGAGTTCCAGTTGGATCCCTTTCAGCAGGTTTCGATATATTCGATACAGCGCAACGAGAGTGTCTTAGTGTCTGCGCATACGTCGGCAGGGAAGACAGTAGTAGCAGAGTATGCGATCGCACAATGCGTCAAGAACAATCAGCGGGTCATCTACACAAGTCCGATCAAAGCCTTGAGCAACCAGAAGTACCGGGAATTCCAAGCTGAGTTCGGCGATGTTGGTTTGATGACTGGAGATGTTACCATCAATCCTACAGCCACTTGTCTCGTTATGACGACTGAGATTTTGCGATCTATGCTCTACCGAGGCTCCGAGATTATGCGGGAAGTCGGCTGGGTCATATTCGATGAGATCCACTATCTGCGTGACAAGACCAGAGGCGTAGTCTGGGAAGAGACGATCATTCTGTTGCCTGACAAAGTACGATATGTCTTCCTATCGGCGACAATACCAAACGCCATGCAGTTCGCTGAGTGGATCACCAAAATTCACAAGCAACCCTGTCACGTTGTCTACACCGACTTCAGACCTACTCCTCTGCAGCATTACTTCTTTCCGAGTGGCGCCGACGGCATCAACCTCATTGTGGACGAGAAGGGTGTCTTCCGAGAAGAGAACTTCCAGAAATCGATGAGCACGATAGCAGAGAAAGAAGGCGACGATCCAGCCAATGCGATGGCGAAGCGAAAAGGCAGGGGCAAAGACAAGAGACTCAACAAGGGTGGTACGAAAGGTCCGTCCGACATCTGGAAAATCGTGCGAATGATCATCACCAAGAACTACAACCCTGTCATTGTCTTCAGTTTCAGCAAGCGAGACTGCGAGGCTCATGCCCTTCAAATGGCCTCGATGGTCTTCAACGACGACAGCGAGAAAGCCATGGTGCGAAAGGTCTTCGATAGTGCCCTCGAGACCCTCGCCCCAGAGGACAAAGAGCTGCCACAGATTCAGCACTTACTACCACTCCTACAACGAGGCATCGGCATACACCATGCAGGTTTGTTGCCCATACTGAAGGAAACGATCGAAATTCTGTTCCAGGAAGGTCTGATCAAGGTCTTGTTCGCGACCGAGACCTTCTCTATTGGTCTGAATATGCCTGCTAAGACAGTAGTTTTCACCAACGTCCGCAAATTCGACGGCGTCGCACAGCGATGGCTGACCGCATCCGAGTTCATCCAGATGTCAGGTCGAGCAGGTCGACGAGGCTTGGACGACCGTGGCATCGTCATCATGATGATCAATCAGCAGATGGAACCAGATGTCGCGAAAAGTATCGTGCGTGGAGAACAGGACAAGCTCAACTCAGCATTCTATCTCGGTTACAACATGGTCCTCAACCTCCTACGAGTCGAGGGCATCTCACCAGAATTCATGCTCGAACACTGCTTTCACCAGTTCCAATCCCTAGCCAGCGTATCAGACCTCGAAAAAGAACTCCGAAAGCTCGACGTCGAAAAGCAGGAAATGATCATCGAGGACGAAAACCTCATCAAGGCCTACTACGAACTCCGCAAACAACTCGACGCTTACGCCGAGGAGATGCGTAACATCATCATCCACCCGAACTTCTGCCTTCCTTTCATGCAGCCCGGCCGCCTCGTCCACATCAAAGACGGCGAGCACGACTTCGGCTGGGGCGCCGTCATCAATTTCCTCCGCCGCGAGCCCGACCGCAATAACCGAGAAGCCACCCTCGCCCCGCAAGAATCCTGGACCATCGACGTCGCCCTTGAGTGTGCCGATTCAGGCCACTCAATCGGCACCAACGCCTTCAACTCCCTGCCCCCCGGCATCCGCCCCGCCTCCTCAGACCCCACCTCCAAATCGTGCGTCGAAGTGGTTCCTGTCCTCCTCAAATGCGTCCACGGCATCTCCACCTTCCGCATCTTCCCGCCCAGAGACCTGACCACCTCCGCCGACCGCGCCAAAATCCAACGCGCCCTCGCCGAAGTCCAAAAACGCTTCCCCGACGGCATCCCCAAACTCGACCCCATCGAGCAGATGAACATCACAGACAACACCTTCAAAGACCTCGTCCGCAAGATCGAAGTCATGGAGTCGCGCCTCGTCGCTAGCCCCTTACACAACTCCCCAAGACTAGAACGGCTGTGGAACGAATACGCCGCCAAGGTAGTCGTGACAGATCGCATCCGCGAAATCAAGAAGAAGATCCAAGACGCGCACGCGATCCTCCAGCTCGACGAGCTCAAGAACCGCAAGCGCGTGTTGCGGCGGCTGCAGTTCATCAATGACGATGAAGTCGTCCAGCTTAAAGCCCGGGTTGCCTGCCAGATCTCCACGGGCGACGAGCTCATGTTGAGCGAACTCCTCTTCAACCGCTTCTTCAACGACTTGTCTCCAGAAGAGATCGCCGCCGTATGTTCGTGTTTCGTGTTCGAGGAGCGCGTCAACGAAACACCCGTACTGCCAGACGAGCTGGCGCGGCCGCTGCGGGAGATTCAGAAGCAGGCGAAGATTATCGCGAAAGTGAGTGTCGAGAGTAAGATGGCGGTCAACGAGGAGGAGTATGTGCAGGGGTTCAAGTGGCAGTTGATGCCTGTACTGCTCGCGTGGGCGCAGGGGAAGAGCTTTGGGGAGATTTGGTGAGTCTACCCTTGTTATTGTGTCGAGCTGTGTGTGTGTGTATGTGCTAATATGATCGAACAGCAAAATGACAGACGTCTACGAAGGCTCCCTAATCCGCACGTTCCGCCGCCTCGAGGAACTCCTCCGGCAGATGGGCGAGGCGTCCAAGGTCATGGGCAGCGAAGAGCTTGAGAAGAAGTTTGACGAGGCGCTCAAAAAGGTCAGACGCGATATTGTTGCGGCGCAGAGTCTGTATCTGTAGCGTAGATCAGTAGATGATAGCTTGGGGAGGCAGAGCTTTCTTAGTCCTGCTGTGGCGAGATCCACGAGGTGGCATGGACGAGATCGATCGCTTCACAGAATGGCGGTAGCATTTGGGCGCGGCATGGTGCCATGGTCCTTGGACGATGTCAAATCCGTCGTCTCAAGACTCGCGGGTCGCGAGTAATTCTCGGACCTCTTGATAGACCGGGCGACACGATTTCGCATGAGCGACATGGGAGTAACACGACACTGTACCACAATTTTGAGATCACGACAGCGCGAAAGTGCTCCTGCTGTTTCGGATTCGTAGGTATCGTTACCTGCCAGCTAATCTGTTTCTGCGGATCATCGCACCTGCTCCATCTCTCTAGGCCGTCCCACATGCCCGTTCTGCCTCCTCGACCCACCAGAAACCTGTCTCCGAGGCCGCGGGTTCTCCTCATACTGCGGGAACAGCTTCGTCGTCGTCTTCTTCGACCTGCTCCAATCCCGCCAACCTTCATCAGGCCGCCGCTCTTCCGGCACGGCAGGTGTGGGCGCGTCCTGCAAATCCAGCAGCTCCTTCCGCGAAGGTGCGGCTTGTATCCTCTTCTGCTCTTCTTCCTCGGCAGCGAGCTGTCCACTGGCTTTCTTGGCGGCGTTTAGATCGGCAATGCCCAACGCGCTGTCGCCTAGGTACATTTGGAAGGCTGCGAGGAGTTCCAGGAGGCCGGCTTTGAGCCTCCTGAGGATGATGTTGACATCTGTGAGATCGGCGGCGTCTTGCTGCTGTGAGAGGAGGCCTTCGATTAGAGTGATGGTCTTGGTGAATTGCTTGACGGCCTGAGGGACGCCGGCCATAGCTTTGCCAAAGTTGTCCTCTTGGAGACTGGCAATTAACATGCGTGTGACGGCTTCGATAGCGTCGACGATGGTCGCAGCATCGCTATGTGGTGATCCGAGTACCGTTGCATTGACTCGAGACTCTGGTGTAGAGCTGAAGAATGTGGTGAATGAGTTCTTGGCCTGGCCAATAAGTGTGGCAGTATCAGGCATATCGAGTACTGGAAAGGGATCAGGATGTGATCCTAGTTGTTTCAGCTTCTCATCAGCAATGTCCACCAGACGCTGTCGAGCACGTGCATCCTTGGATGCTCTCTGAGCGACGATGTTCTGCTGCTCCTTGACCTTTGTCGACTCTCGTGGAGGTTTGAGGATCTTGGGTAACGTGGGTGCAGGCTCCTGCGTGATGGGGGCCGCAGGTTGTGGCGGCTGTATCCTGTCGTCGATCTGCTCGAGGACTTTCAGTGCTTCTTGCAGCATTTGAGACCAGACTGGGCCGGTGGGACGGTCTATGTCGGAGAAGATGAGCTTTCTTCGCTCGGGATGACTCTGAGCAATGATTGCTAATTCCCAGAATGCAAAAGTCTTAATGATGCCGCGTTTTGCCTTGAGGCCATTGAGTAGTGATCCGTTCGGGTCTTTGCCGGAAGATGTCCAGGGTTTTGCTTCCTTGAGAGGTGCTTTCTTGAAATAAGCGATCAAAGACAATGCAGCCAGCTCCCAGGTCAAGCTAAGGCAGAAGCCTATCCAAATTGTGGTCGCAAAGGTGCCGACGGGAGGAATGCCAGAAGGTCTCGCACTGCTGCGAGCGATGCTATACATAATTTTTGCGATGCCGAGATGCACTCTCCAGAGGAAGCTGCGGAAGAAGGCAGTATATATGAATGGACAGAGGGCTGTTGCTGTGATAGAGCCAACAATCGAGCGCAGCACGACGTCTCTGGCTTGTGATTTGAAGAACGAGAAAGTGTCGGGAATGGTGTGCGTATTGACGATCTTTTCTTGTGGCGACCCAGGCGCAGCGATTGGTAGATGGAGGATTGCCTGACCGTAGTAGACATGTTTGCCGGCCTGAACAAGTGCCAGCAAGGTGAAGAGTGCTCGGAAATAGATGGGTCTCTCGTTGAGGGCGGCTTGGGATGCAGCGTTTTCTCGCGTGACCCATGTCATGTCGGAGCTCAGCCAGATGTACACCTCAGTGAACCACCATGCTGATAGCAGATACCAGAAGACCGTCTTGAAGGTGGAGGGGCTCAGCAAGGTCTGGCGTACTCGTTGAAAGGGCGAGGTCGGAGTGCGCCGGCCGACTGAGACTGTGGCGACTTGGAGAATGAAGACGAAGATGGTTGACATGAAGTAGAGAATCGCTCTGAGCCCTGCTGGACCGAGTGGTAGCCATGACCAGAGAATGTCTGTTTTCACAAAGTTAGCAGGTATTCGAAGTTAGAGGGAGATGAAGTACCATATTTTGGACTCAAGCAGATGGCGAGATCCCACGAAACGAAGAGTGAGAGCAGCGCTGCATGTACAAACCTGGTGTGGAAAGCTGAAGTCACAAATCTCTTGTATGCTCTCGGTCTGCTTGCTACCACAGGTTTCGCTGGTATGGAAGCGTTCATGGCGGTGGACGGTCGGACCGTGACAGAAGCGCATCAAAAGAAAGTGCCAAAGTCTCCAGATGGTTGCGACATCTGATCCAATCGCCAAAAAAGAGAGTTGCGCGAGAAGAGAGTGTTTGGACAGAGGCGCCTTGAATAATATGGTGCAGTACTTGCAGTAAATGAATTCGCGAGTCGCGGCTGCCCCAATCAAGGTGCCAAATTCGGAATAGTGCCCTAACGACGTCAGTCAGGTACGCCACGAAGGCATTGGCAGGAAGTCACTCCAACCTCATTCACGGATGCCTTCGTCTTCGTTGTCACTTGCAGACAGTCTCACCTGCGTCTTCAGACTTCTTCGCTATTGCGCGATCGGTCCCGTCCCTGCACACTTATAGCGCATTCCTTGGAGCTCGTCAGAATGTCTTTCGACCGCTTATCGTCACTGGAGTCGCAACCGACGACAACTCGGCGACAGGATGATCCCACCTATAGGGATGACCCAGAGTTTCAGCGCTTTACCGAGTCGCTATCAACAAAACTATTCGAGCTGATCTCCAACGTAACTCGTCTATCGAACCAGATTGCCCTCCTTGGAACAAAACGAGATACACAGCGAGTGCGCGAGCGAGTCCATGATCTGCTAGAAGAGAGCAGAGATGGCTTCAAAGAGGTGGGCGAGGGCATCAAGAAGGCGCAAGCATGGGATGACCTCAACGTGAGCATATTCATAATGCATACGGAGAAGCCGTATCTAACAACTTACAGCCATCTCAAAAGTATACCAATCAAAAGCTATCGCGCGAATTCGCTTCAGCCCTGTCAGAGTTCCAGGTTGTACAGCGAAGGGCCATCGAGAAGGAGAGAGCGAACAAAGCAGCCCTCGAAGAGTCAAATGCCGCACAGTCGCCTACTGGTGAGCGACAACAACAGCAGCAACTACTCGAAGAGCCACAGGTCGCCAACCAAAGCGAAGTCGATTTCCAGGAGAATCTCATCATTGAGCGCGAGGGAGAGATCCGCCAAATAGAGCAGTCCGTCGGCGAGCTCAACGAATTGTTCCGAGATGTTGCTCATATTGTGCGCGAGCAAGGCGACATGATTGACACCATCGATGTGAATGTCGAAAACACCCTGACCGATACACGAGGCGCCGATGTCGAGCTGAGGAGCGCCAGTCGATACCAGAAGGCTGCCCGCAACAAAGCATGCTGTTTGCTGTTCATCTTGGCAATTGTTCTGGTCATCATTGTATTGGCTGTCGTACTGAGCTGAATTCAGGCAACCGAGCTCTGGCAGATCAGTCGATTCAAAGCAGTATAGCACTTCCCGGTCGGCGTATGGGCGTTTTTAGCATTGAGCCAGGCATTCGTCTAATTGTGATCACGATGAGGGATCTGGTAGCTACTGCACCTGTACATAGCCCGAGCGTAGCGGTAGGAAAGATGTTTTCGGACTGTGCGATCCATTCCAATTGTCCCTAGAACTTAGATAATGGCCGGCGACTCCTGCACCGCCTGTGTCCACCACCTGCAGAATGCTGCCATCAGTGTAGTGGGCAATTTTGGTGATCCCACGCTTAGAAGAACCCTGCAGGAGCCGAGGTTTAGGCCACGAGGCAACCACTTCTCGGCGGAATTTACGCGTGACGTACCCATTTCTCCACTGGCAATTGCGACCGCGTCTGGACCCATGCGGCTTCTCTGAATTCGTGTTCTCATTCTGACATTGAATAATGTTGTTCGCTGCTGCAGCTGCGAATAGTGTATGAAGCATGGCTTGCAAGAGTCAGCACAATTATGGAAGCACCTACAGCTCGTAGGCCACTCGCACCTGCGTCTGATACGCGACTCAACGCCGCTTCCTCGACAACAAAGAAGCGGAAGCGCGACGATTCCGAGCATGCCTCAACCAGCAATCTCAACATCGTCGGCAAAGCATACCGGTCAGGCGGTGGGCCTGCGGCCGTGATATTCAGTCCCGTCGCCACGTTGTCCCGGGCAGACCTGCCATTCATATGGCTCGACAATGTCCCGCCACCAACTGGCCCCCCATCGGGCTACCTCTTGGAAGCCAATGGCAGCGTGCTACAGATCCTTGCACCCAAGCAGTGCATGGTCGCTCGTCTGTGTCCAAACGGCCGTCTCTATGCCCTCGAAAAGGTGCAAGATGCAGTCTATACAGCAATGATGCTACGGAACTCAATCACCGAAGACCAATGTCGTGACCTTGCCAGTGGAACGCCACCAATATTGTCACTGGAACTCCTACAGTCCGCAAAGCCCGCCTCGCGCGACCACGTTCGATCCGCGTCAATGTCCAGTGCATCGTCCAAGAGAATGTCTGCTCCTCCTAGTCCGAAGCAACCAAGAAACAAAAAAGGTGCACTAGCACGCAAGTCCATCCTGGCACGGGCCGATTCACAGATCGGCTCGCCGAGCTTTGCTCCCGAAGAAGTCGTCGCGTCACCGGGAGCTGACTCGTGTATGCTCGCAGCTTCACTGTTGCAGGAGTCACCCACCGCTATCGCGGCAGGTCAAGATACCGTCGAGCAAGATCTCGGGCCTGGCCCAGCAGTGGAAGTCCAAGCTCTTCCAGAGACTGCAATAGACGTCAATATTGCCGATGAGCAGCCGCCAGCACCAGCTCTTGCTCCTACGGACGATTTGCGGAACCAGTATCTCGAAACACTGTATACTCGTACGTCTCTCGCCTTCTATGCCAAAGGACCGCTATCGAGAGCTCGAAACCTTTGTATGGATCCGGAGGCAGCGGTCACTTCAGACGAGCTCAAGGATATCTATACCTCGCTCGTGCTTCCTTCCAAGAAGCTGGATACCAAGTACAAGGAATCGGTCCCTGTTTTCTTGAAGCATCTCACCATCCCACCCGAAGAAGCACAAGCTACGAAGAAAAAACCACCAAAGAAGGTCAAGCTTGGTAAAGATGGCTTCTACACTGGCGAGTTCGAGTTACTGCGTCGGTGGTGGGACGACCGAGCCATCACTCCTGCTGGGACGAGCAACGAAGCAGCTGTCAAACGCCATACTGAGGAATTGCGCAATCGGGAAGCTGAAATGCAACTGCTGTTGATTCTAGAGATCATGATTGTTGAATCGTTGACCGAAGCAAAGATCAGCAGCGAAATGCCCGTGGACCCTGTTGTCAAAGTTGAGTCAGTGGAGAAGGATGAGGTCGAGGAAGTCAAGAAGAAACGGAAGCAACGCAGTTTCGTGACAGAACTCGACGCCTTGCTCGACAGACTATGTATCTGGCATACTGTTACTATCGACGACTTCTTGATCTCACCAGAAAAGCATTCGGACGGTTCCGATTCCACAGCGCAGAGGTCCAAGGACAAGCTCAAGGAGTTCTGCGCCGACATCATTGTTCCCTTCTACGCATCTAAGCTACCTCGGCAGGTCAAAAACATCTGCAAGAAGCTAGGCGGACCCAACATTTCTCCTCAACGACCAAGCCTCCCACGACCGAGATCAAGCACCGCAAAAGCTCCCGCCCCGTCGAGCACCAAACCGGTCACAACCAAAACCTCCCTCCAGAGAGTACTCAGCCAGGACCAAGAGCTCCGACATGGCTCTCCACCTATACTTTCGAGATCATCGTCCAGTCACCAAAGGAGCGGATCTGTCTTCAAGCGCGAGCCTTCCGAAGTTATGTCCCGCCCTTCGAGTCGAGCCAGCATGCAGAAGTCCATGAGCTTCAGCAACCGCGAGATCGACCTAGACGCAGACGCAAAAGTGCAGGAAACCAAGAGAAAGAGGCTAGAGAAAGTCGCGGACCAAAAGAAAGAGCTCGCCGCAGCGATCGAGGCATTGAAGAAACCCAACCGCACCAGCGCAGGTGTGGCACTGATGGACGAGCTTGAGAAGCGGACCGAGCTGTCGAAGTTGCGCGTTCAGATCACCGCTACGCCGCGCAAGGACAGATTGTATATGAATGGTCAACAAGCCGAGTTGGATGTCGCTAGCATACCGACCACGCAGCCACAGCCAGAACAGATGATTCCCTCATCGACCTTGAAACCCACACAACTCTCCCGCCCTTCTGCCAAGAAACGAGCAGTCCTCTCCGCGATCCACGACACACCCTCCCGGGACGTAACGTCCCGCAAGACAGATCCTCTCCAACTCTCCTCTTCTGTCGAACAACCCAGACCCGCAGTAGTGGCCTCGACCCCATCGACATCCCGCCTCCGTCCCGACCTCGCATTACCAGCGCCTGCTAGAACACCCGTGCCGGCGAAGATGAGCAGATCCGGCAAACCAGTTCTCTTCACGCCCCTCAAGCGCACAGACGTCAGCGTCGTAGACGCCTTCAGAGACGCGCCGGAGATCCCCGAGCGTGCTGGAAAGGCAATGGATCGTGTCATGGGTGGCAAGGCGAGTGGATTGGGACTGGGACTCAGTGGAAGCAGTGCTGGCAAAGACGGCAGTCTGTACGCTCAGCTGGGCTGGGATGACGACGACGACGACGATTTACTATAGATGGCTTGATGAATGGGAACGAATCGAACTTGACTATCGTTCTTTTAGACCGTCAGATCTGTGATGACTGAATGATATGCATGACATGGGGAAGACGCTGTGACGCTGCGAATCAAGAGAACGCACTCTTGACACCCGCTGTTGTCCTTTGTCTGCCTGTAGTTTGACGCACTCGTAAATATATATCCTCTGGTCATCCGGTCCGACGTAAGAAGTACTACAGGTAACGACCATGCAGGTTTTCGTGGCAACCACAACGCCCTCGCCGCCATTATCGTCTCCGACAGTAATGAGCTGGTTGAAAAGCTCGATCGCGAATTCCGAGGCACTCATGAGGCAGCCTCGACAGGGTCAATTTCCAGTCAACCGATCGTACTGCTGGTCTAGTCATCCGGGCATGCGTAGGTGCGATCAAACACCTCGTCAACCGGTTTGGTAGAAACAATGCCCTCCTAAATCGATCGATTCGTAGCAAAGCATATTCATCAACTCGTCTGACCTCTGGACAAGGTCTACAATGATCCGCAGGTAGCGACTTGCCGTAATCTGGATGCCGCGAAGCACAACACAAAGATAGACTGAGCGAGGGTCTATGTATGGACCTGCCACACGCGTAGTTTCATGCGTGCTCGCTGACTGACTGACGAATGAACGTCCGAATGAGTGTTGTACATTTCCCTAAACTATGCTATCACAAAACACCACTCGGGAGTCCTCTGATCCTCCGAACCACCAGACATTTCTGGTCTCAAAGCATCGCTGCCTTCCTCACTGCTCGCCCATATTCAAGCGCGCTCAAAAGAAGATCCATTCACTGCGAGTTGAACCAGGCCGAAACGATCGTCAAGCACCCGGGCGGGCTTTGGCTCCAAACTGAGCTGGAAAAGCCGCAGAGATCTTCATTCGCGCGAACCGTCCATGTCACCATTCTCTCCTTCGTCGTGCGTGTTGCGCGAGTGCTCGGGTTTGTCCGGGCGGCCGCTGAGGGGACTGTTCATCACGATGCCCGAATCATCGAAGGCCGCCGCATCCGTGGCATCGTGGTGGCCCAAAGTAGAGGGATCAGCAACAGGGGGGACTCTGGACACAATGGGCGGATCGGGGCCCCAAGGTAACGGCTGATGGGGCGGAGGTAGCTGGCCAAATTGCTGGGACTGCTGAGGCGGCCTCTGGGGCTGAGTTTGACCGTGGTACAGTCCGTACGGGGTATTCAGTTGCGGAGTATGTTGCTGTACGGGTTGCGGAATCGGCCTCAACATTGCACCAGGGGTGGGCAGATATGGTTCGATGGGATAGCGAGGTGGTGAATACTGATGACCTAGAGGAGGCTGAGGAGCAGCCAGCTCTGGAGGACGCTGATGTGTCAAAGGGGCCGGAAGAGGAATAGATGGTGGCCCATACTGATTCTGCAAATGCACAAGTCGCGTTCGTATCTCGGAGGAATGGCAGCCGTCTGAAATGACGTGACCGAGGGCAGCAGCTCGAAGCAGCTCAAGCTCGTTGCTCTCCTGCTGCCGCTGCTCCCTCAGAAGGGTGTTGTCCGTTTCAAGCACACGCGCGTCGTCTTGCATCTTCCGAACCATGAGTTTCTTGTTGTCGCGGCATCGAGCGGCTGCCTTACGATTCTTCGCCAAGTTTTTCTCTCGTTTGGCCTCTGCTTCAGGTGACGGTGCAACGGTCGGCTTCCGCTTCCGCCCGCCTCTAGTACCAGACGTCTTTTTGCGACTTTGACGCTTCGCTGGGGCGGGCACTGGGGGAAAAGGGACGTGGGCTTGGGCATTGTGGTGCGGCTCGGACTGAGCTCGGTCGTCCAGACCCTCCTCATCCGCAGCTCTATAGCGGTCCGGTGTAAGGCCGGTCGGTGTCCCGGTATCAGGCTGCCATTGCTCTCGAGTTTCGATCGACGGCAGAATGAGATCATCCTCCTCATCCTGAGCTCCGCCCCTGTCCGGTGTAAGGGCGGGCGGCAACTCGCAAATGCAGTAGCGCAGAGCTCCACAACAAGCGTACCGCTGCAGTTGCTCCCGAGTTTCGATCGACGGCAGAATGAGATTACTTGGAGCCACTGTATCTGCCAAATGACCATTTGCACCGGGCGGGCCTTGACCGTTTGCACTGGGCGGGCCTTGACCGTTTGCTTGTGCTTCTTCGGCAGGCGGGACACCATTCGCCTCACTCTCGTCATTACTGTCAGTGCGGAACAACGACATCACCGTAAAGACTTGAGGTTCAGTGGGTGCGAAGTACTTCTAGCCTTCCCTCCTCTCCTGCTGAGACGCGACTGCCTGCTCAAGTCCACCCAGGAGGTCCAGGCTGTCAGTGGCGGGTCCATCGCTGCTCGCAGAAGCTTTTTGCGCTTTCTCGTCTGCAGTGCTGCTGGGAAGCTGGTCACGTACCAACTCTCTCACCTCGCCTTGTGCTGCTGCCTCTTTTACATCAACACCAATGGCTGCCTGGGCTGCTGATGGGGAAGGCGAAGGCACAGCACCAACCACTTCAGCATCAAGTTGAGCTCCGGTACCGACCTCAACACCTTGTAACAATGGGGCTACTTCTGACTCCGCCGAGGGGTCAAACGGGACCTTGATCTCGCCAGTAGCCGGCGCAGCCAATGTCGGGGCAGGCTTTTCCTCGCAGATACCAATATCATCCGCAGCGACACTGAGTGGGGAGGCGATCGGCGCTTGATCCACGTCGGCTGCTGCTGTGGCAGTGTCTCTCGACATCGGCGGGAGTTCGGTGAGCGTTGCTGCGACACTGGCTCCGCCGATGGTGGAGGAATACCTGCTCCTGCTGGCGCCTCTGTCATGTGTGTGTCGAGTGCCGTAGTGGTGCTTGCGATGCCCGAGTCCAGCATAGAGCTACCTGCATCCTCAGGGCCATCGATTTCTTGCTTCAACGAGCTGGGGATCAGCGGTGCCGTCGATATGGCATTGCCGGCTGCAGTACTACCAGCACCAGCAGGGGTCCCGAGAGGTGTTGGAGTGGGTGTCGCATGACCCGACCTGTCGCCAGAGTCGTCGTTGACCTCGCCCTCCTCGGAGCCCTCAGCCTCGCTATCGTCGTCATCGTCATCGTCCTTCCGACTTCGAGGCGTCGCGCTCCCATCTTCATCATGCTTGACTAACTCAGGCTTGAGAGCGCCGTCGTCGCCTTCAGGCTTGACCTCCTCGACCTCACCACGTGCCAAGGCCTCGGCCTTTCTTCTCGCCTCTTCCGCGGCACGTCGCTCGGCTTCGATCACTACTTTCTTCTTCCGACCTGGCCCACCCTTCTTCTTGCGAGGGCGCGGTGGCATGTTCTTCCGCACAGGTGGGGTATCTGTACCACCGGCATTGGGACCAGGCCCTCCACCCAAAGCAGAGCCCAGGCCACTGCCATCGCCCAGATCATAGTTTGGCCCAGCTGAACCGTCCAAAACTGCACCATAACCCTGAGCCATAGCCCAAGCGCCAGCCGCAGACTGGTTGTAGAGATTAGGCATGCCTGGTCGGCGATCAGCAAGGTACTTTGGTTCTGGCATCTTGTCGGCTTTGTCCATTGCCACTTGTGTCCATTTCTTGACTTCGAACGTGCGATCTTGCAAAATCTGGGTGGGCGGCTGTTTGCGTTTCTTGCCACGCTTGAGACCGTTCAATGCAATGGGATCATCTGTAATGCCATTTACTTCCTCATCCTCGTCGCTTGCCTCATCCTCGTCATCATCATCAGCTTCCCCTACCTCTTCGCCGTCTTCATTCGTGGTGACAGCAAGATACCGCGACTTACGCAATCCGATGTCGCCAGTGATGCCCCTCTTACGGGCTTCATCGTAACGGACCCACTCAGCATTCTTCTTGTCCCATACTGAGCACTTAGTTTCACGTGTGCCACGTCGTGATCGTCTGAGAATCTCCTGATTATGGAGGGGAAGTTGGTCGAAGAAGGTAGGCAACGGCAGGTCGTCATAGGGGTAGTCATCCTTGTTGGCTTTCCGAGTGGCGAGTGGGTCCGTGGCTTCAGCGGCCGCGTCTTGGTTGATGGAAACGGTTTCGAGCACAAACTTGCGTACGGGAAGGCCGTCAGTCGGATCAAAGTCGTTAGCATTCCGTCCGGCTCGAGTTGATGCGGCGTGAACGTCTGTGTGGCGCGTATGACGCGAGGACCGGAGCTGTGAAGTCTATGTTAGTCAATGTAGAGAGAGGCGTAATGATGAAAAGGTGATGTTCGAGGATGCTGGATGGAGGAAATTGATGCATGGTCGCAAGCCACGGCTGTTCCTGAGCTCACGGCCAGAATGCATGCCACAAATGACAAGAAATGTTCTCGTCAGCCCGTCCGAGGGTCATTCAGGTGACCAAAGATGTCCCGAACCGTTGGTGATTCTACTCCAAATATTTATCGCATCTCCAAACTTCACCGTGGCAGTAGGCCTTGCAGCCCTCAAAGTCCTCCCAGCGACCCATCTGGCATATCTCAGGACGTTCGGGAGAGGCACGGCACTTACAGGAGCCATTGCGATGCAAGTCAGTACTGGCTGAGGACCATCCCAAGAAACTGCTGACCTTGGCGAAGTGAAAAGCGACTTCGAATAAGACTTCGGGGCGGGCTTCCAGATACACTACTAAATATGAATGGTAGCTATGCTGAAGTGCAGATGTTGATGCAGTGGTTGTCTGAGATGAACCAAAAAGACGAGATGGGAGTCAAGAGCCGTTTGACGCGTTACTGGCAGGCAAGCGCGATAGGCAGGCTAGCCGAGGCAGGTACTACGGCGGCGCCACACACCCCACCTGCAAATATCGATTTGCTCGCGCTGAGGCGTAGATGTAGATGGCAGTCGCAGAGGAAACGCCTCACAATGACACAGCGGGAGCAGAATAGGATAGCTCCTGCATTGCCGCAGTCGTGTCTATGACGCGACCGCCGATGGCCCGTCCAGAATCTGAAGGGAGATGTTACAATCATATAATACACATCTCTGAACCACGAGCCTCGATGCTCTTCGAGCGGCACGGCTTCTCGCTCTCAATTCCAACCTGTATCCTTCTGCCGAACTATACCGCCATGCCCCTCCTTGCCCTGTCAGACGTAAGTATTTGCGCATGAGGCGAGGCCGAACCATGGGAGACTTACCGACGCGCCACCCTCGACCACTAACCGATCCAGCTGGAAGAATTGCGATATTATGGTTTGCCGCTGTGATATCCGTCAGCAACTACTTTGGTCGCCATCATAGTTATCCTGTCCAGCCGCATAGCTCTAGGATCTCATGTGGACTTCGTACCTTCATAGTCTGCAACTCCTTCAGCCCGTTCTGTACCAGCTCCTGCACCCTCCCCTCGTCTTTCTCTGCTTTATTGTCCCGGAACGCATCCTTCGTCCGCCGCCGCGCATACTCTCGGAAGTTGTAGTTCGAGAATTGTGATGACGACCGTAGAAGTGATCTGTATAACGACCGCACTGTCGGTCCCGATATGTCGGTGGCTGTTGCGAGAGCCGTGGCGCTTGCCATGGTGGCCAGGGCGAGCTGAGACTTCAGTATGCCAACTGGCACACTAGATCTTCGCTAGAAGTGATGCGTGTAGACACGGAGCTGCTGTAGGATGCGCTTTCGCCCAACTACGACCGAGCTCGGTCTTAGGAATCTGGAAAGCGTTCCTCCGGCTCGTCTGAGAGGTTGCTTGGCCGATCCAGATCTGATCTATGGTGCTTCCGATGCCTGTTCCCAGGGCGATTGAGGTGTCGAAGGTGAGGTGATTCGGATGTATGTAGATATCCAAATCGCAAACTTTCAAGAGTCTCCCAAATAATTTGGCCGCCGCATTGCGTCAGGGTCTTCGGATCGGCGTGGACTCTCCGACCGCGTTCAATTCGACGACGGGGCATTCACCATCGACGTGTCGTTGTACTGTGCGCCGAATACATCTACTTGCGCGTGTGTAGTCAAGACTATGGGAGCTACACTCTTACAGTAACGTGCTCAAAATCTGAAATCGATCACACCACTCGCCAGCGGTGATACGCCTGGTCCCACCAGATCGCAACGAGGTAGCGAACAAACATATGTACATGAGTACATGATGGCAGCGTCGCACGATGACAGCGATGCCGAGAACCTCATCGACCGCCTCGACGATCTCCTCGCCCAACATCTCGACCTCCTCGACAGCTACACCACCCTACGCACCCAACTGTCCGAGCAGTTCTCCTCCGGCTTCTTCTCTCTAGCAGCCGCCAACCGTAATGCCGCAGCTTCTCTGGGCGCTGGGAGGAGATTCGGCTCGGACGGTTTTGACGGGCGTACGAAGGCTGGGCGTGTGGTGAAGATCGCGGCAGAGGTGGATAAGACCGAAGAGCAGGAAGCGAAGGAGGAGAAGACTGGAAGTAAAGCGGCCGAGGGGGCTGAAGACGTCCCAAATGGAGGGCCATCACTTGTAGAGCCAGAATCACGACAGGGAATCTCTGAGAAGACTGAGCAGTGGTTGCCGCCCGCAAAGACCACGGGAGCAGCAAGCAAGACAATCCCAGACCAGGCGAACGCAGCAGACCTCTCTGCACGACTCTCCAGTCTAACCCTTCCCACAACCCCAGCCAACCCAACCTTCAGCATAACACAGATCCAACCAGGATCCTCTACGCCGTCTGCCGAAGCTAACGACTCTCCCACAACCACCAAATCGAAACTACCTCGCAATCCATTGAACTGGTACACGCCCCTCCCACCTCCAGCCCTTCGGCAGACCCAACAAACCTTCGTCTCTTCGCTTGATACTCTCGCCGCTGTGATCAATGCGACTGAGGCCCTCGATGCGCTAGACGCGAGGTGCGAAGCATAAGGGCACAGCTTGGTCGTTTGGAGGGTGCCTCGGGCGGTAAAAGTGGTGTTGAAGTTGAGGTCGAGGACTCATCTGTCGCTGGAGATGATGTGGTTGAAGGGCAGGAAACAGAGCTCTCGACACCAAGATCGCCAGCACCGACACCGCGCAAGGCACAAATGTCATCACGGTCACGGATCAAAAGTGTAGGCAGCGCCAAGGAGCCGCCACGATCGAGGGTCTTGAAGATGCAGTAGCTATGAACACGGTACAGTCTAGTGATATGTGCAGGACGCAAGATCAGCATCCCCGGTTTGGTCGGTGCCAATTCCAAAGACCAAGTTGTCGCCAGCAGTGCCCTCCTGGTGCGCCCAAGATAGCGAATGCAGTCCATTGAGTGTCAACAATTAGTCCATAACGTCCTTCTCAATTTGCATCATTGTGCCGTCAGCATCAGCGTCTTCCTCGCCCCTTCTGAACATTCTGTCAAAGGTATCATCAGCCTCTACCTCGATCTCGACCCTCTCACTTCGGACGCTCTCGATGCCATCCTTCGGTGGACTGGTCAAAACCTTCCGTTGTGCGCCCTCTCTGACACTCCCTCTAAAAAGCTTCCCATTCTCGTCACGCCTGGCTGGAGATTCTTGGATCTCTTTCAGGTCACCATCCCAGTAGCTGGGTCTGCGCTTCTTCCTGAGTCGGTGATCTGGACCTCTGGCGGTGACGACGTTGGGGCTGAGTTCGCGGAGCCCTCTGCGCGTACCACGACTCTCAGGAGTCTCTGATGCTAGAAGACTCATTCGTATGGCAGCTCTTGTGTCTTCATCAAGTTCGAGAGTCTGGCTCTGCTCATCCGACACGTCGTCTTCAAGATCTCTTGGACGAGGACGCTTTTGAACCTCAAATGCCATTTCTCGAGCTTGTGGTGGGGGACTGCTTCGGAACCGCACCCCTGATCTGTTCCTGGGTCGCCGTGTACCCGACCGAGTTGGACGATCCGACCTTCGACCTCCGAAGTCCCCATAGTACTTGCTGACACCTTTCGCACTAGCCATAGCTGCGATGCCTGTTTTGCGGTACTTCCCAATGGGTCTGGCAAGTGGCGTCAATGTGTCGGTTCGATAAGAGTCTCGAATGAGTGAATCGGGTGCGGCTGATCTCCCGCCAACTTTTCCCGCGGCAGTAGAGAAGGAGTACTCATTCCTCTTTCTGCCTGATGACTGGGATTGGCTTGGCTTGTAGTACCATCCGGGCTGGAAGTGCTCGCTAGTCTCGCGTTGGAAGCTTGGCCTTGATCTTATGTGATGTGCTGAATGATATGCTGGGTCGAGCCAATGTTCTGCTCCACGTCCGGTTGAAGATGGTGGACTCTTGAATTTTGGAAATGCCATCGGACTGCCTGTAGAACTTGCTCTGGAGTACGGGGGCATTGGCGGCTGGAGGCCGTCATAGTATCCGCTGATCGCTCTCGCACCCTGGCTGCTGATGTGCTGACTGCCGTCAGTCATGACACTTTCGCCTACCGCTGCAGCCTCGACATGTGATGACAGATGTGCCATTGGATCTGGGCAAGTTGTGCGAGTGAAGAGCTGGTGCAACTTTGGATCAGGACATGGTGTTCCGTGCTCGTGCTCCTGTTCTTCCTCATCGATATTGTTTGCCTTTGCCATCTTCTTGCTGAGGAACCACCGCTGGAGACAATACTTCATGAGAAGACCTGTGAAGGTGGAACAAGCTCCTCAGAATTCCTCGCTTCTCCTTTGCCGACGCAGCAGCGGCCTTCGCCGGCTCAGACAGGAAGATCTCGCTGTCAGATGGCTCATCGACTACCAAGTCCTCGCTTACATCCATGATTTGTTGTGCGTCTGCCGAAAGCCGCTTGAGACGGGCGACTAATGGAGACTCGTCTATCGCCATCGGACTCTGGATCACATCACCACCCATCCCGAGTTCTTCGAGCTGCTCTTGAAGCTCGATCATGTCGTGTCCCTTTAAGGCGGTATCTGGCGGACTTGACCTTGGTTCGTCAGCGCTCTCGTTGGCAATATCTGCTGGTGCTTCAGGCGTGTTAAAGCCACTACTGATGGGTTCGCGACCAGGCACGACATTTGTCTCACTCGATGGCGTCGGCAACGGCGGCGATGCTCCTGGGACAGGCTCCCGTACATCACGATCGTACCCTAGCAAGATGCCTGGTGCTGTTGAGTATCTCCATGCTTTTTTCGCATCTGTTGTGTCTTCCGTAACCGCGGCTGGGTCATCAGCGGGTGAGCTATCTAGGTTGGTGGCAAGCGAGACCCGATAGATCCTGTCGGAGATGCAGCGAAGGCCATGTCGAGGCGAAGTGAGGCCTTGGCAGATTGAAATAATCTCTGCATCTGTGCAACGTGACCCGGCGTGACGCTTGTCGTGACAGGCATGGGTGCTCTTCGGCGGCCAATATTAGAAGGTGTCTGCTTGCCCCTGTCCGCCTCGATTTCTCGCGGCGAGGCTGGCAGATCGATCGAGACGTCATCTCGTGTGTCAGGAGCCGGCGAGCATGAAAATGCGCGGGAGAAATGCAGCGAAGACCTTCTTCTTGGTGGATCGAAAGGCGCTGTTGCTCTAGTCAAACAACAATTCATGTCGTGAAGGTGTCACTCACGTTTTGGTGTGCCGGGAGCGTGTCCAGATCGTGTTGATGATGGCGCTTCGGTGCTAATAGTCTGACGAGGACTGGGAGGCGTGGCCATCTCCTCGTCGATCAACTCTCGTAGAGTGATCGGCGTTGATGGACTCGGAGCCATCTTTGAACATTTGATGAGGGTCGCTGCCTGAGCGAGTCGCAGCAAGATGTATCAAGCAGCAGTCCTGGCATTGCGACTGCCGCCAACAGACGAATGAGCCCAGCCGTGGCAGGCGCAACCTGCATGAATGCCCGAGATGTCAGTATGTGTTTACCGGCGTGTCGTCCTTATGGCTGTTTGCGGTGAATGTGTTGTTTGTAGTGGTGATCAAAGTATGGGCCGAGTCTAGGGCTTCCTTCACTCTCACTTGATATGACATACACACCATAGTAGTAGCCCACCATGATATGGTCCAGTGACCCTTGGGTGAAAGCGCAAGAACGGTGAGTCAATAGCAATGAAGTTGCTCCTTCCTGCGAAGTGCACACGGCAATCACAATGTCTCCTCACGAACTTCGAGCTTGAAGCCTGCTGTTCATCCCAATCACCTTACCTTCAGACGCACCTGATCTGCGAACTGGTCTCTGCATGTGCTTCCATGATCCGGAAGGAACATTCGGTGACCGCTACCTCACGAAGTTCCCTCTGCTCGGAAGCGCCCGCTCGCGAGCGTGCATATGAGTTTGTACTCCGAACCGCTGCAGCTGGCCTCTATCGGTAACAATCACAACCAGACCCGAGACTCGTGAGGATAAGTATCGAGAGCAGCAGAGGAGCGACAAAGCCACTCTCAACCGGCGATCGGATACCAAGGCATAATTTGTCTTTGTAGATGATGTTGCGTCCCGAGACTTGAGTGTTCGCTTCTGCAGGTCGTCGATGAGGTCGCATGTCGACAACGTGGCTTGCGTGGAAGAAACAACTCCACCAAGATTAGCCGTCTCTCTGTTTCGGGCTAGCCAGGCACACACGAGAGGTGGCCCCTTGTCTTCAAGACGCCCCAGGCGCAATTTCACCAATCACCCGCAAAGCCACTAGGCCGCTTGGGATTTTGAAGCATCGGTTCGACGCCTCTAGCCTCGCCCAAGGAAGATGAATGGCTGTTTTTGCCTTTCTCATCACGTCCTCCTCACTTCATGCTGTGCCTCCAGACACCTTTAATTGCGCACAAAATGGGTGACACAAATTGCACGAACTGGTAAGTACTGGACGTTGCTGACCCTTGCTCGTAAATGTCAGATGCAGGATCTTCTCAGTCATGATCAAAGCAATTCTGCGACCAACAAGGCCTCAGGGCCACTGGTGGTTTCATGTCAGGGACCCAGTCCATGTCGGCTCGGCTTGAACCTTGCCTGTTGTGCCGTCTTCTGTGAGTTTCAATCAGCTGGACCACCAATCTGGCCCGCGAGAATCTTCCGATCTCCAACACGAGGTCGGCCATGCAGAGCCGTTGCCTGCGTCTTTTGCTTGAGAACCAGGGTCATGGAAACTCCCTAAGAGACAAACAGTCCTGGGGCTATCTCACACCATGTTCCACGACTCCCGGCCTGCTACTTCTGCGCAGGCATGGACAATGTACTCTTCTCTCGATAATCAGTCAGTACTCGTCTCTTCAGGCGGCTTCGTTTCACTGCTTCCTGCTGTGCACGCACGCGTTCTCTTCAATCTTGTTCTTCGTTAATGCAATGAGAGCTTGAAGCTCCTTTCACCTGTCCTTCGTTTAGCAGGTCCTATACACTCTTTCCCATCCATCTGTCGGGTTGTGCAAGCGAGCAGACCAGCTGTGCTGAGGTCGTCAAACTCGATACTAGCAACCAGAAACCGAAAGACCGCAACAAGTGAATTGGCAGGGCTTTTCAGAAGAGGTCGAAGTTGTGTGCGAAGGATTGGTTGAGAAGGTAGATGAGCATCGCATAGAAAGCATTTCCAGGAGATACGGCCTCTAGAACAGCAATTCAGACCCACGTCGCCATGAGCCTGTAGGAGATCTACCAGCGTCGACTTGTACAGAACCGGAGCACATCACTTACGCAGTAATAATGTCGTCCCGACGAGACCCGCTAAGGTCACAGCCATTCACGCCGACCACAATTCGGGATGCCCAAGATACGCACGACACCACCAGGTATTTGCAGCCATCCGGTGGACGAATACCACGAAGAGTTGGTCACATGGCCAGTGGTCAGCAGTCTCCTCAGTACCCGGCTCATCCATCAGTTCGGATACCGCAGAAGGCAAAAGCGATGCCTATGGGTGCTGGCGTAGCTCCAAGACCAACAAAGGGCTCACCGGCAACCTATTCACAAGATAAGGCACCTAGGCAACGGGCGGCCAACACACCAAACACATCAAAGTCGGCGTGGGATGCATCACACGACCAAAATTCACTTGTCATGCACTCGCCGCCTCCGATTCCTCCATCTTCCTCTTCTCGGCGTTACAATATGACACAATCATATGTTTCTTCAGTCGGAGGTGCGGACTCTCCACCAATGAGGACAACATTCCCACTAAGAGAATCACATTATCCCGAGGACGACTCACCACGAGCCGCATATCCAAGCAGCAGACTCATGCCACAGGCAGAGTTCCCTACTCCCGACAATCGCGCTACGATGCAGACTGTCGATTCGTACGATCAATTTAGCACCCCTCGACACAAGCCAGGTCCGATCGACACATCACTGCGACCCGCGACGATGGCAAAGCCTGGCGAGATCTCTCCAGCATCAACAAGAGCCAACGCGATGAATGCACTGAGTCAAGCTATCGCAGTTGGTATCAATCAGCAGTCCAAGCCCGTCTCGCCACTCACAATGTCACGACGAACTTCACGCCCATTCTCGCCGCCAGTCCGAATGCCATTCGATGATGATATGAACTCCATCCACACTACCAACGAGGACCTCGAGCCACCTGACCTGAAAGACGCGCCGCCAGTACCGACATCCAAGCATAACGTTCGCGGCCTCGCCTCTTCGCCTACCTCAGGCACTTCCGAGGCACCAATACTCGGACTTGGCATCGGCGCGCCTGGTCGTGGACTGTCAACAAAACGCGGCACTTCAAAACGACCTCCGCGACTTGACATCGATGCAGTGCGTGACATGGAAGCTCGTGGCTCCACCACTTCACTCACCGACCTCATCAAGCGAGCTACAAGACTGGCCTCCAACCTCGACCGCGGCAAGACAGCTAGCAGATTAGGCATGCTTGATATGTTTGGCAAATCGAATGAAAAGCTCGGAAGTCTACCACCAGGAAAGCGCGACTCTTCAATGTCAGACATGCTGTCTGCATTCCCAGCCCCAGCCATTGGCACTCCACGATCCGAATGGCCTGGCAACGAGAAGGGCATGAACGCCAGCACGAGCGCGTTACCACGGTTCCCAAGCGATTCTTCTAGCGATGGGTCTAACAAGAAAGCCGGTCGGCGTCGCATCTGCGGCATGTCAGTACCCTGCTTCACTGTCATCGTCATCATACTCATCCTACTAATCGCCGCGGCTGTCCTGATACCCATATTCTTAATCGTCGTGCCACGACAATCCGGCAACAACTCCTCGCCAGCCTCCGTCGCCGACTGCACCAGAACCAACAAATGCGAGAATTCTGGCACAGCAATCTTCACCAATAACGCGTGCGGCTGCATCTGTAGCGGCGGCTTCACTGGCGCTACATGCGCTACACCGGGCGACTCCGGCTGCACGACTCAAAACCTTCAAGATGGCAGCGTCATCTACCGAGATGCCACGCTCGGCCAACAGACCCTCCAAGCCTTCAATGACGCAGGCACGTTCCGCATCCCACTGAACGCCACCACCATCTTAGCGCAGTTCTCGGCCAACAATGTGCCCTGCCGCGAAGAGAACGATCTGCTGGACATGAGCGACGCCATCAACGGCACCGCATCCACCACCAGCAACAATGCCGCCAAGCGCGAGACCGCACCCGAGCCGTTCGTCATGCTGAAAGGCTACGAGCCTGCTCCTCTACCCGTCCACCCACACCGTGTAGACCACATCCAGCACGAAGCCGCACAGCCGATGATCACCGCGATTCCAACCCCGAGTGTTGCGCTCCGCGCCCGACAAGACGCTTCCGAGAGCAACACCATGATCTCCGAGATCAACGGCATCGTCTTCGACACAGCGCGCAACACCGTCGTCACCACCGCCACCAGTGCCACCGCATCTGCCGCGGCGCCCTCCGCCACTGGCACATCCTCCTCCGACGCTCCACCCTCAGCACAACTGACCTCCCAACTTTCATTCTCGCGCGTCGTCGTGCTCTACATCCTTGACAAGTCGCAGTCGCTCGCCACGGCACTGGACGCGAAGAACCGGCTGGCGAAGTATTTCGAGAGCGTGGGAAGCGGGAATGAGGTGCAGGTGGGCATGGTCGCAGGGCTGATGGTGACTGCTGATATGCAGAATCTGATACTAAAGGATGGGGATGAGGTTGTGAATAAGAGCGATTGAGTTGATGTCATACTTGGACGTCGTTACAGGAACGACGGCGTTGGAAATGTATTGGGATTTCGAACGCTGGCATATTTGCACGGCAATTGGCTCAGAACAAGAAGTACGTTGGTTTGTCGCGGCAAGCGATTTGGATGGTGTTCACAAGTACTGGGAAGACTTGTCATATTGACACGGCGTTCTGGAATACAGCGAGGCGCATCTTGTCAGCGTACAGCAAGGGAGCGATTTTGAGCATACCTCCGGCGTAAATGCTATGGTGTTGATAGTACAGCGTACCAAAAAGCGAGAGATAATGTCTCGCGACAATCACCAATCGCAATTTGATCTGACCAAGCTCTATTGTTCTGCCTGTCTTCGTATTGAACCTCGTCTGGAACCCAGGATAATCTACACGACGCCTGTGATGAGTATACCGACCCGCGCGCTCACGGATTATTGCCTCCGTCTACGCATTGCCGTCGCAATGCTGTCAATCCCTCAAGAGCTCCGCGACCTCTTGCCCATTCAGGCCCAATAGGTATAGAATGTCATCCAGGCCAGTCGCAAAATTTATTCGCGCAGGTGCCTCCATCTGTACTTTGCTCTTCGCCCGCCACGCCACGCCCAGCCCAGCGGCCTTGAGCATAGGAATGTCATTTGCGCCGTCACCCACTGCCATCGTCTGCTCCATCTTAAAGCCTTTCTCCTTCGCCATACTGAGCAGCAAGTTCTTCTTGTGCTCGCCATCCACGATCGGAAACCTCGAGTCGAGCTCACCCGTCAGCGTCTGAGTCTTCGGATCCGAAACTAAGTGATTGGCAAACGCGTGGTCGAGGCCTAGCTCACCAGCAAGCCAGTCCGCCAGTGGCTGAAACCCTCCTGAGCAGACGGCTAGTGTGCATCCCAAGCGCTTGAGGCCTTTGCACAACTGCCGAGCTCCGGGTGTGATTGTGATCTTGGGCTTCAGCTGCTCGAAGACATCGGACGGAACACCTTTGAGAAGAGCAACTCGTGCTCGTAAGGATGCGGCGAAGTCTAATTCTCCGTTCATTGCGCGGGTCGTGATGGCTGACACCTCTTGCTGAACGCCAACGAAAGCTGCTATCTCGTCGATGACCTCTTGCTGTATGAGTGTCGAGTCCATGTCGAACACGCAAAGCCGCTTGTATCGTCTATAGATGTTTGATGGCTGTATGATGACTTCGCAGTTCCATTCCCGTTCGAACTTGTAGATTGATTCGTGCTTTGAGAGGAGATCTGAGGGCAGGTATTCCGGGTTTGGTGGTGGAGAGAAGGTCACTTCCATGATGCGAGGTTTCGAAGAGTCTGGCGCCAGGCATCTATGCGACGATGTCAGACGCCTTTGCTCAGGAATGTTATGAATGAGGAGCGAGTCCAGCGTTGCAAGGAAATGAGTGAGACACATCTGGGAAACAAAAGCTCCGTAGAGATGATCGAGAGGCTCTGGCTCAGGAGCTGGCGGCTCGAGCGGATAGTCTTCGATACTCGTAGTCGGTGCCGAGCCGGCGACAATCTCTGGCGGTGGAAGCAAATCCTGCGGCCTGACTGCGGGCGACTGGTCTGCATGTGGATGCGCATGATTTGGCGATGCCGAGTTGTAATATATGGTCGCAACCAGTCTCGCTGCATCACCCTGTGCCGGCACGCAGTTGGTGTGGGATATCGTGTGTATCGATTCGCTGTCCTTTAAGACTCGCGGTGCAGGCGATATTGCAGATATGGACTTTCTTGACGATAATGAGGTACTTGACAGGGTGTTTCGCGGAATGCGAGTGGGAAGGTCGAGAACACCGTCGATGCTGGTGCTCGGGCCGCTCTGATGGTCAACTGTGCTCGGTACCTGATGTGTCTTATACTCCAGATGGTCGTCGAGGTATGAGTTGCTCCTACCTAAGCTGCCTTTCCCAAGGCTAGGTCTGCCACTGCGGGGCGATGTCATGGTGTCGATGCTTTCCTGTGATACTAGTGTCGTAAACGCCGAAGCGATCCTATGGTCAATGAGACTATCGGGTCGAGTCGCCTGGCGATATGGTCACGCGCATTTCACAAGACAGCAGTCGCACCCACGGTAGGTGTGAGACTGGGGTGGTACAATGTACCTGCCTGCGAGGGACAATCATTACTTCTTGAGGCATGGAAGTCAAGCCACTGCGGCGCATTCGACGCAGGTACGACCTGTCAGGGTTAGGGTTGGACATATGTCTGGGTTTGATGTGATCTCCGCGGTGCGCTTCATGGTGGTCATGCGATAGTCGTGGTCAATACCATGTGCCGCAGTCCTGCTGCCAGGAAACGACACTGTGAGTGCGATAGAGCGCCGGCCAACGTCGACCTGGATTCAATTGAGATTTGCAACCTTGTAGTCTCTATGCTTATCTCGGAGAAGCAGTATAGCATTCGTTTTTGCTGACTGGCACAACGGTTCTGGCCTGGATCAGCATTGCAGCGGTATTTTATCCCATGGAACATCGCGGGACGACGCGAGCCACAGCAATTCGTTTCCGTCGTGTCTGGTCAGCACCTGCTCCCGACCGGTACAACCACATGGGGCGAGTCGATCAGCACTCATGATGTAACATGCCTTCTGGTGATGGGCAACTGCCCCTCGTCGGTTGGCAAACACTCCGTGACCGGCGACAGCGACAAGCACGCAAGCACGCAAGCATGCTCGGCACGTCATGCCAGCTCGATCCAGCCTAGAGATCTTTCAGCCGACGAAGCACACCCAGTGATCCGAAGCCTAACATCTTTTCGCCGGTAACCGTCCCCTGTTTTTACCTCCGAGTCCCGTTAGCGTGCATGATGTCTTGGACGCAATATTGGAGAGGAATAACGCCACCGTCAGAAATGCCACTCTAGGACGAACTTTCGCTTTCAAGTAGAGCAAATGATGACCACTTTCGGAAGGTGAAATCTGGCCAGCTATACATGACTACAGAAGTCGAGTGTCGTGCCCAAGTCTGCAAATTGCGTGATCGAGCACGTGACCAACGAGGCAAATTCTCTCATACCTCGACACCTTTCCTGGCTGTTGGCGCACGAGAATTGGCTGGAACGCAACAGCCCGCGCATTTTCGATGAGTCTTTCGTGCTATGTGGGGCATCAACTCATAGGAGCAATATGGCGTGCTCACGGTTGTGGCTCTTGCTAGGCTGTCACAGACGAGCTTCGGAAATCGAGCATCGAGTCGTCAACCGAATCGTGGATTTGTAAGTATGGGCGCACTTTCGATCGAAATCTGTCTTCTCCCTTGTTGTGCTGTGTTCCAAAGGCTTGCGTGACCATATCGAGCGTAAAGGGCAGCAATCATGGTCAATCTTTCTTCGATGTTGCCTCTTATCCCATTCTCCGTACAATCCTTCTTCAACATCGCTCCCTCGTCCCCAAGTCCCTCCCCTCAGCAAGCCGACAAAATGTCACGCCCATCTACGCCCGCGCCCATAGACACCTCTTGCGAATCAGGCCGGTCAACACCATTGTCCAAAACGGCCGACTCGGGCTATGGGTCAGCAGCAGCCAGTGAAATTGACTTGCCTGAGGTATACTTCACGAAACCACACCTGCAGTTCATCAACCGACAATTACAAAACCTCGAGCCACAAGAGATTCTGCGATGGTGTGTGACAACGTTACCGCATTTGTTCCAGACCACCGCCTTTGGTCTGACTGGACTCGTGACCCTCGATATGCTCTCAAAAATGGACATCCCTCGGCCCCAGATGGTCGACATGATCTTCCTTGATACATTGTATCACTTCTCAGAGACTCTCGACCTGATCGACAGGATAAGAGCCCGGTATCCCAACAACAATGTGCATATCTTCAAACCCGTAGGCGCCGAGACCGAGGCAGAATTTGCTGCTGTGTATGGAGATCGACTATGGGAAACCGACGGCGAACGATACGACTATCTTGTCAAGGTCGAGCCTGGCCAACGTGCCAATCGCCAGCTCAACGTACAAGCAGTTCTGACGGGACGTCGCCGGTCACAAGGCGGCAAGCGTGGAGACTTGCCTATCATTGAGGTCGACGAGGATGGCACCATCAAAGTGAACCCTCTGGCCAACTGGTCCTTCAAGCAGGTTAAGGAATACATCGACGCCAACAGCGTCCCATACAACGCCCTTCTAGACCAGGGCTACAAGAGTGTAGGCGACTGGCACTCAACACAGCCTGTTGCCGATGGTGAAGATGAGCGGGCCGGACGTTGGAAAGGCCAAGAAAAGACCGAATGTGGCCTTCACAACCCCAAGTCGAAGTATGCATTGTTCTTGATGGAGCAGGAGAAGAAAAGAGAACAGGAAGTCCTACATGAAGCACTGAAGAGGGTCGACCTCAAGTCATGAGCACACCGCTCCACTATGGGCATTAACAGGGATGGGATTCAGAACATTTGCGAGCATTTACATGCATAGCGTGGCGTTTCGAGGGCGTGCAGGTCCGCACCAAAAAGGTTGAGCTTTCCATGTAGCATGAGTGATGTGCATTTAGCAATGCGTGGGTGGACGATGGCGATGATAGCACATGGTAGTCGCGACTAAGACGTGGTCATCCCAACAGCTAGGTTAGGCTACGGATCCAGAGGATGTCGATGGTGATGGCCTCCAGAACGTTGAGACTCTGTCGATGGCGATAAAGATATAGGAAATGGAATTGCAATTCCTCAAAGCCACCCACGATGAAGCCTCCGAGGTCTTGCCAAACCGTGAGCTTGAATCAGGCTCGGGGGCTCGTGCCCCTCGGGCTCTTCTATAACCCTGCGTTGAGTTACCACCACCTGTAGCAATCGATGACCAACCACGACTATGTTGCAGACATGGCACGTTGCTTGTGCAACGACCTGATTACCACCTCTCGGTACTTAGCTGCAGCTGCCCCGGCTCATCTTGAGCGGACCCAGCATACATTTGTGTCTTGAAGTCACCAGTCGACTTCGCATCCTCTCAAGCGCACGTCTATCAGCACTTTATCTGTCTCGCTACCACTTCATTCAGCAGGACCATGGCGGATACATCTCGGCTACGGCCCCTGCAGAATGAAGGAGGCCGATAGTCGCTCGAGTGCTCCAGGCGGTCTGGCGTACCTTGCATCGCCCTCGAGCTGCCGTCAGGCCCGAAACTCTAGCGGGATTTTCAGCCCACCAAAATTATTTTTTCTGCCAACCCGGATAACTGCAGCATACGCATCATACCAAGAATGGCGACATCAGCGTTGCTCGCTGGAAAATCTCGTGCATTGGCATGCTACGCGATTGCGTAGTGTATATCCTAACAATTTCGTCCCCGGAGCCGCCCTTGGAAAGATCCATGCCTTGACTTCCGCCATCATTGCTTGTTATATCTATAGATCCCTGTGTCCTGTGGTCGTTACTGAGCCCACCTTTGTATAACAGCGAGTGTCACGCCTGCTGGGATAGTACGGTCTAGCAGCATCGTTCACAGGAAACCCGCCCCGGACGGCCTGCTCACCCACGGCTGCAACCTGCTACAAATTCCTGCGACAAGGTCATGGCCAACACACCACATGGGGGCGTCCTGAAGGACCTCATCGCCCGCGATGCACCACGGCACGCAGAACTTGAAGCTGAAGCCAGCAAACTGCCCGCAATCATCCTGACCGAGCGACAACTATGCGATCTCGAACTCATCCTCAACGGTGGCTTCTCCCCATTGGAAGGATTCATGAACGAGAAGGACTACAACGGCGTGGTTGCCAACAATCGCCTGGCTGACGGTGCTCTATTCAGCATGCCTATCAACCTGGACGTCACGAGCCAGACTGCGGAGCGCCTCGGTCTCAAGCCAGGAGCACGAGTGACACTTCGAGACTTTCGAGACGACCGCAACATCGCCATCCTTACAGTCGACGATGTATATCGTCCAGACAAGAAGAGGGAGGCACAAGAGGTCTTCGGTGGTGATCCGGAGCATCCCGCCATTGTATATCTCAACAACACAATCAAGGAACTATACGTTGGCGGTAAGCTCGAGGCGGTCAACCGACTGAACCATTACGACTACGTTGCACTCCGCTATACACCTGCCGAACTTCGCTTGCATTTCGAGAAGCTGGGCTGGTCGAAGGTTGTGGCTTTCCAGACCCGGAACCCTATGCATCGTGCTCATCGTGAGTTGACCGTGCGTGCGGCACGAGACCGGCAAGCCAATGTCCTTATTCACCCCGTCGTTGGCTTGACAAAGCCTGGTGATATTGACCACTTCACCCGCGTGCGAGTCTACCAAGCACTTATGCCGCGGTATCCCAACGGAATGGCGGTCCTTGGTCTTCTGGGCCTGGCTATGCGTATGGGTGGTCCGCGCGAAGCGATCTGGCACGCCATCATCCGCAAGAATCATGGCGCCACACATTTCATCATCGGCCGAGATCACGCCGGTCCTGGCAAGAACAGCAAAGGTGTTGACTTCTACGGTCCCTACGACGCTCAGTATGCGGTAGAGAAATACAAGTCGGAGCTGGGCATCGAAGTGGTCGAGTTCCAGATGATGACCTACCTGCCTGATACTGACGAGTACCGGCCTAAGGACCAGGTTCCTCAGGGCACGAAGACCTTGGACATATCCGGTACGGAATTGCGTCGCCGACTCAAGGTTGGCGCTCCTATCCCCGAGTGGTTTTCCTACCCCGAAGTCGTGAAGGTCTTGCGGGAGTCGAATCCGCCTCGCGCCACACAAGGCTTTACTATTTTCCTTACCGGCTACACCAACTCAGGAAAAGATGCTATTGCACGTGCCCTGCAAGTGACACTAAATCAACAAGGTGGTCGCGCCGTCTCCCTGCTCCTTGGTGAGACCGTCCGCTCAGAGCTCTCCTCCGAGCTAGGCTTCACACGCGAAGACCGTGACACGAACATCGCTCGTATCGCATTCGTCGCTGGAGAGCTCACCAAAGCCGGCGCAGCGGTCATCGCCGCACCCATAGCTCCATTCGAGGAGGCCCGTCAGGACGCACGTGAGACAGTCGAAAAGTATGGCAGCTTCTTCCTAGTGCATGTGGCCACAAGTCTGGAGTACTCCGAGAAGACAGATCGAAGAGGAGTGTACGCAAAAGCGAGAAGCGGCGCAATCAAGAACTTCACTGGTGTCAACGACCCGTATGAGCAACCGAAGAAGGCTGATATGACTGTGGACTGTGAGAAGCAGAGTGTGAGGGAGATCGTGCACAGTATTGTGCTGCTGTTGGAGAGCCAGGGATTCTTGGAGGCTGCTTAGTCGGTGGCTTCTGCTGTTCTCTTGTTGATGGGTATAGAGCTGATTAGAACGATTGATGTCTATGTCATTGACACTCACGGGGCCATGAAGGGCTAGATAGGCAAAAGTACTGGAAACGAATGGGTTGGAATACACACGCGGTTGTTGCTGAAATAGTTGTCTAGTACGTGGCGATGACTTGCACAGATGCATCAGCCAGACATGTATATTTGTCGGGCATTACAGTACGTGTTCCCGGGCAAGCCCTGTCAAGGCCACATTGAGGTCACAAGAAGTTGTGAAGCGAGCTACAGGCCACACGGAACCCAGATCGCCCACCATCTCGTCGGAAACTGTGCTGCCTTCTCGGAGTACACCGTGATCGGGTACCTGAAGAACTCGTAGGGGCCTCGACCGAAGCCGGCTGACCTAACCCGCTAGTCCACACTCACCAGACCGGATGACTGCTTCTACGGAGAACTGACAGGCGTTTCAGCTAGACTAACCGCGGCATAGATCCGAAGGCTGCTTGCCTTACTGCCCACTTCGAGGCCTTGTCTTGAACTGTCTTTCACACATGGTTTGAGGAACGGCTAGCATAACAACATGTGGGCGAGGCGGATAGGCTGGTGTCTGGCTGTGGCAGCCCTCGCTCCGTGCCTGTCTGACGCAGCATGCCTCGAGGACACGACTCCGTGGACACATCGGCTACCACTCAGAGACGATGTCATCCACCAAGATGTTCTCAAAGCTCTTTCCCACGAGCTGGATCTCGTCGCTATACGGCCAGGCTTCGAGCGAGTCTCGTTCTCTGTTTCCGCGACCACTTTGAACAGCACCTTTTTCTCCTACCACCACACTGCTCGACGGCTAGACTTCGCACGACCAGGCGCCCATCCAGTGACTGGCGACAACTACTATCGCATAGCCAGCATTACGAAAATGTTCACCACCACAGCAATACTGCAGCTGCATGCAAAGGGCAAGCTCAGCCTCGATGATCCAGTCTCGAAGCACTTGTCTAAGCTCAGCGGCCCAATAGCGTGGGACGACATCACCTTGCGAATGCTTATATCTCAAAGTAGCGGGCTGGGACAGGACTGGTCTCAAGGTGATCTGACCAAAGGCATTGATGATCCTCTCGAAAAGGGATTTCCTCCGCCCACTAAGAAGCATTTGACGCCATGCTACGAGCAGGTTGATTTCTTTACTGCCTGCAATGCTACGGACCTATACCACGCCATGCCAGACCAGCGTCCCGTGTTTTCGCCCAATCAGGTCGGCTCATATTCCAACGTTGGCTTTGAGATACTTGGCCTTGTGATAGAGCAGGTCACCGGACACGCATACGAGACTTACGTGGAGAAACACATCCTGAAGGCCTGGGACCTGACTTCTGGTGTGACATTTGACACGCCCGCAGACCACCTAGCAGTCTTACCCGAGGACTGGAGTTGGTTTTTCGGAGTCGATCTCGGCATGCACAGCGCAGCAGGCGCACTATATGCGACTAGCGACGGTTTAGACAAGTACCTTCGAGCCATGATGCTCAGAGCTGAGGATCCGGCACTTGGTGCCCCAGCTGTGAACATATTCATGCCGGAGTCGTTCTCCTTTGGCGCCTCCTCGGGGTATGGTCTGACATGGGAGATCTTCCGGACGAGCCAGCTTCTGGAGAACGGCAGAGCAGTGACCTTCTTCACGAAGGGAGGTGGTCATCCAGGCTATCAGACCATGATACTAGCCATCCCAGAATATGGCCTCGGGATCACTATCCTCTGCGCCGGCGACAAGGCAGGCAATGTACTCGGCCAGGCTCGCGAGGTGGTCACCAGAGAGCTCGTGAGGGCCGCGGATCGCGCGTCAGCCGAAGAGATCAAGCGCAAATACACTGGCGATTTTGCCTTCCACCAGTTCTTGCAGGACGACAGCATAGTCGAAGCTTCGTCTGAACCGCAAAAGCCTATCGTCACAATCGACTCTAGCCTCACATTAGCTTACGACTCCAGTGCTGGGCTGTACATCCAAGCATGGAAATCAAATGGCAGCGATATGCTCAACACGCTCAACGAGATCTTCACACGATACGATCCTGATGCAAGCCTGACCTATCGTCTCATCGCGACCAACCAGTACCTTGAGAACGAACATGGCCACAGGGGCGAGATCTGGCGCGGTGTCCCTCTCTATAAGAGACCTGACACTATATGGGGTGACTTCTGCGTCAATAATATCGACGGTTTGCATTTCGATGGCAAGCCCTTCTTGGAGTTTGTGTTCTTTGAGGACGCTGACCTTGTGGAGATTCCGAGCTTTAGGGTCAAGTTGCGGCGGCCTAAGCGCGGTCGTATCATATCGCTACAGTCAGAAGGACAGCAGCTGCCGCTAGGGGCGATGTTGATGGGTGAAGTTCGTCGGCTGGTCGAAACCATCGAAAACGCATGAGAAATGAATTATGATTGCATTATGGCGCTACTAAGCTGTGTGGCATTGCTTGTCCTCCTGAAGACTTCCTCAGTGCTGCATTGTCTTACAGCTTGCTGGGTCGACCATCCAGATGAGTACTAAACGCCCTAGTTGATCTCAATGAACGCCGGACCAGCTATTGTCGCTGCCGCAACCGCGTCCGCATCGGCAAACGGCCCCTTGCTGCTGACAAGTGCGGCAATAGTCAACCCGTTCATGAGATTGTCGCTGTAGGGGAAGTTGGCGGTGAACACGCCACTGCCGCTTTGCGTAATATCCACAACGATGGGTGTGTTCTGCTGGTTGATGTACACCAAAGCCGCAGCCTTGCTGCAGTCGCTGCTCGAGGAGAAAGTCAAGGTCTGAGTCGTAGCATTAGGTTGCGCGGGTGAGACAGCCAAGGCAGGAAAGATTGGCAGGTTGATTTGGCTCACACTCGCCTGGCAACTGCCCGGGATAACGAAGAATTGATTGAGAGCCGAGAACGCAAAGGCGCGAGAGCTGGCCGTCAAGAAAGGTAGGGCAGATGGGACCAGGCCCAAAGCGGTACGGTAGTAGCCGTTCTGCTCGCCTTCTTGACCGATGACGGACCCAACACCTGGGATGAGGGCGGCGTCGCCGTTGGCGGCGAAATGGCTCTGGATGTTTGGAAGGACACCGAGAACGACGTCGGTGAAGAGCTTGGCTAGGCTGAGAGCGTCTTTGAGAGTGCTGACAGGGAAGTTGTATGCGCAGCCCTGAATTGCTGGGTGGCCAAAAGCGGCAACGGCACTGTTGGCGAACAAGGCGTGGAGCTCTTCTTGGGCTTGGACGGCAGTGATGGTTGCGACAAGCTGTTGGTAGTCCGCGTCGTTGCTGACCTCGTATCCAGGGACTTTATTAGTCACGTTGTACAGGAGGTCTGTGAAGAAGGCCACCTCGAAGATCTCGTTGAAAGCAATGAGTTCAAGGGAGGTGATGTCGTCGTTGGCGAGAGACGCGGGCGCTGGGCCGTTGGGGATAGTGCCAAATGCTTGAGCTTGGATGGCGGCGATGGAGTCCTTGGAGAGATTGTTGGCAGGGAATCCGTTGCTGAGAGGATACACGAAAGGGGTGGTGTCACCACCAGCGGCCTCAGTCGGAGCCGCAGGAGCGCCAGCTGGACTACTGCTGCCGTAGAGCTTACTGAGCAAATTCGAGGATGAACTTGCCACAGGAGCAGCATGTACCGATACAATGGCGGCAAGAGTCGCGAAAGTTGCGATAGACTTGGAAAGCATGATGAATGGAAGTAGGCCGGTTCTGGGAATGATGTTACTGTATATGTGTGTATATTAGATTGAATGTGGTAGACGTAAGAAAATCTGACACAAGGAAAGAAGACTCAAGGAAATGGTTGTGTGAGTGAGTGAATGATCTGATCTGGGATCGATTCAAAGGACAAGCCGTCCTTTATACACCTGCTGTGTAAGTGCCTTACCAAAGCTGTCGACAAAATAGAACAACAATAGTCAGCAGTGTGTTGCAGCGTTCGAAAGAGTAGGATGCAGTGTATATCGCACCGCCTCCACATGTATTTGGGCCTTTTGCGGGGGGAAAAGCACGCAGGAACGTAAGCTGCAGCAACTCAAAAGCCACACGGAATCATAGCGATCCGGATACACCACGAGACTGAAATAGGACGAAAATCGAGCAACGTTGTGAACGTCGCGTGTTCTGATAGGACAATAAGCGAGGTGCTTGTCAATTTCAAGCATCCCAACGAGATGGCACCGTTGAGCTTGTGTTGTGGCCAAATGATCCTGTGGGGGTGTGCCAGCTCATCGAATCACGTAGGATTAACTTTAGGAATGGTCAGCCTCAATGCTAGCCCGACTTGGCCTACCTGTTAAATTCTTCCCTTCGGGCATCGTCACATGGCGCTTGGTACTTCCGGTTGACACCTGATTGATGGAGGCGCCCCCCGTGAGAATGAAATCGCGCATGGTGTCCGCTTGCAGTACCTCGACGCGAGCGCAATGCATCCTGTCATGGCCCGGCAAATGCAGCTTTCCGGGGCTTGGCATAAGGCAACCTTGTCTGGGGAAAGTTTAGTCAGCCAGTTCTATTTTGCTGCTCGCAAGCTTCGCATCGGACTAGTGATCTCATTAGCACGAGGCCCACCATATCGTATCGTCGTAAGTTTGCCACAGTCTGCCGCGTGGACAATGACTGCTATAGGTGCAGCGAATAGGTCGGTGGAGTTTTGTGCTTTGGCAGCAGTACCGGAGCTAGAGGCAGAGAGAGACACGCTCGTCGGCATTGAACCGTTTTGGACGTCAGAAAGAGCCACGGAGATCATAGCCAGCAAATTGCTTTGATGGAACGGCAATAGCTCGTCGCGCGTTGGCCTTTCGTAGTCCAGCAGCTCTGCTGTCAAACAAGACAGGCATCGTCGTGCATCGCTCCTGCGATATGTTGAACAGCATAATTTGGGTCCAGGTGATGCTGTTCGCGGGATAACAGCCGCTCTTGCCTCGTTGATTGTACAATGCTGGTGTATTCCTAGCGGCAGGCGCCCCATCTTCGGCCGAAGAGCAGGCAAGCCGAGTATCACAATTCGGCGTCCGTCACGAGCCGATGCGCATTGGATCGTCGAACAAACGTTGTACATAACTCAAGCAAGATGACAAAGCGGTGGTCTCCCTGCTATCAAGATTGTCTTCCCAGCGCTGAAAAAGGCCGATATCCGATGCGACCGTATGGAGCACATTAAGGGGCCGTCACGAATTATGCACGGGCAACGCAAGTTGAGCAAGTGCTGATGGGGTTGAGCTCATCATCTTCGCCTTTGCAGTAGCGGACTTCCGCGCGAGTCAGAAGCTTTGAATCTCATCGATGGGTTTCCTGTATTGCGGTGTATGTGAGGTGAATGTGAGAGGGACCAGGGAACTAGGGTTGCACTTTTGGGGGCTGTGTCTTGGCGGTCGGGGGTGCTCAGCCTTACCTAAGCATCATGCACGTCGCCTCCCGGGACCATTTGTAGAAGTCCAAACCGAGCTGAGCGAGCTTGCTTCTTCTCGACATGCCCAAGTGTATCGCAATGACGCGCGAAGTCCAACGTCTGCGAATCGATGGGGTGTGAGCGAATTGGAGCGACCAGGAAAGTATCGCAGGTCATGCTCACCCTCTGTCGCCATTCCAAGGCACGAAACATGCCCTCATGAGCGCACTGGGTGGACCTGCACAAGCGGACCCTCGTGTCACTCGTAAAGCCTCATTGCGCAGTACCTGTCGGTGAGCCGCAACCGCAACTGCATGTCGTTGCTGATCACTCTAGGATCACCGCACGCAATGCATAACATTCGGACATTGTTGGCATACAGTGATTCCAAAGGGGCTGGCATCCTCGACATGGTAGGTACCCATGATTACTAGTCTGACCTGGGGGGATTGAGTGGTCTTTCATGATCATAGTCCATTGGCCATCTCCGTGCCAATGAAGTCCACGCGCCAAATAGTAGACGGGCTCTGGACGAACAGAACTCTGCAGGCATACGCTATTAGCATCAGCCCAGTAGCTCTGAATGCGGAACCGATGGACGACTAGTATTCAACATGTGGAACGTCTAGAGCAAACTATCAAGAGACATATAAGCCTGGTCCGCGAGCTTGCAATGGTCCGGCAAGTCTGCTGCGGACTGCAGTTGGTCATCGCAGCATACAGTCAACACAAGACATCTACGCCATGGCAAGCATCTCTGAAATTATCTCGAATCCATGGACTGGTTCTACAGTAATGCTGGTGGCGGTAGCAATGGTGTTCACCCTCGGACGCTATCTGATGTCGGCTGATCAACTTCCCCTTCCCCCGGGACCCAAGGGCTTGCCGTTGCTCGGAAACATCAACGACCTACCCTGCCCGGGTGTCGTCGAGAGCTATCACTGGGCGAAGCATAAGGATCTCTATGGTGAGGCACCTTTACGACATATGGAACGGACGCTGACATCGTCGCAGGACCGATAAGCTCAGTGACTGTACTTGGGCAGACGATGGTCATCATAAATGATGCGAAGATAGCCTTTGACCTGCTGCGTGATAGATCTGCGATTCACTCGTCGAGACCACACCAGGTATTCGCCGGCGATTTGTACGTGGCTTCTACTACATCCGATCCCCGCATTGGAGGAGCTACTGACGCCGAACAGGGTGGGCTTCAAGAACATCACTGCAATGCACAGATACGACGACACGTGGAAGAACCAACGTAAGAACATCACTAAAGTAGCCAGCTCGAAAGCGTCCATTGCAGAGTTCGACAAGATAGGGGAAGTCGAAGCAGCTCGATTCTTATTCAATCTCCTGAGAGCACCAGATAGGTTGAATGATCATATCCGCCATGAGGCGGGCACTGTCATATTCAAAGTGACATATGGCTACCAAACACGATCAGGAGGTAACGACCCACTGGTCGACCTTGCAGGACAAGCCATGGAATACTTCGCGGACGCTACAGTGCCTGGCAAGTGGCACGTCGATATTCTCCCGTTCTTACAATATCTCCCAGACTGGTTTCCCGGCAACAAATTCAAACGAACAGCAAGAGATTATGCCGCTGTCGTAGATAAATGTCGCGAACTACCCTACGCCTTCACCCAGCGTCAAATGAAGGAGAAGAGGCATAAGTTGTCTTACGTCTCGCAAGCCATCGAGGCAAGCGCAGCTGACCTATACATGGACCATGTCAACAAATGGTCAGCCTTCGCGTTGTGTTTGGGCGGTGCAGACACTGTGCGTCGCCTCATCGTCCCATCTTTCTCCATCACTGACAGTAATCACAGACCGTCTCGGCATTCATGAGCTTCTTCCTAGCTATGATGGTCTATCCGGAGGTACAGAAGAAGGCTCAGCAAGAGATTGAGCAGGTCATCGGCAGAGATCGTCTCCCAATGGTGACCGACTTTCCGAAGCTGACATACATCGAGGCCATCATGAAGGAGACTCACCGCTGGCATCCGGTGGCTCCTATGGGTATTCCACACTGCAGCGTCAAGGAAGATGTCTATGAAGGGTATAGAATCCCGAAAGGCGCCTTGCTTCTCTACAATGCCTGGTAAGCAGTCTCAATGTTGTCGCATTGACCCAACACTGACGACAGCAGGCAATACACTCACGACCCAGAAACCTACCCAGAGCCAGACGAATTCAGACCCGAACGCCATCTGACCACACCCGACCATGTTGCGGAGCCAGATCCTCGCAACTACATCTTTGGCTTTGGCCGCCGTATATGTCCCGGCAGAGGCGTCGCCGACAATTCTCTCTTCATCACCATGGCTCAGACGCTTGCCGTATTCGACATAGAGAAGCCTCTTGACGCAGATGGAAAGGTCATCGAGCCGGAGATTCAGTATGAAGCAGGAGCCGTCAGTCATCCATTGCCATACAAAATCTCGATCAAGCCGAGGTCGGAACACCATGAGAAGTTGATTAGGTCCCTTGAGGGGATGTATCCCCTTGAGGAGAGCCATGTTGAGGAGCTAGAGCATGTCAAGTGGTCAAACTCCAGGCCTAAGTAAGGCGACGCTGTCTACCTGTATCCATCGGTACCCTCAACTGCGTTGAGCAATGCCGCCCTGGACAGTTCTAGAAGATTTTGTGGCGTGCGCGGGTGCCAATGTCATTCATCAATCATTGCATGCTTGCACCCATCGTTCCCAAACCTTACTCGTCATCATCTGATATCTCCATGGCATCCGAGATGTTCTGACCAGCCGTCTCCTTCTTGATAGGCGTGCCATTTGTGCCTTCTTCGTTCAACACATTGCCGATTACCTCGTCTTGCAGCGTAGCCACCTTGCGTAGTAGAGCGGCCTTCTGGTTTTCGAATTTACCCGGAGTGGCGTTCTTGTCAGTATTCAGAGCCTCGAGGTCGATGCGAATCTTCTTGACCAGCTCCGTCAGATATCCTCGATCTTTAGTATCGTCACTACTGTTGCCTGTTCCGTTGTCAGCCGGTGATCTCTTCCGCTTCCGCTCGAGTTGCTCAGATCCTTCTTGCTTGACGCCATGTTCAACTCCTGCTCGGTTCGTGATAATAGCGCCTGAGCCTGAGCCTGAGCCAGGGCCAGAGCCCGGGCCTGCCACATCACCTAGGTTGCCAGTGCTGGGTACCGTTTGGATCTGCTCAGGTTCTTCTTGCTTAACGCCACGTTCGACTCCAGACCCAGCCACGATATTGTTGCTGCAGCTTGAGCCTGAGGTTGCCACATCGCCTGGCATCCCCGTGTTGCGTGCCTGTTGGGCCTGCTCGGGTTCTGCTTGCTGAACAGCACGACCTTGCATGGTTTTGTCACCGGAGCCTGAGCCTGCCACATCATCTGAGATGTCGGTGCTGCGTACCTGCTCGATAATTCCCTCGTGCTGCAGACCCTTCTTGGTTCTGTATTTCAAGACCACCGTTAAGAGTGACTCATTTCCAACCACTGCAGCACTCCAGCGATCGAAGTTCTTAGGGGGTAGAACCGCACCAAATGTCGTTTTGAGATCGACGTGCCGGCCCTTTATCGTTGTCTCTGAAACACTCTCGATTCCGTCCATTGCGGCAGGTGTTGTCATCGTCGCAGGTGTTTTCTTCAGCAAGCCCATCCGTCTCCGATCAACTGTGAGTCGCAGGCTTCCCAGTCCCGCAGAAGTTTGATCACTCAAACCAGCATCCGAGAGTTCGACCAGGCTAAGTGAAGCGAAGTGGAGCTTTTGAATCGCCTGAGATGAGTCTTCCCGTACGATACGACGGCCTAACATTTCACGAGAATAGCCTCGCGATCCCCATTTATTCTGAAGCATGAATTTTGAGCGAACCCTTTCGCCGTCAGCTTCCAGTCTGAAGCTGACAGCATCGCACTCCTCATACACGAACCCAGCTTCGACTTTGACGCTGACACTGAATTCAGCGCCAGCTACTGCCTCGATGTGCTTGACAACTGCGGGACCTTTGACATCCTTCAAGGAGAGGCCTGGATTTGGATCATCGTACTCTTGGAGTGCGCCTAAGCCTGGACTGTTGACGGTAACGTCGAAAAGACCGTGACGAACCATGGCGGAGGACAAAGCTTAGTGTAGGCGATTGGGCGACGGCGACGATGAAGATGAAAGTTTCGAGAAGACAAGAGGGGCAAGATTAGGCTTCGACATGAGGCTGGACATATATAGAAATCCTCGCCAGGCAACAACGGGCATGTTGGAAGTGAAGAAGCACCGCGCCGGCATTCACTGCTGAAGTTCGAAGGTGACTATGAGCGGGCTGATCAAAGTGAGAGAAGACTGAGGGGAGACTGCGACCACGTAGAGTCGCGCCCTGTTGCCTTCGAGGTAGCGGGTTACCCATCTAAAGGATTGGCGGTGAATGTCGACCGTCCCTTGTCGAAGCGATACTTGTGAAGAAGAGGATTCAGATGGGCCGTCCAGCTTGCCTGCTTCTACCGGGCAATATGTTGTCCCTCATTTGATGGCTTTAGGATGTCCGAGATGATTGGCGAATACGGGCCAGTCCATCAAGAACCCATCGATCTCGCAACCACTCTTCCCAACCACTTAACATCATCCACACACCCTGCGGCTGCTCGGGCGGCGTTTCAATATCAGCTTCCTCGAGATCGTCTTTGCTACCGTCTGCGCTCACGTCCTCGCCACCAGTCTGAACCTCAGCTTCTTTGGCTTCGTCATCGAAAGCCACCTTCCCGCCGGCCTGACCATCCAAGAAGTCCGCCTCACCATCTTCACCCTCAAGCATCAACATCGCGTCGACAACACCATCAAACCACCTCCCCATGACACCGGTCTTGCGAATCTCTCTCCTAACCTCCTCCTCATCAAGCACATCACTTCCGTTATCGAAGTGCTCCGCCAAGCCATTGTTCTCGTATGGGTCTTCATCGTCTTCTTCGTCAAGGTCGTACAAGTCCTCCTCTTCAAGGTCGTAAAAGCGATCTTCTGTCTCTTCCGTTGCCGAGCCTGCTAGAAGGGAGTTGAAGTAGCCATACGGTTGCTTATGTACTGCTGCCGCCGCTTCAGCTTTTGTATCTGCGTCTGCCCAGTCAGGCTGGATGATCTCCAACTCCTGCTTCATAGCTGCTATCGCGTCAGGCTGCTCGGCTGGCGCATCTCGCCCTAGCGTAGGCGAAGCTGGCGTCATAGCGAGCATCCTTCTGCTTCCTCGCCGACTACCGGCTCTACTATTCCCGCGACTGCGATTTGGCGTTGCCCGGCCACTCCGCACATAAGCACTGACATTCAGCCCACTCGCTGTCCCACTCCCGTACGTGCTCCCAATAACAGACAAGCTGCCTGTCGGCCCTCCTCTTCCTCTTTCCTCAACCGGACTGACAGGAGCCGTGACCATGCCCACCAGACTCGTACTGCTATCTCTCTTGCCCAGCCAGCTCTGGCCCTTGTTCTCCCTCGAGCTCTCCGTGAGTGCGAGACCGGTCTGCACAAGCCATGACGAGTCGCCCTCGAATGCCGGTGTCGTGATGTTCAAATTCGAATGACTCTTGGACCCCGACACCCTCCCTCCGGGCTGCAACGGCCGTAGCACACTGTGTCCGTACCCTGCACTGCCCACCGCCCCACTCGGCGCGCCATCAGTATCCGGCGTCGCGATGTTCACATGGCTCTTCACCTTCCGCTTGAGCCGCGTCCGACTATTCGCGCGTGACCGCGCGGGAGAATTTGTGAGGATACCACCTGGCGTCGGTAGCGCAGCGATGTGTGAGATCGAGGTGGAGGTGTGCAGTGTCGAGGTGGTGGGGTCATGGTACGCGAGGTAGTCGGCGGGATCGATGGGATATCGCGGTGTGAGGGGGGCGAGGGAGAGATGTTGTATGTTGGGATGGGAGCGGCGGTGTGGACCGGGCGCGTAGATGCTATGGGAGGAGGGACTCCGCGTGATGGGAGACTCCATTGTGTTCAGAGAGGAGTGTAGGATCCGAGTAGAGCAAGGTCTATGTGGTCGCGGGTGACGATCGTCGCGCTCGTTGCTCAACAACCGTCCGTGTATAGAGAGTTACTCAAACCTGCTGTGTCAAAGCCACATTGGATCAAGAAGCCTGAGCTCTGGCATTGTCGAGTGAAGTGAGGCATTGAAGAGGACAAATATCTGAACTCTGGGGAAGCAATGATGTAGTCCTGCCGCTCGCTCGCTCGCTAGTAGCCGAGGGCGAGGCTACAGGCATGTGAAGGCCAAGGCTAGATACTTCTTGGCATCTGCATTGCACAAGTACCCCTTGGGTACCTAGGTACCTCTCAACTGCCTTTCTCTTTTTCATCATTTCTCTTTCATGCTTTACAACAAATTTATCACCCGAAGACGGTTCACGGGGTTTCTGCAACCCGATAAACCAATTTTTGTCCGCTCACCTTCCCATTCTTCATGTCTTCCAGCCCCTGGAGCACCCCTTGTAATCCATCCCTGCCCACGGTCTGCTTATGAGGTGTGATCTTGCCTTCAGCCAACAGGTGCTCCACCATAGGCAGGAAATTCTTCGCGTAGTCGAAGTCCTCAGGCACCGGCGCAAACTCTTGTCCCAGCACAAATCTCTCACCAAAGATTGTGTACATCACCGTCAGAACGCCCTCAACATCCTCGCGAGGGCGCGTGGCAGATAAGAGGCTGCCGTACCTGCATGCCGCCCCGGCCTCAGTCGAGAGAGCATCGGCGCAAAATTGGGGACTGCCGTTCTCGCCAATCGTGTCCCAGGCATATTTAAGCTTGTTGCCTGTGAATTCGCGAATTTGGGAGGCCGCTGCTGGATCCTTATAGTCCCAATACTTGGCCGCGCCGAGAGACCTGACATATTCGAAGTTATGTGGTGAGCAGGTAGTGAGTACTGTGTAGCCGGCACTATCACATTGTCAATACCTCGGGCTGTCCACATTCAAAGACTTACAGTTTTGCAAATTGAATACCTAGTGCACCAGTAGCAGTGCTTCCACCATATATCAGGACGTACGTTCTTTCCCTGACAGGGTCTGCAGGCCAATGCAGCTTCAAGGCCTTTTGGAATAGACCTTGCATCACCGTGTAAATGCCTAGACCTAGGCCAGCCGCCGCCTCAAAGCCGAGGGATTCTGGAATTTTAAGCAGGATATCCCCTTTGGCGACGATGTATTCGGCGAAAGCACCATCATCTGGCTGGACAGAATTCCCACCATGAGCAACACCAGCGACCCGATCCCCTATAGAAAATGACCTGGTAACGGCGGGACCTATTGCTTCCACGGTACCTGAGAAGTCGCATCCAGTCAGACCGTTCTGTGCTCCCAGCCCAAAGGCGATGTGCTTCCAGTCTGTCGGATTTAGTGCAACAGCCACTGTTCTGACCAGTACATAGTCATCGCGGAGCCTGGGTATTGGTCGGGCTCGATCGACGTACCCTTCCTCGCCTTTGATGACAATTGCCTTCATGGTCGATGCGACTCTGTACGAAAAAAAGAACTTGAGGGCTCCAGTGCCCACCGAAAGTCAGCGTCTGGGAGAGTGATTCATAAGTTCGTTAATATCTCGTGAGAACATTAGGAAAATAGACAGTCATATCCTCTGGGGACTGTCACACGAGCAATCAGATGGGATAGCATAGCGATCGACCTTGGCTGTCCCGTGGTGCTGTCCCGGTCGAGCACGGACTGAGTCCCATGATTTCAGTTTCCTAGTCGGGCTAATTAAGCGCCGTGGCGGTATAATTGGCGCCTTATTGAATCCCGAGGTCCATGGATCTCGAGGCTACTGACTTACTGTTCATGGAACCATAGCCACAAGGATGTCGTTGCCGATCCGAGTTTGGGGAAGTAAATACTGCTCCGGAAGCCCACGCCAACCTGGACTCCAGCCGAATTAGTGACGCTTTACGAAGACTACTCAACATACCAGGCAGGGTGGTGAGGTTTCAAGGTGTCCCAGACCTTGTGGCACAACGATACTTAAAGCGTTGAATGATACCGCGACTGCACACGGCAAGCATCTGATCGCGGACACAATATTGATATTGATCCGCACTACCACCGCCGAGTCAATCGACACTCTGCTGTTTTGAAAGGGATCAAGTTCGTTGGACATGATGGCCGCCTCGGCTCAAGCTCCAAAGACTTTGCCCATCTTCAGCCTTGAGGGCAAAACGTGCCTAGGTACTCCGTCATGTGACGTTCCAACAACAAGGCAATCATGAATCCTAACTTTGTTTCGTACAGTGACAGGGTGTGTAACGCAAGCTGAGTTTTCGTGGCTCGTCTCAAGACACAAGAATGACTGGATATCGCAGCGGAGCAGGAGGACTGGGCAGGGAGTGTATTGTTGCCTTTGTACAGTCAGGGGCCAAATGGTGGGAGACACTTCTTAAAGCAGTTTGGTAAAGCATGGAGAAGAAGCTAATGACCTCTTGATAGTGCTTGCGTCGATCTCGACCTGGACGCCGGCCGAACAGCGGCGGAGGAGATTTCCGCCGAGGTCTCCCTCCCAGAAGGCTCGATTCGTCCATATGCCTGTAATGTCACAAATGAAGATCAGGTGGAAAAGACTGTGAGCCAAGTTGTGCAAGATTTTGGCCAGGTCGACGTGCTCGTCACCTGTGCTGGCACTTGCATCGCTCGGCCGACCGCGGAAACGGATCTTGCCCTCTGGCGTAAAGTACTCGACGTCAATCTGGATGGAACCTACCTCTTTGCTCGCAGCGTGGGCAAGCACTTGTTGGAACGTGGCGCCGGTGGAAGCATGGTCTTTATCGCGAGCGTTGCCGGCACACAAGTTCCAACACCTCAGACGCAGGCTTCTTACAACGCCTCCAAAGCCGCGTTGAAGCTGCTTGCCGCTTCACTTGGAAAAGAATGGGCATCGAACGGTATTCGCGTCAACTGTTTAAGCCCAGGGTACATGGACACTAAGCTCCTAGCCGACACAGCGACCACTGTTCCTGTCTCTGACGCCAAAGATCAGTGGCTCAAACAGATCCCCATGGGTTGGCTCTATTCACAAATACTCCCTCGGGTACAGGCCCTTACTGACCAGCCACAGGTCGTTTTGCGCGTTCCGATGAGCTTGGCGCCTCTTTGGTAAGCACGATCCGTGTGCTTTACATTGTGCGTTGACAGCTTACCAAGATACGTGAAATAGGTATATCTGGCCAGTGCAGCCAGTAGCTATGCGACAGGCATGGATCTTGTAAGTGCAGCAAAATCGGTTTCGCTGGGCTGTCCTGACAGCGAGCAACGTCTAGGTCGTGGATGGAGGCTGGTCAGCTTAAAGGCATGTCATAGCTCCGTGAGATCGGGTTCTCTTCGTGTATTCACACAGTATTCGACTCGGAAGAGACCAACAATGTGGTTACCATCAGCAACAGCTACATCGGTGACAGTGAACCTCGTTCTGTGATGGCTTAAGGCTAAAGTAATCACATTTGCTAAAAAGTAGCTGTCGAATCGTAGGTTATGTTGACGGGCCGGAGCTCCTCAGGCTCAAGGCTGTTACCCAAAACAATCACGTGACCCCGTGACGCTACGTGCTCTCCCAATGACCGATTCCGGCCATGCAAAATCGTTCGACTGGATTTATCATAGCCCTGACACTCACGCCGCCGGAGGAGAGGCGAGGGTGGAACTGTCATACTCATCAAGACAGTGTGAAGCATGCGGCTAAGTTCAGGCCGTGAAGTCGTCAGGACAACCTTCCAAGCATCATAGCCTAACCTACCTCTTCGGGAAACAGTGAAGGCCCGGCACTGGGCGTGGACAAATATCCGAGGTATATCTCCTGTTGCCTATTTCGGGTCGTTATGCACCGGCGGACACTGGGATACCCCAATGTATGCCACAGAATTATCCCATGAGTCATCTTCTGCCGACGCAGAAGGTGATCGGATTCCCTGACGCGCATCTGCCACTCGCTGACCTATGTCTTCCGTTTGATGGGTGGACATCTGTGGCAGAAATTCCAAGGACACAGTCTCGCATCGCTGATCATCGATCATCCGCTCTGTATCTCACATCGAAATAGGCACGCGTTGCGCCGCGCCCGACATGGCAATGTCCTCCTGGGAGCCCAGAGTATTCCAGCTGTGGTGGACATTCTTTTCTCGGCGTGCATAGCATCCATCTATCGAACGTGGACTGCTAGTAGGTAATGTGGACGTGATGGCTAGTGAGGATCAGCGGAAGCAAAGACCCGTGGTTCAAAGCTGTCTCAGGAGGAGGTTTGCTGCGTCGCACGCAGTCTTGTGAACAGCCGTCCTCCGAGAGGGTTGCATGTGCATATAAGCAGTTCTCCCGCCGCACCTCGGCGTCTCCTCTTCGGTAAGTTGAAGACAACTTCCACTTCTCGTTCCAATTCTCTCTTCTGTAGGCAAGTATGGTCGCAGACCTCCGCCGCCACACTGCGTGGAGAACTCAGGGTTACGAGGACAATGGTGTCGAACGCGATCCGGCCTACACAATCCCAGACATTGTCTATGGATCTCCGACGGTACGCAAAGTTCGCTTGCTGAGCATTGGCGCGGGCGTCTCGGGCATATTGAACGCGTATCTCTTTCAAAAGTTTGGACAAAATGTCGAATTGAAGATTTATGAGAAGAACCATGACATCGGAGGAACATGGCTGGAGAACAGGTATCCAGGTTAGTTATCCAGTTGCCCCAAATGCTTTGAGAACGAACACGCCAATGCGCTAATCTCGTTCGTTAGGCTGTGCGAATGACGTTCCTAGCCATGCATACGCCTATGCATTTGCGCTGAATGTAAGTCGGGTCGGCAGCGCGTGTCGACAAGCCTTGTAATCTGACTGGTGTCGTATTGCAGCCGGACTGGCCTCGTTGGTTTTCGCACTCTGAGGACATCTGGAAGTACCTAGACCGGGTCTGCGGAGTCTTCGACCTACGCAAATACATGGTATTTAACACAGAGATCGTGGGCTGTTTTTGGCAACACGAGGAAGGCGAGTGGCTCGTAAAGATGAAGCAAACGAGAAGCGACGGCTCCGTGGTTGAAGTCGAAGACCGCTGCAACTTGCTCTTGAACGGGAGTGGTGTGTTGAATCACTGGAAGTGGCCCGAGATCCCGGGTCTGTTCGACTTCAAGGGCAAGGTATGTCGGCCCATCAGCACAGAAACAACTTTTGGCCATGACGTCTTACTTGATTTTCAGATCATTCACACAGCTTCTTGGCCCCAGGAATATCAAGCAGAGCAGTGGGCCGAGGAACGTGTTGCCATCATCGGTTCGGGTGCTTCTGCAATTCAAGTGTTACCCTCCATGCAACCGACAGCGAAGCACATTGATACATTCATCCGCTCGGGTATGTTGTGTTCAGATCCGGACCGTCGGAGGCGCTGAAGACTACTTAGTAATTCTCTGACACATATAGGCACTTGGTTCGTGGATCTTGCCGGCAACAAGCAGAACAACCGTCCTTTCACAGACTCGGAGAGAAAAGCTTTCCACAACAGCGCGGACCACTTACTTAGCCACGCCAAGTACATCGAGGACAAGATCAATAGCAGCTGGGGGATGTTTTTCAGAAACTCCGACAAGCAGCGCGAAAAACAGGAGGAGGTCAAGGCTGCAATGGCCGCTGAGATTGCAGATGAAAGACTTCTCCGTGGGTTCTTGCCAAAATGGTCGATCGGCTGTCGTCGACCGACCCCTGGCGACCCTTATATGCGGTAGGTGACCCTTGGGCATCTTGAAATCCATCTGTAAATGGTACTGATTCATTGTTGCCTCGACTAGTGCGCTCGGCAGGGAAAATGTATCCGTTCATTTCACAGGAGTTACCAAAGTCACCGAAAAGGGCGTAATTGGTGGCGATGGTATCGAGCGAGAATGCGACACGATCATCTGCGCCACCGGCTTCGACGTTTCGCACCGCCCTCGTTTCCCCATCGTCGGGCTCAACGGGGTTGATCTCAGAGAGAAGTGGGCAACAATTTCAGAATCCTACATCGGCATCGGCTGCCCCGACATCCCAAACTACATAATGTACATTGGCCCGACGTGGCCCGTGTCAAATGTAAGTTCGCATCTGCCCATGGTCTCTTCAGCTTCAGGCTATCAGCTATAGATGCGATCTGGCCGCTGACTCTGTTTCCTCAATTTTAGGGATCCGTTATTGGCCCGCTCCAGGTTGTGGGCGAGTATGCTTTACAAGTAACTCGAAAAATACAAACGGAATATATTCGGTCTCTGACACCAAAGCAAACCGTAACAGATGCTTTCAACAAACACGTTCACGAGTGGTCGCGTCACACCGTGTGGTCCGAAGATTGCCACTCGTGGTACAAGCACAACGCCACAGGCCGAGTCACCGCAATCTGGCCTGGGTCGTCCCTTCACTACATGGCCTTGATCCGCAGTCCTCGCTACGAAGACTACGATATCACCCACCTCGGCCCCGGCGCACAGAACATGTGGGCACATTTGGGAATGGGTGTCAACGACGAAGTGGTTGAGGGAAGGGATTGGAGTCCTTATTTGCGATCCGATGCAATGGATCCTGCATGGCTTGCGGCGGCGAAGATCTCCAAGGGGATGTCTGAGACGAACGGTGACGCGAAGCCAGAGACCGCTTTAGAACAGGAGTCACCGAAGCCAAAGATGATGGGAACGGGCATGCTTGACTGAGGCTGCACTAAACCCTCAGGCACCTGGTGCGTCGAGGAGAGGAGGAAAGCCTGATCGGAGTCGATCTGGGGCGATGTAACGTGTTGTGCAGCTCCTCATTTGGGTCTGTGAAGTGGCTGGCTCGGAAAATTGGGAATCATTTCAGCACCTCCGGTATTAGCATTTGTCCTACATGAGTCCTCTTGCTTGTCGCGGCTGCAGCCAGTTAGTCGGAACTACGATTGTCTTCTGGCACGCACAAATTGTGAGCTCGTCCCAGCCGGTTCTCAGCTCCGATCGTGGACGAGATAAGCCGTCGAAGGCGGTCATTCATTTTACAGCAATGGTGACTGACATGGTAAGGACTGGTAACTCTGAAGTCGTATAGAGTGAAATTGCTATAGAATAGTCCTTGCCTGCATGCGAACTACTTCTAAGGACCCGTATCTTTGGACATGATTGCCCCAACGACCCGAGAACCCTTAGCCATGTCGAAACGTCTTAACGACAGTTTCGGCAGTGAGTCAGTGCTTGGTTTGACAGGATTGGTGTTCGGTCGACTGATATTCCCAAATGTTTCCCTCCTTTCCCCTTTTCTCCCGAGGCCACAACCCACTTTCTCATGTCTGTCTCTTTCCCTCGCACACGATTACTCTGACTCTCACCACGTCCCTAATGGGGGGTTTTGGTTTCTTCAGTGATGATTTGTCGTGTGTCTCGGACAAGGTCAATGTGTGTTGACTTAAACCGCCAGGCTTTAACGCGCTTCTCAAACAAGACATCCAATTCCTCGAATGTTCTGTCCTTGGTCTCTGGTAGGCGGAAGATGGCCCAGAGGAGTAGTGGAAAAGAGGTGGTCAACCAAGCCAAGGCAGTTTTGCCACGTAGATTTGCTTCTGTGGGGTTGATGAGGTACGGCTCGACGACTAAAGAGGTGATGAAAACCAGGTTCCAGACGTTGCGAGCCAACGAGAGTGTAACAGACCGAAGTCGGGAAGCAGAGACCTCTGCGGCGACGGCAAAGGCCAGAGGCCCGAGATTGAGCTGGAAGCAGGCTAGCCAGGCCAGAAGGAGCCCCCCTTGGACCCATTTCAAGTCCGGATGCTCATTGACGTGGAAGTCCAAGATGCCGATGACGATGAAAAGTATATTCATCAAACTGAGGAAGATCAGGACCATGGTCCTGCGACCAATCCTATGCATTATGATCCACGCGATGACGGTAAAGGTACAAGAGATTGCGGTACCACCGAAGTTCATCTTGTAGGCGCTGGAAGCACCCAGCCGGCCTGCACAAAAAAGTAGACATTGGTCGCGCCAAAGACTTGTCCAGAGAGTGCCTGACCAGCCACCATGATACAAGCAATCTCCGTGCGACGAAGGTTGACACCTTTGAAGCAGTGCCAGAAGCTCGTCTGGGTTTGCATGGCTTGTTCCAATTTGTTGGTATGCACGATCATGGCGAGTTTCAGTCTGATCTGTTCAGGCGTGTCCTTGCCTTGAAGTCGTCGCAGGGCTTGTTCGGCGTCGGCTAGGCGACCTTTTCGTACGAGCCACCAGGGAGAGTCCGGGGCAAAGAAGCCCACAGCCAGCATGAGCGGAATGAAGATCCACATGAGTCCAAATGGAAGTCTCCATCCACGGTCTGAGATGTCGTTGACAAGCCCCTGGAGGACGCCTGCAGCAATGAGCTGACCGAGCACCCAACAGAGATTCACCAGAGAGGTCATAACGCCGCGAAGGGGAAGCGGGACCACCTCTGATGCGTAAGATGGCCCTTGCATGGCGAAGACGCCCCAGGGGATGCCACAAATCACCATTCCCGCGGTCAAGGTTGCAAGATTTTGCGCAAAGAAGGGAATGAAGATAGTCCCCGTCAATGCGAAAAGGAAAGAGAGCATGACCTTGCGATACCCGAAACGTTCTGTGAGGTAGCCGTTGAGTAAGAGTCCAAATACGGCTCCTACGAAACCGGCAACAGACAAGGCCGATTGCCACGGTGCTGGAATCACTTTGGCATCAAGCGAAGGGTAGTAGGTGCCAAAGCGTTCGACGAACGGGGGGTAAGATGTGTAGTTGATGATAAGGATAGTGTCGTACCCTTCCATCTATGGAGGCAAGAATTAGTCGAAGTCCTTACCGCACCGGGGAAAAGCTCTCGCTGCCATTGGAGATACTGTATACGGAAGGGAGCAATGGGAGTAGATTGCGAAACTCACAATGATGGTGAACGACATAAGAGCTGCCCATAAGGTCGCCATTGGGTATCGTTGAACGGCTTGCCAGAATTTCAAGCTGTGTTCCGCCTCATTAGCCAGAAGCATAGCCTGGTCCAATTCAGCGGCGTTTTCAATCTGCTCGAGCTCTATCTTGGTGGGATCATCGACCTTTGTGGCCTTCACATTGACATCCTCATGCACAGATGCCTCTTTCGCACCATGGTTCGGCATCTCCATGTTGGCTTCAGAGGTGTAGTTGGACCGGCGGTTCAAAGGAGCTGAAGTTGGGGTTGTCTGGTTGCCGTGTCAAACATGAAAGAGCCAGCGGCCACGGGAATCCACGCCTTTATACGCCATTGGAGTAATTCTCGACGATTTTGCCCCGGACTGGCGAAACACAAGATTTGATGCTCCTCCGCAAACCTCTGACCCAACACATCGCGATTGCCTTCCGGACCTCGCTGTCCACCGAGCCCAGCGGGGACCCCAGATCCACAGATATGGTTCAGATAGAGTCCGCGCTAATAATATAATGGCCTGAACGTGGTCGAAATCAATATCTGAGCGCGAACAGAGCACCACGGCACGAGTGGGTAGTGGCACCAAAACAGACAGCGGGTGAGCTGTGCCCAAGAGATACTCCACATTTCCCAATCGAGCTCGGTTTCCGCCTTGTTTGAAGCCTCAGTCAGTCATTTCTCGGTACAAGGGGCTGTTATTCCGTATCAGGCAGCAGTAACGCCATCCATGGATCTCTTCTGGATTGGGATCGCCCTGTGCCTTTCCTTGATTGAAGGCTATAACAAGTCACGGCAGTGCGGAGTGCTCTCCCATGCCCATCTCTTTCTCACACGACGCGCTGTTGGTCGTCGAAGGTGGGGATGTCTTCAGGACGTGGTTGTAAAAGCCATGAGTTGACTTGGCGTGCTCATAGTCCGAGCAGCCAACGGTCAGATGATGTGCATTCAAGCTCTGGGTGACTCGTCTACGCTTGCAGCTTCATGTGTGGAATGTCTCGCCGTGGACGCTGACGTTTGATTCTGTTGGCTATCGGGTGTGCACCTTGACACACCGTTACCAAAACCGGAATTAGGTTTGCGAGATGCCAACCAAAGTGGATAAAAGTCGCTATCTTGCAGAGAGCTCTCGCTCCGGACGCAACTCTCCCGAGGGCTGCTGGAGGAATCTGTCCGTTCCAACCATTGGACTCGACCTAAAGAACAAGACGGGAATACGCGGGACTGCCGTGTAAAAGTCATCCCTCTCGGTCTTTTGCGGACCGAAGTCAATGGAGAAGTCAGGAATGAAAGACGACGTGTGTCCTTAGCGGCTGGCGTGGGAGGTATTCCATAGCTCTCGAATTTTATGCATCTCATGTTGAAGCTCAAAGCCAGCGGTGGTGGAGCATTTCTCGAGACATGAGAGAAGTGCCGTTTGCTGGGACTTGTGTGTCATCCATCTTGCCACGAATAACAAACCTGAGCACATCACAGGGTCCCATTGCTCCGGGAAATCATTTCGTCTTGCCATACCGACGATAGATTGGACGTGCCAATTCTCAGTCAGTGCTTTTTCGGGCGCTGCCGACACCTTCAGGCCCGAGGGCTTGTGCAGCACAAGAAGCAAGGTTGAAATGTGATATGCGACATTCGCCAGGATAGAGAGGGCGTTGGTGTACACGTAGATTGGAAAGGCACCCAGCGCCATCGAGTCCAGTCGACAAGCGTCCATAGTTGACATATAAAGCACTGGCCGCATCGTTGCAGGACGGAGGTTGTACCAGGCCTGGCAGTCGGCCCACAAGGCAAGCCAAATGGACTTGAACCCGCCTGGCGTATCGTCCACAAAGTTGGTCGCATCAACAGTGGATCTCGGATGTGTATAAGCCAGACCCCCATACACCAAAGCGAGCACCCTGTACAGCAGTACCAAGCTCCCGTGATATCTATGTCGTAAAGAAAGACCTTCAAGGTTCGGGTAAGAATCAATGAGGAGATGTAAATGTTGATCGAGTGCAGTGATCGGGGCTCTCTTGTCCCAGAGAGCGGCGGCGAGATCTGGAAATCAAAAGAGTCAGCTCTGGAATTGTATGGGTAGAACTATCGCGCGACGGACCTATCCTAAGTCGAAACCATGCGAACGGTTCCCAACATGCCTTGTCCGCAGAGAAAGAAGTCCACTCGATAAAAACAGCAGTTGTTTGGGACACATGTTTCGTCCATGAGCTTGGGCTTTGCCGTAGAAAGTGTGTAAGCGCCAGCAACATCCGAGCAAAGAGTTGACCTGCGCTGTCCTGACTGGCGATACTGGCCTCAGCCTCGTGGTGAAACCTCTCGCTCCTTGCGAGGTCTTCGGCTTTGGTTTTCGGGGAAATGAGAGACCGGTGATAAGCAGAAGCGGCCATCAAGGCCGCCAGGACAGCAGGGCGATGCTTCGCAAAAAGCATGGCCTGAATCCCAAAAGGTCCCTTGATGTCACCGCCATCAATTATGGGGGCTAGAATGTAGCGGAAATGACAGATCAGAAGAGTCTCGGGGTTCTTCTCGGATGTTGGAGGCTCTGCTGACTCCAGTAGTTTGCTCGTAGTTGCGCTGAAGATCACTTGGTCCAAGGAGTCTTGCAGAATGTCCTCGTGCGGTGACGTGTAAGAACGAGCTGCTGAACTGTCAAGTTTGCCAGTCGGCGAAACTGTGATTTGGCTCTCCATTGCGCCCTCTTGTCGACCTCGAGTCGTGTCCGTGGGAGATTCGATCTGAAGGTACGGTACGCCACGAGAAGGTGCCACATTTGACAATGGAGACACTGTGCACACGAGTGCACCCATGACAGCATCGTCACACGCTTCGGCGTTGGCCTCTCCATCACACTCGGTCAACTGCACATCTTGCGCGGCGACAGGCGGAGATCTGGCTTTCATCTGCTTGTGCCGCGAAGGGCCGCGGACAAACTACACATACAATCAATGTGTCGGTCACAGGGTGAAAAGCAAATTGCACCTACTCTGATCTCTCTGTAGCGAACCGACCTGGATTCGCCAACGGCTCGACCTTCGTCGGACTTGGACGTGGTTATAAAGGTCATGGGTGAATATTGACAGTTTCGATTTCTAGCCTGGCATTTGCGACAAATCGGCTTGCTTTCATCGCCTGACGATACACACTTGCGTTAGCTAGGTAGTCGCCTCGTGCCATGGAGACATCGCAGTGTAAAGTCGCACGCACATTTCCTTCTCCTGCGGCGGCACTCCAGGCAACCCGTCCGGGCTCGAGTTCCGAAGGTATGAAGCCCCTCCATGATAGCGAAACAATGCAGCGATAGCCTTGACTGCTCGATATCAGCACGGCATGTTGCATAAGATCATTGATCTCTTGTTCGGGTCGACAGAGGAGAGGCCTACTTGTAGGCGGAAGCAAGACAATCTGCTACCGCGGGGATCCCCAGCAGCTCAAAGCGCAGAGCACCGATGCGCTAGGTACCTCTGTATACATGTTAGGTAAGCCATAGGAGCTTGGGGTAGCTGTGATGATGAAATCCGAGCAGATGCCCCTGTGGCCGATTCATCTTCTATACGCCTGTAACCTCGGCTGGGCCTGTCCGAACACGAAGCATCCAAGAGTAATGCGATTGCTGGCTCTCCTCCAGGCGGAGTCACCTGTAAACCAGACTCACAGTGAACGGCTTCAGCGATGTTCTCAGAAGACTCGGTAAGCTACCAACCGCCTCATGATTGTGCATACGATTCATCGGGCTATGGCAACACGTCGCCCGACGCTCGCTATCTCGAGCTTCAACAAGAGTTGTATTCAATGCTCCTGGCAGAAGTGCACCGCCCGGACGATGATCAAGATGCAGAACCCATCCACTCCTCCGAACTCGTCACGAACGATGCTGAGATTGCTGATTATCCACCTTGTGAGCCAGACTTTGGGCGAACATCGGTACCCAGGGTGCGGATGCTCAGATATTTGACCCATTGGATCACGGACAGCGCACCCTGTTTGGACCAGTTCGACGAGGCTCAGCACTTTGGCGTGCAAATCCCCATGCTAGCACGTCAGACGCCGACACTCCTCTATGCCATCCTAGCTTTCTCTGCTCGACACTGGGAAAGGAAGAACCCTGGTGAAGTACCCCGTGACAGCCTTGAGCTCTACCAAGAGTCGATCCGCCTCCTCGGCGCCGAGCTGGACGCCAGAAGTTCCAACACCGTTGCTTCTGTATGCATTCTCGCGTGCTTTGAGCTGATGTCGGATAGTTCGTTGGATTGGAGGCGGCACCTCGAGGGCTGTGCAGCGCTGCTCCGCCTCTACGAGGTCCATGGCTTCTCGGGCGGTCTTCTGCAGGCGGTGTTTTGGTGCTACGCTCGTATGGATATGTGTGGGGCGGTGCTCAACTACGGTCGAGAGAAGACCATCCTACCAATCGACCAGTGGCTGGCGCCTAAGATGGTTGCCACGATCCCACCAGCACAACGCGATGTGCTTATTCACGGCTTGTTTCAGAAAAAGTGTGCCAACAACCCCGACATGTATGGCAACTGGGCCGTTTACCTTTGCGCGAAGGCGATTGAGCTGAGTTACCACCAGGGGAACCTGCGCGACGTGGAACGTTCCGACCGTGAAGATGCTCTGCCATTGCGCCGCCGGTGGCAGCAGCTTTGGGACAATTTGCAGCTATGGTATTCTCAAAGGCCCGACTGTATGCAGCCGGTCTCCTGCCCGAGTGCCGACGAAGGTGGGCTATTCCCTCAAATCATCTTCGTGCATCGAGCGGCCATCTACAGTAACCAGTCGTACCACGCAGCCTGCATCATCATGCTCGAGCTCCAATGGACGAACATCGACGTGCTACACCCAAAATCCTCGCTGGAGTCCGTCATCTGGCACGCAAGGCGGGTATGGGGTATCTCGCTAACCAACCCACATCGCGGAAACTTGGTTGCTGCAGTACAGCCACTGTGCTTGGCAGCGAGGTACTTTACCCACATCGAAGAACACCTCGCCATGGCGCGGCTGTTCAAGCTTATCCACGAAACCACGGGATGGGGCGCCCTACCGCGAATTGGTGCTCTGGAGTCTTTTTGGGGCTACGACACAGGTGAATTGAGTTCCGCCATAGGTATTCTATGAGGCTTGATCCGTTCAAGTCAGCAGTCAGCATCCATAGCGGCAAGTGTTCCAACAGAGCTGATGATCTCGATCCACGTGCAGGAGCTTTCGATATACCACCAGTCAGCAATCCTACTCCCAGGCCTTGTCGAATTGCTACTAGCGCCAGCAACGAATCATCACAATATGAGCAAACGCTCAGGCCAATACCCAAGCCGCAAAGAGCGCACCAAGGGTTATCACCATAGCAGATGAAGCCACTCCAGGAACAGATCCAACAGACTCGTCGCCACCGTCGTCGCCACCATCCTCAGTGGCTCTCCCAACATCCAAAAGCACATCATCATCACTGCTCGCGGACTCAGGCGCCAGGCCGTCCTCCACTCCACTAGTGGTAACCCAACGGATAGCCCCATTGATCGCCCTCGAGTCGCTGCTCAGCAGATGCGGTGCACAAGCCCTGACTCGCGTGCCCTCTCCGATATCCTCGCACCCAGCCCCAACCGACCCATAGAAGCACGCCAGAAACGGGGTAAATCCCCAATACCCAGCTGTATCGGCGTCCATACACGACCCAACTTGGTTCAGCTCATACGCCTTGCTAGTGTTGAAGTCGACGCGCCCATACGCACCTCCACGACTCAAGATCGCCATGATGCTCTCACGATCTGCCAGGGTGCCGATTGGGGTGTTCGGTTCGCCGTTGTCGTGATATAGTGATGTGTTGAGCCGTACAGAGTAGTTTGCTGGAATGGCGTTGGCGCACTGAGTGCTGTTGCAGTCAAGACTCAGTGCACCTTCGGGCTCCTGGCGGCCGGAGTTCATCTCGTTGCAATTCACTTGGTCTGAGACGACGAACGATCTTAAGGATGTGGTCGTCACATAGTCGCCCTCATCCAGGTCGAAGGATTCGCATGTTTTTGAGGCGGCCTGCGAGGCCAGACCCAGGAGTACGGTGGCCGAGAGAAGGGTTTGCTTGATTGAAGGCATCGTGTTACCTGCCGTTGCGCGTGAGGTTTGAAGGTGCCGCCAGCGTGGTTTTACCTGGTGCGGGACACGCGATATATACGGGAAGCGAATCTCTTCGGCATGGCGACAAGGCTTGCGGTCAGTGTATTTGCCGTAGTCCTCATTCCTCGCCTTTCCAGCCCGTCTGTGCCGACCCTGAACGTCTATGCCAATGCGATGATGTAACTAGCGGTTCCCAATTTAAATTGTTATTGCTTGGCGACGGATGTACGGGCAGGCTTGCAACACCTTGGCGGTGCTTGCTCGGCCATGGACTTTTGGACCCCATGATGACGATGCTGTCGAAGGTGGTTGCTATTTCTGATCTTCAAATCGCTGCGCGACACCGATCGTCCCTGTTGTATCGCAACGCGGTCCGCTTAGTATTGGTCCGGGAGCTTTGATGCGAAGCAGGTTTGTGCCGGTTCGCCGCACTGCTGGCTATCATCGAGTCGGTAGCTCGTCCTCGACGAGACCTGGCCTGCACGGGAAGCATTCCTCCAGCCTGTCCACGATGCTCTCGTCCTTGAGCGCCCCAGCAATAACTTCTCGTGTCACGCTACCGTGAGCGCCATCGTGCGAATCGCCTGACTCAGGCTCTCTCAGACCCTCGAGCCACTTTGACCAGCTGTCTATCTCCCATATCCTTTTCTGCACTCCTGGCGATCTATCCAGATCCAGTGGCAGTAAATGTCCGCCTGACTCAAACATCGCTTTTTCAATGAGCCCCCGGTTGACCTCTAGCAACAGACGGATGGGCGCATCCTCTTCCTCCTGGCTCGATGCGAACGTAAATCGGGGTGTCTGACCATACTTCCAATTCAATGAGCGAAGTTCGGCTATCCCATCTCTTATGGTGGCCAGTGGGCTTTTGGTGCCATCCTTCCCGGGCATGCTCGTTGGCCGAGCGGTGCTCCCTGTCAAGTCTCCCTCCCAGACGCCGTCGTCGGATATGATGCTGCTGGTGGGGTGAAAACCTCGAGTGTCGGTAGCTGCTGCTGAAGCAATGCTGTGAAGGGCATTCCATTCTGCTATTATCGCCTCTTGTACTTCCTCGCGCAATTCCGCTCTGCTATCAGCACCGCCATGCCGATCCGCTGTAGCGCCGGAACTGTCTCTCTCGGCGCTTGAGCCCTTCCTCCTGCCACCAAGTGCAGATGGAAAGAGGTTTGCAACAGGTGACCGCACACTGCCAACGCCCTTCATAGTAATCAAATCCTTTCCCATACCCTTCAGCAAGCCCGAAATTCGCTCGAGGTAAGGCGAATCCAGAAGTAGCGTCCCATGATGCAAGGCCCGACCACGGAGCAGCTTGTATGCAGATCCCGAGACCTTGAGCCATCGCTTATTAGAATCATCGGCGCGTCGCATGACAATATCATGCCGCTCATTGACCTCCACTTCCTGATCAGCAGCTCCTGGTCGCCGTTTCTGAACCGATCGCAGAGCCCTGACGACCATCTCGGCATGCGTGTGTCGCGAAAAGGATTTGTCGTTCGGCACAATGGCACAATAATTCAGGTTCCCCTCGCCGTGAAATACGGTACCACCTCCAGAGCGCCGACGAACGATCTCAATAGGGACCCTGGCGGCTGATGTGTCCTTGCCATCTCCCACTACTGGTGGCAGGCCCTCCATGATGGCCGGAAGATTGCATTCGACCCATGGATTTTGGTTCCGTCCGAATACCACACACGGGCGGTTGGCGTATAGGAACAAAATGCGCGAGGTATGGTCCGAGTGTGTCAGGAGATAGTGCTCGACTGAGAGGTTGAAGTAAGGGTCCGAGGATGTCGACACGAAAACGAAGCTGCCGTTTCCATTGTCCTCCGCTGGGGTCGCTTGGAGTTTGCTCAGGGCGTCCATGAGCGAGACATGTCTAGTTCGTCCACTGCTGTAGAATCGAAAAGTTGGACGAAAGTTACATTCACGTGTCGTGCTCGTCCTTGCTGTACATCTCGCAAATACGGTCGACGTATGCGAGGCGTTCCTTGCGAAAGTCGCAGGCTGTCGCAATGATGAAGGTTGACGGCTTAAGTGCTTGATCACGGATGATTGCGGACTTGATGTAACCTGGTCGTTCGACCCCTGGTCATATCGCCTGAAGCCATCGCTGGACCTCTGCGCAGACAGGTGTACGCCTGCGCCATTGGACCTCGGGACAACTAAAGCTGATAGGCTTGTCGCGAACAATCTGCAGCGCGTGCGAGGCGCGTGCATTGAATGTTTAGAAGTGATGTCTAAGGCACAACGGGATTAAGAAGCACACGGCCGAGAAGGGGGAGCGAGCTCCTTCCCCAGATTTATCAGCGCTGCCATGGAGAACCAATCACAATAAACCACGCATCCAAGCGAGCCAGGGCTTGTCAACCGGCTCGTATTCTGGCTCGTATCGGATAGCAGACAAGAAACTCGGATGTGAGTCTACGAATACGACTCAGACGCTACCTGGTCGTATACGAAGTATGCAGGGTGTGCCTTCCACACGAGCAGTCCAATAGCTCTGAGAACGGTGTCGCTGCATTCACGAGCCTCGTTTCGCTGGCTTGGCACATAGCCGAAGCAATCAAGCTGCAGCTTATCTGTTCCCTTCCAAGCCTGACCATCTGAGGCATTGAGCCTTGGAACTGAAAATGACGACAGTGGGTTCAAATGGTTAACAGTAGAGGGCGTGCACATGGAAGACGGCGACACGAATGTACATGTCTGCTTTGAATTGAATATGATAGCGGAACCACACGTTCAACTCTTTGCTATGACAAAGCCCGCCTCATGGTACTGACCGATCCTTCGTGACCACACTCATACCGTTGTGCTTGGCTCCCCAGCACTACCACCAGCAGACGAGCTCTCACCCCTGCGCTCCAACATCAACGGCCGGCGCCAACTCGTGCCACAAATCGAATAGATCCCCGTGCAGAAATCCTTCTCCCGGCGCACCCTGCCGCTGACAATCTCCTCGTGCAGCCTCATTGAGAATAGCAGATGTCGCAATATCTTCTTGATGTCCTCCCAGCCATTCAGGCGCAATCGTTGTACTGCTTGTTTCATCCTAATGTTAAACCACTCCTTCATATCTTCTGTCTGTGGGTGCACCCGTTCGGCCAGTGAGCCAATGTACAGCGCCCACATCAGGACTTTGTCATCGTCAGTACCGTCGCTGTCCTCCGCCAGACCTGAGACCTCCTTCTCATCGGTCTCGTATTCCAATACTGCTTGGCGAAGCTGTCCACAAGGTTCTGGCCAAACCTGACCGGTTCTGGACATCCCATGATCATGTTGACCAAAAGCACCACTGCAAGCGTGATCATGGTCTGTGTCTTCGGCAGGTCGTACAGATGGCCGTAGATTGCCAGACTGGTGCAATGATCTGCAAGTCTGGAAATGCAATCGAAGCGCCTCAATTGACGCCAGCGTAATAATTGATCTTCGGGTGGCACTTCATGCGTAAGAATGTACTCTTGCGCCCTGAATAGCTCTCTGAGATCCATGATTGTTGTCTTGAGGATTGGATGCTCCACTCGCTTGTCCACACCTGCTGCATGATCGCCGAAAATGCCTGCTGAGACCAGTCGTGCCTTCCATGGTTGACTCAGAGGACCCGGCGTCCAGTCGCTGGCAGGAAAGAGCGGTCGTGTGTTGAACTTGAGCGCAAAGTAGCAGTCTGCTGAAAGTAAATCCTCACGAAACCAGGAGTCCAGCAGAATGACGCCTCCACTAGCCATTACGAGATTCTTCAGCGACTTTAGATGTACTCGGGCTGTTGAAGTGCTGTCAGTGCACGTCTCACTGGAGAAGAGTGCCAAGATTGCCTTCATGGTAAGCAGATCTTGCGATCCCCCGGCTGAGAGTCGTTGTCGGAGTTGACCCATCGCCTGAGACTGATAGAGCCTTGACTGATATTTGAGTCGAGTGTCTGTATTGGTCTCGGACATGACTGTGAGAAGCAGAGCCAAGAAAGAAGCGTCATAGCAGTCGTCTGAAGAGATGGCAGCGATGTCTTCCCAGCTACGGGAGATTTCATGTGAGCTCTGTACGTTGCCGGGCTCTGTTGGCCACATGTTGGGCAGATATGTCTCGTAGGCGAACGACAGGATCGTACTGACATCCGCCGGCTCAGGAATGTCATGTTGTGTCGCATCAAATGCTGAGAAGGTCCTGTCAAGTTGGGGCTTGGAAGCACTGAAGGACTGTGACTCAGTGGTGATGGTGCATTCGAGATTGGCAAGGATGTGGCACCCGATGCCTGACCTGAGAAGTCAGCAATGGACCCGGGATGGTCTGATCCGAAGGCCTCGACGCCTTGAGTGTCGGTGCTGAAGTCGAGTGGAATATCAGTGTTAGAGCGGTCGCCAGCTGCGAGTGACTGTCGTGACCGTGAAGTCGATGTGCTTGCACGCCGTCGGGGATTTGGGCTCCTTGAACTGGTTGGGACATTCGCAGACGCACGCAACTTCCGAGCTTGTTCCTGTTTCTTGAAGCGTTCATAACGGTTCATCACATGCCACGATACAGCGGCATTATGATCCTTCGAGTCAATGTTGTTGGCATCCTTGTTGACAAAGGAGAAATCCCCTTTGAAGAAGGCTGGTGACGTATCCTTGTTTGGTTTCTTGTCGGGCATGAGTAACAACGTTGGGTCTATCCCACTGTGGAATGGATGATGTTGGTGGCGTATAAGTGTCGCCATCGTGGCCGTTGTACTTGATGTATAAAAGTGTCTGTATCACGGACGCTATCGCCGTGAGAGAATATGGTTGAACAGCATGATCGGGCGAGATGGTTCTATAATTGCGGAACGGTTTGACTGATGATTGTGTAAACCCCTTGGTCACTGAGAGCCTCGTCCGGGCCAAGCATGGCTTGTCGAGGCATATCCAGCTGAGAGACTAAACCCTTTTCTGAAGAGCAACTTCTGAGCATCATTGGTCGGGTTGCCTTGGGACCGATATCGACGGACCCGCCGACAGGCGAAGATTTGCCCATGTGGTTCCTGGCTGCATAAGCGGGTGGGTGTTCTATGGAAAGCCATGTGGACGTTCCAAATACCCGCAGGTGAGACTTCTCGAACGAACCACAATTGATGTTAGCACGGGCCGTGCTATGGCAGCTCTGTGAACGCGAAGACGCAGAGCGTCATCATTAGTGGAAAAGAGCGATATACCCAGGTGGGTGTAGTAAGCAAAGCAAGCGAGGGACGGCCCTGCTTCATCACCATTTTGTCAGAGGCGCGGAACCTCCAGCGTTGGAGGTGAGGGGTTTAGCTCGGCTCTTGGCCAAAATTCGTCTAGGGATCTGAGCTTCCCTGCTGCATCTCTTTCTGCTGAGTCAACACGTGCCTCGAAAACGAGTAGGACACTACCCACCTACCTTACAGGTGTCCGTCATACAGCTAAGCCACCGGATCCAGCTCTAGGGCCCGCCAATGGCTGCCAATGTTCAGATCCGATTGTTCGAATAAAGCAATCGCATTATTGCTGGAGATTCCGGCGATTCGGATAGTAGGTCAAGCGCGACCTTGATACAGAAGAACAGTGCTTTGTTGAGCCTCGCAGCTTCCAGGGCTGGTGACATCGAGCCTGCCCTCGCCTTTCGAAGCCCGCCCCGTAGGCACCTGCAGGCACGTCGAGAGTCCAAGTTGGAAGAGGTAAATTCGTAAGGTCAAGGTCGCACTGTCCAAAACCTCTGATTATCGCATGGTCGCTCAGACGATATGACCCACCATATTGTCGTTCTCAGAGACGCGAAGTGTGAGCAGTGGGGCCTTGATATCGCCTATGTATCAGAAGCTTTTGCTTTCTAACCACATGGCAGGATTAGGATTGATCTGACTTTGATCGACATCAAGACAAAGGCCTCCGGTCTCATGCCAGGCATGATTGTTGGCCGGCCTTCTAACGCCATATACCGCGGCATGACTCGCGACAGTAGAGTGTCGTCCTACTGACCAGGTCAGTCAGTCAATTATCGTCGGCACTAAGGTTAGGGACGGAAAATCTCTTCATTCACTCCCTCCAAATGTCGGTCTTACTGGCACTGCGATATCTTTGTGGACATTGCTAATTCGGTGGGAACGAGCTATGCCACCTTTGAATGCTCGAAGGTTGAAAGACGAGGCCATGGTACCGAATGTAAAAGCTATGGTTGCAGGAGCGCCAGATGGGCGAGCTGTACTTCTTATACCCCCATAATGATCCCAGATCGTATATTACTGATCTCTTGCGACCGTGCGACTCCCACAACTTCCGCATCTAGCAATCTCGATTGAAATTCTGTTCAGCCAGATGTTGACCGAGGATTGCTGGACACGAGCTGCCGCGACGCTATGCGTGAGCTACTCGCCGCATCTGGAAGCACAAGTAAGCGATCTGATTCGCTACAGAGCATCGGTCGGCAAAGCAGTCTGCTCCCGACGAGCCAGCTTACCGCAAGGCACTATCGGCTCGGATGCCGAGTACAGTTTCGGTACTGTTTCGCAAATTTCATCTGGCTACGAGCCTGCACACTTCCACTGTGTTCAAGTCAGCTGCTTGACAGTTCCCATCTTTCTCCGAAGAGGTTCTCGCCTCATTCGGAATGCCATGTCAAAGTCAGAGTCAGAGAGCCAGGGCCAGTGCACAGAAGCCCTGAACAGGACGTCTGCCAGGTGGCAGCCCTGGGAGAGGTGGACAGGGCACCGGCCAGGCTGTGGGAGAAAAAGCCGGGCCTTTGCTCTAGCTTGTGACTCAAAGTTGTCATAATGTCTACAGCCCCCTTTTGGCTAATGTATCTTGGATGTATCTTCTAAAGTCTGATGTTCAAGTGAGGCTCGTCTCACACCGATCGACTTCATTACCGCAAGAACGACAGGGCTTCAGCCACCCCCCAACGCTAGAAATCAACAGCGAGCACTACGTAGGCCTGGTCACGAGAAACGCACATGACTTGTGCCCGGAGCTCAATAGCCCTCATTTCGAATCCTTTGAAAGAAGTTGCGTAATGTAAGCTTGAGTTGCATCGATTAGTACATTTGTACAAAGCCAGCCTACGCTATCAACTGGACTGAACAACCCTAGCAGCCAGCCGTATAGGACGCCCCGCTACCACCATCACATATCCTCGAACTCTTCAAGACACAGTCTTCCGCCTCCTTGTAAGCCCCGGCCGCCGTTTCCCAGCCTTCGAGAACGTCTCATCATCATCACTATCATCAAGCATAGCCTCAATGATCGACGAATCCCCTCCTTCTTCCCTGTGAACCTGCACAACTTTGAGCCCTTCTTTCGCCAGGAGATCTTTCCACTGCCGCTCTGACCGCTCTAGACCGGAGTGCAGGTACATCATGCCCCAGTCCAACCCAGCTAGAGTCAATGGGCAGTCACGATCTGGCAGGACTGTCTCGCTGATAAGCAACTTCGAATAGCCTGGAGTCAGGGCCTGTGCGGTGTTCTGCAAAATCATTTGAGCGACGCTTGTTGGCCAATTGTGGAAGATGTCTTGCATGAAGTATGCCCTTGCTCCTGATTAGGGGTGTTAGCAATGCCAAGAAGTGCAGATGGTACAGCTCGACTTACCTTGCACAGGCTGTGGTGTGAAGAAGTTATAAGCAACCTTCTCTATCGACTTGTGTAGTCCGGAGATCTCCTCGATTGTCTCTGGCAAATCTTGGAGCACTAACCGCCCGGGACTGTCGATGTGCTTCATCCGGAATGACTCCAGGTCTCGGCCCTGTCAGGCCGTCAGCGATGGCAATGACATGACACTTTGTGCAACATACCTTCCCGCCGGCTACGTCAACCAGCATCACGGCTTGCGCAGATGCTTTGAATCCATTTACAATAGTGTCTTGAGTAGGAAACCAATCTGGTCCAGTCAGCGCTGGAGTCAGGTACCAATAAGTCAGATTGACCAGACTTACCGGTCCATGCATGTTCCTTCTTGAGTTTCCCGCCTTGCATGAAGACATTGAAGTTGTTGATCACCGTCGGCTTCGTAAGCCAGAATGAGTAGGTCTCCAAATCAGTTTGGTGTCCATATTGGAAAGGTCCAGCCGTGTAGTCATCCGGCGAGCAGTAGCCTTTATCTTGAAAGTACCGTGGCAGCTGTGATATGCTTGGGAACCCTTGATCGAAACTGGAATGTGTTAGAGATGTGACCTTCAGAGCTGTCGTGTCTCGCCAACTTACAAGTGAATGATAGATGCTGCTGTTGATGGTTTGCACATATGAGCGGTGATTCGAGTAGGACTGTAGTGGAATGCCGCAACTTCCTCTGCGAAGCCGATACCACATAGCACACGCATCAGACGTACTATGATGTTGTTAGCGATCAAGCCATGGCGTTCAGGGTGGTGTGATACCCACTGATGAGCTCGTCCTCAGCACCCACCCGCTCCGCCAGTCTTGCAGAGCTGATGCAGGGACTTTCGAGCAGACGATCGAACAAATGTAGGTCGATCGCTATCCGTACGCAAGCATTGTATGTTGGCTGTGGGTCCAGATTAGTCCATGGATCGCGAGCTCAGGGATCAAGTGGCGACTTACGGAAAAGGCCAGACTGCGGACTGCCTCTTCGGGCGTTTGCACCAGCAGGGTCAGTCTGCGTGCAGCATCGATCGCCGCACGTCGGAGCTCGTCGTTGGCGGCGAGTTGCTGAAGCCCGTGTTCGCTGAGCTGGTTGATTTCTTCGACGACAGTCTGGAGGGCGCAAGGTTGCCTCATCTTGCCGATACTGCTGGAGAAGTTCTGTGTGTGGATCAAAGGGCATTCTTTATGTTGTGCTATAACCATCGATTCGACTTCTTTCGGTCAGTTTCTTCATCGACGATTTTACATCGTGTATCCCCAGCCTGTGCGACCGTGAGCTGCGTGGCATGCTGACAGGTGTCACAGGGTCAGCATATAGCTGACCACGCGTTGATTGATGGGTATGCAGGGCCGTCATGCTCGACTCATCGACCGATCTCCGCCAGAAAGGTCGATCCTCGTCGTGATCAAGTGGAGCGCCTGCTCACGCTCGGGACCCTGTTCCTCCTGTAGTGCTTGGCCGATGCGAACGACGTTGGACCCTGGGATGAGCATCGACTTGATTTCGGCCTAGAACACAGGTATTTGTAGTTGCGACTCCTGCAGGCGTGAGCACCAATGACGCCAGCGGCTCATTCTCTCCAGCCTTACTGAGGTCTTATGGCAGACCCTGCGTGCACTCGAAGGACAGAAACGTGGAAGACTCGATCCCAGATGTTGTGAACTTCACGAACCTAGGGTCCAGGCCGTCATTCGCTGCACGCTAGCTCAGGGAGACTCTTGACAAGCCAAGACAGTCGTACTCTATTGATCTATCAGTCTCATTAGCGCTCTGAGATGTCGCCATCTGCAGCGACACACAGCAGTATGGCCTGCAACGCGTCACCATTTCAGGTGTTGTTCGCAGAAGGAATGGAAGACCGGGGCTGGCTCGGAGGCAAGCTGGCTATCACGGGAGCCTCGTATGGGTTGCGGGATTGTACACCCGCCAAAATTGAGCTGTTCTATTGGCTGAGCAGGACACGTTTGCGACTTGCGGGAGGACGGTGAAAGCGCCGTTGAATGTGATGGCTGCAAAAAGATTGTAAATAGACGATTCCTGACTGCTGTGTTGGTCAATTTCATGTTGAGCGCCTGAAAGGCGTAGAGGCCTTCCCGAGGGTGCGGATACGCATGCCACTTTCCCAGGCTGTGCCTGACTTCTCCACGGAAAGAGCGTTGCGTGCTTCCTGCCATACTTTCCTTATTTGTGCTCTCCATCTGCTCAGGCAGAGGCTTCAACCCATCCAAGCCTCCTTCCAGCACAGACACCGGCACTGTGGTACTGGACAATTCTCGTGTGGCTGACTACCCGTGACAGGATCACCTTCAAACCACATTCTGGCATGCTGATAATGGAATCCATGGTGACAATCGACACAGATGACCATAAATCTAGCCATACGTTCGTCCTCCTCGCTTATGCGGGCCAGATCCGCCTCGTGCTTTGCATCTTCTGCTCCACCTTCCTCCACAACTGGTGCGGTACTGGCGACCTCCTTTTGGGCCTTCTTCTGCTTCTCGCTATCCACAATGGTCCCAACACTTCCTGCCATTCGCTCGGTCGTGGAAGCATCCGCGATTTCAGATTTAGCACCTAGTCCTCCGTGCCACTTCATGAAGCTTGTATCTTCTTGTCCTAGCGGTTCGTCACAGACACCACATCGAGGTAATCCTCTGCACAGTGTGGACACACCGTTCCTTTGGCAGCCGCTACAGCTGGCGTGAGAGGATTGGTCTTGCTGTTGTGTGTGACTGTGCTGCCACTCTTGCTCGTTCCGCTGTCTTCTTGGCCGACGCTGTGATGAGCGAGATCGCCATTGCAATGCGAACAAACTAGTCTGACCTGCGGAGGCGGAGGCTTGATCAGGCTTTTACCAGTGACATTGTCGATAGCATGCTTGGCAGACATTACGTCGAACTCTGCACGCTCAAGATAGAGCTCACCACCCCAGGACATAATGTCAGCTCTATATTGCGCCTTCCATGACTCGAATCTGCGTCGAATTGCTGCATCGGTTATGTATCGAGGGATTGTCCGGCACAAAGCCAGCACCGACGTCTGGAGATCATTGGTCTTGATGATGTAGCTCTGGAAGAGGTCGAATGCCTGTGTTGTAGCTAGACCGGTCAAATGGACTCCTTCGAGGTCACCATTCACCGCCACAGTGGAGGTCATTTTCGAGATGTACTTGGTCAGGGCAGAGTCGTCGAGATGTCGAATCGCTACAGCCAGCCGCAACCTAAGCGGAATAGCCAGTCGTGCTCGGAGAAATTCTTCCCATGACAGATTTTTGAGATACATGAGGACCCCACGGGCATAGACTTCGGTGATGGTTGACAAAGCATGGTCGACAGTGGTGAGCCACAACTTATCATCGTCGTCCGGATCTTTCATGAAGAGGGTGCCATGGTCGCGGTTTCGACTGCTCCGCCGCTTCATTGCACCTGAGAATGCAAGGCCAAGCGTACGCTGATCCTTATTCGCTTTCTTGTCAAGTAGACAATCTCTCGCCAGCTTCTCCTCTCCGCTGAGAAGTGCAACAAAGGCGGCCTTCGAATGCTGGCCCTTGTCGACTAAGTCCTTAGTCCACTCCTTCAGCTGGTCGATGGTCCACGAGGCATTGGATAAGTAAAGGCAAAGTTGACGGTTGAAGACGTAGTTGGTGTAGACAAGCCGCTCGAAGTTAGGCAACTGCAGCTGCTTCACGAGTCCTTCGATCGATTTACTCAGTAGGACGTTTGTCGCATACTTTACTGATCCGCCGATGTTGCGCAAAGTGAGCTCTGGAGCAGGCACGTCTTCCATCCAAACGCTGTAGATGCCAAGGTACGACAAGTCAAGATTGCCTGTGTTTCGGACAGACCACTTGTTGAATTGACTCGCCCTCTCCACGTAATTCCATAAGGTCGTCAAGCGAACGCTCTGACTGACCAGATCTTTGTTGACAGACGGGTCGACGCCATACCCTTTAGCACATCGTGCCTTTGCGATGTCGTGTTGGGAGATGAACTTGGGTACGGATGTAGCAGTCTCAGCAAGGCCCATGTCTGCTTGCCATGGCTCGTCATCGAGAGAAGACTCTATGTCGCGTTTGAGGGTACCGTCCTTCCGGCTGCGGCTGTCGACCTGAACTTGTGACTGACTCAGGTGCGTTGAGGGTGTGGTTTTGAGTGCTCGCATTTTCGCCGTGAGTTCTTGCTCTGTCGGGCCACCAGACTTGCTTGTGGGCCCAGTCATGAACTTATTGCCATACATGATGAAGCCACTTGGGTGCAACAATGTCGGCACAGGAGAGGCAGTGGTGACTGCAGAGACAACATTGCCGTTTGACATTAGCACAATGAACGGCTGTTCTTCACTGCTAGCGTCTTGGCGCGTTCTGAAATCGAAAGACACCACCTTTGAGCCCTCTGATGATCCAGATGCTTGAAGTGCTACCTTTTCCACATCCTGAGCCCGTTCCAGGTAAGTACCCTGCGGCAATTCTTTCTCCCAGTGCTCTTCGTTCTGCTGAAGGACTTTGTACTCCTCGACAGCCATATCCCTCCCGAACTCGTACATCCTCAACTTTCCGTCGCTAGACAACGTTCCGAGACAGCCGCGCTTCGATTTTGAGAACCTCAGACTCCAAATTTCAGCAGATGGGCCAACAACGTCTGTCAGCTCCAGAGACGATTCCGGTCGTTGGTTGGCATGAGGAGTCAGCATTGGATTCATGCGACTCGTCATGCGTCTGTCCCAAAGGCATATGCCGGCATCTTTGCCTTTAGGCGAGCACGAAGCGAAGAAGTTCTCATCCTGCCAGTCAATCGCTAAGTTGTTAACGCAGCGGGTACTGAACTGCAGCCCGGTATTGGAAACATTGTTGCCCTCTCGCAGGTCATATAGCTTGAGCTGCTGGCTTCTCAAGCCTGCCAACAACAATTGCGGAGAGGTCGGGAAGAACTTGCTACTGTAAACGGTGTCCCCATTGGCAAACTTGTGCAGTGGTTCATATGAACCCTTCGCCCCCAAATACGAGTTTGAAGAGCCGCTTGCAGATTGTGTTGGTGGCAGTCGTTGTGCAAAATCCCACACATGGAGGCAGAAGTCGCTACGAGGCCTCTCCAGTCCAACGGCGAGAAGATGCTCCGAGGAAATGGACACCGCGTTGCACGGGCGCTGAGGCTTGACCGGAAACACAATGGGAGGACTTTCGTGCCCTTTGCCCTCCGACAAATTCAGCAAGGCGACCTCGCCACTGGACTGCCCTACTGCAACAAGGTGCTCAAAGTCTGGATGAGGGTGCCAGTCGAAAGCGCGGAAGGGCGGGACTTTGGAAGCCGACTTGGTCGTGTCGTACTCGAGAGCAATCGGACCAGATCGATGCGCCTCGTTTCGAATGTTGCAAAGCTTGAAATTCCTGTTGGCGACATCTGCAATAAGGAAGCGCTGGTCGCTCCCAGTCACCGAGTTCTGTGAGAAGCGTATAGCAGCTTCCATTTCGAGCAGCTGCTGTGGAGTGGGTGCATGTCGATGTCGGTCGTAAATACTGATCAGTACTGTTTTGAGTGCCGAGGTGGTCTCTGGCTACTCTACAAAGGGTTGAAGCCAGCGTATGTGATCTCGACGATGAACACAGCTCGGGGGCCGTTGAAGTGACGCCTCGTTAAGGTTCCGCTGATTGGCTGAAGCGGCCACCATAACTAGTGGCTCCCTGCGACGCCTGATATTTCTCCATCTTCTAAAATTATTTCCCCACGTTTTCGATCTGCCATACACCACTTTTTCCAGCGCGAGCTTGTCTGAGCTAGATGGTCTGAGAGCACTACAGATCGCTTGCCAACATGCCACGTAAACCGGGCTCCTCCTGGAGGGCCGAGAGACCGCGGTCAGACGTTACAGCAAGGCGAGAATCGCCCATACAGACCGTCATCGAGCCAGACTACGGCAACGGCGACTCGTACCGTCCCAAGCACAATGGCCACACGCACGCCAAATCCCAGGAGCGGCATCCACATCCCTACGACCGCAATCGCATCTCCAAACCCAACAACCACAGCAAATCCTCCCGCAAAAAGAACCCATCCACCCGCATAAAATCCCTTCAAAAACAACTCGACCGCGCCTCCACCTCCACCATGCCCGCCAACATCCTCGCCGAGAAGGAGCGCGAGCTCGCCTTTCTCCTATCCGACCGACAGCAATCGCAGCTTGGACCTGTAGAGCTGCGAAGCAAGGCCGACTACAACAAAATCGTTGGACGATACCACAAGATACGCTTCTTCGAGCGGCGGAAAGCAGAGCGGAATCTGCGGCGGCTGAGAAAGGCTAAGGAGCGTTCTGAGGATGGGAACGTTTTGGAGGGGGAGATACTGCCTACGACGGATGAGCTACGGCGCGCAGAGGTTGATTTGGTCTATACATTGTATGCGCCGCTGGATCAGAAGTATGTTGCGGTGTTCCCGAAGGATCTGTCAGAGGCATGGAGAGGCAAGAGCGGGAAAGCGAAGCCACGACGTTCAGAGGCGCAGAAGACAGAAGCTGACGGTACAATCGTGACAATCAATGACCCCAGCGGCAGGTTTCGGCCCGCACATTGGCAGACCATCGCTGAGATCGTTCACCCTGGTAACTTCCGCTACGGAGAGGCTATAGTCGAAGAGGCAGACGGAGAAGACAGCGTAATGACGCAGGACACGACCACAATACCACAAGGCAATGATTCCTACTCTTCCGTGGAGCTGACAGATGCGCAATTATCCGATCTAGAAGCACTACGCTATGGCAGGTTTTCGTCAGCCAATGGAGCTACGGCATCAGGTCCTAACGCCGACAATGTCCTGACGCATCGTGCTAAGCAAAGGAGGGCCGCCGCGTCCGATGATCACGACGGAGGAGGCAGATCTAGCAGTAAGCCAAGAAAGAAGCCAGCCTGGCAGAGTGAGACCGATGAAGCCATCGACCGAATGGATGCAGACACATCTGAGGATGAGGACGAAGGCGGCATGGGCATACAGGAGCCAACGAAACCGGTTGGCCGAAGCAGGAAGCGGCCGCAAAGTGCTCACAGACCTGTCCGAGATGATGACGGCGATGGCGATGAAAGTGATGGAGACGGCGGTTTCTTCGAGCGCTGATGGATATGTGAAGTGCCCGCGAAGTCACAAAACATGACGCGAACATGAATAAATGTTTGAAATGCTCTTGATATCTCGATTCACTGATACAGATGAATAGATAGATGCTCCTGACATAAGAAAACCACCTCGATGAAGCCTTCTTTCAAAGCTCAGTAAATACCCCCAAAGTCCCATATATTCAGATCTCAAACGCCTGTGCGCAGCATTGGATGGTGCGACTTCCTCTTGACGACATAAACAAAATCTCTCTCTCATCCTCAACCCCTCTTGATTAGTATAATGCCACATCTTGGCTCGGCGCTTTTCTTCGTCCTGCTCCTCGTCATCTCTTCAGGTAGCAGCCTGGAGCTTGAGATCGCTCGAATCCACGGCCGTCACATTAGATGAGGCAGGCCTTTGCACCTCTCCGATCTCCAGCTGTGGAGGATTTGCCGGTGGTGCATGCGGCGCGAAGTACCTCGATTGGTGTTGTGTACATATATCTTTTGTCTTAGGTGTTTTTCCTTTCTGCTTTTCATTGCGTGATACGGCCCTTGCCACCATCAGAAAATGGCGGTGGGTTTCCTGGCGGGCCGTGAGGTGGCTGACCAACATCGGGCTTGGGTCCGGCGCCTGGAGGACCTTGTCCAGGTCCACCAGGTCCCTTCGCGCCTGGTGGGCCTCCTGGACCTCCTGGGCCTCCTTTGCCACCAGGTCCGCCTGGTCCACCTGGTCCACCTGGGCCTCCAGGGGGTCCCTTCATGGTCATGCTCGACCGCTTGCGAAGCTTCTCACCAAAGAGCCAGAGCAGGATGGGCACCGGAATGCCAATACCAACAGCTGCAAGGGCGAGGACGGTATTACCCCAGCCATTACCCAGGGCGCGGAACATGGCTGGTGCGAATAACGGGAAGGAGAAGCCGGCCAGCGATCGCAGGATAGTGACGGCTGCAACGGCTGATGCGGCGAAGCGAGCATATGTGTCGACGAGGTAGCTGGTGACGCACTGGAAGGCGGCGATAGTGCCCATGCCGAAGAGGAACAGGCCAATGTCGGGAACGATCCAGAATACGAGATTCTGTGCGGACCAGCCATAGATGGCGAGGCCGATAGGAACCAAGAATGAGAAGGGGATGACGACTGGCATGCGGAACTCAGGCTTGCCTTTCTTCTGTGGGTCCTTGGCCTTGAAGTACTGGTACATCTTGTCGGATGTTTTGCCGCAGATGGGCGCGCCGAAGAAGAACCCCAAGCCAAGAGCGATGTAGTGCAGACCAGAGATACCAAGACTTTGGCCGTAGCCATCGGGCCTGGGGCCGTGAAAGAGTCTGGGCATCGTCGATAGTGCGAGGTAGAGGACACCATAGGAGAACGCCATGTAGACCGACATGGCCTGTACGATGGGCTGGGTGAAGAGCATCTTGAAGCTTCGACTCATTGTTGAAGCGACCTTCTTCCATACTGGTTGGTTCAGGTCTCCTTCGCCATCGGCCCTGTATTGATCATTACCGGTCTGCTTGCGGATGGCCTTGGCTTTCTTGTGAAGAATATAAGGCGCGTAAGTCTCCTTCAGCTTCCAGAAACCGGCACCCAGGATGAACAAATCGGCGATTGAGACTGCCCAGAAGATCCATCGCCAGTCAGAGTATTCAGCGACCCAAGAGCCGACTATGGGGCCAATCGTGGGTCCCATGAGAGGGCCCATAGCGTAAATACCCATTGCCTTGCCACGTTCTTCAGGCTTGAACAGATCACCCAGGACGCCACCGCCAATGGCTAGTGGAGCTGAGCCACCAATGCCAGACAAGAATCGGAAGGCGAGTACTTGTTCCTTGGACTGTGCGAAACCACAAGCGGTATTGAAGGCCAAGAAGACAAGATTCGAGCACTGTAGAACGATCACACGTCCGTAGAGTTCTGATAGGGGTCCCAGGAACATCGGGCCAACCGCATATGCCAGCACGAAGATGGAAAGCATCATTTGTGTTTCGATACCATCTGAGGTGTTGAATTCCTGGGCCATCTGGCCGAGAGCAGGAGCAATCATTGAAGACGCCAAAGGTGAAATAAATGTGAAAGAGGCGGTGACCAGTGTGGCTGCCCACTTCTTCTTGGACGGCCATGATTTCGGGTTGAGAGGGTCATTGGGGCCCTTGAAGTCGACCTGTGTTTGAGTCAGTATGGCGATGGGACGATATGGGAGGTTGTCACGCACCTTGAACGAGTCTGGCTTCTCCTTCGCGAGGAGTGGCGTTGGTGTGGGAGGTCCCTTCTCGAGGTCAACCTTCTGAGGGTCTGCTTTGGCCATGTTGGCCCGTGGTCCTCGTCGCATGTACACCAAGACTCTCTGGAATGTTGTGACTGTTGTGGACCCGTGTGGATGGACAAAGGTCGCTTTTCATTAGGTGTATAAGAATTATGCAGTGTGTTCATAGCCAGCGTCTCTTCTGACTGAGTATTAAATCTTCGGTGAGGGTCATAAGCTGTATCTTGGTTGTTGAGATATCCTTCTGCGAGGAGTCTTTGGTTAGCGACGAAGTCGTGGTCGTCGCTAGCAATTCGGGAATCGCGTGTTCGGAACGAGGGGGCGAACGACGTGGCCGAGTCGGGTCTGTTGTTGGTGTGTATTGAGCCCTCCTGATCGTAGTGGCCTACGTGATACTCAGGGCCATCATCGTACAGGACAGCGAAGGTGATCTCGCTGCTGGCCCTGTCTGAGCCATCGTTCTGGTGGTCCGCAGGTAAGGACCTGTGTTTATATGGCTCCGTCGACTGGATGCGTCGCAGTGATGGGAATCTCGAGGCCAGATTTGGTGTTGACAGCGGTCTCAACAGGTTCTGACCGCTGCCATCCCTTGCGTCCTCCTCCATGTTGATGTGAGGTGTCAAGGTGGTACCAAAGTGCGACTCTCGTTGCTGGTGTCGGTCGGCGAAAGGGTTCCTGCGAGTGTCGTGGGTGGCGGTAGACGCGTTGTCGCCGAATGCGTCGGACTGAGGGCGAGATGTTTGTCGAGACCGAGAATCGTAGCCCGAGGCGACTTCCCAGCTCGACCACCGTTGTTCCGCCAGGTTGGATGGGTGTGCCGGAAACGAAAGTGTGGTTGGCGAGCTGCAGAAGGGTATTGGGAAAGACTATTAGGCGGAGGATCTATCACTTCGCGTGACGGGGTTGGTGTACCAGATAACGAAGGACTAGTAGGGAAGTAAAATGAGAGATGACGAGGATAAGGCGTGGTGTGCTCAGAAGCCGACTAACGAAGGAACTGGGTTGACAAGCACGGGCTGAGCAGATAGCCCTGAGCTGTGGATCGGCGGAGAGTAATGAAGAGGAATAGGAAGGCGAAAGAGGAGAGGAGAGGAGGAGGGCTGTGAGCTGGCGGTGCCCAGGATAGGAGGAGAATAGAAATTCAAGTGGATCTACACGACTAGTACATTGACAGACGAGGCAGCATAGAGGATGCTCCTCGGTCTGGCTACGTATGATAAGAGCTAGGTCTCGACTCGCACACCATCCCAAAGAGTAATTTCTGCTATACTCACACAGATATACTAGTTACATTTCTGCATCGAATGCATACTAGCCAGCCAAGGGCGACCGCAAGAGTTACAGATTCAAAAGACAAGAAGAGGGGATCGAAGACAAGCAGAAAAGGCGAACCAGAACAATTAGAGCTTGCAGCCTTGCTAGATCGGCACCCCCTGGCTGGCTGGTGCGAAATAGGCTCTTCCTCAGGTAGCGAACCAACACAAAGCTTGTATTTGTCGCATTTCAGAGCTCGGAATGATCGATGTTTGCCTTGACATTGTCCACAACACTGCTGGTCTTTCGTATAGCTTTGCGAATCACTGCAACATTGAGCGGCACTGCTGACCACGACAAGGACCACAACAGCATAGGCGACCGATCTGAAAGCGACATCGTTGCTGCATCTGCATGGAGCAGTGCTCGAGAGGAGTCCGATGGGCAGTGACGGACTTTTTGCAGTAGGTCGGCAGGACTTATTCTCGAAAAGGTCAAGCGTTCTAATTTAACGTGGCCGGTGGCCGACGTCAAAACCAATGGCGTGCTTTTGGTGGGGCCTCAGATTGCCTTCTTTTACCAAGCCCCTGGCCGTTTTGGCGCTCTTTCCGCAGAATATCAATCATTAGTCAGTATGGAGACTGGACGACGACATGCACGTTGCACACAGAAGCAGAGTCGCTACCATGCGATGGATAGCTCTCGCCCAGTGTGTGAAGAGGTACGCAGAATGTCTTCGAGTAGCCAGGCACGCGGAGCTGCAAGGTCGTGTTGAACTCCGCTGCACAATGACGCTCACATCTCAAGCCTTTTTTGGGCGGGATCGCGAAATGCCGTGACGCCGTGTTCCTGCCCCAAGCGCAGTCTCGAGGCCAGACCTTCCCTGTCATTCGCTGCAGTGACTTCGAATAAAGTGAGTGATGATATAACTAATGTACATGATGCACACATATTGCCGTAGGATTTTTGCCCCTCTTCAGCGTCACTGCCGGCAGCCACACAAGTCGTTATCGCGACTTTTGCGAGGCAGTCGCACGGATGCGGCGATGCGCCAAGTAGCCTCTGACAAACAAGCGAGCAGTAGCGCCAGCGATCTCGACCTTCCTGCCTTAGCGCACTTGCGTGCTGTCGTCTGTACTGCAAAGCACCACCAATGCCCACGAATCTGTATGTCGCAATTGGCCTGGCGATTCTACGTATTCGGTTCTGGTGCCCCTATATGTAACACCCGACAGAGCATGCATTTCAGCCTGCAGCGGGCGAACAGGCAGGATGTTGCAGCGGCTCCAAACGCTGCAACGAAATCATAGAAAAGCCAGCTCAGCGGCCCGCGGCAACGACGGACAGCGCTAGTAGTCATAGTGTAGTGGCAGGCGTTATCCGGTTCGCATTGGCACCTGCCGACCGGTGACTGCCATTCCTAAACCGTTCCTATCGCTATCGCCGGCGACGTTGGAAATGACCGAAACATGCTAGCACGAACTGGTCGCACGTGCCGCTGGACATCATACACGGCTCAAGCAGCAATTTCCTATGGTCTTCAAGTCAATCTCGAATCTGAAGATCGATGATAAGTAGAAGTCTTGGCCGCGAGGCGTTCTCGCTCCATCCTGTCAGGCAAGTGCATGCGCGGTGATCTCAACGATGCACTGTACATCCATGGGCGAGTCTTATTATGCACGAAGTACCTTGATCCGTGTCGTTGGATCAAACATCCACAGGCTCCATGTTGGGAAAGCCTTCGGGTGGCCTCATCGCAACATCGGCGACCGTTCTCGCCGTTGAACGCTGTTATGGCCTGAACGAAATGAGCCGCCTCGATCGAAGGACCCCTGAAACCGTCGATGGCAGTGCCGGCCCCTAGGACACAGTTCTTCAGGGCCAGGCACAGGCACAGGCACCCGAAACTTCATTGCCCCCCTCCTGCTCGAAATTTGGGGGGTGTCCCTGCGGAGTACGAACCCTGCTCAATTCGAGATCCACCTCTATTTATGGCCACGCCAAGGGTGGTTTAGGCTTTTGCCCGCCGCGCTGCTGCAAGGCTGAACCGCCGTCTTTTCCGAGGTTTGCCTTGTGCGGGTCCACGGTCGAGGATTCCGGAAGCGCATGACCCAACTTGCTCTATCTCAATCGCGACCAAGCGCACGAGGCAGTCTCGATATCAAACACGCGATCGGGGGTCACATCTGGGGCTGAAACGTGGCGCTTGTCAGAGCGAGCGTCGACGAAGCATCATAATGAGGTCGTCCGGACTTTTCGTTCGAGTAGAGAACCCTAGCATATGCACGATTACCCCGACATGCATCGATCATGCACGTCAAGACTTTCTGCCGTAGACGGATATCAGTCCTCATCGTCCACCGACCTCATGCAGTCATCATCGACATTGCGCTTGCGCGACAACGGCATGTGTGTTGGTTGTGTACATACCGGAACCGTCAACCGCGGTCACACAATTGGTGAAGCTGCCGGCACTGAGTCGAGTACTTGCCGGCAACACACTCCCAGCGACGGCGACTTCTTGTTTGGTAGACCCAGACCGGTCTGATCCTAGAGTGCGCTGCAAAGTCACGAGTACTGTCGATGAAGATCGCAACGTGGTCCTTGGCGGAAAAGCATACCGGCGAATTCTGCATTCCTTCAGCCATTCCATGTGAGATGTGGAGATGACCATAACAGTGGCTTTGCAGACGTAGTACTTTCGCACCACGAGCCAGCATAGAGGTATCGCGAACCTTCTCGCTTACAGACTTGTGTTCACCACGCTGCAATCTGGGGAAGTCGCAAGCCTGGACGGATGCCGAGATCGTTGCATTCCAGAGGCGCCATGTGTTGACAGCCATGTGTCAAGTGTAGCGGGCCTCTCCGTCTGGCCCAACGATTTCGATGCAGCTAGCATACGCTACACTTCAGCCTGCTGACATCTGCCCAAACATGCTGAATGTGCAGCGTCTTTCACAACAAGCAGGGTCGCAATCGTCCCAGCTCCTTGCTCTAGATTTCCCGGAAGACTGCCAGCGATGATGGCAAGGCTCGTGAGGTAAGAGGTGCACCACAGCCTTCCTGCCGTACTTCCGCGCCCAGTCGTCCGTGTGCTGTTGAGAGTGAATCTTTTGCCGCATAGGCTCGTCCAATGTGCCTTGTAAACAGAAGCCCACCTGATTGATCAGAACATTGATATGGCCGTCCGGGTCATGAAACCGTATGAATATCTCGTACAGGGTCCCGAGATGCATGACCAGGTCGTATTGCTTGCCACCTACCCTTGCCTGCTTCAAGTCGTCCAGCTTCTGGACACTCTTCGCAGTCGCGTTCCTTTCTGACCTCATTACATTTGCTCACGGACGATGCTGGCATCTAGCTAGAGGCGTGGCGGGTAACGAAGTCCGTCCTGATTTGTCGTATATACTTCCAGGAGCCGTCGGGCACAATAGCGACGTCAACTGAAAAGTGTGTTGTCTGCGATGGGCTACATCTTCAGTTGCTCGGCCAAGGAGGACATGTACTTCGAGATCTCGTTGTCAAGAGCTTTGCTCGAGCCATAAGCTGATGTCGCTTGTTTGGATGTCGTCGCTTCACCGCCGGTAGCCTGCGTCGTCCCGTCCGCCTGCTCGGATGGAGCCTGTGCTTCTTGCTGAACCAAGTTCCTCTCAACAGGCTTCCCAGTTCCATCCCGATCCTTATTCGCCCGCCAAACCCCCTCCTCAACGCCCCCCGTATCCCCAAACCACTCCCTCTTCCAAATCTCCGCTCGCTGCTTGACCCTCTCCAGAATCTCTTCCGCACCCCTCCACCCAGCCTGCCGATGCCCACTGCTCACACTAACAGCAATACTCTCCTCTTGGATCCCAACCTCTCCCAAGCGGTGAGCAATGTACACCTTCTCGAGCCCATGCTTCTTCCTCACATCCTCCCCGATCGCGGAGAGCGATTTGAGAGCGAGAGCGGGATATGCGGAATATGAGAGGCGGGTGACGGGCCGGTCGTCGAAGTTGTTGCGGGTTGTGCCGAGAAAGAGGACGTTGGCGCCGGCGAGCGGGGAACGGGTGAATGCGAGGGCGGCTGGGATGTCGAGGGGCGTGTAGCAGAGTTCGGTGTGGGTGTGGGATGTGATGAGGGTTTGGGGGAAGTTGGTTGGGTTGAGAAGTGTGGATGTAGAGCTATTCGCAGAGGTGTCCTGTGCCTGCGCAGGTAGGATGTCCGTACCATTCGAGACTGGATCGGCTGCCATGGTGCACGATGCAGTCTCGACGGCGGGTTGCAATGTATGGTGATGCGTGCGCGCGAACGATCAAAAACAATCGTCGACTGCTGACACTCTTTCCGATCGCGCAAGCGGCATAGCTCCCCACTCACGATAGCAATGGCAGTGGCATAGGCATCGGGCTCAGTGAGCTCGACAATAGACACCAGTGCGGCAGCAGAGATGGGCTGCACTCTGCATTGATGATTCAGAAAGTGCGACTTACCTCACGTAATTTTGGCTATTGAGAAAGTGCCCCTCCAACTGCCCTGAGTCTGAAGGCGGAAGGCCCCGCAGTGCCCGCAATCCACGTGCGATGTCATAGCTGCGGCTCGTGCAAAGTCCAGGCTCTGACCCAAGGGCACGGTACGCAACAGACTGGCTATCATCGAGCCATATCTGATTTATTTACTGCACGAGATGCACAAGGGCGACGTGGTCGGTTTTCTGTGGTAGCAATCACGACCAGTTTGTGCTCGCCTCACTTTCGTTCCTCACACACCCATAAATCCCAAAGAGCAAAAAAGAATTTCCCATCGACTGGTCCTCATCTCGCCAACGCATCTCCCGTCCCCTGCTTAGAATTTAGGGTACATGTACATGGTCAAGGCCAGCAAAAACCCTCCTTCACCGCCCTTTCCTGAGCATCTCACACGTTGTCTACATGCATTTGCTCCATCTTGAAGCCATGATGTGGTACCTCCTTCAGACTTTTATGTAAGATTGCGAGCCACAATGTGGCCCTCCTCGCTAGCTTAGCAGGGGTCAAATATTCAAACCGGAAGGAGGGCTTCCGAATGCATCACTTCTATCTGTCCCGCAAGAAAATGATGTGGTGGCGACGGGATGTCGTTGGCTGGCTTTAATCTGCAGGTTGGGCGACGGCGTGTGTCGGGGATGTGTGCTTGACGTCGGCTCTTACGCCAGGGAGCCTGGGCTGGGTGGTATACAGATTTAGTTATCGTTTCTAATCGAGCCTTAAAAGACGTTTGAAAGCGTGAGCAATTGCTCCGTTTGGGTCCATTGTGCTCCAACTTCCAAGTGGGTGCATTGTCTTTGAATTTTGGTGTTACGTGTGCCCTACCGAGTTCTCGGGTCGTGACCCCAAGCCAAGATAGTGGTGTGCGCGTGGTTTCATGGAAGGCCCATCTTGGACACGAGAGGGTGTGTACAAAGTGCTTGCGATAACCACCCGATACCACCCACCTGGGCACCACCACCATTTGCTGTCACTGGTGACTTGGCTCCTTATCTCTCGAACAGTAAATACTCCTTGACCGAGTCAGTGCAGTGAATATTCCGGTTGCACTGGATCTCTACTGCGATGAAGAGAGTATAAGTGGTTTCCTTGTTCTCGACACCTTCTTGTTTCCATGCAACCAGGAAAGAGATGTATTCCAATTCCACCTTGTCATGCTATGGTGGCACCCTCTCCTACCCGGTGGGACGAGGTTCTTCAGTCAATCCTCGAAGGTATTGTGGATGAAAAGACATCCGGCATGAGCTGACATCGATCGACTGCATGTATCGAGTCGAAAATTGCCTATTCTTATGTGATCCAGGCTGTACATATTACTTATACAAGCTACCAAGCCCTGTTTTATGATGCCGCCGCTGGTGTAGGCGGCACATAAGTCTTCAAATACTCCAGAGGCGTCGTATCGAGCTTCTTGCCCTCCCTCTTCCAATCCTTAACATGCTCCAGCACAATCCCAGCCGCGCTCTCAGGTGTATCTTGCCGTCCAATGCATTCCACGAAATCACCCTCCGGGTCCATCACATAGAAGTAGATGCTATGATCGACCAGATAATCCTCCTCGCCAGGCTTCAGCTCTGGTGGTGTAGAGAAATATACTCTGTAGACCTTGCAAACATCTTTCACTTGCTGCCATGTTCCTGTGAGGCCGATCAGAGATGGATGGAATTCGTCGAGGTATGGACGAAGCACTTCTGGTGTGTCTCGTGCTGGGTCGACGGATATGAAGATCGATCGCAGGGTGTTCGGCGCTTTCTTTTGGATAATATCGATCGCTTCGGACATTTTGTCGAGCTCGTCGGGGCAGATGTCTGGACAGTGTGTGAAACCGAAGTAGATCTATCCCCGATTAGCGAATACTCAATACCGACACATCTCGTTCCACTTACCAAAGTGTACTTTCCCAGCAAATCCTTTTCAGTATACTCCTTCCCATCCACATCGCGCAGCACGAATGGCCCCCCAACCTTCGGCTTGCCATAGCCCTTACTCATCTCCACTATCCGTTTGCGCTCGAGTCGTTTCTTCTCGTACTGGAAATAGATGATCATGGCGAGACCAGTGCCGATGAACAACGCAGCTGCACGGAATGAGAAAGGCTGTCCGCAATACATGTCAGATGGTGGACCACATTACCTCGGAATGTCATACGTACGCCTGTGCTAAACCGTGACTTTTCCTTGGCTGAGTTCACCGCCCGACGGCTCGACTGCGAGAATGGTCGTAATTGGAGGCATCGCGACGAGAGCGGTTGCGCAGTCAGTGTTCTGGTCGACGTTGCGAATCGGAAGGGCTGCGTGCGTATCGGGTGGCGCACTGCTGATGGCTGCGTAGCCAGAAGTCGGCTTGCTGCTCGGTGCATCGTCCGGGGAGCTGCATGATGCGGAGGTATCGAGCGTTTCTAGCCTCGATGAAATGTGAAATGTTGTCTTGTCGATGATGAGCTCGATGTTGGAGAAATGGAAGACTGAAACGGGTAGGTGGCATGCTTCTTTCGGAGATACTCCATGTTCTATCGGGAGCGCGAGAGTCAGTCCCCCCTGTCGCTCGCACTACTGCCTGCGCCTGGCCGCTCTAAATAGATCGCAAGATCTCAAGCACTCGCGGGGACGCGAATGATCCTGCGAGGCCGCGCCGATTGGTGGCGGTGGATTACTGGTGCGCCACTGCCACCATGTCTCTGGCAATACGAAGTGGGAAGATGCTTGACGCTTTCCGTGAACATCGATCTGCCTGAGAAGCAGAACGATCTAGCTTGCTAAGAACTACACAGGGTTTGGCACAAGTCTCGTGCAACCCCGTCTCAACGGCGCTGCCAGCTGCAGGAGTCAGGAGCGATGGGCCATTATCAAGGACCATGCACAAATCAAGGCAGGTGCATATAAGCAGCCATCCTCCCCACCAAGGCCGTTAGGGATGCTCTTCAAAGACGATCTTCCCAATATCAGAACTGAAAGCGCTCCGTTCGTTTAGCGCTTGCGCTTCTTGCCGCGCTCTTCATCGTCGAGACCACCGTTTCTATCTGCCTTTTTCGCTTTGTCTTCCATGTCATCCCAATCATCTCCTTCGTCACTGAGATCGTCTTCCTCGCCCTCGTCATCACTTGCGCTTGCATCGTCGAAGTCCGAGCCGTCTTCGCTCTCGCTCTCGCTCGCAGCCAGATCCGAGTCATCCATCTCGAATGCACTCTCCTCCGAAGACTCTTCTGCATCTTCATCATCCGAGTCTTGAGTCAAGAAAGACCAGCCACCTTCCTTGAAGAAGCTGTGTGGGTCGGTTGAGACGGTCTTCATGATGGTGCCCCAATTCAGGTTGAGGGGTCCTTCGGTGTATGCAATATCGACACTGTCGAGCCACTCCTTAACACGATCAAGTGACTCAACAGGAATGGTATTGACGTGTATAGGAGCGCGGCTGAAGTCTTTGTACACGAAGACGAGGTCGAAGTTCTTGAGACCAAACTGCTGACTGTCAGTATCATTGCCTTGACTTTGGAATCAAAGATCTTACCTGAATTCGCTCGAGATGGGCGACCTCAAGCTCGTCAAGCGTGATGACGGTAAATGGAGGCTCGGTTAGTTGTACAAGAGCGTCGGTCGCCGGAGCCATAAGAACGTTGCTGCGATTCGGCACACCATTGAAGCTCAGATCACGGAAGGGAATGTCCACGGAAATACCTTGTTCTCGACCAGCATCCGAGATCTTCTCAGCGAAGCCCTTGAATAGCCGATCGAGCTCAGCACGTTGTCGACGCTCCTCTTGCTCTTGCTCCAACTCTTCGTCGTCGCCGTAGCGGTGCTTGCGTTTCCTATTGCCAGTCTCATCGAAGGCCATGTCTGTAGCCTCGCGATAGAACTGAACGTCTGTGGTCTTGCGCTTACCAATCATAATGGGGTTCTTGAGCCGAATATGGATCAGAACAATGAGCTCTCCTGTGCACGGCTGGAAGAACAGGTGCTTCACGTTGGCGAAGACCACATCAACGTTCTCGTTCCGAATCGGTGAGATGTAGCGCAACCCATTCTGATGAATCTCAAGTTCGCCAGGAACACGCTTGCCATCCTGAGCAGGGCGGATATAGACGTTGCCAAGCTTGATCGGACGACGGTTTCTGACCTCGATCAACTTCTCCTGCTCAACGACATCCTCCAATTCCTTCTTCTCCTGCTCGCGACGAATGGCAGACTTCCGAAGCTCAGTGATCTGCGCGGCCACATCCGACAGTCGGTCCTGATCTTTCGACCGCACAGTAAGCGATCGAACGAAATGAGCCGAAGGATCTTCGAATGGCTGATCGTCTTTGCGACCAACGCCTTGACCAGGAGACAAGAAGTTGAAGCGCAGCTGTGTGTATTCGCCCTCGTCAGACTTGCTGACACTCTTGATGGTGTTGATATGGAATGGTACAGGACGACCCATAATTGGCAAGATGACGGTAGATGCTTTGGTGTCAACGTAGACAACGAGATCGCGGATTTTAGAAGGCATCTGCTCTTCACGGCGGTAGGACTCGAACTTTTTGAACTTCTTCTCGTTGTCGCCATTCACATCTCCAACTTCTTCCTTGTACTTTTCAAGACCCTCACGCTGCTTCTTCTGCGCAAGTTCCTTTTGATGAGACTTGCGACGAGCTTCTTCCTCTTCTTTGGCATTGTCTTGACGATTTGCATTGCGCAGTCTTGATGACTTGATGTTAGAAGTCGCGACTGCGCTTCGGCCTGGTTTCTTGTCCTCCTTCTTCGGCTTCTTGACCTGTTCTTCTTCCTCGTCCTTGAAGTAGAACTCGACACTGTCAATATCCGTCGAAGCAGACTTTGTAAAGACTGCTGGCTCTCGCGAGGTGACTCGAATAGTATCCACGAGTAACAAGCTGTAGTTGGTGCCCTTCTTGTCCTGCGGCTTATCATTGGTCAAATCGGATAGACTCGTGGTGATGGTCAAAGTCATGCCATCGCGAAGGATGCGTGTGTTCTTGCCATTGAGGATAAAGTTGTTGTCTTTCAGCTCGATGCCAACTGCTGCACCAATGCTCTTGGCAAAGTTCTTCTCCAGATCTGGCTTTCTGGACTTGATCACTCCGAGAGCCTTGTTGTAGACATCTTTGGCAGGCACGTTGTTCCGCGCTGCGTCCAGAGCAGCTTCGTGAGCCGCTAGAAGAATCTTGTAGTTCGCCGTCTGCGACTTCGAGGGATCGACCAGGAAGGTCCGAGCGACAGCGGCACAATATGTCTTGTAGCGAAGGCCCAAGCCCGTGATGATGCAGCCGGAATGAAGATTACTGTTGTTGACGGTGGGCTGCGTGGCTAGCTTGACATCGTACTCGCCGCCGCTTTGTACAAATGGTCCATATGCCCAGTCGAGCTGTGAGACGTCAAAGTCATCGGTCTTTGATAGCTTCTTGAACAGTTTCGCGTCGTCAATCTTGCGAGAAATGCCATCAACTAGCTTGGCGTGGCTGACTTGCTTCTCGGAGTCCAGTACATCGGACATCTCCTCGACCCAGTAGTCTTGTAGAATCGTACTCGAGGCGAGGGCAGCGCTGCGAACCGATCGAAGTTCGTTCTCATCCTTGACCGCAAAAGCCATTGAGAGCGCGCCGGAAATGTCTACCTGCTCCAGCTCCTTTGCAGTTTCGCTGAACATGCGGTTCCATTCGTCGACGAATGGACCAGTGGCATCGTACTTGCTGACCGTGCCCACCTTCTTGCCAGCACCTTTTAGGACATCCAAGCACTTGTTGAAAGCCTCAGTCCTCGTCTCGGGTTTCTTTGCCTCGACTGTGAGGATCTCGACCGGAATCTTGCCATTCGTCAAATTCTTAAGATGCTTGGCCTTCTTCTCGGTGGTGACAAAATAGACGGTGGCCTGAGTGAAGACTATCAGAGTCGCTGGGAACTCGTAGCCTAGCAGCCAGAAGTGCAGCGTGTTGTTCTTCTGGTAAACGCTGGCATCCTGTTCGGCCTTTCCAGTGATGACGATGATTGAGTCGGCGCCGTTGAAAACCTCGTTCGATCGCTTGTCCGCCTTCCAAGCTGTGTAGAAGCTGTTCAGGCGATCGAAAAAAGGCTCGGCCGCGATTGTGATCTCACTCATCTTGGAGCGACTCGCTCGATTGAGGCAGAGATCAGCGGGACTGCTCACGGTCGACTCGCGACCTCTACGATCGATGGACGCAGCGATACAAAGTGATTGCGACGCCGCAAAAGAGAGGATGGCGATGGCGGATGGGAGTGGTGAAGCGTGTGAAGGATGCGAGTTGGAAGGACGCCTGCCGTCTGAACTAAAAGCATGGACTGGCGTATCTCCAAAAAATCGCGTCAAAGGTCAGTCACGTCGATCGGAAACCATATCCGGCATTTAGCCACATTGGGACATTTGTTGTGGTCGATCACGTGAAGATACCCTCTGTTTGCGCTTCTTCCCAGTGACTTCAATGTGAACGGGGCAACCTTTGACACGACCTGGATCGCCATACTAACAGCAGCGGGACTCTGAGCGCGTGACGAGCGCGTAGCCGGCAAGATGAGGATCGTCGAGCTCATCATAGATGGGTACGTACATGTACATCGACCTTCTTATAGTCCTTCGCTAAGGCGAGCAGGTTCAAGAGTTACCAGGTACGGACCGTGATTTCGGGATGGGACGACTCATTCAACGCCGTCACCGGCCTCAATGGCTCCGGAAAGAGCAACATCCTCGATTCGATCGCATTTGTACTGGGAATCAACAACATGTCTACAGTGCGCGCACAGAACCTACAAGACCTGATTTACAAGCGAGGACAGGCCGGTGTTACGAAAGCGAGCGTGACTATTGTCTTTGACAATGCCGATAAGAACAAAAGTCCCATCGGCTTCGACGAGTATGCGCAGATCAGCGTGACGCGACAAATCGTTATGGGCGGAACAAGCAAATACCTGATTAATGGTCATCGCGCTCAACAACAGACCGTACAAAACCTGTTTCAGAGTGTTGGGCTGAACATCAACAATCCCAACTTCATCATTATGCAGGGTCGGATTACTAAGGTTCTGAACATGAAAGCGGTCGAGATACTGGCCATGATCGAAGAGGCGGCAGGCACACGAATGTTCGAGGATCGGAAAGAGAAAGCCAACAAGACCATGGCTAAGAAGGAGATGAAGGTCAAGGAAATTGAAGGCTTGCTCAAGGAAGAGATCGAACCAAAGCTGGACAAGCTGCGTGGCGAGAAAAGAGCATGGCTAGACTACCAGAAGACACAGGGCGAGCTGGAGAGACTCACAAGAGTTGTCGTCGCAGCGGACTATGTCCGAGCTGGCGAAAAGATGCGACAAGCTAACGAGGAACACGATGCCAAGCGCGCCAAAGTCCAGCACCTGGAGGACAACGCTAGCAAACTGAAGCGGGAGATCGAGAATCTCGAGGAAGAGCTTGAACGAGTCAAAGCTGTCCGCGAGAAGGAGCTGCGCAAAGGCGGCAAATTTCAGGCTCTGGAGCAACGAGTCAAAGAACACAGCCACGAACTTGTGCGGCTTGCGACGATCCTGGAGCTGAAGAAGACGAGTCTGAAGGAGGAAGAAGCCAGGAAGAAAGACGCATCTACGAATATCAAGACTTTGGAGAAGCAAGTCAAGGACAAGAAAGCGGCATTCGAGAAGCTCGAAGGCAAATTCACCACAGCGAAGGCAGATGTCGATGCGCAAACAGCGGAGATGGAGAGCAAGGAGGAGCTTCTGTCAACGTTACAGACCGGCGTAGCCTCTCGTGAGGGTCAAGAGAGTGGCTATCAAGGTCAGCTACAGGAAGCCAGATCGCGGGCGACTGCAGCTGGCACCGAGCAGGAGCAAGCAAAACTGAAGATTTCCCATCTTGAAAAGAAGATCAAGGAGGATGAGCCACGTGCGAAGAAGGCAAAGGAACAGAACGCTGGACTGATCAGCGGTTTGGAGACCTTGAAGAAGCAAGCTGCGAAGCTTGAAGCAGACCTATCGAAACTGGGCTTTGAGCCTGGCCGCGCCGCTCAGATGCAGGAGCAGCAAACAACCCTTCAGAAGACTATACGCAAACTCAAGGAAGAAGCTGATGGGCTGAAGCGGAAAGTGGCCAACGTCGACTTCAACTACAGTGATCCATCACCCAATTTTGACCGCTCGAAAGTCAAAGGTCTCGTCGCGCAGTTATTTGAGCTCGACAAGGACAATGCTCAAGCTGGCACGGCTCTCGAGATCTGCGCTGGTGGACGGCTGTACAATGTTGTTGTTGACTCAGCAGAGACCGGCACCCAGCTCTTGCAGAATGGCAAGCTGAAGAAGCGCGTCACAATCATCCCTCTCAACAAGATATCTGCCTTCCGCGCGTCTGCTGAGAAGGTTGGTGCTGCTCAGAAAATCGCTCCGGGCAAGGTCGACTTGGCATTGTCGCTGATCGGCTACGATCGTGAAGTGTCTGCGGCAATGGACTTTGTATTCGGAACGACACTCATCTGTCAGGACGCAGAAACTGCGAAGAGAGTCACTTTCGATCCGGCCGTGCGTCTGAAGAGTGTCACTCTCGAAGGAGATGTATATGATCCATCGGGCACCTTATCTGGTGGAAGCTCGCCGAACTCAAGCGGAGTGCTTGTAATCCTGCAGAAGCTGAACGAAGTGACCAGAACCATGCAGCAGCACCATTCCGAGCTCGACAATTTACAAGGCCAAATGCAGGGCGACAAGGCCAAGATGGCCACAATCCACGCCACTAAACAGGAGCTTGATCTGAAGACACATGAGATCCATTTGACGGAAGAGCAGATCAAGGGCAACTCATCGTCATCAATCATCGCCGCCGTGGAAGAGATGAAGGAGACCGTTGGACAGCTCAAAGAGACTGTGGCCGCGGCAAAGTCCAACCAGGCTGAGGCCCAAAAGGATGTCAAGCGCATCGAGAAGGATATGGCAGACTTCAGCAAGAACAAGGACAGCAAGCTGAAGGAGCTCGAGAAATCACTCGCAGATCTGAAAAAGAGTTTGTCCAAGACCGCCGTGTCTATCAAAACCATGCAGAAAGAGCTTCAGGAGGCCCGGATTGACTCGGAACAGGCGGTCACCGACTTGGGTGCTGCGGAAGAACAACTGGTTGAGATACAGGCCAGCATCGACTCGCAGCAATTAGAGCTGGAAGCTCTCCGAGAAGAAGAGTCGACCACTAAATCAGCACACGACGTAGCCCAAGCAGAGCTGCATGACGAACAAGCCAAGCTGATCTCTTTCGACAACGAGCTCAAGGACCTAGAGAACGCTCGAACACGCAAGTCGAAACAGATCAGCGAAGAGGCTCTCGAGGCGCAGAAGCTTTCGCACGCCGTCGAAAAAGCAGCCAAGGACTCTACCGCAGCCTCACAACTCGTCGCAGCTCTGGAGCGAGAGCATGATTGGATTCCCGACACGAAGGATCAGTTCGGCAAGCCCAACACGCCGTATGATTTCCACGGCAAGAACCTCGCAGAGTCACGCTCTATGCTCAAGAATGTCACGGAGCGCTTCCAAGGCATGAAGAAGAAGATCAACCCGAAAGTCATGCCAATGATCGATAGCGTCGAGAAGAAAGAGACCAGTCTGAAGAACATGCTTCGAACTGTTGTGCGAGATAAGAAGAAGATCGAGGAGACAATTGTCACGATCGAAGAGTACAAGAAGGAAGCACTGCTCAAGACTTGGGAGAAAGTCACACACGACTTTGGCAACATATTTGCGGACCTGCTCCCTGGAAACAATAGTGCAAAACTTGTGCCTATCGACGGCGACATAAGCAGGATCGGGGAGGGCTTGGAGGTCAAGGTCATGCTTGGTAAGGTTTGGAAGACGGGGCTTACTGAGTTGAGTGGTGGACAGCGGTATGTTCTTCCCTCTCTTTCCCACGAACCCGTCACAACCACGTGCTGACTCAATGACAAGGTCACTGATCGCTCTCTCGCTCATCATGGCCTTACTGCAATTCAAGCCGGCGCCCATGTATATCTTGGACGAAGTCGATGCTGCGCTCGATCTGTCACATACGCAAAACATTGGGCGCCTCATCAAAACGCGGTTCAAGGGCAGTCAATTCATTGTCGTCAGTCTGAAGGATGGTATGTTTCAGAACGCGAACCGCGTATTCAGGACGAGGTTCAGTGAGGGCACCAGTGTTGTCAGTGTGATGCAATAACGAGTTCAGATTCAATGACATGCCATTCCTTTTGCCAAACATCATCCCAGTACAGTTTGCGTGCTGCTCCTTCGCGACGCTGTCGCAATCTGGAGGATTCTGTTGTGCTTGGTTAGCAGAGAGACTTTACCCGAAAATCCACCTGCGTCGAAGCGAACTCAGCGTCTCGAGCTAGCGCTTTCAGCCCATGTCAGGTGCATTGCGTGGCGTGTCAGGATCGTCGCTGACCACGTGCGGCTGTTGACAAGGAGGTCGCATCAACAAGAGAGGTTTGCATTGGCAACCTCGGCTTGCCGTACCGTGACAGGAAGGAGATACGGCGTCCTGAGTGAGTCTCGACCGCTTTGCAATCATGAGAGGCTTTGACAATGGGTCCGGCGTGGCCTTTCAAAGCTCGCTTGCACGGTGTCAATGTGTCGTCCTTTCCAGCACCAATGTTGACGCTGGGGTCACGACAGCTGCATACAATCGTCCGCAGCCCGGGCCAGAATTCGGATCATCTTGGCCATCGAGACTTTGAACCGATTCAGGCGAGGGCAGCATTCCATCCGATTGTTACACCCAGCTGTGCCGGCTGTGCGACAAGAAGTCGCGCAGGGATGTGTCAATATGGTCACTACCGTTGTCAAATCATGCAGGGTGCCGAGTTGGAACCGATGTACATGTGGCCATTTGCCTGTCTTCTACACAGGCACGCCTCTCGAAGTGCCGATAGAGCTGTCTGTAGTACGCAAGATGGGAGGCGGTCGATATCGGAATGAATCGTGCCTTCCAGGGGCGAGAGCCTCGGCCACACCGCTGGCAGGCGCAAACAGCTGATACTTCTTGGCAGCAAGTACAGCACGATTGCTCTTTCCATTGCTCAACATCACAAGCAGTCTCGCCCATCCCACCCGGACGATCTTAGGACTGTCATGGAGACTGCCAGTACCTATTACTTTCCTTCATCAATACTTCTAATTGAAAGACAGCAACTGTGAGACGTGTCACTGTCAAAAGCTACGGAAATTGTACTTCCTCAGTGCCAAACTCCCTGTTTGATGCTCATGCGCTCCGCCCGAATCGTTCAAACACGATAGATGAACACAGCTCAGTCTCTCAGCTCCTCACGAATCTTCAGATCCATCATCAAATAGTCAGAGGCTTACCTTGCTGCCCAGGATCTCGAAAAAGTTGTCGACCAGAGCAAGATCCGAGGTTTGCTATCGGGAGGTTCGTGTCCCAGCTGCACCTCTCAATTTCTGTCAAAGTGGCTTATCAATTGGTGACACAGACATGTATCTACGACCACGTGTTGGACAGCTCACGAGCTGGGACATATATCGCGGTCAACATGGCCCATGCTCGCCGACATTCTCTGCGCGATCTAGCGACCAATATTATCCAGGGTTCAAGCTAGAAGCACTTCGTCCACATCTCTTTGTGTCAGCAACTACGTCAGCAGGACGGCGACCAAGGTCCGGCGATCGAACTTGAGGAGCGCACAATGGACAGAGCGGAGAAAGGTGAAGAAGATGGAAGCAGGACTCTCACCTACAGTGGTGGCAGCGAGGACGCGCTACCTCTTGCCACCGCCCAGGACACCCTAAATCCGCTCAACTGGCCAGCATCAAGGAAGAGGCTGTTATTCCTGGCACTGATGTCCAGTTCGATCTTGTGCGACGGGTGAGTCTGTCAAGCTTTGTGGACATGAGTGTTCTTTAACAGATTTCGCAGTGGCATGACTTGGGGTGCCACACTGATTGTGCCTCAAGCTATCGAGTGGAACTTGTCGATTCCCAAATCTGCTACTAGCCTGAACTACGGGATTTTGCTGCAGGGCATCGGAGGCGTGCTCTGCATGCCCCTTATCAATGCCTTCGGCCGGTGAGTCAACCTCACCAGATCCTTCATAGAAGACCTCGTCTGACTTCGTGTCAAGCTTGCCATGCTGGATCTGGCCGCAACTGGCGACATTAGGGGTGGTCATTGGCTGCTGCTTCGCCAGATCTTTCGACACATTCACGGCACTCCGTGCGTTGCAAGGACTGTTCGGAACGATCCCTCAAGTCATTGGCCTGCCCATCATTTATGATATGTATGCTCCGGAAGAATGGCCGACAATGATCAACATCTGGGGTACTTGCTTCCTTGTTGGACCTTTCCTAGGACCCGCGCTTGCCGGATATATCATGGAGGGTACCAAGGATTGGCGGGCTGACTTTGGCGTTCTCGCTGGCTTGTATGCCTTCTCCTCCTTTCTGGTCCTTCTCTGGGGTCGAGAAACATTCTATGACCAAGCGCGCCAGGTCCAGCAGACCAACAAGATCAAAGCCTTAGTCGGCATTGGCAATACACGACTACCTAAGTTAAGGACAGTAGGACGTTCGTTGATGGAGCTGCTGAGATTGGCCTTTTGGACACCGCCGCTTCTCTTGACAGGACTCAGCACACTGGTCAATTTTACCTGGCCTATTGGCATCACTGTGACTTTCGACACCTTCATACACTCTCCTCCATACCTCTTCGGGAACATTAATGGTGCGTCTATGAGGTTCGCGCCCGTCATTGGCGCTCTTGCTGGCTTCATGATCGGATACTTCTTCAACAGATGGATCTACTACGGTGCTGGCGGGACGCGCCAAGCACATTGGCGGCCAGAACATCGTCTGCATGGGGTCTGGTTTCCTGCTGCTTGCCTTTTCTTCGGCCTCCTAATCTACGGGCTCACACTTGCCAACGGAAAGAGCTGGGTTGGGTTGGCATTTGGATGGTGCATAACCGTCGCAGGTCTTGTCGCCTCCACAGTGTGAGTGCAAAGTCTCGCCGCACCTGTGCTAGGATGCTAACTCTGGCATAAAGTGCCATAACAGATTTCGCACTGGAAAAGTATCCCGAGCACGCCACCAATGTGTCAGCGATAATCAACTGTTGGAGAACACTAGGCGGCTTCTCTGTGAGCTACTTCCAGCAGCCTTGGATTGACAGGGATGGTAAGGCTGTGGTCTTTGGAGTGCAGGCTGCTGTCGTGGGCGCCAGCGCAATTCTTTTCATCACGCCCGTGATCCTGATGGGCAGACGAAGGGCAATGGCGAAGGCAGACGCATCTGCGTGACAGTGATAAGCTCTAACAACTGATGGAACGTCTACTTCGGACGACTTGACTGAAGTGAAGGCATGTTGAGCGGAAGTGTGATGATCGAAGTGTTCCATGTCGTACATGAGACCGGATGACACGAATATAGTCGTTGAGCACAGCGCTCCTTCCTACTTGTGCCTTTCTCTTGCTTGACCTGGTCCTCTTCTATCGTGTCAATACCACTCCCTGCGATTATACAGCATCGATCTCCCACACCTTTCTACTCCCGTTCTCGGAGCATGCGTTGCGAGCTAGATTGCATCATGTCCTCGATATCTTTGCATTTCGAGCATTGCCTGACTATTGATGCTACTTGATTCGCCTGTGAGGATTGGAGAAGTGCTCCACCTCCGCGCCGAACCTCGGGGGCTCGTGGGGGCTTTCGAACCAAAAAGTTTCGACCGTCGAAAGAGACGACCTTGAGCAAGCTGGCAAGAGAGGCAGACGTTTTTCCACAAAATGACGAGCCTCCTGCAGCGGACCGCTCCCCTACGAGCTCGATGTCCCCTCGACCTAGGCTCCCGCTCAGCCTTACCATCACGCCGCAACTACGCCGTCCCTGCAGCGACCCCATCTGCACCTCGACGACGAGCCGCCGTACCACCCTACAAAAAGATCCTCGACAAGTTCGAAGACGTGCGCTCCATCCTCGGCACCCAAAAGCTTTCCCTCGCAGAAAAGATCCTCTACTCACACCTCGACAACGTCGAAGACTCCCTCCTCACTAATACCTCGAACGGCAAGAACATCCGCGGCAATGCCAACCTCAAACTCAAGCCCGACCGTGTCGCCATGCAGGACGCCTCGGCGCAGATGGCTATCTTGCAGTTCATGACGTGTAATCTGCCGAGTACGGCGGTACCGGCGAGCATACATTGCGACCATATGATTGTGGGTGAGAAGGGCGCGGATACGGATCTGCCGAACTCGATAGCGGGCAATAAGGAGGTGTTTGATTTCTTGGAGTCGGCGGCGAAGCGGTATGGGATTGAGTTCTGGCCGCCGGGGGCGGGGATTATTCATCAGAGCGTGCTGGAGAATTATAGTGCGCCGGGGTTGATGATGTTGGGGACTGATAGTCATACGCCGAATGCTGGTGGGTTGGGTGCGATTGCGATCGGGGTCGGAGGCGCGGATGCTGTTGATGCGTTGGTGGATGCGCCGTGGGAGTTAAAGGCGCCGAAGGTGCTTGGTGTGAGATTGGAGGGGAAGCTGAGTGGTTGGGCGTCGCCGAAGGATGTGATTCTGCATCTGGCGGGCAAGTTGACCGTAAGAGGCGGGACGGGGCTTGTCATTGAGTATCATGGTCCCGGTGTAGAGACGCTGAGTGCGACTGGTATGGCGACTATTTGCAATATGGTAGGGGTCCAGTCCATCATCGTTTGGCGCCATCAGCTGACAAGATGCAGGGCGCCGAAGTAGGCGCCACAACATCAATTTTTCCCTTCTCGAAGGGACACGTCCCGTATCTGAACGCTACTGGTCGAACAGCGATCATCGATGCTGTTCAGGGCATTGCGTATGGGTCAGAAAAGCACAACTTCCTCGTGGCTGATGAAGGTACGGAGTATGATGAGCTAGTCACAATCGACCTTTCAACACTGGAACCCCACATCAATGGTCCTTTCACGCCAGATTTGTCGACGCCATTGTCCAAATTCAAGGACGCCGTCGAGATCAACAAATGGCCGGATACATTCGGCGCAGGTCTGATCGGCTCATGCACGAATTCGTCGTTCGAAGACATGACTAGAGCTGAAGATCTGGTCAAGCAAGCCCATGCGGCAGGACTGAAGCCAAAATCAGATTTCTTCATTACGCCAGGTAGCGAGCAAGTCAGGGCGACCTTGGAGGACAGCAACACCCTGCAAACGTTCGCCGCTGCAGGCGGCACTGTGCTTGCCAACGCCTGCGGCCCATGTATCGGACAGTGGAAAAGGACGGACGGCGTGCAGAAAGGTGAAGAGAACGCCATCCTCTGCTCTTACAACCGCAATTTCCCCGGCCGGAATGACGGCAACCCAAAAACCATGAGCTTTCTCGCCTCACCAGAACTCGTCACAGCCATGTCATACTCTGGCTCTACGAGTTTCAATCCCATCACCGACTCCATTCCCTTGCCTTCCGGCGAAGCCTTCAGATTCGAGCCTCCAAAAGGGAACGCTCTTCCCGGCTCCGGCTTCTCGATCGGCAACCCGGACTTCCTCCCCACCTCAGCAAAACCAGACTCGAGCATGCAAGTCGTCGTCGACCCCGAATCCGACCGCCTCGCCATCCTCGAGCCCTTTGAGCCGTACGGCGAAGGGGAGCTTAAAGACCTGAGAGTCCTCTACAAAGTTAAAGGGCAATGCACCACCGACACCATCTCCGCTGCTGGGCCCTGGCTCAAGTATAAAGGGCATCTACCCAACATCGCCGAGAACACACTGATCGGTGCCATCAACGCCGAGACCGGCGAGACGAATGTCGCTTATGACAGTGATGGAAGCAAATCCTCCATCCCGGACCTCGCCAAGAAGTGGAAATCACAGAACCAATCCTGGCTCGTAGTCGCAGAGGACAATTACGGCGAGGGCTCCGCCCGAGAACACGCTGCATTGCAGCCGCGGTATCTCGGAGGGAAGGTCATCTTGTCGAAGAGCTTTGCGCGCATTCATGAGACGAATCTGAAGAAGCAAGGCGTGGTGCCTTTGACTTTTGCTGATAAGGCGGATTATGATCGGATTAGTGCGAATGATAGTGTGGAGACTGTGGGATTGTATGATGTGTTGCAGAGTGGTGGGCAAGGGGAGGTAAGGCTGAAGGTGAGGAAGGCGAAGAGGTGGGGGGGAGTTTGAGATTCCGGTGAGGCATACGTTGAGTAAGGACCAGTGTGCGTTTGTGCTGGCTGGGAGTGCGTTGAATTTGTTGGCGAAGAAGGGGAGGCCGGAGTGACGTACAGTATTGGGAACAGCAAGGCCTGGAACGAGGTACCTGAAGTGATCGATCAGACAAGGCTGCGGTTATGAAGTGACGGATCCTCGTGGCCGCGGACTCTGGCGAAAAGCCTATAATGGTTTCACCAGCAACGACCTCGCTTCACTCGCCTGCCAAGGAAATGCGCACACGACAAACCATCGAACAGAATGTGGTCAACAAAAATGCAAAAAGAACAAACTATTGCCGATTCGCAGGTTGTTCTTCAGGAACTACCCACATGCTTAGCCGGGACGAGACCTTGCCGCCGTTAAGGATCTCTTTTGCACCTCTGCCGCCGAAAGAGGGTAACCAGTTTCAGGTTTAATTGAACCAGGCGCGGCGCAATGGTCAGCCGCTGACATGTGAGGACCTTTGTCCGATTGACGGTGCAAAAATCAGCAGCTCGAAAATATAATCAACAAACGACGAACTGCCCAGGTGAGCAACCTTCCGGCAAGTGACTCAGCCTCGTGCCGCAGCAGTGGCTGTCAAGGCTACACCTGGGGTATGGGTGATCACCACAGTACTTTCGCCTGATGGTTCCTTCAATCCTCACAGGGACAAATTTGCGCAAGGGAGCTGCGGACAGAGCAAGACGCGCCACGAGGCTACCTCGAGAGAATTCGTGATACTACAGAAGTCGCGAGGATACATGGCGCATAAGGCAGCGCAAGCGGTGGAAGGCAGTGAGGAAATCAGGTATACGGCAGTGACGATGGACGCAGGCTGAAATCCGATCTCCTGAGTTATTGAAGTACATCATCTGGTAATCTTCGTGCTCTTCCAATGGAAGGACTATTTCCCGGCTATAATTGAGCGCTGATGAATCCTTTGTCATCGCCGACTGGCGACTCCTCCTTCCCAGAACGCTGCTCATAGTTGACCTCAAAGCTGTACTGCGGATTCCAATGCATAGCCCAGTACTCGTCCCAAATAGCCCTTGTGATAGGGCCCACCTTGCCGTCCCGAATCTTGCGCCCGTCCAAGCTCGTAATGGGCATGATTCCTCCAGCGGTGGTACACATGAAGATCTCATCGGATTGGTATGCGAGCTCGACAGGGATGAACTCGCAACGAACCTCAACATTGTTGACACGAGCGGCATCGAACACGCTCTTGCGACTGATTCCCTGCAGCACGCCTCGGTCTGGCGTGTACAAGACTCCGTCCTTGACGAAGCACACATTGAAGCCTGATCCCTCGGTGATGTGAGCATCGCCATCCGTCAGGAAAGGGTAGAGAGCACCACGGTCGCGTGCCTCATACATTGCGCGTGTCAGGTCGCCCCACTGCAGGTTCTTGACTGTTGGATCAATAGCGCCCGGCGGGACGCGTCTCACGGTCCGAGCGATGATCGCCTCGCCTCCAGTGCGCTGCATCTCTGGCTCCATGACCCACACGTACGGGACGATGAACATGTAGAGATTGTTGACGATTTGATCATGCGGAGTGTCTCTCACGCCCCGGAAGCCCCGTGTGACGATCAGCTCCACGAATGCGTCGCGGATCTCAGAGGTAGCAGCCATGTCTGCCAGGATCTGTTTGATCTCTTCCTTGGGCTTGGGGAGAGTCATGCGGATCTTGTGGCAGCTGGCTTCTAGGCGGTTGAGGTGGTCGTCGAGCCGGAAGAAGCGACTGTCCCAGATGGCGGGGACGTCGTAGGTGAGGTCGCTGTGTAGGAAGCCTTGGTCCTTCAGGGGGATTCGGGCTTCGTGGTAGGGCTCATATTCGCCGTTGATCCAGGCGATGCCGTGGGCGAATGGGTTGGATGCTTGTGCCTGTACGAGCGTACGCTGACGTGCCTCGTAGTCAGCGAAGATCTGGTCCATGGTCGCCATCTTGGTGCGAGTGTGATTGATTGTACAAGTGTCTGGTTGGGAAGCGCTTGATGGCCGATATGTGGGAGTACAGGTGGTCAGCCATGGTCACGGAGCAGCTCAACGGTCTTTATTGACATTGGCGAGGCCTCAAGATGCGGAAATGTCCTAAACGATGCCTTGCGCATGTGTCAATGCAAGACGACCGATCGCCCCTGTAGGTGAGTCCGAGTTTGTGGACTTAGGACAATCGGCTGATCCAGTGCCCCGGAGCTGATAAGGTGCCTATCCGATCAAGTATTACCGAATCCGGAAGGAGAGATGTCCATTTTCGGCCTCGATTCCACCGGAACTTTGATTTTTTGGCGACCTACATCCAGGACGAGAACTGGAACAGCAGGATCTAGACGCATCTGGCATCCGGCATCAGGCAAGGTCGAGTATGAATGCCACCGCAATGAGTGACGCGGAGAAAGCTGTGAGCAGATCTGCAAATTCACAAGAGGTTGCTAGATGGTGAAGTCCGACGCTGGACGTGCTCTGTTCCCAATATCTGCCCATTCTGCTTGAATTTTGACAACGAGCCTCACCACGTTGATTTAGCGACTTATTACAACACCGACAACCATGGCGCAAAAGACCATTGTTGTCATCGGGTAAGCTCACACTGGAGAAGTGCGTGCTGTCTCCCAGCTAACAAGTATCTAGCGCCGGTGTGGCAGGCTTGACCACAGCAATGCTATTATCGAGAACGAGAAAGTACCGAGTAATCATAGCAGCGAAGCACATGCCTGGCGACTACGCTATCGAATATGCAAGTCCGTGGGCTGGTGCAAATTACATGCCCGTATCAATTCGTGACACCGATGCTGCGCAGTACGATCGAGACACCTGGTTACCGTTGGAGGATCTTGCTCGCCATCATCCCGAGGCCGGTGTCCATTTCCAGGAGTGCCAGATCTTCAATCGCGCAGCTGATGCACAGTCCACGACAGCAGCTTGGTTCTCCGAGCTGCTATCGACAAATCCTTGGTTCAAGGACGTGGTGTCTGACGTATGTCCGCACTTCAAGTCGTTCGACTTCGTACCGATGCTGATAGTGTCCAGTTCAAAGTGCTCCCCAGGAGCGATCTTGCAGCAGGCATCGACTCGGCGACATCTTTCACGTCTTTTTGCATAAACACAGCCATCTATCTTCCGTGGCTGCTGTCACAATGCCTGCGCAATGGTGTGAAGGTTCAAAGAGGCACATTTTCGCACATCAGCGATGCTGTCTCGGTCGATCCAAGCCACCCAGCCGATCTCATCGTGAATTGCACAGGACTTGGGGCCTCGACTCTTGGTGGTGTCCAAGACACCTCGGTGGTAGCTGCACGCGGACAAATCACACTTGTTAGGAACGACCCTGGTGGACGCATGATGAACTTTTCTGGCACTGAAGACGGACCAGACGAGGCATGCTATATCATGGCCCGCGCAGCAGGAGGAGGCACAATTCTCGGTGGATCGTATCAGAAAGGCAACACTGATAGCGGTATCGATCTGAACCAGGCCACTCGGATCATGCAACGCGCAGTCAAAGCGTGCCCGGCACTGACAGGTGGAAAGGGCATCGAGGCCCTCGACATCATTCGTCACGGGGTCGGTCTGAGGCCAGTCCGTGAAGATGGCACAAGGGTAGCTAAAGAGAAGATCGGTGGTGTCTGGGTCGTGCATAACTATGGTGCGGGTGGTGCAGGTTACCAGTCTTCATATGGCTGCGCGCAAGCTGCGTTGGATCTGGTCGAAGAAGCACTCGGTGGAAGGAACAAGGCAAAGTTGTGAAGACAATCACAAAGATTGCCCAGGTCAGGAAGACGCGGCGGGTCTGGGAGTGAATTTGCTGATTTGACGCAGAAGAACGAGTCGTCCACTGCGACAGAGCGACTCTTCTAATGCTGAAGTGCAGCTCGTTAGAGACACAAGAGCGGCTCATTTAAAGTGACGAAGCGATTCGATTGACGCAGTAGTGCGGTTAATCAGAAGTAGGAGCGCGACACATCTGATCAGGTGGCTGATCCCGAGATGAGCCTTACTTGAGCGTCAGCCGGTCGAAAGATTCGGTGTGAACATTCTGACCAGGATCGCGCTGGGAGAATCCGGCAGAATAATGCTGTGGTACACAGGTCTTGATAGACTTGGTAAACACCCGGTACTCATAGACACAAGACCCATGTGTCACTCTTCGAGCACTCCCCACACTGCGGCGTTGAACAGGCTCATGGTCGTGCCGCCTCTGAGCATCTGTACTAGCCCGACCCCGATAGCTGACGACGGTCAGTACTCTGCGGTGGTGATAGTCACAGTTGCTGCACTAGAGCCTTGGTGAACGGGGAACCTCGTAAGGCTGAAGGCTAAATCGGGCGTGTCCATTGGTGGGCGAGCCTCCTCTGATTTGTCGAGAGAACGGCAAATTCTTTCAGACATGATGGCCAGGCCCTTCAGATGAAACTGCCTCGGCTGCCCAGGTCATGTTGTCAGCACTCGCTCCATCCTGTGCGATGCTGCAAAGTGAGTGGCTAATAGGCAGACACGGGCGGTCTGGTAGAGTTCGGTCTCATGGTGCGCCGGCGCTGCTTTTCTGAACGAAGAAGGATGCGCGTTGGACCAGACTCTGGCTATCTCAAAATGGCAATAAGGCCGCGCGCATCCCGAGGGCGATGCCGGCTAGCTCTTGGGTAGTCGAGGCGACTGCAACGATCTTATTGCTCACAACAATTCCTAAACCTTCACAGCACGGAGGACAGCGTAGAGGCTGTGGACAGGAGGTCGTGTCGCCAAGGCGAAGCATCTCGGTTGCCTGATCGGGCATTACCTTATCACACCATAAGATCCTGTGGATCCCGAAGCATTGCCGTCTGCCGTGGTCTAGAGTTCCACGTCACCCCAGGTTGTTATCTCAGCTAGAGTTTCTATCAGCACCAGGACCCTTAGCCATGCTTTGGGAATCTCGGCCACGAGCACAAGCGTCAAGCCGCGACGGCATATCGCGGGCTTCAAAGATATGGCTTATCGTGTTCTGCTGACGCTGTAGCCGTGACTGTGATGGGTGGGAAATGTATATGAGTAACCTCATTTCCTCGAGTTGGATGGAAGGCATCAATCTCAAAGCATCGTCCTTGTGTTGTATTCCAAAGACTTTCGGCCCTCTTCCAAGAGCAGTTCATCATCATGTCTTCCAACAATGGTGACACCACATCATCTCAAGGCTACGATGACCTCGAGCTCGAAGCTGCCGGCTATAAGCGGTCCATGCCCCGTCGGTTCACCTTTTGGGCATTGGCTGCACTGTCCTTCGACCTCACCTGCACATGGCTCGGCATGGGCTCCTCGATCGGTATCAGCCTCACTCAGCCTCGGCAGGCGGCACTCTGTGGTCTCTCGTCATAGCTGGGTCGATGACATTGGTTGTTTCTGCAGGGATGGCTGAGCTGGCTTCTGCTTATCCCGTTGCTGGAGCACAATATTATTGGTCTTTCATGGTGTCCAGCGACAAGTACAAGCCTTTCGCATCGTTTCTGTGAGTATCATGCCATCCATCCACTGCAATGGGCCTAAGCAAGAGCAATGAACGCTGACAGGAACCTTGACAGTAACGGCTGGATGAGCATCATCGGCTGGTGGCTCGGCGCTGCTTCTGTGGCAAATTTCGTGGCATCCATGGTCCTTGAGATCGTCGGCATCTGGCATCCGGACTTTCAAGCCAAGCAGTGGCAACAGTGGCTTATCTACGTTGCTTTGACGTGGATTTCCGTCGCAGCAAATGTCTTCGGGTCAGCCTGGATCCCAGCGTTCAACAAGGCGCTTTTTGGCATCAGTGTGATCACATTGTCTTCGACCATGATCACTTTGTTCGTTGTCAGCCGCAACAATCACGCTTCGGCCGAGTTCATCTTCACTGACACCACAAGCTCTTCCGGCTGGGGCGAGGGCTGGGCCTTCTTTTACGCCATCGGCAATGCTGTGTATACCTTCCTGGGTTCCGACTGCGCTGCCCACCTATGCGAAGAGATCAGTAACCCAGCAAAGAATGTGCCTAGAGTCATCATGTGGCCGCTTCTTGGTGGACTGCTCACAGCGTTCCCCTTTGCTGTATCGCTGCTCTATGCGATCAACGATCTGCAGGCCGTCTTCACAACAACAGCCGGCTTGCCCCTGATCGAAATTTACTATCAGGGTACTGGAAGCCGTGTTGCAGCGTCCATATTGCTGGCGATGTTCGCCTTCTGTTTCTTCGGGAACCTGGTCGCCAATGGTACGTTCTGTTCGGGGGTTTGTCGTCTGACCTCAGACCCCTAGTCTCATATTCGCTAACGCTAACATCATCCGTGTGTAGCCACAACTGCATCCCGAACTCTGTGGGCTGTATCGCGCGACGGTGCACTACCCTTCTCGAAATACTGGGCCCATGTGCATCCGCGTTGGCAGATGCCAGCAAATGCAATGTGTCTTTCTGCCACGTTCATAACGGTAAGTTGGGTGCCGCGATGAAGCGTGATCTCGCACCCTCGAGGAGGTTGCTGACTATTTCTCAGCTCTACGGCTTGATCTTCCTCGGCTCCTCAACCGCTTTCAGCGCCATGGTCTCAGCCTGCATTTTCTTCCTGCAGACCTCTTGCGTCATTCCTCAGGCCATTCTAGTGTATCGTGGAAGGGATAGGGTCCTCCCGGAACGTCACTTCAATCTGGGTCGCTTGGGATACCCGATCAACATCGTGGCTGTCGTGTGGGTCGCCTTTCTCGACGTCTTGTATTGTCTGCCTACCGTACGCCCTGTCACGGCGGCGAATATGAGCTATGTGTCAGTCGTGGCGTTCGGGCTGATCGCATTCATCATCGTGCTGTGGTTCACCACAAAGCGTGGCGTCTTTAAGGGACCTCGAGTCGATGTGGAGCTGTTGAATGAGCGCCGAAATGCTGCAATACACGGCGAGGTCGTCGAAGGCGATAGCGTGAGCAGCACCCACAAGGAGGCGTTCAACAATGGAGGGGAGAAGAACGCAGCGTTGGGGAACTAACATTCGAGCGTTGTCGATAAGGCGGTCTCCATGGTCTCTCTGAGGCGCCAGGCGTGAATATAGATAGCCGAATAAGCTAAAACGGATGGGGCGCATGTGCCACTTTGTAAAAGATTCTGGCCCGGAAGGCAATTCGTATTCTTCATCCCAGCAGTAACTCTGTCTCGAATAGTCCGTCATCGCCGGTGTCATCGCTGTGAAACGAGGTGGAAGTAGCAGTTGACGTGAAACCTCTAGGCCCGACATAGCAGCCCCACCAGGAGTCTTCTGGAGACTCATTTGGCGTGGCGCTGGCAACAGCAGAATCTGCGTCTGCCCAGACACGTTCCAGCAGTGTAGAGACAGACGCAAACATATTGTATCGTGCCATTTCAGTCCAGCGTTTGCAATAGGCTCGGACAAAATTGCGCTTGATGTGAAGGCCGACAGGATCCGCGGGTCCGACGCCAGGCAAAGGCACTATCTCTGCACCCGCAAGAAAAATTGGTAGCAGGGCCTGTTTCTGTACAATGGCAGCGTCGCCGATGCAACCGATACAATCCATGATCTTGCGAGAAAGGATTCTGATTGTGCGGAGACGGAGGCGCTGAATGCGCATCTCATGCTCGGTCCGGATACAGGCGCCATCGTCGGCACCTGGCTTGGGTTCGCGTCGAAAGAAGACACGATGGCGTATAGTAGGAGTGCGTGTCTCCAAGCTTCTAGACAGTACATATTATTGATTTGCACATCGGGATCATCGGAGTTGTTGTGATCCATCGAGCCATGATCTGGCTCATCGGAGCCTCCGGCATTCGCTCCGGATGGTGGCGGAGAAGTGGGCAGAGTCATGGTCGCAATGTCGAGATCCTCAGGATTCTTCCATCGGCAGAGCTCGTCAATCAATTGTCGTACAGGCGTGTGGTCAAAGCTGGCCCACTCCATATCTAAGACTTTCTCGTAGGTGGCAGCAAGACGTGTCAAACGAGCCATAATTTTCACAAGGTCAACCGAACAGCCATTGAGAGACATCCAACTCCATCCATCCTCTCCCGAGTAGCGAAGTAGTGTCTTGAGATATCGGTCTGGGAACCTGGTTTGTTTTCTTCCGATCAACGCGATAGTTAGATCAGTCCAAATCAGCATGGCGATCTGAGCTCGAGTCCGAGAACTGTGCTGACAAACCAAGTCAATACCGACGCTTTCGATGATGGTAAAGGCGCCACCAAGGTGCACGCCGAATGTGCTAGACGCTGTCTGTGTAGCATCAAAAGTGATTAGAAGCAGCAGTGTATCGAGCGCAACTGACGGCGGAGTGTTGGCCACGGCTTCCGAAAACAGCTTTACAGCCATTCCTTGATGGGCGTGCATCTGATCTATCATCTGGGCAGACTTAGTCTTTTTGGCTAGATGTTGCGAAGCAACAGCCAACACAGCGTGAAGCAAGAACGCCGCGTTCTCAGAGGACTCCCTGTCGATTCGAAATGGATTGCACCGGACGTCTTCGCTAAGTGGGAGAACGCAAAATTCTTGATTATACATGTCAAGAACAGAGGCAACTTGATCAGCGAAGCTGCTGTATCGGACGACAGGAGCCAGCGGAAGATGATTGAAGGCATTCTCGTCATCACTGCTGCTGTAGGCTGTATAGTGCGGCGATCCGTAGTCATCGTGATGGCTCGGATTGTCGTTATCGTAGTCCTGATCTCCATCTTCGTACAGCTGTGCGGCCATGAAATCCCGTTCAGAAATTTCACCACAATCGGCCGGTGATGGTTCACGCTCTATTGGAGCAGGAGCCATGAATTCTGCTTCGTTCCATGGTGAGTAGACGCTGGACATGTTGCGCTGATCAAAACCTGAAGTGCGCCCCCGTTGAGTCAAGAGGTCTCGTCGACACCCATCGACAGCGCCTTATCGCTAAGGGGATCTGATGCGCTGAAGATGTTGACAAGTGCTTGTGCTTCGTCGCCCAGCCTACGCTGCTTCTTCCGTCGTTTGCCATTTGCTGTGGCGAACCTTACTGCTTGCGATTCTCGAAGTTGATCTGACCGCGAATCGTCTTGGGAGACGAATAGCTGAGCTTTCGTCCAATTGATCTCTACGGCGTAGCCGCCACAGCGCCGTCCTTCCTTCAGACAGATGGTACACTTGGGACGCTGGCGGTCACACTGTCGGCTCAGGCTTTCGCATGTTTGGCAGTCGCTTCTTGCCACGCCCAGTCGATTCGTGCTGGGATAAGCTCGTTTCATCTTGAGGTGTTGACAGGCTGTGATGGTAGCAAAGTTGGTCAGCGATAGGTGGAATTGCCGAATCCAACACTCGCGCCAAGCTTATCAATTATGAGCTTGATTTCTGTAGCGATAACGCGTCAGATACCTTGCTTGTAGACTCATCGCGCATCTTTCGTCTCTGACGACGCCGTCGCACCAAGCCCGAGAGCTGCAGGTCAAGGAAGTTGCTGATTTCCCAACGCTGATCGCACTTGCGACACGGATCTACAGCCTGACTGCCGTTTTATCCTGTTCCCGTGGCACAACGTCACAAAGCTTATCCCTGGACAGGGGCGGGCAATTCGTCCATGTCTACGCTCTGTTAGCCACATGGACAGTGCAGCACAGAAACTTGCAGCGCCAGGAGGGGCGTCCCAGTCACGGCTGCGTGGTGGTAGCTGGAACCCAACAGAGACAGATCCTCTGTTGGCGGCGCCGCCACTTCTCGACGATGGATCTCTAGGCATACCCAGCGACGCCGAAGAGCATGCCGCTGACTCGGATGGGTTATATCCGCCTCACTCATGCTGGACGGAGGACGAGGGCTGGATGGAAGGTGCGAAAGACCGCGCCGACCCATTCAAGACGAGGAACTGTAAGGTGTACATGAACATTCACCGGATCCGAAGGGATGTCATCGACAGTATAGATGATCCATATTCTTTGGATCAGCTGAAGGCGCCGAGGATGAACATCACTATCGTGAGGCCTTTGGTGGACGAATATTACGAATCTCAGGATCTCTCAATAATCTACTGCCTCCTCGTCAACCGAGCTCAATTCATTCGGGAGCACGCATTTGTGTCACACCATCAAACAGTCAATCTCACTCGTGCTCTACTCTGCGAAATAATTGCAGAGCGGATGCTTCGGCGATACAATGAGCACAACCCTGGACCCAAAGGCCTCCTCAAGCTCGCTACCATTCTGGTTGCTGGGTTCGACCCGTTCCAGAACGCTCCAGAGTCGCTTCTTGAGGACTGCGAGAGCGATCATGATCTCCATCATTTCATGAAGGATCGAGATTGGAAGGACTCTGGAGTTGGCAAGCTGACTGCCCTCGAAGTCGCCATCGTATCGGAATCTAAGAGCTTTCTAGCAAGTGGCGCGTGCCAGAAGGTCGTAGACGCAATCTATAAGGGATCTGTGGTTTACACTCCGACGGTCTTCGTGGACATTCTGCCGGATAGATGGAAGAAGCGCCCAGTCAGCCTCTACGACCCGAGAACTGCGCCAGTGCTCAATCAGTACCGTCTCTTCGTTCCGAGAACCAGGAAGTGGATCGAGTTGATCCATTTTGTCATATTGCTCGTGCTTTATCTTGCTGTAATGATACAACGTCAAGACAGAGAGGAGAAGAGGGATGCACAAGCTTCAATCAGCGTCATCGAAGGGATATTCATGGTCTATGGACTAGGCTGGGTCCTTGATCAGGTCGCGTCTATCCTGGAACACGGCTGGCAGGTATATACGCAGAACCTGTGGTCTTTCTTGGACATCATGTTCTCCGCTATATTCATAGCATATTTGTCGATACGCTGGACGAGTGTCGCACACCACAAAGACCATCACTATGACGAAATCATAACCACGGCTTTTGACGTCTTGGGTTGCGGTGCGCCTGTGCTGATACCTCGCCTTGCATTCAACATCATGTCTGAAAACCTTCTCTTCGTCGGACTTCGGAGTATGATGAGAGACTTTCTCACTCTGACTGTGCTTGCCATCTGGAGCTTTCTAGGATTTCTCCTAAGTATCAAATGGCTGCATAATGACAGCTACAAAGCATACGACATCTCCAAGTGGATGGTATACATATGGTTCGGCCTGGATGCCACCGGAATTGAAGAAGCACCAGCTATCCACCCCTATTTAGGACCGTTCCTGATGATCACATTCACATTTCTCGGCAACACGTTGTTTCTCACCATCCTAATATCGATGTTATCTAACACGTTCGGGCTAATTGTGCGCAATGCAGTCCAGGAGATCCAATATCGTCGAGCAGTCATCTGTTACCTTGGCGTCAAATCCGACTCGATATTCGCATACTGGCCTCCTTTCAACATTTTGGCCCTGTTCTTCGTCCTCCCGCTCAAGCTCGCGGTATCATCACGCACGTTCCACAGCATTAACGTTTTCTTGATGCGGGTGATCAATGTGCCAGTCCTTCTCTTCCTCGCCTGGTACGAAAGACGCACTATGTGGAAGAGCAAACAGCGCGTTCGAAGACCGAGCCGGATCGATTGGTTCGCAGCTGGTGGACCGCGCGCGATCAATCGCAAGTCTTGGATCAACCCGTTGGTCGCCATCTGGGACTACTGCCGCTTGAACGTCCACGGAGACATCCAAGCCGTCTTCGACATTGAGCCTGGGGCGGAAGTCATGAATCAGGTCGACCAATGGACATTTGGTGGTCGGGTCGCAAATAACGTGGCCGAAACCTTTGCAAATCAATTCAAGAGGCCTGACAGGCCCGGACTTTCAAGGGCCGCGTCACGTCGTATATCCTACAAGCAAGGTCGCAGGCGGAGCACGAAAGCGAAGCCCCCACCCATGGCAAGGCGCTCGTCGAGCGATAGGCTCAAAGAAGAGTTTCCCAACAGCGAGTCTGACGATGCTGGGGATGAGCAAGGAGGTGCGCCTGAGGGTTATCACGCACCGAAACGGGGTGAACGAGTCGATTCTTTGATCGACTTCGGTGACAACAGCATCGGACTACAGGAAGCGAACGTACGACTGAGCAAGATCGAGCAGACGGTCGAACGGCTGGAGGCATTGTTGTCACAGATCCTAGAGGCTACGGTTGAGCAGGACGGTGAAGATGAAGGCAAGAACGGGAATCTGAAGGACATTGCAGAAGAGGAGCTGCTGGACGAGCACGACAGCGAGGAGGCTACGAACGATCTCAATCAATCGTTTCGACGATGACGTATACCAAACCATCGTCGTCAGCGAATGTACCTCGACTTCCTTCCCAGCTGCCGTCGAAGGACAGCGCACCCTCAAATCGCCCAGGTTGTACATGGCTTCATCCAGTACAACATGTCGACTCTATGACCACGCTCTTAAGTCACAAGACCTGCTCATCACAACTCCTCCTCAATACAGTAATAGCAGGGAAGAACCAGACTGGAATCCTCATCAAGAACGCCGTGCATACGATACCTTGCAGGAAGCACGTCGTCCTCCACTACCGGTCGACAGCATACCCAAAGTCAAAGCGTAACGAGAAGCGCGGATACCCTCGGTCCAGAGTTGATGCCCATTTGTAAGTTGTTAGTCCTGCCATCGGGCTGTAGGAGCACAATCGAAGAAATCTGGTAATCGTTTGCAACGTCGTCTCATCCATCCGTAGATTCTCAAGGTCCAGCCCTTTGTAGATATCCCATTTCACGACCGGCCTGTCCGCTGGCCCGAGGCTCGTGTGAAACCTTGCTTTGTCACCGGCATTGTCAAAGCAGTAACAAGCCCCCGTATTGCCTTCGGCATATCCGAAGTATACTGCGTAGTCATCCATAGCATCCACAGCTCCTGCCAAGACGGGCGTCCTGCATTGCATTGCCTTCACGGAATCAACACGAGATCAAGCGAACGGGATATCCCCTTGTGAAGGTGCCTACGTATGCCTGATTAGGTATACGAGCATAGCAAGAGCCGCAATGCGGAGTGTTCACGGGCGAGTTCGGTCTCGATGAGATCGATGAGATCGATGAGATGTAAGCCTTTGATGGGTAAAATCATTCGCGACAGTTGTATATGGAGGCTAAAGCAGCAAGCGACGACGGTGCTGTTCGAGTTCAAGCCACATCCGTGGCACCACCATGGACTCTCTTTCAGTCCAGATTACACCAGAGGTACCGAGATAGGAAGACGTACCTGACGATCGAGCGATGAGAAGGAGCGTCACAAGGAAGGACTGACTCGTTCCCCTAGAATTCGCGACTGCTACACGCTACGGTGGTGTACGGGAAGCATCCAAGCTGTGACTCCGAGTAGGTACTGAGTGTTTTCTCCAAGCACCACCTTCCAATCTCGAGCCACAAATGATGCTCATCATGGGTCTTCTCACCGAGGGAGGGCGCTGGGGCCCTGGCACTGTTAAGCTGATTTAATCGGTGTGCTTGAGATGAGCCTCGGATGAGTCTCAGTGCGAAAGGTTTGACAACTGGCGAGCTCTCTAGTCAGGGAGGCCGCTGTAGGAAAACGGCCCAGTACTTGTAGTCACAGCCTGGCATCCAGTGGCTACTCGCGCTCTGCTTCCGACAATGACGCCTCGTTAGGGCACTGGAATTGCCTCACAAGGCGTTTCATGCCGGAGAGCACCCTGGCCAATACCTGCCGTTGGGGAGACTCGCCTGCGAGAGGCTGTCTGTAGCAAGATCAGCATTGCCTGGTGACAAGCGCCGTGCTCCACCACGGGAACGAACCACGAGCTCAACAGATTTATGTACCTGTACACTCAATGATACACAAGAGTTATTCTTGTCCTCTCACGCATCCTCCATTTGATCCTTGCGGATGGCATCTTCCTTAGACGCTGTATCCCTAGTCCCTCCCAACGCCATGCCATACCATGCCAAACAATCGCACAGAGAGGTGGGAATATCAGCTTTGCTCCTCTTCCTCCGCTGGCTCCTTCAGTCTTTCGCGAAGCACGGCAACGACCTTGCATAACGTCTTGTTGAGCTTCTGCGCCTTCTCGAGCTCATCCTTCAGCGACTGAACCTCCTGCTCTCTTTGCTTTAGACTCTGGTCTTTACGCTGCCGATAAGCGCGCTGTGCAGCACGATTTTGTGCTCTTCGCCGCTGTTGCAATGTGTTAGTACAGGGCGTGATGAGGCTGAGGAGTTTAAAGCTTACTTCTGTGCGGTGATCATCGTCAAATGAGTCTTTTCGTCCTGATGGTATTGACTGTTCAGAGCTGACTGGCGAGATGGGCTCGAACCGGGCTGCATTGAACAGAGGGCTTGTGCCTTGTAGTTCGGGCAATTGTTGTGACATCATTTGGCGGTGATGTGGTTGGGGTGAAATGGACTGGCTTGAGGAGCCTGAGAATGATAGAGATCGGTCCTCTGGAAACTCGAGGTCCTCAAACGGGTGCATGAAGTTACCGAGCATATCCGTCTTGAGATTGCTAGGGTTGTTGAGCTGATATGCCAAGTCGTCCATATTGAACTGTGTTGCCATGTACTCTTGATGATCCATGAGATCTGGATTGAACGTCGACATGGCTGTTTTCAGACAGAATGTTGAGGGTTGGAAGCGTGTGCAAATCCGTGCGAATGTGCTATCGGAGCCTGAGAGGGTGGCAACGTGGCATTCAAGGCCAGGTTAAGTACAGTGTCGAGATACAACTATCGACTCGCCGATCTGTCGATCTCTCTAGCTGCATCGGAGACCGAACATGAGTACTTTAGTGGTGTCTGGGGAAAAGCCGCGTTCGTCATACCGCAGTCGGGGCAGGGATATAGTATCGGCTCAAATTGTCTCAATTGAACACCCGTCACCAACCGCCTGGACAGGTTTCGGCGGGTGCTAAGCATTCCGTCTATAGGCTTATGCGCCTCAAGCACGGATCTCCACAGGGCTTTGAAGCAAAGTTGCAGGTTGTTGCGACTCGCACTGTGACTTACAATTCAACCAGTGGAGGTAGTCTAGAACCATAATGGCATTTAATGAAGTGCCGAATATCTGGTAGGGCAGATAAGGGCAAGGGTTTTCGGAAATGCCAATACGCGAGTGGCCGATGAGCAGTTATACTTTGGCATGTATCCTGGAGGCCTCGAGGAGGCGTAAGCAGTGGACCTCATGCTTCTCCCTATCAAAAGAGTCAACGTTGTACGTCTGAACGAGCCCGAACATTCGGAAAAGTGACCCGAGTGGTCTTGTCCGAGTGCAGCGTAGAGCGAGTGCCGACTTCGCTCTGGATGCTGACTCTGGATGCAACACGGTCTGGTGACGCGTGGCCCGCACGCTGTGTTCTGCACGTCATAGGTATGTCGACAATGACTGCAGTAGACCAAAGTACTTGATGAGTATAGCTGTGGCAGGTTGGGTTAACCCAATGTGCCCGAACTGTTAGAGGTGCTGCTTTAGCAGTCGGCTAGATGGAGCCTCGATTGCAACTGCAGAAACAGACACAAATGCCATGAAGCATGGCTGCATGGATGGCGTTGAGTTAACACGGGCGACATGGGCAGTCATCAAGTGGGCCTAGTTCGGGCAAATGAAGAGCTTCCTTGCTAGTACCTAGAATGGTTTAGTCTCTCTGATGAAAGCTTAACGCAACGGTGGTCACGCCTGCATCCACCATCCTGTTTGTGGTGGTTGGTCCTAAAGTTATGGGCGATTCAGCTGTCTCGCGTCGTCGCTTCTCTGTCTTGCTTCGCACAGCATGGCCGCCCTCGAGACCGACGACGTTGACAGTTCGTCGGTGGTGATCTGGCGCATCATCTGACGTAGCGTGCCGAAGAGCATGGCCAAGCCGAGCGCGATTTGTTCTGCACGAGAATCCGGTCTCGGCGTATGAGATAATAATGGCTCACGAGGTCGCGGAGTCCTGGGGAATCATTTTGACAACACGGAGCTGGACAAACATGTTTCCGTTCACAGCGTGCTGTGCTCATTTGTTGTCACGCCATCCTTCTCGAACGTCGAGGGCTTCTATTGCAACTCAATCCAACATGCCAAGGTCCACGGCAACTGCCTGAAGTGACTTAGCGAATGCGTAGTTGTCCGTACAGCTCGAAGCAGAGACTCAAGCAGGCATAGCTTGGGCCTTGCAGTGCATCAGAGTACGTCCCTTGCCGCTCCAAGGTTCTGACACGCCCAACCTGCAGAAAGTATATGCATACCACAGCAGCCGTGCAGATCGACGCTGAAACGTTTAGCCGTCCTATATGACTAACTGCCCTTTACTCGTTATCTAAGCATTTTGCTGCAACAATCTGGGAAATATTCTAGCAGTTGAGATCGCTAGCTGACAGCTGGTGCGTGGTTACGTGTACACACGTTGTCGAATGAGATGCCCTCGTTTGCTGACTAGACCCTGCAGCGCCGATCAGGATCGATGTTCCGAAAGGTACGATGTACTTGTTTGTTAGCCCTAGATCCGTAGAATGTTGCCGCCACAGCTGGTAGAGTATCAGTGCCTGAGTCGACGGTTGCACGAGGCTGTGACCTTCTCGGTGTCTCACCGATATTGATTCGCGGTAAGTATCCGAGTCTCATAGCCATATGCAGTGACCAACAGTCTGGTCTCTCCGCACTCTTAAGGTAGGTTTGTACACAGTAGTATCTGGGAGGCGGGACAAGGTGAGACGCGCACATCTTCCCCGATCATGTCGTATTTGGCGATATCGGTAGCACGGAGTACAAGAGAGCCTGAAGGACTGCGGTGACTTCCGCGAGTCCGCCAGATTTCTGAAGGAGAAGACATGCCATCTCTACCGCACGGCCATATGGTCACATCTCTGATCAGTCACTGCAGCACGTGGCACCACCGGCAACGATGTCGATGTGAATCAGCGCGGTGCTATCACCCATTTCGGCTTCGCTGAGACTTCGATGTTCATGCAAACGTGCGGCGTCTCCGAGTCCTTCCTCCAAGGGCAGTTGCAGCTGCATTGACAAAGCAAGGCTGCATTTGGCTAAGCCGCCGCCACGACTAATCACCGCAGGTACTCACGGAAAACTTGGACGCCCCAAGACTGCTGGTCGTGAGGATGCTTCATACATAATTGCCGGTCAAGACGTTCACGGGGCACGGGGCGACAGAAACCCAAGATCGTGAGATCTCTGATATTTGTACAGAATGATCCGTCTTGGTCTGACGAGGCAATGGGTTGTCATCCCTTTGTCACTCTTGGATCTGGATGCTGGGTATCTAGCTACTTCGCTCATTGTCCTACACGTCCACTTGCTTGCCTGGCATAGCTGTTCGACCAGAAGCCATCTCGATAAGATGACAGACGCCGTCGGTGCTCCTGCAAACGCGCCAAGCTTGCCATACTGCTTACTGAGCCAAGCGCCAGGATTGGGAGGTTCGTCGTGATTGATCGCAGGACTCGGTGGCTGGCTCTGGGGCGTACACTCTCTGAAGTGTTTTCGAGTCCAGACCGTCGCCGAGGCACAAGTCTCCTTTGCTAGGCATTGGAGACGATGGCTCCTGCACCGCTACGAGACAACTCTGTAAGCGTTCTTGTAGCCCAGGTCATCGCATGGGTATTGCCTGCATTTACTCCTCGCCACCACCCGGCGCCCCTGGGCCACCTTGCCGCGACATCTGCCGTGCCTTCAGCAACTCGTCGCACAGCAAGAAGTTGCTCGTGATGCCCGACGAGCTCGCAATACTGTTGCGTAGAACCCGGTAGCTGTCAAAGACGCCTTCCTGTACCGGGTCCATTGGCTCACCGGTGACAAGATCTAGGCCAACAATGTTGCCGTGTCGGTGCTCGTCATCTAGCTTAGCTATAGCATCTTGAATGTCGTGCCCGGAGTTTTGCGCCAGGGTCTTGGGAATGATCAGGAGTGCTTTCGCAAACGCCTCGATGCCGTTGCGGGCTTTGCCCTTGATGGTTTTCTGGAATTCTTCTGACATGAGATGTTGTGCGGCGGCCATCTGGAAGCTGCCAGCGCCGGGAATGACGCACTCGTCGACTATGGTGTTGTAGACTGACCGCAGACCGTCGCGTACGGCATCCGAGATCTGTGTGATGGTGTGCTGATTGGGACCTTTGATGAGCAGAGTGACGGATTTGGGGTCTTTGACTTCTTCGACAAATGTGTATTTCTCCTCGCCGAGCGTGTGCTCGTAGACTAACCCGGCCCAGCCGAGAACAGAGGGGTCGAGGTCGTCGACGGAGTTTTGTGCTTGTCCTCCGCAGACGAGCTGCAGGCGCTCCATGTTGCGTCGTTTGGCGCGACGGAGGGCGAGAATGCCGTTCTTGACGAGTACATCGAGGGACAGGGGATCGATGCCTTTCTGGTTTATGACCACAAATGACTTCTTGGGATCGTCGCCGCAGACTTCGTTCTTCAGGGCAACTATCTTCTTGAGCTTGTCGTCCACAAAGCGTCTTTCTGAGGCGACTAGCTTGTCTCGCTGTTCGGCGGAGTTGTAGAAGAAGCCGGAGTTGATCTCGGACTTTTCGTACTCAAGGGAGACGTTGAGAGTCAAGATGTAGGCATTCTCGACTCGCTTGGGCATGTCTGGGTGTCGTGCACCGTGGTCAAGAGCCAGACCGCGGATGAGCTGGGTGTCCGAGGCGGTCCGGTGCTGCATCTTCATGATTTCGACCATGTGTAAGTCGGGCTTCTCTGGCGCTCGTTGAATGGCGAGCACTGCGTCGACGATCGAGGGCGTGAGTTGCTCGGCCAGAGCCTTGTTGATCTTGGTTGAAAGAGATGTTCGAGCCACGGACAACAGAAGTTCTCGGTCTATTGAGCGGGTGACCTTGAATGTGTCCAAAAACTTCAATGTTTCCTCTTTTGCCATGTCGTACCCATCGACAATAACTCGTGGATGGAGGCCTTCTTGAATGAAGCGATCTGCCTGCTTGAGCAACTCGCCAACCATGAGCACAACAGATGTCGTGCCGTCACCACAAATATCATCCTGCGCAGTCGCTGCACGTGCGATCATCACGGCCGTAGGGTTTTGTATCTGCATCTCTTTCAACAGTACTGCGCCGTCCTTTGTGAGTTTGATCGCTCCTGCTCCGTCTACCAGCATTTTCAGGGTGCCCGAAGGCCCCAGATTCGATCTCAGCACATCCTGTAGACCTTCGCCGGCGTTGATATTCGTCCGTAAGGCCTCTCCTCGCCGACGGCTTTCTGCTTTGGGGTTGAGTAATTGTGTTGCTGACATCTTGATCGAGAGAGCGGGCAAGCCGCTGGAATGGCGGGGAAGAACTTCTTAGAGGACAAAAGGTTATCGCTTGCTCGAATGGAATCCAAGGCAACGGTCTATGGATCAAAAAGCTGCTTTCTGAACGCGCATCGGCATACCAGTGTATGAACAAGAAGCCCCGCAGGCAACTTTTGATAATTTTCGGCAGCCTTGGCGTAGCTCTGGCCGCCTGGTTGCCTTTCAATCTCTTTACACAAGTTGAAGGCGGTCGTTGTTCTCCTCTACAGTCTATGGCATGTCAAGCATGAATCTCTACTTTGCCAGCAAGCTCTGTAGCATGATCAGAGGACTTTCATTTCTTCCAATGACCGGCGTTGACACCATCTGTCACCAATAGACTCGTTTCAGGAGCATCCTCATCAATCAGGTCTTTCATTTCTGGATCGCCCTTCTCTCTCGCTCTCTGATAGCCCGGTCTGGCTGCACAGTCCTTCAGCCACCTCGTAATGTTTGGGTACTCCTTGTAGCTCACTGCCGGCCCCCAGTATCGCTGAGTAGTCGCGCTGTACACGCTCATAATGTCGGCGATCGTGAATTGGTCTCCAGCAAGCCACTTATTGGTCTCCAATCTATCGTTCATCAACTTGAGTGCGGCGTTCAGTCGATTCTGCGACAAATGTTTCACCATTGAGTCTTCAGGAAGGTCTGGAATCAAGTTGACTATCATCGACAGACTGAATGCTGGCTGAAAGCTGCCATTTGCATAATGGAACCAATACATGAAATGAGAGAAGTCAGGCGAGGACGGTTCCAGCACCAGCTTCCCATTGCCATACTTCCGAGTCTGTGTTCGATCTATCAATGCTCGTTCGCAGCAATGAGGACGTGGGCTGTGAAGGTCTGCCCGGAGCAAATCTTTACCACCCATGCAGAAGAGACCAGTACTTACAATGTAATCACAGATAGCGGCCGACTCTGAAAGAGTGATGCCAGCGTCAGAGTCTTCGATGAACGGGCTTTTACCAGTCTTGTTTCCCGGTACTGACTTGAGCGAGTCGGGCGCCATCATAGGCGCTCGTGTGTGGTTGACTAACTTGTACTCGATGCCCAGCTCTTCGAAGAGCCACACAATTCGCTCTGATTGTGAGATCCCTAGGTGGTGAACGGTGATCATGGCGGCGATGCTGGCTGTCAGTGGCAAGGCTGTTTTCGGTCAGGGTGCTGGGGGAAGATTGTTGACAGATGAAGGCATATAGATCAATCACAGTGGATACAGGGTACGGCCTGAGCTTGTCCGAGGTACTGTACGCCCGAGCATGACGTAGTGTGCGCGTATCTCAACTTTGCATTACACGACCGATTCCGACCGAGGACGAGCCTGCGGCCAGCTCAGGATGCGATCTGGAGTAGAGTAACGAGGACCGCTCCTCTCGCAAGTAAATGTAGACTTCTGCATCCCCACAGCGACTTGGGGTGACCCAAGTCAGAATTGAAAACTGAGAAGCACCGCGTCAAATTGGTCGATGTTGTTGCACGCCGAGACATCTTTTGAATAGCACGTAGCATCTGCAGACTCATGTAGTTTGGACGTGCTTCTGAGAGGACACGAGATTCCATATATGTACATCCTACGAAGGAAGCAGACGACTTCTCGGTGAGTAAAGTCTTGGGAAACAGAGGCGGAGATATCTTTTGTAATCTCCAGCTTGGCAAAATTGCTCCGAAAAACTTCTGGCGGACAACTCGATGGTCTTGAATATTGCCCAGGTATCGACAGCAGGTCAAGGAAGGCGCCGCACATCTGTCGCAACACACGTACCTACCTCCGGCGTACGCATCGTCACGATCTTATACGCTATCTGTGCCTCTGTTACGACCGCCACCACTATTGACACTGCTCTGACAGCGAATTGTCCCTCAAAATGGCCGAACACCTTCTGTACGAGAGCTCTATGGGCTACTCGTTGTACAAGGTCGTGCACCAAGGCGATGCCATCGGGAACAGACTAAAAGAGGTTCAAGACAGTGTGCAGGACCTTGCAAAGTTCGGCAAGATGGTGGACCTCGTCAGTTTCCTGCCATTCGAGTCCGGGCGCATGGCGCTCGAAGAGCAGAACAACATCTCCGAAGGCATTGCTTCCGAATACCTGCGATCGTTCCTCGAGCTCAATCTACCGAACGGTGGCAAGAAAGGCAAAGTCACGCTGGGCGTTTCTGACAAGATTCTGGCGAACAACATCAAGGCACACTTCCCCAAGATTGAGTGCGAGACTGGCGACACGAGTGAGGTCACGGCAGATATGCTTCGCGGTATTCGGTTGCACTTCGAGAAGTTGAGCAAGAAGCTGCGGGAAGGAGACTCTAAGACGGCACAACTCGGTCTCGGTCACGGCTACTCTCGCGCCAAAGTCCAATTCAACGTGCAGAAAAACGATAACCACATCATCCAGGCGATCGCCATCCTCGATCAACTCGACAAAGCTGTCAACACATTCTCAATGCGAGTCCGCGAATGGTACGGATGGCACTTCCCGGAGCTGGTCAAGATCGTGTCCGAGAACCACAAATACGCCAAAGTGGCACTCTTCGTCAAGGACAAGAAGATGCTGACGGAAGACAATCTCCATGACCTGGCAGCTATCGTCGATGACGACGAGGAAATTGCAAAGAGCATCATTCACACAGCTAAGATCAGCATGGGTCAAGACATTTCGGCCACCGATATGGACAACGTCACGCTCTTCGCCGAACGAGTGGTTAGCCTGGCCAATTATCGCAAGACACTGCACAGCTATCTCGTCTCTAAGATGGGCGTTGTCGCTCCCAATCTGGCGACCCTTATTGGGGAAGTCGTCGGAGCTCGTCTCATCTCACACGCTGGAAGTCTTACCAATCTATCCAAATACCCTGCCTCAACTGTCCAAATTCTGGGTGCCGAGAAGGCTCTCTTCCGCGCGCTGAAGACTAAAGGAAACACCCCGAAGTACGGTCTGCTATATCACTCCTCGTTTATTGGACGAGCTGGCCAGAAGAACAAGGGTCGGATCTCCCGCTTCCTCGCCAACAAATGTTCTATTGCCTCCAGGATCGACAACTTCTCCGAGTCACCATCAACAGTGTTCGGCCAAGCTCTGAAGAAGCAGGTCGAAGAGCGTCTTGACTTCTACGCTAGTGGTACAGCACCTACCAAGAATGAGGTGGCAATGGTGAGTATCTGTCTTACTGGTCATGTCTGCAAATACTAACAAATTCCTGCAGAAATCAGCAATGGACACAATACTCTCACAGATGGACATCGATGAACCGACAGACGAAAAGGCTGAGGCTAAAGCCAACGACGAGCTCTTCGACACAGAGCCAACGGCTGTGCAGAAGAAGGAGAAGAAGAAGAAGGACAAAGAGGAGAAGAAAGACAAGAAGGACAAGAAGGACAAGAAGAAGAGTCGCGAGTCCGACGTCAATGGTGCGGAAGAGGTTGTGGAGAAGAAACGGAAACGAGACTCGGAAGTCAACGGCGATGGTGAGCGAAAGAAGAAGAAGAAAGACAAGACTGCCCGGTAGTACCTCGAACTCGATCCGTTGTTGATGGTCAGCATGTCTTCATGAATTTGCATGGCGCTGTGGCGTTCGGAATATGGTATGGCAGGATCTTGCTCTGGTGGTGACGCGTTCAGTGCCGACGAGACTGTCTGCGCAAGTCGGGAGGTCTCAGTTCGCTAAAACGAGAGCTATGTGTACAAACACTGCTAGTTATTCGTCCTCTTCTGTCTGCAACAGGCTCTAGTCCTGTCTCTGAATTTTCCTGTCCATCTAGTCTGCCTCTGAGTTGAAGGCAGGGACCTTCACACCTTCACCTGCTACTAGGCAGGCAGGCAGGTAGTTCACCTGCCTGGTAGCAGAGATATAAGTATCTTATAAGTATCTCTGCTACCCCCGCATCTCTCGTAGCTAGAGTTATCACAATCAACTACTCGTTCGCTGCTTCTAGTGGTTATGAGCTTCGTACTCTGCGCCAAGATATCAAGCTTGGCACGATCTAGACTCTTTCAAGACTTTTCGAAAAAAGTATTCCGACCTCGTCATATTGTGAAGGTGTTTACCACTGGCTCCAACGTTGCCGAAGCCGTATGAAGAAGTCCAGCAGCCATTGATTCACGCCTTGATTCGTAGACGAAACCTCTGAGGCTTTCAACTTAGTACCTCACCGCTTGAACGCCGCTTTATCGAGACGCTTCTCCCATCCGGCGCAATACTTTTCCACGTGCGGCTCCTTCCCTCTGCACTGGCACGGTGTTTCGTGACTCAACACAGCAGCAGATCTACGTACGATCCTCGGCGAGCAGCCTGTTCTAAGCTACTGTGCTCAGAGAACATAGCTTTCCACGGTCACAGATCAGGACCCGTCGACTGCTGCCCTTAGCACATCTGCAGACCTACCACGGTCTGCTAGACGTGCTTACCTTGCTGACGCCTTGGGAGCTCACCAGCTGTCTTGGTCACTATCCAGCCAATAGCCATCCCATCCACCCGCCTCTATGTCCACCTTCGGCCACTCCTTCCGAGTCACCACCTATGGCGAATCCCACTGCCGCTCCGTAGGGTGCATAGTCGACGGCGTGCCACCCGGTCTCCCGCTCGACGAGAGCGATATCCAGCCACAGATGACACGCCGTCGTCCAGGGCAGTCCGCACTCACGACACCACGCAATGAAAAGGACCGCGTGGAGATCCAGTCTGGTACGGAATTCGGAATCACGCTGGGCACGCCGATCGCGATGATTGTACGCAATGAGGATCAACGGCCGAAGGACTATGGAGGCGACACGATGGATAGCTACCCGCGACCGAGTCATGCGGACTTCACATACTTGGAGAAGTATGGTGTGAAGGCGAGTAGTGGTGGAGGGAGGAGCAGTGCGAGGGAGACGATTGGTATGTGTTTGTCCTTTCTTTTACATAGCGAGGACCAATGACTAACGAGATCAGGCCGCGTCGCCGCCGCCGGCATCGCCGAGAAATACCTCTCACTATCCCACAACGTCCAGATAATCGCCTTCGTCTCCTCCGTCGGGCCCATCCACCTCTTCCCACCCACAACCCAACACCCCTCCCCTTCCACCAACCCCGACTTTCTCAGCTTGATCTCAGCCATCACCCGCTCCGACGTCGACGCACACCTCCCCGTGCGCTGCCCCTCAGCAGATGCCTCGGCTACCATGGCCAAGCTCATCGGGCAGTACCGCGACGCCGCCGACTCGATCGGCGGGACCGTGACATGCGTCATCCGTAACTGTCCGATCGGGCTGGGGGAGCCGTGTTTCGATAAATTGGAAGCGAGCCTGGCGCATGCGATGCTCAGTATTCCTGCGACGAAGGGGTTCGAGATAGGCAGCGGCTTCGCTGGATGCGAAGTCCCCGGATCGCAGCACAACGACCCGTTCGTGCGGTCCCCAACCACAGGAGAGCTGGTGACCAGCACCAACAACTCAGGCGGCGTGCAAGGCGGGATTAGCAACGGCGCACCAATCTACTTCCGTGTAGCATTCAAGCCGCCCGCGACGATCGGTCAAGCGCAGAAGACGGCTAAGTTCAGTGGCGACGAGGGGTCGCTGGAGGCAAAGGGAAGACATGATCCGTGTGTGGTGCCAAGAGCGGTGCCGATCGTGGAGGCGATGGCCGCGTTGGTAGTTATGGACGCGCTGTTGGAGCAGTTGGGAAGGGAAGGGGCGAGGAGGTTGTTGCCTGTGACGAAGGGGGTGCTGCCGGTGAGGCATAGTGGGACGAACGCCGACAAGAAGGACGTCGAGAAGCTGAAGAATGGACTAGAGAATGGGAGTGTGTAAGGTAGATAGATTGTGCATTTCAGGTAGATTTGGGGAAGGTGTCGATCGGATCGACTAGTGGACAAAAGTCAAGGGTCATGTAGAATGTGTTGTCAAAAGTTCTTCGCAGCAATGACCCTTGGTCGGACTACCGCCGACTCGTCACACTGTCGCGTACCTCCTTGACCACCTTCCTCACCCCCTCAATCTCATGCGCAAACCTCCCCAGAAACATCCCATCCACGAACTCCCCTAAGCCAACCCCATCCTCCGTCGCCTCCCCACTCCACAGCCCCGGCCCCGCACTACCGCCATACACCACCCTCGTCAACCCCGTCCTACCCCGAGTCTCCTGCGACTTGACCACGCTTCGAATCGCCTGCACCACAGGCCCAACATACCCCACACCCGCCGGCTTCGCCGCCCCGATGGCCCACACAGGCTCATACGCAAAGATCACCGGCGCATCATCGGGTACCGCATCCAACAAACTCGTAATTTGCGGTGTGAGCTGTCGCATAGCCACTCCAACACTCTGCGACATGGGTCCGGACAGGTTTGGGGCGTCGAGCTCGCCTATGCACACCAACGGCACGAGCCTAGCTTACATGCTGCGGCGGCTTTAGCGGCGGTCGACTCGTCTGTCTCGTGGGCGATGCGGCGGCGCTCGGCGTGGCCTAGTTCGACGATGCGCACGCCGAGGGAGGCGAGGGCGGTGGGGGAGGTGAAGCCTGTATAGGGGCCGTAGTCTGGGAAGGGGGAGCAGTCTTGGGCGCCGAGTACCAAGGGCCAGTCTGAGGGGGAGGCGGAGGCGGCGTGGGTCGGAGAGGATTGTGGTGCAGGGGTAGATTGTTAGGTGGTCGGGGATGAGGCCGAAGAGGATCTCTGATGGTAGGGCTGAGATGTTGTTGGATGGATCTAGGAGGGCCTTTAGGTATGCCAGTGTTCGCTCCGGTGAGAAGTAGGATTTAGTCGAGGTTAGTATCAGCGTCTTTGGCAGGACAGGGTAGGGTGCTGTTGGTGATGAGCTGGGCTGGTCTGTGCTTTTGGTCTGGGAGGACATGTTGTATGCTGGTCCGGGTTGCTGGGGTCCAGATTCGTCCAAAGATGGCTTCAACTGGAGCGTACGGGGTGGTCTTCTGGAATTAGTGGTTCTAAAGTCCTTGGACACTTCCCATGCTCCGAAGCAGCACCCACGGCGGTTTCGCCGATGCCGACTGTCCCTGGAAGGATGTTGAAGCTATGCCCAGGTGCACAGCTGTATTGGCGCTATCATCTGTGCCACGTGGGCGGAATGACCGCCGAAGCAGAGCGGGAAACCTCATCCATGACGTGCCCCTCGTTGCGGGGGACAGTCGCCCACCGGTGGGCATGCCGACTCTCCGGGTAAAAAAGATTCTGGAAATCCGCAGTATTGAATGGAGCGAATAGCCTGTAAACACTCCGTTAGTCGCATCCATTCTCTGGAGATACCATCTTCATACAAATACCTACAGAACCTGAGTCATGGCGACCAACGGCAGCGGCAAAACACCACTGCGCATCGTCGTGGGTAGCGACAACGCAGGCCACGCATACAAGACCGCACTGAAAGAAGAGCTGAAGAAGCACGCAGGCGTCACACATGTTCTTGACGTCGGAGTCAACGAAGCGGACGACTCAACAGCATACCCACATCTCGCTGTCGACGCGTGCAAGAAGATAAAGTCCGGCGAGGTGAGTCCGGCGCAAACCTGCGGCGCGTTCATGGACGAGATACTGACTGATCACAGGCCGACCGAGCACTTCTGATCTGCGGAACAGGCCTCGGAGTTGCCATTGCGGCAAACAAGGTGTCGGGCATTCGAGCAGTCACGGCGCACGATCCGTTCTCGGTGGAAAGAGCGGTGCTGAGCAATAACGCGCAAGTACTGTGTTTTGGGCAGCGCGTGATAGGGCTGGAGCTCGCGAAGAAGCTGATTCAGGAATGGGTGGAACTACGTTTTGATGAGAAGAGCGGGAGCGCTGAGAAGGTGAAGAACATCTCGGAGTATGAAGAGCAGTTTGGTGATCTGTGAGGATGTGTAGTGGTAGTAGTAGTAGGAAGGAGAGTGGGAGGTTGGTGGAGCGGAGGGGCACCGAAACACAGCGGCAGGGCCCTGCGCGTAGCTATTGTTTTGTTCTTCTTCGAACCTCCATCCACTCTTGCGTCCTTTCAAACATCGACGTTCCTACATGCTCGTTGCTGGTGACACGTCCATCATGGACATCGCCAGATACCAAAAGCCGTGGCCCTCTACGAGCGCAGCTGCGCTGCCCGCTTCTGCTGAGCATTGGCATCGCATGGGCGCTCGAGTCTCTCCGCATTATTGCTAATGATCGGTCCTTTCGCATCCATGACCTTCTGTCCGAGCGCTGTTGCCACTACCTTTGTTCGAGACGATCGTGTTGACAGTGCTTGCTGTGTTTGACTTCACTAGCCTTTTGTGCTGGACAGGCTCGCATTGCTTGCTCTAGCGTGGCACTCATCGCTCTTTCCAAACGGCCGATGCTTGTCGCCTAACATCACTGGCGCATCCAAGACCGCAAACAGGGCGTCATCTTCCCCGGGTACTGGACGTCACCGACTATACGGCGGCTGTTCGCACATGTGGTATCTGTATAACTTTATAAGCTATCTGACTGCCCGGTCGCACCCGCAAGCACACCATGTCGACATTCAAAGACCTCGGAAATGAACACTTTAAAGCTGGGCAGTTCAAAGAGGCCGAACAACTATACACCGAAGCGCAAGTCCATTCGTTACCACACCGCAGCCCTTTCTGCGGATGCTCGATTTTGCACTAACACTTCAGGCACACAGTATTCAGTCCCAGTCACGCACAGACCCAAAAGTCTTCCAGAACCGCGCCCTCGCCCGCATCCGCCTGTCCAATTACTCCGATGCCGAGTCGGATGCTAGGAAAGCACTTGAACTATGGAACCCGAAGAAGGACGTCTCCATGAAGGCGCACTACTACCTAGCACAATCCCTCCTCTCACAACGCCACGTCGGGGAGGCTCTCAATGAGGCACAGATAGCTTATCGCATGGCCTTGTCTCTCAAAGACAGCTCAGCAGAACTAATCTCACAGTTCATCCTCCGCGCCAAGCAGGCGCAATGGTCTGCTCGAGAGACGGCGCGATTGCGGGAGCTGAGCTCGACGTTAGCGGCCGTTGAAGACCTGCTGGACCGCCAGCTGGAGACCGACCTAGCCGATCTCAATGCACAGGTCGAAGCTGGCACGCTAGGCGCCACGGGCCGCGACGAGGAGCGGTCGACTATCGAGCGGATTTCACAGAGCGGCGGCGGAGTATCAGAGCCGCTTTTGCGAGCCAGAATACAGCACAGCCTGAATATCAGGAGCGCAAGGTACCAGATTATCTAATTGATACCATTACGTTTGAGGTCATGCACGACCCGGTCGTGACGCCCTCGGGAGCGAGCTACGAGAGGGTTGGCTTGTTGAAGCATCTCAAGGCCACAGGTCTGGATCCGCTGACGAGAGAGCCCTTGACGGAGTCACAGCTGTATCCGAATGTGGCGTTGCGTAATGCGTGCGCAACTTTCCTGGAGGAGAACGGGTGGGCAGTCGACTACTAGGTCCCTTGACATTCGTCCGGGATCTTGCGAGTTGGTAAGGCTGTAGGTGGAAATTCCGCTCTCGGAGCCCGGCAGAAGGCAAAGCGATAAAGATATCGACGTCCATCACGATTCACTCCGCTGCTCCAATCGCTATGTATTGGTACGTCTAACATGAAGGCGTCAAGCATCAAGCCGCAAAAGCCCTTGTCATAGTCCTTCCGGCTATCGTATATCCAATGCCTTGTCCTGCACGCTCCTGCCTCATCGCGCTTTATTCCACAGCGCGCTCGCCGTATCCCGAATCCTCCGTTCCTGCGCCGCAATCTGCTCCGCCGTCTGGCCCCTCCCGTGCCCTCTCGAGTCGATCTCCATGGCATCCCCACCCTCTTGCGTGGGAGGACCCGACCCACCCTTCGCCGCCTCCGACTGCGTCTGCCCCTGCCCATCCATAACCTTACTCCCATCCACCGCCTCATCCCTCGGCTTCGGATCAATCTGCATCGGCTCCCCTCCGCCCACCGCCTGATGCATCAACCCACCCCCCTCCCGCAACTTGTTAATCGCCCTCACCGTATCAATCGCCTTATGCAGCGTCCTCCGCGCATTGAAATTCTTCTTCACAATGGGCAACAGGTCCTTTCCTTCCCCGACCCCACCGCCAACGGGTGTATCCGGACTCGTCGGGTCTAAAGGTTTGATCCACGCGTGTTGGAGGGCTTGGTGGGAAGTCATGCGGTGGTTGGGGTCGACGGTGAGGCAGCGCCGGATGAAGTCGCGGGCGCTGTCGGAGACGTTGCGCCAGTATTCGAGCGGGGTGAAGGAGTAGTCTGCAGCGAGGATTGCTTGCATTTCTTCGAGGTTGCTGTCGCGGTCGAAGGGGGTGTAGCCGCAGAGGAGGAAGTAGGTTATTACGCCGATGGCCCAGATGTCGCTGGGCTGGGGTCAGCATGCGGAAGGGTAGTGAGATGTATGAGGTTTCTGCTTGTGGAAAAGGGCAGGGTGGGTGGCTGGCTTACACAGGTTTTCCATGCCCAGTCTTCTTGAATATCTCCGGTGCCATGTAGCCTGGTGTGCCGCACGTGGTGGTCAAAACGTGGAACTGCTCCTCGTCCATGATTCTCGAGAGGCCAAAGTCTGCTATCAAAAGGTCGGCGTTGTCTTCGGGAGTGCGAAAGAGGAGGTTCTCGGGCTTGAGGTCGCGGTGGACGATGCCGTGGTCGTGGAGGTATGCTACGGCGGAGAGAGTTGCGCGCATCAGGTCGGCGGCGTCGGATTCGAAATAGGAGCCTTTGCGGCATATTCGGTCGAAGAGCTCACCGCCGAGAGCGAGGTCGGTCACAAGGTATACTGCGAGGAGAGTCAGTCCGGCACCATGTGTGTGGAGGCAGCGGGCTCGACTGACGGTTGTTCATGGTTTCGAAATAGTCCACCAGGGTTAGGATATTTCTGTGCCCGACTGATACTCTCTTGAGGACTGCGATCTCATTTCGGACCTGATCGCTGCATTAGGCCGAGGATTTCTGACCATAGGGCAAGCTCACCATGTGCTCTCGACCGGCCATGAGGCGCTTGTTAATGACTGCTCTGGTATCAGCACTGATCTCTTGGACTAGGTCAGGGCAGATCAACCTTTGGCAGCATAGTAGCGACCGGTGTCGATATGCACACACTCCTTGACAACCGAATATGATCCTGCGCCCAAGGTCTTGCCTGTGTTGCTATCAGAACTGCTCACATGCACGAGGCGGACTTGTTGTACCTGTCTTGTACCTGCATGGTTGAACCTGTGGCTTTTGCGGCGCCTGAGCTGCCATCTTAACTCGGCTTGGGAGGCCAAATGCTCCGCGGGAATCAGGAGTGGCAGCGGTCGAGGTCTACTGCCGTGATCATGAGCTTGCAATCATCCCGCAGAAACAAGTGCACTCTCATACCTATAGATATGCTCCGAAGTGTGGTGCGGGGCAACAGCTTCCGTACAGTGTGTGGTGGAGGTCGTCGGCAGGACAATCCGAGTCAGAACTGGAGCGAGTCAAAGCGACGAGAAGGGCAGTGACAGCGTCTGCAAGAATGAACGAGTGTCTAAGGATGAATAGTTGCGCACAACATGAAAAGGGCACCGCAGCGGCTGAAGCCATCCAATGCATGTGTCTCGGCTTGCTGACATGGGGGCCGTCAGGCGCAAGTGGGATCTGGTGGGGTCCTGCTAGAGGCGACCCCGGGGAGGATCTTTGGTGAGCGGAACTTGAATGGGCCAATTGTCATGCCGAGTAGCGACGAAAGGTACCTGACTAGATCGCGAGATCTAAATGAAGATAAAGGTCTGATTACATTGACAATGGCTGGTCAAGTAAGTCGGTGTACTTCAGTCTCAAATATCACACCATTTCTATACGGGAAATCTCTCGCCATACTTCCCTCTATTGTCCATGCTAAAGATCAGAACGGCCATCGTGTGCCGTATAAAGAGCCCGAGTATGCCGCATGCTATCTGTAACACCAGGAGTTCATTATTGAGGCGATCTTCTCGCAATGGCCCTCTCCATACAAGCCAGAGATTGATGAGGGTGAGATTACTCGTCTCTGATATTCGATTCGTCGCCGGGTCAATCGTAAGTTGGATCAGACGCATTCTCTCCAGCAAAAAGAACGCCGCTGTAAGTGTCTTGCTCGGCGGCCGGTCCTCCCATTTCGTAACACTCGGCTCGCGGAGACCAGTCCTGGCGTTGAACCTAGGTAGTCGATGCCTTGGGCATGGAATGATCTTGAAGAGCTGTGGCACACTGTAGACGAAATTGAATATCTGTGGTATGAATAACAAAAGCAGAGTCTTGCTGAAGTGAGCCATGATGGCAACACATGCAAAAGTCATACCAGCAACATAGCAGTATGTGTCTCCAACGAAAACGCGGGCAGGGTACCGATTGTGGATGTATAGAGCTGTCGACACACCCATGAATGGGAGTAGAAGATACAGTGTCATCAGGTGTGACTCCGTCGCCGGATGGGGCCGAGTTGCGTATCCGTTGTTGAGGATTGGGTTGCCTGGAAAGGGCACGAGGTACAAAGAGGAATTGAGAACGAGCAGGCCAGCGATAACCAGAGACTGCCCAACTTCCAACCCGTTGATTCCCGCGAGGATGTTGATCGAGTTCGGGGCGAAAATAGATATCGCAGCCATAAAGGCATAGTAAAGGGGACCGAGATGGATGAGTCGAGCGCCATTCGGCATATATGGTACAAGAAAATTAGGAACAACCACAGAAGTGACCCCGAAGTCGACATAGTATACAATGAGCAGCGGGATGCAGGCAATTGCCGGAATGAAGAACTTGTGTCGCCACCGAAGATCGAGAATGTCGTCTGCCAGACCCAGAATCGTCGTTGCTTGAAGCGTATTCAGCACCGACTGATATGATCCTAGCTTTGAATGCGGGAAGCGCTGTAGGAACCGGCCTGTCTCAATCTGCGTGACCGTCAAGACGACATCTCGGTTGCCACCGCCTGACGTAGCCGCAACAATATCCTTGTAGAAGACGAATGGTATAAATGCAATGAGGATCAGGAGATACACTGCCGATGCTACAGCACCCATGCATTCTGGAAGCTCCTTGGGAATAGCCTTCCCTAAATCCTTCCCTTTCAGCCCGGCCTTCATAAACGATGGACCAGACCATCGTACGAAGCATATGTTGAGGTAAACGCAATGCCGGAGAATGCAAGCGAGGCAACTAGCGGAGCTCCTTCGTCCTCGAAAGTGTTGGCCAAGATCGCAGTACAAATGCCGAAAGCTGCAAGCAGGCTCCAGGTTTCGGAACGCGTGAGGTCGGCAGCCATAGTGGCAAGCTGTGCAAGGGTGGCGCCTCGAAGTGAGTGGGTATGTGCTAGCAGTGGACTTCAATCACCACTGTGATGCTGGGAAAAAGAGTGCGAAGCAGTGCCAATCTGCAGTGATCGTTGATTGATGGTATCGCGTAGCATCAACGGCGATGCGGTAGACTTGCGCGCAGCAGCATTCCATGCTTTTTCAGGGTGCTCATGGCTGCTGAGTCGATGGCGACGTGGAAGGAATGACTGACATGAATTTGGTAGAAAGGATAGTTGTCCTCAAGTGAGTGACTTCTTCGACATATTGGAAGTGGAGCCGTCCGATTGCGGAAAGTGTCGACTTCCTCGCCTCTGCACCTCATGGCACAACTAGAAGGATTGCCTTTCTGCTCGATAGTGCCAACACTATGGATGTCAGAACCATAGTCGGCGAAGTACTTGCGGGGTAAGACTATGGTCTAGGTTCATGCGATCTTGTATTGGTGTCCTCGAGTCTTAAGCGACCGCGCAGAACACGCGTTGGACTCTCCACGAAACCTGGTATGAGCGCCAAGGGCGGACGCTAGGCTGTCTGATGCGCACAGGCTCGACAGTATGGACGGGATCGATCAGTTCGAGCCATCGCACGAGGATCGGGTGACAGTACTGAGCACGAACTTTGACGGATCCAGAATCCTTACTGCTTCTACAGATCACCGCATCAAAGTATGGAGCAGAGATGGCGACACAGGTGAAAGGCAGCTGATCGAGACGTTCACTGCACACGATGCGGACATCAGAGACGTATGTAGTTGATACACTTGTCGACCAGAGCCACTGACTTGCCCAGGCCAAGTTCACGAGCCCGTCCGTCGGCAACTATATCGGCACCGTGGCTGCAGATTTGAAGTTCCAGCTATGGGAAGAGGATGCCTCCCAGGCATACAACTCCGGTCGACGGTATCGCGCCATTGCTTCGATACCATCCACGCCACGCGTTCCGTTCACGTCGCTCGATTTCAGAACGGTAGACTATTTGTACACCTATCTGGCTCTCATAGACCGCCAAGGTCTTCTCTCCATCTATGAGCCAACTTCCGCAGATGAGATGAAGGACTGGACATTGTTGGATCAGTTCCATGTGTGCTCTCCCGTACCTGGAAGGGGCGATGAAACGAGCTTCAAGCTACAATGGGACCACAACGAGTTGCCTCTCGCATACACCAACTCGCTGTCAGATGACAATAAGCAGCTCAGCTTGATCGTTTCGAGCATGCAAGATGTAAAGATCTTCTGCTCGCGGGAAGAATCGGATAAGGACAGCACAAATCACGATCCAAGTGCAGGATCGCACAGACTCACCTTCCACGAGTGCTTTCACCTCCCTGCACATCCTGCCTTGGTGCGCAATATCGCCTGGAGTTCATACAATATTCGTGGCTTAGAGCGAATAGCCACAGCATGCAAGGACGGTATAGTAAGAGTGTTTGAGCTCTCTGTTGTACCTCAATCCAGTCAGCAGAACGGCGATGCAAGGTCCTCCTATGGGAGGAGCTCCCGCAGTCGCCCCCAACCGCAGTCTTCATTGACGCATGCTATTACCGGCCGATCTGGAGGCAGCGGCGGAAGCAACTCTATTGACCAAAGAGTGATAGATCTGCCCTGGACGTACAAGATCGAAGATGTGTCAGAGCTGCCAGGCCACGGAGACGCCTGGACGGTGACCTGGGACGGGACAGGGCAGATCCTGATGTCTGGTGGGAGTGACGGCGTTACGAGAATCTGGAGAAAGAGCATTTCCACTGGCAAATGGATGTTGTTCGCAGACCAAGCGGTCGATTTCGAGGGCGATGATGTCGATGAAGAGCAGGAATCATGATAATTGGCTTCTGCCGAGCCAGCGCCGTACTCCGTAAGGTCAAGTTGAGCTGTTGGGGTGTCTCTGAGCCTCTGCACTTTTGCTTCAGGGACAAAAGCGGGGACGCCAAGGCATAGACGAACCTCAAAGCAAACCTGTCTAGGTGATTGTCTACATTGTTGCTCGTTATTGCGTGAATATACGACACCAAATGTCGTCGTAGAAGTGCAACATCATGTCTGATCCGGCCTTTGCGTCCATCAAATCGAGTCCTACCCACCAGGAGCTTCTGCGCCACCCATCGCTTGCGGAAACTGACGCCGACCATAGAGAAGCTTTTAGCCACAACCGCAAACGAAGTGTCGACCAGATCAGCGGCGGTACCGGCGACAACCAGGGCACGCGCAAGGGACGCGCATGTCTAGCCTGTCGAAAGCTCAAGGTCAAATGCGACTCCCTCGAGCGTGGTGATGCCGGGTGCTCGAGGTGTCAGCGGCTGGGCCTGGAATGTGTAACTTCGAAGCGTCTGAGGATCAGCCTGGATGATGACGGGTAAGTCGAAGGTTGCAACAAGTGTCGGTGGAAAGACATGCTGACTTGCATGCACAGTATTACGCATCCATCCTTTCTCAGGCTTGAGAGGGCGACAGAGGACATCCTCGCCAAGCTCAAAATGCGTAAGTCTCCGCCTATTCATGCGTGGTCGGCTTGTCGTCGTGCGAGTGCCATCATATGGTTAGAACGTAGCCACAGAAGCGCTCTGTGCTGAACAACGATACTGACAAGGCCCTTCACAGCCGCTCTAGAAGCTTATTCAGAGGTCCACCACAAACACGAGGACAAACACCAAGAACCTCTTTCAGTGGCACAGACTACACGCGACAACTCTTGTGAGCCCGAAAATAAGGTTGAGCAGCATGACATTGCCGGTGCTCCTATGGAAGGGCTTTTCGAAGCTACCCAATTGAATACGCTCCGTGCCAGATTGCGTGGGGATCCGAACAAGAAGAGTTCACGGCGGAAGCTGGAAGCAGATCTAATCTCCCAAGGCATAATTACTCTCGACGAAGCCGAGGAAATGCTGCAGCTGTGAGTCCTAAGCCGACTACTATCGCTGGGTCACTAACAGCTACAGGTACAAGACTTCGCTCTCGCGCTATCTTTACGACGCGACCATCACAGAGGACCGCACTCTTTCCAGCGTCCGCGAATCCTCAACCCTCTTCTTCACAGCCATTATGTCAGTGTCTTCGTTGCATATACCCGGTAAGGAGGACGTTCATGCCTCGATAACCAAGCAGCTCCGAGATCTTATCGCCTCTTCGATGTTTGACCGATTTCATACGCTGGAGGATATACGTGCGCTTACCATCGCTGCATTTTGGCTACCTGACCTCAGCTGGAAACTTTCTGGGCACTGCGTACGCATGGCTACTGAGCTCAACCTTCATCAAGCATTCTACAAGGCATTCTATTCAGCTAAGCAGACTTCTCAAGAGCGCAAACACGCTTTCGAAAAGGCTCGCCTCTGGTATCTCTTGTATGTACTCGATCACCATTTCTCGATTGCCTATGGTCGACCACCTGTCACTGCGGAGCTTCAAGCCATCAAAGAAACGGATGTCTTCCTGCGTGCGCCTGAGTGCAGTCATTCAGATCGCCGCGTCCTATCACAGGTGACTCTGTTCGCGATCCTCTCACGAGCTTATAACGTCTTTGGTCTTGAAGCGGAGCGTCTTCTCGACGGCGACGACGTCACTCTCCTCACGCACGCACGATTCATCGAGGACCTCGAGCGATGGCGCCAACAATTCCGGCACTATCTGCAGGTTGATCCTCACGTGGGCGACTACCCTGCGATCGGTGTTGATCTCCACTACAACTTCGGCAGCATGATGCTCAACTCGCTAGCGCTACGGGGGCGGTCTCTGTCGTCCATAAGCACGCTACCATCGACATTACGGCCACTAGCCCTGCATGCCATCGAAGCGGCCCATCGGATCCTTCAAATTGTTCTGGAGAGACCCGAGATCAAAGAGTCCCTGGTCGGCGTCCCACTGTACCTCCACACAATGATTGCATTCGCGGTCGTCTTCCTGATCAAAATGTCGCCGCGCTGGCATCTGATTGGCGTCACGATCGATGTGGCCACCCGTACGAAGCCGTTGATCGAGGCAATAATAGTAGAGATGCGGACCGCGAAGGCGGGCGCGAATCACATCCTTTACAGCATGGCTACCGGGTTCGAACGCCTGCTTCGACGCAGCATGGGCACGAATGGCGACCATCACTCGCGACAAGGCCCGACGCTCCCACCAATACTTACTGCCGAGCACGGTGGCCCAGCTCGACATTATTCCGCGCCCGTGTTGCCGACTGTTCGTCAGCAGGGTCAGGATCAATACCAGCAAAGTCCAGGGTTTGGAGGCCAACCCAATTACGGCATCAGTCCATCGTCAGGCGCGACGTTCAGCGGTTGGGCGACTGAAGATGACATGCTTTGGAGCATGGGCATGGGTTACGATCTGCTGGCCAACGCACCGGATGCGAGCCTGAACATGCCGAGCAGTTACGCGTTTGCGGACTTGATGTACCCGCAGGGATCAACGTGACCGCCCTTGATTCTGGAGAGCCACGACAACGTCTGAGCGCGGATCAAGCTCAGGAACTTCATTCTGACGGAACGTTCCCACGCGTCTACCTGGTAGCTGGATATTCTGAGTATGGAAGCACAAGTTCGGCGTCGTGAGTCATATCGCAAGTATACAGCTGGGACTACGAGCCGCTGTGGACTTTCACCGCTACAGCAACAGCGACAGTCTCGAGCGTTCTTCCAGGCTCAATCTGGTGTCGTGCCTCGAGTTGCGAGTAGGCATTGCAGCTATGCTTTGTTGGACTGGTGCTGGGTAAGAGACCTGCTAACGCACGTAAACCCTTCGTGTGATTGTAAATCATGCCGGCCATCGACTCGACAGGAGGCCGTGCTCCCGCGACGCGCTGCTCCTGCAACGATACAGGCTCTGCGGGAATGGCAGGCATCGCCAGGCAGAACTACCGACGCCAAGACGGCGGCTTGCTTGACGTGAGGAGGATTGACCGATCATTGGCTGACCAGCTCGTGTTCGCTTTGCAGGTCCTTTGCGAAGCTTGAACGAGCACAGGAAGCGGGACAGTCACTCGGAGGCTTCAACATTGAATTTGTGATCGACAGACACGCTGTCCAGTGCTGGCAACGAAGTGAATATAAGTATGTGACCATCTAGCTGGACAATTCAGGTCAAATCCAAACCAGCAACTCAAGCTTCGCCGAACCACTTTCGACAAAGACCGACAACCCAGAAAGACCTTCAGCGCAAGTATCCACAACATGGCGACTACTACCACTGTTCAGGTCCGACATGATCCTCTGCCTCAACAAACTGCCATCGCTAACTCTTACCCCAGCAAGTCGTCGACAGAAACACCTACCTCCCAGCTCGCCTCTCCCTGCTGGCGAAGGAAAAGGAAGCCACCCGTCTCCGTGACGCGATCAGCGCGGAGCGTAAAATGCTCGGCGTCGTCGCGATCGAAAAGGACTACAAGTTCATCGACCCAGCCCGCCCTGACCAACCTCTGTCTCTCCGCGACCTCTTCACCGACCGCAAGCAACTCATCATCTACCACGCCATGTTCGCGCCCTCCGACGACCCCTCATCCCAAGCCTGTCCTTCTTGTACCCTCTTCTTGGATCATGTTCCGCATCTGGAGCACCTACGCAGCCACAATACCAATTTCGTGGTGGTGAGTCGTGCAAAGCCGGAGCAGATCGCGCGCTACAAGGCCCAAATGGGCTACGGAGACCGCTCCCGCTGGGTCAGTAGCTATGGCTCGGACTTCAACTATGATTTCGGGGTGACGCTGGACGGGGTCAAAAACGACACCTACAATTTCCAGCCTGCGAGTCATTGGCGGGAGCGGGGGATGGAGTTCTTCACGAGTGGGGAGCAGCCGGGCCATAGCGTTTTTGTTTTGGGTGGAGAGAATAGGGGCGTGGGTATTGGGGAGGAAGGGAAGGTGTACCATAGTTATAGCACGTATGGGAGGGGTGGGGAGGAGGTGATGGGGACATTGAGGTGGTTGGACATGACGCCGTTGGGCAGGCAGGATGGGAGCGTGGATGGGGCGGACGGGGTGGGATATCTGAGGCGGGGCGAGTACACGGAGAGGGACATTGGAAAGAATGAGTGATGACCGTGGAGTGTTGCTCGAACTCGATCGAGTTCGAGAAATACTGTAATCAAGGCGTGGTGTGTTTCATTCCTGAGCTGGTGCATAAGCAGCCAGATCAGCCCAACCTACTTCTGCTGTATATGGAGTGTTGAAATCATAGTAGTCCTCTGTCCACGTGTCGCTCGTGACGTTGTTCGGCAATTGGTCGGGCATAGCCATATCGGCTATATCGTCGAGCTCCTGCGTTTGTTCTTGCTGATCCGGTGAGATCATAGTGTCTGGGGACGTAACACTGCCTGATGTGACGTGCTTCTGACTGGCGCTCTTGTCAAGCATGTGCGTCCGTGAATCAAGTAGCGTAATTGCTGCGCTGAAAAGCTCGGTACTCTTGGCATTGATACGCAGCGCCCAACGATATTCCGCGAGCCGCTTTCTGTACATCTCTTGCTCTTCGAGCGTAAGGGCCGTTGCCTGTAGGATTGCGGCGAGAAGGCCAATGATTGCCAAGCCGGCGCTTGACGAGAAGTACCAGAAGCTCTGCAGGTGCTCTCCCTTGAGACGACCTACAAACGCCAAGGCAGCATCGAATCTGTCATTAGCGGCTTTTCGGGCGACGGCTATCAGATCTGGCCGGTCCTGGGAGTAAGCGCAGGCGCGCAAAATGGCACGATGGAGTGTCACCTCAGCGGTGTAGTAGGCAAGGTGCAGGTAGCCAACCGAGGAGAGCTTCCTCGATACTGTTTCTTCGACGGATAAAGAATTAGGGATGCTGGTGTACCAGGCTTTCAGCTCTAGCTGCAACGGCTTCGCTTGCTCCAGCGCGGCCTGCAAATGCAGGGGATGTTTTGCAACCTTCAGCGTGAAGAACTGATCCAAGATGCGAGCGACAATCTTCGTTAGCGTGACCATGTACATGAAGGTCTGCTTGCCCTGCTCGATTGCTGCACTTCCCTCTTCGTCGTTGTCATCAATGGCGGTCTCGGGAAAGTCCGTACCCGAAAGCGTTGGAACGTCAAAATCGTCGTCCTTGATGTGAGATCCACGTCCATGGATCAGGGCTGCCCATTTGTCTTGCATGTACATAGCCCATGCAACCCTTTTGCGAACTCCTCTTTCCCAGTCGGCACCTGCCATAGTGTAGGATCTGAATTCAGACCAAGATTCTGCGACATAGCTAGAAGCAGGCCAGTTATGGCCCAAGTGGCAGCGGCAGGAGATTGCATCAGAACCAGACCGCCCTGAAGGTCCGAGATCTTGGGCCTCTTATGAGCATTGAAGAGCATTCGCTGGACCTTTGTCTCCAGAACTTCGGCATTCGGCTTGGGCAAGTCAGCGAGCTCATAGCTATACGACCACCAATTCAGGGCCATCACATAGACAGCACCAAGTCCTATGGGCGTGCTCTCCCGATAGCTTCTACCATGCTTCTCCAGGAAGACGTTCTTGTGGAGAATGGGGAAACTCGGGTGTACAATGCGAAAGTATAGCGCCACGAGCTGGGCGCCATACGGTTTTATGCAGTCCTCAATCTCGTCGAGGTCTGCGAAGTCTGAAGCTATCTGATCCGGCCTGTCTGGCGTCAGGACGAAGATTGTGTCATGGTCAGCGTATCGAAGGGTCTGTGGCGGCTTCAGACCTAGACCAGATTGCTTCGCCAAGCTAATGTCGAAGTTCCCCGATGAGCCGACGACTTCGATCGTCTGTCGATTTTGATGACCGAGGGTCTGGGCCAAGAGGCTGTTGGTGGGCAGCGTCGTAGGACTCGTTGAATAATGCTCATCTGAATCAGCTCTCCCTAAGATTGATGGTCTCTGGCGACCATTATCATCGACTGGCACCTCTGCGACAGGACCCGCTCGTTTCTTGCTGGGCGCACTCTGTACGTATGTGCATTGGGTGTTCCGAGAGACACACAAGACGCAGTCTGCTGCCGCTTCCGAGCCAAATAGGCACCGAATCCTTCTGCGGCGACAGTTATCGCATGGCCGCTGCGGTCGTCTCCTCGCACCATTCATGGCAGGGTTGCCTGGAACACGGGCATTCGAACATGCTGCTGTGCATGATGGAGGATGCTGAACGTCTAGGTACAAGGACGGACCTTGGTAGTTCTTGACATGGAGTTGATGATAGGAGATAGGAGATAAGTACCTGCCAAGTCGAGCCAAGTTGTGTCGCCGTGCCTGTCAATGCCGACGCGCCTTTGCCTTCAGGCTTCATCTCAACACTCGGTCGAAATCGACTTTCTCCATGGGTGTGTGGTTGAGCATAGCGTCCAGTATCAACATACCGGCCAGCAGTTGATCCACAATCTTGACATCTCGCTTTTCTGCATCGAAAGCCTTGCGGACCCATGCCTCCTTGCCTCCCAGGATAACGCCGCCCATGCACACAATGTCGACGGTCGCATCACTCTTCTCAATCAGTTCTGTCGTCGCTTTGACAATCTTCATCCCGGCACGTTGTTCGTGACCGGGCTGCAGGTCTTGTAGACCGATGTGTGTCGCGCAGGTCCCTGCAAACAGCTTTCGGGCTTGCGGGCTTCCCAGCAAGCGATTCACACTCGTGTCCAGCATATCTTCGTATACAACTGCAGTCGTCACAATGCCAAAGGTCGAGGACTCGCCGACGAGTGCGATCGCAGCGAGTATACTAGCTTCGAATATCGAGACAACCGGTTTACCTCTCACTGCAGCTCTGAGCATGTTTACCAAAGGGTGATCCGCATAACACGCCGCCAGAAAGCCATCGAACTCGTGTGCGATTCCCAGAAGCAGCGGCAAGCACTGTGATGCGCTTTCACTCAAGTCTCCTTCGCTCTTGATCATCGCAGGACCTTGTGGACTCGTCCAATAAGTATAGTCATACTTGTATGGGAAGTCCAGTTCCGCGATTACTGGCTTGAACGTCTCAGTTATTGAGGTACTTGTGTTCGGATTAATGACCAGAATCCTTCTCGGGCTGCCGACTAAGAACATGATTGTCGAAACAGATCCTGCTGTAGGCAACGATAGGATCGAGGCCGCAGAGTGAGATCGATGTGTGCTTTCGCAGGATATCGCGCATGGTGAGTATTCCCCGATATGCTAAATATTGAAAAGTAGTTCGTGGTGTACATCAAGCGCAGCCCGCGGCCCCGGGAACCCTCTGTGGCAGCTAAGCCATCGATGTGCAAGTCGCGCCCGCGGGCACAGGCGCGAGCCCGCGCGGGCAAGCATGCCCCAACTCAAAGGCCCCGCGATTTCGCGTCGCAGTCCCAGCGCCTTGGGACCCGCGATAGGGCAGAAAATGATGCTCAAGCAGCCATTGTGATTGGCTCGCGTGGTTTGTATTCACTGCCTTATCTCAACGGGCTTCAACTTGGCATCCAAGCCAGCACAGTATATATTCGAAGTGCCCTCTGACAGACCGTTCACGATGTACTACAGCAAGACAAGCAACAAAATCGATCATCAACGTAACGATCACCAACCGGATCATCATCGATCAGAACCATGACGGTTCACGCGCATGCAGCCATGACTGGAGTCGAAAACACAGACATGAAGTATGCTGTCTCCGAGAAAGTCACTGTCACATCAGACGATATGTCCGCGAAAAGCGAACTCTCAACCCCTGCCGCTGAGCCAGGAGTCTTGACCGGAACGATCTTCATCGACCCCGAAAAGGAGCGTGCAGTCCTGAAGAAGTTCGACAAATACCTGCTCCCACAAGCATTCGTCTTCATCCTGCTTAACTATCTGGACCGGTCCAATCTGGGTAACGCCCGCATATTTGGCTTCGAAAAGGACATCGGCCTGGTCAATAATGAGTTCGGTAACCTGGTAACCCTATTTTTCGTGCCTGTAAGTCTATCCGCTTTTTGTATGCCTGTACCATCGGTGGACGAGGACACAGTCTCGATTCGGCATTGGGGTAGTTCGGACATTGTCTCGGGGCTCCATATTCATGGGCGAGAGTTCGCTATCTGCAAAGCCCTCCTGGCGGGTGGATGACGATCGTCTGGCCTCGAGTCCCTTTCCCTTCCACTATCTTTCGCGATGCCACAAACTCCTGGCTTAGGCTAACCGATACCGGCAGTACATTGTCACGGAAGCGCTCTGGGTTACCGCTGTGAAGCGATTTGGCGCGAATAAGGTCATCACTGTCGCTCTGGTTGGCTGGTGCTCCGCAACAATTGCCACAGGATTCGTTCAGAACTACCACCAAGCTCTCGCCTGCAGGATGTGTCTTGGCCTCTTCGAAGCTGGGGTGGCTCCGGCCTTCACCTTCATCTTCACGACGATCTACAAGCGCGAGGACACAGCGAAGCGTGTTGCTCTCATCAACTTCAGCAACGCGGTGTCTGGAGCCTTCGGAGGATTGTAAGTCGAAAGTCTGTCTCCATCTTCCGCGACGAGGCTAACGAGATTGACAGGTTCGCATACGCAATCCAAACTATGGGTACTCAGCGAGGCCTGGAGTCCTGGAGGTGGCTTTTCATCATCGAAGGGGCTGTCTCTCTCTCACTCTGCGGTGGCTGCCTATGGTCGTTCCCCAACAAGCCCGAGACTGCCTGGTTCCTCAACGAAGACGACAAAGCATTGATGCAACTCCGCCGGCAGCGCGATGCGGCCTACAAAGGTGCAGATGACGAGTTCAGATGGGAATATGTTAGAGAAGCCATCAGCGATCCCTTCGTCTACGTCGCCAGTATCGCCTTCTTCACGTCCAGTGTTGCAATTTTCGGTACGTATACCTGTGAACCCAGATCGGGCGGGCATCAACCTCCCTTTTCTGGTTCTTCCTTGTGCACGTTCAATCTAACAAGTGCACAGGCTTTGGTACTTTCCTTCCAACAATCATCAAAGGGTTTGGCTATACGAGCTATCAGGCCAACTACCTGACGATACCGGTCTACGCTGTCGGCGCCATCTCCCTCTTGACACAAGCATACTGGTCCGATCGCCTCAAGCAACGAGCTCTATTTCTACTGATCTCAGCCTGTCCAGTGATGATCGCCTACATCATCTGCATTGGCACACCGAGCAAGATCGCTGGCTACATTGCCATGTTCATCCTTGTCACTGGAGTGTACTCCGTCTCATGTCTGCTCATGACTTGGGTTGCCACAAACTTGGTTCCAGACTACAAACGCAGCGTCGGCCTCCCGATCTTCGCCAGCATCGGCAACTGCTCCGGCCTTGTAGCTGGCCAACTGTATCCAAAGAGCCAAGGCCCGCGCTACATCATGGGCAATTCGATTAGTGTAGGACTCGAGGCAATCGCTGCTGTCTTTGTGGTTCTCACATGGTTGTTGCTGCGGAGAAGGAATCAGCAGAAGGAGAAGCTGATCGCGGAGGGTGCCACTGACAATGGGCTCAAGGGCGACCGGGCGCTTGGGTTCAAATACATCCTGTAGAGAAAGAGGCCGAAGTACATATATCAGACCTGGCAAGAGCGAACTTCCTCCACTTAACGCACTGCTCTTTGTTTCCCTTCCAGATTTCGAAAATGCTCGGAGTGCTACTATACAGTACCACTTCCTAGATACTCCCCCGTATCCTCAATTGGCCTCTTTGCGATGACCGTAAGCATCTCTGCTCGACTTCCCATACCGGAAAGCCGGAAGCGCGTGTAGGAAGCCAACTGCGAAGGGTTTCAATGTAGCGGCGATTCTTATACTGCCGGGATACATTTTATGGCCGACGCATGCCTATCACCACTTGCTTTCGGCCCTCGTCCGTATTTGCCCCTCTCTTCTCCGTTCAACCCCAGTCTTTTGCACGACTAATCATCGCTAGTCAAAGGCTGGAAAAGCTCCCCCAAGCTTTGCCAGCCTACGAGAGGCGATGCTTAGGATGCTTGTGCCCACCTTCGCACATGGATCACCGCGATGCAGGCCTCATTTCAATTTTGGCAGCACTCGGTCTGTCAGCCTGCAGGATTCACTATCAATGGAACCCGCCAAGGTGATTGACCAGACAGTGCGTCGGCGTTGCACAGGATCATCTGGCTTTCCAATGAACCCTTCGATGTTACCCCGGACTACAAGAACGCTCGCTTCGCGCCCACATTTTCAAGATGAAGTTGTCCTTCTCTCCAGATTTACCCCGGCACGCCCAGGATGGACGCCCACCCAGACGAGAATTTGAAGGCCGAAGTCATCGTTCACGAGGAAGATGTCCGGGCAAAGAAAATCATCAGGAAGGTGCTTTGGAAATTAGACACACGAGTGCTACCTGTGCTGGCTTTGTTGTTCCTCTGTTAGTTGAAGACCACAGAATCGCAATTATGACATACTGACTCGATATAGGCAGTTTCCTTGACCGAACCAACGTGGGCAACGCGAAGATCCTGGGCCTGGAGAAGGACTTGGGCATCACTAACGGACAATATGCCAATAGTCTTTGCATCTTTTACGCATTCTACATTGCCTCTGAACTGCCCTCCAACCTCGTCCTGAAGCGCATCAGTCCTCGGGTATGGCTGCCAACGCTCACCGTTCTTTGGGGCATCGTCGGCATGTCTCTTGGCTTCGTCCGCAACGAAGCTGATTTTCTTGCTGTGCGCGCTCTCCTGGGTCTAACTGAAGGTGGCCTGCTGCCTGGCATGGTCCTGTACCTGTCGTCCATGTACACTAGAGGCGAGCTTGCCTTACGCATTGGGCTATTTTACACAACGGCGTCCTTGTCGGGCGCGTTTGGGGGTCTCCTCGCACGAGGACTGAGCGCCATCCCAACCACATCGACCGTCGATGCTTCCTGGCGCTGGATCATGATCATTGAGGGATTACTGACCTCCGTCATCGGCGCTCTGGCTTATCTCGTCCTGCCGAATTCAGTCGCGACTGCCTCATTCCTATCTCAAGAGGAGAAGGAGGTCGCACAGTCGCGGCTGCAACAATCACACACTGCTACGCTTCCACTATCCGCTGGACCACCAGATCCCGAACGCTTCAAATGGTCCGAAGTCGCCCGTGGTCTCAAGTCGCCACAGCTCTGGCTCAGCGGCACGGCGTACTTCGCCATCCTCGCAGCTCTGTACTCGTTCGGCCTCTTCCTGCCCACGATTGTAGTCCAACTGGGCTACACCGCCAACAAGGCACAGCTGATGTCAGTCCCACCCTACGCGGTCGCCGCCGTCATCACGGTCGTCATTGCCTACATCTCCGACAGGCTCAAACTGCGTGGCGTGGTCATGCTCTTTTCTCTACCTGTGGCAATCATCGGCTATGCCGCCATCTCGCAACTACCGGACAGCAACCCGAACGCCAAGTACGGTATGGTCTTCCTCATGGCCACGGGTTTGTATGGTTCCGTGCCACCCGTCCTGGTGTGGATCAGCAACAATTCTGCTGGGCACTACAAACGCGCTACTACGACGGCGGCGCAGTTGGCGATTGCCAACTGTGGCGGGTTCGTTACGGCATTCATCTACCCGAATAGTGAGAAGCCGAGCTATCGGAAGAGTCATGAGATTGTGCTAGGGCTGCTTTGCTATGCTTGGCTTGCGTAAGTTATCCATCCTTGTGCTGTGTTCTCGTTTCGAGGCTGGTGGTGCTACGCAACCTCGGATTTGCGAATCGGAGATGGGACAAGCGCTGACATTTCTTTCCACGATAGAGTCCTCCTGAACGTCTTTTACTGTGCGAAAGTCAACCGAGACAAAGCTCGTGGAAAGTACGACCGCTATGCTGGGTTGGGAGACGATCGTGAGCCAGCGTTCAAGATGGTGTTGTGAGAGAAGGAAGGCTCTCTAATACACAGTTCGTAGAAGGTATCGTGACGATGATCAGAGGGTCGGGAGGTTAGTGAGATACGAGACATATATCCCAGTAGCGTCTTGACCTGGCCTGCGCTCGATCCGAGTGAGTATGTTTAGAATTGGTCCTGTCAATAGTATCTAGGCACCTATCTGGTTCCATCGGCGTACTCCGTGCCGCCACCCCTTATCGCAATGCTGGACTGATTCTGAAAGTATATATACGTCGGTCGTGCCGAGACCCGGCTCCCAATCTAAATACTCACTTATGCTGTGCAACACTAAACAGGTAGGTTAGTCTTTCGACCGCACAGACGACCTTCATCAAGCAGTGATTCCGTCCTTTGAAGTCTTGTCGTCATTCCCGCTATCACCGAATCAGGCTGAGATCTATCAACATGGCTACTACGACTCAATCAAACTCTCACACCACAACAATCCTCGAAGAAGTCGCAGCGAGCCAAGAACACCTGCGCATCCGCCTGGCAGGCGCTCTCGCCTCACCGCCACCAAGTCTCCCACCCGACTCGCTACCCTCCGTGCCGTTGATTGATATCGGCGCTTCCTTTTCCCCGGACAACATATCCGCCAAGAAAGCAATCGCCCAAGAGATCCGCTCAGCATGCCTAACCACAGGCTTCTTCCAAATCAGCAATCACGGCGTCACAGAGCACGCAATTACCAACATCATCGAGCAAGCCCGTCGCTTCTTCCATGACCTGTCGCCGGAAGCCCGGGACCGGATTAATGTGCGACAGTCCCCACTATTTCGTGGGTACGAACCAGCTGATTTCTCGTACGTGAATCCTGACGACAATGGCAAGGCGGGTGGGTTTCGTCACCAGCCGGAGACAAAGGAGGGGTTCAATTGGGGGTATGAGGAAGGTTTGGACCCGACGGGAGGGGATGGGAAGTACGTTGAGCTCGATGGGTCGTCGCCTAAGGAGACCGGCCTAGGGAATTTGTGGCCTACGGAAGAGGAGTTGCCAGGGTTTTATGATGCGGTCAGAGATTACTATGCTCAAGTGCTGCAGTTGGGCAGGCACTTGTTCGGAATGTTTGCGTTGTCGTTGGGGCTGGAGGAGACGTACTTTGACAGGGTCATGACTCATCCTGGTGGGATTGCTAGGCTGATTTACTACGCGGGCAATAATGCTCCTGAGGATGCAGACACGGCGATTGTTCAGGGTCGGGACGAAAAGGACGCGAGCAAGCTCGGTCTCGGAGCTCACACCGACTACGAGTGCTTCACCATGCTGCTCTCGTCGTCACCGGGCCTGGAAATCCTGTTTCCTCCATCACCTCTTACGGACAACAAGCCCCTCTGGGTGCCGTGCCCTGTCCGACCAGGAACGTTCACGATCAACGTGGCCGACTTTCTCATGCGCTGGACCAACGGCCTGTACAAGTCTACGATCCACAGAGTGGTGAGCAAGCCCGGCGCAAAGGAGAGGTACAGTGTCCCGTTCTTCTTCAGCATCAATTACGATGCGGATGTTGAGGCTCTGCCTGAGGAGGTTGTTGGGGAGAGCAAGTGGCAGAAACTCAGGGCTGGGGAGTATGTTCTGGAGAGGCTGCGGGTTACTGCTTCATAAGCTGGAAAATCACAGGCTCGCAAGTCCCAGAAAGCCGTCTACTCCCATGTCATGGCCATCGCATATTGCTGCTCGTATGTCTCCGACGCATCGACACAAGACTCCTTTCGGTGCGTAGCCTTGCCACCATCAGCTCACCACAACACCTACATTGTCCATGCTGAAACGTCCTTCACTGCAGTTTTGGACAGCGTATTGTTCGTTGGTAGGACTGAGTGCTTTAGGCATCATTTCTCTGACATGTTGTGACGTAAGCGTTGCTTTCGGCTCACTTCTTGCTCGTATACTCAGACTTGACTATCGCCTACCATCCGCGCCACTTCGACAAGTTTATACATATCCCTGCCCTCCTCCGTCCTCGCTCGCAATCTTTATCTTCTTTCTTACCTCTTGTCAACGATCCTTAGTTCCTTCGCAGACAATCTTTGGTTCCTTCGCAGACAATCTTTGGTGCCTTCGCAGACAATCTTTGGTTCCTTCGCAGACAATCTTTAGTTCCTTTGCAGACATCCTCAGCATCCGCATTGCTTTCAACAAGGTACCAGAAGCCCATTTCTCACAGCTTCCCACCCTTCCCACCTCCTGCCTCCTTTAACTGCCGCACAGCCACCATCGAACTCAACACAACAACAGCATCATTGAACCTAGTCGGCCACCTCTCCTTCATCTTCCCCACCAGCCCCTTCACGCTCCCGCCAAATTCCCCTCCCCTCACCAAGTCATCAAAGTCTTGAATATACCGCTTACTCCTCTCCAAATGCCACGCCCCCGGCACCTCATCGGCCTTCATATGTCCCGGCACAACAATCCTAGGCGTCGGCTCCAGCGCTTGGATCTTCTCAATCGCACTGATCCATTCCCCTCGAAGTGCGGGAGTGTTGGCTTCAGCGAGCATTTGGTGGACGTCGCCGTAGACGGCGTCTCCGGCTGCGACGAGGGCGAGGTCGGGGCAGAAGAGGACGGTGGTGTCGTGCGTGTCGGTGTGGCCTGTTTCTACTGCGCACATCGTGTGCTTTCCTCCAGTTTCGTTCGGGATGTGGAACTCTCCATCTGAGGAAAGGGGCTGCACTTTATCGATGACGGAGAAGTTCGTATCGATCTGGCTTGGGAAACGACTCCCCCACGCGGTCTGAAAGGTTGAGGCGCTGACTTGATCTCTCATGTGCGCGATCGTGCCTTTCGTCGCTAAGACTTGGACGCCGGGAAAGGCTTGCAGGAGGGCATTGATGCCGAACCAGTGGTCTCCGTGGCCGTGGGTGATGTAGACGTAGGTCAGCTTGCAGCCTAGATGGAGCGTGGCTCGGATCCAGGCTATGAGGTCGTTGTTCTGTGCGATGGTGATGGGCGTGTCAATCAGGACTGCATCGGTGGTTGTGTGGAGGAGAGTAGATGATATGGGTGACCACAGACCGCCTGGCTTGCCATTGGGACCGAGAAGGGGAATTGGTGGTGATACGTATACTGATGCGTAGAGGGGCATTTCTAACGAAGAGAAGGCAAGATCTGATGCAGATGTATTGTGTTGGTGACTGCAAGGACAAGGATTTGTGCTGGACGTCGAATAGCAGTGATAAGTGAGGCGACGGTGAGTAAAGGACAATATTCAAACCACGACCTAGATTTGTGACGGTCTCATCTGAAGCTAGTCAACATACAAGTCGTTACACTTGTATAGTAATCATTGGTCTTGTGTCTCGACCGAGGATGTCTCGAGATGGGCCGAGAAAAGCCTCCCGAGAAGGCGTGCCAACGGACAGACATCACATCACACCACAAAATCGCCTTGCCGAATGCTGGCTACAGGATGTTGATCTTGAAGACTGTGATGAAACAAGATGTGTAGTCTGCGAAACAGAGACTTGATGGTGATAGTCAGACTTGTGGGATGGATCAGCCAGACAAACGCTCGGTGGCGGGTGGTAGTACGCAAGGCCGGATGACACGACATCAGGGTTGAGCCTTTCCACCTAGCTAGTCACAGCAATCGCGCGAGCAGGGTACTGTGTTACTGCGGAGCGCAAGTCCGAGGAGTCGCGATAACGAAGAAAGCAGCAAGAAAAGTTGGTCATGCTCCTGAAGAGGCAGCCTAGATACCCAACTATAAAGGGATTGCACTGCTAATCTGGTCAAACTTGGTTTTGTCTTAGTCTTCGTGGATATCGATTGTCCATATGCACGTCCAATGACTCCTGAGCCCATTGACAGAATCTCACTGACGCCCCGCTCTGTTCGCATCGCACACGCCCTCGCCAGTCAGCCAACGTGATAAGCTGAGCCAGTCGCCAGGCCATGGCTGGTGCAAACTTCGGGCGGCATTCACGCCGTCATCATCGCGACTTCCCTCGTGCGGATCAGACTCCCTTTGGCGCCGCATACGCAGCACACCGTCGTAGCAGTCCGGGCCTCAACGCAAGCTTTCTTGGTGCAGATACCGCGCCATCGTTTGCACGCACATGGTCTGATGATCCAATTGACATTGAATTCACATGACGTGCAATTGTATGCCGGTCCTTCCAGAGAATCGCACCAGCAGCACGCCATATCCGCGCAGAACTCCGGTACAGCCTCGAAAGTGTCCAGCAGAGTAGTGCTCCCGACGTCTCTGCATTCCTTACAGTTCTCTCTTTCGTGCATGGCCTCGATGACACACAAGTCTCTAAGCTCGCTCTCGTGGGAAGGCGTCGTATTGTAGACCGCAGATATGAGATCCTGAAGACGAGGGAACTTATCAAAGCACACTTGCTCAGCTCTCTGACCGAATGAATGAACGAAGCATTTCCGGGCCTGGTCTCGCAGGGGAGTGATGTCGTATTTTACGGCAGCTGCGAAGATCTTGATGTGGACCATGACGATGTCGAAGACTTGAGGAAGATCTAATTTGAAGGTGGTTGAAATGTTGCGCAGCGCAGGGAGTTGCGATCCAGACTCCTGAGGGCACCCAAACTCGTATTGTCCCGCGTAGACATACAGAAGTAGCCTTGCAAGTATATCTGGATCATCCTCTGGAAGGTCGATGACGGATGTGTGGCCCTCGACGAATTCTCCGCAGATAGCGGTCTGAAAGAAACTACCACCTCTGGCGAGCAGATAGCATTTATGGACTTTGAATGTAGTGCTCTGACACGTGATAGTGAGATCGGAGAACGTTCCATAATGGAGGAGGTGAAGGCCTGTCGCCGCTTCGCCCTTGCCTATGAGGCTTCTCGGTGGAGGTATGATTTTGAGCGCAGCGACAGACTCGACGTCCATCGCCGAGGAGGATCCTGGCGAGGGATCTGTCGTCATGTTCATGGCATGAGGACAGGTCAGGCTTTTGCGCGTTCCGTTGAGATGATCGACCTGTAGGAAAGTAAGTGGTATCAAGCCTTGCAGCAGAGATGTAGAAGGAATTGTCCAGAAAAAGATGTCTGGTTGCCAGGCAACTATCTTGCAGGCGATGGGGCTGGCTATAAGTGAAGTCATCCATGTGAAGCTGGCGGGGCATCCAGTGAAGCAGAATCTCGCTGCCAGTTGAGAGCAGCAAGCTACTGCTTCACCTAATGCACCGCCAGCGGGTGGGATTGATGGTTCGTATTTGCAATTTTCGCGGTTGGACTATCCGACACTGCTCAACTTTGTTTCCAGTCCATCGCTCGCTGTGCACAAACACAAACAGCACTCACTCAGGTCGCCACCACAGTTTTGCAACTCGACAATCCTGACCTTACTCGCCCTTCAGCTTATCCTGCGTAACGCTAAATGCCTCCTGCAAAAGCTCCTTCTCCTCCTTGACATGGCTAGCCTTGAGCCCCGTGGCCACACTGGCACTTGGATCTCGTCCAGCATACATGACATGGCGTCTGTTATGGTGCTTCGTCTCGTTCAACAACGTCTCAATCCTCGGCTGCACGAAACTCCATGCACCAGCATTCAATGGCTCTTCTTGACACCAGACGATAGTCTTGGCGTTCGGGTATGAATCGAGGTTGTCGCGGAGTTGTGCCCAGGGAAAGGGGTTGAGCTGTTCGATGCGCGTGATGGCAACGTCTTTGATCTTATTTGTCTCGACGTATTTGCGGAGCGCGACGTAGACCTGGCCAGAGCACAGGATTACACGATCAATGGAGTCGGGCTCGTTAATCGATTTGCCGTGCTCAGGGTCAGCGATGATCCACTGGAAGTGCGATTCGCCGGTGAAGGCCTCCAGATCAGAGCGGGCAAGAGGGTGACGAAGCAGGGCTTTTGAGAAGAACACAATGAGGGCTGCTCGATGTCAGTAGAATGTTCGAAAAGGGGATCTGATCCATTTAACTTACGCTTACGGAATTGTCGGTTCATTTGCCGACGAAGAATGTGAAAGTAATTCGAAGGTGTCGTCATGTAGGCAACCTGCATATTGCAATCTTGGTGCTGGCGGTCGAGCTTGTCCTCCGAAGGGAAGATGCGAGGCTCTTCGTTGCAGAGCTGAAGATATCGTTCCATACGGCCAGAAGAGTGCTCCGGGCCTTGACCATCGTAGCCGTGGGGGAGCGAAACAACAAGACCGGATCGCTGGAGCCACTTGACTTCGCCCGACGCAATGAACTGGTCGAAGACACATTGAGCGTTGTTGGCGAAATCACCAAACTGAGCTTCCCACATCACCAATGCATTGGGTGATGACAATGAGTAGCCATACTCGAAGCCAAGAGCGCCAAATTCGGAGAGCGACGAATTCGAGATGTGGAACTGACCTTGGTCCTTTGCCAAGTTGTTTAGAGGAGTCCAAGTATTCTCATTCTCCTGGTCGTGGAGCACGGAATGGCGCTGCGAGAAAGTGCCACGCTCCACATCTTGGCCCGAGACACGCACGTGGTGACCCTCGAGACACAGTGTACCAAAAGCAAGAGCTTCGGCGGTCGACCAGTCGATGTTCTTGCCATCTTCCACAGCCTTCGTGCGACCGGTAAGGATACGCTTCAGATTTCGGTGCGGCGTAAAGTCATCGGGCCAACTTCCGATGCTTTGCCAATTGAGGTCAACGTCTCCTGACTGACACCAGTGGGAGGGTGAGGCAGAATTTCCGTGGCAAGCTCTCTGGGACTCTTGAAGTTGTTCCATGCCGAAGTCAGCCATTCTCGGCCAGTCGGCTCGTAGTCCTTACTACGATCGAAACTGTCGTTGAGCATGCCCCAAACCCACTTCTTGTGCTCGTCGATATCGTCTTGTGTGAAAGTGCCTTCTTCGAGAAGCTTGTTGACGTACTTGTCAATCTGAGGCTTGATCTCGTCAATACGCTTGTACATCAGCGGCTGAGTAAAGGAAGGCTGATCTGTCTCATTGTGTCCCTGCTTGCGATAACAGACCAGATCAATGACGCAGTCCTTCTTGAAGTCCGCACGCCAATCGGCGGCGAGCTGACAGACCCAATTAACGGCCTCGACATCATCAGCGTTGACGTGGAAGACCGGTGCATCGATGGCTTTCGCGATATCTGTGCAGTATGGAGTCGAACGAGCGAAGCGAGGATCTGTTGTGAAGCCGATCTGGTTGTTGACGACGATATGGATGGTGCCGCCGGTGGAGAAGGCCGGCAGGTTATGGAAACCCATGGTCTCGTACACAACACCCTGGGCTGCGAAAGCAGCATCACCATGAAGAAGCACGCCCATGGCCGTGACGTGTTTCTTGTCGTCTTCGTTGTAGAACTGGATAGCGCGCGTCTTTCCAAGTACGACAGGGTCCTCGGCTTCGAGATGGGATGGGTTGGCGACTAAAGACAGCTGGACACGTTTCCCAGAAGGAGTCGGACGCTCGAAATTCATGCCCAAATGGTACTTGACATCTCCTGATCCTTCGTCGTTGGACTCAGTAGTACCGGAGAATTCGCTGAAGATGGATTCGTTTGGCTTTCTTACGACGTTGGACAGAACGTTCAGGCGGCCACGATGCGGCATGCCAATGACGATGTCCTTGACGCCATAGTCGACACTCCGATCAATTAAGGCCTTCATTCCAGGCACAAGCGTCTCGCAGCCTTCCAGACCAAATCGTTTGTCGTTCGGATATTTTGTGGCGAGGAAGGACTCGAAACTTGAGCTCCAGATTAAGCGATCAAGAATACGGCGCTTGTCGTCGACTGAGTACTTATAAGGAGTAGGAATCTCAACACGATTGCGGATCCAGTCGCACTGCTCACGGTCGGGGATATGGATGTATTCAACGCCGACTGAGCCGCAGTATGTTCTCTCGCAAGCAGCGATGATGTCTCGCAGCTTCATGGACTTGCTGGATTCGGTGGCAAAGCGTGGTAGGATACCGGGACCAAGGTTGAACTCTTGATCGAGATCTGCTTCGGTAAAATCATAGTGGTCGAGCTCCAACTCTTTTGGCTTGCGATAGCCGAATGCTTCAGCTTCGCCACGAATGCCCAGGGGATCAGTCTTAGCTTTGTGGTGGCCTCGCGATTGGTATGCTCGGACAAGTAGCTGGACCTTCAAGTGGTTCGTCACATCGCTACTCTGACCAGTGCTGGGAGACGCTGAAAGGGATGCGGAGCCATCGGCCTGTGATATGAGACCCGGCGGAGGTTGGAAAGCCCGAGATATGGGCATAGTGCCCTCCTCCATGTTCTTGAAGTAGGCCTGCCACGAAATGTGGACTGAGGATGGGTCCTGTTTCCAAGACATGTACATCTCGTCGATGTAGTTGGCCGTGTTGCCCTGGAGGAACGAGTCATTGGGATCCTATGACCATATTAGCTACGACACATACAGAGGGTCATTCTCGATCTTACCACGCCCTTGTTCGTGTCTTCTACAGCTACGGCATAGCTTCTTGTCTGCTGCCGAGCAACAAGTGCCAGTGGCGTTCTTCCCGCAACCAGCGCATTCTGCCGGCCTGGCCTCAGACTAGACACTGAGGCCGTGTGAAGTCTGCGCTGACATTGTGCTGATTGTGACAGCAGTCTGCTACTAGCACCAACACATGTCTTGTACATGTCTGTAAATCTGGTGCGGAGGTTTCGCTAACAATGCAGAGCGGAGAACATGTGGATGAGGGATTGAGCGGCCGGCCTTCAACTTCAACGGCGGCGCAATAGCTGGCAGAGGATGAGTAGGAACTGCTCAGCAGCTGTGTAGGGAATGGGAATGGGAATGAGAGAAGGTTGACCTCCGAGTGCTTGGTGGTCGCGCATTTGACGGTCCAGGTCGGGTACTCGCCGGGTAGCTCACGTGACCGTCCATCCATGAATGGCCAATCGCGTTAAATGCCGCAGAAGCCTGAGGCAAGCAGCGCTTGGCTTAGTGGAAGTGCACTGTATCCATCTCTCTGCCTCTACATTGGAATCTTTGTACAGAGCATTATGATATGAGCATTTACAACCGCAAATACAATGGGCACCCATCAGTATATCCTTCACCTAGGCTGATATCACGCTCCTTGGACAATTACTTCGACGACATCGAGGAGGGAAGGTACCTGACCCGCTCCCGATCCAGCAATAACCACACCCGACTTCCGCCGTAGCTGCAATCCAGGGGCCGTAACCAAGTCCTGTACGCGCCGCTGATGAACGTGACCAACATGACCGTGGAAATGAAGGAAGCTTTGCATGTTGTCACTGCCTGCCAGTTGGGAGCTCTGCGGGTGGATGGTACCCCTTCTGTGTCGGCGAACCCTCCATCTCATGCTTATAGCCTGACATCGAATTCGCTTCATGGTACGGAGCATGTTGAGTCTGAGGTACAGCTGCGGTTGTTTTGCTCCCCTTTCTGAAGATGAACCACCATCCCAGGACCAATGCAGCCAACAAACCTAGCACTGCCCCTACGGCAATTCCTGCAATGGCACCTTTCGATAGCCCGCCCGGTGGTGAGTGAGTCGGACTTGGTGAGGCTGATGTTGCAGTCCCTGCTAACGTCGGAGTCGAAGAAGGAGCTGAAGGTGAGGTCGCTGTTGTAATGCTGGTCTCCGATGTAGTGGTACTCGCCGAGCTCGTGCTCGAGGACGACAAAGATGTGGTGCTTGCGGCACCAACTTGCTTGAGAATGGAGGTCTCCGCCTGACAGCGCACTAATCCTTGGGTGAAGTTGCCCGAGGTCCCACAGGACGTATACTGAGGACAGCATATGGAGCCTCCATCAGCTGAAAGGCTATCGGGACATCGTACGGAATTTGGCAAGTCGCAGACTGATTCAGTGTCGGTGTAGGCTGCGCCTTGGCTGTCAACGACGCAGAAGCCGATGCCAAGATACTCGTCGCACCTAGGGAATGAGGCAGAGGGGTTGACACCTGGGACAGTCAGCGGCGCTTGCGGCAGTTGAGCCATGACTTACAGCACAGTGTGGTTACAGAGGTGTTAGACGGAGTGCATTGACTGTTAATCTGTCCAGGAAGAGCATCAGAGCAGACATCCCTTCGCAACAGCACCGAATCGAAGGGGTCCTCCAGAAACGAGGGCGATCGCTCGTAAGTCTTCTGTCCAGCAAATCTTCGAGCAGTCGCCAGGCTGGACAATCGCAGCATTGATGACAGGAGCAGTGGTGGTAGTAGCATGACTGCTGGAGAGGTTATGGGCCTAGAGAGCTATGAAGCGAACAACTATAGGACTGTTCTGTCACCGACTGAAACAATTGATAACCACACGCAGAGCCAAAGCATTTCATGGACATACAGGAGGGTAGGACTTGAAGATAGCAGAGCTCCGAGGAGCATCGTCTCGGGCAGTGCCGGCGCATGGCCGCTTGGTCTTCCGTCGCCTGTTTGTTGCAGCATTGGTAGATAACACTGCGATTAGTGCCAGAACAGATTGGCTAGACTCTGGATTTGTAGATGATGCGCTCATGAAGTCTCGACTAGACGACCGTGGCTTGTCAAGGAGCCCTTGATTGGAGCTACAGCACGGCCGGGCTCGAGCCAGACCGACAAACTCACGATGGTCCTGGCGAGACGGGTTGCAGGTCCTGGCGAGGCAGATAGGAGATTCTGGTGAACTGTGGAGAGCAGGAGCGATCTGATGGGCGGGACCTCAAAAGAACCACATCAGAGTTGGAACAAACTCGACGGTTTTGTACTAGTTTCATGTATCAATAACAAGTCTACGCCACATCGGTGGGTTCTTTTGTCGTCCTGATGTCTGGATCGAGATGATCCTTGCCGCGCGGGAAAAGACAGACGGGCGGCTAATGCGGTTTGAGGTTCAGGATCAGCCTGACCACGGCCACGTCGCAGCACGATTATTCACCAGATGATCTTTAACAACCTTCTGTGTCGTCTACGACACGCCAGGTATCAATGTCGTTCAAGCACGCTCTATGAACAAAACGATACAGAATGCCGTCAAGGCAGCTATAATCATCTGCATCGCCATTTTAATCCTCACCCAAGCCTTGCACTATAAACCTAGGCCCACCAAAACCCTAACAACAACGACTGAACAAAGCATCACAGTTGATCACAAAGAGCCCGTGGTTAAACGTCTCGTAGTTGCCAGCTTGAAGGCCGACGACACGACATGGTTGCAAAAACGTCTCCCCGACTGGGCTGTCTCGCGCTATGTCGTCGACGACCTCAACTCTCCGCTCACCGTGCCCCTCAATAAGGGTCGGGAATCCATGGTGTACCTCACCTATATAATTGACAACTACGATACCCTCGCCGACATCAACGTCTTCATTCATTCCCTCCAGTACCAATGGCACAACGACGATCCCAACAAAGACGGCGCCACCGTCATTTCCCGCCTACAACTCCCCCACATTCGCCAACAAGGCTACGTCAACATGCGCTGCGCGTGGACTCTCGGCTGTCCCGCCGAAATCAGGCTCGACGACCCTTCCGATAATCGCGAGACCACAAGTCACTTCCGCCAGGCTTTTCAGGAACTTTTCCCAGAGCGCGCTGACAACATCCCTACCAACGTCGGCGCGAGCTGTTGCGCGCAATTTGCAGTGACGGCTGCAAAGCTCAGGGAGAAACCAAAGGCTGAGTATGAGCGTATTAGGAACTGGGTCAGGGACACACCGCTTGCGGACGATGTCAGTGGACGTATCATGGAGTACTCGTGGCATATGTTCTTCGGTATGCCTGACGTCCATTGTCCGGATGCAAGGACGTGCTATTGTGCTGTCTTTGGTTTGTGCGATCTGCAGAATTGTGCCCAATGGGGCTGTCCGACTCAGTATCAGCTTCCGCCGTTTTCAACCATGCCAGAGGGGTGGAAGCAGCTGGCGGAGTACGATAACATTTGATTAATGGATGATAAGAGTGGTGTAGCCATGCTTTGGGTGGGGCCGCCACGTGGGAGTGGGCTGACTTTTGACGGAAGCTTGACCTTTCGGGAAGCAAGAGTTGTACAGCCATGACGGACGGTACCACGTTGGATAGGTAAATAGTATGGTCTGGGTCCGCCACGGACAAAATGAACTATGTCAAGTATGATATGATTAGTCTTGTGCGACCTACTAGTATAGCGCAAGCACGCTCAAGCCAGGAATATATATACACTCATACTCTTGCCACGGAGGCCAAAAGGCAACCACAGCCCTGTGAGATCAGATCCTGGCAGCGTCCAAGTACTCCCGTTCAACCTCCATTTCTCCTGTACGCCGCCTTTCGAGGACCCATCTTCCATCAGCTTCACGGCTGTAGCTCACACTTTCAGCGCCACTGCTCGCGCGGCTGTGATTGCTCTTCTTGCTGCCAGCCGATGTCAGACCGAATGTTGGAGACATAGCCCTTCCATCACTGCCCGAAGGCGTGCCGGGCTGATACGGCTCCGAGGGCTTCTTCATCGGTGTGTTTTGCGTCATGGTCCGCTCCTCCACGCCAAGGTAGTCGTCCTCATCGTCCGCCTCAAGAATGCTATGAGCAGATGAGCTTGAACGCATATGGGAGTTGTCATGATGAGCTGGGAACGGATGCGCATGGTTCTGTGCCAGAGGAGAGCCGATCGAGTTATGCATCGGTCCTGTCAGACTGCCCACGCTGGACGAGCTCCCGCCAAATGCACCACGTCGCAATTTCATGAGCGCACTAAGTGTCATATCGTCGTCATGAACAGGAGAGTCACGCTCAAGTAATTGAGCGATTCCTGGACTTGGTAAGGAAGTTGCTGACTGAGGTATGCCGCCTGGGATCTGGAGCGAGGCCACCGAGTTCCGCGTGCTCCATTCGCTCCTTTCGGTGATGGGCGTAAGACTCGGTTCCTGGAAGTTCGCACGCCCACTGTGGCTTCGCTTGATTCCATTGGACCCAGATCCTCGTGGTGCGAAGAAACCGCCGTTGACCATATCGCTCTCGTCCTTGTTGCGTGCTCTCGCATAGAAACCATGCTCCTGGCCATAGAAGCCGTCGTCGTCATTTTCAAGTGCTTCCGCGTTTGCTGCTGCGATCATCGTCTCGTCGAACATATCATCGTCGTCGAAAGGAAATCCATCGTCATAGGCAATCCCAGATGCACCAAAATTATTGCTATTTCGGCTCTGCTCGGATGATATAATTCCTGGCTGCGACTCATCTTCCGAGTCCTGGCTGAAGCTCACACGGTTGAACTTGCCATTGGCCGCAGCTTCATTAGCAGCGTGTGCTAGCATGTCGTGATAGGCTGCAAGGTTGTCCTCCGTGAGGCCAGCAACCACCGACACGCTAGATCCTCTGTATCGACTGGGTTCCTGGAAGTTGAACGTGCTTGATCTAGGCTCAGCCTCAGGTGCTATTTCTTGCACTTTCACTTTGCCCTCTGCACCAGCCTTGTTCTTGGCAGACTCGTACCGTCGCAAATTCTCAGCAGGTATATCGCGAACTGCGTTCTCGTTGTCGAGCGTGTCCTCGTCGAAAGGCTCACCTGTGTCGTGGTCGGGAATGTCGTTTCCAAATTCGCCATCGTCAAAGTACATGTCCGCATCGTCGAAATGCACTTTGCCTGACACACGATTGACGGGCCTTTCTCTCAAAGCATCATCGCTTGTCTTGATCCCGAGTCCATCGAAGTACTCTGTAGTCTCGTCCAAGCTCGCGGCTGATTGTGATCTGCGATGGCCGTAAGGTTTTGTGAGCGCATCTCTGGTGTCAGCTACACCGATGGCCATCCTCGCGTCATCTCTCGGAGTTGACTGAGACATGTTATTAGGGCTTGTCGGACTGAAGGTGAGCGATTCTGGCGTGAAATGAAAGCTTTGAATCGGATCCGGTTTGGTCGATGTCATGTTCTCAATTTTTGACCGGTCGTAATGTGTATCATCGGTGTTGAAGCCATCGTCCTCTACTGCCGCCCATTGAGGATGCTGTGGTTGCCGCGAGGTCGACGTCGATATTTCTATCTTTGATCGATCGAATGGCACTTCATCCTGGTCGAAGCCGTCGTTTCCGTCGTAATCGTCGACATTGAACTCGGGGATCTCATCTTCCATGCCAGCATCCGCGTCAAAATCATAGTCATCGAAGTTGTCCTCGTCCACACCGTGTCCGTGACTCAAAACACTTCCCCGATCCTTGGCCTGATATTGCTTATGTTTCTCCTCCAGAAGCTTTTCCTGAGTTGACGAAGCGATCTGGAAACTGAAGCGAGAGGACGTGCTTGTCATATGCTTGGGCAACTTGCTCGCGCTTGGAATTCTCAGTGGTGGCGAGGGTGTCTGGGCTTCTCTCGGAGGCGTGGCGGGTGTTTGCTTCGCTTCGCTTGGCGGAAGAGGAGGTGGCTTTTGAGGCTGAGGAGGCGGCAATGGTGGTGTATTCTTTGGAGGAGGTATAGGCGGTGGTGGCGATATAGGCGCTTGAGGCAACGGTCTGTTCGAATTATCGTGGTTCAAGAAGGCCGGATCGCCAAGATTTTGCTCGGGCACCTTCGATGGCAGCTTCTTTGCGAATGCCGGCAACTTGTGTTCGAGATTGCTATCTTTGAAGGCCGCATGTCCAGCTGCGTGGTGAAGATAGGCTGTTTGTTCTGGTCGCAACGCTCTTGAATCATCCTGGAAATGTTCACGGAATGCGGGACTGTGAGTCCGTTGCATACTGGGCGTCAGCGTGAATGTTTCAGTGGAGGCGCTCTGTAGACCGTCCAGATCGGTGCTCGAAGGCGTTCTTCTGGACCGTGGCGCTGAAAAGTCATGGGTGATGGTACCGCGTATGCTAGGATTGAAGTTCTCTGGCATAGCGGGGACATGCATCGTATTGATGGTCAAGTCAGACGCTTCTGCGGGATTCTGTGATGTGCGCCGGCGTGCAAGTAGACTCATCGGATTCAGGAGATTCAAGCGGCTCCTCTTCTGGGCTTGCAGTTTCGCTGGATCGTCTCGAAATTCTCGATTGCTCATCTGAGGCGAGTAGCCGCGTAGTACAGGCGACGGTCCTTCAACATAACGGGGAGAGAACTCGGACGAGCTTCTTGCTGCTGCCAGAAAGCGAGGGCTGTTGGCGGCCGGCAGAGGCCTCAGGGCCGGATCCTGTAACGTGCTGTCCGGGCTATACTGCTGATTGTGCGTATTGACTGCATCACTTGTGAAGGGTCTTCCCACGCTCGCAAGCATAGGAGGTCGCCGATTTGTGGCATCATCAGAGAGCCGCGGGCCCGCTGACCGGTGCCAGGCGGATTTCGCTGCTGCCTCTGCGCCGGCTGTCGCATAGCCTTGGTCGAAGGACGACGAGGGGATGTGAACATCGATTGACGGGCTGTCTGACGATGTAGTGGTGGCGGAAGGAGTGTCTACTGGCGAGAACGGGTCGCTGTATCTCGGACGATCATGATGTCGACGTGGGAACGCTGGTGAGGTAGGCGAGGGTTGGCTGTTCTTCCGGATGTGCCGCTGCAGTGAGGGCTTCGGTTGGCTCATGTTGAGCGCCAGGGCGGACTAATATTTCAACGCCAGCGAAGCATCTTGTGGTCGCAGTCAGGTGAAGGATCACTTGAGACTCGATCAGCTGAGTTAGATCAGCAAAAAGTGAGGCGCGTTGAGACGACGTCCGCTTTCGCTGAACACAGAGCGATGATCGACCGCTGTCGCATCGGACTATGACGGCGGATGATGGTCTCGACGGCGTGTTGCTGTTGCAGTCCCTGGGCGCGTGGCTTTGATGTCGTGACCCTACATTATGGTTCGACGTTCGAGGATCGGTTCTTGGGAACGCAGCGCAGGTAGATCGCTCCACTATCTCGGAGCTCCGCTGTCACTGGCTCGGAATTGCTGCTTGCCGTCAGCTAAGCTGCATTGGAACGGGGGCGTCGTAGGCACGGTCTGGGCGTTGTGGGGGCTCAAGCATGCCTAGGCTCTTTGTCACTGTGCTCGAGCACTTTGACTTCTTCTCGAACAGTGGACGTGGATGCGCCACGAACAACCAACGCGAACCAGTAGCATCTTACTCATCTCCCCCGTCTCGCTTTTGTTGGCTTGGCTCCGCATGACTGCGGTACTCCGTAAGTGAGACGATCGAAGTAATACAACGCGGGCGGAACAGGAACGGAAACGGCCTGGCAGACCAAACCATCCATAATTCTCACCCGTGACAGCTGCCCCATGGGCAGCAAAGCCTCCTAGAGACCACCAGGTGCATGAGGAATGCTACCGCTCAGCGGACGAGTCCGAGCCCGGTCATAAGAGGGCTGGCTGCTGGAGTAGCCCTCGTACCCGTAGACACGAGTCTGGGCACTTCCCCGCAAAAGTCGGGAGATCTCGGTCAGCAACCTTGACCATCCGACGGAAGGGGCATCTGCATTGTCAAACCTTTTCGAAACCTCCGCATAGTCGTCTTTCCTCTTCTCAGGATCTCCTCTCCTTGTCACAATACGAGAGGAATAGGCAATATGAATTGCCCATCCCGACCAGATGAGATCGACGCCGAGCGTCATCCTGACTGGAACCAGAATCCTCAGGATCTGAACAACGACGCCACGACCAGAGCCGACCTGAATGGCATAGTGAACCTCAGAGACTCGAGAGAGCACCTTTCAGATCCTACATGCACCGTAAAGGACGAGATCGACCCGCCGAACCGTGACCAAGAACCATCACCGCCAGCTAAGGGCGAAGCAGTGACAATCACTGCTCGAGACGCCCCTCCGCCAGCACGACCGGTCCGACTGTTTCGGAAGGTATGCGACGTCCTGTACAAATACGCCACTTTCGTTGGACCAGGATTCCTGATCGCTGTCGCCTACATCGATCCCGGAAATTATGCCACCGATGTCGACGCCGGCGCGTCTACCAAGTACAGGCATTTGTTCATTATTCTCATGTCTAACCTCTTTGCCATCTTCCTTCAATCACTATGCATCAAGCTCGGCAGTGTTACTGGTCTCAATCTTGCCGAAAACTGCCGCCAGCATCTTCCTCGGTGGCTGAACATACTCCTCTACATCATGCTGAAGCCGCTATCATCGCAACAGACATAGCAGAAGTCATCGGCTCCGCCATCGCACTGAACCTGCTCTTGCATATCCCGCTTGTTGCGGGATGCGCTTTGACGATCTTAGACGTTCTGGTCCTGATGATCTTCTGGACACCAGACGGCACCATGCGTCGACTTCGACTCTTTGAGTACTTTGTCATGGGTTTAGTGCTAGGCGTCATGATCTGTTTCTGCATCCAATTGTCATACATCCGAGATACCAGCGCTGGTGAAGTGTTGCGCGGCTATATTCCCAGCTCAGCGATTATCGAGGGGAACGGCATCTACCTTTCCTGCGGAATCTTAGGTGCCACAGTGATGCCCCACTCCATATTCCTAGGTTCGGGCGTAGTCCAGCCGCGTCTACGGCATTTTGATCAGACGCACAATCTCAGCGACGCCAGAAACGTTTCTCCTTCCGACTCCGATTCCGGAGTCACCAAGTATCGACCTTCGATCAGAGCGATCAAATCATGCTTGAAGTATTCCATCACCGAGCTAGCCACTTCTCTCTTCACTTTCGCACTCTTTGTCAACAGCGCTATTCTCATCGTTGCTGGTTCCTCACTGTACGGCTCCGATGCTGCGACCGATGCTGATCTATTCGGTATCCACGACCTCCTTTCTCACACCATAGCGCCTGTTGCGGGAACGCTTTTCGCCCTAGCACTCCTCCTGTCCGGAACGTCCGCCGGCATAGTCTGCACGATGGCCGGGCAGATGGTCAGTGAGGGCATGCTGAACTGGAGGATCAAGCCTTGGATGCGAAGACTTGTCACCAGAGCAATCAGTATTGTGCCTTCGATCATCGTCGCAGCTGCGGTGGGCAAGGAAGGGCTGAACAATGCGTTGACCGCCAGTCAGGTTGTCTTGAGTGTCATTCTTCCCTTCGTGACAGCACCACTGCTGTGGTTCACGTGCAGAGGCAGCATAATGACTGTCGTGGCAGATGAGGGCGGTCGCAGGGTTGATGGTGCTGGTGGGGAGGGCGTGGCAGTCACGGACGGCTTCCAAAGGCTTAACATGCGCAATGGATGGATCGTGACGGGCTTTGCGGCTGCCATATGGCTCGTTCTAGTTGTCATGAATGTCGCTTTGCTTGTGCTTGTGGGCCTAGGCAAAGCTTGAGGATGGTGGGACGGCAGAGTGACAGGAGAGCCAGCCAGCAGACAGGTTGGGACGAATACGACGATCTCGTTGATATGCTGAGGTGCTACGTGGATGAGACAGAACAATATGAGAGATTACGATTGGGCATTTCACAACGACCAGAGCATCAATAGAGAGGAAACGACATGTTCAAGAGCTGGCAGTAGTACACCTGCAGATATTCATACAGCATGTCATCAGCGCTTAGACGCACACATTGCCTGCCAAAAGATGTTCAGATTTTCAACACGACCTCTCATGGCCGACTCCGCTGCCTCTGCGCCCAAGGTATCTTCTCGTCCTCCGGGTTCACAATCTGCCTCGGATCGCCTCCGGGAATCATGCCCTCCTGCGGCGTGATCTCCGTAAAACTATCCTTAATCTTCTGCCACTTGACACTATACTCCCCATTCTTTTTCTTCGCATCCTCCCTCACCCGTTCAGGAAACATCTCCATCTCCCCCACATGCCGCCACAACCACGCCCTCAGCCCATCAAAAGGCGTGCCTTCCTCCAGATCATAGATCCAAACCATAAAGAACACAAATCCGATAATCAGCCCGTTCTGAATCAACGACAAATACCTCTTAAACTCCTTCCGCTCCCATTTAAGCGCAATCCTGCGCTTATAGATCTTCTCAAACGCCAACTGCTGCGTGTGTTCGAGCGCTTTGAAGTTGGGCGGCCACGACTTGTGTGTGCGATAGGGGTTGTTCCAGACGTTGAAGGGGTCTTGGGGGATGTCGGCGGCTGCTTTGGGGGAGATCAAGCCGATATTTTGGCCGATGCGTCGGAAGAAGGAGGGTTCGCCTTTCAGAGGTGGTGGGACGCGCGTGCCGGGCGCGGCTTGGGCTTTGGGTTGGGAGAGGTTGAGGATTCCGGGCATTGGCGAGAGTGCACCACCAGCATGCGGACGCTTCGTCCTGCGGAAGTCGATATCTGGTTCGGGGAGGTTGGATGGGCCGGAGCAAGAGGCGATGGCGAGAAGAGGGGGCCGACGAAGGGTTTGCCGAATCTGTGAGGGGCGTATATTGACGTTGATGGGGTGTTGCGGCTGCTGCTGCTCCTGCTGCTGCTGAGACGCTGTCGTGTTGTAGGGGAGGTTTTCGGCCGTGGTCGTGAGCTGTCGGCGGCAGCGGCGCATGAAATGCGACGCTGCGCTGGGGCTTGCGTAGCGTGGCATGATTGATGCAGGCAGTCGAAGTCCAACGACTATGCGGAACTCGAACTACAAGTTGAAGTTGAAGTGAGTGAGCTTCTGCCGAAGTCGTGGAATTCATCGGCCAATCATAATTTCTCCAAAGACGTTCTTGTCAACCGGTCTGAAATTATGCTACATATACCACTGAAATGACAGCACTTGCGACAAGCATAGCGTCCAAGACCATGTTGCAGCAACGTCGTTGTCGCTACGTCAGATGAAGCTGCCACAGTCTGAAATTCACCAATCAGATTTCGGTGGTGCCTATCCGTATGCAGGACGTTCACGAGCGTCGGTGTCCATTTTCGATCGCAGCGATGCTTGGCTTTTGCGCCCTTCGTGTCTCGCACACCTGCACTCTCCAAGGTCTGGCATGCAGACTTAGCGACGGCATTACTAACGAAGTCAAGGCCTAGAACCTCTCCCTGCGTTCGCTATTGAAGGTGATCTCATCTCCCTATAGCCTATGGCAAGGCTGAAGAGTCAAGGGCTTGACGGAGACACACAGCATGGGACATTGAATGCTCAAGCGAGCCACTGAGAGTTCGACTTCGCATCGAACTGGGGGCTGCAAATGCAAAGCATCAGACCGCCTATTTTTGGGGTCGTGCCTTGTTATGCACGCCGCCCGGGTTTGTGGCTGCATACGAGCCACAACGGTTGAAGTTTCGCCGATTCACGTACATTTTGCGATGCACTGACGTCGACTGAACAAGCATGTATACAACAGCAGAAAGTACAGCGATGTCCATGATCTGTGTCGGGGAGGAACAAACCGGCAGCTCGCCCGGACATTGCCGCGTGGTCATACGTCCACGGATCGCGGGGAAGCGGCGATGACACACAATCGCCGTCAGATCGAGGAGTTGCCGCAGCTCTGAGATCTAATTCACAGAACTGGTAACGCATCAACTGACAACGATGGTGGTGCTTTTCGCAATTGATAGATCGACCCGCTGCATGGTGGTCGACACCGTTGGGGGCGACTCTTGCATGGTACCTAGCAATGCGAGAGCCAGGAAGATCTCGTATTCCTCTTGTGGCATCGAACTATCCGGTTGAAGTCATTGGTCACATGGACGCGATACCTGCAGAACTACTCGTCTAACAAATTGGGACCAGTCACAATCGCGGCATTTTTCGCGAATTGTGTCACTCTTGGGAGCTCTCATGATCCACAAGTCGTGAAAAGCCCTGCAGGGCTGTTATCGAACTAGGCGGACAATTCGTGACTCAGGCAGCACTCTACACGTTGTTCAGACGACAAGGCTCTTTTGAGCGTAGGCGAAACCTGGGTTTCGGCTCAGGCTTTGGTTCGATCGCTGGTTCGATGCTCGGAGCTGCCGCCTCCACGTCTGAAAAAACACCTCCCGTTCGGAAAAGCTACTTGACTGCCACAGTCCGGCTGCTACTTGTCGAGAATTTGTGACCGATTGCCAGAAGCAGATACGCGGTCGGGAGTTGAGTTGAAGCATCCTAGTGAGTTCTTTCTACGTCGATAGTGCTGGGTGGCCGTATGTTACTGGTCCTGCCGCAAGACTGTGGTCCCTTTTCTCGTTTTCCATTGATGAGTAGCGCGATTGCCTTTACCGGTACCTCCGCCTAGTGGCTTCAAGCAGTGAGTTACGCCGCAAGGCCGGTATGTCTTCGAGATGGGTCCATGTAGCGGCCGTAGCGCCGCTGATTGAGGTTCAGTGTCGATATGATACTACTGACGATTCCGGACCCTGCTCTTCCACTTCTGACACTTCAGTCGCATAACGTTAAGCTGGGTTCGACGGCGCAACAGCAATACGTCGATCGCGCCTCGTTCTCGCGGGCAACCGGTCCTTATCAAAAGTACCGGTCCCTCAGTCTCTGGAAGAGTTGGCATTCAGCTGCCTGATCGGCGACGACAGATATATAACTCGAACAAATCAGCATGTTGGTGACCTACCAGTCAGTCACTTCTCCTTCCACCGAGGACAGCGATTCCTTGAACACGATGTCTGGCAATCGAGGATCCCACAACAGCAGCTCAGCCAACTCATATACTGGGTGGTCAAGCGGCCAACGCTCGACCAGCCAACAGTACCTTACTCCTGAAGACATGTATAACCTCAGCAGTGGTGGTAGCCAATATGCTGCGTTCAACCGTTCATATCCTGCGTCGCGACACAGCGGCGAGACGCATTCTCCCAGCTACAGCAGCAGTGGCTCCGCCAACTACCAGTATCCAACGCACTCTCACGTCTCGTCCTCGAATGCACAAAGACATTCATACAACGATCCGTCGAGACACACCTCCAGCTCAGCACCTTCCCAGTCGTATAACACCAGTACGACTTCGGCGTATGACAACAGCTCTCGACACGATACCTATAGTCCCAACTACACGTACAGCAGTACTTCCAATAAGTCCACCGGGAAGTCAGACCGGCATCTGGAATCGTCGACCACAGACAAGGGCAAAGCAAAAGATGCTGGACGGAAGAGTTCCAGCGATGACTCCACCAGCCGCGGCAGACATACGAAGGACAGCTCATCTGGTCGAAAGGCTGGACCGGCTTTGCCACCTGGAGAAAAGTTGGTCTCTGGTGTTTTCATCCGCTATTGACGTGTTTGGACGGTGGTAAGGACGTGTGTGAACTATAGCATTCTCCTCAGATACCCATATGGAAGCGTCGAAATGACCCGACAATAGTGAGCGTCATCGTTCAGAGCCTCGTCTTCCTTTTCGTCATGATGGTTGAATTACTGTCTGCAGTCGCTATAGCGGGGCTTGCTTAGCCACGCAACTGTGACCAGACCAAATTGACAACAAATGTACTCGCAATGACCAGGCGTGACCTGTTCAGGAGCTATCATCCTTCTCCATCTCTCGCCGCAGCCAGTCCGCTTCCTCCTGCATCTCTTGCTCAGACCTTGGCGTGCGATCGGCGTCCGGCGTAAATTCTCGATCATTCTTCCTATGCTCCCGGTACTTCTGCAAAGCCAAGAACGCCTTCCCAATATCACCAGACTCCCCGTCCATCATGCCATAAATAGAGTCTGATCCGCCTTGAGCATCTAGATCGTGAGACTTCCTTGGAATGATGTGGACATGGACGTGTGGAACCGACTGTCCGGCGTCCGCACCATCCTGAATAGCCACATTTAGAGATGTCGCATGGAAGACCCGTTCGACTGTCCGAGATACGTGCTTGACCGTGACAAAAAGATCAGCTGTCTCCTCGGTCGTAAGCTGCGAGAGTCGTGGCACGCATCTCGTTGGACAGACCAAGACATGGCCTGGCAGAAGTGGCTTGAGGTTTACGAGGGCGTAGCTCAATCGACTTGGCGATGTGTGGAAGACTTGTGAGGCCACGCTGAAGGGGCCAAACTTCAAGGGTGGCATTGGAGGTTCTGATCTATGTTCGCCGTTATTTGGGACATCCAAGACTTCGTGCATGTCGCGATACGGTGTTGAAATGGGGCCGATTGAGTGCGAATCTGAGTGCGAGAAACGCGCGATCTCCTACGGGCTCAGATGGACAGGGGCGTTATGGCCCAGTTGAGTCCTCGGTCCTGATGCGACTTGATTGTGAATCATCGTAGAGGGCCAAGTATAGATGGGTAGCAGACGATGGCACGAAGTCCCCCAGGTTTGCATGGTGGTAGTAACCACAAGCGCTATGATTGGTTGATGGCTGGCTTCCATACTCCACTGCAGCCTACGAACGGTCTATTGCTAATTTGCTATGCTTATCATCCTCGATATTCACCATATGGCGTGTTGATAAATGACGATCTGTTCACATGTACGTTCGTCTTTCGAAGAACGTCAAAGGACGTTACCTACGCGTCGCTTATGCGACTCAATGCGGGTCAACACGGAGATCTAGGTCGTCCGCCGACGGGACACTTAGTACTTACTGGAAAGAAACTGGCTAGCTCTACTATCCCAAATACTCAGCTCTTCAGGATGCGCTTGGTGCGAAACAGCTCCACGTCTCGCACACGCCGGTTCTACAAGTCTATCGCGGCTTCCAGAAGCCTGCAGACCGTGAAGATGACGACAATTTCACCCGGGTCTTGCAATGTACAAGGTCCTCGAAAATCTGGGCGCGTTGATTGGCTGAACGCACCTCACACCTTCCCCATACCATGATTGAAGAGTGATCAGGACTGCGCCTGCCCAATGAAGTGAATCCCAGACGTGGAGGAGCTGTTGAGCCACGCACGAAACAATTCTTTAAATGTAAGTTGTCGAAGTACTTCAGGCTGCCAGCAGTCTTCTCAAGGGTGAACCATCTAGCAGTATCGCACGCGCCAGAGGACTGCTATCAATTGCAACCATACATGATGCTACTCAATCCCACTCACGAAATCACGTTCAGTGGACTTCCAGGCGATGTCCTTGATGCGTATGTCCGCTACAAGAAAGGGACTCGTGCCATTGTCGGCTGGATCGTGCAGTATGCGCCCGAGTACGCTGGAGCCAAGAGGCTACCTCTTCGGGAATTGAGCAGACTGGTCAGATCGCTCGCTGGGAGGATCAAGGCTTTGCCCGATGTTGTTCACTTCCATTTCCGAGAGACTATTGCCGCCCGCCATCAGCTCAGCAAGTATTTCAGGTGCTTCCGCAATGAGTCTGTGGACCAAATATCTGCCACTGTCGATCATGAGCATTTCACAAATAGGTGAGCACTTTGCGCATGAGAACATTCGGAGACTGATGTGTGACGACAAGCTTATCAGAGATCTATACCAATCTTTGCTGCATCTGCGAAGAACCTAAATCAGCATGCGGTCAAGCCACTTCTTCCAATGCTTCCGATGTCGTTAAAAAGCGGTCAAGCAACCTTTTTGATGGACTCGTAGTCGAAGAGCCACCACTTGTCGACGACCGCGAGCTGGCAGGTATCTCTGCAGAATGTGAGGCTTGCAAACTTGACTCAAGTCCGACCAGTCAAGGCTCATTGAAGGAAGTTTGTCTGTCTGATGATCATCTGGGCTGCACCATCGAGTATGTCTCGATTCTTCAGGAAATGTGTCAGACGATGAAGGCCGTAGGAGATGTCTGGAGGCATGCTGCACGGGGTGACGTTTCCTTTGTGTCTGCCGCTTTCCTCACTAACGTTGGGCACGCTTCGTTGCTGAAGATGGACCAACGGATGCGGGACATAGACGAAGACATCACCATTCACAAGCTGAGAGAGGGATGTTGCGCCCTTGAGCCGACCGCACTTGACGAAGATGACAGCTGTGACTGGTCTCAACTGCTCGAGCGACTGTCAAAAAGCGAACAAGCTGTTGCCCATGTCCTGCAGGCACACGTCGACCCGACATCTCGTCGACCCTGTCTCCAGAGACCGGCAGACTTCATCGTTTCCGACCAGGAACCGTCCAACGCTTCTGCATTGGTGCCCGCAATAGTGGAGAATATCGTGGCATTGGTACAATATTCGACACCGCCAAGCGCGATAGTTATGAACAGCTCGCCCGTCTACGCAGACATGGGCTACGCAATCAATAATGGTGCTGACGCTGCCAAAGGCTTGACAACTATCCTAGGTATGGAGTTATTAAGTCAGTCCTACCAGTCCTATGTACTGTCAAGCCCCGATCCTGCGACAGTGCCTACATGCAGACTCGGTGCTCTTAGGCTCGCGTATGCTGCGTCAGGCAGCATTGAGAAGACAATAGAAGACCAAGACTGCTTCCCCTGTCGATGCACGCAGACACTGGCATTCCACCTGCAGAATTTGGCTGTTGATCTCAAATGTTTCGGCGGCCAGAAATGCTGGGATCTGTATTTTCAGTCCCCTTTTGTGTCGGGATCGCACGTCCTGGAGATACTGGATCAATGCCAGTACTATGGCAACAAATTACTCGTTTATCGGCACTATGCCGGGGCTCTAATCCACTCATACAACGTTCTAAAGCAGTTGGCCGCCATCGAAGACATCCCCTTGCTCGAGTACCTGCGCTCCACATTCGCAGATACCTGGTTCCCTGGTGGAGAGCTTCCCGTGAAGAGTTACCGGGCTGCTTGGACAAGATACATTGGTGCTCGAATCAAGTTCAAGAAGGGGCATCGCCGGAACAAGCAGAACAGTTGGTGCATGGCAGTCCCACCTCACGCAGCCAGACATGCCGCAGGGCTTGGTGTTGGCAGAAATGAGCTGAAGCAATCCAGCAGCAAGTCTTTGCTGTTTGCGGTCAAGGAGCAAGGCTACAACGTTGCGGACACCCAGTGGGAACGCGTCCACCCAGGAAGAGCGCAAGGAAAGGTGGACCAGGTTGACACGACGTCACTAGCTCTCCTACTACCGGTGGTCGAGGAGGAACTGAACCCAAGTAAGAGCGTGCTCCGGGGTCCTTCTAAAGCACGGCTTAATTACTTCGACATTTTCCGCTTGTGTGTCCGGATTGTCCGTCGCATTTCGGAGGCGACGCACACAGATCCAAAAGAGAAGGGCATGAACTGCATCTGCTTCGTGAGCGCTCTTCTGGAAGGCGCGGACAGGATTGTTGACGCCAGAAGCCTCGGTCAAGTGGTCGGCAAGGGTGCGTGTTGGACGAAGACCGAGCGCGAAGGAGTGGTCAAAGTCACGATTGCTGCGATGACAGAGGTCCTCGGCGGAAAGGAAGCCAGTGACTATGGTTGGAGCTTCTGAGTCAGCAGGCTCCCGACCAATGTCCGCCGAAGCTCCCTTCCATACTCAGTCAGCGACTCTTAACAGAGCTTCCCAGCGGGCTGCAATCTTATCGTTGATAAAATCGCCCATGATCGGCCGTGACTGCCATGTCTTGTTGTCCTTGAGGACATATGCCAACTTGGCCTCGCCGCCGTCTGTGGTGGCTGCTTCCCACGGAAGCTCACCCCAGCAGAACTTGATCCAGGCACTCCGCAGCTCACTGACCGCCGTGCTCCAGCGGTTCCGGTGTTGCTCCGGCACAAGGTCAGATGCAACATCAAACAAGAAGACATCGGTGACCGCGTGATGCGATCGATCGTATCCGGGCGGCCAGTTCGGATAGGGAGATTTCGCCTGGAATTCATACACATAGACTTTGCCCGCAGCAGTGTCGTCGTATCCGGCGATGAGGTAAGGTGGTACTCGAAATATGACGTCTGCCAGAAGAGCAGCCCAAGCATGAACCTCCGAGGCACAATTGCAGGCCATGATAGATCGTACAAACTCAGCATCTCCGGAGAGAAGTACTTGCTCGTCATGGATGTCACGCCTGATGGTATCAACGCAGCTTCGACGTGGTTTCCCAGTGTTACGGCAGTCGGCGGAGACGGAGCAAAATGTCCAAGAATTGCAAGAGTCACATCGTCCTAGATCATGAGTCAACAGAAATTCTATACCCTCCCAGAGGAGCTTCGTACCTCATATTCGCATGATCCGATTAGTAGATCCACGTTCGTCGGGACGTCCTTGAGCCAAGGCATCCCCCGACCTGTTATGTATTGCTCGTCGATTAATGGTTTCGAGACGCTGGAAACCTCATTGACCAGAACCTGAACAGGAACTGACTGCAGTACATTCACGTAGTCATCCTGCTCTTCACCAAATTTCCGGCAAAGCGCATCATACCTGTCCTGATGGTAGTCCAAAGGCATAGCCCCGATAGCCAGAGCTGTGCCACTGGCCAAGATTGCACGCTTAACCCTCGATTTAGAAAAGCTCACGGCCTGGAAGTGACAAGAAGCACCCCCTGCGCTGGCACCTTGCAAGGTAATTGAGCTTGGATCTCCTCCGAAGCCAGCGATGAATCGTGATACCCACTCAATCGCGTGTGCTTGATCGTGCAAGCCATAGTTGCCAATAGGTTCATTGCGACTCTCATTCAGCTCTTTGAGCTGTTTCGATGCCAGGAAACCCAATGGCCCGAGTCGGTAATTGATTGCCACAACTATGATAGGCTGCTTCAGAGTTATGCTGGCATGAACCAAGTTCGTGGCATCGTAGATCTCGCGGCCTCCTACCTGTACAGATGCGCTGCCTGTCATGAAAGCTCCGCCGTGGATAAAACCCATTACTGGACATGGCTCACCTCCCTCAAGCACGCTGAGCGGAGCGGTGACGTTAAGGTTCAGACAATGGAACTCATCAGCGACTGGCGGCGTCAACGCGGGTCCCAGCAAGTCGGGGCTCTTCTGCCAGAGTGGCGGAAATGGCATGGCATCGTTCTGGGGGCAGATTGGACCTGGTCGTGTTGCGTCAAAGGGCGTCTGAGGAAGTTTGGTTCTCAGCTGCGCCTGGAAGAAGCGTCCCGGGATGTCAGCATACGGGATGCCACGAAATTGAACGACATCGTCACCACGTCGGAGGCCTCTGAACTCGCCCAGATCGTGGTGTTTGTGGACGTATTCGGTCATTGTAGTGCGGTCTTATCGCTTCCTGTGCAGAACGCTGTACTCGATGATACGACGCTTTGACAACTAGTCAGACCTGTAATCATAATGCATAACATTGGTCACAAGTGTCTGGTAGCATGCACCACTGGCAGGCGGGAGCTGCCCCAAGTAAGGGGCTGCCATTGGCTGTGCTGTGCGCGGCCCTATTGCCGAATTTCCAAGGTTCGTGACGCGACTTCAAAACACGGGCACAAGTTGGCGTCAGCATATCGTGATGAGTACACGTTCGCTGTGCCCTTGCTCCTTCGTCGGAATGGATGTGTTGACATCGAGCATCGGTGCCCGCGCCATCAGCAGGTGGCCTTTTCGGGCGAGCTCGAGCCATGGCTCAAAATACGAGCCTGGTCGGCCGAACTTCGATAATTCGTGGATCTCTGGCGGGATGAGAAGTCATCCTTTGTTTCTTCGAGACAGAGCTTCTGCACACAACGCTTTCACAAGCTCGCTTCGCGATTACCCGTGAAATAGTTGGACCCAAGCATGACAGCGATGACGATGCTCTACAGGACTCGCTATCGATCAACTTTACCTTTACCATCTCCGCCAGCGGGACTCTGTCGCACTCAGGGCATCCCATCGCTTTATGCGCCACTAACTTCAGCTGCTTACTGTCTCAGCCAGGTATGAAGTCCAGCATGCAAGATTACCTTTCCGGCTACGACGACTGCCGTGCATCGATATTGGCTTCTTGCAGAGAGAAGCCATTCTCCGCATCTCTCGGCCGGATCCGCAATTCATACCCATGCATATCCACGCATACCCACGTGACAAAGCGATACCCTGACGGTGTTGGCGCCTCGAGTCGATCAAGCTAAAGGATCTGGTCCATATATTTGCACAGGAATGGAGAACTAACTTACGATGGGGACACCTTCTCAATCAGTGCACCGCCATCCAAAGCTGAAATCTAGACGGCGCCATGACTTCTTCTTATCCAGAACTGGGAGTCAACTCGCTACATGTGTTGTATACGGCTGGCGTGGATGCTAGAGTACGAGTGCTGTACCAGTTCGGTGACGACAAGGCCGCCTACGATCCTCGTTTGACGAAGGATCCGTAAGGCCGCCCAATCGTCGAATACCTACAATGATACATTTCGACCTAATCCAGGGACCGTATGCAATTGCGGGCTGGCTTGCGATGAGCGAACGTTGATAAAAGAGCTGACAAGGTACTGGCTGTCTTAGAACAGCGATCGATTTCTGTTGATGTGACATCTGGGCTCTGAGTTCCAAGCAATCGTGTTCCTGTCCTACAGTATATACAGCTAACCTGGCTTCGAGCAAATATGGGGTCTGTGGACGTTGACACGACGCAGCATGCGCTGGAAGAATCGACGCTCCACATGATAGCAGACCGGTTGAAAAAGTATGATGGCGAGCGCGACAAGCGCTTGCGTCCCGATGGCCTCGACCAGTACGTCCTTCTGAGCAAGACGGAAGATCCAACATTGCGGGCTTTCACCAGAGATCCTTGGCTTAACGAAAGATCGGACAAAGTCACGTTGCATGATGGCCAGACTATAGAGCACCTTGTGCTTGGGGCGGGCATGGGCGGTCTGGCAGCTGGCATCAATTTGTGAGTGATTCCAAGAGAGAGCCCTTCCTGTAGCTAGAGACAGAGGCAGCTGGGCTAAAGCAATTCATGCTGTGCTACCCTGGAAGGATGATGCTGACACAGACACAGCATCAAAAGTGGCGTCAACTCGGACGATGTATATCTCGTTGACGACGCTGGTGGACTTGGCGGTAGCTGGTATTGGAACCGCTATCCACGGGTCTCCTGCGATGTGAGCACTTCAAGGGCTTGCGAGCTGCACGCATAGCTCGCGGCGTCGTCCCTGCCAATGCTTTGTTAACGTTTCGCTGATTACAACACCAGATCGAGAGCTACGTCTACTTTCCATACCTTGAAGAGACTGGTTACATGCCTAAGCATAATTTCTCGTATGGATTCGAAATCAGAGCTTATCTAGAATCGCTGGCTGCACGCTACGGCCTCGATAAGAACGCCATGTATCGCACCAAGGTACAGTCCGCCGTGTGGGATGATTCAGCAAAACGCTGGGAAGTGACAATGCTCAAAACAATCTCAAGTGGTCCACCAAAGACCATCAAAGTACGGACGCGCTTCTTATCCTTCTTCCCAGGAGTCCACGTATATCAGAAACTTCCTGCAATCCCAGGTATCTCATCATACAGTGGTCAACAATTTCATATAGCTCGATGGGACTACTCGGTCACCGGAGGCACCGAAGAAGAGCCCGTCTTGGACAAACTTCGCGACAAGCGAGTTGCAATCATCGGCAATGGCTGCAGCGGCGTCCAAGGAATCGCCGAAGTCGCCAAGTACGCGAAAGAGCTGTACGTGATGCAACGCACGCCAGCCAGCGTGGATATCCGCGATCAGCGACCTACAGATCCAGCCGAGTGGGCTGAAATCAGCAAAGACCCCAATTGGTGGGACATTCGATGTCGAAACATGGCTGACACGCTCAGCGGTGCCTTGAAGCCTGGCGAGCCACAGCTGGTCGACGACTACACCGTCGGAGTGACCACCTACCGTGTTGTCTTTGGCGGCAAGGCTGAAGGCTGACGCCTGAGGCTTGCCGTCGTTCATCACGAAGCTGCATGCCGAGGATCTCCCCAGAATGGAGCGGATCCGTAGGATCGTTACAGATACAATCAAGGATCCGGACACGGCGGCGAAGTTGACCCCTTGGTTCACTTCATGGTGCAAACGCCCGGTCTTTCACGATTACTACTACGAGGTCTTCAACCAGCCGAATGTTCATCTCGTAGACGACGAGAAGGGAGTGAGTAAAGTTACGCCGACGGGATTCGTCGCCAACGACACCGAGTATCCCGTCGACGTCATCATCTGGGCGACAGGCTATCGCGGCCCCTTCGTCGGATTCCCCGAGGAGCGCGCCGGCATGGAGATCATCGGCCGTGGTGGGCGGCATCTGGACGATAAGTGGCGTGAGAATGTGGCAACTCTACACGCGAGCATGACGGAAGGGTTCCCGAACTTGCTTCTCATGGGTCTCTTTCAGGGCGGGATGACTCTAAGTCATTCTACGGTTATGGACTGTATGGCGAAACATGAAGCGTACATTGCCCAACAAGCTAGGGAGCGCGCTGGAGGAAAGGACTTCTCGGTTGAGCCAACAACAGAAGCGGAAGAAAGTTGGAGCCAGGAGGTCATACGCTACTCACTGCCCTCTGCCGCGCTGGGAGGCTGCACTCGTAAGCGACCCCTATCAACTTGGGCTTGACTGGTTATGGGTGTTCTGGCCATGGGTGTTTCCTATCACCTTCAACAGACCATTCCCTCTTACCTGAGCCGTATCTGTGAGAATTCTGCTAACGACCTGGTCTTACAGCAAACCTTTACAACAACGAGGGCGCCATAGACCGGCTACCGCACGAGCTCAAGATGAAGATGGCCAGAGGCGGGCCATATGGAGGAGGGTTCGGCCAGTTCTCGGACGCAATGGAGGCTTGGAGGAAGGAGGGCTCGTTGCGAGGACTGCGGATAGACGTTGCATAGACGTGATAAATAATCGTTACAGCACGCACAGTGTGTGATGAGCACACAGAGTCGAAATAATCTCGGCAGCTGGTCTTGCTTGGAGTCCTGCCCCAGCCGGCTGACAAGACTGGCGACGGCGGAAGGTGCTGAGGGAGGCACCTGCCGCTCAAAAATAGCGCCGCTAAGGGGAGCTGATGGGAAGGAGCGATAGCTGTGTGCTCCTGATGCTCCTGCTGACTTTGCAGATGAGAGAGGAAGGCGCTTCCCAGGCGTTGCCAACCGGGTTGGCCAGAGCTCACAGAAGACCGGATGACAAGACTTTCTCGCAATCATCACTGCCCTGTCTCGGTGCTTCAGACAGCGATCAACAGCAGGAGCACGAAGACGTCGCTTGTTTTCACCGAGAGTCCTTTATGGCGCCGAGAGTGGCAGGTGCCTCGCCTCGCTCCTTCCACGATAGCTATCCTCGTCAACCGGCTCAGGCGGATCTCTGGATGAGACCGGATGACAAGATTCTTCCGAGGGCGCGCTTTGATCAGCAGGGTCGCCAGTGACTTGTTCACGTAGACTGTCGGATACAAGAAGGGGCCACATGTTTTTCGCGACTGAGAGCCGGTGCAGAAATTCGCGCCCTGGCAACCCGTATACATGGTGCTCCTTCTCGTCTGCTAGAAGACGTCGCCTACCAAACAACCTGCAAGATGCCGAGCTTGATCAGTCCTTCTTCACACCCAAGATCTCAGCCAACTTCACGAACCCACCCCTGCCCTCCTGAACAATCAAATCCGGGATCCCCTGCCCAACCAACTCCGGCTCCTTCTCCTCCAGCTCGCGCTCGACGTAGATCGCCATCCCAAACCCTGCATCTTTCGCGCCCTTGAGATCTCCCAAATGCGCCGCGACCAATGCGCATTCCTCCGGCTGGAATCCCAACTTCTCTGCTGCACCCTGGTAGACTTTCGCGTTCGGCTTGTAGGAGTTGAACATGGAGGACGTGAAGACGTGCTGGAAGGGGAGTGAAGAGTGGTCGATGATGGCGCGCATGTTGGTTTCGTGGGTGTTGCTGAGGGTGGCTGTTATGAAATTTTTGTTGAGGAGGGTGAGGCCTGCTTTGGTGTCGTCCCAGGGAGGGAGGCGGCTCCATATTGAGTTGAGCTTGAGGAGTTGGGGATCGGTGAAGAGCGAGCCGGGTTGGGTGGTTGTTGATTCCGGGTAGTTCGGGTCTGGGAGGAGGAGAGAGGATTGGCGGAGGAGTTTGTAGAGGGAGGTTAGGCGGTATGCGTCGACGGCGTGCCAATCGACCGAGTTGCTTTTGGCCTTCATGTCGGCGGTGAAGTCGTCCACGTCTTTGTTCCAGTTCTGGGGCTCATTAGTGAACGGGATCGATACAGTTTTCATAGAATGAGGCACTCACGCCGCCAAAATCGAACCATTGCTCGTACGTCTGAGATCGACGTCAGTCTCAAATCCGAGCTACCTGTGGTGCCAGACAGTGCTTCGTACCATTTTTTCCGCCTTCAGCCTCACAGCTTCATCTAAAGTTGCAGCATTGCTCTTCAACGCCTCTGCTGCTGCAGTGGACAGCTCATCTCCCAGTGGTCTTCGCTGCTGAACGCAAGTACCGAAGACATCGAAGAAGAGCACTTCAGGGGCTTTGGGCGTCGTCATGGTGCTGTTGCAACAACCCTCTGCGCTATCCTACCTGAGGTCAAGGCCGTCGGTCAAAGTCTCGACTTTAGCAATCTATTCGCGGTATTCGTCGTTGTGCTGAGCCTGAGGTATGGCCACATCATATGAGGCTTAAAAGCCATCACATGTTCAGCTTGGTCCTGATGTACTTGGGTACGCGTACACGCTGCAAAAGCACGCCCTTGTAACTGTAGATCGGCGTACGCCAGCATGGCATGCAGGGCGCTCTGGGTTATGTAAGCCGGCTCTCGCTTGATCTCGGGCGAGTTTATCTCCTATACAGACATGGCTTCGGGTGAAAAGATGGCGCAGAAAAAGACGCCTAAATTGGGCTTTACCGATGGTGCATAGTAGGTAACATGTGCGCTGTCGTCATCCGGGCCTGCAGTCATCCGGCGTCCGCAAGTCGAAAACATCCATACAAACTTTCCACGACTGGCCCCAGATCATCTTACGCGCCCCCAGGCTTCCCCTTTGTCAAAAGCGGGGCCTTAACACGAGTTCTTAGTCCCGCGTGGTTTTGTACTTGGGAACGCAGAAATGCATCCAGGGAATCGAATTTCCTCGAACGACGTCGCCGGATGGACCGATAGAAGCTGTTTTAGGAAGGTGGAGTTCCTATTTGGGAATGCTATATACCCATCGCCTACTACCCCCCCTCCATGTGCTATCACCAAGCATACGTCCCGCCTGCCTCCTCGCCATACACAAACTTCCCAGCATCGGCATCCCTCCTCCCCTCCGCTATCTCCAACAGCTCCGTGCACTCGTCTCCGGACCTTTGGCTACACCCGCCTGCATCTTCGACTCTCGCTCGCCAGCAAGGTCCTGGGCACACCGCAAACACCTTCACTCCCTTATCGCCATACTCCCATGCGTCGCATACCGCGACCATGTTCAGCGCTGCCTCGGACACACGGTAGGCTTTGTAGTCTGCCGTGTATGCGAAGTCATTGGGATCGGTGCGGCGCTGGACCGAGCCGAGGGATGAAGAGACGTAGATGATGCGTGGTGGTGATTTGTCATTTGTCAATGACGGTCGCAGTAAGAGGGGTGCAAATGTTTTTGTGACCATCGCCGGCGAGGTCGCGTTTGTTTCCAGCGCGTCGCGGAGAGTGCTGCGGGTAAACTCGGTTGGGCAGATTCCGGCGTTGTTGACTAGCACATTGAGCCGCTGCTGTTTGTTGTCCTGGCGCAGGCTCGCCACGGACTCGACAGCGGCTGCGATCGAGCCGTCGGATGTGATGTCTAGCTGCACCAGAGAGAGCCTGCTGGACGAATGTGTCGAGGATATGATGGACTCTACGGCAATCTGACCTCTGTATAGGGATCGGCTGGCCATGATGACGTGATAGTTGGGCTGTGAGATAAAGAGCTGGCATGCTGCGAGGCCAATGCCATTATTGCCGCCGGTCACCAGGACTGTGGTTTTTGAGTCGGTAGTCATGCTGGTGGGTGGGTGAAAATTGTGTGAATTTGATGATAGATTGGGTGACAGGTCAAAAGCGCTGGATCGTGCGAAGCCTTATAGTCTGATGGCAATGGTCGTCGTAGGCCTCGAGGTATACACAAAATATCACAGCGATCATAGCCATCAGTCGTATGCACAAGGTAGCTTGGACCCCAAAAAGGTTAACCTTGACTCCAAGCGTCGTACTATGGCTCAGTGTCAATATGCACCAAAGATCTCGCCCGCTATAGTCCGTCCATTGTCGGGATCTCCGATCACAATTCGAGCATTTCTTATATTCATCAGATGCCCGACCCCCGGTTTAAATTAGTCGTTATGGCTACACCGAGCTCTCGATGGTCCCGCTAGGCCACGTTAGTGTTGAGTTTTCATCGACAGCTGTATTGTCTTCCTGAATTGGAACAGACTCATCCCGGTCGCCGTGGTTGAGGGTATCCGGCCGACCCAGGAGCCTGACTCGGAGGGCCTCCAAAGCGAATGCCCATCGCCGGATTCCACGTCCCTCCTACGACATCGCCAGAGACAATCGGAGTGCCCGCCTTCGCGACTGCTGGCGTGGATGGAGGATGAGTTGGCTTTGGAGCAGGAATGGGGTCCTGCCCACCCAGCCCATTGCTGGCAGCATTGCATTCCTTATGCTGCTGTCTCGCTCGTTCGCTGCGCAGCTCTCGCCGTGTCTCTTCAAGTTTTAGCCTTCCAACTTCGCCACTGATTAGCTCGGATTCCATCTCGCTCTTTTCGACGCGTCTGCTTGCGACTTGCTTCTGACACTGGTCCCGGAAACGGTGGACATGGCTCGCGAGGTCGTTGTAGAAGCGCCGGCCAGTATCGAGATTGTTGATGATTTCTTTGTACTTGAGGTACGCGGTTTCAAGCTCTTGCAAGGCTCTTTCGCGAGCCTTGACGGGTCCAGAGGTTGATGTGGACTCAGCTTGCCGTGCTGCGAGGAACTTGCTGTTCGCATCCTCGAGTTCAGCGATCAGCCCGTCTTGCTCTTCTTGCTCGGAGGTCAGGCTTTCTCGCTCCTTCGCATACTCCCCCAGACGACGCTCAAAGAGGCTCTCAAATTGCACGTGAGAGATAGGCTGCATGGGATACTCACGCTCTAGACGTGAGGCTTCCTTCAGAAGGGCCGAGCTAATGTCGTCGTTGGCTGCTTTCGACCTCAATGCTTCAATCTTCCGCTTCCTCCGATGCTCAAGCCTAGTAAGTTCGTTGATTGCTGCTCGCAGAGTGGCCGCAGCATTTTCGATTTCTGGTGTCAGCGTCACATTGCGCGATGAAGGGATATGCGCTTCGATATCGCGATTAGACCCTGTCATTATGCGGAATATATGCTCATTATCTCGGATCTTGCTTTGTACCAGGCTGTCGGAAGAGGCGGCAGAATTGAGGTAGTTTTGCAGCTCCACAGATGATTGGTAGACCTTGGCAAGCGCTACCTTGGAGGGCGGCCGTCGCCAGCGCTCAGTCCCGAAACGCTCTCGAGCTCGGTCATCTTCCTCTCGTTCGCTGTCAAGTAAGGCTAGCCCTTCCTGGTAAATGGCGAGATCATTGGTCTTGATACGTGATGTGTCGTCGATTGACCCTTTCAACCGATTAAGCGCATCCTGCTGACGAAGTTCCTCAGCTTTCGATAGCAGCGATGAGGGGAGTCCCAGTGGCTTCTCCAGAGCTTGAAGAGCGCCGGGCAAATTCAGAGATTGTAATTTGTCTCGTATTTGGGCGGTCAAGGTGTCGATGTCAGCAATGATCGATTGATTGACCAGTCTGTCGCGGCGATCTGCATATATCGAGGCCGCTTCGTGTACGGCATAAGGGACCAGCTGTTCGAACAATGGACTTCCGAACGGTTGATTTGGTCCAAGCAGGGAGATGGCATCCGATACCTCTTTCGGAGTCTTGGATGAGACCATGCTGGCTCTGTCGATCAGGCTGAGTTCTGACTTCGAAGGAACAGGGAGCAGGTAGATAACATCGTTATCCTTTTCGGCCCGCTTCAGCTCCTCGGCCACTCTCGTCTTGAGACCTTGCAAATCTGCCATGACAGTTTTGTTGATCCATCGCTGCTGAGTGAGAGCCTCGTCGACGCACTTGATGCTGTCACGAAGTCGAGCGACCTCCTCACCATACTTTCTCTTCTCCAAGCAGTCCCTAGAAGCGCGATACTGAGCAGCGGCTGCAAAGTGGTGGTGCTTAGCTCTGAAGTGGTGGATCCATTCTGCCGAGACAGCTTCCGACTTGACCGCTGCATCGTCTGCGGCCGAGTAGAGATCAGAAACCTTTGCAGCAAGCCTTGCGATCGTGCCGTCTCTCATTGAGTCCTTGACGGCCTTTTGCCAGAATGCCTCTTGAGCCTGCGCGAGACACAGATATTCCAGACTTTCGAGTGTGTTTGCTTCCATATCCTCAGGCAATGTACCAATCAGCTCGGGAATCACCTCCTTGCGCAGGTACGCCAGGGTACCTGCTGCCGCCATGCCATAGCCGGCTGCTTGCTTCAATCCTTCTGGGGTTGTTCGGTTAAGGGCAAAGGCTAGCTGGGTGTAGAGGGCGGCAAGGTTAAAGAGCACGTTGGCCAGCTCATATCTTAGGCTGTTCTGGAGTACTGCTTTGGTAGTGTTGTAGCCTATCGAAGGATACCACGGAAATTCCACACCAATCTCGACCGGAAACTTGCCAGAGATGTACTGCAATTGCGCAATATAGCGCTGCAGTTTGGCGAGGCCAGATACATGTGGTTCAAGGACGTTGATCGCGCTGTCTCGCAACTGATCTATCGCTCGGAGTTGATCATTGAAAGTGGAGGGTGACTGCTCATAGTGCTTTGCGATGTACGACTTGATGGCTGAGGACAGATCGACCGCGTGACTCTTATGGAAGGGAATTTCGAGTATGTTCCTGCCATTGTCAGCTACATCATCAGCGGGCACAGTGCAAACCCACGCAGCCATTGCCAGGCCTAGCCGCTGTGCGACAGGCTGTGCCCCGCTGCTGTTGAAACTGCCGTTGTGGAAGGCAGGCAGAAGTGCTTGTGGGATACTGATTTGACGACAGTACAAGTCTTGCTTTAATCATCAGGCTCTTCTCCTTATGGATCTCTGCTGCACGACACGAAGCGATGCTGAGGCGCGTTTGGAAGTTGGTTGGACTTTTCGTGAAGTCCAAGGCAGCACTTATTACGTCACCGTCAACCGGCGCTCAAAATAGATCCGCTCTCGTACTTGTCCCCTACCAACATGGCCAGGCACCTCGGAAACATAGCTTCGGGAGCGAGATGTGAAACGAGCAAGACTTGAGAAAGAAGTTGTGTCATTTGAGATGCATCGGTTTGCTAGACTGCACGTGATACCTTCAAGTTGGGCAGGCGTCTATCACTGCTTGAATTCGCCCTTCAGGTGGTAATCCTCGTAGTCATAATAGGCTTGAAATTCCGCGTAACACGTCTCATAGTCGCTCTCCATCTTGAAGTTGTACTCGGCCTCCTCATCTGTGATGAGAACCTTCTTCAGCCCATTCGCCGCAGCAGCTTCTGCCAATAGTTGATTTTCACAGGCTTTTTCCATCGATAGAAACAGGAACGCGGCCTCGTCAACGGTCTGTCCCACAGTCAACAGACCGTGGTTGCGAAGTAGAGCGCCCTTGCCGTCGCCAAGCGCGTCAGCTATCCGCTCGCCTTCCTCCTCGGCCAGAACAACCCCTCCATATTGATTGTAACACGCATGTGCATTGTAGAACTTGCAAGTATCCTGCGTCAACATCTCCAACGGCTTGCCGAAAACTGACCAAGCTTTGCCGTACTTGGTATGCGCATGGCAGACTGAATGAGCATCTGCTCTACGTCGATGGATGGGCGCATGGATCAGGAAGCCAGCCGCGTTCGGAGGCTTGCTGCGATTGCCTCCCACTACCTTTCCGTCATCCAGGTTCACAAGCACCATGTCTGAAGCGCAAAGCAGACCAAAGTGCTTTCCTAGGGGGTTCAACCAGATGCAGTTGGTCCATTCTGGATCTCTGACCGAGATATGGCCTGAGATGCCGAGCACGTAGCCTTCGCGCGACCAGTGCCTGAAGGCAGCGGCCATGTGCTCTAATTGCCATTGCCTCTTCTCGGCGAACGAGGGAAATGTCGGGATGCCAGGCAAAGTGATGTCGCCATGCGAGATTGCTGCGAGAGGTCTCACATCTTGCATACCATGGACGTGCGCCTTTTCCTTCTTGGGCAGGACTGATTTAGAGCCGACGGTGGATGGCAGTAAGTCTGCGACTGCGGTGGGTGCCATTGTGTCGATAGCGGTGGTGTACTTGAGTTGTCAAGGAAGCAGGGAGCCAGCAACACGAAATGGAGAAACATGTAGCAGCTTCAAGTCGGTTATCGTTATTAGTTTCCTCGCCTCCCATAGGCGTTGGCATTTAAGGGTTACAGTAGTCCTAAGGTGAGTGGCCAGTTTTTCCCCAGAGGAGAGTTCCGGGCCGGTCGACGCGCAATTCCGCAAACATCCCCACGCCTCAAGTCCCTCCACGACGTGCCAAGGCATCTGTCTTTGATGCATACTAGGAACTTGTGCTGAGGGCCTCCTGCTTCTGCGGCCTTTGGGTCGCAAGGCTCGGCCGTGATCAGCGGCTTGAGTGGCAGATAAGATGAGTCTGACGAGAATGCCACGGGACCTGGACCATGGAGGCGCCCGAGTTCGTGATGGATGCAGTTCCAGCGGTCCCTTTCGACGAGCGCGTATAGATGATGCTTACGCAATTGCTGCTGCTAGGCGATTCTGGTAGCTCCGTGTGGATAACGGTACATCACCGCCTTGGAGCCAGACCGGGCGCGTCGCCAATTCTCTCATCCCGTTCGGTCTTGAACAAAATCTGGCACCAAAACTCCTTCTTGTCCTCGTCCCACCACTCCCAAAAGCTGTCGCCCCTCCGATCCACCTCTCGACTTTGTAGCTTGAAACCGCATGTTTCGTAAGGCTCGGCGGCAATGAGCAGGTACTGGTAATTCTTGTCCGGTGGATCCTCGATCTTTTGTTCATATGCACTCATAAACCTGATCTTTGGCACGACATCTTGACCGATCTCTGGGTACAGCAATTGGAACAGAAGGCCGACCTGCCTCGTCAGATTATCTCTAACCTTTGTGATCTTGTAACCGGGCCGTCCAATCTTGACCACATTTTTCCTGATCTGCACACCACTCATGCCCATCATCATTGCGCCATCTTTGCTCGCCTCTCGCGCTTCCCGTGCTGCTCGTCGTGCTAGATTCGTCTGATGTTTCCGACCTTGTGTATGGGCCAGGTATGAGCCATCGTTCTGGTGAACTGTGAGGCATAGTCGACACTCGAAACTGCCAACATGATTCTTGAAGAAGTATGGGTCTTTGTCTAGGTCGATGGTCTCGAGAGCGAGTTTTCGTAGGCGTTCTCGGCGGTCAGCATTCGTTGCAGACCCCGAGGCCACACCACCACCGCCAAATTTGGACCCGGCACGATTTTGGTAGTCCATCTTGGGCAGATGCGACTAGTCGCGAAGAAGAACCAGGCGCGTGAACAGGGCCAGATCTCGTCTCGATGCGCAGAAGAGCGGGCGTCTTATGAATTTGATGTGTTGAAAGGCTCAGACAAGAGAGAAAAAGTCATCGATGACCACCATTACAAAAGTGTTGCCTTAGACGAGGCTGAGGCGGAGCCTTACGACAATGCTTTATGGCGGCAGCATCATAGAGACTCGACTTGTGCTATACATGTGCTCTTCACCCCACTCAAACCATAGTTCCGAAGCGCGGTAGTGGTACCGTAGACTCCTGTGGCTACGGAGAGTCCCTCAGCCAGAATGTCTGAGGGAGCAGAGTCGTTCTACACATCCACAACACCAGGTAATCCAACGTCACCGACAGGGCCACCTCCCCCACCTCCGCCAAAACCTCATGGACACATCGCTTCCAACGATCCTTCACGGACCGGCACGCCATTATCGTATGCGCAAGAGCAGCAGCGACCTGCACCGCAATTGCCGACTCAGTCTGCACTTCAACAGCAGCAGCCACAGTACACTGCATCGCCCGGGCTCGGCAGCCCACCTCCGCCCCCACTCCCGCCAAACCCGTCCTCCTTTTCCAAACCCGGAGACGCACCTCATCCTGCACACGCACCACAGCAGTCTGCTAGCTATGCCAGCGGCTTACCACAAAGCCAGCAGATTCCTCCTCCACATCCTTCGGAGCGCTGGCTACCTGAGCAACCTCCCTTGGCAACATACTCTATCCCCGATCTGACTGATTTACTGAATCAACCACCTCTCCTGCACGCGCTGTCGCAATCTCATCCGTCGTATGAGTCTGCGATACAGCCACTGAATACTCTGCTTGCTCAAAACCTCGCACTGGCCAAAGAACTGTCGCAACTCGAGTCACAGCTCCGTGCCGAGCGTGACAAGACCGCACAGCTGATGCTAAACCACACGTCACTACAGCAGCAATGGCGCCGGAAACAATCAGAAATGGACAATGCGCTAAGTCCGTGGCAACCTCGGGCCATGTACCAACGCCTGGTGGCTAGTACAGGAGAGCAAGAAGCACTGCTAAGAGCCATTCACGAATCCTTCCTTGAGGGCCATGGTGATGGTTCTGCAACTAGCGTCGATGGCAAAGCGAGCGACAGAGAAGTCGCAGAATGGATCAGGAGGATCAAGGAAGGCACCACTACGCTCGAGCGCCGAAGAGAGTTGAAGAATCGATGGGACGAAGGCCGGGTCGGTGGCTTCAGATGACGAACCAGCGGAGTGCGCTACTAACGTAACACGACGATCCTACACTTACGATACAATCAGGGGCTGAGCTTGGGCACCACGTCTACAAGCACGACACAAGAACGCGACAAGCCTGATTGCAAGCCGATGACACAAATCCCACGGCAACTCTGGCCTTGCGACGTCAGGCTACGAATGTCGGTGGTGAGATGTGAGTGGCTTACGTTAAGCTGAAGAAGCAAACGATAATGGGAAGAGACGTGAACTTGGCTCCTGTGTCTGAATCAACCGCCCCTTATTGCTGCATGTCTGCCTCGACTCGACATCCTTTGCAGCAGATCATTACGGGTTGCTATCTTGTTCTGTGACAACGGTCCACACACAAAGACTATGTCCTACTTCGGTGACATTCGACGCCAAATGAGAACGTTGTTGCCCGAATCTGGTCGCTCTCGCATTTGGCCGACTACTGCTCGAGTGCGCCCGATTAGATGGTTACGACATCGAAGGTGACTACAAGATACCGAGGGCACGTCCCGACTACAGAGAACACGTATGCACTCTTACGTTGCTGCCACCTGAATTGTTGAGATTCGTGCAGAAATTCATCAACTTGCAGGACGTCGCATAAGTGCCAAGGACTCAATAGGTCGAACCAGACTTGTTCAAACTGTAGCACGCAGAGACCTTCCGAACTTGGACGTGGAACGAGTGTGAGGGTAGAGTGCTGACAGACTTTGTGTTTAGCTTTCCACACGGTTCATGCCGCTCAACGTGGTGTGCCATACTCTGGTTTGGCACCGGGAACGGCGCATCGAAATTCGGAATTCATCCGTTGGAGCGCTTTCACATCTTGAAGAGGAATCTGCGAGCGTTCGATACGCGCGAGTTGACGAAGCATTTCCAATGCTACAAGATCCTTGGTACATCCGAACCTGAGCTGCTGTGCTGGAATTCGATCTGGTATCAGCACTCGATCTGGCAGCGGGCCTGTGATGCCTGATCGCAACGCGCCATGATAATCGCCCATAATTTCGGACGTGGGCCGGTCGATCTGTGGGTGCCAGGAAAACGTCTAGAACCGATCTTCGCCGTTGGGTTTCCACGCGCTTCGGAATGACAGTATCCTCTGAGGTCGGGTATACTGGCCCACCGTTTGCGGGCACCGCCTTGCAGCAGCTGCGGCTTTTTCAGCGGTATAGAATATTCTACCCTGCCCGCGCCAATTGTTCTTCGGAGGGTTGGCGGTTCCCAACTGCTCGGTTGCCCGAAAACCATGGTCTGCCATTTGCGATTCGTCCACGCGACAACCACCGAGTGGCTTGCTGAGCAGGACCCTGATCGTACCGAGGCCAACACTATGCGCTGTTCATTAGAGTCTGACCGTTGAGCACTGGCAGATTCGTGGCTTTGCCTTTGTGCCTAGAAATCAAGAATACTTAGTGAAAGGCAGAAAAGTCTACAGAAGCTCCGATTTGCTGGCATCCTTGTGAGCATACACCGGATACGCACACTCGGCATAGCAAGCTAGCGACGTGCACTAGCGCTGAATCCATAGTTTGCGCAAACCGTAGCTATGATGAATGCTACGCTCTATAGAACACAGACTACATGGGAAACACTCGCCAGAGTCACCATAGGGCGTTAACAATCCCATCGAGGTGTCATTTAGCCGAGGACCGGACGTCATTGGCTTTTATCGATTTGCGACTGGGTAATCCTTACATTGGGCCGGCGCAATAACTATGCGGAAGGCCATGATAGATTATACTGTTGCGGTTGTCGCCGAACAGGACACACCATAGACCTTTCAGTGGCAATGTGTCGCTCAAAGCGAATCCTTGGATCCTGTCAGCGTCGCAGTGACCACGAATACACCTTAACAACAGCCGTCTGAAAATCTAGGTGGGAGAAGAAATCCCATCGAAGTGAGTGGGGAATGCGCTCGGCCGATGATTCGCCATGCCCAACAGGTTCTGCTCTACTCTACCATTACCTGAATTGGGTTGTTTCAACCAGAGATGGACACGTTACTCGAGCCATCCGAGGACAGGTGCTACTTTTTGCGCTGGCATGTGTCCTAACGCTTGCGCAGTGACAACGACGTGGCACAAATAATGGGCCAAGTCAAGTGCACAGACATCAATGATCAGCCTGACACGTGGAAGATAACAGGCGAGAATCCCGGCACTTTTATCGCGGTACCTGAATCTATACCGAACGCGTCTAGTAAAACGGCCGGAAGGAATATTTTCTGTGTGCGGCGTTCTCGGGGCGAAAAAGCGGCAAACCAATCGCTCTGCGATGGTGCCTGGAAGCTTTGCCGCTGGCACCTTCGCCATGTGTGTGGGTTCACGCGACGCCTGCATTAGTCCAGGCACCGGAACGCCGCCTTTCAACTTTGTCCGGTTGCGCTCGGGTTCTCATTCGTGGATTGAGCCCCCCATGTAATGTCTCGCCCCCTCCCTCCTGGTTGTGTTGGATCGGAAGTCGAGAAGACTGCCGCGTCCAGTCGTGGTTTCATCAACAAGCTGGTCCGCTTCAAGAGGGGAATCCGTTGATGCACGCAAGGATTGCCCTTCACCCATCTTGATTCCAGTCAACCAAGTTTCCACTATGGCCAGCGCTACTGCACGCCAGAAAAAATTGTTTTCTTCGTCCAGACTTTGGTGGCAGAAGGGTAAGCATACAGATCGGTGTCTCGGGGTGGGCACTGGGCAGAGTTTTGCGTGTTGGGGAGAGTGGTCGCGTGCAAGACCATTGTGTATACATATCTCCCCTTTCCGGCCCCGTGGCTTTTGCTTTCTCTCACACTTCAATTGTCAATCATTCTCTCTTTGAGCAGGTCTCTCTATCAGCATCATTCCTTTGCTGTTCAGACGTCCATTGCCCACTACGACCTTCGTCGATCAACCAAAACAACCACTCCTTCATTTGCCAAGTCTGTCGACTACCAAACACAACCATAACATGTCTTTCTCCAAGATGACTGGCGCAGCCGTGCTGCTTGCCCTCGCTCCCTCTGTCATGGCCATGGGTTCCGCTACCGTCATCAACAACTGCGGATATCCCATCTTCTATGCCCCTGTCGGCCAGAACACCTCGCCCGGCATGTCGCAGATGCAGGGTAGCTACTCCCAGCAGTACAGCCAGCCTGGCAATGGTTACTCCATCAAGCTCTCTCCTTCGTCAAGCGGTCAAGTCACCCAGTTTGAGTTCACCCTGGGCTCGGACGGCAAGATTAACTACGACCTGTCCAACATCGACGGCAACCCATTCGCTGCCGGCGGTATGAGAGTTGAGCCTTCCATGGCCGGCGACTCCAGCAACCCTAGCTGCCAGGTCATCGACTGCCCAGCTGGCGCTTCAACTTGCACCGCTGCCTACAACCAGCCCGATGATGTGCGCACCCACGTCTGCAGCGACCAGGCCGACCTCGTCCTGACAATGTGCCCCGGCGGTAGCGGTTCCAGCACACCTACCACCTCGGAGCCTGCTAGCTCGTCCCCTGCCAGCTCCCCAGCACCATCATACGGTGGCTCATGGAACGGTCCCCCTGCCAAGCGCGCTGAGCACGGTCACCAGCGCATCCACTCTCGGGCTTTCCGAGTTTAAGCAAAGACATGTTTATGACTACAAGACGATTCCGTCTGCCTTCTCTCGTCAGCGCAGCTAGATCTGCCGCGACATGATTCCTTCCAACAGAAAGTTCCATTCTGCATCCACTCCAGTCATTCATTGAGAGATCTTCACGAGTCGACACGTGGACATTCTCATCATTCCTGAGAGGGTGCGTCCCACTGAAGCCTTGAAGGCTTCGTGCTTTTTGCACAATTACAATCATTCATTTTATCATTCGATTCCATATGGTCCAATGATAAATTTACAGTCTCAACGACATTCCCATCGGAACTTTCTTGTTGGCGGGGAAAAGGAGAGTCAGATGGAATCCGCTTTGCTGGACAAACTTTCAATTTTTGAAACCACATCTCCACCGCAATCACGCGTGGAATGGACCACACACAATGTCAACACTGTTGGACATTACAATCTTACGATGATGACGACTACTCAACGACGACCCAGGACAATCTTGCACTGGCGCTCTCCGCGTTGTCAATTTTCTTTTACGTACTTGATGACTGTTTGGGCACAGGCCTTTGAGCCTCAATCGACACGTCCGCCACGAGCAACCCGTCCGGAAGGGCCTCGTCGGCGCGTGTGCAGATGGTCTGGGGAAGAGCTTTACGAACTATAGATACTTTACTGGGGAAGGATGTTTGGATGTGAATGATCTTCGCTTCTATACATACATGATGCCGATCCGCGTGTCCTCGCAGGAGGACTGGGGAGGCTGACTTATTCTGATAGATGTTCTTTCATTTCAAAATCAATCAGACCATGAAATTTCTACTGTTCTTTCCCTCTTCCATGCCTTCATCATATCTTACTATGCGCAGTGCAGTCGCACGCCGTCTGAATAGGCGCCTTCCTTCTCGTGCTTGCTTCTGCGAGCCTAAATCCTTCGTCTCTGTCACCTCGGACAGTGCTTCCTCAGTCGCATCATCCTTCGTTGTATCCTAAGCAATGCGGACATCATTCTCTCGGGCATGAACGGCGTCGCCTACAGGACAATTCCGAGTCACGCCAGGACGCTTCATCGTACCAGAGGATCGCTGCTTCTCTTTCCTGTTCCTGACACACTCCTACCTCCTCGAGCGAGGTGACAGCTTGCGTTGACAGACTGTCAGTGTTACTACCTTACATGACAAATGACACATGACAGAGAACGTTGCATAACCGACCCCCTCGACCACCTCATCGACCGACCTGATCCGCAACACGTTTACTCAGTATCCATTGCGAACCCCCAGACCACGACGCGTCGCAAACAAACAATTCCACTCGCAGGGGACGACAGATTGTCGTGACGCGTCCATATCAGAACTTAGGCACATTTCCGACCAACCAGCCTGACCAGCACTTACCTGACACGCCGTTGACGAGACAAGGAAACGTCAAAAAGAGGGCGGCTTCTCGGGCCTCCTGACCCCTGCCTCTGGAACTCGGTTCAGAAAATCTTCACGAGGTTGAGTTTGCCAACTTGCCCAGACCAGTCTTAGCCCGGCGCCCCCAGCTTAGCGAGAAGGCTAAGCATGCCGAGGATTGAACGTCTTTTTTCCAGGGATCTTCCATTGACCGGCGAACAGGCGTAGATCACATACCGGCTGTCGGATTTCGAGGCAAATATGGTCTTTCCCAACAATGAGAGGGAATATGCACTACGAGATGACTACTGCATGCTGCACGATGTACCGGGTTATTGCGCGAAATTCTGCTTTGGACTGGAACAGCAGTTCCGGGACAAGAAAGAGTTCAATGATCAGGAATCATGAACGATGGGACAGCCACAGCATTGCACTCGCCTCAATTTGCTTCCCGGTGTGCCTGATGCCGCCCGTACCTGTGGCTTTCGCGTGGGCGGCCCAACTTCCTGTTCCTGAACCTTCGCATACCGGCGCACCCACCCACACTTTCCTTTTGACTCGCGAAAGAAAACCGTCGTAAGTTCTCTGTGCAGCTTTCATCACGAACACTCGAGTCTCCCAGCCGCCAGAATTTTGCCATTCGCTGCGCGATTTCGTTCGCACTTTGATGCAACGCAAGGTGGATGATTCTGCAGCCGACGGACGTTCGTCCAGATCGCCGATCCTCGTGATGGGCATGAAGCAGAGCCAAGTCGATACAGCAGGACTGTTGTGAGCGGAAACTGCCTCTGCAGTCAGGGAGCGGCTGTTTTCGCAGTCACCCTTGCCTGACTCAAGCGCCGAGTGCTGGTCAGAGCGATGCGGGATGTGTTCGGCCATCTCGAGTGCCCTTTCCAAGAAATCCTTGTTCGGGTTCAACACAGCTTATGTTGTACATCGATCGCACTTGGCTCGTTGGTTGGCAGAACTTCACGACACGTCACGTCTGCTGATCTTGGCATCAGACAGACGATCAACGCTGCATCTCTCAGTCAGGACGCCAACGACGGGCCGGCTGACATGAGTTCCGTGAGGCTCGTCGATCACAGGGCAAGCTACGAAGGTACAGTGCGTTGATAGTGCCAAGACCATCTGCAGTGTCTGCTATTGCAGTATGCTGTGCAGCCTTCACCTGCCTGCTCGTCACTACGAAAAAGCACAAAGGGTCTTTGTACAATGAGCACCATGCCTCCTTGTCCAGGACAAAGCAAATGCACACCACGACCACCATGACGGACAAAGCGAACAAAGAGCATGGCAGAGGGCACCAGGCATTACTTCAGAGTGGCAGTTTGCCTTCCTTCTTGTCAGCTCCCTCACTGCTTTCTGTTAGACTGCGCCCATCTCGATCTCATTGACCACACCTGAGATAGAGATTGAGTGCCATTCGTTCCACAGTCCAAACCCAAAGATGTGCTGCATATTCTCCCAGTCCCATATCTGCGGGCACAGCGGCCCTGACCACCGCGAGGAGTGCGCAAATGCTCGTTCCGGTCGACCTTGCGTCAACACTAATAAGACTGTTCACTCTGCGCAGGCCTGTTGGCAGTGTGTCAAGCCACTCAATGACTACATGAGCACTCGTACTGGTGTTGTGGCAGGTGGCGCAGCGGGATGGTCTGCTGCACCACCAGGTAGGTACGAAGCATACCAAAATCCGCCAGCAACGTCGGTCTTCAGGGATCAGAATGTACGGTCAGGCGTGCAGGCATATGCTCCTAAGCAGCAGCAGCAGGTGAGAAAAGCACCCACTTCCGGCTTCGAAGCCTACAATGAGCATCTCGCCGGCGTCAATCCTGCTAACAACGCTAATTTCGGAAGCGGGCCCAGCCAACAACGCTCTCACGCGACGAACTCACTCCTAATCCAGCAGCCATTCCAAACACTTCCAATGCGACCACCTCAGCAGCAGCCAGCCATGATGGTGCCAAGACAGCAGTATCAGCAGCAGAACTCCCTCCTGTTTGACACGAACCAGAATCAGACACGGCTGTTCTTCGGCGGGTCTAACGGCAACATCAACGGTAGTAGTATGTTGCAAGCTCCTCGGGCGCCGCCAGCTTCGCTATTGCCAATGCAGAGCGGCAATATCAACACTGATAGTATGATGCAGGCTCCTCCTTCCTTGGCGCCGCCCCCAGCACTGATGCCAGGCCCAACGATGGCGAATCTCGCATTCAGCATGAATCCACCATACCCCGACTCCGGGCTCCAGGGCAGCAACAACAATTATGGAGGCGGAGGTGTTGGCGGCAGTATTTTCTTCGGGAAAGATGTCGATTTCTACACAAGACCTTTCTAAGCCTGAGCTCACAGCTTGAGCTTTTCTATCCGGGCGGCTTTCTGGCATGGTCTCGGCCAGGAGGAAGGAGAGCCATTATTGAAGTCAACGGGAAGATTCGCTAGTACCTCGCTAGTACCATCTACTCGGAAGCACGAATCTAGACTTCTGACGACCACTATCCCATTGAATCGCACTTCTACCATGTCTCTTGAACGCTTTTTCATGCACAACGACGTCTCTCCTTACGTGTTGGCGTGGCCGATTGCATCCATCGGCCTGACCTTCGAGCTGCCATATTTGATCAAGGCCGGTTGACTAACATCATGTAATGCACACCTTGATTGAACCTTCCCCAATAGACTCGCAGACATTCGCTGCAATGCGCCTTCTTTGGTCCGACCTGGCAGCTGCTGGTGGATTATTAGCAAGGGAGGAAGCTGCGATGAGACGATTTACGGAGCGAGCAGGCAAGTGCGTGAGCTTCAAGTCTAGAGGTGACGCCGGATGACTGGAGGTTGGGCGTTGTGTCATCAGACCGGAAGACAAAAGCTGCGCTTCGACAAAACCGGATGACAAGCTGGCCCTCAGTCCTACGACGCGATTACTGTCGTTGTTGCATCGTGCATCTCTTCTCTCTGGGACTACGTCCGTAGCGGGCTAACATAGGGCGTAGGTGCGCACTGACTAGGTAATGTCAAGCAGAATAGACGCACGCTGTAGGCGGTCGGGCAAGTTGGACTATTCCCTAGTGAGGAGAGGGTCATCACATTTATACCTCGTGCTTTCACGAGGCAACATGACACACGGTGCTGGCCGAGTCAGTGCAAGAGCGAACTGCTGGAATTACAAGATATGCAGTCTGAGCACTCGCAGGTGAGATAGAATGTCATCTTGCACACAATCTCTCCGGGAGATGGACCTGTGAGGTAGCTGGAGATAATATTATAGAGACCCGATAGATCAGGTTCCTGTAAGCACTTGTTGCCATAACCTAGCGGTTTGGCGATCCTCAGCCGATCGAGAGGCTCCGAGTCTCGCAAGGATACGCGCCTTGCACGCACAGAGCTTCCTTGGTCGCGGGTGATGATAAGAATGTCTGCCATTCTGACTCTGGAGCGTCGACATTGTTCTTTGCTCCATCGTCTCGCATGGACGCGCGTGCAATGACGTCGGGCTCGTGACCCAAGAGTCGCAGCGCTTACATCGTACGCTCACATCGCAACACTACACGACTCAAGCACCATTCTGTCCTGCTCCACCAGTGACCTTCGCCGCCTGCACCGCTGCCATCTTATGCGCCCACGGCGTAGCCGGCTGCGGCCTCCTCGCCGTTCGGATTTCATCGGTCGAGTAGCCCGGAATGCGGATATTGTAGTTGCGCTCGAGGACGATAAGAATGTCGCGAAGGTCGAGCATTGGACTCTGGCGGGCTTTGGCGAGGCGGCAGGCCATAGTGACGAGGTCGTCCACGAAGTCGTCTGCTACTTGGAGGAAGATCTGAGGCAAAAAACCATATCAGTACTGGATATTTGTACAAATGGAAAGGGTAGTGATAGAATTGGGGTGCAAAAAAGGCTCACCTCTTCGGCATCGGCACTCATGAACTGCTCTTCGCCACCGATGCCGGGTCCGACGACTTCCCGCAAGAGCTCGTTGAGTTTCTTCCTGCCCAGAACGCGACCATCTTCGGAGTGCTCAAGCACGTATCCTGGTAGCAGAGGAATGGCAGGCTGACTCATCGACCCAGGCATGCCAACGCCAGCACCACCGGACATGGTAGGCCGCGACGGAGGCATCGATACAGGACGAGGTTCGGTAACTTGCAGGTTCTTGGTTATGGCTAGTTGTGGCGCTTTCGTTACGTTTAGATTTTGCGCTAGAGGATGGGCATGGATATTTTGCTGCGATGCGTGCTGTTGAAGTGCCGATTGCGGTTGTGACGATGGACGAGCACCTGCGGACTGGGGAAGTGAATTGTTCAAGGCACTTGCCTGCGCCTGTGAAGCGAACGCGGATTGCTCCTGGTTTTCGGTCTTCACTGGGGTTGCACTTGCTCCGGCGGGGTTTGGTTGCTGGGGAGCATTCGCATTTGTGGGAGTGACACTTGCCTGCCCAGTTTCGGCCGCTTGCGCCTGCTGGTTTCTAGCCGCGGATACTGCGTCGCTGATCGAATATGCTGGAGGTCCCTGTGTGTTGGTTTGCGTACCGCCTGCAGACATTGGGACTGCTGCGCCTTGCCCTTGTTGGCTGGCTTGCTTCTGGTATTGATTCTGCGGCTGCTGGGCGCGGAATTCGTTCTGTTGATTTCTAAACTTCTCCATGAAATTCTGGCTCTCCTGGATGGCTTTCTGGCATTGCGACATTCTGGTTCGGTATGACTGTTCCTCCTGCGGCTGCATTTGTCCAGAGGCTTGACGTTGGCTGTAATTCGTCTTGGTCTCGTTGTACTTGGTTGTGGCGACTTGCAGCCTTTGCAGCGCCTGCCCATACCTAGCTTTAGCTTCGCGCAACCAGTCATCGGCTTGCTTGGTGCCCTCGACCATGGCTGTGGGATAGTAAAACACAAGACCATTAACCTTGTCCTGGATACCCTGGTAGAGCTGGTTGAACATTGTCGCATTCCCAGAGGCTTGGCCCTGTGACTGGCCTGCTGCCTGTTGGGCTGTTTGACCGCCCTGAGCTGGCTGTCCTGCCGATGCTGCCTGCGCAGCCTGGGCCACCATCTGCTCTCTTTTCTTCTGTTGTTGCGCCATTTGTTGAAAGTTCTTCATGCCTGCCATCAACGTCTGAGAGGTCTGAACGAGCTTATTGTATGCCTCGGTCTGTCTCTGGTCACCTTGTGGAACTGCATTCATCACTTCCCATAATTTCCGCACGTGTTGTTCGTACTGTTGCTTCTGTTGCGCATTGAGCTGAGGAAGCCGTGAGACTTGCTCCGGTCTGATGAGCGACCCATGCCCTTGGGCTGTGCGCTGTTGTTGGGTGTTGTCCATTGTGCCTGTCTCGGCAGTCGAAGACAAGTGGCCCGATAAATAGGTCTGGGGAGCCTGGCGGCCCCGAAGGGCGATTTAGGCGGATGGGAACCGCTCGTGAGCGGCTCCTTCTCGAGTGATGCCTACGGCGATGGCTACGATGGATGCGGAACACAGAGCAGAGTCAAATGATATTGGTAGGATGCCTGCGTCTGATGCGTGGCGTTGGTCGCTTGCGGGAAGAGGTTCAAGGTGCAAGGGCCCTGCAATAATAATGGTCGGCGCGATTGTGGAAGTGCGAGAAAATAATAGTTGAGATGATTTCGATTGTTGCTTCTCGTGTGCAGAGCGCGTGGTAGTGGCTGGGCTGATTAATAGTCGCTGATAATGCGAAAGTGAGGTGAAAATGAAGCGAGCTGGGACACATGTGAGGTATGATGCTCCCCCCAATCGACTGCGCGAGGCTTCAGCCTTGGCAGCATAGGACCTGTATGAAGCCACATCCCTCTCACCGCGTGTCTTGCTGCTTTTTCAGACAGCGTTAATGCAACCACAATACAGCGTTACAGCCCAGCTCGTGCCCAGCTGGGCCTTCTCACTTTGAGTGAGGTGAGTCAGGCTAATAGGAAAGACCTTTTCTGCCTCTATCCACGAAGCATAAGCATCAACGTGTCGAGTTTCTTACCACGTCTTCCCACGATTCTTCCGCGGTATCGCTTGCTTCCAGACTTTCGGTGGAGCACGCACGAGACAATGGAATCCGAATTCGAGCACCGAGCGATGATGTGCAGATGGCATTCTGCTGGTGTCTCAAAGTCAATCACTGGCTCCAAGAACGCCATACCCACAGTTACGGCATCAACGCATCGTGCAAATCGAGTCAATGCAGAAATGATCTCCCACTTTACTTACTCCTTGTTTAAAGCTTGAGAACCCTCAAAGTCTTCACAAAGCCACATTGGATGCGGCTACCAATGATCTGCCCGGGTACAAATTGTATCAATTGGAAACTCAGACTCCTAGATGAATTGTGCCAGCGACATTCAGGAGTTCCAGCCCTCCAACGGACTCCCGATATTATTTGTATCTCAGCATGTCTGCCTCCTCACTCTTCCCGGGGTCTTGCAACATTGTCCTGCTTGAAATCGGTCTCGTGACTCCACCGCCATGGTTCTCATCAGGATCGGCTTGATCTTTGCGGTCATCGGCGGGCTCACGGCTGCTATCCCTTGGGAGCTCGAAGAACGTGCAGGTGCCATTTGCTCTACTGGCTTCTACGGCGAGATCGGTAAGAGGAGTTGTTGATCTACCCACCCGTTTCTAATACATCTTTCAGTCCCAGTGCTGAAATCGTACGGGCTCGCTCAATCCTTCTGTCAAAGGGCATTTCCGCCAGGCTGCACAACACAAAACAAGGTCAAGCGCGCTGCATCGACCACAACGACTTCTAAGACATTGACCACGCCGGCTCCCAAGCCTCCGACGAATCAAGCTGCCGCATTCTCGAGACTCCGGCAGGAGGGTAAAGAGGTCGTCTCCGCCATTTGCTCATGCATCCAAAGTCATAAGGTAGGCAAGTTGATGGGTTCGAAAGAATGTACTGATCAGACAAGCCGTGCACAACGACCGCAACGATCACCACTACCACCACACCCTACGACGACCACCACTACCACCACTACGACCACCACTACGACCACGCCCACAACGACCACCACTACCACCACGCCCGCAACGACCACCACTACCACCACTACCACCACTCCCACCACTCCCACGACGACGACCACCACAACCACAACCACCACGACCACCACGATGACCACCACTACCGCCGTGGGTCCCAGGCCCTTGGATACAATCTACGTCACCGGCGGCGTTGTCGGTTTTACGAGTACACTAGCCACGGTGGACGCTCAGGGAAGCCCAACGGCAGTCGTTATCATAGGAGTACCTGCTGCCCCTACATGAACCACCCAGTCCGCGAGTCACAATTTGGGTCCGATACTGGCACATACCAAGTACTATCTTGACCACAAAGCTCATCGTCGATAACCGCTGCTGTGAGAATCGACGCTGCATCATCTCCACTGGACATCGTAGATTCTATTTGTGTCGCTTTCCTTTGCCCGAATCTGTTCCTTCACGGTACGTGTTCTTCTAGTGTAGCTACCGGTCTGAGCCTTTTCCATAGAAATCAACCATTAAGACAATAGCGATCAGGTCTCAATCTCACGAAGCGCAAAGACTGCATACGCTGGATCCTTCGAAAATGCTAAACATTATCGCTATGCAATGCCTCTATGTATATCCGAGAATCCATCGAATCTAGACACAGAAGCTACTAAGCCAAACCCATCGCTTGAACGCTCTCAATCACACTCAACAGCAGCCGCATGCCATATGTATCCGCGACCCGATGCACAATGCTCATCCTCTCCCTGACCGCTGACTTCTCCAGGCTGATGGTCCACTCTCCACCACAAGAGCAGTGCTCCTTGAAAATGCTGTCGTCTCCTTGCAAGCCACCACATTTCTTGCACCGGAGATCTTGGGTATGCCATCGAACGACTTCTTTCTCAACCCTTGCAATCAGATCCTCCTCGAGTACATGGCGATTGAAGTCATTGCTGCAGCTGTGGCATTTCCATGGCTTGTCTATCATCTGACCTGGGTCATCAGGATTGGGAGCCGGGATGACGTCCTCATCTCGACAGAGATCCAGCTCTCTCAGCGCTGTGCAAGTGTCACACACCAGTGACTCGAATTTGAGGCTCTTGCTTGGGTTCTCGAAGCGTGCTTCGGCGCCGAATTCTCGAATCGAAAACAAGTCCAGAAGCTCCTTTCGAAGCAGCCGTGCCTCGAGTTGAAGTGGCTTCGACAGAGACATCATCTGCATCAAGGCCTTGACCAGCTCCAGTACTGGGTCTCGCACCTTTCGTGAGCCTTCCTGGATGGCAAGCGTGCCTCCTGGCAGATGTTCTGGAAATCGCCAGTCACTTTCGAGCTCTATGTTCAACATCTCATCCCTTTGTCTTCGGATCAATTGCCGGATGTATTTGATCAGCGGCCTGGAGAAGTCTTCCTGCAGAATGGTGGTGACTTCCGTGCTTGTTGGATTCTCGGTCAGGCTCAGGAAAGTGTTTTGTGGTAATTGTGTCTGCCTTGGAGTTCCATCTGGTCCGAACTCATCCTCCGGTCTCTTCAATTTCTGCAGAATCTCGATGAAATCAACAATCCAGTCATCAAAGACGCTTTGCAGAGGTACGGGGAGGAACTGCGCCACCTGCCAGTAGACGACGGTGTTGAGCTGGTCGTTGTTGATGGTGTCGCTGATCTCAGGCGTGCCCTTACCGCCGTAGTTGTACGGGTCATACCAAAGCAGCACGTCCCAGTAGTCCTTGACATTCAGGTCGATGAAGTGGAACATTGGCTTCTGCTGTATGGCTTTCAGGACGTACTGAGCGTAAGCGTAGGCATTGGCGACATCCTGTTTCGATGTCTGGAGCAACAGTCTGGTTGGACTGGCGAATACGACTTGGGAGCCTACCCTTCGGAAATCCGTCAATAGTTGTTGAAACGCCTTTTTCGACATCATCTGCACGTAGTAGTGGAGATGACGGTCGTACAGGCACGAAGACGGGGACGCGATCCACCTCAACAGATGCCGCACCATAACGTCGGCCAATGGGCTGTTGTTGCAGGCTTCCGCCCACCAGGCTTTGACCATATCACGAAGCACCTGCAAAGCCTCCTGGGCAAACCCGGACTGGGATTTCGAGACAGCTCCGCCATCGTCCGATATCATTTCGTCGCCTGTAGGGTTGAAGCCCAATGCATCTGATGAACCTTCAAGATCATTGATGAGCGAAGACGTGAGCAACGTGTTGATCGCAAGGTTTTGAACCTCGATGTCGATACACACTGACGTATATGCCCCAGGATTGTTCGTCTGTGGTAACTCGACCACTTCCTGCATTGGACCAAGAATGTCATCCTTCTCGTGCCCAGCGTGGTCGGGCCGAGGGCCTGCTGCCCACCAGAGCACGACGTTGTTGCTTTGTAGCCTGCGGGCATAGGCTAAGTCGATGAGATATCGAGGGTCTTCTTTCTCAAGGTTGCACACTGGCACGTCTCCGTAGCGCGCAAGCTCGAGAAGATGTGAGATCCAGTTCTCGACACCGAGATAGTGACCGACGAGACGCCTGAAGGTAAACGCTTGCCAGCCGAGAGGTGGAAACTCTGCGTCCGCTTCCTCGGTGCGCAGGCTGAGCACGGGATACTCCTTCAGAATTCTGATGTCGTGCATAATCTGACGATGTTGCGTTGTCTGCATGATGAGCATGGTGGCCCTGGTCTCCTCAGATCTCCACTTCTTGACAATGTCGGCAATCTCGAGATGTGCCTTCCGCTTTGTCGTCACCTGGGAGATCTTGAATTTGAGCTCGTCCTGGTAGTCGAACAAGGCGCTGGACGTGGCATTTTCGATGTCCTTCTTCCGTGTAAGCTGGTCCAAATACATCCTGTCAACATTTGGTAAGCCCTGTGCATCTCTAGTTCGGCTAAGGACGATGATGTGACCCTCTGATCGGGCTGTCGACACAAGAGCGAACACTTGTCGATCCCCAGAAGCAACATGATAGAGATAAAGGTAAGCCAGTCCACTCGGATCATCAACGTACGTCGACTTGGACGGACTGCGTATCAGGGACGACAGATCGAACCCTTGCTCGAGACCTTTGCCGAGCACACCTTTCTGATTCTCGTCGAATGAACACAAGTTGCCGATCTTTAACAAGGCTCTGGTGTACAGAGGCAGTTGCTGCTCGTACACACCTTCAACGCTTGAGTGATTGCAAAGCAGCGATACGTTCTCGGCTTCTCGAAGATAGGTGTCCTCGCTCATGGTAAGCTGGAACAGATGCACTGACGGGTGTCCATTGGGCAGGATGTGGTTGACCTTTTCGACCTCGCAATCAGTGATGTCGACTTCGGGCAAATCGTCGCCTTTCAGATTCAAATATAGCGTACGTGGCACCTTCACCACGAGAACATGGATCTTCTTCCCAATAAGCACAAATGCCTTCACTTCGCCCGGTGAGTCGCCGTCCCGGAGCTGCAGCACTTGCCAGGTGTTGATGAACAGCATCTCAGCTTGGTTGCGGAAGAAGCTGCCAATGGCATCGGTCGTCACATTCGCACGCTCCCCGAAGAGCTGCCTTCGTCGACTGCGAGCTTGCTTCTGAATCTTCCATTTTTGCTTGGAATACTGTAGCCACTTCGAGTAATTTTTCTCAATGTTGGGTATCTTTGAGGGCAGGCTTGCGAATGGATCAGCGTTGACTGCTGGTTCAGGGGATTTTCGCTTCTGTGCGGTCGGCTTTTGTGTGTGGACCTTTACTTGGTGGTCTAGCACGTCTTCGATATCGCCAGACGCGGGCAGCCGATGGTTGAGTACATTTAGCCCATTCAGTGAGATCTCGCCGAGGGGCTTCTTCTCCTTTCGAAACAGGTCGGTCATCTTCTGTTGTTGGAATTTGTCCTCCCGAATGTTGATGCGTTTCTGAAGCCAGTCCGGATGTGCTACTCGCGGGACTGGATTGGGAATCTTCTGCAGCGCTGCCGGAATGGTTACAAGCTTCTGTATAACGGAGCCGAGTCGCTCGAGATAGTAGTTCCAGTCAATGATGGAACGTGGATCCATGTCGGAGGGGTCCTCTTTCAACCATCGGCGAAGATAGTACCGCTTCACACTTTCTTCGGCGGAGAAGATGGCCACCGGGACGGCCCGTTCAGTCACCGGTACATTGCGAGGCCTTGCTGAGATGATGTATTTGCAGTTGAGACCTTTGTCCTTGATCATATTCTCGCCCAGAAATTCGGCTAAACGCTTTGCTGTTGTGATGGACGTCGATTTCTGCGCTCCATATTCTTCGAGTGTTTTGGTCATGCTTTTGTTCTCGCAAATGAGGTCAATCAGCTCCTCGTCTGCTAAAGTCGAACCACGTTGGTGAAGAACATCCAGCCACCTGTTCGCCACGCGCGCGACAGCGGCATATGTCTCCGCGAGAGTCGTCCCGTCGAGGAAGACCTTGAAGATCTGTGTCTGGAAGATTTTGATTAGCCTTAGCTCACCACGGCGCTTGACCTCGAACCCTTTCAGCTCAGCAAGACTGCCATCGTGGTTGAAAACAGCATAACGTTTCTTCAAGTTCTTGTCTTCTTCCAAGGAGGTTGGCAGCACCATGGCTTTGTATGGCCCATCCACTTCGAAGAAGATGGAATTGTCGCTATGCGTCTCGTATTTCAGTGACTTGGGATCGACCAGAGTTTGATATTGATGATTGGTAAATTTGGCGTGGACAAGATGGTTAAGCATGATGCAGGGGTAGGACACATTGAGCTTCTTTCCATTCTTGAGCACAAACTGGACGTTCTCAGGGAACGTAGCTGGCAGCATGCACCAGATGCCGTCGGTATCCAGCTCAAGCGGTCTTCCGATGCGCTCAACGAGTTCACGTGCCATCTGAATGATATGTGCACCGGTGAGGCAAGTCACTCCAGCCATCTCTAGCGAGTACCAACGTGATCCTTTTCGCATCACATAGCCGTAGAATGAGTTCAGGATGACCTTGTGGGCCAATTGTAGTGAATCGAACAATGTGATCATCTTTTTGGCGTCTTCGATCTCGAGTGCTGAGGCTCCTGCGCTCTTCAATTCATCGGTCTTGCCCTTCCAGACTTTCTGCTTTCCTTTGTAATCGTATCGTCGATCTCTAAAATCTCGCACAGTATTCACGTAGAAAGGATTTTCTCGTTGGCATATGATTGCCTCGCGCTCGATGGTCTTCGAGTCGTGGATCTTGTGATAGATCTTCTTCGAGTAGTCTTGCAAACGTTTGCGGACCACAGAGGCTTGCTCATCGAGACTCAGTTCTTGGAAGGTCCGCGCCAATGACTTTGGTCCTTTCCCAGCGAATTTCTCATTTGTTATTGCTCTTCGAATCATGTTGTACTCGTCTCTCTTCGCAGGCAAGAATTCTCCACGCCACGCCCATGGCAATCGACGATCGCACGTCTTGCCAGGTCTGTTGAAGTCACAAGCAGCACAATCGGATTCTGATATCATGGAGTCGGGCTGCAGCCTGTTCGTCGTCATGATATTCGGATACATGGACGCAACGTCCAGATGGTAAATTAGTGGTCGTTCGTGTCGATTAGGGGTATTCTTCAGGCTCATCAGCTTCTCTGTGATCGCTTGTTTGATCTCGTCGTAATTCGTAACATCGTCCAATGATTTCTTCTCTTCAACCTCAATGCAGAATTTCAATGCAGCGTCCAGGTCGTTAAGCAGCTCATCAATCGCCGAAGGCTCGATGGCGAAATTGACGGGAATGTCGGCGCGGAAGACGCCTGCCTCGATACTTTCAACGTGACCACCAACATAGGTCTCTGAGTCAAGCAGGTGACCATCCCAGAACGCTTCTCGCGCCTCTTTGTGTTTATTTGGAAGAACAATGTTCTTTTGATAGGCTTGCACCATGAGTAGCATCTCACATAGTGTTCCGGTGCCTTTTCGAAGTGTGTCGTCCGGGTTGAGAGGCAAAATCGTACACAGTGAGAAGATGAAGGGATGGACATACTTCATGTAGAGGTAGTATGTCGCCACTGCATCTGAGACGGAGTACTCGGCAAGAATTTGAGGATGCTCGCTTGCGTAAGGTGTCATGAGCTCCGGATCCAATTCGTCCGGATCGTAGCCCAGCTTCGCGACAGTGACAGCTTTGAGGCCACGGCTGCCCTGAGGCAAGTAGCTGTCGCGATTTACCCAGGCAAAGCAGTCCAGATGTACGCAGTGGTCGCTGTAGTAGATGTCCTCACTGTTCTTGCGGAAGCCAATCTCGGCGTACATGTCTATGCCGAGCACGCTTGCCCGAGCCTCCACGAATGGCCAATCGAAGAAATCGCCGTTGTAGGTGGCAATAACCGTGGGTTGCGCTTGCTTGATGGTGTCAAAGAAACGCTCGAGTACACCTCGTTCATCCTTCTCGTTGAAAATAATGAAAGGTCCATGATATTCGGGCTTTGGAGTGTAGTCAAAATCGGCGATATCCTCGGATACGATTTCTCGGTTGACAATCAAAAAACCTTGCCCGTCAATCATGTACGAAATCATCATGACCTGGTCGATGACTGCATCCGGAAACTTGAGCGGTAGCTTGGTACATTCGATATCGAATGCGAGTACCACAGGATCTGCACGCTGCAGCCGCTCTTCAATACACGTCAGGGATATCACCCCGTGCTTTGCTTCGACCGTGTACCATTTTCCGAGCCGAATGTCAAGATCGATGGTGACCCTGACATGATATGGCACGTCATATTCCCGGATGTCTGTGATGAAGTCGCTTGCTTCCAGGATGGCGTTGCTCCGTTTATCATTCATCTCCTCTTCGTCGTAGATGTCGAATCCGGCAGTAGCAGTTGCAACCTCAGCGTAAGTGTCCATGGCAGTGATCTTTTCCTTGTTTCGCTCGGCGATCGGCATAATCACCTTTCGTACCGACATGAGGTCAGATACACTCGGAAACGTCAGCTTGAGGAAAGTCCGTCTGTATCCCAGCAGATGATTTGGCATGGACAGATCTTCCTTCTCGATCTTAGACACGGTCTTGACCATCCCCTCGAACATCCTCTTGCACCATTCTTCAACTTCCTGCTCCCGACCACGCTTCACCGCGATGAGGAAGTATGGATCGTATTCCACGGTGGCTTTGAAATTATGGCCATCCTCGCCAATGAAGTAGAAATCAACGCCAGCTCGTCCAGCGGCTATTCGAGAATCCGGTATTGATGTACTGTGCATGTTGTAGAGCCATCCGACACGTTTCCTGCCCGAATCGAATCGCGGAAAACCCATCTTCTCGTCTATGCTATCCGCAAGGCGGACAGCTTGCATCTTTTCATCTTGCGATGTGCCCTCTGTGGCTCTGAGCTCGGAGGCATCGATCGTCCTCGGTCGAGGCCCACGCGCCGCAGGCTTTGGCGCTCTGAGGTTGTTGCCATATTTGCTGGGCTTCCGCACAGGCATGGCTGCTATGAATGTTGGGTTTATGGCGGGTGATGATACATTGAGCTCTCTCGAAAGCAGTCCGCGACCGATTTGCACTGCGTCAAGTACCGTTGTAGGAGTTTGCGAAATTCCGCTGCAGTCGCTACTGCAGAACGACTTGGGGAACGCGTCGAATCGAGTCGCGTAGCTTGCCAAGCCAATTAACGTTAGCGCGAGTTCCTCAAGTCCCGAGGTCCCTAAATCCTTCGATACCTATCACGCAGATCGAACGTTCGTCACCATACAGCAGTGTTCGTTGATGTCTTGCTTCGGCTGGGATGCCGCTTCAGCATTGTAATTATTGTGACCGTACGTTTACGCGGATTGAGCACTTGGTTCGCCATGTACGATCTCACACAAAAGAGAAACCTTTCACGTGCCCATGTTGTGCAAAATGCTATACACGAGAGTAGGACTGTCCTCATGGTTTCCATGGAAACAAATCTAATCTGACACAGGGACACTCTGTCTCGGCACATGAAGTCTCATCATGCTGGCCGAGACAGGGCTAGATTGCACTCAGAATTCCCGACGAATGCCAGCCCGAATGACCCGATGCCGGTCGAAGGACAGACATACGGTAAAGCCCGAGCCTGAGCGCGATTGCTTCAATTCCTCTCAATTTTATCGATGTGGTCTCCGTAGAGACGGTTCTGGCTCAAGTTGTCGAAATGACCATACTCATGAAGCTCTCTGACGGTCTTACCAATAGAAGAGACTACGACTTTCGAGTCCCCGATCCATGTACTACCCAGCACCGCCCATGAGCTTCCACGATCACAATGGACCGCGACTTCAGAGATTCCGTCGGATCACCCTGTCGCTGAATTTGAAATAGACCAATCCGTGTGGCAAACTAACAACTCTGCATGGTCTGAGATTGCTGATCTGTGGACACTGAATAACGATTTCAGTGCTGGGCAACTTATAGGACACCCACAGGACGCCCAAGTTTCCCATACATTTCACAACGACAACATTCATTTGTCGATCGCCCCAGCCCAGACAGGGAGTCAGGGCCTTGCTACCCTTCCTGATCTTAGCGACATATGGTTCACAACAATTCAGGGTAGTCACCGTAAGCTTGAGCGACCGGCCTTGGCAGCCACTTCGCAATCAACCTCTTCTCCCGAGGCACCTAGCGTGATTGACGAGGACTACCGTCGGGATCTGACAAGGACTTTACTTCAGCGGTTTCCAGAGGAAGATCTGCTCCCATCTTCGGATCTATTCGTAAGCAGGTGCATCGCACATGAGCTGATCGCTGACAAGGCGAAGAACGTCTGCATTAGAAGATATTTTGAATGCTTCAATCCAGTGTTTCCATTAATTCACGCCGCCACCTTTCGACCCACATCGGAAAATGGTCTGTTGCTCATCTCGATGGCTTCTATAGGATGTCTGCTTCTAGGCTCCAATGCTACTGCACAGCGCGGTCGTCGGATTTTTGAGAGTCTCAACAGAAAGATACTTACCTCAGTGAGTATTCCGTTCTTCTACTTAGCTTCCTTCTGATGCAAATACAGGCAGACTATTTCCATGGACGTGGAAGAGGTGAACTCCTGGCAGTTACACAGGCGTGCATCATTGGTCAAACTTTTGCAATGCTATCAGGAGTAAGCTATGAATGGCCAATAATGACCAAAAAGTGTCCAGAGCTGACCATTCTTCAAGGATCCGAAGCATCTTGCAATATTCGATTCCTATCATGGATCTGTAATTGCGGTAAGGGCTGGCCCGTAGAGGGAACTATGCTTTGCTAAATGGTCAAGGCGGTGCGCCGAAACAAAATTCTCGAAATTTCACCCCCTTCTTTCACACTTGAAAATCTCTCAGGACACGAATTGGAGTATTCATGGCGAGAATGGGCAAAACAGGAAGAATTGACGAGGTCCAGCTACACTGTCACTCCGAGACCACGCCCTTGCTAATCGAGACCTCTAGGATCACCATGGCATTGCAGATTCATGATGCAGAGCTGTCTATGTTGCTTCATCGCCGTCCACTGCTCAGACACTCGACCTCAGAGAAGAGCCAGCAGCAATCTTTACTTTCCTTTGAGGCCAATACAGCGTCGAAATGGGTATCTGCTCACAGGCAGCACGTTGAACACGATACGCTAGCACCCGATAGCAATAATCACTTCTATCAGGACAATACCATCAGAAACAATCTCTTCCGCGCTTACGCCACTCTCGAGGGGTTGGGTGCAATGATGATGGATGATCGACTGCACAACCGTCTGGACCAAGCCGCATTTAGCGCGCATCAGCAGTGTCTCCTCGATTGGTACAAGTTGCATGCTAGTTCCATATTGGATCAGCACTCTGATTATCTCTGTCTCCGAGGGCTATGGCATGGGACGTATCTGTACCTGTTGGCCGATGTGGATCAACTCGAAGTTGCCATTGGGCGGGACGGACCAGAAGCGGCGCGAGATGCGACAGCGGCTGTAACCAAATGGGCAGCAACAACAGCCGCGTTGCGATCTATGCTGCATGTCTTGTCCGCCCAGAGATACTTTCAGTCGGTTCCCTTCAAGAACATACCAGCAATTCACGGGCCCAGGATTCTCTTCACAGCAGCGGTCGCATGGTATTGTTTCACAAAATACAGCCATGTAAGAGACATGTCTGTGGACATGTCTGAAGCCAGTCTACCAGAGCTCAAAGCCTTTGGGTCCAACATCGATCATTTTCGCCACGTGCTAGGAACAAGTATGAGTCCACATGCCACGCCAGCAACACAGACCATGACTCTGTGTGACTTTGGTACTTTACTTCGTCGAATGCCAGAATGGGGCCTGGCAGGAAAATTTGCGGCGATCGTGGCCCGCTTAGTAGATGGAGATGCTTCAGATTGCCGGCCGAGTACGCCCGAGCTTCATGACTGAGGTGGTAGGCTGTCAAGTCAACGCTGCGAGACAGTCGCCACGAGAGTACCCGAGTCGCTCGTACAGCAATCCCAAGGCGGAAAACTGCTTAACCAGGTCCTGTCTCATGGAAACCAAATATTTTTGCACTTCTGTGCCTTTCGATCAACAAAGTCGTCGATGGACACTGGCGAGGCAGATCCGTACTGGCCGTCCTGGGCTTGCTCGAGTGCCTGCTCAGTAGGCCTGACGCGACCGCAGAGTGACGACTATGCAGGCGATGTCGGCATTGTGACGCAAGAGGTATTGCTGATGGGACATAGAGCTTGCGATGCGGGGGAACATATAGCAGCTCGCAGCTGCAGACCCCGACCAAGTTAGAGCATGGTGTTGTACCAGTGTCTTGCGGGCAGTGGCTGGCGGTGGAATCGTATGGAGTTCAAGAGGGGTACTCCTTTCAGATCAGGACTTTCACCCGAAGTGGAACACGGAAGGCTGTCGTCATGCCACCAGTCGATTATGTATGTCCTCCAGCGGACCGTCGGGTCTTACTCGACAGCAACCTTTGGACCCAGTAAGGACAGACCTCCGTGTCTACTGCCAGTCTCTAAAGGTCCGATGATTGGGGGTAAGTGCCTTGCCGTGCCGACAAAGCAGTCCACCAATAGCTGTACCGACGGCAGTCATGATGTGGATAATTTGATGTTTGATCACATCGGAAGCCACACTGAAGCGGCACCCGTCTAAAACGATTAACGTGGCTTGGCGATAAGGCGTGGACCGGATGACGGCAGAAGGCTGTCCCAGAAAAGACATGGCCTTCGTGACGTCGACAATGGTGAGGTTCATTACGACTTACTTCTTTCCTTTCCATCACAGAACGCTCCGATCAGGAATGCTCCGATCGATAGCTGTTGCCATGTTTAAGTTCGCTGTGGTCGGTGGTTCTAGACGTATGTTGTGCTCCCAGTACCATGACATCCGGCTTAAGCTAAACGCGAATTGCAGAAGTTGCGAGGGAGGTCACCAACGCATGACTGAAGATAGACCAACGCGAGATCGTCGTCTTGAAGAGGGATATAATCCATGGAACGCTCATGTCATACTAGTCGTGACGAATCATTATGCTCTAGCAGGCCACGTCCTACTTCTGGTAACAAAACGCATAGGGCAAGGTGCCAAACGCTACGACGTCTCAGACGAGCTTGTCAAAGCTCTGTGCGGCGTTCATACCCTGCTGTCTCTCATCCAGCTCTTCCCTGATTCAGGCAACAAACCACAGAAGAGCCTCATAGGCGCTGCATTGCTGATCGTGTTAAATGCTCAGCACCGAGCGAATGAAGCAGTGCAGTAGTGGCTGATGCGCCGTGGTAGATGGGCAAAGGTGACATCAGAGAGTATCTGAGGAAACCCACACATTCTGTCCGATATGAGCCAATGTAAGCATTCAGAATATGTCACGCAGCGAAAGACACTCGATCTTAACGCAGAGGGACATGGGCACCAATACACGGATAGGCACCACCATAACTTCGGGAACAGTGGTAATGACAGGCATTCCAGCAGGGGTAGGCGTCTTTCGGTACTCAACAAGTTGTTTGCAAGGTGGAGATGTCGTCGAAGTGCACATCGCACACGTGAGAACACTGCAAACCACCTTAGGCTTTTGTTCATAGATCAGCTTTCTGTTCAAGTCGATAGCCCTACAGAAGATCTTGACGCAGCTTAAGTCCCGCAAAGCTGCCACTTCCACGACGGGGGCTAAGTAGGTAGGTAGTGTACCTGCGGACAAGAAAGCGTAAAACCAGCAAACAAGCAGATAGATCGTTTTGGTATCATGTAGTATTGTCTTCATTAGTAGGAGATGACCTGGCAAGCTCTGCAGAATCAGTAGTGCATACCTAGGTAGTGGGCGCAAAGCTCGGATGAAGCGCTGGTGGCGAAAGCACGTCCACATTACCTTCTTCCACGTTGGTCTGCCCGCAGAACATGCGGGCACAGCCTTGCTTTGCACGCTACAAGACTACCTGACATCTCGGATGACCTGAATTCGAGCGGCCCAGAACTGTATTGGAACACGCGAAGAAAGTCCACTAGATAGCAATCTCTTGGTTTGCTGCACTCTCCATCTCCAGTTGCAATCATTCTCTGGAAATACGTTGGCCGCAAAAGCCATGAACAATCGATCCAAGGTGCAGCTATCCCGTCTAGCACATGTATACTTCGAGCACCCAGATCTGGAAGAATTTGAAAAGTTTGCGATCGATTTTGGCTTTGTCGAAGCAAAACGTAGTGAAAACACCACCTACCTGCGTGGATATGGCAGAGACCAGTACGTCTATGTTGCATCCAAAAGCATGGACGGCAAAGCTCATTTCCGAGGTGCTGCTTTCGTCGCAGCATCTGAGGACGATTTCAACAAAGCTCGTGAACTGCCGAACGCGGTAGCTCAGACCCTTGAAGATGCCCCAGGAGGAGGAATCATGGTAACATTAAGCCGTCCAGAAAATATGTTTCTGCATATCATTTATGGCCAGGCTGAGCGAGATGTCCCAGGCGATAGCACGTCGGCGGTCGCTTCAGGCCTTCAGGCCTCTTTCAATACTCCGTTTCAGAAACGCAGAAGAGGTGAGAGGCCATGTCAAAGCCCAAAGAGATTGACGTCCTGACAATAGGCCAGGGGTATTTCAGAGACCCCATGACGGTCCCGCTCTCGTGCACAAGCTTGGACACTTCGGATACAATTGCACAAATTTCGACACTGAGCTTGAATTCTACACATCAAACTTCAACTTGGTTCCGTCGGACATTCTCTACCATCCAGGGGACCCTAGCAAGGACGTGATGGTGTTCCTGCATCTCGATCAAGGCGAGATCTTCTCAGACCACCACTCATTCTTCATGTCGCGGGCTTCACCCGATGTCAGAAAGACATATCTTCATCATACCTCGTATGAGGTGACTGACTTTGACACTCAATTGATGGGTCACCAGTGGTTAGCAAAGAGAAATTGGAAGAGTGTCTGGGGAGTTGGACGACATATCCTTGGAAGTCAGATTTTTGATTACTGGCAGGACCCTAGTGGGTTCAAGATCGAGCACTATGCCGATGGCGATGTCGTTAATGAGGCGACTCCAGTGCGTAGGGATGCTGCAGGGCCATTTTCAATATGGGGTCCGGAGATACCGCATGATTTTGGCCAAGATAGTACAGAGACGATGTTGGACAAATAGATGGTAATTAGGCAGGAACGGGCATGGCAGAGCGTGGAACACGCCAAGGCATTTCTGTGTGGCCCAGTGGTCTCGTGTAGGAAAAATGGCTACAAACTTCTCTCAGTCCAGTATCGGGCGTGCTCGCAGAGTGACGACATATTGCCGCCTCATCTTAACCCCACCGTTCGACCAACACCAAGGCAGACCGTTTGCAATTGCTCTGCTGTATCACATGCCGCATAAACGAAGCGGTCAGGGCGAACGACCACAAACCTCTTGCCACAGAGGTCACTCCCCAGTCGAAACATGTCGTAATGCCGCGGTGCAGGTCTACCCTGGCATAAGGACTTGGTGTGTTCGAATTCGTCAGCTGTTGCAAGTCGAAAGACGTTGCTGCTGATATCGTCTGGGACATGAACCTCCTTTGACGTTTGGATTATGAAAGTTGCCTCGTTCCGGATGATGCAGCCTCCTGATAGAACATCCAGGTCCGCCAGCGTATGCTTAATGAACTTGAGCTCTTCGATAGTCCTAGGCAGAACAACGAGTTGGAATATGCCTCTTTTTCCATGCCGGAAAATGAGGTCGTCTGTCAAGAAAACTGATGCGTCCGCTGCCGACAGGGAAATTTGAGCGCAGTATACTTGTGGCAAGCTCATTCCTCCAAAGCCATCGTCGACAAAGTGTAATCCATCCTGCCAGCGATACCGCACCATACCTTTCAATCGCTCACCTTTCTCCAGCAGACGCTTGCACGGTGGTACGAATTGCATCAGCCAAAAATATAGCTTCAGAATTGCGAAGGTCCATGTGTTGCCCTCCGTGCACAGTTTGCCATTCGCAACCGTTGTCGACAAAGACACATGGAGCTGTTGCTGCCTCTCCCTGTACCAGCCTGAGAGGAGCAAGTGATGATCAGCAACGTCGTGCTTGACTGCGACGACCAGCCGCCACGCCAAACCTGAAGCATCGCGAAATCCGGATGCTATGCCTTGGCCTCCAACTGTGGTACAATGGTCAGTCATGCTATGCATGCCCACAAACGCTCCTGCTGCAGATGACTCACAAGGCGGGAAGACGTGAGCAGCATCACCGGCCAGCATGACTCTGCCGGCAGCCCATCTGTTACAAGTCCGCGCCGAGAAGGCGAAAGGTCTGCAGCGCAGTATATTGATGCAATCGAATGGGAATTTGACTTCGAATTCTGGAACGCTTCTTTCCATCAATATCTCGTAACTGCCCATTGATGCATGGTCGTACTCACCCGAAGCTTGATCCAGGTAGAGTCAGATATGGATGCACAATATCCATGGCATTTTCGATCTCGGCCATAGTTGCGGCATCTTCGCCTCGTCTGACTACAAACTCAAAGCGCCATAGCCGGCGTTGTCCATTTCCAAACCTTCCACAAACTGCAGGTCGCTCGGCGTTGCAGATGAACCTGAAGTCTCTAGGAAAGTAGAGATCATAGACTTGCTCAGAAGAGTAGCCTCGGTCCCAAACGGGAAGATTCGGATGAGATTCAGGCGTAGGAGGAAAGACTTCAAGGTTGATTGCTACCCATGTCTCGTTGTAGCCGAAACTGCAGTAAGATTAATAGCCACCTCAAAGTCAAATCTGTCATCGGGCGTACGAAGATATTGGGTCCATTGTTATTCCCTTGGGCTCCATATAACACTTGCGAACAAAACCAGTCTTCCCGTCGCAACCTACGAGATATTTCGAACGGATCGTCTTCAGCGCACCTGATGCACCCTCATATTGACAGTACACCCACTTATCATCTTCGTGGATCTCAGTCACCGTGGACGAACATCTCAACTGCGACGAAGGGTGCGAAGCTATGATTTGGCGGAGATGTTTCTCGAGGATTGGCTGACAATGCGATATTGCTCCAACATGGCCCGTACCTCCTTCGGTCTGATCAGTCAGCTTGTCCCATAATGTCGACTACGGCCGGCGCATTGTTACCGTATCCATGTCCATTCGCAAAAAGGGTCTCTCATGCAAGTTGTTCCTGCTGGTTATGAAATTGACAACTCCCAACGCTGTAGGGATATCCGTCAGTGGCTATCACGTCGAAAGTCTCGCCGGGAACACACGTACAAGTGCCAATATCGGTATATATCTTATCGTAAAGCCCAAGTCCTTGGAGTATCCTGATACCATCTTCGTCAAGGGTAATGCCACGAGGATCGTCCGTGATTGCTGGTTGTTTTTCGACGATGATGTTCTGTATTCCAAATTGACCCAGGAGCCCTGAAAGCATCGCGCCCGTCGGTCCGCAGCCGACGATGAGTACGTCGGTGCACTCGGGGACCTCAGCAGCGTCCATTTAGTCCTTTGTTGTCTACTTCGTGTAGACTGAGTATGTAAGCATGCGCAGATAATTCCTTGAAATACTAAGTAGAGTCACGGACCATCGATCAGAATGGCAGCATCAAGATGGCGAGACAGTGGACTCAGAAGTTGTAGCAGAGGGAGCCAACTGCACTGCTCCGCTCCTCTGCCAGAGAGATATGCCCCGTCTCTTCGCGTCAAAGTTGTTGACTTGCGGGCAGATCATTGGCATCGGCATATGTGGAACGTTTGTGGGCATTTTAGGATGTGGACAAAAGCCGCTGATTCAACTTCTCGAGAGTATGTCGACAGGGTCACGAGGTTAACAGAAGTAAAGGTCAAGCTTATAGGCTGTAAACTTGGCCGGCGTCACTGGGCTCGTTGCTATTATGGTGATTATTGCTGGAAGCTCGTCAGTTTCCCTAAAATCAAAATCAGGAGATACCCGCCTGTACGAAGGTCCAGGGATATTTTTCGTTAGTGGAGTCAAAGCTCGATTCCGACAGCGCCCATAAGACTTTGCCTAGAGATCGAGTCTCGGGGGATACTCTAGGGTGAACGCACCTAAGCACTATGCGTGTTGCGTCTATCAAGACCCCTGAAGATCAACTAATCAACAGCTGATGGGCAGTCCCCACTGACGGAAAACATCCCTGGGGTTTTCGGCAGTACGAAGAGGGTCTTCGTAGAGTATCAGCAAAGGACTTCTCTAAGGCAGTCGGAGTCAATGGAATAGATGTATCCTACAACATACTCGCTTTCCTCCCTATCCTCGACACTGGCAATCAGAGAAGCAACGTTGAACAAAAGTCGCAAACTCTTGTGACCGCAGCGATCGCCGGCTTTATCTGCGAAGTGCCTGCCTCGTTCTCGTATGGTCTTTCCAAAGCTACGACGGTGCATCTGGTCAAGTTGGTGCCTACCTAGGTACTATATTTGCGCGATGGCATATTCGAGCCAACGCCATTGCACCCTGAACTCTACGAATTGAAGATGATCGAGGTGTGGTTCAGAGCCATCCTGACTACCGTAGAAGAAGGAGCATTCTCCAGAAGTTTCATTCCTCGAATAAGAGTGATAAGAGCTGGAAGAGAGGAGGTCATGACAGACGTCGTATTGTTCTTGTGCGTTCAAGCAGGCAGTTATATCAACCGGATGGTGCTTGTCACTGATGGTGGCATAAAGACCTTCCGTTCTAGTATCTATTGACCCGAGTGTAGAGCCCATTGATCAATTTTGTAGTTGCAATCCGGCCAGCGCTGCTTGCCAACGTGGCCACTTCCCAGAAGGACAGGATCCAGTCGGACAACCTCGTTCATGGAAACTTGAACATCGTTCGAGAGGTCAAAACTAGATGGCTTGAGAACCTCTCTGTATCCTTTTCGAAAGCTCCAAATTGTGCCACCAGTGTCTAAGCCTCTTGCCGTATATATACACTGGAATCGTCGTGAGTGACAGCGCGAGTTGAATGCCACCTATAGTATTAAACATCCTAGCAGGACCCCAGCGGGCATACCAGTCGTTCAGAAAGTCTGGTTCACAGATACTCAGTACACGATGCTCACTTACAGTACGAGTAAAGTAGAACTTACATGTGAAACCAAAGAATAGGAAGTTTTTTATCGTCATCGCGATGATGAAGATATCCACGCTAATGTCGCGAAATGCATCCACGACATAAGCTCCTGCCGACACCGCAGCGAATTGTACCGAGACATAAACCAGGCCAAACATGCAGATGCTGCCACAGGAGTCGCCCCCTGTGCAATCAGATTTCCAAACAAGAAATAGCCAATTGTAGATACGACTGGTGCCACCGCAAACATTGGCAAACGGAACTCCGGCTCATAAATACCGCTGTTTCTTCGAGCAAAGGAGCGCGCAAGCGGATCGCAGATCAGCCCACAAGCGATACAGCCCAACAGCCCGCCCACGATTGGTCCGGCGGACATGTACCCCTGCTGTGCGATAGAAAGCGAGTATGGAGGTCTGTAAAAGGCCTGAGCAGTGCAAAATGATATGACAATGACCCAGACAGTAGTGAACGAGATGATGAGGATGTACCATATGACCAACGGATTGAGCAAAACCAGAAAGGGTCTCAGTGTTTGCGTCCACAGATTCTGATCACTGAATGTGCCATGGAATGGCTTGAGTCGTTGTAGAAACGTTTCACGTGTGTTTTCTGCGTCATTAGCAGGTGTTGGCGCGTTTGTCAAGTCTGTCGTTGTCTCAAGTTCGTGGACAGATGTAGACTGCTGCTCGAGCACCTTATCAATTTGCTAGACCCAAGTGTCAGCGCCGTGTATACGCTGTGACAGGATTATGTCATCTCACGTCTTGTGAACTTGTGTCGAGATTGCAGACAGCAGTTCGACCATACATGGTCTCCCAGCCAAATAAGATGCAGAGCACCCACGCAAGTCCCATGAACAGAGACAGCAGGTAGAAGACCCACCGCCAGCCAAGATCCATGGTAATTTTCCCCGCAATAGTGACCGGAAAAGTCGCAAGGCCTGACTGTGCCAGTATGTAGTAAGTAATTCGAGTTCCTCGCTGATGTACGTGGTACTGCCGGGAGATCAGAAACAGAGCCTCGCAATATGAGGCCAGAGATCTCACCAGGTCACTGATGACGGTGTATGTGACGGACTCGAACATAGCAATGCCGAATCCCTGCAGGACCCGAGCACCAACAAGTGAGCCATAAGACTGCGAAAAGGAGGCCCAGACACTTCCTCCAAAAGCAAAGCTAATTGACCACAGCAGGGTTGGCCGCTTGCCATACTTGCGAGAACAAGACGCAATGACTACTCCCGTGGCGCCTGTCGCACAGAGCAGATATCCTGTCAGGAGGGTGACGTCGGTGAAATTAATGCCCCATTCGGTGATAAAGGCAATGGCCATAGAAGACACGATTGGCCCGACCCTGTTCCGTCATCAGTCGTCCCACAATCTTGCTAAAGGCCAGGATTCATACCTCCAATGCAGCATATAGTACAGTAGCAATAGAGCAGGAGAATCAAATCTCGTTGCCATATCGGCCAGTTCAAGGGGTCGTTCGGGTCACTGGTCGGTTGTGGGACCAAGATAATCCTTGCGCTTTTCCCATTCCCTTTCTTCAAGCCAATCGCGTCCACTGCCACGTTGATATTGTCACTGACAGCTTGAGTATCCAGCAGGACAGTGCCCGGAGTGTGATGACCTGGTGAGTCGCTGCGAGGTTCAAGGATGCCCAAACCCATTTTGAGACTTGTCGATGGGAGGAAGTGAAGAAGCTGGATGAAGTCTTACGGCTGTGGCAACTCTAGGTGAATAGATGCTTGATTTCTGATTTGGCACGAATCGCTGAAAGAGGCTAACAAATGCCTTATATCTGAAATTCTTCGCGCAAACGATCGCGGACAGTTGAGCTGAGCTGGGACCTAGAACGTTTGCGGGCAAGAGCTGAATGTTGCGGGCACCACCGTACAGCAGTTCCGTGTCAGTCCCCGCAGCTAGATAGATCCTCAGGACGACTTGCATCCGAACTCAGCCATCGATGGATTGTGGGGTGCCAGGGTTCGAAATGAGTGGGCAATCGAGTACTTAGTTTGTAATTTGGTACTCGAGTACTCAACGCAGAGTCCACCATACCCATGCACAGGACCTGATTGGTCAGGAAGAAGGGGGAGGGAATTGTAGGTAGAGGAGAGCTATTCTCCCTTAACCTTGTGTGGCCTACCTAGGTAGCTGTTGGCCTTTCCGCCCCCATCTACTCGAGTTGTCCGCTAGGAGGATAGTAAGTACTCACTAATTCAAACGCATGAGTACTCGCCCACTCGATGAGTAAACTGCTCACTCGTTTTGAGCCCTGTGGGTTGCTTGCGGACATCCAAAAGCTTACTGTCTAAGCTACCTATGTTTGCACACAAGGCTTCAATCGGGCCGGCCAGAAGCCGTGCAGCTGAGCGCGGGTCAGGAAGCCAGACGGTCTGCAATAGTCCTAAGCCTACATCCAGCACACGGCTTAGCGCACAGTCATCTTCCGTTGAAGAAGCCGCTCGGCGTTCCCGAAAAGGATGGCATCGATCGCTTCGTCATTGCCTGGGAACATGTCCCTTAAGCCACGTTCCATGAGTCTGGAGAGGATCGAAACGCCCTCCGCGGGCGTAAAGGGATAATCACTCCCGTAAAGCAAGGTGTACGGTTGCACCACATTGAGCAAGCCTGCCAGTTGATCAGGGAATGGCGCTCCGGCTAGATCAAAGTAGAAGCGTTTCTGTAAGGCCAGTTTGAGGGCGTCGATGCTCAGGTCCACTCCACGCAGTTGGGGTGGGCAGACAGCTGCTGAAAAGGCAGAAAAACGTGCCAGAATAGGAGGCAGAACTGCTCCGGCGTGCGGAACGACGAAGACTATGTCCGGATATTCTGTGACAGTGCCGGAGTGTAGGAGATTGATTACCGAACGCGTCGTCTCGAACATGAACTCGAGCATAGGGTTAGGGAACTGCGGAAGAGGATGCAGTGTTGAGCGCACCGAGTCGCTGGATGCTTGGCCATCCTGCTGTAGCTTGGTATGGTTGTGCCGTATACAGGGACTGGTCGGATGGATAAAGACCGTTGCTTGGACTGCATTTAATTTCTCCATCACCTTGTCAAACGCTGAGTCGCCCAAATAGATTCCATGGTGGTTCGTACTGACACAAAACCCAACAGCATCATCGAGCGTGTTCACCACACGATCAATCTCTTCAATTGTACCCATCAAATCAGGTAGTGGAAGGCTCGCCCAGAAACCAAACTTCTCGGGATACAGAGAACACAGCTCGCTGGCATAATCGTTGCAGTCCCGAGCAAGAGAACGATTGAAGGCATCATCAGTGTTCTTGATATGCACTCCAGGACTGCTGATACTGAGGATCGACTTTGTGATGCCGTTTGCTTGCATGAACCCCAAGTGCTCGCTCGCAGACCACTCCTACCACCTATATCAGTAAAAGCAAAGCCCGATGCAGGCTCTGCAGCCGTGGACACGAACCGGAAGAGTAGGCATGCCATCAGGCTTTGCGTGACCAAAATCTCGGCATGCTTCGCTGTAAAACGGTGGCAGGAAGTGAGCATGAACATCGATCTTCGCCATACCGAAAGTGTCACGTCAATGCCCGACAAAAGTAGTTGTAAGCTCCAGCAAAGAGATTCTAGTTTTATCAAAACGAGATGGCTCATGTGACCGGCGCTGTCCAGGATCCTTGAGCATCACCTGATCGAAGGTCTACGCCATCGGTAGTGAAGGGTAGCTCTCAACTAATCGACATTTGTTCAAAGTAGCCATTATTTACCGAGTCCTCAGGGTCGTTCTTCAAACAGCGGTTTCATGCAATGGGCTACAGTAGAAGTGAACAAAGCTTGTCCCACATGACCATGTGGGCAGATGTGGACAAAAAGTGGGTCGGTGGTGGCAGAGCTTTATGTCCTTCTTGCAACCAGGGCCCGGGGGTATCGGGGTAGTAAGGTAAAGGAACCCCCGGTGAGAGTGAGCACGAGGTAAGGGCATGATGATATCTGCATTAGTGCTAAAACACCTGGTACATTTACTGAGCTACCTTTTAATAATTATGTGACTGTGAGCCTTTGGACTTGGGGAACACTATACCTCCGGGGCACGTGGCAAAGAGAGGCCGGTAGCATAGTGAAGCACAAAATCATTGCCACAGTGCAGATGGACTCTCAATGCTAATGCAGGAATAATCTCCCATGTCTCGCAGCGAGGCTCATCAGTCAAGCAAGGACAACGTGCTACATGGTTATGGCTATTTGAGCTGCTCGCTGACCAACACCGAAGACCAACATTCTCATAGTGAGCCAACAACCTCAGGCTACTACGGCAGGTGAGACCGAGTCGCCTCAACGATGTGCTTGGACATCTGTTCTGGGTGTGACACGTACGGGAAATGCCCGCCAGGAAGCGTCTTGATCGGAATGTCCGCTTTGGTGGCGGTGACCACGTTGCTGAAGAACATGAACATGGGCGAATCGGCACCAACGGTCCACGAGATAGGTCGCTTTCGTAAATTCTCAGTCTCAATCGGTGGCGACAAAGTCAAATCGGATATATAGCCATGCGCCCAGCGAATGAAGTTCCTGCGAAGTCGCTGATGCACTTCCGGTCCCAAGGAATTCCAGGCTTCGTCATCTCTGCAAGAGGCTTTTGAAATTGCGGCCATGCTTGCGATGAGAGTCTCATCGTCTAGAGATGGGAGGTCTTTGAGCTGATCCATCAGATGTAGCGGTGCCTCGTGGGGCATCGCATTGCGGACACGGCTTGGATAATGAGCACAGAGTCCAAGGACAGCGAGTGCCCCTGCGCTGCAGCCCCAGAAAGAAGCCTTTGCGATCTCTAGGTGCTCCATGAGAGTGTCGAGTTGTGTTGCAAGCTTATGCCCAGTGACTCCCTTGTATGACTCCACTGGGGCATTACTCGACCTGGACATGCCTGGCATGTCGAATGTTGTGACCGTAAAACCTGCCGAGGCAATCAGTGACATCGGTTTGTCCATCATCTGGCATTCGCCCAGACCGTCCGGGATGAGTACCACATGAGGACCTACGCCCTCCTGCTCGTAGTACCATTCAATGCCATCTTTGGTCGTGACAGTCGATTTCAGGCGTTCGAAAACCATGACTCCGACCGATTCCGTGTCCAGGACGGTACTTAGGTAGTGCGACGGGCGCGGCAAACAGGCGAACTGGACGCAGAGTCTTGTTTGACGTCTTTGGCAAACTCGAACCATTTATTATTGTTGACAGATGCGGCCAAAGTAGAGTTCTGCTGCACACCTGCAGCTCTGAAGAAAACTACGCAATGTGGAACATGAATGTGGGCATTGGTACGAACGGGCGGGAGATATCGCTCCATTGCAGCAAGCCATAGTGAACCAAAATCGATCCAATTATAAGATTGAATGGTCAAAGGCACGTACAGGAGCAAAGCTGGCGGTCAAGCGTATACTGATGAGGAATTGATGAGACCCGCTATTCAGCCCTGCAGGTTTATGTAAGTGTTCAGCCTGGAGCCAAGGTAATCTGAGTATTATGTATAACATTGTATAAGATTCTACATACCTAGGTAGTATATACTAGGTATTTTGATGAATCATGCAGTAAGCAAACCAAATCAGGTTAATTCTACCAGCACTCTTCTGAGTACAAAGTAGTGTCTGTCTATGTGAGAGGCTTTGTCCTTGGATTGGCACGAATTGACAAGGCCTAGGCAGAGCGTCACGAACACACTATTCCAAGATTCCAAGGTCACCTGGACCACTGGCAGCCCAGACAAGACTCGGCTCCAACATTGTTGCCACACTGCATATCACACCTTCAACCCCGCATGCGTAGATCACGCTACCTGCACGCTCAGACTCAACGCTCCTGAAGCTCCGAATCATTGTAGACAGGGAATGCATCCTTGCAGCGAGTGTGTGACAGATGGCTATGTGCAACAGGTATATGCATCAGACAGTGGCTTGAGGGGGTTGAGTGGACAACGCAGATTAGTCGAGCTGCTAAGCCCACTTATCAAAGCAGCGAAGCCTACCTAGGTAAGTGGTAAAATTTATCAGGTTGTATAGTATGGTATTGCAACAAGTATAGGTAATCTATCTGCTTTCCAGAACTGAACTGTATGGCATTTTTTCATCTTGTTGAGATTGAGGTAAGATTGTGTGATCTGTCAAGCTAACGGACAACGCGTGTCCAATAGAACTAGCATAAGCTCACACGTCAAAGAAGGGTAATATCCGGCACATTCTAAGTCTCTGCGAGTGACCGGACAGCTGCAGATCAGGTATAATAGCTTCACCTTCTCTGCAGTCCCCGTGCACGAGGATCAGAGCGAACGAGTTACAGTACAACACAACGGCTTGGACAGCGGCACGTCTGGTCAGCTTCCACGAGCTCGTCGCTACGAGTAGCGTGTATATGCCGCTTTGAATCAGCATTCCGCGATCATGCTTCACTTGTACCGGACACATCAGTATGAAGCCGTGTCCAATTCTGTTTGGCGAGCGGCCTTGTTCCTGTGGCTCAGCTATCTGCTGGGGTCCCTAGGCACTGACCATGGCTGCAGGGAAGCTGTGTGAGGCTGCACGAGTCATCTTGGTTAGCGCACCTGGGATTGGGAAGGGAACACAATCAGAACAACTTACTGCAGCTCAGCTTCATTACAACGGGCGACTTGCTTTGGCTTTATGTCAAGGACAAGACAGACTTAGGTATACGGTCTGCCTATAGACTACATGGCTTTAGACTTACACGATACAGGCCGGTAAGCGGACTCATATATTAAGCCGGGAGGCTTGTGCCTAACCCTTCCCCTAGCCATCCATTTCGCTTTCCCTTCTGGGACGATACGCGAAGCACAACGCAGGCCTCACTTTACTTCGCTGCACTCCGGCTGTGCATGTAAAATGATCGATGCGAATGGCATCCGCGGCATTGTGTCCCGCGACCGATGGGTCCAGGCGGCGTTTCCGAGCAGCTAGCTTTCGCGTATCTGAGTTGAGTCTGTCATCGCCTCCGTTATTGGGCCGCATGCTCTGGGCGGACATGAGAGCGCAACCATGATGTTGCTGGTTATGAAAAGATACAGTACTTACACGGTTAAGTTCCCAGCCATACGTCTGCTGCGCCGTCGTTTTATTGGAAGTGTCTCCGCCACTGCTCACTTAGATCACTCAACCAACACTATGCTCGCCCGTGAAATTGAGCCCAGGCGCCTTACACACGATGCCCTCATTGTCGGCGCTGGCTTCGGCGGTCTTTACCAGCTGTACAAGCTACGGCAACTCGGCATGGATGTCAAAGTCATCGATACCGCTTCAGACGTAGGCGGAACTTGGTATTGGAACAGATATCCTGGCGCCATGTCTGATACGGAAAGCTACCTCTATCGATACTCCTGGGACGATGATGATCTGTTCACCTCACCGAATCGCTATGTGATGGGGCCGGAAATTTTCACATACCTACGCGGTGTTGCTGATAGACACGACTTGCGGAGGCACATCGAACTTGAGACCTCCCTCGTGTCCGCCGTCTACGACGAGCATCTTAACAGCTGGACGGTGACAACGTCCCGTGATCAGATCATCACCGTCCGCTACCTGATCACTGCGCTCGGGCTTCTATCCAAGATCAACTATCCGGATATTCCAGGCATACCCGACTTCCAAGGAGAGAAATATCACACGGCGGCCTGGCCAGAGAATCTGGACTTGACGAACAAACGTGTGGGCATCATAGGAAATGGCTCGACTGGCGTACAAGTCATCACTGCGCTTGCAAAGGAAGGCAAGGTACAGCGCCTGATCTCGTTTCAACGGCATCCGCAGTACAGCGTGCCCGCAGGCAATCGTGCCCTCACCGAGCGTGAGCGTGTCGATATCAATGCTAGCTATCAGGACATCTGGCCCAGCGTCAAAGATAGCGCCACTGCCTTTGGCATCACCGAGAGCTTGACCCCGATGGCGGCCATTGCTCCAGAAAAGCGCAAAGCTGTGCTACAAAAGGCCTGGGATGAAGGCAATGCCTTTCGTTACATGTTCTCCACCTTCGCCGACATCACTTACAATGAAGATGCAAACGAGGCTGCCGCTGACTTCATTCGAGAGAAGATCCGTGAGACAGTCAAGGACCCAGAAAAGGCTCGCAAGCTGTGTCCCAGTGAGCCATACGCCCGACGTCCACTTTGTGATAGTGGATACTATGAACAGTTTAACAAGGACTTCGTTGACATTGTCAGCCTGAAAGAAAACCCGATTGCAAAGTTCAACGAGCGAGGATTAGCATTGCAAGACGGATCCGAAATCGAGCTTGACGTGATCATCTTCGCGACAGGTTTTGATGCTGTCGACGGCAGCTACAAGAATGTCACTATCAAGGGAAGATCGGGCATTGACCTCAAAGACCATTGGAGGGAGACTGGTCCAGCATCGTTCATGGGAATAGCAGTGGCACAGTATCCGAACCTGTTCATGATTCTTGGACCCAATGGACCATTCGCCAACAACCCACCCGCCATCGAAACCCAAGCTGAGCTGATAACAGACTGCATTGCTTATGCAGAACATTTTGCCACAACACAGGACAAGCACGCAGTTGCAGCTCCAGCCATTGAGGTGGCGGAAGAGGCTGAGCAGAACTGGACAGATCTGTGTGATCAAGCCAGTGCGAACAGCCTCTTTCGAAAGATCGACAGCAGCTGGATCTTTGGTCAGAACATAAAGGGGAAGCGCTTTTCGAGCCTGTTCTACTTTCCTGGTCTGGGCGAATATAGGCGCCGCATTCAAGAGATGAAAGCAAACGGGTGGGCAGGATTCCTGTTGTCCGTAGGTCATGCCGCATGAATGAGACACGTGTGTCTCTACTGCTAGCTAACTAGGTATGTACATGCGGCAGGTGTTCTCGTACTACTGCACTTTCTTGCCACTGCTGTGAAGTAAGAAGATAGCTTTTAATCAGGATGGGATGCGACACATCTGAGCGGCGTAGTCGTTGGACAGTCCAAGTCAGCTTTTCCCGCGATTCTCATCATACCCGTGGGCAGTCAGTCTATCAGGATTCTAGCGGGCCGCCAAGTGCAGCAGGGACGCAAGCTCCATAAGCTAAGGCAATACACTACTAGTCTATTACTGTGTAGGTTCGTTGGGGAGTTCACGGGGTTTGCGAGCGAGCGGCGCTTGTTTTTCTTTCCCTTCACGGCTTTTACGCGCTGCTCGTGATGCCTGGAATTTTTGTCGCCTGACGCAGCAGCATGATAAGAGACCCTGATCGGTCCGGGCTGTCAACAGTACCTCCAGACAGTAGCAATCTACTGGACCTCGCCTTGAATGTCTCCGAATCGTCACCTGGGTGTAGATCCAGGCCTTCCTGCAGGCAACCCCACTCCATCATTCTGGCAGGAGCCTCGGTCTCGATCATTCCGACCACAGGACAATCTGCCAGCCGCTCGAGACGTCGTGATTATCGGTTCGGGGATTACTGGCTGCAGTGTTGCGTGGCACCTACTGAACAATCACGTTTCTCTCAACGTTACGATCCTGGAGGCTCGCGATGTATGCTCAGGCGCCACTGGTCGCAATGGAGGGCGGATCAATTGCACCGCCGTCCAAGATTTTCACAAGTATTCGGAGATATTCGGACAGAGCAGTGCCAAAGAAATCGTCCGCTTCGAACTCGCTCACTATGAGTCTATACGGAAGACTGTGGAAAGCATTGGACCAGAACTTCTCTCGGAATCGGAGCTGAGATGGATCAATGCCGTCTCTGCGGTCTTCACTGACCAAGAGGTCAATGCTTTTCGTTCAATGCTGAAAGCGTTCGAAGATGCCTTTCCCGACTTACGTGGGCATTGGCAAGTGGTTGGCCGGCGAACGATGGCTTCAGTACGTGTCGAGCTCCTCTACAGTGTATCCGCAGTCCCTGACAGCTTCAGAAATACGGAATGCCTAGAGCCAGCGGCGGCCTCGTAGGCAAGGCTGGAGCCGCGTGGCCTTACAGAATGATACATGGCATCTTCGAGCATCTACAGACGATTTGCAAGGAACGCTTTTCGATTGCATCAAACACTCCTGTCCTATCGATCAGCAGAGCATCCGACAGCAACCGCCCATACCTTCTGCGCACCAAGCGTGGGACCATCATGGCTAAGCACGTGGTCCACTGCACTGAGGGTCATGCAGCACACCTACTACCGCAGCTAAGAGGAATTATCATTCCGCGTCGAGGGCAGATGACCGTGCAAGGTGGCGATCAGCAAATGCTCAGAGGAAGGGTTGAATCTTTCTCTTTGACAATACAAGGTATATTCTCCTATGCGACTACGAACGCTCGAACCGGCGATATCTTCATCGGCGGCGGCGATCGCGAGGACCGGAAATACTCCATGGGGAGAGCCTCGGATGCCGAAGAGGATCTCGCAGCGCTGTCTTACCTCAGTGGCGTCTTGCAGGTGGTGTTCGGATCCCAACGAGGAACTATGGCTCCTCGTGTGAAGAGCTCCTGGTCCGGGACCCTGGGATGCAGCATAGACGACGCGCCTCTGGTTGGTATGCTTCCGCAGGAGCTGCTGGAACGACCCGCAGGATCTGCAATATCAGCAGAATGGATCTCTGCGGGTTACGGAGGCTATGGCATGGTAAATGCCTTTCTTTGCGGAAAATATCTGGTGGAGATGATGCTAGGATTACCAAATGAACTTGGTCTGCCGCGTGCCTACTTGCTGAACTCGGCACGGGCACTGGATTTGATAGAGAGACGTCGCATAGTGGTCGGAGGGATTGGCAAACAGGCTCAGATGTAAACGTACATGGATGCTACGGGCCATGCTAGAATCAAGGCACAAGCCAATGAGTTGTCACACTAGTCCTTTGCCGGTCAATGACACTCAGCCCGAGAGGATGCCTGTACCAACGAGACGATACCTAGATTGCTGTGACACTTTGCAAGCATCCATGGATGTATCCGGCTGGCAGAGCGTTCGACGATACTGAATGACGATGCCTGCTAGAATAAGCGACTCAATGCAGTTGTTGAGCCAAAGCACAGGAGTCCGCACACTGGGACCCATGCCGAACCTGCGTAGGTAGGTGTGAAGAAAGGTGCCTAGGTGAAGGTGCCATTCGTTCAATTCAGTCGTGGAAGGAAGACCAGTGTCGCAACTCAGAGACCATGTATTGCGTAGTTGCCATGCGCAAAGCCACAGAACACAGCGCCTCTAGCGACCGTAATGCATACGCCGATAATGATGGCCAGGTGGTCATTGAGCGCACGAGGCGCATCAGATACGAAGGGATCCGCTGTAGGTTTTTATGCTGCAGTACACTGGCGATGGGGAAGAGGCGGGGAAGCACCTAAGCACAGTAGAAGTGGGGCTTCGAGCTCCGGACGAGGTGGTTGCCTTCGGAGGTTATCTCCACCACAGTACCTAGTAGATGTATGATGCTTCTTGACTCGACTTGGCTTGGACGACAGCTATATTCTTATTCTTCGACTTGGGAGGCATTTGAGTCTACAAGGCGCCTACCACGCTGGGTTTGTCTGCGTCTGTCCCGTCAGCTTAAGGCGACAGTCTATTTGCCCTTGCAGGCTTTGAGATGGCTCCAAGGGCCTACAGTGTCAGATTTGCAACGTCCAAATTCCCAAACAAACCCTCGAAGGAACAGTCGCTGGTCCATACTGACGATCAAGAGCGAGCACCGCGCAGCCGGACTGGATGTTACACCTGTCGGATCCGCCACAAGAAATGCGATGAAAGATTCCCAGTCTGCGGTCAGTGTGCTGCTCGGGGGACGACATGCATGCCAAGGGGTCGTCCGACGCAGTGGCAGTTGGTGGTGCCATGGCTACACTCGCGGCAGCTCGTCACCCTACCAGCTGTCAACAGACGGTTACTGCAGTATTGGGTGGAGAACGTCAGTCAAATCATGACGCTGAACCCGGAAAACAATCCAATGTCCTTTCCCATTGTCCAGCAACTGGACGACTCTGAGGCCCTGGTCCATGCCTTACAGAGTGTCTCCGCTGGGCATGAATGTTTCTACGACCTGAGCGCGTTGTCCACGTCCTTAGAGGAGCGGGGCAAGGCACTGTGCACGATCCGAAAGGAGATACAATCAACGACTGCCATCCGTTTACAGTCTTTCCTTGCCGTCTGGATGCTTGGATTCTCGTCGCAATGGATCAATAACGACATCCATGACTTCGGCCAAGAACACCTGATGGCTGCTCGAAGTATTCTAGAAGGCCTGCTTCTGCAGAGAGATTTTGGGCCAGACCATCCCTTTCGGCCTCTGGTTATCGGCGCGTATCTGTGGTGGGACATGGCGTGCTCATTCTTGGTGCATTCATCCGAACAAACTGCAATAGACACGGCACAAGTATGTGCAGCTGTTACCTCTGTTAGAGGTAAGTTTTGTGCCTTGGTGAGTCACGCCACCGAGCTATTCTACTACCTCTGCTGTCTTGGCCGGTATTGCCGTGCATTAGTGGACACAGGGAGTAAGAACCAGGCATTTGAAGACTACATTGAACAGGAGCTGTTGATGTGGGATAACCGTGCAGACGGGAAGACATTACATCTTTTGAATGAGGCTTTTCGGTTACATGGCATAATCATGCTCCGCAGGATATGTCAGTCAGTCGATAACGATAACGAGCGATACATTCGCAGTTGTGTCATCGCTTTGCTGGACAATATCTCCAAGATCGGCACCAAAGATCCCGTATTCAAATTTACGACTATCCCACTGGTTTCAGCTGGGGCAGAACTGACCAGTCAAGACCAGCAGCTACGAACACGGGTGACTGAATGGAATGCTGTCATTTACTCTTACAATCGTCTTCTCACTAACACGCGGGTGACGACGTTACTGCTGGATCTTTGGAGCAGGAAAGATGCTGGACAACCGACTGACTGGCTTCGCCTGATGCTGGAAAATGGCTGGCTTCTAATGCTTGGCTGATTCCGAGGAATGAAGCTGGCACAGGGCTCACGCAAGAAAGGTAGCATCGCCAGGCTTTTGTCCATGCATGGCCTCTGGTCTTTGCGCAACAGTACACAGCCACCTTGATACCTATTACGGTCCGTGGTGTCTGAATCTGCGCCGCTTCAAGCGTCGCTCTATTTTAGCTCTGGTTGATTCGATATCTCCTAAGGTTTGACGGGCCAGGCAACTTTCCGACAGCGATGACCTAAGTCGGTACGAACGTTCTGCTGCGCATGGGTTTCTTCGCGAGACCAGAACGACCGTCGAAAAGACACGACAGACAGTTATTACTTGGCAGACTTCATCACGCTTCGTTGCCAGCAATTTCTATGTCCACACAGCACCCTGCAATACCTATTCAAGCACTGGCGCCCAAACCTCCGTCTGCTCCTGCAGTAAAAGTCTGGCATTCGCGAAGCGAGAATTGAACCTCCAAAATGTATGCAACTTTGATGCTTGAGTCGTCTCAGGGGCACCGTCCAAATCGGCGATAGCAAAGAGCAACCTTAAGGTTAGTGTGAGCGGTGGTTGATCTTGAAAGCCATCACTGCTTCACGGGCCACAAGCTCGAGTGATCGTGTCGTTGGACAGGTCTTAGATGTTGTGAGCCTCCAGGAATTGATGCAAATCGGACCGTCGGCAGAGGTACTAGAGCACCCAAACATGGCTTGGGAAGCTGAAGGGCACCGGATCCCCAGATTTGGACAACCGGAGCGAACTGCATCCTCATTCACACGCAACGAATAAGTCCGCGTAGCAGCGCTGGAAGAGAAGAAGTGCGCCTGCCGTCCGGGGTAGGAAGGTGTCGGTATTCCCTAGTATTGCGATCTACGAAACCTTATCGACACGTCGACGGCATGCTGTGGCGGAACCCCCTGCCATCGAACTATGACCGCTCTCGGGAATTGGACTGCTTCTTCCGTGCTCCATGAGTACATCGCTCAGATCAGCAGGAGGTCGCGATGTAATAGTAGTCGACGGCTCGACCCTTTGCTCCAGGCTTCCAGCATAGGGTGCACCCGTGACCTATGGTACCTAGAAGCATTTACACGACTACAACTTGTGATCTAGAACCTGTTCAACACCCGTCTTCCCGTCCCATCCAGCCTGTCTGGCCACCATCTCCGCCCCTATTTCTGCAACACAGAGTACTGTAACCATAGGATTGACGCTTGTCAGCGCTGGAAATAAGCCTGCGTCACAAATCCTCAAAGCCTCGATATGCTTGACCCTCATCTCTGGATCACTAATGCGCTGTTAGACTGGACATGTATCGAGTGAAGCTCAGAACTGGAAGACAGATGTTCGACCCCGTTCGAGGTTCGAGGAATGGGTACTTACCAGACTGCCATGTCATCCTTCGCAAGATCACCCATCTTGGTGGTACCTGAGGGGTGATATACTGTATGCGCTACCCTCCTTACGTACTCACTCAATTCTTCATCTGTATTTAGCTCTGGACCAGGTGCCACTTCACACTTAATCCAGTCCTTGAAAGGGCTCTGTTGTGCGATCTTCCGAGCCATACGCATACAGTACACAAATGTTGCAGCGTCATAACCACCCTTATCTGTAAAGTATTGGAAATCAAGTGCTGGCTTGATAGATGGGTCGTTAGACGTAAGGTAAAGTCGACCGCGTGAGCGTGGACGAGGAATATTTGGGTTCATACAGAATGCATAGCCTTCTGGTGGCGCTTTGTAGCCAAGACGATCAGTGTTGAATGTAAAGGCGCCCTGATAGCAGTGTATCATAACGTCAGCGACCTCATCATCAGGAAGGTTGCGAGGGTTAAAGGGAGATTGTGGAGAGGCTGTGGCTGCGGCATTGGGCGCTTCACGTCGGAGGAAAATAGCCGCATCAGTGTCCATCGTGGTTTGGCGCGGAACGGGCTTCTTAAGCTCCCACATAATGAGTGTCTCAGGGTGATCCTGTAGATTCTGGCCAACACCAGGGAGATCCTGAACCACAGGGATGGAGAGCTTCTCAAGGTCTGAGGTAGGCCCAAGACCTGAGTGCAGCATAAGCCGAGGTGTGTCAATAGCACCTGCACAGAGAATAGTCTCAGCTCTTGCAGCAAGGCTATAATGCTGACCATTTTGAAGCTTGACATCGACACCGGTACAGCTGGCTGTGCCCTTTGAGACATTGATCTTGCTGACCCAAGCATTCGTCAATATTGTCAAATTAGGCTTTTTTTCGTCACCACGTAGAAGTGGATGGATGTAGGCAACTGAGGCAGATGAACGGTGACCATTATCAGGATTGTATGCAATAGGAAGGAAGCCACAACTCTTGGTCAACCCTCCAGTGTTGTTGATATGCTTATTGAAATCTTGAATTATCGGGATCTTCATTGCTTGTGAGCATGAATCGAGCCAGTCGCGGCAAAGCTGACTTTGGTGACGTTCATCAACAGTCTGAATTGTGTTACGAAGGCGTTGTGTTACTATGCGGGCCATTTCGTCAAAAGTCCAGCCTTTTGCGCCGAGAGACTGCCAGATCTCCATATCATAAGCAAAGGGACTGAAACTGATCATTGTGTTATGAGAAGAACAGCCGCCCAGGACCTTTGCTCTTGAGTGCCGTATATGAGAGTTGCCCATGGGTTGTTCAGTCGTGGTGTAGTCAAAGTCTAGATCGCCGCCTATCAGGTTCAACCACTTCTTTAACTCGAGTATGCGGTTGTCCATAAAATCGCTTGGGCCAGCTTCGATCAGAAGAATGCGCTTGTGCGGTAGATATTCAGCTAGGCGAGAAGCTATGACACAGCCTGCTGTGCCACCACCAACGATGAGGTAGTCATAGCTAGCAATATCGCTTGCGGGCAGCTCGTTCGTAATCATCCTGCTCAGGTCGATTGAAAGGTGCGTTTAGATAACCAAGCCAAAGTTCGAAAACAACGAAGCAGAAGACCGGAAGTTGGTCGATGGCCACTCTCGCGGTTCTTATCCTCTTGGTATTGTTCCCACCTGTACTTTACCTACGTAGAAGAACTCGGGAGGCTTTCACTGTCGCTTAGACGATTACGACTCAAAGTATTTCGGACACCGATGATGCACGGTAAGTGGAGCCAACTTCAACTTCAAATGCCAGTGTCGCCTAAGTTCCCGATAGGGGAAGTTGGACGATCTGAATAGGCTTAGGCATTGTCCACGGGTCTATCGCAGTACGATCCTCCCTAGGCCGAAACAATCACCCGCAGCGGCGACTGCTCCGAACCCACCTGGCGCCTAAATTCTGCGATTCGAAGTTCGATAACTATTAAGTATCACTTACCACGCCATGATCCACACCTACCGCTCAGGAAGAGACAGCTCCATTACGCTCGAGAAGCAATGTTGGAAGCTAGATTCAGAGCGTAGAGGATATCATACACTCAGAAGAGCACGATTGTCAAGAGCTCGGGTACAACGATTTTGCGATAATTTGCACGGGTCCAGAACTGAGTCGCCTACGAAATGATACGGACAGGAACATCGACACAGTCCCTGACGAGGTGAAGAAAGCTCAACCGCCGACTACATAGGGATAGTTTCCGCACAGAGGGTAGAACTATATGATTCTGTCTCTGTGTTCAGCAGCTTCTCCAAGAAACGTGTCCACATCTCTGCCAGTGATGCTTGTCAAAATTCCGGTGTTCCATTTCAGGGATTCTGCTTGTGGAATTTCGCCAGCGCGCGTGAACCCCAAGATTCTCAGGTCTGCAACGATACGGTCATCCTCATTCCTTGACTCGACAAGCGCTTGCACCGCTTGCGTTATAGATACATTTTTCCTCTGATAAGTGGCGTCATGGTGCTTTAGCAGTCGATATAGTTCGTCCCATGTCAATGTCTGAGCCGAAAAAAAGCTGAACTCCGTCCATTCGTCGGTGCTCCCTTCAATAAGAGCAAGCACAACACGTGCTGTATCTCTTGCAGAGGTGAGACTAATTTTTGCCTGGCCGTCACCATAGTAATCAAATGCTCTCCGATTGGCGTCCACGGCGAAGGCCGGTCCCAGATCTTCTATATACCGTTGCGAAGACGGCAGTAGATAATCCATAAACCAGCCATTGCAGATTATGGACCACTTCACCTCCTGCTGGGATCGAAGTGCGTCTCGTACAGCTATGCGAGCCTCGGAGAGATAGCTCGGTACATCAGGGAAATCCTTCATATTGAAAGAGAACTCTGAAGGCAGAAAGCGTTTGCACTTTGGTGAACGTGTGCAGGCCTCGAGTAGTGCCAAATGTGCCCGCACGAAGAAGTCGTTGGGTCCAGCTATTGTCGAAATGACGGCGTCGCAGTCCTCGAGAAGCGACTCTAGGTCGTCAGCAGTGTACTTTGTTACCCGCTGCTCGAGGTGTTGATGCCCGGGGTAGTCTTTCCTCTTTCCTGTCAGGATCACAAGGCTGTGCGAAGTCAGGCCGATGACCTCCGCAAAATACCTCCCCACCGATCCGAACCCAGCAAGTGCGATCTTCATTGCTGCGACTTCGTTACTCGGGACTAGACGACTGAGGCAGAGGACACCGCTGATGATCAGGTTGGAAGCAGACTCGTAAATAAGAGGCGAACTTGCAGCAGGAGCCCGGGGACCAACATTGGGCGAGCATACGCAATATTAATTGGCGACCCCTTCTCAAAAAGGATTATATGCGATAGGGCGGCCGGAGATAATGGCTGTAGCGCTAAGATGGGGAGCTATAACAGGATTGAGATGGATACCTAGCTGTCCTCCAATGAAGCGTGCTCCTGCCCTTCCACTTCCCCTGTCGCTGCTATATTGTGATCCCGGTTGTACGATAAGGCTACACGACGCAATACTTGCGGTACGGTGTTATCGCAGCTATCGCGTTGCCCAGATAGTGAATTTGGCCTAGTCTCTCAACGAATAGAGGAAAAAGTGTTGTCACAGTCTCTCCTGCCTAATATCAATTGATGATTGGTTAGATGCTCCACATGCTGTTTATACAATGCTCACTGTCTACACCCTCATGTCGCAACTACTAAGTATTTCAGCGCCGCAGAAGAACTCCAGTCTGCGATGGTCACCACATCAGCTCAAATGCCCCACGGATTTAGTAGCAAGTATAACGCAGGGAGGCACCGATCCACCTTAGATCCCTACGTAGACTTCGATCTCGGCATATCGCGACCCATGTATCTGTTAACAGGCTCTTGATACCCTAAACAAGCAGTTATTACTGTATATGTCTTCTACGCGTGCCCAAACAGTTGCGACTAGATGGATCCCACGATCATAGAGGTGTACGTGCCGGAATTGTTCTTTGCTTGTGTTGGGACCCCTGGATGGAACTTCTCAAACCGCAAAAGGCTGCACATCCAATCCGATTTGATCTTAGTCTTTACTCTCAAGAAGACTCAGTCCTTGCTATACGCTGCTTGAACCTGGATTTCGACCAACGCCACTGGCGAAAAGAGCGAGGCGACTCCGATAGCGACCCACGCTGGCTTGTTCTTGCCCCAGTATCGCCTCGCAACTGCTGCAATTTCCAGTTGGACCTCGTCAGGCACTTCGCCGACATGGAAGCTTCTGACGGCAAAGACACCCTCCCAGAGCTGACGAGGTGAACGCTTAGGTTGTGCTGCTGCAAGAGATCTCTCGATCTTCTTCAAAGCAATCTCGAATTGATTTGCATGATCACCCTGACACTCGTTGCTGGCTGTTTTACTTGTGTTGGATGACGATTCCTCATCGGATGCTCCCATCTGCCCTGATGTCGTAACGATAATTGCATCTCGGGCGGCGAAGGAGGTGGCTGCGCTCATGTTGAACACGTCGCCTACGGCCTCGTATCCCGGGTAGTCATGGTTGCCGATTATTGAAGACATAGCTAGGAGAGGATTGAAAGCACAGCCTGTTACAGACTTTGTGAGATTCTGTGATTTATGAGAAGCGAAATGGGCAAAACTTCCTGAGCAGTCAAATACTGTAGTCATCTGTTCAGGGGCTCGTTGGGTGTGCGATCGAAATGCGTCCAGTTGTGGTGAACTTCCGAATCATGTCCCTCTCAGCGAATGGTATAAGAGTAAGACACAACCGAGAGGACCAGGCCTCAGAGTTTGACTGGGCTCAGCAATTTGACTACTGATTTGGGACAATATGCGCCCGGGAAGCTTATTTCGACGGTCGAGGCGGGGCGAATACTTAGGAACTTCCCAATGTTCTTAACAGAATGTAATTTGATGAGCAGACGCTCGGTGCGATGCCTGTCGCACGACTATATCAGGACCTCCATGTGTCCCCAGGTGCGTGCTCATCAGACAGCATACCGCAGCTTCTACACCCTCAACAAGCAGCACAGTCCCGACGCTCGCTATGGAACGCAAAAGCTCAACGTCGCCTCGCCTTGAGCCTGGCGAGAATAATGGGTTGTCAGAAGATGAGCTACAATTACGTGCACAAGGTCACATTGGCGAGCTCCCACGCCAATTCACGACCATCTCACTCCTATCGTTTGCTTATAGCGTCACCAACTCATGGATTGGATACTCCGCGGTTTTCGTTACTCCCTGGTTTGCAGGCGGGCCACCGGCGGTGGTGTACTGTCTCATCGCCGCTGCTCTCGCCTGCTCGATAATTACTATTGGACTGGCGGAACTAGCTTCAGCGTTCCCATCTAGCGGAGGGCAGTATCAGTAAGTAGTGTGAGTTATTGTGAACTGCGATACTAACGAAGGCTTCAGCTTTGCTTTTATGGTTGCTCCTATTCGATACCGGGCCCTCATTGCATTCAGTACAGGCTGGCTCAGCATATTCGCTTGGCTGTTCACGATCGCCTCTGCATGTATCTACTGCGCACAGATCTGTGTGAACATGGCTACCCTGTTCCACCCTCAATATATTCCGGAACAATGGCATGTTTACCTGGTCTACGTCGCTTTCGTGGCTGCTTGCACTCTCATTACTGTATTTCTATCAAGACAAATACCGTTGCTGGAAACGATCTCCTTCTTCGCATCAATCACTGGTGTTGTGGTATTCTTTGTTGTGGTTCTCGCGGTGAGCCCGACGAAGCAACCCGCGTCGGCGGTCTTCGTGAGATGGGATAACCAAACAGGATGGGGTGATGGAACTGCTTTCTTCCTGGCCGTGGGTCAAGCCATGTACTCATATCTTGCAGTGTAAGTGGGATTTCAGTGAGAATGGCGTCCTTCAAGCCATACGTTCACTCAAAGCTGGCCCGTTGACCATTACTGTCCGAAGCTTGCTGACAACCCTGTAGCGATAGCGCGAGCCATATTGCTGAAGAGGTCCCCGAGCCAGGCAAGCGAGTTCCAAGGACAATGTGGCTAACTGTCGTCATCGGTGCCCTGACAGCGCTACCATGGACTATTGCGTTCTTATTCAGCATCCAGAATCTCGATGCGGTCAGTGCGTCGCCATTACCTATCATGGAGATCTACCGACAGGCATTGAGAGGATCTAACGCCGGCGCTGCCTTCTTGACGACGTGGTTGCTAATCATGTATTTTGGTGCATGCATTGGCTGCACCGTCACTACAGGACGTCTAATCTGGGCATTTGCACGAGACGGCGGAATGCCGTACTCGAAGTTCTTCAGTCAAGTCAATCCGGCTTTCGAGACGCCGGCCAACGCGACAATGCTTGCTGGCGTCTTCTGTATCCTCTACGGCCTGATCTATATTGGCTCCACCACTGCCTTCAACAGTTTCATCGCAACATCAATTCTTTTCCTTAACATCACGTATGCACTCCCGCAAGGTGTCGTGCTCATTCGTGGACGTTCACTATCACTACCGGTCAGATCCTTCGACCTAGGCGCTTTCGGAACCTTCGCCAACATCTTTTCAGTGTTGTGGGTAGCACTATACACCATTTTCTTCTGCTTTCCCGTCTTTCTTCCTGTTACGGTTGGGACTATGAACTATGTCTGTGTTATTATCATAGGGGTCGGAGTTTTCATCGCGCTCCTGTGGTGGTGTCGGAAGCGGCATGACTTTACTGGACCAATTATTGGGGAGATCAATGCGCTTGTTCCTGTACCGACCACAGACGCCACATCGACCACAAACGGGAGCGGCACGTTGGCAAAACATGCGAGTCCCGTAAAATAGGTAAATCTCTAGGGCTGCAACGAGATAGAACTCAAGGATACTACAAGTGACAAGTGATCGCGCATTGCCTCTCTAAGTCGGTGAAATTGTCTCAAATGAGCCACTGTCTGGCTGCTTTGCAACCTCATGCCAACCACCCACCGTCCGCATTGTACACCGCGCCTGTAACAAAGCTAGCTTCCTCGCTGAGCAGAAATGCGACAACTTTTGCGATTTCGACCGGAGTAGCCAGCCGTTTCATGATCTGCCGAGAGACTTCCTCAGCCCTAGCATCTTCGTCGTCAGGGACCATAGCGGTGTCGACTCCGCCTGTAACGGCTCAGAGGCCTTTGAGTCAGCCTTGCTCCAATTGATGTTGATGGATTCGGGAGGCTAACCAGGCGCCACGCAGTTCACGCGTATGTGAGGGTTTTCTCTTGCAGCTGTCCTGGATATACCAATGACTGCGTGTTTACTAGCAACATATGCCCCCATAGTGGGACAAGCCACTTGCCCAGCGACACTGGCGATGCTAACCTGCGAAGAGTGGTTAGCACAAATAGAGGCACCCCAGATTGTAGCCTCAGATCTTACGATACTCCCACCCTCCTTCATGTGTGGTATTTGAGCCCGTAGGCAGAGAAATACTCCTTTAGCATTGACATTCATATGAAAATCCCAATTCTCCTCAGTCTCGTCCTGGATCTTACAGACGTTATTGAGGGCTAGAACGCCCGCAAAATTTGCAGCGCAGTCAAGACGCCCTAGCTGTTGCACAGTATCTCTGATCCAACGATCAACGTCAACGCCCTTTGTAACATCAACAACCGTAGCAGTATGTCTTTGCCTCTGATCAGGAGGGAAAGAGTGCATCGTTCGATCGAGTCCAGCTGGATCTTTATCTGCTAGGGACAGCACGGCGCCGCGTTCAGCAGCGAGGGCTGCAAAAGCTGCGCCCATTCCGGAGCCTGCGCCAGTGACGGCTATCTGATGACTCCCTCAGTGCATGTACGTACCACTGAGCCGGTGCGCATAAGCGACTAGGACTTACCACTCTTCCTCGCAAAGTAGCCATGACGAACGACGCTGATGTAGCTCTGGTATGGGTCGAGTAGGCTCACCGCCTTGATGCCTGTGCAAGAGATTGAGTAAAGTGGTAGACAAAGACTGCATGTGTGTTGCTATCCATGGACAGCCTGAATTGGAGACTATGCGTAGCTGAAATAATCAATCCTCGCCCTCACTAGCGCCGAACTACTTAGTACAGCGTTGTCCACAAGTCTCGGCGCTGTATCGGAAATGACCACCTCCCCTGATGATGATGTCTCGATCGCAATAAGCCGAGCAAGTCTCTGATAGCCGCGCGTATCATGCGTCGCAAATACATGCTTATGTCCATGAATGACCACCTCAAGCACGAGGTGAAGTTGGCGACGATTTATTAGACAACGTCAGACTTTCCTGTTTAGGCTGATTCCCGACCGTTAATCCGTAAACTGCTAGCGGCATTCTTCCCCGTGTCTAGGCTTCCTAGCTTCCCAGAGACCTCCGCATGTGACATCGCGTCCTACGAACGCTGGGATATAATCTGCAGCAGTGGACGCTACTGAGCTGGTCAAGTGTTGATCGGTTGAAGCTCCAGGCGTGACTGTAGGCAGTACGCATAGAGAGTGGACCTGGTCCACAGCCCAAGACTCGATATTCAGGCCCTTTTTGGTGGGCGCCATCGGAAGTGAGCTTTCGGCTCCACTGCTGAAATCTAAACCCGAGAAGATCGTCGATAACCATACCTTCCCTGCTGGGACGATATGCGAGGCACATCGCGGGACTGTTGGAGGCCGAGATCATTTGCACAGGCTTTGACGTATGGGCTCGCGATGCTCACACGAAATCCTGCACCAACTAAGCATGTGCATCTCCGGTTGAAGATTTTGTCACATTCGACATTCGAAGAGCCCAAATAACATTCCTCTGCGCGCAACTCTCGGACAGGGTTGCTGTCGATCACTGAGTTGCCCGATTGTGTGAGACCTACTGTGGGCTGTGCTCAAGTAGTACACATATGCCTGTGGCCAATTCCCTGTCCTAGACCAGACTGACTCTCACTATCGACCAACACTGTAGCGTTAGCAAATCCATCTCCAAAGACGATTTCCACGGTGATTCCCTTCGTCAAGTACACGAAGTCTCCTTTGTTGAGCCGAAATCTCTCCCGGGCATCGATCTTGAGATCCGTCCAGCCTTCGGTAACATGGAAGAACTCGTCGCACGGATATGTCGGTGATGTCGTTTCGGGTTACTTCGCATGGCCAGCGACGATCGTGCCTTTGGTGGATCCGTGAATGACTGAGTTCGATCCGCCATATGGCGAGAAGTCCTCTGATGGGAAAGAGCTTTAATAACAGTAGGGTGTATCCGCCGGTTTGGTCGAGCCTGACGAGTGGGGGACACCTGCTGGCATAGCGTTGCTGATGTGGAGTATAATATCAGTGCTAGCTGCTAACGTTGCGTGTCTGTTGCCTCGCAGATATCGTGCTGGGTAAGTACCTATTCACTTGTATACCACGTTCGAGGATGGTCAGTAGCCTCATGTTGGGTGGAGCGCTCGATGCTGCCATGGTTGTTGGCACGTGGAAAAAGAGACAAGATCCACATCCGTGCTGATACGCACGAGGTTGGAGTTCGGGCTCAACGTGTCGAGGCCAGCCGTACCCACGTAGGTACCTAAGGACAGTAGGTCGGCAGGCCGACTAGGGTATCTCGACACTGGGACCATGCATATCAGTGGGAGTCTTTTACCTTCCGAAAGCGGTTTTCTCGCGTGGCCATCTAGTGTTGAAGGTGTCTCGCGTCGATCTCGCAAATTGACCATGCATACGCATGTCGACCATGCACACGGCATCTCGCACCGTGCGACTGCGACGTGGCTGCTCGTTGTCATTGCTGACTGCACTCGGCAACGTCTTCATTGGTCGCGTGATGGTGCCGCTGTTTGGGGCGAAGCGCGAGTTCCAGCGATTGGGACCTCTCAACCTCTTGACTAACGTAGGCGCACATTACCCCCTGGTAGCTCGCTGGATAAGAAAAGATGAAGTAATATAATTAGTCTGTAGCTCACCTGGGCTGAAAATGAGAAGAAACACGAATCGGTCTCAACTGATAACGAAGCTGGGGACAACCACACCCAGGAGTTGGGGACTTCTGCTCTGGGAGCTCGGGGGGTCAGGTATGCTGTTCCACGCGACGAAGCTAACATTTAGGGCGTAGACAACGTTTTCTACGATGAATTGTAGGTCTCAGGAGTGGGCAGCAATCGGCCTGGTTGCACAGTGAACTGGAGAATCATCACGTGACTTTGGTGCTCCGCTTGCACGCCGCCGCAGGCTTATGGTGAAGTCATGACATCCAGCAGTACCACTTGTCACGTCTCTCCCAGATAGCCACCCACGCAAGCATGGCGGACGATACAAGGCAGAACGACCCCAGCGCGACGAACACAGAGCCCAACAGAAAACGACGACCCAGATCCGACTTTCCCCAGACTCAAGCTGGTAAGTTGGAAGCAGCTTTCGGCAACCCCAAAGAGCCGGTAAATGCGATACCTGGCGGCTCGTACAACTCCGCCGGTGGCAAGCCAGCGGAGGTGAGATGGTGGGACGCCTTGAGCTTTGATGTCCACAACTCGGAGAAGCGACCAGCCTTCTACCAGACGGGATGCGCACGCGACTCTATGCTCGTGGGTATGGGGGCGGGCGGTGCTATCGGCGGGTTGCGTTTCGTTCTCAAAGGTAGGATGAGCTTTCGCGATGAGCGCGGAAATCATGAAGCTGACAGTTTTAGGACTCACCGGAATGGTGATGACTACGAATCTGGCGGTTGCTGGATTTGCCGCTACGTCAATGGCGATGCACTACTGGTGTGACCAACGGCGGCAAGAAGAAGCAAAAGGCATGGCTCTTGCCATTGCGGGAATGAAGATGCTGAACGAGAAAAAGAGCAAGGAGAAGCTGGAGGCTGAAGAAGCCAACAAGGCCGCTGCAGAGAGACTGGCAAAGAAGTCATCATGGTGGTGATCATACATCGATGCGAGCGATGTTCGCAAAGCGAAGCTAATGGCTGTCGATGAGTCGACTGATACCGATTGCGAGGTCATCTCGCGTCGGCGAACAACACGTCGTGACCTCCAAGGCTTACCAACCGAGCACTCCTGGAGCACTATAACGGCTGGCTCTATTGCAGCATTTAGTCTTGGGTCGATATTTGAGGCATCGACGCGTCACTGACTCACTGTCGTCGTCCTGCAGTGGCCACTGTCGGAAGAAGTTGCACGCCAGCGCGGAGACAGCATTGGACCGCACCATTTTAAGGGTTGTCGTAGTCGAAAGTCGAGTCTTGTCGGAGATCATTACACAGCTGGACATTCGCTCAGCCATTATCAAAGCGAACTCTCGCTCGACCTTGTCCAATCGAGGGCCCGGGCTCGCTATATGGGCCGTCTGTCAATGCCATCCGCCTCCGCTCACTCCTCTGCTGGCGAGCCTCTTTGGCCTCACGATTTCTGTACTCCAAGAGCTGCTTCTTCCTCTGTTGGGAGCGTTGTTGCGCGATTGCTGGCGTGGGTTTGAACCCAATGCCATTGATTCCGTACAAGTCATCATCTGGGTCCTTTGGGTCGTGGCCGGTGATCTCGGAATCTTGCCAATAGAACGAGTTGACCTTCCCAGATAGCTTGGGTGACTTCGGTCGATCTAGCAAATTGGCTGAGGTTGCCGCCTGCTCAATCGGGTCTGCCTCCTGGTATCTCAAATAGTCAGATGCACCGGCAGGTTCTGTCTCTGTAAATTGCATCTTTGGCGACATGTTATATGGAGTATGTGCAGTACTAGTCTTCGGTTGTAAAGGTAGACGCTGGAGACCACTAGCTTGAGCCTCCTTGTGTGGATTTGAATCGTGGTCCCCAATGTTCAGCTTTCGGAGTTTTCCGACGACTTTCGTGCTGGGACTGGGTACCTCAGGTAGGTATACGTCTGATTCTAAGATTGGATAACCTGCCGCATGTATCGGTATGGTCGGTGTTTCTTGGCCCCTTTTGCGCTTAGGGGAGGCTCGTGATGTCTGTTTCTCCGGGGCACTGTAATGCATCGCCTCTCCTGCTCTGTGAAAATTGTCCATGTTTGGCGATACTGGTATCAGTGCTCGTCCACATGAGACACCTTGGAGCGTACTGAAGTGGAGGATCGGAACCTTGAAGAGCCAGGGTCACCTTGGAACTCCACCGAAATCCAGGCGTCTTTCCTTGGCATAGGGCAACCTTCCTCGAACGTCGATTATCAAAGAACAGCTTCCTGTCCTACGCAATTCACGGATCACAGCCATGTAAGTCGGGTCTGAATCTACCGGGTCGCCTAGGTGTCTGTGATGGTAATGGCAGAAAAATCGCTCCTTCCCTTGGTCGTTTTAAAATGCATCTTGCTTCCCAGTCTCAGCAGGAAGGTGAGGTTCGATCAATTGCAGTCGTCACTGCTGTGCGTCAAAGGAGTGCATTGGATGTCGCAAATGACAAGTCTTCGTCAAGGCAATGGCACTGGCAGTGAATGGTTGTGGAGAAGGTAGGTGTTTCAATGTGACAGTTGCCAGGTAGGTATTCACAGCAGGTTTGTGATTTGGACCAGTCACCCATGGGACCTATTCACTCTCAATTCAAGTTACTGCAAAGCAGTAGTCACTGATCTGCTTCACTGACGGCGCTTAACATCGCTTATTCCCGCAGCTGCTGTGACCACTTCACTAAACGCTGCCAAGCCTCAATTCCCACAACAACTACGTTTATCTCCAGCTTCTGAAGCAACTCAGCTCGTTTTCCACTTCCTATGCTGCAGACAGCCTGGCAGCATGGCATCACAGCGTAAGTCAAGTCCCAGATTTCAATATCAATGCTAAAGAGATACAGAAGCAGCTCTTCAGCCAGGACAACCTGGTTTCGTTCCTTCTCGTGTTCAGCTTGAGGCTTTCAACCGCGCTTTTCGTCGCGTCCTATGGCCTCGCACAGTCTACAATGAGATGCGCGAGCGGCATCTACGTCTGAACCATTGGGATGTGCAAGCTGCCATCTGGAGTTTCCTTCAAGAAGAACTGGAGATGCTGCCACCCCAAAGCAGACCCCTTAACTCGCTTGCTGGCACTATCCCACCATATCTTGACGATTCTGCTGGCCCTCTTCGATCGACCAGGGACAAAATCCGCTCTTTGATCGCAGCCGCGTCTCTCCCAGCTCCTGTATGTTGTCAAAAGGTTCATTTCTGCTCGGACTCCAGCTGACTATCCTAGACATCTTCAGCGTCTACATCCAATGCTCCTGTGTCGTCCACTCAAAAAGCGGTCGATGACCAATACCCGCCGGCACGACTGGCCCTCTTAGTCCGTGGTATGCCGCGCAATCCTGGCAACATAGAACAGGAGCGACGGGATACGGCGCGTTATCTGAGAGAGACGCTCGTGAACAGAAATCAGCTCCGCCTGAAGAAGCTGTCGATATCGCAGGCAGTCCTTCTTATGCACTTGGCTGACTGGGATATTGGTCAAGCGTTGGGTGATTGGAAGAATCTGGACGAAGCTCTCGACCGCCTCCATCTCCATTTCGATCGTATGCGGTCTGGAGAGGGAACTTCGCCGTCTTCGGAGGTGACCATCAATGGTAAACAGGAGCGGCAGAGCGAACGTCTCGCCATACTGCTTGCCATTACCACTCGCCCTGACTGGGGCTCCTTACAGGCTTTCCTTGCCGACCACCGCTTCGACTTGGTTGCTAGCATTGTGGACTGGTACAAGGCAGGTATTCCAGTCGCTCCCAAACCTAAGAAGAAAGCAGAGGGGAACAAAGTCTGCAAAGACGTGTTCAGCAACGAAATTCCACTTCCAAATCAGCAAGACGTGGTTGCGCCAAATGTCGACAATCTCTGGGCTCCCGAGCGTGCCTTCTACCGCCGAGTGTCTGAGTACACTGGTGGGGACGACAGCATTCCTCCTACACCGATGCGTGAGGATGACCGGGACCGCGCGTTCGGCTTCCTGCTCCATCCAGATAGACATGCCCCTCAACCTGGCAACTATCACGCCGAGTCCTACTTCGTGACCGAAGCCATTTCCAAGAACAGATACTTCCACAAACGCTTCGCCCAGCCTGCGTTTAAGTGGCCAAAGATAGGCGCTGGCTACGGGAATGACAACAAGCCCGAAGAAGACGTCGGAGACGAGACGAAAAAGGTCGTCTTTGACTTCAGCAACAAGGATCACGTGGAGAAACTCAGCAACTGGCGTCGCCAGGACTTCTCGCGTACGACTGGCATTCTCACACGCACAGGCGCCCAACACTGGCAACCTGTCGAGCTCGCAAAGTTGTACAAGATGGTGGAAGCATACTATGAAGAGTACATCTCCAGCCACGCGAGTCCCAGCGACAAGCCCAATTGGATCCTCCCTGTCAGCGCAGGCATGCTTCTGCAGTGGACTGACGCGTTGAACGAGGCCTTCGTTGGCACACGTCCCGGTGGTGGCTCAGCCATCCGTTGGGAGCGCACGTCCGAGGGAGTCGGAACGCAAGTGCGCCGCACGCGACCTATCACAGAAGACTTCAATATCCCCGAAGATAAAGCCTGGTTCGCGAAAAAGGGCGCCTTTCACTCGCACACCGAGCAACGTAAGCTGGTGCTCCAGGGCAAAGATCAGCTGGCTGAGTGGGATCCTGAAGCAGAGCGCAAGAAGACCAGCGATGCTACTCCCGCTCCAGCCACAGGCAAGTTGGGCAAGCAACCACTTCGCGTAGAAGACGACACTGCATCCGATCCCAACGACAGCGACGCCACAAAGGAGCGCAAAGCTCATACGAAGCGGTCCCGAGCTGTGTTGGTGCGACAGGCTGAGGAGCGGCGACGAAAGGACGCAGAGCGGCGCAAGCAGAACGCGCAAGATGAGCCGGCGGTCGACGACAAGGAGGATGTCTTGAGTGGTCCGGCATTTGTGTCTCTTGTTGGCGAAGATGCAGAGGAGGGTAATGCAGATGACGAGCAGGAGGAGCAAGAGGGACCTCGCAGCAAGACGCGGAAGACCCCTGCTTCTGGCTCTGATTCTACATCCAAGTGATCATCTCAGCATCGCGAGTCCAAGCCAAAAGAGGTGCAGGCGATTGGAATCTGGAGCATGTGTAAGTTACGAAGAGCATTTGATTGACCTACTGCTACACCGGCAGGTAAGTCACGAGTGCGGTCTCCAGATGTACTATCTCACATCGATACGGAGACTCCTAATATTGATTATCATAATCCTCGGTCCATTCCACACTTCCGCCGTCCACCATACCAGCCATCACCGCTTCAAAGTCTGCACATGCCCCAAATGCGGCGGTATCCTCACCAATCTCGTCGTCCCCAGCCGTCCAAAACTATTTCCCGCACTCTCCAGACGACCTCGTTGTGTCTGTTCCTCCTTTCGTGCTTGCACCATCTGATTGTGTTGGGTGGCGAGGAGTGCTCGTTGTTGTGATAAAGGAAGATGGGCGAGGCTGCGGCGGTCGCTGTCGCGGAGTTGGGATAGTTGGTGGTCGGCGCGGAGTTCGGCTTTCAGGGCACGGTTGCTTAGTTGATTGTGGGGGGTTGAGGGAGCTGCGTCTGCCGGAGAGGTGGTAGATGTGTCAGAAGTGTCGGCCTGTGGGTTCTGGGCGTTCCTTATTTCAGCTCGATTGTTGTGTGGTCCGGAGTCGGGATCTGATCTGTTTGGACGCTGTCGTCGAGCCATTCTTCTTGATCCGGCAAGGGACAGACCTTGAGCTCTTTCTGCTAACTTCTGAGAGTTGGCAGGCTGGTCTCGGTGGTCGCCTTCTTGTCGTTCCTCTTCCAATGCAGAAGCTGTGGACGAATGTTCATAGAAGTCTCTGAATTCAGAGTCTGGATCCTCAAGATCGTACTTGCAATGACCCTTCGCCATCATGTGTTGCTGAGCAGCTTGGTGAGTGTTGCGTTGCGTCCCACAATACAGACACTCGTAGCACTCGGAGATGATGAGGTGGCAGTAGGCGAGCAGATCGACCACCTCTACTAACAAATCCTTCATCTCAATCCGTAGACCATGCGCTTTCGACATGTGTTGTACATTATGATCGATGTCTTCGCTCTCCTGGTTGCAGAACAGGCATTCATGCGGGTCGAAAGGATGGCTCATCTCATGTTGTTCAAGGTCTGAGCTGTGATCTGACTTTACAGTTGGTGATGGCGTTCCTCGTTGCGATGCAGAGTCCATTGTGGCTGTCAAGAGGGTCGTGGCAGTTCCGCTGGCGGTAGTAGCGCCCAGTGACATGTAAAGATGCACGTGGGCGTGGTCGGGTTGGCTGGTGTCGATGCGGAGGAGTCTAGGGAGATTGACTATTTGATGTGTTCTGGGTTGTGAGTACATCAATCGACTCGTCTGTCCCAGACAGCTATATATGTCATATGCTTCCTGGACGATGCACTTTCCCAAGGCCTTGTCCACTGGATACCCGAACAGGTCGCGATGCAGTTCGAAGTGCCAGATTGGGTTAAGGCAAAATTGCTGCTTGACCAATGAATGAATCCTTGGTGGATTTCTTTGGTTCACTCACGGAGATGTGCCTGGATCTTTTGGCATTGATCGCTCTCATGAGGTAGCATGGCCTGCATCATTGCACGCGTTGTTATTGCAGCGCTTCCATCTGCGTCATGCCACAGCATTGAAGAGGTCTAGAGCCATGAAACGGGTCCGTGTGGGCTGCGCGATGTGAGTCTTATTAGCACCTTCCCGCGACTTTACCGAGTCCAGTGCGACGCGATCCCTGGGACAATGATCTAGGCAAGATGAGCAGGATCAGAGCTGCAAATAGGCGTGACGCTGCGCTCACTCTTCGCCCTCCAAGTACCTTGCCTTGAGCATTTTGACGGTAAGCTAGCTGCTGTCAGTGCCTTGCAAGTCGTTCAGCTCCCGCCGCGACCGATGGCCCGAGTACTCGGCGTTGGAGTAGTGCGCTCAGGGGATACTGCCTCGCGACTCCGTACGATTCATGCATCACGATGGATCCTAGCCACCATTCTGAAACAAAGTGGCATGCGCAACAGATGGAAGCTACAAATAGGCAGGTCTCATACCAAATACAGGACCTCCACCGCTTACGACAGCCGAGGCATCGATTGTGGGGGAGCTGCCCGCATTGCGGACTTGGACGACAACCAGCAGAATTGGTTCAAAGCACATATCAATTCCTTTGCTAACAGTGGTGTAAGATTAAGCAGAGAAACTGCGCGAGTCGACTCAGGACCTCTCGTCCAGCACGAACCGCAAAGATGGCCGCCAACCCAGTGAACAACACGATGGACTTTCCCTTCTCCGCGAGCGAAGACCAATCCGCGTATATCACAGACTCGTCCGCGCCATGGGTCGCAATAGCAAAACGGAAGCGCAAATCAAGAGACGACCTGATCCCGTCAAAGTGGCGCCTGCCTGCCTCTGCCATCCCAAAGGATCCTCCCAGTCTAGCAAAGGGACCTCAATCAGTTCACCATATTCCCCGCGAGCATCTTTCCTCCGCCGAAGTAGAAATCACAGAAGGCTACACAGCACAGTCGCTACTCGACGCCGTTCAGCGCAAGAAGTACACAGCGGTCCAAGTCGCCGAGGCATTCTGTCATCGTGCGGCTATTGCTCAGCAACTCACAAACTGCTTGACTGAGCCACTGTTTTCTCAAGCCATCGAGCGGGCGAAGTTCCTCGACAAATACTTGACAGAGACAGGACAGACGCTAGGTCCCTTGCATGGTCTGCCCATGACCGTGAAAGACACATTCGACTATGCCGGCGTCGACACATCCGTCGGCCTCGCTTCGTTATGCTTCAAGCCTGCCCAGAAACACTCACCCATGGTGGAGATGCTGTTGAGCCTGGGTGCCATTATCGTCGCGAAGACAAACGTCCCACAGACAATGCAGACTCTTGACAGCGTGAACAACGTCTTCGGCCGGACGATGAACCCCTCGAACCGGCTCATCACAGCCGGAGGCAGCAGCGGCGGCGAAGGCGTCATGGTGGGAATGAAAGGCTGCATGATCGGTATCGGCACAGACATCGGCGGCAGCATCCGCGTGCCAGCCTACGTCAACGGCGTGGTTGGCTTCAAACCCAGCGAAGGCCGCATGCCCTACGGCGGCCAAGTCAGTCTCGGCGTCGAGGGTATGAGTCGGTGCGGTGTGCAAGCCGTTGCCGGTCCCATCGCACGCAGCGTCGCAGACATCGACTTCTTGATGAGCGTACTTGTCCCGCAGACCCATCTCTGGGGCGAGGACTGCGTCTTCGGCAGCTGGACACCCTCCTCCTCAACCACCGAAACACCACTCAGCGGCAGCGGCCCCAAAGGCGAGCTTGTGATCGGCATCCTCCGCAGCGACGGTAATTGCACGCCCCTTCCACCAATCGACAACATTCTCACCGAAGTCTCCTCCACCATCTCCTCGCACCCCAACATCCTCACCGTCGAGCTCCCCACTCCGCCCGCCTGGACGAAATCTCAATCTGTCATGTCCAAAATCATGTCGATTGAAGGAGGCAAAAAGATGTCGGATGTGATCACCGCCACAAAAGAGCCCATGGTGCCCTGGATGTCCACTCGCTTCAAGGTCGGAGGCGGCAAGCCGCGAGACCTACTAGATGTTGCCGCCATCCAAAATCAACGCACAGAGCTAGAAAAGGAAATGAGTAAGCTCTGGTATACCACCGGCAAACACGGCCGGCGACGTCGTGCCATCGATGCCATTATCTGTCCGCTGGCGCCCCATCCGCCGCCGCCTATCGAGGGGTATAACGCCGTAGGCTACACGAGCAGCTTCGTGCTGTTTGATTACCCCGCTGGTGCCCTGCCGGTGAGGGATATCAGGGAAGGGGATCTGCAGCTGGGAAAGGAAGTGCCGGGGAAGGCGGTGAGTAGTTGGGACGAGCGGAGTCGGGAGCTGTGGGACGAGGGAAAGCTGGATCGGAGGGTCTATCTAGGGACGAAGCTGAGCGTCCAGGTCGTAACACCGAGGCTGGAGGATGAGAGGCTGTGTCGGGTGATGGGGGTGTTGGAAGGCATCCTACAGAGCACTCCGGAGGGGCAGGGAAGGGCGAGTAAGCTGTAGGTTACGCATCTCGAGGTGGATGGACGAGGTGTGGATATAGGGCAAGAGAGCATCCCTGTGATCGATCTAGTATTGCAGCAAAGACACGTTGTATCCGAGACCCCTATCTATGCACTACAACGTGATGTCCAAACTCAGATCAATCTATTCCCGGACCCACACAGCAGCCATGCCCATTCCCGTCCCAACACACATACTCGTCAGCCCAATTTTCTTCCCCGTCCTCCCCAGCTCCGTCAACAGCGTCGACACTTGCCTCGCGCCAGTGCAGCCCAACGGATGGCCGAACGCAATCGCGCCACCTTTCGGATTGATCTTCTCCAGAGGCAGATCCAATGACTTGGCACACCACAAGCACTGGCTCGCAAACGCCTCGTTGATCTCAAAGATGTCGATGTCGTCTTTCGTGATACCGGCCTTCTCGAGTGCCAAGGGAATTGCTTTCCAGGGTCCAACGCCCATGAGTAGGGGCGGGACGCCGACGATTGATGAGCAGACGTACTTGCCCAGTATGGGCTGGCCGAGCTTCTCGGCGACGGATCGGCGCATGAGCAGCACGGCGGCGGCGCCGTCAGAAACCTGGCTGGCGTTGCCGGCGTGGATGCTGCCGTCTTTGGCGAAGGCTGGCCGGATCTTGCCGAGCGACTCAGCTGTAATGCCTGGTCGGACGCCGTCGTCTTTCGTTACTGTGACTTCTTCCTCTTTGTCGGTTTTGGGGTTAGTGTATTTTACGGTCACTGGTGCGATCTCCTCATCGAACAGACCCTCCTGTTGCGCCTTGAGCGCTTTCTGATAGCTGCCTGCTGCGAAAGCATCTTGATCTGCTCTTGACACCTTGTAGTCTTTGGCCATGTTCTCTGACAGAACGCCCATGGGTACTTTGCACTCTGCTGCTGACATGTGGTTCTCGAGTAGATCGGAGAACTCTGTGACTGCGCCTGGACCGTACTGTGTCGACATGGATTCGACACCAGCGCCAATACCGACGTCGATCATACCCGCCTTGACCGCGTTTGCAATGTCGATACATGACTGCAGACCCGAAGAGCACTGTCTGTTCAGAGACTTCACGGCTGTCGTCTCAGGGAAGCCGGCGACGAGAGCTGCGGCTCGGTACTCGGTCGCGCCACCACCTGGTGCGAGGACGCAACCAACGGAGATGTCCTCGACGAGTTTAGGGTCGATCTTGGACTTGGTGAGGAGGTTCTTGAAGGTGTGTGCGAGGAGGTCAGCGGCCATGGTGTCTTTCAGCAGGCCCTTGCCACCCTTGGTAAAGGGCGTGCGGAGGGCACAGGTGACGACGACATCGTCAGGAGACTTGCTAAGGATGGAGTTGGAGTTGGAGGGGCGAGAGTTCGAAGAGAGGTGTCCGTTGACTTGGGAGAGGCGGGCTTGGGCAGAGGCTATTCAGGTGTCAGCGGCGTGCTTCAAACAAATGACCAAGGTGCTTACCGGCCATGATTTTTGAGACTGAAGCGCTAAGTGGTGATTCAAAAGGGAGAGAGCAAGGAACTGATGGATTTGAATTGACGGGAGAGGTGTAGAGAGAAATAATGCAGCTATTGAAGCGACCTCACGTCGCCTGACATGAGAATGAGAATAATCGAGCCGCGGCTGGGACGCTGGTGACGAACGGGCCACATGCTCATTACAGCAGAAGCCCCGGCAGCGTCACATGCTTGACTTGGCGCCACTCTCTACGGAGTAGGCTCACCCCAGGGTTAGGGTTGTGATGCGACCGCAAATACAACTCCACGATATTAACCGTTGAATGCGGAGCCTGCTTGATGGATCTTCGCACAACTAACGGATACTGCGTTCACGATTGCAACGACAGCCGCAATGGCAGTCCCAAGTCCACGCGCCCTTGCTATGCTCCGTGCCATCCTCCGAGCGCCGAACACATCGACCGCGTTACTCTTCGCCCGTGCTATCTACTCCGAACAACCCCAAAGACTGACCGCAACACAAGCCCGCAACTTCTCCATCCTAAACCGCCCACCCCCAAACTACCCAGGACACGTCCCACTTACGTCCATCGAACGCGGCGCCCTCGCCATCGGGTCAGCCTTTACCTCCCTGATCGATCCGTACCGGCATGACATGATCGCCGCCTGCGGCGAAGCCACCGCTCAACCATTCTTCATCGCATCCCTCAAGAAGCGGATGCTCTCCGATGCCACGGGCCGGCGCATCCTCCGCGACCGGCCGCGCATCACTAGCAAAACCATGCCACTAGAAATGCTCCGTCGATTACCCGAAAACAGTGTGGGCAGGACATACGCCGCTTGGCTCGACCGAGAGGGCGTGACGCCAGACACGCGCGACGCGGTGCGGTATGTCGACGATGAGGAGGAGGCGTACGTGATGCAGCGGTACCGGGAATGTCATGACTTCTACCATGCGCTCACGGGCCTGCCGGTGTTTGTGGAGGGGGAGATCGGGTTGAAGGCGTTCGAGTTTGCGAATACGGGGCTACCGATGACGGGGTTGAGTTTGTTTGCGATGTTGAGGTTGAAGCCGGCGGAGAGGAGGAGGATGTTTAGGACGTATTTGCCGTGGGCGTTGAAGAATGGATGGCGCGCGAGGGATGTGATTAATGTGTATTGGGAGGAGGAGCTGGAGACGGATGTGGATGTTTTGCGAGAGAGGTTGGGGATTGAGGCGCCGCCGGATCTGAGGGAGGTGAGGCGGAGGGAGCGGGAGGATAGGAGGCGGGCGAGAGAGTTGAAGGAGTCGTTGGGTAATGCTTGAAGGGCGGGGTGCCGTAGAATCAGGAGGCAGCCCTTCTGGAATGATAATGCTGGGGTATCTCTTGTGATGCACGTCGTCTGTGTGTCATGTCCTCGTCCCGTTCTCATCAGGAAACCACGACTACGACTCGTTCAACAAGTCATCCAAATCATCCTCATCCCACCTTCCCTTAGTCACCACCTTCATATTGTCCAAGCTTGGCCCAGTCTGCTTCTCATGCTCAGTGAGGCTAGCCAGCATCTGCTTCAGCTGGTCCTCACTCACCTTCTGCTTCAGTTGACCAGAACGGGCAATCATGATCAGTCGGTCCTCAACCATCTGCGCACGCGACTCTTTCACCATGCGGATTCGCCCCAGGCGATCGGCGGCTTCGGGCTCAAGGATCTGGGAAAGGATGTTGGTGCGGGCTTCTGATTCGCGTTGCTGCTTCTGTTCCTCCTCGTCGCCTTGCCCGCCTTGTGAGCCTCCTCCGGCGCCTTGTTGCTTGAGCTGCGCTAGGCGGGCTGCGCGGATCTATGGCTGGTCAGAAACGCTGCTAGAATTCACAAGAGGGACGTACCTGTGCGAGCTCGTCGTCCGCCATTGAGCGTGGTCAAATCCGTTGTGCTCGATATGGCTGGCAATATTGGAATGCTTAGAAAATGGCTGCGGGGCTTTGATGCGAAAGAATTGGAGTAGCCTAATAAGTGGCCCCCCCAAACGCATCTCCAACTGCCAATTGGGCCCCGAACGCCCATGTTCACGGGTGAATTATGGACGGTTCACCCGGGCGGCTTCGTGGTCGAACGATTGATCCTTGCAGGGACGCGGCGGGAGGTCGGCTCGCTTCCTTTCAATTCTCACCACTACAAGCATCATCGTGTAGGAGCAGTATTTCCTTCTCTTCCGTCTTCCCTGTGAACAATCCGTCCATACATTTCAATCATCCGAGGAGGAGGCAGAGTCACTTGAGGCAGCCCGAAGTGCTACATGATGCCTACAGCTCGTTGAAGGTGGCTCAGCCGAAGAGGTCGTCACCTGCATAGCTCACCCGGTGCTACATCACGACCGCGCCCGAAGTTTGTACTGCAGCCGCGAAGCGCCTGTTCCACCATGCGCGCGCGGTAGAAACTCTACCCAAGATTAAGCTCTGGGGTGTGGCACCCCAAATAGTTGCCTACAAGATAGAATCTCTGGCTGCAGGTGTTGCATACATGCAACATCCTACCTACATCCGTGATCGGTCGACATCGCCATCTGAGTCGCCCTCTAACAAATTGATCAAGGCACGCTCGACGACCGACCTCAATGCTATCGCGGCCGCGAACCGCATGAGGGAAACTTCCCAAGAGCCGACATTTCGAACGCTGGCAGATCCGCGCAACGCCAGTATGACAGATCTCTCCAAGACTGGGTCGCGTTCGCCTAGCGAAAGGCATCCCGATTTGAGCGCAGAGGTGTCGGCTCTTAGTGACAAGCTTGTGAGCGCCATCGAGCACAACGGTGTTCTGGACGAGAAGTTGTCCGAGACTCGACGCGAACTCGAGGAATCGAAAGCGCGAATAGCAAAGTTGGAAGCGGAGGCTAAAGAACATCAAGAACGATTGTCTCGGGGCGATTTGTTGACCAAGAAAGACGCTGAAGACTTCAATGGAAAACTCGCCACAGAGCTGGCCGAAGAGAAAAGGCAAAGGAGTCTGGCTCAGCAAGAAAAGAGAGGTATCGAAACCGAACTGGAGACTTTGACGGCCTCTCTGTTTGATGAGGCTAACAAAATGGTCGCGGCGGCCAACATGCAGCGCGATGCGGTCGAGAAGAAGAACAACCAACTCAGAGATCAGATCAAAGATGGCGAAGCACTCATTGCTTCGCAAACAGAGCAGATGACGGAGCTTAAAGTTCTTATGCAGCAGATAGGGACAGAGCATCGCAAGGAGCTGCAGTCTCCGCGCTCGTCTGTAGGTCCTGCCAGTCCTGGTCTGAAGAGGGAAGACAGCGATCTCGCTCGCGCGCTCGAAGCAATGAACCTTACGCCAGCGTCAGGCGACAATCTCGAAATCGCACCAACTCCGGCAACAAGCCTCACACACCTTCTGCGTCCCGAATGTCGGACCGATGTCCCAGCCTACGACGACTTTAAGAACCTCATCGAAGCTTCGCGCATACGGTCACACACGCCGTCTCATGCCCCTTCAAGAGCAGGCTCGGGCAACTATGCTGGCTTGAATGTGATGGGCTTGTCATTTGCAAACAACTCCAATCCGAATCTGGCAGCAGCACCAGCCAGCAAGACCTCCAGTAATCCTTCTATACCGGGCTCCTTCAGTCCTAACGCTGATGCAAAGGGCCCTCAAGCCTTGAAAGACACTCGATTTTTCAAGCGGATAATGTCCGAAGACATCGAACCGACACTACGGCTGGATCTGTCGCCCACGATCTCCTGGCTCAACAGGCGCAGCATTATTGGAGCTCTCGCAGAATCGAATTTGGTTGTGGAGCCCATTCCTGAAGCCTCGATGAAGCTGTATGGCAAATATACCACGTGCGCAATCTGCGGCGAATCCCGTAAGCAGAACGAGAATCCGAGAACTCATCAGATGAGGGTGCGGGAGGGTGAAGGTGCAACAAAGTGGAGCATCTGCCGATTGTGCCTAGAAAAGGTACGAGGAGTGGGAGACTTGATCGCTTACGTACGGATGATTCGTGAAGGTGTCGTCAAATGCGGCGATCGCAAGGAGGAAGAGGAGGCGTGGGAAGAGCTTGTCAAGATGAGAGAGCGGCTCTTCTGGGCTCGTATGGCTGGAGGTGTCGTGCCTGCATTTGTGCCTTCCAACAAGGGAAGCCCGACAGCAAGCGGCGGCTTCCTGCGCCGGCCAAGCGAAGAAGGTGCGGCTTATGCGAAGTCGCCGCTGGGTCAGCACGCACCTGCCAGTGGTAGCGAGTCGTCGTCGCCGAGCCTACACTCTGCACAGCAGTCCCGTAGTGGGAGTCCAGAACGGACTGAAGAAGAGAAGAAGCTTGACGCCGAAACAACAGCACAGCTTCAGCAGGGTCTAGACGACAGTCTGACCACCTTTGACAACTATAAGGAGAAAAGGGCGTCCCTGGCGGACGCCGGCACAAAGACTCCACCTGCGACACCGCCGCGACCAGGCCACGGGCCTAGAAATAGCAGCGGGAGTGGCATCAATTTTCCTAAGATCAGCATACCCAAGATGCCGGATAATTTCTGGAACAGTCAGGTCAATACGCTGCATTGAGTCACCTCATTGAATGCGGGTGGACGCCACTCCTTCTAATCGATGGAAGGGGACGCTTCTCTTTACAACCATCGGCATACGAGGCAAGACGTATACGAAGGCCGGAAGTAGCCTTTTCGATGCAGGACGGGAGTCATTCTGCGAAACAGTCGACAATCAGAAGAGAAGTCTGGCTACTTTCTCAGAACGGCAGGAGCCGAGCTGCTCCTTTGAGCTGTACAGTGTATCAATATCAGAAAAGATGGTCAGCAGGAGGTCCCATGACTACAGCGGCATTACAGATTTGGACGAAAATGGAGGCAATGTATGAGTAGATATCACTTAATCACCATGTGTGTATACCTTTTGCCATCTGACATGTTTTGTCTTATGTTCTACTTCCAGACGAACGAGATGTCGCGATTATGTGGCGTTCGGTGTAGACACACTCATGACCTTCGCTCTTTCATCTCACTCAGCGTCCGACGCTCTGGCCATGGAATGTGCCTCTGACGCGCGCCTTCCCGAGTGAGTTACCTGCACTATCATGAAGTCGCAATTGCCTTGGCCGCCAACACCGCTGCGACACTGACCTCCATGGTTCTCCAGGCTGCATTTATCTACGACCCAGGCACGCAAAGGCTTTGCGTAACGCCGAACGACACGGTCGTCCAAGATCATCGAATGACCGAGCAGAAACACTGTCAGGTGAGACCCGCCTCTCATCACCCCTGGTCCCTGCTTACCACAGTATGGGTAAGGCTGTGCTCTTAGGTCGCCAATATTGAGTTCTTTTGTCTTCGTTTTTGGGGGCCTAAGCACTCCGGAAACGCGGCAGTGCCCTAAATTGAACGTGTCTTCGACGCCCAGCCCAATCAAATTTTTACTTTCCTCCACTATACGGAGTACTCCCCTGTCCCAATTCACCTAGCCATCTCCGCCTCGTATGAGAGAGGAGAAAGGCAGAATACGACACCACCAACGCCGAGATGAAGCTGAGGCCACCTGTGACAAGGCGCCTGGTCGTTGATCTATGCAGCATGGCACCACCTCGATGCGGGCCATCGCCTTCCCAATATTGTCTTCTCTCGAGCCTTAATGAGGATCCTTCATTCAATCAACGACCCTCTTGGCCGGGCAAGCGAGTTCCGCTGACCAGCAGTACCCCTGCAAGCAACAGCTTTGTCAACTATTACGAGCATAAGAGCCCGCGTGCGGCCGTGCCTCGTCCATCTAAGATCTCATTCGTGTCATCTAGTATTCTGTTCGACTAATCTGATATAATATAACGAAAAGTACTGCAGCTCCCGATCTCTTGGCTGGACAACAAAACTTCAGGCCACAGCGACCAATTCATAACATTTAGACCCAGGGGAGCAGGGCAGAAACACAACAGGGGGCCACGGCTCTAATATCAACAACATCATGGCCACCACGCCGACGGGAAAGAAGCGCATCATAGTATGCTGTGATGGGACATGGCTCGACGCTGACGGGGAATTTCACACTCCTTCTAACGTTACGAGGATAGCACGCGCGATCAGGCCAATAGGTCAAGACGACCAAGGAAACCCGATATCTCAAATTCTTTTCTACCAAAATGGAGTTGGAACAGGATCAAAGTCATTATATGTCAAATATGTCGGCGGAGCTGTCGGAGAAGGTCTCGCTGAGCATATACGGGAAGCTTACAGCTTCATCTGTGGCAACTACGTCGCTGGAGATGAGATTTTCTTGTTTGGCTTTTCTCGAGGAGCCTTCACAGCGCGTTCGATATCGTCACTTATCGAGGCCATTGGTCTGCTCACGTCGAAAGGTCAGGAGCACTTTTATTCGATATTCGAGGACTGGCAGTATCAGAACAAGAAGGACTTCAAGTCGAGGTGGCCTCACCACCCATGGCCGGGCCACAAGGCGCCCGTAAATGACGCATTGTACCAGCGGAAACTGCTGGAGCTTGAGCTAACTCGTCCCAACATTCCCATCAAAGCAGTAGCAGTATGGGACACAGTCGGTGGTTTGGGTATCCCAATGATCGGTCTTCTGCCACAGGCCCCTTCGACGGAGTCTCATTCGTCGATACAAAGGTTGCGAAGAACATCGAATACGCATTTCAAGCCTTAGCCCTCGACGAGCACAGACGCTCTTTTCACCCAACAGTATGGGAGAAGCCCGCTGACCAGGAGTTGCCGCGCGTGCTGAAGCAGACCTGGTTCCCAGGCGTCCATTCGGACATTGGCGGATCGTACTCGGACACTGATCTCGCCAACCTGACTTTATGCTGGATGGTCTCTCAACTATCGCCCCTGATCGACTTTGATTACACCTACATCTGGACTCAAGTCCGGCTCGGCATCGAATATCACGAAAAAGAGGCCCAGTTAGCCGAAGCCCTGGCCAACGGCGAGAATGGACACGCTCGCAAATTTTCCCACACCCCAACTCCCGTACCCACGACCCCAGCGTACCCCACGAATGGCGCCCTCCCCACCACCTTCCGCCCTTGGGGCCTCGGCAAGATACACGACAGCATGTCCTTTTTCTTCAAGCTCGGCGGCTCCAAGATCCGCACGCCCGGCGAGTACACCGAAACCGAAAGAAACACCCAACACGGCACCCTGTGGTATATGTCCTCCAAACTCAGCGGCAAGGTCCTCCATCGCATGGGCATCGGGCACCGCAAACGCATGCCCCGCCTGCAAAACACAAACGAGACCTTCCACAGCTCTGTGCGCATCCGCATGGGCAAACGCGGGAAGGGGTACAATGACAAGGGCTTCTATGACTCCGACGCTCTCACTGGCTGGGTCATGAGCGGGGACGTCGCGAATCCGGACACGCCGCACCAGCTGACTATGCCTGGTCAGGCGGGCGCGATGAAGAATGTGAAGTGGCATAAGCGTGTCACCAAAAGGAACGACGAAGGCGAAGAGGAAGAGATCGAAACGCTGGTCATTGCGGAAGATGAAATGGGCGCGTTCGAGAAGAGGATTCTGCAGCTGTGGCCGGAAATAAGTGACGATTTTGACTGTATTACGCCTGGTGGGCACCGGCAGGAGATGCATATCGGAAAGATGCAGAAGGCGAAGAGGCGCAGTCTGACTGCTCCGACGAGGAAGGGCAGCAAGGGGTTGCCCGCGCCGCAGACCAACGGAGCGCGAGCAGAGACGCTTCCGCCGATGCCGAAGGTTGAGTTCCGTCATGACTATACTATGGCGAACGGGAACTCCTCCGAGGGAGGCAGGCCCGAGTCTGGGAGCACAGAGAACGGACTCAAGCCAGAACGGCCGCATGCCGCCAGGAGACTGAGTCTGGACACCCGATCCGTGCGCAACAGGAGCCGGGGGAGCAGTATGGGGGGCGAGGACTACGTGCCGGAGCCTAATACGGCAGGCACGATCTGATCGTACTTCCTGTGGCAAAGTCGGGACATGGACAGGGCTGCAGAGATGGACAGAGTTGCGGGATCGATGGGAGAGGAGGGAGATGAAAGGGGAAAATTGATTCAGGCAGGCATTACATGCATTAGCGTCAGCATCAGCATCAGCATTTTGTGTAGTCTTAGCACTTTGGCTACAGAGGACGTCCCTGTATACATGTATTAGCTAATGCCACCTCTCATACAGTCTCGAGGAGTCCGCCGCCGAGATACGCTGTAGCGGTATATCAGTAGGTATGCAGATGGCTTCGTCGAGGTACACAAACTGGAAGTGAAACTTTCGCACAGGAGGATGACGATTTTCGTCAGAAGCGAATCTGCACCAGAGCGGCTTCGGTGTCATCCGGTCTGTCGAAGTGACAGGAATATATAATTGCTACGATGCTGTACTGGTGCCCCTAATAGTCTGTGTTCACGTATATAGTGCGATCCTGTTTCCAGCCAGTGACTGTTCCTCCCACCCTTCAGGCGAATAACGGTAGCAGGAGCACGCGGAGAACGCTCCGTCTCATTCTTGTCGCCTTTACAGTCGGAGCAGAGAATGCTTCGCCCTTGTTTCGACCAAGGGTTTCAACGAGACCGGTTGACAACGTATTCCCAAGACCGGATGACAAGTCTTCTCGGTAGCGACTTCTTCTTCCAAGTTCCGACCAGGCAAAGACAGCAGGAGCACACAGATATTAGTTCCTGCTCAAATGTGCCTTGGCGACGCCATGAAGGGCAGGTGGGTCGTCCAGTTAGCACCTTCCGCAATTGCAGGCTTTGTCATCCGGCTTGAGCAAGGCTCTTCGTGAGACCGGATGACAAGGTTTTGGTGTATCAGCTACACTGATGCCCACTTTCCTAGAGGCAACAGCCGGGCGGTTGCGACAAGAACATCGTATTGAGCTCGAAGCAGAGAAATTCCCGCGGACCATGTTCACTGTCACTGCCGTACCTCGTACCTCAAGATCTCAAGAGCCGCAGCTGTCGGATACCGCTTCCAGAAGCAGACCAGAAACTCTAACGGCAAACTTTCTGCGCGACATTCTGGCACCTTCATGATTGGTTGCATTCCTGCCACACACTGCTTGAGCTGGGAGAACTGCGTCTGTGGCGGCGGCTGAAGTGGTTTTGTGTGCTGAGCCACCTCGTGGTATGGTTCTCGATGTAGTGGGCTTTAGTGTTGGACGTGAGTAATGGTTGCAACGGCCGCAGCAGATGTTGTGCTCAGATGGTGGTCGTATGTGATACGCGCGACGTTGATGCTATTGTTGCAGCTGTCGAGTGTGTTTGAGATACGTGTGTCAATGTTGAGGATGGAGTATATAGTAGGACCTGCTCATGATCGTGGGGTTCGAAGGACACATCAGCATCACCGACCAACGACCAACGGTTAGACCATAGAGCCTAAGCAATAGCATCACGATCAGCGATACTTTCAAGACCATCCCCCATCATTCAACACACATGGCCCACATGCTGTACACCTATCTCCGGCGCCGCAGACCATCAGCATACGCAGTGGCTGTCTCTGACAATGCAGCACCGCCCACCTACACCACATTCGTAGGAAGCACTGAGAGCTCCGTCCTCCATGAAAAGGCGTTTTCGACAGAGAAGCAGATGATCCGCACATCCACAGACGCCGACTCGGTCTCAAGCAGCAGCAGAAGTAGCTTCTGCGATGATTTGCGGCTCAACGGTCAACGCGTCGCGCTGTTCCCACAGTACAGCTGCCAAGAGCAAGTCACTTTGATGATCAGAGAAGACATGCTCCCGAATCTGCCAGGCTCCTTCACCGTATTCAAAGACAATCAGCGCCTCTTTGAAGTCGACCGAGAAAGGCCGTCGGCCACACATCGGACAAACATCATCGATGCAGAAACCCAGGCCGTCGTGATGGCGGTGCGTAAGAACTTTGGCACAATCCCAGTCTCGTTTTCGTTCGAGGACCCCTCCGGCAAGCGTCTGGTCGATTTGGAAGGCGAGTTCTTCGTGCCGCATAGTGGTGCCAAGTCGACGGCGCATATGATCAATGCTGAGACGGGCAAGAAGATAGACTTGTCCATGAAAGGGTCCTATCTGAATCGACATGCTGTCATCAGGGATGAAAATGGAGAGGTCTTGGTGAGGATGATCAGTAATATCTTCGAAGCGCGCAGTATTGTCGGTCATCGGAGGACATACGAGCTGAAAGTGAGAGCTGGCGTTGATCTGTCGTTGGCTGTGGCAATGATCATTGCCTTGCATGGTCGGGAGTCGAAATAAAAGCATAGCGTATGAGGCGTTCACACTGATTTGATCAGGACAGAAAAGAATAAAGGTCCCCATTTTCCTCCGTTTTTGTGATCGGGCAGCACTATCCTTCCATATTTTGTCTTCTCGCTCATGACATCGAGCTTGTCATCGTCCACTATCTCAGATGGCGCCTTCTGCAGACATCTCTCAATGACACCGTCATTCTCAATGTCGGATATCGAACATGTGGCGTAGACGACACGGCCACCTGGCTTGACAAGCCTCAGCGCGGTCATCAGCAGCTCGGTCTGCGTCTTCGCCAGTGTCTTGGAATGCGACGCCTTCCAATTCATCATCTCCACGGCGCCTGGATTCGTTGCATGTTTGTGGACGATGTGCCTCTCAGACGAACAAGGCGCATCGACAAGGACTCGATCGTACTGCTTGTTGGGGAATGCGGCTCGTTTGTCGGTGCCATCCAGCTTCAGGACCTTGAAATTAAAGTCAGCAGGCAAGTAAGATCTCAAGTTCGTAGTCAAACGTTTGTTGCGAGCGCTGTCGAGCTCGTTGCTGTGCAGAAGCGCAGGCTTGTGCTGAGCGATGGCGATGCTCTTGCCTCCTGGAGCAGCGCATAAGTCAAGCACACTGTGGCCCTCCTGCACATCGAGCAGTTCGGCCGCGAGGACAGAAGCCGCATCAAGATTGTAGTGGCTCAATAGGCCTGCCAGGGTCTGCCGCGGAGGCAATAGCGCATCTTCAAAGTATTGCAGACATGGCAACAGAGGCATCGCTTCAGCCTTCAGGTCATCGTGCAGCTTCTCGTCAGGGGCGAACGTGTTGATTAGCGCAGCATAGCGGGTGGGCTCGAGCAGATAAGGGTACAGGCTTTCATCCCATCGAGTGCCCCAAATTGAGGCGTAGTGGTTGTGAAAAGCGACAACAGCTTGCGACAGCCGCTTCTGCTCTGCTTTCGTGGGCATAGGAAGATATGTAAGATGTGGCCAGGAGGCTGCGAATAAATACTTAGGTAGATCCTCTGATTCAATGTTCAGAATTGATGAAGGCTGGTGGAGATTGTTGGATTTATTTCCGGAGGGTACCTAGGTAGCTGTTCGAGACTTCGGCCACTCAAAAAACATCTGACTGATGCGCTACCTGCAGAGAAGGGAAGGCTTCATCGACAGCCACTACGACCCGCGGTCTACAGCAATGCACGGTGAGCGGAAGGAGCCACGACAAAGTCTTGGGCGAAAAGTGTTTCTGCTGTGCGAGACCTGAAACGACCAGTTCGTGAGACGACAGTGGTACCTTTTGAGTGCAGGAACAATGCTCGCACCTTTGGCTGGATAACGCGAAGATGATAGTCTTCGACGGAGCTGAATGAGCAATGCACCAGCATATATATACTTAAGTACTTAGTGCGTGTCTTCCATTCCATGGGTCCCCAAAGACTCTCGACAAGCATCAATTTTCCCATGATCTGCACGTTCACGTCAAGTTCGCTAAGTCCCGCACCGGAACCTTGGAAGGCATGATCCGTCGCTAGCAGGCGCAACCGTTGCCAAATTCTCCGGCAGGCACGCCCCTGACTTCAGCGACCCAGTTCCTTGGATCCAAGACTCTGCAGGAGCTTTCTCGAGCTGTATAATGCTGTACATACATACTGCACGTGTATCGGTTACTCCCACTCGTTGATCTTCGTTCTTTGTTGCGGGTTGAATGCTTTGTGTGGCGGTCTTTGTTCATTGCAGGCGTTGTGTCTTTCGGACTTTATGGCTAACGGGCAGATGCTTTGTGCGGGTAGTGGCAGCGACAGCCCGAAGATTTTCTTCACCTTTGAGCTCGTCCGAGAGAGCCTCAATGCAATATAGACAACTTCTGTGCTTGTCCTCGCCTCACGTCTGCAGCCATGGCCAAATCGTCTCACCACCAGAGACCCCGCAAATCTCTCAGACAGGCGCTGCGTGACCTGCTGCGCCGCCACAAATCCGATACAAGGACAACCGAAGCAAACGGACAAATTGTCGGGTCTGGCATCCTGCGACGCGCATGTCCAACGACACCTCTGTTGCCAAATGTGTCCACAGTATCAGTATTCCCGGACTTCAATAATCACTGCAGCATTCACCACCAATCGATGCAACCATCAGCACCGGTTCAACTGACCCAGACGCCAGCACATAGGCAGACGAGGCAGACCGGGCGTCTGCTACCTCAGACCAGCTTGTCGAACTTCAATCTGTATTTTGAAGGATGCAGGTCGGCAGTGCCTCAGCCCGTGGTTTATCAAGCTGTGCCGGAGCCGTATCAGCAAGGGGCCAGTCGCCAAGCCAGTCTCGTCACATTATCACATACCTCCAGCATACACGTGCGGCAGTCTCATCCACGGGCATCACTTCGCGCTCGCGGATCAAGCAGCAGCAATATGCGGTCTCAATTCAGCGAAGATACCGCACCAGTAAGCCACGACAAGAACCATGAAGTACCAGGCATGATTCGAAACGGCACAAAGGCTACTCGACCGGCGACCACGGCTGGTTCCAGATCTCGAGAATCGCGAGCCTTGACTGAAGTCCAGAATACAGTTTGTCAGGCTCCACTAAGCCTGGTAGATCACTTCAAATGCTTCTGCGTTCTGGATGTCAGTCAGCACGGCAGCCCGGTGGTCGGAACGTCGGTCGATTTGCGGTACATCTTCGAGTTAGGAGAGCAATTCTTTCTCAATAATCATGAGTGCGAAGGATGCTCGATCGACCTCGTATCTGGCTGGACGCCAGCGGCGAGGATATCGTCAATCTGATCCTGTACTCACCGTTGATCGTGCCCTCCACTTATGGACATAGGTATATGTTGGTGTCTCTGGTGGATGTGACAGAATTCATCAAGGACAGCGCCGGATATGTCCCCGAGCTTGACACAATATCGGAAGACATCTCGATCGTTGATGAGGTTGCAACTCCGCCATCCATTCCCCATCGGGCCCCTAGGATTTGGTCAGACTACGAGTACCACCTGTCTTCCGATGATCTGCTTGGAGGGTGCACTCCGGACTATCATAAGGCATACACGGCGCGTCCGGGGCCAGAGCTGGAGGAGGACATCTGGTTGACGTTGGCCGCTGCAGAAAACCAGTCCATTTCGACTAGCACAAGAACAGCCTCCAGACCACACCCGTCCCAATCACCGAAGAGTTCTGGACGTGGCGCCGCGCCACACGCAAGGGACACGACAGACGACAGCCTAGAGGAGTTCATGAAGAGCCTGCAGGACTTGCACTCTCATTTCTTCTTGTTGAGCAAATCACCATTGGCGGACCATTACGAGATATGTACTGTCTCGCCGATGATTGCAGCGAGTAGAGATTGGAGCGCCGGCCTGTCGTGCAACTCATTTGAGGTCCTGGATTATGTGGGAGAGCGGCTCGACGAGGATGAGCCGTTCACTGTCAAGGTGCGGTGGGGATCTGCTGGAGCACCGAAACAGTTGTACTGCTCGCCATTATTCATGGGGCCTTCCATCTCATGGGTCTGCTATCTGGTAGACGAGGAGATAGGGATGTTGTGGTAGATAGAGACGGGAAACCGTGATAAGCTGGGAATCGCGAGGAAATCTCCGAGCATTCAGTCAACATGTAAGGACTTGCACAAGTAAAACATGGCACCTAGATTTCGTTTCATAAGCATGCGGTATAACGGAAAGCAGTTCGTCAATGGATGAATGCGCTTGGAGCAGGAAAACGGTTGACGGCGCTTAGCAACTGCTGCTGCGGATGACGAGAACATCGTACTCCGTGTGCAACGCTGAGCGGTGCGCCGGAGAGGTTTAGGCTTGGAGCCGGTGGGTTGCGCCAGCGTGGAGGTCACCGCCGATCCTTGGATCGAACAGGGCCGAAGGCCTGATGAGAGCAGGGCCGAGCAGCCGATCAGAGCGCCTGAGTGGTTCGTGGCGGGCCCAGAACAAATTGGCGCACAGCACGCCTGGACTTGCTTTTTGAGCTTTTCTGCGGATTTTCTAGCGCTTCTTCGATCGTCGTGGCTTGCCCACGAGAAGCTTTCTCGTACTCGACAATTGAGTGGCTTCGGTGGAATTGCCGTGGCGCCATGCTTGCGCTTATGGGCCAAGGGATACCCCATTGAGTCTGGTGTCAGACACTGCATACCACCTAAGATGATCAAGCCTATCCGATTTACCCAGTGGCCACCCGGCTCCTCGTTTCAGCAGCAGTAGCCGTACGTCGCATGGTGGCTTTCCGTGAGACGTACCACATCAATGCAGACCCATCTGTCGTGCCGTTCAAACCTACGCCTGTAATCGCTACTTTTGCAAGCCACGATCCCACGACTAGTTCCTAACAAAGACGTCGCATCCGTTATAACTTCCCCGCGTGGCCGCCCAACGCCTCTATCCTCGACATCACGCCAACCGACACACTTCTCTCCACCGTCATCGAAGCATTCAATCAGCCTCATCGTGCAGTCACACACGGTCTCGATCACTCCGACATCATGTTCAACGAGAACTTCTCCTTTGGAAGGGCCGACTCGATCGTCACCGAATCGACTAGCACAGACATCTCACCTTACACCTCAAGATGTTCGTCACCAAGAAATGAATCATTCTGTCCGCGGTCACAGCCATATCCACGTCGAGACTCTCGCTTCGACAGCTGGCGAGCACCGAGACACCCCTCCGTCACTGCGCTGACGGCCCAACTCGAGCACCATGCCATAACCGATAACATCGTTCCCAATTCTCCTGAATCAGTCGCTTCACCAAGCGACTCACTATACGATGATGGCTATTACGATGGCCCAGATACTCCCGCTACAGAGTGCTCGGACGAGTCCAGCGACTTCGACCCGGCTCTCTGGGACCTGAGTGCCTGCGAATACAGCGCCACTTCGTCGCCTCGCCCCTCACTATCACTTGAGGCACAAGCATTCTCCTCGTACACAATGCGCCGGCGCCAACGTCAGGCTTTGGTCAGATTACAGTGCATTGCCCAGCGCACACCAGATCTCGCAATGCTCCTTGAGGAATGCCACCCAAGTTCTCTGCCGCAATCCAGCGAATTGGCCACAGGCCGGACGAACAGTAATGCCGGTCTCGCAGGCTACAAGATTGAGAAAACGAGATCAGAGATAAGGTCGAGACGAGGGACAAAGACCCGCAAAAGCACGAAGTGAAATTCCTTATTCAGCACTACTTTCACCTACGATATTTGACAAGCGTTCAAGCGATAAGTGAGCACATTGGAAAACGGCTCAATGGACTTCATGTAATCTGTCTGGTAGACAGCAGCGAGCGTTCCAGCATAGAGGCCCCCAAAAAGGATCTAGAATCCAAATGACATACTATTCGAAAGCACGATTCCTGTGGCGCTCGAATCCTTTTACCAGTTCCACTTGCTCATCGTGACGCGCAGGTCTGTCCCACTTCGCATAAGTCATGTCATCCAACATCATGCAGTGATCCTTGCCCACGAAAACATTCGTCGCATGCCACGAAATGCATGCTCGGTGTGATGCGGCAAATCAAGCCGACCCGCAAATCTAGCCCTACGCCAGTTCAGCCACGTGAGAACTGCTTCTCCACGGCGCGAGGTCGACCTAGAACGACTGAACGATCTCGCCTCGCCCTGCAGCTCTTTGTGGCTGTCTGCTGAGAACGCTGTGCGCCCGTGGTTCAGCAAAGGCCTTGCACAGTGTTGCTTACACAAGACTGCAGTCTGCAAGTTTCTGGCCGAGTAGAGAAGCTCGAGGCGCTTTTACGAATTCGAATTCCGCTGCGCTGCGTGGAAAAGCGCTGCATTTCCGTACTCTGGAGACAGAGCCCACCTCGGCGTTATTTTAATTGTGATATCGCGCGCCAGGAAATGACCCACCGCTGAATGAGAGCATTGGTCGGCTAAACGATTGATGAATTCAAGCAGTGGGCTGATACTCGACTGATCTACACAGTAAATCACCAGGAAACAGCATCTCGAGGTCCTTCTTCAAATGAGCAGAACTCGATGCCCTTTCAAGCGCAGGCCTTTCAGCGAGAATGACAACCGTTCAAGGTGAGTTGCTTTCAGCCGTTCAGCAGACTCTCTGACCGCGACGATGTGGCAGAGTGCTGTGCGGAAGGATCTGTGCTTTAATCAACAAATGGCTTTAATGGATGTCTTGCAACAGTTGTTGTCATTCTGCTTCACAGTCTGCTCGCTCCTCGTGAGCGCAAACGCGCAACTCACTGTGCTGAGATGATCCTTAAATGATGAACATGCCCTTGTACTCGCCCGCGATGCGATGATTGCTTCGATGATGTCACTGCTGCCTTGTTGCCTCGCCCCTGGCTACTATTTCCTTGCATTCCGTTCTTGCCTTGAAGTTCGAGCATTGTTGATACTGGTATTGCAGCACCATCGTCATTAGATTTTGGGTTCAGCACAATTGGCAAGAACCAGATCGTCGACCCGCAGTCACGCTATGAAGGCCTTCAGTGATCTTCGTGACAAGGCTACACAAGCAGTTTCAGGTAAACCGCAGCAGTCTGAGGATGACCACCAGTCTCTCGCAACTCTGCTCTCTCGAGAAGAAAGGGCAGAGCTCTCGCTTCTCATCTCTCAAACTACTGAAGAGATGAGAAGAGACCTGACTAAGGTCTTCGACTACAGGCCTCCTGTCACTGCCAAGCCCCAGCCGAAAGAAGACGAGCAGAAAGCCATTGACTTGTCGAAGCTGACCCTCAATGATGCTGGCTCGACAGTCAGCACTACGGATCAGACAGACGCACAGGTGAAGGACGATCAGGAGCAGCAGCAGCAACCAGAGGAGGTGGTCAGCACTCCTGAGTCCAAAGCTTTACGCTCGTCAGCGCTTGCCTTCTTCGATACTTGGGCTGATTCTGTCACACTTCGCGTTGGAGAGGTGATCAACTCTCGGGACCATGCCGAGCAGTCGAAAGACCACTCCCAGACCAAGGCCCTGGCCGACCAGCCAGCTCAGATACAGTTTCACCCTACGTCCAGAGAGAAGCATATTGCTGAGAAGACTCGCGATGTATACTCGGCCGTCGACACACCACTTGCAAGAATGAGCCACCTCGAGCGCTCTACCATACTGAACGCTCTTCTCTTGCTTCTTCTGTCGCTTGAGTCGTACCGCTCACATTCTCGTACGCTTCTTATCCGGCTTGCCGTGTCATTACACATCACTCCCGCCGAACTGACCAAGATGGAGACCGAGACTGCCTTCGGTCTTCTTACTGCGGCAGCAAAGATGGACGCTTCGAGTCAGACAGCCAAAGCACAAGAAAAGACTGCCGCAAGTCGCAGTTGGAAGATCGGCGTGGCTGGTGTAGCAGGCGCAGCACTCATCGGCATCACAGGAGGCCTTGCTGCACCGTTCCTGGCCGCCGGTGTCGGGACACTCATGGGCGGCCTTGGTCTGGGTGCAACCGCAGCGGCTGGCTATCTTGGTGCTCTCGCGGGCAATGCCGTATTGGTCGGGGGGCTCTTCGGCGCATATGGCGCTCGTATGACTAGTCGGTCGATGGACAGATTCTCAAAGGAGGTCGACGACTTTGCATTTCTGCCCGTCAATGGCTCATTGGAGGATGCCGAGGAAGTGCAAAAGAAGCGCCGACGACTCCGACTTACGATCGGCATCACTGGCTGGCTTTCCGAAGATGAGCAGGTCACAGTTCCATGGCGTGTCTTCGGCGAAGGAGGAGAACCGTTTGCACTCCGCTGGGAACTTCAGGCTCTGAAAGACCTTGGTAGCGCCTTGAAAGACTTCGTGATGTCTCAGGCGTGGTCCCAGATCAAGAAAGAAGTGATCAAGCGAACTGTCCTAGCTGCACTGTACAGTGCCGTAATGGCCCCGCTGGCTATCAAGAAGGTCATCAGATATGTCGATAGCCCTTTCGGAATAGCAAAGGGAAGGGCGATGAAGGCTGGCGAAGTCCTTGCCGACGCGATCATCGAAAGAGTTCAAGGCGAGCGACCGGTCAGTCTCGTGGGCATGAGTCTGGGAGCAAGAGTGGTTTACAGCTGTTTGCTCACGTTGGCCAAGCGCGAAGCGTTTGGTCTGGTGGAGAATGTTGTGATCATGGGCGGCGCTCTGCCGAGTGATGAGGAGGCTTGGAGAGCCATGAGGTCGGTTGTCTCTGGCCGGCTGATCAACGTGTACAGCAGCCAGGACTATATCCTCGCTTTTCTCTACCGGACAACCTCAGCCCAAATCGGTGCGGCGGGTGTTGAGGCCATCGAAGGCGTCAGTGGTGTGGAAAACTATGACATGAGTGAGCAGGTCCCCGGACATTTGGCATATATGACGAGGACAGGGAGAATTCTAGAGCATGTCGGATGGGAGGACATCGATGAAGAAGTCCTCAAGAAGCAAGAGACCCTGAACCAGCAGGTCGACGCTGAGGCCAAGGAGGATCAGGAGAAAGGTGAGGAACCAGAAAAGGCATTCGTGCAAGCAAGTGCTGCAGCATGATGATCTACCTAAATCGTAGAACGGCCTTACGCTGTCAACTGTCGATTTGACTCGTTGCTTTTCATCTCAGCCCTATACATGACTCATAGATTTTGCTCAATACTCCACCTAGGCTATAAAATAATTCGTGACTCGCCAGCAATTACAACTTCCCTTTACTTATGCGCCGACCCCCATCCGCTGCGTTCTCTGCTACACACACTCCCAGCCGCTTCGGCCTGGCCAGGAAGGACTGACACCGATCTCAAACGTTCGCGTCTCCGATCGCTCAGACCAACATTTTGCAGATGAGAAATTCGGAGTACCACTCTTCAATCACCCAACCCTCGCCTGCTTCCCATTCTCGCAAGAGAGTGATATGGACAGGCTAAGGGACTGCCCGCGAGGGCCTACCGCGCAAGCGGTCTGCAATTTGGCATCAGAAAAACCCGGGGCTCCCCAGATCTCTGATGTGTGTGGAGGTTTCCCCTTGGAAAAGCCGTTGCGAAGATTGTAGCACATCGTCCGGCATCGACGGTGGAAGTTACTTGAGTGCAATCGCGGCGGGACCTTTTCTTCATGCTTGCTTGCAAGTGTGGATGGTTTCAATTCGATTCCGATTATACTGGGGGTCGGCGCATCAACACTTTTCATCAATGCGTCTGGTTTGCAGGACGTTGGGGAAGAGCGCATGCCCCAATCTACTTAACTTTGGTGAAATACTGCCTGTTGTGCGTACAAATACTGCTGAATCGTGTGTAGGCTAAGAAAGATCAGGCAGTATGGCACAAATGAGTTTCTGGCGGCATAACGAGCAGCCGGAGTTGACGAAACGATCTAGGAGGTCGTAGAAGCAAGGACGCCAACATCAGTCGTCTGCTAAGAAACTCAAGCTGTCCGACAAAGCTCAAGGTCAAAAGAGGTGGTATGCATGCCGGACCTGCAACGATCTCTCCATACCCAGATACGAATCTTCGTAACCCCTGGAAAGCCTGTAGGTGCTCAATGTGCGTCCACGGCCAACATTTCCACTTATTGCCGCGCAAAAATCCTGTTAGACAAGATGCAGCCGTTGCTGAGCGATCCAATCCTCAATTCCCGAATGAAAACTTTTGTCGAACTGGAAAAAAAACATCAATGCGCACCATTCGTCGCCTCCTCCGGCACAGCAAACTCCTTCAACGTCTCCAGATCCACCTTCCGCAACGCACTCTCCTCCGTCGCACTCAACTGCACCTTCGGCACGGCTTCCTTGCTTATCTTCCCATCCTTGTACGCCTGAAATGCCTCCAACCACCTCCCCGTGCACAAACACCACTTACACCCCTCGCTCAACCCCGCCGCCCTGAGATCATTCCCTTGTGCGGCCGTGTAGTCGAGAAACTTCTCGCTGACGACGCCAGCGACGGCGTGATTTCCGAAGTCAGCGGCGCCGGTGCGACAGTAGCCGTCGCGGTGGAAGCCGGTCATGGGCTGGCGGGAGAAGAGTTGGAGGGGTTGGCGGAAGACGTTGAGGGGATTGGACGAGGACATCTTTGTGGCAGTTGTGGATTTGATAAAGAAGGATTGGACTTGTGCGAGCTCTGGGATTGTGAATATGATGACAATGGCGAGGAGGAGGATGAGCGTACTTGCTAGGTATTGACGCATGAGATTCATTCAAGTTCTTTTGGTCCTATCTCTCCCTATCGAGAATTCAACGGCTGTGCTCAGTCATGTGCAGAGGCGCTCGTGTAAAGTAGATCGAATTGTATTGATACGATGACAATGTATCTTAGGTAGTCGCCTCTAACCGTCATGCGATGTCTGTGCTGCAGATCGTGACGTCAAGTCTCCTCTGGATGCCTTGTCCGCCTTTTTCCCTAATACCCTTTCTACTACCCATGTTATCTCATCATGCTCATGAAGAAGAATACGACAGCTTACTGGTGTACAGCACGGCACTAATACATGCGATCTACCACGGACAGAGGTAAGTGAAAGTCGCCGTGCTATATGTGGTCGCTTTGGTGAACCAAATGAGGTTTGGGCACAGGTAGGCATTCTCAAATGCTTCAAGTGCTTCGTGCTCGCGTAGATTACCCAATGTGAATTGCTCATCTGCCTAGCACAGCAGATTGTTGCCCACGTTGCCTAGGTCTACTCCCGAAGATGGCCTGTCAGTCTTTGTTCCCGCGGCGGTGGTTCTTTGACATACAAAGAGATCATACACAACCATTCTCTTAGTTGAGCAGCGACCTTCTTCTTCCCAAGACAATGACAGCTACCGACAATGCGGCTCCCATGCGACATACAAAGCTGGCGACACCGTCGGGTCCCGTCCGCAAACGGCGAACCATCGTCGTACCTTCCAAAGCACCTATGCCCAGGCCCAGACACAAAACAATGGCTGCTAACAAAGCTGCCTTACTGTCTGCAATACGAAGACACCGATCGATCATCGAATCGCAAGGTGTTGAAAATGCGCTTGCTCGAGCTGAAGAATCTGAGCTGAAGGAGGTATGGGCGTTAACGGAACGACATGGCAAAGAGCCCAATCAGGAGAATTTGGGTACAGCGCTGGCTGTGATCAGAGGAGAGCGGGAGGCGAAATTTCGGGCTAGTCGGCTGCGAACCTTCAAAACTGCGCTTGGACTCACAGGGCGGCTCTTTGACGAGGATTTGCAATTGCAGAAAGCCCTTGAAATGTCAAAGGCCGACCAAGGTACGCCTGTGTTCGACGACGATCAGGAACACGGACCTGCTCTGATACCCGCCGATCTTGTGGAAGCGCAACGCGAGTGGGACATTGACAGCTGCATGATGAGCGGCGCAGTCCACGAGGACGACAAGATCAAGCGGCGCAACAGCAACGATGCGACAGTATGCGACAACTCTTTCGCGAGTATGCTTGAGCACATGCCCTTCAATATCGTTAATCGCAAAGATCTGGTGAACGGTGCCATCAGCGACGTTCTTAACATACCAAAGTCGAAGATCCTGTGGAGAATCGATCCCACATGGCGGACGACCGTGCTCGGCGTTAAGAAAGCCCTCGAAGAGCAAGAATCCTTCGACAATTTTGGGACTGACGATAGCCTGATTGGGTGTCTTACAGTGAGGGGAGGGTTCATCGACGACTACACACGCGTTGAGTACCCAGAGAATATCATCCCCTGCTCCGAGGACGTAGACGAGCTAGACGTCGACTATTGGTCGCAAGTATTTGCCCAAGGCAACGTGAGCTGGGTGTGGAACAACGTGCTGGGCGACTTGAGTATTCAGCAAACTGAAGACAATGCCGACTCTGCCGTTAAGGACGGAAGCGAAGTCAATGGACTCGAGGACGCCGAGTCTGGCGACTTGGAAGAGCCAAACTAGATTACCACTGAGCCTCTAATGGCTTGTTGAATAATGAACAACGGACCATTCGTGTAACAGACCATCCTTTTTCTACGTGCCAGCTGCACTCAAAGCTCGCTTCGGACACCGTAGTAAAGCAAGCCCTTGAGCTTGATCTCCCCACAGGAGATAAGCGGAGCTCAAATCCGCCTCCAACTTTTTTGTGAATTTTGCTGCGACACTCGAAGAAAGGCACTACGCTTCCAGTAACTTACTCAACACGATCCAGCTGCGCAGTCTTCTCTAGCCCGGTTCTACACCGACTCGAGTAGTGCGTGCCGTACATGCGCACGACTCCCGAAAAACTCAGATAATATCCAAGAAGCAGTGATCACACATGGCGTTCGGCGACCGTGGGGGACGAGGTGGTGCCCGTGGCGGCGGTAGGGGCGACAGAGGCGGCGGCCGTGGTCGAGGTATGTGCTATGAATCTCTGCAGCAGATCTTCGACTGTCGTAGAGACATTTGCATGCTTGCGGACATGCAACTAACAATTTGAGCAGGTGGTTTCGGCGATCGCGGTGGCAGAGGTGGTGGGCGAGGTGGCTTCGGTGACCGTGGCGGCAGAGGAGGCGGCCGAGGAGCACCAAGAGGACGAGGCGCACCGAGAGGACGTGGAGCACCAAGAGGTGGAAGAGGAGGTGGCGCAGGTGCGAAGGGAGGAGCAAAGACTGTGATCGTACGTTTTATGTCTCTGCACAGGATCGATGAACAACGTCGAGATGTGGCATGATAAAAAGAACAGAGCTGACAGACGACCTTACAGGAGCCACATCGCCACCCAGGCGTCTTCGTCGCCCACGGCGGCAAGGAAGATCTCCTAGTTACCAAGAATCTCACACCCGGCGAATCCGTCTACAGCGAGAAGCGCGTCAGCGTCGACTCACCCTCGACCGGCCCCAACACCACGAACGGCGACGTCGTGCCCGCCACCAAGACCGAATACCGCGTATGGAACCCTTTCCGATCTAAGCTCGCAGCCGGCATCCTTGGCGGTCTGGACGATATATTCATCAAGCCTGGCGCATCAGTTCTCTACCTCGGTGCCGCGTCGGGCACGTCCGTCTCACACGTCGCCGACATCGTCGGTCCCGAGGGTCGTGTCTATGCCGTCGAGTTCTCCCACCGATCGGGCCGTGATCTGATCACCATGGCGACACACCGCACAAACGTCATCCCGATCATCGAGGACGCCCGTCATCCGCTCCGCTATCGTATGCTCGTGGGCATGGTTGATGTCATCTTCGCCGATGTTGCGCAGCCTGATCAAGCCAGAATCGTTGGTCTTAATGCTCACTTGTTCCTGAAGGTTGACGGTGGCGTGCTGGTCTCGATCAAGGCCAACTGCATCGACAGCACAGCGAAGCCGGAGGTGGTGTTTGCGAACGAAGTCAAGAAGATGCGGGAGGAGAGAATTAAGCCCAAGGAGCAGCTCACTCTTGGTAAGTCATACTTGACCGTTTTCCCAGCGATATTACTAACCACAATTCTCTACAGAACCGTTCGAGAGAGATCACTGTATCGTTGCCGGTGTATATAAGCGATCTGCGCAATAGTGTGAGCTATACGACCACGACGATGAGCAGTACGAGAAACTCTCTATGATAGCCCAGAGTGGATCCTCCTGGCATACCAGGTTCTTCGGACGGTTGTGCCGGCTGCAGCCTGTCGCCAGCAGATTCAGGTGTGGCAATGCCTTGTGAACAATGTGACCATCATAAGACTTAAGAAATTCATGGTGCCATGGTGCGCAAACTAGGGCAGCTATTCCAGGCGCAAGTTTGGCTACGGACAAGGCGTTTCAAAAGGGCTTCATGGAGTCATGGGATCGAACAGTTTGGATGACCATGGATCGGCGCACAGTTTCGTCTGTAACCACAATGAACAAAAATCCCCCAGAGTTTTCGAGCTGTGTGATGTCTTTGGCCTCCAGAGCGTGGCTGATACGCTTCGACGTAGAGACCAGGCTGAGGCAGGAGCAGGTCAAGTCATACCGACCCTGCCTCATCGGTACACAGTTTTGACTGTGGGTTCGCAATGAATCGTGCCAGGCAAAGTGACTAGAAGTCCTCGACGCAAATCGGTCTGGAGCGCGAGGCTCATTCGATTGTGTAGACTAGGCGGCAAAGAAATCTGCGTGACGCAAAGGACAGTGAATGCCTCCTGGCCGAGTCAGTGTAGTGTATCTTTCGGTCTGCGGAGGATCTGCACTTCGCTGAAGAGGTATAAGTATCTGCCTTGATCCCAATCCTTTTCCTCTTCTCTTCATACAGAACCAAGCTCAGACTTCCGAGGCTGTGTTGTCATGCTATGGTAGCACTGGCTGCTACCTCGTGGGACAAGACTGAGACATGCGTGCTCTCTTTAAGGGGCAGTCTCAGGGGAAGTCGATGAGGCTCTGTTGCATGTCCGGAACAGGCACGTTTTCCGGAGAACATAGGTATGCATTGCGCCTGGTACTTTTCAATACCTCCTCGATTCCCGCTCTCATATGCCCTAGCTACCTACATATGCCGACCGAAATCGCCGCTACTGGAACTCCCGAAAAATGCAGTGTTGTGAGCTTTCTTGCCTCGTGACCATCGTTGATTCCAAGTGCCTTACTCACACCTTGACATAAGTAGCATCAATCTGCCTCACCTGTGGCAGCGCCAACCTGACCTTATTCCTATACACCGCCGGCCCCTGTAACTGCAACGGGTTCGCCTCGAAGTACACCGTCTCTAATTTCTCCTTGTCCGCTAATTGCTCCTCTACTTCCTTGAAACTCGAGAGTCCGTTGGTGCTAGCCCATAGCTCTTCCAGCTCGGTCAGGTGGGATAGGCCTTCTAATCTCGTGATGCGATTATTGGAGACGTCGAGGACGCGGAGTTTGATGTTGTGGTCGAGGCCGGAGATGGTGGTGAGGGCGTTGTGGGAGATGTAGAGTTCTTCGAGGTTGACTAGGGGTTCGAGGTTGGAGATTGTGGTGAGCCGGTTGGATTTTAGGTCTAGGAGGCGGAGGTTGGTGAGAGAGTTGAGGTTGTTGATTTCAGTGATCTTGTTCTTGCCGAGCCAGAGTTCTCTCAGGGAGGTGAGGCGGTCCAGGTTCTCGATGTCCCGGATGCGATTGGCGGCGAGTTCGATCATGGTTAAGTTGGTGAGGGTGTCGAGGTTTTCGATTTTGCTGATGCGGTTCTGCACGAAGTAGAGTTCTTTGAGTGTGGTGAGGTGGGAGATGCTTTTGATGTGTTTGATTTTGTTGAAGGAGAGATCGAGCGAGGTGAGAGCGGATAAGGGGTCGAGGCCGCGAATGTGGGAGATGAGGTTGTCGTAGAGGTCGAGTTCTTGGAGGTGCGTGCCGAAGGAGGGCGGGAGTTCGACATTGTTGATGGCGTTCTGACGGAGGCAGAGGCGTTCGACTTTGGTGAAGCGTGAGAGTTTGAGGGCAGGAAGGATGATATCCGACAGTGGACTAGGTCGATATCTTCTGTGTCGTCTGGGTAGTCGTCGAGGAGATCTTCATCTGTTTCGATCTGTTCTGGTGGTGGTGCGTCTGGGTCTGAGTAATCTGAATCTTCCAGCGCTTCTGGGTTCGTGATGGTCGCTTTGGGCGGCATCCTGAGTTTGCCGTCCCATCCTGAACTGTTCGTTATGCCTTGGTGGCCGTTCTCTGTAGGTGTGGACTTCTCTAATGCGCTCTCGTCAATCTTCACGCCATCTGCTGGTGGGTCAGGCTCCGACATGGCTGTTGGAAATCCGATTACTATCGGCGGAGTGACGGGAAGCAAGGTTTCTGCGTGGATGACTTGTACATTTGCAGAGTATAGATATCAGGACCTGGTCAGCTCGGCAGGCGAGTAGGCATCACTGTGGCGAGTAGTTTGTTCACGAGATGTTTGCACATGCGCATTGATCTCTCATCTTGACTTTAACGAAATGCACGTCACTCGTGCCACCCCACACTCGGGGGCCCGCCACGTGGAAATTCACGGATAGACAAAGATTGGTAGACTTCGTCGACATTTTGGAAGGTTCGACATCAGCTACTGGTCAACGGTCATTCGCGGAGGATACAAGTGAACACCTGCGCATCAGCATTGTAGGCATGTCGAGAACAATGGCTGTATGCGTAAAGTAAATTTGGGTGTTACGCAGCCAATATACCAACTTAGGTGAATAGGTATCTGAAAAGAAGAGATAGAGCGTTGATGCGATAGCCGCCCGCAAACTGAGGCCTTCATCGTTGGCACTTTCATTCAGGTACAGTATCGAAAAGCTGCCCGTAACCTGCACGATCATATGAGACCGCCTTTGTGGCCCCTTCGTAGTATGTAGCGTGCCTGCCCAAGCGCCATGCAAAGGACCTTACAGTGCTTCGGTATCGACTTTTCCCTCCTTGATGCAAGCTCGCATTAGGACCGATCCTCATCGAATAGGCCGCATGCGTGCTCTTGAAACTTTTCTTGAGCCGGCTGCCGCCACAGAACCTAGCTGTACTCTAGTATAGGCAGCCTGGACGGTATTGTTACACGTGCGAAGACAAAGTGCTCTCGCCCTGCAGTAATGTGCAGTTCGACCAGATCCGTTACGAGAACCGCTTGGTGGCCTTCGCAATCACTGAATCACGTGAGTCTCGACTGTTCCTGGATTGCTGTCCCAAGAGATCACTCACAATGCAGCGCAACAACACTGAAGATAAATCCCAAACTCAAGAACATGATAATCATAGGATCAACCTTCAGCCCGGGCTCTCATCCGTGTACAGCCTCAACATCGTCCCCGAGCTGCCACCCGCGCCAGCTGCTCGAGTGCTCGATGGACGCTGATTCTTGACGGACTCCTTGTGGTCGGCAGCAGCTCTGCGACGGATGGCTGAACGTGGACCTCCGGGCGGTGACCCGGCGCGGGCGATTGATGAGGAGGTTGACTTTGCGGCGTTGGCCTCAGGACCGGAGTCCGGGCCTGAGTTTAGGGGTGAAGCGGAGGACTATGAGGGGTGCTGTTAGCTTCTATGTTTGCGTGAGGGGGATGAGTGGTTGTTCTGAAGCCAGTGATGGCTCGGCTGAGCGCAGGAGCTTGCGCGCGTGGTTTTGGTTGAAAGCGTACCATGTTGAAGGTGTCCTGTTGGAGTCGGGTCAACGAGTAGTTTCCACGAAGGTGTTGTGGTGATGAGCAGGCTTATCGTCCTCGCAGTCCAGATCTCAAGGTGCGCAGGCGGTAAAATTACGTCTGAGGGGCGCAGGTCGACGACAAGGCGTTGCAGTGAGGATGTTAATGGCAAGATGCTCCTTGCTAGTAAGGACACCTCGCAGCTGGGGAAATGTCGGCTGAAAGCGCCAGTCTTGGCGGACGGGCAGGGGGCCATGGGGGCTGATCAGGTTCCGGGGAAGCAGAATTGAGAGATGCTTCCCTCACCAATCCGACTTCCATTATCGGATTGGATTCATTATCGGATCAATAATCAAAGTAACGACGGCAATGACCGTGGAGAGCGTAATTATCTAGTTTGCTTCTTGCTACAGACACCTGCCAACGAGATCCGGTCACCAATTGTCCAGACCATAGCATCTTGATTGATACGATCGTTGCGAGCTTGATATGACGACCGCTTTTGGTACAGTATCGGAGTTGACTGAAAGCGAACCGCCTACACAGCGCGACCCAATTGTCCATGTGTATCCTCAACAGTGCTGAGGGAGACGCGCTTCTCATCGTCGTCAAGCCCAGCTCGAGCTTTCTCGACAGCGGCAATGGCCCGCTCGGCCTTGTTCTTGTCTTCAAAGATGAAGGCCAATTCCTCGAGGGTACGACCATAGGTCTCAGGGAACATGAAGTAGACGAAGACGATCTCGAATGCGAGCCAGCAGCAGTAGAATATCAGCCACTTCCATCCGATGTCTGCCATTGCGATGGGGTTGATGAATGTGGTGAAGAAGGTTGACAGTCTTCCCCAGAGCTGGAAGTATGCGATACCTCGAGAGCGCTCTGCGAACGGCCATAGCTCAACGAGATAGGTATATGTCAGAGCGTTGTAGCTGTTACAGGTTAGCCACGGTCGACGGTGGAAAAGGGGTCCTAGGTAACGCACCCAATGTTGTAGCATGGCTTGTACAGGTAGATGAAGACCAGTACCATGATGCCAGCTGCATTGTTCTTGCCGCCCTCGTCCACAGCAGTCATAGCGCGCTCCATGGCCACTGTCCAGCCAATGTAGACGCACAGTAGCGATATGGTACAGATCATGTACATGACTCTGCGCCGGAACCTGAGAACAGCGAAGGCGGCGATGGAAGCGGTGATGAGTGACCAAGCCGAGATACCGACATTGACCTTGTTCTTGTCGTCTGAATCGGTCCATCCGATCATTGTCAAGATAGTCGATAGGTAGTACTGTGGTCTGAGTCAGTCATACATTCGAACAGTGATGTTCCGATCACAAAGGACTCACCGAGATCAAAGTATTGCCAGACCACTGAGTGAAGAGACCAAGCGCGGTCGAGATGATGACACGGCGACGCATACCGCTGGACGTGAACAAATCGAACCAGGACTTCTTCGATGCCTCCAGTTCAATGGCAATGGTCGTTTGAATTTGAGCCATTTCTGCTCGAACGAACTCTGAATCTGGATCTCCTTCGGCATGATACTTGGTCAAGATAGCGTACGCCTCATCATGTCTGTCCTTGGAGACCAGCCATCGCGGAGATTCGGGCACGAAGAAGATCAAGGTCAGATTCAGCAGCGATGGGACTGCCTGCAAGATACCTGGCAGTCGCCATGCCCATTCCCCTGCGATTGAGCGAGTTCCAAAAGCTATGCCAGCGGCCGTGAGCTCGCCCACGAAGTAGGAGACATTGAAAAGCGAGGTAAGGACTGGACGTTCCTTGGGATAGCCGAGTTCTCCGATCAGAGACGAACCAGCCACAATGGCCATGGGAATGCCGAAACCGAGAATCGCACGGGCGATGATATAGTTGGCCCCTGGACATGCATCAGCGGCAGCAAGGACAGACTGTGTGCTACTCACGGTTCTGAGCGAAGCACTGGATAATGGCACCAATGACCATGATCCAAGACTATGGCACTGTCAGACTGGACATGTATCGGGAAGAACCAGAACCGGGAGGTTGATGTCTCGCCCGATCCAGGTTCATGGGTATACGTACACCAATGAAGATAGCCCATCGACGACCGAATCTCTCGTTGATGATGGGTACGAATGGCAGACTGAGAATGGCGCCGAGGGAGTAAGAGGCGGCGATGAAGCCGTTCATCTCTCGTTGTGGCTTGCCGAAGTAGTCGTTCCACGGGTCAAGGAATTGCATGGCATTACTGCATGGTATGTCAGTACACTCGCCGCCAAGCTGGAACCGCCTTGAACGCCATATGTCGAGGTTGTCGGCATGCACGTGCCGAATCATGTTGCCCATGGCCAGGGTTGGTCTGCAAGGTATGGTCACGGGTCACTCACATCATCTGTGAATCAAAACCCGATGTAATCTCGATGCCCATGGCCGTTGGAAAGAGGACGAAGTACAAGTGTCGTAGATTCTTCTTCCTGTACCATGGTACCTTGTCTTCTTGGGCAAGACGTTGGATGATGGGGTCGGCGGCACCCGTCTCCGCTGCCTTGAACTGGATGTCGTCGCCTAGGTTGTTGGACGGCATTTTGGGCAACGACCTGCTCTGAGGTGATTTGAACGGACGGTAAGAAGTGACCGCGGGGTGAGGCCAGAGTGCAGCGTGATGTGCTCAGAGCAGATCATATCTATATCAATCCCATGGGAAGACACGAAGGCCGTCCACTCTCGCATAAGTCGGAAGGTCACTCCATGGGCGCTAGCGTAGGTGGACCGCACACCTGGGATGGTTTAGGCCGCACGACGTTTACTCAAGTCAGCCATGAGACAATCCGTTCGCCGCGGCATTCCAAGCTTAGAGTAGTGGAATCGAAAGACTGTGGAGCATGTTTAGCCCGGTCAGACTAGGATAGCGGAGGGTGCGAATTTTTCCTGGGGTTTCTAGAAGGACGGGCAGCCACGTTCAGGTTGTAAGACATGAGAACACGAGGTTCGTCACTGGACGCCGGTACTTGCAATTGTTGTTGTACCTTGCATGGTAGGTACTCTTATTGGAAGAATCCAGCATGTTGCAGGCTTCCCATGATCGGCGCACAGCACACGATTGGAGCGATAGGGAGTGCATGAGCTCGAAGTTCCTGCCCCAAAGCAGAATACCGGGCATCCATGCGGGACTCGGATGCTGGGGCAGGCACTGATTGCGGCGGGGCGACCTCCTGCGATAGTGAGGGCCTCAAAGGCGATGGCTACCCTCGGCTTATCAATCGATTACTCTTCGAGCCTAGCTGTCACTGCTGTCCGCGGTGTACAGTGTCCGCTCGTGGATACCCATGCTCGTGCTATCGTACATGTTGACTCGAAAGCGCCAGATGCTGAGGTCACGGTGCACTGCGTACGCTGAGAACAGTTAGCTTAGACTTTCTGGGCAGCCTAAATTCTAGCTGCCAAGACGGCTGATTGTCGTATGCTGATGTCCTCCACCCTCTCTTCGGAGTAGCGCAAATGCAACACAAAGGCGCAACCCTTGTTGCGCCATCATCAAGCAATCATCAAGCTCTGCGAAGGTCGCCTGTCGGCAGGCGCAAGGTCGATCGCGAAGTGGCTTGCACTATCACGCGAGCCGCGACAGCCGTAGACATGATCCGCGCCGTGTCTGTGGTTTGCAGGACGCAGAGCCGCAGCCATGCACGCATCTTCAAGTTCAAAGCAGGAACATCTCGGAGTCAATGCAACTGTTCATCTTTCTTGGTGTAACTACTCGGCAATGCGCTCTCAGGACTTTGCGGACCAAATGATACTTCGCTGACGGCAATGCAGTTCTCTGGGACTCTGCACGTGTTCCGTATCTGACATGAGGTCTTTCCGTGGTGCAAACGAATCAGCCTATGCCCATTAAGTTCGGGTCGACAGTCTGCCGTGGCTGACGGCTCACCCGGTCATCCCCACGTTGGAGCTCTGGAGGTGGAACAAAATTTGTCGGTGTATCGACTGGGGAGACCTAATGCGGATGTATCTCTTGGTATGTACCAGAAGACCTGGTGCAAGTTGTGCACGAGGCCTGTGGTCACAGTAAGCACAGATGCCGTGTTAGCCTGGTAATGCTACTGTGTGTCACTAGGGACTCCTTCGAAGAACCATGTGGTGAACTGACGAGAAATCTGGGTAGGGGTCCCTCTGTGCCAAGTGCGAGAAGCTCAAGGTACGTTGGTACGGCCTCGATCTGACCAGTCTCTGGAGCTGTTCCGCGAATCAGACTCTAGCCCAGGTCGAGACCCCCGGGGCGCGGTCTCAGCCGGCGTACCACGGGGTTCCCAACTTCCCACACTATGCTCAGCGGAGCTAGCGTACCTCTGGTGCTCCGTGCGGATCAGTACATCCCGACTGCGGAAAAGGTCACCGCATAGTCTTTTTCTTGTGGTTCATCGCACGGCATCTGACCCAAATGCTTCGAACTTATGCTTGCACAGCCGTCTGAATTGCCATGCCGTTGTTCACTCTCTACATAATGCAACTGGCCAGATTCATTTGGTGATCTGAGGCAACGTCCACGAATGCTGCAGCCTCCATGTGATCTGGGCGTTGCAAGCAACACGTCCCGTGTCGCTTTCAGCGTAAGGCTCCCAGCTACAGGAGTCGAAAGGAAATGAGCAAGCACCGTGCTAGTAGCTAGCACATAGCATGGCCTAGAAAGCAGGTGAGTGGGCTGATCAACAGGGCTGACACACGGCATCACTGGCGGGACCAGCCGACCGTCTGCGACCGATATGTCCCATTCCGCACCAGGAGACTGTCCTTTGGCGGTCCCGAAAGGACGCGCTTTGGTGGCATTGAGAGCATCTCACCACTGTCGGCGCTTTTCAATGGTGCTTCGCCATCTGCTTTGTGTTGCTCAGACGCAACGAGACATATACACAGGGTCAGGTCCAGATGCAGAACGCTGTTACCTGACATCGAAGGCATGGCCACGTGTTTGAAAATGTCGCGCCCATGCGAGTTCCTGACGAGCCTAGATGCGTCAATGCTACAGGGCTCCTTTGCCCAGTGAGCCCAGGTATGTGTGCATAATGCTAGCTTGAGACAACGTGCACCGGTCGAAAGCCAACGCCTTCACTAGTCACAGCTGACAAGGCAAGGTATTGTGGCGCCTTCCTCAGCACGAAGAATCATTGCTGTGCGTCATGGACAAGTACACCGCAGGCATTCGACTATATGCGAGCTGACCCTTGTCGAACATGGTCAGGGGTAGCGCAAGGGCTTCTGTCGTTGCGGCGCAAGGCTCCCTGATATACACGCCAGTAACTTCTGGAGGAACAGCAACCCGGGTACATTGTTGATGACTGATGCAGACTGGTTGGTGCAGATCCATGCTTGCGGCGCCCCTCGTGTCCACTGTCATGCTACAATTCGTTCGCGCAGGGGATATGCCCAGTCCGACTCCAGTATACAGTGGTGACCCAGGCTTGCTGACGAGCAGAACCTGGGAAGCGTCTATATGTATCGACATTGAGACACGTCGCGCGGCCTGTGGACTTGAGAATCGTGGCTACATCGGCAAGATGTGAGGTCCAGCGATCAACTAGTTGCAGGGTGCAAAGGATCAGCCATGCAGAGAGCTTCCCACCAGTTGCTCAACTCGGCGCATAGTTTCGGCGGCGGCGTTGTCAGCGATTGCTCCGTTGCTAAGCACTCGACGACGTCACAATCATTTTTTCTGGTCCGATCTCGAAACGTCGCCTTGTTCCCGGGTTGATCACAATGGAGCAGTATTCGGGTGAATGCTCGCCGAGGCATTTGACTGCCTTGTCGGAGTCATTTCCGTAGCAGGTGCGACTGGTGCGGAATGACGCAGCTGGAGGGAGAAGCCCCGCGTTAGCTGCTTCTCCAACAGTTTCGTCGAGATCGTCAAGAAATCGACACCTCCAACCGCCAAAGACAGCTGAGAGACATCTAAGTGATCCAGGCATAGGGTGTTCAGCTCCACACAATACATAGAGCTCGCAGCATTGACCACTTCCGTCGCTCTGCGGTCTGCCTCCAGGATCGATTCGCCATGGCGTCCATTATGAAGAATTCCAATATCCTGCGTAAGGCACTGTGGAATGGCAACGGTCTTTCTTTTGGGGCGTGGCAGATGCTTCCCGGTGCGCATTTGTCAAGAACGATCGCTCGGTCAGGGTTCGACTGGATCTGTATTGACTGCGAGCACGGAAACATAGCTGGTAAGCCGACGTGTTCTGACGAGCGTAACAACTTCTATGCTAATTCTCGTCCAGACAATGAGATGCACGACTGTGTTCACGCTGTCGCGTCATGTGGTGTTTCGCCAATCGTTCGAATCCCGGCAAATGAAGGTTGGATGGTCAAGCGAGCACTCGATTCGGGAGCCCATGGCATTATTGTGCCACTTTTGTACACTGTGGAGGATGCGAAGAGGCTGGTAGAAACTGCCAAATTCCCCCCGAGGGGCAAGCGCGGATTCGGAAGTCCTTTCTCGATGGGCGCTTTTGAGAACCAAGGCAATCTCAGTGGATTCGACTACATGAACGCTGCGAACGAGAATCTGTTGACTATTGTCCAGATCGAAACCAAGGAGGCCTTCGATAATGTTGAAGAGATTGCCAAGGTCGATGGTATTGATGGTCTGTGCCCTCCTCGACCGTCTTAGCTGATGCTGACAAGATCGCAGTGCTGTTCATCGGACCCTGGGATTTAGGAAACAACCTAGGTTATCCCGTACAAGGCGACTTTGCTCCCGAGCTCAAGGAGGCTATCGCTCGAATCCTGAAGGCAGCAAAGGATGCTGGCAAGAAGGCTGGAATCTACTGTCCTTCGGGAGAGTTCGCTCGGCGATATGCAGATGATGGATTCCAGATGATCAGTGTCGTGAACGACATGACGGCGCTGCCTACCTTCATGTCTGAGTCGCTCTCCAAGGCGAAAGGCTCGTGGGGCCATGCAGCAGGCCAAACGGTCGTGAAGGGAGCGGCGTACGCAGCTAACCTGGTGACCAGCGACTCGCAAAAGAAGTAGTAGCTCAAGCAACACCTTGTTCAGCTTCATCGATCAGCTTTTCCACTTCTTCCTCCGAAAATCTGTGCATCAACTTCTGTGCTTGAGTTACGATACTGCCGGAAAGTGTTAGCCAGGCATACCCACGTAATGGTAGAGCTTCGTGAAACTTGCTTGGGCTTTGAATAAGTGTGGAAGACCCTCTCAACATGTAGAACTGGCACATCGAATTCATACATGTCGCGCCATTTCTTCTGTCCCTCCGCAATGACGTCGACCTCCTCATACTCGACTGTCCGGCGCTTTCTGACCTGCTCAACTCGAGCTTTGGCGACATCACACAATCCGCAATTTGTACGACTGAACAGGGTGACCTTAGCAGTGTACATCCGACAGACTACCGAGGGCCGCATTGTTGCTTGGTCAGGGCGGGTTCCGGCCGGCCAGAGACCAAAGAAGAGGATGACGTTAATGATTGACTCTTAGAAGCATCCCAAACATCGTCGACGTGCCGCTGAATGTTTCTCCAATTTTGGCTGGAATAAGTTCGGGGCCAGTCGCGCTTGGCAGCGTCGCGGTCGACCCTGCAGAACTGCCGGCTTGAAAGGTGCTACGTAGCCAGTGCATGTGCGCTGGCGATATGGCTTCCTTTCTTTAACCGTGCCAGCTTTGACCCTTTGTCGTTCCTTTGCACACATGATTCCCGGTCCTCTCTAATAGCGACTATCGTTATACACATTATATACAATCCCGAAAGCCGCATGACCTACAGCATGGGTGCAGCCTCTGCGAACGGTGCCTCAACAGAACTGCCCTACCTCGACCTAGCCTATGACCATGCCAACTCAGAGGCCACAGCGAAGGAGCTAGTGTATACGATACAACCAAAGTGGCGAGAATGTCCAGACGAGATCAAGATTGTTCAATTCAAGGAAGGCATCACAAATACCGTATTTAACCACGTGCGATTTGGGCACGTGCTCGTTGCTAACAGACGTGCAGCTGTTCAAATTGGCCCGTCATGGCCCTGGAATGACGCAGGAGGACATCGATGCCAATTCTGTTCTTATGCGCGCATACGGTAACAACACCGACATTTTGATTGATCGCGACCGCGAAGCCACCTCACATCTAACATGCGCCAAGCATGGCCTGGCGCCTCCTCTGCTAGCTCGTTTCAACAACGGTCTACTGTACCGATACATTCCAGGAGATGTATGTACTCCTCAGGACCTTATAGACGAGAGCGTCTGGCGTCCTGTCGCCCGTCAACTTGGAAAGTGGCACGCAACCTTGCCCATTGAGTCAGCGTCCGCAATCAACGGAGAGGGGTGCGCAAATGGACATGCCAAGGGAATAGCTGGACGGAAGCCATCCCCTAATATCTGGACCGTAATGCGCCGCTGGGTTGAAGCGCTTCCACAACAGAGCCCCAAAGAACAGGCAAGGAAGCAATTCCTGGAACGAGAGCTAGAGCAATCTTTCCAGGAGCTCGACAATACCCGCGGTCCGGGACGGTCTGGTTTTGTTTTCGGCCACTGTGTGAGTTCTTGAGCCATAAGCGCCATCAGAGTATGAGATCTTCTGGGCAGTGCAAGAGTGTACAGTCTTCAGTGTCAGGAAGGAGTTCGTGACAGATCTTGTGCCTCGGCGACTGTGGATCATGCTGACTTGTGCTTCAAAGGATCTCCTGAGCGCCAATGTCATCAGAACCAATGTCGTAGATGGTCAGCAGAATGTTGCTTTTATCGACTACGAGTATGCGGTCACCTGTCCAGCGGCATTCGACATCGCGAACCACTTCGCCGAGTGGGGCGGTTATGAGTGTGATTAGGTAAGATACCCCGAGACTTAACGTTTGAAATGAGACTAATCTGTACCAGTAAGTCTTCTCGGGCAGATATGATTCTGATTGTCCAGCCCGTATTGTGGCGCATCGTTAGCGGCGTGTCAGAAGCTGAGTCGACTCATCGGACACTGACCCGCAGACTCGTATCGAACGGATCTGTACTGACTCCGTCGCTAGTAACATGCTACCTACCAGGTCGATCCGACATGAGTTCCTGGCGGAGTACTTGTCATCTTACAACAAGTACGGCACCAGTCCCGTGCCCAATGCGACTTCCTTGGACACCCTGGAACTCGAAGTGGATCGATTCCGTGGCATGCCTGGTTTGTACTGGGGCATCTGGGCACTGATCCAGGCTCAGATCTCGCTCATCGATTTTGACTACGCTTCGTATGCAGAAGTCAGGCTAGGTGAATACTCTGCCTGGAGAGACGAGGTAACGGGACAACGGCAGAAAGAGAATACAGAAGCCCCTCTACGGGAAAGGAGATGGGCGGAGACCTAGCACATTTGAAGCCAACGTTGCATAGTGCGAAGCAGCCAGGAATATGACCGGGGCCCGGACAAAACTGCAGCACATTGGTTCATGACGGAGCGGAAGCCGCAATCGGCCGCAAGCCGCCGGCAACGACCCAAAGGATTGTCTGGTCTGACAAGCAGTACATCGGAGATACCAGCGCCGCCGGCGACCATTCAATGGCGAATTGGCAATGAAACTGTCCCCGTGCACAGGTCATGGCCTCCAGCCCTACGATCGTGATGACTAAAATGGATCAACGTCGCATGCCAGATGCTCGACCGCACGATCTCGGGGTTAAACGTCCATGAGAGATATATTGTCTCTGGCTTACGTTTTGTATGACATACAGTCCCCCCAGATCTTCTTGATCGGTAAGGGCGTTAAAACGATGACCCATTCACTCTAGCTTATAGCATGCCACTGAACAAGCGCCGCCTCTCGAGGTCGGCAATTTTCCGTGTGCAAAAGTGCGCCGGATTACTTAACCGCGGCGTGGTTTATTTTCCGCGTGGACGGTCGATGCATTGCATTGCTTGGCAAGACTGCCTATCTCGTCAATGACAGACGTTTCACGGGTGTCCGATTTCGCCCTACTGAGCGAGGACTCTACGTAAGCACCTCGAACACAGGTTGTGCTCTAAAGCAGGTGAATGTTTTGAGATTTGGCTCATGATTCCTGCTAAATAAACATGGGGCCAATCACTAGGGTAAGGGGGCTCGTGTTGGCAGCGATATCAATAGGTGAGAGCCAGTCATTTCCGTCGCTCCTTCCCAGTTTCATTTGCAAGCTCAAATGCGCATCGTCAGCATAGCACCTGTGTCAACCAAACCTCCATGGCCTTCAGGAAACCAGATACTTTGTTCATCACCTACACTCATCCAGATGACCAAAAACAGCATGGCAATCGAAGAGCTGTTTCTTCATTCGTATCAAAGAGCTACAGACCGACGTCCAAGAAGATAGTGTTCGAAAAATCACAATATCGTCCTTTCGCGCGCAGAACCTTGCAATCGACCAAGTCAGGAGCCATTCCCACAGTCGGAAGCAGTCTGCTCGAGCCAGTACCTCTTCGTTCGCACTCCGAGAGTCCACAGCTCACCCCTTTACTATCAACCGATGATGGCGCGGTCAACTATGCCGGCAGGAGATCAAAGTCCTCGAGCGACTTTCCCGTTGATCCCCTGACCGACTCCGTTGATGGGAAGTCGCTCGTCGATATTCTGGTTGAAAGATATGGTCGAGCCTTGAACATGGACCGCGATCGGTACGAGAGTCTCTTGAGCGAGCTCAGAGCCCACCCCGAAGGCTTTCATGCTTTGATGGCCCAGACACAATCCAGCGCGAACATCAGCGGCTCCGAGCAGCCGGACTGGAAGACACTATACCATCGTGGTGAAGTGATGAAGCTGCTGCGCCAGCAAATGCAGTCAGGCTCAAAGAAGAACATGGACTGTGCGATTTTCACAACCTCCACGTTACTCACTGTCGAATATGCCCACACTGACCATTCAGCGTGGCTCTTGCATAAGAGGGCTCTGCGGCAGTTGGTTGTTAGCAGGGGTACATTACAGGACTTCCGCTTCGATCTGAAGGAGAACCTGCTGAGGAACGAGTGGTTCATTCAAGTTCTGGTCAAAAGTCGGGTTGTTGTGGACGATTGCTGTCCGAAGAAGGCGCTGCGGTTTGATGACCGAGATGTGACAACGAAAGACCTCGCTGAGGGAATGCCGCCCTTGTTCGCCGCCCTCTACGAACGGCAAATCATGACGACAACCACATGTCTGCTGATCAAACAACTGCTTGTATACCTTGGCCACGGCAGTCTATACGTGACAGTTGACTGGCACAAGTACGACTGTCAACTTTCGACACATCGCTTGGACGCGGAAGCTATTCAACCGATACTGACGATGATCGCAGAATGCAAGTCCGGCTTCATCGAGCATCAGGTCGTGTACGGACTGCTTCTGCTGATGTTTGGGGGCCAGCGAGCCGCACTCTCACACACTCATCTGCAGATGCTCGACCAGGCTGCGACGGACATGATCACAGTAAAAAGTCGAGGCTGCCTGACACTGCGGAAGAGTCTACTATGGTCAGTAATGAGTATCGGCTGCGCGAGCGTCACAAGCCCTATGTATAACTGGATTCCTAGCATGCAGCACATTATTCCCATGCTCGGCAATTCTGAAAAGAGCACGAAGGAGCTGCGGTCAGTGCTGCACGCTTACTACCTGTATGATACGAGCGATCCACTGGAGTGATCGCCCAAGTACTTGTTTGAAAGGACTGGACAAGTCTGCGGTCAGGTCCAGCTGTAATCCTAGGCAGGTTCTTGCTTTCCAGGAATGGCAATCATACCAACACTGAATCCTGCTCAAGAAGCCAGATGTGCGTCAGTAAGGCGTCGGCGCGAAGATTGTGCTCTGCGTTGGAAATTGTTCGGACTTCGGTTGGAAGAAACCGCACGACAGAGCGGCTTGTCACAGGCAGCCTCGACCGTGATATTGCTGTTCATGGACTGGTGAAGCACACCATCATTTGCATACGATTTATTCTTTGTCGTCACGACTGCATAGCGGTGGATCGTCGGTAACTATATATTGCATTAAACGATATGCGGGACTTACTAGCTCGCTTCCCCGTTTCCGCTCCATACTCTAGCATCCACTTCGCTCGATATCCGGAAATGTAGACGTGATAGGTGACGACTTCGACGGCGAGAGATTGGTGTCAAGTAGCAGGCTGGCCTGAAAAGCGCACTGAAGACATCATGCGCATAGCAAGGACAGAACTCGTTGACTGGCATGTGCTTGGCACATGAAGCCGAGCAAGTCTTCGAAAAGTGAAAAGGAATGCTTAGGCGTCGGAATTTCAGGCACTAAATGCAAACATAACAACAGCTGAGAAAGCGACATAGACTCAGATATCGGTACCTGCAGATTGCAACATACGCAGGTAAAGCAATTATAACAGCTGAGAGCACATTGCAAGAGATGTCTTGATTCGTGACGCTTAGAGACATCCGACCAAAGGTCGTCGGCCTGCAAGGCGAACCTCTGAACAACGGAATCACTTGCGTGAATGCAAAGGGCTTATTATACCTGAGGCTCGCGATCAATCGCTGACGTTATTGATTGGTTCCGAGCAGTGGTATTTCCATTGTGATAGGCAATTCATCAGTAATCGTAGACGGAGTGGCTGAATGTTGTTGTCAAAGGACACCTGTCTCGTAATCATGCCAATGCTATCAAGAAAGGCCGCGAATCATCAACGTGCGTCGTGTACCGTATCAGCCCATGGGAAATAGCCAAGCGTCGCAGGTACTTTGGCAATGCATGCATGCCCGCAGGCTGCAGGTTGCCGCAGTGTCAAACAAAAGAGAGTCCTATCAATGCGACCAGTCTTCTGCCTCCCCGCGCAAATAATGCTGAACGGCCGAGCACATGCATTTCCATATCGACGACGACAACGACAGAAGGGGTGCCCCTTGCTTTGCGGCGAGTGGAAGCCGCTGGAACAGGCATGGAAGCAGCGGCCTCTAGTGAGTGCGCTAACAATCTTGGCTCTGGCTCTGTCATGGTTACAGCATTCCGATTGCTTGTGAAGGCTCCGTAGTGGATCACGCGACCCACTTAAGCGATGTCTTACTCGCACTTTCATCGGGCGGCCCTTCCACTTCCTGGTTGTCTCGCGCTTGCTCTTGCTGTCGTGGCTTGCCCTTGGTCACTTCCTCGCCCCTGCGCCTCTTTCTCGTTCGACACGACGCCCCCCCTTTCCTTCCGCATTTCTCCCAATATTCCCAACTCTCTTGACTCTTCCATCTCACTCATCAAACAACATCACCTACCATTCTATCTACCCGTACGCCAACTCGATTCCTCCCTCTGGCTGCTGTATTGTAATCTGTCCTCTTTATTCACTTTCACGACCTTTTTCTTTTCCCACAATACCAGGCACCAATACAGTTCGCGGTTTCCAGCTCATTCCAAGGCTACGATTCATTTCTGTCAGCCATCTGGACACACGGAATACTGCTCTAAACTCCGTCTCCGGCCAAAGTCGCTCACTTCACGACATTCGCCTCCCTGTTGACGCCTTCCAGGCATTCAGGCTGCTACCATCACTCTCTGATCAAGATCAACTTCTCATTGTCGTTGCCTTGATCTCGCGCTGTGCGCTCTGTACACTACAAACTACTAGGTTATTATAATTTCTGGACGTGCGACCGTCCTTTTTTCTTCAGCACTTCTCGCCGCTTCTCGAAGACTTCGTGTCGCTTTCGCCACTCGCGAAGCGTACACACTTTTCAGGCAGTTCAAGTGAATTCTGTCGTTAGGCTTCTGTCGACTACTAAGCCACTTGGCCCTGCTACCCGTCAACAGCTCCCACTTGACTCGTACGAACTTGTCAGGTGAATACTGCGTCCAGAACGCTGTGGCATTAGCTTGTTCTGTCTTCGCCCAGTCACTGATCTGATTGCGCATGTCAATGATCAGCTCATCTCACGCGCTGCAAAATCACTTTAGTCGCAACTCGGAAGGCAAGTCAGGCAGCGGCTTATCATGCAAGTGTTGTCTTGGAATGCATACGAAAGCAACACCTCGACGCCTGTGAGCAATCTGTACAATCCTTCAGCGGCAGCGAAGGATTCCTCCCGAGCTACTGCAAGCGCGTTCTCCCGCTTCAACAAGCGGAAACGCGAATCCGAGCCACATGCAGAGGCACGTGGTCAAGACTGGTCTCTCAATGTCGCTGCGCCGTCAAAGTCGACAGACATTGTCCAGGAGCCTAATGCCACTACTCTGACAAACCCAAACAGTGCGCCTATGCCTACGATGGATCTCCAACCGCCGACAACCAGTAGCTCGCCAACCACGGATGCATCCCCAACACTCGTGGCAAGTGATGCGCAAAGCCTCGATCAAGATAGCCCAAAAGCTATCGAGCAGGATTCCATTCAACAGCGTCGGCATAAGATTCGGCAGACCGTTGTGCAGCAGGTCAACCTCGAGATTTTGGTGAAGCATAACGAGCTACGACTGATCGACCAAGAGATCGCCAAATGCCAAGCCGCACTAGAACAGCTTCGGAGATGTTCTGAGATTCCGTATCCAGCAATGCAGGTGTCGCAAGATGTATCTCTGGGCATTGGACCTGCTCTTCGCGAGAAATACGCCGGTGCACGGCTGCCGTCTTCTCCTGCGCCCTGGGGCGTGGTCGATGGTCCTTACTCTCGTCATTACGCTACATGGCTTCTCCCTGATCCACGTTTCGACGGCGGTGAAGCTGAGCCTAGCCGTGAGATGATTGTCACCGCCAACGGCAAACGACCCGCCAAAGGCCGACATGGCCGGCCGTCCATTGTCGAAGACATGAATCTCGGTGGCATGAGTTCGCGGTCGCAGAGAACGAAACCTCTGCAGGCTCTGGCTCCTGGCTATGCGCAACCGAAGGAGAAGGCTCACGGACCTCTTTTTCTCAAACGTCCATCCGATGGCGCCATGGTCAAGCTCAAGTGTCCCGATTGTGGACGAGTCGAGTTCGGCAGTGCTCAGGGCTTTATCAACCATTGCCGTATCGGTCACCAGCGAACTTTCGCGAGTCATGCTGCTGCTGCACAGCAATGTGGCGAGCAAGTCAAGTATGACGCAAGCGGCGTGATGGTCGGTGCGGCCCCGGTCAGTCAGCCAACAGTGACTCCTACAACCAGCGCCCACTCTCTTGTGCGGTCTGCTCATCTGCTGCCAAAGACGCCCGCCGATGTCCCCAAGTTGGCCCTGTCGCTTGATGGACCTTCGAACACTACGCCGAAGCCTTCCGATGGCGGTGGTTCGACCAATTTCTTGGCAGCTCTCCTCGAGAAACACAACAGCCCAATTGACCTCAACAAAGAAGTAGCTGATGCCAAGGAGAAGATCGACATTCCAGATCTTGACGTCGACCTTTCAGGTGACGAGGAAGACTCCGTGCAGTCGCCGAAGACAAGTGTCAACGGACGCTCTCAAGGCAAAGGCACACGCCAAATCTCCGCGCCTTCCAAGGCACCAAGCGCATCACCTATTCTGGCGTCTCGAGTTCCTGTCAGTCAATCTTTAGAACAAGACGACGAATTCGGTCATGTCATGGGACCTTCGCCGACCGCAGACTCCAACCAAGCTCCAAGTCTGATAGATGACGACGAAGATTACGAAGCACACACACCTGGATCCAGTACGCCTGTTTCGGAGGTTTCGGAGGAGGAAAGCCTACAGATTCGCGTTAGAGACGATGACGAGCCACAACAAGACGAGATGGACCTTGAAGCGCCCTCGTGCACGCGCACCGACCAGTCCTTCAAGGCACCTGCTCCTCCAGCGTCAGCTTTTCGTCAGGAAGCCAATAGACCTGAGGATATGCCAGTCAAGCGCAAGTATGACAGCGCCGGACCCGGCGCGGAGCAGGTGAGCGCTGATCGCAGCAAAAGACGCAAGATTACAAAGTGAGATTGGTCGACCGTCACACTTGCTGTAAGCTTGAGGCCGGTCAGTAAGGCTTGCTGCTGTCGAGGCGTACCGCTCAGGGAGACTCCAATCAGTGATCGGGAACGTGTGGCTCGTACGAGCTGGCCGTGGTAGATGCTAAGCTGCGCGAGCAAGGAGGTTATCAAGGAACATGGTCCTAAGTCTAGCGAACACACGGAGAACGAGGGCTACTTCTCAGAGCTTCAAGAAGCATAGAATACCGTTCCGATACAATTAAAAGAAACTTTACTCATCTTACACACGAGACCAGCTAGCTTTGATGTGAAAGCCACTGCAATTGATGGACTTTTGGTCGCTGTTACTAGTCACTTTAGCGCTGGCATTCTCCCCATCTGAACAATGCAATGAGTGCTCCAGCTCTTCCATAATTTGATTGTCTTTCGTCGGCTCGCGAACACTGGCACAATGAGTCGTGCAGGTCGATGATAGATTCAGAGGCTCGTAGCAGCAGGGGTCAGTCTTGCACGATCCAAGTAGTTGGCAGGGCTATCATCTGCGCAGACTGAACATAGAGATGAGGTCCAAGGACGACTAGCCCTCCCTCGGGCGAATCCTTTGACTCGACTTCCGCAAATCGTGTCCATATTGCTTTTCTTAGGCCGCCACAGCCGGCCGCCCCTGCATGCCCGATAATGTGGACTACTGGAACATAGCGCCCAATCCGCGAAATAAAAAAGTCATCCATGGCCATATCTTGTCTGGAGGTGTGTTCCTGGAAGTGCTCGTGAGGTACGGTCGAGAATTTAAAGAAAGGGTCATTATGAGTGCCAGGGCGTTGGCAGCCATAGCGGCGCTCGCATCGAGTGGGATCTTTGCTGGTGAGTTGACCCATATCCTCCCTGTCCGACTCAACACTGGACATGGAGGACTCGAATCCCAGACCCCGGAAACCAGTCTTACCACATCTTATGCTCATCATCGTTCCTGACATAGGCTACACATGGGCCCTTTCGCACGCCGCCGTCCCATGCATAATCCATACCTCCTCTGAAGCGGACCTCGCCGCCGCGTGGCGAACACAATACCTGCGAGGCTTCTACATCTCTCGACCGTTGTGTGCCATCAACCTTTTCGGCTTCCTGTACCTCGCCTTTACAACTCCCGATACAGTCCACCTCACCGGCACCAAGACCACTAATCTCGCGAGCGTAATGTACATCACCGCAGCACTCCTCTCAGCCTCAGGCGTGCCCTATGCTCTGACGTTTCTTCGACGAACCAATGGTGCACTGTCGATCCGCGCGAAGAAGCTGGCTGGTCCAGGGGAGGATCCGACAGCGATGGCGTTGACGTATGCGAGTGGAGAGGCGAGGAGTCTGGAGCGGGAAAGGGAGTGGAAGGAGACGACAAGGTTGGTGCGGCAGTGGCAGTGGCATAATTCTGTGAGGACTTGGATCTTAATCGTGGGTACGGTGGCTGGGGCGGTGGGTTTGGTGCTTGAAGGAGGGTTTTGATGGGTGTGTGGTGAGGAGGGAGCAGTTGTGGGGAAGAAGCCTTGGAATAGGAAGTCACGAGGCGGACTGGCTTGCTCCGCGCTTGCCACTGACTTTGGACTTGTACCTACCTCACGTCTACTTTGCTGTCGAGGCAGGAATGGCATCTCAATTCCTGTCACCGAGTCGTGAGCTCTCTAAGGTAGCAGCGCAAGCAGCCTACTGGCCCTCCTTCTCGGGGCTGCACTCAGGTAGCAGGGTCTCTTACACAGAGGCGCCAGGCCGTATTGAATGGACCTTGGTGCTCGATGAGTCAGCGTTATGGCACGACTTGGCAACCTCTCGCCGTGCTGCCGGCTGGGTGTAACGCACCTACGTCCAAGATAAGCGTCGCTGGCAGGCGAATCATAGGTTAGTAAGCGTATGCGGGAAAGAGTTCCCAACACCAATGCCCAGCCAAGGAGTAGCTGGTCCCCCAAATGGCTGTAGTGTCAAGTCTCGTGGCAGACATGATGGACTACACGGTGTCGAGAGGCTTTGTGACTGCCATTGCCATGTGAGTTGACCATCAGCAAGTCTTAGGCTGCGAAAACAATGGACGTTAGATCTCCTCTTAAATTCATTTTGTCCGGTCATGGACAGGAGCAGAGCATTCGAGCACGGGAACTTGAAGCCTCCAGCATCAGGTCCCACGCAAGTCGGATCTCGCATCGCCGGATTATCTTGAAACGCTCCCATCACCCAACAACTCACGGCGAGCATGGATCATATCAGCTTTCGAATGGTACTTTTTCTGGCCCAGGCAATGTGGATCTCCTGGATGTGCCTGTACCCTCTCAGCTGGCGCAAGCGGTGGCCATCAACATACATCCGGATGCAGTTAGAACTCCTGCGGACGACAGCAGAGCCCCTAATCCCGACTTCAACGGCAGTGCCGAGTTTTCGGATCACTTTCGCGAGCCAGGAGCCTTCGACAGCCCCACCAGTGACAACAGCGTGGTCGAAGGGGCTGCCAAAATAGACAAGGACAAGAAAGACACTGGACCGGATAAGTTAGGCGCTGAGCAGCTCATCAGAGATAGCTGGATGAACGCACCTATAGAGCGCTGGGGTAAGGGTCAGAGGTTGGATCCATTCAACTGCATCCCTGGAAGTGAGCAAGAGTTCGCGCGTATCGGTCTCGATTTTCGTAGGTATCGATGCCACCTTGTTGATACAGCACTGACACTGCTTGCTTGTAGTGACGGTAACGCAATGGTGCTGGCCTGCATATGCCTCCATAGGACGAGCGTTCGACATGAAAGTTTCCTATCACTGTGCCTGGCTGCTCGAACAGCTCTCGAAGTGCGAAAGCTTGTTCAATATCATCGTAGCTCATATGAAGGCATTGCACGACAGTGTGACGAGACCTGAGGATGAGCCGCGGAGGGAAGTCGATATGCACAAAAGCCGGGCGATTGCATTGCTGCGTCGAAGGATGATGCAGCCACGCGCAGAGGAGGACGATGGGGTGTTGTTGACAATCATTTATTTGTCGCACCATGAGGCAGCCATGGGCGACCTGGCAGCTTCAGCGGTACACAGACAAACCTTGCTGCAGCTGCTTGGCCAGAGGGGAGGAATGAAGTCTTGGAAAAGTGATTCAGGTACCAGAGCGGTGGTAGGCATGTATGATGGCCATTGTCACTTGCTCTGTGCTCAGACTTACTGTTGCGTTTCCAGTTTCCGAGACCTGTCCACGACATTCATTGACGGTCCGAATGAGTCCTCGGGTCATTACCCGCAATTGCCGATGTCGATCGATCAGCTTTCATCGTTTTATCGATTACCTGGCGGGTTTCAGGAGCTTGCGTTGCTGGGAATGCTCACAATGGAGACAATCGACATCATACTTCAGATTCAGAAGATGCGGAAAGGACGAACCTACCAGATGGGCCACCCTCACCGCTCCTTCTCTGAGGGACCAACAAAAGACCACAAATACGACAACCTCTCAGAGGCGTGCCCAGGATTGAACATACCAGATGGTCCAGAAGGTCCTGCGCTAGAGAGACTTCTCTGTACATTGCTCATGAAGCTGTGTATCGACAAGACGCATCGATATGGCTATCCAGGATCCATGTATCAAGGAGTCGTCATCAAATTGCACAAGCTACTGCCACTAGCAACACCGCCATCGGAAGGCCCAGGCAGATCGTGTCTGCTCTGGATATCCCTGATGATGACAGACTCATGGCCAAAACAATCTGAGCAGACTGCCATGTGGCTGCAGCAGGTTCGTTGCTGGTTCCCAGAGATCGGCAGCTGGGAGGTTGCCGACTTTGAGCAATTTGGTAAGAAGTACATCTGGACCGCTGAAATAGCTAAGCTGGTTGCGAAGCACTGGCCAATTGTGCAGGAGGATGGCGACGAATCTCCCTAACGGCTGCCATTCATAGAGGAGATGTCCGTGATTTTCGGATGCTGCCTTTGCTGCTGTGAGCACTGTAGACAGACGTGTGTAATCAGTGGCAAACGTGGATGAACGAGGATAACAATGGTAGACATCAATGGCTTGCAATGGGCATGGTCAGAGATGTCCGAGACAGGCGTTGATATTGAGGACAGCAGGGAGAGTCGTCGTTTTCCGGAACTCCATCAATTCATGATCGAAGCCGTCAAGTTGTGTTGACGGAAGAACTCCAGAGCTCAGGAAGACTTTAGACGTGTGATGTTCAGTGCCGGTGACACAGGTCGACCTGAGCTGACACAGTCTGGGCATTGACCTTGTGGTTCTCCTCAGGCTGTCACCCCTGAAACGAGCCCCGAGTTTGCGCCGAAGAAGGGCAGCCCGCCCCCACTAACGTCACTTTCTGCGCCGGGCTTAGAAAGTTCGCGAAATGTTCTGCGTGCAAACCGTTACCATCCTCCAAGCAGTGCTCACGCCACGTTGTTTGTGCATAGTCGATGCCTGCCTTCATTCTTCGATGCGCTGGTCGAGCTTGCAGCGTCCGCCCTAACAATTGAATTGCTCGTCTCTCTACCTCGAGCAGCTAACGTCTTCCACACAAGCGGTCCTCGCAACGACTCCCAAAGCACCTTGTCCAGCGACAGGCAGCCCCTCCCCCTCCCCAAGTACACACCACCCACGCGCGCCTACCATAGCAATGACCGCTCCCCAGAAATGCGTGCACAAAGGCTGCGGCAAATCCTTCACCGACCCTCCAACCCACCCTGCATCTATCATCCCGGCCCGCCCGAATTTCACGAAGGCCAAAAGGGCTGGAAATGCTGCAAGCCACGCGTCCTCACCTTCGACGAGTTCCTCACTATTCCCCCTTGCACAACTGGCTCACACAGCGCCGTCGACGATGGGCCGAAGGTCGAGTTCAGCGATACGAGCCAGATTGGGGTCGAGGAGGTGCAGCCGAAAGAAGAGGAGCCAGTCAGGAAGGTGCGGCCGTTGACGGAGCGGGCGAAGGAGAGTATGGCTGCGAGTGTTGCGGCTGCGGGTACGAGTGGTGCGGTGGTGGGCACGCCTGAGAGTGGGACGCCGCAACCGGGCCAGCAGGTAGTGGAGGAGGATAGCGATGATGAGGAAGAGTCGATAGCGGAAGGAGTGACGTGTAAGCGGAAGACGTGCGGAGAGACCTTCAAGGGCGGCAAGCGAATGAGGAGTGAGGAGAAGTGCATATTTCATCCTGGTGTGCCAGTGTTCCACGAAGGCAGCAAAGGGTACACGTGCTGTAAGCGGAGGGTACTGGAGTTCGACGAGTTTATGAAGATACAGGGCTGCAAGGAGCGAGAAGGACACTGCTTTGTGGGCAAGCGGGAGAAGGCGAGAGAGGCGGAGAAGCGGGCTGCTTCCAAAGCAAGTGGCGGTACAGGAGAGGAAGCTGTGGAGGAGGTGCGGAACGATTTCTACCAGACGCCATCGTCGGTGATTGTCAGCTTCTTTCTGAAGAAGATCAAGAAGGATGAGGCGAAAGTTGTGTTCGGTACAGAGACGGCAGAAGAAGGCGGCAATGGCTATGTTGATCTTGACCTGCCCACAGCAGACAACAAGCGCTTCACGAAACGAGTGGTGTTCTGGTCAGATATCGACCCAGAAAAAAGCGCCTACAAGGTCCTCGGAACGAAGCTGGAGCTGACGGTAGTCAAAGCCGGTGATGGACAGACGGGCTGGCCAGTATTGAGGAAAGGCGATCGGGAAACTGGTGAGCGGATACAGGTCGGTAGAGCTGGGCGAGCTTGACCGGCGTTACCAGCGACCGCGAGACTGCGACTGATGGAGGTCGCACAACGACGGCATGAGCGCAACAGAAGACTCAACGATACCCAGGCATGATATGTATCCTGGTGGTGATCCAGGCATCTCTAGAAGCATCCTAGACAGAAAAGCTAAAGCCAAGCTAAAGCAAGATTCTGCTGAGATACATCCTTCATGCCGGGCTGTGAGAGCCAGCAAACATCTCGAGCACCCACTTGACATCAAGGACCCGTTCCTTGCGATTGTCAGTAGAGAAGGATGGAGGGGGGAAGAACTCCCTCAAATATACTTGCTGAAGCCTGATGGCAACGAAGGCCTATCCTGACCCGGATGACAACTCGTGTGAGCGGAAATGGACATGACACCTGCTGTCCGTTGTAATTACAAGCTTCGCTCCATGTTGGCCACCACTACAGCTCTTGCACCACCGCCTACTTCGATGATACACGGAGACCGCATCTTCAGACCAATCTTGTCATCCGGCCTGACATAGCACCAGGACTGAGCCGGTTGACAAGCGGGCAGTCGCGGAAGGTGCTGCGTGGGGTACCTGCCGTTCGATGCCTTGTGAAGGAGCGTCAATAGAAGGAGCGATCGCTGTGTGCTCCTGCCACCGTCGTCTGCTTAGTGAATGGCAAAGGAAGGTACGAGTCTGATGAATTCTTGTCATCCGGTCTCAATGAGATTTATATCAAACCGGTTGACGCCAGCTCGCAGATTGCGGGAGAGACTAACCACTGTACTGAGCATGGCGAACAGCACGTGGATATTGATCCAGAGGCCTGTTGATCAAGCTGGTCTGGGTAGAAGTGCATAGTACATCATAATTCGATCTATGAGAGCACTCCTGGAATCCCAGGGGCGGGTCTTCCGAACTCCCGATCATGAAATTGTCCATGAACCCAGCAGCGACCTTCCCAGAAACCTCAACGCTACACCAGTCGTCAAGATAACTAGCAAATATATGCAGCACACTTGCCACATCGAGGCGTAGTTCGTGGGCGTGCCTCCAGCTCGCCATGATAACACCCTTCGTTGATGAACAGAAGGCACGAAACTGGTGCCGGATAGCGACCGCGGCATCATTTAGCATCCACGCCCACACAACGCCCCACAACGCTTGAAATCGATGCACACAGCCACCTGACATCGCAAGCCTCCGCCGTGTCGTCCTGCTAACAACCAGGAGCCCATGCCTTACCGCAGAACAGCAACCTCCTCGTCAAAGACAGCCCACCAAAACCGCTCCATATAATGGCCTTCCTCAGGGTTCATCTCATTGAGCTCTTTGAACCACTTCAACATCCGTTCCCACCATTCGTGCGGTCGTCGGTGGATGGCTTCCCTGGTTACGGCAAAGCATGCGCCTTGGACGAAGCGGACTTCTTGTGGCAGGCCACCCGTAGCGGAGGCAGAGGCCGGCTGCGCCGGTGATGATGTAGAGGACGCTCGGCTATCTTCGGTGACAGAATCAGGGATGGCAGCTGAGTCAGCTGATGAACTATCAGACCCCGATATTGAGGATGAGGTAGACGAAGACAACTTCGATTGTGGAAAGAGCACATCCGTCCAGAACTGGCCTGGCGTGTACTTCGATCGGACCAAGGTAGCGCCACGACGGCGCACCCAGTCGGGTTTATATGGTATCGCGTCCCATGAAGAGAACTTGTGCAGAAGTCCGATAGGTAGGACGGCGCCTGGGGCAAGTTCGGCGGCCTGCGAGACGAGCTCGCTCAGGGTCAGGTCCGTGTGTGCGGGGGTACCCTCGTTGACGGAGTGGATGTCGCCTTGTAGGAAGAGAGTGACGGGTGGGAGGGAGGCGTAGTTTTGGGTTATGTGGGTGAGGTAGGTGTGCTGGTGACGTTAGTGTTATGCCCAGGAATAGCGCGGGTGACCAGATGAGGAATTTTGCAGCAAGGGCATAACTGAGTTGAGGTCGTTGTGGAATCTGTAGTGGAAAGCATCGAAGCAGAGATGGGATCGATGCGTTGTTGTGCCGTTACTGGACATTTTACGGATTGAAGGAATATGACAGGTCCCCACAGTCTATATGACCTTCGCTCGCCAGTCGTGACGGAGCGATGTGGTGTTTTTGACCAGGCAAGCACATTCAGAAAAGACCGTATTGCGACAACATTGTATGGAGGCTTGGGAGGGGAAAGGGCAGAGCATGACAACTTACAGTTTCACGGCCGATGTTAGGCAGAGGCACGGTCCTCGAAAAAGTTCTAGGCGAAGGTGCCTTCGGACCTTTGCTGTATACGACTGTGTTCGAGGCGAATGGCTGCAGCCAAGTGAGGTCTTCGTTGTAGTGCGCGATACAAAGGCCGACCGTGGATGAGTCTGTTGCTGGCTCTGGCGGTGGGGTGAGTGGTGCCCGATCGACGGCTTTCAGTGTGGGTGAAGGAGTCGGTTTGCCTTGTGAGAGTGGAGGTGTGGTTGCCATTCTATCTAACGAGCAGCAGATGGGTGAAAGCGCAGGCACAATTGGCTTAGGAAATGCTTTAGAAAGAGCAATAATGGCCGCCAAAGGAACACGACCGCGCCTCACGGCTTGTCGTCCTACCTATACACCGCACGTTTCCAATCCATGGCCCTGAAGCGAGTATCGCACATCTGCGTCATACCTCGATACAGTAGCAGAAAGTGGAATCAGTCCAAGGCGTAGTGCGCAGGTTTGGGATTGTGGCTTTGAGCTGTCCAATGGCGGGATCCTTGCTATACTTCGGGGCGACATGTGGTTCGGGAGGCATTGCGTGTCTGTAGATCAGAAGTCCCCAGACACGAGTGAGGGAAGCTTTGCGATTAACCAAAACAGTTAATATCTGACCATGAAACCCGGTCTGAGATGCGACCCGCGGGTATTGAGGTGGAGCATTGCTGACTGTCTCACTGGAGGCGAAGAGAAGTTAGGTGGACCAGCTACTTGATCTGTCGACAAGCGTACACTCGGTACAGCAGTCGAACAGTCCAAAAAGGCGACCACGACTTGGCGTACTTGATACAACAATCGTAACTTCCCAGATTGCCAGATTCCACTGCCAAAATATTTAGCGATGGAATTAGTTAGCACTGCGAGCGGCCCCCATTCGCTCGAGATAACTGGGTACAACTTGGTACTCGTCTGTTCTCGCGTCTTCAGCGCCGCATGCGACGATATTTGGCATGCTTAAACCAGAAACTGCTAGCACTGCGTGCTGAAGCAAAGATTCCGAATCATTGGGCCGTGGGGTGAAAGGCCGCTCCACGTGCCAGCCGCAGGTTTAAGGCCACCGAAGCCGGTTCAGACACGGCAGCGCTGCTCGATGTCCTTGCGGAAGGATTCACTGTGCTTCGCAGTAGCAAGGTCTTTGAAAGTATAACAATCCTGCGGATAGCTGAGCCTGGTTGTTACTGGCATATTGCCTGATTCGAATAGCTGGGTTCTGCTGTTGTGCAATTGGCATGAGCCGCCTGCTGAAGCCGCCTGTGAGATCGCATCGCCCAGGCGCAATTTATCGAGATCGCACATCGGTACCTGCTATGAGTCAGGACACGGATTCCCAATCATCAAAGTTCTGCTGACGATGGTGAGGAACAAGATTACTGCCCTCTGACAAGAAGTGCATCATCAATCTGCAGAGAGTACTTGAGTCAACGAAGTCACGTGAATCATTTGCATCGAGTCGCAACGCCAAGCACGAATCTCCACCCGCAACAACGAACCTCAAAACTTCGAAGCGCATTCGCAACTTTTTTCTTTCTCCTCTCTATCATCAGTAGAGGTGTTATATTCTAACACTTAAGGGGGTTCCGCCATCGTGCGGCTTGCTACGAGTCGTTCTGCTCACCATGTCCGATTTGTCGTTCCCGACCTTCAAGATCGAATTTCTGCTTCGCCTTTTTCCCTCACACTTTATGGTCACCGCAGAAGTTCTTCTGTAGCGGTGTCTGTGGAGGTGTTGCTACAAAACTCTGCCCTCGATGAGGAGGATGATGACGATGGTCAAGATCAAGAGGCGAGACCCATAGTCAGCGCCAGGCAGCGCTGGTCAGTTGGTAGGGCAAGCTGGCTGGGGTTTGCAGCTCAACGAGTGCAAGCCTGCCTTTTTGCTTCGATCGTGCAGTAGCTACGATGCACGTAACGGAAGCCTGTCGAGTTACGAGCGCGGAACGTGTCACGACATCAGTGCATTCATTGCGAGCGTCAGAGTCTGTGTAGCAGTCTGGGGTTGACTGATTCACCGAGGACGCAATGCAAAGAAGGAAATTATTGAGTAGAATTTTATTGCTTTGACTTATGATCAAGGCTTCCTTTATCGTTCAAGATCCCGGTGTTGTGGTCTGTGATTTCGGACGGCTATTTCGTTCAATGAAGGTGATCGTATCCAGGATACTGCGCAGCACCCGACATCGTGTCCAGAACACATCGAGAGCGCACAGCAAAAGAAGCTACCGAAGCGGCCATTGTGGCAGCCGCGACGCTCGATCTCGCCCTACGCCGCACCATGCTCCCGCAAAGCTGCTTTCATATCACCTAGGTGGTGTCCGTGCCATGCACTGTTGTGAGCTTGACGTATGTACCAAGCAATCAAGCAGAAACGTCGCCATCGGTGCTCTTGCCAGCCTCAGCATCATCGCCTTCACCAGCGACATCCTCGTTCGGATTACCATTCTCACCATCGGCATCGGCGTCTGTGGCGGGCTCTGGGGTAGTACTGGGCTCGGGAGTGACTTTTGCGGCGCTCTTGGGACGTGCACGACCTTTCTTGGCAGGACTAGCCGGCTCAGTGACCTCGCCATTCTCGCCCGTCACAGCAGCCTTTTTGGGTGTAGCACGACCCCTCTTCGTAGCAGCAGGCTTCTTGGTAGGTGTTGCGGTAGCAGCTACAGCGCCCTCCTCGGTGGATTCCACGGCAGCCTTGGTGGCCTTCTTGCCTTTCTTGGCGGGAGTCTTCTTCTTGGGAGTGACGGTAGGAGTAGCAGCGGCCTCTTCAGCAGCGGAGACTTCGGCTTCAGCGACGGCGGAGTCTGCACCTGGAGTAGCCGGGACTGGAGTAGTAGCCGGAGTCGGAGCACCAAGGTTGCGGACCGGAGTTTCGACGGTGGACGATTCGACAGCACCAGCATCGCCAATAGCCTCCTCAGCCTTGATAGCGACCTCGGTGGCATTCTCGACAGTATCTGTGGTGTCCTCCTTCTTGATGGCGGCGTTACTCTTTCTCTTCTTTGCTGTAGCCTTGACAGGTGTCTCCTCCTCAGCAACTTCGTCGTCTTCCGTCTTGACACGTTTCTTCGAGTTGGGAGTCTTGGCGGCCTTCGGCTTTGCAGGAGTAGCCGGGGCAGCGTCATCGAGCTCAGCCGCCTTCTTACGAAGAGCGGTCAATCTATGAGACACTGCTTTGGCTGTGCATTCTGTGAAAGGGTCAGCATCAACAGGTGTACGAAGTAGAAGGATTAAAATACCGGGACCCATAAGAGGAGCAATGCGGGCGGCCTCTGGCTTGACATCAGTCGTCTTGAGTACGGCAGCGAACATCTAGAAGAAGTGTCAGAGTTGCTCATCAAAAGACCAATGCGGCTGGGTATCATACTCTGGCATCCGCCTCGGCATCCCATGTCATCGGCATCTTGACGATGTAGGTCGAGTTTCGTGTGTGAGACGCAAGCAAAACGTGACTCGCAAGGTCAGCTTTTTAACACGAATGGTTGTTGGCAGGGAAGAGAAGAAATGTGGGCGGAGGAATAGTTGCGGGGATTAAATACAGGCAACAGGGCCTGCAAACGAGTGAAGGGCAAATGAAAGTGAGTTTTCAATCACTGCTGACCAGTGAAGTGGTGATGGCTCTTTTCGAAAACCCGGGCAACGGCGATGATCCCTTGGCAGCTTGTGTCTTCATCTTTACCTACTCATATGCCTCAGCTCCTGGATCGCTATTCTTCGCTCTGGAGGACGCTGTTCACGGGTTCCATGGAGTTACGTGGAAGCCATTTTGTCGCGTCATCTGCAGTGATGCAGGATCTCTCATATATTCTCAAGGCTTCAACAGTGGATAGTGTTCTATTCAGCTGAATCTAGATACGTCCAGCGGTACGCTGCTTCCTCGTCCGGCTCGATATCGCTTCGGTGCACCAGTGTACTGTCTTGGGGGAGGTAATTGTGTGTCTGCTTGGAATTTCCATCTCGAATCACTTATGGCTTGCGTCCCAGACCCCGATCGTGACTGGCCTCCTGCATTTCCATTGGTGAGCGTGTATGAGCTTGGGTTAGTCGGACCCCTGTTAAGGGCAAATGATGACGCGCTTGGTGATTGTGGTGACGAAGGTGCGTCGGGTGGCGGTGGAGGTGGTGCACCTAGATGACTTGATGACGGCCGTGCCATTGCCGAGGCTGCTGCTCTCATCGCCATGTTGTTCGAGCTTGGCGGAGCTGATGGGGGCGGAGGTGGTGACGAACGTGCAGGACTTGCTCTCGCAGGTTGTGACGGTGGCGGAGGTGGCGGAGGCGGAGCTAGAGATGGGGCAGAAGATGAAGGCGGTGGAGGCGGTGGTGGTGGAGGGGCCGAATAAGGCGTCGACGCCGATGTGGGTGGAGGTGGTGGCGGAGGGGGTGGAGCAAAGGAGGGAGTGCTCGATGGTGGCAGAACGCGGCGGAGGAGGCGCAAAAGATGGTGTGCTCGAAGGTGGGAGGGGCGGCGGAGGTGGCGCAGACGAAGGTGTGCTCGCCGATGGGACAGGTGGCGGTGGGGGAGCTGATGGCGGAGCTGGCTCACACTGCTTGGCGGAGGTGGAGGAGCAGAGGGTGGTGCAGGGCTTGATGATGTCGGCAAAGGCGGCGGAGGCGGTGCCCCGAATGAAGGTATTTGAGGTGCTCCTGTGCTGCTCACTTTTCTTGACGATGGAGGTGGTGGTGGTGGCTTGCCAGCTGCAAGATTGGCGATGGACGAAGGCTTTGGAACAAGCCGTGGTGGCGGCTTCTTGAGGCCAGCAAGTGGACTTGGTATTGCTGGCGCAGCACCAGGTGGAAGTGGGGGCGCTGTTCCGCCGCTTCTGGGAACTGTTGCCATAGAATTAGGTCGCACCAGGCCCGGTATTGGTGGTGCACGGTTGGTCGGAACTCGTGGTGCTGCCGGAGAGGAGGTTTCTGAGTCCGAGTGAGGCCCATCCGCTCCAGTAGAAACACCTCCGCTCGTTCTCTTCAGCTTTGGCATGCCGCCTGCAAATAGTCCTCCCAATTGTGGTGCCGATGCTATACTACTATCGCCTCCGCCGGAGCCTTGATCACTGTTGCTTCGTGCTCTGTTGCCTCCGCCGGGCACAGGCGGGGCAAGGCTCGATGGCGCTCGCATGCCGGGCACTGGAGGCGCCCCTCCAACGGGTGGTGCTCCTGAGCCTGCCTTCTTCTCAACCAGTGGTGCAGATCGGTCGTTCGTGACAGTGGCTTTCAGTTTCCGGCCCTTTGTAATGTCGCCCAGGAGTGCGCCCTAGAAGAGAGAAACACGTTTGTTAGTTGAAGTGCGCTGAAAGTCAGGTCTCACAAGGCCTCGAAAGACGGGCTCCTGCTTCACGTGCGTGTGTGACATACTCTGTCTTTGGCTACGGCTTTGGGAGGAGCCGCTGGCAATGCCGATCCACCTGGCATGGGCGGAGGCGGAGGTGGCCCTCCCATACCACCGGGCGGCGGCGGAGGAGGCGGAGGAGGTGGCGGTGGACCAGGCATTGTGTGTATCTCTTCTGTGTTGAAGTGCTGCTCGATGCGCTGCTGGTGAAGGTGCGCAACAGATCTGATCTGGCTGGTCGTTCGTTCGGCTGGAAGCAAAGGAGATATCTACAAGCACCGAGGCTCCTCTGATCGCAGTGATATCAGATGTGCGCCTGAAAGCACCGATGTGGGTGTACTGCTTCTGGAAACTAGGTCTTCGAGTCGCATTATAGTGGTTCCTGGCTGCAGCTCGTCGTCATCCGGCGCGGCGGAGTCGCTACGAGGTGGAGAAATATACTAAGTTCCCGCCGAGTCCCAGTGTTCTTCTATCAGACCCGTGACTAGGCAAACACCATTCCGTCGGTTAGTTTTGGCTACACGAAGGCTTTCACAAAATCCAAGGCAGACGAGATATTTGTCTTTGAGAGTCACATTCTATCATTTGAATCGGAGACATCATCTGCAGTATTGCAGGGCTTCATACCCCGATGCGCAATGTACCGACACGCATACTATGGAATAGAGTACTCCCCAATAAGAGACCGCAAGACAACCCCAAACTTCTTTGCAACCTCTCCCTTCCTAAGAAGGATTCGTCAAGGAGCCGGCTGAAGCGCAGCGTGGACATGACTGCGGCTTGATGCTCCTAATTGTGTGGATTGGATGCGGTGGCTAGTGGACAGACAACAGTCGAGGTCCTTTCTCGAAGGAATGTCAAGGAATATCCAGGCCGAGCGCTGCTTGATTCCGATCTGCCTTAGTTGACGCCAGCCTTGCGGAGCGAGTTGCTGAGCCATTCGAGACCCTCATAAAGACCATCACCGGATGTAGCGCAGGTGGATTGGATGTACTAAATTCGTGTCAGCAAATGTCCCTCGGCGAAGAAGGCGAAGAAGGAGAATCCTTACCCATGCACGCTGTCGCAGAGAGTGAAGGCCAAGCTTGTCAGTGATTTCAGCGGCGTTCATTGCGTTCTGTCTCATGTTAGCAGTGTCTCAGAAAGGGATTAGTCCTCGTACGGGAAGATCCTGCTTGTTGGCGAAGACCAGCAGAAGGGCATCGCGCAGCTCATCCTCGTTCAGCATACGCTGAAGCTCCTCTCGTGCTTCAACGATACGATCTCTGTCGTTGGAATCAACCACGAAGATGATTCCCTGTGTGTTCTGGAAGTAGTGTCTCCACAGAGGTCGGATCTTGTCTTGCCCACCCACGTCCCACACTGTGAACTGAATGTTCTTGTACTCGACGGTCTCAACGTTGAAGCCTTGTGTCGGTCAGTATCGTCCTTTTGGCGGTTGTGTCTCGATGCAACGTACCGATGGTGGGAATCGTGGTGCTGAAGATTGTTAGATCGAACATTTACCACAGGGCGGGGCGCAGAACATACACAATCTCGCCCAACTTGAGCTTGTACAGGATAGTTGTCTTTCCGGCAGCATCAAGACCGACCATCAAGATGCGCATCTCCTTCTTCCCCCACAATTTATCGAACAACTTCGAAAATGTCAAACCCATGGTTGCGGTGTATGAGAGGAATCGGTTGGGGAGCGGTCTGTGGTAAAGCCGGGTCAGTATGCGTCGGACTGTCGGTGTAGACGTGGACGGATCGAGGCTGTCGATATAGACGTTACAAGACTCCGGACAAATGCGCACGAGGTTGTGTGCTCGCTTTAGCAAATTGTCTTAAAGCCGCTGGGAGGCTGAAGCAGGTGGCATGTGTGGCCATCTGTCCTCCTCTGGAATGCAGCCTATGGTCACAGGCAGATGAGTTCTTGAGCTTACCAGAGAGTTACAGAAGGCGCCAGGCAATGTGTGGGCGCACGCGATGGGATTGAGATAGTAATACGCGAAGAGACTGAATCTGTGATGAAGAGTAAGGCATGCACCCTCGTTGTGCATTATCTCGCCTTTGTACGCTAGGCCGGAATTAGTGGACTCTGCCCCGCCAAGTTTCAGCGAACGCCACAACTGCACAAGCCCCAGCATTCAATGTTTCTTCACTGCGGACACCTACTGGCACTCGAGTTCGAGCAGCACGCTATTCTTTTTAGCGACGGGATCTCCTTGCGGTGTAGGAGCTCTTCGATTCATATCAGGCATACATTAAGCGTGCATGAAGAAGCGAAGATGACACGATGACTGCTTGAACGATCTGACGCGCTCCGAGTATTCGACGGCATTGTCTGTCAGTCGGTCTACAAAGCCATCTTGAGTTCGTACGAGTGATGCTTCACGCCATCCTTTTCCACGAACGACTCGGAGTCGGTCAACTGGAATCCCACTTTCTTGTACAACTCTATGGCGCCTTCATTCCCTTTGACGACGTGCGTCACACAGACACGTCCGGTGAAGTCTCTCTCAGCATCTGCTTTCCGGGCAGTGTCGATGCCACACTGAACGAGTCGCTTGCCCGCCCCTTTCCCTCGTAGCTCATCCTTAAGCCAGACTGCTGCCATGAACCAGTCAGCTGATGCCTTTCCCTCTGGCTTGTCGCCGTCAGCCTGCGTGTAATTAGCAGGATCACAGGAATTTCAGGTATTCTCCCGCACCTCATCCCCAACGCTCGGATCGACCATGACACAGAATGCCACCCACTCCACATCGTCTCGAAGTAAGGCATCGACATCGTCGCCTATCTTCTCAGGACTTGAGACCATGACCACAGTCCAAGCTTTTGGGTCCTTGAGTCTTCCAACCCAGAAGCTCAAGGGTTCTTTCACCTCTGATTCGTACTTGGAGATAAATGACTTGGGATCATTCTTCAGGCTCTGCAATCGAAGTGGCTTCGTGCGGCCGACGAACTTCTCCCATTGCGATTCATTGCTGACCTTCTTGGGCAGTACATGGAGGGACAGGACAGCCATGATCAGCGAAGTGGTTCAACCTGTTCAAGCATGAAGAGAGACTCGAGGCCTCGCGATAGCGCTGCTCGCGTGGCAACGACGGACACTCATATAGATCTATAAGGTGACTCACAGTGTGCTTCTCGTGTTTGATCATCATCAAGGTCGTGGCATGTAGTTGCAGAGTCACATCGCCATGCAAGCGAGTCCGTTACAAACACCGGTGTCAGAGGAAGGTTAGCCGAGTGACTCAGTGCCAAGATTTTCGACCACCGCCACTCCCCAATATTCAAGACGACTTCTGTCGACTCCAACCCTCATTCTTTTCTCTCACCACGTTCATCCGCAGCGCCTCACCATAAGAATTACCTAAATTCTTCTGGAAGACTGTCATCGCCATGTCCAAAATCACAGTCGCCGGAGTGCGGACCAACGTCCAGCGTACGACATCACCATTCTCCCTACCCTCCCCTCCTCAAAGAACGCCACTAACAGATTTCCTGCAGAACTACTCGATTACTCCCAGAACACCAAGAAGCGCAACTTCCTCGAGACCGTCGAGCTCCAAATCGGCCTCAAGAACTATGATCCCCAACGTGACAAGCGTTTCTCCGGCACCATCAAGCTCCCGACTGTCCCTCGCCCGGGCATGGCCATCTGCGTCCTAGGTGACCAGCACGATATCGACCGTGCCAAGCACCACGCATCGACGCCATGTCCTCCGACGATCTGAAGAAGCTCAACAAGAACAAGAAGCTGATCAAGAAGCTCGCCAACAAGTACGATGCGTTCGTCGCCTCTGAGGCTCTTATCAAGCAGATCCCTCGTCTCTTGGGTCCTGGTCTGTCCAAGGCTGGCAAGTTCCCGACTCCGATCTCGCATGCTGAGGATCTGGCGGGCAAGGTTACTGAGGTTAAGAGCACGATCAAGTTCCAGTTGAAGAAGGTATTGTGCTTGGGTGTCGCGATCGGCAATGTCGATATGTCTGAGGATGAGCTCATCTCCAACATCATGTTGGCCATCAACTACCTTGTCTCATTGTTGAAGAAGGGCTGGCAGAATGTCGGTAGCTTGGTCATCAAGGCTACCATGAGTCCTCCCAAGAGATTGTACTAAGCGTCCGTCACCGTTCGGGCCAGAGCGGGCTCATTAGATTGAGTCCGTCAAAGCACGACTGAAGTCTCGAGAAGGCAGAGAACATCACAATGTACGGAATGTGGCTTCTCGCTTCGACACTAGCATAGCATCGTGCAGTCAAAGATGCACATGGATAGCAGAGTCAATCAAGTCATATTCATGGAACACACTTCGTATTCTGCCTTCTAGTCGTATGTTGTCATCGGCTGTAGTGCCTCTCGTTGGCAACATTTGCTATACTTCGAGTACCGACCATCACTACTGTCGGCCAAAGCTCAGACAGCTTTTTTTGGAAGACAATGTAGCAAGGAGCTCACTGCTACCTCAGAACATAAAGCCCCTGCCTATCGGAGTGAATAACATCAGGCAGCACCTGCCCCTGACACATACACCGAACAGTGAATACTCCCTGCTCGAGTCAGCGGAGTCATCATTTCGGGCAGCACCGGACCTTCACTTTGATCAGAGGTATAAGAATCGGCGCTGCCCCCAACTTCTACTCTACTCTCCGTACGACCATCCGAACGCGAGTCGACGGACTTGCCACGCTACAGTGGCATGCACTGCTACCTTGTGGGGCGAGGGTTTTCGACGACTTCCCAAAAGTACGCTTAATGCAGTGACAGACATCTGCAAGACCTCACTGCAATCAGCCACTCAGCCAAGTCCCCCACACAGAGCGATACTCAACCTCCATACACAATCCGGATTGGCTTTTTCTAATTGAAACCTGGCATAAATTCCGTCTTATCCAGCACCATGACCCTCACCCCGATCGTATCCCTCAGAGCATCCCACTCCGGCCCGCTCTCCAACCCATGCATCTTCTTATCCCCAAAACCCCAGCTCTGCGCGATCTTATCCAGAAATGCCCGCTCATCTTCCCTCAACCACCTCTGAGTCAGCCCCGCGCCAGACTGCCAATGCACCCGGTCATGATGATCACTCCACGTCGTTACCGCGACGTATGCGACCGTGCCGAATGTCCCTATGTACGCAAAACCAGCCGCCAGCGCCATATTCTTGGCCTCTGAGACCTCGAAGGTGTTCTGGTAGGTGGACGCCCAATTGGCGGCGGTGTTGACTGTGAAGGGAAAGACCGTAATGGCGAGCAGTTTGGGCAAGGCTTTGTCGATAAAGCGTTGTGTCCAGTAGGCTGAAGTCCCGACTGTGGTATCGGTGATTGCGACTGCGAGGCCCATATCCCGCTTGTGGATGGCGGCGGCGAGGGCGATGTCGGCTAGGTCTTTGGGGATCGCGCCGGAGGGAAGCCAGGTGAAGCGGGGAGGGGTCTTGAACACGAAGAGGTCGAAGATCTCGGGGAGGTATTCGGGCTTGCCGAGGAGACATTGTGTTAAGGTGTAGGCGCGCAGGGCGGAACGGGTTATAGTGACATTTGGGGCGCGGAGGAGGTTGTAGAGTGTTTCGGCTAGAGTTGAGACTGCTTCGCGGCGGAATTTGAGAGAGAACTCGGCGTCGTGAGCTGTGACTGCTCCTTTCGCTGCCTTGCGCAGCGCGTCGTCCTCGTCAAGGTCCTCAAGGATGGATGAAGAAGCTTGCCGTGCAAGCTGACTGGGTGTCTTGACCGCAGATGAGGACTGCTGTTCGACCACTTCACTGGCGTCGCTTCCATCCTCCGTGTAGATCAAATATCTTGCGTACTGATCCGCTCGTCTGAGTAGAGTAGTCACATCCTTTTCGCTGGCATGTTCGTTGCTGTCGATTATGCTTGCAGCGGCTTTCTGTAGCTCAGCGAGCTCGTGGGCAGGATTGAGTGGTGGTTGCGGTTGTGGTTTTGGGGCGTTCCTAGCTGCAAGAGTCTCGTTCCGGTCTGCGCGCGTACTAGATGTCGTTGAGAATCCTCGATTTGCCACGCGCCGCTGAACTGACCCCCGCACATCTCGCTCGGTCCATGGTCTCCTTGCTGTCCTGCTACGCACTGCAACGGTAATCGGCTTCGAGAACGATCGGCTCGACGGTGGAATTCTGTGGGCTGCTCGGCATGCATTGCAGACAAAGCCTGGTCCATTGGGTAGTATAGACGCCATATTTCACGCCTGTCGCAAGCTGTAAACTTTCTCTGGGCCGTGCGCGTACGTGAACTGCAGGACATGTACATGTACCTAGTAGGTTCGAGGACGAGCCGACCGGTTGACTGTAAGGCTGATGTAGAGCCTCGTCTTCCAGCGGCTCAACGTCAACGACACAATTACTCAGGCTTATTGAGCCCGTAAGCATGCCGGTGTTAGCTTCCATGTAGCCGACACTGGCAAGTGTGCCTCCAGCCATGGCGATCACGGCAGCAAATATCTCCAAGGCGCAGCTGAAGCACTGTCTCCTGCTATACCCTGATGTTATTGACGAGGTATACGACAGCAGAATCAAGAATAGTAAGAAGTTGTTCGAAGCGAAAGTGAGGGACAAATGGCGTTATGAAGAGCTGCCGAATGCTCTCAAAGTAGCTAGGGGTATGAGTCTTGCTGAGCTAGAGAGACTTGTCCAGTGGAAGATGTAAGTTGCCAGGAAGAGAGCGGGATGCCGTCGCGATCAAACTACTTTGAAGCCCCGAGTGAACGTCGGTTCGGGTTCGATCAGGACACTGACTTCTCGCGGCAGCACACACGGCCAGAACCGACCATTTCTGCCATCAATGGTTCGGAAGAACGATGCAGGTACTGTAACCAAAGCTACAGAAAAAGCCGCCAAGCTGCTCTCGTCTCTCAACGCAACTACGACAAGTCAGAAGGCGCTTGAACTCACGCTTTCGGCACTAGACGCAGCATGCATATTGACAGGTGTAGGACCAGCAACGGGAGCTCTCGTCTTGTCCGTCTATGATCCCAACAATGCTGTGTTCTTTCAGGATGAGTTGTTCGCCTGGTGTGTGCCCGAAAAGAAGGATACGAAATTGAAGTATGACAAGAAGGAGTACAGTGAGCTCTTCAAGCGTGCATATGATCTCAGGGAGCGTCTTGGGGACGGGACGCAAATGGTGGAACTTGAAAAAGCCAGCTTTGTACTGCAACATCTCGATGTGGTCGATGAAGCGAGCAGAGAAGCGCTGGAGGCAGGGCCTGTTGACAGCGTAATCCAGTTGGCGAACGAACAAGCCAGCTCGAAGGCTACCGATAGCAAAGGCACATCTGACGCTGAGACGTCCCCGCCTCCGGCAGTCCAGAAAGCGGCTAGCCGCAACACAACGAAGACGAAGCGCAAGAAAGCCGATGAGACTGCAACACCCGCTGCAAAGAGGAAAAGAGCTAAAAAGTGAGATACATCCGGGGAAGTCAGATCCATTACTATGTGCACCGTACCGACGTGTACCAGGATCTTCCATTGTGCAAGGCCCAGCAACTCCTCGCTGGGCCGGACCTCCTGATTATTTGCAACATACACAGCCCGTCCAGTCTCTTCACAAGAACATATAAGCGGCGGCCCCGGCAGCGAATGCAATGTTGGCGACAATCTGTGTTGCGGCGGCTGCGGCGTTGTCAGAGCTGGTTGAGGCGGCAGTCTGGGAACCGGAAGCAGAAGCGAAGCCGGTCTGGGCGGTCTCATCGCTGGACGATGTCGCGCTTGAGCTCGCAGTCGTTGAAGCGGCGGAGATTCTCGTCGTTGAGGAGCTATATACGCTCGCAAAGTTGCAGTACTGTTCTCTCTGTTGTTGGACTGAGGCTACACCCGTGTCGCCAGGGCAGTTGTTGTAGCATGTCAATCTGTGTACAGCTGTTAGCAAGACGTGGTCCGATCGCAGGACCGGTAGGACGGTGCCGGAAACCGTGGTAGGAAGGAGACTGCGGACTCACAGATTGATGTACTGGGTGCAGAGACAGCCCCAGTCATTTGTTGCGCAGCTGTTGATCTGGCCCTGGATTGTGCCTTTGCATGCGTCAAGGATGCTACAATTGTCAGCGCAGTCCGTCTATGGAGATGAGGATTTTTACGGCTGGGCTGCGCAACTGCTCGTGCCGGCGGATGAGGCAGCTGAAGAAGTGGCAGATTGGCAGAAGCCGTAGCAACGAACGCTGCAATGATCGCGAAATACTTCATTATGTGTGAGTTGTGTGTAAATATACGAACGAGAGACGTGAAAGAAACCAAGAAATAATGTACAGATTAATCAAACGGTTTGCCCTCAGCTCGAGAAGACGGATGAGAAAGGTGGTCAAGATAAATAAAGGATGACCCAGGCGACGCGCCGGACTTTGCAGAACCCAGATGCATCTCGCGTTTTTTGCTTTAAGCTTCGAGATCGTCGGTTGGTGGCTTGCCCCGGCGCGTCTGATCTGGGGAAAGCAAATTGGGAGTCATTGGTGTCAAAGGTCCGACATTGACATCTTCTGGGCCGTTCGTTGCCAATGCAAAGTGAGACATGCTGTGTCTCTCTGCAGACGGTTCTGTGAGTCGTAGATATGAGTGACGACAAGGATAGCACACCAGCTCAGCATATGCAATTGTGTGCGGTTGATGTTGTTGTGTGCTGGCGTCCTCGAAGAATTAATGGACTTGTTATCAATTTTCCAGGGGCTCCCTAGCACTAGGGAATCGGAACTTAAGCAACTCTAATAGACCTGGATCGTGAGGACTCCATCAGCTTCCAACCCCTGTTGCACTGTTTGCTCATTTTGTATGTGGCAGTCACAAAACATCCCATTACTATGGCAATAGTCAAAACGTCTTCACGAGCCAACTCAGCAACGATTATTTGCTAGGTTGTGTAACGTGAGCGCAGTTTCAAGCTGCGTGAGCATGCTAAAGGAACAAGGACCCAACATGCAAAGCGAAGGACATTCGAGGTCGCTGAACGACTCTCCTTTCTGCTTAAGAGACGACCGAGGCCCTATAAGGCTCAGCACTAAGTAGAGGAGCAGATGGGATCCAGGCCGCTGACTTGAAAGCAGGAGCTGCTGGTTACGCATGGCCTTGTCAGCTTGAAAGGACCGCCACGAGTGATGGAAGGAAGCCGATTTCGATCGCTGGGCAGATCTCGCTACATTGACAATGAGAGTATGCCAAAATTTGCCTGGAAGCCTGGGTGCGGGTGCTCCTGTGCACCCTGTCTGACCTCGAGCCAGGATCGCTAACGAACTGTTTATGTCCATCATGCTTCGGAAAGCCGCAACCTGTGTGCTCAGGTCTCCTCATCGTTGCTGGTGAGCTTCACCTTGGTGTACTGCAGCTGGTCTCTCTTTGTTCTGCACGAAGCGCAGCCATATTTCCCTGAAACGAGATGATGGCAGATCCTGCATACACCAACATGGCACGCTTTCAGACATCTTTTTGTGATAGGATGCGTGCGCGCTTTGTCCTTCTCTGGGCTACAAGATGCGATGTCAGTTTGTGTCTTCTACCTTCCACCAAAGATCACTTACCAATTGTGACTGGTAGTTCCTTTCCGAACGTCTATTACAATCGCGGTGTCTTTGGTCTCGCTGGTGTCAGCGACTGCTGCGTCTTCACCAGTATCTTCTGATTCAGCCTCTGTAGAGGTCTCGGTATCGGATTTTGAGGTCGACTTGCGCTTCTTCTGCTTGCTTTTGGCCAGGTAAGGCCCGCTGTGTGCCTCTCGTCCCATCGCAAAGGCCGCCTGAGCATTCGCTGGATGATGGGTAGTCTGATGCACACGCCTGCTGGCGATTATACCTGAAATTGTTCGATTTGGATTTGAACCAGCGCGGATCCGTCAACGGGAACGAGATTGCTTCCGAAAACTGTGCAGAGCAGTGGCTTTCGCACCGAAGCTGTCACAGCGAGGGTGCACGATTGCAACGGGCGTCGGTTTAATTCGACAGGCGGTAATGCACAGTTACCTGGAGCAACACCGGGTTGACCCAACTTGACACGACTTCACCGAAGCAATATTGAAAAGCACGATTAAGTGCTTGGCATTCAAGGCGCCATGTTGTTGTCAAACGCGCTGTCACCTGAGATATGGCCTACTGGATTAGTATCCGAGGGTACTGGTGTCTTTGAGCCAGGTTACCACCAACGAGCTCGGCAAAGCAGCCAACTTGTCCGTTGATGCCGTCCCTCTTTGCAGCTGACATCCCTTGACGAGATGGCTCAGTCTTACTTACTTGAATGATCCGCCAGAGGCTCCAGGCCGCATCCTCTGTACAAGTGGTAAAGCAGACATCTTGACCCAGGAATACTGTCTATAAATCAGAGCTTAAGACCAGAAGAGAGAACTGATCTCTTTGCCACAAGGCGAGAGCCATATACTTAGCAGATGATCCGAGACTGAAAGCATTGGGCTGCGTGCTCATTATCTCAATCGTGCTGATAGCAAACCCCTTTGAAGCGCTCGATCTGCTCAGAATGGGCCTGTACTTGCGCCGAACGAACAATGTACGATGGCTTGCAGTGGCTCTTGTTGCAGGACGGGACCGCCAAGCGCCTAAGCCCAAGCCGCTCACCCGCAGAACTTTTGGGATAAAACTTCCAGGGGCCTTTGGGGTGGCGCCAGAGGAGGAGTCAGCTGAATCGGAGTGCCCTGTCAAGCAAATGTTGTCCACGTAAGCCGACGAGGGACGGCTCGTGGCTTTAGAACACTCTACCTCAACCTCTTCTTGTTAGTATAGTGAACCAAAACCAGATCGATACCATTGCAGACTATCGCATTGAATTATGGTCATATTCGGAGGACTTGAAATCCTTGCTGCGGGCTACGTGCTCAACGAGCTTGGCAAAGACGAAGACAAAGCAAAGCAGAATGCAGAACGACGACGGCGTCGCCACCATCATCATCATCACCAAGACGACTCGGAAATTCGACATCGACCCCAGCGGCCTGCACAGCACTCTCTTGCGCCGCCGAGAACAGGTCCACCACGCCCTAACAGCGCACCACCTGTTCAACCACTGTATCAACAACCGCCACCTCGCCCAGGACCGTGGCAAACCCCTCATCAGGCTCAATTTCAACATCATCAGCAGCCGCCAGTCCAACGACCACCAAATACCCAGACATGGCCTCAGCAGCCGCCGGCACGACCACCACAATTTCAGACACCACCTCCGCCGTATACGCAACAGCCACCACCGCCAGGACCGGGCCATCTCCAGTCTCAGCCGACCATGCACTACGACATGAAGACCGGCAAGTGGCAGGCGGGAATGCTTCCACCTGAGATGCCTCGGGCCAACTCAATGCCTGTGACAGGACAGACCCGTCCTCGCAGCACCAGTGCTCAGCCACCCCCTTCAGGCCTTCAACGATCACGACGGGCGTACTCTTCAGGCTCGTGGTCATCTTCCGAAGCAGACAGCAACAGCGACGACGATGATATGGCGTACGGGGACCTGCCGGGAAAGAAGCAGTCCCATGGGAGTCACGCTGCCGGGCTTGCAGTTCCAGTGTCGACACTGAACAGGGCTCCCAGCCACGAGAGGGAGAGGCCGGCACAGCTGCAACAGCACCCGCAGTATCAGCAGCCGCAGGAGTTGCATGGGCAATCTAGGCAGAGTACGAAGCCTGTAGAGCATGACTGGTACGCAGATCAGAACCAGAGGAGACGGCAGCAGCAGCAAAGGGGACCATTTGAGATGGAGCAGCCGATCAGATATGAGCTGCCTTAATCACAAATTTGGTGTTGGAGAGGTATGGAATGGCGATTGGCAAGGCAGGCAATTCATAGTTCTGACGAGCCTCGCAGGTTCGAGGCAGTTGCGTGGTCATCAGACTTTCTGTAGATGCCGAATGATCGGCTTTCACGATGGAATGATCAAATTGAACTTGAAGACTCACCTAACGTGGCAAGATGTGCCCTTCCACTTCTCTTATGCCATCCAATGCTGGGTATGCGATTCCCGCGAGATCGAAAGGACGATGCTGTAGGTCCTTAGTGTGTCACCTTGTCCCTGTTAAGAAGCGGTCAACTTGGATAATCCAAGTGTACGTCGCCGCTGCCAAAGGTGCCTGACTCTGGTGTTGGTCAACTGCTTTGAAATCGAATCAAAAGATTCTTTAGTTGTGTTGTTTCATACCCAGGTACACATCCCGTTGTCCAACTTGCTTTCGAGGCAGACACCCGAGAGCGCACAACAGAGCCAGGCCCGGCAGTCGGGGTTCATTTGAGATCGCCTGAATTTGAAACGAACGCGCTGCCTTACGGGCTTCTTGTGGGGTCAGTGGACCCTGTTCGGCGACCTCGCCTCGCCTCGCGATCACTGCCTCTGCATGGTCCCCCTTTGGTGCTCTGTCAACATCAACCCAGTACCGCAGAGGCAGTTCTGAACTTGTCTGTGTGGACGATTAGATCACCATGCAGGTGCTGCTTCTGTCTCCGGCGGCGAGAAATGAGAACCACGATAACCGATCGCGTTCGACAATGGCCGCTGTTGGTAGTACGGCAGCCCTTGAACTGGATCGCCGGGCTTTACATATGCTGGGATCGGAAAGACAATTTTGTTCTTCATTTCGGAAATATGTGTACGGCGAGTACTGGCTCGATATATAGAGGCTGAATTGTTCTCGTCCATCTGCTACTGGTGTAGGTACACACGTTACACCCTATTCCTTGGACTTATCTACGTATCTTTGACATCTAACAACAGTTTCGTCAGCAATGGTGTCTCCCAGCCCTGACAAGGCAAATGGCTACGACGTTGAGGCCCAGGCGGGGCTCGCTCGTTACCTGACAAATAACACAGTTCAGTCGTTCTCATGGCGGAACCTAAATGTGACGGTCAAGGATCACAAAAACAAACAGCCTTTGTCAATACTGACCTCAAGCTATGGTTTGGTGGCAGCTGGACAAGTCCTAGCGTTGATGGGTCCGTCAGGTTCGGGGAAGACGACGTTGCTCAACGCTCTAGCCCATCGTGTAGCGGCAAGCAATGCCCAAGTCGCTGGAGACATCATGATGGACGGTCAACGAGCGAATCGCACAATGCTGAGGCAGGCTTCGAGCTACGTGGAACAAGAAGACGCACTCATTGGAAGCTTGACTGTCAGGGAAACAGTGGATTTCGCAGCCAGACTGTCTTTAGGCCAGACGATATCTTCTGCGGAACGCCACAACCGGGTTGACTCCCTTATCGCTGCCTTTGGTCTAAATCAGCAGGCAAACACGATCGTCGGCACACCATTGCAGAAGGGCATCAGCGGTGGACAGAAGCGACGTCTCGGAGTTGCGAGTCAGCTCGTGACGTCGCCTTCAATTCTCTTCCTCGACGAGCCAACAAGCGGGCTAGATTCAGCGGCCAGTCGTGAGGTGATGTCCTACATTTCTGATGTCGCAAAACAGCACCACATCATCGTTATCGCTTCCATCCACCAGCCGTCCAGCTCGACCTTTGCCTTGTTCGATCAATTTCTGCTCCTCTCCGCTGGCAAGACCTGCTTTCAAGGTCCGACTTCCGAGACCCAAGCATACTTCGAGCGCATTGGCCGCCCCATCCCTGGTCACTACAATCCTGCAGAGTATCTACTGGATCACGTCAACACCGATTTCGCGAAAGACCGAGCCCGTGCAGATCAACAACTTCAGCAGGTCCATGATGCTTGGGAGTCCTCAGACGAGAACCAACGCTTGATTGAGCGGACGACAGTACAGTCGCCCCCCGAGAAGAGTGTGACCTCTTCGTCAAAGACAGCAAGTAGCTCTCGAGCAGCCCTTATTCTCCTGCATCGGAACTGGATCAAAGCCTACCGGGACTTGTTGACCTATGGAACCCGGATAGCCATGTATCTAGGCCTGGCCATCCTTATGGGCACGGTCTGGCTTCGGCTGCCATATGAGCAAACCTCTATCCAGCCTTTCATCAACGCCATCTTCTTCGGTGGTGCCTTCATGTCCTTCATGGCTGTCGCTTACGTCCCGCCAATGATCGAGGATCTTCAGACATTCCGCAAAGAACGTGCGAATGGTCTCTATGGACCACTATCGTTTACTATTGCGAACTTCTTGATCGGACTACCGTTCCTGTTCCTCATCGCTTTATTGTTCTCGGTGGTCACTTACTGGCTATCGAATTTTCGGTCCAGCGCCGGTGGCTTCTTCTGGTATCTGCTTTGGCTCTTTCTGGACTTGCTGGCTGCTGAGGGACTGGTGGTGCTCGTCACATCCGTTGCGCCGATCTTTGTGGTGGCTTTGGCAGTCACCGCTTTCGCCAATGGCCTCTGGATGTCTGTGGGAGGCTTCCTGGTTGACCTGGGAAGTCTGAACGTTTTCTGGAAATACGTTTTCCACTACATTGACTACCAGGCCTATGTATTCCAGGGCATGATGTACGTATTCCTAGCAACCTGATTCGGCCGAGGGATCAGTCTCCCGGTCTGGGACTCCCCTTTACATATTCACGCTAACAGGTGCAACAGGGTCAATCAATTTCGAGACACCACTTATACTTGTGCTAGAGTTGACGGAAAGGCACAGTGCATGTACTTGAGCGACCTGGCTGCGAAAGGGAAGATCAGAGGGACGGCCGTACTTGACGCGTACCACTATGCTCACGATGATAAGCATATTGGGAAATGGGTTGGTATTCTGATCAGCATTATCGTGGTGTATAGGCTGCTTGGGTATCTTGTGCTGCGTATACAGAAGAGTTAGGCGCACGCGTGGACGAGTTCTCAAACACATAGCTGTCGTTATTGGGATAAGTGATCGCTTGAAGACTTGACTGTGGCCGGAGCTCTGGCTCGTCACCTTTCCGTCGAGAGTTGATGGAATCATGGGTGAGGTACGATTGTCATAACGATGTTTTCATGTACCAGCATCCTTGTGAATTCTCATCAGCTGCGTCCTGCACAAAGGCTCTTCAACTCAGGCAGTGAATAGTCCCAATGACCAACCAACCGGAGAAAGACCGTTTTGCCTTATCTAGCGCACTCTCCACAGTGACGCCAGTGGGGCTTTCTCAATTGCGCGACCGAAGTCGGATTTCTCGTGGCAATTATTAATGCGGCGACCGCGATTGCACTGACAATGCTCGTGTGCGCATCTTAGACCTTGGACGCTCTCCTCAGATTGAGAACCTGTTCACGAACGGCCTAATGTGAGCCAGATTCTCGACAACCACACCACCCCGCGATATGAGCGCGATCCTGTCCTCGGACGACCTGAACGACTTCATATCGCCTGGCGTCGCGTGTATTAAGCCTGTTGAGACTCTACCGAAGCAAGAAGACTACAATCCGTACGAAGTCACAACCGAAGACAAAGTGCAAGCGCAGAATCCTGCGCCGGCCTCGATCTCACTGACAGACTGCCTGGCTTGCTCGGGCTGTGTAACTTCTGCTGAGGCTGTTCTTGTCTCCTTGCAGTCGCATACCGAAGTGCTGAACACACTCGATACGCACCCGGCACTCAAGCTAGATGCCTTATCACCGTCCATCAATGGTCACACTACAGCCGACAATGCGCCTGGCCCACAGGCAAAACTTTTCGTGGCAAGCGTAAGCCCACAGGTACGGGCGAGCATTGCGGCGACCTATGGCATATCCGAGAAGCGGGCGGGCTATATGATTGAACAGTTTTTGAGCGGATCACAGGGCCTGCGGATAGGTGGGCAACACAACAGCGGTTTTCAGTATGTGATAGATACAAATCGAATGCGGGAGGCATGCCTAATTTTGGGCGCTGAAGAGGTGGATCAAGCCATGGTCGACGACGACAAGAAGAAGCCGCTCCTCACATCTGCCTGCCCAGGCTGGATATGCTACGCTGAGAAGACACATCCGCATGTCCTCCCGCATCTTTCGGGGCTCAAGTCGCCGCAGGCTTTGTCCGGAGTACTGCTAAAGTCGGTTCTGAGCAAGGATTTTGGCATTCAACCATCGCAGATCTGGCATTTGGCTATTATGCCGTGCTTTGACAAGAAGCTGGAAGCTAGCCGAGAAGAATTGACGAACAAATGGTGGGACGGCTCAACACCTGGGGACGCAATTAGAGATGTGGACTGTGTCATCACGTCTCGTGAGCTCTTGTCGCTGGCAAATGCTCGTGGTATCGTACTATCACAACTACCTTTACGACCAGTACCTGCGGCTCATCGACCAATTTTCCCTGATGCTCGCCTCTCGCGTTTCCTGTTTTCTCCCCCAAGCAGAAGGACCACGATGCAATCCAATCCAGAAGCAGGCACCTCTGGCGGCTACTTACACCACGTCCTACTCACACACCAAACACGACATCCTGGGAGCAGAATCCAAACTCAGCGTGGCCGTAATGCAGATGTGATAGAGTATCAGCTCCTGGACGCCTCCGACCAGATCATTCTCAAATGCGCTCGCTATTACGGCTTCCGCAACATACAGAATCTCGTCCGCAAGCTCAAGCCTGCCCGCCAGTCGAAGCTTCCTGGCGCTGCTGTCAGACGTGCTGCTCCGAAGGATACTGGAAATGATTTAGCCTACGTCGAAGTCATGGCATGTCCGGGTGGCTGTACGAACGGCGGTGGCAGATCAAGATTGACGACGTCAAGGATATTCTGCCTGAGACGAGAGCAGAAGAGCTTGTCACTCCAGCGAGCAACCCTGGAGCACAGAAGGAGTGGCAGAAGAGAGTCGATGAGGCGTACTTCTCCATGTCGGATGATTCTGGTGATGAAGAAGACTGTGATCTCTTGGCGGATGGCGATGACGATGTACAGATGAGCAACGGTGATCACGCGACCGGCAAGCCTGATGAGGAGGTGGTCAATGGCGTTAACGTAACGCAAGTCAAAGACATGCTTCGGCACTGGTCGACTCTCGTGGGAGTGCCATTGCAAACACTTGCATACACTACATACAGGAAAGTGGAAAGCGACGTGGGCAAGAAGAAGGCTAAGACGATGGGCGACACAGAGAGGATCGCTGCCATCGCTGGGCTGAGTGGAGGAGGCTGGTAGGTCGTGTCATATGAACAAGCATTAGATCGGCGTTTGACATTATGGCTGCGTTTTGCGAGATCATTGCATTGGATACGGAACAAATCAAGTGTGGGATGCATCATTGTGGATGAGTGGAATCTATATCATTAATTTCGTGTATCCCAGGCCTGCTATGCATGCTGACATCGCTGTGACTTTTGGTCGAAAACACCGTTCCACGATCAACCCCATCTCTTAGGTACTATCACACGGCCCATTCGCCGACTCCAACATAACAGCATTCGACGCACGCGTGCGTTACCGCCCTCCTCCCTCCTCTTCCCGTCTTCTCCTCCATCTCTCAAACTCATCCTGCCAACTCCTGCTCCCATCTCCACTGATCACTCCGTCCAAACCTTCACACCGCCCCCTTACAACACCCCAACTCCTTTCCCTTACGATGCGCTCCACCCCCTCCTCGTTCCTCAACACGCCGGCCAGCGCCTCCGTTCTTGCCTCCTTAGGGAAGAACCGCCCGCTGTACGGATCCAGCCTTTCGTCCACCACTCTTTCCTGACCACGCCGATTAAATACCTCTCTTTCCACTGCCTCGGGATCGTCTGGGTCCGGAGAGGTAGCGACGCTGGCGCAGTATGTGAGGACTTGGGAGCGGGCGTGCCAGGACGGGAAGAGGACTCGATGGAGGTAAGTCGTGCAGAGGGGGTCGGGGAGGGTGTGTGGTGTTGGGCCTGTGCGGATCGTGGTGGTTGGTGATCCGGACGGGTGAGAGGGTGTGAGCAGATTATTGAGAGAGTTGTTTATTGGATCGTCGATTAACGAGCGGGAGGAGCGTAGGAACTGCCGGAGGGCGGAAGGGTGGAAGCAGAAGGCGGGCGTGAGGTTCGGTGGTGGGTGTGTCGGTTCGGACATAGTGAGTTGCGGGCGGGCTCGATGGTGTGGCTTACGGGCTGGTGAGGCCGTGGATGCCGAGGACGAGGGCGGTGACGATGTTATCGTCGAGACGGTCCAGAACCAAGCCAGCTTGTCGGTGGTCGTACGTTATCTCTGGTACATGAGGGTGGTGTTGGATGTAATGCGATTTGCCTCGATTTCGGCTCTCAGCCTGACTCCTTGGGACTGTTCTGGGGTTTACGTGTACCTGGTATACTGTAGTGTGAGTGGCAAGAGTCTGTTCCTGTTCCTGTTCCTTTGCAACTGAATGAGGCTTCGATAGTCGCAGTATAGGTCATGGAGTGAAGGACGATGTGCAGGCGACCTCGAGCATCTTTAGCTGGTGACGTCGGTAGATATGATTGGGCGGCGCGTTCAGGTATTGACGCGTTTTGGGACAAATTGGTTTCGATCTCGGCATTGACTCAGTCACTGCACAGCTACTGCCATTTGTTCTGCTGACTTATGCCTTTCATCCTTTGGCAACGACTTCCAGGCAATCGTTGTAGCGGCATGACTATGTAAACTGCACTTGCCACCGCCACAGCTACAGCAATCGATCTATCACTCTCACCTTGAGTCTGCTTGGCTCTGTGTAAGACTATTGGCCTTGGAGATCGGGAACACAGCTCCCACTACGACTTCTAGACCTGCGAGTATTGACCGCAACAATGCCCGAAATAGCTGAAATCGCCCGGGCAGTCCACTTCATCCGCAAGAACCTTGTCGGCAAGACCATAGCAGCATGCACAGCACTTGACGACAAAAATGTATTCGACAGCAAATACGACACGACTGGAGAACAGTTCCAAAAGCACATGATCGGCAACACAGTCAAAGATGCCGGGCAGCAAGGGAAGTACTTCTGGCTGGTGATGGCGAAAGCACCTCACCCGGTCTTGCACTTTGGCATGAACGGATGGCTGAAGTTCAAGAACGAGCACTCATACTACTACCGAGCCAAGCCTGGTGAAGAAGTCGAGGAATGGCCACCGAAGTACTGGAAGTTTCATCTGGAGACGAAAGCTGGCAAGGGCGAGGAGAAGATTGAGGCGGCCTTTGTTGATTCGAGACGGTTTGCGCGCATCAAGCTGGTCGATTGTCCTGGCGACAAGATCAGAGAGCACTCTCCGCTGAAAGAGAACGGGCCAGATCCTGTTGTTGATGCCGATAAGGTTACCGTAGAATGGCTGAAGGAGAAGTGCGCCAGCAAGAAGGTGCCCATCAAAGCCATGCTGCTTGACCAGGCAAACATCAGCGGGATTGGTAATTGGGTTGGGGACGAGATCATGTATAATGCCAAAATGCATCCAGAGCAGTATGCCTCCCACACGGCACTTCGAGGTCACTGTCGGACGAAGCTGAAAATTGAACAGATATGCAAACACGCTCAACGACGATCAGATTGTACAGCTTCACAAGAGCATCCACTACATCTGCAAAACAGCTTGTGATCTCCTAGCAGAGTCGGAAAAGTTTCCCGAGGACTGGCTGTTCAAACATCGCTGGGGCAAGGGAAAGAAAGATGCTTCGAAGACGCTGCCGAACGGAGAGAAGATCATGTTCCTGACTGTTGGTGGCCGGACGTCTGCAGTCATTCCCAGCGTTCAGAAGAAGACCGGACCCGTGGCGAAAGAGATGAGTGAAGCTGAAGCTGCTGATGAGGAGAAAGGACCGAAGCTCAAGGCAAAGACACCAGCTAAGGAGAAGACGCCGAAGGGTAAAGCAGCGAAGGACGATGCGGTCAATGGCGAGGGTACACCGACTGTCAATGGGAAGAAGCGGAAGGTCAAGCAGGAGGAAGAGGAGCCAGATGAAGCAGATGTACCAAAAGCAAAGAAGAAGGCAACCAACGGCTCTAAAAAAGATGTCACGGAGAGCGTAAAAGAAGAGGACTCAGGGGGAAGGCGAAGGTCTGGTCGGCTTCAAAAAGCGTAGGGACGCTTTTCGACTTCGAGGCCCGCGAACGTGTTGTGAAATGGCTGGAAGAGATCTAGATTGACTTGTAAGAATAGCAGTGATACCCGCCGTGACGCAAGCCCGATAGTATGGCTTTGCTTCCAGCACGATTATAGCTACAGCTGGAGGCATCGACTTCACAAGTGTTAGCAGACCAGCAGGCTATAAGCCGTAAATCGGCTGCTCTCATGTCGAAGTTCTGAATGCTTCGTATTCTGCGGATATGCATTGCTTGTAGCCAATGGAGTTACCCGGACAATCCTATCAATCTTCCCCAATCAAGCAATCTTCAAGAAGGCAGTATAATGCTTACCTATCCTTCCTACATGTATCGTCAATCACAATTGGCATAAGCACGATCGGAAACAGCACAACGGTCCAAAAGTCGATCACAGCCACAACAGCAAAGCCCTTGTCACCGCATGTGGACGCGGAACCTGCGAGTAATGGCTTCTCCCAAACCCGTGAAGATTCTGATGCTACATGGCTACACGCAGAACGGATCACTCTTCCGCGCGAAGACACGCGTGCTTGAGAAACGCTTACAGAAAGCACTCCCGTCAGTCAGTCTCACATACCCGACAGGGCAGATACAACTGAAGCCAAGTGATGTGCCTGGGTTTGACGGCAACCCTACGGAGTCTACAGAGGCTTACGGGTGGTGGAGGAGACGAGATGATTCGGACCCGCCAGAGTACGTCGGCATCGAAGATGCCTTTGAGAGGTGGCCAAGGTTATGAAGGCGGAAGGACCTTTCGACGGAGTCATTGGATTCTCGCAAGGAGCATGCTTTGCTGCCGTTGTCGCATCATTACTGGACGGTGATACGAGACGGAAAGCATTTGAGGAGGCACGATCGCGATCAAAGCATGCCATCGCTTATCCAAAATCATTTGAAGATCTCGATCATCCCCCTCTGAAGTTCGGCATCGTCTACTCGGGCTTCATACCCCCAGGCGAGCGCTATGAGGCTCTCTACAACCCTCCAATTCACACGCCTCTTTGCCACTTCATCGGAAGTCTCGACAGTGTTGTGGAGGAAGCACGCACACAAAAGCTAGTGGACGCTGCTGGTGGAAACGACAAGACTCAAGTTATCGTTCATCCAGGTGGACACTTCGTGCCAACAAGCAAGCAATACCTGGACATCGCAGCAGGATTCGTGGAGCAAGCAATGAGGCCTAAGCCAGAGGTCAACGGCAACAAGGAAGAAAGCGCCGAAGACATGGATGTCCCGTTCTGACTCTCTAGAGATGACTCACTGATACCACCTAGATTATAGCATAGATGTACGGGATAGACCAGATTCATAAAATCAATGGAGTCACAGCAGAACACCTGCGATGCTTCTAGCCGAAGAGTTCGAGTCATTTAAGCTCGGCACGTGACAGAGTCGTGATTGTAAGAGGTTTAGCGCGTCTGCCTTTCCGCCAAGATCGAAAATCGTTGCTTCCACACCGTAAAGCCTCTCAAGACTGCGCATCTTCCTCTTTCCACGACCACAACCGCACTCGAGTTCGCTCCTTTCATCACCTCCCACCCGCGAAGACCTACGAACGAACACTACAAACACATTCAGCCAATTTTTCGATAGTCCAACACCGTCAAAATGGTATGTCGACCTCGCGAAAAAACGATGATGCTTGAAATTCCCCTCATCTCGAATGGGTGGCGGATCACGCACACGACCACCTCGAAGCATCAAAACATGTACAACACATCAAAATAGGATCTGACAAGTTGTTCATAGGTTCTCGCCGTCGATCTTCTCAACCCTACACCCCAGGCGGAGGCCCGCAAGCACAAGCTCAAGACCCTGGTGCCCGCTCCTCGGTCATTCTTCATGGACGTCAAGTGCCCAGGTATATACCATTCTTCACTCTTCCACAACACATGTATGCTGACCACAACAGGTTGCTTCACAATTACCACCGTCTACTCGCACGCACAGACTGTCGTTGTATGCGCTGGCTGCAGCACGGTGCTGTGCCAGCCCACCGGTGGCAAGGCCCGCTTGACCGAGGGCTGCTCATTCCGAAGAAAGTAGATGTCTCGCCCACACCCGTGGTGGTGAGATGAATGCATGATAGAAGATGGAGCCGACATTTTCGATACACCAATGGCGTTCCGGATATCTTGCAAAAGATGATGTGAAGCATATTAAAAGGGCGGTCACAAAAGATCAAAGCACTTCTTCGACATCGATTTGAGCACGATACCTCTTTCTGAGTTTTGAACACCACGAACGGCAAACAATGGAATTTATGGGAAAAGTCTCGTCCTGCATAGGGATGATGGAGGTAGAGGACATGCGGGTCGCTGCATATGAGCATTGCCTCAGAGAGATGAGATGAGGCTGATGTGAGGAATATGGGCAGGTCCTGTCGTGTCTCGAGGACATCTTCGACCTTGCACACCGAGGCTGGATACTAGGGAGTTATCAGCTGTGCAATTGTACAGATAGTACTGCGGAGTACTCGTCAATGCAATAAACCTTCAAAAGCCTCACCTTGACTGTCTACTGTGCTAGTGGCATTCGCGTCTGTGAGTCGGCTGAGCTTGCCTGTGCTCACACTAACTATCTTCTGCATGTCTGACAAACACCGAAGCAGTACTTATTTCCTGACAACACTGCATTCTAGTGATATATTTGATCACAGGACACAGATGTCGGACAGGTATCTTCTGCTCGTGCACAATGTTGCTCCGCCGACATTGGACACACGACCCGCTGAACTCGATTGAAGCATCACCAGTAGGTACCCACTAGACACGCGCCCAGAATGCTGCATTCATGTTGGCTGTGGCACCCAAAGTAATTCTTGTGGCAAGCCATGCCGTCGTATTGACCACTCTCCGATGCCAAGCACGAAGCGAGTCAATCACTGCGCAAAGGTGCCTTGCCGGCAGTTGCGAGCGCTGGTAGCCCAATACGACACCTTCTCTGACTACAACTGCCCAGTCAGCTAAGACCAAGTTTCTATCCGCCTCGAGCAGAGCAGTTTCAGCAGCCGCGCAGCTGTTTGTATGGCTACTTGAGCACAGCTGCCGACTCGAACAAATTTTCGGCAGAGTTGTGATCTGCATCCTATAGGCTCGGAGACCCTGACAAGCCTGAAGTACGCCACCAATGCTGCACCCCGGGCACGCCGCTTGGAGGCCTTCCCGGGCCTTGGGTATGTGGAATGTTTCACACTTGCAGGTTTTCTTGATCACGACAACAGTAGGTTCGAGAGCTTTTGTTGGTCATGATCTGCGCTTCCATTTACTCTGAGTGGTCGAGGCGGTTCTCGGGGTCTCGTTGGAGTGAAGTGCCGGCCTTGTTGACATGGATGGCGCCCTCGTTGTGGCTGTGATGGCGAGGCGCGCCCGTGCCTTTCATGTGGACGATTGCTGCCGTGTGGTCGCGGGTGGCGAGAGGTGAGTTGGAAAGTATATTGGTACGTGTGTGGTATTTTTGGGCCTCGAAAGCACTGCAAGCTTACCTGTAGAATACTGCTCGACACTGGACTAGATACGTTCGCTGCCGCCGACGAGCGCCGGCAGCCATGAGCGTCGGCGTCGGCGTCGCCAAGGCGGGCGCGCTTGCTATCATCAATGCCACGCCGTTCGACTGGAAGAGGATATACACGCATGACTACCAGATGGGATCGTGGGACTTGCCCGAGGAGATCAAGTCAGGCGATCTAGCGGGCGTTGAAATCGACTTCAGCATTCTGGGCCACAGAGAGGACTCTGCGGGTGAAGCTACATACAGCTTCAAGTCGGACACTGGCCATGAATCAGAATTGCAGTTCCAGGCGCGGTACGACGATGGACCTCAGATGTTCGTGGAGTTGACCAATGCTTCGACCTTTGGCAACCCGCCATCAGATCCTCCCATTGATATGGTGTATTCGTCGGACACCACGAATCCATTCATCTACTCGGGAGACCTTCGGGCGTCTTTCGCCTCGACGCATACACCATTCAATTGGCAAGCACAAAATCTACCGTCGATCGGGTGCCAACCTCTGACACGACTATGCCTACCTGCCTCCCATAACGCAGGCATGTCGGTGCTAGGAACGCACACAGCCCTCGCGAATGAAGCGAACACTCTGTGCCACAGCACAGACATATTCGGCCAGCTAGAGGCCGGCATTCGGTACTTCGACATCAGGCCTGCAATCTCAGACGGCGAGTTCGTTACAGGACACTACTCTGCCCTCTCGGCGGATAGCAAGCTCCCAATAGACCTACCTGGCTTCCTCGACCCAATCGACGACGCATTGAACTCCTTCCAGGGCGGTAACGGTCTTTCCATTTCAGACGTGATCAAGCAAGTCAACGCCTTCACCGCCAAGAACAGTGAGCTCATCATCCTCTCGGTCTCTCACACCCTCAACACCGACGACAAATACCAGCGCTTCACCCAAGACCAACTCAACGACCTACTCAAGCAGTTCGGCGACTTGAAACACCTCTGGCACGCTCCTGACAATGTCGCCGATCTAACCACGCTCACTCTCAACGACTTCATCAAGAAGGGCCCCGCAGTTCTCGTCGTCCTCGACAATGCCGCAACCGGCGAGTCAATGGCCTGTCCAGACGACCTGCACCGTAAGGGCTTCTACACCAACGACGACTTCCCAATCCTCAACCAATTCACCGACACAGGAAAGATCAACGACATGAGCGCGGACCAAGTCAAGAAGATGAGCGACTTCCAGGCTGGAAAGTCGTCCAAGAACAAAGGGCTTTTCGCTGCGAGTTGGACGCTCACGCCGGATGCATTGGGCGACATCAGGAAGCAGAGCGAGGAGGCGCACAGCAGGTTGGTTGGTGATCTGTGGCCGGTGGTTTCGGAGAAAGGTAAGGGAAAGGAAGGCGTGTATCCGAATCTGGTTATGGTTGATGGGGTTGGGTCGGGGAGAGGCAGTGCTATTAAGCAAGGAAATCTGGCGGCGTTCTGTATGGCAGTCAATGCTTGGGTCAATAAGGATTGCAGGTTGAAGAAATAGGTCAGGCTGACTATGGGATGAGTTGGTTCTGGTATTTTGGATTGGATATACAATAGTACGAGATACCCCAACATGCAATGTAATTGTTCTTCAGTCGCAGTTGATCATGCCAGTAGGCCTCCGATTCATTTTCCTAAGTATGGACGTCAACTTCGATATGATCGACTTCCTCTCACAAGATTGTAAGATGCGAAAACTTCGGAATAGCTCTGGAGATAAGTGCTGCTCAGCAAGCCCCTATAACGACCGCCCGAAGCCGTATGACGGGCCACCCCGCGACGTGGTGGGGTTCCGATGACATCAAACCTTCCGTCTCACTGAACGTTCCAACAATTCAAGGTTCTTCCGAGTCACTCAACCAACCACTCTCAGTACCATAGACACCCAGACCTTTATACGAACGTTTTCGACCACGAACCTGACTCACCACATCCGAAATCACTCAATCACCACCCCACAGATATGACGGGCGCCCAATTCCAAGAGGCAGTCAAAGCCTCCCGCCAACTCAAGGCGAAGCCATCCAACGACGAGCTGCTCGAGGTACGTAACCATACATACGCCTTACCTGCAAGCCATCCGCTTCAAAGGCTTCCGTTCGACAGGAAGCTGAGCAACAAGTGAGGGAAAGCGCACGATCGGACTGCCGTCTTGACGACACTGGACGCAGTGTACCACATGCGCCCTCTCTTTCCCCGTTCTGCTCTGGACAAGCAGGATTAATCCCAAACGAAGAAGACGGAAGGACAGACCAACAGATTGCAGAGCATTGGCTGACCACGTGTTGTCACTACACAGCTGTACGCCCTCTTCAAAGTCGCCAACGGCGAGGACATCTCCAAGTCCACCGCACCCGGCATGTTCGATCTGAGTACGTTACACCCCTCCACTCACACCTCTCCTCCATCCCTCACCGGCAACAAGCCCACTGACACCAGAGCAGAGGGCAAAGCCAAGCAAAAGGCCTGGCAAAAGGAAGTCGACGCCAAAACCACACCCGCCGACGCCGAGAAGCGCTACGTGGCTCTGGTAGAGCAGCTGAAGAAAACGCACGGGTATGATCCGAGCAAGCCGGCGGAGGCTGTCGGTGGTTCTTGAGGGTGTAGAGCGAGCAGGCCGGCTGTGGGCAATGCAGAGGCACACATACATACGAGTAGGTCCCCAGGTGATCCGGGGGACCTTCGCCATTGAAGTGGGACATACGCTGGCCCACTCCCGGCTGGAGCTGTGGCCCGGGGCCGCCTGTGCGGCGCAGAGAGAAGCAATTCGAGGACATTCAATATGGAAGTTTGGATTGCCAGACATATAAGCTGGAGTGAAAGAACCTCTCGTCAACCACCAGTCCGCCAGCTTTTCTGGTTCATGGTCACCTCGATCTCGCTCAGATTCTCGTGCTATACAGTCATGCACTTCTAAAGTCTCGTCTGCATGACCCATGCGTGTATTGAAGCTGTTCTCATGTCATATTTAATCCGACTCCTTGCTGGACGCTACGTTCGCGGCTACATGAGTCTAACGCACGACCCAGCACTGTCAAGAGTATGTGCTGTTGGCACCCTGTGCCCTGTGCATGGATCTACTTCTCCCTAACTTTTGCTTCAGCGATCAATATATGCAGTTTCAGAGCTCTATTGGTGGCTGAGACATCTACTAGAGCTACTCCTTATCTGCGAGTTTCGTTGTAGCTGCATTTTGCACTGTTTTGAACCCTCTCGGTGTCGATGCTGTACCGATCCTTTGATTCTTCGGAATGCATTGAGCCATCGCAAGTCACGGCGATCTCTCAAAGACGAGGAATTCACCTTCAACATGATACTGCCAGTCCCAGCCAACAGCTTCCTTGGCGTTGCTCTTCTGCGGTAAAGTGCAAAAGTGGACGCAATGTTGGGCTGTGCATGCCGCCGCAGGCACCTTGAGACTGCGAAGAGACATCCATTGCTTCGATTCCTGCGGAAAGTGCAGATAGGTAAAACCTGTATGCACGAACATGTGAACCATAGCGAGCGCGACCTGATCGAGACAAAAGACCGAGCAAAATTGCGCCCCAATAGGCTCGGCAACGATCTGACTCTCCATGAGGATTTGTCGATTGACTGGCAAACCTCTGCCTTTAGTCAAATGGACATAGGCGATTCTCATGTTTGCTATGCCGATGGTCTTATATTGACGCCGAGCCTCTTCGTGCCACTTCAGACCTGCCAAGCAGCAGTCCAGTTTTGGAAGGTTGGCAGCCTTCCAGATCGAGCTCCTGATCTCGAAAGGCATTTGCATGAGACGGCTCTGGCCTATCTGAAATTGTGCTCTTCTGTAAGCCGGTGAGCGACCGGGGTGCTCTTTGAGCGAAGATGCTATGTCTGTCATCTTGTTGAGCGCTGTCAGGATTGACGAATCTTCTGATCTCGCCGTGAATTTTGACACGAAGTCGATGAGCATATTGCGCAGCAGCAAACGGTCTCGGCCCCATGCCTGCTCGGGATAGCCGGGCTCATCCATGGCACTGACTTCTGAGGAGCGGAAGAGAGCGCCCGACAACTTGAACTCGATGGACACAGAATCGTCAATCTTTTGCTTCTTGATGGATGAACCTGGCAGCGTCTCTTCCTGTAGTCCGCGTGGCGCCTCCTTGGACTGTATATCGTTGCCATTTCTCTTCGAAAGACCCTGAGGTGGCTTGGACATTATTCCCGGCTGTCCCTCTTCGCTCTCATCAACGACGATGGGTTCGACGGTGATGCCAGTGTCATCGTCGTCCCCTGGCCACTTCCTCTTAAGCGCGGGCATGATGGCTGATCTGGTGATGTCGATCTGGAGGGCGCTGGAAGTGCTCAGTATACTTCGCATCTGACGACGCAGCTTGTTGCACGAACCTAGATAGGGCCGAAGTTCATCGATGCTTGATGGTAATAACAGCCGATGCTTCTGCACACTGTTGGCGAGGACGATGGTGGGGGTGAGGTGATGAGGGTGAGGTGTTGGAGATGTGAGGTAGCTGTCATGCCGGGATCGAGAAGGGACCTTCCAGGAAATCGACGACTGGAAGGCACGCGTGGGACGCGTCTTGGTGGTGAATGCACTCCCAGAAACCTTTCTATCGGCAACTGCTGCCATTCACTGCCGTTACCAAGATTTCGTTCCACTTTAAGTATGAGCCGACCAGAGCGGGCGGGCTTCATCGAGACAGGAGATCTGCTCCATTACTTTTCTCACCGCTTCCACAATGACTTTCCCTTCATGCTCGACTCGATCGTCCGCCACAAGTCTTCTACAACCTCCCTGTCCTTCCATCGTCGTGCCACTCTAGTATCGTGATCTACTACACCATGCGTTTTCTCATCCCATCGATCTACCAGGAAAGTCTTCACGTTGCTGCCCCAGCTCTTGACATCGCTTGGCACTGGCAACCCTCTCTCCCCCACGTAGATACCTAGCACGTGTGAGAATAGCTCTTGTGGCTCCCTCCACTTGTAACCTCTGAACTGCCACGTCTGGCCTGTCGTAAACACCGCTACCACACGCTCCCAGTATTCGGTCTTGAACTGATCCGGCGAGTCCACTAAGATGAACCGGAATGGCTTCTCACTGATCTGCTTCAGCGGTCTCGTCAGGTGTAGGAGGTTAGCCGCGCCCTGGTTCGCCAGCTCTGGGTGCGAAAACGGCACGAACAGGCCTGTGTCGAGGAAGGTCTTGATGTTGGACATGCGCAGCAGCGAAGACGCCGAAGGCGAAAGCATGATGATGGGATCGACTCGTTTCGCGGACACGGCACCCTTGTTGGGCATGCCCGGCGGTATTGACCTCGTGGGCAATTGTCCAGACTTTGGATCTTTGCTTTTCTTCGGCATGAATAGGTCTCGATATTTTCGCACATGTGAGAAATCCTAGACATGCGGTCAGCTCATCCATGTTTCATTCTAGGCGCGGAGGGACAACCTACCGTCGGCTTGATGCCTCTCAGGATCGTGTTTCGGTCGCCCATCTTCCGCTCCCCATTGTAGATTGCCTGTAACCGTGCATCAATCACCTTGACAGGGCGGCCGTTGATCGAGGTCTGCGTTACTGCTGCGCCGGTGCCTGCAACAACGGGAACAGTGCCAGATGCGGCTGCACTGTCCGCGGTAATCTCAAGTGGCTTTACCAGGTCTGAACTCTCTGATCCCTCGAGCCAGGAGACCAGCTCAATTCTTTCCACGAAGCTCAACTGTCGTGCTTGCTTGTCTGCCGGGAGTTTGGCGTTGAGATCGGTGAATTTGGCGAGGTAGTCCGGAATGTTGAGTTCTCTGTGCACCCATGCCAGGTACACGCTGCGGAGGTCGACTTCGTCGCCTTCTAGCACGAAGCGTGTCTTTGAGTCTAGGCTTATGCATAGTGGTGTAGGCTTTGGCAGGTAGAGGTGTGTCGCTTCGTGTAGTTCGGTGCGTTGTGCTTCGGCGTCTGCAGGCTCGGATGAGGTGGTAGGGAAGGGCTCGACTTTGGACGCATCTTTGTCGCCAGGCAATGACGCCCGGAACAGACCGAGGGCGTCCATACTGAGCAATTTATGTGGTGCGATCGCCTGGCATCCGTTCACGGAAAGACCTGCTCGGAGGGTGTGAAGATTGTTTGTATGCTCCAACTTTCTATAGCAGGCATGGAGACTAGCCGCGACTTTACTATTTGAGCCTAGGCGGAACTCGTCTGGCGACTTCACTTCAAACTCCCGCATCATCCAAACGCGCCGGTTTTGTCCATCGATATTCATGACCGTGACCGTGACCGTGACCGTGCCCTAGCCATTGTAAGGCCTCAAGTTCCAGAGTATATCACAGCGATCAGCAATGTTCAGAGCAAAAGACTTGCGGCTCTCGTGGTAAGGAACCTGAGGCTCTCATTGCACTTAGTATGTACACTATACAGGTATAGGTTCTTCTTCTTCTTCTCTTCTCTCTGGTTTTCTTCGCAGAAAACATCTATGCTTCCACATCGCTTGTTTCCTGCGTCAGGGTATCAATCCAATGCAACTACGTCAAAACGATCGAGGGATGTCAATCGGACATTTATCGCCGCCAACATACACTCAAAGGTACTGCTCCGTCGCCATGCAATGCTAGATCGTGTGATGAATATGACTGCTCCTATCCGTGTATGCATATAGATGATCAAGTGGTACTTATGGTGTGAAAAGGATCGCGCAAGGCTGGAAAGGTGTCGAGTGGTGGCATGAAAAGCTGACCACTTCGTGTGCGTCCGCTGCCTGGGGCGTTATGCTAGGATTGTGATTCAATGTTGTCGAGATGTGTTAGACCGACTAAGTGCTGTTCTCTCGGGGCCAGGTGAGAAGGCCCTGTTGCTTGCAGCGAGATCAAAATCGTGTTCGCGCAAGACTGTTGCGTAGGATGGATTGCGGATGAATTTTGGAACAGAGTCCTAAAAATAGTCAGCGACTGGCACACATGAACGTCCTCAAAACAACTCACACTAGCCATCAGCTTGAACACCGAAGACTTGGCCTGCTCAAAGAGGTCTACAACCTCGTCAAGACTGCTTCTCATCGAATCTTCGTCGGCATCGGTCCTGATCATTCGACTGTCAAGCCTATTGCGCAGCGAATGGTCGATGTTGAGCTCTGAAGGTGCACCAGATGCGAGATAGGAGTTGTAGAGACCTACGAAATCGTTAGCTATAATCACTCGAGCATTCTGTGGAGGCTCACCATAGGCTGCTGCCAGAGTCTCCCGAACAGCATCGGGCTTGTCGAGACGACCAGTCTTGTCCAGCTGCCGGTAGCTTGCGATGAACTCATCTACCTCAACATAGAAGTGGAGATTCTCTTCGCAGAGCGATTGGCGAAGAAACTCCTTGAACAAGAGTCGAAGAGCTGCGTCCTGCAAGATAACATGCAACCGACTCATGTTCGAGTCCTTTGGCATGGTCTTCCTGTCCTTGCTTTCGCGGTCCCTGCTTTCTTCACTGCTGACGCTGGGTCTGCTTCCTATCCAACCACATAGCCTTTGACCTTTCTCGGTGACGGAGTAGACTGCATACTTGGTAGGCTGGAAATAGGTTGCCATAGGGTTGAGCCGCGTGTAATTACGATCTTCGATTACCGGCGCAATAAGCTGGAATCGGACAAAAGATTCGGCCATTTCGTATGTTTCTCTCCTGTCAATTGTCGTACAACAATCCAAGAGCCAATCTGAGGCTGCTTTGCCGGTGAACGAGTTCTGTACAGTCTTGTCGAGAATTCTACGCTCGCGCGCCATCTTGACGCCCACAAGGCCAGTCGAATATTCCGAGATCGAATCTGAGTCTGCTAGAGAAGTGGTGCTCTTTAGATTTGGCCCCTCTTGGCCAACAAATCGTCGAAAAATGATCTCGACCATGGCTTTGTCCTGATTCAATTTATCGGTCTCAGGATCTCGTTCCAGAGCCACGAGATGCATTTGCTGTTTCTTGATCAAATGTTCAATGTGCCGGGCTACTATGCCGTTGCGAACACAGAATCGTTGCAAAATGGCGGTCCCCTTGGCTGTCAGCTGCCAGACCGCTCCTTTCGTGATGAACGTCGTCTGACTTTTCGATTCCGCCGATTCTATCAACCTCGCATCGACAAATCTTTGGCAAACCGATCTTGCCATTTCTTTCGCCATGGAGAATGTGGTAGTGGTCGTTGTTACAACCCATCTCGACGGATTCTTGGGGTCCGGTATGCGGTTCGATTGGGAGAATTTGAGCGAGCCCAAGTTCGTTATGGCTTCCTCAGACAAGAATGTGTCGTCGATTCTGGAGAAGCGAACTCGATGGGGCGTCAATGGCAGACTTGTGATAAGTGTAGAGAATAGATCCTTGAAGTCTTTTGTGAATGGCCGATCATCATCTGTCATGCGTAATATCTTTGACGATGTCTGGTGCATGCGCCCATGGTTTCGCTCATTTGTAGACATGGGTGCAGTGGGAACTCCGCTCCTCCTTTGCGACGCCAGCGCTGATGTGGTAGTCTCTGGGGGTGATGATGGCAATCGAGATATGCTCGGTCGGGAGGTAGGTGCGGAGTTGGCTTGGACAGCAAGACTGCCGGTCGAGGTGGCTGATCTGAGAGACGGACTAGAAGTTGAGCTGATACCGGTCAGGCTTGCGAACGCAGTCGAAGTGCGTTCGCGAGCGAGAGATGCCAGAGACCGCCGACTTCGACTCTGAGATATGCTGCCACTGGAAGAGTGGCTGACTAGGTGAGATCGCGGGGAGTCCGTAGTATTGGAGGTGGCAGTAGTATTCGAGGGTGGTGGTGGTGGTGGTTGAAGGGTGGCGACCAGTTGGCTCATAGAATCGAGGGCAGACGTAGTTTGAGCGGCAGGATCTGGCATGAGGAGTCGTACATGTAGGGACAGACGTAGAGTGGCATCCGGAGCGTAAGAGCCTTTCTTTAGCTAGGGTTGCTGGAGTTGGCACTCTAAGTTTGATGGGATTTGCAGACTGAGATCCAGTGAGAGGACGGCAAAGGTCTGCAGAATGGCAGTCTCTGTTTCAGTGCAGGAGTCCGGGAAGATGAGAGCGGTGGGCCTTTTACTGCTGATGAGCAGAGCAGCGCGAAAGGGCCGGGAAGCGAGACGACACGGAGGCAATTGATGAATCGTAATGGATCGTGGGAGGCGGCCACACGTGGAAGATGAACGGGGGTGGCCCTGTCAAGGATCATGGGTGCTGCATGGGTGAGAAATTTCGAGAAGTTCCCCGCTTTCGGAGCCAACGACACAACAAGTTTAGGACGCGCTGACCAGCGAGTAGGGCGGTTTAGTGCCTTCTATATTGCCTGTGAGGGTTTGACAGAGAACGGCTGAAAGGCTTCAAGTATAGGGGGTGCGGTGAAGGAACCTTAATACTCGTTTTTTGAGGGCGCGAATGTAGCGTATTCGCCATGCAAGTGCGCCTGCTTCAGGCGTCACCTTAAGCGTCTTCAAGGTGCTCAGGCTTCACTGCCAGCAGCAGCGGCTGCTCCTGCAGGCACGATTTGACATTGCATAGCGACTTCTCGTACCCTTTAGCCAGATCGACATTGACTGGACGCTAGAAATCGATTCGATCATGCCCCTGCAAGGAACTACGATGCGAGCTGATCTTTGACAACGTGGGAAGTCGTCAGGACGGCGGCACATCCGGAAACGACCATGAAGCTGGAGATCGTCGTGGAGATACGAAAGTTTCAGTGCTTTTCGTTCCTCGAATGCACATCAGGCAGCAGATGTTCGTCCCAGAATCACTAATGCAGTCTCCAGCACTGAACAGCGAGTCAGCGATATTTTGAGACAACGCCGTAACACATAGCCCGCAGAGAAGCGAAGCATGCATGCAATCCATATGCAGGCTACAGCGTCTCTGGCCACGAGGGCAACAGGGATTGAGGAACGTGGTGAGTAACCTGAGAGCCGCAACAAATAATTTGCGGCACTGCGACAGGCCAAAAAAATCCCCGAGGCTGCGCGTCTCTCTAGAGGTATCAACCACACCATGAAAGTAGCGCTGAGTTCTTCGCATAGTAGGAGCCAACTATACCAACATCAAACGCCTAGGACACTGTGTAGGTTTGAAACTCCCAGCGCTGGTCCCCCTGTACCTAGCCATTGACCGTCGCCAAGCCTAGCTGACCACGTCAATTGTGTACACCGTCGTAGTCTGTGCCCAGGTGCCTAACACAGCGTTTTGCTGTCAATCCATGGATGTTGCGCTCACCTCCGGCTGCAGAAATTCGATTCTCCATTACCTAGGTATCTTCTCCGCTTGTCGAGAGGCCTAAACATCCAGTGTGGTGAGGTATCACACCACTCATGCTTAACTTGAAGTGCTTTCGGCAGTTCACCAATTCCAACTGCCAACGAGTCCACGAGATATTCAATTTCGAACACTTACGACGTCGCTGGCCGTAAGCTGGCTTCCATATAGCTTCACCAATGAGGTTCTTATCACATATCATGATGTGCTCGGCGTATACGGAGTACCACGGAGATCACTCGTGGCGGAGTCGACGACTCGTGCTATCGAACACATCAGTGGAGTCATACCCGAGCATGGTTGACATCAGAGTACTGTAAAATCCACGGATGCTGTGCTCAATTCAGATGGTCAAGACTCTGAAAAGGCGTGATTGTTGCTCAGCTGACCGGCCACGAATCGCATTGGTCTCACGAGGTCAGCAGGATGATTGCAACCGGCTAATAGATACTGTAGAGCTACGCTTTCGTCAGTGTTCACAACGGTGGACCTGTTCGTCGAGGTCGAGCGACCCATACACGGAGTCCGCTACGACGACTTGATGATTCGAAGCTGTCGATCCTGCGCAAGAAATTCCGAACATTCGACGACGGCACATCATCTGCCGGGCACGAGGGACAGCTACGATTATGCTTTCGCAGCCCTGGAGCTTCGCTATTCCGGGCAGCCGTCACCGGCCATTCTCCGAGCAATGAATGGACGGTACTGGATAAGTACGGCGCCAACCTCGGTGTGCAGCTTTCGCCAATCGTGCGTGTTAGCGGTCGCTCGATTCACAACGATATCTGGTTGAGCGTTCAGCATTTGTGAGGGACCAAGCTTGATGTGAAGCATTCTTGCGGAAAGAAGAGCCAGCTCAACTACCGGGCTTGCGGTAGGAAAACGTACCTAATCACAAATCCAAATCGAGCAGACCTTGCAGATGAAACATACTAAGCACCTCAGATGGGCTCCATAGGTCTCAATCAGAACAATCGGTGGCGGCATGGGTCAGTGACAGTAGTGTTTGCTAATGGCTCAATAATATTCCCATTCTGCGAGCGGGCTTGATTACCACGTGGGCGCCCAGAAGTCAAACGTGGCTCCAGCCCCTGAAGACATGCGACATCTCACGGTTCGCGACTGTCGCTTGTAACCTTCGAGAAAACTTCCACAGGTTTTCCAATTTCGTTTCACCCACCAGCAGTCATCACGACTGACAAGCGCTACGTTACGTCCTGCCCCAGCGGGTCATCGATGGACATTAATCATAAGTGCTGAAGGTTCAGGAATTTATGCTCGCGATCAAGCGTGCCAACACGGCATGGCTTGATCTTTGATCTGAGGCCCCCAGTCGTCTCGGAGTGGGATGGACACCTGCAGGCTGCGTCTGGGGCGACGCCTTGTGCTCGAGCTTGTCGCGCATGTCCGCGGTAGGCAATAATATCACTGGCAGCTCATGACAAGGGAAGCCAACAAATTGTCGTAGCACGGGATCCCGTGCCATCGGTACCCCAGACTTCTACTGCACACACATGTTGCGATCACCCATATCAGCCTAGCATGTCAGACATCGGAGTTCTGTATCATTGTGGTAGCAACAATGATGTCAGGCTCTGGACGACGAGAGTTCTACCTGTCAATCTTCCGAAATCGCACGACGCACTTGCAATTGACGAAAGTTGTGGCTGTCCCTCGTCTCCGGCTTCCATGCAGAACGCAATCTCATCGCACTTCCCACAATGAGCAGGCCACATTCAAGTCTACTCGTTGGTCAGCACCTGCAGTTGCGCTTGTGTGGTGTACCCATGCCTATGCAGCTGTGGCTTGAATTCAGGCTAGGATTCCACGATCGGGACTGAACTCGCGTGAAGTGGCAGCTCTTCCACGTGGCTAGACCGCGGCTGTGTTGACAGCTTGCGTTGAGCTTGAGCTCTGCTGCACGACCGTTTCACAGGAGTCTTTTGATGCCGCAAAAGCCTGGAGCGCGGTCTGTCCCACCCACATGGCATAGCAATCTTCCACGTGGCATTCACTCCGCTTCCAGATCCACTATCTGCCCTAGCCTCGCATTCCGCTTGGGAGTCCTCTCTTCTCTTCTTTCTTACAAATTGCTGCCGACATTGGCTTCGGATTCATGACATGGACCATACATCCTTGCGACATACAATGCAGCCAGCGTGAATAGCGTCATGGCAGACCCGAGCCAAGGCGCATGAGTTTTGTGCTCACCGCCGGGCGCATCGGCTGGCTTAGAACCCATGCCAGCCAGGATCATTGCATTCATCCTTGTTGGACCTGATTCACGCCATCGGCTGCCAGGACGTTGTGCAAGCACGCAAAGAGATGTCAGAAAGCATCGCTTGCCCATCGACCACCGTTCGGGTAATCCTCGTCTGTACGATTGCAGCTCGTGTTTGACAGAGACAAAGACGGCTTAAAGTCCCAGAACCATACCTCAGCCAAGGCAATGTGATCCGAGAGCGAGAGCCACGGTCTGTGGGAATTAAAAATCCGCTACCACTAGGGCGCAGGGGCTCATAACCACCAAAATTGGGTCGCAGTTCATCGAGAATCCAAATTCTCGTTACAGCTCGGTGCGGATTATCGTTGTCGCTCCGGCTCGCCAACTGGATGGCGCCATCAATCTACGAATCCTTGCCACTTTGCTATTGAGATCCAGCGGTTAAGTATACGTTCGATGATTGCGAGTAATCACTAATGAGCGCATCTTGAAGACTACCATGTGCAGGTACCTAGGTACGTTACTGGCTCGAGCCTGCCACTCTGAAAGTCCTCATTTTCGCCTCATGCTGCTCTAGGCTCAATATACGGGTCACTCGTGGCTCTGGCCCCCCAGAAAAGCATCTCTGAATCACGTTGGCTCAGCATTGCATGCCTTTGGGCCATGTCTCAGCCCTCGGATGACTGCAAGCCACGGCACGGTCGCATTCACCCTGCTTGCCGTAGTTCACATCATGGAGTCTCTCAGGTATTCGCACATGATCAAAGACTTTGTCTCTCGGGTCAGCGACCTTGCTCATCCTCAAACCGGGCAGGATTCCCGATCACGAGTTCGTTGGCGCTGCAACAGGCCTTTGACTCCGACCGCACACAAGGCGGAGATACTTGGCATCGTTGTCGACATCAGAATGTCAGCCTATGCGATGCACCGCCATATGGGGATTCAAGTGCAAGATCCTCTGGCACGAGACTGTCAATAAGACGCCTGAACGAGGCAAAGACATTGGGTCTGATGACCAGCCCGAAGAGGCAACAGACGGCCTAAGAATAGCTGCACAGCCTGCCAAGACTCTGTCATCGTCCAATGAAACATGCTTCCCAGGCCACCAGCCTCAAGGCAAAGTTCGTACCAGAATCACCGCGGGAGCACACACCCACGGAACACACGAACACGCTCCTACTACTGCGCTTGAACTCGGCTCAGCCTCGTGTGCTTTCCCAGCTCGTCGGTGTCCGCAAAGAGAACACTTCATCCTACTGTCTCACCCCACACGTATAGACGTGCTCGTATGGATTCTCCGCCTCATTGAGGCGTGCTGATGCTGCTACTATTTCCAAACATGGTGAGTGTCGATACTTCTTTTAGACAGCAGGAAGCAAAGTCAATGTCGTACAGTAAGGCTTTCAGACCTATAAGTATTTGTCTCCCACTTCCCCTCCAAGTTGTGTTACCATCCAGCCCAACATCTACTCAGCATCAACGACATCCACTAGCATTTCACAATCCACCAAACCCACCACACCCACATCCACCATGTACAAGTCATTCTCCATCATCTCCGTCGCTGCCCTGGCTTCCCTGGCCAGCGCCACCGACCCATGGGAAGGCAGCAAGGCAGCTTACCAAGCACCGCCCTCCATCACAGTCGACTTCCAAGGTGCACCAGCTGAGGTAGCACACTACGTCCGCAGCATCCCCGCCAATGGCCAGCCCTTCTACACCAACGACCCGCTATCGATCTCTCACATTGTCAGCGATGGCTCGGTGCCGTGCACATTCTACGGAGTGGATGGACTGGTCCTTCCAAAATCCACCCCGGGTCTGATTGATGTTGGCCCGCCTCAGACCATCACTTATGCTGTTTGCGGATATGCGCCTGGGTCTGGATACAAGGCGAAGAGATTCGAGGCTTAAGTCTTGTGATATCGGGTTGGAACTTTGGTGGTAATGATGCATAGCGATGGATGGAATACACAATGATCTGATGATTGCATAGCGAGGGTTGACAGCATTTACATGGACATTATAGCATAAGCGAGCATATGGGCAATAATTTCGAGCAGAGCATACTTAAGTATCTTCTCCCTGATCCTCATACATCACAACTATATTCCTCCTCGAATAACATTTCGTAGCCTTCTTTTCCCTTTGTGCTACGGTAATGCGTTTCATCAAGAGCCACAGCTTGGAGACAAGCCGCATGTTTTGATGTTGTTCATGTCTCACTGACCCTCGGGCTGTATGCCACATATTACTCAAGGTACTTATAGTTGCAATACGCAGACCGCAAGCCGGATGACGCAGACGGCAGTTGGCGCCGGATGACTACACAGTCTTCCACCTAAGAGATTGCTTGAGATGTGACCTGCTGAAAAGAACGACACTCTCAAGTACTGAACTCAAGCTCGGTATGGCGCTGGGCATAGTGCTATCTTCTTTTATGGCTTACACTGCGGTTGCTTTTTGCCGGCAATCTGCTGAACGTGACTGCTCAATCCATGCCCTCGAGCAATCGGGTTCCGACACCCCCATGCTAAATCGCAGGCGTAGGTCGCTATTGGACGACATCCTCAACGTGTGTTACTTGTCTCCCACACCTGCTCAGGAACTCGTCATGGCCACATCGATGTCAACACTGGATGCGACTTTAGGGCCTGGAGTGCGATCTTTACTGGCTGCGCGCATCATGAGGATGAGATGCTGCTCCTCTCGCGACTCTTCTGGCAATGTCTTTCGATGCAATAGCCTACCTGATCGATCATGACCCTGGCACACATTATCAGATCCAACAGCTGAGTGGAGGTCTGATCAATTTCACCGTCAGGGCGACGAAGAGTGCGAAGCAATCTCGCAGTGGACGATACCCTTCCCATCCAAGCTTGATACTGAAGCATGCTCCACCATACCTTGCTGCTATCGGACCACATGTGCCTTTCGACACACGTCGTCAAAGGGTCGAAGCGTCCGCTTTGCAAGTTCTGAGCCTTGCACGGCAGTCCAGTGAATGCTCCCCTCAACTCAGTAGCCTAATGACCACTGGTGGAGTGGCTGTTCCCGGGTTATTGCATCACGACAATGTCGCCAATGTGCTGATATTGTCTGATCTTGGGGACAAGCCTGATCTGAATGCACTCTTTGCAGCGCTGGGTGGAATGACGCCGTCGACGCAGTCTCGCCAATTGCCAATTTCCAAGTTGCCGTTCACAGACGAGAGCCAACCCAATCTTGAGGATTTGGGAGGTCGCCTGGGCACGTTCTTTGGTGGACTGCATAGCAGTGCTGTCCGTGACGAAGCCCGGTACTTACTGAGTCAGCATCAACTCTCCCTAGAGAACCCAGCTGCGAGGGTCTTCGTCTCAGCCCATGCGATCGAGCCCATTCTAGGCCACATGAACAAAATCTCTGAATACCTACAGCCCGATGAAGCCCGGGTGCTTTACATGAGGGTGTATGAGGACTTCTGGAGGCGAAATGAACAGTCAGAGATATCCTTTACCTTGGGCGACTGCTGGACGGTAAGTGATACAAATATTTTACACCATGTTGCCGCAAGAGAGCAGCTGATCTAGTAATAAGGGCGCAGTACTTGTCGCAGACGTAGTCGCGAACGACGTACTGGCGAGACGGCGTGACTCAGGCATCGCTGTGCCCTCAAGGACCCAACCAGCAGTGGTGAGCTCACTTTGCACTCTGTAGACATCAGCAGGCTGATCGCACAGATTGACTGGGAGTTTGCTGGCTTCGGTCGTGGACCACACGGCGACATGGCCCAGCTCATCGCGCATCTCGAACTCCTCTATGTAGCTGCGAGCCAGTCTGAGCTCCTGGACGACGACGTGCACGGTCGTTCGCACCACACGGCGATTACAACACTACTTTCCTCCTTGATTTGTGCGTACCGCGCCAAGTCCGACATTTTCCTCAACGACACCACAATGCCCCTTATGCTGCGGTCTGCTCTGCTGACCACGGGCGCCGAGGTGATCAATTGTTCTTTTTGGAAGCGTTGGATCTGCAGGTCGGATGCTTGCCCTTGCGTCAATCCCAGTGGCCACGAGGACGAAGCGAGGTTGCATCATTGCCAGCTCATACAGCGAATGCTGAAGCATGGAATATCCTACTTGAGACTCGCTGGGCATGACGAAGCGGAGTGTACAAGGAACGTCATTGAAGTACGAGCAGCGTGTCAGGCGAGTCTAGGCCGAGTCGATGGAGATGAGAAGCATGGGAGTGAGAAGTTCTGGCTCTTGGACTTATTCGAGCCTCTTAGCAATGGATGATCTCAACTATGACTCGCCAGGCGCCTTCGCCTCTTCATCATCTCTCACCACCCTCCCCGTCCTCGCATCCCAATGCCATCCACCGCTCTTCCCACCCCTCTTCCTCGAAACCCTTCCCCCAGTCAGCAACATCCCCTTATCCACCCCTTTGAGCATATCATACAGCGCCAGCCCGGCCACGTTGGCCGCGACGAGCGCCTCCATCTCCACGCCAGTCTTGCCCTCCACAGCGACGGTCGCTGTGATACGCGCTGCGCCATGTCCGTACTGCTTAGCTCCATCACCACCAGCTTCGTCGTCTGTGGAGCCAGGAGCAAACACCTCAATCCCAACCTCAACCCCACCCAGGGGCAAGCCAGGATGTGCCAGCGGAATCAGCGTGGAGGTCAGCTTCGCAGCCTGGATGCCGGCAATGCGCGCAACGGCAAGGGCATCGCCTTTGGACAAGGTGGCGTGGACGAGAGACGGGTGAGTGGTGGGTGAGGAGAAGACGAGGGTCGTAGTTGCGGTGGCGCTGCGGAGAGAGGGGGTTTTGGTGGTGATGGAGACCATGTGTGCTGCGCCTGAGGGGGTCAGGTGCGTTAGGGGGAGTGGTTGGATAGACGAGGCAGCTTCCGGCGCGATGGGAGATGAGATCGCAGATGATGAATCCCAAGTAGCAGAGGGGATTGATACTGATGAGGTGGGTTTGCACTCGGCCGTAGGGTGCTTGGTAGTTGAGCCGTTGATAGAAGTGGTTGAGAACGATCGGACTTGTGATTGCGAAGAGTTAGTCGATGTTGAGAGGAGGTGAAGCGGCGGCCATGATGCTGCGCGCCGTGGGCTGACCGAACTCGGAACGCGTGACTGCAACAAGGGTGTCTGATAGAAATGTGGCAACTGATCTACGGGGCACAAGAAGTCAGTCAGCGTGCGTATCGCGGAACCTGAAGAAGATGCTGAAGCTGGTAAATCGCACGAAATAGTTTCGTGGTCTGTCTATTCCTGAAACTTGTCTGGTATCTTTTTCGCTCGTAAAATGTCGTAAAACTTTGTCCACATCTCATATCGTCCGCTGAAGCTCGCTTTAGGATGGAGAGGAGATCACCCACCGATTAAGATCATGGGTCGATTCTCCATGTGCTCCAGCTCACCCATGCCAGCGTGCTTCTCCTTTTTCCGCTTGACTGCCATTCCTATTATGTCAAGCAACTTGGCCTCTCTTTGCGAGAATCCCAGCGCGCCTGTACCTCCTGGCAGGCCCTGTCGCCGATCCATCTCGACCTGCTTTATAGCCTCCATTGCTTCCTGGTCGATTGGAAGGCCGCTGTTCGCTTCTCGGAGAACGTCACGCAACGAGACTTCAGCATTGCCGAACAAACAGACTTTGAGGTTGCCATCGCTTGTGATGCGTAACCTGTTGCAGGTGCCGCAGAAATTGTCGGTCATGCTCGTGATGAAGCCTATCCGACCAACGAAGCCAGGCACCTTGTAAGTCTTGCTTGTGTCGTTCGGGTGACCTTTAATCTGTCCAACCATAGGATATTTCTCCCTGATCATTGCTAGCATTTCCTGATATGGAAGCATCTTCTTCTCGGACCATTTGTTGCCGTCGAACGGCATGTACTCAATGAAGCGGACTTCAAGGTCCTGTTCTTTGCCCATCTCGACGAAGGGAATGATCTCGCGTTCATTGATTCCACGCATGACCACACAGTTGATCTTGAGCTTGATGCCGGCCCCGAGTCGGTTCATTTCGAGGATCCGGTTGACGGACTTCATGACCGCTTCGTGCCCATTCCGGCGGGTCATCAGCGTGAACCGGTACGGATCCAGAGTGTCGAGACTGAGGTTGACAGCAGTCAGACCAGACTCGACCATAGCGTCCAGTTTCCGGTGCAAAGAAATGCCGTTGGTTGTTATACATAGCTCTTTCAATCCGTTGCGTCTTAACTGCCCAATTTGCTGCATCAAGTCCACGATGTCTTTCCGTACCGTAGGTTCTCCACCAGTCAGCCGTATCTTGTCGACGCCTTGGTTGACGAAGATTGACGACAGGTATACTATCTCAGGTGTCGTGAGGAGCTTGGCTTGCGGAGACAGTTCGATGCCCTCCTCGGGCATGCAGTACAGACATCGTAGATTACACCGTTCTGTGACCGATATTCGGAGGTAGTTGTGGTGGCGAGCATAGTTGTCTGTGAGGAAAGAAGAGAACGAGCGTGGCTCGGGTTCGTTACGAAGACGGTCGAGTCGAGATCGAGGGTCAGATCGACTGACGACAGGGAGATCATGTGGCTGCCATTGGGGAGGGACGTTGTTATCGGCCTCTACAGCCGCTGCTGCTGTAGCTACTTGTCGTCGTTGTGTCTGCCGGATATGTGCATGGCAGAATCGAGGTTTCGTTTGCCGTATCAAGGACGGAATCAGCTGCCGGTAAGTGCGGTCCGCCATGCCGGCGATTGTTGTTCGTGATTTGGCACAGCATGTGTATATGAGAGACTTCTAGAGAAGGAAGCCTTGATGTTAAAGACAATACAGGAGTAATCGTTTCCGTTTCCACGTTTACAATGGGGAGGAAACGCTAGCATTCTGCGATTACTCAGGGCTGCGCTATGCGTTCCCCTCTTGCCGCGATTGTGATTGAAGCGTTGAAGCGGCGAGCTCCGTGGGGTGAAGAGAATTTTGGAGTCCGGAAGTTCAATCCATGGATGACATCGTGATGAGTCACGTGAAGATCACGTGGTCGGCATTGCACGTGACTGTATCGAGGCGGCACATTTTCAATTGTGGCTCAGTCCTTTTGCCGATGAATCCGAACCTGTGGGTGTTGTGGCTGTGCTTCCGATTGCTCCTGGCCTCTTTTCGATTCTCACTCCCAAACCTTCAGCATCAAACTTCTTCCTTCTCGCCACAGCAACATCTCCATCATCGTACAAACCTGCCCGCCCGAGGCAACGCACGAGGTGTTAAACGGACCACAGCATTTCTGTGCTGCACGTATCTCTCGAGTTGTGCTGATCTCGCACTGTCAGTCCCACCATTGAGATTTGCGAAACAGCAGCCGTGTCGGGCAGGCGCCGGAGACAACGGAGCAATGGTTTGTATCATCTCGCCTCGCTTGAACCTTCTGGCAAGGTTCCCATTGAATTCTCATCAAGCCACAGTGACTCGCTGAGGTAAGGAAATCGCTGATGTTGTAAACATTGCACGAGACCAACTCGGTCTTGATGAAGCCTCACTCTCGAAAGGCAGCATGATGCGATCGCTCGCATGTCCATGGTCTTGGACGACGGAGGTAAGAGGAACAAGACTCTTGGAATATCCTGGCACGCCTGGGCGACTCGATGTTCGAGGGGCGGAACAAGCGGCATCTTCGAATGGGATGTACTGAAACCTGACAGCCTGGAAACTCAGCCTCCTGGCTAGCATTGGAGGCCAATAGTAATCAGGGCAGTGAAGGGGTCCTCCACCCATCGGGCCCGAGACACCACCAATTCGTTTCTCCCTCCGCTCCAACTCTTTGCCAACTCTTCCCACTCACCAGTTCTCTCCTCCCTCTTGGACATCATTATTCCACGCTTCCCACGTTTCGTTCTTGTAGCTGTGCATCCCCTCACGACACGCACGACTTCGTCTGTCTTGCGTATATCACAGTGATTGTACACGTAACGAGACATCTATATCAACACATTCATACCAAAAACGAAGAGCTTACGACGACTTTCCAATCGCCTAGCACTCTAATTTTAGGCACCTCTCAATTGCGTTCCTGAGGTATACACCTTGGGCAAACATCCTCCTGATATGATTACTTCATTCGACGACGACATGGACTCGCTCCTCAACCTAGACGAATTCACACCGTCGACGACATCCCCCAGTACTCAGGTGCCTCAACTCGCTCATCAGTCATCGCACTTTGGGTCGTCCACCCAGACCTTCGCGGGGCCTAGCTTCCCCTATGACGCCTACCGCCAGCAGACCGGTCTGCCCGCTGGAGGTCTAGCCAACACCTTTGCTATCAATCAGACCGCGGGTCTACAATATTGGAACGGACAGGGCAGCTTTGTGATGCCATCGAACCCCATCGACCTACCAGCTCTGAGCAAGATTGAAGACTTTGATTTCTCTCGTATGGACGATCTCGACTTTGACGCCGAGTCCCCAACCATCTTGAGCGGCAACCCAGGTCAATTCGTCAGTCCTACGACGCTAGTCTCATCGGGTTCTTCTCAGAATCAACGCATCTATCCTGGTATGCATAGCCAAGCCGCTCAGGCAAAGGCCGAGCAGGCCAAGCAACAACAGGAAATGGTCCGACGTCAGCAGCAACAGCAGCAGCAAGCCCCACGCGCACTGCCTGCCGGTCAGAAGCCACTTCCAAAGGCTCCCGCTGGCAAGGATCCCCGTGTGGAGGAAAGCATCTCCCGTATCCTCAACCAGATGCGACAGAAGAGCGTCTCAAGCGATGCGAAGACGGAGGATTCGCCTGATCCCAACATGTCAAGCCTGCCCAAGTCTCGGAAAGATGAAGAGGACATGGATGAGGACGAACGTCTGCTCGCTAGCGAGGAAGGAAAGAAGCTGACCAGCAAGGAGCGACGACAACTCCGGAACAAGGTGTCTGCTAGGGCGTTCCGATCGCGTAGAAAGGGTATGTTATTGCCATATTCTTTTGTTGACAATACTAACGTTGACCAGAGTATATTGGCCAACTTGAAGGCGAGGTTGCCTCTAAGGTGGACGAAGCCAGCGCTCTCCGCACCGAGAACCAACAACTCCGTGAAGAAAACAACCGTCTCACCGAGCTCACGCGCATGCTGCTGTCCTCTCAGGCTTTCTCTGGTTTCCTACAGGAGCTGAGCCAGTCTGGTGGAAGCGCGCCCCAAGTCCAGCAACCGACACAGCAGCGCCCGACCACGACTCCTGTCGAGCGCACGCATTCGCAGACCCAGCGTAAGGACGTAAACCCACACGATGCCGCCCGCAAAATGTCTACCTCGCAGCAACAACCAATGATCGGAATGGCGCTCATGCCAGAGGTCAACTTTGATTCTTCGCTCTTTGACACTTCTTCCTGGACACCAGCTGTGCAGCACAACGATTTTCAAGTGTTCGCAGTCACCGAGCTACCCGAGCCGCCTGTCATCGACTTTAACGAGTGCTCTGAGAAGAGGGTCCAATGCGACTTCAGCTCAGAGACCTCCAAATCCTCACCGACACTTTCACCACTTCCAGACGCAGTTAGGAAAGCAGGTCTGAGTCTTCAGACCAAGCCTCACACGACGGCTTCTTCATGGCTTGGAAAGACATCTGCTACCGTTACTTCGATTGCTCAGGATACTGAATTTACTGCCATCAACCCATTCACGAGCAGGACACTCGATGGAATGATAATGGAGTTGGACGAAACAAGTCGGCGGATTGGGTTGCTGCTGCCCTCATAAGCTGTTGTGAACAGAAGAGGAAGGAGAGCAGTGCTGGTAGGCATAGCAGTCAATCTGGAGTATAGCGTTTGGTAGTGCGAAACAATCATGATGACCTCAAATGCTGTAACTCCTCCCATGAACGCTCCGGCGGATTCGTGAGATTATAGACCTCGTGTGTAGGCCGACTGAAATAGAGTGTCGTTAGCGCAAGTTATAACATCATGTTGGAGTTGTGACTTTTTTTGCGGGCACGACTTCAACCTCAACTTTTTGCACGCCCTTACTCTTGCCAAAGTTCATTTCCTCGTCGCTCATTTATCTCCGTTGGACGCAGGCGAGACTTGCGAGGGCCTCAGGCTGTTCGTCCTCCCCAGGTCCAAAGTGGCTTATCTCGGGTTCGTTCCACTGCGCTGCCGTTTCTACTCCTACCATTCTACGCGGTTCGCAAGTCCAGGTCGCTTTGCACAGGGACGAAGCCTCTTACTCTACGCACAGAGACAGGCGGGCCAACGTACATTGAATGTGTCACTAGGAGCGAAGAGGCTCTCCTCGACTTTACCATCCCATTCCTCACAGCGAAATGAGAGGCGCTCTGGACAGAAGGAAAATCGCGCGGCAGACACCAAGCCAACCATTCAAAAAAGACGTTGGTCGCTAGTAAGCAAACTACGAGAAGCAGTACGGACAAAGGTCTACGAAGTTCTTCTTCTCGACAGGCCGGGTGGGCCGATCTGGCGACCTGCGCGCACGATGCCAGAGCCAACCCCAATGCCCGCCGTCGGCAACAAGCGCCAAAATTATAGCATACAATTCCTCACGGCTCCCACGGCGGACACTCCTGGCACAACTTTTGCCATAGTCTTCGACTCGAAGCGTTACCTGTTCGGCCATGTCGCAGAGGGCACCCAAAGAGCGGTCATCCAGCGCAACTTCGGCTTGGCCAAAATACATGACATGTTCCTGACTGGTCCGACAACTTGGACGACAAATGGGGGAATCATGGGCGTGATGCTGACCCTCGCCGAGATAATGACTGCGGAAGCTGCCGAGCACGGCCATCGAGGCCATCGACAGCGTCTGCATATTCACGGTGCACCGAAACTGCTACATACCCTTGCCACGGCCCGAAGATTCATCTTCCGGACGGGTATGCCGCTCACGATACATGAGATCGAGCCCGATGTTCCTGGCTGGCCGCAAGAACCTTCTTTCGAGGACGAGAACATAAAAGTGTGGTCTATTCCCGTTCGAGATGCGCAGGATGCAAGCAGAAATCCAAGAACCGCCAAAGTGGACAGCGAGCAGGCAACCAGGGCAAAAATTGTGAATGATATGTTCGACTCGGATTGGCGCCGTGATCGATTGATCCCAACTCTCTTCAAGGACGTCAATTTGCCTGCCATGGTATTCGTTCGTGGTGCAGAGGAGAAGGGCCTCACGGGCATTTACTGTAAGGATCACGAGAGTACGCCTCAAATTGCACTGTACCAGACAGTCATGGTACGGAATCCATGGCCAGCTTCTTTGGTAGGCACACTGCCCCCTGCTGACGACCTCCCATCGAACGTGGCCGTAGCATATATCATCAGAGGCCATCCACAACGTGGCAACTTTGACCCACAGAAAGCCAAGGCACTTGGTCTCAGGCCAGGTCCTCTCTATGCCGAGCTCACAAGCGGAAAGTCGGTCAAACTCATGAACGGCGACGTCATCACACCTGATATGGTGCTCGGTCCGACCAAGGTTGGAAAGGGCGTTGCAATCTTCGACCTGCCTTCGCTTGGCCATGCCGAATACCTCCAGAACCTTCTCAGTTCAGCACCTGAAGATGCTCTCGCAGACGTTGTCGCCGCCATCTGGATCCTCGGTCCTCACGTTGGGTCGTCAAACACTTTCGAGAATCTGACGAGTGCCTTGAAAGAATTAGAGCACTTTGTCAGTGACGTGGATGTTGCTCCCAACAACCCTAGCTTTGGTTCGGCTGCATTCCAGAATCGGTGGCTTGCAAAGATCAACCCCAGAAGTTTCTCCGTGCCTGTCTACGACAATGCCTTACCTTACTTCAAGGGTTCGTCATCCTCCAAAGAACGCAATTACGTTGATGTGCAGCCAGGCCTGCGCATCAATCTCGAGCCGAAATACTCCGTTGACCGCGATAACATTCCGGCATACCGAGATATGTCGGAGGCGGATCCTCTCAAGCTTCCAGATAACATGATTGAGACGAATGAGCCCCAAGTGCTGCCACAGTATCATCTGAGCCTCTCACAGAGCCAGAGATTATCACCCTGGGCACAGGGTCTTCGCAGCCATCAAAGTATCGTAATGTTTCTGGTACGTTGATCAGGCTGCCTTCCGATCAAGGTAACGTACTGCTCGACTGCGGAGAAAACACAACAGGACAGCTGCGAAGATCATTTAGCCCCGAGCAGTACGAAGAAGTTCTGCGCAAGACTCAGGCCATCTGGATTTCTCATTTACACGCAGATCACCATCTCGGCACTGTCTCGTTCCTACAGGCAAGAGCGCGCGCCTTTGATGCCTTGGGCGAAGCGGGCAAAGATCTTGATCGCACGATCTATCTGATGTCGGAACAGAATATGATCGACTGGCTGAGCGAGTATTCCTCAGTCGAACCGAGCGTCCTCACAGAGACAGGAGTTGTAATGATGGTCTGCTCCCAAACCGATGATGGTCCTACGATCAGAGGCCAGCCATTCGACCTCTCTGCATCGAAATCGGCGATACAGCGAGTGGACACAGTGCGTGTTTCACACTGTGCCGGCTCACAAGCTATTACCATCACCTTCAAGTCCGGATTCAAGGTCTCGTACAGCGGCGATTGTCGACCGTCCAGTCAGTTTTGTGACATAGGCACGGACTCGGATGTCCTCATACACGAAGCCACATTCGATGACGAGATGGCGGGTGACGCTCTCGCAAAGAAGCACAGCACAACATCCGAAGCTCTGGCGGTGGGCATTGAAATGCGAGCCAAAAATATCGTCTTGACGCATTTCAGCCAACGGTATCCAAAAGTGCCTAATCTAGCGAATGTGAAATTGGGCGAGAGCATCAAGTACGAAGAGGCCATAGTGGCGCATGACTTGGACCCAGTCGAAGCGCACGCGGACGCCCTCGCACAAGCTCCACCTGCTCAGCAACGACAATCTGACGACGTCCGAGCAGATGCACTCGACGAAACGAACGGAACGTTCACACCCTTCTCTTCCGCCACGACGGCGCCTCCTCCGGTCTGCATCGCGTTCGACGGCATGCGCATCAAGGTCTCGGAGATCGCTCAGGCGAGCAGGTACTACCCGGCGATCCAGAGGCTCCTTGACCTACAGAGCGAATTCGGCGAGGCGAGAAAGCAAGAGCAGCGGGACGAGTTAGATAAGCTGACGGCTAAGAAGGCGGCCAAGGAGGGCAGGCCGGTGAAGTTCAAGCACGCGAAGGGGGCGAAAGTTAGGAAGGTTGGTTCGGTGCCGGGTCCTGGTAGCATTCAGCGGAGGCGGAGTGATGAGAGTAATGGTGAGATACACAATCCGAGGCGTGGTAGTTCTGCTGGAGATCGTGTTGTTGATGGTTTGCAGGTCGATGACATTGCTAGACGCCTTGGAAACGTGGCGGGTGAGAGCAAGAGGGCGAGGAAGCGCGCGGCACAGGCAGCGGAGGTGTTGCGGAATGAGACGGCGAGGACGAATGGTGGCGATGGCAGAGGGGAAGGCGTGTCCTCGGGGTCTAGGCCTGCGGCAGATGACGCTGAGGGAGACGAGGTCAGTCTGCCAGTGACCAAGAAGCAGAAAATTTGACGCCCAAGGAAGGTAGGTTGTCATGATGCGGTCTAGCTGATGCCTCGCACTGGGATAGCTCAAGGTACCTTGTGTTACCAGAGGTGGATTGGACATGCAAGTGTACATTATGCCCGAAGTTAATTCGAGCTGTATAGATGACTTTAGACAGAATTCGCCGTTCAATATTTCTGGAGCAAGAAGAGCTGTCCCAACCTATTCACAAGCAGTTTCTACTTGATAGCTCCGAGCCGTTATAGCATGTGCATCCCATTTCCCTACATGCCGAGTCCAGTGCGCCGTGCCTGCCACAACTTTTGTCTACGAGACCGACAATGTCGCTCCTGACCACCTTGCTCTGTGTACCTTAAAGTATGCTCAGACTATGCAGGTTCACTTAGTGCCCGTTCGTAGCGCCATTGCTCCCATTCTGCCTTGACTTGACCACCTCCCTCCTCGTCCGGACCGCATCCGCCAAATCCTCCAACACCTTGACCGTCGTCTCCCAATCAATACACGCATCCGTAATACTCTGCCCCTTCTTCAACCCACTCAACCCGCCCTGGCCCGCTCCGGGAGCCTTCTGATTGCCCTCCTCGATATTACTCTCGATCATCACCGCCACGATCCCCTCCTCACCTTGCCTTAATTGCTCCGCGATGACAGACGCAACTTTCGGTTGGTTCCGGTGGTCTTTCTGGCTGTTGCCGTGCGAGCAGTCCACCATGAGAACCTGCTTTTGTTTCTTGGCTGCGAGGGCGGCTTTCGCTGCTGATGCTCTCTGCATCGAAGTTTGTGCCGCGACTGCCTCCCCGCAAGATAACGAAGCCATCTTCGTTGCCGGACGTGCGCGTAATGGCGGCGAGGCCGTCTTTGGTCACGCCCATAAAGTGGTGGCGCGCGGCGGCTGCGCCGACTGCGTCGATCGCGACGGACAGGGAGCCGTCGGTGCCGTTCTTGAAGCCCATTGGGAAGGACAGGCCGGAGGCGAGCTCGCGGTGAAGCTGGGATTCGGTGGTGCGTGCGCCGATGGCGCCCAGGGAGATGAGGTCGGCGAGGAATTGTGGGGAGATTGTGTCGAGCATTTCGGAGGCGATGGGCATGCCTAGGTTTGTCAGGTCGGCGTAGAGCTGGCGCGAGACGCGGAGACCTTTGTTTATGCGGTAGGATTCGTCGATGTTGGGGTCGTTGATCAGGCCTTTCCAGCCGACTGTTGTGCGGGGCTTTTCCAGGTAGGCGCGCATGATGATGCAGAGGTCGTTGCGCAGGCGGTGGGCGAGCGGGAGGAGGAGGTGGGCGTATTCGAGGGCCGTGGCGGGGTCGTGGATCGAGCAGGGGCCGACCATGACGAGGAGTCGGTCGGAGGTCTGGTGTATTATGGCCTTGCAGTCGCGGCGGCCTTTGGCGACGGTGGCTTGGGAGGTGTAGGTTGGGGGGATTTCGGATTGGAGGAGGGCGGGCGGGATGAGAGGGTCGTAGCCTAGGACGCGGGTGTCTTCGGGGTGGGAGGGGGTATCTATGCCTGGCATGGTGGCGGTGGTGGTTGTAGGAGGTGGTAGGAGAACGTGGGCTGGGGGATGTGGTGTGGTTCGTGAGGAAGTGAAGTGGACTGCGATGGACGGAGCGGTGGTCTGGAGAAGTGTGTGGTGAGTTCGCTGATAGTGAAAGGGAGTGGCAGAGGTCTGTCGGGCTTCGTCGAGGACTTGTAACGCCAGAAGAGCAGGAGTGAACAGAGACGGCGGAAGCTATGCTTTCGAAAATAGAACTCAGAAGCGCAAGCTGAATTTCTGACTCGGAAATATTTCTTAGAAGTCCTCACGTTCTGGAGAAATTTAATTGTGGGTCTACGAGGGGCGGTGAATGAACATCGCGGGGGTGCTCAGGCCTAGAGCTGCGCCCGTTGCTTCTTTTGGGAGTCCCGCGCAGCAGCTAGCGAAGGTCGCTGCAGTGAGGCTTCTAGGCGAGGCGAGGCCGTCATCGGCTCGAAGCTGGGTGGCTGCCGATGGACTACATCGAAGGCGTGCAGGTACATAGTTCCCTGAGAACGACTGGAAAAGGCACGAGGAGACATGTTCAGATGTTCGTTCATTTGTCGTCGAAAGCTATGGGCAATTCTTCGTTGGATGGATCCATTATTTCCCCCTTCGCTTGATTTGAAAACACAAATAGAAGCGCATGAAGCTCACCCATCTTTTCAAGCAAAAGCTTCCGATGTGGTACGCGTCGGTATTATGCAGATGTTGCAGCTAGATCGACCAGTGCCTGCGCCAGATTTGGTGTCACATGCTACAACCCAATCAGATCATCATGGCAGCCACAGCGACCACGACAGCCAGCAAGGCGCCGACAGTGGGCTCGCTCGCACCATTACTGGGAGTGTAAGTCGACGGCGTTACACTGGTGGTGGTGGTGAGCTTTCCACTAGTTGCAGTGGTAGTCGCACCGGACACACTGGACGGACTGGTTGTGGCAGGGACTGGTGGGGCAGGGGTTGGCGGAGTGAAAGAGGTGGTGTTGCTGCCGTAGCCAGGTGTAATAGTGGACGAGGCAGGGCTAGTGACTGCACTCGTAGGAATAGTCCATGATTCTGTGATGTTGAGAGATGTGGACAGACTAGAGCTGCTGCCAACAACAGTAGTAGTGAATGGAACGGAGACTGAGACGGTGACCGGAGGAGGCGTAGCGATAGTGAAGGAGCTGGTAACGATGACTGTGGTTGTCGAGATGACACATGTGCCCGAAGCTGTCGATGCTCCAGCAACATCAGTGGATGGGAGAGAGGCCGGACCGGAGTAGCCAGCCGAGGCGGTAGAGGTGGCAGTGTAGGTGACAGTCTCGAGCGTAGCAGTGGTGAGAAGAGTAGAAGTAGTGAAGGTGCTTGTGGTGGTCGCAATGGAACCGGTTGGGGCAGGGCAGACCGCTGAACAGTGTCAGCGTGATGGATTCGCCTGGATGGGGGCTTGCTACTTACAGAAGACTCCGTTTGACTCACAGCAATCTTCGCCAGCAGCAGGATTGACGCAGCCTGTGCCGCAGACTTTCAGACCAGCCGAGCAAGTAGCATTGACGAAAGCTGACCCGAAGAGCGTGACCAGAAGGATGAGGACGAGTGACATCTTCGAAGCTGCAGAAGACATATCGATAGCTGGTCCTTAAGTTGCTAGACAGGTCTCAGAGAACGACTCGGAAGAAGAGATTGACTTGGCGATGTGTTGCAGCCGTCGCGATGATTGCTTCGAAAGAGAGTAATGTATGCGACTGAGTCCAATAACGAACGTGGTGTCTCGTTGTCGAAGCGACAGATTGGATGCGGTAAATAAAAAGAGTTGGATGTGGTGGTATTGACGATTGAATGGGTGGAAAGATGTGCTTGAGGTTTGCGAAGAGACTATTTACCAAAGAAAATATTGATTGTGTGCAGGTGCAGGTGCAGTCGTGTAGTTGTGGTTGCCCTCCTCAACTGCCCCGTCGTTGTTGCAGTTGCACGGCAAGAGAGAAAGAGCGCCTCCAATTTCCGCTTGCTGCAGTCGTTTCTGAAATCCTTTGACCCGTTCCAACATTGCCGTCGCTGTCGGTCCAACACAGTCCATCCTACAGCGTGCTGCCGGGTTCCCCTTACATTTCGGCTTCCTGCATCAAGTCTTACCTGTACGGTCCTACACCTTTGATTGCAAAACCTCATCTTCTACCATCTTTGTGCCTCTAAGCCGCCCAGACCTGTTGAACGGCTACTCAATGAAGCATCTTGTCAGTCCGCCTAGACATGAGTCGATGATTGCTGTGTAATGCTCCAGACTACCTGGATGCCCACCTAAGGACTACCGTCCCGTCATTTCGGACGACCATCGATGCTATCAAGTCAAAGGCTCCGAGCATCGCTTTCGTAGCCTCACTACCCGCTATTCATCGCATCGCGAATGTGTGTATACGATATGTATAACAAAAAGATCAATGTCGTTGAAGGAAGCTCAGACCTTGGGATCAATAAACGTTGCTTGGGCCCACCGCACCGCTAAACATCAGGGTTTTACCGACAAACGACGCGTGTCAACGCATCATTGTCTCCTGTCAAGCATCGATCCTACTAGTCTGGAACTTTTATATATGAAAGCAGCCGTCCGAGCTCTTTGATATCACTCGAGCGCCCGCAAGATGTCAAGCACTTCTGCGGCAGCGATTGAGCTTCATATATGTAGGCACCAATCGTCCTCACGATGACTTACGAGCCACCCGTCCCGAATTTCCTGCCGTCTTACCCCGGCCAAGATAACTTCTTGCCCACTATAGCCACCCCCATTTGACACGGCGGGCGGCCACTGGCTAGACTCAATCATGTGTCATCTTGGCGACGGCCATCGCTGGCTACCCCCGGGTGACATACACGAGCCTCAATTAAGCAAGCGCCGTCAAGTGAGCGGCGGCGCAAAATTATCGGGATCTTGCAATTGCCCATTTCGCGTTTCACGTGTAAGGTAACAATAATGTTGACAAGCAGCGCGAATTGAGAAGATGTTTTCGGCTTACTGATTCATCGCACACAAGCTTCATGATCGCATACAGCTTTTTGTCGCGCTGGTGCCCGCTGTGACAATGGTGGGGTTCAGGGACATCATCAGTCGTCCACGATGGCTGGGGCTTTTCATCGTCTCCCTGATTGTGATCTTCTCGGCCTACAAGACATTGCCACGGTTAAACGACTCCGGAGAACTGGCATTCCCTGTAGCTGGATCCAGCAACAGCTTCTCCATCAATCTCGCCAACCAGAAATATGTCAAGCCTAAAAATGTGAAGGTCATTGGCCTTGTGTTTTTCGGTAGGAGAGATCGGGTCGAGATGTTGAGGTGCTATCTAGAGGCAAGTTCGCAACTCCACTTTATCTACGCCAGATATGCTGACTGTCTCTAGAGAAATCTAGTAGCTAATGGAGGGTGGATTGACGAAGTTCACTGGGTACTCAACACCGGCAAAAAGCCAGACCTGGCCTATCTGGAAGAGATCCTGGCGGGCGAGCCTGCGTACAAGAAGATCGATCTAAGCGACGAGGGCATCGGCTTCGAGGGCTACGGGCATGCCTGGGGCCATGTGGAGAGGGGTGCTTACTATATCAAGATCGACGACGATGTGGTTTATTTCGCCGACGATGCTGTGCCTCGAGTTGTCAGCCTCAAGCTGCAACACCCAGAGTTCCTGGTGACTTCTGCGAATGTGATCAATTCGCCGCTGATGGGCTGGGTGCACTATCACTCTGGAGCAATGCATCCTTATCTACCAGAATTCGATAAGTGGGAGCCACCCTTACTCGACTACGGTAGCAAGATATCATGGAAGTACACCGACTACCCATCGTGGGCTGGACCTGAGGACTACTTCTGGGACTGGGATCAGGACCCGCCATATCACGGCCATCGCTGGCTACGACTGACGAGGGATGGCGCCATGCGACAAACGCCTGCGTCCAAGATCGAGTACGACACGTGGGGAAGAGGGCTGAAATCATGGGGTATCGCTGCTCAAGAGCACTATTCCTTCCTCGAGAATCTGCTTGACAACCGGCTCGACAAGTACAAGCTGAACAAGGCTTGGATCACAGACTATCAGCGCTTGTCGATTAACTTCATCTGTGTATACGCGGACGATGTGTTGGACAATTTGCCGATGGATACCGTTGATGAGGAGTGGCTGACTGTCAACCTTCCCAAGAAGTTGGGCAAGAGCGTGGCTGTCGAGACGGACGCCCTCGCAGCGCACTTCACATTCGGTACGCAGGGCAAGATGCAGGATACTGATCTGCTAGGGCGGTACAAGGACTATGCGATGGAGAATGCTTGCAGGAGAAAGGTCGATCTTCATGCTGAGAAGACCAGTTGATGTGGAACTGGTCTTCCATGGAACATATGTAAAATGTTGACATGAGCTTGTGTTTGATAGCATTGGCGTTACTGGAGGGCCGCCTTATACAGATTCTTGACAAGTCAGCATCATCATTGCCTACGCATCCTCATGCCTGTTCACTTGAAGCTCTTCGGCGTTGAAAGTGCGAATCTAACGAGGCTGAAATTTTCAGCCTTATGTGGATGTGGTGTTCAACCTCAAGAATTCTCGACCGTCTTCTTCCCACACAAGGTGACAGTTCGGATCGCGTAGACAAATTATTGGGTGGTAGTCTGGTGCTCTAGTGTCTACTCGTGCAGGATCCCGTGTCTGGATGCGCAACTCGACACAGGTGGCTCAATTCCTCGCCAGGCGCAATCACAAAGCCTTTCAGGTCCCCGACTGAACGACCACCAACAATGTACAACCCATATCAAGCACCGGGCTCTTATGCGCCGCCAGGTGGCTATGGGGGATTCCCAGGAGCCCCTGGAATGGGTGAGCAGTTCCAGCCTATGACACTAATGATCAGTACTGACTTGAGTCACAGCACCTCCGCCAGGCATGGCTGCACCCGGCACAGGCGCACCGCCAGGCATGCAACAAGCAGAGACGCCGACGGACGGCCGAGGAGGTTTCCCTCCGAACTTTCAACCGCCAGCGAACATGCCAAACATCAACTTCTCCGCGCCCGTGATACGACTGGGCACCTCACAACCAGCAAAGTCTTCATTACTGGATGGACGAGAAGACAGGGGTGGCAGAAGGGCAGGTCTAGGCTCTGGTACGGACGGCCGACAGGATAGAGGAGGCTTGACGCCCGTGCAGCCGCAGACACGAGAAGAGGTAATCAAGACAGTCTTCATCGGCGGCATCACCGAAGGCTGCGGCGGAGACGAAGGCATCGAGCGCATACTCAGATCGGCGGGCAACCTCAAGAGATGGGTCAGAGCTATGGACGCGCAGGATAAGCCCTGCAAATTTGGCTTTGCTGAGTACGAGGATCCAGAAAGCTTGAATACAGCAATCGAGACATTGAGGGACGTGCGAGTACCGGTCAAGAGGCAGGTTCCCAAGGAGACCGTAAAACAGGAGAACGGCATCAAGAAAGAGGAAGAGAACGGCATCAAGAAGGAAGAGGAGGAAGGCGAGCAGGACGAGAATCACGTTGAAAAATCACTACTTCTCGTTGTCGCCGACGAAAACTCCCGGGCGTACATCGAGCAATACGAGGAAAATATTGGTGGCGTGGATGAAGACAGCAGACAAATGCGTCTCGACCATGCCAGAACAGCGCTAAACGCTGTTCTGAATGATCTGGCCCATCCATCAGTCGACCAGCCCAAGGACGAAATGTCTGGCCTTGACAGAGATGGTGACGTGGACATGAGCAACGGAGTGGACGCCAATGGAGAAGCCATCATCACGATACCCATATCTGCAGACGATGAGCTGTCAGATATTCCCGCTGAGATGCGAGAAACAGTCGCCAAAGAGATTGCCTCGTTCAGAGATCGCAGCAACCGACGAGATCTGGAGCGACTGCAAAGAGAGGAAGAGTTCGAGAGGCAAGAGCGCAATCGTTCTTCGATAAACGGCAGTGGTCGACCATCTAGACTTGGCTCTCCGCCACCTTCATCCGCCCCATCTGGTCCTGGCGGCGCAAATGGCATTCCATCCGGCCCGCGGGATCGTGCCTCTGGTCTCAATGCTCCCTCAGGACCCAAACAAATGACCGGCGTACAAATCCCACGCGACTATCAGAAGGGCGTCACCTTCGTCAACGGCACGGGCATTTCCACCGCAGCCAACTTCGACGAATCCGACACCGATGCATCGGACGCTGAACTCGAACGCCGACGCAGTCAGGCAAGAAGGCTGAGGAAGAGAAAGCCTACCTCGACCAAGAACGCCGCTGGCTCAACCGCGAGCGCTCACGAACCGCGGCCGTAGAGCGCGAAAAAGCCCGCGACGAGGAAGAAGCATCCAAACTGGAAGAAGAAAAGCAAGCCATGGCTGCGCGATTACGAGAATTCGACGACGAAAAGGAAGCCGTTCGCGGCGCTGATGACTACTACGCCGACCACAGCGCGTGGATGCGCAAACGAAGCGCTTTCCGCGAGCGAGAACGGATGCACGACGAAGCCGACCGAGCCGCTGAGCGCCGCGAGCGAGAATGGGAGAACAGACAACAGCGTGACCGCTCAGGCAGAGACTCGTCCGACGCATATGCTAACTCCATGGACCGCGATCGCGGCGACAGAGACGACTACGACCGCTCACGCCAACACCCCGACCGAAGACACGACAATGGCGACCTCATCGACGACCGACGAAGACCAGAACCCCCGTCCGCCACAACACCCACCGCCCCAACCCAACCAGCACGCTTCAAACTCTCCCTCGGCGCCGCCGCCCAACGCCAAGCCACCGAAAAGGAAAAGAACAAACGCACCGTCGCCGAAGTCGAAGGCCTCCTCGACGACTCCGAAGCCACAGAGTCCACGAAACGCGAACTCGTCAAGATAGACCTTGGCCCGGTCCCTACTGGTCCCTCTGCTGATTCCGAGGGCGCGAGCATGACGCCCGAACAGCGCGCCGCTGCTGCGAAGGCGCTGGCGCAAGAGATTCCGAATGATAAGGAGGGCCTGTGGGCTTGGGAGGTCAAGTGGGAGTTCTTGGACGAGGAAGGGGTGATTGAGGAGCGGCTGAAGCCGTTTGTGGAGAAGAAGATTGTTGAGTATCTGGGAGTGCAGGAGCAGATGTTGGTTGATGTTGTGGTGGAGGGGTTGAGGGGACGGAAGGGGGCGGGGGAGTTGGTTGGGGAGTTGGAGGGTGTAAGTTTCTATCCTTTCTTTAACTTGTGGAGATGGGTTGTTAACATGTTGGTGAAATAGGCACTCGACGAAGAAGCAGAACAGCTGGTCAAGAAGTTGTGGCGGATGGTCATATTTTTCTCGGAGAGCGAGAAGCGTGGGTTGAGTGCCTAGGAGGGACTTGTAGACCTTGTGCGTATGAATCATCGAGGGACAGCGCTGTGAGCACGCGAGGTTGCTTGTTGGTTGTTGAGCTTGGCAAGAAGGGGCACCTGACCTTGTGATAAGTCGATTCGTCTACCTTGGGACGATATACTTCACGGTATGCGTTTGCCAGGCGAGTTGTGCTCTCGAGCGTGTTCACACTCTCAGATCCCTTTCAAGCCAACAGCGTACGCCAATGTAGGCTATCTCAGAACTCAACACGTCCTCTAGGACGACCAGTGGTGGCTCAGAGACGGCGCGGAGAAGTCACACATAGCACGAACGGCCCGTAGCAAGATGCTCAGTATTGCGACAAGAATCTTATTCTTCATTGTCCGGATAAGAATATGGCTGATGCCGACCTAGGCAGCATACCTAGCAGTCTACGAATCTGTGTTTCAGTGACCAGCAAACCTCCAAGTATCGTTCAAAGAGCGCAACGAAGCTAGCCATAGACTGCCAGCATTAATTCCAGACGTTGTTGGTGTTGTGTTGTACATTTGTGGTGGACATCGTGACTGTTAAGTCAAAGCCTCGCCCGCTGCAAGCTTTGGCTCCGGCTCAAGTGATAACGCGTTTTCTTTTTCGATCAGGTTCCCCTTCCGCCTTCTTGATAGATTTTCCGGCGGTAGGTCTAACGGGTGATATGCCACGTTGTCGATGGAGAGGTTGTACAGCTGGTGGTCCATCCTTGTATGGATCCTGCGATTCGTCTGTGCGATCGGACTCCCCTTCCGAGTTATTAGGAGACTTTCCGGCAGTAGACTCATCGGACGACAAGCCACGTTGTCGTTGTGGAGGTTGTACAGCTGGTGGTCCGTCCATGTATGGATCTGGCGATTTGTCGATACTCATAGTTTGCGAATTAGCGAGTTTTGGGTCCAGAGGACGGCCTCTTTCATTGTTGACGAACGTCGACTCATCCAGAGAATGGTAACCTGAATCACCTGGAACAGGTAACTGCGCTCCAATCTTCTTCAGAGCCTCGATGTTCTTCAAAATTTGAGTTGGATTGTTCCTCAGATTTTCCATCTTCTCCACAATCTCGAGCTCCTTTAGCGTGCAGAGTTCCATGTCTCTTTCAGTTTCGGTCCTCTTCTGAATCGATTCCTAATCCTCTTCAGCGCTGTTGGAATCCGCGCTCTCTGGGAGCTCATCATCATCATCATCGGCCTCTAGGCCGCCAACCATAAACTTCTCGTCTTTTTCCTGAGTTCCATCGGCCAGCATATAGCCGTCTGCGACTTCACATGAGGTCAATTTGACGCGGTCGCCCAACCTACACTTCTTTCCGATCACTGTGCCATTCAACTCGACCCCTTCACCAATCGTTGCACCGTCCATGACCACTGATCCTGTGATGCGCGTACGTTGGCCTAGGGTGACATTGGCGCCGATGACGCTGTTCTTGATGACGCAGCGTGTGGCGATGGTGGTGTTGGCGCCGACGAGGCAGTCGCTGCGCTGGATGGTGACCTGTTGGGCAATCGAGGCGGTGGCGTGGATCTTTGAGGCGTGAGCGAAGGGTGACGATGTGGACTTGCCGGCTTTCGCATCTTCTTCGATGCTGGGTCTTTTGGCGAGGAGGAGGGAGACGGAAAGAAGAAGTGGTGTGGTGTCGACGCGCCGGACAAGGGGCGCTGCACCGCCATTATCGAGGACAAAGGCGGTTATTGTGGGCATACTCGCAACTGTTTCTGATGTGGACGGATTGATGGTGTCGGAGAGAATGCTGTCCTCTGGGTTGGCCTGCACACGCGAGGCAAGCTTGACCTCTGTTGCGGGTCTTGTGGATTCGCCGGTCGAATTAAGTGATGGGAGGGTGTTGGACTGCCGAGGTGAGGCGACATTCGATTCTGTTGCAGCTTCGGTGGGCTTGCCGGGGCGAGGCGAGGTCTGGATAGTTGAGTAGAAGAGGAGATCGACTTCTTCTTCCACCGGACGATCAATCTTCTGGTCAATATCTGTTGCGGTCGTCTTTGGGGCGAAGATCTTGTTGGATCCATACTTCTCTCGGTAGGCCGGTTTCCTCCAGTCTGACTGCGCCCAAGTCCCGACGAGGTCCTCCGTGAAGGATATGAAGCCTTCGTTGATCTTTGCGTACTCTTTGACCCAATAGGGCAGGAGATAGATATGAGCGTCTCGGTATTGAGTAAAGCATTTGATATACCCGTATTTGTTCAGTACCGACGATCGAACGCGTACTGTTTCTCCCTCCAGGAGGTCTGACATTGGCTTTGTCCAGACAAGATTTCGGAGCAATCCAGGAAAGTTGCTAGCCTTGCCTTTGTAGAATTCTGAGGTGACGTCTGGCTTGAATTGTACTGTGGCCAGAAAGTCACATTCCTCTTTCTTGACGCTCTCCTCACGCTTTGCTGTATTGTACCAGATCGACAGGCCACCACGTCGACCACTGCTCTCGCCTCCCGAGCCGAATGTCACTGGCCGCTGAGGGTCGTGCTCATCGGTCGAGATTCCGGTTCCGGCGAGGCCTCCAATGCTAGTGAGGTATGTGTCGAGGAATGACTCTCCATGAATATCGCAAATCAGATCGCATGGCAGTAATACAAAATCCGACTTGATTGCTCTCTGGACTTCTGGTAATCTCAGTAGCTCGGCTGTGGCAGTCTCGAACTTCAGGTCCGCCGGTGCGAGCAGATCAGGCGATGGCGACGGCAGTGAGGTAAGATGTGGCTCTTGAGCAAGCGCTGCGGCTAGCACGTCCTTTGCATCGGGAGGAGTGATCAACGTAATGTCTGTGAGGCCACATCGATAGCACCAGTCAAGCACATACCATACCATGGGTCGATTGGCGATCTGTACTAGTGCCTTTGGAAACTCTGAGGGGACACTCGTGAAGGTGTTCATGCTTAGTCCGGGTCCGCATAATATAAGTGCTTGGAAGCCGGTATACGGCGTGCTGGTAGCGTATGGCGCCATGTTGCTGATGGAAAAGGTTAGCAAATTGCAATGACAGGTGATTCGTTGTTCATACCCTGATCGACTTGATCGCACTGCCGGAGAGACTAGTGCCACCTGCCGGAGCGGCGAGGGGTCGCGATATCCCACACTTTGACTGTCCTCTTCGTCACTCGATACGCGAACAAGCGACGGCGCTGCTGGGAGAAAGGGGAGGGAAGTCTCTAAATGACCACGCTTTTTCCTTTCGAGCGCTGCTAGTTTGATGAATCGTATGCGCGGGTCTAGTAACTTTTCCAACTTAGAATGGCCAGGTGCACTTTCCGGGAGGCCTTCACTGATAATGTCTGTGCCGTCTATGATGTGTGATCGGTATCTGGATGTCTTTTCTTCGCAATCGAAAATATGTTGCATGGATGATCGAATTTGAGTCATGGTGAAGGCGCTGAAGAACAGCCGAGTTTCGGTGGAGCATCAAGTCTTGGCAAACCGCTCTTTGGAAGGAGCCAGTGACGGAACGCCAACGATTGGGTAGAAATAAAGAGTGGGTTATCATGATATCCATGCCTTGAATATTAAGACAATGCGATGTTGCTCTACAAGAAGTGGTTCTACAAGTATACGTAGCCAGTAACCCAGAGAGACGTGAATAATCAGCCTTGGCGTCTAGATTGCCAGGGTGCACAGCCTAGGGGAACATGGAGTTGGCTTCATCCCTTAGACAACAGATTGTATTCACCTTCATATCACATTCAGTACTTCACTGCATCCACAGATTCCAGGTTTCAGGGTTTTCTCCCAGGGTAGAGCCGTCCAGCAACTACGTCGGACGGACCCTAAGGCGGTCTCCTCATACAGCTTCGTTGTCTGTCGAGTCCGGATCGCCTTGCTCGCTTGATGCCTTGCTGTGTTCTTTCTCTTTGACAGCAAAAACTTTGTTGACAGCTTCACTCAGGATATGGACATTGTAGTCGATCAGACCCTTTTTGTCCTTCGCGTCCTTTGCTTTGATAATGCCAACAAGAGTCAGATATCTTCGATGTAAGTCAGCGGCAGTACTTCAATATCAAAAGATAATGCTTACCGATTCACCTCTTTCAAAATCAGCATTAGAGAGTTGTCGTGAGAGAATGTTACAGATGCTTCGACCTCATCCATCTGTGCGCCCAGTGGCTTCGCCTCCTTTCTAGGATAGTTGAAGAGGTCGATTGTGTCAAGGACAAAGTCGATCATAGCAGAACTCATCTCATAGCTGCCCATATCGACGGGCCTCGTATCACTGGCCACGTAGATCTTGCTGTTGATATCGAACAGGTACGCTTTCTCCATGCCTGTGTTATCTGCAAGAATGTTGAGCAGTGTTTGTAAGGTGTTGAGCTCTGGAATTAGCTTCTGGATAACTCGGCTTAGGGCTTCGAATATGCTAGAATCGAATATCGAGGTGACATGGTAGGTGACGCGAGGATTGATGTAGCCCGCATCAGCTAGTTCGTCGCTGACTCTGGAGGTAATGTCTGTGTATACATCGCCTTTGATTTCGTCAGGTAGCCCGTCTGTCTTGTGAATGAATACCTCTACCAGTATATCTCGGTACTCGGTTGACTGAAGGTTCATGATTGTGACCACCAACCGATTCAGGGAATCATTATAGTCGTCTTGCGCATCAATGACCCAGATCAGAGCGCCAATATTCTTGAAAATGTCGCCGGAGTCAAATGCTGGGTCAAAGTAGTCGAGCTGGCCTGGAAAGTCCCAGATTTGGAAGTCCATAAAAGATCTACCTCCATCAGTGACAGTTATGGTACATACGGATATGCGGCATACTCAAAAACTTCCTTGAGAATACGAGTAGTGGATTCGATGAAGATCGTCTCCTGAGGAGGATGTTTATGGAACACCACATGGGTGATGGACGATTTTCCGCTTCTGTACAGAACGTTAGCTTCAAGCCTAGAGCAGTGCGGTGGCTACAATACCGACGCTGACCCATCAGCAACAGCCGCGGCTTCATGTTTCCTTGCATCTTTTGAGGATTGGATCGCACGTGGCGACCTTAGAGAGCGTTACAACGAGGACCAGGTCACTGGCGGTAGCTCCCGCCCTTGCCAAGCACTCTCGAGCAGATGGCCCAAGTTGCCCTAGGTGTGTGATCAGTCTGCAGTCTTTCTGTTGGTAGCAGATCATTATTGGGGACGCTCGAGCGTGTTGGCTGCGCACATGTGCACCACTACTACGCTCTTGACTGCCGCCCGCCTCACTTACAAGCTCGCTTTCATCAATTGAAGATCTCCCAGAACAGGAGCCGTTCATGATACCCACAAAAGGACACGCGCACAACATCAGGTCCTACCCAAGCGCTTGGGAGCATGAAGTTGAAGAGGTAGTCCGAAGCACAAATACATGGGAGCGCAACAAGGTAGTAGAGATCAGGCCTGTCGGGGCATGCTAGGACAAGTAAAAGGTTGCGTACCTACTCCTTGGTCGACAGGAAGTCCGACAATCTGGTGTATATGATCCTTCAGCCTCCGCAAGCCACCGCCAACGCTGCACCTAGCTGATCGCTGTAGGCATACATGTACTCCCTCAGTGTTAATCAGATGAACTTGGCAGCCACCCGCACCTCAGCTGCGCTGATCACAGTGAGCAGAGGCAGGACCGTGTTAGTCTTCTCGCTTGAACACGATCCGAGTGCAGTTTGTTCTTTTGACTGTCGTCGAGACCGAGCGAGGCGATGAATCGGATGCCGGAAGTATGGTACTGATGGCGCATAGCTCGAGCTTTGAGCCACGTTAGATGTCATTCGAAGCTCACGAGGCTGCCAAGGCACGGCTCCAAGGCTGTCACATAGATCGCAGCGCTCGCTCATTGGTTGCTACTTCTGCTACATTTTCCCATACCCACATTGGAATGGAAGGGTGGCCAAGGCAAAACTGTCCTCCGAGTCCACCATTCGTTCGATATTGGGATCGCTGCGAAGCAAGGCATTGCAGACAGCCGAGCACCATACCGAAGCCTCTTCTAGATGGATTGCAATGACGACTTGCACCTTCCAAATAACCTTGCTTACCAGTGACAAAGGATCCAGCGGCTCTCGCGCATCTGCGGGCCCTTACATAAGTGCAGTGTCTCCGTGCTGCCCATTGTCGCCTAGTGCCCGTGAGATTTCAGATTATAGCATCGATTATTATTTCAGCAACAATGACCACGCGCCTGGCTTACTGACGGAGTTCGGCAATTTCACGCATTTACTGCATGTGGTCAATTGCTACACATGATTGCGACATTAGCATGACTGCAGGTGATATCGCCGTCGATTTGCCGACGATTATGATATGATTTCGGAATGTTGAGCCATGTGCAAGGATAAGGCCCCCACGCGCCGCAGGAATGCCGAGTCCGGGTCGTTTCCGTCGCTAGCATGGGACGAGGACCTTGACCGTTGAATCGGGTGTCCTCAAAACTTCTTATCCTGACCGCAATATCGGTTTCACATCTAATCATCGATGGTGTCAGCTAAAGTTACGCTCGAGGGCCGCCGCGATACCAGATCAGTGCCTTTCTCAACACTTTCAGCCCACTCCGGTCTCTTGCAGCGTCACACGATGCCAATCCGAGGGCTGAGAAGCCTCGACCAAGCCGCAAGTCGAAATGGCCGTATTGTGCCTGTCAGTCAGTCACCGATTGCTTGGGTCCACCAATCAATGATTACTGGGTCCGAGCATGCCGTAGGAGGCAGGGATAAGGCCACAGGGGATGTGCTTGAAATATATCGCGCTCGTATACCCCAGCTCGAATGAGCACGGGGCGTCTTAGTGATAACTGCCCTGCTTCTGCCTCATCTACAAGTATTGCGCAACTTGAGCTGTTCTTGTGGCTTCCGCCAACCGACACCTTACTGTTAGCAGACCTGACATACTGACCGCCCTACAAAGCGCTCAACCCTTGCGCCACAGGACACCGAACAGACATTGATGCCATTAGTGACACGATGAACGAGGCCGCAATGATGGAGCAGCCTCGCTATTTGCTTGATTTGCCGCAAGAATTGCTCCTCTCAATGGTTGACTACGTATGTGCCGTCCAACTGCTAGCATAGATGTAAGTCTAATGCCATCTCTAGATTCAAAGCAAGAGGGACCTGTATAATGTTGCACGGACATGTCGTGGACTAGAGAATGTTTGCATGAAGAGATTGTACGGGGTGAGTGGTCAGATATGCAAGCGACTGGCAACTATACTGCGTTGATAGCTCCAAGTCGTGTGTCTATGTCACACTGACGTATTGATGCTCAGAATGTTGCTCTGAGCGATCAAGAGCCGCCAACGCATTCCACGACCTTGATCCGGTCGCATGTGGTGCGCGCAGTATCCGAACTTACCATATACAACGGCCGGTACAATGCGCGACGGGCCAAGCCCAAAGCATTCCCACCACACGGCTCCAGTGCATTTGATCAGAAGCTTCTGCAGACGCTCAAGGCTGTCCCTTCAAACAATCTGAGGGCTTTCTCGTAAGTATCTAAGGGCCGGATCATAGCCAAGCTGATCCATCTTCTAGTTCATACCACGATACACCTGTCTCGGAGGGATACTTGGAACTCCTCGCCGCTCGCCAGAATCAATCTCTGAGGCACCTTCGCGTGTACGAACTCTGTGCTTCGCTCACCGAGAGTTTCATTTTACCAAACAGGCTCACTGTATTTGAATGTTGCTCGATTGGCGACGGCAAACTGGTATGGGATCTCATTCGCATGAATGGCTCAAGTCTGCGGCGTCTGCGTCTGGGACAAGAGAAGCAACTTCTGCAACAGTACTCTCCACGAGGCCATGGAATGATGGAGCCTTTGCCGTCCGCTGAGTCCGGTCTACTTCAGCCAGCAATTCTGACGCAGCTGCCTCAACTCGAGGAGTTGGAACTGGTTGGTCTCGACCTTAGACCTTTGTTTCCGGAGAACATCCAAGAGGGCCTGACGCTGTGCAATCTGACGAGGGTTTCAGTCCAATCTTGTTCTGGGGCTGACGTCTTCTTGCGGACTTTGGCAGAGGTTTTCAACTTCGCTCAAGATTCGACTCAAGGACTCGATACACATTCAACGATCAAGCTCAAGCATTTCTCACTGCGAACCGAAGCACCGACGTCCGAGCTGAAGCGGTCTCTGACGGCACTTTTGAGCTCGTTTACTGGACTCGAGAGCCTGTCTCTACTGTTCGAGAACGGATCAGTGCTCGAACGAGTCTCTACATTATTGGGCGAGCATGGACCGACACTTCGAACACTGGCACTGGAGTCACGGATCCAGTCTCGTGATAATCTTGGTCTTGATACTTCCAGAGCATTTGGATCCGGAGGCTACAGTCAGGAGCTGTGGGAGCGCTCGATGCACGAGATCTGCCAGCTCTGTCCGAGTCTGGTCGAATTGGGCTTCAGCTTCCCTTGGGACGATGAACTGGTGAGACTGCGCAAGACGCCCCTTCCCACTCTCACGCAGCTCAAGACGATTCACATTCGCAACTTTCCCGAGAATCGAGCTTTGTCGCAGGTCGGCGACTATACAATCAAGGAGTACGCGCACAAGTTCATCGATTGGGTCTTTCCTACGCTGGTTGGAGGGCAGAGACCTGCATTGGAGACTCTGGCTATCGGTCCAACATTGTATGAGAGCAGAATGCGGAGGCCAGTCAGTGGACGTGACCTCCCTGAATTCAAGCAGACCCATTTCTTTGGTGTGGACTGGGCGATGACGCGATTCCTGCGGTGGAACAGCATGGTCAGTCCGGTGAGCGAGAGATATATGGAGGAATTTCGTGAGGAGAGGCCTTTGGAAGGCGTTTTCGAGCAGGTCTGGCTCAAGTGACAAGACCTGGTAGTGATCAGTACGCATATTTGAGCGATGGTGTCTGGGGCGTCTGGAATCTAGAAGTAGGTTTAACAGGCATTATCATGAATATCATTGTGACCTCGGATGCTCAGCCTTGAGTGCACACAGTCGTCTTGCTGTTGCCTTGCTGGGGTCCTCGATATCGTACCGCCGGCCCCCATCTGTAGATATGCAGCCTGATATCGGCTGTGTTATGACAGCTACCTTGCTCGGGAACACAGAGTAGTAAGCGCCTCTCACAGCCGAGTACTTCACAGGTCAACCGGTCTGCGATCCAGTCCATGTCAACCGGTTTTAGTTGAGGCTACACAATCGTGCACTTCACTTCACTGCACTAGATAGGCATGTTTGCCGAGTGCGGAGGTGACTTCTCCAAGTGACATTTATTTTTTGGACGGTGCAAAATAAAGTGAGGGTTGACTGCGTGCCTTCTCTGGCAGTCAGACAATACAAAGTAGCACTTCTGCGGCGGTAGAGACTCGTCATTTTCCTCTTGACTGTCTTAGAGTCCATTCGCAACCACATGGCTTGATCTTCCGCCCCAACAATCTGCCAATATGGCGACCGCCTTCGCCCGGCAACTTCGCGAGATCGCGGCCCATTCTACGAACGAACTCGACCTCAAAGCCCGCCGCAATGCCCACACCGCATCCCTCCTCTTCGAACGAGAAGTTGCTGTCAGACAAGACTGGGAGAGTCTCTTCCAGATATGTGTTGAGGGCTATCGGGAACTCTGCACTCTCGATGCAAGATTTCGTGAATTCGAGTCCAATCTGTTCTCTGCTACGTCAAGAAATCAAGACCGGGAGCAGATGAACAGGGCGCAGAATGAAGATCTAGATGCCACTATCCTTCGATGTCTACACCTGCTGGGTCCACGCCTGCTCCTACTTCCCGGCCTGCGTGCGCTCGAGTGGCTCGTCCGTCGATTCCGAGTGCATGTCCACAACGTTGGGGAACTCCTGCTCACCACACTACATCACCACGAGTTTCCGGTATTTCAAAATATCCTCAATCTAATATCACCAGACCGACTCATCGACGAATGGAAGTTTCTACGGCCGTATCAAAACACAACCACCAGACTGCCTCGAAGTCAGGTTGTGTATGCCGCAACGACGAACAAAGGTTTCTTCTCACTTTTCAACGAATACACGCTGCAAGCTTGCAGGACGCATCTCTCAGAGACACGTTTGCTACGGTTCTGGGGAGGTATCGTTGTCGAGGCTGTAGCTGGTCGCTTGAGCCAGGCGAAGAGTGGCCGTCCTGAGATCGAGCAACAACGAACCGAGGATATTCTGCATCAAATTTTGCCCCTTCTCGACGAAGGACTGACCAACAACATGTCCCTCGATCTCACCGTGACCTGTTTCTCTCTGGCGTTGGTCCTGGCCATGACTGCCACGCTGTCGGATGAGGTCCTTGATTCTTTGCTCGATGCTGTCAGCCGCGCCTCGGCGTTTCCGGGCATCAGCGAGCAGGCGGCTTTGATCAGTCTGGTGAATCTAGCCCATCGGAAAGAGAAGATTGGCATGCTAGAGCCGTTGTCAAGATGGTTTCTCGATTGACAGACATTCCAAAGTCTTTCGCTTTGGTCAGCAGCCAATATTCGTGCCAGAAGTTCTTCCGGGGTGTTCTAGCTACCTTGCTCAGATACGTGGCGAAGAAAGACGATGAAGAGAAGTACCAGACCATCACGCGCGTTCTCAAAGCGAGCATCTCATTCGAGCGTCCCGAAGAGGTTGCAGCTTGGTTCGCCCTGCTAGTGAACGAAGTACAGCGGCTGGGCGTTGAGCGTAGTGTGCAAAACGCTGGTCGGAACAGACTCATCAACCTCTTGCAGGAATTCAGCGAAGCCGAGGAGTACCAGGAGGTCTTCCAAGAGCTGCGCTCCATCACAAATCAGCATAACATCGATCTGGAAAGCCTGCTCCAGATCTCTATCCCATCTCCTCCATCGTCAGAAGAACCAGCGAAGGACGAGGACGTTGAGATGACGGACACCACGACGTCAAATGCCTTTGAAACAGCGCTCGCTGCGGTTCCTGCGCAACTTCCGACTGAAACTGACTTCTTCGCTGCCACCGAACCTGCAGTCTTTCAGGCTCTGCGCAGCTTGCTTCACCTGTGCTACAGAGATCAGACGAACTTGGAGTTCTTCAGATCTCTCCCGATGTGGACGTCCCTTGACGCATCACAATACGTTCTCTTCCTGCTTCGAATTCTCTTCAGCGATGAGCCTAATTATCTCAGGACCGATGCTGCGACATTGCTACTGACAGCGGTCCAGCAAGGGTTGATCGAGGACCTTTCACAATTGCTGCCGTTCTTGTCAGTACTTCTTGCCGACGACGTCGTGGGAGTCCGTCGAATTGCGGCGGCAGCTGTAGCCGCTCTCGAGACCAAAATTGAAGAAGCGAACACAGCCTCCAATGGTGGCACTGCGCACTCATCGAAGCCTACTGCTATTCAGAGATCTATTACTCAGCTATACCTACCGAATATTGAAGAGTTCATCACCGACGGCACGCGCATAAGACAAGCGCTCAAGCATGGTCTAAATGGGACGATAGACAAAGCACGACCACCAAGTAAGGACATCAATGCAGAACTGCCCAAGAATGTCAGAACAGCCTTGTTGGAAGGCTTCGCGCGTGTAGCTGCAGAAACGCCGCTCTTGCGATTCAAGATCGGCGTGATCGCGATTCTAGATGGAGTGACCAGAGGCGGGTCAACTGCAAAGACAGAAGCATTTCTACCTATTTTGACCGAGTGGGCGATACAAAACACGGCACAGGCGAATGCATTGGCGTCAAAAGAAGGTCTCAGCCTTCTGTCAATCGACAGGAGTATGGCAGCTATCATTACCAGCCAACCGAAGAATCAAATCGAACAAGTTCTTGACTTCCTAGAAGCGGAAAATCTGTCCCTTCGCGAACAATTGGTCAGCGTAATCTTCGATCGTGTCATTGACGTCTGGCCCGACGTACCAACTGACAGGAACGAATCGCTGGCACTTCGACTTTTTGATATGTCCTTTCATGAGCAGAACTTCCTTGCAGATATTGCAAAGGCTGCTCTGCATCAAATCCACCTTAGCGAGTCCACCCTTCAAGCCATTCTGGAGAACGCAATGTCCCACAAGAGCGAGATTCAGGACCAGCCACCCACGAAGAAGCGACGAACTAGCAGTCACGGCGGCTCGGGTAGAAGCGTGGCTCCTCTGACAGCCGCGTTTCGAGAGAGCTTGGTCCGATTGACGCTCGCTCTCGATCTCGTGGAGGGATCCAAGCCTGAGCATCATCCTGGTCTTCTCGCACAGCTCACGGAAGTGTTACTGCACCTTCGCAGAAGCAAGGACCAGTTGCAAGCAGACTCGCCTTACCTAGTTGCAGCATGTCTCGGGTCAATGCTCGCAATCGTTGATAAGCTCAAGTCTGCTCGGCGACCCAGCATCGATTGGAACCACATTCGCGCAGATGTCATCGCCGACTATGTGCGGACTTCTGACAGCTCGCAGGTGCAGAGTCAGGCTCTTGCGCTTTCGGCGTCCTTAGCAGAGGTAGCTCCCGACAAGGTGTTGCATCACATCATGCCTGTCTTCACGTTCATGGGCAAAACGAGGATGATCACTCAGAACAATCAGCACTCGATTAACGTTGTTAATGAGGCTATCGATCGTATCGTGCCATCACTGGTCGCGACGCTTCGGAAGCAAGACTCGAGCAAGATGCTACTTTCAACGAAGACCTTACTGTCAAGCTTCGTGGCCTCGTTCGATCATATTTCCGAAACAAGAAAAGTGCCGCTCTTTCAGCGTTTGTTGCGACAACTTGGCTCAGCAGAATTTGGCTTCGTCCTTGTCGCAATGCTTGAGCTCCGAGGAGTTCCGAAAGAGCAGCTGGATTTGTTCCTGGCCAAACTTTTTGGCGGGCTTCCACATGAAGCACACCTGTCGACATACCGGAATCTTGTCATTCTCGCGCAAGACTGCTTTGCTCCCAATCCTGGCCGTGCCGAGGTCCTGCTCGAGCTCTCTCAAGCGTCTTCCGGTCAAGATCGTGCCGATGCTGCCACGAAGATACTGCTCAGAGCCGAGACCATAATCGAGAACGAGGCCTTGAGAGTAAGATCGTCTAAGACAATCACGCCCGACTCCAATGGTTCACCCACAATGGAAGACTACTTCAGGGAATCTTTACTTCAGACCCTCGAGACCACGAAAGCACTTCAAGTCCAAGGCGGTGAGTTGCAAGCCATCTTAGGCCACTGTTCGGTAGAGCTTTTACGCAAAGTCTCCGTTCGACAATTAATCAAGCTGCTTGTCTTACTCTCCGACGAAGCCGCCGAAATCGACGACGAGGTCAAAGCACAAGCTCTTCAGTCTTTGGCACGCAAGCTTCAGCAAAAGGGCAACATCGACACAGAGACAGCCACTGCTGCCCTTGACTATTTGTCCAACCTCCAAGCCATGATAAGTGGAACAGATGATGTCAAAGTCCAAGTCGCGGCGATTCGGTGTGTTGACGGGCTCTGTGCCAGATACGGTCGAAGAGACGTCAACAAACTTCTGGATACGGCCGTCATACTGGCCGGAGACGCAGGGCTGTCATCCTCGAACGAGAATGTCCAAGCTGTTGCTGCTCACACACTTGCCTCACTTGTGCTGATGATGCGGGAGGCTGCCGTTCCTATCGTGTCTCAAGCACTGCAAGGAGCTTTGCATATGATTGAGAACAGTCATGTCGACGGGAGCTCGAAGATGCTCCTGCATAATGCAGGATTCTCGCTTATCACAAGCTTGGCCCAAGGTGTAAGCTTCATGTTATCTGAAGATGACGTTGGTTCCATCGCAGTCGCGGCTGCCGAGTGCGCATTCTCCGACCTGCCGAACGAGTGCGAGCAGTTCAGGCGCGAAGCCTTGACTCCACTCGCAGAGAACATCGACTTCGAGACATTCCTCCAAAGCCTCATGCAGAAGTGGGAGGAGGTTGTCGAGTTCGAGAAAGAGGGTATTTTGCCCACACTCGAGGTCCTCGCACATGCTATCGATCATCAGCCTAAGACAACAGTAGTCCAGGCCGCTGACAAACTCTCATCGCTGCTCTTGAAAGTCTTTGATGTTCGCCGTCATCAAGCAATAAGCGCTGACGAAGCGGAACTTGAGGCCGACGATCTTGCTGAGATTGAGCTGAAGGCAAACGAGATCGCTTTGAAATTCATCTACAAGCTGAGTGATGGAGTCTTCAGACCGATCTTCGAGACCTGGGTAGATTGGGCAACGAATCCACGGGACCTTTCAGAGGGCGATGTCTCTGTGCCCGAACAGAAGTTACACCGGCAGATCACCCTGAGCAGATTTCTGGCACACTTCTTCTCTACATTGAAGTCGATCGTCACTTCGTACGCTTCGTACTTGCTGAAGCCAGTCAACGACTCTTTGGCAGAGTTTTACAAACATTGTCCAACCTCACCAAGCGCGTTGCTGCTCTACACAACACTGCTCACGGCACTTTCAGAAGCCTTCAAGCATGACGCCGACGGCTTCTTCACAGCACCATCTCACTTCGAGACACTTGCGCGAAATCTCGTCAATCAGCTCGAGCTCGCTTCTAACAAGCACTTCCGGCCTCTAGTCTTTCAGAACGTGCTGCCTACCATTGTGGCCTTTGCGACAGCCGTGCAAGATACTTCATCGCATCATCTCGCCATCAATCACTATCTCGCTCAACTACGCCACGCGGACTCCCAGCACGTCAGATTGGCTAGCATCCGCACCCACCTGGCACTCACAGAGGATGAGGAAGTTGGTGAGGAGTGGGTCGATAACATTGTCAGTGGCACGGCCAACGTAGAAACGCTAATGGCTGCTGACAGCGAGGACGACGGATCGAAGGGCTTCGCTGGCGTAGGTGGTCGCGGGGAGACTATGATATACGTGAATGAAATGCTTGAGGACGACGATGAGGAAGTTGAGCGGGAAGTCAGGCGGTGGGTGCGGATGGTCAGGGAGAAGGTTGGTGAGGACGTTTTTGAGACTTGATGATGCCAATGCTGATTTTAATGCCATGCTATGCCATTCGATGCTTCAGATGGAGAAAAGTTGAGATACCCATTTGAGCAGCATTCAACGCTGTCCTATATAGATGAAGATAGCAGAATCGAATCTAGATACACTGCTCCTGCTTCGCAATTCTAGGCCATACAAGCTCTTACCATCTATCCCTGCCCCTCGTCTAGTGATGTTGCCGCCTTCTGATGTTCCTGCTTCTTGTGTTGCTGACAATTTGTAGACGCTGCTTTCTAGCACTGCGTTCTTGCTTCTCAGGCTTGCTTCGTTCATGCTACACAGTAGATACCCAGTCAGATTTGCTATTCTGGCACACAGTAGCACAGGCCCGCGTCCAGTACTCGCTTGCATTTGCTTGTTTGCATGGTTGACAGCTTGCTTCTATTCTTCGCTTGCTGCCCTGCTGTTTGTGCAACTGTAAACACCATCTTAACGCAAGGGGTAGGATAGGGTAAGTAAGATCGGCGCCAAGCACCCCTGCACATCTCCGTTCAGGTACAAAAGCTTGAGCTGACCTCTGACCTTCTTCCTCATTCATCAGTGCGTCCACGAGCCTGACTGCTGTAGTTCTCTGATCATGGGTGCCTCAACAGCCGCTTTGGCGGAAGCCGCAGCCTGTGGGAGGCAGACGATCTCGACGCTACTGCTAGCGACGTCGCTAAGCCGAGGACCCGCTGGCTCAGATCTCTGTGGCTGAACCGTCCGCTGCCTTCGGGCTGGAGGCTTGACGCCCACGACGCGACGCTTTGTATAAAGATATATGCTTATTGGCCTTCCAGAATCTGCCAATGGCCACTTGTCGGCTTTGATGTGGCGTCTTCGGCGTCACGATTCTCGCCCGAATGCGATACTCGGACACGCTGGAGTTCATGACGCCTTGGAATGACCCGGATCGATGACCGCTGGGTGTCTCTGCACCGTGTCTGCTCGGCGCGACTGGTCTCACAGTGCTATCAGAGGAGGCAGCAATGGATAACGGAGCACAAGAACCACGAGACAGGCCTCATGCGCCTTCCAGAACCATCAATGAATCCGAGTCGATGTGTCAAGACGCGTCAGACAGTCTTGAATCCAACGGAAGCGGTCCTGCTGCGCGCATGCAGCTCTCAGAGACTCGCTAGTTCCTGCTGGACGGTCCCTGCGCTCCCTTTATGGTCGACAAAGGAGCTCATCGTGTGTCTCGGGACAGGCAAGGATGTCTCGGGTTCAACGAGCAAGACTTGCACTTCGCGACACTGCCTGTTGCTGCATGCTGGTGGTGTCTCACTGTGCTTAAAGTGGCCTCCGCACACAATTCTGGCAAGTGAACACCAAATCTCAGGTGGTCTTTGTCCGTTGTAACTCCGGCAACATGTCACGCTAAAAGAGAAGGCAACCTCCTCTGCCATTCAACTTCTTACTCTGCTACTTTGCTTCACGGACACAACCCTCAAAGCCTACAAACTATGTCCCAAGTGTATCTTACGCAGATCATCTTCTATTAGACTCACAGACTCATTGCGGAGACCTATCCTCGACTAAATTATCATGTCTCAACGACTACCTTCAAATGCCTCGCCGAGCCCTGCTACACGTCTCGGTCCCTCGGAAGCAGGTCGTGCGGCTATCGCAGCATGGGCGGATCTGACACCCGAGGAGAAGCAGGAGGGAATAGCAGCCGTCTATGCCATAATCAACAGCTACCATCATCAAGAGATATGCATTTCTCCGGCTTCAGGACTGTGTTTCGGCTCGAGAGACGATGTATTCTGTTCAATCCCGTATTGCAAGCGCTGCGCTGGTCAGAATCTAACTGCAGCTTGCATTGAGCTTGCTAAGCAAGGATACAAAGAGTTGGACGAGGCCGACTACATGAAGCAACTCAATTCCATGGCCACCGATATCCAACAGAACTTCCTATTCCTGCGTGCGAACAAGTCTGCAATCGTTCAGGCGACCTCTTCATTGTCGATCTCGGAACTGAAGGCGCTCATAAACAAAGCCTTTCAGTGGGAGCCACCAAATGCTTACTACGACTTCGCCAACTTTGCTCAACGCGACCCTCGGCAACCCAAAACACAGTTCAATCAAGGCGCAACACGAACAGCTCGTGACAGTAGCAGAACTGCCTCCTTCGTCGCAAGCATTCTGGAGCCACGGGCCACTCGCCATCCAGTACACTTCCTTCGTGATGATGATGCGCAATCACAGCTTTGCTGGTCACAAGCGATGGGCAAAATTCGTTCCGCGTCTTGCTATGTCGAATTGGCCAACCCTTCAGAATACACTTGGCGAGCTCGCACAATCACACCCGATGCACTTCATGATGACTTCACATTCAGTGCTGCACGCGCTTGGCTTTTTCTCACCGCGCAATGGAAGATTTATGACGGTCTCCTGGGATTTTGCCAGCATGTTCTCCCACCCGGAGACTACAGTCTCGGTCAGTGCTCTACCGAATCACCCAAGGACGCGAAAGCTGTTGCAGCGGCGTTGCTCCCTCAGCTCGAGGTGTTATCGGATTGTTCCAGGGCTCTTTTGGAGGATGAGCGGCAGTATCTACCCTCCTTTGGCGGCGATACCAGGCACGTGATCGATGAAGTCGCGATCTTGGAGCAGAAATTCAAAAGAAGTGGCCGCCAGACCTATGAGGCGCGCGTACGCGCCATCGACTATTGCTCCATGTACAGATTGAAGCGCACTGCAGTCCTCTCCCATTTGAAGGAGGATTTGCGGAAATTTCGCAAGTCGACAGTTTCGTTTCTGAAGGACGGAACTACGAATTCCGATGCTCATAAGGAATTCTTGCGTACCAGGGACGATACTGAGGCAAAGGTGCTGATGTTTCTGAACGAATTGTGCAAGGAGGCCCTCATTGAGGAGCTCGAAATCACGACTGTCTTTAGTGAGATTGATGCTCACCAATCCGACTGGAGGGACCTCTACAGCTGCAAGAATTTCAACCGTTCATTACCCAAAGGAACACTTGGGGCAGACCCTGCCACCACCATGTTCTGGTTCTTGTGCAAAGGATGGACCGTGCCCGAGAAGGCGCGTATCCTTGAGTCCACGCTCGAGAAGAGCCACAAAGGTATGGACGATCGCTATCGACTTCAGCTCCTGAAACGTGTCCACCTTGCCGTCGAAATCCTCGATGTATTGGAAGACGTCCATCCATGCGTTGTCAACGAAGCAGATTTCGCTTTTTACGAGAAGCGCTTCTACCCGCCAGTGAATACTGTTGCATTAACGTCTCTAGCGATGCAGTATGACCTTATGAAAGACCAGTTCGCGACAGAATGGACTGCATTACTGTGGGAGAAGACATTTGCTGAGCTGGAGGAGCACTGGAAGGTCGTTTCGTTGTGTACTGAAGGCAGAAGGGAGCTCAGAGAACAGTTGGGAATGCCGGAGTCGAAGGAGGAGGAGGAGCCGGACGGAGAGGAAGTCGCAGCTGTCACTCCAGCTGCCGACGCTGCCGAAGAAGCCGTAAGAACACCCCAGCGGACTCCTAGGATAGGGTTGGGTACGCTGGTCGAGCCTGCTACTGCTCAAAATACGCCATCTCGCCGCCCTGATGTCCGCAATCAGTCGTATCTACGGGACTACGTTTTTGGCGCGAGAACACGATCTAGGGATGGGCACCACGGAGGACATCGCCCACCACAGATCCAGGAAGAACCAGCCCGCGATAGACGGCCAAAGCGTCGCAACGGGTCACCACCCGAAGCAGCTGCAGCACCAGCAACAATCCCAGTAGCGCCTCCCCTCCCAGCTCCTCAGAAGCTTGTCTTCAGGGACGCCAAACTCTACGACGACTGGCGCCAGCTTTTCCCGCTTCCTGGCAGCCGCCAGGTACGCCGCGAAATCAAGTGGGAGAATCTGCGCCGCTGTCTGGAAGCAGAGCCACTGGAGTTTACGTTAGTATTTCGCGAGGCGCCAACGTTCCGTTATAGGCGGGATGCACGAGATGGCCGGCCGAATCTGATGATCGGGTTGCACTGCCCGCACGGCGCGAACCCGACGCTTACGAAGAGCATGCTGGAAGGCATGAGGAAGAATATCGCGCAGAGCACGGGGTTTGTGGCGGAGGATTTTGTGCTGATAGGGGAGGACTGACCCAGGCAGGGACGATTTGTGGGCCAAGGAGTGGGAACGGAGAGGCAACTGGGAGGAGAAGGGCCGGAGAGGCGACAGCGAGGTCTGGCAGAGTGAGTACTGATCAACCGTGTCTGGGAAGAGCTGCACGATCGGCTTTGCTTCCGTTGGATTTGACCCCTATTCACGAAATCAGGCAACAAGGCAACCTCGATGTCTTGGCAAATATCTGTGTGACAGAGGCCTCCCTCGCCAGCAAGATAAGTCAGTCAATGCGTCGAGGTCAAGCTGTATCAGGACAGATGAGGTCAAGTTGAGGAACAGACTGAGTAGACAGCATGCTGGTGCTGTCACATAAGTGCCTCAGAGCCTGTGGGCTTCACAGGAAGCAGCACTTGACGGCTTCAGGCTTAGGTACTAAACGTTCACCATCACCCCAGAGATGCTCTCACGCAAAGCTCGGCACACACAATATGCATTGTGAAAAAGTGACTTCTATTGATTTCTCGGCTTTCTGGAGAGATGTTTTGCTACCTCTGTAGACTGCAAACCCTCCACTGTCCTTGAACTCCGCCTGAAACCACAGCAGACATGGCATCGATAGCACCAGTCCCAACTCTCGCGAACGAGCAGCGCATCGACAGACTCACCAGAAGAACTACCGGAGAAGGTTGCGACACGAGTCGTCCGAATCCAAAGATTCGCTGTCAAGGTCGATGGGTGCGAGCTTGCTCACGAGAAAGCTGTCCCACATGCGAGCGACAGTTCCTCGATCCCAAAGCACGCGAATACCTCAAACGACAGAACGATTACAACTATGTACCTGAGAAGGATGCGGAGCGCATGCTTCGAGACCTCGGCGATGCCATTGAGAATTCGTGGGATCGCGTCAAGCACTCCGCAAGCGCCGCCATTGAGCTCCTGCCCGAAATCGATAAAGCTGTTGTGAAGCAGCTATTCAAAGAGGCCTTTCCAGCATTGCTTAGCTATATCCACAACCCTAGCGTCCGATGCCGACGAGCTGAACAGGTTCGATATTTGCCAGACCTCAACGTTGCGCTGAAATTCGGCAGGCTCTTCATGGATCTTTTCGACCTGGACAACGATCTGGAAAGCATAATGGACTTCCTGGAGTATCGATTGCATTTTCCGCCGGCATTCTTCGCTACCACACACAGTGATCACATTCAGCTTGGATGGGATACATTACAATTCAGCTTCGTCCACTCACACATTTTCGTCGATCTCAACCACAACAGCTATCGCGGCGCAAAGCTGGCCGTCCCAGTTGAGCCGAATGCTTTGCACAAGCAGAACATGTTCAGCTTCGAGCGCGGCGTCCTGATTCTGCAGAGTCAGAGACTGTACTGTGCTGGCATGGCGCACTTCTTAGAAGCGGTCTGTCGACACGGACAAACATTAGGGAAAGAAGTTGGCAACACGCCTGCAGATCCGGAAGACATCACAATGATTGACATACTGTACATCTCGCGTCTCAACGTTGACGACCTGATACCTGCAGTCGAAAAGCAGCTCAAGAGTCAGCAAGAAGAATACTTCTCTTTGCTTACCCAGGACAAGACCAGCATTGATGTGATCAACTCGATCTGTACATGGTTGGTCGGAGATCCAGATAGCTCTGACGCACAGCTGCTCGAGCATGCAATCAGCATACACATATTCTCAACAATGGATCGCCTCGTAACACTTCATCGACTCTGCGATGCCCTCAAGCACCTAAGGTCGTCACTGAAAGCCTGGGAGAACAGACGAATCGCCAAAGTAAAGATCCTGGAAGCCCGCGACAGTGTCGAGAGTACCCTCTTCGCTTATCTTCGCGCTCTTGCCGCATCCTACCTGAAGAATCACGAGTTTATCGGCGAGGCCTTCGACGAACTCATCAACGACCATCAGGGCGATTACCTCCAGCTCGTCCAGTGCGACAAAGACCACATCCGCAGCGGCCATTTAGCAGAATTCTGGATCATGTACGGTCTAATAGAGCCGATATTGCCGACCAGCTACATCTTGAGCGAATGCGGCCACGTCGCCAAGTGCAAACGCAATTTCTTCCGGGAGGGCGTCAAGGATAACCTGCGTCCACATATGGCTTTCGCTGCTGACGTATTTTCAGTGCTGTATCAAATAGGTACTTCTCGTGATCCGATTGAGCTCAACTTCAAATCATCAAACAAGCTTACCTCAGTAATCTATCCTCCCATCGCATCGCTAGTCACCAGAATGATGACACGAGACGCTGTTGCTGAGATCAAAGAGACCGATCCTGAAGCCTGGTCCCAGCTGCTGTGGTCTACCACCTTCATCTGCCTTGAGAAGACCTGGGCACAAGACAGCGTAGAGGAAGACACGAGAGCTTACCTGCGACGCGTTTTCGGCATGCAGAAGCGGAAGCGTGCTCCGAAACCAAAAGCAGAAGAAGCCGAAGCAGCCACAGAAGATGGAGGAGAAGATGTCACCGATGAGGATCCAGAATCAGCCCAAAACAAGGCTAAGGAGGGCGCGGACGCTACGAAACGCGAAATCGCCAGAATGCGCGCCAAATACCGTCTCTTCGACGCCAACGAATCCCTGCGCGACTATGGCATCAGCGAGAACCTTCGATGGGGCATGGAGGTGGCTCCGAGACCATCACAATTCGAGGAGGACCTCGTTGCTGCCGTTCCGAAGCCGCCGAAGCGCAGAATGGTCGTCGTCAGAGACGAAGAAGCAGCCGACGCGCTTCTCGCCGCTGCTCTTCCCGAAATCGCTCCCCCGGAGCCGATCGCGCCTCTCGTTTTCGTCGACGCAGACAAATATCACACCTGGCGCCAGATCTTCCCACACCCAGGCGAGAACCAGGGCGGAAGACAGCGAGTTCCGCGGCTGGAGTTTCGGCGCGTGCTCCCAGGTGCGCCGCTGAACTTCATTGAAGAGCGCATAGGGGGCGTCACGGGCAACAAGTGGCGGCGTTTGGAGGGCGATGGGTACGAGGAGGCGACGGTGACGCTGCATATGCCGCATGGCGGTGAGACTGTGTGGTTGGAGAGGGAGCACTTGCAGACGCTGCAGGCGCGCTTTCGACATGCGTTTGGCTGGGCGCCGGAGGATTTCGTGCTGAGAGAGGGCTAGGGCGGGCTCTGGGGAGTCGATTTGGGGCTGAGATCTGGGAAGCTGTGCTTGCTGTAGTGGAGTTGGAATAGCAATCCAATCGTGTGACTTGAGCGTCTTTGAAGCTGCTGCTGATGTGAAATGGAAGCTGCTAGTAGTCCAGTACGAACATGAGTCCAGGAGAGGGTGACTCTTGTAGCAGACTGATCTGAGCGCAGTCTGACCGCCAGGGCCGCTTAAGTTCACCCAGATGTATCTGTGAGTTGTAGGATGCGGCAAGAGCAGATGCCACGGACCCATCGCACGTTCCTGCGCCCGGCATGAAGTTCCATTTACTCTTGCCCAGCCCTAGTGAGCATCGCAGGGGTACTCAGAGTCGATTGAGCAGGCACACTTCATGTCGCCTGAACGTCAGTATCTCCTCGCCCAGACCTCAGTGGCCTGGCAACCGGCCTCGGGGGTCGATGGTCACCCACTTTTCTACTTTACTTATTGGTCCTTATATATTCGTCTTGCCAAATATCCATCCAACAATCGCACCCAGATCCTAGCGGTGAGCAGGTCTATTGATCGGCGGAGACAATCCATGGAAAGCTACATAGGAAAAGGTCGATAGTTGTCCTGAGCAGCTAATAAAACTATTACCATTCAGTATGGGGTACAGTCTCCTTCATCGATTCGCTCCCGATGGTGTGTACTGATAGTAGTTTTCCTAAACGTTTCCAAGATCATCATCGATCTCGAGTTTGTCCGAGAGTGCATCCAGAAACAGTTCCTCTCTCAAACCTGGCGTTTAGTTTTTGCTTTTTTGACGACTGGGTGTTTTGCTGTTTACTTTGGTTGTTGCTGTGCGGTTGTTGTATCGTTGACTTGCCAAGACAGCAGATGTAGGTCGCTCTCGTCTGAGACCAGTCGTGTGCTGATCACTGGCAGTCGCGTGCGATTCCGACCCAGATTCGGATTCCGGCAACAACGCTGCGACTGATATTTCCGATCGCCTTTGTCCAAGAGCCAGCAGCTCGACACCTCACCTCAGTCGCCGCGACCATCGCCCGGTCTTAGTATCGTTCGCCCATCGGTACTATGCTAGCATCCTCTCCCGTCTACCGCTCTCAATGCGTACGTGTGCAACCATGGGTGGATGAACTACTCACTGCTGCCCCTTCTCGCCTTATTCGCCATTCCCGGCTTGTCCAGCTTCACCGCCGCGGTCCGATAGGTAAGATAGCAAAGATATGAGGTTCAGAAAATCCTTCTGGAAAAGTGATTACATGCTCCACATACCCGAAACAACAGGGCATGATGGCTCAGCCTTGAGACCTTGCTGTGATGAGCTAATCCAGAGCGTATCTGTGCACCTCTCTTGCCTTCATCTCAGTCGAGTTGGGATCTCCATCGCATACATATGTGACTGTTAATTTCGAAGTATCATCGGAGCGAGACGAAACGATTCGATCTGCCCGCCGGGCTTGAGCTCGCACAGCTTACCTGGATTCGATAGCCAGCCGGACCAATCACAACCATTGCGCGTTCCCGATGCCCTTCGTCAGGCCCAAATCCTTCTTGAACTCTCCCTCACTTATGTCACTCTTTGGCTAGCTCTAAACACGTTCGCAGGAACTATGTTGCATATCGGCCACGGCTGATCCTTTTCCAAGGGTGGAGCTTCAGCGCTTGTCCGCGTAGGATGGGACCTGTACCATAGCTTGAGGCATGATACCTTTGCTCATGGAATCATTCGCATTCGGCACTGTGCTGCGTGAGTACAATAATTGGGCCTGAAAACTTTAGTAGCTGGCCGACCACAAGCTATAAGATCTTATCTTCTCAGACGACAAGTCAATCTCAACGATCGTGCTAAGGTGAAGCCCATACATCGAGATCATGGGCGCCGACCTCTTCCATTCTCTAACTTCGGTCGCCAAGCTGGGCTCGATCGCGTATCTGCTTTATCTTGTTGTGAGCACAGTTGGTCTCATCGTATATAGAGTGTTCTTCCACCCCCTTCACAAGTTTCCTGGTCCACGACTGGCTGGTGCAACATACTGGTACGAAACCTATCAGGACCTCTTCACAGGCCCGTACCCGGGCCAAGGAGCATACAACATCGAACGCCTTCACAAGCAATATGGTAAGCCCGACGCAAGAAGCGTGGACACCCACCTAACCAAAGTCCGATACAGGCCCTATCGTCCGCGTTAGCCCCGACGAGCTCTCCGTCAATGATCCGGACTGGTTCGACACACTCTACAAATCTGGTCGACGCGACAAATGGCCCAAGAACTCCAAAGCCAACGGCTCGCCTGGCTCCATCGCCTCCACCATCCACTATGCCCAACACAAGGCACGGCGCTCCGCCATCACGCAGTTCTTCAGCAAGCAAGCCGTCAACAACCTCGAATCCATCATCGGCGCGAAGGTCAACCAGCTCACTAACGGCATCGAGCGCGAATTCCGCCAGAAGGGCCAAGTGCTCAACACTGGCATTGCTTTCACGGCGCTCACGCTAGATGTGATCAGTGATTATTGCTTTGGACAGTCGTGGCGGTGTCTCGAGCGTCCTGATTTCGCGCCAGAATGGAAGAAGACGATGACGAATTTGTTCGAGCCTGTGCCCGTGATGAGGAACTTCCCATGGATCATGGGCTTCATGCAATCGCTACCGGATTGGGTCATGGCGAAGATGGCGCCGGATATGGTTATCTTTGCAGAGGCGAAAAATGTCAGTGACCTCTGCCATGCACCTGACCAGCACCTACTGACCTATATCATCTACAGAGCGTGCAAAGACAAGTCGAGCGCATCATCGCCGAGCGCGAAGCCTCTGCCACAGGCACAAAATCATCCTCTCTCGGACGCCCCGAGCCCGGCTTTGACAACAGCTCCTCGCGCACAATCTTTCACGCCGTGCTCGACTCGCCTCTCGGTTCCGAAGAGAAGACTGTGGACCGGATTACGGACGAAGCCTTCGTGATGATCGTCGCGGGCGGCGAGACTACCGCAAAGACTCTTACGAACGCTGTGTACCACCTCCTGGCCAATCCTGCATGGCTGAAGCGTGTGCTGGCCGAGTTGGACCAGGTTATGCCTGACCCGAACGTCCTTGCTCCTTACTCGAAACTAGAAGCGCTGCCCGTGTTGGGGGCCGCGATCAAAGAGACGTTGCGGATTAGTGCGCCGGTGACGAATCGGGTGCAAGTGATTGATCCGGAGGGCGATTTGATGTTCGGTGACAAGTGGGTGGTTCCACGAGGCACCCCGGTGAGTATGAGTGTGCCGGCCATCCATCTTGACGCGGCGTGTTTTCCGCAGCCGATGGTGTTTGATCCGGAGAGGTGGATTAGTGAGGAGACGAGGGAGAGGAGCTTGAGGTATTATATGCCATTTCATCGGGGAACGAGGAATTGCGTGGGGCAGAAGTGAGTCCATCTATCGTTGTCGCTTATCTCTGTTTAGTGTGATAGAGACACTGACGAGAAACGTGCGTGGTCTAGCCTCTCATACGCAGAACTCTACCTCGGTCTCGCTGCCGTGCTGCGCCGCTTCGAGCTCGAGCTATACGATACAGTGCGGGAGAGAGATGTCGACACGGTCAGGGACTGCTTTGTGGGGATGCCGACACCGCAGGCCCAAGGGGTCAGAGTGAGAGTTCTGGGGAAGCGACCTTGAAGTTGACATTGAGTACGAAGCAGGCGTTGGTCGACGAGATGCTCAAAGAAGTGAATAACGACGGGCATCGTTAGAGTCCGAGTCATGCTGGAAATAGTGAATGCTCCCACGCCGAGCCAGTAGAGTGAATGCTTCGGTCTGCTCGATCTTCATTTGTGGAGACGATGTCTATAAGTATCTGCTCTGCCCCCGACCTTGTTCTTCCCCACGATTAAGGTGGCTGCGTACGAATTGATGCCATGCCTTGGTAGCAAACACTGCTAACGGGTGGGGCAACTTACTGCACGATTGATGGATCACCTCTTTATAGTCTCTTGAACGAAAGGGCCAAGTCCGTAGTAATGACCCACGACACCTGACCGACCATCTCAGGACCTTCTGACCCCTTGACCACCTCACTCACGAGCGAACGCGCACGCTCTTGAGGATCTGTTCACGCTTTCTGCATCATTCTGCTAATCCTTGGGAGACATAATATCGTCTCACCAGCGGCGAGCATCTAAATGATTACTACCAAATGTCTGAAACGACGAGGTGATCGGTCAGTGATGAACATCAGAACGAATTGATCTATAACCTCTGAACAATGCATATAATGTGCTAAACATTCGGCTCGAAAGTGGCAGCTCACATGTCTTCAGCAACTGTGGTCGTAGGCCTTCTGAGTGTACTGGTCTCAATCACGGCTCGAACTTCCCGGGATGCCACCTCGGCTCACCACTCAGATCTTCCAGTATCACCGGCTCTGGTCCTTGTCCAACACCACCATCCTCACCCTGCCTGCCCTGATTCTTCTTCCCAGCCCCAGCAATTATACTAGGCTCCCCCACCGTCGTTCCCTCCACGATCCCACCTGCAAACGGAATCTCATCAATGCCCTTCTGGACCCCAAACAGTACCTTCGCCTTCACCATCTGGCACACCATGAAATTCAAAACCGCCTGCACGCCCACCTCTTGCCCCCTTTTCACGATATACCCATTGATATAGTCGATCTCAGTATCGAGTTTCGCCTTCCTGACATCCTCGCGCATGGAGCTTGAGTTCTTGGCTGTCTTCGTCGCTACTCCCACGAACAGGTCCTTGAGGCGGGCGGAAGAGAAGCGTGCGTTTAGCGCAGGAATGGTTTGCAGCTCGGGTAGAGAGCGGATTACTAGACTCAGCTCGGCGAGGAGCATGTTTTGAACGGTTGAGAGTGGTGTGTTCTGAAGCATGAAGCCGTTGGGGAGGTCGTAGAGGGCGGTGAGCGGGTTCAGAAGGGCGTTGGCGGAGAGTTTCTCGAGTTGGAGCTGGAGGAGATCGAGGTAGGGGTATGCGGCGGCGGCGAGGGTCGAAGTCCGGGTCAGCGTGCGCAACAGGTAGCGAGCGGAGAGTGATGTGGCGTAAAGTTCGGCGTCGGTTGGGTAGTGACGAGCGCGGTCTTCTGGGGAGAGCGAGGACAATGATGTGGTCTGTTGGAGGGATTTGGGCGGTAAGGGGTAGCGGTCGGTGTCGCGGTGGATGCCGAGCGAGGTGGCGCCGAAGCCGGTGTGGTGGACCGTGACGGGTCCGGTCATGTAGCAGCCGTGGGAGATGACACCAATGAGGAAGGTCGGACGAGTGGCTGGGTCGGTGAATACTTGGTCGATGAGCTCATCGATTTGGCCGAGACCGTTCTGCATGAGGCAGATAGTGGTGCGCTGGTCGACGCGGTGTCTGATGGACTTCATGGCGGCGACGGAATGCTGGGCCTTGACAGTGCAGATGAGGGTGTAGATGAAGGTCTCGTCGGTCTCTGGCAGGACCTCGTCCTCACTGCGAGGGTAGGCAGGCGTGTTGGTGCCTTCCTTCCAATACCCCTTGTAGTGCCAGGCAGGCGGTGGCTGGCCTGGCTCCCATGGCTGTCGAATATCACAGTCATAGCCTCGCTGAGGATCATTGAGGTCAGCCTTGATGTCCATAAGGCGAATAACGCTGCCACATCTTCGAAAGGTATCGTACATGGATTGTTTGTGCATCATGATGGTTACAGGCGGCGGATGTGGTATTGTTCGCAGTGAATGGGCGATCAGTGTTCCTATGCTGCCCATGCCGAGTATGTGAATCCGTCGCGTGAGCAGCTTCTCCTCGTCTGCCTCAGGCGGCTCCATTGTACTGGGTCGAAAGTCCTGCGACGTCGAGAACTGCGGTTGTGACTGCCCTTGAGTCTGCCCGCTGGGTCCCGCCCACCATGACTTCTGCTCCGCCATTGTCGAAAATTGTGGTGTTCTATTCACCTGGGTTACATGACTCGTCCGCAGCGGTGCGGATGTCGATCTAGGTAGGAAGAGGCATGACGAGTTACTTCACTTGCAAGTCGAAGTACAAGCCGGCGAGTCGCGCCGTCCAGAGGAGCCACGGTGAGTCACCTGTCTATAGAACCGTGCATCGTCAGTCTGCGGTGAGGAATGAGCTCGCCGCAGGTAGCTTTCAATGACGATGAGGTCCATTCGAATCGACGGCGCGATTTTGCGGGGAATCAGTGCCGAACGGCGTGCGCCGAACCTCCAATTCGGAGCCCCGAGAGAAGCCGGCGTCTATCACGATCGCGACTTCACAAAATTGCGACTTCTTTCTTCTTTCCCATTGACTTCTTCTCGACCGAGTCTCGAGAGCATTCGTGCACACTAACATACTCTAGCTAGCCACTATGGACACTGCCGGCGTCCGCGACGCTCTCAAGCAGATGTCCGGGCACCTGAGTGACCTAGACCAGACTCTTCAACCACTACTAACCACCGCATTATCAGACACGATCAAGAAGCTGCCTCTTCTCGATCGTGCCAAACTCTACGTCGCAATCTGCTCCATCATCGAGACTCTTCTCTACTGTAGGATCCACTCCACGCCAGAAGTCCAGGCTGACTTCTTCCTACAGCATACCTGCTCCTTCATGGCGTCAAGGCCAGAGAACATGCAGTCTTCAAAGAACTGCTACGAGTCAAGCAGTACTTCGAGAAGATCAAGGCCGCCGAGGCAGGCTCAACGCCAGAACGCAAAGATCTCACACTCAACAAGCAGGCTGCTGGGCGCATGGTCAAGCATGCTCTGGCTGGCAATAAAAAGTTCGACGTGGAGCTGGCTGCTCGCAAAGAGGCAGAGTTGGCCAATGCGAGGAAGATGCTGCAAGACATGGAAGATCGAAAAAAGCTACAAGAAGAGCGCAAGCTGAAGCGGATGTCTGGCGGCGACGGCAACGGCACACCAACGGCACCTCAGCTCAACGGGTCGTCCGAGATCGACCACCCCATGCCTGACGCTGCCATTGCTACTACGAATCTTGAAGAAGGCGAAATCGAAGGTGACGATGACGCTGTCGACGTTACTGATCCCCAAACCCCCCAGTCCATCGCTACCTCAGAATTGACTGATAGCTCAAAGACTCTCAAGCCAAAAATCAAGCACAAGAAGCGGGCGCGCACACGCGAGAAGCCCCAGGAGTTGTCCGCCAAGAAGAAGCGCAAATACGACAACACCAAGGAGTTGACCATCACTTCATAGAGTGTTCATTCTGCTTCCAGCTTTCTGGAGACTATTTCGACGAGCGATGTCCAGCATTGGGCAATAGATCAATCGATCTCCATTGATCGTGGTTCAAAACACACCTCCAACCTTCTCGCACGTCTCTTCCGTGATTTCCCTCCAGTTCTGCCTCAATCCACGGCCATTCACCTGACCGCTGCTCGCTCCGCATTCCTCATGTACCGATGCTGGTGTGTGGGCTCGTAGCATATGCCGTATGGCCCCAATGCTGACCGTCCAGTCTGCAATGCACCTCAACGCCGCATCGAATTGCGTTCGCGTTCTCTGCAAGGCGATTGCGTACTGTCATGATTGGAAGAAAGGCCTCCCAGCGGACGTTCTTACCGCAACTCCCATCGATCATTCTCCCTCTTTAAGATCTCAATCGCCTTCCCACCGCCATCCAAACTCCTTCTCCCGGCCTCAAGGATTGCCGTTGTAACAATCGTGTTCCCCAGCGTTGGCAGCCCTCGCCTATCCAGCTCCTCAACTGTAACCTTTCCCTCGTTGACACCTGTTACTCCGTTGATGAACTTTTCGAAACTCACATACCCATACCCGGCCTGCCCACCGAAATTCCCCTCCTCGTCCGGCGGATACCGCATGTAGAATGGTTGATCCATTTCGTGCCTGCTTCTGCCGCTGTTGCGTCCGGTGGGTCTGAGACGACTTCGTATCCGCGCTTCGCTTGGTTCACGTTGACTTCTCCTTTTGAAGCAACGTAGTGGAAATGTTGCTGGCTATGCACGCCCGCGTTCTGCGGCGCCGTCCAGCTCGCCGTGTAGATCCCCGTTGCCCTCTTCCCAGCCTTGTCGGGATGAGTCCAGTCCACCAATAACGTGATCGTGTCCTCAGTCCCCTCAACACAACCCTCCGCCTCCGCTATTCCCCTGGATGCGCTGGCGCGCACAACAGCGGGATGCCAGCCCAAGCTCCCCACGATCCACGCGCAGATATCGACGTGGTGGCTGTTGAGATAGTAGCTGATATCGCTGTCCTTCCCAGCCCAGGCTTTGAATGTCGCCAGCTGGGATTTCGGCTGCGACATGTAGCTGTACCAGTAGTTGAAGTCCCCCAGCTGGTTCACGGCCCGGTGTTTGGCGTCTAGGTAGGCTGGATCGAAGCGCTTGTGGTGCTCGATGTAGACGAATACGCCATGCTGGCGGGATAGGGTCAGGAGTTCGAGGTGGTGCGAGAGGAGTTGCGTTGCGGGTTTGGTGATCATGACGTGGATCTTTCGCTCGATGGCGTACTTGGCGATTGGGTAATGGGTACTGTCGGGCGTGAAGATCGTGATTGCAGACCCGGCGGGGAGGGCGTCGATGGCGGCTTTGTAGGCTTCTGGGTCGGTTTTGTCGTTGGCGGGGTAGGAATTGAAGGATGTGTCGAGGTTGTTGTAAACTTTGGTAATGTTGTTGTGCAGGTGCTCGCGAATGGCAGGGAATTTGTGGCCTGAGGTGCCCACGATGGAAAGGGCGCCGACTTTGCCTCGTCGGCGGAGGTCGAATAGTGTGAGACCGACCACGCCGATTTTCTTGTCGCTGGTCGATGCGCTACCGCCGACGAAGCCGGTTGTGTATTCGCCGCTGCCGACCATGAGGACTGCTGGGGGCGCCATGTGGTGGTGAAGAGGTATCTGGGTTTGACGACAACGAGAGGCGATCTGTTCAGAGCTGGTGTGGTCTCAAGTCCGTGAATTCGGAAACTCTTGGTAGTGGCTGGTCAGAATCGAAGCCTCCATCCTGTAGGGTTCCCACCGGTACTTATATTGGAAATCAATCCTTCACTCGTGCATTGAAGTGAAGTGATGTCGATTGTAGTAACCGACCCAGAAGAGTCAATAGCCGGTGTACCCCACAAATGGGTGACATCGACCCCAGATTTCCGGAATGCTGCCCCCAACTACGAATGCGGCAAGGAGAGTCTTCACCCCAGGGTGGCGTGGCAGCATCAACGATGGGAGGCGATGACACGCCCAGTATGCAAATAGATATGATAGATAGTACTGTACATACTCAGCTATTTACATTTTACTTAGACGGCAATGTGACAGTTCGGGGTATATATACACAAAATGGACCTGGAAACAACAAAATCCACCAAGTCTTCGCCCAACGCCTTCGCTACCACAAGGAATATCGCCTGAAATCTGTGTATGTGCTTTTGCATGTCACTTACCACTGCTTCACACGTTCTCAGCGAACCGACTCCGGCCACTTCGGCACTCACACGGCTGCCATCACGGCTCGCAAGTGTACGTCCAACGCCGTCCGGAACAGGCAAACCATGAGCCAGTGGCGGCATCGGCGGAGCATCTGCATATCCGGAGTCTGCTGTATCGGTAGCCGGATGGAGCTCGGTGCCGGGCTGATAGTGACCGGCGTTCGAGCAGGGCTTGGTCTCAGAGCAGCCATACCTTCGGGCTGACCGACCGAGACCTGGCTCGGCGTGCGCGGTCCGGATGCTGCGAAATCTCGAGTCGAGCTTGGGCCAGGCTTCTCCTCACCTGACCCTATGGTAGGACTGGGTGGATACGTAGGCGTGTCCGTCCCACGACCTCCATAGAAGCCTCGACTGTCGCGATAGAACGAGGACCCTGTCAGATTGCTCTCGTTGCGTTGGTGGCCAGCGGCCGATCCGCCTGCTTCTTTCGAGAACGCACCATAGTCGCCTCCAAACCCATCTCCTCCAGTACTAAGGACAGGGGCAATTTTTCGGCCTGCGATTTTCTGAAAGCCACGTTCACTTTCAGGTACTGTCGAAGCTGTCAAGTCCGTGGCTTGAGTGTGACTGGAGTAGGGTCGGAGTTTTCGAAGACTGCTAGCAAGAGTCGCTGTGAGTGGAATGACGGAGGACCGCCCTGACATCCGCTGTGGACCATCATTGCCGCCTTCCAGCATGTTCCTCTCAGCGAGCTGCTCTGGCAAACGTCCCTGAGCCTTCAGCTTCATTCGACGTCGTCTGAGCAGGAAGAGGATGAAGACCAGAATCACTGCCACGCCTGCTATGCTACCGACGACTCCACCGACGACCTCTTGCTGCTGCGGACTCAACGAAGGACCGCCGCCTCCGCCACCTCCGGACGAGCTTGATGTCGCAGCGGGTGCTTCCGAGGTTGCGGTCGCTCCGACTATTGCGCCCCCATTGTCACCTGTAGCGGCAGCAGTGGCAGTGCTGCTGTCATCGGACGAAACGCCGATGCCGAAAGCTGTATTCGTTGGCTCAACGTCGGTAGTACCGCTATCATCGCTGACCGTGGCAAGGACTACGGGAAATAAGGTGCCATTAATGTAAGAGATCTCCAGAGTTGACGTCGTTGTCACCGTAACAATATTGGTCGAAGAAGTGATGGTGCCATTCAAGCTGGTGGACGAAATTTCCGAGATGCTTGGTGTACTGCTGCTGGTGCTACTCGAGCTGGAGCTTCCAACTCCGGAGGTCGTGCCGTTGTTGATACTGCTTTCGGTCTGCGTCAATGTAGGAATAGAAGTCAGATCTCCTGGTATTGTCACCGAGCCTAGATCTGACAGTGATAGTATAGAATCGGTAGACGCCGTAGGGATCGTGGTTGCCAGAAACGTGGAGGTGCCATCGTTGACGTTGACGACAACTTGTGACGCTGCGACCGTGATAGTAGCGTCAGTCCTCTTCTGTAGATGAGGAAGAGGATGGGCCTGGAGACCATCGCCAAAGATGGCCCGTCGTTGGTAGAGGTTTAATTGGGCTGTAGGGGCCGGCGTTGCCGCTGGATGCCCATCAGTGTCGTCGCTTTGTATGCCCATTTCTGAGGTAAATAGACCCTCGGCCATCCGAGAGCCAGTATCTCGTGGTGAGCGGATGTCAGGATCTTCAATCCGTAATCTCTTCAAAGGTCTCTCCATTGCACATTATGCGGTGCCTCCGCACACGGCCCAGACAGGCTGCTAGATGAGTATTGTTTGGTGCAAGTTCACTATGGTCACACCCTCGTCATGCGTCAAAGACAGTGTGCGACTTGCGCCGCTGGGGGAATGTACGCCCGAATAGTCGTCGAGTCGGCCTTCAATGAGAGTGGTCGAGCGTTCGGATAGTGTAGAACGTTAGGGCGAACGTCGGCGCGGTGGTATGAGCAGTGTGCTAAAGGAGCGGCAGCTGGCACGAGGCACAGCGATATACACGGTCGAATAGAGTCTATGTAGATCTGCAAGAAAGACGGTTGTTAGTCGGTGGGATATGTACGAAGTGAGACATGAGGGGTTGCATGATTCATAGGCCATGCGGGCTCGAAGTCACACACGCACCTTAGGACCAGCAGCTGCATATTGTACCTTACTGTCGCAAACTTTGGCGGACAGACATGACGGTTGAAGTGAAGCGACGCTTTGACAGATGTGGTTGTATGTCGAATCGAAGCGGGCCCAGCCAATGTCACCAGGCCTTTGTGGAGGGTGGTTGATTAAATCGTTGTGTATGTCGCGATATTACCGACTGCACATGTGGTGCATCCAATGAAGGTGGAAGCGATGATTAGCGAGTGATGCTCTTTCCGAGTATTGTGTGTGCCTGCTCGGTCGTGGTTGATGGGACGCGCTGGCCAGAGCCTGGAATGTGTCTGCTGTGTGTTCTAACAATAGGAGAAAAATGACAGCTGAGATTCCAGCAGCTTTGGTGCACAGCAGACCAAATAACAGTAATATTAGGTGTTCGGCGCACTGCGACCTGTGAACTTTCCTCGAGGGGACGACGAGCTGTGTTGCTGAGCTGCGCTGGAGGAAAAGGCTGGCAGGCGGGATGCGACTTCAAGAAGGACGGGCAACGGCTCAGACCCGAACAGCCCAAGACGAGCGTGACAGCCAGCAGCAAGACCACAGCTCCACCACAATTCAGGAGATGATCTCCAGCGAACGCAACTGGCTGTAGCTGGTCCAGGTGCAAAATCGTAGGTGGAGCACTAGGGAGATAGTACCTGCATCGTCCTCGCGTGGCTTGAACTTTTAGGTCTTGGTCAAATCTCACAGCTCGGTCCACCACTTCCTAACCGAGTCCTCAACACCAAACAAACATGAATCACCGGGATCGTTCTTGCGGCAAGCAGAGTTCGAGAAGCAGCACAGATAGCAGAACGGCCTCAGCAAAGCAGAGGATGGCAATTGCACTCCGTCTACACTTGCAGGCAGCTACAATGACAGCCGGCGACAGTGCAGTGCAGCTCGAACGGACAATACTCGCTTCGAGTTGCAAGGATCTCCTTTCGAGGAGCGCTCCCCCGAAAATAGCTTGTTACAACAATTTTCTCGAATCTCGACGCGAACGGTCATCGAAACCGCACGATACAACTCTGATGCTTGAACCCAGTCTGCCGCGTGATCGACTGTTGATCAGTTCTGATCAGCACAGAGCCGCGCACTTGCATCTCCATTTGACAGAGAACGACTTGTGTAGAGTATGTGTGTGGGGGGTCCGTCAGCGGGAAATTCATTATTTCATGACTTCTCGCCGTGTGCTGTGCGGTTACACAAAAGCCCGTCAGCGGCCCGCCGACAAGCACGAGGGATAAGTGGCTGCCCGATCATACCATGTGCCACCCTCGGATGGAAACCGTAAATATTTGCATGCTGACTGCCTCGCTCAGACCAGCCTCGTATCGAATGGTCCAGTCTGTTGCCAAATTCCGGACATGACTTTGGCTACCACAGTCGTGATGATTGTCAAGTGAGGTCCACAGGCTGTCAACGTGCAAGATCATGGACGTCTGTCAGATTCGACTTGTCGCTCCAGCTCGATGATGAAGCACTTGTCTGTTCGACACTTCCGGCCCTACTAGATGAAGTGCTTGTCTTTCCGACACTTGTGTCCGATGCTGAATCTTCAGCATGACCCGACTAGGGTCTGATGCCACGCCCAACCAAACCATTGGTATTCTCGCCCTTGTGATACTTCTTTCGATCTCCGGGACAGTACCACTTTGTGGTCCGTCCTGGCATCTCCGCAAGCTCCACACAGTCCATGTGAAACCACGTTCCAAACTCGCACTATAATGAAGCATGTCAGCGCAGCCACGGAAGTAGCGGAAACAACTTACCTCTGGGTCCAGCTCACAACAGATCATCTCGCCGTAACTAACATCGCCACAGATGCAGTATCGCTCTTCATTCGGGTCCACGACCTCGAGCCGCCCATCGATATCGACTCGTACTTCGGCTGAGGCTGGAGACGGATCCACTGCCGCCTTCTTCTGCTTTACTGGCTTGCTCTGGCGTTTACTGACTAAGACAGCTGCCCCGCCATGTTGATTGGTCTGCTTCACAGTGCCTGGCACCTCTCGCTTGGTCCGACGGCTGGCCGCCGTGGGTAGACCTTTTGGTGACGGCTCCGCTGCTGGAGTCATACGCAACGAGATGGATGGCGTACGTCGGTCGGGCGCCGCTGGCGTTGCCGAAGCAATTCTACTGGAGGCTCGAGTAGCGGCGACTGGGACAGCCATGCTCTCACCGCGTTCTGCAGGAGGTGCCGTCGACTTACGCGACACAGGTCTCGACGTTACAGGAGGAGGTGGCGTAGATTGTTCCATTTTGGGAGCCACAGACGCTTCTGCCGTGCTGTTCGCCTGAGAAGATGTCTCCTCGCTCGAAGCTTCGTCAGATGACTCGGTCGAGGACGATTCGAGGGGAGCGACGTTGAGGTTCAATGGGATCTTGATGGTGCCTGCACTTGGTCGAGGTTCAGTTGGCTGCGCAGCGGGGAGGAGCGGCGATGGCTTGGCTGGTGCAGTCTTCTGTCGCTTCCTCTGATCTGGTTCCGCTGATGGCGATGCAGACACGCCTGCTTCGTCTAGTTTCCGCTTCTTGGATGTTTTGTCAGCTTGCTTCCTCGTTGTTGTGGTCGTGGGGACAGTAGGCGAGCTTGCACTCCTGCCGATGTGGGCGAAAGCGGTCTGGAGAGGGCTAAATATGTCCTTAAACAGAGAGCCCATGTTCCCTAGACGCCGAGCAGCCAACTCTGTTTCCTGAGCTGCCTTTGCAGCCTCTGTGCGAGCAGGAACGGGGACAGACTTCTCCTTCTTCTTCTTGTCGGCCTTCGTAGTAGACTTTGGCTTGGCTTCGGATGCGACGGTGATGACAGGGCTTTCAGCCTCTGGCTTCTCAACCTTTGGTTGTTTGGGACCTTCGATGTAATTGAAGGGTGTTCCGTTGGCTTCTGCGGTCTCTTTTGCACGGAAGTAGTTCTCCCATCCGCGTCCTCTAGACTCGAGCTCGCGGCGAATCATGACTGGACTTGGATCCCAAGTATTGTTCTTCTTCATCTTCTTGCGGAGCTTGTACATCTCGTACTCGGTCAAATGTGTCCATGGCTTCCACTTGCTTCCAGGCTCAGCATCTTCTGGCGGAGGGGTGGGCTTCTTGAATGTGGAGCCTTCTCTAGATGCTCTCGCTACTCTTTCAATTGGGTCAGACCGGTCTCGATCCTTGAGCAACTTTGGCTGCTTGAGTTTGAGCATCGGTCTCGGAGGTGAGGGTGGGGGAGGAGACTCCCAGTCTGAGACTTCCGTGCTTGCTATGGCCTCATCTGGATCGTAAGGTGGTAGGACTTCGCCAGGTACGGTGACTCGTCTGCCTCGCGGTCGTCCGAGCAGGCCATTGCCGCTACGGGGTGGATTCAGGGTCAATCTAGTTGTGGCTGGTTTGATCTCTCTGCCTGATTTTGATATCTTCTTGTTCGACGTTGGAGGCTGCGGAGTAGGATCGCGCGAGGGCGGTTTGGGAATAGCATTCAGCTTTGCAATGATGCTCTTGAGTCTGTTCTGATGACGGTCTGCGACGTCAAACAGGCGGCTTGCTTCAGCAGCAGCAGATTCACGGGCATCGAGTGCTGAGTCGAGAGTGCCGATAATTTGACGCCTTAGAACTGCTGCATCGGGTCGCATAGTAGGCTCGACACTCGGCAACGAGCCATAAAGTCTGGTGAGGTCATGCAGACTGTCTGCATGCTTGTTGTATTCGTCGTCGAGACCTTGAATGAGCCTCAAGGAACGAATGAGGTCAGATGGAAGGTATTCTGTGTAGTCGAGGAAGTCTGTCACTGCCGCTTGCGCATCCGGATCGACGGCGCGCTCGCCGACGATGTCGACCATGGTGCCCATCAAAAATTACCATGTGCTGTCTGTTGCCATCTAAGCGACTGTGTTCGTAACTGTGGCCGCGACAAATACTGGGTGATGCAGGTGGACGAGCCTTAGTCTGACCGAGCCATTAGGAAGGACGCTACTCTCGGCAAGTGAATAATGCGGTCTGTTAGATTGCTATACTCCGAACGGATCACAGTGGTTCGATGCCAGTGCTCTGCCCGCAAGTTCGTCGTGGTCGCGCCTGCGATGTAATGGCTTCTGGGGCAGGAAGGCTATCCGACACGCTAGAGCGAATGCGAACTAGCACGACACGACGCGCTTTGAGCCGGTTGACTTGAACTTCGAGAGCCCAAGGTCCCGTTCTCCAGCATGGCAGGACCTCGGGAAGGAAAATCGATCGTTCAGGAAACAGTCTGTTGAAACGTTTGCCAAACTACGATTGCTGATACACAGCGCTCATGCGGCAGGCGCGATCATCTACTGCAAACATTTCCTGAGTCGTTGATGTCGCTGCAGTGCATACTCGACTTCAATGTTGTCCCTCATTTCAGTGCCAACTGATGAGCATGTCGTACCTGACTTCAATGATCTGAAGTCCTTCCGTGAATGTTTGCTCTCTCCAATGCATCTTGGTCTTCGCAACTTGTTGTCAGAGGCCGCCTTGTCTCTGAACAGTACTTAAGTGGTCTTGCCCTCTTCTGCAGTCTCCATCCTAGCTGATTCTCATCCTGGATCATCTTCACTTACTCTGTAGGACATGCTTACACGTCAACATGGTCACATCACCTCAGAGTCGTATCGCCTCGCTTCTCAAGGCTCAGAAGTTGACCAAACCGGTTGCTCCGGATCCGGGCGAAACTACTTTTGCGGAAAAGGAGTTTGAAGAACAGATTGCTCGACAAGAGGCCTGGAAACAGCCAAAATCTAGTGTACAGACCCGAGCTATTCCTGCCCCAAATAGCAGCGCAAAAGTTGCTCCAAAGCCAGCCCCAATGGAATGGCCTGACTATGCCTATGGAGGTAACTCAGGAGCCAATGAGGTCCAGCTCTCTGGTTCAGAGGACGACGAATACTCTGCTGCCTTTGCAAAGACGCCAAAGATGAAGCCGCCGAAAGCTAGTAAGACCAAGCAATCGACCACTACTAAGCACGAGGACTTCTCGACAGCCGTGGAACTTCGCAAGGAACTGGCGACGGCGGACAAGCATGGCAACCTGGTCACCGGCCATTTCTGTCTCCTGACCCTGGTCTCCAAGTTCCCCTACAAGTATATGTCCGACGGCGAAGATCGAGTATCTAAGCGCTTCTTCGCTGCGAACAAATTTTATGATCGTACCTGGGATCTGTGAGTCAAGCTATCTCCATCAACGCCCCAGTCACCCCCCTCTGAGCTGGACGCTAACATTCTTCCAGCTACTACGTCTATCCACCAGAGTCCTACAGCTCGTTGCCTATCTTTCTACTGCCGTACACTCAAGTCAAAGAACTTATCGATGAGATCGCTAAAGCCTTTGATGCCGATGTAGCTGTTCCAGCCTTCCCCTTCACCCTTACATTCTTCGACGATGGCACGCCACGACCACGTCTGCTGGGTACATCACGCTCGAGATCTCAGATGACTGCTCTGCAAGAAGAAGTCCAGACGCCGCCACTTGGTCACGGTGAAGCTCCTCCAAACGCATCAACAACTCTGCAGGCCTCTTTCACGGCTTTCAGATCCAAATGCGAACAAGCCATCTCGGCTAAGAAGACGAAGCACTCTTCCTCCAAGCGAACGAAGAAGGACCAACCCCTGGACCAGGTCAGAAACTGGTGCAACTCCATGAGTAGAGTTCAGAGATACTTTGGTCTGCTGCCGGCCGAGCGAAGAGCCGTTGTGCCATCTGCGGGCGCGAGCTGGGACGGGCAGGTTGAGTACGTGGAAGCACAGGCACCGAGTAACTCACTTGATGCACTCAACATCGACGAGCCTGCGCCCTTCGCTTTCGTCCACTTGCCGATATTCATCAGCATTGACATCGAGGCATGGGAGCGAGACCACCATATCATTACCGAGGTCGGCATCAGCACTCTCGACACTCAAGACCTTCGTGGACTAGCCCCAGGCAAGATCGGAACCGCGTGGCGATCGCAGATCCGTTCACGTCACTTCCGACTGGATGAGTTCAAGCATTTCAGAAATCGCCAGTTCTGCGTTGGCGATCCTTCTTCCTTCCAGTTCGGCAAGTCAGAGCTTGTCCCAAAGAGCGAAATTGGGAGTAAGATTGACGCTTGCTTTGCGTGGCCCTGGTCTGTACAGTACAAGCACGATGGCGATCTGAAGAAACAATGGGCTGAGTGGGAAGCAATGGCGGGCAAGGACACATCACAGGCTCCCGAGAAGCCAAACGGAACTGCCTCTACCGAAGACCAGCAGCAAGGTCCCAAAGCACGCACCATAATCCTAGTCGGCCACAACCTCAAAGCAGACCTCGAGTACCTCGCCCAACTTGGTTCCGAGATCTTCGCCCTCAAGACATCCACCGCCGTCCACGAAGGGCTTGGCGAAGCGTCATCTCGCGGCACCGAAGGACTCAAATCAATCAAGGAAGCGCTGGACACGGCTACACTCTACAAGGACCTGATGAAAGACAATCAGCCGAAGAAGCTCGCCACCGTGCTCCAAAGCCTTGAGATCGATGCCTACTACTTGCATAATGCTGGTAATGATGCTCGGTATACGCTGGAGGCTCTGGTGGCACTTGCTGTCAAGGCGCGTTTGGAGCGTGATGAGGCTAAGAAGAATGGTGCCGTGAATGGAAGCGAGGATGTGGCTGCGAATGGTGATGACGCGGAAGAGTCAATCTGGTGACCTGAGCATGAGCATTCAGAGACGCAGAGCAGGGCGAATGATTGATGGCCAAATTCTTCCGACTCCGGCGTGCTCTGTGAGAGTTCGTGTCTGTGCCCGCCGAAACCCTCAGAGTCGGGGCGTTCTGACCTCTCGTTGCGGCTCCCGGAGCAAGACAGTTGGTCGTTGGCAAGAAACCTGATGAACACCTCAGGTTCAAGTTGCCAAAGAGAGAACTGCTCAGTCGACGACGACGAAGCAACGACACACAGAGCCAAATAGGGAAAAGGGCCGCAGTAGACCAAATGATCTGTTGATCGGCTTTTAATCAAATCCAGATCATATTTCCAATTTGAACTTGCTCATAGTGCGAAAATATGCCTCACAAATCCATTCACTCTCTTCCTTCCACCGTGGAAACCCGCACAACCTCGTCATTTCCCACACACCCACCCCATCGTCACTACTCACAACTTCGACTTCCCCAACCCCATAACCCGATCCAACGCCAACGGATCCACATACTCCAACCCCTTCTGCTTCAACAACGCCCGCGACTTCTCCCTCTGCGCCTGAATCTTCTTCAACAGCGCCCCACCCTTCTTTGCCTCATTCCTCCCCAGCTGAATCAGATGCACCTCGTCCGGCCCATCCACAATCCGCATCGTCCGACTGTTCGCCCACATGCTCGCCAGCGGCGTATCCTGGCTCACACCCGCGCCGCCGTACGCTTGCATTGCTCTGTCCAGAACCTCGAGGAGGACCTGTGGGACGAAGACTTTGACCTCGGCGATCTCCTTCAGTGCGGTCTTCGCGTCGCCTTGGTCGATCTTGATGGCGGCATTGAGCACGGCGAGGCGCGCGGCGTCGATCTCCATGCGTGAGCGCGCGATGCGCTCGAGGATGATGCCGTGTTCGCTGAGGAGCTGGCCGAAGGGCTTCTTCGCGGGATCCTGTACGCGGGCGAGGAACCACTCGAGTGCTTTCTCCGCGGCGCCGACGCTGCGCATGGCGTGGTGGATTCGGCCGGGGCCTAGGCGGCCCTGGACGACTTCGAAGCCGCGGCCTTCGCCGAGACACATCATGTCGTTGTGTACGCGGACGTTTTTGAACTCGATTTGCGCGTGGCCGTGGGGTGCGTGGTCGTAGCCGATGACGGAAAGCACGCGGCGGATGGTGACGCCGGGTGTGTCGGCTGGAACGAAGATGACGGATTGCTGCTTGTATTTTGAAGAGTGATTTGGCGAGGACTTGGCCATGACGATGAAGATCTTGCAGCGCTGGTCGCCGGCGCCGGACGACCACCATTTCTGCCCGTTCAGAACCCAGTAATCACCGTCCTTGGTCATGGTCATCTCGATGTTGGTTGCATCACTGCCTGATCAGGATGTCAGTACGACGTAGTCTTCCACTACAGACCATGATCCTCGAGAGGAAGAAGCAAAAAGGGTAAAATAACTCACTAGCAACCTGCGGCTCCGTCATCAAAAACGCACTCCGAATCTCCCCCTCAACAACGGCTCCAACCACTCCCTCTTCTGCGCTTCCGTCCCATACTTGGCAAACACCTCCATATTCCCCGTATCCGGCGCCGCGCAATTCACCGCCTCGCTCGCCACGCCCGACTTGCCCAAATACTCCGCCATCAAACCATACTCGAGATTCGAGAACCCGGCACCCTGGGAGAAGTGGTTCTTGGGCAGGAACATATTCCATAGGCCGAGGTCCTGGGCGCGTTTCTTGAGGTCCTCGATGATGTCCGGGTGTTTGGAGAAGCGTTGGGCGGTGGTGCCTTGGCCGATTTGTTGGGCGTAGACGGCGTCGGCGGGGATGCATTCTTCTTCGACGAATTTCTCGACCTGTGGATGGTGGCGAAGAGGGGGGTTGGTTAGTTTGGGATTTTGGGTCGGATGGAGAATGATGTTGGAATCCGCGCGGAGTTGAAGGAGATTTTGTGTTGACACAACGTATTTATTGCTGTAGGATAGAATGACTTACAATGTCGAGCGTCTTCTTGGCTCGGTCACTGACGAAGGGCATGGCAATGGGAGGGATTCGCGTTGAAGCCGGGCCTTCGGACTTCTTGCCATCGCTGATCAGGTAGGGGACAGACATGGTGGCGGTAGGTATCTGAAACTGAGATGAATGATACGAAAATGGATCCTTGATGAAGTCCTCGAGGTATTTGATGGAGGACTCTCAAAGACAAAGGGGATGTTTATGGTTGTCCAATCTAAGTTGATTAATGATGAGCTCTTGTTCACTAGAAGAAGAAGCCGAGGCAGTCAGTCAGTCAGTCGGCAGTCGCTACCGGTGGCTGTGAACCGGGCTTATCTGTAACCGGATGACACGACCATGGTTGAGTGCGCACTATTGAATTGAATTAAATTGAATTTTCGTGGGTATACTCGGTACCGAGAATTTCCGGTGGAAATAGGACATGGTCCGATGAGACGAAATATGTAGGTATGATACCTACTTCGCGCAATGTATACTTGAACGACCAGATCCGAATCTATGGTCAAATCGTAGCCAGTTCTCATTGCAACTTGCGTTGAGGTCATACCCGTCTGAAGGTGACAGCACTGATCATGCAGGAAGCATAGTGAAAGCATTGAATTTCATGCTAGACCGCCTACAGAGCCGCCTGTTCAGGATAGACGCTTTCGCGGCATTGGGACTCCACTAGCGAGTTGCTCTCAACAGACCGTGCATCAGAGCACTAAACCACCATCTGGAAGAAACATCATAGTAATCATACATGTGCAAATACAGTCTACTCCGTCATACAGTCGTTCCTCATCACATCGGGAAGGTACCGTGATAGTACATTGTTGTCCCTGCCTGAAAGAAACAACATCAATCTCGTCGAATCCGTCCAGTCCCCTCTTTACCGCCTCCCAAAGCTGGCACCAAGACCTCGTGCAATCGGAGCAAAGCCCTTTGCCAGGTCAAAGCCCACGTCGCCATCGTCATCGTCGTCCTCTTCAACGAGAGCGACGCTTGCGTGAGGTATGATCTGCGGTTTGGCATTAGTGATTGAGCGCAGCTCCGGAGACGGTGCCACTGCAGTAGCACTTCTGCTGCGTTCGTGGAAGTTTTCGTTGTCCTTCCGTGCACTCGAGCTTGTCATCGGGATCTGACTCCCACGAGCAGCCTTACTAGGGCTGCCCATGATATCCATCGGAGGAGGACTACTGCTCATGATCTGTCGATCCTCGATTTCGAGTGAGTGTCGTCCGTTCAATCTCCTGGGGAGGTCGTTTTCGTCGACTTTAACAGGACTCAGATCAGGCGGCACGGTGCCAGGAGTCTCGCCCATCATGCCTCTCCAGAAGAGGCCCGGACCGACGGGCGAAGACTCGGCCATGAACTTCGATGGGGCCACGAGTGTAGAGGGTGGCGCAAGGCGGATGTCTTGACGCATTGGAGCGGGTGTACGGAGAGACGACCGCTGGGAGGGATGGAGAGGTGTGTCGAGGTAGGAGGAGGAGAGTGTAGGGTTTGCAGGCTCTCGATGTAGAGGAGGAACTGATGATGGAAGGGTGTAAACAGGTGGACCATTAGGGTGAGGTGACGGGCGACTACGATCTGGTAGAGGCGATTCGTCGAAAATGGACTCAGGCAGAGTGGCACCAGTGTCGTGACGCCGGCGTTGTGGTGTTGTTGTCTCTAGCTGAGTCTGTGTTGGTGGAGCCAAGTTAGGGACGGGCGCGAACTGGGAAAGACTGTTGACCGGCGGCGGAGGCTGCAAATTCAGCTTTGTACCGCCATGTGGAGGACCATTGGCTTTATCCTTAGCGGAGAAAGAGGTCACCATGGTCGTGTCGTATCCAAGGTTCTGCCCGTTGGGGCCACGGAAGTTTGGGTTCACCTCCTTACTGGAAGCGGGCGATGATGGCGCGGAGCCGCCATGCCTTTTGGCTTGCTTCTTCCAGTATTCTTGACGGTGTTCCGGGGCGATCATCCATTTCATGCCCTTGCCTGGTTCATCTGTTCGCCGGGGAACTTTCTGAAAAGCTTTGTTGAGCGACAAGTTATGACGAATCGAATTCTGGTCAAGTTAGTATGGCTTCAAGACGACCAGAGAAGGAGTGAACTCGCCTGCCAGCCACTGTTGGAATGGCGATAGAAGGCATATTTATCGGAGATGAAAGAGTAGATATTCGCCAGGGTCATTTTCTCTTCTTCGGTCGAGAAGATTGCCTGAGCAATCATGGTCGCGTAGCTGAACGGTGGCTTGAGGTCTTTGGCAGACTGCCGGGCGTAGTCGATCTCTTGTGTGCTCTCCATCATCATACCACGACCATACATTGGTGACACGGCAGTCTTTGTGTCGAAAACTGTCCTCTGGGCTCTGGAGTCATATTGCTGGGCAGGCGGCGTTGATGCCCGTTGTTGCTTGATCTGTGGTGGAGGAGCAGGTGCCAGATGCTGATAGCCTGGACCAACAGCAGGCGGGGGAAGTTCTGGTCTATCTGAGAACAGGCCAGGGTGGGCCCGTGGTGCGTCTGTTGCGTTTTGCTTACGCATGTTGTCTATGAAGTACTGATCAATCTTGACCGGGTCGTTGGGTGTGACGAACATCATCTGCGTGCCCCCGATCTCAAGGACGGTACCAGAAGTAATGTGCGCGCGTTTCTCCTTTTGGAGCAAGACATTGTTGACACGACAATGGTTCCTCCCGTTGACTCGGATGTGCCAGCCGCCTCCTTCAGGGTATTCGTGATCGTAGAAGATGGCGGCGTGCAGGCGAGAAATGATCTTGCTTGGACCCAGGTCGATGTGGACTGGTATAGGGTTTGTCGATTCCGATACTGGACTTGAGGCGCCTGTATATGTCGCGTGAGGAGTCGTTCTATCATCAGGTTCACGGCCGATGTTGATGGATTGGTCGTTGACAAAGTAGGTCCAGTCACGACCCGCAAGCTTGGCGAAAGCCTTGATCTTGTTCTCATCTTGCTGATTCTCGTTGGCGAAAAGACGTGCGGCCAAGATGGGATCTTTGGCCTGCGCGAGGGATGCTATGACCTGCTCAACGAGCTCAGCTTCGGTGAGCGTGTCGCCTTCGTCATTGGTCTCATCCGTGTCCCGCGTCTCGAGCTCAGAGGACGGGGTTATCGGGCGTGGAGCTGGGGATGATCGACCATTGACCTGTGAGACATTAACATCATGATCAGCGACGCGTCTAAAGGGCCGCACTTTTCTCTTTTTGTTTGTTGGCCGTGAAGGCGAATCGCCATAGTCAGAATTGTCTTGGGACTCGAGATTGGATTTACGCGCAGTTTTGCGCTTTGCACGCGGTGGCATGACTTGGAAGACGCGTCAGGGCCAATCGATGGCAGGAGCGACGTTGTTTACTCGGCTGTAATTGTCGAAACTAGTAAGAAAGCAGCCTCCATGAGATCGCCCGTTGCCAAAATGTAGTCCAGCGAAAGCTCTGCAAGGAAATGGCTTGGGCAGGGAGGATTCAGCACCAGGCACCTCGATATCGTGTCGTGGGGGATGGAAGGGGTGGCAGGAATGGACGTGCTGTTGACAGAAAGTTGTGAATGCCGTATGACTACCGGCAGACCACCCAGTGGTCGCTAGAAGAAGACGATCAAGGTGGAAAGGAAAAGTGCTCGACCTGATGTTGGTGATGACAGAGAATGGGTGACGAGTTTGCACTGCGCAGAGGTTGACCTTTCTAAAAGAGGAACAGCAGCGCATGGCTCCAACACGCGCCCTCGCGGTTTACAGTGCCGCGCTGCTCCGCTCGCCTCCGACAGTCTACAACCCTCGTTTCATTCCGATGAGCTGAACATACCAGTTGGGTACAAAGCCATCATGGCTACTCCAGAAGACTTGCACATGTGCAGCAGACACATGACAGGTCCTGCAAGCACTCAATTTGCCTCGGTGACTGTACGGTGCGATCTGTTAAGGGCTCGAGCAGTGCAGTCAGCTGCCCGGGTAAGCTTCCTTGGTAGGCAGTAAGAAAACAAATAGTGCATAGTGACGTAACCACAATAATGTACCAATCCCATTTCCTATAGCATTGCAGCCTGAGCGCGTCGTCGAACGCACCTCTTTGTCGCAGTAGTGTTACACCAGCCTCGACTGCTCTTGTATATCTATACCATTTCTGACTTATCTCAGAAGGCCTCCAAGCCTTGCATGATCGCTCATTCCTGTCTTGAGAACCACTACCAACGCCAAGCTAAGTCGGATGCCTACAAATGATGCTATCTCCCCTGTCCGTATATAAATGCTGCCGTGAAATATCCTCAAATATCCAATACCTTAGGTTTCCACCAGTTCGACGCCTTCTATGCCATAGCCAAAGTCGATAATGACTACCCGTCCGTCCTGACTAGTGCAGATGATTTTGCGATAGTTGCTTTTTGCCGAGAGCATCCAGCTCGAAGTCCACTTCCCAAATGTGAGTTTTAGACCACCATCTTCCACAGACTCGCCCTTCTTGACATCCCAAATCTTGATGGACTGGTCATAGCTACCGCTGATTATGCGCGAGTTTGCCGAGTCCAGATGCAGAGATCGCACAAGCTCGTCATGGCCTTTCAACTCCCGTACACGTTGACCCGTGATAGTATCGTACTCATATATCACTTTGTCGTTACCGCCGGCGAAGATCGTTCGCCCGTCTTCCGAGAATTCAACACACGCCAAACCCCGGTCCTTGGATTGGAACTCCTTGATGCACATCCCGTCCTCGAGCCGCCACAGCTTCGCCATACCGTCGCCACTTGCGCTGGCTAGCAGATTGCCACGGACTTGCACTGCATTCACGGGACCCCGATGCCCGTGTAAAGTTTTCAGCAGCTGCCCATCATAACGGTCCCAAAGTTTGATCGTCGCGTCTTTCGAACAAGTAATGATGAATCGCTTGTCAATGCAAACATCGAGCACGCCCAGCTGGTGACCAACGAGACGAAAGATTGGTCGATAATTGTCCTTCATGTCCCAGACCAAACAGGTATGGTCGGAAGAGCCTGTAACCAGGATCTCATTGTCGTACTGTAAGCATAGCACCGAGCTTCATGCCATGCCTCAAGAACATCTCCCGCCGGTTCGGGAGTCGTGATCTCTACCGAGCAGAAAGGCTGGATCCCTTCAGGGTTGACGGGTTCGCGGGCTACTGGGATTTTAGAACGATGAGTATGGGGCGGACCGAGTTTGCGTAAGCATTGATAAGTGCGAGCGTCCCAGACCCGTACCGTCTGATCTCGGGATCCTGTGATGATCTTGTTCTCGTCGAACTGCACACAATAGACGCTATCTCGGTGACCGTTGAGGTAGATCGCGGCAGCCTGACCTTCATCCCATCTTCTGTCGATTTGACGGCGGACCTGATATAGTCGAATGTAGTCCTGACCAGGCAGGCTCTTGCCCATGCCGGCAATATGCCTCACTTGGCCCTCCCAGGTTGGCATGGGTTGCTTGGGGCCAAAATCTCGAACAAACACATTGCGCCAGACTGCGTGTGAAGATGCAAAGTGCAGCCAGCGCTTTGTTACAAGGCTAGCGCTGAGCAAAGAATTGAGGTCCAGGTGAGAGAAGATGCTCTCGACCAGCTCCGGAGCCAGGACATCGATTGGATCTCGTGCGACCGGCTGAGATCGATCTACAGCTGAAGGACGTCGAGAGAGCTCTTCTAGGCCGATTCCGATGCCACTTTCGGAGTCGTGCAGACTCTCTGGCTTTGGTGGCGAGTATGGTGGCAGCGGTGTCGCCCGATGTGCTTGATACAGCTGGTTCTGAGCAGCCGCCGAAGCTCGAGCTCCTGCACCTCCGTACACCAGATCAGATAAGATCGGTTGACCTCGACTGCGTGGCGGCATCATTGGCTCAAAAATGTTGTCTTCCACTGGCCACGGTTGTAGCTGCATTGAACTGAGAAGAGGTAGCGAGGGCCTTCGCCGAGTGCTGGGAGTGCGGAAGTGGTTCCATCGGTTTCGAGGTCGAGATGAGACGGCCTCCGAAAAGTCCATCATCCTCTCCTCTGAACGGATTGGAAGCAGCTGTGAAGGTCGACAAGCCTCGGCGGCATCGCTGTTTGGTCGCCCGGCCTTGCCGCGAATGGTCAAGGACATTCTACGACCCAGCGACTTGAGTTCTGAGATACCATTCTTTAGTGACTGAGAAAGTTGTGAGGGCCGTCGTTGGTGCGACGGAACTTGTAGTGAAGTAGAGGGCCTTTGCACTTCCTCTATAGTTCGCTGTGCAGTGAACGGATATGATGGAGAAGCAATTGCGCATTCTTCCTCTTCTTGATTTGTGTTGAATGTCCTCCAGTCCAGTAGATCATTGCTCATGGTCATTGGATTCAGCGACCACCGAGATGTTCTGGATCGAGGCAATGTCTGCACCGCTGTCGCATCGAAGCTGGCATAGGAAGTACGAGGACGTTGGGCGAAACGCAGAGAAGTTCGTCGACTCGGCGCCAGTCCCACCGCCAGTTCTGATTGATATAGGTTCGACATGTTGTACAAGGAGGCGACACAAGACACAGGGGCTGTCGACTCCGCAACGGCTCAAATCATAACATAGGTGCTGTGGACTGCGAGCTCGTGTTGCACCAGATAGTATTGTCCCGTCGTTGGCTTGTCGTGGGAAAGCCTTGATGAAGTTGAAGACGAAGAGGCAGGCGCTACTGGCCCTGCAAAAGAAAGGTATACGGTGAAGGAATCGGTATAGAGTGAGCTCGAGCAAAAGAGTGACAAGACAGAGGAAACTTCATCACACCACCCAACTGCCACTGACACTTGCAAAATCTTCAAAGCTGCAACGACTGTTGGTACTCGAAGGAGAAGTTTGTCGTCGATACCCTGACCCGAATCAACAAATTCCGAGCTTGACCCCTGCGATTGTTTCCCGAGTGCCAGCTCCACCGGTACCGTTTCGCTGCTGTTCGGTCTGTTTACAGGGGTCTGCTCCCGGCTTTACAGATCTAATCTGCAGATAAATGTCCGTTGTACTTGAAACACCAAACGATCTATTATTTGCTCACAGCGTCATGAATTCCGCCTAGACGCATCCAAGAGGCTCCGATAGAGGTACAGCAACGTAGTCTCTAGACTCGCCGCCATGACGGAACCACCTCTCTCGAGCCTCTCGAGGATGGCTCAAGGAGTCAGCTCGACGCGCCTAACAAAATTGATGCTGCCGCCGAAGATGTCAGCTGGGCCCTATCCCGTCTAGGTATGGCGCCTGGGATTTTCAAAACAAACTTGAATGCGAGAGTGGAAAGCCCATGTCGTTGCTCGTCCTCTGCTCCTCCGCACTCTCTCCACCGTTCTTCTTGCTTCACAAACATAACCCTGAACTTGTCGCATTGCGTCGCATTACCTCTATACGCGCAATTCGAGCCTCTACTTAGGACCGTTGGAAGCGCAGACTCCAGCTTCAGCTCTTGCTTCAACATCATAACCCAGCCCAACCAACAGCTTCTTAGGTCGCGTGCGACATCGCTTCAACAAGCAAACGCGTCATACCTCGCATCATGGCTATCCCAGCGTACTACAAGATCTTCTTCCTCTGGATTGAGCCTGTCGTCACCTTGTTCGGCGCTGTGGCTGCTGCTTTCTTTGGCCATGATTATCTCGTCATGACCCACGCGGAGACCACTCCGTCCAAGATCCTGGGCCTCCCTATCGCTACCAACATCGCCCTTCGCCAGCTTGCCAACTTGTACTTGGCATTCGCTCTCAACGAGTTCTTCGTCCTCCGGGCCACCAATGATCTCAAAGTCTGGAAATCTGTGCTCGCAATCCTGCTGGTCGCAGACTTCGGTCACTTGCTCGCCAACTCTCAACTTGGACTTGGTCAGTACTACGACGTCATGTCATGGAACGCCATGCAGTACGGCAGCTTCTTGTTCGTCTACATCGGCGCAGCAATGCGATCCTGCTTCCTGGCTGGTGTCGGATTCGGGACGAAGAAGGGTCGTCGTGGTGCGCCCCGCAGTGTGTCCAAACAAATCCAGGCACCAACCACTGTCGAAGATGAGTTTGCAGCTGTTGCAACGCCATCGCCCAAAGAAATGAACAAGACTCCTGCCCAGAGCACTCGCCGTCGCAAGAATCGCAGCGTCTCCGGCGCTTAGCTGAGCCCATTCGAAAGCGGGGCGATAGCCAGTAGCTTCGCGTCCAGCTCTGAGGGATTCATACGGGCTCATGAGACCGGTTCTGCTTGCCAAAGCGTGGTTGCCAAGATTCACGCAACATGGTGAAGGGGTCCCCAATCGAACACATGTTCAGCACCCCGCGGAAGTAGCAGTGGATTAGTCAACGTGCCCAGAGAGAGGGGATGGCGCTGCCTCTCGCGTTGACTGGGGACAGGATATGACGGTTCCGAAGGGGACCACTACGCGAGATGTCGCGACTCACCAGCGTCGCGCTTTCATGGCGCATCGACACGACCGTCTGCAAGGCACGCGCCTGTGCCGGATGAGTGTTTGGGGACAAGAGATGGGAGTCTGTGATTCGTGTGAGCGTGTGAGCTCGAGTGAGCATGTGGCAGCCTTCTTCCCCACAGGTTCTTTTTGATTAGTCTGCATCGTGGTTTGAAGATCTGGTTCGTCTTGTACAAGTCTCAATTTCTGTAGTGCTTCGTACGCAATGACTATATACGGAACTACCTTCGTCCTCTCTGCACTGCAACGGGCAATTCGTCATGTGATTTCGCTGGTCAAAATGTAAGCAACAAGGCATCCATCCCAGACAGCGATATTCTAGACCTTTGTCGTGGGCGGCCTTTGTCACTTCCAGCACGTCACGTTCCTCAAAGTTTGGGGATGTCTATCAGGTGGAGACGTTGATTACCAACCTCTCCCCACCAGATCCCGTCGGCTTGGAAAATATAACTGCCCTTCATATCAGTCTGACTTCAGCCTGAGGTTTCTTACCGCGTACAGGCACGTCCTCCTATCACTTGAACTTTCGCGTGGTGCTCACGTTGTGATACCATCGTGATTGACATCCAGCCTCGAAGAAAGCATCACATAAGCCGCCGTGGCTTCAGGCCGGCAACAAGTACCGGACAAGGCGGGGAAAACAAAGGTGAATTCGACGACCTTCTGAGAACCGCCTTTCCGTTTTTTCTGCTTCGGGTGGCGACTGGAAAGATCGCTGGCAACCCTTTGTACAACTTCCCACTAGGTTACGCTTCTCGAGCGGTCGTAAGGCGCTTGATTTCACAAGTGGCCTGAGAAGTACAATTAAACCAACTCATCGCGTGCCACTAAACTCTGGCACTCGCCTCAACAAGCGAACAGTTCCCCAACTTTGCATCCCATTGACAAGATGCCGGCCTATCCACCATGTCCTCAGATGAAGGCGCAAATATACGGAGCAGTATCCGAGAAGCCCAATCCAAAGATGACATATGCTCTCGCTCACTCCGCTCGATGTAAGCTCCACCTATCGGCCAATCGTCCAGATAGGAATTTGAGGATGGTCCTTGGACACGCCTTCGCTCTCGACAACATGCTAGTCCGCATTGTAGAGATCGAGAACCAGTCCGCCAAAGACGAGGTCGACTTGTCGAAACCCGACGACAAGCCTGCCGCCGCCGACAGCGAGATCGCCGCTCAGGATAAAGCCAAAGCCGGCGTTGGAGGTGGTGCTGGCGTCACTGTGGCAGAAACGGGCAGTCTTGCGCGCTCTGAACAGCCGCAGAAAGAGCGGCGCATCTCTTTCGGCAACTCAGCCAACTTCCGACCTTCGGACTACCACGCCAACGGCACCTCGAACAGTAGTGAGCGCAAAAAGTCGCCTCCACCAGCCAAACGCATACCCAAGGGCTACTCGGACGAAGAGTCAACCTCAAGCGATGACTACGACGACGACGCGGACGCCGCTGAAGTGCTAGCACCCGCTGAAGCCCTAGCTCGCCAGTCCGCCGTCCGCAACAACACAAAACTCGAGGACATTCCACCACAAGACCCCTACGAAGACGAGGACGAAGACGCAGGTCTAGGCCTCCAACGCTTCCAATCTGCATCTGCTCGCCAGCCACGAAGAGTACCCTCGCCACCAGCAGAAGAGGTTCCTGCTCTCGAGGAGGACTGGTCGGATGAAGATATCGAGGACCGTCCTGAGCCTCCTTCACCACCCGCCTTGGGCGAGGATCTCTTACGCCAAGCGATGGAGAAGGGAAGCAAGGATGAAGAACTTGGAGATCTGTACGAGACGCTGAGAGGATGTCCTTGCTGCAAGCAGCACAGCAGTGCACCGAAACCGACGGGCGTGTGGAGGGTAGAGTCTGGCGAGGATGGGAAGCAGTACGCTGTGCTTGCGGAGGAGAGGGACGATCTTGAGGGAGGTCAGCAGATCGAGGTTGCTGCTTGAGGAAATTGTTGGTTCTTCATTACGAAAGGCGACTTCAAGCACAGGGAAGGGGCCGCGGTCGAGCTGGTCATGCTCTGCGCAGGATCGCTGCAGTATGAAAGGATGGCTCTGGCCTTCGCCTCATGCTCCTAGAGATCTGGCTTTCGAAATCCCACTACGAACACACTCAGCTTCGAGCCAGCGCTCGCTTTGCAGTTAGTATCAGATAGCTTCATAATGATCGGAAACGAGCCACGATCCCCAGCATTGAGGTACAACCTACCTACTCAATGCCCCTCGCCCCTCTCCTGCGACACCTGCCATCCAAGTCTACTGGACCACCAAGTCCTGACGACCGTGCACACAAGCTCTGCCCAGCGGAGCGGAACGTCTGCTTACTCCTTGCTTCCTTGGACACTCATACGCTTTACCCACTCCTTGCTTGCGCTCGTCAGAGCGGAGCGGACATGCTCGTGCACATGGCAGTGCGGTGCGTCCTCCTACATCGTCCAGCCTACAGTAGATCATCTCTACAATCCACTTCGACGTAGGCCTGTTCTCCGCCAAGCTACATGATATATTGAGTATCGCCGACGACATCGCCATCACGTTGCTCCAGCAGTACTCACCGAGAAGCATACCCAGTACTTTCTTGGGACTAGTATGACCCCTCCCAGCGCAATTTCGCGAAAAATCGTACTGTAAAAGCAGCGGCAACCGCCCATCACACTAAGGGCATCCTTAAATGTCTCAAGTGGAGATTATTTCTTTCGATTGGGGAATTAAAATCCGCCAACGGCTTGACGTCTGTTACAGAATTCTAGGGTTTGTTTACTATGTGCATCGTGATCCGTTGAGTGGCACAGATGACTATACGCTTGCCGCAATATGAGCATCACGAAGTGGCTGATGCAGTCACGGGTCGGGAGAGCGTGAGGCGTGGGTTCTAGACTTCTTGACGAGTTGTTGATACGATCGTGCTAAGGATATGCTGATATGCGCTTGATCTCAATCGATGGTGGCATTGACTCGCTATAGCCCAGTCTGAACTGTCGTACTGGGCTAAGGCGACGGCGGCATTCTGGAAGTGCTGGGCAAACAACATGAAGGTGGCAGCAGTAGAGGAGACGCATTCATTCCCGTTGACAGTGCTTAGAGCGGAAGACGACGTCGCAATAATGCTGTTACTCCGGGTTGACGCACAGGCGCTGGGTGATCGATACTGTAGGCACTCGGGGCAGACTTTGCGCGTCGATGTAATCGTGATTTCAGGCTGATCGATGATCACAAGCAGTCTGCTTCCCATCTCGAAATGTGATAGAGCGACGACGTAGCTCTCCGTTGGTGCCGTGCTCTACAACACCTTCACCTTCACCGGCACTGCCACTGCCACTGCCACTGGCAGTCCTGTGCCAGCGATCAACAGCGTCAAGGAATCTCAAACGAAAGGAGGGTGACATCGCCACCTCACCCATCATCACCAGTGGACCTCATCGACAGATCGGCCACAAGCAAAGGCAAGCACGCCGCGCCTATATTAGTGGCAGCTTGGCAAGTAAGAAGGAACGCTGGCGTGCTTCAGACGAAATTAAGAAAACTCTTGATCGACAGAAGGCGCTATTTGACGCCCGAAATAAGGCGTTGTGCTGTTGACGCACGGCCAGGAACGTGGGAAGTGGGTATCAGTGCTTAGACTGGGGTAAAATTGCTTCCGTGTTGTCAATTGAGTTAGGCTTCGAGCTCTGAACTTTGAGCTTCGTGGTCGTGGTAAGGCTGATGCGTTGTCGAGTACCTAAGTAGCTGTGGTACGATAGCGATGGCACCGGATAGCGATAGCTTCGTAGGCGTGATGGCACAGTGAGGTGGTGCAATGCAAGGCAGTCGCGCAGGAAAGGCGTCTGTGAGTTGTCCTGAACTACTCTAGCAGCGGCAGGAGGGAACATGAGGCAGTCGCGATGGGTACCTAGGGTAGTTGCTGCCACGAAGAACACAGAAGCGTTTAGGAAGTCGCTCATCTGTGATTGAAATCATTCGTAGATGTGGTAGTTTTATTCCTCTTTAGCATAGATTAAGCGCCATTTCAGGCGTTGGTCCTGCGCTTCTGCTTCCTCGTGCTTTTTGCCTGAGTCGAGACGTCTTCTGTGACGAGTCACACTCATCTTGTACCATGTACAGTTCTCCGACTCCGATTGCCACCGCCGGCATCACTTCCTCTCCTTCTCCTTGGGTATCTTTCACCTGTCCGCTCCAGACCATCCCCCAAACCAAATAAGAAACTCCGCAATCGACGGCATTAACGCTTGCTCTGCGTACTAACAATCCAGTCCCCAAATATATCAACAAGAAAGGTTTGCATCGTTTCGTGCAAAGTATTTCCGATAATGTCCAAGATCAATGATCAACCATATGCCATGCAAACAATGTGCCCAAGTAGCTCCGAAAACAGCAAATCAGGGTTTCTTAAATTTACGAGCTAGGGTGGGTCTTGCCCTTCTTCTGCAGCTTGCTGGCGATACCGGTGCCGTTCAAGTAGACCTCGGGAACCTCGGGCCACTTGTCGACACCGTCGAGGATAGCGAAGGCCATACCGCCGTTCATGTGGGTCTGAACGTGGCAGTGGAAGAGGAAGGCACCGGGAGCCTCGACGTGGTAGCGGACGGCGATCCAGGTGGAGTTGCCCTCGGCAGGTGGAGATGTGAAGCCGTCACGGACTGGATTATGTTAGCGAGATGCAAGGATCGCAGCAAGCATGGTTGAAACTTACGAGGAGCAGCCTTCGTGTTGATAGCAGTAGGAGGCAGAGCGCCAGAAGCCTGAGCCTCAGCGATGGAAGACCATGGGAAATCACCGACGCCCTGTCCAATAAGGTACGCCTTGTTGGCGTGCTTGTGGAAAGGATGCGGCTGAGCGAGAGGTCCTTGGATCTTGATGATCAAGTCGATCCATTGACCATCTGTGTGCGGATGATAACCTGATCCTCGGGAATAGCAGATGGTTGTTCGAACAGGAGAGGCGTGGAATCTTCACGGGTGACGTTGAACGTCTCCGAGCCAGTCAGGGTCCAGGTGTAAGGGTTCAACATCTTCTTTGTCGTGAAGATGAATGTCTGGTCAACAGTCTGGGACATATTGCGAGGAGGGAAAGGGACGGCCTTGGGAGGTGCGAACATCAATGGCAGCGTCTTGTTGGTACCTGCGTAGTCCATGATCGCGAGCGAGTCGCCTTGACCAGCGGCCGACACGGCACCCTTATAGCTGAGTGTGGCGTAGCCGGAGATGATCTGGTTGAGACCCTGGTTGGTGACACGGATGGTGTAGTCAGCAGCTGGCTGATCAAGCTTGATCATGACAGTCTGACGGTCGCCATTGTTGAGGACGACGGTGTCAACAAGCTGAGGAACAACATATTGACCATCAATAGCATAGACCCAGAATTTGTGACCGTCAATGGTGTACTTGAAGAGTTCAATGCCAGCGGAACCGATGAATGTAATTGCGGCCCATCCCTTAGAGGCGTCGACCTCGATCTTGGTCTGGTTGCCTTCGGATGCTGTGCAGTCAAAGTAAACGCTGCTGGGAATTGCGCTGACGTCGAAGGTGAAGTTGGCGCCTTGCGTCTGGGGAAGAGGAGGCAAGCAGCCTTTGCCCGTAAGCTGTCCTGAAGGGACACTGGAAAGAAGGTTGGCGTAGCGAGGGCTTGTCAAAGCGTTGATCTCGTCCTGGGTCTTGCAGATCCTTGAGCCCTTGCCGTTAATCAGAATGGCATCGACGCAGGCAATGTCGAGGTTGCCTTTTTCCTCAGTGGCGTGAAGCTCGGCAGATGTCATGTCAACGTAGTCGCTGACGAAGACTGGTTGCAATGAATCATCAGCCGCAGTCAGCTGCTTCTGGACTTCAGTGTCGTTGCTGATAAAGGACCATGGGCGCGGAGCGTCCTTGCTGTTCTTGATAACGATAGCTCCGAAGCAGCCGTCGATGATCTGAGAGCGGTAATGAGCATGGTACCAATATGTGCCAGCCTCGTCTGCCTCCCATTGATAAAGAAATGAGTCGCCAGGTTGGATGGCCTTTTGCGAGAGACCTGGAACACCGTCTGACCATGGCGTCTTTGCTTGCGAGATCCCGTGGAAGTGGATGGTCGTTGGCTCATCCATGTTGTTGTGAACCAAGAACTCAACGCTGTCCCCGAGATTGAGTTTCAAGGCCGGACCCGGTGATGTCCCGTTGATCAAGATACCCTTCTTCGTTGCGCCGCCGGCGGGGTTGACATCCTCCCACGTGAGGTCGACCTCGAACTTGACAGTGTCGGCACGTTTGGTGAATTGCACCGCATGTGGCGCGGCGAAAGCATTAAGAGCAAAGGTTAGGAGTGACACGGCTCCCACCAACCGTGTGAAGACCATGTTGGCGGCGTGTTAATGTATATAAACAGTATGTTCAAGCGAGTGTGGTGTAAGGAAAAAACGAACGCGCCGAAAAGGATGAGGGATGATTCCTCAGAAGTATATGAACAGACACGAAACGAATGAGTGTCGAACGGAAGGTATTTTTGGGAAGAACGAGTACCGGAAGGCAGGACACGAGGAAATATGACCTGCTAAAGCTGAGGAAGAAGGCGACCAGGAGCCGCAGTCGAAGGACCCGGTGGAGCAAGCCGACAAATCTTACTTGATGGGGCGGTGATATGGGCAAACAGGCTGGTGGATGGAGTCAAACGAATCAGGTGAGCTCAAACAGATTGAGTTATGGACGGGTTGAGCTAGCAGGGGGCGTGGTAGAGTCTCGGGAACAGCTATGGCAGCGAGTGCAAAAGCTGGATTAGGATTACCGTAACAGCTCAGCTTGCGGAGTGGAGCGGACAAGGCCAGAACATTTCCTCTGGCCTGGGCACGAATGCTCAATTGATTTGTTGTCTTGTTGATGATTGAGCAGTAGGAGAATACAGATCTCTCCGGATCTACCGCAGCTGTGACACGTCGTACGAGGTTGTGCTGCACCCCTCATGGTGGAACGCTTGGGAACACAGCAAAGAGCTGGCGTGTTTCCAACCTGGACGGAGTGTCTGCCATTATCCCATTACTATTTCGTTCGTAAAAGGCGCGGAAGCAAGCGAAATGATGGGAAAAGGGAACAACCAGTGGCGTGGCGTCGTGCTGTTTGACCTGCGCCCGGCCTCTTGGCTGGGGAAGCTAAATTTAAAAGTGGGAAGGTGCAGCCAGGGGAAACCATCGCGGAGCCAATCCTAGCATGGGGATTTGGTCTCGAGCAAAAGTATCCGCAGGCGTTGCCTTTTCTTTTCCTCGTTTGCTGCTGCAGTGCTGCTGGAACAGTCACATGGCGACGACTCTGGGGGCGCTTCTAGGCCTCAGAGGGCTAAGGTCTCCTCGTATACAGGCCGGACCAAGACTCTTGACGCCCTTTATAACCCAGTGTCTCTGGAAGGAGGCCTGAGCTCTGAGAGCGCGCAGTATCATTCTGAGGCGCGTACGAAGTAGTGACCCGACTTGTCTGCCCCTCCCTCGTGTCCGGCCGACAACGACATGCCACTTTGCCGCCGCGAGGGAACGCGTCTTGACGGCTCCGATCAATCGGTGTCTGAGTCGAGCGATAGGCCTCTTCGGCCATTTGACTTCACGGTGCTGTCATCGCATACCAGCCATTGTATTTGTTGTGCATTCCTGTCGTTGAGGTCAACAGGAGAGGATTGGATCCGATGACAAACAGAGTTTGGTAGCGGGGCTGTGTGTCTCCTAGGCCGCAGAAGTCTTCCGGCTTGTTACTGTAGTACCGACAATGTCATCGATCCTCTCTTTTCTTGTCGGGCACCTGATTGTTTGTCAAGGTCTGCTCCTGCGCCTTCGGCAAGTTCTAGGTAGCAGTCGATGGCTCACTCCCAGAGAAAGTAGCCCAGGCCGATTAATCATTACAGTATTTTAGGCGACCCTTCAAATTCTCGAACCTTGAACTTGTTCCTGCGCAAGCGCGAACTCTGCTGCTGGCACTCACACATCTTGCTGTGCTCGACAGCTTTTTGCCGTGCACATAATTTGAGCGCGCACATGTGTGCTGGCGATTTCGATGCGCTCCATCAGCCGGACCATAGGACAGGAACTCGGGCCTCCGGCACGTCGACGGCTCACATGGCCGATTTCGACCTCGGGAGGCAAGCGCCGAGTCAGCGCCACCCGTACCCAAAGTCGGTAAAGTCTATCGTGTACCAAAAATAGGTATGCTGTTTCTTGACTTCTGAGACCAGTACGAAAGCTTGGATAGACACTGTGACCTTGCGATGAGCTGAGGTGTCCGGTCGTCATCAGATCTAAGTTCAAGGATAAGTCTACGCAAAGATGAGAAGTACTTGTACTTACGTCTTCCCGTGCCGGTCAGCGACAATTCAATCAGCCATGACATGGGCTGCTTGATCCACACAAGCTGTTCGGCCAAGACATGAGCGTTTTCTAGCTGTAACAGCGACGCCGCGAACTCCTACAGCATCCTCCCTGGTAGAACAATTAACGATGGATTGTTCCAGCGACTTAGCACTCAATTGAGGCTCATCTCAAACTTGCTGGCTCGATCTGCAAGACCACTCTGTGCTTCAGAGCCCGCCGTAATCTGAATTCTCAGGACTCAGGGGACAAGGGCCGAAACGCCCATTTAATGCTCGAACAGCCTGCCACATGTTCAGCATCCTGGCATTAGGTGCTGTGGTGCAACTGGGGCCTCCTGTGAAGTAAATCAGGCTCCTGCCACAAAGCCTGGAATACCACTGCGAATGTATGAGGACCTGCACGGCCGTCACAATCGAATCGACAGCGACCCTGCCACCACTATGCGCCCAACACATATCGATACAACTCCAACATATCATCAATGAGCTCATCTGGTGTCTCCCACATTGCGAAATGGCCACCTCGGGAATGCTCACGATAGAACTTCAGATTCACTTGCGCCTCTATCCAGCTGCGTGGCGTCATCTGCAGTTCCTTGGGAAACGCCGAGATTGCATACGGCACTTGGGTCTTCTCCTTCCACCACGTGCCCATCACCAAAGGTAGTGCGTTGTCACGGTACATATACATTGCTGTGGTCGGACCAGGTAGGTAGTGCAGCATTGTCCAAGTGATGATCTCCGTTGGCGTCCAGGGGTAATTATCTGTCCAAACGATGAGCTTCTCGTACATCCAGGCCAGCATACCAATAGGTGAGTCGTGCAAGGCGAAGCCGATGACGTTTGGCTTCGTTGCCTGGAGGAATCCATATGCACTGTTGGATCTCGTATACCATTCATTACGCTGCAGGTGTACTTTCTCGGCATCATTATACTCGCGTTGATCATCTGGAAATGGGTTGCTTGTGGGATAGACCTATCTAACTGTAAGTCTACGCTACAATGCATGTCCCGGACTGGCAAAATATTGACCATATTGGCAATGAGCTGAGCCGGCTTGTTCGTGAGGGAGCTCTGGAGCCGTTTGATCTTGTCATCGATATCATAGGACACGATATACATTTGCACCGAAAATCAGATGGCTTCATCAAGGATGGTGGCCAATTTGTTCTGATTGCTGCAATGGACGAGACGTGGGGCGAGCTATGGAGCATGGCACAAAGCTGGCCTCGACCTCGCTGGCTAGGAGGAGCAAAGAGTGCTTGGAAGTTTCTCCTCGCGTATCAAGACGAAGAGATTGTGAAGGAGATTGAAGCTTGGCTTGCCGCAGGCAAACTCAGGATTGTTGTTGATGAGACCTTCCCATTTGAGGATGCTCCCAAGGCAGTGGCAAAGTTGAAGACTGGGAAAGCGCAGGGGAAGATCGTGGTAACGTCGATTAGTAGGTGAAGCAGACCCCAAGTTGCGGGGCGCATGGCCTGTTCACACACGGCGACCAAGGTCGTGACATATGCGTGACGGGGAATCGTGAGAAGTACATTCCAGGTCTTCTACTCAGACAAGTGATGGTGTAAAGGACTCAACAAGCGGATCACTTGAATCATGGGATACGTATGGCTCAATTTAACGTCCTGGGCCATGCGTCAGAACCTCTGGCACCTGACTAGCAGCTGTGCTTCAAGGTCTGCTTCCTACGGGCATTCCTGAACATTCGCTGGAGAAGACCCCTTCCAGCATCGTGGTGACATTGCCAACTTGAACTCTGGGGCCGCAAATCTACAGATTTCACCGCCACCCAAATAGCGGGATCTGAAGCGCCTCAAATCTCCTTGCAGTGTCCTGACACCAGATCCGTTCCCTACTCAGATCAACGTGGCCGTCCAACTCTCTACGATTGTTGACGAAAGACCACGCAGAATCAAAGGCAAATAACGTTGCCACCCAGCCACAGTCCTTGAGACTGCCGGTATGAAAGAATTCCAAGCTCTGTAGCGACTGTCGCGCCCAGCGAAGGCCCTGTAGAAGGGCGTCCATCTTTTCTGTTTGTGGACTGCTAAACGACGATGACGACGATGAAGCCAGTGGCGGTGGTGCAATCTCTGCTGTCATCAGGAACATCATTGCGTCACTAGTAGATTGTGTTGCGGCCAGGACGTTTACATTTGGGGCCGAGCCGTTGCGGGACAAGGGCGGTCGGCTGTTGATGATTCCCAGCAGTGAGTCGCCCTTGTTGCAAATACACAGTGACGTGTAAATTGCTTCGGCCAAGCGGATGCGAATCGCTGCATACATGGTATAAGCTGTCGCGGCGGGAAGAGAGGTGAATCCAAATGAGTATTCATATAGACCCGCCCATTCGGCTTCCTGTCTGTGGTGCAAGCCACCGTAACGTTGTTGCTGCTGGACTCGAAAGTCTGCTTCCCAGTGATCGAGCTCGGAGGCAATAGCTCGCAGTCGCCGGAGCCGTTCTCGTGCCGATTGCTGCTCTTCAACCTTCTGCAGATGCTGTATGCGACTCTGAGTCTCCTTTGTGGCCCACTTCGCAGGTGGTGATGCGCTCTTTCTCGAAGGGCTGAGGTAGCCTTGGTATTCCACCAGCTCTGGTAGAAGCTTGAAAGCAATGTCTAGCATTTGGTGAAGTGGATGTCGGGACATTGCTACTTCGTCCTTCCATGGCATATCATACCAACGCGGATCGGCCAAAAACAGACTTCTGCTGTGAGTGAATGCGAAAGCTGCTTCTAAAGATCTGTAGCCATAGAACAGCTCTCGAGCTGATTGCATGCTTAGTGTTGCCGGATCGTGATAGGATAGCAAGCATCCAACTCCATTGAGGTGGCTAGAGAAGTTGGCCCAGGAATGACTGACTACGATCTCGGACATCGCGCAGCTCAGCGCCGCTAGCGATAGGCTGATAGGACACAACGTCGAGGCTCTACTGCCCACCGCTGCAGAGATTCTCGAAGATGCCGCAGCGCACGGCTCTGGATAAATGCCGCTGAGACACCCAGGTTGTTGTTTTCTCGTTCTCTGCTGATGATCGTCAGTGCGGATGCCAGGCAAGCATCATTGATGATCTTCAGTCCTGGTTCGACAGCCTCCATCATAGCAACATGAAACCACGTCGATCCGCAACCAGCAAACGCACGGAAGGGGTCGTAGGAGGCAGTCGAAGAGGTATTGTCATTGCTCTGCTCTGGCCACCACTCTGCAGAGTCCTGTGCTGCTAGAGTAAAGGTGTTTTGGTACTGGGGTTCACCCAAGACGTCCTGAGGAAACCGCCAGATCCACGAGTCAGGATCTGCATAATCATATTCTGGGGACGCCGAAAGTGTCGAGTTGCCTAACCCAGGACTGGATCGCGCACTGACACTTGGTGTGTCACTTCGCGACGAGACATCGAGATAGCCCTCTCGGCAAATTGTTGATCCAACTCGTCCACCTGGTCCTTGGGCTACCTTCGTGGCTTGCGCTGCCGCATCGGCAAGTTTCTTCTCCTTCTGACGACGACGAAATGCCTGCACATTCTTTCTGACTTTGGCTCGTCGCGCTTCTGCTCGCTCTGCTTCGGTACCTGGCGCACGAGGCCGTCCCAGTGGCATAGCTTATTGAGTGGTGGGTGAGATGACGAGTCTGGATGACGGCGCAAGGCAGTTTGAGTGTTCTTGTGCCTACTACCCGATTCAGTAGCTCGATGGGCCAGCTCCGTCATCTTGGAAGCCACAGAGAGATTCAGAGACATATTATAGAAGGGGTCGTGTCGCCACTTTGAAGTATACTGCCGTTACGTGAAGTTATAGACCCAAACGTGCAAGCAATCTAAGGGTTGCCCAACTTGGAAGTGGCATCAGTCGCCAAAGCCCTAGACGAGCGACCCCTGACTTCATGTAAGCAGATGCTGAGAATAGAGCCACAGATAAAGGGACAATTGGCCCGCTTTCGTCGATGACTACGGCATTCAGTATTCCATTTCGGCCTTTTCGTTCGATTGGAGATTCAGCGGTCGAGTGCAGCATTTCATCATACGCATGGCGGTCTGTACGGCCGGTGGATGGGATCAATACGGGATTCACCTAAGCATTGTGGCGGGCTCGTGAAAACATCGAACGGAGGCACCTTCGATTTGAGTATACTTTGGTATGACGCCAATTGGTCAGGGGCCATCCTCGGGGAAGTGGCGTGGGGTCCTTTGAGTCTTCGCGCTTCAGCCGCGCGCAAAAGGCCGGTGTGGTGAAGGAATCGAAGATTTTTGACTTCAGCACAGAACCAGGATCCTGGTATCTGTATGTGATGTTACAGTCCACGGCAGCACCTTTCACCGCTTCCATGTTAACCGAGCAAGTGCATTCAGCCCTACTGGCCTACATCACAGCATAGACGATGTACGGAGTACTGCGCTTTTGACCGATTGCCACTCTAAGACCTGCCCAGGTGTCATTGGGTACGATTGAAAGCAGCAGCACCCAGAGCTTGAATGTACTTCGGATATGACCCATGCACTTTTGTACACCCAGAAACGCCACTCCGCTCCGAGAGGCGATTGAGACACTCCATGGACCACCGCGACGCATTATCACCTTTTTTGAATACTTAACATCCCTACTCAAATTCTCACCCTGGGCCTCTGCCGTAAAACTTGTTGCAAGTAAGTGGCAAACCTGGCAATTTCCCTCGAAGGTGCAGATAGGACCCTGCAACACGCATACAGGCTACCGCTCATGTTGAGCGAGGAGCAGATGCAGGTGAAATCGTCCACAAGAGGCGAGTCGTACACTTGCGCAGGTCGGGCGATTGATGTCGTGTTCGTGTCTATGGTGAGACAGCTAGCTCACACTCAGTCCCGTGGATCACCTCAACTAGCGCGTTTATAGAAGAGTCATGGAGCGGCACGGCGCCACGCGCGCCACGCGCGCACGGTCTGTTGTCGCAAAATGATCGACTTTAAACGACAGGCCCAGTGTCTGGTATGCAGAAGCTGTGAGGTCAAGATCTGTGCTCGCATTGCCGTGGGCGGATTGTTGGGCATTGCAGCAAACTCGTATCTGCCATTGCGCAGCTCTGCCGTTGCCGGCATGTGGGCTTTGGGGGTGAATGAATCGTTAGCAGTATGACAGAGGCGGAGCTTGCTTCGACCTTGTCGCAACGCCCTAGCCAATCCGCACGCGTTGCAGCTTTGACGTTGTAGGCGCAAGGTCAGCCTCGTGCGGTTAAGGCACGTTAGTACCGGGGCTACGCCCAGCGTGCCTGGCGTTAGATGCTGTCAGATTAGCTGGGGAAGTGATCAACAGCACTTCGGTAAGAGGTTAATCTCATCGGGTGTGGTAATGGCTCGAGGAGTGTTGGCTCACCCGTGACTCGTACCCGATTGACCGTCGCAGCTTCAACTTGCAACACAGGTAAGCTCCACACATTGGTTTCGTCGAACCATTCTCGTGTGGCATATTTGAGAGCCGGCCGCCGCACACACAGCCACCGTAGTCATGAATTCATGAGTCACTCGAGACCGGACGGAGAAAGCTTCCTGTACCGCACGAGAAGATGACGCTAGTGACTCTCCGCTTATGAGACTGGTCTGGGCAGACCTTGGGCCGAGTTAACGGCTCCCGAAAACAGTAGCTTAGGGTTTGGGACTCTGTCCGCGTCGAAACATTCATTGCGACATTCAGTACCTGCTTAGCTGCTCTGACGCTGACCGGGCAAATGAGATGGCCAGATGCACGATACTCGTCAGCTGTCGCCGCATATCGGTTCCGGCCCTCTGTTGATTTGTCTGGCTAAAATCATCGAATGACCTCCGTGCAGCCGTTGTTCACAGATCTGGAAGTCGGTGCCAAGGTCAGCCGCAAGTCGGATTCTTGTCTCGGGACTAGAGGCCAGCTTTGACAAGCGCTTGATCATCGACCCCAACGAATGTGTATCAGTGGGAAGGCAAAGCTGGTTGAAAACAAGACAGAGACCCCCAGAAGTACCACTTGATGATGGCATTGTACGAGTTGAGCCGAGTCTAGGATACTTTCGTGGGAGCTCGATGCCTTGTAGATTTACCCCATAGGGATGGCGTCTTTTCAGATCGTGGTCGATCACCGTATTCAACCGACTATCGGTCATCACCTGCGAGTTTCTCAAGTCGATAGTACATCTCCTACCAAAGCCGAAGGTTGACCGCGATGATGTGCTCGTGGTGCTGATGCGGGTTGATGTGGGAAACTAGATTCAGCAAATATCGAAGGAATCGATACTCGTTCGAGGCAACAAGCTGAAATCGTCGGTTTAGACCTTAGCGGTTTGCCTTGGCAAGTGGAGGTGATCGGGTGATCTGCACGTGCCCAGCTGGTGCCCAGGTGAGCCGCTTATGTAAGGGCGAACAACATCGAATTGCAACTCAGATCGCTGCGACCAGCGCGACGACGAGCTCGCGGTCCGACCTACTTAGATTGGGAGTATTGCTGTTGCGATAGCGTTGACAACTTGCGATGACCTGGAGCTGATCAGAAAACCTAGTAAACGAGTATCAATGTTCCCCCTAATTCCTGCTTTCCTTCTATCTCTGATATCAATCACTCTATCTCCGAACCAGCTGGAGTTCAGACACGAGTTCAACACTTTCCTGCAAAGGATCGTGCAGCAACGTCATCCGATGCGCACATTTTGCTCAGTATAGCTCAGGAAACATACGTCTGAAGCCTCGAGGCGACCAAAGTCTGATGCCACGAAGCTGGCGCTTAAGCACGAGGCTGAAACGAATGCGTCGAGCGACCGATCGCAGACGCGTATGCCATCCCACTCTATTCGATATGATACTTTGCCCACAGCATGCCGCAGCAAGCGCTTCGGTTGGCTTGGTTGGATGGCGATTGACCACGAGATGCTCGGCCAGCGGCTGATATCTTGGACCATTGCCAGATATACCTCGCCGGCCAAAGGCCAAACTCAGACTACATTCGTCCATAACCTATGATCCAAGACACTGCCACGTTGCCGAACATACATGACGCATGCTCTCGATGAGGCCGTTAATGGAGCGCTTCCATGTTTACAGCAGTTCTCGTGCTTACTAAAGGTAGGGAGATCTCCATTGAGGCTGGATAACGACATCGTTTTGCTTCACCACTTACATCTGCTTCGCTTCGTACTTCGCTGGCGCAGGTCGCAGCATATTTGACAGACATATACATTGTAATACTGAATTGGCAACATGGACATGCCTCCGACGGCACCTTACTTCCCACCGCCCCCAACCACCACTTCGAGCAAACGCAACCCACAAAGACCAACGAGGGTAGACACCTCGCTGCCATCTCCTCTACGAAGATCTCGCAAATTCCTCCTACCACCACTATTACTCCTCTCCTTTGCCTGCGTCGTCCTCTCAACCATTTATGCGTACTGCATCGCCTCGCCGCATACCCACCTCACAGCCGCCGATTATGCGCACAACCCACAAGCCGAGCTCAACGAGTCTCTGTTCAGACGTGACGGCGGTAGCCCCATCACAAGCCTGACTCCAGCGCTCGCTCTGTACGCTCTCACTACGCCCCTAGCCACCATCGTCCTCATTCTCGCCGAAACCGCCTTGCAGATCTTACGGCCGAAGCTCAACTACAGCCGGCCCTTCCTTACCCTATGTACTGCCGCCGCTTTAGCTATTGCCTTCGGATGGATTGCCACATCAATCCTATGGGTGCACTGTGAGATCTCGCCGCTGCAGCATGCGCCGGGATCGCAGAATGTATGTCCGGCTTCGGTGCGTGGACACTTCATGTGGGGTATTCACGAGCTGTCATGGGCAAGAGCGGCGTTGGGATTTCTAGTTGGTGTCGGGTTCATGCTGCATGCTTTCTGCGCTGTCAAGAGCTTGAAGAGCGCTGTGAGGCAGCTGAAAGGTCATGGTGGCGTGGGAAACGGGCTGGGACTTCAGCATGGTGAGGCTCAAATGGTGGATATAGAGAGGGAGATGGAGGAGGGCTTGAGGGTGCAGCGGAGTTTGAGGCTGGGTATGAAAAGAGTGGGCAGAGAGTGCGGGTTGTTGGCTAAGGAGACGTTGTCTGACGGAAAGAGGCCTTGAATGTCTGCGCTGGTCTTGCTATTGGCTTGCTGCTCTCGACAGGTCTGTTTTGGAAATACTCACGAAGCTGTACAATGGAGTTCGTTATCGTGACATGGTCTGGTTACACACTGAACGAGGGGTATGCGTGAATCACAATCGTCACACTTGTCGGCCGACGCCTCGTACTCTCTTCCAGGATCACCTTTCCAACGCCACGAGCTTCCACACTGGATCATGAAGTTGTGGGGAAAATGTACTGAGTATTTGTGTACACACTGAAATGCCGATTCGGCCGTAATTGGTATGCGCGTCGGAGACTAGTTTTTAGACGTATCGTCAGTCATCATCGTCGTCGTCCCTATTGACACGAGGTCTTCCTCTCCTTCGCTGCTGAGTCGCCCCGGCGCCTGGCTGAGGTGTCTCACGCCGACTCTGAGGCGCACTCCCGCCATTCGATCCTGGACCTGCTGAGGCGTCTTCCTGCACTGCAGCATGCACGCCCAGTGTTCGCTTGAGTCTTGCATTCAATTCGTCCATCTCCATTTTCGGTCCTTCCCTGCCTGGACCAGCGGCGCCTTGCCCATACACGCTCCTGGCAAGACCTTCGGCCCCCTTGATGCCGACTTCGACCTTGCCTCTCGGACCGACAGTATAGCTGATGACATCTTCGCCGCCTGAGCTAACCTTCTTCTTATCTAGGTAGCCCTCTCGGAGTAGCCTCTGTTTGACCTTATCCCACTTGCCGAATGGTGTCCCGGCGCCTATGTTGAACCTTCTAAGATTCCTCTCGAGTTTCTGCTCAGTGATCTCTCCATTGTTGAAGTAAATGAGCGTGATGATGAGTGTGTAGAATGCGGTGTACCCAGCCTCGTCTTCCTGACTCGGAGCATGACTTGGTTCCAGTATGCGTGGGTCCTCCTTGTACTGCTTTGGTAGTATGCTGACCAGGATCCAACTGCGATTAGAAGTGCTGCCGGTCTTCTGAGTCTGGGTGGCTTGCTTCCGTCGCTCGTTAAGCCCACTTCTCTCCTTGCTCGGTAGTTCTTGTAGCTCCATGCCGAACGTGTGTCGGAGCACTGTCTGCGCATCCTCGAAGACTTTCTTAAATGAGCCTGCGCTGCTGGCTACGCCTGTTCCCTCACCAGTGCTGTCCTTGAAGACTTTGTCCGATATGTCGCTTCGCCGTAGCGGTGCTCGAGAGTATTCGGTCGATATTGCTAAGCGGACCAACTTCTTGACTAGTGTGTTGCGTTGGTTCCCAGCTTGTGTCTCTGGCGAATTGGATCCTGCAGACGCAGCCGACGCGATCGACGATTCCGAGGACCTACGACGGACACGACGCTGCGTCGGTTGTTCTGGCTCCGGCGATTCGGATGGCGGTGGTGAAGCGTCACGAGAGATGGCGTCGGAGCGACGTTTGCGCCGGTTGAGTTGAGGCATCGTGGCCTTCTGTCTCTTTGAGAGGTCTGAGTGACCGGATCTGGTAACGAGAGACTCTAGAGATTATTCTGTCATGGTTTAGATAAATTCAATATCGCTTGATCAGGCGTAAGTGGAGATTGATGGAAGCAACCAAAGTTCCCTGCGGTCCAGCGCGTCGCGTTAGGCAAGAGCGCGTCAATGTCATTTGAAAGAATTCCGTTCACCCTCTGGGGCGGTCTTGCCCTTATCCACTTCCCTATGGACCTATCCTCACGGCCCAGGCACATATGCCCCACGGCTGGGCTAGTCGCCGCCCCGTCGAATAGTGCATCAAGCCTCCCACTTCACGGACTGCACCGACCGGACACTCTCCGTACATGGCAGGTAACCAGTATTACTCAGGCAATGACATTCAGCTACGTTTGACAGCCTGGGGGCTCAGAATTGGTCATCAATGCCTACTGATACCTCACGTAGGATAAGCCGTCTACTGCTACCCCATATAGATCTGCAGGCGATCACACTATCCGTCCTACCAGGGCCTGTTCGATCACTTCTCGCCCTGTCGCTCGTTTTGTCGAGCATCGAAGTACCGACTCTTCAGCGCTTGACTAATGCCGCTGACCCTGCTAGCCATCGTTGTACCGCCCATACCGCTCATCAATGCCTCTTCAAGTGCGGACTGAGTGACACTCGTATCGTCCAAATCGCTAAAGCTCGAGCCCATGCTTGGCGATGACTCGGATCCCTGCCGCCTTGGTGAAAGCCCAGCCGATGCAAGTGTCGCCTGCTGACGCGGCGAGAGTGTCTTTGCCGTTCGTTCTGCTCGATGCGGCTGCATGCTGGGCTGAGTGCTTGTTGAAGTACCAGTGTTTGGGTCAGAAGAGCTGGTGGATGCTGACAAGGCCTGTGGTCTAACAGGAGCCTTTCCAGCACTCGCCTGGGTCTTCGTGGGAGAGGCTATCTTTTCTGAGGTTGATCTACGGTGAGTTTTGGGCCGTTGCAGTGCTGTGCCCCCCAAGCCGCCTCGTAGAGTTGCGCTTGGATCTTGCTGAAGCTTCATCGTTTGCTGAGACGATGTGTTATCTGGAATGTCTGATGCGAATGCGAGGAAAGAGTCGTCCTCGTCATCATCGTCTGTGGGCTTTGGGCTTTGCAGAGCCTTGTCCTTCCGCAGCGACACGCTTCTGCGATGAAGTGAGGACGGATTTGATCTGCGAGTTATGAACTTGGATTGTGTCATTTGTTGCTCCTCTGGCTCGTCATCGGATTCGTGACCTGTGTCTTTGACCTGACCCGGCGATCGAGACAGTTGAGGTTGGACACTACCACGTCTTGACAATGGATTTTGGAATACGACTTCCTTCGACGTCTGGCGGGACAACGGTTTGCTGTTCGATGAAGTTCGTGGCTGCATCGACGGGGCAGGAGGCCCTCGAAGCGGGAGAGAAGTCCTGCTTCTGGCAGGGGTTGGAGGTGTTCCCGTCTCCGGCACTGTAGGGCTGCCAGCATGCTGTGTTGATAGACGCGACGGGGCACGAGAGCCACCACTGCCGACCCTCTTCATAGGCTGAGCTCCTACTACACTTGACGTCACAGAGACTGGCGCAGGTGAAGGAGTCGCAGACTGTCTGTTGCCAACTTCCTCAGCTGAGCACGTACTTGTGATAGTTGTCTCTCGTAGAGCCATGCTGCTTGTTGTAGGATGAACGGTTGAGTGACTTCGAATTGACCAGCAAGTGCGCTCCAATCGATTTCATTGCCCTTCCCTTGCCCCTGTCTTGAGATGACATCCCACAACGCTCGCTCCTTTGCGGCAGACCATGATACTGGTGGCGGGTCTACAAAGTCGCCTCTGTTGAAGGGCAATCGAATGAAGACTGTGAAGTGGTTCTCAACTTCTGCCATTTCCACAGTTGGTGGCAGAACAGTCCAGGCCAGCTCATGAACGACCCTGTGCTCGGCTTTGTTTGCGCCGCCAGTGATGCTGTCTCTCGAAGGGAATGTCTTGTGTTAGATGCTTCTTCACACCAAGTCACAAGATGTTGTCAACTCAAATAAGGCACCCACGGCAGGCCCACATATTCAAGCGCCAAGTTCATGCCTGTGAGCCAATAGCGATAAGCTACCCCTGCCACCTGGAACTTTAAGGTAAGCACTTCAGGTCAACAGGATGGATTTCGTCCTCCTCATTATCTGCCACGAGTCTTGTTGGTCAGCGGCAATATCTATTGTGGTATCTGGGAGCACATGTTGTTCCGCAATCTCGAAATGTTGGTCGATGTCGCCGTGAGCAGGACTGTCCTAGGACGATTGGGCGACTATGTCGTCGGATGTAATGAGTAGACGCAAATCGGTCGACCTGGAGCATAGTGCAGCCCGCAACGCAAATGGCGCGTGCAAGGATAGGTGAGAGCCATGAACTTGAAGTGGGCGCTGTATGCGACAACAGTGGCGCTGCTCAACACTATTGCCAGTCGAGCTGTGGCAAAGGAGTGTAGTGGTCAAGGTACTCAACTCATGTCGCTACAAATCATCAAATTCAAGGCTGGAGCTGGAGATGGATGTATTTACCAGCAGAAGAAATCAGCAACAACGACGACCTCAGCGGAGAGCGGCAACAGGATTGTTCAACAGTTGGCAACCAGACAGTGCCAAGACGCACGAAGGCTTCTTTCCTGCTCTTTCCTGGACATGCACAACATCCTACGACTATGTCCAACAGAATTATTGCGCCTCAAGAAGTCACTTTGAGAACTTCTTCTTGACGGTCAACCATCTTCACTAGCCAAACAAGCTTGTGACAACACTCTACAGCTCTATTGTCTTGCAGGGAGTTGGGAACAATTGGGTGCCGGACTGTTCTATCTGCGGCTATTAAGAACTCACCACCCTGGACAACATTCTGTCTCATTATCCACACCATAGCGCTGCCTCAAGAGAATATTGCACCTATTCTCGATCCTGCAGTCTTTGCGGTATCCTGGAGGCGAACGAAGTTGTCATTGTACCTGTTCAGTCTCGAGGTACGTGCTTGGTAAGTTCTACTATTTGGCCACCTCGACATTCAAAGACCGGCCCCGGTATCACGGTCGAAACACAACCGCCGTTACTAACTCTCAAGCACAGGGTCCGCCTCGCCGAATCGCGAGCATAATCGGAATACTTGTCGCCGCAAACGCTAGTCGCAAAACCGGCCTTCAGGACGAGTGTCGATTCGATTACCTCCACGTCCTTCAAGTCACGCATTGACACCAAACCAACATACATTCACTCGACTTCCAGCGCTAGTGAACATTCATGTAGGTACTCCTTGCGTTTCGATTTCCCAACCAACTAACACGCAATCAGCACCAAGCAGACAATGTCGGGCTTCATGTCTCCAAGCACTGACAGCGTCGACTATAAATGCCACGGCTGTCCCGTCTCCTGGTCTCTCCCGGCAGCCGCCCTCGAATGGAAAGAAGTCGACGGCGTCCCGATCGAGGCCTTTCGCGTCGACAACGACACCCCCACGCGCTGCCTACACTGTGCTCTCGTTCTCGGCGCCATTGTGAAGCTCAACGACCTCGTCTTCCGCGAGCCATGGTTGTTGACAGAGGGCAAGGGTGGTGAGCCGAAGAAGGAGGCGTGGGAATTGGTGGGAACGGAGAAGAAAGACAGTGGTCACGCTTCTTCCTGCGTTAGCAGCGCTGGCGATGGCCGTACCTGGCTGAGAGTGTCGAGTTCCGCGACAAGGTGCTGGCCAACTTCGTTGAGACTGCTGGAAAGGGGTTCGCTGTCGAGGTGGAGGGCGCGGAGAAGGAGAAGAGCGAGAAGCAGGAGGAAGAGCAGAAGGGCAATTAGTGATGGCCGAGAGTGAACGTCGCGCTTCTACTTCCAACTGAAATACCTCGAAGCAATCAGAATGATCAATGGACCTAGTGATGCTCGTCCGTCACTGTATCCGCATCACTTTTGTTGTTCAAGGATGAAAATCACGCAGTGCGGACTCGGAGAATATCGGGATCTGCGTCTGGGACGCCTTAATCGCCCCTTAGATCTGAAGGCCTCCAGGGCTCATTGCAGCCTAATTGGCAGCTGAGCCTAGCCTCATCCAACTGTTATTCGCCTAAAATACGGACGAAAGCCCGCCTGGAGTGTATATCCCGTCGCATTGACGAAGACAGCACAGGACCAGACGTGAGTGCGAGCATATAGATGATCGGCGGGCTATCTTGCTCGCTCCTGAGTCTGGCTTATGGTGTTCTGGGAGCAGTTGGGAAGAAACGAGAAGTATTTAGTCCTCGCGACCTCACACTGCCTAGGTAGCATCCCGAATCCCTATACTACGATCAAAAAGTTCAACAGCAACGTGCCTACCACTCAACAAGCACAGAACCAACAGCGATAGCTAGGTCCACAACAACACTGTAGGCCCTTGAAAACATCACCCACCAGCCCACCATGCCATCGCCTCCATATCTGACCGCCCTCCGCCTCGCCGCCATTACCGGCACCACCCTCGCCATTTCCCAGTTCCACATCCTTCCTTACCCAAGGAAGGCAACCACTACCATTCCCGACTCGCTCCAGCAATCTCCGCGCTACCGCCGTCAAATCAATCCCTTCCCGAAACAATCACAAGCAGTCGACTCAACGCACAGCATAACAATCCCACGACCGCGTGACCCCCGCACCGGGCAATACATCTCCGACGCAGAGGTTTTGCGGAGGTTCACTTTGGGGCTCTGGAGTGGGTGGGCGTTTACGGCGGAAAGGTTGATGTTGGTTTGGGTTGCGCCAAAAAGGCTGCAGGTCAAGCTGGGAACGGAGATCGAGGGACCCCGGAACGACGAGAAGGAGCTGAGTGTGGAGGAGGCGACAACTGGCGCTCACCTTCGATCGCTTACCGACCTGAGGCGGGCGATGCCGGTACCCGTAGCATTCTCAGAATGGTCAGAACCCTCGGAAACCACATCGGCGACATCCCTGCCCAAACCCGGCACAATCCTCTTCGGCGCTTTCAAAGTCGCAGATGTGCACATCGCCACCACACAGCAGCAGCAGCAGCCACCTGGGTTATCGTCATCATCTTCATCAGTGCCCGGCAGCTACATCGACTTCATCTACGGCGCGCACACATCTTGGATTCGAGGCATGCATCGCTTTGAAGTCGTTCCTTCCTCACGTCCAGATTCGAGCTCATCTTCCGAAACTGCAGCAACAGAAGCCGAGAGCGTTACCATAAGATTCAGCTCCAGCAGCTTGAAGCCACCTCCAATTCCTACATCAGGCAAAGAAGCTACTATCGCTGCTGTTGAGCAGCCTCTGATACTGGGCGGAAGGTCCTTTGGGCCATTTCTGGCATACTTCCATAACATCTATGCTGGGTACCTTTTCGCTGATGGGATGAGGGAGGTGCTTCGAGGCTGAGAAAGCATCTCTTTCCAGAACTGTATTTGTGTTCGCAAGTGGCAGCCCACGATTTGTTGCACGGAGCAGCAAAATGCATGACTGGGTTATGTACCATCAATTGTATATCACGTCTGGATATCACTTCTCTAAAACCTCGAGACATCCCTCCCAAACAACTTCACCGCAACCCACTGCACCGGCACCAGAAACTTATTCCTCCAACTCAACGTCATGGTCAGGTAAGCCCCTCTCCACACAAGATACGCGATCCACCCTTTCAAGCCCCTCGCGCCACTGCCCTTATTCACCTCCTGCCCGCCGCCTTGCAAAACCGCCCGGCTTCCACCCAGATATGTCATCACACCCAAATCGCGAAAGCCAAAGCCCTTGGCCGCCTCAAACGCCTTATCCGATGACGAGGGCTGACCACGATACGACTTGTTCAAGGCATTACCCAGCCACAAAGCCTGCTGGTTCGCGACCTGCGCCGTGCCTGGCAGCCGGCCTGTCTTCATGATCGTTGTGTCGCCGATGGCGAAGACGTCGGTCATGGTGGCGCGGGCTTTGGTGGTGTTGCGGTCGAGAGACTCGCCGTAAGCTTCTTCACCATTGTGGTTGCTCGTGCTCGTGTTCTCGCTAGCCGAACTTCGGGTTTGCGTCTCAAGCTGTACGCGGAAGTGGTCGTCTACTAAGATCAATCCCGTCTTGTGGTCGCGTTGAACCATCCACTGCCTAGCGCGCGGTGAGGGAACGTCGCTGCCTTCGAGGATCGACGCCGAGTTGGTGGGATAGCGCCGCACGCTGTCTAGCGTCTTCGCGACGAACGGGTTGGCCATGTTCCCAGTACTCCAGACACACATTCCAATACCTACATCGCCCTCCTGGGCTGTTTCGATGGTGTACACGCGGTGCTTGGCTTGTAGGTCTTGGTGGTCACGGGCTTCGGCATCATTGGGCATGCCTTTGCGAAGGGATAGGACTTGGTGGGAGGTCTTGATCTCAATATTCCGCCGCTGGTACTGACGGACGGCGTAGTCCGCAAGAGTGGCGTCGAACATGGGGAGGACTTTTGGCGCGACATCATAGAGGGAAATGCGCACGTATCGCATTTCGGTGGGAAAGATCCGCGAGAGGTCCTGCTCGATTAAGTCGGAGAGGGAGGCGGCGAATTCCATCCCTGTTGGCCCACCGCCAACGATTGCGAAGTGTAGCAGATGTCGTTTCGTATCTTCGGGAATGAATGGTAGGCGAGCGAGTTCGAACAGGTCGAGAATGCGCCGTCGGATGCGGCGGGCATCGTTGACGTCCTTGAGGAAGAGCGCGTTCTCGCGCACGCCGGGCGTGTTGAAGGTCTGGCTGTAGCACCTACGGCTATGACGAGCTTGTTATAGGAGACAGGGAAGGTCGGGACTTTCGTCTCGCCTGTCCCGCCCGGCTGTGCCGCGCCGCCGAGCTGAAAGGTATCGGCGGGCACATGGACACGCTTGTCGGGTGGGCCGCCGCCAACGAGAGCCTTGCCGACGTTCTGGTCGAGGACGTTGGGTTCAACGGTGATGGTCTTGTCGGCGAAGTTGACGTCGTCCGCCCAGCCTTGTAGGAAGGAGATGGACGTGTTGCGTTTGCGGATGGATTCGAGCACGTTGCGGAACTCGAGCGTGCCGACGGCGCTGTCGTTGAGTAGTGGCGTGAATACAAAGTACGATCTTGGACTAATGACGATGGCTCTGTACTTCTTGGGATCGAGCTTCCGGGCAAGAACGTAACCACCCCATCCGCTGCCTAAGATGACCACTCTTTCCCTTCCGTCCGGCTCGAGTGGACGACTTGCACTCGATACATCCGCGAAACCTCTGACATGTGACCTTTGCGGCGGATGTTGTGTTCTGCTGGTCGTCCTCAATGTATGATATACTGGTGTACAGCTAGGCGAAAACATAGCGGATCTGTCCAGACATCTTGTCACTGACGCTCTGCTGCTGAGTTGCGCCATGCTACCGCCCCGACCGGGCAGACGAAACGTTGGGGCCCTGCCAGTGTATGCTTGTGGTGTCAGTAAGATCAGTCGTGGTAATAAATGGAGCTAGTCATATACAAGAGCAAGTGGAGCAAGTCGAGTATTTGGTAGTCAAGGTAAGGACTTCACTCAGAGTCACGTAGTCAGAAAGAGCACCGTCGCACAGCGGGTGTACCTGGGTAGTCGATCATCGGTCGCATTGCACAAAAAGACACACGCATAAAATGTCTCGGCGGCGTTCCGGACCGCCCGGTTTCTGCAACACATGTCACTACATCGTCGGCCATATCAAAGGAGCCTCAATGGGTATGACGAATGTTGGGAGCGGAAATACGGCTGCCATGGGTGGAAGTGGAGCCTTGGCTTTTTGCTGAACCTTGAATCCGAGATATTGGATACGCGCACGGGCAGACGGACACCGAAGACCATAGAGGGCTTCTTGGTTCCTTTATGCATGTGATCAGCGTTGAAGTGCTTTGCTGGTAAGCCAGCAGCTGCCAGAGCTATTCCGGGGGCGGCATGGGGGCCGGCAAAAGAGAGGGCAGTACGGGTGCCCCCAGTGCATCGTGTGTACGGGCACGAAAATAACTCGGAGGGCTCATCTGCCCTTGCCTCAGGGCGTGATGACAAGCCATCGCAGCTCCTGACCTTCACCAATACAGAGGGTTCCGCTGAAGAGTATGTCACGGGCACGATATTGCCATTGAGCACTGTCAGCGATATGTGCTATGTCTGCCCTTGACCCGCGCCATCTCCGTAATGCTTGCTCAAGACAACCACCGATCCTGTGTTCATGCCAGGTTTGAATGCAAAATCGTCCGAATGGACTTTCAGAAGCCCGGTTCCCAGCCTGAGGTCCGGGGCTGAATGTACATACAGAGCTGCCTCAGGCGCGACCATCGACGCGAAATGCTGTAGGTATTGCTGACCCAAAGATAACAGGTAATGCATGATGCCGCCGTCAGCACCAATCCGCCCAGAAACGCCATGCCAGGATGCTGTCTCTTTGCTATCGTCTCGAACATCAAGAAGAGTAAGCGGCGCTATTGTCGCTCGACTGGTATCTGCAAATACAATTTGTCCAAGTATGTGCAACCGAAGAAGCAAAAGGCTCATGTCGACCCTCTGGTGCGGTCACTTGTCCGTTTTCTGCCACGAATTCAAGTAGGCCATCAATCCAATGCCGATCAGCACCACGCCCATTGCCGAGACGAAGGGTGCCGACTGTGCCAGCACTTCGCCGTCCCCAGATCTGCTATGTCTCAACGCAGTCGCGACGGCTTGTTCCAGCTGTGAAGGCACCCTGGGTCTAGTGACGTGCCCATTCGCAGTCGGTCGGCCGGAATCTTGGCCTTTTGCCATATTCTCTGTGGAACCATCCGTGCCGAGGGACCGTAATCTCGACGGCTTTGTGCTATTTACTGCCTTCTCGATAGCGCCGGGAGCTTCAGTGTCGTTCTCTTGACGCAAGCGTTCGATCATCTCCGTTAGGGTCTCCCGTGTCTTGACAGCGTCGGCTTCGGCGACTTCTGCTCGTTGCTGATACCGATCCATGTCTGTCTTCATCTTCTGCATTTCCAGGACCATAGTATCGAGCCGCTGTTGAAGTTGCTTCTCATCGACAGGGTCGCTCTTCAAGTCTTCCTTCGTAGATTGCTGTGCCGATGGGTGATCACCTCCTAGCTCGGGCAACACAACGGGCGGCTCTTCGATCTTGGTGACTGGTTTGTATGAGGTATCCTGCTCGATCTGCCGGGCTCGTTCTTCCGCTCTGATACGCGCGGTCTTCTCCTCCATCAGCATATCCTCTAATTCCTTCACGCGCGCCTTCTGCGAGTCCAGATCTTTTCTGACCAATTCTAGTATAGCCAAGTGATCTGAACCTGGAGCTGCTTCCTTCTTCGAAGGTGAGGTTGCAGGACTGCTGGCTTTCGCTGTGTCACTTCGTTTCAAAAAGCTCGTCAGGTTGAGCGGATTCATCGAGCTGGACTTAGTGCTGTCTGGCTTTTCTGGCAGAGGTTGCTGGGGTGGCGGAGCAGGCGGATCACTGAATCGCGCCAGATTGTCGTTCTTGAAAGATCTGGAACGGTGACTTGCCGGCTTGATATTTGCTTCATCCGTGGGTGATGTGTCGGCCTGGTTCGGGGAGGTGTCTTTCAGCGGTGCGACGATCTCGGCAAACGATTTCTCGATATGATCGAGATCCGTAGATTGTTGTTTTGCGGCACGCATCTCATGCTATGGAATTCATCAGTAAGGCTTACTCGAAGGATCAGGAAACGTACCGATATCTGTTTCACGAGATGCTCAACACTAAGCGGTGGGCCCCAAAGGTTCATCTGGCGGTTCTGCGCCGCAGCACTCATTTGACCTCCGGCAACGCTGGAAGGAGCGGAACGACCAGCGACTATGAGACCACCAGCCCGGTTTCTCTGTTGCAACAAGGGTGTGCTCAGAGGCGATGGAAGGAGCGCGCCACCATGTGAAGGATCCAGATCGCCAAAGCTGAGGTCGAGAACATTGTTTGAAGCGCCAGGTAGGCCTACAAACTCCACTTTCGCCGATACCTTGTGGTGGACGATTGTCTTCTGATCTTCACTGACGATATCGATACCGAGCTCAAGCGTGTCATGCTGTCGAAGTTGATGAGGCTCCGATTCGCGGTTTTCGAGGGATAATCGCTGGCCGTTAACAAATGTGCCGTTGGAAGACTTCACATCCCGAATCCAGACTCGACCTTCCCTATCCGCCCACACCTCTGCATGTTGGCGGCTGAGGACCTTGGAGTCGAAGTAGCCATTCGTCGGGGTCGGTACTGTCTTTGCGTTCGTCTGCCGGCCAACTCGCATTGTATCTGGGGAGAAGGGAACATTGATTTGTTTCCTCTCAAAAGTGCCATTCATGGGTAAGAGTGCGAGCAATGCTGAAGAATCTTGCGATGCCGTCCCATTCGGTATTCGAATGCCGTTCGTTTTTGCTGCAGCGGCAGAAGGCAATACTGGTTGTACAGGGGCTTTGCCGGACAGTACAGAAGCTAGCTGAACGGAGCCATTTGCACGGGCTGCACTCACGCCAGATGTCGACTCGGCTTTCGACACAGGCCAGAAGCCACCTCTTGTCTTCTTTTTTGCCGCAGTGGTGCCATTGTCTCCATTCGCTGCGGATGATACATCTGTGGTTGTCGATGTGGAGGACGTGGACGAGTTTGAGGCTGTGGAGGCGAGAGAAGTTGAGGAGTTACTTCTCTGTACTCCGTTCTTCCGTTGACTTGGAGGCATGAATATTCTTGACACGTCTTCCGAACTCATGGCTGAGAAACCACCAGTACTCCCACCATTCCAGCCGACCCTCGGAAGGGATTGTAGATTTGGAGGGGACGCAACAGCGGTCGTCATCGGAGTGAGCGAAGTGAGGTTCCGGACAAGATCCTCTGGTTGTTCTTGCCTTAGATCCTCAATGAGACCGAAGGGGTGGTATACAAAGCGTGGAGGTGAAAGAAGACAAGCGCGCAAGCTGACAAGATTGGACTCGTCATGGGTCCTCGTCCAATCTTGGGCAGCTGTTGGGTGTACTGCCTCTTGGGCTTGTCGCTGAAAGTCTCGAGGTGTCGAGCTGAGCGTCAGAAGAGAGCCGTAGGTACCGTCGAGCACCGAAGGACGTCGTTAGGGTGGTGAAGGCTGGCTCGCGTGTGAATGCCGAACCGTGACTTCGGGACGTTGTGTCGTCGGGTGACAGATCGATGAGCCAGGAATCGCGAAAAGAAGCCTTGAGTCGAATACAGATACTGTAGCTAGGTATCGCTCTATTTAGAAGGGGTCGAAAAGGGTTTGTTGATCGAGAAACTGCCGTCAGGTCGATGTCGTCCTCGAGGAAGTCGTTCAAAGCCGAGTCTGCGGGAAGCCCTGACCTCCCAGATAGTAAACTTAGCCGAAGGCAACGCGCCTGTGCGCCGGGCCAAAGTGAGCGGAGCTGCTCAGGTGGTCATTGGAGAAAGCATAACCGCCGCCTCTCTACCACCAACAGTGCACCTCTCCTCCAACATACTAAGTACCCTGGGAGACACCATCCATCCTCTGTCAAGCACAGGGCTGCTCACTGGAGAATTACCTTGTTTGTTGCCACTACAGAAACCGTTCACAATGCCGCCCATGCCTGCGAGTGCGCAGCAGCACAGAGGACCACACTGGTTTGACAAGAGTAGGCACAGCGCCAATGTTGTAGACTCAACAGCTAACCTGTTGCAGTGAAGATGGGTGCTTTGATGGGGACAAGTCAGTTGAAGGTGGAAGCCGTAGATAAAAGGCTATAGCTAACGTGTGTCAAGCTGTGGGAGGGATAATGGGCTTCATATATGGTCAGCCACTCACCTAAATCACTTGTGCAGGATTTTGATAAAGTGTGCAGGCACAGTAACCATATTCCAATATGGAGCAGGACAGGCTGGAGTAATGAGAACACTGGGCAAGTTCATGGTTGGGTCAGGCGCAATGTTTGGGTGAGTCAACCTTGGTATCACCTGGCGCCTGGCGCATCAAATCTGACACGATCTACAGTCTTTTCATGGGCATTGGTAGTATCATTCGCAACGAGTCAGCACCCGTCGCATTCCCTATGCGGTCGGAGATCCTGGCGAGAACACACATGCGCCCCATCATCCATCCTCGAAGACCGCCACAGTCGTCCTCAAGATGAAAAACAAAATGCCAATGTACAAAAGATATGACCGGCAGCGAACATCTCATTTTCAATGGTGCTAAGCGATGGCGAGGTCGGGGCAACCTGCAGTGCATCAGCGTGGACATTGTCTTGACTGCGATTATTGACACTTGACGAAATGCTGTTTGCGCACAGCGCTCCCGATTCGTCGTTGGGATTGGATTACAATATGGTACAACAGCCGAAGACTGCTTTGCGCCTCCCGCTCTACGAGTGTCTGTACAGAGGTCTAGCCTGATATGAGAACCCACAAGAGGAAGAATATCTGCCAAAGTCAGTACCATCTTCGAATACTGCGAGAGGAAACCTACCATCAACACTCCAAACATCTTCGCGACCAACCACCTGTTACCTTGAACACGATTCCAGTATTTGAGAAGCTCCCGTTGCGCTCCTTGAACATTGTCAACTACGTCTTCCGTATTGGCGTCTATCCTCTGCAACTGCTCTCCTTGCTCTTGAACCATGCCCGCTAGCTGGCCGAATATACTGCCCAGTTCGTTAATTGTCCTTTCAATCGTTTCTATCGCCTGGCCACGTTCCTGGATATAGGTGTTTGGCACTTGCGCCTCCTCCATAAGCAGAAGTTGCGATTCAGAGTGTCCGCCACCTGACATCAAGGCCGACGGACCGGAAGGCTCAAGCGTGAGCAGATCGTTCGTTGTTGTATATGGCGTCCTCTTCGAGTTGGGTGTTGTATTCTGGTAGAGTGGTGACTCTGATCTTGACGCATCGAACTGGGGCTGTGATCGCGCCGACACCGACGACACAAATTGATCTGTTCGAGACCGCGAGGCTTGTATGTTCTTAGTCCTCGTCTCCAACACGTCCTTGAAATTGGCTGCCATATCCGTCACCTTGTTCTGCAGCATCAGAACAGCATTCTTGTTGTGCTGGCCCTCTTGATCCGCAGACTTGGGCAGTGACGCGGTCGGATGTTGCGACTGGGTCAAAGTCTGAAGATTCGAGATCTGCTGGTTGAGCTGTGCCAGATCTTGTTTGATCACGTATGTCAACTCGGAGATCTCAACAGGTCGGTCGTCGAAGATGGCTTTTCGTTTGGCAAGCTGGGCTAACCGCTCCAGTCTTCCCATTGTCGTCGTGATTCCTCTGCCTATCACCACGGCATTGCGTGCGAATTCCGACCGCTTCGTGCCGGGAGCGACGTGCCCATTAGCTTCTCGCTTCTCAGCCGCAGAGAGGAGATTCTGCCGTTGACCTCCTTTCGTGGCGGACTGTCGCTTCTGCGCCTGCGCTAATATGGCGCGGAACTCTGGCGTTCGGTCCTGTATTGAGTGTGTGACCATTGTGGCCGTTGTGTTGTATCCCGGCGTTCAGGCGCCGAACATGAAGAAGTTGTTGGGACAATGCGCCCGAGTTGCCGGAAAAGGAGAAGAGAAAGCGAGGTCTGTGGCGAACCTGACGTGAAGGAGTCCGTTGGTGGTTAGAAGTGCTCAGTGAATTTAGTATTGAATAACAGTGCCGAAGATTGGTCGTACGTTGAACATTCGTTGAGTAAAGATAGGGCACAGGTGGTCTCTCCGATGAAGCAGTTGGCCGCACGCGGGTTCCGGGGGTTTTCTTAGGCTACTGTCAAAGGCGAGCCCGCCGCATGGACTGCGCCACAGCTCCCCACAAAAGGTCCGGGTACTTCTTCCACGCCTGGAGTGGATCGTGTTTAGGCTTCATTGAAAAGGCACAACCTTCTATGCTTTTTCGTGGCGACTATCGACTATCCGGGATACGGAATTGCATGATGGGGATATTCTCGACAATGTGCTGACCGCCGCCTCTAGTCCTTTTAGTAGTGCAACATCTGAAGCAACGCTTGAAAGTGGAATATATTTGTGTAGCGATTGTCCATTGCCGATCTGTTTGCTGCGCCACAGGTGCAGATGCAGATGACGAGTGCCAGCCAGCCAGCCGAGCTGCCGCTAGATTCGTGTCCATTTCAAGATTCGACGTCTTACCAGCCCTCTTCAAGTTCCTATCTCTTCCTACTGCGCTTTACTTCGCGTCCGCGGTCTCGTTGATCCCTCATCCTTTGTCTTTGGTCTTTACTGTCGCCGCCTTGTGCTTGTCGATCGTTCTCGACTCCTTTCTCCGACGAGCGCCGACCGCGTGTTCCACCGCAAACCAATCGAGCAGTCCGTGCGCCTTGCGAAGCGAGCGACTCAGGAGCTCTAACACGCCGTCATGCGACATGATTGAATGAGCATAGCGCTCTCCCAAAACTTGTACTATTGAACGTTTCGCAACGCCCATAAGCATAATGGCCTCTGGCGGAGGCTTCAACTATAAGCCTAATGTCAATCGCAATGTAACACAGAAATGGCGAAACGCAGCACGCCCAAACTACGACGACGATGATGAGTGGGGCGACGACGGCTATGGAGACTACAACGATCCACCTCCGATACCTCCTCAAGCTCCCTCCCGGCCCGGCTGGGGAAATCAGATGCCGCCACCAAGTCGCAGCTTCACGAATCCCTCTCCGCCAAGATCCATCGGCCGGCCCTCCTTTGATCGTGGCGACGACCGAAGACACGTCTCTTCAGGAGGTGGCTTCGATTCTGCTTACCCGACTGCGCAACGATCGCCCTTTCCAGAACCGCAACACGAGCCGCCGCCACCCCAACAGCGATACTATGCTCAACCACCATTGCACATAAACACTCACGGGCAAGGGCCATATCCACACCCAAATGCACGTCCAGGCTCTCGAGGGTCACAACGGACTGGTTATAGCGACGGGCCCTATTCTGCACCTGGCCCTTACGGTCAGCCGCGGTCTCATTCTGGCCATAGACCTCCTGGACCTCCCCCTGTTGGCTATTCGCAGCGCCAAGGTAGTCCGGCACGACCAGACAGTCGCTCTTCGAATCATTCAAATCGAATGCCGCCGCCCAGGAAGAGCAGTCTTAGCCAGGAGCGTGCACCTCTACCTACGTGGACGGGTCCACCTCCACCTCTCGAACCTGAGGAGGACAACAGTGCCACTGTACCACAGTCCACAGAACCAGTCAAGCCATTGCCCTTCATCCGCCCGTCTGACATCTACAAGCGTATGGAAGAGGAAAGGCAGCGAGAACGACAGTCCATGGATTCTTCACGTCCCAGCCTTGAACTTGACACCACACGATCACATGACAGCGCAGTGACAGCCAGGACTGGCGGATCGGAAAACAAACAGCCCGCCAATGATGGAGACACTGATAGCGCTCGAAGATTGAGAACGAATCTCGACCCAGTCCCTGAGCGCAAGAGTGAATATGGAATGGACAACATGTTGAAGACGCCCGAGGCAGTTGACGCCCAAACCCAGAGCGAAGGGGTCCATCGGAATGGCACCACCGCCTCGTCTGTGTACACTGACCGGCCAGACCCGGTCTCTGCTTCAACAGAGAACGAGGAGCCGTCCTCGGCGTTTTCATACGAGCCGAGTCTTCCAACTTTGGGCCGTTTGTCTGTATTCAATCCTCAGCTAGATCGAGACGTATCAGCTGCCGATGCTATGCCAGATACGAGGTCCGCGACCGATGTCGCTCCAGCCAACCAAGACGTGTCTTTAGATCACAAGCCGTCCTTTGGCTATAGATCCGTGGTCCAACAAGCTTTTGACAGTAGCCAAAAGCCAGACCCAACTTCACCCACGTCTACGGGGGAGACGATACCTCGTTCGAATAGTGCCAGTACCTCAGACCTAAGTCCCATTGTTACAAGAAAGCATGACTCGGCGTCGCAGGGACAGGCAACTACAGAGCCCACAATTCCTGAGGAGCCATCCTCGGTGTCGTCGGACAGACCGCTGTCCGCGTCCACGATCAAGGGCGCGGATTCTACGGCTCCGCTCGCTTCAGTTGTCACACCTGGGTATCGTCGAGACCAAACGCCCCCGAGCAGTGGCAGTCCTGCACGCAGGGCCGATGTCAGGCACTCTGGAGAAGTTCAACCACAACAAGGTGTGCTCTCACGAATCAACACTACTGAACAGGAGCCAGAAGCGACTGATCGTGGACGACCGGTGCCTCCTGGCTTAGGTGGGATCATCTCTCCCAGCGCCAGTCAAGCATCTGGCGTGTCCGAGGAGTTCAACAGATGGCAAGCTCATTCGCAACAATTTAATGAACGCCTCGGGAACGGACGAAATAGTCCTGCTCCTACGGGCTCTCCAATCTCACGCGCAGAAAGTCCACCAAAGGGCACCGTCAAAGGGCTGGCAGGCAAGTATGAGAGCAACTCGGGTCGTTCCACACCAGTCAATAGTACAGCCGAAGAGGAGCATTTCACCCGGCCAGCACAGGCTCGACTGGAGAGTTTTCGCCCCGTTCTACCAGGGGCATGGCAATCTTACACCGCCACGCCTGCGCTCGGTACTCCTCAGAACGAAATACCAAAGCCAAGCTTGCCAGTCCGTCTGGGTGAACAGAGATTCGATAGCACCGACAGCGTGCCAACAGCCAAGCGCCCAAGGATTTCTCTCGCGGCACTGCACAGACCGCCTGGGCTGCAGCAGCAGCGGCAGGCACTGCGCTCGCAGGCTCGTTCAATGGTCCCGCATTCAGTACGCGACATCCCGAGACATCGGAAGATGAAAGCGAGAATGAATGGGATCAATCGAGCGATTCGAGCAAGGAGCCGGCAGAAGCCCATGATGTACGAACCCGCGATTTCGCTGCTCCACAACCAAGGAGTGTGAGCCCTCTGCCGACAGAGAAGTCCGGAGCGGCGACGACATCGGCTGATGGCCACCGAAACATCTCGTCGACGAGTGATGACCGGAAGTATATCCCGGCACCGCTCCGAATGAGCAAAAGCCTCGAGCCTGGTGGCGGTGCATATGCCTCCACCGACACCAGCTCATCAAATGACGAGGACGTGGGGCACGGCCACAATGAAAAATTACAAGAAGACATCGTCAAAAGCTTGACGCCTCGGTCATCCAACATCGAAGACCAGGCCACTGCGCCGGCGACGAGCGGAGTCAACATTGGCTCATCATCACATGTTCCCGACGGTACTAGAGGGCATGGCCTGCAAGAATCGGAAGACATGTATGGCGGCCAGTCAGCGCAACTGACACCGTCAGTCGACGCTCCCCGTCCCGAAATGTCCGCTTCTGCCCACCAGCCACAAGTCTCGGTGTCATCATTAGACAGTCCTCCACAGCGACCATTCCTCGAGCAGCGCTTCTCTTGGGAGATGGGGCAAGCCGATGACAAACATGCTGATATCGTCGAAGCCATTGAGCCCTCCACCTTGGCGGTGCCGCTTGGGAAGGCAGCAACTAAGGATCATGTTGATGATGTAAAGGATCCGCAAGATTCGAGAACATCCGGTGTTACTGCTGCTACCGCTGCTGGCATCGGTGTCGTTGGTGCTATTGGTGCTGCTGGCGCCCTTGGTGGTGCTGCTCGTACAAAGTCGTCCAGATCAAGCTCGTTCTTTAAGGACAATCAAACAACACCATCCATCGAAGCAGCTGGCCCTGCTGTCGTATCGGGAAATTCTGACAAAGGCTCGTTCCCGCCTGCTCCAACCAGTCCTTCACAGATCAAATCATTCCAGAACATAATGAAGATGGGGAATCAGCAAGATCGCATTAAAGCACTTGAGGACAACAGGTTTGCCTATGGCCAGAATGACGGCAAGCTTGATCAATGGATTCAATCCTTGCAGAGTCCAGAGTACACTGACATCTTCCAATCGAACGGACGAATCTCCAAACCATCTGGCGCGAGCAACGGGCAATCAGGTCCACAACGTCTACCATCTAACCGACCCCTTGGCAACATCAGTGGCGGCCGCGTCATGCAGGAGGATGGTAAGAAGTTGATGGCGGCTGCTGGCCGTTTTGGGGGAAAGGCAGGGGTTGCTGCTAAGGGTCTCTTCGCGAAAGGCAAGGACAAACTAAGGGCGGCGAGTGCCAGTGAAAAGGTAGCCTAATGTTTCTTTCTCTTTCTCCTATCCATGCGGCTTCCTGCCATGGAATACTATCTTGCCCTCGCAGGCATCCGCCGACCCGCGGCAAGACATTTGTTCCAGACAAAGCCGCATGCGGAGATCTTACGATCAGATAGATAAATTTTCAATGCCCTATGTCCACAGAACACTCCATCACGGCCACGACACGCATAATGAATGAACGCAGCGTTGACTCTTGCATCTAGGGATCTCAGGATAATCGCAAATCTTCTGGCTCGATGCCGACTATCGACGATGACCCGGCACGAAATCCAAGAAGTTCGACAGCTCTAGTTCCACCGCAACTACCAGCATCGGATATGGTCTTGTCGCCAATGGACGAGTCCAAGTGGTTTGCGTTCGATGAGCAGGGTGGTGCCAAATCTCAGGGCCCCATTGCTGGTCAGCTCGACAGAGACACTCCTACAGGACAGCTTGCCGCCGAGGCCGTCAACGCGTCTCCAGCAGAAAGAGATCTACACAAACTCTCATCTTCGTCATCCCAGGAACAACATCATTCCGTGGCTAACCTGCCTGCGGTCTTGATTGGTTCGGTGGACTCGTCTGCAAGCCAGTCTGAAAAGCCACATCACGGTTCGCAGGCGCTCAAAGAGGATGATACGGCTGTACAAGAACCCTCCCATGTTCATCAACGAAATGTTTCGGATCTAACTCCGGACGAGCAAGCAAGGTCACAATTGCTGGACACTCGCGAGGAGCTGCGTCCTACGGAGAGACTTGCCGTGGGTGTCGAGAGACAAAGTTCGGTCGTTTCTGCCGTTTCCAGCGCTAGTCACAGCCCGGCTGTAAGCAACGGAGATGCTGCTCATCGCAGTGTTTCCCCGGCTGTACACGATTCTGTCCAAGTAGAAGCTGCGCCTGACTACGAAGAGACACACAAGCCGCCTACCACAACCATCGACACTAAGGATGAGGAGGCAGCCAGAGATAGAGGTGCCAACGCAGACAGCCACGATCCTGTGCCTCAGTATGAAGAGACGCCTGTCGACCAAAACCGCCTGCCACGTATCGGTCCGGATGCTCAGATCCTGCCCGTAGCTGACCTTGGGACGCGGCAAAGACCAGAGCCAACAGTCACTAACAGGCCTTTCTCCTTCGAGGGCTCTGAAGCACTTCGCCAAGCTCAGGAAGCATATGTCCGAGACCAACAGGCTACTCCAGGCCAGTCGCAGCCTATGAGCCCGGTAAGCCAGACCGCGAGCAAGACAATGTCACAAGTCAGCCAGGAGGAAATCCCAGAGAGTCGAGAGCCAGCACCGAACCGGCAGTCTAAATCGTACTCGCGACCCTTCGTTGCAGCAAATCTAGGCCAACACCCTGCCTTCAGGCAGGATGATCAGTCCAGAGGCCGTGGCCAGACGGAAACGAGTGGAGCGCCGATCGCTGGACCCCAGAACCTGCAGGATGAAGCAGCCAAATATTCTGAACAGCTTCGTCCCAATGCAGAGGAGGGCTACAGGATACCTGGTCCATATGGCCAGGAGTACCGTTCGCCGAAGCCAAAGACATCGACGCCCTCGCCCACGGCGCCTCAGCAACGTGGCCAGAATCCGCTCACATCTCCGGTGACCAAGACTTCCTCCTACGAAGATTATGGCGACAAACACTTTGCCCCTGTAAAGAGCGAGGAGCCCCGAATTATGAGCCTCCTCCTCCAGTCCACGAGCAGCCACGACCAGCTAAGCGCAGCTTTGGTGCCTTCTTCCGCGCCAAACCCAAGCAAGGGCCTGCACGACGGGAAAGCACTGACCTGGACGAGTACGGAATGCCTGAGAGACGTCCCGGATTCTTCTCGCGCGACAGTCGACAGGATAGCAACTCTTCGCAGCCAAGCAGCCATGGCGAGTCCCGAGATGTAGTCGGCCAGTTGCCTCCCACACCAGTAGGTCGTACACGAAATAGGCTTTCGCGTGACTACTCTGGTGGTGCCTACGCTCAGCAACAGCAGCGACCGCAACAACAGTACCAGACCACAGATCAGTACTCCAATGATCGACCTGTCGACGCTACTAACAAGAAGAAGAAACGCTTCTCAGCTATGGGTAATTTATTCTCCTCGAAGAACGACAGGCCAGATCGAACATCGACGCCCCAGCGATCGACGACCCTTCCACCCAATTCCACCCAACCCAATCGTGACGGCCCGCAGGGACAGTACCAGGGCCAGCCACGGCCATACCAGCATGTGTCAGGCTACCAAGATCAAAATCGAGACCAACAACCACAGAGCTACGGCAATGCATCGACTCAGCAGTACCCTCAGCCCTACCAGAACTATACTGGTCCGCACCAGCACGAATCCCGACCCTCAGACCTACGAATTGACACAAGTAACGGCCAAAGCGGTAGACCTTACAACCAGCCCGCCACTGCACCTCCTCAAACCTATGCACCTCGCGACATCTCCTACGGCTCAAACGCCAATAACGCGCACCAGCAGTCGAGCGCTCCGGGCTCCGCCTACAATCTCGTCACGAGCCCCATTCCTGTCCCCAGTACTCGCGCACCAGCCACCGCGGCCGCCAATACGTCCTCCACCAAATCCAACATTGACGCACACGTCATAAACCTGCACAAGCGCTCCCGCTCTCCGGCCTCAGAAGAACGGTTCCGACGCAGCCAACAACTTGCTCCGCCCGAGCCCGATGAAGACGCCAACTCTCCGGCTGGCGGATTGGGAACGTTCATGAACAAGAAATACAGTCCTGTTGACGGGGTCCCGCGAGCAGCGGGCGAGCAGGAGAAGCCCTGGCGGATTGGCATTCCCGGGTTGACGAGTGAGGAGGAGGAGCGGAGGCGGAGTAAGCAGGTTCTGATTGAGCAGGGTGATAGGGGGAGGGGTGTGGGTGGTCCGGTTGGCGGTGGAAATATGGGTCAGCAGAACATGACTGTTGCGGAACGCATGATGGCGCCTAGCAATGCAGCAGGGCAAAGCAGTGGTGGTGCGCTGTGGCGGAATGGGAACTCGGGCAACAGAAACAACGGCGTTGTTAGCCCCATCGCGGAGCCGGTCAAGCCTTCGCCGATGCTCACAGGTGGCGGTTCGCCCGACAGGAATGCGATTGGCAGTCGCGACGGGCGGAAAGGGTATGTGGCGGAGTTGCCGGGCAGTAAGGCGGAGGGGTACGAGAGTGAGGAGGAAGTCACGATGAGCGCGACTGTCAGGCCGGGGGATTGGGATTGGAATATGCCTGTGTTTGTGGATGATACAAAGTGAGAGTTCGAAAGGGTGAGTCAGAGGAAGGTCTCCACGTTTGTCGATATTGAGCGGATGAAATATACGTGCACCTGCAGTCGTTGGTATCGAGCATGGCGTTACAGGTACTAAATAGTGGCCTTTCGGGATGGCTCAATCGTTGATGCTGTGCTGAACTTGGCTCAGTCAAGGGATTCTTCCATTCCTGATGCATTGAAACCGGCCTAGATCTGTAATCGCGACGCTCAAGCTCACCTGCATTGGTGATATCGCTATTCTGCTTGCAGTTGCCTTGGTCTTTGCACTTACTTCACGTGATGGCAGGCAGCACCGTGCCTCAGCTGAGGTCAATAACTTCTGCCCTGACCACCCAACCAACCACTGCAGCCTTGGTGGGCTCTAAATATTGAAATTGCCCCTCTAGTACTACCTCAGAACCTTAGGTGCTTTAGCTGCTTTCATAACATCGACGTCCTGTGTTTGTTTGCTTGCTTGCCTCAGTCCAAACACCTCGCTGCCAGCGATGGTCTTCAAGATGGCATCGGCAGCGTCGAGCGGCGAAGATGAAGCTGAGCTCATTGACTTTCAAAACCTCGCCATCGGGTCAGATAGCAGCACTGTCATTTCACATCACAATCCGCCGCCGCCAGAACGCTTTACTCCAGAAACAATCACCTTCGACTACAATCTTGGCGACATTATGAGTTTGAGTGTAGGCATGTTCGATCCGGGCAGAGACAAGTTCGAGCTGCAGACGAGGCCGCGACCATCGATACCTTTCAATAAAGCAAACCTAGGCCGAGCATTCGCCAGCGACTCTCTCTTGTTCAACGTGCTCCCCACGGAAATCCTTACCAAAGTCATCAAGTTCTTGCCAGCAGAATCTCTCAACATTCTCGCCGTTGTCAGTCGTGACTGCCGAGTCTTTGCTCGCACGATTCAATTCGAGACCCGAGTTTTCGACTATGTCAACCTGGACTTGGTTTACCACCTACATCGAGAGATCTTCGCGATTGCACAACCTCGAACCGACCAACTCTTCTTGGGACCGTGCATCCGTCGGCTTCGAATCAACACTCACGCTGCAGTGTTCAATTTTCGACACGATCTGGATTCGGAAAGCAGATCGGGACAGTCTGATGAGGAGATGCCAGTGCCTTTCCAAGCGGCCCTTGACAGCTTCTTCCGTGACTATCTTCCACTTGTTTGCAACATAATCAGATACGCGCTTCCGAACTTGGAGCTATTGGAATGGTCAGATCACACCAGACTCTCTGGTAGTGCTTGGAAAGCTATCTTGAGATCCCCTGTCCGACACCTGAAGCTATTCAGAGTCTCTGTGAATTGCAAGACACTCAATGAAGTGCGAGCGCTTTCTCAAGCTGCCGGGGCTTCGATCGAGACTCTAGAAGTCGAGCTATCACGGGACATCGACACGATTGGCAAATCTGACGAGGCAGAGAGGACGACTTGCTATGACTTTACGATCGAGCTACTTAATCGCTGTGCTTCTCGTCTGAAGACGCTTGTATGGAGTGGCGGCTTCAACCGGGGATCAGGGACGCAAAAGCCGGCCAACTCCTGCATATGGCAGAGCTCCGATCTCTGTCACTCCAATACGTCCACGTGAAGTCAGAGGAAGATATCAACGCACTCATCAATCCGCTGAACACGTCAAAGCTAACGCATCTATCTTTCAGCGCGGCAAACGACTTCGTTGTCAACCATATAAGCCACCTAGGGAATCTTCCGGCCCTCAAGGGTTTTGTGTGGCGGCAGTTTGTGCACACTCCAGCACTACCCATCAAGTTTCTGGAGCAAAACCCTCAGCTCGAGCTCCTCAGTCTAGATAACTGCCCGGGGGACTTCCTGAACGACCTGGTCCTGCCACTACTGGCCTCAGACTTCACTCGCCTCACGTCACTGGAGCTGATCTATGACGAGCATTGTACGATACTTTCGAAAACAGCGCTCTCGTACATATCCCAGCTCAAGACATTGGTTCAACTGCACCTGCAATTGGGTCACCAGCTGGGCTGGCGCCGGACATGGGTGGTCAAGCATCGCGACATCAGAGATTGCGTGCAGCAGCTTCCTAACTTGAAGATACTCGCTCTCAGCCGAGACACATATGATCCGGAAAATTCGGGTGATTCAGAAGAGTACGAACGCTACTACGAGGGCTGGGACGCCTATCCTACCGACCATACAGAATGGCGCTTGCAAGAACGGCACCGCGATGACGACGGCGACCCGGAAGCGAGGACCAAGTTCTTCTTCGAGATGTCTCACCGTCGGCGAGTGCTGCAGCATGCCTACCGCTACGTGAACACTTTCTGGTATAAATACGGTCCTATGCTGGACTTCATCTACTTTGGAGAGATCCCGATGCGTGTAAGACTCGGCTATTATGGCTATAGACCGATAGCTATATCAGAGCGACGGGATGATCTGTGGACTTTCTTGCATAGAAAGTTTCAGAAAGAGGATGACTCCTTTGGCTCGATATGATTGATGTTGGATTCCCAAGAACCTGGACCAGACGCTATGAGGCGACAGCTGTGCAAAGTGGGCTCGGCTCACAATCCGACCACGTCTTGGAGACAAGGACCGAGATTGCGTGAATGGCCTACGACCTATGGTGCAGGAGTGCATCCGAGACTGGCGCGTTGCCGGGTACGAAATGACCGATATGTATATCACGATAGTTACGACTTTCTCAACCAGTCTTCGGGACCTGTACTCGTTAACTACCATCAATGGATTTTTCTGATAGCTCATTCTGGCTTCCACTCTCATCGTTCTCGTACTTCTATATCCCTTTCGCGGCCTCGCTGGCAAACAAAGCTCCCTTCATGGCTCCCAGATTTGTGTGTCGCAACAACAGGGCATCCGAAGCCCGTGACATTCAGCTAGGTCATCAGCCAAGACATGCGTGCCTATAAGCCTCGACCTGCCGCAACGGTCACCGCCATTGTGTCTGTCACAGGCCCCCGGTAATCTCAACCACACTCCCATTCATATAACTCGCCCCCTTCCCAAACAAGAACGTAACAACATTCGCGACCTCCTCCGGCTCTCCCAGCCGCTTTAGAGCAATCCTGTCCGCCTGCGCGCGAACAGACTCTGGACCAGCGACGACATTGGCGTTGGTAGGTGTGATGATAGGTCCAGGCGCTACAGCATTGCAGCGGATGCCGCTGGGGCCGAGCTCGAGGGCCATGGATTTGGAGAAGCCGATTATGCCGAATTTCGTGAGATTCTGCGGGAGGTGGAGGAAAGATGTGATTAGCTATGGTCGCGTGGCGACATAGGGAGGGGCAGTCCGGTGCTCATTGCGGTTAGGAATAGGGAGAGCATGACATACGTAGATAGCGAGGCCGGCTCCAGCCTTCAACCCAGCAGTGGAAGAAACGTTGACGATCGAGCAGCCTGTGTGCGGCTTGAGGTGGGGAATGATGGCGCGCGTCATGTTGTAGGTCCCTTTCACGTTGACGCCGACAAGGAGGTCACTGCAGACGGCTATCAGCTCGGTCACAGTGGCGAGGTCCTACCGGCTTGCTGCTCGGTTCAGCCTTACAAATAGTCATCCGTCGTGTCCACCAGCGGCATATTGGTCGGGTTCACACCGGCGCAGTTGAAGAGACCAGAGATCGTGCGTCTGGACGCCAGATCATCGAGCAGTTCCTTGCAGCGTGCTGGATCTCGAACGTCGAGCTGACCCGCTTCTGCTTCTGTCGAGGCCGGGCCGTCGGCGGCTTGGATTTCCTTGTAGACCTCCTCCGCGCGGTCGAAGTTGATGTCTGTCACGACTACGGCGGCACCCGCTTGCGAGAGGGCGAGGCATGTCGCGCGGCTGCTCGTGTCAGTGCGTTGTTGCTCGAAGGAGTATAAGGAGTGGCGATGGGGAAGGGCTTGGCGAAGGTGTGGTACGTCGGTTGAAATGCCTACCCAATGCCACTTCCTCCTCCCGTGACCACAATGGTCTTGCCTTTTAGGTCTACTTGCGCCATGCCCGTTCCAATGAGTGATTGCTGGTGTGACAGACGCAAAGACTACATCTACATGGCAGAAATTGACGGCAGGAGTCGTGACACGGAGATGTGCATTGGAGCGAGTAATATGGGGCAAGAGATAAGCCACGAATAAACGAGCCCTACACATTTCATACCACATATAAGATGCGTCCTCGTCACGTTATCAATGCGCCGGCCCTTTGTCATTCCAAGACCTGCACAACTCGTTTCCAGGACAAGCACAAGCGTATGGTGCATATCATAGCATGCCCTTCTCGCCTTAGACCCTCTTGCAGGGGTCAATCATAGGGCGACCGCAACACGATTAGTTTGATACTTCGCAGTGCTTCCCAGAAACAAGCAGCAGACGATAGCTGCGATGCCGAATGGGATTGATGTGTACCAAACATAGTGAAGAGCATCCGCATAGGCCCATCGGATGCCAACCTGAGCTGCTGCGAGGACCTGTGCGCTGAACCCTGGGACTGAGGCGATCTTGGTTGGTTCGGTCAGGAGAGTGCCGACAAAGACCTCAGCATCGGCCAATGGAAGTCCAGCTTTGACGGCATATTCTGCAGCGTATGTTGGGATGTATTTGGTGAGTTTGTTGACAAAGACATTGAAGTAGATGCTGTACCCGATAGCACCACCGACGGTTCGAACAGAGAGCGACAGAGCGGCCGCAGTGGTGATCAATGCGTCAGGCGCCACCAGCAGAGCCACCGACGCGGTGGGCACGATCATGCCGCCGAGTCCAAAGCAAGCCATGGTAGCGATGGCCACCGTGGTCTTTGGGTTATCTGGGGTCATTGTGGCGAGAGCTCCACCAAATGCTATTACAACCGTCAGAACTAAGATGTCGCAAACACAACGAGACTTGGGAGACTGGGTTTCTGCCCGTTTCAGGCTCATAGGGATACGTACCAGTCATTATGACAGCACCGGTAAGCAGCACTTCTCTGCTATTCTTTGGGAATGTGCTCAACATAGCATTGAAGAAGATCGCACCAATTGTTGTGGAAATGGCTGGTGGCAAGCCCTTCAAGCCAATCTGGATTGGGTCATTCGGGTAGACGTCGGCCCAGGTAGTCGGCAAAAAGTTGAGAGCCGAGTCTGCGAATCACGTTAGCCTTGTCTCTGGCAACGACCATGTGGAGGAAAACGGGTCGGAAGCTCAGCAAGAGCGCTTGTTTGTCCGCCTGAGACTTGCTCTGACCGAGCTCAATGTAGAACTCATTCCCGGGTGGAGGGCTGGCTATGGAGACGTGACTCACAGAAGAACATTCCGCCGACAAACGCGGTCGCATACGCCAAAGCAACGATTCTTTGGCCTTTGAAGAGCGCACCTGGGACCATGGGGTAAGCGGCAAACTTAGCTTCCCACACGACCCAGCCGGCCAGCAAGGCGAGGCCGATCAGCAGGCAGCACAATACGTAGGCAGATGTCCAAGGATGGGTGTAGCCGCCAGCTTGTAGAGCCACAAGGAACAGCGTGAGGCCGATGATTGACAGAAGCCCGCCCACGTAGTCGATTTTCTTTAGAATTGTACCGTATGAGAATCCGGCCGCGCGCGTGTGGTTGTGAGGATGGTAGAAGACGAGTAGCCCGATGCCGGTGATGCCGTTATAGATCAGCGAGATCCATGCAATCCATCGCCAATTCGCAACACCAAATTCCGGAGACCCGAGCAATTGGCAGTAGAAGATGTATCTGGTAGGCGTCAGTGCTTGTCCATCAACAAATTTAGTGAAGGTAGGGTCAGTCACTCACGGCGTGAAGACGAAGACAAATGCGGTCAGCGCGGCGATGCTGTAGCCACGATGCTTGACGGGGACGATCTCAGAGATACCAGCCAAGCCGGTGAGCTCGCCAATACCTGCGCCTGCGCCAGCTAGAGCCATACCCGCAACAGCGGTGCCGAAGTCTTTGCATACACCGACCAGAATGATGCCGACGCATATCAATAAGGCGCCAAAGAGGGCGATGTAGCGCTTGCCGAAGAGATCCTGTAGGTAGCCAGTGTAGGGAGCGACGGCGGCGATTGCAAGCGTGTTGGCCACTGGTAGCCAGACTGCAGTTGCTTCCGCGTGGAGGTCCGGGACGATGAACTGAAGGGATCCACCAACGAAGTAAAGGATGATTTGCGAACCCTGCCGCTGTCAATGAGGCGGACTCTGGAAGGAAAAGGGTCTTACAGTATACAACATGCATAGAAATATGCTAGCGACGATATTTCGCCACGACCAATCGACTGAGCCATCACTGTCGTCTCCTTTGTACGCAGCCTTGTTCTCAACGTCGATCTCGGAAAGCGTCTTCTTTTGTTCTAGCTGGACCTTCTCATCGTGCGTGGAGCCATCGTCTCTAGTATCGACATGCTCCAGTGCGGAATGATTCTTGACATCTTCGTATGTGGTGGTACCTGTAGCCATGGTGATGGTGGTCTAGCCGTTCAGCTCTGATCTTGGGTGGAAGGAAGGCTGATCAAGGAGGACGCTAGGGAGACCTTTGTAGGAACGCTCAATTCGAACCGAGGGACATTCTCTGCTACCCTCGGGCCAGCAACGTGGTCTGAGATACAAAGTTTGAGGTTCACATTCAGAGGAAGACCTTGACAAGGCAATCCACAAGTCAGTAGGCCCGGCTAAGCCGCCATGCATCGAGGCAGACCCAATAGTATGGAAGCGAGGGCAAGTGTGATTAGCGGTGACCCACACCGAGTGCTTATATGCGGGGGTGGCTTGAGTCTGAAGCTGGGGTAAGTGGTTCCAGATCTAAGTCCAGACCGGGGCCAACAATCGTAGGAAATCAAATAGCACTCACTAAATGGTCTAGAGTTGATCGGTCATGCAGTGGCCAGGGCGATATCTTGTGAAAGAGCCTAGCGAGACTGCCCTCTCTGACGGTCGCAGTGTCCGCGATGTGAGTCAGCTCAAGGCGCTAGTGAGGAAGCTGCGCAACAGTGGCATGGAAGGAGCGATGCCGTAAAGCGCCTATCTGCGCGGAGTCGTAGTATTTGGCCGCGTAGAGCGCACTTACTTCGCTCACAGGGAGAAGAGGTTCGCACGAGTCCTTGATCGGGCTGGTGATCCCAGATCAGTACAGTGGGGCGACAGAACGTATACTCCCAGTCAAGACACTGTATGGCTCATTAACGGAGGAAAACATTTTCCAGTTCTGGGTGAGCCTTTATGTCGGGTAGCTATTGGCCAATGTTCGCCACGTCCACCTTGACCTGTTCGAGGCGTCAGGCAGTTGAGGACTCAGTGGGAAGGCAAGGTCCGATTCCTGAAACACAATCATTGCTTAGGAAACCAGTATCTCCATGCATACCTCTAGGATCAGGAGTGCAAGTCTTCCGGTTCGAACTTCGCTCATGCTGTCTCCGCACGGAGGATCCGACATCATGTTAAGGCCTTGTCACGGGTTTGGTGGGATCAACCCGGTGGCACCGTGACAGAATGCCACTCGTCGAACCTTACCCCTTGCTTCGCGAGCAACCTCGAACGAGTGAAGCGACTCGCATGGCTGCTCTGTTCTTCCGACTGTGCGCGTCTCTGGAGTGACGCGAGGAGGATGAGAGATCAGATCATCGTCAACAGCACTACACAGGTACAGGGACTTTAAGTCGTGATTCAAGAGACTCCACTAGCAATCCAACGATTGGCCCGTGCCAAACCACATCTTTCAATTTCACGTTCGTTATCCGAACCGTTACTTTTCTTCACCATGCGCGGACTGTAGCGTCAGTACCCGTCAGCACGATGCCTTTCGCAGGAGTAATTTGGATTCTGGACGGTACGCAGGAAGCCACGGCGCAAGCCGGGCTGGGAAAAGCTGGAAGGTCGCGTCCCCCGAAAGATCAGCTCTAAATTGCTCTGGGCCGTGTCATTTTGCGACAAATTTCACACTTCCAATAGTCGGCGGAGTGGTGATGTCTTCCCACAAAGAGGATGATGCGAAGACCAGTGCTTTGTTCGAATACTGCCACGAGCATAATGTGCACTTCCACAAGCATGTCATTCCTCGTAGAGTGCCTGGTCGGGGCCTCGGGATGTATGCAAAAGCGCATATTGCGAGAGGCGAGCGGCTTGCGAACGTGCCACTTACATCTCTGTTCACTCTTGACAACATACCGCAGAGTTTCGCAGCTATGAAACTTCGCAGCAAGATTCCTACACATGCTCTTCTGGCTGCTTTCTTCGCATTCGGTCCAGAGAATGCACTGGCTTCATTAGAGCCTTGGATTGCGACTTGGCCCAGATACTCAGAGTTTGCGCAGGGCATGCCGTTACTGTGGCCAGAGACAGATGGTTCTACAATTCGAAAGACGTCACAGGCCACCTTGCTCCCACCTCCTCTGACGGGCTCGTATATGTCCTCCGGCGCAGGCAAGAATTTGAGGAACAACGGGTCGACTACCTTGATTTCATCTTTGAGAGCAAAGATCGCAGCACATATTGCATCTTTGGAGCCAATTCTAGATGCCGAGACTTATAGGGAGCTCAGCATACCATACTCGACCACATACTACATCTATATGCACGCATGGCTGTGCGTCAACACCCGCTGCTTCTCCTACTCGCCATATGGCAAGAAACGTCCTAAAGATCCGAATGAGGCCATGGCACTGTGTCCCGGCATGGATCTCTTCAACCATTCTGCTGAAGCAGGCGTCGAAACGAAGCATGATCGGAGTAGCTACCACGCTGTTGCTACACGAGACCATCAGCCAGGCGAGGAAATATTCTTCAACTATGGTCAACATGAGAACGATGTACTATGGGCTGAGTATGGCTTTCTGCCTGACAACAATTCAGAGGACGCCATCAGGGTAGACACGATAGTTTTGGAGAGAGTGACCGAGGATCAGAAGAAAGTGCTCAAGGACAATGGTTATCTGGGCCAGTACTGGCTGAATGCAAGTGGAGTCTGCTATCGCTCCCAGGTTGTGGCTTGGATGTTCTTATTGGATTTGCGGAAGTGGCATGCGATGTTGGCGGGAAAATACGATCCCGATCGGGAGAATGAAGGCCGGCAGGGGCAGGTACGCTCTTCCAGCGACAGGATGACTGAGGCGCATCTCAGTCTGTGTGCAAAGTGGGCTCTGAAGGTGGTGGAGGATTGCGACGCGGCGCTCTCAACGCTGAATGGCATGTCTTCGCAGACTATACTTGAATTGCTTGGAGACAGAGAGGACCATCTTCGCACCCAGGACCTAGCTTTCGACCGTGCGGACCAGGACCATGCACACTACCACAACTATAGGCAAGCGCAAGCGATGGGCCGGCTTGCAATGTGCTCCAAAAGATGGACACAGATACGAGAAATGGCGCATTCAGCACGAGATCGAATTACTGCTTCATGATCTGAGATACTTTCCTAGGTCTGATGTCTTTCAATGGCTTCTTCGACACCATTCTGCTTGGCGTCACGCACACCTGATCCTCATCTGGGGCTCGACTCGGTCGTTGACGAGATCTTTGCTCCTCCACGCCTCATTCTCGGCCTGGATTCGGTTCCTCCTGGACTTTGGTCGGGGTTGGAGTCATGACGAAATGATCCTTGCGCCAGCGAAAGCCTTGCATCAGCTGACCGGCCATGTTCTCTAACATCTCTCGCTCGACTTTTGGATTGCCGCCGTGTGGTTTGTGCAGAGTGACACTGCCATATATAACGCCATTCCTCGCGGGCCGGACGATTTTCTGTGCAGTCCCCTTCATTGGGAGAATTGAGCATGAGATAGGTTCGGAAGCCAGCAAAGACATAAGCTCATTCCATCTTAAGGTCGAGGGAATGTCTTGGTCTTCGCGACTGTCGGCGGAAGATGACGAGGAGTAGCCCATCGAGAATAGTGTTCTCGCGCGCTGGTATGCCTTCTTGTTCTTGAAAGTGAAGATCTCTGGTGTCTCAGGGCTGCCCTTGTGGTGTGTTGTGATAGGCGTCACCGGCGCTGCAATGACGGTACCTGGCGAAGACCCGAGGTCATTTGTGCCAGCCTGACAGCGCGACTCTGTCCCGGGCCGGGTGATGAGCAAGGTCTCTGCAGTATTGCTTGGTTTCGGATGGTTGACTGCCAGCTTACGACGCTTTCTCCGTTTCGGAGACCCGGACTCGGCGAGGATGTCGTCGGCATGGTGTTGGAGCTTTGTCCCTGCTAAGGGGCGGCGAGGATAGACCATTGTGGCTGTCGAGATTGGACGTCTTCAATCTGCTATCGAACATACTTCGAGATTTTGGGAAGAGTGACGAACCCTGTGGGAAATCGACGGACAAGACGACAACAACGGCACGAGGCTGTGAGTTGGTGCAGCCAAGTTCGTTGTGACTTACTGAATATTGCATTGCACTGCATTTTGCGGGGCAATCCAGGAGCAACTTCACTGTAACGCCTCGCGACCATACCTTGGAGGAGAGGAGAGGAGCCAAATTCTGACACTTGAAGCATGGCGTAGCTTGCATTACCAACGCCGTCGCCGCAAGATTCGAGGAGACCTTCGCACTTGAATGCTGGAAGTATTTGAAGCTCAGCGGAGCTCCCTGCTGTGCTCAGCCGTCTACACTAGCAGCATAGGTACTCACAGGGAGATCCATTGTATACCTAGGTCATTTCGAAACGCCAAGAGTTTGTCTCTTTGGACGACTTCTAGCCCGAGATGTGGTATCTTGCGCCTGCCATTTCGAAGCAGTCTTCCTAGCACCGCTCCTGCCTTGCAATGGCGAGGATGTTTGCTGGACACATCGTGCGCCTGCCATTAGCCAGGAAGCAGCGACTAATTCAGCCGCTACTTCCTTCCCGTCATGGGTATAATACAGGTAGCCCCGCCACCCTTCGCTCCTTCCGCAACCAGACGGATTGTGAACTCGACCGTCACAGCAACAAAGCTCCTGAGGTGGCTGGCAGTACAGCCCACCATACTTCCATCAATATGTCGTTTGTCTTGGACTCAAAGTGCTGCTATTGGACTGTTTGGTGCTTCAGCTAGCTTGTCTAGCAGTTGGTGTTCGTCTTGGCTTCTAGGTTGTCGATATTCTTTCTCCAAACAACAGGACAACTTTCTTACAGATTCGTTCTAATCATGTCCGCTGTACAACTGCTCCCGCCTCTTACTGCAATTAGCTTTCCAGAGAGATCAGTGAGAGAATCTTATCCATATCACGCTCTCGATCAGCCGCTACGGGGACGACCAGCTAGCTCAACCGCTTCGCTATCCAACACTGCCACTTATCGGCCTCGACAGAGCTCTCCTGCGTCACTGCTGTCCGTTGCATCAGCTCCTCTACCCAGGAATGACGAGAACGTTGCCCCATCGTACATTGATGGCGCGATTCGCCAACCTTCGGTACCGTTGCGGATTACTTCACCATCGGACTTTCGACCGTTCCTGAGTACGACAAGTTTACCCAAATCTCATGGCTCTCTCAAAGAACCCTCACGACCAGTACCTGCACTTTCGCCGCCGTCAAAGACTGCAGAACCGCTCCTGACACACGAAGATGTTCCCGACAAGGATGACATACTTCAGGCTGCCCTAGACGACTTAGAGAAGTACAGAACCTCCCGAGCTCGGTAGAAGTAGTGCCGTCGACAATCTCGAAAGACGAGCAGGACCCTGTCGCAGAGAAGACACGAATTAAGGAGGATGATCTTACACCACTTCCTGCATTGCCGCACATTACAAGCAGGGTCACAGAGGTCGCTGAGATCCCTAGCACTGTGTTCCCGTTGCAGCACAAAATTGGTGACGGTTCGTCAGATTTCGGCTCCGGTCCTTCAACCTCACCGGTAATCCCGCGCAGCCGACACTCAAACTCGTCAGGCTTTGTGCACACCATCAAAACAGCCAGTCTCAGCAATCTCAGCTTCAGTATGCTCTCAAAGCGGCTCCGACCTAGTCAGTCAAGCGAGAGCAGAGGCTTCTTCGGTGCCCACTCGCGCTTCTCCACGGATAGCGACCGACCAGCAACAACGTCCTCTATTGACGATAGCGCTCTTTGGAGGAGCGTGAAGCGGCGCAGGATCATTGAAGAGCTTGTCATGACTGAAGAAAGCTATGTCTCGGATTTAAAAGCTTTGGTTTACCTGATCTCCACGCTGCTTGCTTCAGCAACAACTCTGCCACATCGCGTGAGGAATCTAGTGCAGCGAAACATCTTGGACATTCTGCATCTCCACGAAGGTCTCGTCGACAGCCTGCACAACGCTGCATTCAGAGCGGCAGCACGCAAATGGGCCGATACGCTGGCACCTAGGAAGATGGGAGCCCCACGACATGTTCGGTGGAGAAGCTTGATTCACAAGTGAACTCTGTTGCCACGCCAAATCGTAGACTCGCTGATATCTCGAAAGAGACGACGGCCGTCTCGCGAAGGAAAGCCCGGATGGTAGGCGTAGATCCAGGTGATCTTACCGAGATACTTGGTGTCTTCCGCAAGACGATGGTGCATTTCTTCTTCTACGAGGAATATTGTGCGAACCACGAAATCATCGCACACGACCTTCAGCGACATCTCCCGAATCTTTGGTCGACCTACAGTTCTGGCATAGAGTCTCTTGCCAGATCGCTGACCGCCATCGGCCAGAAGAACGGCGACGGCCGGAAAGCACTGACGGTGAGCGACCTTCTCATCAAGCCGATTCAGAGAGTATGCAAGTATCCTCTTCTGTTTGATGAGCTGTTGTCCTATACACCAGTTTCGGATGATCCGATAGTCCACGCAGAACTGGAGACTCTACTTCAGGGCCTGCGAGACGTCGTTGAATCCGTCAACCATGCCACCCAGAATCCAGAGACCAGGCTTCAGATCCATCGCAGGTGGTCGTTGCGAGCCCACCTTACCTTTGATCGCGTCAGTCTCTCGCAGGACGACTTTCGCTTATTAGGCAACGTCTCACTGTGCGGAGTGTTACATGTCACGTATCAGACACGGCATGGCGTTACAGGAGCCTACGCGTGTTGTGTGCTCTATCAGCACAGCCTCTTACTTGCGCTGCCGACAGCTGCAGCAGCCAAATTCGATGTCGTGGCATTGATACATCTACAGGATCTCAAGGTCGACTCTGCCAGCGATGGCAAAGGTTTGTCCCACTGCTCTCCGGGATCGTCAACTCTGACATGTCACAGGTTTGCAATCGCCCTCGGCCTTTCACACATGGAAGTTGTCGTTTGCCATAGAGGGTAACCTACATGAGTTCCTGCTGTCCGCAGCCTCGGCGGTAGAAGAGGATCAATGGAAGAAGGGCCTCAAGGGTGAGCTAGCTGCGCAATCTCGTTCCAGTACCATCGCACGACAGGTGCAAAGCTGTCTCGCACTCGAGCTGAGATCTACGGGCGTCGTCTATGCACAGCACGGCTCGCTAGCGCGAAGGCTGTCGGTGCAGAGAGCCGCAACGGTCGGAAACCGAGCAAGCATCTCGCAAGTCATTATACGTAATACACACAATCCCGAGGAATGGCACGAATTTCGTCAGCCTTCAACAGCTGCTATTAATCGATCACAGTCACACATGACCTCCAATCGAATTGTTGTGTTGGCACCCAAGAGAAGCGAAAGAGCCCGACTAGAGTCAATGCTGGGCGATGTCTGGACGAAAAACATGTTACCATATCCAGGCATGATAGCTAGTCGTGGCGGTCAAATTATACGCGCTTCTGCGGGATCACTTGCACGAAAACTGAGTTTGGCATCACTGCAAGGCTCCTTCAGCAGAAGATCTGCAAGCTTATCGATCTCAACGAAGAAATCTCACGAGACTTTGCGCGAGACCAAGACGGAGAGGGATCGCATTCCGACATTCGAGATCCGTCGAGACAGTATGGACGACCGTCCGACTCCGAGACGCAAACGGCAGACGTCCCACGATGTACCGGAGCTGGACAGCATGGACACTGTCGTTAGCCGGATGATCGGAGACGCACTGCCTGTCCACAAGGCACCTATGACACCGAAGGATGATGGGATAGTTCGTACTGGCGTGCTCCACAAACAGCCTGTTCAGGTGACTAGCCTGCCAGTTGGTCCTGATGATTCAGCACATGCGTTCTATCCGGAGGAGGTGGACAAGATGCAAAACACCGTGAGTGTGGAGGAGGCATTGGCGGGTAAGAGTAAGAAGAGATGGAGCAATCCCATGGGCATACTGAGAGGCCGTGCAGCTGAAGGTTTCAGAAACATGCTCTATTCGAGCAGATGATGTGCTGCTGGATCCCAAGTCGTCTTCCCAGGCTCGCACGAACGACTGTTGGAAGGGGTGAAACTGGGCAGCTTTCGAGGGACCCTGGCAGCCTTCAAATCAGCTTAGAATAGCCACACTTGTGTTAGAAATGGCAGCATCCACACGCACTGTCCATGACTTGACCTAGAAACACGAGGTGAAGCTGCATGGGCCCAGTCGTGCCGGGGAAGGGAGCTTACTTCAGATGACAAGACCAGATCTGTGCTACGGAAAGCGCCGCCGATTGCTTGCGGCTCAGAGACAAGGGCTATGGGTAATACAAGACGCTGAATCCGCTTGTGAAGCTGGCTGTCGCACTGCGAATATGTGACTCATTCCTCTCACCTGGACCGCATGGACTTGACTAGGTATATAGTCATGTGTCGTGGATTTCTGTCTTCAATAACGCACTCACAATCGAAGCATGCTATAGAACATGCACAACGCATTGCAGGCCTTGTGGTCTAGTGGTACGATTCTTCGTTTGGGTGTGAGGCTTGCTCATTAGCCACCCAAAGCAAACATACGAAGATCCCGGCGGGGCCCCTGCTATCTTCTTTTTGTGCTTTTATGTCGAGACCGACAATGGTAGAGGTCCTCAAAACGCGTTTGAGTGGATGAGGGAAGAGCAGACGTGAGTCACAGGAGAAGAAGGCGATGCAGTCAACTTCGAGTCGAAGCTGTAGATCTGTCACGTGACTGAATAGCACTGGTTGCCCCGTGCAACAGTGGAAGATCAACAAGTGACTGCGCCTGCCGTCATCTCCAACTTGAGTAGCCGCTACTATTGCGCTGCGACGATCGTATGCCATATGCTCATGCTGCTCGAATTTGAGCACTCTACAACACTCGCACAATTTCGTCAACGTGTTTAAGCAGCAATCTCTCCAGAGTATCGCAGACTGAGAGCAGCCACCAGCGTGAGACTGGCAGCATGCCGGGATCAACTCTGTCTGGCGGAGATGCGCCTCCGAGCGTGCCATTGAGCTGTAAGAGCGACCAGAGAAACATTCAGAGCAGGAAACTAATGAGTTGACAGTCTCAAACAATTTCTGGGGCCGAGACGATGCAGGCGTCGATCCACTCCTCACCCGAATGGCGAATGCAAAGACGACCTGCGACGAGCTGAAATCGTTCTACGCCGCCCGCGCCGCAATCGAGGACGATTATGCCAGAAAACTCGCACAACTCAGTCGCAAGCCACTAGGAAGCGTGGAGCAAGGTACCCTGCGATCAAGCTTGGACGTGGCGCGAGGCGAGACTGAGGCGATGAGCAAGCAGCATGCTCTGATTGCACAACAGATGAAGTCGGAGTGTGAAGAGCCGCTAGGTGCTTTCGCTGGTGGGATGAAGGAAAGACGCAAGATCGTGCAGAACGGCATCGAGAAGCTGTTGAAGACGAAGCAAGGCCAGACCTCGCATGTCAACAAGTGCAGAGACAAGTTCGAGCAGGACTCGTTGAGGATCAAGGGCTATCTCGCACAAGGACATATGGTGATGGGTCAGGAAGAGCGCAAAAACAAGGCCAAGCTGGAGAAGACACAGATCAACATGGCCACCAACTCGAGCGAGTATGAATCGGCTGTCAAGGTGCTTGAGGAGACGACCGGTCGCTGGAACAAAGAGTGGAAGGCGGCGTGCGATAAATTCCAGGACCTCGAGGAGGAGCGTCTAGACTTCACAAAGTCGTCTCTCTGGCTTTTGCCAACATTGCGTCTACAGTCTGCGTGTCGGATGACGCCTCATGCGAAAAGGTTCGATTGGCCCTCGAGAAGTGCGAGGTCGAGAAAGACATCTCCAGCTTCATCAAGACCAGCGGCACTGGCCAAGAGATTCCAGACCCTCCCAAGTATATCAACTTCTGTCGAGGCGATATCGACAGCGCATCCGAAGTCTCGCAGGACGAAGACTACACTGTTGCCCAATTCGCAAGAACGACGAATCCAGCCTTTCGGACGTGTTCGCCGAAACCTGCCGCAATGAATGGCTCTGATCTATCTCAGCGCTATTCTGAGGAGCCCGAGATGGCTGATGACGACCAAGCTACACCACAAAAAGCGAACAGCGGTCGACCACCTCCTCTCAATTACCGTCAAGGCGATCCGAATGTACCTCCTGACTATTCGCCTAGCCAGCACGGTCCAGTTGTTGGTCAGATTCCTCACAACCAGTATCCTACAGAAGGCATGACAATGTTCTGCAGAGCAGATGGACCATCAAGGGCTGAGACTGCTCCCTCGGTAGATGGCAGACCCAGCAGCAGAGACGACACTAGCGAGTACTCGGCTCCAAGCTCCTTCACAAGCGCTGATCCAGCATCGCGCACGACCTCGCCCACCAAGAATGCTCCGGTCAACGGCGTCGGTTTGCCAGGGATGTCTTCACCTATGCCGTCACCTGACAAGGCTGTTCAAAAGAAGAGATCCGGTTTCTTCTCCAACAGTCCTTTTCGCCGCAAGTCAAAGAAGGAAAAGGAAGCACCAGAACTGCAGAAGCGCAGTACATGGGATCCGAAGGGCAACACACGTATCAATCTCAACGCATCAGACGTGTCTAGCTCGTCTGCACAGTCGAGTCCAACAAAGCCTCACACCGGCCGCAATCTCTTTAACCGTAATGCTGCTCCAGAGGGAGAAGAGCCAGCAGATCCTCGAGCATCCTTCCAGCTCAACGTTGGCAACAACGTTTTCGACGTTGGCAATCCTGACAGCCATCAGTCTACTCCGCGGGCATCATCCAATAATGCTCGCCTCAATCGCTTCAACCAGCCACCAGCTGCGGCCGGCAGTGATATGTCAATGGACCCAATTGCTCGGGCTCTTGCTGATTTGAAGTCAAACGGCGGCAGCAACTTTCCCTCCAAGCAAGCCAGCACGCGTGAGCCAGTCGATCGCTACCATGGCGTCAAGTCACCTGCTCCTGATATGAACCCTTCAGAGCGACCTGGAGGAATGACTGCCGACCAGAGAGCACACTTGCTTGCCCAGGGACGGACGCCCCCTCCCGCATACGATCTTGGAGGCCCTTCACCTGCAGCCGGTCATGCCCGGAGCCAGTCATCAGTCCTCGGAGTTCCACAACCAGCTCACACTCGCAAGGAAATGCTTGACCGCTCAAAGCAGTGGGGCAACGGCGGAAGCGCGCAAGCTAGTCCAGCCAGACCAGTCTCTCGCAATGGTGATGGCCGACGCAGTCCAGGTCCTGGTATGGTCCCGCGAGCCGCAAGTCCACAGCCAGGCTATGGTGGCGCACCGCAGATGCGTGCACGCTCGCCTGGTCCCGGCATGATGCAGCAGACTCAAGGTGCGTACCAACGTGCAGCAAGCCCAAGTCCATATGCCAATGCAGGCAATCGGCCTCATACGCAGAGCAGTGTCCGGCAAGGTAGCGGAATGGAAATGCAACTTAGCAGTCAGGACGTGGCTAGATATGGCGACAGTGGTAGTGGAAGGAGCCGTGCGCAGATGGCTCAGCAACAAGATCAGCGACGACCACAGAGCAGCTATGGTGGAGATCCATATGCTGGTCGACAAGGTGGCGGCGGTGGGAGTCAGTCATCATCAGCGGGTATGAGACGTGAGCGCAGCAAGAGTATGGGTCCGCCTCCAGGACGAGCGCCGCAGGTGCTGTATTATGGTGAGTCTTCCATTCCTCCCCCTTCGCCCCCGGGAAAAGGTACTAACAATACGCTCACAGCGCGAGCAGTCTACTCATACAACGCCGCAATCCCAGAAGAGCTCTCGTTCGCGAAGGGCGACATACTGGGTGTGCTGAGACTACAGGATGATGGCTGGTGGGAGGCAGAGGTGCGAGAAAGCCAGAAGGGGACAAGACTGGGCGGTGGCGGAGGTCTGGTACCGAGCAACTACCTGCAGCGGTGTTAGTTGCGCTGCTTGCCGTTACTGCTTGAGATGGTCGAGGCAGGGGCCACCCAAATGTGGAAGTCTCGTCACATGTGTGACTGTCGATAGTTTACGGCGTGGGATACGTTGGGAAGAATTGTACAAACGAGTATAGCCGTGTGAGGAACACAGTAGCTGGCGATGTGAGCGAAAATGGAATGGATGTTCGCGCTTCTGTCTGTGTTTTGGGAGAAAGGAGTCCTTCAGCCTATCTCGCTCTATGTGGTGTCTGATGCTCGATCGTTGTGTTCAAAGTACTGTGAGATTGAGTCGTGAGTCGTGTCTAGTGTCTATATGTCAACAGATTTGTCATATCCTGGCAGGCAAGCCATCTCGTAATTCCCGTTCCGTATTCTAACAAACCCCAGCCTGAAAACTTCATTAGCCGACCTCCATCACACCGGCCGCCTAATCCACCTCCTAGATCTTCGCAATCTCACTCCCAAACACCTTGTTCAACGCCCAAGTCAACACGATTGCGAACCGACTCCTCCAGTTGCGATTCCACATCAGACTACCGCTCCGCCACGCCAGCCAGGCCGCCTGGCCCGTCCAGCCGGGGTGGTCGGGCCCTTTGCCCGCGATGACGCCGTCGTGCTGGCCGATGTAGCTGATCAGCGCGCTTTTGGGTGTATGTGAATGGGGTATCGAAGCTTGATGACTGACTGGGAGGGGATGAGTTGAGATTGGCGACCAAGTATTTCGCTTTCTGCACGGCAACTTCGGCCGTCGTAGGCAATGAAGCGTGCGTGATGTCGGCGGCGTCGCCTAGGGCGTAGACGTTCGGGTGGATAGACGTGGGCTTCTCGCCTTCAGGAGTACTTTGGTAGATGAAGACGCGCAGCCGGTCGTCTGTCTGGATGCGTTTGAGTCCCTTGTCGTTGAGCAGAACGTCCAGCTTCTCGACTAGGGATACATTCTTGTTGCCGGTCGCCAGACGAGCATGCCGCAGGGGACGCGGCCGCGGCCTTTGATCGTGAGGTAGTCGCGTCCGACTTCTTCGATTACGGTGCCCGTGGCGACGTCGATGCCTCGATCGACGAGACGCTGGGTAGCGTAGTCGTGCAATTTCGTGTCGTAGGCGCTGAGGATGTTCTTGGCGACGTCGTAGATGCTGATGGTCATGAATTTGGCGACGTCTGGGTAGAGGTCTGCGATCTCGGATTTGCACAGATCGGATAGCTCGGCGGTGATTTCGATGCCCGTGGGCCCGCCGCCGACGATGGCGATGTGCAGGAGGTCCCGGGCGTGTTGATCGGAGACGTTGGGAAGGGAGGCTTTCTCGAGGAGGTCGAAGAGCTGCTTGCGGATCTTCATTGCGTCCGAGACGTTTTTCACGAATAGGGCGTGTTCGCTACGCCGGGGGTGTTGAAGGTGTTGGGCTCGCAGCCCGGGGCGAGGATGAGGATGTCGTAGTCGACGGTGAATTCTTGGCGGGAGAGGACTTCATCCTCTTCGAAGGCTGGGGCGCAGTGCACGGATTTGGAGGAGAAGTCGACGTCTAGGACGTTGGCTTTGATGAATTTCACCAATGATCGGGACTTGGAGCGGACGCTGTCTTCAGCGAGATAGAAGTTGAAGAGGCCGGTGGCCGCGGATGCTAGGAGGGGCGTGTAGGCGGATGTGCGGCGTGGGCTGATGATTATGGGGGAGTAGATGGACAGGTCGATGTGTTGGGAGATGTAGAAGCCGGCCCAGCCCTGATCTTCGTCAGTTGATATTAGTGAGTTGGGATTCTATCTGCCTACTGAGCCGACAATGACTAGGCGAGGTTTCCCTTGTGCCATGGTCGGACTAATCACGGCCTGGCAAGGCTCGTCTTCAAGTGTTCGGGAAAGATCGTGAAAGTAGTCGATCTTATTTACATGAGCGTCGTCTGTAGTGTCGTCGATGATGCCTGGCAAGTTAGTTGAGTAGATGAACATCGGCCAAGGCTTGCCTGCCTTGTTTTCAGGGCGGCAGCGCAGCGTGATAACGCGTGATTGGCCTATCGTGCCACAACGATAAATTCAGTCAAGCTAGCCATGTCGAGCTTCTCCAGTGACTTCCCTATGTAGCAGTCACTGAGACAGATTCAAAGCAGGCCGTGCGCTCGAGTAAAACGTATATCTGTCGGGTCAAAGATATCGAAATAGGAACCTAGGTGAGTAGTCAGCTACAGGTTGTCATACAATGTCTTGTTCATTAGGTGTCAGGGCCGCTCAAGTAGGTATCAATATCCGTACATCTCATCTCATCTTCTCAACCTTCCGTCCTCGTATGCGCGACCGTACGGGCCTGTATGTACTTGCCCATCGGAAAACCTTCCCACCTCGGTGAACTGGGTTCTGTCCGGTACCCATCCATCGCCTGCTTGCCTTCACTGTGCCCAACCCGTCTGGATGGGCACAGCACGTGGAAACGACTCGCTTGCGCAGATAAAATGTATACATTGAATCGAAAAGCCATCACAGCACTACGTCAATAGGGCGGCTTCTCAACAACCAACAGCCCCTTTGCCTCCGTCGGTCCGCCATCACCAGCAGCAGGACCCGCAGCACCTGGCTCTGACGTCGTCAAGAAGCTCCCCGAAGACGTGCTCGGCCGAATTCCCGCAAGCAAATTACTAACATTGATCTTCTCGGTTGCTTGAACTCGCGCATCACCCTTCCAGAAGGCCGCGCTGGCAGTCTGTCTGCTCGCAGGCCGGGAGCTGCGCTTTGTGCCGGCTCGCAGGGATGAAGTCGTTTGGGAAGACTCGACGGTATGGTTTGGTCGTGTGCCATCGCTTGCAACTTCTCCAACTTGACTGCTCAAGGTCTGACTGCTCTGTCGATTTCTTGCAGGAGAAGATTCCCTGGGGAATGTGCCAGGCAAGTTGAGGTTCGACGGTATCTTCGGTACTGGCGGCACCGCTTCGGAATTCTGGCTGCTACTCCTCTGATGACCCTTTGTCGCCCTGGAATTCGACGTGCCAGGCGCGACGACCGTTGGATGCCATTGGTCATGAAAGCCGACGCATTGGGATCATCGACAGACTTCTCGCCATCATCTGCTTCATTCCACGACACCATGCTGTCACTCCCAGCAGACATTGTGCTACGACGTGAGCTGAGAGGACGCCTGAGTGGACTGGCCTGACGCTGATGACCTGATGCAGACAGTACTCGCTTGAGTTCAGTCACACGCAGTGTGGAGTCTCTGCTTGAGGTGCTTCCAAGCGGTATTGGCGATCCGTTCGGACTGCCCCTGCGAATCTTCTGCAAACTACCAAGCCCACTGCTGAGACCGTGTCCAGGTGAGTGCTCCTGATTGTCGACTGTCTCATTCTTATTGACACTAACGACGCTAACATGGTGTCGTGGGCCTGACGTCCCGGCTACGGAGCCTGTGCTCTCCTTTTCCACAGAGGCCATGCATAGCTCGCGCGTCCAAGTTGCCCCCATCTCTTCTTTGACCCTCTGTGGTAATTGTTCCTTTGGCGATGGTTTAGGTCCCGGGGCGACGCCATACCCATATCCGAACCCAAGAGCCGGTACTGAGAAGACTCTACCGGGTGACGAAGGCGGTGAATGCTGAGGAGAGAGCAAAGCCGTGTCATAGGCGTTGGCAATCTCCTCGACCAGGTCTGTGACGTTCAGGAAGGGCTTCAAGGCATCCGCCGCTTCTTCAGCGTAGACTGCATCTTTCGGCTCACCAGCAGCTTGTGAGACGATACTATGCAGAGACAAAGCCGGAAACTTGATCTTGTCGAACCATACGTTGAAACGTTTCCGTCGCGAGATTTCGGCATTGATTTCGTGGCCGACCTTTGTTGTCTCAAACTCGAACTTTTCGGCCACACTCCAGAGATAACCTTGTATTAAGCTCGCGATGTTGACTTTGGCGCTTGTGCTGAGCTCGATTTCGCTGTTCAGAACAGCTTCTTGTAGCTTCAAGATCATTGGCAGCCCTGTGCGTAGAGCGTTGACTCCCAAACGTTCGACAAGCTTGGTGAGCAGGAGGTACAGCATGAGTATATCCGACTCATTGTGAGAACGGTCGATGATCGAATCGTACGCTGCTAGATGTAAAAGCTGCACGAAGGTTGATCTGGCAGGCTTGCTCTCTTTCCTCGATGCATTCGACACAGCCCTCTTTGTCATATTTGTCTCGCCATCTGGCGTCGTGGTCTTTTTGATAGATTTGCCCTTGCGAGGACCGTCTCGCGGAAGGAGTGTGTCGTTCTTGCCGGTCTCGAGACGCAGCCATGTCAAGATAGCATCGACGTATGCTACGCGCACCTCTGGGTCTTCGTCCTTCAGCAGCCACTGTGTCCCTTCCCAGACATACACTCCGACTCTGGCGCGAGATCCGACCGCAGTGCCCGCCGAGTTGCGTTTATGGCTGGCACGCATAAGGATATCCTTCACAGTTTTCAATGCAGTCATCCGTGCAGTGGCGAATGAGAAGAAGCTGTCAGTGGTCGGATCCTCTTGTATGCTTGCAGAATCAGCAATTGCTTTAGAAGCTGCTGCAGGTTTCTCGATTGCAGCTGTAGTGACTGCAGCATCCACATTGGCAGATGGTTTCAGCCTCGCAAGGATTGCGGCCAACATGTCTGATATCTGCTCTGTGTAGTAGATGTGGTTCGACAAGGAGGCGATGCACCTTTGTAGGTATTGAAGGAGTTCTTGGCGGGCAGGTGAAGCAGTCGTCTCAGCCGTGCTTTGTTCCCTACCCCTGTCCTTCTCGGAGAGGACGTGTGCAGGATCTAAAGTTTCCTTTGCCTCTCGTATGAAGCCGAGAGTGTCGTTTTGCGGGATCTGCAGTGTGATGCTGGCATGCCTACTGCCAAGTTGAAGCAACACCAAAGTATACTGCACGAAGCCGAGCATGACATCCATGATGCTCAATCCGATGAGGTTGATGTCCGAGCTAAGCAGCCAGTCGATCATAGATGCCAGAACCAACTGTTTGTCCAGTGTGGCCTCAACAACTGGACTTCGCACCAAAGTTTCCATAGCTGTGATGACAATAATAAAGCGATCCTGAACAGGCGTCCATCTTGCAATCGTTTCGAAAAGTGCCGTAGCCCAATTGCCCTGCGAACCGGTCGGGATCGTACTTCTGGGAGATTTCTGAGAAGCAATGTACTTGATCGTTAACGCCGTGGCCAACCTGGTGTACCCTCGAATGCTACTCGTTCCGACAGAGAATATTTGCTTGAGACATCTTACAGCTAGGACTTTGACCTCGTCTTCCGAGGCTTTGTCCGCATCTGCTGCTGTCTCTGACGCAGTAAGCTGACGGTCGGTAGTATCGACAGTAGTGATGGTAGCACTGCTGAGTCTCCGTCTGCGCACAAAGTCGTTCTCTTGCTTCTCATTTAGTCGCGCTCGCTGCTGCAAAGACGATAGCACGTCGGCCTTGTCAAGCCCCATATTCTGTAATATCACCGGCATGACAATGTTCAACTGCTTCGCGGAGTCTGTACTGAGAGCATCCGACGCAACGGCAGCGCGAATCGCCCGGAGGCCGGCCGTTCGCCATCGCAGATTCAAAGATATAGATTCATTGCTCCTAGTCTTGACAGTATTGGCGGGATCGGCGAAGGAAGCGTATTGCTCGACCAGCTTCATATACTGCTGCGTCCGTTGCTGATCTGCTGATAGAGCGGCCGTGTTGGCGTGCTTACACCACGCCTCGAAGGTCGGCAATGACTCTTCTACCATGTTGATATCGTTGGAGCGTAGAACGGTGTCAAGTATGACTAGGACAGAGTGAGAGTAGAGCATCAAGTCGCGTGGTGTCTTCTCGATTACGGCTGCGATGATCTGGAGCGTGACTTGGACATTGCTTGTTGCGACTGTTAGTGAGACGCGCGCAACTTTGGGCTTCCGGCAGACTCACCCAAGACGTCGCATGTAGACATCGGACGCGGTCTTCTTCTCGAGGAATGCGCCGACCTTCTGCAGCTTCGAGCGCCGAGAGCTGGCATAGTACAGCAGATAGCTGAGCTCGCTAGAGCTCGGCTTGACTTCCTGTACATTCTTCTGGTACTTGGGATAGCACTTGAGTACCAGCACTTGGTGCTTAGGTCGGCATTTCTGCGAGATAGAATGTACAGGATGGATGAGGGAGGACATGTTGTTGGACCTCGCGGAGAGTCAGACGCCTCATCGGGGAAAGCTCATCTGTCGCTGGCTGGCATTGTTACTCAGGGAGGGATGTCTGCGAAACAGATCGGCAACGCCAGGCGCGCTTGCTAGAAATATGTATACATAAACTTGACTAGGAAGGAGTGACGATAGCTGCGAAGAATGCAAGTGGAAGGCCTGGCAGAGAGCGAGACGTGGAAGGAATCTTGGAGGTGAGATGAGAACGCCATGCGCGATGACGCTCTTTCGCCGTGACGGACAACAAAATTATTCTGGGCCTCAGAGACCACCTGGGAAAGAAACTTCAGATGCCAGAAGTACTTCATTATTATTGTTTACGTTACCAATGATCACTAGGTATTTTCATCTTTTTGCAATCAACCAGCATCATCCCATCTCGTCCCTTGCATTACTCCTCACGACACGATATTATACAGTATTTCTCATAGGGCTGCCGTCCTCCCCGGACCCTTTGCAGCGCAACATGCCACCAATCTAGGGTGCTTAGCCAGCCTGGTACAGAGCTGGACCAGCATAGACGAACGGATTGATCATGCTCAAGTTGTAAGGCGTGAGGTACGGGTTCTGCGACGTGATCGAGATGAAGATCGTTCCGTTGACGGCCGGGTCGCCAGCAAACGTTGACATGTTTGGCTGCACAGCAGATGCACCCGACTCAGTAATGTTGACCAACGGTACGTATGTCGCGTTCAGCTGGCTAACGAACATGGCATATCGCGGCGCATCAGCCAGAGGCGAGCGCGCTGTGATGTATGAATTGTTTGGCCCAATGGCTGATTCACCTCGCCGAAAGAGAAGTGAACTGGCCGTCCTGGGTATGAGAGCGGAATGCTGCGGTTTCTGGCGATAGCAGGGCTGCAATCGTCGCCAGGGGTATCAAGTCCCGAGCATCGGTTGCTGTCATCGACTTGTCGCGTTCAAGGGATTCGAGCCAGTCGCAGCTTGGTCAGGACCGAGATTGGGGTTCAGCTTGGCCGGGTTGGGCTGGTTCAAGACGGTGAGGGCTGGGAAGTTCTGCCATGCCACACGTGTCGTATTCGCCGGGCAGGAGCTAATGTATGGTGCTAACAATGTCCATGCCCAGCTTTGAGGGATGCCAACCTCAAACCAGACCGGCATAGGGTGTAGACCGTCAAACTGGCGGAAGATCATCTGTTGGCGGGCTTCTGTGGAGATCGACTGCAACAACAAAGTTGCTGCTGCCTGGGAGTCGAGGTGTCCCAAGAAGCCGTAGACGCCGCTCTCGCCAAATCTGGTGAGCTTCTGGCAGAAATCCAGGAATTCGCGTACGGTAGTATAGGGATAATTGTATGTGCACTGCGGCGGCGCGGCAGGCCCAAGGATGTTCGACAAGAGAGTCGCGTGGCCCACCTCCTGGTTAGCCATGAACTCGATCAACGACCGGTCTTCCGCAGTCAGACCAGCGTCTGTGAAGTCTTGCTCGGAGAACTTTGCGAGACCGTCATGGAACAAATCGAGCTCAATCCATTCCTGGTACAGAGCAACCACGAAGCTCTCGTAGTCGAAATCGCTAAGAGGGTGATAGTACGGCTCAGTGCCATTGGTTCCGATGCCACCGGCTGGCTGATATGGCACGGGCATCACCGGTGCTTGCAATTCGCCATTGTTATTGGTGTAAGTGACTGGCAGAGGCGGTAATGGCGCAATGGATGGGGCGAGCGCTGGCTTGCTCAATGCTCCGGTGGTGGTAGCTTCACCGCTGAACGCGCCGTGCGCAGTCGGCCCATCGAAGACAGAGCTTCGCACAGGAGGCTCTGGCCCTGCTAGTGGCGACTCGGTAATCTGAGGCGCGGGTGCGGCATTGCCACCGACGGCCAACGCAATAGCGGCGGCGAGAACAGTCTTCATTTTGAGGAACAGGATTGACAACAAGATACTGGAGATGCAGGAACGGAAATGTGCAGGGTTGAGCTTTTATCTTGTAGCTCTGCTCTTACCTGCTTGCTCTTGTCAGATCAGCCCGATGATGAGTCGTGTTTTCCATCACCTCCGGACAGTACTCCCGCAAAGCGGTGGGTACGAAATGCTTGCCTCTGTGCATCGCGCCTCGCCAGCTTGGTCGGCTACGAGAGTCGTGACGACCTACTGCACAAAATCTCGTAAAAACTGAACCGGAGTTGGATTCCGCCTCATCACCAGCTCACGGTAGTGAGGTCAATGCATGTTGTGTACCCAGACCGGAAGTGGCGACCGGAGATGCAGTGCCGTTTATGCTGTACTATTGCTGGATTTCATGGCATCATTATCAGCATGGCAATCCGGGCTTCACGCTACGGCAGATGCTGTCCTGTCTTCGCTCAGTCTTACTGTGATCGTACGTCGTATGGATTTTTCCGTTGCTTGCTTCGTGACAAGATGTGTATTCTGGGGTACCTTGTCAGATTATGCCGGAAGATCGATCCGACGCACGGAATCGAGCCCTTGCATGTCGTGTAACAATATTTCGGCAGCCACATGTTGGATGCTGAGTCCGGCGTTCGAGGACAGGATTAAATCCACCAATATATCGTCAACCCATGCGCAGGCACATTATTCGATGCCTGTGAACGAAAAAAAGCACCTGTGAGCGGCAACCTTGGAACCGTCCCATTCTTGGCAGGTGCGATGCTTGGCACTCAATTTCAAGTTCTCGTATTCCGGCCAGATCGCTGAGCCGCTGGCGATCAGATGTGTCACTGTTTCGGCTCCCCCAAATTTTGCTCCTGGCAGCTACTGGTTCAATCAGCCTAACCACTGTCCCGAGGACCTTTAGTAACATCAAAATGACAGCTTCTGCAAAATGACATTCATTCGCGCGGTTCCCGCCCCGATGTCTAGGGAAAGGATAGCTCATAGGCACCATCGAGATCGCTTGTCTCAAAATCGAATTTTTGGCCTACTGCATGCGGTAAACATATGCTCCGGATCCCACGTTATGGTACGAGCCGCATAAAGGTATGACAGTTGGTCGCGTAGGGCTTGGTAACACGACATTTGTCCGCCATCCAGACTTCATTTGAGTTGCAGCATGCATCAGGACACGAACCTCATCAGAAGTTCATCATGTTGCTGGTGCAAAGCAATAATACCGCCGGCCCTTGCTGTCAGTTTGTCGCAGCCCTCTTAGGCCATCCACTCAGAGACTGACACCCGCGGTACTTGGCCGCCCACACCCCTGAGCTTGGCCAGCCTGTAACGGAAGCTTCCTCATGAGGTCGCCCTTCTCGTTGGCCAATTCTTCTTTGTACCTGCGCTAGCTCGGGGTGGTCTTGCTACCCCTATCCCAATTACAGCAACATTTTCTCCAGGAGCAATCTCCCCACGCGAGGTCACTAGCGATCCTGGTCCCGTCAGGACCAGAGCATACAAAACGTCCTCTTCGCTGCATAGGCTGCACCTTCTCTCCTCTCCCATACACGAACATACTCTGTATCCTACAACGTTGACTATTCTTTAGTCGTCCACTCTTTCGAGTCCAACCAACTACATTCGTTACCAAACAAACCAACCTACAACCCACCACTTCTCCTCGTTCTCCGAGTTTAATATACCCAACAAACAATCAAAATGCGCGCAGTCTTCGCTCTGTTTGGCCTCGTTGCCGCTGCTTTCGCCAGCAAGACCGTCACCTACACCTCCACTGTTGACGTTACTGTCACCAGCTGCGAGGCTGCTCCCACTGACTGCGGTGGTACGTTTACCACGGTTCAGAAGGCATTCATGACAGGGTGCTAATTATGTCTACAGAGTGGGAGGAGACCAGCGTTCCCGTTGAGGCAACCTCCACTGCTACCTACTGGAGCGATGCCCCCGTTGCGCCGACCAGCACTCCCGTCGCTGCCTCAACCTGGGTCGATGTCTCTGCTGCGCCCTCGAAGCCAGTTGCAAGCTACACCAAGTCCGCTCCAGTTGCTGACTACACTGGCGGTGCCGCTACCCTGACCGGTGCCGGCGTTGCTGGTTTCGTCGCTGTTGCGGCTCTCCTTCTGTAAAGCATCCCAATCATCGACATGACGCCAATCCTTTGATGACTACCACGGAGTCAACTTTCGGCTGAGCGAAACCTCCGTGGCTATCTTAGAGGGATCGGCAATTCAACGACTGTCTATTCATGCTGCATAAAGGGGAACGGAAAGAACCAACTTCAAACGTGGACAGGCCTGCGAACATTTTCTGTGTGGTGTATACCCTTGGGCGATATCTTCTTAATCTTGATTGACCGCCAACCAGGTGATCTTCATCATCGGGTTCGGGCGCGTGTGGAACAGGATGTGTATGTGTACCTTCGTCTGTCTGAAAGAGACGTAAAATCACAATATACCATACCAAAGCCAAGCTCATGGTTGGTCGTTTATGTATACTGGGATACTGCACGAATATACATGATCAACTTGTAAACCAAATTTCAATTCTTGAATACCTTTTGATGGGCTGTTTGTTATGATCTGTCAGTCGCGGCTTTGACAGGCGATTCAAAAATGCATGTTCGTTGTTCGAATATGCTTCTGGTCCCGCATTCCTGATCATGGTTCTGACTGTTGAATCCGGGGAAGACTCCGTAATCCAGCTTACCTGATGCGATCGTTCCAGGAATGTTCTGTCTCGGTCTTCGAGGGTGCGGCATTGATGAAAGCTGCGAAACAGATGCCATTCTTATGCATTGGATGTGGACTCGACTGTGCCTCTTCTGTTGAAGGAACCCCTCATTGGGACTTTCTTAGTCTACACCATCCTTAGATAGCCAAGCTTCGAGGCCATCTTGATCGACCAGCTTCGCTACTGTTGACAGACAATAGCGGAGTGGCAAGCGTGACTTTCAAAACCGCGTAGCACACAAATGTTCTCGCTCTCGGCATTCGCATCATCTTCACCTTGAAAGATTGGCGTCGCCTTGAGATGGTTTCAAGTTCGCTGCAATGCCGATTCCAGTACGCCAATCACACTGATCGCCCGCAGTTATCAAGGTCGACAAAGTGCATTATAAGTATACTTGCTGACTGCTCGCAGAGATGGCCTCTTGCTGAGATCGGCACTGTGTCGTCAAGCACTGGAAGTTGCAGAAGGAACGACAACGAAAACTTGAAGCGACACTGCACTGGCAAGGCAAATGGATGAGGTAATCCAGGTGTGCCCAGGTGCACATGCCCCAGGATTGCTGCCCAAAGCAGAAACTTAGGCGTGATCCTCCACTTCACGCATCTGAACATCTCCACGATTATTGACCTGATGCTGCACTATCACCACGTCCAGCTCATGGGCCCTTTTAGGGCTGGTCCTCGTCGCCGCCAAAGGCGCTCTGCGGGACTATGCTACTGACGCGCAACAATCTCCTCCTGGCAGCATTTGCGGCTTTCATTGCATGGGGACTTGCGGTTCAATCGTTCCCTGTCCTGCGCTTCATCGGATACGCCTTCACGCTCGGTGCCGTATCAACGGTAGTGTTACTGGCTGCGGCTACTCTGCTCATCTCGCGACGGCCTCGGCCTGCACCGACCGCCGCGCAACTCGCCAATAAGCCGCTGTTTCTAACTCCGGCGCAATGGCGCACCGAGGCGGCAGCTGCGAAGCGGCGGGACCAATATCAGCCGCTCGACCTGTACACTTCCTCGTTCGTGGTCTCACAAGCAATCGATACGCTGTTGGGCTTCGCGCTGCGAGACTTCGTGTCTGCTTGGTATCGTAATATCACAACCAGTCCTGCGTTCGTCAACGACATCGATAAGAAGATCCGGCTGGCGATACAAGAACTACTTGCGAGACTGGCCAGTGAAGATATTGTTAATGTCGTGGTCACGAAGATTGTACCAATCTTCAATGCTCACATGCGTGACTTTGATCAGGCGGAACGTCTAGTCAAGGGCAGGTCACTGAATCGCAGCATCACCGAATCCGAAGAGCTCGATCTGGCAATCGCTGCGAAATACAAGGATGGCAAATTACACCCTGCTGCGTCGCTGTCGTTCTCAGACACCAAGTCAATCGAACAAGATCATCTCCGCAAACTAGTGGTGCGGATCCTACCAGAATTGGTGTCGGAAGATGTCCTAGGCAGTCGCGCAGCCTTAGTGCTCGTCAAAGAAATCATCGCATGTGCGGTGCTCCTTCCCATCGTGCAATTGCTCAAAGATCCGGACACTTGGAACCAGGTCGTCGAGAACTACGGACGGTCCGCTCTGCAGGACCGCAAAACAGTGCGGCGGATGCGAGCCGCCCTCGATGAACATACCGCCTCACCAGGCAAGGCTCGGACAGAGGCTGACTTTCCTCGGCTGGGTCCGCATGACAGCGAACGCGCCTTTGAACGGTTTGTTCGAGCCATTAGGAAGGCAAAGAACCTGTCTGATGCTCGCCGCTTCCGCAGCCAGGTCGCTAGCCAGCTCAAGCGCGAAAGTATGGTAGAGGGTCAGGATCCAGTCTATTTGCGACGCCTTGAGATGGGGAAGCGTGTCCTGGACCAGAAAATCACGAAGCTGGCACTGTCAACCGGAGCTTTGCCTGGCACGCCTTTGTCGGGCGAGCCACGCAAAAGCTTGGACTCGTCCAAACCACAAACAAGAGAGCTGACTCTTGTCGAAATCATGCATACAGCATCAGGGCTGTCTTATTTTATGGAGTTCATGGACCGGCAGCAGCTCATGACGTTGGTGCAGTTCTGGATAGTCGTTGATGGGTTTCGAAATCCGTTGGAGGATGACTTCGGCGATGACCCGATTGGTGTCTCAACAGCGCCTTCGTGGACAGACGCTGACCGGACCGACATTGCTCGGATTTCGGAAGCATACATGGCCAAGGCGGAAATCGACGTTCCTACTGAATCGAAGCAAGCCATCAGGAGCTTTCTTGTGGCTGGCCGGAAGGCAACACAGGCACAGTACAGAGAAGCGCGAATGGCGATCTTATCTACGCAGTCGGCCGTGCTCGAGCAGCTTCAGACCAATCACTACCCGTCTTTCAAGAAGTCCGACCTCTACTACAAGTTCTTGGCGACTGACGATGCAAGGATCACCAGTCCAGATCAAGGAGCTGGTTTCGATCTCCTTGATATCCCACAATCGCTGTCTCCTGTGAAGGCAGTCAAGCCTGCTCCTACGCAGCCTTGAGCAGGACCGGTTCAGGTGTCATGACTAAGAGTAAGGACCTGAGACGCGCGGCCCTGTCTTCGAGCGACATTCGAAGCCTGGACACCTCGAAGAACTCCAATGATGCTAAGAGTATCCAAAGCGAGCGAGACCACACTCCGCTCTTCGATGACGGCTATGACACTGATCCGCTGGCCCATTCCAACTACAGTGTCGGGCATGAGTCAGCGAATGGAGATGCTGTTGATGAGCGGCAGATGGTTGAAGATATGGAAGCTGCCATGGAAAATATCATGACTGAACCTTTCGAGCCCGATGAGATTGAAGAAGAGCCTGGCGGATTGTTTGGCTCTCCGACATCAAGTCGTCGATCTGCTCATGGGGCCGACTCGCCTCGGACGTCGCTCGACATGCCTCGTATCGATGCCATCACAGTCGGAAAGTCAAAGCCTAGTCTTTCTACTCTTGGTCTAGTCAATACATCGTCTCGCATTGGCGTATTCACTGACAACGATCTCTTCCCTGACGACGAAGCAAAGTTTATTGAGGACGAGTACGCCGACCAAGACGCCAACAAAGACGACCCCGAAGAGGAGATTCATGAAGCCGCTCCTGGTGATCTAGGACTGACAGAAGCTATCTCTGCTCTCAGCAGCGACATCGAACGCCTTGTTACACAGGAATCCGTTGTCGATACCTTGACTCGCAAGGCAGAGCTGACAAACAACATTCCAGAGCTCCGTATACTGAGCAAGTCCAAGGCAAGTCTACAACGAGAGATTCGCCGCAAAGAACTCCAGCGCCAGCAGTATATCGTGCAGGAAAGCGACAACAGCCTGTACGGGCGCTCAAGCATTAGGATTAAGTCCATCATGGTCGGCAAAGAAGACGACGGCCGCGAGTTCGCACTCTATGTCATCGAAGTGCAACGCCAAGCAGGCGACCAGATGCCAGCCGCGACATGGGCCATCACGCGACGATATAGCGAGTTCCACGAACTACACCAACGACTACGACGACGATACCCCTCAACACGCAACCTCGACTTCCCACGCCGGCGCATGGTCCTCAAGCTTCAAAAGCAGTTCCTGCACAACCGTCGCATCGCGCTCGAGGCCTACATGCAACAACTTCTGCGCATGCCCGACGTCTGCCGCAGCCGCGAACTGCGCTCCTTCCTCTCTCAACAAGCCATCTCCACTACCCTCGACACATCCTCTGACGCCGCCGTCAACACTCAGGACATCGTCTCCCGCATCTACAACTCCGTAACCGACGGTATGGACGAGTTCCTTGGCAATATGACTGTCCTGGACCAGCTCTCTGTTGCGGGACAGAACCTCATCTCCGCCGCTACGACGCAGTTGGGCAACACACAGACCGATATAGTCCCACTGGACCAGCAAGCCGCGGGTGCAGGCTCGGTCGCCGAAGCAGAAGCCGAGCTCCGCTCCTTCGAAGACAAAGAACTCGAACCCTTTGTCAAGCCTATCTGTGATATATTCCTCGAAATCTTCGAACTCAACCGTGGCAACAACTGGCTGCGCGGTCGCGCCGTCGTTGTTGTACTGCACCAATTATTGGGCGGAACTGTGGAGCGCAAAGTGCGCGATTTTGTCAAGTCACTCCTCCAAGAAGACTCCCTGCTGAAATATATCGAGCTACTGAAGGACACGATGTGGCCCAACGGCGTGATGCGCGTGGCGCAGTCAAGATCGGCGGTCGAGAAGGGTCGGACAAAGAAAGAGGCGGGTGTGGTTCTCGCGACGCTGTTGCCGGATCTGGCGGGTGGAGTGGTGGGCCGAGGTAATGCGCAAGGGGCGGCGAGAAGGGTCAGTGCTGCCCTGAATAATGTGAGGTTGAATCAGCATTTGGTTTACACGGTTTTGGATGAGATCGTTGGGGTCTTGTTTGATGGGCGAGGAAGGGGAAATGCTCATTGATGACGGGTGAGCTGGTCTATGAAGGGAATAAGATGAGGAGTGTGGGTGTAGTTAGCTGCTGTTCATGGTCTGGGCAGTCAAGCAGGCTTTTGGATGCTTCAATCCATCCGTGACGCATCTCGGCCCGGTATGAAATGCCGCTAACTATTGTTGTTACCAAGCAGATGTATGCATCATCAGGAGCACTGATGAGGTGCAGGCCTTTCGTTGTGCTACTGCCGCAGACGTAGCTTGTACTATGTTGCTGTTTGAGAACAAGCAATCATTCTGGTCTGCCGGTCTGCTTGAGAGCCCCCAAAATATAAATGTCCCTGCCATCACTCATCCTTGCATACATCTGTCCACGATGTCAACAGTAAAGCCTTCTATTTCCACGCCAGTTTTTCAAAACCCCCTTCCTTCCTGTCTGAACGATTCGAGACTCATCAAATGCCTGTTGTGTGTACGCCCAATTCCCTAGACAGGAGGTTGAGAGTCAGTAGTGTTGGCAGAAATAACATTTCCGCTCTAGATCTGGGGTAACAAGATCTAGTCATCCGGTCTCGAGCAGGCCACCCCCAATTTTGCCTCTGCTTTGCGGATCTTTGTTGAGTGTGCTATTCGATTCTCGATGACTCCCTATGGTCTGCAATTTCATGATCGCTTGCTTTTTGCTCTGCTTCTGTGGTCCCTTCTAATGACGAAGCCGGTGAATCCACTCACATTTTCGCGCCCGTCTAGCCCCCGTGCCGTGGACCACATCCCCTCATGGACCAAATCGACCCTCAAACATTCCGCTCAACATAGCTCCTCACCATCCCCTCGCAACTGGCCTCATACTCCACCAGCCTCACCTCCCCACTCGCCTCATCTAGAACCGTATTCGCCTGCACAAACACCTTCCTTGGCTGCCTCTTACTCAACACCACCGGCCGCACCTTCTCCGCCCACCACTCATCCACGCTTGTGATCTCCTCGTAAAGCTTTCTGCCTGCCTCAACGTCCGCTGTGGACTTATAGACGTGCAACTTCTGAAGATAGTCCTCCACCGCTGGTCTCCCGTGGCTCAGAATCTTGGAGCGGTCGAGGTGAATTTCCAGATCAGACAGATCGTCCTTCTTGGAGACGAGTTCACAAAAATCGCCCCCAGCGTTCATGAACGTTCGCAAGATCGAGTAGCGTGCCTGCATGTGCGCCTGGCCCCACTTCCGCGCCTTCGGGTCCCAGTACTCGAGCGCGGCGACACCAGCACGCGCCATCTGGAGGTAACCTACGTACAGCACGTCGCCGGCGGGGGAGTTTAGGTCGGCGTTCTTCCCGTCACCAAAACCAAACAGCGACAAGATCTCGAATTCGCAGGATAGAGCCATAGCGACACACTCAGCACGACATTCTTCGTAGGAGGACGCGATGGAGCCGAAGACCGAGGACCATGTCTGGCCGGGCTTGTACCATGTCGTGATGGGCTTCTTGGTTATGGGAGACGAGGGAGGATTGTTAGGGTCGAAGTTGTATTCGCCAGGAGAGGTCTCTTGTAGGAGCTTACCGGTACCGTGGCCGAGGAGCTCGTGGATGCCGACTTGCACTTCGAAAGCTGGATCTCGGCAGGAGCGGTAGACGGCGTCGTCCGAGTCACGGATGAAGGGGATGGGTTCTTTGGGAGCTTTGGCGCTCAGCACGTTGCCGAGGGAAACGTTTTTGAAGCCTAGGTTCTGTCGGATGTCGTCGTAGTTGGGAATATTGATGCCTGCCGGGATTCCAGATCCGGCGAAGGAGAGCACCTCCAGACTAGTGAAGTCTGGGCTGAGGAACTTGTCTTTCTCGTACTCGTTGCTCCAGGGCAGCTTGGGTATGAATGTGCCTGCAGCATCAACGAGTTTGCCAAATGCTTTGGTCCGCTCGAGGTTGACCATGGCTACAAATCCTTCCCACTCTCCTCGCACGCCGTGCGGATCCCGGTATGTCTCGACGAAGCCCAGATCTGTCTCGACCATGGGCCTTTTGTCCTTGATCCAGTATCTCTGTGACTCCTTGTACGCTTCTATGCTTCCTGTACCGAAACTCTTTGCGTACTCAGCCATCATTTTGGCTTCTGTGTCGTTTAGTGCCTCCTTCTCGGCTGCCTTGATCTCTTTCTCGATGGCAGCCATCTCCTTCTGATAGTCTCCGAAGACAAACTTGAGCTTCTTGCCTTTCAGACTTCCCATGAGCTCGACATTGTCTGTGTCGCCAAGATCTCGGTCACCTTTGCTGGGACTGGGGTCACTGCTCGCCACCAGCAGCTCAAAGTCCCCTGCTTTGGTTTTCCTCAAACGCGTGTTCTCAATAGGGAGGCCTTTGCTCTCGAGAACATCACCAACGATCTGTATCTCCTCTTTCGTGATGGACTGGCTGTCTGGGTAGTACGTGGACATGTGACCCGCGTCAGGATACCCGAGATGCATCAATGATGCTTCCTGCGTCTCGTAGATGCCGCCTCCGACCGAACTTGCCTTCTTCAGCAATAATTGGGCCTCTTCACTGATCTTCGCGATCTTCTCTAAATCGCCAGGCTCAACTCTAGGGATGAACTTGCTGTCCCCGAAGCCTTTGTAGTTACCACAATTGCCCAAGAACTGAGCGGCATACTCAAGCCATTGTCGAACAGCGTCATCGCCGGCACCCGTGTCAGCAGCCAGCTTCTTGTAGTCGCCCTTGCAGGCTGTGTGTATGGCTACTATCAGATCGTAGATTGGCACACTCTCTGGGCTGACCTGGGCCAACGTTATGCGTGTACCGTGGAATGCAGCACGGGAGATGTGGTGGGCATATCGCTTCTGCTGGGCGTTGAGGGCATCAAAGTGCGGTGCGATTTCTAGACGAACGACTGTTGGAGGGGAGTCCGCAAGGTAGTGAGCTCGGGCTGCAGAGTCCATCGTGGAGGATCCGGTGGTCACTGAGGGAGCGGATGGGATCAAAATGTTCCCCAGGGCTCTGATACGGGAGACGGTGTTCCTCAGATAGCCGCTGGTGTGATTGTGAGGAATAGTGGTCATCAGGGAGTCTCGAGCGTGGAATACACGAACCATCACGACTTCAAAGACGCGCAGTAGCGGCCCCGCGTGCCCCTCTTCTCCGATTTGAGCCCCCAACATGGATGACGTATATATATTCAACGGTCCCAAATTTGCTTCAGATTCCGCATCTAAGATGTTGGATTCAAAAATGTCTCGACTGGTGTAACGGTTAACATCGCCGGTTTTCAATAGAAGACCATTGACGCACTTCCACTGCCCGGCAGCTCGGGGTTCAACTCCCCGGTCGAGAAGAATTTGCTTTTTTGCATTTTTGGGACCAGATCCAAGCCGCTGAGAAGCGGAGGAAGCTAGATGCGTGGGCTGTGTCAGGACCAAGGCCATTGGCGATTCATTATCATACTACCGACGCCGAACGCGATACCGGGAACCATACTTCAAGGTCTGTCCCATCTCATATCGCCTTCTTCCAATGCTCCGATCCAGCGACCGTAACCCAGCATTCAGCGCAAGGGAGGATGCACCGCTAGCATTTCATGCCTGCCAGAAGCCGGACTGACTCGTGCCTACCCTCGACCTCCTAGAAAGTGCTTAGCAGCCACCCGATCTCAACGAGTGTGAGATCAAGTGCGTCTCCTAAGCGAAGGCACATCTGCTGTCCCTCGAAGTCAGGAGATTCTGTACACGTTGGGGAACCAAACGTTCGTTGTGAACATGCGAACACCATCATTCAAGCCCACAGTGCTGCGGATTGGATGCCTCCATGGCAATACAGTACCTCTGCGGGTGCAATCAAGGCTCAAACGGATCCGCCATGGTAGTCACCATGTGGTTTTGCCAGACTGCTCGGACTGAGTCTCACTGCGTGGCAATGTGAGTACATCCAAGGAGATTGACCATCGAAGAGAGGTTTGTTCCTTCCATACTGCTCTTGCCACATCTTCGCAGACGGCAGCAAAGGAGTCGTTGGTTCTCAAATACTGCTGAGCAGGGAGGCGGACTTATCGTTCCATCCGTCGTGGAACGCAGCCAACAGGTGCTACTACTCCATAGGTTTGCTATGATGTAGTGAAGATGTGGTGATGGAAGTGCTATCATGAGTTTTGGCTGGCGAATGGCTTGTGGTGGATCATACACCACCTGCCGACAGGCGATCATTGTTCCTGCTCCTCCGTCCTTTGCGGCATACAGTAATCTGCAGTGTGCTCTTTGCTGCGTGGGTCCACTGCGTAGGCACAAATATGCGGTCGATTGCTCGACTTGCTTTTGTTCATCAGGAGTAGCGGAGAACAGCACCGATTAGGCAGCACATACTGCAGGACAGGACGTTTAGCCATTCAACGACGACCATTTCTTGGCCCGCGGTCGAGCTGGCAACCCGCAATGCCACCTATGGATGCCTCCGTCCGTTCCGATGTCACACAGCAAGCAGACAAGGGTTAGCTCGCAAAACGCGTTGACTCGTCTGCGCACAACATCATCAGAAGAAAGTACTGCAAGACGGCAACAACGCAATCATCTTCGACACCCGGGGCATTGATGCTACGTGGCCTTGTCAGATGCGGAGCCTGCGAATTGCGGACTAGGGAAGGAGAACTTCTTACACCTTCCCTGTCCATCGAGGCCGTATTTTCTGAGTCCCGGCAGCAGCCGCAGCGCAGACTGTAGTTCGCACCCTCGGCACCTTACAAGGCAACGAGTCGCACAGGACGTCGTTCCCTTGCTGCGATGTAGCGGTCAGCGCTGTCTTCTGCACGCAAAGAAGGATGACCTTGGCCTGACAGCGTTGGTCGCCTCAAACACAGGTCCAAGATCCGGGCAAAAGCCTTACAACCTTGTGCCGGACCAAGGTTCATCTTTGCGCGAAGCCTACGGCACATTGGGCATGCACACTTGTTCTTTGGGACTCTCGAAGAACGACTCCCTAAAGAAATGCTCAAATTTAATGAACGCCTAAGCCTGGGCTCGATCGGTCAGCATGGCGGGATCCGCGCCGAGAACTGATGCACGCAATCGATTCCCACTTAAGCCCTGCTCGTTCGTGATGTGGTGCGTTGAACCTGGTCAAAAGCAAATATTTTACCCAAGGCTCCATGCGCGTGGAAGAGGGAGAGGGCACTACCGGCGCGCCGTCCCTCGCTGCCCGAAGCTGCAACTTTCGCCCTACATGAATTCTTTCTTCGATACGAGTACTTAACTCGATCTGTACATATTTACTGCTGGCATCGAGACCTCCGACCAGGGATTTCGGTACCTGCAGTAATGCATGTCCTGCTATGTTCAAGCAAGAATGCAGTCCATGTACAGCGCCTGCCGCGGTTTGCCACCAAGGACCCGCCTTGGGTTTCAGAGCAGGGTCTTGCCTATGCCAGATGATCAGAGTGAGTCACTTCCCGCATCCCCGCGCGGGCCTGCGCTTCTAGCCTGAAGCTAAATGAGCATCGGCTTGCGTGATGCGCAGATTCCCAGAAGGACCTGTCTGCAGAAGTCAATGCTTTCGAACTATGGGCCTTCAATGCCTCACTCTAGGCCCTAGCAAGCTCGTGAGGAACGTTCCACCGCTAGAAACCGCTTCTCTCACCACGCGTTCTCACGACAATTGATCGCGTTACTGTCGATCAGTCACGGTCCTTTCCTGTTGCCAAAGGGAGAGGAATACCACCTCGCAAAGATATGCAGGCTAGGTTCTGTCCCCATTCGCTGGTCACGATTCTTCAGTCGATTGCGAAGTGGCGTTCAGCTCACCGTCCTGCACGAGACCATGCGAGCTTCGCACGATTTCACGTGAAGTAAACGTGTGCCCAGCGTCAAAGGCCTTTATGATCCATCGATAGCAATCTACGCCGAGCGTTATCTTTGACCATGGGCAATCCCGTCCCCAGCACTGAGCGAATTGCTTTCAAGCTGATCGAATCCAGAGAGCTGGCGCACTCAACGGCAGAATGATCAGCTCGAGACAGCCAGCTGCTCCTGGAGGATGTCACTAGCGCATTCGAAAGTAGCCGCCGACAGCATACTAGGCCGCCTGGCTTGAATCTGTACAGGGTACACTTACTTTCCGAAGCTGATAGCAGTATCGGTCAAGCAATTTAGAGACGTCTGCAGAATGCAGCTGCCCTCATCACGAAGACATCTCGAGCCTAGTTTGCTCGCCTACCTAGCCGTTCACCCTGCTCGTCATCCCTGCCGAACACTAGTCATGATGGGTGGTGGAGGCAGGCAAGGCAGGTTCCACATCTTCCAGAAATCATTTGGCTACTTGACTCGCAGACTCGCATAAGAGGCTCTCTGTCGGAATTGTTTGAACAGGCACGAGCCAATCTTACCATTCTTCGACTTACAATCTATGGTGTTGTCAACAACCCTTACGTGCAACAAGTATCCGGACGTCTTTGACAGTACAGCTAGGGTGATCCTTGTCGCTTTTCACTCAGATAGCATACCACCTGTGCTCAACCTACTGGTCAGAAGTGGTGGGATGCAGTCCTGAAAGTGGACGACCACATCTTACCATGGGATACGGTTCCTGGAACGTGCCGTTAGTAACCTTATCAGATCTCTACAGGACTGTCACCCCATCACGCCGTCGGCAAGTCAGTACGCTGCCTGGAGAGTTGTATACAATATATCCTGTGTGCCGCGGTGAGCTCAAAGCTCTCCATACATTCATGTCAGCCGTTTGCGAGCCAATAGCACGCCCAAGACTGTCGAATGATTCAACAGCACCGTCATTGCTTGGATCGACCACGACTCCCTCGACTACCTCAAGCAGCTTGTCCGAGTCGCCCTCACGACGCTATTCAACAGGTTCCATACCATTCGATCCCTTACCCAGTGCCAATGGGAACGGCTTCTTTATGACAAAGTACATGGAGCTCAGCAATGGCGATCCGCCTGTCCCTAACGGTGCAGGCACTGGCAAAGCTGAGGGCGACAGTGGAGAGCATTTGGACATCATCGTTGGGAAGCCATATGCAATGGGACTGAGCGAGGGCATTAATGGTCACAACTCTGATCCACAGCGTACCAACAGCCTCAATGGCGAAAAGCGGCACGCTGCGAAGGCGACCTCAACATTGAAGGGCGACTCCGACTCAAAGTACGTTCACAAAGAGCATGTCATCCAGCTTTCTAGTATCGAACACTGCATGCCCCGAGCATACATCCGAGTGTGTCTAGCATACCCACTACCCGACAACACAGATATGACCCTACTGGTCACGCGACTCAATCAGTTCACACGCAAAGTCGTCGATGCGAAACCATACCTTGCCGGACATGTGGTCCCAGCGCCAAATTCAGAGTCCCAACCCGGTCTCGCAGAGATTCATTTCACCGACCACGACTTTATAGCCGGGCATCCTTCGGTAAAGCTTGAGCACATCTCAGAGGCTGATATACCCTACGACTACAAAGAGCTTAACGAAATGAAACTGCCTCCCTCTCTTATTCGACCCGAAATTGTGTCTGCTTTGCCCGAAGGTATCAGCGATGGCAAAGCTCCAGTCTTTCGCCTGCAAGCAAATGTGGTGAAAGGAGGTCTGATCGTCTCTACGTATCTCCACCACTGCATTAGTGACGGCACAGGTATGGGCTTGATCATAACCGGGAGCGTACTGCACGACGACTTCACCTTCGATCGGCACCTCGAGTCCAAAGGCTTCGACACACTGGGACTGAATCGACGGCTAAGCGAATTCGCCAATCAGCAGACCATTGTCCGAAGAGATCTCTCGTGGAGCTTTCCGAATCAGATCTCTGACCGCTTGTTTCACCATCGCAGGCCAACAACCAGTCACAGCACTCGTCCGAAGTCGGATGGAAGGGGTTGCATCTTCACCTTCCCTAAGGACCGACTTCTGGCACTATGGCAGGAGCTAAGGACGACAGCAGAAGCTGGAGACTTCATCTCGGAAAATGATGTACTACGTAAGTGCTTCTGACCTCCAACAAGCTGCTCGAGTCGAGTTATACTGACTGCAAATACCAGAGGCTCTTCTGTGGCACCACATGACGAAAGCTCGGTCACGATCACCACACCTCGATCGCGTCTCACACTCACGCTTGTTTACTCCCGTCAACATTCGCAGCAAATTGAACCGCCCGCTTCCGGACGCTTACTTTGGCGCCGCTGTCGACTTCGCCCTCACAGAATTGCCCATGGCGCATCTCTGCGACATCACCGCCAGCAATCGCCTCCCAGCATTGGCCCGCACAGCCAGCGCGATTCGTCAAGCCATCGGACGAGTCGACGAGCCGTACATCAGACAAGCCATCGCGCTAGCCCGTGATCCCGACCCGAACGTCGACGTACGAGATCTGATGGGCAGCAGCATGAATCGCACATCAGGGGCAGATATGTACATCACCAGTTGGCAGAAGCTGGGTCTCTACGAAGCGACGCTAGACCTCGGTCTCGGCCGTCCTGACTGGGTTCGGAAACCGTGGTCGAAAGACCCGGGATCTTGCATCGTGCTGCCAAACGATGACCGGAAGCAGGTCACGGAAGTGCTGGTGCAGATGACCGTTGACGATATGGACAGGCTAATGCAAGATCAAGAGTTCAGTGCGTTTGCTCCGACATGGGTTGAATAGCCCAGGGATACGAGACGGATGGGCCAGTGATGATTCTGAGCGAAGTCGTCTGGAGCAATACCGTGCTGTACTAACCCCAGTGTTGACGTCCGGAACAGACGTTCTGCATGGTTGATCGCCTGAAGACTTTCCACCGCCAATCGCATCCTGGTCGTATCAGCCTCGCTCTGCCGATCAATGGTTGATCTGGGGGCGCATGGAGTACTCTCAGGCATGGAAACGGGAAAGGCTGTGGATCAGCACGTGTCGCTTGGGATGCGAGGGATGATAACATGGAGCATAAAAGGGAGCTTGAATGGATCAAAGATCAACAGCGCATAAAAATATTGGAATTTGGAAGCGATGGTGTTGGGTTTCCAGTTTACGAGGTTAGGCGAGCAGGGCATGATTCTCCGGTATATTGCCATTCGGGTGCCAAAGCCGTAATTGTGGTGACGGTAAGGATGGCATAATTTAGCTCATTGTAATCTCCCCTTTCTCAGAAAGAGTAAAACAGATAAGGAGCCAGACAGCGATCGACCGTGACATGTTGACTAGTGCATTAGCGGTCGTTGCCTGCGGTCGATATTGACATGATGGAGATGAACAGCTGCTTTGCCCGCAGACTCCCCAGAAGGGAATAGCACCCTGTCCTTCGTGCACCTACCCACCTGACAGCCCTGTCGCTGCATGCTTTTGCGATTCGTCGAAGATATGTTCCTTATTCTCGTAGCGGCCTGTGGTCCTCTCCCCTGTGTGCGACTCGTTCAGCTCAGCTTTAATTCGTCTTTGCTACCGATGTTTGCTATTCGCGATCGCCTATCGTGAGATCTCTGGAAACGTCCCTGCCTGGCAAGATCGATAGGCCGATCCAGATCGCGAGGTTCCATATTCTGTTGCCCAATGATCGCTTACGTGACATCGAGGCTGTGAAGTACCAAAAAAGGTTCGCCTTGCATTGCTCAAGCCCTAGGCAATGCATCGTGATTCTGACAGCGGTTAAATGCAGGAATTCTTGACTGTGGAACACACCCCCTAGGTACAGGGGCGCAACTCTTAGTGGCCGTAGCTGATCTGACGAACGACCGCGTGATAAGTTATAGGAATTGTAAATCCATGACAGGTGCCTGCTAGGCAAGTCACCATCACTGACAGGCACAGGATTGATATGTGGTCGGATGTGGAGTCCGATGGTGGCGGCAGCTACTGCTACGAAGGACCCGGAATAAGGTGATCCGTGGTGCCTGCCGAAGGTGTTAATGAACTGCTGTTTCTCATTTCGGGAGTCGTTGACGTAGGTGATTGCAGGCGATCGTATTCCAGACTTTCGCGCCTGACATCTGCACGCTGATCAAGGATAAGCAACGTTTCTGCAGCTGGCCCGACATTTCGGCAGGTCGACTGCTTAGCGCAGACAGCTTTGTCCACCGGGCACTTGTGGTGGTCAGGAAGGATACTGCAAGTCGACCTCACCGCTATTGTGCGCACGACGTTGATCTGTAGACATTGGAGCCAAGAGCTGTCAAACGTACGAGGTGATGCATGGGCCTGTTCGTGTTCGAGGAAAGACATGTCCGCAGTTGCGTTGCGTCTCTGCACAGTGAGCTGACTGACGTGGCAGAGCGTCAAATTGTGCTGTGTGACACAGAGCTGCTAGCACCTACGCCAGTCGCTTGCAGAAGCAGGAAACAGTGTCAACGCAAAGTCGAAAACATCATTGGAAAGGGCCCCAGAACAATCGAAACTCAATGGACAGACCAGGCGATTATTGTTATGGAGTCCGTATTGGTATGCCTCGCTCGGCATCGCGTGGAATGGGGAGATAGTGACACTGCCACAGACTGCTCTGTGCCAGCGTTCGAGAAGACGCTACAAAATCTTTTGCCAGTGCTTTAACAAGAATTGAACAGCTACTGGTAAGCATGGAGCTGTTTTGCCCCAAATTCAACCGATACCTCAAGTGGCACAGCTGCGCCAAGACCAAAGACGTCAGATCTGGGATGGTGCGAAACACGTTCAACGTCAACCTTGGAATCTAACGCCAACGAACTCCTCGCTCAGAGCGCTTCGCTGAGGCTCAAACACTTCCGTCTCATCTTCGCGGTAGGTCACAGTCTGTTGCTACACCAGCGGCTCCTCTATGCTGCATCGCGGTGCCCGAAGCAGCGAGCATTCCGCCCCTGATGCGATCATCTTCTCCTTCAAGCGCTCGGCAATGCGCTGTATCCGGGGCAAGCGAGTGAGCTTCGACTACAGGAGATCTCGTTCCCGAGAGTGCTTCAGCCTTTCGATGGATTCCATTGAAGACTTCAGTAGATGGACCGCCAAGCCCATCGATGACCAACGGCGCTGGGTGATCTGAGACAGGAGCTTATCGGCGCGAACGCTCTTGTCGCACCAGATGAGTGACGATCCGCAGGTGAAGGTTCGTTTTCCACCGCTAGACTCGGTCAATGGCTCGTAACGTGAGACTTTGCGGCTGCAAACGTCGCTCAAGGCAAAACGCTTTGGCTGCTTCTCAGCTTGTGGGTGGCAGGAGCAACGGTCGAAGTCTGATCCGTACTTGCTGTCGTCTGAGGACTCCCGCTCCTGCCGACGTCTCTGCCCAGCCTAAGTACATCGTCATCCCCTTGCGAGGCTTCTTTTCTTGTTCTCCTCTTTGTCGGACCGCTGTCGCTACCTACACTAACCCTCTCTTCCTTTCTGAAAGGCGCTGGCCGTCGGGGCGCTGTGCGCAGATAATTACTCTCTTTTCCCATTCCCAACACCATTCGTTCAAGCAGTGCCCTCATCCACTCACATATCTGAAGAAGTCAAGAGGAAAAGGGGATCCAAGGTGGGAGGATCCCGGACTTCGAAACTCATACTAACGTACGAAGATATCAGACCACCTCAGCAGCGATGCATTTCCAGACGGTCCACATTCTTTTGCTGGTCTTCTCCCTCGCGGGGTCCCTATTCGTTCTTGTCGCAGCCACTCGTTATGCCATGTGGTCTAAGCCCATGGTTGGATCATCTGGAAGCTGGCTGTAACCACCCTCCATCCAGCACCCGAGCCAAGAGACTTGCAGACACTGACGATAGCGAAATTTCAGAGGCTTATGTGCCTATGTCGGACTCGTTCCACTCGTAAGTTCACATTCTCGACTCATGACATCTGCTCTAGGGAAGCCATAAGGCACCACGGCCGCTCTATATCTCCACTGCAGTCGTCGTTGTCGATTCGGGTTGATCCACAGCACCTGGTCACAGGCTTGTGGTACCCTTCAAGACGTCTACACGAGACTTCGGTTCCTCACCCACATGCTTCGAACATCATCGCATCACACGACCACCCTCATCTCCTCATTCGTGCTCATCTAATCAACCCTCTCTTTTTCGCGCCAATAGATCTCCCTCCTCTACACGATTATACACCTCGCCCTCCTCCACTTCCGCATAATTCCCTCCTTCTCCCCCGCCGCCCTCACCCGCCACCGCTCCCTCCCCACCTCACCCGGCGGCTCCAAACCCCCGTCCTCGACCACTATGCTCACCCTCATGATCTTCACCGCCCTCTACACCCTCGGCTGGCTCGCGCAGGCCACAGTCTGCACCGCCTGCGAGCTCGCCCCCATTCTCTCCGGCCGGCAGGGCAACGTCCCCGGCTGGTGCCCACAATCCCGCTTTCGGGAACTCCCCTCTACCTCTGATCCTTTCTCAAATACCCCCTCCATCGACAGCGCCGACAACGCAGCAAGGCTGGCTTCCGTTGCGCAAGCAAAGGATGTGATCATGTGGGTGATTTTTGTCGCGGGCCTGCTGATGTTGGAGTGCTGTCGGCGGGGGTGGAAGATGAGTCAGGTGTTGGAGGCGGAGCGGGAGAGGGATATGGGTGGCTTCAGAGCGTATGATCCTGGGCTGGCGAGGAGTGGGGATTGGAAGTCTGCTGCTGTTGGGGTTCAACAACAACAGGGGAGTGAGGGCTACGAATTCGAATCCTACCGACCGACTGCTGGAAGCGTGAATGCGATGGCCGGGTATGATGCGGCCGGCTCGAAGGGTGGTGTTGCGTTGGGACCGACGGATAAGAGGATGAAGAAGAATAGTTTCGTGGGCGTTAGGGCGGTGCAGGATGTCAGGGTCAATTTGAAGGTACCTGGACTGAGCTACGATACTAGGGTGTGATATTGTGTATGGGTCTTCAAGAGTCGGATGGTACGTGGTGATGGTGTCGTTGCCGTGTGGTCAAGAGGTAGTGAAGGGAAGGCGTGGAACGCAAGGCAATGGCTCGAACGACAGAAGAGACCAGAGATGCACTGTTGAAATGACACAGGGAATTATCACATAGGGCTTTATGGCATCGAACGTCACAAATGCCTCGAGGCATAAGGCAAACCAAATCACCAAACCACAGTGTAGTTGTCTCAAGCTTTGCTTCTCGATCTCCGACTACCTGAACTCAAGCTACGTAGATATGCGTGCTGAACCCATCGGCCCTGCTAAACTCTAGCAGCACACGTATCTTAAAAGAACAAAGAACAGGGTGGTGGTGGTCGCACTCCCGCGAGTCATGATTTTGTAGCAAGATACGATGTGATGCAAATGCAATGCAGCCAGGATATATTCTCAGACGGCTGAATGCGGGTGGCTATATTTCGAGTACAGTACCAAGTGCATAAGAACAAATATCTCCGCTGGCTCGTATCAGGCAAGACACAATGCTTGAGCTGGTGTGATGCCTTTTTGGTCCAAGTCGTCTCGCTGTTCCTCGTGGTAGCAGGCGATCCGACCCGTTTTGGCAGTGAAGAGGGTGTGAAGAATCGAAGATGCTTGTCTCAAATGGCCCTTCGTCTTACACCCGAGCAAGAAACCCTGGCCCAGACGTCTGCGTCTAGCAACATCCGGCATGGTGGTACCACCACATCCGCGTCGATGGCTTGCCAAAGACTCTCGTATTATCACACCGCTAAGGGGACCAACAAACTGGCAAAATTGCTGATTGGCTGCCAGACCGCGCATCCTGCATGGCGCTTCTGCAGTTGAACGATTTGGGTATTTTCAAAACACAAAAAGGAAACCGCTCTCGGCGGTGATAGCCTCCAATCCTATGCAGAAACTTAAGACAACAAAATATGCATCTGGCGGGATCCAGGTGGTAGAGTAGGTGAGCCAGGTGGAGGCCCACGCAGAACGGTCTTGGTCGAAATATCCTCGCTTTCGACTGCTTCCTTCGATCTCAGATGGCATGCGTCCTGCATGTTCTATACGGATGGAGTCGAATATAGCACCAGCCGATGAAGCTGTTGAGAGCGCGCCCGGATCTCTATGCCGGTGGTGGACTTGCACGGTTCGCCGTAGCTTTGATGATCTCAAGCTTGGGTACTAAACGGTCTTGTTAGCTTCAATACTGATTGCATGCAATGGAACAAGCCTACTGCTCAATCCGTAGCCCTCTGTTCGCCCTTCAGGGTCGTGGTTGTCAATCTCGACCATCAGCGCTACATTCAGGCCGCCCTTTAGTGGACTGCGGTCACTGATGCCATCGGCCGCCGGATGCTGGGTGCCGGCATTTTCTTCTCCAATGTGTAATGGCTCTCTGCCGTTCTGGCTGTACTTCTTCGGTCTCTCCTTACCGTCCAGTCCGGTATCTGGGAGATTGCCGTTGGTCAGTGGCGCTTGTCCGTTGACCGCGTGTGTAGGGCCGTCGTTGTCGGGCACTTCTGTGATGCAAGCATAATTTCTACTTGGCATGGTCGCCTTGTTCCAATCAGCTCCTTTGACGTTGCCACCAGGTTGCTTGTCGAAGAACTCAAGTAAGGTCTCATCCGTATTGCCATCCCTCAGATGATGAATCTTGTTGCGCTTTGCCAGCAGGTTAGCCACAGCTTTTGGAGGCGGCTTGTTGGTGATGGCTGAAGAAACAATGTTCGGAATGTACCGAGCATCGTTCTCTGCAGCAATGGAGTGATGTGGGTTGGAGTAGAAGCGGCCGAACGCGCACAAGTGCACGTCGCCGCCCAGGATCGTGATGCGGACAGCATACTTTTCAGCCAGCTGCTGCAGACGCACGACGAGTTCTCTGCGTTCGCGCTTATGGTGTCTAGCTGTATAATGGTCGTCGAGGTCATCAAGCAAGTCCACCGAGCCATCGAATTTGTTGAACAGTCCCCCAGCCACACCAAACCTTTTGTTGAGCAGCCGGAGCGGCGCAATCAAAGGCGAGGACAGGATATTCTCCAGCCACGCCAGACGAGGGTACGCGATTGGAACCCCAAGCAACAAGATGAGGTGCTTGATCTCTCCATGAGACTCCTGAAACTCCTTCTCGAGTCGATCAAAGATCATGTTGTAGGTTTCTGGGTAGTTGACCTGTTTCCTTGTGCGTTCGGTCCGAGCATCGATTCCGCAGAAGGCGATCCGCTTGCCAAGCCGCATGTACAGATTCCTTGAACGCTCCTCGACATACGGTCCAGGTTTCTTGCCTACTATCCAGCTTGGATCATCAGCAGTTCTGTTGTAGATATAGGTGTTCTCTATTTGTCTTGGGTCGACGCTTGCCGTGCCCTTCTCATTTGCAGACATCGTCTGCGGAGCGTCGGTTGTGAATGTCGATACTGGCGGGGCAGTATGATGCTGAAACAAGCAGTAGTACTTGAAGGCAACGCCACCAATTCCTCGAAAGACTGCACATCTCATGAAATGGTCGGTATAGGAGCCGAAACCGTCGATAATATCATGGTCGTCCCAAATGTTGATCTGGGGTATCTGTGCATTCGCTGAGGCGAATGGTTCTGTGGAATACCAGCGAGTATAGTTGTCGTAGTAGAACTGGTCGCATTCGGCTCTCATTTTGTTGTCGAAAGGGAACTTGCGCCTCTTCTCGGGGTTTCCTATGGCTGTCCACGTTTTGAGCGGCCCGCTTACGCGAACACTGTCGTTGTAAATCTGGTCACCACCACCGATCATAACATGGAATGGGCGCTTTTCATGCAACCGGATAACGTCGTTCCACAGTGCAGGTCCGTTCCAGAAATCCTCGTCTGTGCCGACAGAGAAGCCATTACACGAATGGAACATGATGCGGAAAGAGTCGGTCACTGCTGGCACAACGAACTCTCGCGACTCAGACTTATTGCTTGCGTGCGAGAGGAATTTAGTCTTGGGCAGCGAATATTGCCATCTTTGCTCAACATCTGCGAAAGGCACCTTGATTGTGAAGCGCCAGAATGTCTTCTCGGGGTCCGCATATAGCTTAAGACCGTCCACAGCGGACGAAGGCATACCGGTGGGCGAGGTCGCTCTGCCATCGTGTGCACCGAGGGCTCGAAGTTCGAGTCGAGGTAGTTTCTGGCCAGGCTTGCTAACCACGAGCACCGAGCCATGCCAGAAGACATCGCTGCCTTCACTGCTCATGCGCTGATAGTTCAGAAGAGGTCCACATATGATTTCTAGCTGATCGCTCATGCTCATGACTTTAGGACCGTCTCCGGTGCCCTGCTGCGTCTCGAAAACGTGCTCGTAACCCTGTGGCACCGGATCATGTTCACCATTTGCTTCTTCTGACTCGTTAGGCCAGTAAAACGAGACGAGAAAGTGCTGGACTCACGAGACATGGTCAGGACCTTTTGCGCGAGCCAGATGGCTCTGTCTCCCTACGGGTCAGGGTAGCTCCTGCCTCGGGATCAAACTCGCGCCGCGGTGGTCGCGACGGGCGGAAATTGGCAGCGCAACAACGTCGCCGGGCTCTATTATCCCAAGCACACAGATATCCGTCGATGAAGATGTCTAGACGTGTTATACAAGCTACGGAGAGAAACAAAGGGTCGAGTGCGAAGCTGACTTTGCAGCGCAGGACGGCTCACGCTCCAGGCAACGGAATGCATCTCACAGCAGGAAACATTGACATGGGATGGTGATGCAGGCCAAGACATTAGAGGGCGGAAGTGGATCGTAGATCGGGCACCTCGAGCCTATAACAGGGTGCCTAATGATCTTATAATTCATGCCAGCCACATCTCATCTCGCCTTCGACCCGCCCGTGCCGAGATAGAACCTGCTTTTGTGTTCAGCCATTATGCGCTGTGGTTGATCTACTGGTCATCATTCAACGCACGTTCAGAAGCCATTGGTTAAGGCCATGAAGGTCATGCTTCGGAAGGCCTCACATTAGAATTCACTTAACATTTCTTCATTCATCATAAAGCGTGGTGACTCTCGCCAGCGCAGCCTTCCCAGCCAGATTTTGGCGAATGTGCACCCGTAGTAATACATTTCGAAGTCCATGAGGCGACAGTGCATCCTCGCGAAATGCTCGCTGCGTCTCCCGCTCCAGTCATCACTCCTTCTCCGCCTCCTTCTCCTTGGGGTCATCAATACCATGCTCATAGATCGCGAACAGTGTGTCACCCTCAGGGAGGCAGGGACTGTCATAGATCTTGCAGATTCGCGTTTCTCCCCGGCCCTTTTTGAGACTTAGACGCGTCGTACTGGCGTGAGCGATGATGTTGCCACCAATCGGCTTCTTTGGGTCAGGGTTGAACATTGCACTTGGTCCTCCATCGACTTGTGCGACCACCTGATTAGTGATGACAACTGCGACACCGAACTCATCTGCCAGGCGTTGGAGCATTCGCATGAACTTTGCCATATGAGACTGCCGTGAGGACAGCTCGCCGCGTCCATTGTAGTCAGTTCGATACAATGATGTCGCCGAGTCCACGATGAGGAGCGAGAATCGAGTTTCGCACATCATTTGCGAAGCTTGCTGTAGGAGCTGCAACTGATGTTCTGAGTTGTATGCCCTGGCGTAGGCCACGTTGTCGAGCACTTCCTCGCCCTCTAGTCCATATCGTTGGGCAACGGAAAGCAATCGGACCGGTCTGAATGTACCCTCGGTGTCAATGTACAGACACTTGCCCTCGCCACCACCCATATCGAACGGCAACTGACAAGTCACGGCAAGTGTGTGACATATCTGACTCTTTCCCGTCCTGAACTCGCCGAAGATCTCGGTAATCGAGCCAGTCTCAATGCCACCACCGAGCAATCGGTCGAGTTGTTTGGACCCTGTCGTGATAGCAATGAGCTCGCTACGGCGTTGATGCATCTCCGTTGCCGTTGTGAAGCCCATAGGTACCATTCTCGAGGCTGCGAAAGTCAGTATGTACCAGCTATGGGACGTAGACCTGCGTACCTTCAAGCAGCAACTTCGTCGCCTTCGCTTCCGAGATGCCTTTGATCTGCTCAAGGGCTTTCTTTGGGGTGTAGGCAATCGATTCGACAGTGTGATAACCGCCATCGGCCACAAGCTTGATGTCCCGATCGGTCAGGCCAGCGACGCCCTAGACCTCGTCAGCTGCCCGCCTCGAGGTGGTAGTAACACCGGAAGTACTCACAACGAGGGCCGACAGCGGCGTCGGCGCACCAGGGCCCCCGCCCATCTCGTACTCATCAACCTCTGTCTGCGTCATGTTGGCTGATCAGTGTGCGGGTCGTGGCGAGCAAGGGTAAGCAACTCCTAGGGCGGGCTTCAAAAAGTGGCGAAGATCATGGAGTTATTCACGCGAAGCCAAGTGGATCCAACGCGACTCGAGGGCGCGTCATCACGTGACAATACTTCTCGAAAAATGCCCGGCAGGCTTCTCTATTGCCGTTTCGATATCTTCTACAACGTCCTGTCACTTTCCTTGCCGTGGAGTAGTTCACATCCGACATGCCGAAGTGTGCAGGTAATGATCACAGAGGTTCATTTCCCCTGTGAGCATCACTGTGAGGGATATCGATTAGCACTTCTACATTCGCAGCTGCCTGCCCTGGTCAGGGAAGCCACGCGAAATCGTTCCTACGACCTAACGCCCCGGTAAGGCTCACGTGAGGATCTACTCTTTGATCAGTGAAACATTCTCAACTGTCAGACCTCTTCTAGCCATAAAATCCACGATCAATCGTTCCTGCAGCTTGACGCTTTGCTAAAGAATGAGGTTCATTTGAGCAGACTGAGTTCCAGGCGCCAAGAGCGGAAGTCATAACATAACGCATTGGTTTCCCTTTCAACAACCATCGACCTGATACCTTACGACGTCCAGACTGCGTTTATGTCGTGTCAGGCCGGAGCTCTTAGTAACGTGTCTCATTCTGCCCGCGTCACTGCTGTCGTCGATATGACCGTGATGACGGATATTGGAATCCGTTCCGGGCTTCCAGCCAATGGGCTGGCTTTACCGAGTTTGTCAGTGACTACAGACGATCAGTCGAGCCGAAATGTGCGTATCATGGCAGTTTCGGCTGTCAGCATCTGGGGAGAAAGCTGTAAGTAGTGAACGCTGATATACTCTTGCATTCAACGAGCAGTGGAAGGCCCTCCAGAAGCCCCCACACCCATGCATAAACTCTTGTCCTGCTCTGCATTACGCATCTCCTTCAGATCATCTGTCCGGTCTTCGACCACAATTCGTCTATCCAGCAGTATGTCGGCCAATTTCATGGACACATCGGGTGCGTCGGAGCCAGTGTGGATCCACACAGAGCCGTACTCGAAGCGCGTGACCTTCCCACAACTATCGAAAGATCTGGATGTTGATACTTGCATCATCGGATCCGGCATTGCTGGCATCTCGACCGCGTACGAGCTCGTTCGACAGGGCAAAGAAGTTGCTGTGATCGAAGCCCGGAACGCGCTCTCAGGCGAAAGTGGCCGGACGTCTGGTCACCTCGCTTCTAACCTTGATGATGGCTACATGGCTATAGCAAAGAAGTTCGGTAACGATGGTGCTCGTACGGCCGCCGAGTCGCACGACTGGGGTATACAGCGAGTCGGGGAGATCTCGAGGGAGCTCAAAATCGACTGTGAATATCGAGTGCTCAAGGGTATCACTGTTTCTCAGTTCGAGGTTGGCACTACTGATCACAAGAATGATGTGGTGACACTAAAGAAAGAGACGACCCTAGCAAAAGAACTCGGACTCGATGCCAACTTTGATGCGGAGGTCAGGATCGGAGGGTGGGACGGAAAGCCAGATCAGCGTGGTGGCGGTGTCTATGGTCGACAGGCAACTTTCCATCCCACAAAGTACCTCAAGGCATTCTTGGCTGGCTCGATCAGCAGCCGAACTTCCAGGGATACTCACAGACACGAGCAACCAACGTCTCGGAGAAAGGCATCACTATCCCGGTCGTTCACATCCATCTCGGTTCCCGGGGGGTGACCATCGAGACCGTCAACGGGCACACCGTCTCGTGCAATGACTCTGTCGAAGCCACATGTGTTCCGGTCCAGAAGCTCAGCGTAATCGCCGAGATGGAGTACAACCGGACATACTGCATTGTGATTCGCGTCCCTAAGGGCTCCGTGGAAGACTGCCTATTGTACGATACAGCTGAGGTCTACCACTATGTCCGGTTGACAAGCTGCGACGAAGAATCAGACTACTTGGTCGTCGGTGGACAAGATCACGCTGTAGGACAAGAGGACGAGCAAGAGGAGCGATACCAGGAGCTCGAGAAGTGGACAAGAGACCGCTTCACAAAGGCCGGACAGGTTGACTATCGATGGTCGGGACAGATTTTCGAGCCAATGGACTTTATGGCCTTCATCGGAAAGAACTCCGGTAACGACCATCGGTACATCGTAACCGGCGATTCAGGCAATGGGCTGACACACGGAGTGCTCGCGGGGAAGTTACTGGCTGATCTCATTACTGGAAAGGAGAATCCTTGGTCAGGCGTCTACGATCCCAGGCGGAAAGCGACACTTGCTACAGAGCTGCCCTCTATACTGGCCCATGATGTCCAAATCAATACGCAGTACAAGCGGTTCCTGCAGAGCGATATCAAGGACATCGAGGATCTGCCGGTTGGACAAGGCGGTGTGCTCAGTGCTACGGGGAAGAAGCCTATAGCTGTTTACAAGGATGAGCAAGGCAATGTGACACGGCGGAGCGCGTTGTGTCCTCACATGGGCGGTGTCGTTCGCTGGAATCCTGGCGAGAAGAGCTGGGACTGCCCTATCCATGGCAGCCGCTTCAGCAAAGACGGCTTGCAGATTATGGGACCTGCAGCTGCTGGGCTGAAGGCGGAAGACTGAGCTACGCCTGGCAGGATGCCAGCGACAACGATGGTGGCGCCTCGTGGCTGTGATCTCGCGAAGTCAAGTAGGTATTAAAATGAGCTTCGAAGGGGGCTTGTCCTGCTGGGTCCTTTATTTCCTTCGCAAGACGACAGAGGACTCTCAGCTCCTAGCAAAAGTACCGCCTAAGCGGCTGCGGCATTTTAAAGCGGGTCATGGAATTATATTCATTAATCCAACAACGCACATTGTATTGGTACATTTACTATTGCTTCATAGGCGTCCATGGCTGCATTCCAGGCTGTCTCACACACTGCACTCGAACAGCACCAGCATGCTTCCCTTTCCTTTCCTATGGCGACATAGCCTAGGCCACACCCGTCTTCTGCGCGCCCACCCAGTCATTGAACACCTCGTATGCATTGGTTGGAGCGGGTGCACCTGGAAGCGAAGTGTTAGGCGGCAGCGCCGTCGTGGACGGAGACACTCCCGACTTGTTGTTGCCTTGGATCGACGCCGCGCTCGCAATTGCCTCTCTGTACTTCGACTCAATTGATATCGACGCCGCGCTTGCCTTCGCCGCCGAGTACTTCGACTCAATGTAAACGCTTGCAGAGTATGCTGCCGCAGAAAGGGACTTTGCAAATGCGGACTTCTGCTGTGCCTGCTGCTCGCTATTCATCGACTTCTGCGTTGTCGCAGAAGCATCGGATTTGGGTCCGGGCGCACCGCACTTACCAGATCCATCGACACCAAAGCAATTACACTTAAGCGCGATCTCGGAACCAGAGCAGGCCTTCCATTCCGTGCAGCGGATCTCGTCGGGGAACTTTGGGGCCTGGTCGCGTGTCGTACATTGGCACTTCTGCTCGCAGATGTCCCTCTTGATGATGTTTCCATCACCGCATTGATCAGGTGGAGAGACCTGGCGACCAGGACAGGACGCCGGGAGCCAGCGAGGAGTGTTGGGGTATTCTTGGCCGCCTTGCCAGTAGGCGGTGGCGAAGAGAGGACCCATGGTGAGGAGAATTGCCGAGAGGATGGTCGCTTTCATGCTGATATGATGAGTTTATCTGCAGGAGATCTGAAGTTGGTTGTGTTACGGCGAAAAAGGTCAGGTATTTTGATGTGGTGGGCTTCGTTGGGTAAGCTCGAGGTGTCCAGTAGATAGGCCCTGCCAGATGAGTGGCAGTTCAGAGAGGTTCATTGTTCTGGGCGACAGCACAAAGCACAAAGATGGCGCCGTAGTGCTAAACGTGGTCCGTTCGACATGATGGCCTAAGACAAAGAAATGCTCGTTGACTTCATAATAAAGCCTGGAACATGGCACAGGCCAGGCCTTTGTTACAAGCAGTAGGTGCATTGAGTTGACGAACATCATTTGTTGTGCATCAATGGCTCATCGCGACTTCCTGACCTGGCGACCAGCCAGGAGCACCTACTGCTGTGAGAGTTCGTGCACAACTCCAGGCACGTACAGATAGAGGGTGTGGTTGACCATAATGGCAGTCGCAATTCGAGGCGGATACTTTTGAGCATCTCCTAGTCTCGGCTGTTGTAGACGTGCATTGTCACCTCTCAAGCTGTTCCAGTATCGTTCGATCGTCCAATCGACGATTCCTTTTTGATTTCAGTCCTCCGTAAAGCATCTCTTCAACGTCGGCAGCTACCTGCTCAATCTTCGAGCCTATGTTCGTAGGTATTTGCTCGGTCGTCGGTGGCGCACCCTTCTGTGTCGGAGGAAAAGGTGTACCGACATTCATACTACGTAGGTTCGACTGAGTCCGCGCCCACCTTGCTGTGTCGTTCGGGTCGGCTGACGGCTGAGCAGTCGATGACCCATATCCGCTGTCGTCCGAAATGCCAGCTCTACCACTGCTACCGTCGCTCGGTCGTGAGCTGGCCGACCCTATCGTTGAGCGATCCGGAAGCTCGATTTCCCTAACATCTTCGGCCTCTTGCACAGGAAGCGGCTCGTCGTCTTCATCGGTGGTCTTGTTCCCGTTGAAAGTGGTCAAATCCACACCCTCGACCGCCTCGACCCAGACACCGGATCGCTGATGCATGAGGATCGGAACGCCATCTCGCATGCTTCGGTAGTATCTCTGACGAACGGGAGGCCGCGTCTCACCGGAAATGCTGGCAGACGACTCGCGGTGGTCCGGCGTGTCAGACTGAAATGGCCTGGAAAAGTGCTTGCCGCTACCAGCCAACGACTGATTGCTGCGTCTGACACGCGCTGCAGCGCCGAGGATACGACTGTTCGCGTTTCCTTCCTCCGGAGAATTCACTGCACCGTCGTCCTGATACTGCCGCTCCCTTTCCACAGGTTTCCCAGGACGGCTGGGTGAATAACGTGGCTCCGTGCCCGGGGGAGCCAGCAGATCATGCATCTCCGATGGTGACGAGACATCTACATGCTTTGGAGGTCCCCGACTATCCGTACTTCTGGAGTTCTTCTTGACGGCATTCAATCTGCCGCTCGCTGTGCAGCCCAGGTCTCTCGCAAGCCGTTCCTGGCTGCTGCCGCTGGTATGTGCTTTGGATCTGGCACACCCTCCAGCGTACGCTCCGACGCACTCGAAGATGTACGGTACGACTCATCACTACTTCCTCCGAGTCTCGAGATACTGCCACTACCGCTGCTCTTCTCGTTCGCGGCAGAAGATTTAGAAAAGTCATCGCTATCGCCGGCCTCACCGAGCGGTCGATAGAAAACCGTCTGCACCGAGTCCGCCGTGCTCGCGCGCTTTCCGTCGATCGATGCCGTCTCCTCCTCAACACTGTCCAAAAGTCCATACGCCAGAGGTCGGCCCCGCAACATTGATTTTTGCGGTGGCACGGGAGGCGGCGGTACCCCGAGCTTGGGTTTTCCGGGAGGCGCCATTGTCTTCTCAGCTTTCTGTTTTGTTCCAACAGGAGGTCCAGATAACCCACCACCAGGCGTTGTGTCTGCCACACTGTTCGAAGAACCCAGCCCAGGAAGTCCAGTCGAGAACTTTTTACGTGGCGCCGCCATCGCGACTTCTCCGCTTGAATACGGCTGAGATACCTATCAATGGAGATGCCTCCTCATGCTTTGACTTCCCGCCAGTCAAGACATCATCATTCAATGGCACAAAGGCGAGCCGCATGATGTAATTTATCTCGCTTGTGCCCGGGAGCTGCAAGATCCTATCTTCAGTGAGACAAATCTACGATCTGAACCCCTGTACCATGTCGATTCGCCGGCAGGCGGTAAGTCTTCTGGCCCCTAACAACGGAGTTGTGTTCCCGCGTATACTGTGTATTGAACTCTTCATCAACCGCCTTAGACCCTTCCTGACAGCGACGTTGACTACAGTAGTCTGCATGAACCATCGTGAGTGAAACCACAACCTCATGCAGCCACACATCTGGTTGCATGAACGGTAAGTTGCTGTTCAGCAGAATAGCAGAGAAAGCCAATCCAGAGCTTCAGACATCGCTAGCCTCTACGCCTGGACGTCACCTCGCATGGGTACCTGAACTTCTGCACGGAGGACCAGCATTGGGAAAAGGTCACGCCTATCGTCCCGGGTTGGATTCCGGAAACGCATCTCCCTTTCTACGGTGCGCCAGATGTACATCCGGTAGAGACTACTGAAATTGACCCGCACAAGAGATATCTGATATCGCAAGCTCGTGTACCTCTTTCTCATCACAGGCTTGCTACGCACCGAGCGCAGGCAGCGGGACTTCGACCGCTAGAGCCTCGAGTATTGCTGACCAAAGCGACGGCGCCTATGCTGCCCGCTGCTGCAAGGTAAAATAATGTCTAGCCTGCAGAGCAGGCCGACTTCACAGCCTCACTCGCGACTTATTCTACGTGAGTCGAAGGACCACCGTTCAAGACTGCTCGTGAGCCTCCCGAGCGTTTCACATTGTACTGGACGGGCTCAAAGACACATGACCTAGGTCCCCTGTCAAAGTGCAGTACAAGCCATCACAATGTCACAGACGGCAACCCCACGGGAGCATGGCGAGTGGCCATCCTTCCTGTTTCGCTGACGCTTCCAGGACCTATAGTTCTCTACCTCGTCCTGCATTTGCAATGCAACAGTCCCAACAAGCTTGGCCAGTGATGATAAGAATGTACACAAGAGTTGAGAATCAGCCATCTAACAAGAGGCATTCGATGATGCTTCAAAAAAATGTTTTAATTAGAATCTGAGGCCCTCGACAGAGCTCGAGAACCACTTTGGTAGTCCCAGGATCTGCTGGGTTGGCCGATCGGACTCTTCTCGCAAACCAGCTGCAAGTCCGGTCGTTGATGTCGATGTTCAAACATAGGCAGGACAATAATCCAGTCAGGACATAAGGACTCGGCATCCATACCCCATACCGATGGTAGAAATTCCAGAGGGTTGGTCGTGATGATTATTACATATATACTCACGGATTAATCATTACAAGATATACTACCAGTGCCGTCAGTCATGAGAGCCGCCAACAGCACTTTTTCCCGATCTTCAACCCTTCAATCATGTCCCCATACCCGTATCGACGCCTGAAACACCTTCGCTGATGCCCTTCCCATGTCCCGCTTGCCTCTGCGCAACTGCCTGCAGCGCAGAGGCTCGCCCCTTGCGCCTACAGTGCCGGCAGACGGCTTGCCCGTGGTCACTTTCACTCACCCCCAGCTCTCACGTACTCCCCAAGATCCTCACATAAGCATCCTCAACTTCCTTACAGACCTCCAACAGCGTCACAATCGCCACACTATGCGTCGCCTCGGGCAGCCGATCCCGATGCAAGCCGATCCACTCCAGCGACGGCGTCGCCTCACCCAAATCCCTCAACTGCGGTGTGTCGATCACAGGAGGCTGCAACGCCACATACCTGTACTTGTTGCTTGCGACAGGCATGTTGACCACCGCCGTGATTTTCTCTCCTTCGCCCGCTTTCCCGCCCGAGCCTTGCTGCGCGGTGATTTTGACTGCTGGTTCAGGTAAAGGTTTGCCAGCACGGGCGGCGAAGGCGCGCGAGTGGGTTTGCCACATGTCGCGGATGAAGCTGATGCGAGAGTAGTTCCAGCCGACGTCGACTTTACCCTCAAAGGTCGAGCGGAAAATGTACTCCACGGTATTGTCGTTGGCTTTCTGCCAGGTGCGCATCGATGAGTGCAGAGCAGGTACCTTCAAGATCGTGCCACCGCGCGAGGTTGTTGCGCGGTCGATCACATCTGGTACGGAGACCTCACCAAGGGCCTTTGTATTGTGCTTGCTGACGTTTGAGAGCGCGACACGGACTTGACCGAGTCGCATGCTCAGCTCACTCTCCACTTGGCCGCTGTTTGCGGCGACCGCAAAGCGAGCCTGGGCGTCTGTTGCCTCAAGCTTGAGGATTTGAGCGTCGAAGAACGTGTTGGGAAAGATGCCGACGTCGATTTCCCCAAGGGCAACCACGACATCTGTGTGTAGTGACAAGCCTGTATGGGCAGGTGATTTGTCGATCTTATTGGCACCCTGGACAGGTGCAACCCACGTTGCGGTTGGAAACACTGACTTGCGCCTGAGCTGCTTGTCAAGCTCCATCAGCGAGCTATGGAAGGCCTCCTTCTTGTCCTCCATCAGCCGCTCGCAGGTTTGCACTAGCGCAAGCCCTTGAGCACCTGCCATCGTCGTGATAAAAGCTTGCACTTTGCCACTGTTTACCATGGCCACGAGACGATCATTCTGGCCTTGATCTTGCCGGACATTGTACATCATAGCCTCAAAGTTTGAGACGTCTGCGACTCCAAAAGGTTGATAATCGAAGACCATCTTGGTTCGTAAGTGGTCAAAGCCGACCGAAGCCTGCACCAATGGCGCTCTCATAGAGGTCTTGACATCTTCAGGCCATCGAATGGACGTTCGCACTCGGAAGGTATCGAGCTCAACGAAGCCGCTCATCCGCCCAGTGCTGTCAATGCCAATCCTGTCGAAGCCGACGCATAAATTCTGCTCGGCATCCGAGTTTTTCTTGGACGATGCCCAGAGCTTCGACACTGTCAATACTGACTTACCCAGCATCGGACCTGCGTCTATTTGCATCTTAATTTCCTGTACAGAAACAATGGCGCTCCATGGAAGAGTGCCAGACGCTGCAATCTGCTGGTATCGCTGTATCGCGAATGCCTGTGTATCAGTAGTCGCAGACACAGGCGCTGCAGCAGGTTGCTTGGATCCACGAAGCTCAGCAGGATACCAAATTTCTCTAAAAAGCAAGAAATCCTGCAGCTGTTTTGCATTGATGTCCATTGACATTGGACTGAGATTGACAATGGCTGAGATACCAGTCGTGCCACTGACGTGCTTGCTGTTCATCAAGGACAACACGATTGAATCAAGCTCGAAGCTGGCAGTGGACTCTCTGGAGTAGACATGCTGAACCGATGACTGAAGCTTATTAAAAGTCATCAGAACAGAGAAGAACCGATGGTCTGGGCCTTGTACAGTGGTGACCGAAAGAAAGATCTCTTCGAATTTCGCGGTGGCCGATACTCTAGCAATTGGCTGACAGCTGAGACTGAACTCCTGTCGCTGTATCCACAACCCAGCATTGAGTCTTGTGCGCCCAAGGACGGCATGTGGCTCGAGACTGCCTTCCGTGAGGTATTTAGCTGTGGCCTGCTGAGCTGTTGGTTGAGGCGTGGTTTGAGGTCGCGCAGATGCAGTCTCATCGCCCATCAGTTCCTTGACACTAGACGAGATTTCCATAATGAGTGGGACCACGGATGGATACAGGATATTCGACGAAGCTGCTACCTTGACCTCGGTACTCAACACAGGGTCGTCCGCTCCATTGTCTCTGTACTGAACCTTGATCGCTATGCCCGGTGCTTGCAACGCTGCTTGGGTTGCGTGCTCACCATGCACCGCCTGAAGATAACGCCCAGCACGAGATCTCGACGGTCCTTTGAGCATGTGAAAACGAGACCTGGGCTGGTCATCCGGTCTAGGGCTAATATGGACGAAGGCACCAGCGAAATCAGCATCGACTGCCAACCATGCGAAACGTTTCCTACTCAAGACCGTTTTACGCCTTGTCTCTGGAGGACCAGCATTGTTGCTGCTGAAAGTGACGTTCGAATTGCGTATCTCTGTGCTTGCAGCACTCAGAGACTTCTGGATCATTGCGGCAGGTATTACAAAGTCAGCCCTGAGCCGAAGGTCCAATGCTTTACCCTTCGCCTGGAAAGCGATTCGACGCTCCTTCTTCGTCGAGAGATAAGCAACACTGAAGATGACCTCAGGCAGTAAAGCAGAATTCGCCGAGCGTTGAAGTGGGTCATGCGAATGTGGTACGAGCTGAAGCTGGATATCAGAAACGGACAACCGAGCCGAGCCCTCTTGTCGTGTTTGCAGATCGATCTTGCGGATTGAGAAGATGAGATCTTCCAGAGGTCGTCCTGAGGTTCATATGTCGCTTCGGCCAGGCCCCATTTCACCTGAATGCGATCGATGTCCACTGAGACGACGGAATCGAACAGATGAGTTGACGCATCATCATCCTCTATGACATCCTCGGGTTTGGGCTCTGGTAGCACTGGTCTTTCCCCAAGAGTCGCCATCGTCAGTCTCCTGATTGGCTTCAGATTCTTCGCTTCATCGGAGATGGTGATCGACTTGATTCTTTCTTGCAGGAAAGAGGCTACGTCGATCAGTAATGAGGCGGTCTCCTCGTACATATCCACGTTGATGCCCTTACTAGACACCCTGAACACTTGTAGATGATTATTTTTCTCGTCGACCTCGGTGACTCCAGAGATGTGAATGCCGGTACTGAGTCTGCCGCAGTTCGACCCACTGTAGCGCTCTCTACGAACCAGACCAATGGAGACTTCTTGAACGCCAGCTGAGAACTGAGGCTTCTCCCAGATCTTGGTGGAGTTTGAAATCATGTTGTGGACTCTCACCGCTGTTCTCCCTATCACGAAATTGAGATCGGTCCGCGCCTCCGAGTCCCTGAGGGACGGAGCGTGACAATTGATCCGTAGGCCCATGAGTGTGCCATCAGCTGAAAATCGAACAGTCAATGGTGGTTTGGGAACATTCGTCTGCACAGTGACAGCTGCAGCAGGTGTGAAGAGCTCGTTGATGCGTTCGGTCGTGGCTTTGATGTCGTTCTGCGTGCTCTTGATGGTGTTGATGAAACCTGGCTGGTTGACGACGTCGAAACAAGCCCTCACGGCGCTCAGCTCGAATTCGACCTGCTCGATGGTCGAGTGAACGCCAAGAGTAAGTATTTCCTCCACTGACTCTATCGAGATTTGACCATTGATAGGCGGCATCTGCAGGGACGACGGCCGCTCATAAGTGGACGACCATGTGCCGCGGAAGGCGTGCTGGTGTTCTTTCAGATCGAAATTCACCATCATTTTGCCCTGGCCACGAGGAATGACAGACGTCCGTGCCACTTGTCCGTCTATAGAATACCGCAGTGATGGGAGGAGGACGAAGTCCAACTTGTAGTCTTCCAGGAACAGCGCAATATGAAACTCGACCTTGGGATCTCGCTTGGGCTCGGTTCTTTCCAGCTTCGGTCGCTTGAGCTTCACGGGACCCGTGAAGAACAATTTCAGAACTTCAGCAACCTCGTTATCCACCACAGCCCTCACAACTTTCATCACGAAGGGAATGTCCTCTTTCAACTTGAAGCGCAACCTCGTGCAAGCAGCCGCTACTCGCAGTCTTCTGATGGGTAGCGCATCTGCTTCATCGGCACTGTATGTGGGGACGAAAGATGAGCTGATCTTGGATTCGATCAGCCTCCACACCAGTAGTCCCTTGTCAAGACCGATCAGTCTCGCAATGGCCACTCGACTAGTGACGGTAATGAAGAAAGACATCTCGCTGTTGGCTGGTACCGCCAGTATAGAGCTCGTGCTAAGATTTTCTGCTCCCAGCTTCAACGTGAGATTCTTCGACTGAACGTTAATTGACGTGAGATCTGCACAGACGACGGCTTCGACGACGAATCGGTCCAGGGCTGACGTAGATGCTTGGTGGTCGGCGACTGTTGTTGACGAGGTGTTGGGTTGCGCTTGCAGCAGACGAACAAGCTCGCTCGCAAGCTCAACAAGCTCCCATTTCAAGTTCACCACGAACTGGGCGCTGTAGATTTGCACCACCACTCTTGAGTCACCACTGCTGTTCAGTCCCCGGAATCCAGGATCGAACGTGGCAGCCACTTCCAGTCCTCCGAGACTGACATTGCTTTGAGCTGGCCCTGGATCTAGCACAACTTCGAAGTTCCCAAGTGTCAACTCCAGGGTAATAAATCGCGGCACACTCATCGAGCCATCAACCTTGGCGTCCTGGCCAAACAGAGCCGTGACAACAGGCATACGATTGTCTGGGATTGAGTCCCAGGTACCCCACTCATCGAAGGCTTGCACCATCTGCGAGCGTGCGCTGTCTTGTAGCTCCAGGCCACTGCATGGACAATCTTCGTAGACGCCGTGGGCCGTCTCGCGATCTGCAACAGCAAAAACGTATCGCAGGCGCGAAAGAATCTTCCACGATTCGCTACTTCGTATATGGTTCTCTGTACTCCGCAAGACGTACGACGGTCTGGTCAGGAAGCCGGGATCGGATGCTGCACCAGTCGCGGCTTGTGTCAGGTGGTAGACCAGGTGGCGCGTCTTCAAGCTGTCATCGATGTTGGAGAATCTGTCGACCAAAGAATCCACCATGGTCGAAGTGCGAGCTATCATCTGTGCCAACTGGTCTAGCATGGATGCCTCGACCTCCGTTTCGATGTCGGCGACTTGTACCATGCCTCTGAGTCTTTCTTTAGAGCTGAACCAGACCCCGAGCTTAGAAATGCTCAGCGCTGAACGAGCTGGTCTGTCATTATGTGCCACATTGGTATCACTGCCTGCAATCGACAGGGAGTCTACCGATGTATGGATCAGTAGACCGTGGGTCATGGGATGATCTGGATCATTCATGACTTGCCTCGATATGAACCGCACATCCGCTCGACCCCGTAGTAGCTGGATATCGAATTGATCCTTGTAAGCAGCTGATGGCGATTCCAGATCGTGGCCGTCGTGAATGAAGCGCAAGTGCGCGTATGGCAATCGAATGTCAAGGTCTAGAGTCTTCTCACCAACCATGGGCCGTAGCTTCTGCATGACGAGAGTGATGACCTCCTGTTGCACGGCATCGAAGCGATCAAGCGCTGCCTTGGGCTGAAGGGCAGAAATGAGACTGGCAATGCCCATGAGCAGACCTGGCTTGCAAAATCCGACCAAGCCTTGCTCTAGGGAGACAATCAGGCCCATGTGGCTATGCTTGCCATCTTCTGCCCAATCCTCATCCGTTGCAGGGAATGACTTCGGCACCCGCCGGACTACCGAAGGTGGCGCCTGGAATGATTCTGGCATATCTGCACAACTCGGGCTTGCATTCGCCAGGGGAAAATGCGGCGGAGCCCAGGAGCTCGACGTTGCCAGAGACACTGCTCCGATGCTGCGTTCGACATTCAGTGGCTCCTTAGAAACACTCAACTGAGATGAGGTACGCAGAATGCTCTTGTCAAGGAAAGTGCTGGATTTCTCTTGTCGTCTAGACCTGGAGGAAATCGAGGATGGCTGCCGGCGAAGACCGAGATCATGCAGACGTTCATCTAAAGCCTCGTCTATGCTGTGTAGAGGATTCGGCACCACTGGGACGGGCATCCCTGGTGGATGCTTACTCCATTCGGATTTGCGATCGTTGCGATGAGCAGCCTCTGTGGGTCGCTTGTGTAACAGCCACTCAGTCCGATGCGTTCGCTGATCAGAGAATCGAATGTGGGCTTGTTGCATTGCTCTGGTCCGCGCAAGATTGCTGGTCTTGTCCAGCGTGGCTAGACGTAAAGACGTCTTGAACAGCGCCAGCGTTTCGATGTTGTGAGTTCCCGAGCCTGCGTGTCGTAACGCGCTCTTAGCATCGACCGCAGCCACAGTTATGCCTGGGACATCGACATTGATGTGCTTAGCAAAGTGTTCACCGGCCCAGTCGTCAAAGTCGACTGTCAGTGGGGAAATGTCGACAAGAAGAGCCGTACTTTCGGCGACTAGCCATAATTTGATACCTGCAGCTCTCGCACGAACAAAATTTACGTCGTAGATGCTGACTGACAGCACGTCTGGCAGGGAGTTTTCGAAGTCGTCCATAGTGTAGATCAAGGCCCCGACACCCTGTATGAGTGTAGCAAGGAATTCAGACGAGCACTGGCCCGTGATAATCCCAACATCAATATCCCAGTGGCATGAATAAGTGGGTTCCGATGGTGGCGCACCGAAAAGACGATGACCAAAGACAACAGCCTCTTGGATGAAGATCTGAGTACTCGAAACGTCGGGCTTCTGACCAGGCCGTTTGATGGTTTCGAGACTGACTTCAATAGGACTCGAGTTGACCTGCAGATCCATGTAGTAGTTCGTGAAGCGCATGTCGGCTTCGACCATGAGAATGTCTGCCCTGACACCTTTCCGGCGCGTGTAGATGTTCGACGGTATGAGAATGGAGCTTTCGTCTGCTCGCACGGCTAGGATCACGTCGAGATCATTCTCTTTACTGGTTGGTCGTGGATTGGCAGTCGCGGGCCGATCTGGGTCGATCAATGCCTGATATTCCTCAAGCGTCCTAAAATGCAGGTGCTCGCCAAAGTAGTTTTCTTTGACGTTCATGAAGTAGCGGATCAAAAAGCCATGTAGATGGAATCTTGGTGAAATTCCGATGATGGTCATGAAGAGTGAATCAGACAGGTGAGGAGCCTGCGCAGTGTAGTAATTGTACGATCCTTCCATCTCGAGACCTTTGAGTGTAGCCATTGTCTTGAGGTCTGGTATGTAGTCCTCGTCTTGCAGGAACGTTCTCATCGTGTTCCACTGTGGACTGGAGATATCCATGTAGGCGTGTTTACCTTTGGCTTTGAAGAGGACTTCGCTCTGTCGGGGAGCGAAATACCGCTGTGGAATGCCCACACTTCCGTCGAGCAGCTCGAAGCCAAGGATAAGATACGCATTTTCGTCCAGATTGGTTGGAGTGTCGATGATATTGAAATCATTGGCATTCAGATAGAGCTTGAGGTCGTGGAAAACCAAGCCCATGTTGTAGATGTAAGGCACGAATGTCATGAAGTCGGCTTTCTGTCCCGCCGTGAAGTCACTGATCAGATCGATCAACAGGAACATGTGATCACGCAGGATGAACATCTCCAGGCTATCGCTCTCCACATTGAAGACCCAGTCGTGGGTATGGTTCCAGCCCAGCGGGTATGGGAGTTTGGCGTTGATCTTGTGTGAAGGACAGCGCCAAAGTACTGCATGATTGACACTGGAAGTTGCTCGCGTGTTGACGAGGTCGAGGTCCAAGCTGTTCTGGTAGCCGTCCGCATCAGGGATCATAGCCATGTCATACTTGACAATAGTGTCGGGACCTACAGTGAAAGAGAACCAGCCAAATGGGCGCACTTCTGGGCCAGCAGCCTGCTTGTGGTTCTTGCGAAAGCTGAAATGTGGCCTCCTTTCGCGCTGACGTCGCACCATTGCAGCTTCACGAGCAGCATGTGCTCTGCCCCTCCACTGCCAATCCTTGGAAAGTTCACGAGTCGGAACGCGTAGCGTGACGTCCTTCTCAATATCGACTCTTATGTTCATAATGGTATAGATCCGCAGATCGCCTGCCTCAGGCGGCTCTGTCGGTGTAGCTGAGCGATACGCGTTCGGAAAAAAGGCGGATTGAATCTCAAGGCGCAATCGATCAGCCCAGGGGCCATAGTTGACGTCGCCTCCTTTGACGACCAAATTCATTCCATACGCAGGCGGTACATCCCCGTTCAGGAGGTACCCATTTCCCTCTCCTGCTGTGACTGCGTCGCTCGACGGAACAGGTCCCTGTATGTCCCAATAGAAGTTGAAGTGGACTGCTGGACAGTCCAGAATGGTGGAGAAGCGAGCGTAGTCGACGTGAGACCAGGCCTCATGGTCATCTCGATCATTCTCATCAAGGTAGCGATCGAGACCATACCAAGCTGCTGCCTCATCGCCTTCATAGCCGAATGCTGTGTACCGGTTGTTGGATTTCTCCCCGTGCGAGTGTGGGCGAAACGACTCAACAGAGCCAGTAAATCCCGGCGTCAAGTTCTTAAGCTTGTGTGCTGCGTCGTGACGTCGCCTACGGAAGTCCAAGTTGATCTGCCACCAGCGCCTCTGGAGCACGGGTGTGTCAATGCCCTGGATGATGCGTTCTGCTGCAGCCATCTGACTGTGCCGGAAGTCTGGATTGGGCTTCATTTGAACCATGGGATTCTCGATCTCAAAGTCGAATATTTGCCGGAAGATGTCCTTGTCCTCCGCGGCGGCAGCGTCTATATGGCCTTTCGCTTTCGCGAAGGTGGTGACAACGATGGCTCGAGTGGACTCGTTGCCTAGCGATATAGCACCTCGATTACATTCGACTCCGATAGGGAGGAGAGCCAGCATCAATGAGTAAAACGCACTCACAGGTGCCTCGTCGGCAGGCGCAAGGCCACTGTGTGTTGATCGCTGGTCACGATCGAAGGATTCATCCTCTTCTTCGGTCTTTACATCTGAGCTTTTCCGACGGACTTCCACCTCTGGCTTGGATTCGGCGGAAGAGGACCCACGCTCTCTTTCCTCAACACCGCTCGCTTTCTTCTCGTTGCTGGAAGAGTCTGTCGATCCTGGTTTGATGGTCCACGTGGGGTCTCCTTGAGCAGACCGAGAGGGCCGATCAGCAGCGGCGAGTATAGCATCATACGCGGGTGTTCTGTTGTACACAAACCATTCAAGACCGGTAACATTGATGAGTACCCGTGCTACCGAGTCTGCGCCTGGTGGACCGGCGGTCTTCTGACTCTGCACATCGCCCTCTTCCGTGGAGTCGTCCGGTGAGCTGCCTCCATCTTCTGAACCTTTCGTTGTAGTCTTTTTCGGCTTGATCAAGTTGACCTGGCGGGCATTGAACGAGTAATACCGCCAGGTGATGTAGCCTTGCTGGATGTATATCGTCTCGTTCTCGCCATGGTACCGTATGCCCTTGAAGAAGATGCGGCCTCCCAATAGCGAGATCTGTATGGCTTGGATGTCCACCCACACCTTTAACTTCTTCCAGGCGTAGGCTCGTGCGCCATAAGAGACTAGGGTCGCGAAGACACGATTGAAGTAGAAGAGGAACCAGATCGTCAGGGTAATGCATACTACGAGTTCGATCGTCCAGGTCCAGTTGAATGTGCCTCCACCGAAGCGTGGAAACAAGTTCCAGACCATGACCGCGACTTAGACAGGCCTTCCATCTCGGTAGGCGATCGATAGTGCCTGCTGCTCCGAGTCCATGTGAGGCAGGTCAAATCGCTGCTGCTATCAGGCAATGCGCAGCTTCCAATCGAGTGCCTGTTCAAGATGTAACGCATCAGCGGGCACGTACCGCGGAGTGCAGTCGCGGTCGTTGCGTGCATCATCGACTCCAACAATTTATCCCCGCAAAAGTCCGGGCGTGGTCTTGTCGAGCCTGAGGCGACCGCTGGACAACTTGAAGCCCGTTGAGCAAGCAACTGACGACCATGCACTTCCGCTGTTCCGCTGTGCTCGACTCCTCAGAACAGACGTCGTTGACGCTCAGAATCTTTTGTCTTGGTACACAGCTTTGGACTAGATGGCCACATTCGAGAAAGCTGTTCCACAAACGAGACGAGACCCTAACCTTGGAACATTTGGCGGTAATATGCTTGTCATCCGGTTTGGTGAGTGTACTCAGCCAACCATGTCACAATCGCCTCTGGAATCTACGAGGTCACCCTTGCTTTTACACGTGTAGACTTGAGTGTCCATCGATCAGAAATAGTCTCTGCCGGCGTTTGCAAATGTTCAGCATATGTAGACGTTTAGGCCGCCTGGCCTTCGTCTATTGACCTCAAGTTCGTGGGTCTAAGAACAAAGCTTTGCGTCGGTGGTGTTTAAATGTCTAAATCTCCTGGTCCGTCACTCCTTTCATGCCATAATGTTCATTCTCTGCCCAGATTTGTTTATTACAGAGCCTGCCCGTGTCCACTCTGCTTGCTCACGTTCTATTAATCCGTGGGGGCAGACTGCTGCTTCGTGCCTCGCGGCCCCTAACTACCCTTCCCCAGCGTCTCAATCTTACTCCCCTTCCTCCGACACACACACGGCGCACCGCTCATCACACCTCCCATCCTCGTCAGGGCGCGTGCGACACGTACACACTTGAGTCATCGTCCTATCCGAACAGCCACTCCATGGCTGGCATCTGACGCCGCCGTTCCAACAGGAACACTGGGCCTGGCAGACCGAGGGAGTGAGGGGCTTATTGTTACATTGGCGCAGGACGTTGTCGGGAGTGAGCCCATAGCTCCGCCATTAGAGTTCAGGCAGCGTAGTTGAGCGGTGCGGTCGTCTACGGTCCAGCGTTTGCTTAGAGTATTGGGAGGTGTGGCATCGTTGGCGGTGTTGTTGTCGCTGTCATTGCTGCCATCACTGCTGTCACTGGCCGCGACGGTGTTTGTGGGAACGACGACGTCGTCACTGGCTACATCGATGCTCGTAGGAACGGCATTTTCATTGGCTGTATCAAGCCTCGTGGTATTGGTGTCGTTACTCGCTGTATCAGTACTCATGGGACTGGTGTCGTTGTTGGCTACATCCGTGCTCGTGGGATCGGTGTCGTACCCCGCTGCATCAGTGTCTGCGGGATCGGTGTTGTTGGAGGCGACTTCTGGAACAGAGACGCTCATGCCAGCAGCGCCGGCGTCGTTAGCGCCGTTGCTATCGTCGGCGTCACCGGCGGACGCGACAGCAGCGTCCCCAGTAGTAGCGGAGACCTGGGTCGGAACCACCGTTGCCGCCTCTATCTTTTCTTCCAGCGCTGAGATCTGTGTCTCGAGCGCCGATACCACGTCTACGAGGGCCTCGTCGTGAATGTGGCGGGCCAGGACAGTGGTGCCTGCTGTGAGGACAGCTGCTAGCAGTGGGAAGTGGAACCTCATGTTCGATCTTTCAGTGGTTGAATGCGCGACGATAGGAGGAGGAAATTATGCACACGCACTGGCGAACGATAAATCTGTCTAGGCCATCAGAAAAATGTCCCTTACTTGGTTTTCTTCTCTTGACCGGCGATCCAGAGACTGTGGTCTGTGCTCAGGACTTGACGGAAGCGACAAAGCATTGTCAGATACAGGCATTGTTCTGCGCTTTGGGCAGCTCCCGATCAATATTGTGCTCGGCCGAATCCGGAAACATCGTCTCGAACCGAGAGTGACGCGCGTCTCAGAGAGATCAATGACTGTAAAGGTTGTTTGCGGAGTCCAGCATCTTGGACGCAGCACCCGTCGTGGAGAGGCATTGTAACAGGATGTCTTTCATAAGAAAAGATCGCGACTCCAATGTATTGGACCCTACGCAGAATCACAGCAGCGACTGGTACTTATCCAATCCACTCTTCTGGGCCTGAAAAGCCTGCGGTACCCCTCTTGGCTGTGGCTGCAGTACGCTCAAAGGATTCTGCTGGGGAACCCTCTGCTGAGGTTGTGCAGATACCGGTGCAGACGGAGGTGGTGCGATATTGTAGTTCGGCTGCTGCCAAGCCGTATTGCTGAATGTCGGGTTGCTGGGTGGAGGTGGCAGGATCGGAGGAGATGCCAGCCCGGAGCGCTGTTGCGAAGATGCCAATGCTGGACTTGTGACAGCAGCCACACCATAGCTAGGCGATTGCAATGGTCGAGTCGCCGGTTGATTCCATGTTGAACCGCTCGTAGAAGGCTGCAAAGACGGAAATGATGCCGCCGAGACATCTGGTGTGACTGAGCGCGAAGGAGCTTGAGGTTGTAGTGCCGTCATATTTGGTGTGAATGAGCGCTGGGGTTGCGAGACAACCCCTGGATTGTTGGTCGAGGACCAAGAAAACGTGGGTGGATTCTGCGTGAGCCTTTCTCCATCGCTCAATGCTCCCGCGAAAGGATCATTCCGTGTTGCGGTTTTGTTGCCCAGAACCAGCTTAGCAAAGTCGTCTTCGTTGCCCGTTGCCTGCGTGGAGCCCGCCCCAGCAAAGCCGTTGCTGACGGGAGCTGCGGAAGAAGCACTTCGAGACTCAGAGACCGCCCGACCAGTACCCAGCTCTTGCAATTTGCGCACCTGCTCTTTCTCAATCTTTCCCGAGATGGCCTTGATGACTTGCATGAAAGATTGAAACTGCGCTAGATCCAGTAGCGGACCAAGAGCAAACGTCCACAGGACTGGTAGAACCTCTGTGGCGAGGAACTCTGCATCGGCTGCTTGGCCAACCTGGCGGAACACCTTGAGCGCCGCTAGCATCACAGCGGGCTCCTTGGTTTTGATGCCTTTCAGCAGAGGCACCACTTTCTCCTGCATCGTAAATTTGTCCAGACTGGATATATTCTTGTCGTGCTGCTCGTTTTCCATTCGACCGGACAGGTCGTCAGGGCGTGACATACTGGCTGACGAGACACCACATAGCACGCCAAGGGCCTCCAGACCGCGAACCTTAATGCTTAGGCTGGAAGTCTTCGCGAAGACATTGGCTACGATTGGAAAGAGCTCGTGCTTGACGGTCGAGAAGTCGATCAGAGGTAAGATGACTGGTACAGTCTGGAGAGCCGCGTCTGTCAGAGAGTGTGTCGTCGACTCCATGGCTACCTGCACAATTGGCAATACATCGTCCTTGAACTGCTTGGCGGTACAATTGTCTGCAAGCAGCTTGATGTTCTCAAGAATCACTAGAAGGGCAGCTTCCCTGCTAGTGTCACGTTCCTCGGACTTCGATTTTGCTAAAAACACTTCTTTCACTTGCGGTAGGACCTTGTCAGACACGGCTTCTTTGCTGTTTGGTATTGCTTTGACGATGGCGAAGATGTTCTGAAGGATCAATGCTAGCAAATCTCTGTCTTTCATCTCATCAAGTAAAGCCGATAGGACCTTCTTTCCGAGCACTGATGGTGGAAACTGTGGCATTACTCGACCCAAACCACGCATGAACTGTGATTTCTCAGCTGGAGTCTTTGCTGGTAGAGCATCGAGGAAGCGCATGGTGTTGACAAGGATGTTGTCGAAATACTCTGACTGCTGGAACTCGGTTGCTGTCATCCTCGACGCAGGCCGTCTGGCTAGGACACGCGGCAGAGTCGAAGCAAGCTCTCTCGGCAACTGATTTGCAGAAAGATAGTTGTTGCTTGGGTTCGGCACAGTACTCGTTGTACTGCATATCTTTTTGTAAGCGGACTGACTGCCATTCGTCTCGAAGGGTGATGTGTGCGGCTTTCGGTAGCATGCCAAGAGCACGAGTCCGAGTGAAAAGATGTCGGCGGCAAAGGTGACATTCGCATCGAGCACAAAGTCTGGAGAAGTGTAGTCCATATCCAGTTGAACACTTCGTGGAATTCTCTGATCGTGATGAAGGACTTCACTCAACGATATCTGCGGTATTGACTGGTGTCCTTCGGCACCGTCGGCTGGTCCTGCGAAGCCCAGACCGGAGATCTTCCAGTCTGATTTTGCGTTGACGAAGACAGCGTCGGGATTGAAGTTCCCATGGACTAGTTTCGCAGAGTCATGTAGGAACTCCAGACCCTTGGCCACCTGCAAAAGGCCCTTTTGGACTTCAAGCTCATCTAGCTCAACGGTCCGGAAGGCCTGCGAATTCCTCTCTGAACGCGATCGATTGCCCGAGGACTCCGCCGCATCCTTTTGAGCAAGGATACCCCCAAGGGAGGCGACCACTGGCTCAGTAGCGAACATCAGCCCTCCGCTACGAGTCTCTTCTACCGGCTCAACTAGCTGGAGGACTGAGGGATGGCGTAATCGTGCTAGACTGCTGGCCTCCTTCTTGAGCCGCTCGACGACTTCATCTTGGACTTTCCGAATCGAAGTCGCACTTGACCTGGCTCCAAAACCGTCACTGCGGACTTCAAGTGATTCGCGCTTGAAGACGAAGATCGAGGCCTGGGCATTAGTGCTCTTCTTCTTGGCGTCGAATATCGTCCAAACTCCTGCTGTCGCTGTGGGTTGTTTTGATACCTCGTAATTTGCGGTGATGTTTGAGTTGAATGACTTGAAAGCAGAGGAGAACATGGTGAGGGCTGTGGCAGTCGCAACTGTCCGCCTCGCCAAGATCACGGAACGCTCATCGGCGCCCCGGCCGCCTCATCCCCAGCGCCAGACACGGCTCACCATGCACAGATGAGTCGTGCAATTGCAATCGACCAGCCGTGCTCTGTCAATGTCGTGCATCAATGTGACACAGAATGCAGTCGTGCCAAGGGCGGCGGCTTCTTCAGCTGAAGGGCGTAGGATTGCCTCTATGTCGAGCGACCCTTCACATAATTCGTCTTGAATGCCTTCCGTTTCGAGTTGGTTATTGACTTGAGTGTGATCGCTCAGCGCTTCAGTGATCCTGCGACTTCGGAATCGGCCTCGACGTTCGCGCTCGATATCGTGGCCTGAACTCCAACTTCAGCCGTTGATAACCCAGGACCCGAGCTTGGCAGTGGAATGCGGAGAAAGCGAGACCGGAGGCTCGGACCTGGCTCCGAAAGTTCGACTCGCGTGGGAGCTTTTTTGACATGGCTCGTTGATGCTTATGGACGACGGTTATTGACGGTCCTACGCCTTTCCTACAGTCAATTTCATGCCCTGACGTACAGATAGCAAGTTAGGACTCATAACCTCAATCGACTAGCCACCGACGCCTAGATAAGAGCACGTCCTACGGCTTTGCGTCTCTTCCATGGTGCTCAGATAGCCCGCCGTCACAGTCATGCTTCCTCGATTACTGCGGTGTGCTTGCACACCCTCGACTCTAAGAACCGCCACACAACTCGGTGCTAGCACCGCAACCAGACTACAGACCAGGAACTTTGCTACATCATGGCAGAGGAGGAATCTCTACGCAGACGACGAGCTCATGTCGCGGCTGCCAGACGTCGATCCCTCCAAGCTCACCGTCACCGAGACCATCACACCCAAACAACTCGTCCCTAATCAGGACCTCGTCTTTGGGCGCACATTCACAGGCATGTCCACCGCCGATCACCCCATACCATGCCCTGAGGCCAACCACTAACGTCCTCACCCCCAGACCACATGCTCTCCCTCGAATGGACGGCCTCCGACGGCTGGCATGCACCCCGAATAACCCCCTACCAAAACCTCTCCCTCGACCCAGCAACCTGCGTCTTCCACTACGCCTTCGAAGCCTTCGAGGGCATGAAAGCCTACAAAGACCCCCAAGGCAATCTGCGCCTCTTCCGCCCCGATAAAAACATGCAACGCCTAAACAAATCCTCCGCCCGCATCGCCCTCCCCACCTTCTCCGGCTCCGCCGTCATCTCCCTAATCGGCGAACTCTGCAAGCTCGACTCCCGCTTCATCCCCTCCGAAAAGGGCTACTCCCTCTACCTCCGTCCCACCATGATCGGCACCCAACGCACCCTCGGCGTCGGCCCACCGGGCTCCGCACTCCTCTACGTGATCGCCTCCCCTGTCGGCCCTTACTACCCAACGGGCTTCAAAGCCATCTCGCTCGAAGCAACAGACTACGCCGTCCGCGCCTGGCCCGGCGGCGTAGGCGACAAGAAACTCGGCGCAAACTATGCGCCCTGCATCCTGCCACAACTCAAAGCCGCGAAAAAGGGCCTCCACCAGAACCTCTGGCTCTTCGGCCCCGAAGAATACATCACCGAAGTCGGCACAATGAACCTCTTCATCGCCCTCAAAAACCCTGAAACAGGCAAGAAAGAACTCGCTACCGCGCCTCTGGACGGCACAATCCTCGAAGGGGTAACGCGCGACTCCATCCTCCAACTCGCGCGCGAGCGCCTCATTCCCGAGGGCTGGGACGTGACTGAACGCTACGTGAAAATGCAAGAACTCGCCGACGCAGAAGCAGATGGGCGCTTAATCGAGGTTTTCGGTGCGGGCACGGCGGCGATTGTGGCACCCGTAAGGAAAATCAGCTGGAAAGACAGGATGATCGACTGCGGTCTGAAGGAGACAGAGGAGGCAGGGGAGCTGGCGATGCGCATGAAGGGATGGATGGAGGGGATTCAGTATGGCGAGGAGGAGCATGAGTGGAGTTGGAAGGTTTGATGCTGTGGTCGTGCGTTCGCATGTGCTGTGCTGTGTTGTGCTGTGCTGAGCGGTTTTGCGAGCGATTTTGATCGTGGCGAACTCCAGAAGGAAAGCTCCTGAGCCGAGACAACTCGCTTTTTCATGAGGACGATCCTATTCTGTTCTGAAGTGGAAAGCAGAATGCTCCCCCCAGCGGTTTCTAGACAGAAGGGCACGGCAAGCCTCTGAATTGTCAGAGCAAAGTATGGATGTTCATACAAAGACAGAGCTCGAGCGAAAAGTATGGGTGGACGGGGCTGAAATTCGATGGATAATAAAAATCTATTCGAGTCTCGCATAGGACATCTACCCAAGCAAGAAAGATATCGTCCTAACGTTTGATTTTCACTCCTCGCAATGCAGTACTTGGGTCCGCCCTCGACCTCGTCTCTTTGTCCACCGTTCACGTGTGGCCCGCCTTGCCAGGGACCCTGGGCCACAAAGCACAGGTCTTGACCTCACCTGCGCCATCAGACTGCTCAAGCATGCCCGTTCTCCTGGACAGCCGGCTTCCCCAAAGTCCCCCTAACACCTCCCTTACCGCCCTTCTCCCTCGCCGTAACCGCCACACTCATATCCGCATCGACATGCACGGTAACCTCCACCTTCCCGCCCTTCTTCACGCCCCGCACGACCGCTTCCGCCAGTGTCCTTTTCGAACGCCATACTTTGGAGCGTGTTGGTTCTTCTTCTTCCTCTTCTGAGTCGTCATCATCGCCGTCCGAGTCATCCTCACCCTTAGTGCCGTTCTCCTTTGGTGCTTTTGGTTCCGGCTGCGTGACTTCAATCTCCCGCTCGCCTTCTACAACCCGCACAAGCACGTCTCCACCGTCCTTCGGCGCACTGATTGTAATTGTCCGTCTCGCAGGGGCCGCTGTGGCAGGGGGGATGACGGTCGTGAAGCTGTCCTCGGGCTGCCCACTAACCACCACGCCGATCGCGCTACTCAGATGTGGCGTCACGGTGATCATCTCGTGGGTCGACTGCTCGATGTCTTCCTTCTCAAACTCTTGGATCAGGTTCGCTTGGAGGGCGGCGCCGCGCGCGCTTAGCTCGGAGGGGTTCAGCGCCGAGGTCGAGGTCGCGGGAGCGAGTACCGTCGTATTTTCACCAAAGAGAGACTGGATATTATTTGCGATGCGCGGCGTGTGGGATGTGCCACCGGCCATGACGACCTCGTCGATGTCGAGCACGTCGAGCTCGGCTTTGCGGAGGCACTCTTCGATCAAGGCCGTGAAGCGGGCAAAGGTCTTGGAGGCGAGGAGATCGTAGCGCGTGCGGTTGATGGTGCTGCGGAAGTCGATGCCGTCGGCGAGGGACTCGACAGAGAACGTCGCGGTGGCTGATTGTGAGAGGGTCTTTTTCACGGACTCAGACTCAAGTCTTAGTTTAGCCAGGCCGCGAGGATCCTTGCGCGGGTCGGATTTGTGTTTCTTCTCAAACTCTTTAGCAAAGTAGTCCATCAGGACGGTGTCGAGTTGGGAACCGCCGAGGTCGTAGTCGTGGGCAGTGGAGAGGACGCTGTACATGCCGCCGCGCGAGGCAATGATAGCGACGTCGGAGCGGTTGCCGCCAAAGTCACAGACGACGACGAGCTTGTCTGATATGGGGCCGTCGGTGGCGCGGGAGTCGTAGGCAAGCAGGGCGGCGATGGGCTCGGGGATGAACTGGAGGATCTCGACGTTTGTGTTGACCGCGGCGGCTGTGAGGGCGGCTTTTTGCTCGTCGCTAGTGTCGGTGGTAATGGCGAGGACGGCGGATGTGACGGTCTTGCCAGAGAAGTCAGAGGCTGAGTTCTTCAATCGTGTCAAGTGCCTGGTTGCGATCTCTGAAACAGAGACGTTGTTGGGTGTCTCGCTCTCGGTGTCGTGCACCGAAAAGGCGACGGTGCCATTTGCCTCCAATGGGTGTGCTGAGTTCTGTGCAGGCGTAGGGTCTATCGACTTGTAGTCTTTGCCTAGGTAGTCTCTGAAGTAGGCAACGGTGTTCTTGCTGTTCCGGATCAGTTGCGACTTGGCCTGTGTGCCGTGGTATTCTTCGCCGTCGATGTACGAGAGGATCGAGGGGATCTGTCGGTCGCCTTCCTCGTTCGCGATGACTTCGACTTTGCCCTCGCCGGAGATGTGGGCTATCGAGCTGTAGGAGTTGCCAAATGAAATACCAATGGCATACTGTTGTGTGGTCGAGGTGGTGCCCGCCGTGGGGTCTGACGTTTCTTCTCTCATGGCTGATGTTGTGAGGGAAAGCCACTCCAAGTGATCTGGGGTCGAAAGGTCAACAGTCGGTCAGGACGAGCTGCGGACAAATTGTTGAGCAAGCAGGGCCACGCAGTAAGGAACAGAGAAAATCGACCACGAGGCTAGGTAAGAATTCACATGTGGTTCAAACTTTCAAAAACTTTTTGACGGTGACAATATTTCAGCGGCCGGACTTAGCCGGATGTAGTGTTTTTGACAACACAACACAGCCTTGCCAAATGCCTACGAACTATCTACCTCATGCTCTCTTCACACTCTAGAGACCCTCTGAACGGCGGATTTTCGAGATGGCGACCGCTCAGATCTTCCTCCCCGGCGACCTCATCCCCGCCTCCCTGCTCCCACCACCACACAAAAAGCGCAAACTCGGCCCTGGCATCCGCCTCCAGCAACACCAAGACCCCAGCACAATCACCACCACCACAACGGTCTCAGAAACATTCACCTCAACCCTCGCCGGTCCCCTGACTATCAATCCCCAAAAACGCACCGCCACCATCATCCCCCACCCAAACACAACCCGCTACAACCCCAAACTCAACGACCTCGTCATCGCCCAAATCACCCGCACCACACAGGACTTCTACCACGTCTCCCTCTCCCCACACGGCGCAACAGCGATCTTGGCTCAACTAAATTTCGAAGGCGCAACGAAGAAGACCCGCCCAAAGCTCGAGTCCGGGGATCTGGTTTACGCAAGGGTGGTTTTCGTGGGCGCGGAGGGAGCAGGAATGGAGGTTGAGGTTAGTTGTGTGGATGCGCAGACGGGTAAGGCGGGAGGAGAGGGGTTGGGCGTGCTGGGAGGTGCGAGTGGTGGCGGCGGTGTAGGCACACCCGCAGTCGTAAGCACGGGGATGGTGTTTGACGTGAGTGTCGGTCTGGCGGAGAGGATATTGCGGAAGGAGGAAGGGATCGAGTTCTTAGCCGAGCTGGGCGGGAAGCTAGAGGGCGGGTTTGAGGTGTGCGTGGGTAGGAATGGGAGGGTGTGGGTCGATGGTGGTGAGGGGAGTAGTGGGGTGAGAGGGACTTGTGCGGTCGGAAGGTGTTTGAGGGAGGTGGATGAGCGCTATAGGAGAGGCGAGGGGTGGATGGATGCGAAGGCGCAGAAAAAGATGGTGTCGAGGATTTTGGGGGAGTTTGGGTTGGGATGAGCACTGGAAAGACAATTGAAGGGGTTATCATCATTGATCGCTCGATTCCAGATACGACGCCTTTTCCCTCTGCGGTCCTTCTATCGCCGCTTCACGGAACCACGAAATGTGTAACACAGTGTCAGAGTCAGCCCCAATTGAGACTCCGCCGTTCATAACTTCAGCAGTGCCTTGTGTCTGAGTGGCCCTCAACGGGCGGTCGCCAGTCCACGACTTCGCCAATTTAGACCGGCTGACCCTCTCCCTTAATTTTCTTCTCTCCCTCAATCTGCAACTCCTGTATCCCATGCTGTAGATACTCATACGTCAACATCGTGGTCATCGCCGCCGGCACCGCCCTCACGAGGTTCACTCCGATTCCTGCGTAGAACGCCCTCCATCCTTCTTCCGCCAGCATCACCTTACAAGTATGCAACACTCCCTTGTACCTCCTCACGGAACGCATGCCATCCGAGCTCATCACATTCGATTGCCGCTGCTGTGTCTGTAGCCGCGTCCGGATGACTTCATGCGGGTATGTCGCGGTACTGGCGCAAACCTTGCTGAGGAACGTGGCCGCTGAGATGCCGACGAAGTGACTACTGCCGTCGGTGGGGTGTTCGCCCATGCCGTAGCCGGTGAACTTCATTTTGAACCATTCGTACAGTGGGAATTGCACGGCGACGTGGGTCAAGCCTAAGAGGGCTGGTGTCAGGCCGGAATAGAACGATCTGATGCCTTCGGCCTTCCACATCTTCTGCGCGGCGTCCAATGTTGAGGTGTAGTGCCATGGAGCTCGCATCATGCCGTCCGTGGTCGATCTGCTGCTCTGTGACATCAAGCGTGTCTTAATCACCCATATCGGATTGGTCAGCACTGTTGAACATGCCCCGGCGGTCAGGGATGAGTAGCAGCGAGCTATCCACCAGCTTCCACACTTGTCGTAGTAGAATTCGCGGGTATTCTCATAGACGGTCAAGTACACAGCCCAAGTCGGCAAGTATCCCATCAGCATAGGTCCCAAGCCACGATACATGCCGCGTAATCCTTCTTCTCTCCATATTGTTGAGCCCGTGCCAAATATGCCGCGATAGACCTGAGATGAGGGGAGTAGGTGTGACTTGTTCCGTGTAGCGTTTGCGAAACCTCCTTGTGCTTGCAGCTTGGTCTTAATCACATCGAGTGGACAGGTGACTATGCCGGACGCTAGACCAGCTCCTGCACCGCAGATAGGACTGATGTACGCCTTCGGAAGCGATGTCGAGTAAATCTGTATTCTAGACACGAAAGCTGAGTCTGTGGATGGTGAAGACATTGTGTCTGGGTTTGCGGTGTTGGCGTAAGTGTCGCTGCGGTCGGTCGCATATTGGGAGGTGGTCGTTGGGGGCAGTATCACCGGTTGGGGAGCGTGGTCGCGGTCGAAGGACATGTCACGCTGCTCAGAGATAGGTGACTAGACCATGATGCGAGCGTTGGTTGGTGCTTGATTGAAGATCGGTGGTCGTCGGTGACTCGAGTTGTTTGTGAGAGGTACCAGTTGGCTGACCTCCGCTTCACCGTCCCCGGCAGAATGGGCACAACTTTGAAGCGGGGCTGGCCGCCGTGCCCTCAGGTGAGGGAGTCTCAGGCAATGCAGAATGCCATTTATCAGCTTACAAAGTCAATAGTAGCTGTACAAAGCAACAGATGATGTTCAGTGTGAGCTTAATGTAGGTTGCGTGAGCTGTTATAGTTGTACGGTGTAGATACGAAGGTGCGTGAGAGGGTTGAGCGTGCGGAGGAGGATGATGCAGCGCCGGGTGGATCTTGCTCTCGCTCGGAATCGCCTGCCAAGACATTTGCCAGAAGCTCCAAAGAAGGGAAAGACTGCGCTCAGGTCCCTAGCTCAAAGGTACGGAACCTCAAAGATCGAAACCTCGACACAACCATTTTGCGGCCCTCCACCCTCAGAACACCATGTCGGGCCCCTCCTTCGCTCCATACGTTCTGCGTCGACCATGGCTCAAGCGGTGGATGATGCCGCTGGCGAATTGGTACGCTGATGCAGCTGGCTACAGAAGACTGGGTAAATGACGATTCGATGTACATATCTCGCGGCAAGCTCTCTGACACATGCTAGGGCTGCGCGCCGACGACCTCATTCCCGAAGAGAACGATACAGTGCAGCTTGCGCTCAAGCGACTGCCGCCCAAGGAGGCATATGATCGCATCTTTCGTCTGAGGAGAGCTTTTCAGGTACACACTTTTTTTTCGGAACGACAGGGAGAAGCTAGGACGGCGAGACTGACGTGCGGCAGTGTTCCATTTCACATCAATTATTACCGCGGGAGGAGCAGACGAAGCCAGAGGATGTATGTTGCAGCAGGAAAGAGAGCTTTGAAGGGTCGACTAACGTGCCGTAGGACTACGAATACCTAACACCCATCATCAAGGAAATCGAAGCAGCAGCGAAGGAGAGAGCGGATCTGGAGTCCATGAAGGTACAGCGGAAGTAGATCATGTCTCTAGCACGACGGCGTTTTCTAGAGGATGGCAGTGAGAATGCAGCCTCGCACATGAGTATTTGTACATGAGCTCATAAGACCTCGAGTTCCAATGACAGGGCGGTGTAAGCTTTTGTGTCACTGTTGCATGACATCGACATCGACTTCTTCTACTCTCCACATGAACCATGAGAATATTGAGCGGTATCTGTGAACGTGTCAGTACTCATTGCCAGGTCGAGGAGGTGGTCGGAATTTTGGGGCGCCTCACGGGGCGAACGGGGCGCTCTTGTCCAGCATTTCCTGTTCTGACATATACTGTCCAGTGTATTAGCACAGACTTCCTCAAAGATCGACCGGAAGATCAAGCAGCGACACAAATACGTCGAGCTACAGCGACTCACCTTCCATTTGCCACCACCTTTGGCCTTCAGCTTCTTCACGTCTTTGCCGAAAAACGCCGCCATTCCTCTCTGAATCCCCAAATCGCCCGTCGAAAGTATGTCGGCGCGCTTGAGCCCAAACATCATGAACATCTCCACACTCCACTTGCCCAGTCCTCTGACCGCAATCAACTTCTCCATCACCTCCTCATCCGTCCCCTTCATCAGCATGTCATTGGTCAATTCTCCTGTCGTGAACTTCTCGGCTAGTCCTTGGATGTACTCTGCTTTTCGTTCTGATAGCCCTGCCAACCTCAATCTTGGAATCGGAGTCTTAGCGACAACAGCTGGCGTCGGAAAGCCGGCGTTTGCGGCACCCTCTTCCGCGAAAAGTCCAATGAACTTGTTCTTGATCGACCTAGCAGCTGCTCCGGAGACTTGCTGGCCCATAATGCCGCTTGCAAGGGACCGGAAGGGGTCGATCTTCTCGGCTAGGCCTTTGGCAGAGAAGATTGCACACTGATGTTTTGCGATTAGAGGTGCCATGTTCGAGTCTACGCTGATGAGGTGTGCGTACGCCTTGTCGAGTAGTGAACCAGTAGTTGCTGTAGGACGAGGCAGACCAGTCTTGGAAGGTGATGAGTCGGGAAGGCCATTGGTGTAGGCTACCGTCTGAGTCCCGCCTGGAGTGACAAGGGCGGCATTAGTGATGTGTGGTTCCACGGGTCGGTCCTCGGGAGGTGGCGTGGCGTCATCTATGTCTCCTGTAGAGTATGGAGCGCGCATCACATTGACAAGACTGGGCGTTGGCGTGAGGGGTGGTGGCTCTTTGCCAGCAGCTGCTCTTCGCTTCCGGATTGGTGTTGCCGGTGCTGTAGGCTTCTTGAACACACCGTCGTCCTTTTCGGCTATTGGCGACTTTTCAGAAGCCTTCGCCTTCTTTGTAGCTGTAGCTGCGTCGTCCGAAGTGGCTGCTGGCCTTTTCTTGGTTGCTGGTCCAGTCTCTGCGGAAGTAGTAGTCATATTGGCGGTCCTTGCAGACCGTCGGAGAGACATGGTGACAAATTTCGATCTTAACATGCAGTCTTCGACAAGGAAAGGTACTCACTAAAAGGTACTCACAGCACAGGTGTTGCTCTTGAAGCGACTTGTGGACCAACGCCTGCTCGCGGGCAGTGACGTTCGTCAAAAGCCTGGGGTACAAATAGGTAGTTGTCTTAACTACTACGATTGGCTTATGGCTAAATCCGTAGCTCCGGGGTACGCGCTCTCACGTGCTCACGTAAAGATTCCCATGCCCAAGGTTCCCCTCGTCCTTTCGTTTTCCACAAGATATCTTGAGCAGCTTTCGGCGCAAGTCTCACGGCAAGCGCTCTTCGTGGGCCAGACAGAGGACATGAGTGCAGAGCAGATTATTTTACTAGTACCATCAAATTGTCACGTGGCCGCCGAATTACGAGCTCACCTCGTGTCACGCGTGGCTACCATGTCGTTGGTAAAGTGTAACAGCGGCATGGTTTTCGAGTCCATGCACCGAGTGAGCGAATATGAGGCTGATCATAAGCAATGTTCTCTAGCCAACACGAAATATCGCGGATTGAGGAACCTCTCCGCACCTCGATAAGGTAGAAGCAACTTCGAGATCCAATCTCGCCGGACCAGGCCCATGTCCGTGAGGTGCGAGGAAATCAAATATTCGATACAAATTCAGCGTGCAACTGCCATCAACGTATGAAGGAGTTTGCATCGTCTCAGTCAGAGACGCAGTGGTCGGTCTTGTGCTGTTGACGCGTCGCTGTAGACCACCAGGAGCTGGGCTCGACGTGTTATCCAAGAGCAAAGGGACTGTACACGCGGCGAGATTTTGGTTTGGTACATGGTCCGGATGTGTGGGAACATGCAGAAAATGTAAAATACCCACCCTGCCGGTAACCTGCATTTTCCGGACCGCGATCTGTTTGAGCGAGGGACGAGACCTGTGGCGCAGCGATCAGTCATGAAGCATTTCTTGTTTATTCTTCGTGGTTTTCGTGTCAATGCCGTGCATTGTTGCTGCATTGAGTCGACGACATCATGACCTTGGAGCGGAGATTCTATGCAGGCCTCGAAGGGTGGGTCGGAGATGCGAACCGAAGCTAGCAATCAGCACGATTTGGCCAAGCGAGGTGTTAGCCAGATATCATATATTGGCAATCACGTTAAGAGCGATGTGCATTCCGGTCTGCAGTCTCGCATGTGCTCTGCATCTGGCCGGTGTGCTGGAAGGTCGTGCACGGTGGCAACGTGGGCGCGGTCTTTGCCACAGTCTTTGGCCTATGTAGTATGGACTGCCGTTCGTGGTGGTATCTTGATGAAAAGATTGTTGAGCGGCTGTCTCAGATTATCGGCAGGGAATGGCACCAGGCAGTTGATGGACTATCAATGATTCGTCGGGCGGCTTGTGTTGTGGAGGACATGGGGGTTCTTCATGCAGACAGACCTCTTGTCGAGTATAGACTTGCATGACAAGCTTACGAACACCGCAATATCCGCAGCGTCAATTCGTGTTTCGTCTTTCGCCCAGAGAAGTCGTCTCCTTCTCCTTGCATGCACGATCAGTCTGGTGAACTTTTCTTGCTGGGCTGGATGTGGCAGGATGGCTTGCTGCCAACCTTGAGCGAAATGTTAAAATGCAGGTCCACCCTCCGGCATGAGATCGCTCATGGCCGAATCACAAGCTTATCTTGCACCACGCTAGGCCTATGTAGTGTAGCACAGACCCACCACTGCAACTGCCAATCCACCGGTAAACATCTACGCGGCTCCTGCCTTTCTCTCCCTGTTCAAGTTTCTCCTGTGTGCACCAGCTTCAACTAGAGTGCGTCTTCTTGTTGCGACATTCTTGTTCCATCTACACATTCTGTTCTTCGCATCTATCGTTCAAGAGCCATTTCAATTGTGTGTTCAAGCCATTTGTTGGTGTAGAAGTTACGTTCACCTTCGCTGCTGCGTTTAGCTAGCATCACGTCGCAGAGTCGCACCTTCCTAGAAAAAAAGTTGAGCAGCAGGAAGTCTCCAGTCAGTTGCATCGACAACGACTTCTTCCTACGACCACATCTTTCTCTCGATTCTCTTTCGACAATCGAAAAGACCACACACAGTCTCTGCCTTTCGACCTCACCGTCGGTCTTCACTGGTCGCCATTATCTGATTAATACTGCATTCCAGGTACGCGCAATGGCCAGCATCCTGATCCTAACCACCTTGAAGCCTCCCACAACCAACCACTTGCAACCTCATATCTTCGTACAGCTACTGACAATAACACTCACAGCTTTCGAGCGGATTCTTATTCTGCAATGGCTTTCCAAAAGTTCATCATTCCCACTCTTGCCTTCGCTGGCGCCGTTGTCGGTACGATCCCCTTGCCGCAAATAGATGGAATTCTCAATTAACAAGGAAAACAGCTCAGTGTGACGGCCCGAGCATCACAATCGCGAGTAGCACGGATGCCGAACAGATCTCGAACTGCAGAACATACGATGGCGATGTCATCATTGACGAGTCTGCCTCAGGTAATTTGAGTCTCTGCCCAGCTCGTTTCGCATACTGACCAAGCTTAGGTACTCTACAGATTAACGGAGTGCAGCAAATCACTGGCTCCCTCACTTGCCTCAATGCCACACAATTGACCTCCATCTCGGCTGACCAGCTGGGTTCTATCGGTGGTACCTTTGATCTCGAGCGTCTCACCATCCTCAGTGGCCTGTCCATGGGCTCTCTGCAAGCTGTCAACGGCATCAAGTTCATCTCGCTGCGTAAGTGCATCATGCATTTGAGACAATTGATCTTTGCTGACTAGCTCAGCTGCTCTTCAGTCCCTCAACTTCGGTTCCGGTGTCCGCCGTGCCAACAATGTCGAGATCTCCGATACAGCTCTGACCAGTCTGTCTGGCATTGAGCTCGAGGCTGTCACGACCATGAACATCAACAACAACCGATACCTGACTGAAGTGGACGTCAACAACCTGGGCAACGTCACTCGCGCCCTGACCTTCGCTGCCAATTCTGCTCAGCTGAAGATTAGCCTGCCCAACCTCGAGTCAGCTGCCAACCTCACCTTCATCAACGTCTCCGATGTCTCCATGCCATCGTTGTCCAAGGTTGGAGGCGCTTTCGGCACCTACTTCGCCACTTTCGAGACCTTCTCCGCCCCCAATCTTACTAGCACTGGCAGTGACCTGGCTTTTGTCTCCTGCGGCATGCTCACCAACCTGTCCTTCCCTCAGCTGACGACCATTGGAGGTGGCTTCCTCATCGCCAACAACTCTCAGCTCGAGACCATCGACCAGTTCCCTCAGCTCAAGACTGTTGCCGGTGCTCTCAACTTCGCTGGTGTCTTTGATAAGTAAGATTTCCCAACATCTATGACTGAACAATGCTGACTGTTAATCAGGGTCACTTTCCCCAAATTGGCCGATGTCCGTGGTGGTGCCGATATCGAGTCCAGCACTCAGGACCAGACTCTTTGCGACGACTTCAAGAAGGCCGCCGACAGCGGTATCATCAAGGGCGACACTTCCTGCAAGGTGAACGAGGCCAACGCCCAGACCAACGGTAGCACCACCTCGTCCGGTGGTGGCTCTTCCTCATCCTCATCAAGCGCTGCTGATGCATCCCTCTTCGATCCCTCCGCTCCTCTCACCGGCCTGAGTGCGCTCATTGCCGCCATCCTCTTCATCTAAAGGAACAAAAATTCAACGAACACACATTTTAGGAGTTATTTGTCGAAACGGACAGGGAAGACTCTAGACTAGCCTAATACTTGACGGGTTGAGCGCACAAGAGTGGCCATCAGCTTTCTCGCATGAAAGCAATGGCGAGAGATACCAGTATCTACCACTTAGCGGGAGGCCCGAGTTAATTGCAAGCGTTCTCTGGAATCCAGGCTGGTGAAGGAAGTAGTGGTTTCATGCCATGGAAATCGACTTTTGTGGATAGCAGCATAAGATTACGAACACGGAGTTTTCTTCCTTCACCATGCTGCTCACTTGACTACTTACTACCTGTGTATGTGCACCAACTTCGACTAACGTGGTATCTTGTCGACCAGTGACATATCACTCCAGCTCTCGGGGTCCGTTCGATGGTGATGGGTCAATAGCCACACGGATTCTAGGAGACCCCTGTATCCACAGAAGATACTGTGCTCGATACTTGGGAAAAGGGCCGTCCAGAGAACGGGGCTTGGCTGCGCTTGGATAACTTGGTCCTGGTGAGTTGTTCAACATGCATAGCAGTTCATCATCAGTGGAAGGAAGCGCTGAGGACGAACTAATTACCTGAGTCCGATATAGACATCTTCCTCAAAATCCACCAACACCTCTCACACGATCGACGGCGCCCTTGACACCCTTGAACCACGCCATCTTCCCAGCGTCCGCACCTATCGAGCCGTCCGCCATCTTGCCATCTTTGTCAACCCAACAGCCCACCAACTTGTCCTTCGACGCATCGCCCTTTCTTACCAGGCCGTACTTCCACGTGTTCTGGTTCCGTCGGATGCCTTCCTCTAGTTTTCGGACGACTAGGGAACTTTCCATCATGACGTTGATCTCCCTGGATCATTCTGTTAGTGTCCGTAACGAAAGAAGGCAATCGAGAAAGTGCCGCTGAGAGGGAGGAAGGGGTGCACGTACTGTGAATGGTACCAACTCTGACTATCCTGATTCCCACTCCCACAAATCGCAATCTCCTCGTCGATGATCATCAGCTTAATGTGACAGCTCCTCGCCTTGTGACTGTTGTGTATCGGCGCGATCTGATCTTTCCCGATGTAGTGGTACATATCCAAGTTAGCATGAAACTCAGGCTCGAGCTCTTTGTACAGCTTATGCGCCACGCCCTCATTGTGTCCGCCCTGCAGGGGAAGAAGCTCGCCGGCGTCGTTGTAGCCAAGGCAGGTGATTAGGTCCAGTTTGATGCCGCGCCGTGCGGCGGCGAGGAGTTCGGGGACTAGGTCTTGGGCGTTGAGGTTGGGGGTTTGGATGAGGATTGATTTCTTGCAGTTGCGGAGGGCGGAGATGAAGGCGATGTTCTGAGGGACTTTGAGGGAGGAGAGGTTTGGTGCGCCGTAGGGTGGACGCGAGACCATGGCGATGGGGAAGGGATCGTGGACGGGGACGGGAATGAGAGGGGTGATCATGTCCTCTGGACGTGTGATGTCTGGGGCGTTGGCTTTGGTGTTGTTGCTGCTCATCGTGTTGAGATGGCGGGCGATGGCATCTATGCGGCGCTCGGAAGGATGTGGGTTCATGGCGGCTATTGAGCGGAGGAGCTCGCTGCCTAGGTCTGGGTCGTAGTGTGGAGCTGATGATGTGTGTTGCGGAAGTGTTGTTTGAGCCGCCTCGCTGGCGACTTTTGTGAGGTCAACGTTGCCGTTGGCCAGGTCCTCGCTGTGACGACGTCAGTACAGCGCGAACTAATCCGAGCTGGACTTACCTGTATGTCTTCACCTGGCTGCCATTTGCATGAAATAGGGAGCCATGGTTGCCCAGCTGAAAGGTTGGCGGGTGCGTGTCTGTTGCTGAACTGCTGAGTAATGGTAGTGGTGGAACAAGGGGATCATTCCACGTTGTGATGGCGGTGTCGTAGATCGAGTCGACAATCGGTCCCTCCAGCTGTACGCACATCTCCATGTTGTCGTTGTCCTGGATGTTGTCGGACTGCACCAGAGCAATTCGCCTGTCGACGACCATGAACTTTGCGTGGAACGTGCCCAACATTGGCCGATGGTAGTTCACGACCTCGATGTCGACATTAGGTATCTCCTCGGGATGAGGCAGTCTGATAGCTCCATTAGGGTCCGCGTAAGTGGCCTCAGGGACTTTCTGGTGATTCTTGATGAACTATAGCACAGCATCAGTCGTGCTCAGCACTGCAAGACTGTGCTCAAGGGCATTGACTCCCGGACACTGGGACGAGCACCTTCCGGCACTCCAAAACCTACGACGCTCTCGCAGACACTCCGCAACTCGTCTGCGACATGATCCTAACAACGCTCGTGTCTCACTCACCTGCTTTGCACTTCCCCGATCATATAGCACCTTGACCACTACCCTCCTACCAACCTCGCTCATCCTTCTCGACAACTCCTTAATAGCATTCGAGATCAGCTGCGCCGGCTCCGAATGCATCCAGAAGTTCGTCGCAATGAACACCTCGTGCTCCGCGCGCACAATCAAGTTCGACATGTGGCGCGCAATATCTGGGATGCCGGAGATGATCAGTAGCGGACAGACGCCATGGGTACCGGTCAGGGACGGAGAGCAGACGTTGACGAGTGGGTCGGCGTTGTAAGAGAGGAGGACGTCATGGTAGATCTGGTTCTGTGGTCAGTCCCGCAGTATAAGACGACGGAGTCGTGGTGTGGTTTTCGCACTCTCAAGAACAGCTCGCTCGGCCTCGTATGGCCCCATCTGCCGCAATCGAACGCGCGATCGAGGTCGATCTTTTCATCGATGTTGGCAGTATCGTTGGCCTGGTCGGCAGCGTGCTCAGGATGCGTGCCATAGAGCCTCTTCGCGATGTGCTCTGGGGCTTCGGACGGATTCTTGGCCAGCTCAGAAGTCACGCTCCTTGGATCTCGACATAGTTGGTATGTCCGTTCTGATATCATGTTTGCCGTTATGTTATGCTCTAACCCGTACACGTGCTATCCACAAGGCGCTTCTGCTGAGATACACGACCCGACTGTCCAGATCAGGCACCTACTTCGAAGCTCTGCTCCCCAGACAGGATTTCTATGACTGGACACGCGAGCTCGAGAGACCGCCATGGCCAATATGGCTGGCCCAACCGGTTATACAGCTTTCAGCCCAGCAGTGCAGCGCTGAGGAGGTAGCATGACATAAGTTACCTAGTTCACTGAACCCTGCGGGAACCGTGTGTGTCACTGGTACCCTTTCTCGCCGAGAACACGCAAGGCTTACGCGGCACTCGCCTAAAATCCTGCTGCAGAGCTCTCGCCCCTTCATGCATCACGAGCGATGATGCGCATCATGGCAATCATTAGCATTCCGTCGCAATGCCAAATCGTGGTGCCGAAAGCTTGTAGAGCTTGTCAATGTCGGATAGCTCATGCGACCTATGGTCAGTCATCTACGCCGTCATATGCTTTTTAGGCTTTGAAGCCCATCATGACCGAGTTCCAGAAAATCAGAAGTCCCGCCTCAGAAGAGGCAGTCAGCCTGCCAAACCGGGACTTCTATCGGGGACGGGGCCAGCGTTGCGAACACCTGTTCGACAAAATGGCCTTGCGTCCGATAGAAATTCCGATTGGAAAGGAGGACTGCTTTCACTTTCACTCTCGCAATGCAACCCGATGTTGTAAACTGTAAGGAGCCAACATGCCTCTTTGGAAAAAAAATGTGGCACGAGCATTCGATAGGAAGAAGGATCTCGAGCAGTGAAGATGTGCAAAATCTGAAATTGTACACAGGCATCCGCACGGATTCCAGATGGCCATATCTTCGTTCATACGACCGTGAGTATTATATATATAGGTCAAGGGCACCGAGCCCAATGCAAAATGCTCCTCCGCAGCTCACGCTCTATCCTGCTAGTTCATTAGACGCTGATGCTGAATGGCTGCAAATGGACAGCCAAATCTATAATTGCCCAGAAAGGACAGCTTCCGTTGCTGAATTGCATGTTAGCTAAAGATTCTCATCGAAAACGAAAGGTGACTTACCACTCCCTATATATGCCCTCTTCGCGTCAAGATTGCAACTGAATCGCCTTTCCAACTCTTGTTTGACGCTCTTCTTCGTGACTGACATCAGATCCGCTGTTCGGAGGATCTCTCTGATTTCTTGTAGCAGCATGTCGTCTGTAGGCAGGCCAGTAAGGTCTGACATCTCCATGTCGGCTACCGACCTTCCGGTGCCGCCAAGAAGCTCAGACGCAGGCAACGACACCGAGATTGGGTGTATGCCATCGGAGCGCCGTACACGCTCTGATTCACGTCGAATTGCGAGACAGAGCGTGACTGTGCTAACAAATGCTGCTGATCGCCACCGTAGACAGACCCAGTGGGATAGTAAGACTTCGTTCCGTAGCTGTAGCCAGACATTTCAGACTTGGTATCATCTCGTTGTGTTTGCGCATCCCACAGTTCGGCCTGGTATTCCTCCCACTTCTTCTTTGGAATCGAGTCAGGGTCGAACTTGCCCTCGTCAGATACGAGGATCTGATTGCCACTCTCTCCAGTGACAAGGCGCGTGTTACCCCAGCTGAAGTCGTCCATGTGCCAAAAGGCATACAGTGGCAGACCCAGCGAAAACACAGGCATTGCCAGAATGTATATAATCATCCAGGCAATCATCTCCCACTTTCGGCGAAGGATGAAAATGATGGCTTGTAAACCATAGATTGCTCCGAGCAAGACAAAAGCCATGAGAGGCACCACGCTTGTGTCGATGGCAAGAAGCACGATCAAGTAGACAATGTAAGCCACTGCCACAGGGGCAATCAAGGTGGACAAAAGATCCAGGAAGACGATGAATCGCATGCTGAAACAACAGAAGCCGCAGAGTTGCTGGAGTGGGATAAGCTCCATCAGGTTGTGAACTGTACTGTTGATCCATCGCCGACGTTGTGACATGAAGACCGCCCAAGAGTCAGGCGCGATAGTCCAGGCATGTGCATTGAAGATAAACTTCGTCTTGAACTTCGGGTGATGCTTCAGAAGAAGTGTTGTGAGATAACGATCCTCTCCAAGATGAAGGAGATTTTTCATGTGTAAAGTGTCGACACGAATCTCAGAATAGTCCTCGCAGATCTCCTTGCATACAAACAGGGGCTTGCCAGTCTCTGCTGCACGGATCCGGTACATGCTGAAGCAACCAGGCAAGCACGTCACGGAGCCGAATAGCGATTCGAAGGCTTTTGTCAAATTATGCGAGATGTAATACTCGTACACTTGTATCATGGTGATGATCGACGATTTGGAATTGCTGAGAGACGTCTCGCCGCAGACAGCAATGATCCGAGTATCGTGTAGGAATGTCGAGATCATTCGAGTGGCCGAATCCGGAGCGACAACAGTGTCAGCGTCGATCTGTAGCATGAACTCGTAGAAAGTGGGGTTGACGCCGATGATGTTCCGGATTTGATGATGCATCTCCAGCTCCAATGGACTCATAGGCAGGTTGTAGTGAACCCTGTTGAGGAAGCGCATAATCACCATCTGCGAGTCTCGCTTGCCCCGATTGCCAGGACGCGACACCTCAGAAGGCTTGCCAACCTTGACAACAACCATGAATGGCACAATGTGACCTTGAACTTCGTAGAGGCCTGAGTATACCTTGCCCATGTTGTGCTGTTTCATGCCTTCACCGAGTGACTCAAAGCTTAACGGCTCGGGATCAACAGTTTCTGATACGCCCAAGATGTCAAGGACGATTCGTGGAGTCGGCCTGTCGTTACCCTGTCCTATGATCATGCCGTCGCAGACAATGATGAGCAGTTTCCGCTTGTCATCATACTTCATGCGTGCAGCAGAATCAATGGCTCGGCGGAGTGACTCCTCGTCTTCTGTGTAGGCCGGAACCTGACAAATGACGAACTTATCCAAGTTCTCGGGCAACGTCTTGCGACTGAATTGTAGAGCCGCAAAGAACTTGAATCCGATGACGGAAACGAGCAAGATCGAGATGGCGAGTAGGATATATCGGGCGAACAAACACTGGCTGAGTTCCTGGTGTCGGTCACTCCAACGAAGAAAAGGTTATCCAGGCACGTTTGCATGCGATTTTTCTCCCCTATGCCTCCTGGCAGAGTCAGAGCATCCCAGTAGCGGGAGACATCTTGGCCTGAGCGTTGCTGGAAAAGAGCCACAACAGCATCACTCATGAAATCTGTGTCAACATCTGTTGGTCGTTCCTCGCCTTCTGCGACTCCGATGCTACGGCCTCCAGTGATGTAATTCGTGAAATCGTAAACGCGGTCGTGGATAATGGCAATCGATTTCTGCTTCGTAGAGAGCGTTTTCACATACTGCGGCGTGTAACCTATGTCACCCTTCTTGTAATTGCCCGCGAGCACCATACGCTGCTCAAAGAACCAGTCTGGTCTCGGGTCATTGGTGAAAGACCTAAAGTCGTGATATTTGCGATTTGGATCATCCCCACTGATGACATTCGCGGTTCCGCTGATGTTAGTTGAAGTGTAGTCCAATGTGACGTGGGGGTCGACGCTGCCATCCTTGCCATTGCACAAGGCACTGACTTGTACTGGGAACAGACCAGTGATGTCGAGACCAGCGTAATTCTCCAGGTCCTTCGTCGGGACAATGCTCGGGTAATGGTTTGGTGCAAATGCGCCCAGATCCAAGACAATTCCACGGAGTGAGGCGTAAGAAGAAGTGCCCTTCCCATCGTGACTTGACAATTCTGCGGCTGAAAACACATTCTGTCGAGGACAGATCAGCTCTGGGAAGACCACGATGAAGAAGCAGGCGAAGAGGCAGAAGAACCAGATCATCATGTTGATGGCGAGCTTCTCCCTCCAAGCGACTCGAACATCTTTGCGCGGCATGCGACCAAGCCATTTGATGCTGAAATCGGGAATATACCAAGTGAGGAAATAGACCACAAACAGCCAGCGCTTACGTTTGCCAGTCGTGGCGATCACATCGATTTCTTCCAGTTTCTTCTTGTTGGCCTTTTCTGCCAGTTCTTCTTTCGTGTCCATGTTGCGGAACATATCGCCTTGATGGAACGCGGAAGCGCCGGCTTCAGATTTGGTGTCAATCTCTCTGGCACCGAAATATCCAGCTCCCTTTGTCTCATCACCATATATATATGAGCCTGCGCCAGGAGTGTCGCCGGCGGAGTGTAATCGAGCTTTCGAGTCAGAAAACGGATTACCACCTGGCGTGCCTATCGACAAGCCATCGTCGTCAACGCCGTAGAATTGAGCAGCTTGCGTACCTGACACAGCTACCGATGCCCAACACCTTTCGCTCAAGAACACGCCAGTCGTTCCAATCTTGAATTCGTTTGGCGGCCAATTCTTGGCATCAAGAACCAGTTGGGTCTTCTCGGCATCGCTGCCAACCACACCAGGGTCAAAATCGACCAGGCCTAGGAATTCACCGAATGGCAGGAATATGCTGAAGTCGGCTGTGCGCAGACGCTGACTGATTTCCGCTATGCCTAGTATTTGGATCTGTTGTCGGACGCACTTGCTGTCGAACTGATTCGCTATCCGGCGATCGTTCGGCTTCAGGCAAAAGATGAAGTAGTTATTGACGTTCGGAGCGGTCAAAGACTTGGTGATGTTGTCCAGAGACGATAGGAACTGCGACGCAGCGCCCTGTGACAGGCCTCCTGCATTGTCTTTTGTTCGACGAAGGATAGCCTCGCCAGCTTGAGATTCGTTTTCCTGTGGTTCTGGAGAACGATCCGCACGACGGCTCGCAAGACGTGCGAGCTGATCGTGCTTGCGACGGGCCATGCTAGGCTTTCGGAGCGGTTTCGAGCTCACCTGCGCCTGCATTATGGCTGTCTTCTCTGCTGGATGGGTCACGGTCGTTAAAGCCTCCTGGCCAAACAAGTTGCCCACGAAGTCGCTCTTAGTAGTCTTCATGAGATTCATCAAGTCTCCGGCAACCGTATCTCCGTTGGCTTCCACCAGACCATTGACTGGGTACTCGACTTCTCCAGCATAATGGCGAACAGAGAAAGATGCAGCCAGGTTCGTTGTAGCAAAATTGCTGCCCGGCATCTTAGCAGTCGAGCTACTGACGGTTATTGACTTGTTCTTGTTCTCGAATTTCTTTCTCAGGCTCTCGAGCAGTTGCATGTCAGAGCGGCCGCGCTTCGTCTGATCATCCAGTATGGCAAGAAGACCTGTGCCGTGCTTCAGCAGGCCACGAACTGCGTCTGAGTTGTCAAAGAATGTTGCTGCAGGCACACTGACTTCCTCGCGCTCTAGCATCTCCGCAGGCCGTTCAAAAATGCTCTGCAAGCAGATATTGTAGAGAGATTCGGATGCAGCATTGTTCAGTAGCTGATCGAGTACGGAACCCGTCGAGGTTTGATCCGCGAAACCTGGGAAATCGATTATTGAGACGGTGTTGGCAACAGCATCTTCGGCCGCGCATGTCCTTTGATTGATGCACTCGATGATATAGGCCACTAGAAGAGCGTACAAGGTCCTGGCCAATTCGTCCGCGCTCTCACGCGCACCCTTGGGATCTAGCATGACCGTAACGCGTTCACGGTGAATGGTCTTGGTCTTGTAGCGTAAAGACTCCTCGAGCTCGGCAGCCCCAAGCCCGAGGAATGCTGCTACCAAACCCAGAGTCTCCGAGTTCTTGACCATCGTGACGCTCTCGCCGCCCTCATGAGAATACCCACCGCTTTCCTCTGCAGCCGTGGCCGTAGCCTGGCCCACTCCGAACTCAAGCTGGCCAATATGGAGGATTGCAGCAAGGACCTGACAGATCTCTGCAATATCTCCCCTTGGAAATTCCAACTTCCGAAGTGCTGTCTTGAAATGCTGAAATCCTTCGGCATCGTTAATGCCGACTTTCAATTGAGTTGGATGTCCGAGGTATCTCCACCTTTTCTGTGCAGCGGAGGATGCTGACCTGTGGAGGCCTGTGGCAGCGGATTTTGTGCCTGTTGACTGCTCCAGCCCAAGATGTTCTTTCTCGGCGGCGCTCGTACCAGCCAGCAAGTAGTATAAGACATGATAACTTCGTTCGCCCGTCGGCACGGCGGTAACACGGCTTCTTTCCAGTCGATGATCCAGAAGTTTGCCGCCAATCAGGGTCGGCTTGGCGGATGAGGCGTCGTATTGGAGTTCGTAGAACAAGCCGGCCTTCGAGGCTGTCTGTGTGGTGGAGGACTTCGTGGTCGTCAACGTGTCAAAGACGTATGCGGCCAGAGAAAGTCTATTTGATAGTGGTGTCGAGGATAGGCCCAGAAAAGCAGAGAGCAGGTGGGACCTGATGGTGGTCTTGCCTGAGCCAGATTCACCGAAGAAGATGACGGCTTGATCCTCTGCTCTTGACCCAAGACGTGTCCACGCCCGCCTCGCCAGGTCCTCAGCCTCCGCAGCTGCGCTCCCTTCTTTGCCACCATTTGGACCCCTGGTCGCCGATGTATATGTGTTGAGACACACAAGTGCCTGAGACGACAACTTGGCTGTGGGCAAAGAGACATGAAATCGACTAGCCAAATGAGCTGTCAAGTGGGTGTCCGACTGTAGGTGAGGAGGAAGAGCTGGCAAATTTGGTTGAGCATGAGCCGGCTGGTTCGCTCCTGCCGCTCCTACAGCAGCCATGTTGCTTGAGGAATAGAACTTTCAGGTGCCTCGCACCGTCCGAGTGGTTGCTACACCAAGCCGTCACAGACCGTTAGCACATCGGTCTCGAAAGCGAGCGTATTGTCGGAGTGAAGGACTCGACTTCGTGCAGGTGCTGGCTGCTGAATGCTGCGATCGTTGACACTACTGGCGCGTAGAATATAGTAATGTATGAGCGAGGGTGATTGATACTACGAGAAACGTGAACAGAAAACGAGAGGCAGTCTGTGAGAAGGCCAGACCGTTACTGCAATGGCAATGTAGACGTTGTACACTCGCAAAAAACACAACCAGGTGAGCAGAGTTGACTCGTCGTCAGGGGATTGATAACAAGCCGTCAGACCAAATCTTTTCGCCTCACGCATAAAGTTCCGGGCACTGCGGCGCAGCTCAACCCCTGTTCCTATTCTCGAGCGACCCCAATCGATATGGAATTTTTCACGGCTCACAGCCTCGCTGAGTGCAGTGATCCAGCTGCATATTACTGCTCACGGGGCTACAAAGTCGCATTGTGTACGGAGTCCTAACATCGAATTTATTTGCCACGCTCAGCTGTATACCCGGTCTTCGCATTATCATCTGCTCTAGGCGCGTTGACAGCACCGCGTCAGGAAGCTTTCTCACCAAAGACTGCCGGACGATTGGGTTGCCGGCCCAAAGTCGACCTATCAGAACAGCGAGGAGAATTTGTTTCCCCAGAGAAAGCTATTTCCTCGATCAAGCTCTGTGCCTCAATGGCATCTCGACATATCAAGGGCAAATGATAGTGCTCAAGGAAGGCATTCCCGTGGTGCTGATGAGTGGCGGCCAACCCCAGGCATAAGCCAGCGAACATATGCGGATCATCACACTGGTGTGAGTCTGCGAGGTTTGAGACATACATCTTGTCCAAGACATCGTGAGACTGGAAGGCTCCATTCGCTCTCCGATGCAGATCACAATCCGAAATCGACTCCAGTGCGCTGTCTCGCTTCCCACTTGGCCGATGAATGATCTGATCGATCCAGGCTACTGTTGTCACGTCTTTGTACAAGCAGTGCTGGGGGAATCATCATTATTCAATGATTCAACACGCTGCAGCCAGGCCAGGAATCAGCTGTGTTCATGCACGGCCTACTGCCCTGCAGCCCGCGTTGGCCGTGAGATGGACGTGTTCGGGCCGGCTGATTGGTGGGCCACCTCGAGTCCCTTGCTCTCCTTGCATTAGCTTGCTCATTTTAGCAACCGAAGCAGAAGCTTACCCCTCGATACGTCCCAACCAGGCCCTTGGAGCCCATGGCACACGTCTGACAACTGATTTACACGAGACTCGGTCGTGGTTTTGTTGCACCGCAGTCTGCATTATTTTCGTGGGCAACCCGAACCACTACTCACCGTCGTTGTACCTTGATTCATTGAGCCGCTCTTGTTCTACGATTATCGTGTTAAGACGTGACGCCTGGGAGCTCACGTTGTCCCTTCGCTCTCCTGGCGTGCTTCTGTGTCCTTCGCTAATTGCTGGTCCGGCGCTTTGAAACACAGTCTATATCCTCTCTCAAAATACCGAGAACAACAACGACGGAGATCGAACCGGAACCTTCGAACGTGTATATCTTCCAACAGACTACCCATGAGTACATGAGATTACGAAGGAGTGGTATACTTGGATAGACAGGTCAGTGAAGGCCTTGTCGGCGAAAGTGCGTCGACAGGGGCATTCAAGATGGCGAATCGATACTCGACCTACTCGAATACTTCGTCCGCGGTTGCACCCAGACCAGCCACTCAGCATGCTACCCAAGTCTCTACGACAACGCTACTTAACTCGCTACATGCCATCTACAGTGCAGGCCAGACATATCAGCTCGATGTCAGCACGAGCCTGGCCATCAACACCTGGCTGACCGCGATCAACCCTGACGCACAGGGGCGGACTGGAGGAACTGTTGATGCTGAAATAGCGAATCGAGCTTGGGAGCACGCAAGAAGACGAGCCGAAGATGCGTGCATCGTCCTGGGCTCGTTACATCCCTCGACGCCCTCCCTGCTTACATCCTTCCTACAGCTTGTACCACTCGAAACGCCTGCGGTCGTCTTCACTGCTCTGTCAGCAATCCGGCCGTTCTTGACTTGTATAACGCCGCAAAATGTTGCCGCTGGTCGTCATTCGTCTTTGGCTGTCACATACCACGTAAATCTCAGTGGAAAGGTCAACTCAGTGCGGTTGGCTCTTTCAACGTCAGGAATCGATGTCTCGAAAGGCTTGCTCAACATCCCATCAGAAAAGGGATACCGTGCTTTCGACGTATTCTACTACCTCCTGACGAACGCTTCAACTGCCGCCGAGCGAGAATTCCTCGACCTGAAACACCCCTCAAAATATTCCCTTCTCAATAAGTCCGGCACCTACGACCCACCGACCTACCTCCCCTCCGCCGACGACGCAGCGGCCGCCGAAGACTTCCGCGCAGCAATCAAGGCCATTGGCATAAAAGGTGCTGCGTTCCGAGGCTTTCTTTCCACACTTGCTGGTCTCCTGAAGCTGGGCGAGGCAGCAGGATTTCTGATTGATTCGGAGATCCTGGACGAGGTATGCGAAGATGTTGGTGGTCTCCTCGGTGTAGAACCTGAAGTCTTGTCACAACGGTGCGACACAACCGAGCGAGAAGTCTTCATTGCCGGAGTCTACGAAGCACTTGTCGACTGGGTCATCGCCCAGGCCAATGAGGCTATTGCACAAGATCTCCGCTCGGGAGCGACTACTCCCGATTCGGAGTCTCACGCCGGCGACGAGGTCAGCTTGACTGTTGTGGACATGCCAGGCGAAACACTGGGCAAAGCCGTGGCTCTGAGGAATATTTTCGATGACTCGACAGGCATCAATCTGGAGATGAAGGATGACGGTGTGGACGTGGTTTCTGCTGGACACTCGGTCGTCAAAGAGATGCAAAATGCTGTTGCTGAAGTTGAAGCCGACCTTGGCATAATGAACGGTCCTACCGGCCGAGAAAGAGAACACGATCGCGACCGGCGGCAGGGTGTCCTCGAGAAGATCGGCATCGAGGCCGAAGCTGGAGGCTTCCTGAAGTCACTGCTCTATCCAGTAGAGGGTGAGGCACTGAACTTTGGATCAAGGTCGATTCGATCTATCCGCAACATTAGCTAGTAGCAGGATCTGGTATCAGCTATCTCTGCATCCGACCGACGATGCTCCGAGCACTCTGGCAGCCCTGCCGACTTCGACAACAGCTTGGTCGGCTGGTGCAGTCTCGCGGCAACTACGCGCCTGGAGGCTACCAGAATGGGCCAACCGCCGGAACAGACACCTAGACTTCACGGCCGACTTCGATGTCGACGAGTTCGTCACTCGCTACTCAAGACTTGGCTGCCAAGAAGGTCGTGACGGTATCGAAACATTCATGCTCGAACGAGGATGGACGAATGGAGAGGTTGTCGTCGGCAAAGAGCGCGTCTGGATGCGTGAGACCGCCTGGTGGGAAGCGGAGTCTATGCTGGATCTCAAGCCAGAAGACATGGCATATGACAATGTCAACCCTTTCGCGACAGGCTACTCATCAATACCTCCGAACAACAATAGTGGCTTTTTCCCGCCCATGGACGCGATCAGTGTACAAGACAGCCGGGAGAACCTGGTTGCCCCCGCAGATCGGGCCAGATCGATTGCTCCTACCATGGCGCGCACTGTTCAGACCATCGGCGGAGACTATGGCCTCGGTCCGAAGGGCGATGACCACAGGGATCAGACCCTTTACTACGATCCTGATCTCGGCCGTTATGTTGGAGAACTCGATCCAGAATTTGGCGATCCTCGAGACATTCAGACCAAGAGGACGTCTTTCGGGCGCCAGGTCTGGGTGTCATTTGTCTGGGCGCTTACTTTCTGGGTGCCATCGGTACTGTTACGCTTCGTTGGTCGCATGAAGCGACCAGACGTGCGCTTGGCATGGCGCGAGAAGGTGGTTCTGGTCCTGATGATTTTCCTTCTCAATGCGCTGATCATTTTCTATATCGTCTTCTTCGGCAAGCTACTCTGTCCTAACATGGACAAGGTATGGAATGCAAAGGAAGTTGGCTACCATCAGGGCGCGGATGACTTCTACGTCAGTATCCACGGCAAGGTCTACGATATCACCAAATTTGCGAAAGAGCAACACAGCGATAGCAGCGTCAAGACGACGTCAGATGTCATGCTCCCTTTCGCAGGCCAGAACCTGGACGGGTATTTTCCTCCACCCCTCGACATAGCCTGTCCGGGTCTCGTGACTGATGATTCAGTCGTGCTGCAGCACAATGACAGCAGTGTTATTGATATCAATCCAACAGCAATTCATTCGTCTGGTCCTCGCGCGCAAACTGGTTCGCAAGCGCTCAAGAACGACCGATGGTATCCTGATGTCTTCCTGCCTGCAATTGAGGAGTACTACAAGGGCGATCTAGTGGTGTCGACTGGTCAGATCAGCCAACAGGCCAAGCAGGACAATCGCCAGTGGGTTCGGATCAACAACGACATCTATGATCTGACCGATTACTTTTACACTCTCGGAGCCATGGATGGTTATGCGACCTATTCATTCTTTCCAGAAGAGGTCAGCGACCTTATACAACAGAATACTGGCAGCAACATCGCCGATATGTGGGGCGATTCGGTCATCTTCAAGAACAGTCTCAACTGCATGAACAACGCCTTCTATGTGGGCAAGACGGACTTCCGCGAAACACCAAGATGCAAGGTTCAGGATTATCTGCTGCTGGCATTCATGATCATCCTGGTATTGGTCATTCTGTCGAAGTTCCTGGCTGCCCTCCAGTTCGGCTCCAAGCGCAGGCCTGCGCCTCAAGACAAGTTCGTCATTTGTCAAGTCCCAGCCTACACGGAAGGTGAAGATCATTTGCGGAAGTCACTAGACTCACTCACGGCTCTACAGTACGACAACAAGCGGAAGCTCATCTTTGTTGTTTGTGATGGCATGATTGTTGGTGGTGGCAATGACCGTCCTACGCCCAAGATTGTGCTCGATATCCTAGGAGTGGATCCTAAGATTGACCCTCCTGCCCTTCCATTCCGCTCTATTGGCAATGGCAACGAGCAGCTCAACTATGGAAAGGTCTATTCTGGATTGTACGAATATGAGGGCAATGTTGTACCGTACATCGTTGTGGTGAAGGTCGGCAAAGAGTCTGAGCAAACCAAGTCCAAGCCAGGAAACCGTGGAAAGCGTGACTCCCAGATCTTGCTTCTACAGTTCTTAAACCGTGTCCACCACCGAAGTCCCATGGCGCCGCTCGAGCTTGAAATCTTCCACCAGATCAACAACATCATAGGCGTTGATCCCGAGCTCTATGAGTACCTCCTGATGGTGGACGCTGATACCATGGTCCGAGAAGACTCCTTGAATCGCCTGGTCGCGGCCTGCGCCAACAATACCAAGATTGCTGGTATCTGCGGAGAGACTAGTCTCGAGAACGAAGAACGCAGTTGGTGGACGATGATTCAGGTGTACGAGTATTACATTTCGCACCATCTCGCCAAGGCTTTCGAGTCGCTGTTCGGCAGTGTCACCTGCTTGCCTGGTTGGTAAGTTGCCCTTCTCAGCCATCGCTTTTCAAGCCGGATGCTAACTAGAACAGCTTCTGCATGTATCGACTACGCACCGCCGACAAGGGACGCCCACTAATCATCTCCGACAAAGTCGTCTCCGAATACGCTGACATCGAAGTCGACACGCTACACAAAAAGAACCTTCTCTCCTTGGGTGAGGATCGATACTTGACAACCCTGATGATGAAGCACTTTCCAGCTATGTCATACAAGTTCGTCCCCGATGCTTTCGCCCAAACCGCCGCCCCCGAGACCTGGTCCGTACTACTCTCCCAGCGCCGACGCTGGATCAACTCCACCATCCACAATCTCGCCGAATTGATCTGGCTGAAAGACCTCTGCGGCTTCTGCTGCTTTTCTATGCGTTTTGTCGTGTTCATCGACCTCTTCGGCACTCTCATCCTGCCCGCTACCTGCGTCTACCTAGCTACCTCATCTACCGCGTCGCGACCGGCACTGGCCAGTTCCCACTCTTCTCCCTCATCATGATCGCCGCCGTCTACGGTCTGCAAGCCATCATCTTTATTGTCAAGCGCCAATGGCAGCACATCGGCTGGATGATCATCTACGTCATCGCCTACCCCGTTTACAGCTTCATCCTGCCCATCTACTCGTTCTGGAAGCAAGACGACTTCTCTTGGGGCAATACTCGTGTTGTCATTGGCGAAAAGGGTAACAAGAAGGTCGTTGCCACCACCGACGAAGGCTTCGATCCCCGCTCTATTCCCTTGCAACGATGGGACGACTACGCATTGACCAATAACTTGCCTGGCGCCCGCGGCAACCCTGACAACACCGCTAGCATAATGCACGAGAAGTCCGGCTTCCAAGCCTCCTACCACGATGACCCCGCCATGATGATGGAAATGGACGATATGCGCTCCACCTACTCCTCTGTGAAACCCGCAAGCACCATCCTCGCCGGCTTTCCTCAACAACAACGCGGCGTCAGCGGCATCAGTCACAATCCATACATGCCTCCGCAATCTCCTCTGACACCTTTCGGAAATGGTATGAACAACCGAGCAAGTACCATGACCGGCCTCACTGGGTTCCACGACCAACCTGCCAGCGTTCACGGCCGCAACATGAGCATGCTCAGCCTTGGCAGCCAAGCGCAGCATCAACGCATGCAGTTCAATGGATCACCAGCCCTTCCCGCTTACACAGACATGCAGACCGTCAGCCGCAGCCCATACACCTCAGGGCTTCCTGCCTCGACTTCTCGCCCCTCACTTCTGGGTATCAACAGCAATTCGCGGCCGTCCTCCACAGTCTTGGACTTTCGCGCGGGCCCAAAACTGCTTGCCGGACCCTCGGACTCCGAGCTGGTAGAAGCAGTGCGCTCGGTCCTTGCGGAGGTGGACCTGGACAGTGTGACGAAGAAGCAGGTCAGGGCGTTGGTGGAGCAGAGGCTGCAGTGTGAGGTTCCTGTTGGCGAGCGCAGGAGCTTCTTGGATCGGGCTATTGATGGAGAGTTGGCGAATATGTAGATGTGACAACGAGTTGCTCCAGCGGATCGGATCTTACGAATGAGATTTGTTATATATGGCATGAGCGGACGGACAGGATAGCACGTAATGGGAAGGCGTTCTGCATTTGATTACTCAACTGTACTCGGAGGATAAAAAGAATCGAGGGCATGGAAGCGCACGCAGGTGTCAGATTATCTCCAAGCTATATACATAATATATACAGACTGGTGTGCTGCATGGATTCTTGAGTCTGTCTCCTAGCACTCGAACCTGGACGTGCTCAATGCATCGATTGGACATGAACCACGCCGGACGACTGGATTCGTGGCTTGCTTTGGCAGGTGCCACCCGCGACACGATACGGAGTACGGACGACTTCCGACTCGTCGGTCACGATCTCGACTGCGTGTGCATGGTATGGTTGATAGGTTCCTTGAGCGACCGCTCCTACGCTTCAACGACGAGTGCTCCTTTGCTGAGGAAATCACTCACACGAGGATTGTGACGATGGAATATATTTCTCGCCTTGCGCCCAAGTTCCGCTTGTCTAAGCGGAATTCAAGACCTGTTTGATGCCGCGCCGTTCGCGACGGACAACCATTACCTTCAATCGTACATTCCAACTGACGAGGTCAGCGCTGCAAAGCTGACTACGCATCCCGACCCCGAGCACAAACTGAATTACAAGCAAACATCTTGGTAGGATCCCTTCGGCGACACAAAAGCCACCGATGACGACTCGCGGGATGTCTCCGCCCTCTCCCCCGCGACTTGCAGAAACCGACATCGCTTGCCGCTTTCCGTTGGAGTCATCCCCGGATATGATACTGGTAGTATCCCAAGGTTCGGCCTCTTGGACGTCGTGGCGGGGGTCAATGAGAGCATTATAATAGCCAGAGAAGACGATCAGTTGGTTTGACTTTCAGCTGATATTTTGACTGTGTACAACGAGCCAAACAAGTATACTATAAGCACCGGCGACCACTTCGGGGATTGTTCGTGGCTACTTGGCTTGAACAGTCGGACGGAACACGGATTCAAGACTATCAGGACAACATCAGCAGCAACCGCCATCATGGGTTCCATGGGCAGGCCGTGCGTAGCGCCAGGAGTGTATTCTCTGACTCGTACTGACAGATCATAGGTTATATACGGCATCCTTCGCCTTCTTTCAGTCGCTCTACGAGGTAAGCTCCGTGAAAGCCACGGCTGGCAAGCAAGGACTAAGAAAGACATAGGCCGGCGTGACACATATCTTCGTCAATCTAGGCTCTGACCATCCTTCCATCATGGAGGCCATGGCAAAAGGCTACAATGATCCCCAGGCCAAGTTTCCACGCATCATCACGTGCCCGAACGAGGTAAGCCGGAGCCGTATTACGGCAACGAATGCTGAAGTGCAGACAGATGGTGGCTATGTCAATGGCCGACGGCTATGCTCGATACACTGGAAAGCCACAATGTGTACTGATCCACGTTGATGTCGGAACCCAGGGTCTTGGAGCTGCTGTGCATAACGCAAGTTGTGGCAGAGCACCAGTCCTGATCTTCGCCGGCTTGTCGCCTTACACAATCGACGGCGAGTACAGAGGCTCGCGGACAGAGTACATTCACTGGATCCAGGACGTCCCAGATCAGAAGCAGATCGTCGCTCAGTATTGCCGATACACAGGCGAGATCAAGCGTGGCGCAAATGTCAAGCAGATGGTGAATCGAGCGCTCCAATTCGCGACGAGTGATCCAACCGGTCCGGTGTACCTCTATGGTGCGAGAGAGGCTATGGAAGAGGACATTGAGGAGTACTCTTTGGTACAGGAGAACTGGCTTGGGGTCAGTGCTGCCGCTCTGCCAGAACAAGCAGCAGCGGATATAGCGAAGCTACTTGTGGAGGCGAAGGAACCCTTGGCCATCGTCGGCTTTACTGGCCGGAAGGCATCTTCGGTCGAAGCATTGGTGAAGCTAGCAGACACCATTCCAGGCTTGAAGGTTGTCGATACGGGAGGGAGCGACATGTGCTTTCCAGCAAACCATCCGGCCTCCCTCGGCCTGAAATATGTCGGGGAGAAGAGTATATTGACGGCGGACTTCATACTCGTGGTCGACTGTGATGTGCCCTGGATCCCAACACAATGCAAGCCCAAGCCAGGAACGAAAGTTGTCCATATCGATGTGGATCCTTTGAAACAGCAGATGCCCGTATTCTACATCCAGGCATCTGCTCGATATAAGGCAGACTCGACAACGGCATTCAGTCAGATCAATGCCCACCTCAGCAGCAACAAGGAGTTGACCGCAAAGCTTCAAGACGAGTCCTACAAGACCGCAGCGGAGAAACGTCGTGCGTCACATCAGCAGCGTGTGGACAACATCAAGAAACTGGCAGAGCTCCCATCGGACCACAAAGCCGGTCTCAATATACACATCATCTCATCCCAGATCCGAGCCGCAGTGCCAGAAGACACAATCTTTGCCGTTGAGGCCGTGACCAACGCCGGCTTTGTCTCCGACCAAATAGCGCCCGTTCTTCCCAAAACTTGGATCAACTGTGGCGGCGGCGGTCTAGGCTGGTCAGGAGGTGGCGCCCTCGGTATCAAGCTCGCCACCGACTACGATAATCGCGACCAATCCTCAGGCGACAAGATCGGCACGAACAAGGGTAAATTCGTGTGCCAAATCGTTGGCGACGGGACTTACCTTTTCAGCGTGCCCGGCTCGGTCTACTGGATCGCGCAGAAGTACAAGATTGCGGTGTTGGTGATCGTGTTGAACAATAAAGGGTGGAACGCGCCAAGGAAGAGTATGTTGCTGGTGCACCCGGATGGGGAGGGCAGCAGGGTTGATAATAAGGCGTTGAATATCTCGTTTGATCCGACGCCGGACTATGCCGGGATTGCGAGGGCGGCGAGTGGTGGGAAGGTGTGGGCGGGGTGTGCGAGTAACGTGGAGGAATTGTTGAAATTGCTCAAGGAGGCTGTGGAGGTTGTGAAGGGTGGGACGACGGCGGTGTTGGAGGTCAAGATCGAGGATGGCGAGGTGCCGGTGAAGGCGACAAATGGAGCAGCGAATGGCGCTGCGGACGGGGGCAAGGCTGGTTCCTGATCCGTAGGTCAGCGATGATAGAGAAACTATCGTGGCGCGTTGTTGCCTTTCCGCACTTCTGTAAGCTTGCCTTAGGTAACATACAAAGCGAAAGAGAGATGCAAGGCGATACTGCGTATCGGTCGCTGGGTGATACCGATGTATTGTACGGAAGCTATAGGGCCCGAACCCTCCTACAGCGAATACTTGTAGTTGGGATCAAAATCCCCACCCTTCCCATGCACAACCTCCCACTCCCTCTGCTCCGGCGTCAGCGCCTCCCTCCGACGGTTCTCCCGCTTGAAATGCCAGTACAGCGTCAGATGGCCCAAGGATGCCAACACGATCGCCCCCAACGAGAAGCTCAGTCCCAAGAGGTACTTCCCGTTCACAGTGGTTTTGAAAATCTGCCCCACGACAACGCCAGCACTGTTCCCCATACTCTGATTCATCCCGATCGCCGTCGCGCGCTTGTAGTATCCCGCGTGGCTGTTGAGTAGCCATGTAGCGTTCAGCCCGACGATGATGTATATGCCTTGTGCGATGAGGAAGACAGAGAAGTATAGCACGCCGCGCATGGACATCGGTACGCCGACGTTGATCGCGTACCCGACAGCGGTCACCATAGCTGCGGGAACCATGAAGGCGGCGCGTCTCCGCCAGCGGTCCGAGAAGACGCTGACGATATATACGTCGCGCTAGCCCAGAAGTAGACCGGGATGGTGAGCAGTTGGGTCGTAACAGTACCGAACCCAAAAGAGCGCAGGATCAGAGGTAGAAAGCTGGAGAACCCAAAGCTGCAGATATCGGCGAAGAACTGACTCCAGCCGGACACATAGAGCTTGGGGTCGGTGAGCGCTTTGCGGACTTCAGCCCACTGAAACTCCGGATGTCCGTGGTATTTGTGGTTGATCTCGGTGCGAAGACGGCAGAGCTCTCGGTCTTCGGGAGTGAGGAAACGTGCGGTCTCGTAGTTGTCGGGCAGGAGGCAGAAGATCAAGACGGCGATGAAGACAGAGGCGATGCCTTCGATTATGAAGAGCCAGCGCCAACCCTCGAGGTTGGCGACACCATCCATGTGGAGAAGAGCGTACGCGAAAAGGCCTCCGAACGCACCGCTGAGAGCGGCAGAGACGAACAGGTAGGCTACTCTCAGGGCTTGTTCCTGGGGCTGGTAGAAAGTAGACAGGTAAAGAGTCAGGCATGGGAACATGCCGCTCTCGAAGAGACCAATCAGCAGCCTTGAGGCGTAAAGCTGGCCGGCGTTTTTGATGAAGCCAGATCCGATGAGGGTGAAGGACCAGCCTAGAATCAATAGAGGTATCATGCGGTTGGGATGAAATTTCTTGAGCACAAGCTGTACCGGCTGGGTCAGTGATTGCATTGGAAAGACATTTGTGAAGGACTTACAGAGCATGGCAGTTCTGCGGCAACGTATGTGACGTAGAACAGTGTGACGGCATTTCCGAGCTGTGAGCTTGTAGCGCCGATGTCTGCGATCATGCCAGCAGAAGCGGCGTTTCCGATGTTGGAGCGGTCCAAATAGGCGCAAAGAAAGATGATGGTCATCAGAGGAGCCAGATAGATATCGAGCTTGCGGAGCAATTTCTTCTCCGCGACAGGGTCAATGCAGAGCTCAGGCGTATTATCGGCTGGCTTGACGGCGTCCGTCATGACCTTCTCTAGTGCTGCCATGTCCGTTGAGCGATGCGTCGGTTTTGGTTATGGTGGATGGATGAACACAGTATCGCTGTTGAAGTGGCGATGATATCGAGCAGGCATGTCGCCAGGCGATCTTCTTATACATGGCCTGGTCCCTGGATGGTATTTCGTCTCCATATCGACTTATCAGTGGAGTCACACTGCAAGCGGGCATGTCTTGGGGACTTCTGATGTATCCGGCCTCTAGGTTGCCCGCAAATGGGTGAAATGTCGGCGGCGAAGAGGACCAAGCGAGATAGGTGTTATCAGGCTCTCGCCGAAGCATTCGGCGACGCTACGGCGAGAGATAGATTTGGAGTAAAATCCTGTCCCGAGCGCCAGCCGAAACGGTTGATGTACCGACGACGGAAGGGTCCGCCCCACACTGTCTGGCATATTGCGTGGGCATTTGACGAAAGCATTCTTATAGCCGTTGCAAAAGCATGACTTACTGTTGTCGTATTTTCTGCGCGTGTACATATCCTCCAGACAAGCTTGTGGCTTATATTACTCGGGAGTCCTCTGCGAGCATTTTCAGACGGACCCAACATCAGGGCAAGAACAGCTAAACCATGGCGCCAAATGCCTCTTGGACCAGGCTTGTACGTTTCGTAGCTGAAGATGGGAAGACGTACTGCGGTCAGCCAGAGGACGAGACCATGGATGGTACGTGGATATCGCCATGTCGGTCCCCCATAACGAGTCGCTCATGTTCTCAGTTGGCCTCGCGTTTGCGGCAGGAGAGTCGATCCGCGTTCGAGTGAGAAGTTCAGAATCGGTCCTTGACGACAATGCAGAGCTCCTTGACGAGTACAAGGAGGTCAAGAAGGTTCCGTGCCATGCCACCCTGCGTAGACGCAGCTAATTTCTTCACAGCTCCTTTCACCACTCACAGCCGCCGAGACTGGCGCCATTCGTTGTGTTGGACTCAATTACAAAGACCATGCGGTAACTTTCACTCTCGAATCCTTGTCAGGCGCACTCCAGCTGACCAGAATAGGCTGAGATGAAGTTTGACCTGCCGACTCACCCTGAGATCTTCCTGAAGCCCGCCTCGTCACTGTGCAGCGCCTCAGACGTGATCCAGTTACCTAAGGTTGCAGCAGATGAGGTTGATGCCGAAGTTGAACTTGCTGTCGTCATAGGCAAGGACTGCAAGAACGTGGCCAGGGGGGACGCCCTGCAGTACGTCCTTGGCTACACTGTTGCGAACGATATGACCGCACGCGACGTGCAGAGGCGCGGGTCGCAATGGTCGTACTGCAAAGGCTTCGATGGCTTTTGTCCATTAGGGCCGACGCTTGTATCTGCCAGAACTCTCCCGGATCCCTCTGTTCTTCACGTCAAGACGACTTTGAACGAAACGACCATGCAGACGCAGGACGTCTCGGATATGATCTTCACCATCGGCGAGATAATTGAATATCTGTCATCTGTGAGTGCCCGCCTGGTGGACAAAGAGGACTCTGCTAATCTATGGTAGGGAAGTACACTCCCCAAAGGCACTGTCATCCTGACCGGTACTCCGGCTGGCATTGGCGCGAGCAAGAAGCCGCCGAAATTTTTGAAGGAAGGCGACGAGCTCAGAGTCTCGATCAGCCATGGTCTAGGGACTTTGGTGAACCCACTGGTTCTAGAGAAATAGGTCATCGCTTTCCGAGGATTAATTCAATGTCACCCGGGCAAAGGTTTGACGGCTTTCGAGAGACAGGTCAACGCTTTGACTCGAGTGTGCCAAGCAGCTCCTCCCAGGTCTGAAGGTCTGTGGGCTCGGGAAACGCTCTATTTTGGCCAAAGAAGGTATTGAGCCACTCGTCATCATAACGAATATCGTGGTCGTCGTACGGCAAGCCTTCGAAGTTGTATGTTTGCATCACAGAGGCCGCCTCGTGGTTGTGCCCAATCCCGTCAACGACTCTTGAAGATGAAACATCATGTTGGGCATTGGGCACATCAGCCTCCTGTCTGACCGGCGAGGGACGACGCGATCGATTCACGCTAGCAATACAAAGCTCGACGACTTTGATCTCTGCTAGCTCAAACTGGTTCGTCCATGGATCTTCGTTCTGCTTGGCGCAAAAAGCACGCAGATCTTCTAGGATCGCTTGAGTTCTCTCGGATCGAGGGTCGCGAACCGCAATAACTCCTAAGACCAAAGCACTGTTAAATAGCGAATGAGCGGCAACATTAAACCTGATGCGGTCGGCCATGCTGGGCTGGTGCAGCGTGAGGCGAGCAGTCAAGTCCGCGCATGCTGAAGCTATGCAAGCTTCTCTGCTCGCTTTGTACCTGTCGGTGATAGATGGGAGTAGAACATATGAGCGGTGAAGGGTCACCCTGATGAAGTGGTATGCCGAATGCAGGTACAGACGGTGCCAAACCAAGTACGGATGCAACTCGTCCAAGGAGTAGTCTGTTCTCTTGAGCGCAAAATATGACGGCAGCGTTCGTGACCAGTCTTGCAGAGCTTCGTCGAATGCGATAACTTTGTCGTAAGTTGCGCGAGCTGCCCCCGGCGTGAGATTGAAGCATTCGTCGTGGATCCTTCCACTGATGCGGGAAAGATGCTGCTGAAATACGAGATATGTCACTCTTGTAGGTTGGTCCATGGACAGCGGCTGGGCAGCCTCGGCTGCTTCGGCGTCCACATCGTCCACCCATATGTTCGAGATGTCCATGGGCGTGCAATGCTTGTCGTTGATGGTGTACGGTCGTCCTAATGCAAGTGATGTAGTGCGATCGAGGTAGTACAGTGAGGCCCAGAGGCGCCTCTTGATTTCGAGCACTTTCCGTGGTAGTCCCCAGCCCTTACCATCAATGTGCATACCTTGAGCCTGTGCCATGCGGACTGCGAAGCTCTGAGTGAGCCAGCTTTCGGGGATTCGCTTCAGGTGCAGCAAATAGCGACTTATCAGAATGCCAGCACGAACTAGGTCAGGGCTTTCCCCAGAGAATGTAGGTGATACAACCACTGCCTTTCGCGAAGCCCAGAAGAAGTGTAGACTACTCTCCTCAGACTCGCGTTGTTGCTCGATAGAGCATGGCTGAGGACAGACAAGTAGTTCGCCGAACGCAAGTACGATGAAAAGAAGCGAGAGCCAGCGAAGATCAACCGCATCCATATCGTCTTCACCATACTTTCTGTCCCAGAATTTGTTATAATGGGCCCAGAATGTCGGTTCGTACACCGCGTCGAACACAGGATTCAGCTCGCGAAGAAAGACTTCAACCAGACCGTCCACTGCTGCTTTTCGGCGAGGGAGGTAGCCTAGAAATTCCCAGAGATGGGTGTAAGGCCCTGCTTCGTTCCTGAATGACTGATTTGCTCCTCCTCGTCGGACACTTCCGAGATCTCGGGCGCTGTGTATACCACTGATGCCTGTGGGCAGGTTCGGACTAGGAACTGCCACCATGTTGGCAGCAACTTGTGCACTGAACCAGGCGCCCCCATGGTAAGCTGGGGCACCTCTCGAGTTCCAGAGCTGGCCAACATGGTTGCCACTATCAGATGATTGAGCAGGAACATCGGTGTCCTCACTCTGCGTAAGGGCCACAGATTGTGTGCGTGGGCTCAAAGAAGATGCTGGAAATGAACGATCGCTGACTGGTGCCTTGCAAAGATGCGCGACGCGCCGTTTGACGCAGTTCCCACATGGATGATTTCTGTCGCATTTCTGCTTTTGCTTGCGACATTCCGTGCAGATACCTTGGCTTCTTCGCGGCTTCTCGACTCGCCTCGGCGACAGCATATGGTCTATAGCCTATGTCATCGCTGAAATCGTATCACTCGCTAGCCCTCAGGTGACATTCTGACCGTGCGAGCTTAGTGCGCCACGATCAGTATCGTCACAGAGCAACAAGAGCCTGGCGAGCGATACGATGGAACCCCGTCCAAAGCCCCAATCGGGATCCTGAATCATGGGCCTCTTAGTAGATACTTCCTGCTGAGTCAGTATAGTCATTGCCTCGAGTTTGCCTCAATCTTCACCTTTTGTCGAAGAGGTATTAGTACCTAGTCACCTTGCCCACAACTTTGTCTTTCCCTTCCTTCATCAACGGCTGACGGCCGAATGAGCCATGCTTTGGTAGCAATATTTGCTACTTGATGGGGCGAGATGCTCTATTGAAGTCGCACAACAGCCTCGTAACTCCGTCTGCTGCTATCCATGTATCCCGTCCATTCTGACCTCGTGTTGCCTAGCAACGTCATCCCCTTTCTATCAAATGTTTCACTTACCCGCATGAAAGGTGCAGGTCACTAGAGGAAGATTGGAATTGTCCAAGCAAATGCTGCAGATGTGCCCGTTAATGTGACAGGTATTTCATCAACTGAGGTGCCACCCAGCCAAGTGCAAGACCGACCCACATTCCTCAGAGTTGCCTTCTTTGCCTGCACCGTGCCCTCCAGCCACTGAGGTATGTCAGTACCGCACTGACTACATAGTCACTGCACAATCCTGCCTTCCTTCTACATCCAAAAGTACGATTCTTCGTTCACCACGACTGACTGTCTGCTGGAATCACTTAGCAAGATTACACATCACAGAGTCAACTGCAGCAACAGTGGTCGGCATTATGTCAAACTCATTGACAATGCTGCTGGTCGCTATCTCCGCCCTCATCTTCTCAGCATTCACCGCCGCTCAAGTTGCACCTCTTGCCACCAATCAACCCGTCGGCACCACCTACCAAGCCATCCTCAATAGTAGCAAACCCATACAGGGCAGCATCACAGGTGTCGCAAGCGACAATGGCACTGGCGTCAACTTCAACATCATCCTGAGCGACTTCCCTGATTATGCGATCTATGGTCCTTTCGTAAGTCTCATTCCGCTGATTGCGTAGATCTTCCAGCCAGCCATGGCGGTGTACTAACTCAATTGCGCAGTCTATCACATCCACGTCGATCCTGTAGTCAACGGTAATTGCTCCTCGGCGGGCGGTCACCTACGTCCCTTCGGCGGCCCAGAAGATACCGTCAAATGCGATCCCTCCCACCCTGAGCTCTGCCAAGTTGGTGATCTCAGTGGCAAACACGGCAACATTACCCAAGAGGCACTCACCAACGGCAAATTCATGATCATGTACAATGACCTATACGTCAACGCAATCCAGGGCAATGAAGCATTCTTCGGAAGTCGGAGTATTGTCGTCCATGCTGCCAACTTGACGAGATTGAACTGTGCGAACTTCGTCTTGCAGGGAGCGTCGAACGGCACAGGGACCTCCACAGCCACGACAAGTGCTGGTACATCCATGGTCACGTCCTCGGCTACCGAGACTGGTACCGGTGTGACTTCGCAGACGGGCACTACCAGTTCTTCTAGCACTCGTACTGGTCCGTCGCCCTCCGCTATCACCAGCAGCGGTGGTGATGGCGGAGTCCCGGCTCTTCGAGACAATTCTTGGGTTGGAGTGGCCCTTATGGGTGTTTTGGGTGTTATGTTCGCTGCATAAACGGTGGACGGAGAACTTTGTTCCGGCATGGAACGAACGTCGTCAGACATTAGCATAGCGAGGTGCAGGAACAATAATGAAATCATGGACTTAGACCGGGCCTCCAGGGGGCTACCGGTGAAGTCAGCGCGTAGTGTGCCAAACCTCTGCCATTCTCTTCGCCAATCAACTCGACTTCTTGCAGGCTTGCGTCGACTGATCGCAAAATACCACTGATGGACTTCTGCACATGTTTTACAGAGGTGTCACTCCAACGTTGAGACGCCCACGACGTCTGAAATACATACATGACGAATCCTTGCTAGCTTGCTCGGCGTCCGCGGGCCCGGCGGAGCGCTGTATGTGACTCGTCTCTATCTAATTCATATGCAACGTATTCGTTTCCAGGAAAAAGCACGGAAGCATAGAAAGACTCGACATTAGTGTTTGTGTTTCTCTCGTACTAGCTATTGTTCCACAATAGACCACTATAATGGCCACGATGGCAGCGACGCTTCTCCCCAAGCCCTTCCTCCACCCTACAGGGCAATCTGTCCTACTACGTCCAAGGCCAGCTACTGCCGCCTGCTCTCTGTCTTTCCTAAGATCCAGTAGAAACAGCAGTGACCAAGCGAAACGGACGAGCAACCCAGGACAGCTGCCGAAATTCTCGATGAAGGACCTCCAGGCGTCCCCAACCGTCAAAGTTGTGGTGTATACTATGATCGGCATTATTGCCACGGCGGAGACGTACACTTACGGCCTGTGGGCTTATCATCGGTGGTTCAGAGTGTCAGACGAGGAGCGGGAAGTCGAAGCGTGACTTGGAAGGCAACCGCAACAGCAGGTGCTATCTAAGGACAACCGACCTTTCGTGGTGGGCCATCAACGGCTACCGGGACTTGAGACTCCGCGGCGCTGATCGCCCTTCGAAAGCGCATGAGGGCCAACTTGGGTCAGAATTCAACTTAACATTGTATGTTCCAGCCTTCGAGATCGCCAGAACAGTCGAGCTTATTTACAAGATTCCATCAGATCGAGGAAGAATGCGCATTTTTGGGAGCCTGAGATTAAGGGACAGAGCCTTCTTTCCAAGGTTGTGGGGGCAGGCTTGAGTTTCGTGGGGATCAAAAGTCAAAAAAAGCAGACAGCCGAGGTCCGCCTCGGTCAGACTGCGGTAGACGAGACCACGGTTGTCATCGGTCTTCGAGTCAGGACTACATTCAATACTGTTCATAGATTGTATAATACTCATCTCCTGTGCTCCTTATCTCACGTACTACAGCCGCTGGCAGGTCCTCTTCGCTTTGTGGCCCGTTGCAGACACAGTCACGCCTGATCTGGGATCATCCACTACCCCAGCCCTACAGACAACATCACTACCCAACTCCCCTCCCCAAACAAGATGTCCAACCAAATTCCCTTCTCCGAACCCCCCTGGCTCGATGGCCTTCCCTCCCCCTACTACAAAGAAACACACCGCAATTTTCAAAAAGCATGCCGGGCCTTCATCGACGAGCACCTGGCACCCTACGCCATCGAGTGGGAGCGCGAGGAGACCGCTCCTCCTCAGCTCTTTGAGACTTTCAGAAAGCACAACATGTTGATCCCGAACCTGCCTGCTCCGTTGCCGGTAGAGTGGCTGCATCGCGTGGGGATCTATGATATCTTGGGCGTGAAGGTGGAGGAGTGGGATTACTTCCATACGAGTATTTATCTGGATGAGATGTCACGGGTCGGGACGACTGGGCCAGGTGAGTTGAAGCTGGAGGTTGTGGAGTGGAGGCAAGGACTGACGATGTCGAAGGTGGATCAATGACAGCAGGCCACGCATTCGGCATCCCGCCCATCATCAAGTTCGGCAGCAAAGCCCTCCACGAGAAATTCCTGCCAGATCTGCTACCAGGCAAGAAGCGAGCTTGCATCGCCATCACAGAGCCCGGCGCTGGCAGCGATGTCGCCAACATCGCGACAACAGCGAAGAAGACCCCGGACGGGAAGCACTATATCATTAATGGCGAGAAGAAGTGGATTACCAATGGCTTTTGGAGTGACTATGCGGCAATGGCTGTAAGGACTGGTGGGAAGGGTGCGTCGGGGTTGAGTATGATAGTGTGTCCATTGAAGGGATACCCGGGTGTGACGATGAGGAGGTTGAAGGTGCAGGGCCAGATCGCGGCGGGAACGACGTATATTGAGCTGGATGATGTGAAGGTGCCGGTGGAGAATTTGATTGGTGAGGAGGGGAAGGGAATGGGATATGTGATGGTGAGTGTGCCGTTCGCATTCTGTCTTTTGATTGCCGGGAGTCCAGCCAGCGTGGTCGGACATCCGTTGCTTGTCGCTCGACGACACCGAGGTTTCGGCCAACACTACTACCTATCTGCCACGAGTACTGACCTATTTTCTGTAGACAAACTTCAACCACGAACGCCTCACAATCGCCTGCGGCGTCACCCGCTCCGCCCGCGTCGCCCTCTCAGCAGCCATGGCATACGTAATGAAGCGCGAAGCTTCGGCAAGACCCTCGTCGAGCAGCCGGTTGTCCGACACCGCCTTGCCAAAGCTGGCGCCGAGCTCGAGATGATGCAAGCCTGGGTCGAGAGCTTCCTGTACAACATGACGCAACTATCCAAGGAAGAGGCCGATGCACGGCTGGGCGGCCTGACTGCTCTTGCGAAGGCGAAAGCTGGTATGGTGCTGAATGAGTGCGCTCAGACTGCTGTTCTGTTGTTTGGCGGCAATGGGTATACGAGGACGGGGCAAGGTGAGATTGCTGAGAAGATGTATAGGGAGGTTATGGGTGCCAGAATTCCTGGTGGAAGTGAGGATGTCATGTTGGATCTGGCGATTCGGCAGCTGGTCAAGAACTATCATCGTGAGACGGCTAAGTTGGACAGGCCGAAGGGGAGCTCTAAGTTGTAAATGAATAAATGAATTTTGGTTGAAGTCATACATCATATTCGAGCTGCCTTCTGGGCAGAGACTGGGTCGAGATCATGCCACAAGCACTCCTTCTGCTGCATCTCCCTCTTCTGGTTCCCAAAGAGCTTCCAATCCCGCTTCCTCTTCTTTAAGCCGCGCGACCAGATGCGCTTCTCGTTTTGCGAGCAGTGCCTTCCTCTCCTTCTCCCGTGCTTCCTGCTCTCGCTTTATCTTCTCCTGCTCCTGCTTCAGCAGCTGTTCTTGTCTCTGCGCCGCGTCAGCCTCTTCTTGTCTCCGCTTCTTGTCAGCGTCAGCCTCTTCTTGTCTTCGCTTCTTTTCAGCGTCAGCCTTTTCGCAGTGGTTGCTCTGCCCGCTGCTTAGCCGCGACCCACGCTCGGTTCTCTTCTCTCCTCTCATCACTGAACAACATCTCCTGCTCAGCAATGATTTCCGGGCTCATCTCCGGCCACTTTACGCTCCGCCTTGGGCCTCGCTGCCTGCCGCCTGTGCCTCCGCGAAGTCTAAGATTCTCCTTCTTCCTTTCCTCGTTACGCTGCTCGGTGTTGATCAGGCCTGTTGCGAGCGCAGTGGTGAGCTCGCAAGGCTTGCTCGTGTCAACCTTATACCAGGACTTGTTGCGAGCTCCTGTGGGAGCACGCTTCTGCTGACCCTGTGGACCGGGAGGACTCGGCAACTGCGTTGGCTCGGGTGTGGCGGCAAGGACACCAGGAGTCGATGCTTCACGGTCCAGAGTGCGAGCCTCGAGGAAAGTAAGCTCGTCGTCGATGTTCTCCTTGTCGTCGTAGACCACGATAGGCCGCTGAGACCTGATTCTAGTGACCACCACGTCGTCGTCCTCGTCCGAGCGAGGACGCTTTTGGCCACGTGGCTGGAATGATATGTTCTCAACAGGCGAGAGCGGTCCTGCAGGAGTGTTCGCATTGTTTTGGTTCGGGCCAGCAACACTCCCAGTATATATGTTGATCTGGGTTGCCCGGATGTCCTGGCCCCTCGGGACGAATCTTGGCTGCTGGACAGCTGTAGAAAACCCAGCGTGGTTGCTCGGCTGTCGGACAGGAGCAGGAGCCCTGGCATGGTAAGTCGGATTTTGGATAGGAGCAGGAACTTGAGCATTGTGTGCCATTTGCCGGACTGGAGCAGGGGCTGGAGCATGGTAAGTCGGCTGTCGGACGGGAGCAGGAACTGCATGGCCGTACGTCAGGTCCGAGTAATGCTGCTGGTACATGTTGACCTGTGGACTTTGCCCGCGCTGAGCTGTCTGAGGTCGTATTGGCTGCTGAGAACGCGGTGGTGGTGCAACGTGGTTCGTCGCATTGGGAAAGCCCTGCTGATATGTGCCAGGCTGGGTGTCATCCATGAATGTGACTTCTTGGGGAGCCATCGGCTGCTGACGGTTATTGAGAGGCGTCATCGTCTGCTGTTGCTCGTATGGTGGTGGTGAGGAGAGATTAGGTGCCCTGGACGGCTGACGTGGATACGGCGGCGGATCGCAAGCGGCAGAGCCTCCATTGCAGCGACGGGAAGGGGAGGACGAGCGACACATTGTGAGTGACGAGAGAATTCAAGAACCAGATTTGAGTTGTGTTCGAGTTTGGGGCCGGATGTTGGAGCGATCCTACGCTTCTTTGCAGGTGTAGAGGCAAGTAGTTTGTCGAGAGGATAGGATCAGAATACTAGAAGGGAAAACGGCCGTAGTGATATAGCATGAACAAGGTACTCATGGAAAGATGCCCTCGAAAGGTACTCAGGGAGTCCTTCGAGCATGAGATCAATATTCCGGCGTCGCTGCAGCTGGTCGTGTTCTGTGGCCTGTCATCGTATATTCGGTGGGATTGCGAAGCGAGGGAAGTCAGGAGGGAAGCGGGAAGAGGCATGCAGCCAAGATATAGGAGGCGAGAGTGCATTGAATGGCTTCAATAAACCCATTCTCTGAATGGATGTGCTATTATCGATGGATGAACAGGAGCATTTGGCAACGCGTCGTCTGAATAGAGGAAGGCTATTGTCTTCGAATTGCATAGCTCGTGGCTTGACTGATTGTAAGTCTGCGTTGATCGTCATGGATCGGTCGCTATAGGTGAGTGAGCTCGAAACCAAGGGAAGACATCAATCTCGCAGCTGGACAGGGCAGATGTTCGGCTTCTGAGCCTGCACGGGTTTACCCTGGCCCAAGAAGTGATTAGGCAGCGGCCGCACCTTGTAAGTACGCGGCCTTGAGCTGTAGCTTCCCTACCTACCCTAGGTAGATAGGTAGTGGAAGAAACTGGCAAGGCTGTCACTTCCCGGTCGGCATACGACGAAAGGTGTGCACACGATCCATCGCTGTCACTCAAATTGGAACATGGGGAGAGTTTCGCCCATACCAAGCGACGGAGTATCCGGCAGATATGTGCTTTCTATCGCTTTAGTGACCGTGGCGGATTTCCAGAGGTTGTAATTCTCATGGAATGTTCTACCACATCTACTCCGAAATCCAGACTTGCGGAGGACCGATTAGTAGTAGACGACATGCTCGCACCTAGCCTCTGTTCATCGAGAGCTGCGCAAATGTTGAGGATGCTGCACGTAGTACGGCGCTTGTTCCGAAAACGAGCGAGGTGATTCTAAGTAACGAGCTGGCTCATGGCAGTAGCATAGAAGCCAAGGTCTCACCGAAGCTGAGGTGTCCTCGTCCTCGTCTGAGGTTCAGCTCCCTCATGACTAGCGCCGGATTTGAACCCCGAGAACCTGGGATCCCATCGGCGCAAGTTGGAGGTCGCGCAATGCACAAGATCTCCAACCACTGGTCGATCTTCTAGGTCTACCAGCATTGTCTGATCACCTAGCCGCTGCCGCCAGTACTCTCAGTAGACTGTTGTGCTCACACTGAGGCGTGCACGCCTGCAGCCTGGCCCGTTCGCTGCACCAGCGTCTATGTGGCTTTCAATATGAGTGTAATATTGTGCACAGGTTAGTCTCGCTCGAGGATGATCTGGACCACACTGACCTCGCCAGCGGGATATGACCATACAATCAGGTACGGGACGCCCCCCGCGCTGGCGTTTCTCCCGGTTAACATGAATAGATTCTGGGAAGCACTAAGCGGCATCTGCAGCAGAACGATACAGCACCCCGAATCGCAGGTCAATCGATTATGTATTACCCCGGACAAGAAGTTCCTGGCTGCGGCTGGTCGACATCATGTCCGTCTGTACGACATCAAGTCCTCGAATCCGAATGTCATCATGAATTTTGAGGGACATACCAACAACATAACCGGCGTCGCGTTTCATTGCGAGGGAAAATGGATGGTCACTTCTTCAGAGGACTGCACGGTCAGAGTGTGGGATACGAGGTCGGGTCAGATCCAGCGCTCTTACACGCACGATCATCCCGTCAACGATGTCGTTATACATCCCAACCAAGGCGAGCTCGTCTCGGCCGATCGTGGCGGCGTCATCATGATATGGGATCTTGGTGATAATAAGTGCACTCACCAGCTCATTCCTGAGGACGACGTATCGATCTCGAGCGTGAGCATCGCTTCCGATGGCTCTCTGCTCGCTGCTGGAAACAACAAGGGCGACGTATACATGTGGCGGATGTTCCAAAGTCAGGAAACGACCACACTCTCACCATGTCGAGTGTTCAATGCACACAAGACTTATCTTACTCGACTTCTGCTGTCCCCGGACATCAAACTACTTGCGACCTGCTCCGCCGATCATACCGTCCGCATCTGGCGCATCGACATGAATGAGGAAAATCTCGAACTTGTCCCCGAACTACCGAAGCAGGCTGGCTCTGAGCCCATCGCCCAATATCCTGGTGGTCCAGCGTCCCCGGCTGACAGCACTGACTCTGTGGACGATGGTCCCAGCTTCCAGGCACGACAGGGCAGGTCTCGCTCTTCCTCAAATCTCACCTCCTCGTCGCATCCATCCCGTCCGTCCACTTCAGCATCAAATGCGCCCCTCGATACCTTCAAGCCGGTGAACGCTGTTATTGCCAATCGCCACCCGCTACCATTAGAAACAATACTTGAATCTCACCAACGGTGGGTCTGGGATTGTGCGTTCAGTGCGGACAGTGCGTATCTCGTCACGGTATGCAGCGACCATTATGCGCGGTTGTGGGAGGTGGCAAGTGCGACCATTATCCGGCAGTACAATGGACATCATCGAGGTGCAGTGTGTGTGGCTCTGAATGACTACTCGAGTCAGACCTGATGGCACGTGGTTGAATGGGGCTTTAATGATGACGGAAATGATCGCATACGGGACAGGATAGAGACCATGGAGCTGCGGGCTGGCAGTATTGCTCCGATTTGCATTATCCAGCGCCACTACGACTGAACAGTCTTAAGAACTAGTCGAAGCATGTAGACCTGGAGCGCCTGGGATGACCTTAGCTTCGCAATGATACCCCTTTCGTGGCATTTACAGATCTGTTTCGAGTCAACTCCGCCGTATCTGAGTACCCAGTGTCACTTCACTTTTACTGATGCCCGCCCAGCGCATACTGCTCCTGATCTGTGTCCCTACAATGCGGGAACGAGACAACTCTCCGACCCGAGTCAACTCATCGGTCTACTCAGTGAACCCGCCAGCACCTCCCGTTGCGGAGGCCAGACCCCCAATTCCACATACTCTTGCCCATAGCGCCCTTTCATGCCTCGACGACCCTAAGCACAAAATTCACAACCACAGCCGCCAACAGCGCCAAAGCCAGCACACTGGGCCCGATCCTGTCATCGAACCCACCCTGACCACGTTGACGAATGCTCTTCGCTCGCCAGTGGAACGTAAACAAGGCGTAGATCATAGCTGCCATGCTACCAACGTAAACAGCCCAGCTGAGATACGGCCGACGGAGTCGCCGAAATTGAGAAGTCCGACTGCTAGACCGCCGAGGATGACTGTGAAGTTGAGCCATGAGAGGAATGTTCGCTCGTTGGCGAAGAAGACTTTGGGCTCAACGCGGGTGGGGAGGGCTATTCGTTTGCCTGGGGAGGTGTCAGTGCTGGTAGTGCGTGGTGTGAGGGGGTGAGAGCCTACCATTGGAGGTTTGGAGGAGTGGTTGACTCGACATATTTGTGTCTTGTGCGTTGTACCTGCTCCTCAATCGCTTGCGGCTGGGCTCGAGCGTTTCTAGTAAGAAGCCGTGTAGCTGCTGCAGCAGAGTGGACGATGAGATCTCTGGCGGCTCGTGTAGCCTCTGATTGTTGCGTATCAAAAGCTCGCGGATGGTCCTGTGTGTGGTATCGCAATGCGCTACAAGAAGCTAGTGATGAATGCTGGTGGACGAATACTGGTTGCAACGAGAGCTGACGACCGGAGTGACTGCAGCACGAGAGCACATACGCCGGTTGATTCTAGTGGAACTTGGGAAGGTGCCGCTTGCTGCGAATGTGGTTGTGAGTACAGAAATTCGAAGCTATCATCTTTTGCATCTTTTCTTCTACCAACCCGATGCAAAAGCGAGGTTGAAGCTGCGGGGCTCAACTGGTCGGCGCATGCTTCAATGCTCGACAACGATTCGCTACAAGGGCCTCACGCGAGCTTGAGGCCGGGATCGACGCCACAGGCCCGGCAAGCATCAAAATGCGGTACCCGTTCGCTTCGAGCTCGCCCTTGCAGGCCGCCGTAGCGCCGATCGACAAAACATCGTCAACATCAACAACTGTTACCACTTCAACCTCACCTGGCGATTTCCCATTGCCTACTCGCCGCACTCATCCTTATCCCGCTTCCCTCCCGAACGTGCCGATTCTGCCTGGTCTCGACGGCTCGCAATCAAGGTCACTTATACCTGAGAACAACACAACTCTAGCCTCGCCTGGTACATCGTTCAAGCAACGTCTTCTTCATAAAGCGTCTAGCGTTCGCTTCAAGGTCAGGCGGACTGCTGAGCCTGGGGAAGACCGTCCACTAGATCATAAGGTCCCGCCATCAGCCTTGCGGAAGTCCTTTGTCAAAGGAACGCCCACCACAGTGCTGCCTGACCTCGATCGCACACCCGAGCAGTCACTACCTCGTAGCACGTCTCTCTCGCCCGTTGACTTCGAATCGCTGTCCCATCCCATAAGAAGATTTCAGCTCCCTCGTGAAGGACACAAGGACTACTCACAACAATCGATCACAACCAACCACACCTTCGTCAAGATGGCGTCTGAATCTGCTCAACCTCCAGTGTCTTATTCCCGTCTACAGCAGATCACGACCTCAGTAAGTCCAATCTGCACACTCAAGCCGAAAGGCTTCTCAGGCAGCCGCTGAGGCTTTCCCCGAACATATGACTATCGAGGCATGTACTGATTGCATACGCAGGCGTGCGAGAAAGCGCTAGGATCAATTTCGTCCTACAACCATGCCTCAACCGAAGACTGGAATACTACAATTATCAACACGATTCTCGGAACACTTGTGGAAGAAACCACACCACAAGCTGCCGACGGTGGTGCTGATTCGCAACCTCAGCCGCCTTTCAAGTTTGTGGTCAACTCTACCATTATCCAGCACGCTCCCACAAGTTCAGGTGCCTCGGGCGATCCGAGTGTGACCGGACGGAGAGGCATGCATGCGGCCAGCGGCGCTTTCTGGAGCAACGAGAAGGATGGCATGTGGAGCTACAAATATTCTGCGGCCGAGAACAAAGGCTTCGACGTAGTCGTCGGTATCATCTGGATTTTCATCGGCTAAGCAGGATACCTCTGGATGTTGGCCTGCTGAGAACGTACTCGCAAATTCGGAGTGGACACGTTTGGAGCGCTCGCAATGTCACTAAGCTGGTGTCGCGTCATCACAGGAGATGTAGTTGCGCAAGCCCAAGCGGGGCGCAGGCTGATCGTAGCTGTAGCTGCTGCAGCAGTAATTGCGCCAGTGTTCCGAATCGATCATGGTTGCAGGGTGGCGATGCAGGCGATGATGTTGGTTGCTCAAACAGGTAGACTATATGGCCCGATTTGAAAGAGCACTTGTCAAATCATGTCCCGATACAGCTTGCGCAGACCTGTCAATCTCAAAACGTACGGTGCGCACACTTACCTAAGGTAAACGAGGAGTTCGGCACCTCGAAAGGTTGCAGCAGCTCGGATACCGCGTAATGCAGGACGTAAAGCTAACCGAGACGCCCTGGAGGGCATCCGGTGGAAGGTCAATAATGTTTATGATCAGACTGGGAAATAAAATCTTGCAAGACAAAAGTCGAGATAAGATTCTGCCACACTCTGTGGTGGCGCCCGATCTGAGTCGTGTAACCTCGCTACCACCAGACACTTCGGATCAACGGCCGAAGGCTTGCAGAGCTCTTGATGGCGGTGCCTAGGTCTGGACCCTGCGAGTCTGGCACTTTCGGTCATCAGTGTCGTCCTGACTACTTACGAGGTCCGACAAATTCATGCACAAAAGATGCTGATCGAAGTGGCTCATGCTACATCTTGCACAACCGTGGTCCTTCAATGACGCTCCCAGAAAGCCCCTCCCGCCGCTGACGACTCAGCGACGATCACGCTTCAGGGCCCGGCACATGATCCGATGGCTATGCAAGCAACGTTGGCAGCTCCTTTCTCGAGAAGGCAGTCACAAGGCACTGACAAGACTTTTCGACGCTGCCGTCCCAAGGTTTGAACACGACACACACGACTAGGACTGCCGTCCATTCATTTCTCCGCACTTGCATACGTCTGCACCTGAGCAGGCAAGCGCAGCTCTCATGATTTCTGTCTTAGATTCGCTGTCCTGACTGCGAGATAGTGATAGGCTGCTTCGATGTCATTTCGACTTCAGTCAGAATGCAGAGGTACCAACCAGGATGGTGAGGCTCTTTGCAGTCTGATGCACCAGTGGGAGAAATTCAACATCCCCTGACGGAATTTCAGCTTCGACGCACCAGAACTCAGTATTTCGGACGTCTTATTGGCTGCTGTCAAACTTTGAGGCTTGATGCCATCGGGGACTTTTGACCTTGACGACTCCTCGGCTGCCCTAGCGTCGATCTTGTTCGACCTGCATTCTAATCATATGTCCACTTCAGGTGCAACAAGTCTTGAGTATGGTATGCATGCCCACGGTCTTAGGCTGGAGCATCATTGGCTTTGGGAAAGCGCGATCATGAGCCAGGCAATGCTTCCATCAGGCTCAGCTCGCTGAACCTGTCAATCGGAGTAGAGAGGCACTACAGTATACCCCATTCTGCTCGCTACGATTGCGCGGCCATTTTCAGACTGCCCGGGTGCTTCAACGGTCGAAACAAGACCACCTTCGGAGCTGACTATGACCAAACTGGCATCACAAATTGCACAAGCTGAGCCATATCCAGTGCGTTTGCGCATAACGAAAGTCAGTGGATCCACGATGACAGACCGCTCACATGTCCAAGTTGATCGTCGTCCAGGGCCATCTCTCCTAAGTTCGTCCCAAGACACTGGGCCGAATTCCGGGAAACTCTTTTGACTCAACATGTTTTTGACTCACGTGGATGCGCGAACTCACGTCTGAGCCTGATGCCAACCTCAAGGCGCTTGGCCTTACCAGGCGATGGGAACAACACCCGAGGCATGCAATGCCATGAGATCCGGTCCGTTCATCAAGACTGCCTCCGGAGGCGACCGAGCAGTACGCTTGGCTAGCCTACCTTCCAGCAACATGTTGTCATTTGTTCTTCCAGCAGGACCCCCCTGTGGCAGCTGTCAGACTACTGACGCCACCGGTATGCCAACCCCGCCTACGATCTCCTGCTGTCAATTTCTTCTTTCCTCCTGGGAACCCTCTGCTTTCCTATAACACTACCGATCGAGGTGTGGCCCTCGGACTCCAGTTGACCGGCTTTGATTAAGCGAGACCTGCGACCCCATTGATATTCGCACAGAGCAACTTTCGGACTACAGCTCGTAGACCTTACCTGTGAAGGCATCAGAGATGACGGCTGAGCCGGCGATCTACGCGCTTGCCAGCCTTTGAAGAGTCCAACGCCGCAAGCCGGCTGCATCAGTCGCTCGGCATAGCTCCCCTACGAAAATTTGTTAAACTCAACAGAGCGCTCGATTCGCTGCAGGACCCATCGTCTAGCATCGCAACGGTTGTGGCACACGCCAATCAATCTGTTCCTTCCCTTCTGTCAACTAATGGTGAAATATGCCAGGCTATTTACCGTTTCAAAAATTTAGAAGCTGACTGCCTTCCGCGAACGACTCCCGGCATATTCCCACAGTACCGAATTGATCTGTCTGGCTTGTCAGCTATACACCAACTACCTTGACCGTTGCGGCAGGGCCCGTTCCTGGCATTCCTGTCGTCAGCCCGTTCTAGGTTCTCGTAACGGGCTTTCATGCCGGAGCGAGAACGATATTAATCCCAGTTCATGGCATCTGTACATAAGATCTCACGATGATCATAGCTGAATCAGGAGCAATCACAGCGATCTGGCACACAACGACTCCCATCATGAGTGACTTTGGCCCCGAGTACAGCAAGGCTGACAAGAAGAGGTATGTACCGCAAGTATAGTAGCCTGGTAACACGCTCACTGTTGCAGGGAATACAATCGAAATGCTCAGCGGGTATTTCGTAAGTGCCTTCATCTGAGAGGACGACCAAGTATCGAGAGTTGACACAACCAGGTCAACGACGGAAAGAACACCTGAGCAAGCTGGAGCAGGCGCATCGTGAGAAGCAGGACATGCAAAGCGACGAGATGCAACGTCTCCGACGAGAGAACCAAGCTCTTCAGGCGGAGAACGAGTCGCTGAAAGCAGCATACGCCTCGCAAGGAAACTCCCCTGCGCCATCTCTCAGTCCCATAGACACGAGACTCAACGCCCATCTGCCCTACGGCGAACCTCAAATGTCCTTGGAAGCCGTCAGCGCAACGACGCCAGCCGCGATGACACCTGTCATCCCGACGATGATGCAAGATCACTCGAGCATCGTTGTCGTGCAGCCGAACAACATCCATGAGATACGAAGATACCTACATCAGGTGTTCGCCCCATTGCTCGATATGTCAGTCATCCACAACCCGCAAGCTCACCTCGCGACGCTTCAGGCTCTACGACCTTCACTGCCTTCGTCCCTGAAGCCTTCTCAGCTGCAGCTGACCACAACGCACAACGTCTACATCGACATGATTCCCTCGCCCCATCTCCGAGATCAGCTGATTCGCGTCGGCCCTGCTCGAGCCAGCAGCTTCCTGATGGAGGCATGCACGTTGGTGTGCCAGATTGAAGATGTTGGACAAATGACTATCTGGGGTGAGGACTGGTTGAACGAGTTCTCGTGGGAGTTCTCGCCAGCCGTTCTCGAGCGCTTCGGGCCGTGGCTTCTGGGCCGGGAATGGGGACAGCGGGCGAATTACTGGCGCAAGCAACGGGGTGCTCCGAGACTACCAGGCTATGATTGAAGACGGCGGCTACAGCTCAGGTCGCCCAGGTTGAGCGATCGGCGTGCGTCCCATGTCTGCGCCCAGCTGATCTTGGACTTGAACGTGATCGTCTGTCGCAGTCGACAGTCTCCATCGAAGAGGCCTGAACCGACAGCAGTGATGATTGCAACCGATCTGGACGACGGCCACCCACGGCACCCTATAGCGAATCGACTACGGCAACCCTTGGACGCATCATGCACGAGCTCGAGAATGTCGACACGTATTGATCCACATGAATGTCACTATGCATCGAATCTAGCCGATTAAACTACTATAGCCGGCAGACTCCGCCCTGCGCCTCGAATACATGTCTGACGCCCTCGACCGCGACGGGCGCGCGAAACATACCTGTTCCCGACAGCTCCTGGGCTCACGGACTCGATGTGCTGCGCCTTTAGGTTTCGTCGCCTCCGATCAGCTTGCAAAGACCGATGGAGTGACATCAAATCCATTCAAGAAGACTATCAGTTCTAAGAGGAGACCTCCCTTCCATTGTGAACACGCCTTCAACCACCCAGCTTCCCATTGTGGGTGAGGCAGCTCCTTCGTAGACCTAACAAGAAAGAAGCGGAAGGAGTGGTCAGCTCGCTTCTTTTCCCGCGGGACCTTCGCCCCCCTGTTGAGGAAGGTGCAGACCTCGCAGATACGGAGTGGAAAGAGCCTCCGGCCTACCTCTTGCCGCACGAGGCCTTTGACGTCTTGTCGAGGCAGGCGCGACCCGAACCGGAGTGTCTAGGAGGTTTATTGAGGAACGCGCGATCATGAGCGCTGGGCTTAGCACAGACCGGATGACAAGAAATACATTGGCTGCGAATTGCACATCTCCAACACCACATCACCCTCACAGTGCAGACTCGAAACCACCACAAGTGACCAACAGGTCGATTGCTATAGAGAAGAGCGTCCAAGCGACAGGAGATGGGTATCATGTCTATGTACATTAATCTTACAATATATAATAGATTACAGCTGGGTGGTGTGGTACAATAAAGTCGAGAGTCGTGCTATGCGCTTTTTGCATGTCCGTTCGCTATGCTCCCCAAGATTGCAGATTCCAGAAGTTTTGTTATCGTAAGATCATTTACACCTTTCTGTCGCAAAAGAGCCCACGACCTCGATGGTCGCACTCAGACTTCGACCGCCAAATGCTCACCACCCTCAGCAATCACAACCTTCGCCGTCGCACCAGTCACCAACTCCCCCCTGATAATCTTCTCCGCCAGCTTCCGCCCGATCTCCGTGCTGATCAGCCGATTCAACGGCCGCGCACCATACCGCGGCTCATAGCCCTTATCGCACAGCCAATCCTTCACATCCTCACCCATCTCGATCGTCATCCTCCGATCCTCCAGCCTGCCCTGCAGCTCCTTCAACCTGATATCCACGATATCCCGCAACGCGCTCTTGCTGAGCTTATTGAACACAATGAACTCGTCTATCCGATTCAGGAACTCCGGCGCGTAGCTCGACTGGACGATGTCCATCACCATCGACTTCTGCTCGGGCGTGACGGACTCCCCTGTGCCAGCGACGAGGATGTCGGCGCCGAGGTTCGAGGTGAAGACGATGAGCGTATTGCGGAAGTCGACCTTGTGCCCTTGGCTGTCCGTGAGAAAACCCTCGTCGAGGACTTGCAGGAGTAACGAGGACACATCGCGGTGTGCTTTTTCGAACTCGTCGAAGAGGAGAACAGCGTAGGGTTTCCGACGCACGGCTTCAGTAAGCTGGCCTGCGTCCTCATACCCAACGTACCCTGCGGTGGCGCCGATGAGGCGGGAAATAGTGTGCTTCTCTTGGAACTCAGACATGTCGAAGCGCACGACGGCGGATTCGGTCGAGAACAAAAAGTTGGCGAGTTGTTTGCAGAGCTCGGTCTTGCCCACACCGGTCGGGCCGAGGAAGAAGAAGGAGCCCAATGGGCGGTTCTCGCCGTTGAGGCCGGCACGCTGCATGCGCACGGCGTTGGCGACGGCGGTGAGCGCTTCATCTTGGCCGCGGACGTGCGAGCGGAGTTTGTCTTCCATCGAGATGAGCTTCTCGACTTCGCCTGCCATGAGTTTCGTGACGGGAATGCCGGTGGTGCGGGAGACGACGCCGGCGATGTCGTCGGATGTGACGGAGTCATGGATTAGGGTTTCGCTGGAGGAGGACTGTGAGCTGTTGTCGGCGTTGTCGGCTGGGAGTTGGCCTTCGAGGCGAGGGATTACCGAGTATTGCAATTCGGATGCCCGCGCGAAGTTGTTATTGCGGCGGGCAAGTTCAAGGTCCTGTCTGGCCTTTTCGATTTCTTCTTTGGTTTTCTTGATGTTCTCGATCTCGCCGCGCTCCTTGTCCCAGATCTTGGTCAGGCGATCTGCCTCGGCTCGTTTGGTGGTCAAAGTGGTCTCGAGCTTCTCACGTCGTTCTTTTGAGGCGATGTCGGTTTCCTTGCGTAAAGATTCTAGCTCGATCTGGATAGTCATAATTTCTCGGTCGAGCGTCTGGATGCTGTCTGGCTTGGATTCTTGCTGAAGACGTAATGCAGAAGCCGCTTCGTCTACAAGATCAATGGCTTTGTCTGGTAGAAAGCGATCGGTGATGTACCGGTTCGAGTAAGTGGCAGCCGCAACAAGCGCGCTGTCGGTGATTCTCACACCGTGGTGGACTTCATAGCGATCTTTAATGCCTCTGAGGATTGATATAGTGTCCTGCACAGTAGGCTCACCTACTTGAATTGGCTGAAATCTGCGAGCCAGAGCCACGTCCTTTTCAATCTGGCGATACTCGTTCAGAGTGGTGGCACCACAGCATTGCAATTCACCCCGCGACAGCGCCGGCTTGAGTAAATTGCTGGCATCGATAGATCCTCTGCCTTACCCAGACCGAGAAGTGTGTGTAGCTCATCAACGAACAGGATCACACCACCATGGGCATCTTCGACCTCCTTGAGCACTCTTTTCAAGCGCTCCTCGAAGTCTCCACGAAACTTCGCTCCTGCTATGAGCTGTCCCAGATCCAATGAGATGACTCGTTTGTTCTTTATCGACTCTGGCACATCTCCTCTGACTATGCGCTGTGCCAGCCCTTCGAGTATGGCAGTCTTGCCTGTACCAGCGGCACCAATCAAGACTGGGTTATTCTTCGTCCGCCTCGACAGGATCTGGATGGTCCGATGGATCTCAGCGTCGCGGCCGATGACCGGATCGAGCTTTCCATCGACTGCGCGCTGGGTCAAGTCGACGCCGTACTCCTCCAACGCAGGCTTTTGCGGCTCGCCCCCACCCATGTCCATTCGATGGGTGCCACCGGGAGGCTGAGGAGGGCCACGCGGACGACCAGTGGCATATGTGCGTACTGACATGCGCGATGCGTGCGTACATATCGGGGAGGCATGCTGAATCAAGGAGGTCGGTATCCGCCTTGTTGGCCTGGCTGTGCTCAGTATGGATGAAATTCGAGATGGCACATGCCTACGGGCAATGGCCGCTTGCGCGGCTCGTGCTGTCGCCATGGTGCCTTGTGTCGAGTCTACCAGGTGGCAGCTACCGCATTATCGGTAGCCCGGACGAGCACTTATCATCTTTGCACAGTCTTAGAACAAGTCAAGAAAATGCGCATCAACGTCAGTACATCTCGAATCTACGAGAATGTAGTAGTAGGTGCCGCAGGGTGCGATTGGTGCGGAGCGCGAAAGTGGGCCTATGATTTTCACCTCCTCTCCAGGCATCGCGTATGAAGTACGTAATTTGCAACTCTGACAGCAGACACTTAAGGCATCGCGAAGTCTTGCCGGCGCATGAGTGACCACCGTGCAGGGGGAAGAAAGAGAAAGGTACAGCGCGATTTCCACATGTTTTATTTGATGAAGCTAGCCTCCATCACCCAAAAGAACGTTATTATCAAGCCACGAGTTCAATCCTGGTATACCAGGAGACATCAGAATCGGCCGATGAAAAGAAAGAAGTCGCGCGTGGTGAAAAGCAGTCTTGCATCTGTGTGCTGTCGACCCGTGGGTGACGCACGCAAGTAATCTGCATTACCGACCCATAACCGAGTATGGCCGTCAGCGATATGATCGGGAGAAGCCTGAATTTCTGCTGTCCTTTTCAGGCGCAGATCCACCAACCCCAATGCTGATTGACGAGAAAGCCTGACAGAGATCGCCTGAACCAAGTGAATGGTACACGATCGTCATCAATCTCAATGTGATCGCTGTTCGAAATGAAAAATGACATCGATGTGGCGGGTGAGGCAGCCTCAATTGGCATAAGCCTGCTCGAAGATGTTCCGTCAGGAAGATCTTCAACCCCCATCATCATGCTGCATCGACTGAGAGGCTGTTCGGGCACACAAGCCGACAGCATCAAGACCGTGCGTTCAATTGCCCAATTGCAGAGCGTGTATCGTGTCGTCAAGGAAATTTTGTTTAGGAGTCTTCCACGGAGGACTGGCAACTATGACGAGGAAGTACAGGTCGTGGTCGATAAAGTCAATCGGCATCAGGATCACCACCCATACGGAAGATGATGCCTCGTAGCCGGTTGATCTCTGCTTCCATGGCCTCGCTCATCTCCAGCTTACGCTGTCGAGACTTCCGAGCTGCTGCCGTGTTCTTCTTTCGCTTCGCAGTCTCCTTGTCGTCCTCAGAGTCAATCGCAATTTCAGGAAGATCCTTGCGGACGACCTTCTTGGAGATACCAGAAGACTCAGAGTGCTTGCGAATGTGAGGAACGTTGGCAGGATATGGTGCTGGTGGTCGACCAGGAGAAGACTTCTGTCGAACCATGGGAGAACCGTTATTCGAGGCAGAGCGAGTGGACTGAGACTTGAGTGAAGTGAAGCTTGCATCTCGGCGTGGCTTTTCGTCGACGAGTTGCTCACCGAACTGATCCAGGTCAGGAGGGAAGAGGGGACCCATCGCGTCGAGTTGCGAGAAGTCGAGTGTGCTGTCGAGGAGACCATTGTCCATTGGAGAAGTGTTTAGACCGCTAGAAGCCATCGCAGGAGACTCAAGGTAGCTGGAGTCTGGAGTGCTGAGGTTTGGGAAGGCAGTAGACGGTGGATTGGACATGATGTACGAATCAGCTCGCATCAACTCAGCTGGAGAGATAGTGCCAGTCGCCGTGTCGTCGAAGTTGTAGTCAAACCCGTCCCCAGAAGCGATCGCGTCGCTCTGGGGAAGGAACATGTTGTCAAACTCCATGGTGTCTGCAGATGGAATTAGCTTCACACTTCTTGCTATCAAATGATATGCAGACGTACTGGTACCGAAGGCCGAGTTCATCGACGAGTTCCAAGTATTAGGCACTGGAGGCAAAGTTGAAAGGCGATTCTGTTGACGATGATAACGTTGATATTGCAATGCGGGACTAAGATTTGACCGTTGAGTGTTTACGTTGGCTGTTTGAGGATACCCTGAGAAAGAAGTGGCTGGTCGCACTCGCGTGTTAAGCAGCGAAAGGTGTCGACTTCTATTAGGGGCTGTATTCAAGGTCGCCTGCGCACGCGCGGGTTGCTGCGTTCCCGGGGGGTCGGTAAACAGCTGGAAATCCTGATGAAAGCTTGGTTGGTGCTGATTCAATGCCGCCGAAGCAGTAGACAGTGGGGGTTGAGGACGCCATGTCTGCTGGGGATCCGTTTTGAATGACGTGAAAGACGTCGACGAAATGGTTGCTGGTGAGGGCAACGAGCTTGAAACCGAGGGTCTCAAGGAGTCTTGATTCACAGCTTGGGGCTGTGAACTACTTGGAGTGGAATTGGGTAAGTGGTACTGGTTGGTTGATCTTATCTTGCCGGTTAGCAAGTTTGAGGGCTACGAAGAAGCCTAGAACTCCATTCCTGATGAAGTCTTGTGTGTCGTGTGGTGGTAGTGATAGAGGGTGAAGAGAGAGAAAAGTTGTGGCAGTCAGGCAGACATGAGGTTTATGTGTTAAGTCCGAATGTGCGGCGGTTTCGAGCTAAGCCATTTAGAGATAGCTGACTTGCAGGGGTGGGTAAAATCACTTTCCGCAGGACAAAGAATACGCTCAAATGACGAGTGGTTTAGGCGTGTCTCTGCGGCTTCCAGCGCTCGCAGAAGCCTAAGGTGAGAAATCTACATCACTATTCCGCGTCAAATGACCGGCCGGCTAAGCAGGCTTCTTCGGCTGCAGGTGCATTCCACCTCGCGAGCGGACACTGGTCAACTTCGATGTGACTCATATTCGACGAAGGAACTATTTACCACGGGCCACAAATTGCCATATTCGCGATCAATAAGATTGCGATCTCAGCATGTGAACCTCATCGCCCTGGTGCGCAGTCTGCGACCATAACAATGGCATTGCCGCACAGAACATCCTGCCATATTCAACTTGAGGACAGCCAGAGGCGGACTTGGACTTGCTTAGCAAGCAGAAGGAGCGTGTACGTTGTTCGAGCCAGGGCAGCAGCAATTGACTTCCGCCGCGCCCCTCTACAGTAATGCCATGCTACCGCTCGAATCAACCATCGAAATGCGGATACGCCGCGGAAGCTGCAGGTGGTAAGGCTCCCCTGGCAACTCCACAGACAGGAGGCATCCCGGGGTTCGCCTTGTCTTTAATCGTTCAAGTTCTTCTCTCATCCGCGTTTGTAGAGTCTTACGGTGCTGCGCCTCTTGCAATCGTGAGGTGACTGTCATGCGTAGCATTATTGCTCTTGTTCCACAGGCTCACGGCGTCTTCAAGATGTTCACCGTTGTTGGAAAATCGACTACGAGGTCGCGAGCTGTCCGCTCATGCCTGGCGCCCGGATGGACTTGTGCGCAGAACTTTGGTATTATGCTAACCCCACCCTGGATTCCACGAAAGAACCGATGAACCAAAGACCCCTCAAAGAACCAAAGGTCTCTGCGGCCCCAGCAGTCTTCTCCGGCAAACGTAAGAGACGACTTGTCTATATACATACACTGGCTCTCGCCGTAACCTCCTACAGCGACCTCCCTGGCCAGTAATTGTTGATGGATAGATTCTGCTGCTTGACGCTCAAGTGAGGCTCCTCCCAAAACCCTGGCTCTATCTACAAAACACGTTCAATCCTCAGAGCCCGCCCTGACCAGGAAATTGAGGTCAATGAACAAGTGCCCAAAACGCTCATTTAATGCCGCATATGGACACAAGATATCTACCTACGATCGCGACTACCCAGACTATGCAAATGTACTGGACGTTTTCTCTACAGCGCCCTCCCTGGCCAGAAAGTCCATGATGTGTGAGTTCTTTGAATTAAAGCTCGAGTAAGGCTCATCTCAAGACCTACAACTTGGTCAGTGAAATAGCGCCAGGACGCTAGCGCCATCTGGGTGAGAATCTCATGATGAGCAGCACTTGTGACTCGGTCGGTCATGGAAGGTGATCGGCTTGGAGAGAACGCCCATCAGCCTGAGGTATTCGAAGTACCTTAAAGATGTTTGGTGATATTCCGCTCGAGGACAGCTCCGTACACCTGGTCTTCTTTTCTGACGTCCTCTTTGCACATCCGTGACCAGTCATCCACTAGATTGCACAATAATTCCGCGCAATGAAGTTACTCAACCAGTTGTGCCAACCTCTGGACACCAGTCGAGGCGATGTCATGCTACGAATACTTGAGCATAGCCTGAACCCCGACAAAACACTGATTCCACAACACCTAAAGGATCCTATACTGATCTCAATCGATGTCGGCGCTAACTCAGAACACAATTTAAAATTGAGCGATGTGGGCATCGCATGCCTAGACTCCCGCTTTCTCACAAGTCCAGGCATTGTGAACGCAGTAAGCACCAGACTGCTGCAGGTTCGACGACGAAGGCCTTCTCGCAAACGCCACTATTACTTCGGTGAACCAGAAAAATGTCCAGCGGACACGATTCAAGACATACTCCAGAAAATCTTCAACCAAAACGATGAAGAGCAAGGAGGTCTCCGCAATGTCTTCTTGGTAGGACACGACATCCCGAACGACGTGTCTTTCCTCAGGAAGATCATAGGCTTCGATCTCGGCTCGATGCCCTCGATCACCGCCTTGATAGACACTCAGCAGCTCGCCAGATCTGTCTTTACGAGTCAGTATACGCACCCCCCGTCTCTGAAAGACACGATGCAGAATCTGGGGGTAAGAGCCCTCGCGCTTCACAACAGTGGCAACGATGCGATGTACACCCTCAAGATCGTTTTTCATCTACTATGCATCCACCACACGGCCGCCGTCGAGCGATCAGAGCCATACGTCCAACCTCGATCATATTACTACGACAAGAAGCCCACTGCGCTGCTCTGGCGAGAGCGCCTCGATCTTCTGAAACAAGCTGTAGACTGCTATCCCACAATCTCGCCTCGAGAACGCAGACTAGCTAGGCGTCGACCTAAACCTCCTCGTGTGGACAAGCCAGACCTATGGAATACAGATTCGACTTCAGATGAAGAGCCAGAAGGCATTTTGGCTTCCATATTCGGCGATGAGTTGTGTTCCGATTTGTGAAAAGGGTTCAGCATTGGCCCGGTGCCCAACAACAGCATTGTCGCCAGAAGGTCGTAGCAGGCCCTCGAGGAAATGTGATGGCGAGTCGCACAGCACATCGAGGAATTTCATTAGAGCTGAGTGGCGACGGTGTCAAGTCGCTCCAACTCCTCGGAATGGTCAGTGTGGTGATGGTGAGCGCTGCTGTCTGATAGGTACGGTCGTGGACGTCCCAGAATTAATCGATGCTGCATCGGAGTTGAGCCGCTCCTGTCGACGTTCGTCCTCCATCTCACGACGAAGACTTTCACGTCGATCCACCTCTGCCTGGTCTCGTTTTGTCTCTTTTGCTACACGTTGTCAGCGTAACCAGTACACAGGTGATTGTAGCTAACCTTTCGATCTGAACAGTCTCAGCCCACGATGCGGAAAGACCTCATTTTCGTTCTTACAATGTCAGCCAGAACCCTTCTACAGGGGCATACACTTACAATCCAATCCTTACCAAGCAGCATTTCGAACGGCTCGCCGTGGCCATCAGCAGGAAGAGGCGGAGCAACGTGAAACCAGTCGGTAAAGAATATACTTCGCTTCCCTTTGCCACTGCCCTTATCGATCTCCCGGCCATACCATTTCAACTTCACTCTTCCAACAGACTTGAAGTCGGTCTTCCCACCGAAGTCCATCAAGGTGACCGAGGCGGCTTCTGAGTCGTCTTCAACGTCATGGCTCATTTCTAGATGCTCCAAGAACGAGGATGAGATGAAGTTACCGCCATCGCAACCTGAGTCGAGAATCGCAAGGGAAGTCTTCCACGTGTTGGTCGTGGTTGATAGCACGCTCACACTGAGCTCGAACGGATCTGTGGGCATTTCAGGAAGCGCTGTCGTGATCGACGAGCCCGGCGCAATCGAGCTCCGTCTGGAGTCTCTGGACACTGATCTCATGCGATCGTCCTCGCGTCTGCCTCGACCCAACCTCTGGTTCGGCGAGATCGACCGCGGCGGGCTGAGTAGCTCATCGGCAAAACGAGCGCTGCGTCGAGTCAAGCTCGTACCTGGAACCGACCCTCCGCCATATTCATACTGGCCATTGGTCTCGTATGCGAGGTTTTCAGGCTCTGCAATAGGGACTGCGCTGTCGTTGTCGTCCAAAGCTTCCTTGATTCTGCCCAGAGCATCATCAATGACGTCCTCTCGGATGAGAATCCGGCGGCGAGCATTCCAGATACCAGCGTCGAGGTCCGCAAAATCGACATTCAGCGCATCGGCGACCTCTCCCTTCTTGTCCAGCAATTCCTGACGGATCTGCCTCCGCTCTTCGGTCCTCGCCGCCGTCAGGACATCGTGAGCACACTCTCTGAACAAATACGCCAGTGCCGTCCCGCGGCTTCGACGCAGAGCCCAGCGAAGATGCAGCAAACATGATCGTTCCGAAGCCTCGATCTTTGAGTCCAGGAAGAAGGCAAATGGATCAGGTGTGACATCGTACGGTGCTCCGACCTTCTTGTCCCAGTCGTCAGATGTATCGTGCGCCACCAGAGCCGCTTTGAAGTCGAGCAGAGCCACGTCTATCGCGGAATAGATCCAGTACAGACTGTCCAGCAGGTATGCTACGCGTGGTAGAGCGGTGCGAATCGTTGCCAGACACCGGTTGAGCCTTGTAGAGAGCCTTAAGATTCGCGTCTGGGCCATACGCCTCGATGAAATTGTGCCGACTTGAAGATCTATGCAGCGCCTCGTCGTGCAGCGCGCTCGTGTAGGGCATCTTAGGGAGCTCCTCAAGCCCTAGGATTTCTAGTACGAGGTCTGACTAGCACAGTTCTACCTTATGAGTTGTCACTTTGCCCTAGGATACGGTGGATCGATCCAATAAAGCAATCGCCTTGGTAGTCCAGAGAAGAGCAACGAGCTTGATAGTCCGAAGAAGAGCGATACAGCTCAACAGCTACGACGCCGTCCACGAATCGCCTATATCTTGCGCCACCGCCAAAAGCTGAGCATGCGAACTAATCGACGCCTTGCAGTAGTGGACTTATTAGTGTAGGGCCTAATGTCCCACCACGCCGGTGGCGATGCTACCAAAGGTCCCGGATGTTTTAATGCCATATTATTACATCCGCAAAACATCATACTTCCTTGTGCCGTCGTTTTCGTTGGCGCGATGCTCGATGCAAACTCAAGACTATGGAAGGATATGCGAAGATAGCAGAGCGAATATCAAAACACCCCGAGCTCGGCATATACCGACGATTTGGAGCGCTCAACGCTCAGAACATACTCTACCTACAAGCAGAGATTCATGAATTGGAGGCAGATTTGCGAAATTATGCTGAGGAGGACGCCGCGCAGCCTCGAGACAGTGAGAGATCGAAGTACTCACGCAACTGGCACAAGCTCAGCTCGAGCAACGACGACCGCCGGCAATGGAATACAGTGTGCTTGATCCGTGAGAAGCTCAAAGAGTACAACGACCTCCTTGCACAACAAGCGCTCATCACCCGCTACTACCGGAAGCCTCGCGGGTATGATCTGGACATCCTTCGCACCTGCCTGCGAAGCACGTCTTTACCCGACTATCTCCCGGGGTTAGACAGCACGATCTGGGATGATCCAGTACTGTCGCAATTCGATCTGGTGTCACTCCACCCAGACAATCCGGAGGCTGATGATCGACTCACGCATTGGATCTCATCGTACTTCATAGGGCCGTTCCACCACCTGGTGGGACGACACTTCAAAGCGAAGTCCACAGACTTTGGTGAGGAGAACTTGACAGACTATTCAGATGCAGCCATCGTCAAGCTTTCGAGTATCCTGGCAACAGTGGTGTCATCAGTGTTTCCGATTGTAGGTGTGATAATCCTGTTCTTCGTCCAGGATCTTCTCGCTAGAATTGGCATAATCGCGTCTTTGACGGCGGTCTTCTCGTTCGTGTTGGTCGTCATGACACATGCCAGGAAGGTTGAGATATTTGCGGCGACTGCGGCCTTTTCTGCGGTCCTGGTCGTCTTTCTCGGAGCCGATGGCTGATATACTGTATGAATCGGTCCTGAAGGATGGGTCACTACTACTCCAACTTTACCATCGAAGAAGGGGCCCTTCAATAATGTCTGGAGTCAGGCTTTTGTATGAGTCCCTCTACCAACGCACCTCTCACTGGCGACTTTGGCTTGTTTGCATGCTCAATTGGTTACCCACTGTTCTTCGGCTCTCACCGCACCTCTTCCATATCGACATGTCCGGTTTCCATGGCATGCTTCGAAGCTGACCGCTCTCCTTTGCCCGTCCACCCACACGTATTGCACCTGATATCGAAGCTGCTCGTGTTTGTCATATACCCTTGCTCCTGCAGCTTCGCGCACATCTTCTTCGCTCCCTCAAGCACGTAGTCAAAGTCGTGACCAACGGTGGAGAACCTTCGCATATCTAGCTCTGCTCCGATATCGCCGTCTGGAGCTGGAGACACTGCGAGTGTATCGTAGTGAATGCCAGAGTAGATCAGTATGATCCGATCTGCTGCTCCCTCATTGTAGCGTTGAACCTGGTAAGGATCGATAATGCAGGCGTCTATTTCTATTCCAAGGATCCGCGACAAGATGTCCAGTTCGATCTCACCGCCCCAGCTACTTTCCTGTTGAATCCAAGCAGAGTATTTGGCAGGTTCCTTGCCGAGTATGGCTTTGTTGTATATATCGGGCCGCTCGGTTATGTAGTTCGCGCACTGCCACCGCAGGTTGGTGACGTGGTCGACATCCTGGTCTCCGGAAACCGCAGTTGATATGGCACGAAACATACAGCTGTTGTCATCGGGCATAACACGTAGGACGACCGTCGCGGATTCGGACGGGAATCTTATCTCTGGCGTTTCTTGGAGAGCATCCGTGGGATTTGGCTTAGCTTTCTTTGGGACCGCAGGAGGCTTAACCATTGCCGCTGATGCGGCCTTGATGGTGCTCTCTGGCTCTGAGGGAGGAATCACTTGGACAGACTCATTGTTCAAACTGATCTCAGCTGCCAGAAGCGATGTATCGTCCGGAAAGTCGTCGAGTTTGAGTGATTTTGGTGGAAACCCGTATTTTAAGTCGAATTTTGGTATGCTGAGCTTCTCTCGAATGGCAGCACGCAGCTGGCCTACTGTTGCCGAGTCTTCGATTGAGATTACTACTTGGCGACCATCTGGATGACGGGCTCGGAACCGCATGTTGGAAGCTGACGGATCAGACGTGAAGAATGAGGCTTGGGATCGGCAGACAAGGCGACGACACTGTCGATATGTTATCAATGACCGTGGACTTACTAAGAGGTGAACAGCGACATGTGATTATGAGTGCAAGGTTGTGAGGAGGCAGGAGCGGCGAATGACCGAAACAGGTTTGCCTGCCAAGATGAGGCAGAGGGAGTGACGCCTTCTTCTTCATCAGTCTGTCACTTTCCATCTCGACAAATGATGGATATGGCTGCGATTGTGACAGCGTTGTTACCAGTGCTGGAGCACTACGCAATAGTGTCAAGCTGGCTTTTGCATCGAATACACGATGTACCGACCTACCTGTAATAGCCTTGGGCTCATCAATGGCGAGGTCGGGCGAGGCAGTGCCATACATCTTACCACTGCATTTCTCAGGCGGCGTCGAAAACAAGGGACTAGACTTGGTAAGTGACACGAGGCCTTGTTGCGGATATGTCCATCCAAGACATTCAACAAAGGACGCACAAGACATTGTTTCGTGGGAGGAAATGTAGACAAAGCCAACCAAGTCTTTATCGAAGGTGCAATGGGCATAAAGGTAGACCGTGGCTGTCGATATGAACTGACGTTTGGTACACTCGCTGATGAGCATTACACTTTGCTGATCGTCCTTCGAAAACAACACCTGACAACTCTATCATGGATTACCGCGGGTATACGCGATCTGAGACCATTGCCTTGGTGGCTAAGGACACGGAGTGGCCATATCACGTTCACAAAGACCTTCTCAAGAGCCGCTCGCGCCACTTCAGGGACTTGTTCGAATCAGACTCTCAACCGAAAGAAATTGTGCTCGAGGACATCAAAGATCGCCTTCTTGGATTGTTTGTCCACTGGCTGTATACTGGCAGCTTGCGTTTTCGTTTCACTAGTGACTACCACGCCCTTGTGGAAGCCCACGCATTTGGTAGCAAGATCCAAGCTGATGACTTCTGTAACGCCCTCATGAACGATCTCAGGCAAGTCCCACTCTGGAATGACGGATTTCGGCTGGGCTACTACTCTGCAAGGAACTTGCTGCACGGCCAGCTCGAACAGTATGCGACTCGGCAAGCCGTCCATCATTGCGCCTTGGCGTACGAGAAGTGCACATGCCACGATCTGGTAGACATTGGGCCTAAGCTGGACGAGGAAGAAACCCAAGCAATTCATAAGACCCCAGTCGGAAATGTGGACGGATCTGTGGACCACAGCAACGATGGATTCGACCATGGCGATGAGGCTGACAGTCAGGAGGCGAGCGAAACGTTAAGTGAAGAAGAGTCCAAGGAATGCTGGCACACTCGATATCGGCGCCACTGGCAGTCTAAGCTGGAGGAATGGCGCGCTTACCCAGATCTACTCACCAACTTCTCAAAGCTGCTCTGCGAGTCCAAGCTTCCTAGCTGGCAAGACCCAGACGCGTATGACGACTGCTTCTATCATATCCATTCCCATGGCAGGAAGTGCCCACCTAAAAAGCCCAAGAGCTATGGCGCTGCTAGGTCAGAAACTAGTCGCTCGAGCACAAGAGATACGAAGTTCTTCGACGCCATCGATAGATGGCAGGCCCAGTTGCCACAGAGTCCGTCGCATTTCAAGAGCAGCGAAGAACCGTCCCCTAGGCGACATGCATTTTAACATCTGTGTCCTCAGTGTCTGCCCATCCAAGGAAGAGCTCATTCCAAAGCACGAAAGCTTCGACACAGTGCTCGTGCAAGCGCAAAGGTGCCGGCAACGGGTGAAATTGTGCACGAACGTCAAAGCATAGCGTGTCCTGCGATGCATTGTTGTCGCTTCTAGCTCCCAAACGGGTCCATGATAGCTTCTCAGAAACAGTCAGATAGTATAAACGCGTACCTCGGACTTGACCACTACCGCAATACCTTTACTTCTACCTACCCTGACTTCATGCTTTTGTCGCCAGTCCACTATTTCATTGCGCCTTCTTCTTCATGAGGCTGTCCCCTGGCGTTGTCGTCGTATCATGCAATAGGCGTGCCTGTGGCTACGTAACACACATCCATCAGGATGCCTTCGGACCTGTCTGCTGTGCTTGGTAGGCTGCCAATCACGTCGTACATACTTGTAAGCTACCTTGTGCTTGTGGTGATGAATCGAACGACAGACAAGAGGAATAGATGGTGATAGCATAGACCATTAGGCTTGTCCACATTTGAGTATTTCGGGAAAGTTTAGCGACGATCTCCAACGTGTCGCGATTTCGTGGTCCCTTACTTGCACTTCATTTGAGTCTCTGACCGACGTGTATCAGCAACACGCGCTGTAAAGTCACTGTCGCCTTGGTCGCATCAGTCACTGCGCCATCATGGATGATGTCGATTCAGGAGGAGAGAGCTCTGCTCTCTCTGACATCAACTCGGATGAAATCGAGTCCTCGAGGTTCAACCATCGGTCTCGATCTAACTCCAGAGACTCGACACTATCGATACTCTCTGATGTCGCAATGTCGAACATGTCCGATAGCCCACCGCGCAATCAAGACGTAAGACCTGCGAAGCGACGAAAGACCGGCGCATCGACGTACGACCATGCCACTCCCCAGTCTGCGTCCACTGCCATTCCTCCTCGATCGCCCACTGGCAGCATCTCAAGCGATGACTCCCGCTCAGTGCCCAACTCGCCTTCGTTCGCCCAGCTACCAGCCACACATCCTCTAACGACTTCGTATCTCGCTGCTCAAGCAAACCCAGATAACCCCGATCTGGGTGACTATATTCAAGTAACGAAATGTTTGTGGGATGACTGCGACAATCCCGAGCAGGGCAATATGGACAACCTCGTACAGCATCTTAACGACGTGCATGTTGTCGCGCGTCAGAAGAAATACTTTTGCCAATGGCTGGGATGCCCTCGCAAAGGCAAGGATCAGACCAGTGCATACGCCCTGAAGGCTCATCTGAGAAGCCATACAAAGGAGAAGCCTTTCATGTGTGTCTTGCCAGAGTGTGACAGGAGCTTCACTAGGTCAGATGCCTTGGCCAAGCACATGCGGACAGTTCACGAGACCGAGGCGTTGCGACCCAGCGATCCGGTCCCGAGAGGGCATACCGGCGGATTGCCGAATGGCACATCAAACGGGCCCAAAAGACTCAAATTGACTATGGGCGGTGCTACAAATGGCGAGAAGAGGGCCAACGGCATCGGAGACTTGCCACCGTTGCCGACTAGGTTCACAGCCGCTCAGTTCGGGATACCGCTTGATCGACTCGATACATCGGGCGCAGCTGAAGGGCCGGACTTAGCAGATGCCGTGGACATGGACGACTTGCCTTTCACACTCCCGGTGTCATCAGATTATTATCCACCTGAGTTATGGAATGACATGGATGAGTTCGAACGCGCTCTTCCACCATCGCAATTTTACAAACTTCTGAAGAAGCAGATATCTTGGGCAGAAGAGGAGGCCGACACACTTCGCGATGAGCTGACAAGTTTTCGAGCCGCCGCAGAAGGTCTGCACGGTGACCGAACGAATCGGGGAACTGGCGATGAGGCCAGTGTGGATGACAACCGGCGGTTTGACTGGGCCAATACAGAGCTTGTCCTGGACACTATGATGGAGGCGGAGGTGAGCAAAGTTGAGAGTCTGGCAGGCTTGCAGAGGGTTGGAGTCGAAGCAGGCCCGTGGGACCGCATCCGTGAAATCGAGCCTGCCGTTCGGAATCAAATACGTGGACTTGCCAGCTAGCAGTTGGCGACCATGGACTTCAACTCAAGGTTTACGTGACTTCTAAAATAGGTTTATGCCTTCCAGGCATTGCATCTATAGATCTGACCGGTCATGCTGGGCGATATGGGTCGTCGATCTGTGCGTACGGCGGTCGACAGTCCATCTTTGTTATCATTGTATCAATGAAGCCCTACCCTACCTACTTTCCACAATCATGTAGCGATGTGCTCTTCACCATACTGTAGCTTAGCATTGAGGTGCAAGTTGCATACAGCATCTAATTAGAGGCTGGAGCGCGCCCCAGGCTAAGACTCAGAACTGCTTGGCATTGCTATCGGTGTCTATCCAGGTACGTGCTACTGCATCAGCTGCAATCAAGTACAAGTTGCCCGGCTCACCTCTTCGCGTCGATACGACTCTCTTACGACGCGTCAAATCGCAATTCGCAGGCACTCGCAGTATCGACAGGACCGATGTCGCGACGCGCAGAATTGCAGAGCGCGTTCTTCGTCTTGGGCCCTTTCTAAACGTCTCACCGACTATTTGGTTACAACTCGGACTCACGCTGTCTTCACCAAAGCATCACCTCAAGGAAAGCTCGAAGTCCGAAGTGGTTCTCTGCAGTCCGCACATGCCATCTGCCGCAGCACCGCGAATATGCTGCCACCCATAGTCAGCAGCTATCAGCAGTACAAGCACGACACAGCCAAAATAGCAACATGGCTCTTCCAGAAGTCATCAGATTGTGGCTTCGTCCGCAGCAAGGCGATGAGGCGTAAGGCCTCGAAGTCCTCCAAATATGAGATCGCGCTGAAGGAGTTCGTGCCGATGGCAGAGGCTATTGCTAAATCTGCCGACAAGTTCGGCGTCAAGATCACGACGGGGATGATCAAGACATTCAAGCGCTGTATAAGAGCACGGTCTGGAATCAACGAGTGGTTTATCGCGGAGGACTCTGAGAATGATGTGTCTAATGAAGGCCACAAGCATTGTGTTGCCGTGCTGCAAGAAGCGCTCGAGGTCCTTGTTCCACTTCAGAAATTGCAAGAGATCGACGAGAGTGGTTACAAGCTCGCGAAGTTACGCTCAAACTCCGAGGAAGACACTGCTACTTTGCAAGTCAAGAACGCATTCGGATCCCTGATGGTAGAAGAGCTCGACGAAGCCATTCTCGCCGCCGTCGCAGATGCCACACCCGAGCCTTCGGCGAAGGGCGCCGTCGAGTGTTCTCTCGAAGATAACGGAGAGGACTGGTTCTTTGCTGTGCAGAGCTTCTTCGACGAGATTCACGAAATGCGTACGCTCATTCAAGCACTGTGGATGGGCTACGCTGCAGGTGACATAGACGTGGCCACGGTTTCCGTCGTCAGCAATACAGCTGTTGATCTGGTGAGGCGTGCAGAGGATGAGTTATCCAAGATTCAAGCCCCAGCACCATATGACAAATGGGACAAGGACCTGCCAGAGCTTTTTCATAGAGCTAAATATCCAGGCGAATCTTAAACCAAACCCAACATGGGGCGATCACTTGGTACCTCTGGAAGCATGGGATGCGGTAGAGGAATCCCTTTTGCTACCCTACAGATGGCTGGCCTCCCACATTGAGCGCGCAAACGGACCCACAGGTGTCGCAATTACCCGGCCAGCGTTCGTGGGACAATACGATGCTCTTTTCGACAGATCTAAGGCAACTCCAAAACAGCTTTATGAGCAGGACTCGGCGCTGCTTACCGATATGCTCACAACTACACTTCCCTATGTACTCATGGGCACCACTCCGAACGATACCGAACTGTTAAAGGGTCTGCGTACGGTAACGGAGGAGGAGCGTAGCCCCCCTACCTGGTTGGCATTCGCTGCTCAGCTTTATGTGGATGCTCAGACCTCACTGAAGACCAAAGGTACACAGCCATGCAGCGACTTAATCGAGTTTGCACTCGACGCCAGACGTGTCCTGCGAGGACATGCGAAATTCAACCAAAAGCACACACTTGTAGGCTACCAGACTCCGCAGTCCGAGTTATGGCCGGAGACTACCGAAGAGATCGAGCAATGGGTACTGGACGACCAGATGCACAAGTCCATGAACGCATCATATAGCCTAGCCGCGCAGAAACGGCAGAACAAGAAGTCGAAAGCCAGGAAAGTCCGGGAATGGCAGCCGTATGAGATTCTGCGCATGGACTCCACGCTTTGTGGCTTGTGGAAATATTGTTTCCATCTCCAGCTGCAAACGGCGGGATTGCGTCTCGTCAACCAGACACAGGTCATGGTGGTGGCACACCTGTATAACGCGTTGAAACAGAACGACTACCTACCTAAGGACTGTGTCTGGCAGGATGTCGAATATCTGCTCAAGATACACGAGAGAGCGAATACTTTCCTTGGGGAGAGGCCCAAGACGATAGAAGAGTGCACAAAGCGACTTGCCTTGGCACAAGGAGTCTCTCCGCAGACTTTCGCGGCCGGAAGAAGAGAAGGTGCACGAGCTCGTCCGGTGTTTTCCAAATCAGGCGGCAAAATACTACAACGCTCTACACCGATCGCGGAGGTGTTCGTGGAGCGATTTCTTGAGGACGGCAGCACAGATTTGTCGCTGGCGAATATCGAAACTGTCTTGACGAAGAGTATGGAAGCAAGGAGCAAACGACACGCTAGGCGACAGAAACGTTCACTTGATGCTGCTCGGCAGGAGGAAGTTCGGCAGCTACTGGCGAAGTTAGTGGCGGAGGGCTCATTTCCCCCAACACCGATGATGATCAGGAGGGATCTGAGGACGACGCAGATGACATCCACGACAGTACTCTCATGCAGTGGAACGACACGCGGACGGTGCCGTCCGTCGGCTTTCTTGAGGAGTTGGCAGCGGCATTACAAGCGGAACATCTGGACTTGCAGTTCGACTACTTCTCTTTCCATCGCCAAACACGCTCTCTGCTTGAGCAGATACATACGGCCTGCTATGACTATGGCAAAGACTGGATCAAAGAAGAATTTTGGGAGGCGATGGCGGGACCTGAAGGGGCCATGATGATGCCTGGCGTCATTATGCTTGCCGCGAGTTCCCCTGCGAAATCTCAAAACCTGTATGCACTTAAGGATGTAGCGGTTGTCGACACCAGAGGCTTGAAAGCAGCAGCTGTGGTGATGAAGGAGTTCATTGAGCGGGAGGGCGCCGCATATTCGGAGAAGGAATTGTCGCAACTGGATCTTCGGCAGAAGATGGGCGAGAGAGAACACGGCGACGATTGGGACACAGACGTTGCGACTCTCATGGCGAATCTAGGTCTTACAGGATCCGTTGGACGGGTTGACGGCATGACCAAGCAGGAGAGCGCGCGGGAGCTCAAAGCTTGGACGGTCGAGAAGGCAGCGGCGAAGTGGAACAGCCTTTCGGAATCGGAAAAGGCGGCTCAAACCTGTCGCCCGAAAGAGAGAGTACCTAGCATCTCAACGACCACAGCAACGTGAGATACTCACGAAGCGACACTGCTTGCATGAACCTCAAACTCAGTCGGCGCCACTTCTATAGTGGGTGCAAAGGTGGCGCTCGGGGATCGACGACTCAACTACACACCCCTCACTTTCGACTCCCATCAGGCGAAAGCATGTGTTGTCATAGCTTGCCATATCTTCACTTCCTGATCTGACCATAGCAAGTGCAGAGTCTCCCTGGTTAGAGGAGTCCTCGAGCCGCACGTCCAGGTGGTCTCCTCATCAAGTGTCTAGCAAGATGTCAGCCGAGATTGCAGAAGTGTCATTCGCTCCATTTCTCCACGGGAACGGGGCAGACAGAAAAGCCGTTGCACAGGAGATATTCGATGCATTCTCAACAGTAGGATTTGTTTACGTCAAGGATCATGGGATTGCTCAAGAGAGAGTGGACGAAATATTCGGGCTTGTAAGACAATCTTGCACCATGCCAGAACTTGACACAAGCTAACGATCGTCGTAAAGGCCAAGAAGTTCTTCGATCAACCGCTAGACGTGAAGCGTCAATGGAAGCTCCGAGATCCTAGCGTGAATCAAGGATATACTGGAGACGGTGACGAGAGCGGAAGCGATGGCGGCATTGATCACAAGGAGTGTTACGAACATCGCAGATTCAATAACGACCTGTGTCCCAACGACGATGTGCTTCCTGGCTTCAAATCGACGCTTGATACCTTCTACCAGGAATGCCTCGCCCTTTCCTTGAATGTTCTGAAATGCCTCGCCATGGCAATGAAGCTCGGTGAGGACTTCTTCGAGAAGATTACAACGCGGACAAATCCACAGTTGAGGCTCATCCGGTATATGGAGATATCTGTAAGCCTTCTATCCAACCTCCCCCGGCTCATGTCTACCTCTGCTGGCTCTCAACCATCGCTCCACACTGACTAACAACACCATCAAAAGCGAGGCATCCTAGAACAAGAAGGCCACGCCCGCATCTTCCCGCACACCGATTTTGGCCTATGCACTCTCCTCTTCCAAGACTCCGTCGGCGGCCTCGAAATCGACCCCTACCACAACGGCGACTTCAAGCCCGTCACACCCCGCCCAGGCACCGTCCTGATCAACATCGCCGACCTCCTCCAGCGCCTCACGAACGATCGCTGTATTTCCACACGACATCGGGTGGTTTCGCCACGGATTGAGGGGGATTTGTTGCCGGCTAGGTACTCGATTCCGTTCTTCGTGCACCCGGATCCGGAGACGATGATTGAGCCGGTGACGCTTGCTGCGGATGAGGTCAAGAGGTATGAGCCGGTGAATGCGGGTGAGTGGAGGATTGCGCATACGAGTAAGGATTATGGGTTGGGGGATGGGCAGAAAGTGGCTGTTGCGGCGGCGTGAGAGGGATTTGCTCAGCTAAACCTGGTCAAGCCGGATGACCAAGTGAGCAACGAACATTTGAGAGGCCAGGCGGCGGTTGATAATATCATCGGCTCCCATTCAAGCCGCGTCTGATGAAGCGAAGCTTGGAAAAGCCAAGCCGTTTGAAATCTATACGCTCTATATCTTCGGCTTGCCATCGCCCGCTTTCTTCTTTTTCGTCAGCGGACCGCCTATCTTCTCCTTCCAGAGCTCGTCGACCATCTGCCGCTCTCGCCGCGGTTGCGATCTCCACGTCTTTTGAAGCTCTGCTTGCTCGTCGCGCCACCGTTGCATCTCCTGTCCAATCCATTGTGCTGAGTCTTCGGCAAGTCTATCCACTGCTTCCATGGCAATCAGGTGGCCAATACCTTCGTACGTGATCCCTTTCACACGACCTATCTTCTCGCCGCCGCTGCCACCGGGTGAAATGCCGGTCATGGGTACTTTTGCCTCGGCGCCTTCGGGCTTGCCAATGTCTGACTCTCCTCCAAACACATACAGGGCACTTGGCCGTAGTTCGCCAATTCGTAAGTATGTGCGTGGGCCTTCAGACCGGTAGAAGTTGCCCATCGTCGGCATGTCAGGATCAATGTCTGGGTTTGCCTGCCGATCTTCTCTATTATCATTGCCCTGGCGGTCGTAGGCCGGTCTCAGGAACGTGAAGACTTCCTGGTGCTTGGGCGTAGTCAGAGTCACCTGCTTTGATCCTGGTTCAGCTGGATTCGTGGCGGTAGGCATGTCTCGCAAGCCGTATTTGATCCATCGGTCCAGCACTCGAGGGTCCCATTGTTGATAGAACTTCGACGCCTTGAAAGATGTTGCAGCGGCTTCTCGGGATGGCCACTCGTCGCGCCGGAAGGTCGACAGCCGAGCTGGCGAGGGGCCAACGTGCTCGGGAACGGAAGCGTAGAGCTGGATGACCGGGTCGATCAACACCAGTGTCCGTAAGAGGCGGGGATGTAGAAACGACAAGTTCACGAGCTGTGCCCCTCCCATACTGTGTCCCATACCGATGATCGGCTGTGGCATTTGATCACGCTTGACGTTGATCAGATGCAGCAAGTCGCGTGAATGGTCGAACCAGCCTGGATCGTTCCCGAGCTGCTTCTCATTTAGCACGCTGCTCCAGCCTTGCTGGGCAACATCCGCGATCCATATGCTTCGTATTCTGAAGTTATGCTGCTTGGATTTCTTATGCAGATCTTCCCATAAGGGCTCGTATAACTCTTTTGGGAAGCCATTGGCATGGGCGCCTATGATTGTGATGTCGCCGGACTGCGGTGTTGGGTTGTCGTGGGGAATGTACTGCTTGACGTGTAACTTCAGCACTGTTTCCTCGCCATCGAGCACCGCCCGTGGGAATTCACGGATGTGTTGCGCCTCAACGATGTGCTCGACGACATGGAAGGGGAACATGGTCGATGGAATTGTTCAAGGTCAGAGGGCTATACAGACATCACGTCGGCTTTGTTGCTGTGCTGCAGGTCGCAGACAGAGCCTGGGAACGAAGAGTACTTCGATAGCTGCTTAGCAGGAAACTGGGGAAGTCGCCAGAGTACAACCGAGGCTCGTGAATGAGGGCGGAAGCGTACAAGTGGGGCCCATTTCGGCGGCATTGTGGCAGGCATATCGTATGCTCGTCTATCGGGCCACCTTGAAAGCCGCTGTGCATAAAGCGCCGGGAACGACCTCATGTGCGCGCGGCAACGAGTCCACCCAGTCATGTAGCCCAGAACTGACCCCACGATTGCAACGTCTATAGGGCATTACAGGTAGTCAAGTAGAAGGCGGCACCTGGAAAACCGATATTGGTCACGTGTCGTCGCGATGATTATTCAAGAGTCCACTCTAGCGGGCTTAGGCTTAGGCAGGTGCCGCCGCGCCTTAATGACGCGTTTGAACGCGACTTCTAAAGTGTTTTCTGCAGATGGCCATGTTGATCAATTGACAAGAGTCGATTTTTCTAGTGAAATGCACCTGAACCCTCGTTAGCGGCCTGCGGTCGAGATCGATAGCATGATATGACAGCATCCTTTCTCAAGTCTTGCAACTCCATAATTCGCAGCTTCGTTGGCGCTCCGTCAAAAATGGCGCCACCAGCAGACGGCATGGACGTTGATCAGCCAGAGAAGACGGGTCTTTTCGCGGACTTGTTCTTCGTCGTGGTCCCAAGCGACTCGTTGCCCGAATCGAAAGCGCTCGAGGTATGTGCATGCGTTCAGGTAATGAAATCGTGCTGATCAAACTGCGTCAGGTGGTCGAGCAGCTCAAACTCCACGATGCTGAAGCCGTCGTCGACAGCCTCGATGGTAGTGGCACACTCTCGCTGGATGACCTCACTCACATCGTTTCCAACACGGCAGACTTTCCAGAATACTATAATGCGGACGATAAAATGAAACCTGTGGTGAAAGCGCAATGGATCGAGCACTCTCTGGCGAAAAGAAAACTACAGAACCCGCGACAGTACTCGCCTGACCCCAAGTACTTCATGTCAGACGTTGTGGTGTGCTGTACAGGCCTGCCGGATGGTGATGCCGAAGCAGTCCAAGGCGCTGTTCTTGCGATGGGTGGAATGTTCTCTATCAAGCTTACAAGTCAAGTAACACACCTCATCACGCTCTCCATCGACTCAGATTTCTGCCAGACAGCGGCACAGAAACGCATGAATGTCAAGCTCGTGCTGCCGCACTGGATTGATGACTGTGTCAGACTGGGACGCAAGATCAGCGAACGTCCCTACACTCTACCGGCCTCGGAGTTGCATACTGCCACACCCAGTACCAAAATTCCGTACGTTTATGGTGCTACTCCGGTGCGTGGCGCTTTGGATGCGAATCCCACATCCAGTCCACCACCGAGTCCATCGGTCACTCGCAAACGCCAATCAGTGTTTCGGAATACGAAGGTCGCACTCAGCAAAGACCTCGGAGTTGCACCTCCTCACCGCGAGGCGCTAGAAGAAGTCATTCGCAATGGCGGCGGGAAAGTCGTCAACACCGCCGCTCAGTGTACCATATTCGTTTGCAAGTATCGTGAGGGCAGTGAGTACAAGGCCGCAGCTCGTGCAGGCAAGCACGTTGGAAGCCTCGGTTGGTTGTACGATTTGATCTCGAAGGACCGTTGGACTTCGCCCTTCAGAAAATTACTGCACTATCCCCTGGCTCCTAAAGGCATACCTGGAATGCAAGATTTCAAAATCAGCGTTTCCAATTATACTGGTGAGTCCAGGCAATATCTGGAGAATCTCATCCGGGCTTGTGGGGCAGAATGCACGAAGACACTGAAGCAAGACAATACCCATCTTATCACGGCTTACGACAAAAGCGAGAAGTGCACCGCTGCCAAAGAATGGCAGGTCCACCTAGTCAATCATCTGTGGCTGGAGGAGAGCTTCGCCAAATGCAAAGTCGCCAGTGTCAGCAATAGCAGATATACACATTTCCCAACACGGACCAACCTAGGCGAGGTGGTGGGCCAGACGGAGATCGATCGGGAGGTGTTAGAGAAACTCTTCTACCCACCTGAGCCAGACAGAATCGATGACAGGAGCAGCGACATAACCAAAGTGGGGCTCAAGCGTGGCAATTCTAAAACGAGCAATGGCAACGATGTACGTACGCCAGCTGCATCAAGATTCGTCGCTCTGGAGAAAGAAAACATAACACCTTCTACCACGAACAGTCGGAAAGCGAAGAATGCTGCCACAGCCAAACTCCAGGAAATGACACCAGACATTCAGCTATACGAGAAAGAACGTAAACGCGTTGGCGGAGTCATCCATGGCGGTAGGCGCGCGAAGACATCGGAAGAACCAAGCGAGGCTGCCGAAGCTCCTCGAGAGGCTGCTCGCAAGCGTACCGCCGACGACATGGATGATAGCGATGCTGCTGCGGAAGCAGAGAAAAAGAAGAAGAGGTCAAAGACTGGCTTGCCGCCAGTTACCATGCACCTGCTCGTGACCGGATACGACCGTTGGAAGGATAATCCGAAAGCGGAAGACGCCGACAAAGTGAGTACATTCATTCCAATATCAACGGCAATACTAATTTCATTAGATTGCATTGCGTCAGCTCGGCATCATACTTGTGAACGAGGCTCAACGTGCCACTCATCTTGCTGCGCATCGGATCCTCCGGACCGTCAAATTCATCTCCGCAATGGCATATGCACCCGAAATCATTTCGACCGACTTCATCGATGCTTGTCTCGATGCCGACGAGCTTGAAGATCCGCAGGACTACAAGCTTGTGGACAAGGTCCAGGAGAAGAAGCTCGGTCTGTCGTTGACTGCGTCTAGGGAACGAGCTGTGAAGAATCGCGGCAAGCTCCTAGAAGGCCGCGAGATATATTGCCTGGACAAGGCCAACGGCGGTCCCGATACATATCAGAAGATCGTGGAAGCCAACGGCGGCAGTTGCATTGTATACAGAGGCCGTAAAGGTGTCCGCGTCAAATCCTATCGCGCGGGTAGTGAAGATGCTGGGTCCGCCAACACGGATGTGTACCTGCTCAGTCCTGAAGGTGATGGGAACGATTTGACGAAGCTCTGGGAGCAGTTTCGGTCGATGGTCGAAGCGGCTCGAATGACGCCTCGAATTGTTTCCACAGACTGGTTGATTGAAACTGCCATGAGGCAAGAGATCCTACCGGTGTCGAAGTATGAGATCCGCGAATGATCGTGTGGTTGAAGGACTCCTCCAGAAGTTGCCGGAGCATACTCCTGCCCGGAAGCATCATGCATGACGTGGCCAACGATATGACCTATTTCCAGCGGCAGCAGCAACAAGTTGGGCGAATCAGAAGAATTTGACACCTTGCTCATCTTCAGTGCCGAACACCTGAGCCTTGCCCTTCTTCACTTGGGTCTGCAACGCCATCTGCAGGACTCGCATGTCGAGACCATAGAATTCCTGCGTAGTCGTTGTCTCCCCTTCTACCAGCTCATACAGAGTTAACACCACGCCCTTCTGCCCAGTCTCTTCTACCCAGCTCGCGATCAGGTTACCCCATTCCTCTGGCTTCTTCCACCAGATCCACGCACTCCCTCGCTGCGACCCTTCCAGCCACTCTGCTCGACCATCACCTCCGCCGCCAACGGTGCCAGCCGCACTGCTTGCGCTGGGAGTCGCCATAAAGTCGATTACCGCACGAGCATCATTCATGGACAGCCGTTTCCGCAGAGCGGCATTGTGGAACAAAGGCGTGTCCAAGGCTGTCTGGAGATGGAGGAGGAAGATCTTATGGTGGCGGCAATACCGTTGTACTAGATCTGACCATCGCAGGAGCTGTGCTTGGCGGGTGCTTTGTGTAGGTTGGACGGTGAAAAATGGTGGGAATGAGTAGCGGGATGGGAAGGTGAAGGGCTCTACTGGGGCGAGTGGCTGGGTGGACTGTGGTGGCAAAGTTGTGGCCATTATCTGGTCCTGGAACTGGTTGTTGTCTTGAGATGGTTGGTGGTGCTAGCCGGAGGACTTCGATGGTCAGGCAGCGGCCTTGATCTCAAGGCAGTCCTACTTGTGTTGTCAATCAAAGGCGTCAGCACCGAAGCATCTTATTGACATCTCTTCAGTCTCCTGCTATCATGTACGAAACCATTGGCCAGATATGAATACAATAAGGCACCATTCATGGTTAAAGTCTTGGTGAAGTTGAATGAACTGCCTTGTCACTACGTCTTATGTCTCTAGGGCCTGCCGTACTCTTCCCATTTGAGTGACTGGAGAGCCTTGACCGGCGAGAAATTGTACCTACACCTGCACTTAACCACAATTATTCAGTTCACTTAGTCCTGCAGGAGAGTACGGTCTCCTTCATAGGCAGTCCTTTACCCATAAGCACTGGCCCACCTTCCGCACTGCAGTAACAGACAGACAACACGTAAAGAACGCGTCTACCGCCTGGCGCGGCGTGCGCTCCCCTTCTTTCATCCACCATGCCGCGGAAGCGGACGAGAGACGAGATGGAGGCCTCGGAGCCTCCAGCACAGCAAACACCAGACACACCTCTCATCACGAAGATAAGAAATATGTGGGAGTTCGCCAGTGTCATGCAGTTCATTCAAATTTTTGGTAGTGCAGTCCGGATCGACCCTGACTTCGATATTGAGGTATGCCACTTTTTACTGCCTGTACCTGGATGCCCTGCGTCGTTATGCTCTGCATTCACTTTTATGCACAAGATACTGATAGCCCGTAACAGGACTTTGAGGAAGAATGTCTGAAGCCAACTCCGTCGGATAAGCTCGAAGAGATCGGGCTCACCCTTCTGAAATGGATCTCGTCCTTCCGTGGACTCGAGTAAGTCGTCGTTGACGTCGCAATGTGTTGTTGCTAACTTGAGCCAGACTCAGCAACTGGGACGAGTACACACGGCGGCAATATGAAGCTAAGGCTCCACACCTCAGCCCCTACGGTACCGAAGAAGATCTCAAGCACTTCCGAGACTTCGATATCGGCCTCAAGATTCGCGTTCTGCACCAACTAACAATATGGGTCTTCTGGAACCCAGATCGCATTAAGGAGCGGATGCCTGAAGCAACAGACGCTCGTCAAACAGAATGGGTACGTTGCTGTGAGCCTGCTTCTCAGCACCTACTGACTTGGGCTTAGAGAGTTGAGGAATTCGGTTGGGATCGTGATGACCGCTCGTACTACGTCCTCGATGACAACCGCCTCTACCGTCGCACCGAACCAAGCCTGCCTCCTACCCCAAAGGCTGCACCGAAAAAGACCTCGAAGAAGGCTCAAGCTGCCCGGCGTCGTGCAAGCAAGAGACAGAAATTGGAGAATTCCTCATCGCCCGAGCCTCAGGATGACGAAGTCGAGCAGGAAAACGAAGATTCTGCGCAAGACACTCACGTCGGCACACCCTCCGGCCTAGACGTCAATACTTTGGGTGGATATACATGGGAATGCATCGCCATCACCTTAGCAGAATACCAGGCGTTCGTCGAGTCGATAAAGAAAACAAAAGACCCCAATGAGAAGTCGATGCGGGACCGCTTGGTGTCCGATATCATCCCTCTCATTGAGCTGCCGAGGATAAGCAACGCCGCAAGATGGAACGCCGTGAGCGAGAATTGCTTAATATGGAGAAGATGGCTACCGCAAAACGATCAAGTCGCATCGCCGGCAAGCAGGAACGAGAGAAGGCCGAACGTGAAGCAGAGGAGGCCGAGCGCAAACGTCGTGTCGACCTCGCCGCAGCACGTCGCGAGCAAGAGAGACTTGAGCAGATGGAGGATGAGCGCAACTCCCGCATGATGACGAGAGAACAGCGCATCAAGGATCGCGAATACAAGCGAATACTAGCGGAAGAGGAGCTCGCTCGATCAGCTGCCGTGGAAGAGGCTATCGCAAATGGAGAGGCCCGCGGCTCTGAACGACAAATTAAGGAGCGCCTGGCCAGAAATAAGAAGAAGCTGGATGAGATCATCAGCGAGGAGGATGAAGACAACTGGATGTTCGACTGTTCTGGATGCGGTCTCAACGGCATCAACAAAGATGACGGCTCACACAGCATTTCATGTGAGCGATGCAAAGTCTGGCAGCATTCCAAATGCTTGAAGATCTCGGAGAAGGACGCCGATAGAGACGACTTCCACTTCATCTGCCGCCGCTGCCACAAGAAGGAGGAGGATGCCAAGCGTCCGAAGATATCGCTGAAGTTCAAGACTGGTCAATCATCGTCCTCACCGCCACAGAACAATTTGCCACAGCCATCTCCTTCTCCTCGCAAGCAGGTCTTCACTGGCGTCGAGGTACCTCGGGTGCTTCTCAAGCCAGACCGACGGAGAATGGCCACCATGCGCCGTCGCCTGCTTATGGGCCACGTCCGCCATCTGCCGGCCAGAATGGCTCTCAAGGTCAGACATATTCGCCCAATCCTATGCTGCAGCGACAGTATCCTTTTGTCGTCTCTCCATATCAGCAAGCAGGAAGTCCACCACTGCAGACAAACCCAATGGGCAGTCCACCCTTACAGTCAGGACAGCCCTGGGGTCCTCCTCCACCACAGCAGTATGCACAACCCCGACCGTCCTCATCTGGATACCAATATTCCAACCAAGGCCACTCACATGCCCCACCTCCCCAACCTGTCTATCCGACCCAATTTTCACAGACCTTCGATCCAGCCACTGGTCCGCGACCACCCTCTTCTGGCGGAGGCTCACGTCCAACCTCGTCTCATGGCCAAGTGAATGGAACGACACCTGCTGCACAGCTACCGTCTCCTGTGGTCAACCGTCCAGTCATTTCGCCCAGTCAGGGAAATTACGATGTTGGTCCCGTCGCAGGCATTCCGCCACACAACAGACAACCTCAACGCACTCCTAGCTTCACGAATGGCACGCCCGCACCGCTTGCTCGACAGGAGTCGTATTCTTCTTCACCACCATTGTCCGGCCTATCGCCAAGCAAGAATCCGACACCACGTGCTCAGAACTACCAAGCCACACCAGCCCATCAGAACGGCACAAGCCTTCCGCCACCTTCAGCTATTCCCGTCAAGCCAGTCACCTCGCCGGTTGCTGCGACTCAGCGGACTGTCAGTGGCACACCTATCTTCCCTCCAAGCGAGAAACTCGCTCCTACACCCGACCGTGGTCACCTTGGTCCACAGCCAACGCCGAGCAAGCATGAGATCCCGGTGCCCAATCACATGAACGCCAATGATGGAGACGTTGTTATGAACGGCACCCAAGACCACGAATTGTCTTCTGCTCAGCGACCACACGCTGAGACCATTGAGCAGAATGGCCAGCATGAGTCGTGAATTAAGCTGTAACACGATGGCAATCAATGTTCCACACAATAGATGAACGGACACTTTACAACAACAGCTTCGCCCGTTGAGGCACATTGAAGGTCTATTGTAGGAGGCCTCTGGCTTGTTGATCCAGCAAGCGCGTTTTGAGCAGCGAGTGATAGGAGCACTTGCACGGTTGTGGAGGGTTGGCCCTCAGCCAGTGAAGCCTACCATGATTGCAGCGATGAATGGTCACGGACTGGCATTGATGAATAATTCAGAAGGCCAGGTTAGCTGGAAATTGGCCCCTTGACTTAGGACGCCGTTGAGGCTACTGTCATTTGATGAGCAGGAGAAGTGGCAGTGATCACAGTCGATTGTAGCACAGTGCTTCAACCCAACGTCTTCTCCATCATCGTGCTTCTGTTGTGGACTTGCCTTGTCTGGACCAGTGTGTAGGAAGGCGCACCGGACCATGTGATGATCGCTCCTGCGCCAAATTCCTGGCGTGCTTTACTGGTCGTGCCTTCCTTGGTCGTGCCTTCTCTGGTCGTGCTTTCTTTGACAGCGAGCTTGGTCGTGCTTTCCTCTACTCGTACACTTTCGATTGCACCTGCCTCGATTGCAACCCACAAACGCGCCTTCCAGGACGTCTCTAGTAAGCCACGGCTCTCTGCCGTAGCTTCCCTTCCTCTTGGTCCGGTGTTGCTATCCTCCAGCCAATGCCTCGCCGCAACGGGCTTGCCTCTGAAACTGTCTACCGCGACGGGCCTTGTGGAGAATCACATGTGTGGGATGTGAAGGAGTTGATATCTGTTGCAGCAACAGGAGGTCATGGCTTTGGAGGGACGCGAGGTGGCATATTCATCTGCTCAGGAGCTACAACCACGTTGGTGGCCTCGCCAGTCGACTTTCATCCAGTCAATCCAAACGTTTCATGTCATCCGGCCTGCGATGAGACCGCGTGTCATCCGGTCTCGAGTAAGTCCTCTCGTCAACCGGCGTCAAGAAGATCTTCTCTGGGTTATGACTTCCACAGCGCGCTCCTGCCACCAAAGGTCATGGTCGTGCTTTACAGGAAGGTCCTCCACGTTGATCGCTCCTGCCGCACAAAGTGCTCCAAGAAGGCAGGCGTGAGTGTCGACAGCTGCTCGTTCCTGCGATGCTGCGAAAAGTGATTGGCAAGGCAGGTGCGAGTGTTACCAGTTGGATGCTCCTACCGCAGCAAGAACCTGAAGCGGCAGGTGCAATCGCCGTCATCCGGTCGTTCCTGCAGCACTGCAAAGAGTGAGTAGCGAGGTAGGTGCGAATGCCGCCAGTTGAACGCCCCTGCAGCGCGGCAGAATGCGGCTTATGAGGCAGGCGCGATCGTCCTAAGCTGGCCGGTCCTGCCGCGGAACGTGTCTGAAGAGGTAGGTACGACTGTCGCCAGCATGATGCCCTTGCCTCAGAGAGTGTCTGAAGAAGCAGGTGCGGATCGTGTCGGCCGGTCGCACTTGCTGCTGACCATCAGGAGGACGTATGTGAGACCGGATGACTGCAGTGACTTGCTTTGGAATATGGCATATACTTCAACATACAACACCCATGGACCACGACGAGTCTCCGCCTGACGGGCTTAGAGCGCAAGCCCGTTGACAAGCCACAAGCGACAAATACGCTGTTCGTTGAGTGTCATCGAACCTCAACGCAGCGGACGCTGCTGATTATTCCGTGGTATAACTCTCAGGCATGGTTTTCGATAGGCATCTTTTCACACGTGCCGCAGTCGGACCTCCATGGCCAACAGTTGTCAGGCAGCTCAAACCTCGATCAGCATGTCAGTAGTAGTAGAGGAATAGACTACATGGACTTTCGCCGTTGCCAGCCGCACACGGAAGAGATACCTGCCCCGAAAGTATGTAAAGGGCAGAAGGACGTAGAACTCTCATCATAGACTTCGAAAGAAGTTTCTCGTGGACTGTGGGGTACGAGCACGAGGATGAGCCTGAGCGTACGGGGCCGCGCCAGCAGCATACGGACCTTTGACTTTCCTGCTGCAACGTCCTCCGCGATCAGGGCTGGCAGTCGGGTGAGTTGCAGGTAGAGGTCGCAAGTGCTATCGTTAGTCGCATGCGACCGCGTGAATTGCGATGCAGTGGAGTTTGCCGGTCACTCTCACCGTCAGGTGGCAGCATCGTCACGGCCAAGATCACTCGTGAGCTAGTCATTGTTTACATTGAACCAGGGGAAATGAATCCGTTGGCCCTAGCCATGCATACAGACCGTCCTCCGGAGCACCGATAGGCTTTCATGAAGTGGAGGGATCGAGCCGATGACTTTGGCAATGTGTGGAGAACACAGGTCTTTTCTCGAAGACTGTCGTGATGGTTTCCCTCCAAAATAGCCGTGTGCAGCCGACTACCTATAGCTTACCCTTACTTGTGGTCGATCATAGTCATCTCCTCGAAAGCTGCCTCCGGTCAATTTCCTGCTTCTGGGAACGCGTGGCGGCGTAGCTGATATGCTCTGCATCAGGACGTTGCAATTGCGCATATTGTGGGGTCCCCGAACCAGTCTTCCACAAACTCTGTTTGCAGATCATCCGTCCTTGGGCTTGCGCTAGGGTTTCATTACCTCCCTAAAGCCTGTGTTGATGCAGGACTTTTGTCGCCATGTGCTTTGCTGTGCGCGTGAGACCTATTTCGAGCTGACGTACGAGACTATGTTTTCTGTGCATGGAGTGCAAGGTTTGGATGTAGCACCAGTCGCACTCAGCAGTATTGCGCGTTCCTGCAGAAGAAACGAATCGAGAGAGACTCACCTTCTTGATCGAGCTGAACGCTCGGCAGGACCTATCCCATGACAAGGCATTTGGAACACCACAAGCCCCATCGCTGCTGTAGATTTGGTACAAACCGCTCTCCATACAGGAATTGGACATGTTTCAAGAAGAGCTGCTCATCTTTTGAGTCTCGATGTTGAGGTATTGCTGTCTCTTCGCAGTCACACAAGCATATCACTAGGTTGCTCACTTCCCCGGCGCCGTCCGATTCATCATGAACGCTGAATGTTGGAGTTCATCGCATAAGAGAGGTACGAAAGAAGCCAGAAGTGGAAGCGTGGCCTAGGCTTCAGCCAATCGGCTTGCTCGCCGAAAACGTACTGCCAAGGCGAAGCAGGGACCACCCTGCCACCTGCGAGCATGTACACCAAATGCTCGTGCGCTTCCATGCAAACGGAAACCAGAGCCGTCCTCGTGTATGCCAGATGCACACGTGCAATAGTCCTTGACTTGTACTCTTCTGCAGAGCTCGGCAGAGCCTGCGATTGCCGAACGCCACCATTGGCGGTACAGTTTTGGCCAGCTCGACAGACTTGCATAGCAGATCCAGTATCGGCCAGCTCATGGTTCTGAGACGCGCCAGAATCTTAGGCGGAGCTCCTGGCCGTGGATCCTGTATGCGGCTGGTACTTTGGGTCCAAACATGTTCTCCGCCTAATTTGCGGCTACCCGCGAAAGCAGTCCGGATCGAGATTTCCGTCCAGCTGGACCACCACCTTGGAGTCTCAAGCGTACACTGCAAGTCCAATACCGCACTGGAATACTTGACGAAGTAGGTAGTGATTCCGTTTCTGCGCCAGGATTGCTGCAATTCAGCGTATCTGCCTATGAAGGTAACAGGGCCTGAGGTGGAGGTGTTTGTAGCGGAGGGTTGGTTTCCGTGCACTAGGACCGTTTGGTTCCGTTTGGGAGCGCGTGGAGCGCGTGCAAGACGACCTTCTGATCATATTTCGGGATGATACAGTGGCCCATCACAGCAACCCCATTTTCCACACTTTTGTGGCCCCGTTAATGCCATGTCGATCCGCTAGAGCTTCAGCCACAGAGCGGTAGTAGGGGGAACTTCCCAGCATTTCTGCGACATGGTCCAAGCGCGAACAGGGCGACTATTCGTATCTAGGCATGATGAGTAGCTTGCCGTCAGTCTAACGTACTTTGGCGATCAAGCAGGCATACAGCCTTCTCACCTGTGCTGGTCATACCTCCGACGATGGTCAAGATTGTTCAGTGCAGGAGACTGTTCGCAATCTGCAGGATGAAGTCTCATGGTAACGCTTGCAGCCACGATGCCGCATCCGGAAACGGCCGCTCGAAACGTCCAGGTCATTTGTACCGACAAAGGCCTAGAAACCGGTGCGGAAACCAATATGTTCTTGTGGCCTGCTTGAATCGTTTCGAAGACTTCTCTTCGCAACAAAGATCCCTTCATCTTCTTTTCATCCATAGTCTTGTTCGGCAGACAAGTCAGTCTCAATCGCCAACACATACACCGTGGACAAAGATCATCGTTAGCAGGCCCTGTTACCGATCGCCCGGTCTGGCATCACGTACCTCACGTCGATAGCCGTCAGCCTCGCCGTGGACCAATTCGCCAGTGTCTCAGATTCAGCAAACACTTCTGCCGCATCTGCATCTGCAGTGCTGCGAGTTTCCAGAAATCTGTGTCTTGCCGCTCCAGTTCCTTTCATCCAACAAACCTCTTTCACCGGCAGCACTTTACCGCCGTCCGCCTCAAAGGAGCAAGCAGCATCATTGTAGCAACCGCCATTGCTTCATAACAAAGCCATTTGATCTTACAAGATCGTGACCTTCGCTGCAGCGGCGGACAGAAACAGCAACAGAGGTCATTGTAGTGTCAGCCCTGCAACGAGCCTTTGTCACGAAGTCTCGTGCACGCATAGCTGTCTCGAACCCGAGGTCGGAGCCAGTGCATACCAGATCACCGCCAGAAACCGAAACACTGCACAGTGCATCCCCACCACCGATCATTCCCGTCAAAATGAGTCGCCCAAGTGACGCCAGGCCCCCCTCTCCGCCGCACTCGAATGATGGTGACCATGTCGATCATTCTCTGTCACATCCAGGCCAAGCACTCTACACGCCCCCAATGGGAAACATGCCGCTGGCTACAATGGACGCCCGCTATGGCCAGTATGGCGATCCATCGCTCTATCACACTGCGCCACATCCCGAGTACTATGAGCAACAACCCACTGTAAGTAAACGAAGTCTTTCCAAATGCTTGACCTTGCACTAACGGTACCAGGCTTACTATCCGTATCCTTCACGTCACTACAGCCCGTCGCCCGCACCCCGCGAGGGCATGCAAACCCGAAGTGGACGAGCTCTGCGATTTCCCGACAGCCCTGTTGGTGGTCGTCGAGCTCCGTCGCCAAGGAAACGATTGCCGAGGCGCAAGCCCGGGAAGGCGAATAATGTTGGGCACGTCATCGACAGGCCATTGAGTGTTACCACTGCAGATTATGACATTCCTGTCAGAGACATGGACGCATGGGTCAACCGCTCTGTCGAAGAACGCCTGGCCGAGGCAGCGAAGAAGAATGGTTACATCTCTCGACCGATGAACTCCTTCATGCTGTATCGCTCGGCATATGCGGAACGTGTGAAGAAGTTCTGCAGCGAGAACAACCATCAAGTCGTCTCGAAGGTTACTGGTGCAAGCTGGCCTTTGGAGCCCGACGAGATCCGCAAGAAGTACGAAAGGCTTGCTCTGCTTGAAAGAGACAACCACCAGGCGGCTCATCCGGAGTACAAGTTTGCGCCCAACAAAGCCGGAAAGAAGCGTGGTCGGGATGATGACGTCGATAGTGACAGTGACGGCGAATGGGGAGGACGCGGCAAAAGAAGCCGTACTGGCGGTAGTGTTCGACGAGGAGACACCAGGAGCAACACCGGAACACCGTTCGAAGGCGACCAGTGGCCCGGCTACCACTCTCCTGCCCCATATGGACACTATGGCTACCAGCAAAACCCATCGTCATATGCGTATCAGTACCGGAGCGTGCCATACCGATGTATGCAGACCAACGAGCAGTACCAGGACAGCACTGGCAACCGCAAGTCAGACACTACCCTGGACATGGGCATGTCGAAGATGTTCATTTCCGCCAGTACGAGGATCCGTTTCCAGTCCAGGACAACATGCAGTCAATGGTTGGTCTGCCCAACGCAGATGGTCACCACCTTCTTGGTGATGCAGGAGCCGGACCTGAGGCGATGTTGGATCCGCGACTAGGCGTGGATCCTGATTTCGCTCTGCAGAGTGTCGAGGCTCTCGGACGAGCATCGCATCATCAAGAGCCGTTTCATCCTGGAAACGCCACTTTGGGGGGATACGAAGCAGGATCGGACTTCGACCGGGAGTTTCAGCATTTCAGAGAATGATTGACGTGTTCGGACCACGGACTTTGGACTCGTTTGGAAAGGAACAAGTATTGTGTCGAGTACGATGTGTCCGACACTGCTCATTACGGTCAGAAATCGGAGGATGTGCACAGTAGATATGTGTTTGAAGTATGAAGAATGGTGTTATACCAATCACCCGGTCTCAAGCTGCATGATTTCGTATCTGTGCATGTGCGTGAAAGAAGAAAGACGACTTTGCACCTCGAGTTCGTAAAAGTGACAATGGATCGATCGGGCTTGAAGATGAATTCCCACGTGGAAGGCGCGAGCGCGTCAGCCGCGTGGCCAATCGCGGTCGCGTCTAAAGTGGAGCCACGAGAAGTGTCATCTACGACAAACAAGTCAACCGTGATGCGAAGTACCATCTTGTATTGACGACAGGCGTGAGGCTGTGATCTGCATGTAAGTCTCCATGCATGGAGAGCTTGGAAACAAGCTGGTAAGCTATTAAGTCCCTTGATCAACCTGCACTAAACTGACGAACCATGTAGGTGCAACATGCCAAACGAGCGCAGAACCTCGCACATCTGCCTCCGTATCAGACCGAACTTGTCCGTGCGGTGACTCGAGAGGTCCGCGATCTCGATAGAGATGTCAACCGTATCCTCGAGCCCTTCCAAGGCACGTTTGACCCAAATGAGGATCAAGCAACAGCATGCGCTTTGCTGGTCGATCACCTAGCCATGAAACGCAACAAGAGATGCCTCCTAGCATACCACAGGGTCCGAGCGGAGAAGCTGGAGGCTATGTGCTGGGAAGGAAAGGATGTCATCGAGCAGCAACACCACCAACAGCAACAGCGTGAGGCTGCACAAGGACAATCGAACGGGGAAGCAAATCAGAGCAGCCTTAGCCCGGAGGAAGAGGAATACTTTCGGCAATACAACGATCTGTTGTCAAGCTACAAAGGCCAGTGGACCGACATCGATCTGACTGGTAGCCTCGAGCCTCCCAAGGATCTTTTCATCGACGTCAGAGTGCTGAAGGATGCCGGAGAGATCCAGACAGAATACGGTGCCATCAACTTGACCAAGAACAGCCAATTCTACGTTCGGCACGGAGATGTAGAGAGGCTCATTGCACAAGGCTTTCTCCAGCGACTGAGCTGACAGACTGGTGCTGGTTGACTGTCTCGAGCCTGTGTCATCAGCGCGACACAGATCTGGCACGAGCAATAATTCGCGAGGCATGAATCTATGGATGCTGGTGGGGCGGTACGGGTACAAAAATCGAGGGGCACTCAGCCTCGTGTGCGCGGCCCCCAATGCGTCCCCTGCGTGCGTGGTGGCGGACAGTGGACCAAGTGTGACATTCATGCATAAGTGCAACGCGTAGCTGCATCATCGATGAAATCTCTTCAACTTCCCTCTTCGTGACCTGCAGATACTTTGACCATCATTTACACGAGCTCACATGCCAGTAATCCTCGAAGCCAGGATGGGTAAGGATTCGAATTGTGAAAAAAGTTTCGGGAAGCGGGACCGGCCTTCCATCGGGAAGGCTCTCTGCCCCAGCCATGCAAATCGAGGACGACCTCAACCTGTTATTGCGCAATGATGCTATGAACTCATGCCTATTCGTATCTTCTCCTCATCCGCTTTGCAGGGCCTCTGCGGCAGTTTGCTGCAGACACAACGTTCTGGGTTCATCTGCCGCAACATGACATAGCTTACGTTGGCCGATCAAAACTTTGATCTTACTGCTGATCAGGTCCAGCTGAAGATTCGAGTACATTCATACGTCGTCACACCCGTTTGGGAATGTCGCAATAGCACGCCATGTCTGCATCGACGCAACCGAGAAGGCGTCAGCAGCGTTCCGAGTCCCACACGTCGCAGACAAAGCCTTCGCAATCGCCCTCAACCTTTTCAAGAGATGCAGCACAACAAGAAAGCAATGGAAGCGAACCTCTCGCGGTAGGCGATCGACCCTATGGCTCGAGAGACCTAGGAGCGGCTCCAGTACCAGTCAGAGCGTTGCGAAGACACCGGCTCGTTCATTCTACCATAGATCATTTCGTGGCCCATTGGAACAAGCACAGTATTCGACGACTGGATTGAAGGAGCAAACGGCAGAATTGGCATCCTATCACCTGTCCGCTGAAGCTCCTTTCCCGGTCTCTTCTCCTCCGTTGTCGCCGTCGTCCTTGGAAGAGACAAATATAGATCCCATACTCGAGGTGTCTGAGCCGGTCACGCCTGAGGAACATGAAGAGCCACCTCTATCTGCGCTTACAGATATGTTGCATTCATCTGAGGCAGATGTCGATGTCCCCAAGCTGGATCCGCCATTAGCCAACGAAGAAAACGTTTCGAGATATAGCATTCGCACATCTCTAGAATCAGACCGGCAGGAAGCTGACGAGCACACTGCCCTCCTAAGCGACAGGAAACAATCTGGCGCTTATGGCGATCTCTCTGAGCTCGAGCGCCAACACCACGAGAGGCTGCAGACACGATCTCGTCTGGCCGGCCCCATCAGAAAGATTCGCGCTTGTGGCTATACCGTCGTGCACCCAAAGACGTGGAGTGCGAGAACGATTTTCCAGCAAGCCGTCGTCCGGCCTACGAAGCTGCTTCCTGCCGTCATACTGGGACTACTTCTGAACATACTGGATGCCTTGTCCTACGGCATGATTCTTTTCCCTCTGGGTCATGCTATGTTTGACGATCTAGGATCGGACGGCATCGCCATGTTCTATGTTTCGACCATTGTTGCACAGGTGACATACTCTGCTGGTGGCTCAATCTTCAAAGGGGGCATTGGTTCGGAAATGATCGAGGTTGTGCCTTTATGCACAAGATGGCCTTTACCATACTGGCAAAGGTCGGAGAGGATAATCCGAAATCCGTTCTGGCGACCACAATCCTCGCCTTCTCCATGAGCTCAGTCCTGACTGGTTTGGTCTTTTTCTTTCTCGGAGCCTGCAGGCTGGGATCACTTATTGGCTTCTTCCCGCGTCACATTCTCATAGGTGTATTGGAGGCGTCGGCTTCTTTCTCTTCGTTACTGGTCTGGAGGTCTCAGCAAGACTTCCAGGCAACCTGGAATACAACCTGGCGACGCTGCAGCAATTGTTCCGAGCAGACACAGTTGGATTGTGGTTGCTGCCACTGGGTCTCGCAATCGTCCTCAAGGTCCTGCAAAAGTTTGTCAAGTCTAACATGCTGGTGGGTGGCTACTTCATTTCTGTGGCTATATTGTTCTACATTTTCAAGTTCGCTCTTCGTATCCCGATGGCTACGCTGCATTCGCAAGGCTGGATCTTCGACTCGCCCCCTGCTGGAAATCCTTGGTATCATTTTTGGACACTTTACGACTTCAAAGAAGTAGACTGGGCTGCGCTCGGCGAGACCATCCCAGCTATGTTCGCTCTTACGTTTTTCGGTTTACTACACGTGCCGATCAACGTGCCGGCGCTTGGTATCGCAACAAGTGAAGACAACCTAAACGTTGATCGCGAGCTTGTCGCGCATGGCATTTCCAACTCCTTGTCTGGTCTGTTCGGGAGTGTACAGAACTACCTTGTGTACACCAACAGCCTTTTGTTCATGGACAGTGGCGGGTCTGATCGTCTGGCAGGACTGATGCTCGCTGCGGCAACTTTCGGTGTGCTCATCGCCGGTCCGGCAATCATTGGATTCATTCCCATATGCGTGGTCGGAGCGCTCATCTTCCTCCTTGGCATTGAGCTCCTGGAAGAGGCTTTGTGGGCGACATGGGGCAAATTGCACAAACTGGAGTACGCGACCATTGTCGTTATCGTCGTCACAATGGGAGTCTGGGATTTCGTTATCGGTATCTTCATAGGTATCATCCTAGCCGCTCTCAGCTTCGTTGTTCAGACATCACGTCGAACCGCCATCCGGGCCACTTACTCTGGAGAGATTGCCAACTCAACCGTGAGGCGAGCGCCACTGCAGCATCTATTCCTCAAAGAAGCTGGTCAACAGGTCTTCGTGATCAAGCTTTCCGGGTTCCTGTTCTTCGGAACCATTGTCGGTGTTGAAACAAGGATTCGAGCACTGCTCGAAGATGAAGCATTCGATCAGCGTCCTTTGCGTTTTCTGATTCTGGACATGAGCAGTATCAATGGGATCGACTACAGTGCAGCGGAAGCGTTCACGAGAATGAACCGCTTACTACAAAAGCGAGGCGTTGTCTTATTCATTAGCGGCTTAGATCTGAAGGGCGAGATCGGACACGCACTGGAAGGCGTTGGTCTTTTCGAAGAAGAGCTGGATGTCAGACGTTTCCCGGACCTCAACCAAGCCTTAGAGAGCGCAGAGAACGAGCTGCTCAAGAGCCTTGTCCGACATCAGAACAGAGCTACGCAGCGAACGAGCTCTATGCATCTCGACGTGCCGCGGTCTCGAAGTGCCGATATATCGTCATCTCTGCAAACGGATATGATAATCAGCTCGCCCCGTCGGAATGAACTACAACGAGTTGCGGAGACAGCCGTAGAGGATGTCCCGCCGGCTTCTTCTAAGTGGCAGGAGTTTGAGCAGCCTCTGCCTCTGATGCTCGAAATCTTCGACGGGTTGACTAGCCAGTCAGAGAGCTTCTGGTTCAAAGCGAGGCCTTATTTCGTCCGGAAGACAACAGCAAAAGACTCGATCTTATTCAAGCCAGGAGATCGATCGAATGGATTCTATCTGCTCGAAGATGGGTTGATGCGCGCTGATTACGATCTGCCACAAGGCAGGTTTTCGGAACTGATTGCGCGTGGCCGTCCGTTTGGTGAGCTTCCTTTCTTCTCTCAGACGGCGCGGACAGCGACAATGGTTGCGGAGAAGGACTCGGTTGTTTGGCAGCTGGATGGTGATCGTTGGAAGGATCTGCAGTCCGAAGAGCCAGAGCTGGCCCAGGAATTGCTCAAAATCAGCTTGAAGCTGACAAAGGAGAGGATGGACGTGACGATGGCGTATGTCCTTACGACTGCTGCATGAGTCTCTTGGTATGGAAAAGTGCTGTTCATCTTCATACTGGCTGAACGCGAGCCAGCACTGTGCATTTCTCCCTAACATCCCGTCCTTCAGGCACGGGTAAAAAGATCGCGGATTTTGCCATCGCCAGCGTTGAAGGCGTAGTCTATGCACGAAGCCCCGTCCACCGCTTTCGCTCTACAAACTGGGGCAGAATCATTTGGTCGTCGTTAAAAGTGCCGGTTGCACCGCGTCTGCCACGACTAGACCAGGACTAGTAATTTAAGTGGGCAGGATCGACCGCCACGAAGACGAGTTATTGCTTGCCGAGACGATGGTCCACTGCGCCCCTTCGCAAAACATCAAGATTGATGGACATCTGCGCGAAGTACTCACCCTGGTAGTGTGTTTGACCTCGCTGCCACTCAGACCGTCGCCGCTCGAGCTGTGCAGCAACAGACTTGGTCCGCATGAGAATTTCCATATCACTGATGGCTCGGCCTTACTCCCCACAGATCATCACTTTTGACTGCGCCCGCGAAGTCGTGTGGCCAATGCAGACCTCTAACAATCTTGTGTGCCTCGAAACCGATTGAGATCGCTCGATCGCTGCACATCCGCATCGAAAATGACCAGTATGACTCCAATAGACCGCTGAGGGGTCGAGGAGGCTCATGTGATGGATCGGCGCCGTGACCGTTGATATGCAAGACCGACGCACGAAATATGCAAGGCCTCATAGACAACGAGCGGGCACTCGGTAAGGCGCAGGCTGCATGTCGAGCATGGCTTCTCACGCAGGGCTCTCGAGGATCTGATCAATTACAATCGAGCGTGACGCTGACTGCACGATCGCGCAATCGAATAGCCAACTGTCGCATGACCTCGCACCTCAACTACGAATGGAAGTACGGTCCTTCACCGGGCAATGCTCGTCACTCGGAATCTTGATCACTGGCGTGGCAAAGGCCAAATTCAACCAGCGAATGGAAGGCACGACTCCAGCATTTGCTTAGGCTGGGCGACAGCCATCTTTTGGCACTTGGGGCTTCGGAGTCGCTGAAACAGCTGCTTCAGAAACGTGAATCTGATATTTTTGTAATTGCTTCGACAAGGATCTACAGGCGATAAGCCGAATTGATTGGGTGGTGCTTAAAGGTGCTGGCCTGGGCCGTTCCCTCGCATGTGTGTCAGAATTACAAGTTGTTGTTGAATCTGAACTTTGGTCACCCTTCTCAACCTTTGAAAGTTGCCTTTCGCACTTCGGAAAACCTCCGATCAAAGACCAGCGCCTTGCATGACTGGATCGATTTTGATCAGTAAGGACTTCGAGCGAGCACGAGAAGAGGCATGTGATGGCTGATTGACATGACTCTAGCGTTTGCTATAGCGTGCCTAAAAGCCCGTGGCTTACTCCACCATGCGGCTAGGGACTGCTAAAGCTTAGGCGCTTAAATTTGCCTAGGGCTCATTTCCTGACACTCTGCAGAGCAACGGCCGCGCTATGGGCAACCCATCTCGTTCATAACAATTTCTTTTGATCTTACTCTCGTGTTGAGATTTCTTTGCTCACTGAAACTTCTTCACACCCAAGACTGCTCTGCTTCTCGTCCTCGTTGCGCAACGAAGTCGTCTCTATTTGACTCTAGTTGTGCGTACTTGCTTCAGCATCCTGCGTAACAGCGACGCCTGCTCTACTTCCTTCCTCGTACTGCAATTCTAGCGCTCCTTCCACCTTATCAGTCAGATCAGACAAAGACCAGTCCTCCTGCGTCTTTTCGACTGCATCTTCAACAACAGCTTCATTCACTTCCTCGATAACCTCCTGTACTGAGCTATCTCGCATTTGATATCCATCAGCACACAACATGTCGGTCGAAGCCCCCAAAACAGTCGAGGAGACTGCTCCCGTCGAAAGCAAGCCCGTCGAGCAGCTCGAGGCCACACCTGCTGTGCCTAGTGAGACTCCCACTGCTGCAGAGACATCGAAGCCAGTTACCACCGAGACACCAGCTACAGCTGATGCCACTACAACACCTGCTGTTGGTGAAGAGACAAAGCCTGTTGAGGAGACACTGAAGAAGGATGAGGCTGTTGTCGAGGCCGTGCCTGCATCTGAGGGCACTCTCGGCTACAAGGCCCCAGGTTTCCTCAAGTAAGCACTGCGCAGAGTGATGCAGCGCAGCCAGAATGCTGACGGGCAATGACAGGCAATTCCACTTCTCCAAGCACTTCTTCTGGTTCAGCGAAGAGCCCCTGACTACCGATGCGCTGAACGTCTACTCTCGCTCTGAGAAGGCCAGTCATGCACACAAGGCGTGGGCTCGTGAGTCGGGCAAAGGCCTTCTGTTCCACTCCAAGCGAGCTGAAGACAAGGCTCACCCTGCTGGCATCATTGCGCTGGTGAGTAACTCCATCCACACTCGAGTATTTTTCATTGACGTGCTCCCAGTATGACATCGGCAGCATTACAAAGGATGGCATGCACTTGTTCTCCTTCGAGGATAGCCACGGCAAGACTCACAAGTTCGAGGCCACCTCTACTACCGAGCGTGACAGCTGGGTTGTTGCGCTTGAGAAGCAGAAGGAAGAAGGAAAGTCTCTCAAGGAAGAGCTTACCGGTCGGGACAGCTACAAAAAGAATATTGAAGATTATTGTGAGTTTTCGAATATGACGTCTCCAAGCGTCCCACAGTGATGATCGACCGCTAATGCACACTAAAGCTAAACCCGCCATCACTGCTACCCCAGCAGTAGCTGCGTCCCGCTCCAAGTCCAAGGATCCCAAAAAGTCTCTGGACGCCAATACTGCAACGACCGCTGCTACTACAACTCCTGCGGACACTACTGAGCTCAAGAAGGAAACTTCGCCAGATGCGGCTACGACCACACCTGTTGCACCCGTGGAGGAGAAGAAGGACACTACCAAATCGCGCTCTCAGTCTCGCAAGCGTGCCTCGGTCTTTGGCTCCTTCTTGAAGAAGGACGAGGCCAAAGAGGAAAAGAAGGCGGCCGAAAAAGCCGAGAAGCACGAGAAGCAAGAGGAGAAGAAGGTCGAGGCTGAGGCCAAGAAGGAGGAGGCCAAGCAAGAACACAGTGTTCCCAAGGCCACGGAAGCCGCAGGTGCGGCCGCCATTGCTGCTGCTCCGGTCGCAGCTGTCTCCGCCGACAAGAAAGAGGAGAAGACTGAGCCAACCTCTGAGGCTCCTGTGACCGAGCCCACCACCGCTACTCCCACAACTGAGCCGACCGCCACTCCCTCCACAACTGACAAGAAGGCCAAGCGAGGTAGTGTCTTCGGCAGCCTCTTTAACAAGGCAAAGGTCACAAGCCCTACGTCCGAGAAGACCGAGAAGGAGGTTGGCCCGACACCTCCTGCGAAGGATGAGGTCCTTCCCGTTTCGGACACCGCCCCGAAGGTCGATGAGCCAATCGACACGAAGCCCCTCGATACGGCTGCCATTACTGCACCAGCCACCACCGACGCTCCGGCAGAGACGCCCAAGGAGACCACCGCCACCCGCCCTGCGGCCACGGAGAAGAAAAGCTTCCTGGGCTTCATCAAGAAGCCGGAGTCCAAGAAGGATGAGGTCAAGGAAACCAAGGCCGCGGATGTCAAGCCCACTGAATCTACTACTGCCGCCGTCCCTGCTGTCGATGGTGCAGATGCCCCCGTCACCACCGATGCCGCTGCCAAGTCTGACTCAGAGACTCCGGTCGAAGAGAAGAAGACTCCTGCCGACAAGGACCAGCGCCGTTCTTCTCTCTTCGGCGGTCTGGGCACAATCAAGAACAAGAAGCGGGACGAAACAGAGCCGACGGAGAATGGCACCGAGAAGAAGCGCGAGAAGTCGCCCCTTCCAAGCAAGATCGGAGGTCTCTTCCGTCGCGCCAGCAAAGCTGTAAGTCTGAGGAGACTAAGCCAGCCACAGAACCCAAGGAGGAGGTCAAGACTGAGACGTCTGCTCCCGCCGCTACCTCTGAGCCCGCCACCGCTGCCGAGACCAAGACCGATGTCCCTGCCTCCACCGACGCTCCCGAGTCCAAGATCATCGGCGACGTCGTCCCCGAGGCGGTCGTCGCTGCTCCCACTCCTGCTCCCGAAGTCAAGGCTTCCGCATGAAGGTCCGAAGAGGCTAGAGAGACGACGCCCCGCTCATCCTTGTCTCGACCTGGAGCTGCCAGTCCAGTAGAGTTTGAGAAGTGGTGGGACGATAAGAGCTACTCTCCATCATCACTGCCGCCCCGAAGCCCTTCTCGTCTCTCTGGTCTCGCTCTTTGAGAGGACACCTGCAACCCCAACTATCATTCACTCCTTATCGACTGTTTTCGCCAGTACTGCTTTCAGGATACCACTTTGTACTAGACCGACTTTGCTTTTACGTCTTTGGATTGGACCATTGCGTTACTGGAATTTTGCAACACATCGATACCCAATAAGCATGGAACAAGTCTACTTGTCCTTATGTCTACAGCGCAGCGCCCGATCATTGCTCAGAACGTTGATACCCCTTTCATCCGACGTGTTTGTGCGGAAATCTGAGCAATGACGGGAACGGAAAACTTCAAAATCAAAATACCCAGAAGAGATATTTGTGACGCGAGGAGCGTAAGAAGCGGCAGGCTTGTTAGCAAAGGGGATGGGGATGGTGGCTAACAAATGGTCGCGTTTTCTTTTTCGCTGGCGGGCTGTTCGCTGATGGTTGGCACTAGGTCAACCGTCGATTACGCTCGAGTTTCGTTGGCTGAATAGTAATCTTAATACATGCGTGCATTACTCTGATGTCCGCCTCAATGAGTACTTGCCGAACTACTAGTATGCTTCAGCTTTCGATTGTAACAGACCTCTTGGTCGTACGTGCCTGTCGGTGGGGGGCATGCCCGGGGGCACGCCAAGCTCAGGTCGCTGGGCGAAGCTTCCTTTCCTTCTTTGAACACGGCTGGCAGTAGACTTCGCTCCTGCCCATATATCTAATGCTTCAGCAACAACCGTCAGGACGAGGAATGAGCTCTCAGACGATGGCTGCCGAAGGGTCTCAGCGTCCAGGTCGGCAGCATGCGACTTCTGGACACTACAGAACTCGTCTTTCGGGAGTACTTCGATGATCCCCCGCCTTATGCCATCCTATCTCACACCTGGATTATGGCCAGGAGGTCTCGTTCCAGGAGATGCTGTTGTTGAGCGCCTCCACCTCGAGGCTGCTAGGTCCAGAAGTGGCACATATACGCTCGAAGACAGGATATGGCAAGATATTGTCCTGTTGTCAGACGGCTCGTGACGCCGGAATCGGGCTTTGCTGGTTGATACGTGCTGTATCAACAAAGATAGTAGCTCGGAGCTGTCTGAGGCTATCAATTCGATGTATCACTACTACGCTAAAAGTGCTGTCTGCTACGTTTACTTGAGCGACCTGGTGAGTGGGAAGTCTCTTGATATCGATGAAGATGACAACGAAGACGACTCTGCCGAATTCAAGTCATGCCGGTGGCTCAGAAGAGGATGGACGCTCCAAGAGCTGATCGCGCCCTCCAATCTGAGTTTCTACAATCAATCTTGGAGCATTGTGGGCAAGCTCGATCGATTCGAAGCCGTGGACTCGAGCTTGTCGCAGAGACTCGCAGACGCTACAGGTATCGACCTAGACCTACTCACCGGTGTGAAGCAGCTTGAAGACTTTAGCATAGCTCAAAAGCTGTCATGGGCTGCCCTGCGGTCGACATCGAGAATCGAGGACGAAAGCTATTGTTTGCTCGGTATCCTTGGCGTCAATTTGCCGCTCCTGTACGGAGAACGAGATCGAGCATTCTTCCGGCTGCAGAAAGAGCTTCTTGAGTCAACAGACGATGAGACGCTCTTTGCGTGGTCGACGCAGCAACCCTTTGAGGATCATCGCAAATTTGGTGGCTTCCTGGCCACATCGCCTAAAGCATTCGCAAATGCAGGAAATATCGTCCGAGCACGACTAGCTTTGCCAACCCACAGTCCCTATCACTGGACGAACAGAGGTCTCCGTATCACCTTGAACATGGACACGAGGTTCGGATCGCCAGCCGTTGGTGCAGCTGTCGCAGTACTGGACTGCGTTTCCTATGACTCTCCACGACAGCCATTGGGCATACTGGTGTCCATCCTCGACGTCGCGGACACCGCTCGCATAATGAAATCCGCTACAGGCGAGAGTTATACCAACAAGAAGCTCTCATCTTCACAGGAAAACTTCAACGTTTACCGCTACCTCCGAGCACCTTCGCCGGTATCTCTGGCTGCTTTCAAAAGCAAGAACGAGATAGCCGAGTACCTCGTGCCCGTGCTAGTGCATGTCCCTCAACACTTGTCAGCCAAATATGCTGCAACGATACAGCAGCGGGCATACCAGCAAGGGACTGTGGAGGACTTCAGTCCCCGTTTGAGGCTCATGACAATCATATCTGTGCTCTTTCTGCCACTTACGTTTGTAAGTACTACGTTTGGACTGCAGAGAGACCTTGGTGTGCCATATCACGGCTTGACGGTAGTGCTAGCCGTGGCAATAGCGGCTATTCTATTCCTACCCCGGAATTCGGTCGTCATTCGGACGGCGACGAATATCTGGAATGCTTTGCTGAGACAACGGTAAAGCTATCTTCCATGTGGTCAATGGTCAACTTTGACGGTATTGCGACGTCGCTTGTGACTGTGGCTGTCGGATCAGCGCAGACGCTGGCGCCGGCTCACCATGCGAAAGCTCGCGTATCTCCCTTAGGCTTACGCGCTGATTACGGTATGATGCTCAAGCGCCAAGACATTTGGGTTCCGCGGAACAGTCGAGCTGATCACTGCTACAGTGTTTTTGCTCGCGTTTGACAGCGGTCCGCGGCTGAACGAGTGAACGAGGTATTCATCGCCACCTATCATAGGGTTCGCAGGATGCCATAACGTTAGTCAAATGTGGAGTTTCAGGCACTCACAGGCCAACGTTGCCTTATTCTGGACAGACCGGCATGCCAGACAAGGATGCTGCGGGTCCGTGCTGGACCGCAACACTGACTATAAGTCACGAATGTCCTCGAGGCATCCGCATGCGTGTACAAGAATCTTCGAACATGGTCTGATCGCAGTACGAGTACCAGAGAGTTGACGATTGGATATTGCCTTGATACCTACGACATTGCCAAGACTTTGCTGTTCCTTGAGATACTACACCGCCACGAAACGCCATTCTGGCTTCACCTGTCACAGTGACAGACACATGCACCTTCTCCAACGAGAATCCAAGAAGCACCTGCGTCAAAAAGCCAAAAAGAATCAGACTGTTGCCGATTCGAAGGTTGATTCTTAGGGACTACCCACATGCTTGACCGGGATTGAGCTCTAATCCGCCGTTGTTAGAAGCTCGTTTTGCACCTCTGGCGTTCGGTAGAGGGCAACCAGTTTCAGGTTTAATTGAACCAGGCACCCCGTGAGGAGTTGACATTTGAGGACCTTTGTCCGATTGACGGTGCAAAATTTGATAAGTCGAAAATATATCCAAATGAGAAGTGGGCGTTTGTCATCTGAAGTCTTGGTATTTCGGCCGGTCTCCTCAGCAACATGAGTCGCTTTGTACTCTGGAAGCAGGTCTGCTCGGTCAATGCTCCGGACAGCAGGACATCGGGTATCTCCCACGAACGGTACAAGCCCCAGCTTGGCTGCGCACGAATGACACGCGACGGACAGCAGCCAATTGTGCTTCTTGCCCTTCCTTTTGAGATCAGGCACAAGATCTGGGGTTATGCGCTCAATAATGAGGTGACATTCTGTCGGAAACCTGCACACTGGAACTCGAAATGCTGCGATCATTCGGAGGTAGTGACCATCGATCGAAAGCCCGTCTGGAGACCTGGCGCTCGTGGCTACTTGCCCAACCCACATCTTGGCTTGCTTCTGGCCAGTAGGACGGTCTATGAGGAAGTTTCTCATTTTCCTCGATCGACTTGCCTGGTATTTTCTGATTTGGCGTGTGTTGGTGGCTCAATACTGAGTCTTTGGGCATATGGCCCGCAGAATAGGCCTAGGTGGGACATATGGGATCAACAGCAGTACTGCGAGCGTATAGAGTACGTTGAATTTGTCGCTCGAGGACATCGGATTGGCGAGGCAATCCAATGGGCTGGATCCAGCAACGTGCAGAAGGTCCAGGCACCAGGCAAGACGCCTTTTGAGGCTCATCTCCGGACTGAGCTGCTTCTACATATGCTCAAAATGCAGCCTGGTGCGACTCATCGATTCGAATACCATCAAGACGAGGAGATCTTCCGAGGCGACGAACTGGCGATCGTCGTCAGGTTCTTCATGACGCCTAGGGTGGGGAAGCGTGTCGAATACCAATACTGGCCGTGAACAGTATATCGGCCTCCATTGCAAGGACAATGGCGCATCACCACTGCTCACCAGCGGTAGGAAGCTCGATATTTCGGCGGACGGGGCGGTCAAACTTGTTCGGAACGTTGGAAGTTCGTGCAACTCGCAAACTGTTGCCGTATTTCTGCATGATTTGCTGCGAGTGGAAAGACCACCACTTTTGCGCGGTCAGGCTGCTTCATGAGTCTTGGCGTAGGTACTCACCTGCCAGGTGCAGTCGTGTCCACCAAAGCCCTCGATGATGCTCTTTCCAGCCGGATGTTTCCGCTTGAACTCTGTGCAATCGAGAACGATGTCGTCAACCACTATCCCTGACGTCGATCAGCATACGGGCATGAATTGACTGGAGACACCAACACAATCGGTTGAGGCCGATGCCGTCTCTCTTCGCGACCTCTGAAGCGTCCACGAAGCGCAAGTCTTCCCGTCGGACACGAGGCCTGAAGGGATAGTTCTGGGTAGCGTCGACTTTATCGCTGATTGAAACATCTTCTACGTGTTCGGAGGAAGCGACGTGTGTCGCTGTCAGCTTTACGGGCGATTGTTGATCAAGCTGAGAAGGTTCCTGGCTAGAAGGGAAGGAGAGATTGATATCAATTCGGCCCATGCTAAGCAGATTGAAACTTGAATGTGGCAGTCGCTCGAAGAGGCAGTGGCTATCTAAGCAGGTCTTTCGACCTGTCTAGTTGCTTGAGGATGTGCCAGGAGTTGCTCTTGAACTCGGGATTGTGGTGACTTGGCTAGTCCTCCCCGGGCCCTTGCAGATCATCCAACCACTGTCTCTCTGGGCATCCTCAATTGCTGAGGATAGAAATCCCGTCCCATGAAGCCCATTTACCCGCTGCAACGGCTGCATGAACAGCAAGAGCCGGGCGAATGGTATTTGCTGATCCTAAGCAATCCCCGCACGATCAACCCCAACCCGCATACTAGTCCTCGTATGCTTGTCCATCTTCCCCAGCACGACACATCATCAGTCTGCGGGGTAGGCTGCCTCGCCTCTTGTGCATACCGAACCCCGGGCCCCTAGGTGAAGCTTGTGCAAGAGCTTACCCTGGGTATAAAGCATGAGGATGGCAGGACCGTCGGGTCGAGACCCTTCCTTCCGAGGTGGAAGCAAAGAACGAGCATCGAAGTCCCCCTACCACTTTCGACTATCATGGCGCCACCAGTCGCCGTCGATGGCGTCGGGCAGATGCTTAATGGCTTCAGCGACAAGAAGAAGGTCGACACCATGAACCCACATGATCTGGTGGAATGGGATCGCAAGTTGACACCGAAACGCTACGAGATCAAAGGCACAAACCCGGATTCGAGGATCCTGATCAGTGATGTGAACATCATAGATTCGACGGGCAAGCCCCCTTTCAAGGGTGATGTATACGTGGAAGGTATGCCAGCCAGCATTCAATGGATGTACTGTCGCTGACAGAATGAGGTGAACGAATCAAACATGTCGGCTCTGTGCCCAACAAGGCTCAGCTCCTCCAAGACAACTCTGTTCGTGTCATACATGGTCGTGGCCGTACGCTGATGAGCGGATTGGGAGACGCCCACGTACACTTCTCATGGAATGAAGGCGACCTTGGTAAGCTTGGTGAACTGGGTGTCGAGGAACACACCCTCCTTACTGCCCGGTCTGCCAAGACATACATCGACTCTGGCTACACGATGTGCTTCGGAGCTGCTTCAGCAAAAGAGCGACTCGACTGTGTCATACGAGACGCGATCAACAACGGCAGCATTCCCGGACCACGATACCTCGCCAATGGGAAGGAGATGGCTGTACCAGATGGCGAGCTCGTGCCTGGCATTACAGCCTTTGCTTCAGGACCTCTCGAAATGCGCGAAACCATTCGACACCACGTCAAGCTCGGAGTCGATCAGATCAAGCTGAGCATGTCCGGCGAGCAAATCTGCGAAACACGTGATGCTCAGGACTGCTATTTCACGGATGAGGAGACCGCTGCTTGTGTGGATGAGGCTCATCGGCATAACGTTCGACTGTGCGCACATGCTCGCGCTAGGGACAGCGTGAAGCAATGCGTCAAGCATGGTGTCGAGATCATCTATCATGCGTCGTGGATTGATGATGAGGGCATGGACATGCTCGAGAAGGCGAAGTCGAAGCACATTGTCGCCCCTGGACTGAATTGGCTCATTGCTACTGTCTACGAAGCTGCGGCTTTTGGATATTCGTTCGAGAAAGCGGAACAGATTGGGTACAAGAAGGAGCTGGAAGTTGCGATCAGGGGCCTGAAGGAGATGCACAAACGCGGCATCACAGTCCTGCCAGGTATGGTTTCTTCTACTCCTCGAGACTCTACCATACGTCCGCCGTGCTGATTGAAGCCGCAGGAGGTGATTATGGCTTCGCTTGGACTCCCCACGGCACTTACGCTCGAGACCTGGAGCACTTCGTGAAGCTCCTGGATTTCACACCCATGGAGGCTCTCGTTGCGGCAACCGCAGGTGTTGCCAGACTCTTCATGCGCGACGAAGAGCTCGGGAAGATCGCCGAAGGGTATGTCCGCCCCGCATTTCGGCCCCTCCAGATTGGCTGACATGAGTTAGATACTATGCAGATATGATTCTGATAGATGGCAACCCGTTGGACGACATAAAGATCTTGCAGGTATGCATGCTTGCAACCCCCACCCTTCAGCAACCAAATTGATCAGAAATAGGACCACGACAAGCTTAACGTCATCATGATCAACGGTCGCATACATAAAGCCAGTTACAAGGAGTTCCTTCGGACAGAGGATCGACCTGCCGCAGAAGCCCAGGTGCAGCAGCCTGCCCCGAAGTTGACCAATTTTGTCGCGTACAGTCTCGACGATGGGACTGGTAGGACGCGCATGGGTCACCTTGACCCGTCCAAGGGCACGATCACACCTTTGGCGTTTCCAGGTGGGACGCCAATTGAAAACCTTTATCAGGTTCTTGAAATTGGCGAGGATAAGGTGCAAGCAGGCGGCGATGCCTTCCCTCTCACATCAAGGCATGTCCTCCCTGCTCACCTACGCCCGCTTGTAACACTTGCGGCTTGAGCATCAGTCTAGCATTGACTCAGGTGTACAATACTATATTGTTGGTGACTGACCAGTGTCTTTGCCCACAGTCTTAATATCCTCCCTCCCATTTACGGTAGAGATATCCTCGCTGTTGGCAAGAACTATTCAGCCCACGCCAAAGAGTTCAATGCCAGCGGCTATGACTCGTCCGACAAGGTCGACATGCCTACCCATCCGGTCATCTTCACGAAGCGGGCAACCTCGATCATCGCCAACGAGGAGGAGATCCTGCTGCATCCAGACTTTACTGAGACTCTTGATTATGAGGGCGAGATAGGCGTTATCATTGGCAAGAACGGATTCCAGATCTCGGAAGCCGCGGCTGAAGATACATCTGGGGCTACACGATCATCAATGATGTGACGGCCAGAGAGAAGCAGCGAGATCACAAGCAATTCTACATCGGTGAGTACTACATTCGTGCTTGCGGATGTCGATGAGGACTGACAACCTAGGCAAATCGGCTGATACATACTGCCCCATGGGACCCATCGCTGTGCCGGCTTCGCAGCTTCCAAAGGTCTTGAAAGTAACCACGAAGGTCAACGGCGAGCTTCGGCAAGAGGCTACAACAGAGGATCTGATCTTTAGCATCCCAACGTTGATCAAGACTCTTTCGGAATCTCAGACACTTCGTGCTGGTGACGTGATCGGTAAGACCCTTGCCCGCGAACGCGTGGCTTCGTGTCTGTTACAAGTTCGACTGACACTTCCCAGCAACCGGAACTCCTGCTGGCGTCGGTTTCGGCCTCAAGCCTCCTCAATTCCTCAAGGCTGGTGACCTGGTCGAAATATCAGTGAGTGGCCTCGGAGTCCTCAGGAACAAGGTTGCAGCCGCCGATACCACCAATGCCGTCACACAACGTATCTCGAGCGAGACCAGTCTTCCTGTCTCCAATCTATCACGGACGAGCGGTGGTCTCGGATTGACTACCCTTGCGAGTGGCAAGCAACTCGACATCCGAAAGACCGGCTCGGGAAATCACCTTGTTGTCTTTATACATGGACTCGGCGGTGATAAGTCCTTCTACAGTCCGCTTATCACTTCACTAGGTTTCAGGACCGAAGGAACACTCCGAGGGCTGACGCTCGTCGAGTACGATTTCGAGGGCCATGCTTCTCGCCGACCCCTGCAGCGTCGGAAATCACAATTTCATCCCTCGCCGCTGATCTGCACGACATCATGACACTACCGTCGCTAGCATTGTCTTCCCACAGAACGACAATAGTTGCGCACTCGATGGGTTGCCTAGTCGCCACGCTCTTCGCGTCACTTCACCCAGATCTAGTTCAACGCCTGATTCTCCTCGGTCCACCGCCTATCCCAGTTCCTGCTGGTGGCGTCAACGCCAGCGTTGCAAGGGCCGCCAAGGTACGGTCTGAAGGCATGCGGGAGGTTACAGCCGCAGTCTCGACCGCCGCTACATCCGAAAAGACGAAGGCGGAAAGACCTCTAGCTTTCGCTGCCGTACAAATGAGTCTACTCAGCCAGGACCCGGAGGGCTATGCCAAGGGCTGCACGGCGTTGGCGAGTGGTGGCACGCTTGACGCCGACCTACCAAGCAAGCTAGATCAGCAGGAGGTGTTGGTGATTGCTGGTGAGGAGGACAAGGTCAGTCCAAAGGCTTGGGCGGAGAAGCTCTCGGGGACTCTGCTGAAGAATGGAAAGCTTACGGTGCTGCCGGATGTTGGGCACTGGCATTGTTTTGAGGACGTGGATGGTGTGGCGCGGGCAATTAAGGATGTTCTGGTATAGCTAGAAGCGCCAAATGTAAACGTATGAGGCAGCGAGTATGGTAGAATTGGTGTCAGACTCTTCTATTCGCTTCCCGCTTTGCCTACCAATGCCTCGCAAGGCTTTCAGGATCTGAGGTTGTTCATCTCAAGAAAGGCTCAAGATATGGGTTCAAGTTCCGTTTCAGAAAGTCACTGTCCCGAAGAGGCAAGCCTCACTTCTGTCGGTCCACCGAGACCGAACAAATCACAAATTGCAATAGAATGGTTGTGCAGCGGGCTCCCCAGCTTTGATCCTGTTTTGAAACAACGATACATGCTCGTCCCCCGCTTGCTACACAGGGAATAGTTGGGGGAGGGAGTTTTGCTGAAGAGGATGGACGTCGAAATTTAGGTGAGACGCTGTATTACTGGAATGCCAAGACGCTTCCACACCCCTCTCTTCGAGCTCCGGCGTGACTGCGTCTATGTGTTCCTCCCTTGGTTCTCTCCCACAGGGTGGGCCATGGTGGCGGGCTCGGGGGAAGGGGTGGAGCGGAGACTCCTGAGATTGACTCACATTGTCAACACAGCTGAAGCCTTATCCACTTGAGCAGGTTTTGACTCCAGGCAACCACTTAGCAACTTCAGCTCGTCCAGCTCCCAGCTGCCCAGTGACTCACACACGTTCCTTCCTTGACATGTGCTCTCCCATCTGAGAGATATAGGTCTCGCTCCTCCCATTATCCTCACAGATTTTCTTTCCTTCCTTTGTACAACATACGTCAAATGATATTACCATATTTCAAATTTGCCATACTTGAGCATTGAGATATGTTGGTATTTGAAGTTATATGTGTGTGCACCATCGTCTGGCTTTGCTTGCGAAGCCTTCGGGGGTGTATTATTTTGACGTGGAGGGTTGTGCTGGATCGATTTCGATTGTCACTCCCTCGCTCCTGACACTGGGGAGAATTCGGGGAAAGAGTCTTGCCTTAGACGACGAACGTTGAGATTTTGATGAGATGCGGTGATACTGGAATGTCAAGAGGACTGCGCTCCTTCCCTCTACCTTCAAGCTGTCCACGGGTGCGCTCTTTCCTTGATAATGTTCCACAGGATTTTGCAGGAAGCAATGTGTCTGCTGTTTTTTGACACTGATATAGATGCAAGATTAACCGCCGCCCGTAAATCATCCTTTTCGGTGACCCGAATGTCGTTTCGATCGAGACGAATACTGAGCTCTGATGAATTCTTCCACAGCTGTCTGTTCTCTCAATGACATGTCGTCCACTCCGTTCGCCAATTCATCATCTTGGACTTCGCTCCGTCGGTCTTTGCCCTGCAATTGTGAGTCCACCTTATCTGCAGAAGTCGCTGGGGTATGGCCGTTGATTGCGCCTGCCTCGCTTGACATCCCGGTCGCAGCAGACGTTCTACGTTCGGCTGAATCCGACGTCCGGTCATGGCCATGCGGCTGCACTGCTGCGACACCGTTGACTTGGCTCTCTCGCTTAGCCGAACTCGGCTGCTGAGCGGAAGACGACGTGTTGTCTGGTCTCAGTCCGCCCCTCCAAGGCCTCTGCTTCTCGTCCCACGCCAGGGAATTAAATTTCCATATGCCCACGGTCTGCTCTTTGTCCAATTTGGTGCCGATACTGCTTCTGAGCTTTTCTGCCACAACATCTTCACCGACATCAGAGAAGAATAACCTCTGCCACGTCTTTCCCTCCTGTTCCTCCTGCTTCCGCATGTCTCTCTGGCCTTGCTCGACAATGTTCTTAGCACTGCTCGTGCCCTGCATGTCTCCCTTGTTCAAAGCTTTCCGTACATCCTTCCAGACCTGACGTGTCTCGTAGGGATCCATTTTCTCTTCTGGGACAAGTTGTAGATCTGCTGTAGGCATAGCTGCCACGTCCACCTCTTCAAGGACATGTCCGCTCTTGTCCTTGATTGTGAAGCTGCTGTCCCAGTTGCCACTTATCGTCCAAACGGGTGTGCCGGAACCGTGTGAAGACGCCTCTGAATGCTGGAAAACTTTCGCTTCGAACCCATTCTTCCCGCTCTTGCCACCACCGATTCCCAAAAATCCCTTACCCGAGAACTCCACTTCTGCTCCCCATCCACTTGTTGACGGAATATGGTAAGAACCACCCAGCTCAGGATATGGCGTGCCAGATAGAACGCCCTTGACTCGCACGTCTGGCAGCGGGATAAGGTACACCTCACCTTCATCATTTCCCTGCCCATTTCCGCCGGGAACCTTCCGTAACTTGAACAGAGCATACCCCATTTGCGCGATGTTGACGCTACCACTGCTCATACTGAAAGTGATCTCCTGTCTCGTAAATCCCTCAGCCTCAACACCTAGCTCATCATTCCACACCCTGCAGGCCGTCACCGGAGGATGATGCGAGACCTGTTCCGACACGAGATGCGTCCTTCCAATCCCCTGATCGCGATCCTCCGAATCCCACCAGCCGACGAAACACTCCCCTAGCACGGCGTTCAGCGGCTTCTTCACGCCACTGTTCGGGTCTCGTCCGGCGTACTGCTGGCCGCGTAGACTTGAGAGCCACCACTTGAGGACGCGAAGCATACGTTCTCCTGGGTCATTGCTTTGCGCTGGGGCGACGAAAGAGTCAAGGTGCTCTGCCCAGTATTGCGGGAGCTCGACGGTGGATTTTGTGTCGAGGACAAAGGGTGGTGCGGTGATTGTGGAGAGGTCGCCTCGAATTGTGGATAGGGAAGCGAGAAACTCGCGGAGGGTGGAGCGGTTCGCTGAGATGGCGTCGTCGGAGGGGGTTGAGTCTGGCATTGTGGTTGTTGTGTTGAATTCAAGTCGCTTCCAAATTGCTGGCAGATAGAATCGTCGACAGCAGGGCGCGGTGTCCTTTGCTAGGAATGAGACAGTGACCTTGCCAAACTCCAGACTCTCTGGACCTGTGAACGTGGTATATAGTGGTACTTCAGCTCGTCATGGGGTCCGGACAGCAGGTACTTTTAGGCATCACAATGAGTGGTGATGATGACTATAGACGAAGTCGCAACATAGCACTACTTGAGACCGCCGTGTTCTATAACCTCTATGAGCTATCTGCCTGTCTTACGCACTTATCGCCTCGTACGAACCAAACCAAGCCACACTCGACGAGGCGACCACATGCCTGCCAAGTCATACAGAAGAAGATGTGGTGAGGTCATGACCCACAGAGGTTTGCAGGGATCGCAAGATTGTTCCGCATCGCGACTGCCCTCGACGCGGCTCAGATCGCAGGCCTGGGATGATACTGATGGTCGCAAGTGTTCGAAGACTGCTACCAGATGTTGTAGGCATTCATCGTACAGGTGAATCACCCCATGCGTTTCGTGTCTGCAATCGCCTTGAGCGATAAGCGAGGAATCGTTGCCTGAATGTACGTAAGCGACTGCGGTAGTCTGGAGGCTTCATCAAGACCGGATGACTACGTCGATGCTGCACGACCGGATGACAAGATAATGAATTTCTGCCACTCGTTCGACCTGGGCTGCAAGACGTCAACGAAGAGCCGTGATCTACAACGCATTTCACTGTGCCGCGACAATCGTAAGGTCAGCGGCGTGACTTGGCCCTCTTCTCGAAACGAAGTTGTGTACGACGAAACACTTCTCTTAAAGTCGCGAATGCACTATTCCAGGAATGAACACATACACATATATTCTCACAGGAGAGCAGGCGAGTTGAGCATGCTGTAATGTATTTAGGCGATGGGAATAACCCTAAGAGCAAAGCGCGTCAAAGTGTATGCTGATGGTCTCTCTATACAGATGGTAATGGATCCGGCAACTCTCACCTCCTTCGCGAATGGTACCTTGCAGTGCAAGTTACCATGCAGCAGGTCCACCACTCGGCCTTCCTCAGCACCCCTTCGTCTGAGCTGCCAATAAAACGGATCACAGCAGCAAGCACCATGGAGGGCACCTGATATATAGTTGTTGTTGCGCAGCTCAGCTATGCGAACATGCTCAGGACAGCATGTCCCGATGGGTTTCAGCGAATTTTCGTAGTCGTCTGAGTATATATCGGCATCTCCGGCTTCTACTCGAGCTTCGACAGGGAAACCCTACAGATAAAGCCAAAATATCGTGTCGCAGGCTCTCTGCCCGTCGCCTCGTCCTCCTCAGAGACACAATCAACTCAGACCACCATCCAGTCAAGTATACAAGCACGACGAAAGCACCTTCTTGCATTCACCATGCACCTAACAAACATCCTCACGACCCTCCTCGTCGTCTCGCTCGGCGCAGCTAGACCGAATGGCGTTGGCATCCCCGAGACAGCCGCCATCGAGCCCCGCGAGACAGACACGGAGGCCACCGACCGTCTGCTCTTCGACACACCAATGTCCACCTTTCTCGACGCGAAACGCCTCCTCAACCCCAGCACTCTAGACTGGACTGACAATGGCTGCGGGGCTAAAGCAGACGACGTTATTACTGACCACCCGGACGGCTTCGATTTTCTGCCTGCCTGTCAACGCCATGATTTCGGGTACCGCAATTACAAGAAGCAGGGACGGTGCGACGATAGCGATAAGGCTAAGATCGACCAGAATTTTCGGGATGATATGGACAGAATTTGCGGGGCGGCTCCTGGCTTTATCAAGAAGCTGCAGTGTATGGGATATGCCGAAGTCTACTATCTCGGGGTGAGGGTTGGTGGGGATCTTTGTTAGGGGAAATGGAATCAGCCGACTCACTTCACCGGGCAGAGAGGGAAGTATGCGTGGCAGAAGAGCTTGCACTTCAATGCTGCCATGGGCGACTACCCTTTGCTTCCTGGCGCCTGGTGTACGCCCGAGTTCGACAACAAGGTCGCGCTGCCGACAGATTCACCGTTAAGGATGAAGAGAACATAGTCTGCAATGTTGGCAGTCCAAACCACCTTGTGAAAGACAACCTTCTCCTAGTTCTCACCGTTCTACCTTGTGAAAGACAAACTTCTTATCGTTCTCACCGTTCTACCTTCTTCGTAAAGGGGGTTGAGTCGTATCAACTCAAGGATGCCTGCGAAGCTGCGAGACCGGCTGATACAAACGCAGGAGTTGAACAGAGTGGCGATGAAGCTGTACAGAGCACCTCTACATGGCCGTCACTGACGCAAGGCCAGAGGCGCGACTTGACGCACATTCAATGATCAATCATACCCAAAACGACTGGCTGGACGTTCTGAGGTTGCGAATGCGCTGGACCAGAAACGAACGTATATGCATATTAGCAAAGGCGGCCGAGCCTATGTGCCGCAAAGAGCCTTGCGGACGGCACCAACGATATTCTATCGTGTCCTTCCGCTATGGTGCTACAAGACATAAGCTACGTTACAGCTTCCACAGCCACCATCAGACCTGCGGCGCTCATCTCTTTTGTGAGCCGCTGAGTAGCCTCTTTCATCGCCACGATTTGATCTGTCTCCGACCACAAAATCCTCTCTGCAGCGTCCATAGCCTCCCGTAGCGGCTGCCGAGTGGGCTCCTGGCCTCGAATGCGCTCATTTGCCATTTCTAACTGCTTTCTCGCTGTCCCAAATACCTCCCAGAACTCCGCCACGCGCGCTGGATACTTGGTCTGGTGAAGCTCGACTTCCCAGTCCTTCTGCTGGGGACCTTCCAGTATGCTTAGCCAGTCGGCCATATGCTTCCATCGATCCTCCTCAAGGCCTGGAAAGTGTACAAAGACGTCACCCTTTTCTCCTTCATATGCATGGTGGAATTCATATGTGTTGAACCATGGACGAGGCTGATATAGGACATGCTTGCGGTTCTCGGTCCGATTCAGCTCAAGATATAACGAGGTCTGCTCCAGGAAGCTGAGATCGATATCCGGGCGATGGTGCTCGTAGGTCATGGCGTTAGCGAGAAGTTCTAGGGACCATTTGTGGACCTTGATGAAGAACATCCCGGCATTGAAGCCTGATTGGTCTTTCGAGCCAAGGAAATGTATGTCAGAATGTTCCTCAGGCGGAAGGAAGACTGTCAGAGGAACTGCGGGATTGACGACCGCGGAATCCGCATCAAACCACCTTGGTCTCTTGTCAGCATTCCAGCCATCTCAATTCGAAACTGGGACCATACATTATCCACTTAGCAGCATGCTCGCCTTTGCTTAGTTCTGATACCATAGCGTGCATCAAACACAACAGCTTGTTCCAGACGCCATTGATAAGCTCCTTCCTGAGAATGTATGTGGGATAGCGATGTCTTTTCGCGTGCTTGATGTGAGTCTCGATGGCTCGCAAGTAGTAATCATTATCGCCATAAAGCATGGACACTTTTGCGACATCAGGCGCTATATAGTCCGCACGAGGGCCCTGAACGGACTCGTAGTCCAGAGGATTATATACGCTGAACACCTTCGACGTCTCTTGCATTTGCCTTTGTGGACCAAGCTGCCAGGCTGAGTTGTTATGTCTGTCGAGGGATTTGACTAGTAGTAAACAGCTGAACGCTGCCATTGCGGCTGTCAGAAAGAAGCGACATGGCCGCGAATAGGTTTCGCGCATGCTGGTAAGACTTGGCTCTCGTGGCTGCGCTACCTCTCAATAGATGTGGTCATATGAAAGTCTTTCTACGTTCGTACCCATGGCCAGAAGAAGTCCCGTGTGATTGATGTATTGCCGATGAGTAACATTGGGAAGGGTTTCGTGGTAAAAGAACACCATTCGACTTGACCAGTCGATCGGAGCACTGTAATTTCCGGCGGCTCAAGCCAGTATTACCCCTTCTCGCGCCTGAGTCCATGCCTGGTGTCTTCGGCTGCAGCTGCGTGCATCTCTTCGCGTCGCCGACCGCAGTCCATTGGCAATACGAACAAAGATCCGGCAGTCGCAACAAAGGGAGCATCTCGGGTGCCCCTTACACTTTATAGCAGTCCGGCCGCAAGCATTTTCCAAGTCACGCACAGACATCTCAGTAGGCGCAATGACCAGTCAGGCTGTACGCTCGTATTGTTGAGAGTCGTAGCACGAATCGTGCGAGAGCGCATCTCGTATACCAGTGCGGGTGGCTTATCTGATCAGGTAATGATCAAGACCCAATCTGGATGCTGTCAGTCTTTGACTGAAACAGCCAGTCGCTGTCTGCCAGGGGCACCCCGTATAACTTGACATCAAGATGCGATGACTACAATGCAATTAGGGCCTCCTGATCGCTCCTGTCCGCGGGAAAATGCGAAGAAAAGTCTTAAACCAGAGCTCAAATGAAGCTATTCTGGAGAAGTTGCCTGCCAGAGATGAAGTGACTGTGCCTACTAGAAGACACTCTGCTGGCTATTCAGGACTCAACGACTCCCGAAAGGGTTCGGGAAGGGAGCTATCACTCTCTCGCAGAACGAGAGCTATGCCTTTCTGAACGCCCTGATCATGCCATGCCGAACACGGCGTCCTGCTGCGGCAGGTTCACGGACTCGAGTAGATCCCAACCACCAACGAACTCCCCGGTCTGGGGCCCGTCACTAACACTGAAGTCCTCCCAGTTTATCGAAGCCATGTCAAAAGACGGAAGATCTTCGTTGCTGTAGGTGCGTCCGAAGCGAAGCTTGTCTAGCTGGGCCGTGCCAGGATATAGTAAGCGTGTTAGCTCCGAATCCTGAGCAGGTCCGAACGAAGTCAGCGAGGGTGATCGCCCAGAGAACACAGACTCTAGCAGGGGGCCGAGCAGTCTTTCGTAGACGCCTGCATAGTTCGACACCTCATTCCAGCCCTGGGCAGCAAGCGATAAAAAGTTCGCCGTGAAGACTTTAGTCATCTCAAAAATTTCGGATGCCTCGAAGCGGGCGGAAATTGTGTCGAATCCATGACGCAGACAAAAGAGAACGACCATTGAGTTTTCTAGCACGTGGTGTGCAATCAGCCACGATCTGCGATAGAAGCCACTCAGAATGTGTTCTCGCAGGCTTTTTGCAGATTGACAGGCGGCCTCAAAAGCGACCATCAGACTCCGCGGAGATGGCATGGGCATTCTGGGCGATGGACGATGAAGATTCGTCAGACCGTGGGCCAGTGTAAATTCCGTCAATTCATGCCCGTTGTTGTAGTCTTCGGACCACGCTTGGAGACGACTTTCCATAAGCATCAGCCAATCCTCCCACGTCTGCCCGGGGTCAAGTGGTTTCCCTTGGAAGTGAACCTCGGTCATGACTGACTGAAGCCGCCTGAAGTGGCACCAGCGAAGCATATGTATCTTGGTCTGGGTACCCGTTGAGTCGACAGACGTTGGGTGGATGTGTCTATCATCCAGTATTGAAGGAAAGTGTGCGTCGATAGTCTGATCAGGGATGGACACAGGGCGTTGTAGAGCAGAGCAAATGGATCTATCGAACATGTAGGCTGACCAGAAGATGCGACGCCGAAGGTCAAGGGTGACTTTATCGAAGGCCAACGCATCAGGAGCCTCTCGGTGGAGCCCAAGTTCGAGACAAGCTCTCATTGCCGCTCCGGTCAACATCCATACGTTGGCTAAGCGAGGGTTTATGGATGCGTACTGGAGAATGAGTAATGTTACCTGAATACCGGCGAGATCTGAAGGTATCTTAGAATTTGCGGACAGGTGCTGGATGCCCTCTTCGAAAAGAGACCCCGAGAACATCATATGTTTGGCTTCGTGACCGGTCTTTGAGCTGCCTAGCGTTGCCGATACCGCCAGCATGAGGTATATGATAAGGAAGTCGTATGATGGAGGCACCGATCGAAGGTAGCGATCAGGTAGTGCTTGCAACGTTGATAAGACAGTATCGAGTTGTTGCCAGAGAGCGGGAGCGTACAGGATCGGGAAGATAGGATAGACCTTGCTCATATATTTCTTTATCAAGCTCCGGACGATGTTGGGCGGAATGCTGTGAAGAATAGCACAGGTGACCTCGGTTTGCGACCTCGACACAGACTTCCGACGAATGCCTCGTGGGCTCTCTGTTGTCATCGCTTTCGATGGCGTTAGACTCATACGTATTCGGGCCACGAGGTCGGTGATTCCAGGTCCAGACGGGAGGATCGCGAATATCATGGCTTGGATCTCGTCACTTTTCATGGCCTCGTCTCGGACAGCATCTCGTTCTCTGTGAGCTACTGGCGTGACGGGTGAGGGCTCCGTCAGAGCAGAAATACTGTGACGATGGCTATCCCTTCTCGTGATAGGAGACAGTATTGGAGGCAGTTGATTTGGTGGGGGCTGACTGGTATCGATGTGGAGGCCGGTAGTTGTGGTGGGCATGCCCACGAGGATATCAGAGGCGTTGAGGTCCTCCAGGTGACCATTGCTTGCCAGTTCCGCCTCGATTTTTGCAAGCTCAGACTCAAGATGCTGGACGATACTGCGTGGAATGTTTGGATCCTGATCTTTGGAGCTGTAGCCTGTACAAGCCGTCTTTGCGGTGACGCATTGGCCGCAAGGAATTGCACGATCACACTTGATCTTTCGCCGGCGGCACCTCGCGCACGACAACACCGAGCGCCGGCACTCGGACATGGCTAACGTGTGCTCGGGACTGATTAAGACCAATGTCGCTGCCGTTGATTTGTCTTGACGATCACATCAGAGCCTGCTGGTCTTTATGAGGCGACAACCAGGTTAAGGTCAGGAACTGAAGACGACCGAAACTCCAAGTCCGAGAGTCAACCTGTGTGATTTTAGCGGCGGCTAGCGCCCCCGCGCGCTCGTGAGTCGGAGTCCCCTCCATGGCCGATCGCATCTTATCGGCGACGTTGCACCTTATCCCGGCCCGGGCGTTATCTCAGATGATCGTTCATCCTCGGTCCTCTTCATCTTGCTGGTGTTGCAATAGACAAAAGTTGTGTCACTAACAGAGAGCGCGACTCCGAATGCTTATATGATATTACGAGGCTGTCAGACGCACAAATCCTCAGGAGAAGAGCGCCTCTTGCTCATATCCGTTCCGACGCGTTGGGACCATGGACGAGACAACGAACATCTCCGAAGCCGAGCTAACTCGTCTGCTGCCTACGTGCCAACGTTGTCGCAGACTTCGACGCAAGTGCGACACCCAGCTGCCGGCGTGCCGGCTGTGTCAGAAGGGCAAAGCTGAGTGCACTTTCTTCGATCATGCCTTGCAGCAGAATCTGCCTCGAAGCTATGTCCACGAGCTTCTGATTAGACTGAGTCGTTTACGAGCTGCTCAGTCTGCAAGCAACGGCGGCGAACCAGTCCAGAGTACTTTTAAGTATCCTCCAATACAACACAGCCGCAATCTTTCCGCGGTCTCAAGCCTGACAGAGCCTCCAATCTCGGCACCTGGCAATGGCAATGGCAATGGCTGGGGTACAGATACCAGTGACATATCCTTTGATAAGCACTTCATTCTACGCAATGCCAATCCGACTTGTTGGCAATTCTTTGGGAGCAGCTCTGCCTACTCCTTAGCGATCGAGGTCATTGTCCATGCTCAGGCTCGTTTGGGACAGATAACATTTCCTGGCATCTATTCACACGGCAAATACTGGCTTGACACCCATCGGCTCACTGATAATCTGGCCACGTCTCGAGGCAGACCAGCTCCTGACCAGGCTGAAATTGACAGCCTCTTCCGGCTCTATTCGGTAACTACGAACTCGATGATGAATGTGCTCGATCTAGACGAAGTTTATGCCGACATTCCGATCTATCTGCGCTACACGGGATCGAACAATCGATACCTGTCGGGATCTGAAGCATATCAGTTCTTCAGGATCAGCATGGTCTGCGCAATCGCAGCTGCCAACAAGGGTAGACATCATCCTGAGTACATACAAGAATCTCTTGCGTACTATTCCGAAGCGCTGGAATGCGTGGAGGAGGTCACATCCGATGTGACTGTCGAATCGCTTCAAGCTCTGATGTTGCTTATTTTCTTTGCATTGTTCCACCCACGGAAAGGCGACATCTGGAAGTTGCTCGATTTCGCCTGCCGTTTGAGCGTCGAACTTAACTACCACTCCGAGCCCAACGACGAGTTCGAAAGCGAAAAAGCGAGGCGAAAGCGACGGGGCATCTTCTGGGCATTGTATACCGTTGAGCGCACCATTGGCCAGCATTTCGGCCGGCCAGCAGACTTGACGGAAGAGATCATCACAGCCGAATATCCCGTCACAATCCATGATGCCGCTGCCGCAAGTGCCGATCCTGAAGCTCTGCAGTTCATCCTCTCCTCGCACTACTATCGGCTCACCTATATGCGTTCGGAGATCTTCCGGGAACTTTATCTTCCTGTCACAGCCCCCGAACTGCCGCGTGAGTGGTATGAGCTACGCCTGTCCAACATCTTATCTTGGCGTCGCGAGCTCGAATATCTTGATCAGATTACCGGCGTGGGAGCAATGACCTGCGAGATGGGGTTCGATAGCTCAATCTGCTTTCTCTTTCAGCCGCTTGTGCTAAGAGCTCTAGCTACAACGAAAGAGGCCGTGATTCCCGCAGAATGTCTGGATGTCATCCCACGGGAAAGCTATCACTCAGCCTGCCGCGTTATCGACTTCTATGACAAGCTGTTTCGTGGCTCCGAAGACAGCCCAGAGGGGCAATACCCCATCAGCATTCTTTCGGCCCACTACATACACCAGGCTGCATTGACCATCATGGCGCATTGCTTACTCGCCATTGACGGCCGGCTGCCTGTGGTCAACTTCTCTTCCCACATGAGCGGGGATGCTCAGGGACCAGTCGACTTCCATGGCGTTGTCGATATTGCGCAGATGTCTCTCGAGTTGTTGGACCGCTTGGGAAAGATGTTTGCTGGCATGATCGGCCTGTTCGACGTTTGCAAAACCCTGCACGACAAGGTACTACCAGCAATGGAGCGCAGTGGGTTCATCAATAGAGATCCTCTGCCAGGACCTAGTGTTTATCCATGAGCCTGCCTGCAAACAGAGACGTCGATACAGCCCTTCCCAGGTAACATTGACACGTAGTCGACCGCGCTTCGAGAGCAGATGTGCAGCATCAACGCTTCATATGGTAGCTCTGAAGCGCGCATCCAAGCAAATCTTGAGGTGCTAGTTTCATTATTTGTGGACCACAAATGCCATGTAACTTCCTGAATGAGGAACACCCGCAGCAGATGTCTGAGAGACGGGAAGTGCTACCGACAAGCTGTCGTCAACCAAGAAGGGTGACTAAGATGTCTTCGTGGATACTACGATCGTACCTGCTACAGTGACGCCCGTTGATGCCAAAGGTGCACGTTGGTTGCCTCGATGCGGGTGGCTCCTGCCTCGTTACAATCATTCGTCTACGTTGCGAACATCACTGATGAATTCACTCGAACCTAGCTCACTACTCCATAGGCCGCCAATATCTCTTGCTTCATCAACAGCAATACTTAAACAGAACACATATCGTAAAGCAACTAGTAGTCACTCATTCGAACGCGATTCTAGCACGGAGTCTGTCTTTCGACAACATTGCCAGCACTTCTTTCACGGCAAACGATCTCTCTGCACAACAACGTGCCCGTCGAAGGCCACCCATCATTCGGTCACCACCATGTCGTCCTCCCGCCTTCCTCCGACGCGTCCGAAGTCACTGCCTGAAACACGAACTCGAAGCAGTACCCGAAGCGCACAGAGCAGCCCATAGGAGGGTGATGCCTCGTGCACTCAGGAAACTTCCAAGTCTTCGCTCGGCACATCTTGTTGCATTCAGGAGGGGGTCGCAGACAACAACTTAGGTTTCAATGTCGTGCAAGCAGCTAGCAGACGGCTCCGCGCCTCTGTTCATCGACTAGTCCATAGGCTATCCAATGCCAAACTAGTCCTGTTGCGTCTGGAACATGAGGGTACGGTCCGGCAGAACGAAAGCCGCATGTCTGACTGGCTCGACGGATGCATTGCACGACTCGAAATCTCCTTCGGGCCATGGTTTCCGCTGATTGCAGACGAAATCGTGAAGATCAATGGTAAGTGACAATGATCATGCACTCTACTCATACTACGAGGAAAACCCTATCTTTCCTACCAGTGTGGCTGATCTGTGCACCAGGAACAATCGAGGACACCGATTCTGCGATGCGACGTGCCGCAATGCCTCCCGAATGGTTCGGTCCCGCACAGTCGCGGCTTTCCGAAGCAGCACGCAGGCCAGTGACCCCTCCTCTCGGCTACCTTTATGTGTCCTCCGATCAGTCAATATCAGGCAGTTCATCAGACACATCAGGCGAGCTCGTCACGCCGCCTGAAAGACCTACGCCATGTCCTGCGAACCCCGCCGCATATCAGAATAGGCTGCGAGTCCGCCATGGTGCTGATGTTGCTCTCCCGCACTCCAAGATATCAAAGCTACGACTACCGTCACCTCCTGGTCGCAAGATGCCTCTCCGCGCTTACCGGAGAAGGCGAATGTAAGGAAGGGATCCCGCCACAAGCGGAATGGATGCGTGGCCCCGAATATCACAACAACACGCAGCTTGGGCTGGTCAAGGGACGTAAGAAAGGCCATGAGGCCTGGTGTGCTTTCGAAGTTGATGCAAGTCCAGTCACTCATTAGCTTGCTTCTCTATAGTTCGAAACCTGTCCAATGATCAGCATTCACATTCACTCAGACTGTTGACTGCCTCATTTATGCAACGACTGCTGCATCCTGACAACGGGAAGCCGTCGGCTACCTATTGCAAACGTCGCCCTGCGCAGCAGCTCTATGGCTGACCTCGTTCACGCCTCCACTCGCCCAGCACCTCTTCTGTCACTTTCAGAATCTCCTCCCACGCCTCGCGAATGTACTTCTCCTCAGCATTCGCATTGCCACTGACGACTCTGATGAATGTCTTCCCTCCAGCCGTCGATCCGGTGAGGAAGACTTCGCCACGTTCGTTGATCAGGTCGGTGATATTCTTCGTGAGTGTGTTGGCGGTCGTTTCTGCTGCTTTTGACGCTGATGCTGAGCCGTTGAGAGTGTGCTCGCCGTTCGTCGAGGAGAACGTTGGCGTGGATGTTCCATTAGTCGCTGCGGCAGTCGCGGCCACAGATTTGAGAGGCGTCTTCGCCGGTACATCAGGCAGTGGCGCCTTCACACCCTCTTCAATATGACCGTTGCCGTTGACAACCGCCTTTGCCTCAAACAACTCCGGCTTCAACCGAAAACACGTCAGAGCAAACGCCGGCCGCGCGACAACCTCAAACAAATCCCTCCTCTCCCCAACCAACCCCGCAAACAACTCCCCCAATCTAATCGTCCTTGAGATATGCTCCCGCATCCCCTCCAGCCCAAAAGTCCTTACCACAAACCAAATCTTCAACGCCCTGAACCGCCTCCCCAGCGGAATCTGCCAGTCCCGATAGTCCGTGACCATGCCCGAATCGCTCGCCTTGTTCTCGTAGTACGGCGCCGACACCGACAATGCACGGGTCAGGTCCGTGCGGTTCTGGACGTATAGCATCGAGGCATCAAAGTTGACGAGCAGCCATTTGTGCATGTTCATGTTGAAGCTGTCTGCTATGGACATGTGGTGCGAGTACTTGTTGGCGTATTCGGGGAGAATGAGGGCTGCGCCGGCGTACGCGGCGTCGACGTGCACCCAGATGTTGGGGTGTTGGCGGAGGATTGGTGCGAGGGAGGCGAAGTCGTCGACAGAGCAGGTTGAGGTGGTGCCCAGTGTGAGGGTGATGTAGTAGGGCTCGAGGCCTTGAGCGGCGCATTCGGCGAGGGTGCTGGCGAGGGATTGGCCGGTGAGGGCGAGGTCGTCGGTGTAGGAGGTTGGGATGGCGCGGAAGCGCGTGCCGGCTATGCGGGCGCCTTTGGCGGTGGAGGAGTGGGTTTGGTCGGAGGAGAGGGCGATGAGCTTGCCTCGGAGGGTGGAGATGCGGTCTTCCCATTCGGGAGTGTTGGGTTGAAGGTTTTCGGAGGTGCATTTTCGGTGGAGGTAGCGTTCGCGGGCGGCGACCATGCAGGTGACGATGGCTTCGGAGGCGGAGCCTTGGATTGTGCCGCCGCCGCCGTTGGGGGAGGTGGAGAGGAAGGACGGGGGGAGGGAGAAGGCTTGGCACATCCAGTCTGTGACGACGGTTTCGAGCTCGGTGCAGGCGGGCGAGCAGAGCCAGTTGAAGGCTGGGGCGGTGAAGGCGGCCGAGTACATCTCGCCGATGATGGAGGGGTAGGTGACGCATGCTGGGAAGAAGGCCATGAATTTCGGGGATTGCCAGTGTGTGAGGCCGGGGATGATTTTGCTGGAGATGTCGGGTTGGATGTCGGACCATGGTTGTGGTTTGGTGGGTGCTGAGGTGGGGATCTGTGGTGCGAGATAGCCTGGCTTGATTTGTGGGAGAACGGGTAAGGATGCTATGTTCTTGTTGTAGGAGATGACTGAGGAGGGGTGTTAGCATTTTCTTAGATTGTCGTGCACAGTGATGTGCTCACTCTCTTCGATTGCAGACTGAGCCGCCTGGCGAAAGGCGTCTGCGTCCATGTTGGAGACTTTGACAGATGTCTGTGAGATGCGCCTGGACTGTATGGTAGGCCGGGCTGTAGAGCAGCAAGGCCGCTGTCTGTGAAGGTTCCTTGATCTCAGGATTGACCGGGCGGCTAGCATGTAGGTACACTTATACTAACCTCAACAGCGTCGGCTGTCCTCAGTCCGGCCGGCAGTATGCTGGATTGACCTTACCCATTCATATACCGCATTCAGTAACGACTGGATCTCCCAGCAAGCCGTGTCTGCCAGTGATTACTGTTCCCATTGCAAGACACTTCTAGAAACACAGTAGTGCGCAGATGTAGTCACCCTGGACTCAATCAGAGTTGCCAACCCGCCACTAATTCCGTCTTTCCGTCCTAGCGGAAATTTCTGCCCTTTGAGTCTGGGTGAACTTTGTGGATCTTGGCGGGGAAGGGCGTCGTGAACCCGCTGTGGCCGGGGAGTTTCTGGCGAGCACTTTGCACATGTTTTCTCCGATGTATTGCAAAGGGCGTGGAGGGGAGGTGTGCAGGTGCTATTGGCGTGTGTGGCAGCGCCGTTTCCGTGAAGAAAGAGTGAAAAAGGATGCGAAGAATGGCTTAGTGCCTGATCTTACATGCGATGCATGGCTCCACATGGAACTCCTGATACACACAGTACGATGTATCTAGAGCCACTATCCTGATACGTACTACACGTCCAGCTTTTCGAACGTGAAGACGCCCTTTCCAGCTCTGAACCCACCTAGTGTCCCTTGAACGGCTGCGCTCAAAGTCGACACCTCGGTATCCCACCCCCAACTGCACTCCTCGACCGGAATGTCTTTGAACTTGCCGTTCCTTGTAAGCTGGAGGATATCATCCACGGTCTGCTTCTTCAGATCGGGATGATTGTCGCTCCATCTGCTGACCCAGAAGCCAGTGAACTTCAGCTCTTTGAAGATCAGCATTGACGCTGGGAGCGCAAGTGGCTGCTTGCTCATTGCACCGTATGTGACCATGGTCGTTCCGGGGCTGAGGAACTTTGCAAGGGCTACTCCTGGCTTGCCTCCCACGCAGTTCAAGCCGACCTTGACCTCTTCTCGACCGCCGCGAGTCCATTCCTTGATCTGGTCTTTCATGCCCTTACCTTGTAACTCCTCCTCGGTAATGACTTGCGTCGCACCAAGACCATAGAGCTCGTCCTTTAACTTCTGTTCCTCGGTTTTGTCTTCCCGGCCTCGGATGACGTTGATGCTTTTGATGCCCCATTCTCTGCCAAGTTGTATAGCAGCGCGGCCAACACCACTGTTGGCCCCGTTCTGAATGAACCATTCATCGCCTCTGAAACCCCACGTGGCAAAGTCGAGAAGCATGCGGTACGCTGTGCAGGGGTTGACCGACACTGTTCCAACCTGTAAGGGCGAGAGTCCTGTCTTGTCCTCGATCTTGTGGAGTTGACTCTCGTCGACGGCCATGTGTGTCCGCCATGTGCCCATCCCAGTATATTTCATCACTACCCAATCGCCCTTTTGCAATCCTTTGACAGAAGATCCGACGCTCATGACTTCGCCCACTCCTTCATTGCCACCAACAGCTGCGGGTTCAGTGGTGCCCAAGAGGGTGTTCATCTCCGGCTTGGAAGGGTAGACGCCTTGTATCTGATTGACATCTGCGGGATTGATGGGACATGTGAGCATGCGCACCACAACGCCTGAGCCGGAAGGCGGAGAGATCGAGTGACCATGGACACTGAGGACATCTTTCGGCTCCCCATACTTCGAGTATACCAGTGACTTGGCCTGTGTGTAGCCGTAGCTCGTTATAGTACGCCGGCGATCCAGTGGGAATGTAGCGAGACTCCTGTGACGTAGAGCTGGGCTGGCTGCACTGACTCGCAGACCGCCAGCCAGCGGACGCAGTGCGGTCATCCCGTACGTCTTAGTCTCCCAAGGAAGAGCTGTGCAGCAAATGCAACTGCCTAGGGAAGAGTCGAAGGCATCCGTGCAAGTTGTAAGACAACAAGCAGGTGCCGATGCAGAAGTTGAGCTTGCAGAACTGCGCGCAATGAGTCGTGACCTCCAAAACTTTTGTTCTCCAACCGCGACTGCTTCAAGCCGCTGCCGCTCTTAACGACATCAACACACCAACTCTTCTGATCAGCTACTGTCTTCAGCCTGACAGCGCACCGGATGGTTGATGCCGCGTGTCTTCAAAGGGTTTCGCGATCCCAGGGCTCTCACGAGACTAGCTTATGATGTTCACGTGCAGTCTGCTCGACTGGCGCTTGGCTCACATGATCACTCCAACATATTCATCGCGCGCCCAGACCCAGCAGAGACACAACGCCTAAAGGAATGGGCAAGCGCCGCCAAAGGACGGCATTGGAGGGAATGGAAGGATGGGAAGCGTAAGTCTGGCCATGGTCTACAGGATCCTCCGACTGACCATACTTGCTACAGAGCTACCCATCTCACCCAACGATGGCTTCACTGTCGCAGTGAAAGACAATATCGTCACCACCCACCTGCCCACGTCATCTGCATCCGATATCCTTCGTGGATATGTCCCTCCGACAAAAGCGACCGTTGTGAGGCTCATGGAAGAAGCGGGCATTGCCGTTGTTGGTAAAACCAACATGGACGAATTTGGCATGGGGTCTCACACTCTACATTCCGCCTTTGGTCCTATGAGCCAGCCGTACTCGAAATTGTCCGTTGGCGGCAGCTCCGGCGGCAGTGCGCTTGCAGTCGCCGCAGAGCACTGTCATATGGCTCTTGGGACTGACACTGGAGGGTCGGTGAGGCTACCCGCAGCATATCTCGGTCTTTTCGGATTCAAGCCTTCCTACGGCAGGATATCTCGCTACGGTGTTGTGCCCTACGCCAATTCTCTGGACACAGTCGGTATCTTGACAAAAAATCCGCTGGACATGCAACTCCTGTTCCGTGTCTTGGACAGGCCTGACCCAAACGATCCGACTTGTCTCACAGCAGCTACCAGAGACAGAATAGCGACGAGACGTGCACAATTCCTTGCAAAACGCCGGCAGAACATTGTTCGCACTGTATCTGTCAATAAATATTTCGAAAGATCTCTCCAGAGAAGTGACCTCCTGTATCGGGGGAGAGGTCCTTTCAAGCCGACTCGGTTCACATATCATCGGAGTCGTAGAAGACGCCGTATAGGTGTGCCAAAAGACTACAATATTGCTGAGATGCAGCCTGAAGTTCGGACAGCCTGGCGAAACACCATCACCTTGTTGATCAAACTCGGCCACGAAGTTGTCCCTGTGGACCTTCCGACGACCCAACACGCCTTATCGGCATACTACATCCTCGCCCCAGCTGAAGCCTCCTCGAATCTTGCCAAATACGACGGTGTGCGGTACGGCCCTGTGCGGACACCTGACTCTGCGGATGCTGATGATGGCGTCCTCTACTCGGCCCATCGTGGCGAGCTGTTCGGGGAGGAGGTCAAGCGCCGTATCCTGCTCGGCGCCTTTTCTCTCTCTGCTGGCGCAATTGACAACTACTTCCTTCAGGCCCAGAAGGTTCGCCGCCTGGTGCAAGATGACTTTAATCGAGTCTTCCGCATGGATCATCCTCTACTAGAGGAAGAAACCGGTGTAGAGAATGGGGTTGACTACCTCCTGTGTCCAACCGCACCAACGACACCACCGAGTCTGGAAGAGCTCCAGAAGGAGACCGACCCTGTTGAAACGTATATGAACGATGTCTTCACTGTACCGGCTAGTCTAGCTGGACTGCCAGCATACAGCTTTCCCGCGCCGCCTGCCGCCGGAAAGAAGATGGAAGACGAGTCACGTTCTGTTGGCATGCAGATTATTGGACAGTACGGCGACGATTTCGCGGTGATGCAGTTCGTCAAGTCTTCGATCTGGGCTCGAGTCGAATGGGGTCTGGACGGTGCTGTGCGGCCGCTTACGAACGCACCGAAGGTCGCTTGATCGGCACAAACGGGAACACCAGCATCATATGCGAAGAAAAGCAGATGCATTGGCACATCGTGTAGCTATTATGACTGGCATAGATCGTCAGAACATGTATCTATGCAAGTTTGGGGGTCGTACGCTCCCTCAAGCGTCGCCGGCCTACTAAAGTCTGTCGAGCTTGGAAGTTCTTGGCATTAGGGAGAGCTCTTCCCGGACTCGGTCCCAGCTGAGTCGCAGAATATGTTCTGCTTACAACTTCTTGGTCACGTTAGCCAAACTAAAGCGTCTGGTCTCGCCCGTTCCACTCGCATGACTCTGCCGTCTGATCGTCTGGACAAACTCATCGTCATTGTCAACATGGCCCTCGAAGGTGTACAGCGGAGGGCAGACGGCGTCCTTGTTCCGCATGATATAGCGCTTGAACCACCATGGTAGCACGGTGAAACACTGGTACTTCATGTGTGTGCGAGTGGGGACGGCGAAGATGTAGTCGAGCTCCTCGAGCGTGCGCTGCTTGGTTTCTGGGACCCAGAGGAAGATCATCACGAGGGCTGTGACGTTGAGGGCGGCGTAGAAGCCGAATGCGCCTGGCAAGGGGTATTAGTCAAGGGATTCTACATGGCCGAAAACATTGCTTACCTTGAGCAGTCATGGCGTTCAGCATGCGCGGGAAAGTGATGGACAGCACGGCAGCCCAGAAAAGACAGGTGGCCACAGCCCAAGCCATTCCGACCTCTGTATCTTTCGTTAGCTACCCATTTGATGTCAGTCAAGGATATGACTTACCTCTGTGAGACAGCGGGAACACTTCCGCCGAATACGTGAAAGGCACCGGACCCTCACCAGGAGAGTAGAAAGCTGCGAACAGGAAAATGAACAGGGCTATCAACCCAAGATGAGCACTGCTTGACTCTGGGATGAAGAAACACATCCCAGCCGCGAGCAGCGTCCACGCCATCTGCGGGAACGTGAACAGCAACAGCGACCGACGTCCGAACGTATCGATAGTCCAGATAGCCGGCCACGCGAAAAGGAAGTTGACGAGGCCGAATCCCCAGGACGCCAAAAGCGCACCGGTCACGGACGCACCCGCCTGCTTGAACACCGTCGAAGAATAGAAAGCGATGATGTTGATGCCGCACATTTGCTGCGCGATCATGACCGTGAACGATGCGAGTGTTGCTCGTCGAACTCTCGGGATGGTGAACAACTGGATGAATCGAGTGACATAGTTCGACTTGTGCACCAGAGTCTGCTCGGCTTGGATCTGGGCATAGATGTAGTACAAGTCGCGAGCGGCCTGGAGCTCGGTGTTGCGCAGACGCTTCAGGGACTGGAAAGCCTTGTGGAATTTGCCCTTCTTGATGTACCAGCGCGGGGATTCGGGGCAAAAATACACGCCTACCCAGAGGGGGACTGCTGGGATGAATGCGGATCCGAGTTGCAGGCGCCAGGAGATGTCGCCGGTGTCTTTTACAGCCAGGTTCGCGCAGAAGCCGAGGAAGATGCCGAAGGCTGTCCACATTTGCTAGTTCCATAAGGGTCAGCCAATTGTTTCCACGTCATGCAGACCGAGTATGAGTGTGTCGTATACCCTCATCCCGCAGTCACAACAAGGATATCAGATGGGTAGACTTACCCAACACATGACCAGACCTCCTCTAACAGCAGCAGGGGCATTTTCTGCGCAGAAGATGGGGACGGTGCTGGCTTTGCTTCCCATGCCGATGCCCAATAGGATTCTGGTGATAAAGAGTTGCCACCAGTTCTGTGTGAGACCAGATCCGATGACGCTGAGGCAGCAAAAGGCGGCGGAGAAGAAGATTGTTCCTCGTCGACCGAAGTAAAAGTTCAGTGGATCCGACATCCAGCAACCAAGGAAGGCAGAGGCGATGTAGGGTGCCTGTTTTTGACGGTCTTCGTTAGCCTGGGGCAGGAGCTTGGGGCTGTGGGATGGAGCATATGGCTAAGAACTCTGGCGCATGGACGGGAAGGACTTACAGCGTTGATGAGGCCAACGAGCCATTGATTTTTGCGGTAGTCCGGGTTGGGATCACCATTCTCGAGTGTCTCGGAGTCTGAGATGTTGAACGCGACAGGGAAGCTGAGATTGGCGCCGTTCGAACCTGGAAGGAGCGTCAGCAGCTAGACCTGCAGGTAGTAAGTGCCGACTGACCCGTCTGATCCCAGCCCTGCACGGCTGCGCCGATCGAGCAGAGGATGATTGTGAAATACAAAGCGCGTGGTTGCCGCCACTTGTGAAGCACTTCATTGCGGATGGCCTCCTTCTCGTGCTCTGTCATGCCTTCCACGGACTCGAACACGGGAGGGTCCTTCGCGACGAGAGCTCCCTTGATCAGAGATGGAGCAATATCATTCATTTCGTGCTCCTTGGCGAAGGCTTCGACATCTCGGATGAGCTGTTCATGCGGTATACTGGCCAACGGGTTCTTGATTCTGGGAAGAATTAGTGCAATTCAAATGGTGACCGTAGCGATGTACTCACTTAGCCGAAAGATTCTGATTCATGTTCACGCGCTCAGGACCATAGCCATTCTCCGAGTGCGCGGTCTTCTCATAGACCTGCTTCTCCCCCGAAACTGGAGACCTGTACAATGTCAGTAGCGTGCTCGAAGACCAATGAAATACATACTCGTCCCGCTCCTGAGAGATGACATTCTTGGATTCACCTTCTGAAGCCATATTGCAAATATCTGCGGAGGATGTAGACGGAGATCCGGGGAGAGAGGCAGCATGCGACCTCTATATCAACTTCTCCGAGCAGGACTGTCAGGGTACACATCTGTACCCTTGATTGAAGTCTCCATGCTTGGGGACGAAGTCATAATCGACAAGCCGTGCCGACATGTGCAATCAGACTCGTGGAAATGCCGACTCCCGTGGATTAGCATCGAGATGTGGTCAACGAGACTGCAATACTATTGGTCTGGCCGCAACAGCGATGTTTCGAAAATCTCCATCAGTCGTCGAGAAAACGCCTTGCTGCACTTATGACGACGAATAGTGCCAGCCCAGGTCGGGATCCCTGTTGGCGGCGTCCAACCGGATATGAGTTCTAAGGAGAATCATATCCACCCCCGAAAGAAGGAACCCCAGGTTGAAGTCTGTTCGTGGGGAGGTCGGCCTGAAAGGCGGATCTCTGCAGCTGCTACTCAGGCGTCTTTCGTTAATGCGGCACTATCAAGACAGTATACCGATCGCACCCAATCGCTTGGGAGGATAGCAACATGGTATCAGCATGATAGACTCGCTTGCAAGATTTGTATTACGTAGAGCGTCAGAGATTGTGTGTATACACTCGTGGTCCGAGCAGACTTGTGGCACACCTACGAAGAAGCAGTATCAAGCAAGCACAAGCACCAAGGACAAGCGTTGCCAACAATGCTTGGGGCTCCTCCAGGCGCGAGAAGCTTTCTTTCGCTCTTCGCTGCCCCAATTTTCTTCGATCTTCGGAGGCGCCGTCAAAGGCCGAGATCCAGGTGCAGTGAATGAATCACTTGCTACTGTACGCAGCACTAGTCCACTGTTCCAAGACTGCTCGAACAGGGAATATGATAGCTGTTCATCTGCAGGTCATTGGTCAGGCGTAACTCCGACCCCTCATATCATGTGCGATCTTTTGCTTTCATCGAAAGCGTGACCATTCGTGGTGGAGAAGAGAACAGCGCTACTCGATCATTCGAATCTCCAAAGCTTTGCAAAGTTATGCGCGATGTCACCTCAAGACGCTTGTCGGTGTTTCGATCTCACGTCGCGAGATGCACACAGCTGTCCATAGCAGTATAGAGCCAGCACTGTGACGCCGCTGCGTTACCCGAATTGCGCATGAAGGCCTCCGCGATCGGACCAGACAACGGCTCACAATGCTGGCTCACGAGACTTGATTCACATGCTAGGGTGGCTGCTGTTCGGCTGGTCAGGTTGAGCAGTCGATAGCGAGCCGCTGAGTGCCCGCGTCACGGAAGTGCTTGCCGAGCTCAACTTGATCAACAACCCCGTACGCGGCCAAGACTTTTGATTGCAGTAACAATTCTCCCAGGCTCGGCGTCCTAAGCACGAAGCTCAGCCAGACGCGACACTGACAACTTCCACTACCAAAGCATCACCGGTAAGAACGTTTGTCTGCCCCTTGAACGTGCAATGGCGTGGCGAAGGTGGTCAGATCAGCACCGGCGCTTGGCAAATGGACTTACAGGAGACTACGGCAGAGTACGGGCCCAGATATGCACTTTCAATTGCGTCGTGTGCTCGCCTGCTCTCGCCCACGCTCTCATTAATCCAGCTGTGGCCACAAAAAGTACTGAGAAGATGGCTAAAGATACTTACCATGATCACGTTGAGCATTTGGGGTTCTGGAAGATGCAGACCGGAAATTTTTCGGCGTGTCTGAGCAGCTATGAGGAGGAACGTCTGACGCTTGGGCCACAACCGCGCGGCAGGTAAGGGACCAGTCAGTCGCCAGGGAGCTCGCGCGTGATAATGGCTTCGACGAGAGGCGGCTCCCTCCAAAATGACAAGAATAAACAGATCCAACTCGTTTCGCCGGAGACCTGCCTGATGCTGCGATTTGAATATGCATTTGGCAATTCTTTTCTTCACTTTAATCGACCTGGTAGAAACAACAATTGCTGGGCGCAATCGAAGCTCGTTGGTTCCAGCATGTAGCATCTCCAGGCAGTATTCGAGATCATTGAGATTGCTTGGGTCAGAAACGCGTCCCGCTATCTATCAATCGATCAGGGTCGCTAGATTCTCTTGGGACCATGTCCATGGAACGACATTACTGTGGATGACTGGGTAGTAGCTATTGGCTGTTCCTTGTCACAGTCTGTCACAAGCAAGTATGCGCTTGATAGCTCTCTGTGCTGACAGCTGAGCTCTTAAGCCTTTCCAGAAGTCTCGATTTCCACAAATTCATGGCAGCTTTCCATCGCCCTTTCATCCTCGCCTTTCGTGACATATGGATCGCCGTCTATAGGAGCATCGATTGTCGGAGTGAATTCGGCACGCGGGTTGCGTAAGAATATCGATGCTATCTCAATTAGCTTGCGCGAAAACAATACATTTTCCATTGCCAACTTACCAATGAGTGCTACTGCGGAAAAGGCTGCAGCACAGACAAAGACATATCGAAAGCCGATCCCATAGGACTGTTTCATCGCAGTGGCAGCAGCACTGATAATTTCGTTGGTCACGCCTGGCAACGCGGCTGCCTTGGACAGGTCTCCTGCTGTCAATGCAACTAGCAGAGGACCAACCAGATCTTGCTGCAGGCCCAGAGGAACTACAGCGGCGGCGACTCTGGGCAAAAGGCATTGCGAGAGACCGTTCGCGAAAATGGCGTTCATAACCGCTGCACCAGCCGAGGCTCCGACGCTCCTCATTGACAGCATGAGGCCAGAAGTGACGGCGATCAGCTCAGGTGGCGTCGCGAACTGAGCCGCAGTAACGAGAGTGGTAATGCAAAATCCGAGTCCGAGTCCGCAGAACACCATATAGCCCCAGAACTTGGCTTGGCTCGTGGACTCGTTGACTGTGGCCATGAGGATGAAGAATATAAGAAATGACAGGAATCCTATCATGGCGGGCACCCGCACGGATTTGGATCGGTAGACATAGTACCCTGCCCCAAATGCCGATACCAGGAAGGTGCAGAAGACCAGGTTGTAGCAGAGCGCTTGCTGGAAGGGGTTCATGGTATTGGCGAAATAGATGCTGAGCGAATACGGCACAAAGATATTTGCCGCCAGGAAGGACAAGCCTTCGATGAAGATGCAGCCCAGCGCGATTGCGAAGTTCCGGTCATGGAACAGGTCGTGATGCAAGAGACCATCTGATCGCATCTTCCACGAGTATACCAACAGACCCAGGATCAGAGAACATCCAATCAGGAATGGAGCCAAAACGTGAGCGTCAGTCCAGGAGTAAGGGTTCTGCGACCAACTCAAGCCCAGGCAGAAGAGAACTAAGCCACCAGTAATGAGCACATATGCGGGCCAGTCTAGAGTCCGTAGCTTCTGGCCGAATGTGTATTCAAGCTGCAGCTGTCTTGGCGGTGCGTTGTAGAGAATTGCGCATGCGAGTGCTGAAAAGGCATAGACTCCAGCGCAAATAGCGAAATAGGTTCTGAAGCCATTTGGGTCGTACCTGGTAAGGGCACCGCCGACACAAAGTCCGAAGATGGATCCTAGACCGACAGATCCGTTCACAGTAGCCTGTGCCCACGATCGATATCTGCGAGGCAGAACTTCCGATGCCACGGTATGTATCAGACACGACGAAGCCGATGATACACCGCCCAGGCAGAACCCTGCGATGACCATGTTCATCGAAGTGCCGCGGGCCACAACAATGCAACCGACGCATCCGATGGCAGCCAATATCACAATAAACCACTTTCTGCCCCAGTAATCAGCAGCCTGTGCGACTAGGGGCGAGAGTGCTGCAATGAAAATGACAATGACGGATGCAGGCCAGGCAACCAGACTTTCGCCGCCAACGACGGAAGCGATTGTCCGGGCAAAGGCGCCAGCGCCGACCAGGATGGTCAACTGCGCAAAGTAACTGCTGTTGACAGCCTGATCACACGGGTCAGAAGAAGGTACACAGATTTGCGTCAGGCTCTTACCAAGATGAGCATGAAAGTCTTGGCATGGTTCCAGTAGCTCTGCCGCTCAACGGTATCCGATCCGTCAGCGGTCGTCATCATGTTTTTGGTCACTGCTTTAGAGGTCATCAACTTCTGTCTACCTGCACTGTAGACCAAGATTACAGATCTAAAGGACCTTTATATGTCCTGGCTACCCTGGCGCTAGTTCATTGCCATCGCGGAGAAATCTGGGGTCACCATGGTCATGCCTAAGACAAAAGTACCAGGCCTCGCAGAATCTGGCACATGAGACGGGGTCACAGCAGAGATCTAGACTTTGTAGATGCAGAAGGTTCATCTCGATGCGTGCTCCAGTGTCGGCAGTGCGGCTTTCATCACGCTCTCGAATCTCGGAGCCACACCTCAGGTTTGCGTGCTGTTGCGGCACAAGTCCATACTTAACACGGCTACAACCAGGGCCGCCTGCGAATCTGGGGTCGTCAGGAAACCTGGGGTTTGGGGTCGATGGGGTCCTGTCCGGGACCAAGAAAGGAATAAAGTCGGAAGCCTCGCGAGAATCGGAGTACAAGATGGGGCTACGGGAAACCTTTGGAAGGTCTGGACTGAAAGATCGGAAGATCCGTCTGAGTGTCTTCTATAGTATCGACAGGGCGGCTCCGACGTGTAGATCAGAACCAGAACTCAGAGTCACGCCCCAGGTCCCACGGCGGGCAAGGCAGAACGGACCTCAGGTCTCGCAGGTCACGTCCTCTCCGTGAACAGATTCCCAAGTATTTCTTTGTTGTATAGTGATTCCTCAACAATTTATGGCGTATAAAGCGCATGGAAGACTACGTATGAAAGCAATCACTCAAACCTTCGGTCCACATACTCAGCATAATTCACTGTCTTGCCATGTCGTTGCAGGCTCTCTCGAGCGAGCTCGAAACATGGCTACATTACAAGCAGCACCAGTTTGGGGGCAGGGAAAAGCTCGAGGTGCTTTTCTATGGCATCCTTGCGCTGATGCTTGGGCGCTACCTCTTACAAGTTGAATGAAGACCTTCTGCAGGGCGTGCAATGGCTGACAGTTTCGCAAGTCTATCTACAACATTCTATTTCATCCGCTTGCAGCTATTCCAGGGCCCTCGCTCGCGAAAGTCATCGACTCCTATCTTTCACCGGCCCAAGCGCGGCTCCACAGGGCTCAGGTAAGTGTCCTCGCCTCCAGCAGCTGCACGCGTGCCACATCAGATTTCCTGACCTCCATTGCAGACATTGAGCGAGTTGCACAAAACCTACGGGCCGGTGGTTCGCGTTGGAACGAACGAGGTCTCCGTATCTGACTGGAATGCCTACCGTACTATATACGGCCAAAAAGCAAGCAGTAAAAGAGCTCAATTTTACCAGGCTACCAGACTGGCCGGCAATGACAATCTGTTCACGTTCGTGTCAAAACCCGCACATTCTGCGCGACGGAAGCTGCAAAACCCGAGCTACTCTCTGCAGGCTGTCCTGGACAACGAGAGCTTCATCGTCGACAAAACGAATGTTTTGGTCAAGCGAATGACCAAAGCAAGTGATGGTGCCAACCCAGCAGTGACCACAGCTGATGTGTTCAAATACAATGGACTTTTCAGCCTGGAGGTTATTCTGAAGTGTGCTTTCAACCGGAGCTATGGCGACGTAGTAGAGGGAGATGCTCTAAAATTGCTCCGGAACATGGACTCCAGTGCCGTGGCCATACAAGTCCATACCGCTCTTCCCCTGGTGTCGCGATTCCTTGGAAAGCGCTTACCCGGATCTGTGGGGGCGTCTTTCCGATCTTGGGATACATGGCAGGTCATGACGACGTCGTTGATAGAAGATTTCCATCGCGAAGAGCTCGCATCAGATTCTGTTCGGCAGCGTTTCATGATAACGCCTATGATCGTCAATGTGGACAGCTTCATGGAACGACGGCTGACTCAGGGGGAGCTGGTTGAGGAGATGATGGCGCTGACATTTGCCGGCAGCGGGACAACCTCATCGACCCTCACGTACTTGATGTACGCACTGGCCCGAGATGGCAAGACACAGGAGCGCTTGCGAGAAGAATTGTCCACGTCCGGCACCACTTTCAACGAACTCAAAGACCTACCCTTTTTGAGCGCTGTGATAAAGGAAACCATGCGCCTGTATCCAACCATCATGTCAACACTGCCTCGTGTTCTTGACCAAGCAATCCATGTGGATAAGGTTGTGTTAGCGGAAGGGACAGTGGTTGGAATGCAGAATTACGTCCATCATCGAGACGCAAAACTGTTTCCTCGCCCGAACGAATTCTTGCCCGATCGCTGGTTAGCCAACGAGAATGAGGCAAAGGCGATGAACAGTGCTCTTACGCCATTTTCTCTTGGGCCGCGGAACTGTATAGGACAGAATCTCGCGAGAGCCGAACTATACCTTGCCACAAGTCAGGTTTTCCGAAAGCTGCGTTTGACTCTCAATGCGGCGATGGAGTGCGATGATATGGAGATGGAAGACCGATTCAACATTGCTCCGAAAGGACGACGTTGTTTACTTGATGTTGAGGTTCTCGGATAGCATAGCTACTGATGCCTTGCTTGAGAGCAAGAAAGTGCAACAGACATGGTGAGCCATGGTAGAGTGTGCAGAAGACAGAAGAAAGACCCTTGTTTGCAGCAGTCACAACCCAAATAGACAAGTGCATCAACCCCGTGTCTATGTTCTTGACAGGTACAAAAAGGGCTGAGCCACTGGATAGAGCAGGACTGGTTTGGGAAGTGGTGAAGGCGTACATGAATTCCAAGTCAGAGTTGCGCGTCTGAGTACTTCAAGGCTTTACTGCGACTGTCACGTGATACGACCCCGCACGTCGTTTATGTAGATTCACCTTCCGTCGATCCTACAGATGACGACTAAGTAGATGACCACGATTCAGGCGCTAAAGCCCGACAGCGTGGGTGGCGACATTCCTGGATGGGTTCCCTCAAGCATGCGAGGCATGTCAGTGACAAGTGGCTTGAAGATCGCCAGGAGAAGGAACTTTGGTCTCATCGTCCGAGATCAATAGCGCCTGGTTGGGCAGAGCTATGTCAGCGCTTTGCTTGGAAGGTAAGATGAGGAAGTGCGGGCGTCCGACCTGTTCCATTCTACGCCCTGGTCATAGGATCTTTCTTGTCAGGCGTCATCTTTGGGGTTCCGAGAGCCTTCACGGGACCTGTGGGGTCGGTGCGGCTTTGGTCGAGTCGGATCTTCCCAACGCCGCAAAGCACCTAAAACGTCCGAATCGGTTACACATATAGTACCTGAACCAGTGCAAGCAGTATGACACCAGCTCAACTTATGAGCCTAGGACTTCTCGACATCGCATTCGAATGGCGCATTGCTTCAATACGTCATAATGCCAAATCCATTAAGAGTCGATCTTCATCGCGTCGACAGTACGTCGTTTGACTATGTCTACGAGGAGAATGTGACCATCGAACTTCAAGAGCAACGCGGAATCGTGCGGGCGAATGTGTACAGGCCCAAACCTCCCGGGCATTCCAAATGCCCCGTGCTTGTGACATACGGACCATACGGCAAAGATGTGCATTACTCGGTGTGAGTGTTGGACTGGCGACTTCTGGCTTTCGGTAATCTAACAATATCCAGTTTCCACGCCGAATCCTTCGCCGAGGTTCCTGCAGAGCACCATTCACCGCACTCGGCCTGGGAAACCCCAGACCCTGGATTCTGGACCAGACACGGCTATGCCATTGTGAGGGCTGACGAGGTTGGTCTTGGACAGTCACCTGGCATACTGAATACCATGTCGAGAGACACTAGCCTCGCGTTCAAGGACGTCATTGAATGGGCTGCCGATCAACCATGGTCTTCTGGTAAAGTCGGACTGCTTGGAATTAGCTACTATGCTGGAAGCCAGTGGCGCGTGGCAGCGCGCCGTCCCCGAGGTCTAGCTTGTATCATTCCGTGGGAGGGCATGAGTGACTACTATCGTGATCGCTGTAGACACGGAGGGATTTTATCGAACACATTCATCGGCTGGTGGTGGAATCGGCAGGTTGGTTCTCCCTGTCCATGAAACGTTTCTCAGCGTATGTAGCTAACCAGAACATCCATAGGTCATCGTCAACCAGTATGGCCGCGGCGGCAGGGCTGCACGGAAATGGGGCCCAGACACACTGGAAGGGAATCTATCCGAGGAGGAACTTGCCGCCAAGTGCCATGATCAAACAGTTGACAATGTCAAGAACCGTTTTCTTGATGATGAATATTACGCCACGACTGATTATGACATGTCAGATATCGAGGTGCCGTTACTTTCTGTTGGCAACTGGGGCGGTATTCTCTTGCATCTACGAGGAAATGTCGAGGGGTTTGTCAACGCTGGATCTCGGCACAAATATTTGCGATTTGTGACTGGTCGGCATGATCTCCCGTTCTACACCAAAGAGTACGTGGACCTACAGCTGAGCTTCCTTAATGCCTTTCTCAAAGGAGACGATCCCATGGGCTGGTCGCGAGGAGAACAACCCAAAGTCAGATATCGAAGCCGTATCGGCGACGTTGGATTCAACGATGCGGTCGCTGAAGCTGCTTACCCCGAGCGAGACGCGGAGATGTGGCCGATACCGACCACACAATATACCAAGTACTACATGACACCAGGCAAAGGCTTGCAGACCTCCCTGGCGGAACAGAAGACGGAGGCGAGGCTGTCGTATAAAGCTCTAGGAGACCTCAAGAACCAACACCTTGTGCAATTCGTCAGCGACTCGTTCACCGAGCAGGTAGAGTTTACAGGACACATTGTTGCAAGGCTGAACGTTTCCGTCACTGTCGACGAGAACCAGGTCACTCAGCCGAGCGATATCGATTTATTCGTCACACTCCGACACTTGGATCAGCAAGACAAAGAGATACTCTACACAGGCACTGTCGGAGACCCGGTGCCCATTGCCAAAGGGTGGCTTCGGGTCAGCCTGAGAGCCATCAACGAGAAGAGCTCCAGATGCGTGTTGCCTTGGCATCCTCATCGCGAGTATCGATCTACCGATCATTCACCTCTTACGCCGGGAGAGGTATATCAGGTGGACGTGGAAGTTTGGCCGACCAATGTGGTCTTCGCTCCTGGCGACAAGTTGGTCTTTGAAGTGTCTTCGGGCGATACGCAAGGAGCCGGACTGTTCGAGCATAACTCAAAAGAGGATCGCGACAGTAAAACTTTCGCAGGCATTAACCATATTCATTTCGGTCCAAGTTACAACAACTGGGTCTTGATGCCGGTTGTGCCGTCGATCAAGGCTTGAGCATTCAGATACACTGCTATAGATCGAAGGACAATTCACCAGCTGTACGCAAGATCCATCTCCAGCAGCCAGACCCAGTGACGTGGTTTCGGAACTGTCCAAAACCTCCATCAGGTTGCAGCGTTTTCCCCGATGCCGATCATTGAGCTACTCGTATGGATCACCTCACCACTCTCCTCCGACAGGGTAGCTCATATATGTATTGTTCCATCTCCCTATTGTCGAACGCCATAATCTATTCGCAGTCTTTCACCGAACGCGAAGTCAGTATGTGCGAGGCCTGCAGATAAGTACATGGTAGAGGTATGAGTTCGCTTACTCCAATGATCCAAACACCGGCGAACATAGTAACAACTATTCCGGACTCTACAGCATTCGTTCCTGCGGCGCGGTCGGTGACCCGGTGTGTACGACTAGTCTCCCGGTATGCGGGCGTTCGTCGCCAGTCTGACGGCCAAGTTGGGTCTGATGGTCTCGGCAGTGCATTCGAACGGCCAGGCTGGTCTGATGTCCCTGTTGGGTCGTCGCGACGGCTTTGCTGGTCTGAGGTAGTCTCCTCGCCAGTCTCATGTATCATATAAGCCTGGAGAGTGTCGCACAATGTCACGGAATCGATGTGTGTTTCGGTGCTCGACATGATCTCGCACGAGCAGGAAGAAGAGACGTGGCGGCAACGTATGATGTGATAGAAAACAACAGTAGAGATCTGTGATTGTTCTCGTTCCACCGAAAGCGTCGATCAGAGCTGCTGCCTCTGTCTGAACCTCAAGAGCGTGATGCCCAGCTCGGTTCGTTCGAAACGTTCTGCCTCGCGGGGCCAGGGTCGACGGGACGGAATGGGGTCAATGCGGCAAGGCAACCGGTTGCCGCAACGAAGCCAATAATCCGCTACGTCTCCCCCAGGCGGCTGTCTCCAGCAACAGCCCCTTCTCAGCATAGTCACGCATCCACACACCCGCACGCAATGCAAATGTCCTCGCTGGGAATATCGCGCGGACGCGTCCTGCCTAAGATGTTTGCACCCTCTTCATCTGCGTCCAGTGACGATGAACGACATCTTCTCCCGGATAGAGGTTTCTCGACAAGAAGGCAGAGCCCAGTCGGTTCGATTGCGCCAGAAGCTCTTTCACTCATTGCATTCGGCCATCAAGGCATCCGAGAAAGCCATCAAAGAAGCAGTTCAAGCCGATACGGGGTACAACGACCACGATGTCAACATTGAGTACTCGTTGACAATCTCGGAGCTACGGACGCACTATGAATCTTTGGACTTGCGTCGAGAATTGGATAGTCAGAAAGCAATAGAGAACCTGGACGCCACGACCAGTGTAGGAATTGTGTACATCATTCCCGCGAGAGGCAACCTGTTTTATTCTATTGTCTCTGCCCTTACGGCAGCTTTGGCTGCAGGGAACTGCATCATTCTCGAGGTAATTTTCTCCCGCCTCGCGATCCTCGGGCTGCAGGCGACTGAGCGCTGACAAGGAGAAATTGCTAGTTGCCAACCACATTGAGTCGAATATCTGGCCTTTTGCGCGATCTGTTGACTTCAGCACTGGATGCCGACATCTTTGCGATCAGCAACGTGAGACTCCCGAGTGAAGCGCTGTCGAGATGCTACGTTCTGGATCAGACAGATGATGGCGGGCCAACACTCAGCGACGATGAAAGTGAGGAAAAGGACAAATCTTCACCAAGGGTCGTCGCCATCGTGGATCGGACCGCCAACGTTCCCGAGGCTGCTCTAACCATTGCTGCCGCACGAATGGCTTTCAACGGCCAAGCTGCCTATGCACCAGAGCTTGTTTTCGTGAACGAATTCGTCGCCGACGAGTTCCTGCGCCACGCTTGTCAGGCCATGATGACGCCTGCGACGCCTGTGTTGAAACACATGGGCACCGCAAGCCAACATTCGCCGGCTAGACGGTCTGATACATATGCTAAGACTTTGAAGGTCGTCTCGGACAGCGTTCATCTGAAGATGGTCATGTCGGGCGACAGTGGCAGTGTCATCGAGATCACAGACTCGTAAGTCTGGACCGTCAGTATTGAGGTTTCTCCTGTGCTGATCATCAGGATCCAAAGGTCAAAGGCGCATTTGAGCCAAAGTATCATAGGTCGAGTCATCCTGATATGCCGCATAACGAGTCTGGACGCTGCAATCGACACGTGTCAAAGGCGAGTTGACTCCGAAACATCTCTCGCAGCGAGCTCTCAACTGACATCAGTCTCCTGGTATCTAGCTTCCGCAAGTCTTTGCAAGCTTCGTACATTTTCGCAGCAGCGGCTGAAGCGAACTACCTGTCTCGCTTCCTGGACGCACGCATCTCATGCATCAATCACATTGCGACCGAGCTCCTAGGTAGGCCGATCTACTCCGAAGTTGCTGCCCCATCCCCTTTGTTCTGGACTGCACGAGCTTTGAGACTTGGATCTGACCAAAATCACAGTCGGGCCTCTCGCTCCTCAGCACCCAAGTATTGGGCCAACTCCGTCTCCACGCTACTCCCCGGCGCTTTTCCGGTGTCCGCGCCGCCGAATAGTCCAGACGTCAACTTTGAGCAACGCGGCCCGAGAGTCGGCACGAACCAATTCATTACGTGCACTTGATGCATGGAGCCGGTCGGCATTGGACCTTGGACTACCGGCCATCGACCAAGGGGATGGCAAAGCTGTCGGCTTCTTCGACGTGGGCATTATGCTGGGAGGTGCGATCATCTTGTCTGTGACTGTGGGGACTACGTACGCATTGTTCAAATATGTCCGGCGGTGAGCGTATCCTTTGCGGAACACACGTATTAGCCAAATAAGAGTGATCAATTTACATTGGAACTACACCACTCAATCGTATACTCGATATGACATTCAGGCTGAGGCAGCAACTGCAATGGCCGGAGAAGCTACCTTGTGCGGCTTGGCCAACATCTTGCGGGATGTGTCTGCGCTTGCCTGGTAGGAACCGAAAGTAAACTGGGAGTTGCACATGTTGATCAATTCCCAAGTTTCAGCGGCAAGCACATTAGCATGCGCTCGGTCCTCCAAGTCGCCAGCTGCTCCAGCGGCGAACATCGCAGGCATGAAGTGATCATCTGTGGCCTGCGCCTGGCGGTAGGCCGGATGTTGCATCAACCTGATCATGGCTTTCCGCAAATCAGGTCCACGGTTTCTGGTTACAACGTCTTCAGTCGCCTGCCGGAACTCAAGCGCCCAGGCCTCAGGAGGGCGCTCCTGACCCAGAGACTCACGATAAAGTATCATGTCTGTCCAGGCGTTTCGGTAAAGGTTATGCACGGCACCACCGGTGCCTATCAGGAGATATCCTTCCTTCCGGAGCGGACGAAGCGTCGCGCCGACTTTGACGTGATAGTGCGGGTCGAAGCGTGCGTTCATCGACACGATTGTGACTGGAGGACACTTCGAGAAGTCGGGAAACATCTTGATCAAGATGAGAAATGTGTCGTGTATCCAGTCGAAATTGGGGTTGGGACCAACATTGAAGCCATCTGCCTTGAGCATCGATATGCAGCGTTCAGCGGTCGCCAGGTCGGGGTTAGGTTTCCAGTCCAGATATAGCGATGGCGTAACATAAGGGCAAGGGCTCTTGCCAGGGTTGGGGTTCGTGGCAACCTCGATCTTGTCACCGAGACAAGCCCAATGTGCACCCTACACAAGGCGATATGTAAGCGGCGGGCTCGTCGGACCTGCGCGGCAGGCAACAGTCTGCGACTCTGTAGCTTACCATCATGACAATTCCTTTCACATTGTGTGCGAGAGCTTCCTGGCCGCACTTGGCCCAGTAATTTCCAGACTCCGTCTCGGCTTCTAGCATGCGCGTAGAACCATGAGAGAAGAAGTGTACGGGCGTTAGACCTGGACTTGTCAGCGTAGCAAGCCTCTACGAGCAGATCAGGAGTACCTGGTAAACCCATAGCTCGTTTTGTTGCCCACAACTACAATTAGTCGATAATGGTAGCGGGAAGAGAAGTGTGAGTATGCCTATGGGACAGAACTTGGATCAGACAGCGTGCTTATCCCTACTGCTCGCGCGTTCGAGCGATGAGCATTGCTGACATCCTCACGAGCCCCTCTCTTCAGCGAAGTCAACGCCGAGCCCCGGTGTTCTGGATGATGGGGTCCTTGGGTGATCGGAATGAGATGGACCGAATGGGGTAGGATGCCAGGATAGGCCACCACAGCCGTTGGACCAGTGGTCTCCTCCACCGGAAGCAGTACCTCGGAACCTTCCCTAACATTTAACGCATATGAGTCACCCATATAGTGTATCGTGCAACGCAGGCTTCCCAAATCATATCCGTCCATTACAGAAGCATGGCTACTGCATCTCGTCCTCCTACAAACGGTCAATTGGCCAAGGATTTGCCTGGGCTCACGGCATATCTGACGGGCCATGATCCAAAGACTGGGAATACAACCATACAAGAGAAGCGAGGAGCACAATGGCAGTCAGTTGACGGCGGTGGAATGGCATTCAACGTTGCCTTCACCACCTCAGAGTTTCCGGTGTCGATGAATGGCGACAACGACATTGTGAAACATGATCAAAGACTGGCATCCGGCAAGTTAGGCATTGTCAACCCTGGCGGGACCGTTCTTCGCTTCGTTGATTTCGCGCCCGAATTCGAGTCAATGATGCACCGCACCAGAAGTCTGGACTACGGCATCGTCATTGAGGGATCCATAGAATTGATCCTGGATTCTGGCGAAAAGCAGCTTCTGCAAAGAGGAGATGTGTGTGTTCAGCGTGGCACAAATCACGCGTGGCGGAACCCGAGCAAAACAGAGTGGACCAGAGTAGTCTACATCTTGCAGGACTCTCAGGCAGTGGAGGTGCAAGGTGAATCTCTGAAAGAGTATCTGGGACGAAGTGAGGGGGAGCTTCCGCCGAGCGGTAACGATTGAGACTGGAAATTGTGCGACAATCGGGTAGTGCAATGTGTCTGGCTCAGACATCCAAGCGAGGTCCCACGATCGGCGCAATGAGCGGTTAAGGACTGCATTGCCATAAAACTTCGCTCCACGATTGAGCTGCGGCTTTCGGTGACAGGCAGCATCGCGTTCCGCGAGAATGACTTGGCGTGGTGGTTTCTCGCCGGGCACGTGACCTGGGGTACCGATGTGGAGCCCATGACCCCCGGACCTTCGGTAGACGCCACGCATGAGCTTGCCGAACCTCGGATTGGCGGTAGCACCTGTGTATCTACTTCCCAGCAATGAAACACGAGAGCTTTCAAATTCAGCGGCTCCAGCCATTATGATCAGAACTGCTGCTCGCTTCTCGAGTGTGCCTTCCCCATGGGGCTTCCACGTAGCTAGCCTGCAAGAGCCTTTGGTGGCTCCTGACCCCTAGCCCCATAGGTATATATCTTTGCAGGACCAACGCATTGCGGCACACCGAACCACGTATACCTGGAGGTCATCGCTGCCACACTGTACAGCCACCTTACCTCACCGATGCCTTCTTATGTGGTGACGGCGGGCGCTGCCCTTGCAGTAAGCGCCTTGCTTTACCTTTTGATATTCACAGGCAGGAGAGGTCGAAATTTCCCCGGAGGTAAGTGCACAGCGGTAGATCGTCACTTGATCCAGCGGCGCAGGAGGAGCCCAAGCTGAACCTGAGCTATAGGACCTCCAACGCTGCCGATCATCGGCAATCTGCATCAACTGCCTAAGCAGAAGCTTTTCTTCCAGTATGTTCACTCGGGAGACCTCTGACTGCTTGACTAACGGCGGAAAGATTTACTGAATGGGCTAGACAGTATGGAGGCCTGTATACGTTGAAACTTGGTCCCGGCACAGTGGCAGTCCTCACTGACCGCCGAATCATCAAACAACTGATGGACAAAAAGAGCGCGGTCTCTAGTGATCGTCCAGTAAACCTTGTGGGTCAGCAGCTTATCACAGAGGGAGACCACGTGCTCCTAATGAGCAACTCGCCGACCTGGCGGATGATGAGGAAGCTAATCCACCAATCCTTGACGGAATCCTTGTGCAACAGCAAGCACACGAAGATCCAGCAAGCCGAGGCAACCCAAATGCTGCACGACATGATGCAAGAACCAAATCAATGGCCTGAACACTTCAAAAGGTTCAGCAATAGTGTCATCATGAGCATAGGTAAGTCGAAAACCAGCTGCAAATTGCCTTCAGCGCTTTCCGCCCCATTTCTATCTACCCACCACAGAAGCCCCTGGCACTATCTCTACAGAGGCTCATGTTTGTTTAGTCTACGGCATCCGCTCGAAGTCTGCCGTAGCGCCTCATACTGTCAAGCTTAGTGATACTGTCGAGTACTGGGCACGAATCAACGAGTTTGGCGCCACGCCTCCGGTCGACATATTCCCTTTCTTGAAACTGGTGCCGGAGAGATTTCTTGGCAACTGGCGCACCAGAGCAAAAGTCGTTCACGACGCGCTGCATGAACTGTACGAAGGCCTTCTGGCATCAGTACTGAGAAGGCGTGAAGCGATTGGGCCCACGGACTGCATCATTGATCAACTTTTGGATGGCCAGGAAAAATCTGAGCTAACGACACATCAAATTGCATTCCTTAGCGGAGTCACCATCAAGGGGGGCTCTGATACCTCCGCCTCTGTACTCGCGTCGACCATGCAAGCTTTGGTGACATGGCCAGAAGTACAGAGGAAAGCGCACGCTGAGATAGATGCGGTTGTTGGCGAAGACCGTCTGCCCACCTGGGATGACTACGCACAGCTGCCGTACATTGCCGCTATGGTCAAGGAGTCGCATCGTTGGCGTCCAGTTGCTCCTCTTGGCGTTCCTCACGCTCTCTCGGAAGGTGAGCACTGTTGTATGCTCCAGACCGATATATGCTTACTCTTCTCAGACGAATGGATTGATGGAAAATTCCTTCCTAAAGGCACTATACTCTTCGTCAACGTCTGGGGTCTTCACCACGACGAGTCAAGATACAAAGACCACGACGTCTTCGACCCTGACCATTTCAAAGGTAACACTGTACTGGCTGCAGACTCCGCAAATTCTGCAGACTTCGAGAAACGAGATCATTACGGCTATGGTGCGTCTAGGAGTTCCCAAAATGGTCCCGAATCGCATCTTTTGCTGACACAACATATCAGGCAACGGCCGAAGAATTTGTCCCGGCATCCATCTAGCAGATCGCAACCTCTTTCACGTTATCTCGAAAATTCTCTGGGCATTCAAGATTGAGATAGCAACTGATGAAAGCACAGGAAAGCCTATTGTCCCCAATACAAGCATGGTCACTGGTTATAGGGAGGGTCTCACAGCCTGTGCCTACGATTTCCCCGTCAAGTTGACGGTCAGGTCGGAAGCTAGACGCAAAGCCATTCTGCAAGACTTTGATTTGGCAAAACAGGAGGTGTTCCCCACGTTCGAGAAAGCAGACTTCTTCAATGAATAGGTATTGGAGCTTGCTAATAAAGAAATCGAACGGCTTCTGATGATGGTCCTGTAGTGGCCGCAGCATCAGTCGGTCATAGAGCGGAACAAAACTGTACTGGCGGAATCAATGGGCGCGTCTGGGTGGCATGCCGGCTATCAGAACGACAAAATACATGCGCATGGGTTGTTCTAGCGTCTTCAACGTGGGGTAATACCGATATTTCGTTCCGTGAAGAAGTCTATTGTGTTCTATAAAGCGAATGCCGAGTAGGTACTGAATGGTCACAGCACCAGACTCTATATGCCCACCGGCGACGACCGGGCCTCTTCTAAGACCGAGTCCGCACCACTTAGCGCGATAGCCCTTTGCCCACTCACATCTGTGGATCCGACTGACTCTATGACACCGGCGTGGACAATATTGGCTGTGGGCAGACTCGCCAGACGCGTCGCAATATGATGTAAAGTTGGCAGTTTCTCACAACCCAGATCCATGAATTCGAGTTTCGCGGAAGCAGCTGTCTCGACATGCTTCGTGGTCGACATTGACGTAAGTGACCCAGGGGTGAAGGTCGGATACATAGCATCGTAGCCGGGCCCGCCAGTCTTCGGAATACACTTGAAGTGCAGCAGACCTTGAGAAGGCGCGAATGAGTCTGGTAGCGTATCAACGACAGACGGTGGCGATACTTCCTGGAGACCGTTCAGCGTCATTGTTCCGAAGGTAGATCCTTCCCAACCCATGCCAATCACCAGCTCGTCATTTTTCCGGACTTCGTCAAGTGTAGCGAAAACCTTTGCGTATCCGAGCTGTTCTCTGCCTGTAATGATTGGATCCGCACGATTCTCAAACAGTACGCTGAGGTACTTTCCGCGAACTTGCTCGTCGCGATCTGGACATACCACATCGTGAACATAGAATCCACAGTGGTTGTAGCCTCGTCCAGCAAGCCACGGGAGGTTCTCCAGGCGCGTGAAGACGATTGACGCATACGATTCATCCCCTGGAGAGCCTCCTGCGTCGATTGTGAAGGACTTGTGGGGAAGGAAGGTCGCGAGTATCTCGCGAGGCGCTTTGAACAAGACAGTTGCAGTCGTTGTCTTCACCTTCTCCCAGCCTGCGTGCTGCTCTCCACTCGGTGCTGTCTGTCTGGGCCCTGGAGGCGGGCCGTAGCCGAGAGGCATGCCATAGCGGATGTTGACTTCGTGCATTGTCGCTGAGCAGAGACGACTCAGTCGTAAATGGGAGCTTCTTAGTCGGCTTTTGAGGCATACTTGCGCCTTGACGTTGCAGCATCGCGACCACATACTATGCGTACCGCCAGTCGAATCCGCGTAGCCAGACGGGCCGTTCTGCCATGTGTCGGAACAGGCGCACCAAGCACTTCCGGCTTCAGGTCCTAGTCCGGACCGGGATGTGGACCACGAGTTGCCGGAAGAAGATGGGGTAAGGTCCGCAGCGATTCGGAAGCCTCTCACCTTCAAGGAAAGGAGCACCCGACGAGTGTACCAGTATCGCTGGGGGCTGAATGCTCGCCCGCTTCCTAGCAATGGTAAGCCTTGGCTAGTACGGAATACATGGAAGGCTGTACAGGACATGCTAGTGGATACAGCTTCGGTATCTCGGTACCTATCAACAGGACGCTAGGCTCTGCCTTCATCGAGACAACACTGACTTCATAACCGCCATTAGCGTCCCAGAGCTGTCTTCCTGCCACTGCTGACTCCTCCATGCAACAAAGTAGTCCGGTCTCACCAAGACTGCTCCGGACTCAGCAACATCTCGAAGCTTCGCCCAGTCAAGATATCGATCCTCGTATTCTTGTCGAAAGCCGATCGAGTACACAGGAATTGGTACGTTTAGCTCATCTTGAACTTTCTTGGCCGCATCGCGCCATCCATGACCGCCGATGCCGGTGAACAAAGAGAAGCTGCCATTCCCAGCAAGGTCGATTGTGGAAATTGCCTTGCCCGGGACAGCGCGGCTCAGCCAGACATGCGGCAACCGTGCCCCGGGATACGTCGTGGGGTGGTAGTGCTCTAGAGGATCAGAATTGAAGGTCGGCATCTCCCCTTGATCCGACTTGTGGACTGCGGTCGAGGTGTATCGCTGATTCATCTCGATTCCCAGGCCGTGTTCTTCGCGGTTAATTAGCCGTAGCGTGTCCTGGAACTCTTGACGTCGTGCTCGACCTCGTTCGGAGTCCTCTGCGAGTATGTTAAAAGATTCAACGCGAGCTGGAACAGTAGGCTCGAAGTTGCCCAAGATGCCCCATATCTTTATATGATTGCGTAGTGAAGCGTTGGCCCTGGTACAAAACGACTGGTCAGTATCCGGCATTACAGATCAGCTCGAGTATCCGAGTCCGGGAACCTTACTGGGTGACTACATCAAGCCCGACAGGCTGACGTTCTATACTATACGTGTCCAACAGATCTTTCCCAGCAAGTCCTAACTCGGTGATCAGTGTGCATTGCTGAGTCAAAGTATCCTGAGGCTCACCTTTGTTGACGTAAGCCACTTTCCACGCAAGATTATGCGCGTCTTGGATACAAGTGTTCGATCCGAGGCCGTGGTTCGGAGGGTGCCTATGCACAGCATCGCCCAGGCAGAAGACGTTGCCCTTTGAGTAATACTCCGCTGCCGTTTCGTTGATTTGCCACGTTGAGATGCTTTTGATCTTAAAATCGACGGAGTCGTCTCCAATGAACTCCCGAATCCGTTTAGTATACTCTGCTTCAGTCCGTACAGCCCTTTGCGCATTGCTCGTTGGGAAAATGATACACATCCACTCGTGCCAGGGTTTCACCATCCGCCAGCATGCAATCCAGGCGAACTCGGGATGGTCTTTTTCAGGTGTGAGGATCCAGTGCAAGTTGCCCATACGGTTCTCCATAAGATGTGACATATCAGCCTCCACTAACACGTTGACAGCAAACCCCTGACCCGGACGCTTTATCATTGGTAGCGGCAGCTGCTGTGCAATTGGGCTACGGGCCCCGTCGCAGCCGAAAAGATACTTTGACCGGACTCTGAAGTCTTGACCGCTCAACTTATCGTGCAATGTGGTCGTTACGCCGGATGAGTCCTGCTCGAAGGACACGAAAGCCGTGTCCCAGCGTAGGTTGACGCCATTCAACGTGGCATGTCGTGTCAAGATTGGTTCGAGCTGTGTTTGTGGCAGATCCAGGGGCTCTGAAGGGCTAGCAAGCTCGTAATCTCCCTAGATCGCTGAATCAGATCTCTTCGATGTACCCACGGCCTGCCTTTACTGCTCACCTTGCGCTTCGGGTCATTGCCCCACGAGTAGATTCGTGCGTACTCTTCTCCAGCCATACTATTGGACCAGCGCGTATGGACCATAGAGTCTCCTTGAGTGCCCACCTCGTAGCACTCCTCATCGACACCGATGTCTCGTAGACAGTCTGCACGCATCGTGAGCATTTGCTTGGTGACCCTGTTTGGGCTGTATTGGCTTACCCAGTGCAGCCATGTTTGTGATGTGAGCACGCGGACTGTCCGCATTGCTTGAAGCCGCGCTCACCATCAAACCCTTCAGACCTGTCAATAGCGAATCAGTTCGAGGTTGACCGACAGACCACCGGAGAATCCGAGGAGATTCCTGCTAGTCTTACCGTGCTGCGCCAGAAAGCAAGCCAGTGAGGCACCTGCAGGGCCCGTCCCGACGATCAAGTAGTCAGTGTGCACGGTCGGGCCAGTGGCAGCACCATGTCCGTTGGTTTGCGCCATAGCTGTGTCGCGAGCTTCGTGTTGCCCTGCTGGTCTTCCAAAGGTTGCCTAGATACCGTCAGAAGAGCAAATATACAACAGTCTCGCAACCGAGCTCAGCTAGAATTGCACCGCGAATCCAGTGATCTCACTTACAGTCAAGCGTTTCTGTCTTGCGTCAAGGGTCCAGGACTCCGTTCGCTACCCCACCGCTTGGTTGGCAGCATTTGTGGACTCTCAATGCGGGAACGACAGTTGACGTTGACCGATTTGCATATCACCTAATAGTGACGCTGCAATGGACTCAAGCTCATCCCATGCCTTCCTCCAACAAGCTGTGCAAGAGCGGCAGCGGCTGGAACGAGCTGTGGCGTCCTGTTAGACTCCCGATGGGGTCTTAGTCACATCATTGTGCTTGGGGCTGGAGTTGTGGGTGGGTCCCCGCTTCGGAGCAAGAATATGGGGTACCGCACAAGTTGGACATCAGCCGAGGCGGTTCTGGCGACCCCACGGATGGGCTTCCCCACTTGAGGCAACCCAAGAAAATGGGGCCAGACTGCCAGAACAACGCCTGTGCGAGATGCTGGATTGACCTGACTAATTGGGCTGTGAACCAAGATGAAGGCACGGCCGAGGAACTTGTGAGTGAAATGAGTGGCCGACGACCGTCCTCTAGCCTTCCATGAGTCGGTCGAGGGTCTTGCCCATGCTTACGCAGCATGGCCACGGTAGGCGGACAATTTCGTTTCTGAATGAGGTGAGCATTCTCAAGGACCCGTGACCCTGCCCGATCGCCATCTGCGTCCTCAAACGATGCCAAATGACCAACGCAGACATGAACAGCGTTATAGGCAACCAGATCGACACTCGGTCCGGCTCGGAAGTTGAGCTTTTGCTGCACTGATCAAGAATGAGCCAACAGAGATCCACCGCTCTTTCTGGGATGTCGACGTGACGCGTTTGATGCTGATTGTGTTGTTGCCAGTTGTCATTCCCATGTTCCGCCAGATGAGGCAACCTCCAAATCTCATCACAAGCGAGCTGAAGCTGGACGAAGTGATAAAGAGCGAGCACGTTTGGCTTGGCCTCGCTCTGGAAGTGCTTCGCCCAGCGAGCGAGAGCGTCGGTCATTTCAGCCTGCAGGCGTGTAGCTTCCGAGTCTGATGACAGAGGCACATAGGGATTGGTAAATCCGTCAAGCTTTGACTCTCTCTGAGACGAGGACAGACGACATCGCTGCATGTAAAGCACGTCACTCAAAAGCGCCGCCAATAACATCAGGCTGTCCTCTTGGCTTCTCAAAACTTGAGGTACTGTATATCCGTGCGTAAGCGAGTTATAGACGACGCGAAATTGTTGTCTGCATGAGGGGAGTGCGACGCCAACTTCGCGTATTGAGTAATTTGGTGCTAAGCCACGATGAAGAGCATGGACAACGTCAACCAAGAGCATGTAGGCCAAGAGAGAGCTGGACTTTCTTATCAGCAATGGCCTCCTCAAAAGCGATGCTCAAACCTTTTCGTGCCAATCTCTTTGTCCGAAGCCTCCTTGGAAGCAGAGGGCATGGTGTAGTTGTCGGTCAATTTTAGCCGTCTAGTGATCTCCGGAAGCGTCAGGAATGTCTTGAAAGGCTCAGGACTCGAAGCTGCCACTCACCGTGATCACTTGAGATAGAAGCACCGTAGCCCGCCTATACTCGTCCCCATTTGCAGAAAGCGTACCGTATGTGATCAGAAGAGCAGCCTCAAATGACACATGTTAGGTCAATGTAACTTCTTGTGGGCGTGCTGGACTGTGCACTCACAGCTATAACTGCCTCAAGCAGCCTAGCCTCACGATTGTCGGTCTCCAGCATAACAGACCATACACTCGTACCAGCAACAAATAGATCCAAAGAAGTCTCGGTCATGGGCTTGTATGTTCCAGAGAGATAGCTGACTGTGATCGCAGATGTGACCGATGAGATGGCGGCCATTGCGAGCTGGAGGTATGGCGGAAGAACAGGCGACGAGTTTCCCAATTCGATGGCTCTCACAAAGATGTGTCGCTGGAAGGTAGCACAGAAGGCATCCTGTAGTCTCGACAAGTCGTGTTCGCTCGGAAGCTCTGGCACGCTTGACAGTAATGCCATTGGGTACGTATACTGGGTAGGTGACGCAGGCTAGGGGTAGTTGAGTATCAAACGTGTCGCCAAACAACATCCAGCAGAGAACCCTTACCGATGAATGGAAGCTTTCGTAGTCGTCTATGAGAGCATCAGGCTCCAGGAGTGCTTCTTCGGCGCCTTCGCTGAGAAGTAAAGCCGCTCGATAGCGATCGAGAAACGTGGAAGGGGGGCTCTCATTGGCATCATGCACATCCCATCGAGATGGCTGACGCTCACCTGGCCACTGCCTAGACGGAGCGTCCATATCGGCCTAATCAGTCGATGGTCAGAGCGTCAGAAGGAGACGAGTGGACACTTAACAGACCTCTTAAAGACAGCTATCATAAAAAGGCGACATTTGCACCTGAGACGGCTGCAGTGCCATGCAACCACGTTGCGTCGCTCCAGCTTTGTCGATACTGAGTGGGCGTGAGGCGGGAAGATATCAGGGCCGTCTGGTAGCTTGCGGGGTCAAGAGCGACCTGGCGACCCAACATTGCCTGAAAGAACGCCTGACACTTCCTGCCTAAAATACGCCCCGGCTTGTCGCTTCTACCCCAGCTTGCAAGCCTATCCCCAGATTTGCGTGGTAAGAGCTTCTCAACTCAATCCTTTCCCGGGCTATGGAGGCCCAGGATCATTCCACGTCCACTGTGAAACAAAACAAAAAGGTGCGCTGGCCCTCGTGCGCAACGCTAGTCGGTCTGGTCAACGGACATGTCATCCTCCAGCTTGCGGCGTTGTTGTGCCCTTGAACGCTCGCGTGGCCATGAGAAGGACTTCATTAACAACCTGACAGTGTCACCTTTGTCCCCGGACCTTTGCCAGATCAGAACATCTTGCCAGACATCTTCGCACTCGTATGATATCCTCTGACATAAGTCTTCTTATAGCGCTGATATGTGTGGACGTCAGATACTAAAGAGAAGCCATTCACCTGCCCCTTGTGTGGCAAGTCATTCCAACGATCTGATGTCAAAGCTTCGCACATCAAGAAGTGCCAGGCCGGGCCTGCCGGTGATGTCGGCGCGACTACAGGCACGGACGGAGCGGAACGTCGACGTGTTCGCTTCGCGTGCCAACGATGTCGGACGCGCAAGATGCGATGCGATGGGAAGGAACCCTGCACTCCGTGTCGCTCGCGTGGCACTCCGTGCCACTATCCTATAGCATCTGATTCATCAAGCTTAACCAGTCACGATCAACATGATAGCACTGAAGGCCTCCTGGCAAGTAACGGTCGACATGTTCAGCATAGTACTGAAGAACTCCTGGCACAGCCCAACTATCAGATCACCTCGACTGACGATCAGCCATCCAATCTACAGTCCGCCACTGCTATCCAGGATATCGGCCTCGGGGATGGAGTCCTCCCCAGCGCAACACAGACTACGGAAAATGACATGCGTCTTCAGCCTTACCACATTCCAGCGGCAGTACCAGCTTTGATGCCCTGCCCACTGACCTAGCAGCCTCTAATGATCAGAATCTTTATGCTATTACCGATACGGGGGAAATGTATGACTACTGGCAGATTCCCGTAATGGTACGCAGGCACTCTATCCATGCCCGGGCGCACCTTAACTGACCATTACTCAAAGAACGATAATTTCTGGTTCGATGATCCTGACGCTGCATGGGGAGATGGGATGCTAGACTCGACTTCACCAGTCTCAAACCGCTTATTCTCCACGCCTCTCCAGAGCTTGACCACGACAATGCAAGACTATTTCGATCGAAAATCGAGGGCGCCTTCGCCTTCACTCAACAAAGTCAGTCGGATGTGGTATTCAGCTCCGCCTGACCTTACCAACCACAATAAGGATATCGTGAAGATATTCCTCAGCCTTTTCAGAAAACATATCCCAAATACGTTTCCGTTGTTCAACGCTGCCGTGCGAAGCCGCAAAGATCGGGCGGCCTTCACACTCGCAATGGCGGCTACAGGTGGAATGTTCTGTAGAGTGGCAGGCAGCACAGCAGTCGCCAAGTCGATGTACAATGATGCTCGGAGATTGCTCCTGGCTTCGTTCAGCGTCCGAGATACGACAACAACCGAAAGCTCGTCACCGCAGGATAGACTGGTGGTAGTCAAGACCTTCATCCTGCTCGAGTTATATGGCCTCTGCAGTGGCGATAAAAGAAGCTACGAATTTGTGGAGGCCTTTCATGGTAATCTCATACATGCATTGCAAGAATATAGCCATGCATGCCAGGTATTTCCCAAAGATCTGGAGACAGAGGAGCAGAATGCACACTTGCTCGAATCGCTGTACATTCTCGACTGCTACCACGTGGTCATCATTCAACATCCACCCTCGCTATCCTGGCACCACATCGATTCGTTTGCCAATTCAGCTCCGCCGGGAAGTCGGACGCATCGATTAGGCCAATGTCTGCAGGAACTCACCAATGGCCACGTACCGACCACTCCACCTACAGATGGATATAGCTTGCCAAGTCTCGCAGCCTTGTGCGTGTATTTGTCTCCTGCAGCATATGCACGACAGAACAGGTATGGAAGCGACGAGGTTGTAATCGAAAGCTTGTCACTGTGGAAGCCTGACTTTGCCGGGTCAGCTTGCAACAACTGGCTTCGGGCAGTAGGCGGGAAGGGGAATCCGTCTGAGCTCGCCATCTACCATCTAATGAGCATCATGCTCCACGCAAACCTGGCTGTGGTTCAGCATTTCGCGCACTCGCCTCCCGGCTCGGCGGCGCGAGACGCAAAGAAGAGTGCAATAGGGAAGGAGATCAACGCATGGGTGCATTCCAGGCACTATCAGATTGCCTACTGGCACGCTGAACAACTAATCACGACTATTGAAGGGGCCTTCATGTTGTCTAGGAACAGACCAGAGCAGCTGCCGTCCTCGCGCGCATCGGTCCATGCAGAACCACGACGACTGCCGTACGAAGCGCCACACGTCCCATATGCGGTATACTACGCTACACTGGTCGTCTGGTGCCGTTCGGTCCTCGAGGAAAAGACTAAGTCGTCCGCTTCCGGCAGCTGGGCTTCAATTGCCAGAGGAGAACGTATTCTGTCATTGCACGATGTGCACATCGCCCAGCTACTGGCACATGTCTTGAACGAGGTCAAATGAATGGCTTGAAAGTACACTGCACTGGACCTACTCTACAAGCTTTTGTTCTGAGGCCGCGGACGCGAGATATATGCATCCGACTCTCACAGCCTCGCCTCTCCTTTCTCACCACGACCACTCCGCGCCATCTCCTTTTTCCACGCTGCTCTTACCACTTCTCGCTCATCGTATACGTCCAACCACTTCTGAAATGGTGGTGTATGGAAGGGAGCCTTGTGGTCCGGCCTCACGTCCTGATAGCACTCCGATGCGGCCAAAACACCATAGGTCTTCCTTATGGCCTGAATCATCTTCGGATGCTCCGCTACCCAGCCTTTCCCGATTGCGTTGGTGAGTATGCGCATCACTTCGCAGCGCGGTCTGCGGATCGCCTGAAACATTGTCACTGCACGCTTGATGTCCTCTTGCCTCCCCAAGCCCAGGTATTGCGGTGAGAGCAGCTCAGCAAGCACGACAGCATCCTCCATACCAAGCGAACTTCCTTGCCCGGCTTGCGGGGATATGCCGTGCGCTGCGTCGGATAAGAAATTAGCAAGAGCCACGGTAACAGGGACAAAAGGGTGATCCCCGGCCAGGTTGTGTCGCCCAGGTGTTTGTGGCGATACTTGTAATAACTTACCTGCGTCTCCCACAAGCAGAGTCCTTCCGTAACGCCCCTCGACCTTTGCGGACGACCACGCTGGAATCTTCGCCACCTCGACCAACCGCCACTTATAGTACCGCTCCGCCTTATCCAGCAGCGCCCGGAACGCCAGCGGATGGTCCGACCACCGATCGCGAATCCGCTGGACATCATCACACCACCCTAACCGCTTCTCAGGCTCCGCGTCTGACTCGAGTGTCCACGTGCTGTCAATCGCCTGCAACTCAAACAACCCCGTATGCGGCGACACAGAAGTCAGAGCAGACCGTCCTGGCGACGGCCAAGCCGAGATAGCCCCCTTCGCACGGTTCATGAACCCTTTATGCGGCTCCTCATTAATCACGTCTCCTGGGACCTGAACCTGACATATCACCGCATCCAGCACATTCGGCTGAAAGTCCGGAAACATACCCTTCCGAATCCGACTCCACGTCCCGTCCGCACCAACCAGCAGATCCGCCGTCTGCGTGCTCCCATCCGACAACTCAACCGTCACAGACTCCTTACTCTCACGCACACCCACCACCCCAACACCAATATGCACCGGCACACCCCTCCGCCGCGCCTCCCCAACAAACGCATCCTTCAACTTCTGCCTTGCACCCCACCGCGTCCCACCCCTCCGATTATAATTCACCAACGCAATCGTCTCTCCAGTCTGATAATCCCGAAGTCCGTATAGAAGTTATCGTGCGAGACCGCATCCACCGCATCAATCATACCCAAGCGCTTGAGGATGGCAACGCCATTGGGCTGGATCTGGATGCCGCTGTGCGTGGAGGTGTTGTCGTATAGGGCGTCGCGGCGCTCGTAGAGGGTGACGTTGTGGCCGGAGGATTGCAGCGCGATGGCGGTCGTGCAGCCTGCTAGGCCGGCGCCGGCGATTATGATGTTGAGGCCCATCTAAGTTGGTATTGGGAATGTGGTTGGAAGTGAAGTGTGCCAGCTGGGTTATTGGGAAGCGCACTGGCGGATTGATCTGATATGTGGTCTCACCTGATAGCATGTCTTGGCCCGCGATTTACGAGGTCGCCGTTGCGCTATACGGCCGCTGATATAATCTAGGTCTCACATCATATCGAATGTCACATCTTTCGCCTCCGTTATCAGGCCCTCCGTGTCAGCGGGTCTCGGGTACAGGAACAATTTCCGCCGCAATCAGGGCCACCTTACCTAACTTCAGGGTATCGCGTGAATGTTGCAGCCCGCGGCTATGTACTCTCGTTTCGCAGCAGGAGCCGTTTTGGGTATGCTGGCGCTTTATTGCTCAACTAAGAACTACATACAGATCTTGTCATCCAACGCGGCAGCCATTGGCGGAGATCAAGCAATTGGCTTGTTCGTCGAGTTACCTTATCTTTCCCGGCAAAGCGAGGGAAGTGGCAGAGCCCGATAAATCATTCTGACCGATTGGTAAGGAAGGATGTCAGCTCAAGATGGCAATACTGTGTAGAGGAATCGCTTGGGTACTACGGTTTGCGCATCATCGCGGAGTGCTTGGCTCGACTAGGATTGGGGCGCCGAAGCCAGTGCCCTGCGCCGTGAAAAGAGGCAAGTCCCCTGGACATATTCAGTACTTTTCGCATTCTTTCACGATCTGACGGAGCGTTATAACCCCATTCGAACGATGGAAGCCTAGGACACAACTGTCGGACCCAGTGAGATACCTGAGCATGTGAGAGCATTAACATTATCAGATCACACTGGCTTGTAGCTGTCACCCGGCCATGCGCATCTCAATGGCTGAAAATGATGTACAGGCTCCTGTTCAATAGGAGCACTTTTGCCAACACGAACACCGCGGGGACTATATGCAATGCGGCCGATCAAAAGACGTACTAGAAAGTCAGCTTTGATACATAGTGCTGGGCATTGCAAGACCCTTGACTGAGGGCACAGTGGGGCAACACTTACAGGAATAAACAAGTAGGGCACCTCCCGCTCATACTGCTCCCAAGCCTTGCCATACTTCCTGCGACACCGCTGGATGTCTCTGATGGCGCGGTGTATGATCATACCTGTGAAAAACACAGGATAGAACCACGGGAAAGGTGAATTAAACCCTGTCACAGCGCCCCAGGTCATGGCGAAGAAAAAGTCACAGGTGTAGTGGATTTTGCGAGCTTTTCCGTCTGGATTTCGTCGTCAGCATAATCCTCATGAATGGACCTTGAACTTACACCAGCCGTCAGCGAGGATGGTATCGCCATCCTCACTGGTGATCGTCTTTGGGTTTTCGATGTACTGGTACGGTAGGACGGGGAAAGCATTTCGAAAGACGCGCCCACCATGCTCATTGGCACGAAAACGATTCTTCTGGCCATTGCAGGTGTCCCACACCCAGTACACGAAGAGATAAGCAACGTACCACGCTGCCACAACCCACTTGTTCAATGGGTACGTTGCAGGATCATGGTTCGCCAACCACAGCGTACAGTGACAATAAGTCAATGGCACACCTGCCAGGTTCCAGAAAATGAGCATGAAGCCCCATTTCTCGTAATACATGTCCCAGGTAGGGACAATGAGCTCCTCCGCTTTGCTGCAAGCGTTCGCATACAGGAAATGAGCCAGTAACAGGAGTCCTATTTCGCCAGAGACATACCCGTACCGGTCGTATTGGCGAGCAGCTGTACCAAGAGTTGTGAGAAATAGAATGTACCAGGGGATCCGCACCTCGAAGAACATTTTGAAGTCAAGGATGCCGAACATGCGAGGGTTCAATTCCGCACCCATGAAGAAATCGTACATGAGACTGCCTGTCATGCGGTGCTGTTTGCCGCGCCAGATTGTAGAAATGTATGCGATGATCGAAACAACGAAACCACTGATGATAGCAACGGACATGATGGGCCCAAACTCGTCGATGATAGTGTACAGTGGGAACAGACCCGTGACGTGGAGCACGCACGCGATGATGATCGTCGCCCACCACGACCAGACGGCAGAACAATAATAATCGAGCCTTTTGCCGTTCTCGTGGGCAAGCGGTTTGCCTTTGGTCCACACGCCAGGCATGAGGCAGTAGAAAGCCGCTTGAACAAGGAAGAATGTCCAGTACATCGTCCAAGCCTTCAAGGATGGGTAAGCACCAGTATATGCCAGATAACCCATCTCCTTCACGAAGTTGCCGAATGACTGCCCTTCACTCGGCATCGGAGGCTTGCCGTCGTAGTAAGTGGCTCCTATCCACATATAGTACATCAAAGTAGGGAAGCCGATCATGAGGGCCGTGACTCCATATGATCCGCCAAATTCGAAGTGGCCCGAATAGTCGATTTTTGGTGAAGACCCAACTTTCCAGCCATCTATAATCTTGCCTGGAATCAACTCTCTTGCAACAGGAACTCCCTCTACCGCGCCTTCGTCCTTCGGATGCCCGTTAGGAAGCGCATGACCATTCGTCTTGACGTGACCATTGGCATATCCGTTGGCAGTCTCCTCGGGCTCGCCAGACGACGATCGAAGATTCCTGTGGGATGACTTGCGAGTACTGCGTAATGCACGTGTTGGCTCGTCCTCTTGGCCAGTGGATGAGTCCTGCGCATCAGAATCGTCGGTTCGCAGGGATGCTAGGCCGGATTTGCGAGTGACTCGACGTCGTGGCGCAGGCGTCTCGACAAAGCCCGGATGTTCAGTCTTCCTGCGTCGTACGGTCAGGTCGTGCAGGAAGCAACAGTAAACAATGACCTACCTCGGCGTCTTGCCGGACTGCGTCCTGGTGACAGTCATATTACAAGCTAAAGGAAAGATACAAGTCTAGGAGATTGATATTAGGTAGCGGGCCAGCATAACGAATGTATAGTAGCAACAACGTGCCCGGCAAGAGGCGTTGCAGCGCGACCGAAGTGCACCTGCAGGTGGGCAGTTGTCACGGTGCAATTTCCTCTCGATTTCGTCAACGTCAATAAATTTTCAGCCCCCAAACTGGTACCTGACCACTCGGAACATTGGCGCCCGGACCCTACAACAACTCCAATTTCTCCAGCTTTCGAGTCCATCACCATGACAAACTGCCCCTCATCACGCGGTGGAGGAAGACCGACGTGTGCTTCGAGGACACTGTACCTCGGGCAAGACAGGTTGATGACTGTAAGTACTGCTATTCTCGCGTCCTGGTCGCCTGCATTGTTTCGACACAACTCTTGAAGCTTCGAAACATGTCTGGACCTCCTGTCCCCTTCTCTGCGCTGCCTCTCTCGAAAGCGCACGATGCCACACGCCTGAATGCATGGGGAGCATATGGCGCCCAGGATGAGCACGGGTTCCTGAACCGGCAGACACCAGAGACTGTCGCTGCTGCCGCTTCCGAGATCATGACTGGCGTGCGCGTACACTTGATGCGCCTCTAGACTTCCAGGTAAAAACACCCTTATTCGGTCGACAAGCATTCTCCAAAGATGTCTATCAGAAGAAGCCTAGAATCGTCCACGACGATACCTGGAGCTTTAACACGCAGTCCAGCACGCAATGGGATGGCCTCCGCCATTTTGGCTACCAGAAAGCGCAGCGCTTCTACAATGATACAACACTGGAAGACATAGCTGGCACTTCAGAGAAGGGCAAGTCAAATCCAAACGTGCTCGGAATTCAGAACACTACAGAAAGGGGCGGTGTGACAGGACGAGGCATTCTCGTTGATTTTGCTCGATGGCTCGCCACCGAGGAAGGTCAGAAAGCAGTGGGAAAAGACTTCAAGAACTTTGAGACCTCCGCCATCAAGCTCGAATGGCTCAAAGCAGTTCTTGCATATCAGAAAACCGAGGTGAAGTGGGGAGACATCCTTATAGTGCGCTCTGGGTTCTTCCCAGCCTTCTATGCCCTGGACCAGGCCGGTATCAAGTCTCTGCAGGAGAAAAGCCCGCCTGGGTTAGGAGGAGTCGAGCAAAGCGATCAAGTGCTCGAATGGATCTGGAACAACTTTTCCGCCGTCGCGAGCGACCATCCGTCCTTCGAGCGTTGGCCAACACCCTACGAGTGGTCGATGCATGAGGTCTTCCTCGCCGGATGGGGCTGTCATATCGGCGAGCTGCTCGACCTGGAAGCATTGAGCAAAGAATGCGAGCGGCAGCAGCGATGGAGCTTCTTCGTCTCATCGGTGCCTACATATGTTCCTGGAGGCGTCGCATCGCCGGTCAATGGCGTGGCTATCTTTTGAGCGTCGACTGTCCATGTTCCTGAGCGTATGGGTCCTGCCAGTCTACGACAGCATTTTCGTGAGATGCTACTATACTATAGAGATGTCATCCGGCCGAGGCGACTTAGCCTTCTCTCAACAAGCAGTAACTTAGATACATTAATTACTGCCTAAATAGGTCATCCTCATCAGGCGTTCAGGGGCATTTGATAATGCCTCCCACTGATTGGCTTAAACACGCGTCGAAAGTTCAGGTTAAAGCAGCCGGAGTCCGATTCGCGTGTCCGCTGCATGCACCTCTCTCCCCTATGATCCTTCGTCCGCAGGTGCTTGGGAGGATATTTTTATTGTCTGTTTCTGTCGAAAGCCAGGAAGTCTCCTTCGTCATCGTTATCATTCACTACATTCGCTCGAACACATTTTTCGCTTCACTGTCGCTATAGTACGCGTGCAATAGTTTTCTCCGCAGCCAGTCACCACCTATACCTCACAATGGGCTACTCTACACAACTCCAGGGCAAGTTCGGCACCAAGGCGCCCGAGCCCCTGCCCGAGTTCTACTCCGAGTGCGTGCAGACCATCCATCAACCACGAGACTGCGGCACAGACTGACCAATGCCTACAGTCACCCACTCCATCCCGCCATCGTGCACTTCCCAATCGCCTTCAATATCCTCGCCTGGTCTCTCGACCTGATCTACTTCTTCACCACGACCTATGTCAAGCCCAACTTCCTCACCACGCGCTTCGGCGCCGCAACCACACTCGTCGACATCACCCGCCTCTCCTACTTCCTCCTCTGCGCCGGCCTCATCTCCACCGTCCCAGCCATCATGTCCGGCAACAAGCAGCTCGTGGGAATGATCTCCAAGAACGGCGGACCATGGGAGAAGGACGAGGCTGGGAAGCAAAAGAGCACCATGGTGCCACGCATCAAGGTGGCCATCACACACGCGATCGTCAACGATATTATCTTCCTGGTCAACCTCTACAGCTGGTGGGTTCGTCGTGGCACCGAGGCGACGAGCTGGAACCCTGGCAAGACGCCCTCGCATGCCAATTTTGTCATTGCGTGCACTCTGCTGCCTATGCTTATGGCAAGCAGCAATGCTGGCGCTACGTTGGTTTACAATCATGGTGTTGGGCTGCACCTTGGCCGTAAGAAGTTCGAGTGAGCTATTCGGTGATCTGGAATGGCGAACAAAACTTCAAACGGCGACAACTTTGCGGCACATCTTAAGCATCGACCGCTGTCGTACACACTTGCACCGAGAGTCCACGAACGCAAGTCAACGAGAGGAGCGCTGTAGAGACAGAGGCAGAGTCCAGGCAAGAGCGGATGGTGTATATGGTGCGATTGGGAGCGAACTTTGCCGGAGGAGGATATCGCAATGGTCGAAAACCATACTACGAGAAAGGCTGTCGTTGAAAAGCCTCCGTCGTAGTCCATCTGTAGCGTTAAGGCTCTACGTGTTTGATTACATTATTGGAAGAATAGGCAACCTGTATTGCTGGGAGGTCGACTAAATACCTGGAACACCCGAGCAATCCCCTCGATTGTTCGTAGAAGGTCTCCACGGACCGCCGTGAATTTTAGTGCTGTAGCTCGACCGGATCCAAATATTACCATCGATCTAACTTCGCGACTGCATCGCATCTGCACACGCCTTGCGGCGCGAATTCGTGCCAGCAATGACCTCTGCTCGGCTCTCACCGGCGGCAAACCTGCTGCGCAACTCGAAGCTCTTCGCGCTGCCCGCAGCCGTCCCATTACCGCCCGCAAAGCCTACCTCACAGCAAATCTCGACCTCAGACACTGCAACAACCATATATCCAACACATGCGGCTGTTTATACAACCTCGCAATCCCTCAAGAATGGCGATTGGGGCCTGAAACGAGCTCTGCCCGGCAAGGCTTTCAGCAAGACTAGAACGCCAGTAATTCGAATACGAAACAGCATCGACACAGCAGAGCACATTGCCGATTTCGAGTCGGCAGCTGATCACGTCCAGACGCTGAACAAATGGCAGGACACTGGTGTCATGATCGGAAACAGCCCGATGCCATATAAGGGGACATATCACAGTGCATTTGCTTCGAACGTTGACAACACGACTGTTGATTCATCTGCGCTCTCAGATCCTCGAATCGGTGCATCAAACGGGACTGCCACAACGCACATAGCTTGGAGTAATGCTCACAGAGGCGTCTACAACAGTGCATACCGGAGCAACACGCAAGAGACCGATGCGGCGCCGCCTAATCAAAACACGTGCCTTCCTTCAATTGAGGAGACTCTGGAGCAATTCGAGGAGGATCAGAAAAATGAAGCCATTGCGAAGGGTCACGACCCGCCTATCACGCCGCAAAGCTCACCACAAGTCCGACCACCGTCCAAGAGGTGGCGATACAATGGCCCATGGCTCGCAGGTCTCAGCAATTTGGACTTTGAGCAGTTCATGGAGAAAGTTGACGACAAGACCATCGCCGCATTTCGCAGGCATCTCACAAAGGGCATCAGAGCACAACGTCAGAAGGACTATGCTGTGGTCCGTGACAGAGCAAAGGCAAATCAAGAAGAGCTGCCGCCCGAACCGTCCAGCGACGTCTCTGAATCTGAAATAGACGCACGTCTACAATTCCTGCGACACAAGCCGAACGACTTCGGACCCGAAATCGCCACGTTCTTCGATCTTCCCACTGGACCGCGTGAAAACCGCAATGACGGCCGGTCAGAGTACCTATACCCTCCCAACTCGACGGGAGCATCAGAAAATTACCAGAACTTTGGGCTGCCACGAACACATCCATCAGCAGGCTTCTCATACCTGCGCTCCGCCCGGTATGCACGTATGAGTCCACAGCGCGGACCGATGAACCCCAACGCTCCTATGCCTGCTCGTGTGCTCAAAGATGTGCACAGCAGAGACACCTCCGAGAAGCAGTCTCTTGGTGTTGGCGGTTTCGTCGTCCGCCTTGGCAATGTTGGAGGCTCGGGCAAAGTGCGACTCGCCTTCCAAGCTACCGCTGGTGGCAGGCGGCTGGCGACGAAATTCAAGGACGCATCCGTGCTGGCTGACGGATCACTTGAGATTGGCGTCGACTCAATAGGCGACCTTGACGTACGTTTGGACGGCGACAACATGCCGTACTTCCGTGACGATTTTGAGAAGGCAACACAGGTAGAATCCGCCCCCAACCGGCTTCCCGAGATGGATTCATATGGTGTGCCCACGTACAAGAAAGCACAAAGGTTGAGGAACGACGATCCGGATGTGCTCCAAGAGCTCTTCTCAGGGATGAGAGGAAATGGAGTGTCATAATCTGTACCATATTCGAGCATAGCTTAAATCACAATCAGCTGCTCAATGCTCAGTGTATAGAGTATTGTATTTCCAGCATGCGTGGTCTGCCCATCTCTGCCCTTAAAGTGTCATCCGGTCGCGCGAAGAGCCCTGGGCACGTGATTTCACGCCAGAGGGATGCGCCAAGATCTAAAGCTTGGCGAATCTGTGGGGCCCACCACAACTTTTCCCGACCGCAGTTGTCAAAGCGATCTCCGTTGACGACCACTCTTGAACCTCACACCTCTCGACAACCCTCAACACCGCCATCATGGGTCGCGTTCGCACAAAGGTTAGTTGTCTACGCTGCCGTCCGCTCCCCAAGTCCATGCCTGCTAACACTCTCGCTACCAGACCGTCAAGAAGTCCGCCAAAGTAATCATCGAGCGCTACTACCCCAAGCTCACTCTCGACTTCGAGACGAACAAGCGGATATGCGATGAAATCGCCATCATCGCCTCCAAGCGTCTTCGCAACAAGGTATGCTGCTTTCACCGGCCTTCACCCGAGGCTTCATATCTCAGACGGCTCCGCTCCAATCGAAAGTACTAACAATAACCGCAGATCGCCGGCTACACAACCCATCTAATGAAGCGCATCCAACGCGGCCCCGTACGCGGCATCTCCTTCAAACTCCAAGAAGAAGAGCGTGAGCGCAAAGATCAATACGTTCCCGAGATCTCAGCCCTCGACTTCACCCAGAACTCCGAGAGCGGTCAGCTGGACGTCGACAGCGACACCAAGGATCTGTTGAAGAGCATGGGCTTCGACAGCATTCCGGTCAATGTTGTGGCGGTTGCACAGCAGGAGCAGCAGAACCAGCGCGGTGGACGACGGGTGTTTGGCACTGATCGGAGAGGTGCTTAGGAACGCTCAGTGACATGATCACACATATCACGGTTTAAGGGTGGGATGGCAACCGGCAAGTGCCAGCGCGAAGGTCTGCAAGCCGAAGGGCCTTTCTCGACGACTGGCTCTACCCAGAGGCGATGCTCAACCTCGTTCTTCGAACGACAAGTCGAAAGTCCTTTGCCTCAGAGCACAATCTGCCGAAGGTATTGGTTCACACGCTGTGCAAGATCTGAGCCGCATCGTCTTCCCGACGATGATACAAAACAGCATCTCTTAGCGGAAGAAACAAAAAAATTCAGATCATACAAGGTGTCGCCTAGCCATCTATGCATACTCTTCTCGTTCAACGAGAGAGCAGCGGCGAAGCTTGATTGCCATGATCCTGTCCCTTTCTTCTCCCCCGCCTCAAGAACCCTCTCCCCCGTTCCTTTTCCTTTGTCTGCCGCGTGTGCATAGAGCACAGCCTGCGTTCAGACCGTTCATCAGTCGACCGAGCAGCGTTTCCCCACACGAGGCAAGAGCGTCAGCTTCTCGTATGCCTGCCTCATTCCTGTTCGTCAGACCTCGCCATACACAGTCAGCTGCTGCAGATGTACCGTTCAATATTGGGTTAGCTGCATAGTCGCCACTGACTCAGCTGAAGCACTCCCGGAGCTTCAAACAAAGGTGCTAGGCTGAGGAAATAAGCCGAGGCAACCCCAACGTGTGCGGTTGACCAAAAGTACTGAAGGCAATGAAAAGTGACTGTCAACTGAAAGATAGCTCAGATAGCTATTGTGATGCATACATAACCTGTGTGAGCAAGCACAGCGTCCTCCCGGAACCCGTATTCTCAGAAATTGAGATCTGCCCACCAGGAGGCCTCTGGCCATTCCGTTCCCTAGATCCATCATTCGTACAAATGCCACCGAAAGCTCCCAAAAGACACCATCGCTATGCTTTCTGTTCCCGCTTGCAGCCCAGTCTGAACCATACCTACCAGAAGCTACACCACCCAATGTAATGCTGACACAGATTCTCAACCTTAGTCGCCTGCTCAATGAGCTTCTCGACTTGCTCATTGACGCCCAGCCCACCCACCTCCGCCATCAACATCTCTCCAGCAGTAGCAGTAGGAACCCCGCCAGCTCCATTCGCTCCTGTTCCATTCATGCCCATGGTAGCAGCACCATTGACGCCATTCGCGTGGTGGTCTTTAGCACCTGCACCAACGTAGCCGTTGCCGTTCGTGTTCGCGTTCGCATCAGCATGAGCCGTCGTACCCAACGCCATCTTCGCCGCGCTAGCACTACTAGCCGTAAAGTCCTTCCCAGTCAGCTTGTCCTTGATGCGAGCCAACACCTGCAGCGCACGAGCATTCTGCACTTCTCGCTCCTGTGCATTCGCATCTGGACCACCCGGACCCTGCGCATTGAGAATGCTGCCACCAACCAATCCCGCATCCAAGACCGAAGATCGTCTCGGACGCCGGCCAGGCGGCGCACCGACCTGAGAATGCGGCTGCATAGGGTGCTCACGTGCATGCTCAATCGGCGAGCGGTCTTCCTCACCCAAACCTCGACCTCCAGGAACATTCATAATACTGGCCCGTCGCTCAGAGCGGAAGTTTGTGCGCGGCGGTGATTCGCGGGTGTTGAGGCGCCAATTGAGCAGCGGATCGTGGATGAAGGCCTCCAGGACCGCGAGCAGGGATTCCTTGTTCTCTCGGATGACGCGCATGGTGTTTTCGCACGTGATGCGGAAAGAGCCTTCGATGTTGCTGACTTCCATTGCAAAGGTGAGCATGCGAGTGAGCCGGAAGGGGACACGCTCGGGGTATTTCTCGCGGTGCATCGCGACTTCGAAACAGTCACCAAAATCGATGTGGATGACCTTGCCGGTGTAGCGATCGAGCATTATGTTCGAGGGATGGCGATCGCCCAAACCGAGGATGTAGCCGACCATCGACATCACGGCCAGAGACCGCGTATAGTTCGTACGGCGCTCGAGCCAAGCTTCAGAGGAGGCCGACTTGAGCCACAGGACGCGGTAGAGGTCTTTGCCGGTGGTGTTGTCCATGGCATACCCGAAGACTTCGACCTTTTGCATCAAGGTGAGGTTGTCGTAGTCAGGAGCCATCTGCAGCATTATGCGGTGCTCAATATTGAGGAGAATGCGTCGAGACTCGCGGTACTCTTTGATTAGGTTGTGCAGAGTATCAGAATTGGGCAGCCATCCAATCAGACCGGAGTTCTGTGACAATGGAATGATCGGGAAACGTTGAATATTGAGGTGGCGCTTGAAGCACTCGGTGTCGGTTCCAAGAAGGGTGTTGACAAGGGAGAACAACTGCATGACTCTCTCATCCTGACGAATGTCCTCATGGCCTTTGAGCAGGTATGTGTAGGTCACACCGTCGGAGCCTCGCAGTGTCATCTTGCGGGGGCGTTGTTTGGATGGGATGACCGTGAGGACATGGTCGAAGTACGCAATACGGATGAGGGGCTTGCCAATCTGGTAAGTACCCGGTACGGCAAGGTCGAGGTCATGCGCGTCCTTGAGACGAGGCGAGACGTATTTGAGGTCCAGATTGATGAGCTGTGGAAGCTGCCGTGCAATCTTGCGGAACACAGAGTAGTACAGATCCCAAGCCTGGTTGAGGTCGCCAATGTCGCCATTCTTGCGATAGCTGTTGCAGAAGCTGCGAGCCTCGGCGAGATCATGCCCGAAAGCCTGCGCAAAAGAGACTTCGCGCAGCGTCTCAGCACCTCGATCAAGCAACTTGTGAAGCGGCTCAAGGGTGGTGAACATGCCCTCGGTGTCGTGATCACCGAAGTAGAGCCTCGATGCTTCCTCTAGACCTTCATGCCAGAGTTCGTGCCAAAGAACAGCAACACGAATGAGCTCGTGGCTGACGAGGTCGGCTTGGTCGACTAGAGTCTTGCTGTGAGTTCTCATGCCCTCCATGATCTGAGACGCGTAGTTGGCGCGGCGAGCAGCAGAAGTCTTCATCGACACGGTCAACGGGTAGACCAAGGCTTGAGGGTGGATCTTCCCGATCTCCCCCAACAATCGATGGATCGAGCCGCGGATACGGTTATTTGAGACATTGATCCGCGCAATAAGCTGCGGAATGACTTCCAGCCAAACATTGATGGGCACGTCGGTATAGCCTTCGATGATTGCAGTGTTCACTTCGGCATGGCCGCCGTGAGCAAACCAGAGGGTCAGCAATCGAAGTGTATCCTGCAGTGAGCTGTTTTTGGAGAGCTTGATAGACCGGAAGAACCCTCTTACTGCTGGTACAACATGAGTGTGAATGATGTGGTCAGGCAGCGGGCGTGTTCGCTCTTGGTCGGCAGGAGATGCCATACTGGTGACAATATCGAAATTGGCCAGAGCAAAGGCGTGCCAGGCTTTGTACCAGCTCTGGTTGAACTCAGTGGCGGCCTCGTATGACTTGAGGATCTCATCCGCGGCTTCTCGTGCCGATGGCGCAGTCCACTCTGCGCGCATGAGATACGACTGCCATTGACCCTGGCGGCGGTAGCACTTGGCAAGTAGCTTTCCAAGTTGGTGAATGCTCTCTTCCTCCTTCTGGCGAGCATGATTTCGCTCGCAACAGTTTCCATGCCGTTAATGCCATTATGTTGCTGAGCAGCTTGGTGAAGTCTCGTGCTTCTCAAAGCATACTGATCCGCCTTACGGGCAGTGAAGTCTTTGAGAGAAGCCAAAGCATCAGATTTGCTGCCTGTTGCCCAAAGGAACTTGAGTCGAGCATAAGCAACGGTTGGCGGCGCACCCATTTCGTTGTCCATTACACCCCCGAGACTAACGAGGGATCGCTCGGCAAGTCCTATACGGTCTGATTTGCGGCAAAGGTTGGCGAATTTGATCCATATTTCGGGGTTCTCCTCTGGGCGAAGCACAAGAGCTCGGACTTTCAACATGCGCTGCCAGACTTCGACGTTAGCTTGACAGCCCAAGAGACGATTGTTCCAGAGCTCCTTCAAGGCCTCCTTCTTGTCTGGGTTGTCTTCTTGCTTGTAGGAAATGATTTCCTCCAGCTCTGCAAGCATCTGGATTCTGACGACGACGTTATATGCTCGGTTGTACGACTCGCCAATCGTCGCGGTAAGCTCCGAGTTGAGCCCCTCGCGAGCCATGGCGACATGCTTCTCAGATTCCTCGAAGTGGTTGCGCTGAATCGAGAGAATGGCGCCAAAGAAGGCGCGATCAACAGTGCCATCTTTCATTACACTGATGTAATCGTCCATTCTATCCCACTCTCCACGACCCCAGGCAGCTGCAGCAGCAAGAGCGGACATATCTCGACGGTGCTCTGGGCTAGCAAGACCCCACTGTTCACGCGAGATGTCTGACAACGTCTTCCATTCGCCAAGGGCGTGGAGACAGCGCATTTTGCCCATTGTCAGAGCGAAGTTGTTCGGGTCAACGAGCTCACGCTTCTGGTAAGCGGCGAGCGCCTCCTCCCAACGATGCAGTCTCTCGAACCAGACTTCCTTCAGTTCGACCTCGCCAAAAGCCTGAGCGCGACGCAGGATTCCTATAGCTGCATCTGACTGTTGGAGCTGATTGTTGATGCTAATCAGTGCTTCCACAGACTGGCTGTTTTGGTCTTGTTCAAACTCTAGCTCCTTGTAATGCAGAGCTTTGGCAAAGGCGTGGCATTTCGCGGCATGTTTGCCCAACGTTCTGATGTCGATCGGCAATGACTTGTCGTCGTGCTCCATAAACTCAGCAAGATTGAGAAGTGTCTGCAAGATGTCCGGCGGTATGTTGCTTGAAGTCAGGGCCTTTTCGATCGACCGAATCAGCTCCTCCTGATAGTGATCGTACAATTCGGTCCAGCAAGACGCAAATGCTGAGTTGAAAAGATCTCGAGCCAGGGGCTGGTATACAGCAGCAAGGCTGGCGCATGCCCGCAATGCGTGCGATGGTGATTCTTTCAGCAGCTCGACACTGAAACGCCGCATCCACTCCTGCCAATCATCTTTTGTTGATTTTTGTGAGGTATCCCACGCAGTTTTGAGATGCTGCTGGTTGACTGGCAATCTCATAGATGTGATGTTGGTGTATGAAGCGTCTTCAGGTAGGTTGCCGTATTGTTCCTCGGGGTACAGGTCGACTGGCAGAGGCTTGCCCGACCTCAGATTGTCGATGAGCTTCTGGTAGCGCTCAGAATTGATTTGGCCAAGTTTTGTGGCACGCTCAATGAGAGGCAAGTAATGGATGAAATCGTGTCCGAGATGATAGATGAGTGCACAGACGCAGTCCAACGCAGTAGCCTTCAGACTTCGTTCCGCAGAATTGGTGATGACTTTTTCTGAAGAACTGAGGATCTTGGCAAGAGGATGCAGCATGAGCGAGGCAAAGTCAGTCAAATTCACCAGACGTGACAACTTCGCGAGGGTCTCGATTGCCTGTCGTCGAGCATTCGCAGGAGCGGTAGCGCTGTCGAACATACCCACGATGGCTGGCGCGATCATGTGCATGTATTCTTCTCCACTAGATCCGAAGATCAGGAATGTCTGTAGCATTCTGATAGAGGACTCGCGGCGAACATCGGTATCAGTCTCGATAACGCCGAGCATGAGAGGAAGGAGACCAGCCAGATAGCGCTTGAATTCGCCCTCCAGTGCCTTTGAGATTGCCTCGATCAGAAGCAAAATCGTGGATTGTACTTGTCTCGAGACGTTCCAGAACTCGCGCATCACTGGTATGATGTCTGGTAGGTACACACGGATGTGCTGTCGAACGATGTTGACCAAGATCGCAAGCTGATTGAAGTAGTTGTCGAGCCTATTTGGATGCGAGCTCCGCATGACGCCAAGAAAGCCTGGAAGAATCCTATCCAGGTATGGGACACACTTCATGCCGATCGTCTTGAAGATGGTGACTATGGCGTCAATCACAAGACTGTGATACTGTATGAGGGTCGGATCCGCCAAGATATTGTGCATGAGGGTGTTGATGACGATCTGTGGATAGTACTCTTCATTCGAAGGAGTTATGCCCTCCATGATCAGCCCAACATCTGTCAGAGGTGGCTCTTCGGTCTTGCTCTGCTTTTCGGCAACGGACTCTGTGAGTTGCTGATAGTCGTACGGATCGAGCGCACCAAGCACGCCGACGAGTTTGATGGCGTCGGTACGGAGCTTCTCATTGGCTTCGGTCTTGATAGTGTTAATCAGAATGCCCAGAAGCTCAGGGTACTGCTTGTAAGGCTCAATCACGTAGCCAGAATTAACCGCGAGCTTGCCCAGAGTCTGCATGGCCGCGTCTCGCTTATCCTGAGAGGCCAGATCTTGCAATGCTTGCAGAAGAAGTGGCATCAGCTCTCGTATGTGAGCCCGCATCTCATTGCCACCAACTTTAGTCAGATCGCCCAGTGCAGTGATACTCGTAGAAGCCACACCAGGGTTAGCATCTGCGGCTTTCGGTAAGAGAGCAGTGACCATGGGCTCCACGTATGTGCGTACCAGTGACGTAGCATTGTTGACGAACAAACTGATCAACTTCGCACTGTCTTCCTTCTGCTTGGGAGTATTGGAATATCCCAGCCCAGTCAGCAGATTGACGAGTAGCTTTCGTAGCGGCGGGAAGACATAGGCTGGATTGACAGTCGTCAACCGACCAATAATACCCACAGCTTCCTCACGGACAGCAAATACCTCGTCGTTAACGGCCAAGAAGAGACATCGAATGTTGTCAGGTCGTGCCAAATGTTTATCGAAACGCTCACTCAACGCGTGGAGCACACGTGCTCGGATGTTGGGATCAGGGTCACCAACGCCCATTGTCAAGAGCTTATCGACAACTTCGCCAACAACCCGCAGCGCGGTGTTGCCTTTTTGGTTCAAAATGGGATCTCGAATAAAGAGCTGTGAGCAGGTCACAGCAGCCGCCACGCGAATACCGGCATTTTCGTGGGCAGCATATTTGACTGTCACATCTCTGACAAATTCATTGAGGATGTGACCGGAGAAGTCGAAGTGACCGAGGGTGACAAGAGCTAGATGAAGCTCAGAGTCGCTGTAGTTCACAGGCATTGGGCCGTAATCCTTGGCGAACGCAGGTAATGGTGGATTTCTTGAAGGCGGGCACCCGAGCGGTCTGTATGGCGATCGAAGTAGAATGAGACTCAGCAGATCCAATAACTTGTCCTGTATGTTACCACGAATTGGCGGAATATGGTGAGCCATCTCTCGCAGGGCTTCTTCCAGAGGAGACGTGAGTCCACACGCGAAGATGGGATCTAGAAGGGCCTCCATGTACTTGCTGAGGGTCTGGCCAACAGCCTGTGCGAGCATACTGATGCATTTGAACATTGGTCCATCGTCGACCGTGGCGCGGTTCTTGGTCTTGGCGCTTAGCGATTCTCTGATGTAGAGGATAATGCCATCGAGGTATTGAGCCATGGCGCTACCTACGGCTTTCGCAATGGAACCGATAGCCACGAAAGCCTGATTACGCTCTGCACTCTTCTTCAATTGTGCCTGCAGGTAGATCATGAACTTGTGAAGATATTGGTTAATGAACTCGAGGGAGTTGTAGACGGCCAATATTGGAATGGTCTGAACGATTTGTGACCGTATCCGGGGGTCTTTGTGGTCCTTGAATCTGATAGCGACATCACAGACATTGCGATAGTGCTCGCGCATGAACATGTTGCCCTGCTGGAGAAGTTGTTTAAGGATCAATAGCGCTCCAAGAAGGTCGTCGATGTTGGGTGATCGTAGCAGCTCGATTGCCTTGTTATAGATCATCGAAAAGTACTGTGATTGGAACTGCTGGTCGCGAGCAATCATGATGCGAAAACAGGCGCTGACAGCTTCGGCGGCGATGTCTCGAATGAGGTCCTTGCTGTCTCTGAGAGCGTTCCAGATGACATCGAATATCTGCGGGATGAAACCATAGACAATGGTTGGAGAGTTCTTTGCCAGTTCTCGTATGAGCAGCACAGCAGCCAACTTCCTGGACTCTTGCTTATTCTCCAGCCCCAGCCATTCAAACGCTGCTGTCATCTCGGCCTCGACAAGTTCTGCGGTGTAGGCACCGCCTGGTCGTGCCAGTTTGCCAATGGCACGACTCGCGGCGTCGAGTACTGTGGCATCGTTGCTCTTCAGGGCGGACCGCAAGTAGTTAGAGTACTTTGACACTTTCGAAGCAGCGTCGATTGCATCGCAGTCGATGAGTCGATCGAGAGCAATGATTCCGCCGACTTTGTCGCTAGCATCAGGTGCTTGTACAATGAGACCAGAGATGCGGGCAGTTACGCGATCGTAGAAGGCGCTGAATCGTTCGGGAGACCATTCTGTTAAGAAGTCAGTATGGGTTTGTGAGAGCCTTGAGTATTCATACTGACCTCTGGAGTAGACTGTGACCAAATCTTTCAGTTCATTGGCGGCTCTGTACTTAACGTCCTGGTGCTTAGAGCGGAGATCGTTGAAGATGCGCTCAGAGACGTCTGCCGCTGGTCCCTGCAGCGCCATCTTGCGCACACATCGCCTGGCGCAGTGCCTCTCCCCACTTACGCGATCACAGCAGTCAGATTCAACAGTGAGGTAGAGTGCTTAGTTACAACTCTAGGCAAGACCGACTTGTTGAAGTTGTGCAACTACAACTGCCTCCAACTTGAAGCCTCTCAGGCTCTCCGCATTCTGGAAGCTGGTGGGTCATAGGGCCAGCGGAAGTAGCAGTAACTCCGGCGCTTGGCACCTACCTATAGATCTACCCTTGGAGCAGGCCACCTTGCTGCAGTGACTTACAATGGCACACCACTGTACCTGCTGTGCAAAAGCTAAAGTATCTATCATACCCACGCCTTGCCTTCTTGACCGCTGTGCTTGTGCACCAGCAGCAGCAGCAGCGCCCCAATAATAGTCCATCTTGTTTTACTTCCTCCCTGCCAGTTTGCATCTGCAAGACTGGAAATGAGAAAGGTGCAGGAAACAGCAGAGGTCAACAAGCTCAAAAGGCTTCCGACATACTGGTAATAGTTTTTCTTCCTGGCATGCACCTGCTTGTAAGGCTGAAACAGCATTGTCTTCAAAGCGGAGGCTCGAAAGCAAATGCTGCTACGGCTCAGAAGATGTTCATTTCCTGCTGCATGTTAGCATTCAGCCGATGGCCATCCGGCTCGCGGCAGACTGAGCCCTGCCCGAAGGTCAAGGCTGTGGAAACGAAGCATGCATGCAGAAATGAGAGAATCGTCATTACCGTAGAAGCATATATCGACGCCGCAGACGCAATCTTCTGCGTGGCGCAATATGTGGTGCTTTTGACGGTAAATGCTGTGTAGAGCATGTATCCGTATGGCCTAGGTATCTCAGCTTTCGATGATCCTTATCGTGAAGTCGGTCCTCGTCTCAAGTGGCCCGCCATTGTTTTGCCCTTTGGGCTGCGAAGTCTCTTTCTTGCATGATCAATATCCCCTCTTCTTCATATCCTTGACAAAGGCGGCACTGTCTGCATAGCCACCGATCTCGCAGGCTCTCTTCACGCTGATCTGACGCGGAATCCGTGCTGCGAGCTCGGGTCTGGCCTTCCTTAGTCGATCAGCACGGCGAGCGCCATGAGTCATTTTGCTATTCGGTTTATGTTTCGCTTTGCGCCCATGGCCTTTGTTGGCGTGTTCGCTCGTGTCGGTGGCAGTTTCTCCGTCATCGCCGCTAGCAGATGGCGTTGTTTCCGCTGTTTGCTTCGATTCGACACCAGGCTACCACTTAGTGTCGCAATCGCGTCGCCTTAACAGGACGAGAACTTACTTGAGCTGTACTAGGAGCGTCTTGTCCAGTCAATCCATAGTAGAGTTCACCAAGCTGGGTTCGTTGTTCTTCGTAGGCCGTGAAGTCTCCGCCTAGCAGATCGCGAAGTATGCTGTCATTGGGACGACCAGACCTGTCCTGCTCTTGTGCGCTCATGCGGTCTATGAGTAAGTCATGGGCATAGCGGAAGGCCTCGATGATACCACTAATCAGACGACTGCCACCGGAGATGTTGTTCTCAGGTCTGTTCGGATCGATGATCGTCAGCCGGTCTGCCTTCTCCTTCGCGAAGAGCATCGGCTTGTATCGTGCCTGGAAGGAGTCAGTGACGGAATCATTTGGAATGCAGCACATACCTTGTCAACGTATCCCGGGGGGTCCATTCGAATAGCGACAGTCTCTCGATCAAGCAGGTATCCATACAGGTTGAAGAACTCGACAATGATCTCACCAAGATTCGCAGTCGGTCTGGTATTCGGCAAATGCTGGAGCAGACTTGTGACGAGACAGATTATTGTGAAGCCACCTATGCCGCCAGTGGCCACATCGTTGAGCCCCCGAATCATCAAGAATTGCTTCACAACCGCGACCAACATCGGCATGACTGGATGGAGTGCCCGCCAGGTCTGAAAGGTCTCCACGGCTTTGAGACCTGTGTCGTTGTCGAAGGACAGGTCTACTCGAAGTCCGCTCCGAGCTTCCTTGAACTTGATGATGGGCACCTTTGCGTGGGCAATCACCACAACGGATCCTTTCTCTGCAAGACCTTGCTGTCTGAGCAAGGTAGCGAACCGATCAAGAAGACTTCGTGGCGGTTTGGGGGGCAACCCATTCGGAGTGTATCGTCCAGGTATGAACTTCCGAGTAATGAAGACTACGTCCATGTCACCGTTTGGTAGGTAGAGACCGGCGGCGTATGAGCCGAAAGCTTTGAGCTCGCCTGACTCGATGCGGCTGAACGCAAGCGACAGACGACGGAGAACATCTGCACGGACATCACGTTCATAGTCCTGAGGCTTGACCCACTCGTAGAAGTCGACGACCTCTTTGTGAAGACTGTGTCGAGTCAGTACTGGACAGGAACGCCAGGAATCCAAGACTTACGCAATGCCTGGAGGTGTTCGCTTAGGAGCAGGACGAAACCAAGGGACAGCATTTGAATGAGCTCGCGGCTTCCACTCTTTCAGAACGAGCTGATCGGCTGGCAGGTAACCTGCAGGCGGTCTGGGGATCGCAGACTCCGCGCCACGCTTCCTCTTGCCTGTACTCTCTTGTCCTTGGCCTGAGCCGTCGAGCTGGGAGTCCTTGAACGGGTTGCGTCGACGTGGACCATTCGGTGCTGATTGCAACATCTCATCCTCCTGCAGTTCTGAACCCTCAAGATCACCGAACGAGATGAAGTCGTCGTTGCCGTCTAGACTGCCTCCTTCCTTCTTCTCTTGGTCTATCTTGGCTTTGCGGATCAACTTCAGGACATCGATGCGCTTGCCTGAAGTCTCGGCAGGTGGCGGTAGAGCAGTGTAGGGGTCTGGATTCGACCATTTCGGTGGGTCTAGTGCATCAGAACTCTCGGCGTCGGTGACCTTCGCGCGCTTCGAAGGACGACCATCTTCGAACTCGTTGTCTGATTGGGACATATCATCCTCATCGCTGTCAGTGAGCTCATCGAGGTTCCGAAACTTATCAGCTGCGGATGTGTCACGGAGTACGCGCTCCTCGAGGTTTAGTGACTGTTGCAGCAGCGGACGAGAAGAGGCTGTTCTGGGTGGTGGCTGACGGCGTTGACGCTCGAGCTTTTGATAGCTTCGCACGTCTCTATCTCTATTGTCACGCCTCATGCGGTCTTGTTTGGATCGACCTCCTCGTACACCATTCAGCGAGAACATCGAGTCGCGTACATCTTGAGGAATTTCTGGTGGCGGACGACCAGAACCGAAGTTCGGACGCCAGCTGTCGCCTTGGCGAGCGGGCATGTTCGCTGCTTCGCGTGGTGGTAGTTATGAATCTGTCTCAATGGGTTTCATGATTGTTCGAGTGATGTGACTGAGGTACTCGTTGTGGTGGGGTGGCGACTGCTCGCAATTTTGTTATCGACAATGGGGAAGTTGCGCCGGAGATAATTCCCGGTAGCGACTTCTGCTGGAATGGGCCTGCCCGTGCTTGGCGTCGCGAGTCGTGAATCTTGAGCTTCACTTGTCACGTTCCAATGCACACCTGAGGAGCACTTCCCGGTTCTTCTGATCATCTGATCTGATGTCGAGGACGACATCCGGTCAGATACTTGGTCAGGGAGGCAGCAGTTGATGGCGTCGACAAAGAAATCAGTGTTCGAGAAGCAGAAAGAGGAAGCGGAGGCAAAGAAAGCGAGGGACAAGGCTGAGACCGATGCTGTATACCAAGACTTCGTGAAGTCGTTCGAGCAAGACGCTACCTACGCCGCAGCGACTCCTCAAAGCCGGCCGCAGAATGCAGGTTTCGGATCAGGACCCGGGTTCGGAAAGCGACATTTCACAGGTAGTGGACTCAAGAGCGGTCCTGGCAGCCTTGGCCCGGCGCCCGTCATCCCGAAGAGCGGTCCAGGCAGCCTAGGACCGTCCTTCGCAGGCAAACGTTATTTCGAAGATCGTCAGTACCAGCAAGCTCGTGACCGCACAGACCCGTTCCGCTCAGATCGAAGGTATCAGGAATCTTCCGCCCAAGAGCCGGGTGGAGGCATTCGCGACGATGCAGAAGAGAAGACGGCGAGGCCGACCCTGCACTTGTCCTCCCTTCCACCTGGAACATCACCCACAGTCATCAAGGCCTTGTTCACATCATCTCCGCTGTTAGTTGAGGATGTCCGCCTCCTGCCCACACCTGGTGCCGAGCGAAGGAGCAGCTCCGCTATAGTGACGCTGGCTGCAGAGACCTCCGCCAGCGATATCGATACTGTCGTTTCGTCGTTGCAGAACAGGTACATGGGCTTCGGTTTCAACCTGTCTTTGTCACGACATTTGTCCTCAGCAGCACTGGCTGGCGCTGGTGGCTTTGCTGGTGCGACGAACAGCGCGAATACCCTTCCTTTCGGCGCCCGTCCGATCGTGCAGCAGACATCCTTGCTAGGGCCCCGCCGCCTGGGCAAGGAAGAGGATTCGCTCCACCATCTTCATACACTTCATCAACACCGTATAAGCGCAGAGAGCAATCACAGATCTTGGTGCAGCCTCCGAGCGACCTGAAACAGCTTAGACTGATACACAAGACAATCGAGAACCTGCTGACACATGGTCCGGAGTTTGAGGCCCTACTTATGTCCAGACCACAAGTTCAGCGTGACCAACAGTGGGAATGGCTCTGGAACCCTAGATCTCAAGGCGGGGTGTATTACAGATGGCGCCTGTGGCGCATCCTCAATGGGTCCGCCAAGCGCAAGGAACGTCAATCATACGCGACCAAGCCCGAAGGCGAGTATCTATTCGAAGGGCAAAGCGTATGGGTTCCCGCGGCAGAACAGCCCAAATTCGAGTATATCACCACGATAGAGGAGTTCATCAGCGACGATGACTACGACTCATCAGATGAGGAAGCCGAGTTCGAAGAAGGCGAGCTCTCAAAACGACACAATGATCACAACGCCACTGGCTTGCACCAAGCCCTGACCGACACAGGCGACGGACACGGCTACCTCAACCCTCTAGCCAAAGCCAAACTAATCCACCTCCTCACCCGCCTCCCTGAAGTCAACACCAAACTCCGCCGCGGCGACGTCGTGCGCGTGACCGCCTTCGCCATCGAACACGCCGGTGCAGGCGCCAACGAAGTCGCCGATCTCATTACCCGAAACGTCCTCCAGCCCCTCAGCCTCCGCGATACATCCGACCCGCTCACCAACGACGAGCCCCCAACGGACAAGAAAGACACATCCACCGCTGCCCTCGTAACCCTCTACACCATCTCCGACATCCTCTCCGCCTCCGCGAGCGCCGGTGTCCGGCACGCCTGGCGCTACCGCCAACTCTTCGAGACCTCTCTCCGAAAACAGAAAGTCTTCGAGAAGCTCGGCCGCCTGGACCGCGACCTATCATGGGGCAAGATGAAGGCGGAGAAGTGGAAGCGCAGCGTGCAGAATATCCTCCAGCTGTGGGAGGGCTGGTGTGTGTTCCCGCAGAGCAGTCACGAGGCGATGGTGGAGGTGTTTTTGAATCCGCCGCTGAGTAAAGAAGAGCAAAGGAGGTTCGAAGAGGATGAGAAGCGTAAGGCAGATGAGGAAGCGGAGAGAAGGAAAGCAGGGAATAAGTGGAGGAGCGTGGATGCTGAGCAGCAGCAGGCGGGAGAAGAAGATGCGAAGATGGGTGGTATGCATGTCGACGGACGGGAGATGTCTAGTGAGGACGAAGACGACCCCACAGCCATGGACGTCGACGAGACAACACTGCTGGACCCCGCCGTGGATGGCACATCCCTCGTGGACAGCAGCGACGAGGAGCAGATGGACGCTGACGACAATGCACCCCCTCCTCCACCACCTCCTGAACCGGAAGAAGCTCCGCGTGCACCACCAGCGCAACCAGCCGCCGAGGCTCAGTCCTCCAGCGCGTCATCGCCACTGAAGGCCACAATACCGAAAACAACGCTGATATCGAAAGGCAGGCAGCGACCCAGAGCAACAGACATGTTCGCAGACGAGGAAGATGAGTCGGACGGCCAATAATGATTCCATCTTCGGATGTTACCATGTAACATGAAACATTGTGATGCTCGCACTAATGACTCGATATTGGTCCCGCTTCCATTCTTTTGTTGGTCCGAGCGATGCATCATCGTAGTGTCCCGTCCATCGTCATCTCCACCAGTGCTACAAATGCCACACCATCGGCCACCCATCCACGTACGCCACGGGGTATCCCTCCTAGAGTCTCTCCTAGAGACTCGCCGTAGCCGCCGCACCACTCTGCGTGCCCTTCCCGATCCCCAAATCATCGTAGAACGGCTCCGTATCTGGCTCTCGGCCCAAGAACTCGATCAGGGTCTTCATCTCGTCCTGACTGCCGCCCTTCTCGAGGACTGTGTAGCGGTACCGTCGGCCTTCTTTGGGATTCATGGGATCTTTCTTGAAGACGGAGTAGAACATGTCTGTGCTGTAGACTTGGGAAGAGAGGTATCTGGAAAAATGTTCGTTAGTACATGGGCAGAAAGTCCAGTGCAGACGAGGGGCTACAAGGCAGACAAGGTGCGACACTGGTGAAGTACAGCTTACCCGTAGTAGCCAGCATCATAACCACCCATGAGATGGCCAAACGTAGCTTCTCCGTTCCCCCAATTGTTTCCCTTGCCAAGCGCTTCTGGTCCTTCGATCTTGCTGATATCGTGACGCAACGAGTTGTAGAGCTCAGTGACATCCGTCTTCTCGAGCGTAGCATGATCCTTGGGCTCGTGAATAGCCATATCGAACGTGCCGAAATGCAGCTGTCGCAAGTTGAAAAGCGCACCATTCATGTTCTTGGTCTTGATCAGCTTCTGAATCAGGTCGTCTGGCAGATGCTCCTCGGGCTTGCTGGTGTGGTTTGACGATGCAGCTTTCCAGGATTCGTAGTATTCGTCGGAGAGGCTTGAATAGTGGCGGCTTAGGGTCTTCAGCTGGGAAGGCGTCCAGCACCAGTTCTCGAGCATCTGTGAAGGCGCTTCGACAAAGTCTCTCACAGTGTTCGTGCCATGGAAGCGAGAGTACGTGGTGCGGGATACCAGATCGTGGATGCCGTGGCCTAGTTCGTGGAAGAGAGTGGTGACTTCGTCGTGCTTGAGTAAGCTAGGCTTCTTTGCAGTGGGTTTGGAGAAGTTGCAGACCAGTGCTGTGGCAGGATACCGTCGAGTGCCGTTCTCAGTGATGAAGCCAGGTTGAATGTTGAAGTTGGCGGCGTGGCCGTACTTGCCTTCGCGGGGGAAGAGATCCAGGTACAGGTAGCCCACGAATTGAGAGCCCTCGCCTTCATCGTCCCAGACGCTGAAGACCTGGACTTCTGGATGCCAAACGATGTCGTCGCCTTTGCCAGATGGTGAGATTGCGTCCCGATCCTTGCCCACGACCTCCACAAATTCCAGGCCGAACAATTGCTCGAAGATCTCCAACATGCCCTTGATCGATGTCTGCAGAGGGAAGTATTCCGATATGAGCTGCTGGTCGAGCTGATAGTCTCGCTCCTCCATCAGTCGATCGTAGAACCGATGATCCCACAGGAAGTAGTGGCCGTCAAACTTTTCGCCCTTGGACTCTACATCCTCCTTCTTCATCTTCTTGAGCACCTCGATCTCTTCCAAACCGCCATCGGCAAGTCTTGACCGCAAGTCCGCCAGGAAATCATCGACCGTCTTGGGTGTTTTGGCCATCTTGTCCTCGATTCTGAAAGCAGCGTGATTTGGGTAGCCGAGTAGTCTGGCAGCCTCGTCCCGAAGCAGGATGGCTTCTTTGAAGAGAGGTACGTTCTGGTTGCATTTGTTCTCGTTGCCGATGAAGATCTTGTGCCGGACCTCAGCATTCGTGCAGTACTTCAGAGCCGGGAAGAGGTCTGGGTACTTGTAGGTGAGGAAATACTTGTCGCCCTCAGACTTCAGCAGGGACAGGACATCCTCCGGCAGGCCAGCAAGCTCCTGCTTGGTGAACCAGTTTCCGCCCTTCTCCTCGTTGAGGTTCTTGGAGAAAGCAATACCTAGCTCCGATAACCGCTTCTTGATCTCCTTGTACCGATCTCGCTTAGGACCTGCAGGAAGCCCGAGACCGTTGCGAATGTATCCCTTGTGCTCCTTCTCCAGTAGCCGCTGTGATTCGGGGTCAAGCTTGTCCCCCTTCTTGAGCACTGCATCCACCAGCTTGAACACATCTTCCCGCATGCCGGCCTCAATGTACGCCTCGTCAAGCAGTTTCTCGGCCTCGGTTGATGCATCTCGAAGCTTCTGATCTGTTGAGACGGACTGGTAGAAGCCAATGCTGTGTGTCTCCAGCGCCTGCTGGTTCTCGTCCCAAGCCTGAGGGAGCAGAATATTCTTGAATGTGGCGTCCTTCTCCGACAGCTGCGCAACAATGTCATCTGATATCTTCTTTGACTTTGCGATGATCTCTTTCGTGTCCTTCACTAGTGACTCAGGTGTTGCCGTCCATACGGGTGGTGCCTGGGGAGCTTCTTGAATGCGCCCATTGTAGAAGTCGAGATGGGTCTGAACGGAGATGCCGTCGATGATGCTATGACTGTCTGCACAGGCCTGATCTGGCTGATGAGCGCGCCCAGTCGTGCAGGAGCTTTGATGGGCGCCAATGTGACGAGTAGTACGAGGGAGATGAAGAGGAATAGGGAAACACTGAGCACTCGTGACAGCGCCAGGGTGAGAAAGCAGAAGGCACCTGCAGACTTTTAAGGAGTGTTGGTCGACTATAGCTCCCAGTTCAACAAAGCTCGTGACAGCTATCTGGTCACGGTTTCACTTGCTTACTCTGGTACTTGACTAGTATGGCGGTGGTTGTGAGATACCCTTGGCTTTGAATCCATGGTGTTTCTCCACACGGCGTGCCCCGTCGCACCGCGGACGCCCCGCCGCTGGGTCAGGGTGGGGGCCAAGAAGCTCAAGCCCTGGAGCTCAAGCTGTCGGCTAGCTCTTGAACATCTCCTTTAGATACTTCATATGATCATAGACTTATATCCAGGACCATGAAGAGCTCTCTTGCCGACGATCAAGCCAACCACTGTACGGCTAGCTCTATCTGTTGCGTGCAGAATGAAGCAGTAGGTCCAAGAATTTCAGCAAATGCCATGTTCAACGCAAATATTATGTACAGTCGAAGTATATGAGCAAACACTTTTACAAGTGGCCCAACATGCTGTCAACTACTGCTGTGGAGGCGTCTTGCACTGGACACCATAGTTCAGCAGCCATGCGGCGGTATTGAACTCGGAGTAGACGGTCTTGATCCCAACAGCGTCACCCCCAGCGGGGCCAGCAGCAAGGTCCATGTCAATTATGCCCTTCACCTTATTCTGGTTGCTGCCAATGCCACTTGCGATCCATCGCCAGCTGAGCTTCAGGTTGCTGCAGTCGCCACCAACGAAGTAGTCCAGCGTGTCCAGCTGAGGAATGGGTGGGGTGAGGTACTGCGAGTTGATGAATGCTTGTCTTCCTGGTTGGAACGACGGTCCGCCGAGTGCACGGCCGGCTAGAGAGTTGATGCTGTCGGAATAGACCGAGAAGTCATCTGTCAAGATGCGGTTGGCGGTCGCGTTGAAGTCTGGTCCACCAGGGTGCACAAGGATGTAGGCTATACGAAGTGTCAGCTCATGCGCAAAAGCCTTCGGAAGGAAGCACATACTGTACCCAGTGATGAGGTCGTTGACGTTGGCAGAGCTCAGGCCGCAGTAGCCACCGTTTCCAGCAGGACCTCCATTGCCGGGAGGCTTACCACCCCATGGACCCCAACCTCCATGACTAGCCGGAGTGGCGGTAACAGCTGTGGCAGCTAGGACGAGCGACGAAAGAGCGGCGGCGAAATGCATTGCGTTCGACGAGTGGCGACAATGGTTTATTCGTGTATGTACAGCTGAGCCTCGGCTAGGTTGTCGAATGTTGTCGTATGTCGACTTCGGTTTCCTAAATGTTAGTACCAACGAACGACTGAAGAGTTTGGGCGGTCTAGAGGAAGGCAATACCAGCTGGCGGGTGTATTTGGGGTATATTTGTATATGTCCAGGAATGAGAAGTGATGATGCTTGCATGCATTACCGAGTTCTAGAAGTCCGCCGGTACTAGCTACGCCGCAAATCACACACTGCCATCGAGAACTCAATTAAGATCTCTGCGAAATCCTGCAGGTCCGACCCAACCGCAGGAAGCGGGCGAAACCTTACAGTAATGTGTCTCATTATTTTTGGTGTTCATTGTCCAGGTATACTTACTGGGGGCAAGTAAGGCCTCCAGCAGACACCTGCCAGCTGGTCTGCCTGTTGCGAGGCAGCTTGTCCTACCGGCCATGACCTCCTCTGACTGGCATGAGGATCCTTCGAATGTGCAGTCCAGATTGAAGGAGTGTAGAATCTCGAAGGGAATGCTAATTCTGAAGTCAATATAGAGGGGCGAGGCGAGCTTGGCATAGCTTGAAGCATTCATGGGATATTCCATTGGCAGCCAAAAAATCCGAGTGCTCTCTGCCCAGATCTACGTTCATGAGGCTGGCGCGCACAACTGCTTGATTTCCGCCTGCTCCATTGGCGTCTGAAGGATTCTTCCGGTGGCAGTCTTGAGCGACACGTTCATGTGCTCCTGATGTGTTTGGCTGCACGGTCGTTGGATCGATTGATCTCGCCTATACTACGGCGCCACCAGGAAGGGGCTCGATCGGTAACCAGAATGCCCGTGATTGAACAATAACCACGAAATAAAAGACTGAAAAGCAATTTGAAACTGTGACATGTAGCTCTTATTTGAATCTGTCCCACCATTCGTAATCTCAATCAGATCTTCCAGGTGCCAGATCACCACCATGTATGCCTTGAACATGCAAGCAATCGAGCGCTCCTCCGACTATGTCCATGATTATTCTTGCTCTGACAGGAACGACAGTGGCCGCACCACATCTGGAATGTCATGGAGGTCTTCAGCCGCGCGCCACATGCTCACCAAGCAATTCTGCCGCGCCCAAACAAGCACTTTCCACCACAAAACAAGCACACCAGTCGACCCCTTTTGCTAGGCGGGCTAGGGTTGAGGCTTCAGGTAAACGCTATACTGTCTTTGCCTCAGTCGGCGGTCTTGTCTGACAAGCTGCCCATGCTTCATCCCTAATACGGTGAACGTGCTCTGAGATGGTCATCTTTTGGCGCGTCGACATTCACATTCGGTGTCGCCGAGCGGCTGTGATGTGTAAATTGGACGCTTCCATCTGCACAAATATACAGCACCGTCCGCGCTGTCACAATGGCGGACTTGTGTTCTCTGTCAACTTGTCATGCTGCAGCATAGACGAAATGTGTCGTGAGTTCAGAGTTCATCAAGAGGTGGCCTGATTATGGCCGGACACAGGTATGTCTAAGTCAGACATCATTGTGTCTTATGGAAGCCGAGACCTGTGAGGACCTTCCGACAGCATTCCGGGAGCAGACAGATCGCATGCCCCGATGTGTCATCAGCCGAGGAGCGGCAAATATTGTGTAAGCTGTACTTCCGCTCGCGCTCGAAGATCGCCAAAGTCGTTCAACGACTCGGAAGTCTTGATGAGCTATTCACGGTCCTTGTATTCCTTGTTGTGATTTGGCTGCTCCCTGTGCGCTTCCTTGGTGCCGGATTTGCCGTCGTGGTCGTACCATGGAAGACCCAATTAGCCACCTTGTGCAAGAATTGTGGCTGGCCTGCTGAGTCGCTTGCGGACTGGCTTGACTCTGATCTGGTTCTGGACATGTTGATGGTACTCGATCTCAGACGCAAGCCGATCAAGAATGCACGCGTGTGCGACTAGGCGGCTGAGTCGTCGATCTGGTCTGTGCGACTCAATAGTAAGGCGAGTCGAGGCGTTGGTTGCTAGAACGTAGAGCGGGATAACGCTGGGCGACTTAATTGAGGTCATTGGTGTTGGCGATGAAGCTCTGCATGGTGTTGTGAAGCTTGAGCGTGGACCAGGAGAAGTTATGTGAATATTGATATGCGAGACTCGCAAATATTTCCAGACTGCGTAGAAAGAGGTCTAATTACGGACGTGTCGAGTCGTCCCTGAGCGGGCTTATGTTCTCGCAATACAGGTCTGAATGAGAGGGCCTGGAAAGGGCATGCTCGTATCACGAGGTGTCGCACGATATGGGTCACTGCTTTTAGAGTGGCTTCCTCGTACGTTCGGCGAGTGACTGGCCCATGATTCTACATTACTGTTCTCCTGTCGGCCTTGTTTCTTGGACTTACCTCATCTCGCAACTTAAAAGCATTTCTGCAGCCCCTCAAGTAAGCTAGAAAAGGTCAAGCGGGCACCGAAAGATCCAGCAGCTGGACGTATTCTGGCGTATCGGATCCAGTAGAAGACGTTTGGTCACCGATCAACGGTGAGCCTGAGCGGCCGAGGGGCCGAAAGAACGACATGTTGTTTCATCCGCGTTTTCGCATAGGGTACGGCACAAAAAAGGCTGCCTGAAATCCTGTCCGGCACCATATCCTGCCGAGTGCAAACCCCTTCTGTGAAAGGAATAGTTAACGAAGTTAAGACCTGATTTGATACGCGTAAAGGTGCAAAAATAGGCCGCTTGGCTTGGCTGATCAGGGGAGCCCTTCAAATTGTTCTCCTCGAGATCACTTCAAGTTCAAGTTGTCCGATACGCTCTTTCCAGCTGCAATGATGTGCTCGACACACCGGCCATTTCATCTGTTCCGCAAAGGCGACCTCTCCATGATTGTGACCGTGAAGCGGCTTCACACTTTGCGAATAGAGGTATTGGCCATCCGCCGCACGTGCCACGCGATCTGGCGCCTCGGTACCAAATCGTGCCGGTCCGTTCGCTCCCACTTGTAGGTGTCGACTCCCACTGCCGGGCTTCAGATGAAGTATTACATGTGATTCAGCATGAGCCAAAGCGATCTGTACGTTATTTTCGGCCGGACAAGCGCGTGAAAGCTACTTGCAGCGACCTGGAAACCTCTGGCGGTCATCAGATTCGATACGGGCTCCGCTCAACTCGTGCTGACCCGCGGCCAAGCGAAAACACTATCCTTACGGACGAAGTCTTTGAGATATCATGAGATCTTCGGATCACGTCTGCCCACATCAATCTGCAATAATCTCGCCTTGCTGCTGTGGCAACGGAATCAATGAACGGTAGACATGATCCGAATATTCCCGCACACTATCACACACTGTTTGTACGACTACTTCTAAGCTGCGCACTGTGCTTATCTCAGCTGTTGGTTGGAGGTTGGTGACATCGCCTGTTGAGACTGGGAAGACCACCTCGTCTGGGGACATCACCTTCGGCTGGTGGCTTTCAGGTGAGTTTGTTGCCACAAGTGTGATGGCAGTCCCGAATTCCATGCGAAGGGAGTCCGACACCAGCAAACTCGAGAGCTTCAGCGTATTGGCGCCGCCAGACTTGTTGCAGGTCAATGCAGAGCCACACCGAAGGTCATAATCTATGCACAGAACGAACCTGGACACTACGGCGACCTGTTGACAGCATCTCAGGACCAGATAACGAACAGGTGCATCAACAGCTCGAGCTGCGACGAGGTCTCGAGATTATGGCTCGAATCGTGGCCAGGTCCTTCATGAGACTATGGCGAAGTGCACGGTCCTCAGCCAGTACTGGAGTGAACAATCCTCTCGGCGCTACTGCCGTTCAGCACTGTATCGATTGTGACGAGCATCGGCAGATTCGTTCAATATTTGGCGGTTAGTGCCTCCGCCCATGAACAAGTTACCACTGTATGAAGCTCGCGGAATTACTCCAGATATCACCGGCCGGCTGCAGAGCAAGGAGCTGTTAAGATGTCGAGCCAGTTTTCGCTTGGACACCAAAAAGTGGTGAGTACAACAATTTAGGCTAAATCTTGAATTTCGACCATGTCCATGGCAATTGGCAAAATGGTGAAATTTGGCAAGATTCTCGCATGCTTTCCCCAGACTCGCTTGCACAAAATTGACCGGAGACAGATCTCATGACGTTTACATTTTTTGGTAGTCGCCGTTGGACCGAACCCAGATGTTGAGGGCAGGTACCATGTCAGCGTAACCGTAACGGGAAGGCACGTTGCCTCGTGAGGAGTATAGCAGCCTGAATGCCAATCCCTGGAGAAATTGCAGATGGCCGGCAATGGCAAAGAGGATGCATATAGGGACGACACTGCCGGACGAGATGGCAGTACGTCAACAGCGCTGGATAGCTCAGAGAGCAAGATGGGAGCCATTAATGGAACTCGCATACTGCTTATTGGTGCACTCTGTGCGGTTGCTTGTCAGCTGCCCTACCAGGATGGACGCCAGCGAATTGGAACAGCCAAAGCAGTCTGACTCTGATCTACCAAAACAATCTCAACGGATCCGACGATGTCAATCATGCCAGCGCCATCGTTCTGGACCCAATGCCACCTCAGGCAGCTGCCTCAGCCTGTGGAGCTCTGAATGAGAATCTGCTATCACAGGTCACGGTACAGAACTACAGCACAGACTTCGTTGACTCTCTGAGTTATCTCAACTGGAAGTACAGCACTGGGCCGTCCTATCTGATTGATGGCGCCGTCGTCACTGTCGAGAAAGACCAGCTGTCCATCTCAACAAATCCCCAGCCAGGTCCGGTCCCAGTGCTGTGCACGCAAAGCTCTCGGGATAGTCGTCCTCAGAACTCTTCGGCGACCTCTTCGAATCTGGTCAATGTAGCATCCGGTGGCAACACCTACGTCGGCTACCGCAACTCCAAATCTTTCCGCTTCAACGGTATCCGATACGCTGATATGCCCGAGCGTTTCGAATACTCTAATTTGTACTCTGGCAAAGGCGAGACGATCAACGCGACAGTCTACGGCTCGCAATGCCTACAAAGCGGCGGCAGTGTAGGGAGTGAAGACTGTCTCTTCCTCAACATCCAGACACCATACATCCCTTACGCTAAGCATGGTCCAAGTCAGAAGCAGCACTTGCGCCCGGTTTTCTTCTGGATCCATGGTGGAGGTTTTACTGGCGGTACTGGCCAAGATCCAGGTACGGATGGTGGAAATCTTGCGGTACGTATTCCTGTAGACGAGAACCGGGCGAGACACTAATCTCCCGATTCTGATCATCCCGATACATGTTCAGTCTAACAGGTGCGATAGTCTCGAGAAGATATAGTCGTTGTTACGATCAACTATAGACTGTCGACACTGGGCTTTCTTGCGGTACCAGGCACCGATATCAAAGGCAACTATGGCATTGGCGACCAGATCGTTGCGTTGCAATGGGTCCAACAGAACATCGCGAGCTTCGGAGGCGATCCTAAGAAGATAACCATTGGCGGAAGCAGTGCAGGCGCAGGCAGTGTTCGTACACTTCTTGGAAGCCACCCGCCATACCCTTGTTTCAAGGCGCTATGGCTGACTCGAATCTTGGTGGCGGCGTAACGCTCGGTCTAGATGGCAACTACGGCACTACGTACTCCGACTACCTCACCATCGAGGAGTCATACAACCTGACTGGCATACCATTACTAAATGCGACAGACTGCCTCGCGACCACCGGCAACAGCTCGACAACCGCACAAGCAGATTGCCTGCGAACTGCGAATGCCACTATACTAATTACAGGCAATGACGTGGCGCGCTATGTCGTCCAGGACGGAACGATTGTAACCACGCCCCAGCTGACCCTCACCGCTGGCGGTCCCAACCCAGAGTCCGCTTACGTTCCCATCATGTTCGGCATCGCCGCGAACGACGGTGCTTCATTCTCCAACATCGCCACATCGCCGATCTCTAACCTCAGCGAGGGCCTCCAAGTCGGTCTGGGCATCGAAGCATCTTATGCAGACTCGATCATCTCTTCTGGTTTGTTCCCCTTCTACGACTCTGGCAACCTCACCCTGGACGCTACAACGTCACCCAGCGCGTTGCGACCGACGATACATTTCGCTGCATTGATCAGGCTACAGTCTATGCCGCTGCCGTGACCAAGAGCTTCCCTGCTGTGTATTACTACCAATTCGACCGCAGTAGGGACGGCTACAATCCCAACAATTTGAATGAGTCACTCGTGGCTGGCCCGGTCTCGGCCGAGTACCCATATGGTGATCCGACGAGCCCAGAGTACTTTCGGCTTCACGGAAGCACGGGTCCATGGTACACAGGCAACTGGGATGGAGTATTCAGGGATGATGGCGATTTGTGGAGCGTGCAGCTGGTTGCGTCTTATCTTGCCTCGTTCGTAAAGACGGGAAATGCGAACCCGAGCGTCGAGGAATTGACAGTCAGAGGTGCAGCATATCAAAAGGTGCTGGAAGCGGTCAATGATTTTGGGGCTTGGAACGAAGTCGAGGAAGGAGAGGCGGCGCCGGTGAGGTTTCTGGATTGGCCGGCGAGCAGTGGCGAATGGGTCGACTTGGACCAGTGCAAGTGGTTGAACTATAGTCTGGAGTACTATCTGCAGTAAGCTGAATGTAGTTGACGACAAATCAAAGTAGTCGTAGTTGAAACCCAATTGCTGGAGCTGCATAGATATTTAGATGCGTGCAGACACCAACAAAGAGGCGTGTCAACCGGGTTCAGGTCGTGACTTGAGTCAACCGGCGTTGGGGTCTGAGAACGGCCAGTAGAGGTGCATGTCGCCAGCCTGTAGCTGCGAGTCACTCAATCCAATGACATCTATGCGCATTGTCGCAGCCCGTCATGTCAACGAGGTGATCACAACACGTTTGCTCGTGAGCCACACAGGCCGCGAGTCGTCTCGGACGGCGCAAGCGACAGCATCGACTAACAATACTTCTGCAGATTGGTAGGTAGCTGAAGTGCGCTAGGCGTAGGATCGAGCATGCAAATGTGTTTTTCATGTTTCTCGTATTGTGCAAAGCTGCTCAAGCTATGTACCAATCACCGTGTGCTCATTCTTACGTCCATCCGAAGCGTCAATACGGTTGAGCTAGGGCCTCCCCGGATTTCAGCAAGACGTATCGCGTGATTGGCTCGCATAGGGTAATCGTGCTACACTGTGTCGTGCGATCCTGTAGAGTGTCTTGCGCTGTGGTCTGCGGCGATAAGAGTTCCTGTGCCGAATGATGGAGACAAAGCCGCGCACAAATTGGGTTCCGATTTGGTGAAGGACTGCTGCTTCTCGGACACTGTCCGTCATGTGGCGCATGTATGTCCGAGAGATGTGTTCACCAGCTGGAGTGGTTGTATGCGATCCCAGCTTTCTGGAGGGCGCGCTCAAGATCTTCGATGCGATCAGTGTGCTCAACATCCCTGCGCCAATAATGGAGAGCCACGTTGTACGCAACGGAATCGTGCTGCTCGAACATAGGACCCAGACGTTCTTGTAGATCCAGGACTTGAGAGCGGAGTTGCCCGGCAGTCACTTCGAAATCCGCATTGGCTTGTTTCTCACTGTCGGAGAGACCAGGAGGGACCCAGCCGTTAGGACCCCAGACGCCGTTAGGGCCCCTGCCGTTGTTGCCCCAGTTGTCAGCGTCAATCTCTTCGTAAGGAGGCGATGGTTCCTGCTCCGACAAGCTCTGCGCAGCCTTCATGAAGTCGAGTGCTTTGATTGTGGTGCGTGCGCGCAAATCGGCAGCCTGCGGCATGTGTTCGTATGCGCTCTGCAGAAGATCTTGGCTGGCCGTTGCCTTCTTTATCGCGACAGAAAGTTTGTCCGTCCAGTCTGCACTCGAGGTCCAGGTGCTGGTGTTGTTCGACGAGGAGTCATCGCCGTCATCCAGCCATCCGATGAGGTCATCGGAGACAACCTTGACCAAGTCATCGATGAGAAGGAATTCAGCTAGCATGTAAAGCTTGACTCTGGTGTCGAGGAACCGTCCAGTCGTCATCGATTCCTACGAACTTCTCGCTCAAGTTCGGCCAAACGTCGATAAGGTCTTCCTTGTTGTACGCGCCAGTGTAGATGTACATCAGTCCCATCGCTACGATTTCTGGCTCTTGCTCAACAAGCTCGACCTTGTCACTGGTAGACTCCTGTATTCAGTTAGGAAAGAGTCGAACGAGCAGATTTCAGCTATCTCACCTGGAAGTTACCCTCGATGCATCGTTCGAAGAAATCTGAATGACTGCCAACAACGATTTTGTGTACTTTGAACTCGAAGTCTCCGCAAACGATGACGAAATCAGCTCGCTTGGTCGTCTTCAGCTGTGCAATGCCTTTCGGCGTAGTGACGGTAGGCGCCATCGCGGTCGAGGCTACCGATTGGAGAGAATGGACTCGAGACAGCCAGGTTCGCTTTCTCTGTGCAAAGATAAAGCGGATTTGGAAATCTTCAACTGTCTCAGAATCTGGAGGGGGCTGAAGTCATACGTTGTGCAGGCAAGTTGCGCAGTGACTGCGTTGTGGTCTTCACTGATGCTTCATGCAGCCTTGTGTGCACGTCATGCGTCCGTCACTTTACCGTCACCCTTTGGTGGGTGTGGCAGGTTCGCCGAAGCCGGAACCGACGTGGTTCAGCAGATGAGATCGAGGCGACAACTTCCATATCCTTCTGTTGACGAGCTACTGAGCCAGTCGTCACTGCAAAGCGACCAGCGGCCTCATGTATTCACCAGCCAACATGCTTCAATCGTCGTCGCAGAAAACCATGTCTTTGAGCGGCCGGGATAGCGCCCTGCCGGTAGCGTCGTCACCAAGGCATCCCCTTTAAGCTAGCCCCTCCCCTGTCCAACTTCCTTCTCATTTCCTTTTCGCGCTCCTCCCTGAGGTCTTCATCCAACCCATCCTCCTTCTCTCCCGCCTTTCCTCCCCTCGTTTCCCACCGCCGCTGCAGCCTACGAGCGACGAATTTGCCGACGCCCCATACCGTAGCTGCTGCAATGCTGGCTCCTATGCCCGTCGGAGCCGCGATCCAAGCTACTCCAGAGACGACGCTGCCGATCGCGGTGGTGGCAACAGCAGCGATTGCAGCGTATTTGGCCCATCGGACGAGGCGCCAGATAATGAACTGGGTTATGTACCTAACACTCCGGAGTAGTGCTCGAGTCTTCGGCTTGGCAGGCTGGTTGGAGCTGTTGGGAGAGAGCAGGTAGTTGAAGTTCCTGCGAGCTATTTGCAGGGACGATGCCGATTGCTGCTCAATGGCGAGATTGTCATCGCCATGAGACTTAGCGGATGAGGTTGCAGAGCTGTTGCTCTGGGTGATATGGGGTCCTCTCGAGGGAGCCATGTTGGTCAATGCGGATAATGTTGATAGTCGACCCGTCTACCTGACAAAGGAGTGCCCCTGGTGTACCCAGGTAGGTACTGATCGAACAGGAAGTCTGGAAGCTGGATGAGGTCATGGGCGATTGGTCGGCTTCAACTTCCGCCACATTTGCCACTTGTGGCTGTGCAGAGGACACTTCCCCTCGTCCAAGGTACCATCTACTCTTCGCTCCATCATTTATCTTCTCTTCTCCGACCGTGTCCAGAGTCTCAGTCATACTCACACATACCCCCCTCGACACACCCTCTCCCCACCACTCCGCAAACATGGAATTCGACGAGGACACCGTCCTTGCAGTCTTCTTCATCGGCTTTCTGGCCTTTGCCTTTACGCTGCCATGTACCATCACCGCCTGCATCGCAGCCTCTCGAACGCGTGCATGGAACAAAGACAAGCGTGCTCGCAATGGGAGACGCTACGGACTGCTGCCTCAGCAGGCCAGCATGACTGCCGACCCCGAGGCAGCCCTTGAATCTGAGTCCGACTCCGACCACGAATCCGATTATCTCGATTCCGAGGACGAGCGCAATGCTGTCAGCAAGCGTGAGCAGAAGAAGAAGGCGATTGAAGAGCGCGACGCAGACCTTCTGCTGAGCACATCTGCCAAGTTCATCAAGGAATGGAAGAGTGTCTGGCGTGGACCCGGTGGCATTGAGAAAGTTAGGCAGGAGGCGGAGGCCAAGGCTGAGGTCGAGCGTCGCAAGATTGCCAGGGAGGCAGTGCGCGAGTACTTGAGGATGGAACGGAAGAAGGCGAGGAAAGCAAGGAAGGCGGCTGAGCAGGACGAACAGGCTATGGAGCTGCCCAGCTACGGCAAGGCTGTCAGCGGCGAGAAGCAGTAATGGAGGTTGAATCCCCGCTGCCTCTTGCCTGAAACCTCGAGCTCCCGAATCAAACCTCGACGGGATGTCTGGGGCCCTCTACTACCCGCGATGCAGATGGGACGAACATAACTTATGGCTTCTGGCATGTTTTAGCTGGACTTTCGCGTTGCCTTAGCAGCAATCACAATTGGATTTCGAAACGATATTTTCATTCATCGAATGTTTGCGATTGTTGAGGTATGGTCAACTCATGATCGCTTTCGCGAATTGCAACCTTGCATTGGTCAACAGGTAAAGGGACATTCGGGTGCGCTGCGTGACGGCAACTCGCATGTCTGTTTTGGTGCTAGTCAGCCTGATTGTCACCGACCTCACTTCGTTTGAAGATGCTGTTGGCGTTCCGGAACACCTTTGCAAGACCAGTACTCGACTCAAGCAAGCGCACGTCTTGACGGAAGACTTGCCTGCAGAAGCGCAACTTCTCCTTCATCGTTTGCTTCAACCTTTTTCTCGTCACCTTTGGTTCTTAACTCTGGCGAGCCCAACGTCTTCGATCACGGTGTGCAGACACGAGGCATATCGCACAATCAACATGACTTCCTCTATGACTGGCTCTAATGCACTCGATGCGACATGCATCATGTGTCCTCGTATGGGTCATCTTCTTTGCAAAGGTTGTGGAGATGCTCGGTACTGCTCAGGAGGTACGTCTAAAACACAAAAGTTGTAGCTGGTTGCCTGACTTGTTTCGAACAGAGTGCCAAACGCTCGATTGGTCAAAAGTCCACAAGACACTCTGCGCTACCTTCGCGGCCAATTCCGACAGAAACCGTCCTTCCAAAGATCATCGTCGAGCGCTGTTCTTCTCTGGTGGGAGCTCACCGCCTCGCTTCCAATGGGTCCGAGTGTATTCCTGCGTCGACAGCCGTGGTCCCAACGAGGACTTCTTCAGTCTGATGGAGTTCGGCACTAACGAGAAGGACTCGTGCTCTCAAGACTATAACGAGGTTCAAGGTCGCTCTCAAGCACGCGTAAAGGGCGAGGCTTTGCACTGGTTCAAGAAGATGAATCCCAAGGCCGAAGATACCTATAATGTTGGTCTGCGCAACTTCACCAGAAGCGGCGCATACTGGCAAGACTTCCGAGGCCCGATCTTCGTGCTGCGAGCTGCGACCAACGACCAACGTCAAGTACGCCATCTCGACATGACGATGCGTGATGCACGTGGTGCTGCCGACTGGCTTGGGCAAACCTACCGAGACGGGTATGACCAGAAACACCTCAGAAATGTCACAGTCCTCGGCACCATCGTTGCTGCGACAGGCTCAGTTCAGACAGGCGCCAAGAAGTGGCAAGACGTGGTTCTGAACGGCTGCGATGGAATCTGGAACAATTCGGGCTCTGGCATTGCGAACCTTTTGGGCATTCCCATCTTGGGCAGGGTCGACGCCTTGTGCTTCTCGGACGAGGCAAATGCCAAGATGCGCAACGATACAGCCGCCCTTCTCTTCCGTGATGTGGTGTCAGATTGCGTTTTGCCGCAGGCTCAATCCCCGCCCCCTTTCGCGGTATACAAGCGTCCAGACATCGACCGCGAGGGCATAGTCGTAGACGGACCTACGATTCGCCAGCTCACTGTTGGTGCAACGGGTTTCGGCTCGTCGCTGCTCAAATACAGCACCAATACCACAGGTGATGCTTACCTAGTCCGCGCTGACGGTAAGCCATTCCCATCGCAGCACGCCGAAGCACTCTGCGGATTCATCAAGGACAAGGTCGAGCCCAAGCTACAAGCCGCCATCTCGGATGCGAAGGAAGGCATGGCTGTTGCAGAACGGGAGAGCATACTGAAGTACATCTGTCGGGCCAATTTTGAGGAGTACTATGGCGAACTTCGCGAGGCAAAAATCAAAGACGGCGATGTCTCCTGGTCTGCTATTCCCAACCCCTACGAAATCAAGAGTAGCGACATGAGAGCCAGAGTTGGAGAGGTCTGGGCTGAGCAGAAAGCAAAGGGCTTTGAACAGAGTAGTGAGAAAATGGCGAGACAAGAGCGCGGCATGTTCACCCAGGCTGATTTCAAGGAGGCTTTCAAGAGCCTTGGAGGCACCCTATAATACGTCCGCGAAGTTGGGTGTCGTCAAGGAGCTAATTGCCACGAACAACGTGCAACAAGGTGCGTGCATAGACAACGAATACACTCGGGCGTTCGGTGATCGGTGCCGACTGGAAAGTCCTCATAGGAACCGACACATTTTTGGGTGAATTCAGCATAGAGGTGGTCGCATACAGGGGCGCGGTAGCAAGCAACGAGACTGGATACATACCTTGCCTACTCACTTTCAAGGCCACATGTCAATCGCAGCAGGAGCGGCTGCCCCATGCCGTAAGCTTGTCCCTCAACCGGAGTGTCAAGGACTCCATGACATCGACGAGCTTAGCCGGGTGCCTTAGATCAGACACCATGCCAACATTCTATCACAAAGAGTCCATGATCCGTGCATCGATGCCCTTACCACGAGTCCTGAAGCATGCATGTGATCCCAACGTCTGCACCTTGCACATGTCAGGCTTCGTTTCCCCTGTCGTTTCTCACTGTCTTCGGAATTGTGGTTCCATAGCGTGAGCTCAACGCTCAAAGCGCAAGCACAGGGATTCGTGGTGATTTGAAAGCCCGGTCTGAGGTGACGAACAACACTTCTAGATGAAGCCTCGATGCCATGGCGAGCAGCCCGAAAGACACGTGCAAATAACGTTTTTCCGATGTGCCGTGTGTACAGGATAGTGACCTTCTGGTGATCAGCGAACCATCGTCCTGCAATACGAAATACGATAACAACAGGAACGCCAAGCTTGGCTGGCGCGGGCCGTCTTCAGACTGTTGGAATGTTGAACTTGTTGGGACTTGTTCTTAGGCCTTCTTGTCACCCCAGTATTGGCAATATGCTGATATTACTTGCTTCTGATGCTCGTGGTGAACATACACAAGGACTGCAGTGCCTGTACGACAATCTTCGTATTCAGTGCCTTGCTCGTGCATCGAATCCAACCAAAAGGGCACCCAAGACTGCGGAAAATCAAGGGTGGAGTATCCGGAAATATGGGGTACCTGGGCCAGGGTCCAACGCACGCCGTTGGGCTTCTCGATCATTCCAGACCAATCAGCTGCGGTCGATGACTACCGCATGGATTTTGCCGATCGTCATCCCAACAAAACTTGAAGGAGTTTCACCCTTCCTTTACAGAACAGGGCGGATTGTTTTCGTCTGCCTGCGGCCTCTGGATCTGCGGGTCGAGGCCACCGGAAAAATGGACGCTGTTCATTCACGGTTGCCAATGAAAAAAGTATCCTCGGCTCCTGCCTGTAGCAAACGTGCCTGTAGCTAAAGACGCAATTGCCTCCCCACAATTCTGCCCAACAAGCCAAGCTACTATATGATACTCTTCTGCCACCTTCATTCCTGTTTCGCTTTCCTCTCTACGCACACCACACATCCTCCAACATGCCTTCTTCACAACCTACCGCAGGGCATCTGGCTGTCAAGCCTGAATATCTCTCATCCCAACCCTCGCCTATGGCTAAGGCATCAGAGCCAAACCGGTCGAAGTCCTACGACCCCAAGAAACCTCACATTACCGAGACGCCAATTACACGAGCGAACTGGTACAAGCACGTCAACTGGCTAAACGTCACACTCATCGTTGGTGTGCCCCTGTTTGGCTGCATCTCGGCCATCTGGACTCCTCTCCGCCTCAAGACTGCCATCTTTGCCGTCGTTTACTACTTCTTCACTGGTCTCGGCATCACTGCCGGCTACCACCGATTGTGGGCACACACAGCATATTCTGCCGGCCTACCACTACGGATATTCTTGGCCGCAGTTGGCGGCGGTGCTGTCGAGGGCTCAGTAAGATGGTGGGCACGTGATCACCGAGCACATCACAGATACACCGACACCGACAAGGACCCATACTCTGTCCGCAAGGGTCTTTTGTATTCGCACTTCGGCTGGATGCTTATGAAGCAGAACCCTAAGCGTATCGGCCGCACCGATATCTCAGATCTCAACGAGGATCCAGTCGTTGTCCTGCAACACCGTCACTACCTCAAGGTCGTCATTCTGATGGGCCTCATATTCCCGACTGTCGTTGCCGGTCTTGGCTGGGGTGACTGGTGGGGTGGATACATCTACGCTGGCATCCTCCGCATCTTCTTTGTGCAGCAGGCCACCTTCTGCGTCAACTCTCTGGCTCACTGGCTCGGTGACCAACCATTTGACGACCGCAACTCGCCACGTGACCACGTCATAACTGCCCTGGTCACTCTCGGTGAAGGCTACCACAACTTTCACCACGAATTTCCCTCCGACTACCGCAACGCAATTGAGTGGCACCAGTACGACCCCACAAAGTGGTTCATCTGGACCTGCAAGCAGCTTGGCCTCGCATACGACCTGAAGCAATTCAAGGCCAACGAGATTGAGAAGGGTCGTGTCCAACAACTGCAGAAGAAGCTCGACCAGAAGCGTGCCAAACTCGACTGGGGTGTTCCTCTCGACCAACTGCCAGTCATGGAGTGGGACGACTACGTTGACCAGGCCAAGAACGGTCGAGCTCTCATTGCTGTTGCTGGTGTCGTCCACGATGTCTCCAACTTCGTCAAGGACCACCCAGGCGGCAAGGCCATGATTAGCAGCGGCATCGGCAAGGACGCCACTGCCATGTTCAACGGTGGTGTCTACATGCACAGCAACGCCGCTCACAACCTTCTGTCAACGATGCGTGTGGGAGTCATCCGTGGCGGCTGTGAGGTCGAGATCTGGAAGCGCAGTCAAATGGCCGCCAAGGGCGAAATCTTGCAAAGCGCTGATGGCGAGCGCATTATTCGTGCCGGGTCGCAGCCGACCAAGATCGTGCAGAACAGTGAGAGCGCTGGCGCTGCTTGAGCGTCACCTGTTGAACGATGACTCGGACGAGGGAAAGGGAATGGTTAAGAGCATTTTGCTATGGCGTATGAATACTATGGAGCGACGACACGAGCATAGCGAGCGAGACACTGATTTCCGCAGGTGATTCTGTGCAATTGGGAACCGAAGGAGGACAAGCTGCTGGCAAGCAAGCTGGAGAAATACCCCCGATAAATTATTGACTGCTGCATGCGATAGCAGAAGAATGTTTGAATCCATTCTCTCAATCCATTTCATATCGCGTACCTGTCGTGACATGTGTACTAAGACTAGCTCGACCTTCACTGCCCGCTCCCGAGGTCTGGTGTTGAGAATGACTTCGGCTCCACGCAGTACTACGACGGGTCAAACCGCAACAATGGACTCGGATGGATAAAAAATGCTTGTCATGTTCGCTGGCTTTTGTGCCAGTCGAAACAATCGAGCTTTTCGTCTGCCTCTAAATCTATCTAAAGCCTACGGCTACTTTCCTTGCTCCTCGATCAGGCTGTCTCGCGCTATTCGCGTTCTGCTATGCTGCAGTGCCATGTGCGGGCATGGTACTTCGTTGCGACTGCTGAACGAGATCGGAGAGGGTCGGCAGTGATATTGTGTTTGCTGGATCGAAGCTCTGGACAGATACTCGGAGAGAGTTGCTTCCATGAGAGAGGAACTCGAGATCCAGGCCTCGTAGGACGCACTGTCGATAAGGGTGTCATGGAAGTTTCAATAGCTTCCAGTGGGGTCTGCGCCAGTCTTCCAAAGGTGCTGAGCCCAGACGCTCTGGACTTTGAAGGGAGATGGCTGGTCCGTAAGCATGGTGACAATCGTCCTGTTCACGTAGCAGCGGCCTCGTACGCGAGTCCGATTCGCTGTTCGGGACTCAATCTGAGCGTCTAGAACCCGGACGTCCACCCGTCTCTGGGCATGCTGGGGACTTGACGACGCTGGAGCTCTGCCTTATGATCACTCTTCAACTTCTCGATCTCGTCGCTGTAGTGCCGAGCCACTTTGTACAGCACAACATCTTGGGCCTCAATCGTGGACTTCAGGCGTACTTGCAGCCTCTGAAGCTTGACATGCAAGAGATCCGCATCTTCTTTGAACGAGTCGATCTGGGTCTCTGTTGGGTCGGTAGTATCGCCCCATGAAAGAGCTCCTGGTCGTAACGCGTACTCATCCTCAGCAGACTTCAACAAGCCAAATCACTTGACAACGACACGCGCACGTAGCTCAACGGCATTAGAGACGTCTTCGTAGATCTTGTCGAGAACATCCAGGTTGAACGACATAGCCTCGAGCTTCCAGCGCAACTGATGCAACCACCGGTCTCGCCATGGGTCTTGCGGGGCATCCTCATTGGTAGACTTGTCGAATACGAGATCGATTTGGTCAAGAATCTCTTCGGATGCGTCCTCAACGAGCTTGTCCATCAGTAAGAACTCAGCCAGCATCAGGAGCTTGATAAAGCCATCCAAGCCCTTTCCATCATCGTCGTCCATCTCGGCCCGCTTGACTCCCAATGTCGGCCACACTTGACTGATGTCATCTGTCATGTAGTAACCAGTGTACATGTACATCAGAGCCATTGCTACCACGTACGGTTCTTGCTCTTCGAGAGTCACGGAACTCATCTCTGCCTCCTGAGTAGCATTAGTGCTTTGCCCGGCTCGCTGTGTACTCTGCAGCTCACCTTGAATTTGCCGTCTATGCATCGCTGGAACCATTTGGACCAGCTGCTGACTATGACCTTGTGCACCTTAAACTTGAAGCCCCCACAGATGATCACAAAGTCGGCCCGTTTGGCATCCTTGAGTTGTACGAGACCCTCGGGTCTGTACTCAGGGTCGTCACAGACCATCTGATGTTCTCAGTAGAGGAGTGAGGATCTTTGAAGAATTCGTACTGTCCGTAGTAAGGCCCACACGTCTTGCGGTCGGGAGTTCTGCGCGATTTGAGAGGATGGGAATGTAAAGGATGGAAGGCCAAGATTAGAGGAGAGGGGATCTTAAGTAGGCAGAAGTCTGCTCATGTTGTCATCTACCGTTGTGACTGTCTGCGCTGTTCATTGAATGTTTGTCGTCAATGAGATCACTAATAATGAATTCGCCTTCACTTTCGTTTATTTCGGAGGGGGATTTGAGCGAGGCTGTAGCATCGTCGAAAAGGAAACGGCAAGACGAGCCCTCGACTGACCGGCTCCTTCGAAATCGTGTGAATAGCCTTTCTACTGTGTCAGATTAGCCCACGCAATTCCGTGCGAGTCGGGCTCAAGATATGTGCCTCCTGGCGACCACGGCAGCTCTCCAGTTCCATAAGGTGTCAGCGGTAAGTCATACGGCATCCGTAATCCTACAACAACGTCTGCGACTCCATTGAGAGTCCTTCCCTTGCCTTGATCTGGCATGTCCTTGCCGAACACCGGTGCCATCCTTACTGTCGCTCCGTTCTTCTCAGAGGCGTCTAACTCCACAGGCGGATTGTCATATAGCTCAGGCCAGACAAGCACTCCTATCTCGAAGCTCTGTATCTGAACAATCTCTGCCGCGCCAGGAGCTCCTTTTGGCTTACTCTTGGTGCCAGTCTCGGATTTAGGTAGTGATCCCCATGCTTGCGTTGACAGATTCGCACTCGTCGTCAACGCCCAGTCAATGCTCACTTCGTTCCGCTGGACCGCGTCCTTGGTTGGCTTGCGATCGAATTGAACGTATGTCTTTATGTGAGGAGCCGCACTTGCGCGATCAGCCGAGACTCCGTCTCTGGAAGCAGTCCACTGGCATAGATGTGGACGCAGTGACTCGATCTGCCTCAGATGAGTTGCTGAATGCGCTTTGGTATGTATGGAGCCGCCAGCGGCATAGCCATCAAGCGACTGAGCGACATTCGGAGCAGTAGGATAGATCAAAGACATGGTGTTGGAGGTCAGGCCCGTGGAAACTGGCGCGCCGGCTCTGAAAGCACTGTAGAGATTGGCGAGCCATCCGGCCGGCAGAGACGCGATCGACGATACTTGTGCAACAAGATGAGGAGGCGTCGTAGGACTTGACCTGTTCTTCTTGAGACCGTTGACATGTGTGATCACTTCTCGTAGTTGCGGATGACCCCACAAATGTAGGTCTTTCGTGCTCGCTAGGACCTTGCTGGCCAACTTGCATGGTACAGATGCCACCAAAGCTCCCCGGACGGTGCCGAAATCGTGCTGCTGAAGCTGTTTGACTAGACTCTGCGTCGGCCTCTTGTATGCTTTCAGGTACTCCAGCAGGTCATATTTGAACCTCTCCCCGCTGCCAATTGGCTCGAGACCTTCTGCTCTCAGAACGGCGTCACCAGTGGCTTGAGGCAGGGGACCTGACCTCCACACAGCCTGAGTCATATTCGTCCAGTCTTTCTCCAGCATGTTCGCAGTGTGGATGATGACTTCGGCAGTATCGTCGTGGCTGAACAAGACGAACATCTTGCTATGGTGCGTACCGAATGGATCAGGAAGATATGCGGTGGCAGCCTCCACATTCTTCCACCTTGTGCAGGCATCCTCGACACCCATTCTGTTGCCGTCTTCGCGTTTCCACGACCCATGTATGACTTTGACTCGTACCATGCTGCGTACATCGGCATCGAAGTGTTGCATCATCCAGTCTATGTCGAAACAGAAGTTGAAGATCCATGCTTCCTTGATGAGCGGACTTCCGAGTATTTCATGGAGGTCTACGGTATCGACGTTACTGCTTGCTGGCAGGTCGCGAATCTTCGTCAACTGGAACGGTGATGCCACTACTCTCTGCGGGGTGGCCGGTGCTGATCTATCGCTTGAGATGGGTTGAATTTGATTGAGCTGCTGGTTGCTGGAGTTCTTGACGTCGTCGACGAGATTCCCTGGGCCTACAGGTACAGGTGTTGTACGAGCTGAACGGGGAGGTGAGATGCCACGACTCATTGACGCGAGGAAAGAGGCTCGTTGCTGCCGGACCTTGGCCGGATCGGGAGTCAAGCCATCATCCAGCTTCTGTCGCTTAGCTGGCCTCGACATTTTCGTGGGCGCACTGCAGATGGAATTCCGAAACAGAAACGCTGGATGAGAAGGAGAACGCGAAGCCAGTGTCTCGGCGGCAGGCACGAGCGATCGGCTTAGTAACGCACCTACCTTCCCATACGCATAAAGGATCCGCATAGATCATTTCCGACTCATCTCACTGTCGCACGTCAAATTGGCAAGTGCATCTCATGAAGGAAGGCAGCTGCAGTGAAGACTCTCGAGATCGACGTCACTCAAAGAGCCCGCCAAGCACCGCTTTTGGCGCGTGACGCAGGCGACGCTTCTTTCTTGACCGCCCGTGTCGGCTCTTCCACATCCATACTAAAAAATATCATTGTATTCTATTGATGTCCGCGGCTGTGATGACTGCAAAGCGGAAGCGACACGATCACTGCTAGAGAGATCACGCACTACGCCTCTGCTCAAGGTAGGCTTGTACACGGGAGGAAGACATGACGGTACCCTCCGAGGAAAACAAATCATTCTATTCTTGGAGCTACCTATAGTTAACACGCGACTGCCGTGGAGGCTAAAGCCGCCAGTGCTTTCAGGCTTCGAGAGGTTGGCCCACAACGACGCAGTGACACGGCAGAGTGACTTACCTGGTCCTTACCATAGACTCGTGCCGACGCAGGCAGGTCCTGCGCTTGCCCGGGTGAAGCACTCCGCGACATGAATGCTCTCGTATAGCTTGGTAGACGACCTAGCCGCGGTGGCGACATCGGTGCATCGTCGAAGACTGGCGACTGCGGCGTGTAGTTGCTCACGAAAGGGGCAGGACTTACCTTTGTGGATAGGCCCGGCGTGGGAAATGCTTTTGGGTCAGCATTGAAGTTAAACGCCGCAGCATTGGCGTTCATCCTGGTGATCAGTGACGGCGTCATCGCTCGGATCGGCTGGGCGGCGGGCGTCGCCGGCAGTTCGCTGACAGGAGATGCTTTGTCGCCCACATTCTTAGGCGAGACAGGCTCACTAGCAACGACTGTGGTCGCGCTCGATGCATCAGAAGCGGCCTCACTCTCGGTAACCAGGGTCGAAGCACTCGAGATCTGGGACGAGTCAGAGCTCTGTGATCTTGCAGGTGCTGGTGGTTTAATGCCTCGCGACCACGCAGCTATCCTGTCTCGCTGACGTTGCTCCAAGGTGCGCAGATTACCAGCGTTGAGGATCTTCTTGACTGAGAAAGCTGACTCACGGGGCCTGGCACCAATCGTGTAAGGCAGACCTAGACGGGTAAGCTTTGACTTCACTGACGTCTCGCTCCGCTGCAGCATGCGCGAGATTTGCTTTGGATCGGAGCCATCTTGCCACAAGTTCGTTAGCATACGTACCTCCCGTCGTCCCCAGGGCCGGGCGGCCTTCCTACCAACAGTGGACATTGGAGGAGGTGTTCTTTCCACGCCGGTACCTACCGAAGGAGAACAATAGCTGGACATATCTGTCAGTTGAATAGGAGGTAGCTGAAGTTGTTGTGTGTTGAGCATAATACTTGTGTTGGTTGGTTGTGCCGTTGAACGCTTACAGTGTGCAGATGATGTATTGGCTGCTGGTGGCATATGTTGTAAGCGATCGGTGACGGCGGCGTTTGGTGACACTCGAGTCAATGTCACCCACAGGCCGGCATCTTGTATGCCCATAGGGGTCAGAACTGGTCAAAGCGCTCTGCTTGTGTCCAATCACGTTAGTGGAGTTCCCAGAGACAATGCCGTTGTTGCCACAAAGAGACATTGTACAAGCAACAGTGGCATTTTGTCGCTTGTTGTCTCACCTTGTTCCTCCACGAAGGCAGACAAAGACCAGAGCTTCCCAATACCGAGCTTTTCCAGAACGGGAGCTCGTACGCATCACGTATGTCTCTGGAAGCTGACATGCCAGACAGGAAGTCTGCCGATTGAGGAGAACACGTAGATTGGCACTCAAGTATGGTGGTATGTAGTCAACACGCCTGTACTCCAAAACGCCTTTTGATGCTGATACATCAGCCACCTATGTGGCTTCATCATGACCAGAAGTAGTGAAGTTCCTAGTACATTAAGCACTGATCGCCAGCTCTCGAACCGCTGCGATTGTGACGCCCTTCTCTTGCTGCTGCTGCTGCTCGCTGTCGATCCTGGGCGCATCCACTGCCGCTGGGGTTTCTTTGGGCTCGGCTGCGCTTTCGCGCTCTTTTCTTGCAGCAACAGTCTCGTCGTAGACCTCCTCGGCATGCTTCTCGGCATCGTGCTCGAAGATCCAATCTTGACGGGGAAAGTGGATGGCTGTAGGATCTTCCTTTACCTTCTCCCAGTCGGCTTTGTGCCACATGTCGCGGGTCGTTTCGCCAGTCTTCTGCACGGCCTTAACTCGTTCGTACCTAGTGCATTCTTGTTAGTGTCTGTCAAATTTCCAGAACGGCGTTGCTCGCAATGGCGAAGATCAGGATGGACTTACCGAATATCCTCATAAGCTCCCACGGCCTCTCTGATACCATCCTTCCCACTCCTCCTCAAGCAGACTGCGATGCTGACACCGTCCTCCATAGCCTGGGTCGCGCCTTGCGCGCTCGTCGGCAGGAAAGGATGTGCGCTGTCTCCTAGGAGGGCAATCCGCCTGCCCTTGGAGATCCAGGTCGGCAAGGGATCTCTGTAGACCAGCTTCCAGTCCACTATCCGCTCCTCGGGCGTCTTGCTGACAATCTTCTTGCACAGTGGGTCCCATCCCTCAAAGACCTTGTACACATCTTCGAGCTTGCCTGGGAAAGACCACGACTCGTCGATGTCCGCGTCGTCCTTGTGCGTCAAAACCCAACAGCAGTCGGTGCCATTCTTGATTGTCGAGAACAGGAAGTGGACATCAGGACCAATCCATCCATTGAAGGTGTCGCCATTCTCGCAAAAGCGCTTCGTTTCGGGATCAGCAAGCATGTCTTTGCCGTCGAACCACGCACGGAAAACGGCGTAGCCACTTGACTTTGGAGCATCTGTGTAACCGAGAACAAGTTCACGCGCCTTAGAGCGGACGCCATCACTGCCGATCACAATGTCAGCCGTGACTTTGCGGTCCTCTTCACCGTCAGCACCACCAAGAGTTATCCCCGCATGGTCCTCGTTCTCAAAGTACCCAGTGACGCGGCTTCCAAGATGAATTGGCACACCCAAGTCGTCCTTCACGTGGTTGAACAGGATTTCATGCAGCTCTCCGCGGTGGCCATTGAACATCGGAGCGCTCTCATCCCGTGGAGGACTGGCTTGGTTGCACATCAGTTCGCCGGTCCATTTGTGGATGTTGAAGCCATATTCCTGCAGATCGATGGATACTTTGCGCATTTCTTTGGCGATCGAGCCGTCGGATCCCCAGCGCGTGATAATACGACCAGCATTTGGGCCGAAGCTGATAATGTCTCCAAGGACTTTGAGAGCCGGGAAAGATTCGTAGACTGTCACATTGTGGCCCTGTTTATGGCATTCCACGGCAGCGGTAAGCCCTCCGAACCCTGAAGGTGATGTTAGCTTTGACATGTACTCCTCGGGCCGAAGGCATAACGTGTGGCAGAGAAGGGACTGCTGGATTGAAGCGGATTATTCACTTACCAGCACCGACAATAACGACATCAATGCCCGTAGCGCTTTCCTTGATGTGGTTGTCGCCGCCATGTCCCCTGTACGTGTGTCGAGAATCCCTGGTCACAGTTCCCGTATGCCGTGTCCAATTACACGATGGTTTCTGTGTGCTTCCGGCACGCGATCAGGAGGCGGATATGGTATCGAGGAAGTTGTCGTCGTCGGCTGCCGCTTGAGTACTGAATTTGACTTCTATGTGAAGAATGATGCTCTAGAAGTAGAGACAGTGACTTGTTTTTCGCACCGATCAAGCCGTCGAAGAGGTCGCTTCAAATACCACGTGAACGCGAAGAATGATTCGGCAAGAAGTGGCGGTTGGGATCCGCATCCACAGTCTGACTGTCGATCTTGCCATGCGCATTTGAGCATGTTCTCCATTTCTGGCACAATTGTTGTCCTGCTGAGATACATACCTGCCGATAGGCCAATAGACTTGTCCAGCCGTTGTCTGGACTCCAAGGCAGTCCCACAGCGCCGCTCACCCCAGCCAACGAAGGTTCACAAGAGGAGTGCTGTATAGTCGGAAGCAATGGGGAAATATGCCTTTGCGGGGCTCCAGGACTTTGAGTTCTGGCCCTGAAGTGGGTCGAGTCCTAAATGTACAGGGGTCTTCGGCGACATGAAGCCGACGCATTATTGCATTCACCAGGCAGGCGCTAAGCTGCAGAATCAAGGAATGCTTTTGGGGTGGTCGAGGGAGGCGTGGGCACGGCCGACAGAGGCCCGCCTGCGAGGTTCATGTCTAGGATAAGGGAAGTCAATTTCCATCATCTGAGCACAACGTGGGGAGGTACATCGAAAGGCCAGACTCCAAAGAAATTTCAAGTTGAGCTCGAATACTTCGATCATGCCAAGCATCCGCCAGTGAACCAAGGCCTATCACTGATCATCGTACGTTTGACTGAATAACCTATCCAGGAGGAGATTGGGCAGTGGTCTCAACGCAAGACCGTCTCGCGTCAAAGAGCTTGCATACAATCCAATTGCCTGGGTAGAAAGGCAGGGCCCAGGTCGCGGTTGAGAAGCACGATACTGGGACTGCTTGCCAATTTTGATCCCTACCATGGCCAACTTCCCAACTTGGACATCCACATCAACTGGCAGCGATGTGGCAGCCACGTTCTCGTCCCGAATCCAGGGCAAGACCGTCCTCATCGTCGGTGTGTCACCCAACTCTCTCGGCGAAGCAACAGCGGCCGCATATGCAGCACATTCTCCAGCATTATTGATTCTGGCTTCTCGATCGCTGTCAAATGCGAAGGCCGTAGCAGAAAGCATATCCACCCACTGCAAAGTTGAATGCGTCCCAGTCGACCTCTCAGACTATGCTTCTGTGCGAGACGCGGCTTCCCAGATCCGATCTCTCACCTCACATATCGACATATTGATCAACAACGCGGCTGTAGTCAAAGACGAACACACCCTATCGCCCACAGCGCAGCATGAACTTCAGTTGGCGACCACCTTCCTTGGGCCTTTCCTCCTCACCAACCTCATTATGCCTCTACTACTCAACTCCGCCCAGACAAACGCTTCAGAATCAGGTATACCCACTCGCATAGTCAACGTCACCTCCGCAGGACACGTCCTCTCACCTGTCCGCTTTTCAGATCCACACTTCCATCGTCCGCTCTCCGACCTCCCCGAGTCTGAGCAGCCTGCAGCGCACCTGCCAGCATCTCTGCTTCCAGGCGAAGGCAAGACGTATGCACCATTTCTTGCGTACGGACAGTCGAAGACGGCGAACATACTCTTCAGCATTGCCCTGAACAAGCGGCTTCTTGAGAAAGGAACAAGAATAGCTAGTCTAGCTGTGCATCCGGGCAGTGTACAGACAAACCTCTCGAGGAGTCTAGGCCCGGAGAGCCGGGCAATGGTGGAAGGGACCACCAAGGCTACCGGCTGGATGGATATGGGGCAAGGCAGTGTTGGAATGCTCGTCGCTGGATTGGATCCAAGACTTGTAGAGGAAGTCGAGGCAGGGAAGCCAAAGTTGAGTGATGGCGGTAAAGGGGTATACCTGAACGGATGGAGAGTTCATACCGAAGGTCTTGCGAAGCATGCGGCTGATGAAGACGCCGCTGAGAGATTATGGGCATTAGCAGGACGGGAGACCGGCGTGAAGTGCGACGGCCTTGGTAGCGTAGTGGACATCATTGACTCCCAAGGCCAAAATGAGGAAGTGGTAGGGAAGGAATCGGGTCTGGTGAGCACCGTGAAGGAGATCAAGATATGAGACCAAGATATGAGACCAAGATATGAGACCAAGATATGAGACCAAGATATGAGACCACGGTGTGTTTCCGAGCCCATAGTCTCTGGCAGATAGCCGTTACATGGATTGAAGTCACTTGCCAGCCTAATTTCCTGCATAGCCAACAAGCATGCAGCAGACGTGTCAGAAATAGCTCGTTTGCGCAGATGATGCTGTTGATGACGAAGAAGACGGAGGTTGGAAGGACTTATGTGTCGCAAAATTTCCATTTCAGATACAATTTGTCTTGTATATCTCCCCTGTTGTTGTTGCGTTCATACACAGCTCTAGCGAAGACGCTTGTGCCGCATGGCGCGAGCACTTTCTCCCAGCCTTGTTGCTCACTGATATCTTTCGTACCTCTTCCACAGTCGCATTTCAACACCCTGCACGTTGCTTCAAGCATCGGCTGAATGCGAGTGCACATGGAGTCTTCCGACTCACACCTGCTCCAGGCTCCTCCTGCCGCCATGGTGATGATCGTGATGTACAACATCCTCGACCATCTCAACAGAGGCATCGGCGATCGGCTTGCCGATAGCGCCGCCCTCGATTGTGTTTGCAGTTGCAGGAAGCGGCTTCTCCTGGATGCTGCTGCTTGGGGTCGAAGTGCGATAGCCGGCCCACTTCCTCGCGGGGACACCTGCCTCGAAGAGCTCGTTGATCTCCTCGAGTGTGCGGTCCTTGGTTTCAGGAATGAAGAAGAAGACGAAGGCAGCCGCCAGAAGACAGCTAGGGAACCAGATGTAACCGTACTGTAGAGGACGTTAGCAGTCGTCCAACCGAAGACGGGGGAAAGAGACATACCTGTGGGCCCCAATTGAGACTGGCAGGGTTGATAAAGTAAGGCGCCGTGAACGCCGCAAGCCAGGCACCCAAGAAGCCGACACCAGCAGCGGCACCGAAGGTGTAGGATCGGAGACTCTGGCGTGGAAGCTCGCCACCCACGACCCAGGCAAAGCTGGACATGCCTCCGTTGTAAGCCACAATGTAGATGATCGAAAAAGCCACGATAAGTTTGCCGGTCATCTCTGGGTTGTTCTTGTCCCGCTTCGTGTAGACAACAGCCACAATCAATTGTGTAATGCCGCAGATGATCAAACTGGTGGTCAAGAAACGGCGACGACGTCCAAATCTTGGCATAATTGCCACACAGAACAAGATGGCGGCAACACCGACACCGCTGAGGATGCACGAGTTCTCGAAAGCATTGCCCACACCAGCCATCTCAAAGAAATATGTGCCGTACGCGATCATGAAGAAGGCACCGGAAGCAGCTTGAGTAGTGACTGCTCCGACGGCAAGCATGGTGCGCTTGCGGTCGAGAGGTCGGCGAACCAGGTCGAGCCAGCCAGTCGACTCGCTCATTTCTTTGTCCAGACGGGCTGCTTCTTCGATCGAGAGGATCTCAGCCTCGATGTTGCTGCCAGTTGGTCGGAGCCAGACAAGTCCCTTCCTTGCTTGCTCGAACTTGCCCTTGCTGACGAGATATCGTGGTGATTCTGGGATGAAGAAGAGGCAGACGAAGATGATCGCAGGGACAGCATAGATGACTGATAGCGGCACGCGGTAGCACTGCTTGTCCTGCATCTTGGCCGTGAAGTTGTCGACAACGGTACCAACGAGAGCTCCAAGACTGGTGAAGACGTTGAAGGAAGCAATGCTGGCGCCTCGATAGCGAGCGGGGATGACCTCTTGGATGTAGAGCTGGCCGAATGTCATGAAGAAGCCGTTAGAGATACCGATGAGAGTCCTTCCTACATACAGTGCACCGATTGAGGTAGTGCCCTGCATGATTGCATTGGACGCGCAGCACAGAACACATGCAATCCAGACACAAGGCTTTCGTCCCAGGTACACACTCATGGGTCCGGCGCCGAGAGATCCAGCAAATGCTCCGATCGTCATGAGTGATGAGATCAGCTGCTGAACCACAGTGGTCAAGTTCCATCCCAGTGGGTTCATAGGATTTGGATCACGATAGCCGTAGACTTCCAAGAAGCATGGCATTGCTTGGAAACCACCGATGAGACCAAAGTCAAGTCCTGTGATGATGTTAGTGCTGTTTACATGGCACAGGTGAGCGGCACCAACCATATTGCAGTGGCGAGAGGCAGAGCAGGAAGCAAGCGAGGAGGCATCGCCAGTGTGCTTTGAGGCTTTGGTCGGCCATGTTGTTGTTCCTGTTGTGTTGGTTCTGAATTTTGTGAGGACTTGGGAGAGAGGCAGAGCTAGCACAGACAAGTGGCAATAACTTATACATATGCGAGGACTCCTTGTGAGAGCCGGCAATGCTCGTGGTGGATCACTGCCGCGTCGAGCGCTGTGGAACATGCAAGCTCTCCCCAGACCAAAGATTAAGGTCAGGTGCCCACAGGGGAGTCTCAGTGAGGTGTCTCCATCTGGGGAAGTCGCTAGGCCAATTGTGTGGGGTAAATTGGCAAAAGTGTTCCAGGGTCAATGCATCGCAAGCATACTGCCGGTCCAGGCTGCGGGCATTTGGGGGCTATTCCCGTGCTAACATCAATGCTTCCGAGCATGGATTGACCACTAGGAGACAGCGGCGAAGGCCTAGCCCCGGGCATTCTTTTAGGGCCATTGCTGAAGGCGTCGCAAATCGCGTATGAAGGCGATGCTTGAAAGCTTGAGCACCAAAAGTCTGTACAGAGACGCGCCAGCACCGATGAATGGCAGGAAAATGAAGCCTTTGCCCCACGCGATAAGCGAGCAGAAGACTGGTTGAAACTAAGTACACTGTCCCAGCTCATGTCCCGATGCATCTGTGAGAAGCGTTATGGCAAAGTTTCTGGCGGTCAGCTGCCTGCGCGAGCTCACTGCCAATGCTCATCAGTAAGATGCGAGTTGCTGGCGGTGTCAATCATGGCGTGCTTGCTCCGTAGAGCGTGCCACACAATAATCGTTGTTAATTTCCAGCAGACCGGATGATAGCCAGAGAGGCGCGAACAATTATCGCCCAAGGCTGTCCCTGAATCTTGACATGAGCGAGCGTTGTCTAAGTGATTCAACTCCCAGGAGGCGCCCAAATCAAGACTCATAGCGATCCTGGAATTCGTCAAAACGGCTGTTGGCCTAGCCGTCAAAGATTTCGAGATCAACAAAGTCTCACACCGGATCGATGCTGGCTCGAACATGGCAATTCAGAATCTGATGCATAGCGTTCCAGCACCAATCCAGATCAGAGAGCGTAAAGCATGAGCGGTAGAGGCTTTCCTAGTCAGATCTCGACCGGACTGTGGGACATGCTCTGCTGCCATGTGTCGTGCAGTGATCACTGCATCTCCGATCGGAATGACAGAACCGAGTAGGAGTGCTATTCCCAGACATCGCTTTATGGCTTGTGCTGCCACGGGCGAGGGTTCTGAATGATAGAGTGTAGCGAGGGCGATGAGAATGGCGCCAAAACCAACGTTGCGAATGCCATGGGCATAGATCAGAGTTCGCGACCACTCTTCAGAAGAAGCTTTTGCCACTGAGGAGGAGGCATTCTTGTCGTTCTGGGCTAGGGAGTCATGAGCGCCATAGACCCTTCCCGCTGCTGCGAGTCTGATTAGCGTTGGCTCGGGAAATAGCCATATAGTAGAAGACGACGTGGGAAGCTTTGCAAAAATAATTCTTGTCCACCTCAGCCATATGCTCTGGCAGTGCTCATCGTAGATCTCGCTATCGGGTACAAGCTTAGCGGAAAGAGTGAGACTTGCCCAGGGGTGATCTGAAGGAGTACAGCCCCACGAACAGCGAACCGCTGCCGACGAGACCACCCAGGTAGGGGCCGCGGGGTCCGAGGAAGTCCATGGTATGAAGAGCGCAGAGTTGGTCATACGCAGCCCCAGTAGAAGTGCCTGGCTGTCGCCCCTGAAGACGTCTTTGTAGGCGCAAGTTTGCTTGGTGAGATGGCCTCACTTGATTGCAGGGTTGTGACACCGAGGCACCTTCTGTCCACTCGCCTTCCGACAACAGGAGCGCCGGCTGCCTTGCTTTGCGATGACAGATGGCGCAAGTCCTCCTTCCGTGGATGTTCCGTGGACGGCTTCCTCTTTCGCTCGTGTCGCTGCCTGCAGTGATGATGATTCCTGAGCACCTGCAGATCTCGGGGTGAAACGTCATTGGTGCAACGCCAAGCCCTCCTCGCAAAAGGATACGAGACCTGCTTTGCCGGGCAAATATTGCGAGCCTCAAAGACCCAAGGCCTCCTACTGTACATCTAGACCACTGTCAGATCTTCTCTACCATCAATTCCTCCGTGCACTACCATCGCCCAGCTTGGGGCCGACGCAGCCTGTACGAAACTGAGCTTTACACAACGACTGTGTCTGGTAAGTTTGACAAGTACACGCCAAGCACATTCCGTGGAAGAACAGCACTATGAGCGAGCCATCGTCGAAGCGGCAGAAGACAGAGCCGCCCGAGATAACTCTCGTGTACTGGCCGGGAATGCCTGGGCGAGGAGAGCACGTCCGCCTAGCATTCGAAGCGGCCGGAGTAGAGTACGGCGATACTGCACTTCAGAAGGACTGCGTCGATAAAGTGCTGGCCCACATTTCCGACAAGAATATCGGCGACGATTTCAGTCCTCCGCCTTTCGCACCACCTATACTTCGCCACGGAGACCTGACCATCTCCCAGGTGCCGAATATCCTGTTGTATCTCGGACCGAAGCTTGGTTTGGTCCCTGAAAACGACCCCAATGGTGTCTACTATGTCAATGGTCTGGCCTTGACTGCTCTAGACGGCCTGTCGAACGAAGCACACGACGTTCACCACCCAGTGGCGACGACATTATACTACGAGGATCAGAAGGACGAAGCGTTGCGGAAAGCCGAAGACTATCGCAACAACCGGCTACCGAAGTTCTTGGGCTATTTTGAGCGGGTGCTTTCGTCCGAGCCTAGCAAGGGAGGAGAGTATTTGTACGCAGGCCAGTTGACGTATGCGGATCTCGTCTTGTTTCAATGTCTGGACGGTGTAACGTTCGCCTTTCCAAACTACATCAAAAAGGTGCGCGACAGTGACAAGTACCCCAAGGTCTGGGCACTGTACGAACGGGTGAAGGGACATGAAAGAATCAAAAACTATCTAGCTTCTGAAAGGCGGCAGGAGTACTCGTTGTGCATTTGGAGGAACTATCCAGAGCTAGACGAGCAGCCATAATCAGATTTCTTCACTCGAGAGTGATGTTGCTTCAACAATGTAACCGTTTTACTTTTTATTCTCGCGGCATATAGCTCGCTCAGGGGTGCTCTGCTATATTTCAGCCATATCGCTGCTACACCTGTAGGATCATCATATCCGACTTTGACGGAAACCGGAGCAACTCCTATATGCTTGAACGCGCACATGTGCCTATGGCTCATTCTTAGCCGCAGCATGAGCCGCCAAAACCTCGCCGTCCAGTGGATCATGCTGCAAGACTGTGGGGGCTTTCGCATATAAGCCTCGAGTGAGAGATCCATGGCCCCCGCTTGTACCAAGGCTGAGCTCAGATCGTCCAACAAATCATCGCCGTCCTCAATCCCGACACACAGACGTATCAGGTCCTCAGGAACGCCTCGCTCCTGCCGAGTCTTAGCGTCGATTGACGCATGGCTCATGCGGCAGGGCATGCTAATGAGCGAATTGACACAACCGAAACTGACACTGATAGCGAACAACTTCGCGGACTCGACAATACGCTCGGACAGATGGATATCACCAGTCTCGAAAGAAAGAACCGCACCAGCACCACGAGCCATAGTGTTGAAGAGGTCGTATTGCGGATGAGACTTGAGTCCAGGATAGCGGACTTTGAAGCCTACAGACTCCAAGAACTCGGCCAGTCGTTGAGCATTCGCTTGTTGCGCGTCCATGCGGACTTTAAGGGTCTTAATGCCGCGCATAAGCAGCCAGCAGTCGAATGGAGCAAGGCCGCAACCTGTGGAGTTAATAACGAAGTAGTACTTGTCAGCCAGAGCTTCATCCTTGACCGCCAGGACACCGGCCATGAGGTCATGGTGCCCAGAGAGATACTTGGTTCCGGATTCGTACACAACGTCGGCGCCGAGTTCGAGTGGATTGAGCAGGAGAGGTGAGAGCATGGTGTTGTCTACGCTGACTACACAGCTGGGATTCGCTTCGTGAGCCATGGCTGCGATCGTGGCGATATCAACGACCTTGATCAATGGATTTGTAGGTGTTTCTAGCAGCACAAGCGCCGTCTTAGAGGTAAGGACCTCTTTGACCTTTTCTGGTGTAGTTGTATCAACGTGGTGAACAATAATCTCGCCATGCGTCGACAGGTACTTCAAGAGTCGATGCGAGCCGCCGTACAAGTCGTCGCCCGTCACAACTTCGTCTCCGGGTTTCAGAGATCTTGTGATCACATCTAAGGCGCCCATTCCGGACGACACTACCAAGGCTCTTTTTGCACGCATGATTTTCGCCAGGTGCTTCTCCAAGTGCGTTCTGGTAGGGTTGCCACTGCGGGTATAATCGTAGTCAGAAGCGCCGCCAGTTGCCGACGTCTGCTTGAATGTTGCCGATTGATATATGGGCACGCTACTCGCGTTGTACTGGTCGTTTCCTTCGGAATACACCAGCTGGGTGGCAATCGAATACTGTCGTCCATTACGTGGGCTCGATGGGGCGGGCGAAGGGGGCAGGTCGTGGCCGTCCAGGTCGACCTGAGAGAAGGCTTTGCTCATGGCTGAGACTTTGGGATTGGAGACGGGCGGTGTAGAAGAGCTCGGTTCAGACATAGCGGCAGAATGGAGGTGGAGGGGGGACGAGCTCAACGACTTGAAGGGATGAGATCAGGACGTTCAAGGACATATGAGGCAGCAGTGTTGAACGGCTGCGAGGTCGTTACTCGATGTTTGGTAGTCAGGTACAAACGCACGAGCAGTTCGACAGGACTTTGAGGTTTGACGGCAACCAATCCGGGGAGTCATGTTCCAGAGCAGTCAAAGAGTCCGAGGAAACATTGACCCGGCAGAGACTGTTCCAGCCGATGACGTGACAGCGAAATCGGAAGCGAGCACGTGACCAGAATCTGACGAGGCTTGCCAGCGCGACTGACGAGGCTGAGCATATTTCAGTTGTTCTTGTCGCCTTCGCCGGGGACCAGGTCGGAGAAATGCGCTGAAGTACCATCATTGAAGACTGTGAAGACGATCCGCAGCGTGCCTACTACTCACTTGCCAGCGGCTCGAACACTGGCAAATATATATAGTCATATCAGTATGACACCTCACGATATTTTTAGCGCTTCTGTGACTACAAATCATGGGCACATCTGAATAGTCAGGCCGCCCTCCGAGGCCTGACTTCTGATACTCAACAGCGTTTGCACCCACTGTGTCCGCCTTTGCGGACAGCAAATGATTGCTATTCCAGACAGACGATTCTCAGTCAGCGAGGTGTACCTTGATGAAAAGATCATTGAGGTGATGGCTGTGCACAGCAGCACAAAAAGGCACAAGACATCGTTGCCACTGATGTCGACGCTGCGCGAAAATGTTATCGTCTGGGTCTAGTCCTGCAACAAGCGGGAGTGTCTAGTGTTTCGGCATCAATGATGCTGTTGAGTTGGAGTCTCTAGGGACTCCCTGCTTGTCTCAGCAGGTCCGAAAGCATGTCCCCTCCCTTCCTAGATCAGGGAGCACATCGCTGAAAACAACAACTCATCTGTCACATACTCAAGCCTGAGCATCGTTGTATAAGTGCACGCAACATCAGCTGCATCGGTGGTCTTGAATAGTGTCTCCGACCACAATGTGAAATTGCTCTGATCCTGTGGTGGGACAGCGCGACAACCGGACTCAACGCTCATGGGGCGCTGTTCTCCCACATGGAAATAGCCTGGTACGCGTATGAAAAATTCCAGCGCCGATCCCTGTTGAAACGAATCTTGACCACGACATTTGGTCTAGATTATATGCTGTCAGGGGCTCGCCCACCATGTCCAAGCATGCCTTTTGTGTTTTGAATGATACAACAGCAGCCGCTAGCAGGCAAATTGGCCCTTACCGGTATCCACTATCGTGACATTGTGGCGCCACAAACCAGTCTTTGCGAATCCGAGCAGAGAATGGCGGCTCGGCTAAACCATGTGCGGTATGGCTTTCAATCTTTTGGCGATCCGCTATTCAGGCCCCGTCCAATCCTAGTGAGAGCCAAAACACGCTGTTCCTGTTCCTGGCGCCTTGGGACGTTCTAGCGAGAGAGACGACTGCGCCCTCATTTCCTCCAGTCCCCAATCCAGAGGGCAGAAGCCTTGCTGCTGGTTAGCGATCCACCATCCAGCAACCTCGCCTGCGATGTTTTCTGGCTTCCTTTCTTTCTTGACTTGCTAACACGATTCTCACGACTTTCCCTCCACGCTGAGGCTTCATGCTTCGTCAACGTCGCCGTGGTCGCCATTCTTTCCGTCGCGACCGATAACTGCCCGACCGACCCCTTTCTTGCATCAAGTCGTCCAGCACGAGCACCCGACGACCCAGCGTCACCTCGCGACTGCACCACGATCCAGCAGCTCGCCCACACTCGTTCATCACCATTCAATTCGTCTTCCCACAAACCGACGCTGAAAGCGACTGCGAAGTCTTCGAGCAAACCCCTTGCGTGGCAACGTCGAGACTGCAGACCTTGCATCGCCCTCGCCTTTGTCTCCGTTGTGCCCGTGGGCTGGCCCAGCAGAACGACACATACAATTTTGGGAACTTCTTTGTTACAGTCGCGGCCGCGAATAGGCCGCTGATTTGAGAACAAAGCGACAACTCGAAGTCGCCCGTTGGGACTGTCTCGTCAAGCAGTAACAGCATCTCTCTTCGTCTCTGGTTGAAACAACGACAACGTTCGGGGATCTCCTACCCCAGCCGCTCTTTTGCACATAAGAAGATCTGCAACAGATCTACGTACACTCGTTTTCGAATTTCCGGTAGGTCTCGCGAATCGACGACCCGAGGACGTCAGTTGACATCGCTGAGCAGTTCTTTCAATATGAAAATCACCTTTCTCGCACTGTCGGCGGCTTGTGCTGCAATCTCGCTTGCCGAAGCGGTGCCAGCACCACGACCTCACGAGGATGGACCAAAATATTATTACCCGCGGGTAGTGAAGCGTCAGACAGAAACGAATAATACATCACCTGAAGGAACGCCTGTAGGGTCAGCAACCTCGATCGATGAATCAGATTCATCAACTCAGTCTAATAACGGTGGGCTCGGAGATACGTTGGCTACCATCATCAGCTCGATCACGGACGGCCTTGGAAATGCAGCACCGACAAGTACGGGGGGGACTACTGTGGGAATAGACACCGTCATCTCAGACACAGGGAGTCCCGCCAACACTGCACCAACACCAACTACCACGCCTGATGACACCAAACCTCCAACAACCACAGCTGATGATTCGGCGCCGGTGACGACCTCGCAGCAAGGCCTGGGTGATGCTCTTTCGTCAGCCGTAGATCAGTTGACCTCTAGCCTCGCGAGCGTTTTCGAACCATCAGACACGGCCACTCCACCGTCGCCGACGCCAAGTCCTACGACTCCTACAGATGACACTGCTCAGCAGCCGACGACGCAGCCACAGCCAACTTCAAGCGGCGGCCTCATCGACTCGCTGACCAGTGCACTCAATCCGCCGGTGCCAACACCAACTACCACACAGGGGGATGACGTGGGCACCACTGATCCCCCTCCACCTCCACCGACCACAACGGGCGGTTTCGAGACCACGACGCCTGACCCACCAACGTCTCTGCCGACCACTGGTCCCACCAATCCGCCACCGCCGCCGACAAGCACGCCAGACACGAACGATCAACCAACTTCAACGCCATCAGTGACTGACAAACCAACGGATCAGCCAACGGATCAACCAACAACACAGCCGCAACCCACGACTGATGCCCCACCACCACCTGCCGCTAACGTCACAACCCCAGAGCCACCAACCGTGACACCAACTGATCTGCCGACTACCCTGCCTCCATCTAGCAAGGAGCCACCGCAGAGTATATTGCCGACGGGGACTGACAACGCTACTGCCGTCGTTCCACCCTCCCTGATTGAGACTGCGGCACCTCCCACAAGCACAACCGAGACGAAGACCGTGCCGACCACGCAGGCAACGACGCTGCCCTCGGACGTTCCCAGAGTGATCACGCCGGAAGGAGGCATACCCGTTGCGCCTGAAAATTCAACACTGATCCAAATCGGATTCAAGGAAGGACTCCACTACGAGTTTGTCGTCGGGTCTCAGTTGGCCGTCTCTCAGATCTTCACCTTCAGCCCCATTGGCATAGCAGACGGCCTCGGTATAGCCGAGAACAAAGTGGTCATGCAGTATTTGCAGCCCTACAATACGCTGGCCAAGCTTCACTACGTGACCACCTTGGCCATGGGCTATGTGCCATCGGATGAAATCGACAAACTGTCAATGGAGATCCTCAATGCCAATTCTGCACTGTACGACAACCCAAACAAATCTGTCAAGACTTTGATGAACATGATCGACCCTTCGATACCACTCCTGGCTGGGCAAGGCTTGACACCAGGTGGTACGCCCGTGGACACCAACAACAACGATCAAAATGCCAACTCCAATGAAGGCGATGCTCCCGGCGGAGACGGCGGAGGCTCCGGTGTCAAGCCATCCTCTGTCGGTATTGCTGTTGGTGCTGTCGCTGGCGCCGCAGTCTATGGTGCTGCGATGTTCCTCGTTGCACGCAGGTACAAAAAGCGCAAGGCTGCTCATCAAAGGGCCAGCAGTGTGCAGACTGATGAAACACCACGAGCAGGCGAGGGCACCAACCTCATGGCCGGTGCTCGCAACAGCTATGGCAGCCGTGCGCCCGGCCGCATGAACAGCAACAACGGTGGACGAGGTTCAAGAAACAGCGATCGCAGCGATGAGTCTGGCCGCAGCGGGCGGACATACATAAGCCCGCCTGTGATGGCCGAGAATAGCTTGGGCTGGAACTGAAGAGTCCCGACGTCTGTTTCTCGTGCGTCAGCGTGGTTTGCTGCGTTTTGCTGGATACCCCTCCGTCTCGCCTCTCACGGGACAAATTTTCATTACTATTCTACTCGGAGATATTGACGACGGCTTGGAGAAAAGGAGAGACTTTTGAATCTCTCCCTATGTGTGTGTGTGTGTATTTAGACGAGCGGAAGGGACGGTTGGGTCATAAAGCGAATGCTATCAGGATAAGACTTGGTCATCTACTGCGGGCTTGGAAGACGGAAAGGGCATGATGCCGACGCCGTCGATCCAGGGACAGTGCTCTCCTTGGATACCACAGAAAATTTCGCCCCAGACAGATCCAGACCATAGGTTTTTAATGTACAAAGACTTCAAACTCACATCGCGTCTCGGTATTTCTTGATGCACTCACCTTACTAGACAATCGTCTTGCCACTACTGTATCGTCTCTATACATATGGCTGTATATACCTTGGCCCAAACCTCTGCAACGCTTTATAGTCCAGCCAGATCGCCATCTCGGCGGCTTCATCACAGGCGAGCTTGGCTGCATCTCGTTCCCATTTCCTCACGGCCTCTTCCTCCCGCTTTGCAGCTCTGTCAGCCGACGCGGATACCAAGCGCCGCACTTCTTCGTCGCTGATTGATGTGAGCCTTTCGAAAGGCACTTCGTACCTCTCCTGAGCAACATTTTGCCGTGGCTTGTACCAATATGCTCCGGATATGATTGCAGCTTCTTGACCGGTTTTGTGGCCGTCTGGCTGTGTGATATCGACAGCGAACTGCGCCCATTTCTTCATACACGTCTTCCCGGAAGGTGAGGTAGGGAAGAGCATTGCGAAGCAGTGTGGCATGCCTCCCAGCCCAGGAATTGTACCTTTGTCCCAGACCGCGATATCGTCCGCGCTAAAGCAGCACCAGAATCGACCAGCATCTCCTCTCCGACACACATCCATACGGGAGGCGAGCCTTTCCAGTGTTCATCTTTGGACATCACGGGTGATACAAGCGGGTGTGCGAGCAGGCGAGCCACGGGGGCGTACAGATCTGCACGAGGAGGAGATGTCGGCCAGTGCTCGTCTGGTGGAGGTTGGAAGTTTGCTTCCGGAGGCGCCAGATTGGTCGTGTCGGCTGTAGTAGAAGTAGGCGCTGGTGGGGTGAAAAGGTAGTCGTAGTGCGCATTTGCGGTGACAGAAGGTAGGGCATGTGTTACGTCGACGTATGGTGAATTGAGAGCGATCCCGGCAGGGAGGATTGACGAGTCCACTTTTACTGAATGACCATCAAGTTGGAGCTTTGGGGTAGCGTTCGTCGAAGCTGTGCGTTGAAACTGTAACAGCAGTAGCAGCAGAGATGTTGACAGACCAGCTCCTGCCGAGTCGCCTGCGAAGACGATATGCTGGGGTTTGACTGGTTCGTGGAAAGCACCCGGTGGTGGCACAATCAGGTACAGATACGCCTGCAGTGCATCGAGAAGGGCACATGGAAACGGATGCTGCGGCGCAAGCCGGTAGCGGACGCTGAGCACACGACCGCCAGTCGATTTCGCAAGGGCACGCGTAGTCAGACGATGAGATGCGGGCTGTTGAAAGGTCGCTCCTGTCAGTGCATAGCTCGGCAGGCATGACGCAACTCGAATTGGGCTTGCGGAGGTGGAAAGCACGACTCACATCCATGGTAAAATAGCCCCCGCCGTGAAAATACAGGATCGTTGTCTCTCCTGGCGATTCCTTCACCAGATTCTCGTAATGTTCGCGCTCCTCAAAGTCTGGCCTTGGGGCGTCTTTAGCCACATTTCCTCGAGGGCCGGTCCATTCCGCTCCAATGGCAGCTGCCTTCAGGTCTGGTAGCCCAGTTTCTGCCAGGCCCAGTCCGCTCTCATCTAGGTCCTTGACAGCGCCCAGCACAAGATCAGCCAAGTCGCCACCTGGTGGAGCAGGTATCGTGACTTTCGAGATCCATATGCCGCCCTTGATTCCCTGGTCGCGGTTGCCGAAAGCTTGTATCCGGCCGATGGGAGTCGGGATGGCGACGAGGGTACGAATGATAGCAACTAGGAGCTCCGTACGTAGAGTTTGCTTGGCAACATTTTCTGATAGACGCAAGAGGTGGTAGAGTGCCGTTTTGACGGTCACCGGGAAGACCTGCAGGAACAGGCGAACCGCCGTTGATGGGGACATGTCCATGGCAGCCTCTGACCTCGATGTGAGAAAATCAGTAGATGATGTCGAATAACATCGGTGTGAACTGTGATGGTGTTTGGGCGATAACACAGCTCGCTCAAAGGTTGTCGTTAAAGCCTCCTGAATAACGCAGACCTAGAGCAGGCCCCAATCGTAACGTAGAATCCCACAGCCTCGCCAATTAGGTATGTAGAGCTCGCACTTTCACGTTGCGTCTTCCTTGTCCGGAGATTTCGTCCGCGATGGAATCATTATTGGGCCATCTTTGGAGGTCCACTTGCATCGGGGAACAGTGACTCCCGGCATAGTCATCCAGGAAAATGTGACCGGCGCCTTGATAATCGATGATCGTATTTGGGCGATGGAAGGATGAGCAAGCACATGGTCTTTGCACCACCGTTGCTGAACCGAGGCTCATTAGTCTCGACGAGGTACTGGCCAGGGATCGTACTGGCCATGGCGCGGGCGGCTGTGAATTTCGGCGCTCACCCCTGTCGATCTGGGCATGAATTATAGAGCGGGCAGGGCATTGGCCCCTACCGTCGTCATTTCGCATACCGGTTAAGCCCTAAACATTAGCTAAAGACTCAGGTATTGGCCTACCGACCTACTTGCACCTAGCGGTGACAACGCGAGAGGGAGCCGCGTACTTTACCTCTGCTAAACCAGCTCTGCATACTAAGCGATATCATTCACTCTTGCTAGACTCTCTTTACAAAGGTCCCCTGTGGACTTTGATCTCATCATCTCCGCGGACGGTCAAATTCGGAATGCGGTTCTGTTGTTCACCTTGTCATCTGCTGTCGCACTCCTGAAACCGCCGACAAGCACAGTCGCCTTGTGTTGCACTGACGTTGTGAGTGTCACGAGGTCACGGGATGCATCGACAATCTTCGGGAGCATCATGTCTCCGACTCATATTTGCTTCTGCAAATCTGTCGTTAGTGGTCGATCAAATGCCTCATCTCTACAAGCCAGACCACCAAAAACCTACCTGCAATCGGCAAAAGTCTGGCACATGATGCGCTGGTCGTCCAAGACGAACATCATGCCCCTCTTGTAACGTGGGTGAGTTGGTCCTTTCTATTTTTGACAACTCGATCCGTGAACCTGGAGGAGAAATTCAATTAGACGAGAAAGCACGGACATGGGTCCCACCCAGCGACTTGATCGAAGATTGGGGTCCGATCATGGCTACAGGATCATTTCAATGGTTTTCTGTCCCTTGACGCTGCGACATCGTCCAATGCCTCTCAATTGGGACCGACGTGGGAAGGGCGTATTGTAACACTAAATCTCAAAAGAACCAGTCAAGTCGCTCGTATGCCACAGCACTGCCAGGCCCCAAGCTAGGCGTCATTTTTCTGCTTCGATTGCTATTGGTTTGTTATCCCACCCCTTGCAAGCCACCCGCTCGACGGGAAACGGGTGACGGGTCTGCCTTGTGGTGTTTTAACCTCGTCTCGAACTGACGAGGCCTATGATTAGATGCGACGGAAGGGTGGAGCTATCAAACAGCACCTGCTCGTCAATTCCGCATTTCAGCACGAGATCCACCGGCTCTGGGCACTGGCAGCGATATCTCCTCGTGCATTGTGCGCGGCAGCGCTACTTCTCTTGAACACCGACCGCAAGCCGTCAAAGCGTTTACCAGCAAGCACTCTTGCGAGCATCCAACACAGATGAAACCACAGACGCATACCCCAGTGCCTCAACGCCATTTCTATTATCACAAAACGTGACATGTTCATTGATCCCGGCCCCAATCCGGAGTATTTCAGCAGCTGGGGGGACTTCGGTAGCCCTACCGGAACAACCACTCGCCCCTACTCTCCACCCCTTACTCAACTGCCATCGTCCTATGATGGTTTCGACGCTCCATTCAGCGCCATCATGAGCCTCAGCACAAGCGGCAGTGGCAAGCAGCCGCGAACCTTGGCGCCCAACCTGACGCGCCGCTCCCACAAGAAGTCTCGTGCTGGCTGCTACACCTGCAAAGGTCGCAAGATAAAATGCGGCGAGCAGAAGCCGAAATGCATGAATTGCCTGACCAAGGGCCTCGACTGTATATATCCCGCCGTTACTGACACAGCTCCGACCAACAGCACATCAACAAGCAAGGGCAGAAGCAGACATGATGGCGGCAGCACGGCCTCTTCCGCGACGCTGTTCAGGCGCTCCCATTCCGCATCACCAGCCACCAATCCCTCAAATCATACCTTCAACATGCTCGACATGCGCTTCTTCCACCATTTCCTCACAAACGCATATCCACATTTGCCACTTGGAAACGACCACGTCTGGGTGAACGAGATACCGCAATTTGCGGAAGCGCATCCTTACCTCATGCACGCCATCCTGTCCCTCGGCGCATCGCATCTCTCCCGACTCACAGGCACAGACTATCGCAAGGAGTCGCTCACGCATCGTGGTCTCGCCATCTCGGGCCTGAATGCGGCTTTGTCTCAACCTTCCACGACTACACCATCTAGCACTTCAGGCACAACGGTGCCGGACGTAGAGGTCAATCTCAACACCAACCCTCCCGCAGCTGTCGCAAACCCACAAGCATACGGCTCGCCCGATGCAATGCTCGCCACGTGCTATGCCCTGACGTTCCAAGCGTCGTACATGGGCGGGGCTGATGGCCTAGCCGACTTCATTACCATGGTCCGCGGCTGTGCGCTCACCACTGCGAAGATAAAGTCCGATGACATGCCGACGGCTTTCAACCTACAGCCCAATTGGCACTTCAAGGTCATGGCGCCGCGGCTTGCGAGCCTGCCGAGGGTTGATAGTGGCCTGTGTGAAGATGGAATTCGAGGGCTAGAGCTGATACTGGGAGAAGTTCTGTTGGTCGACAGGGAGCATGAGGATGGCGCTGGTGTCGAAAGGCGAGATATTGAAAATTGGGAGGTCGGAGAGGTGGAGGCGAACTTTTGTCAGAGTCTGATAGAGGTGCTGGAGGCGCTGGTGGTGAGTCCGCAGGGTGGGTATTTAGGCTTCGCGGGCTTGTATGCTGTGTGGTACGTATCTCATTTTTCATCTTTTTCGCCTCAGTCTATTCACATCCAGTACTGCCGCCGTCAATGCTCATGATGTTCGGTACGACTGCTGACATTGTATCGCCAGGTACGAACTCCCACCACAACAATTCAGCACCTTTCTCTCGCCACGGAACCTTCCCTCCCAACTGCTCCTTTCGTACTTTGTGGCTCTGCAGATGCTCATGGTACCTCTCGCGGTGTACGAGTGGCCCGAACGGGCGGAGAGCGCCAAGTCACGGGTACTGACAGGGACGGTAGAGTGGGCAGAGGGTATTTTCGAGCGACTGGCGGAAGACGACAGGCAACGGAAGTCGAAAAAGTCGGCCAGGCGGAAGCCGCGACACCGAGAAGTGGACGAAGAGGAGGAAGGAGTTGACCTGACCTGGGATAGATACCTGAAGTGGCCTAAGCGGATCATGGGAATAGTGACGAGGGAGATCCGAGGCGACCTTGACGCCGTGGAAGAGAGAAGGGCCCTGCAGAGGAGTGCGATGGGCCTGGTCGTGAAGGATGAGGATAGAGGCGTCAATGTGTTGAAGTTGGGATTACCAATCAGCCCGGCAACATCAGAAGCGGACGGAGATGCAGAAGACTCTACAGGTTGGTTCGAACAGCAGACACAAGAGGAAATGTCGATGATGGCGACTATCAACCTGCCGCTCGATCACAGTGTCGAGGCCTCCGATGCGATGTATGGCTATTGGGACGATGGGGCCGGGGACTACGATGATGTGATTGCTGATCCGGGCATGATGACGAGCATTGGAATGGATAACATGTCGGCGGCGACAGTAACGCATTCGATGGTGATTCCGAGCATCATGGAGCCGATCGACTTGGATGTTGATATGATCTGAGTCCAGAGTGGACGGAGATGGGGAACCTTTTGGAAACTGATTCCCAACGACAACGGAAGAGCAACGGCGAGATGATACCGGCTCATTCCGCTCACGATGTCTGTATGCTGGCATCGATTGTTCATGGAAGTTGAGATACCACCATTGCTGCGTCGGTTTGAAGATTGCAAAAGCAGGGCAAAAACTCTACTCAATAGATCTGGTCATGATATATACGTCCGCGATGCCATGATGTCTTGAGCGACCACCTTGACTTGAATCACTTCCGCCAGCATATATAGGCCAGCCCTGCCTCCGCCACGCCTCAGATTTGCAGTTCCGAATACGCGCGTTTCTTTGTCAAATGGACATTCTCCGTACGCGAGATGAAGTCGGTCAAATACGTGAATGACTTCAGCAGCCCTCATTGTGTGGTACAAGGGGAATCTACAGATGCGGGTCACCCGTCTACGATTAATCACTTGATAATTACCTAACGGCTGAAGTTGTACTGTTCTAATCTTTCACCAAGTCACCACCTCCCTCAAATCTGCCGAGAGCCCACCGTGGCCAAGCTAAGTCACGCCGTTCCAAGTCATACCCTCCCCAACGCTGGATCTCTGATTCATACATCCGTCCTCTGAGATCTGCGGACATGTGACTCTGGGCTCGAACCCCTTCAGACCCTCACAGTGCTGGCACACCCAGTCTTGTCCATCGCATTCATCGGGACACCGTCCTTCGCCTCGACGAGCGCTTCTTGCTCCTCAAAGAATTGCTTGCCCTGCAGATGAGTGACCGGATGGAACCAGCCCAGAGCTGTGAGTGCAATGATCATAGGGACACCGTCAAAGATGTACAACATCCACTCATTCGAAAAAGGATAGCCGTCAATTCCGAGAGCAAACTCTACCATACGGAAGATCGTCCTTGTCTACGAGGATCGCATCAGTGAGATTCCAGACAGGATAAGGACAGAACGGCATACCTGTACAAAAGCAGCGGCAATCCAGACGCCAATCAAGACTTTGTGTGGACCCGAGGTCAGACCGCCATGTCTGCGCGCTCTGATGACCAACGTGGCTAGAAAGGCAATGAAGAAAGTGAACGTCGCCAGCTGTAGTGCGAGCCCTGTCAGTATGATGTTGAGGCCAATATCTTTTGTGTTGCCCTCCCAGCCAGCACTGCTAGCAACGCCAGACCCAGCACCCTGAGTCAGGAAGGAAGTAACGTCGGACGTGATGAAGATTCGGCCCAACCACCTCGGGTTGAGGCCATAAATCCTCTGCTCCTTGCGCGGCAGTAGAAGGAGCACCAGATACTTCAGTTGCCAGTATAGACTCGCGCAAACGAATATAGGACTGAGGACGACGTATGACGCCGAAGTGGCGTATAAACCCTGGAAATAGCATGAGCACTGCGTCGGAAACAAGCTATCTGCTCGAAGGTCTTCGACTATTGAGAGTGACTTACAACATCATCGGTCTTGCTGAGGGATGCTTGGCGAACAGAATATCCCGCGGTGGCAAATGCTGCAGCCACCCAGAGACAGATGGTGTACCTATGGCGTTGGGTGGGACGAACTTTGGACCATCTGCAAGGCAACCAGAGAGAAAGATAGCCGTGATAGGTCAGAAGGGCAGAGTTGACGACCGTGAAGACGATTGCGGCAGCTTTGGAACCGTCGTACCCGTAGATGTTGTCGTCGGTGGGAATCCCCATGGTGCAGGCAGGTTGGTGGAATGCTGGCTCTTGATCTCGTTGAGGGCAAAGGGCAAAAAGCTTCTCGTTGGTAGATGTCTTGGGAGAGAGTGGCCCGCAGTTCGCTGTACGATCCGTAGTTCGCTGGATGTTCCGCAATTCGCTGGAAAGCAGACCTGAAGTTGTCTGGCATTCTCGTCTTCACGGAGGCTCTCCTGATATATACCTACTCGTCCTCACCATGACAGATAGCTCAAGCCGTATAGCCATTGGGCTGGAGTCATGCTCAATGCGAGACTGCTGCGATACTGCTGAAAGAGAATTGCCAAGCACTACTGCAAAGTGCTTGAGACCCACCCTCGTATCGACGGGAATAGATACGTCGGAGCATGAAATTGGTCGATCTGCCTTGGTATGCTCAGAATTGTTGCTTGCTGCCTTTGTGAAACACGTGGAAGTCGAGATGGCATGCGAATAGGTACTTTGAAAACCCTGTGGCTCTGGTACATCGTGTTAACAGGTCGCGAATGTAGCTCACAAGAGGACTAGCTTCTCGTATTCGCATTCGCGAGGCCAACGAGACCCTTGCCTATGATTTCGCGATGAGGTACAGAAACAGGAGCTCCGTCTTAGCGACGTGTATTGCGGAGCACTGTGGCAGTGAACTCGTAGAGCGGCTTGCTCGTTTTCTTCTTTCGAACTTGTCCACAAGAGGTTGTGCTTAGCTGCTGGGCAAGGCATCAGGCTACCACATAATTTCGATACCGATTGGATACTCCTTGACGTTCTTTGGGCACACTCAACATCATTCGGGGAAATTGTTGATGTATTTGTGGCAGTGTCAATAGTGAAGTGTCGGCGGTACAAGTACTGCGAGTAGTATGGGTAAGGCCAATCCGCCCCGCAACTTCAAGCTAGGCATCCTGATTTCGGGCTTGGCAGCGGAATTGGCAAGCCGCTGTGTCATCCGGCGTGGTGTCTGAAAACCTCGGAATACAGAGCTTTATAGACCACACGTAATGCCGTCATCATGGGCGCATCAAGTGCCCAGGTCTGAGAAGCTGTGGATGAATGAAAAGATAGACAGTGTGTCTGACAGAATATGTCTCAGTTTCACCCACAAGGCTCACCCGTTGAGCCTCGAATGTGGACTATAGCCTGGCCTTGGGAGTATAAAGTCCATGGAAAGCCATGCCGACAACACCGTCGACGTGTGCTTTCGCCACGGTCTCCAGAGTCCCAGCATCGAGGATGAGCAAGTAGCTCTTTCCCTCAAACCCATCTAGTACAACAGTCAGAAGGACACCTCCATCCTCTTCGGTTGACTCAGGATCTGGAATAAATATCGCTTCGCCAGCAGTGTGTCCGTGGACTCTCCAGACCTTAGTCTCGTGCGTCTTGGTGTCATACTTGACAAGTCCGTCCGCAAACGTGGACAGGCCGGTGTCGGTAATGCCATAGACATATCTATGTGGCTTGGTGTTGAACTTCCCGTTTATCGTGGGCAGCTCGACTGCTGACCCACGGGGGCTCTCGTACTCAAGCTCAGCTCGTCGGACCGACTTCGTTGGCGAGGACGGGATCTCTGGGAGTCTATAGCGTCTGTACGTTGGCCGTGCTGTCAAATTGGAGGCATCTGCCCATTTCGCAGCTTTCGGACTGTCGCTAAGCATATTTTCGAACTATGACTGTCAGCAAAGGGACCATGGTCAGAAACAGGTACCCACGTAGAACTTGTTGAGGACTGTCATGTCTGCGTAGCCCGCAAGATCCGCGACGATGTCCATTTTGTCAGCCGCGGTCTCCTCGTAGGCGTTGATTGTGTGAAAGCAGAAAAAGGGAGCCGATTCAAATCTTGCGACAATTCCCCTCCCACCAGTTTCGGGCGGATTTTTGTCGATGACAAACCATGTTGCAGGATTGCTGCCGTCCCAAGCCATAGCTTCCATGAGACTTCGCTTCCACAAGATCGAAGCTCCGCCCATACTGTAGCTAGAGTTCCAGATGCAAATGATGTAGTAGTTCTTGGTCAGAGATTGTGAGTGGATATAGGCCGGTGTGTGCGCGAAAGTTGCAAGGATGGACGTTTTCCCGGTTGCTGCGGACGTCCTGAAGACTCTGTACGTGCCAGTGCGCCCAAGGTCCAGGTTGTAATTGAAGATATCGCCTGTCTCTGGATCGTGCTCGGCGTGAGCTGCACTCAGAGGTCCTTTGAGGTCAGGATGCAAAGTTGTCTGTTCAGCAACGCCGACTGGCTCTAGCGTTTCGGGATCCAAGACCTGTAGCGCGGACGCATCTGTAGCCATAGTGATCTGCGAGACGTGGTCCCTGGTGTATGGCGTGCTTGTGGCACCTCCCTACTGCCGATGCCTGGATGATTCGCTGTGATCGTCACTCCCACGTTTCGAGCATTGGGCTCCTCCGATCGACTCCTTCCTGTCCATATCGACTGCGCCTTCTTGAAAAAGCTCTTACAGGGTTCGTATTTCTTGCCAAAGCTGATTCCCTTGAGGCTGCCAGTCTAAGTTTGCGTTAGCTCCATGTTACTCTTGTGGCCGTCTTCGTTAACGCACCTTTCTGGCCTCGTCGATAAGTCCGTCACTTGTTAAACGTGAATTATAAGTCACTGTCCCGGCCGGGTCGATTCCAAAGCGGTGCACTTGGCTAAAATTATCGAACCAGTGGTTCACGACAAATGTTGAACCGTTCTCGGTCGATATCTTACGAGGTCCAAGTCCTGTGCGGAATAACGTGCCGCTCACGTAGGACGGGATCTTGCCCTCGACTTTGAGTTGAACCGGGTCACGCTCCTCGTAACTAACGTCGAGTCCGATAGCATTTGGCCAATCATTGAAGTGTTTTGTCGTCGGCATCTCTGTCTTGGCAATCATTGTGTGTAGTCCTCGTTTAAATGGTGTTGTGAAGTATCGTTTGAGTCCTTGGATGGCTTGCGGACTTATGCTCGAGCTCATTTGACATGGTGTGCCTACCTGGAATGGGTAAGCGATCACAGCGCCTTATGTAGGTGATGGTTGCCATCGTGTAGCGGATCTAGTTCATCCGCAATTCGCTGCTAAGATGATGTTACATGGGGAAGCGCGGAGTAGCACTTTGCTGCTTTTGCTGAAGCGAGCACGTTCGTCCGTAGCTTTGGCTTTGATGCTCAATTGGGGAGCAAGCGCGAGTCTACGGCCGTGAGGGGACACTCGATTCGCTTGCACGAATGTCGCACACAAAAGAGCGGTCCGGGACCAAGTCACTAGGTACAGAGGGCACCTGAGTTGCACTTTTCCATGATGCTCGCTGAAGCCTCGAACAAGTCCGGTTCGTAAAGTACCTAGTTTCATAGCGATCGACAAGTGGCTGAGGCACGCCAACTGCATTGAAAGTGAGTGACCGTGACAAGCCTTGTCACCTGACTCCGCCCATTTGCCAGTGCCCAGAGTTTAGCCGGAAATTCGGGCTATTTGCCCTTCAACTTAACCAATTCTAGCGTTCACAAGCTGCACTGGTCAATTTATCGCCATCCTGCGGACGCGCGCTTGTCAGTCATGGCGACCGTAGAAGAGGCAGACATTGAAATGGAGGACGCATACGACGAAGAAGCGGATAGTGACTTCGATGTCAATAGTGTTAAAAGCGGAGGATCGCAATCCTCGTCAGCGTCAGAGGATGAGCAAGACGACGCCGACAAGGCAGCCACGAATCGGGCCAGGAAGCGAAGAAAGATTGGGGGGCAGCCCAAGCCACCTACCACCGAAGAAGATGTTGAGCTAGATTCTGGTGATGAGGCTACCATCAAAGAGCACAAGAAGGAGCGGCGGAAACAGCGCAAACAAGGAGACGATGTCGAGGATGAAGACGACGGTCAGGACCTTGGCTGGAGAGCACGGACGAGAGCAATGCGAGAACGTGACAAAGAGGGGCGTAAGCAGAGTAAGCTGGCAACCATCAAAGGCAGCACCATCGACGTTGAAAAGATCTGGGCGGAGATGCAGAGACCAGCACCACTTCAGCGTCCGTTGATCGTCGAGCTCAGCAGCACAGACACACCGCAACGAGCTGATGTCGCAGACAAGAAATATGCCCCTGGATCACTACAGCAAGAAGAACTTATAACGATTAAGCGAACATACAAGTTCGCGGGCGAAGTCCATACCGAAGAAAAGACTGTCCCCAAGGATTCGGCAGAGGCAAAGCTTTGGCTCGCCCAGCAAGAGTCTTCCAACAAGACCGGCACGGCTCTCGACGCCGATGGGAGGACTGTTCGGCGACCCCTCCGCAAAATCTCGCGGTTCGACCCGAACTACAGTAACCTGGGAGCCTTCAAGGGAGTCTGGACTTCTTCGCTCCTCAGTCAAAAAGCAGCAACCGGTCCGAAGCTCAATGTCGTCGAGAAGAGCAAAATGGACTGGGCGATGCATGTAGATACGGAAGGCTTGCAGGAGGAGCTTACCGAGGCGGCGAAGGCGAAGGGTTCTTACCTAAGCAGGACCGACTTCCTCAAAGAAGTGGAGTTGCGGAAGGAGGAAGAGGCAAGAGCTGCACGCCTGCGAGGGGCATAGCGAATGTAGACTCACTGGTAGTGCACAGGAACGAGATGGTGCCACCGTCCCAAGTAGAGATGATTATTACGTGAAGAATTTCTCGGCCTAACAGCGAGAAAGAATACCGTCTCTTCGAGGTCGATGAAGCAGTCCCTGCATACATTAGCAAACCTCCAATGTCATCCTTCCGAAACTTCCTTTGCTGGGTTTCGCAATATGTCGCGGGTTCCTGCACTCCCTTACCTATCTGCAGTCCACGAAGCCATTGTGTGATGAGCTGCAGTCGAAGCGTCTGCCGTCTCAAAAACGCAACTGAGTGGCGTTGCGGCTCTTCATCTCAAATTCTCTGACGATCGAGAAGGTGGGCTAGTTTTCTCGGACGCAAGATAGCGTTTTAGGTATGCACATAGAATGACCGCCCAGAGTCGCGGATATCCAGACGAGTTCAAGTCGGAGTTCCTCAGCATGTGATCGAACATCTCATGAGCATGGGGAGGCTGTCATATGCTATGCCGGCGTTGTCGTGAAAACGATTACATGCCTTCGTATCGATAGCCTTACCCCGGATTATCGCTTCTTAGATAGCCAGGATGGGACAGGGCTTGCTGCATGCAGAGGTAAGTATGTCAAGCAGCGATTGTCAGGGGTCAGAGAATGCAGGTACAGATCGTCTGCCGTCCAGGTGCTGTTGGAAGACTCTGAGACTCATCAAGGCGGGCGAGTCACCATATGCTGCTGTCAAAAAACACATTCAACGCGTTTTGTAGAGAGAAGAGGGGCTGTACAGGTGGGGCTAATCTTCAAATGGTTTAGGTGCCTTTTCAGGGGCAGCTTGGGGAACGAGAAACCTCATCCTCACAGCTCACAACATCATCCGAAACACCTGAATTCTCGTAATCTTCGCAGCTTAGCTATGTAGAGCTATTGTATGCTATTCTTCGCCCTCCTCATCGGCACCAGCTAGCCGATGACTTCGCGGATCCCGGACCGCGGAATAAGCCTGGATGCGTTCACCGACCCGAAAATGACCCGTCGAGGAAGCCTCCTCAAGACGTGTTGTCCGCCCATATTTTGCAAGCCGAAGCATGATGACAACAAGACACAAGAAAACCCGAAAAGTGTGCCAGCCTCGGCTTGCCCTCATCCCTCGTCTAATGCCAGCGTGCCTCCGTGCGCGGCGGGATGAAGAGCGCCAGCTGGCACTTTTGGTCATCGTGAGATGACTTGGCTGGAGGCGAAAATCTATGTCGTAAAGACGTTCTGACTTCGAAGCGATTGTTGCCTTTTCAGATGCTCGTGGCATCCTCGGTTGGAAATACAGCTTCTTCGATGGCTGACTTGTTGCAGCCAAAACTTTTCTCTACCTGGAAAAGACTTTTGGGAGACGACGAAAAAGTCGACGTCGACGATACGAGTACACACCCACTCCTGGCATCTCTCATCGTACAGGATAACCATCTTCAGTGAGCTCGCCAATCCAGTCTGGATCGTAGTGAACGCTGGCCCTGTCTTGGGTTGCCTGCCGGTATTGATCAGCCTGAACCCGAAATTCGGAATTTCGCAAGAAATAATGGAAGGAGAGATGGGCTTGAGGCCTGCTAATCGTGAACTCGCCGCCAGGAGAGCTTCAGAGACAGCAGCGCCTCGCCGCGGGCTATAGGAAGATGCGAGACATCGTCCAGAACAAGTATCTCTCTTGTTCAATCGAGAGTGCCCCTTGGTCGACTAATGGTTTAGGCTCACGAAAAGGGGATAGACTTACCACATAACGATTCCTCTGGTTGGGCGATTTCTTGCCATGCGTGTTCTTCAAGTGAGACTTGAGGTTATCGGTACGGGTGAAGGGAGCAGTCTTGCAACCTCCTACCCAGCACTTGTACATCCCATGCTCACTCTTCTCATGCACGGTCTTTTCATGACGCTTCTTGTGCTCCTGGCGTTTGAAACGCTTGGGTTGACCGCTTTTGTCGACGCATCCTGGGTAGCTGCAGGCGAATTCGTTCGAGGCGATAATCACCTCGCAATCGATGCCGGACTTGCTTTTGGAGCTGTGGACTGGTTTGGGTTTGAATGAGCCACCCAATCGTTTCCTTTCATACGGCCGTCGTGAGATTCTGTCGTATGTTCGTCGGCATCTAAGCTCTGACGAAAGCATGGCCCACTCAGGCTCTTCATACTTGAGCTCCTCTACATGGTGCTGAGAGGGTACGACCGGCGTCACAAGTCCGAGTGGACTACTGCCAAGTATACTTGAGGTATGGATGTTCCTTCTGGTCGGCGTGCACGGCTCATGCTTTGGGACCGGCGAGCTGCCAAGAAGAGGAGCTTGGAAAGTGGCGCTAGGCGCGATGGTCTGTTGTGGTGAGGATAATTGATGGGACGACCATGAGAAGTCCTCCTCGGCGTCGGGAATGTCAAACATTGGCCTTGACAAAGGCGGATTACCCATGCCAACGTTGTACATGGGGTAGTATGGAAGCTCGGCCTCTGTGATGGCTGACATAAATGATGACGTGGTGGCAGGTATGTGAGGTTCTGGTTCCCAAAATATATCGGCAAGATCCCTTCTTGAAAAGCCGAAAGGTGTATCAGGGGTGAGCTGAACCTTCCTCTGGTTGAACTGCGCTGCTGAGGACATGGCAGTGACTGGGGTTGTTGGGGTCACCGCACCGCTGTGCTTCCCTGACGCCCAACTGGGGGAATCCGTCAGCATCGACGACGCGAACGATGGGCGCCGCCCGCTCATGTCGTACGACGAGGAGCCAAAGCTGTCTGTCAATGATGGACACTCTCGAGGGGAAGATAATGGTGAGTATCGATCCAGATCCGTATCCAAGGTGGGTAGGTGCGTATCGAATGCTGACTCTATAGTAGCCATGTCGAGATACACGTCTGATCCAAGTCCCGACGGCTATGCACGATGGACGGTACAGGAGCTCGACCTGGGATATGCTACTTTGAATACAGGAGTAGGGACGACAATGACAATGTGGAATAAGGGTCTGGTGGAAGAGGTTGAGCTTATGATACTTCTGGTGAGTGCTCCTGAAAGACTAGATGCGCAAGAGCCTTCGCGTGAGTGCGCGTGTCTGAAATATTTGACGCAAGGTGCTCAGGAATGTTGCCGCGATTAGTTCCGGCAAGTGGCAAGACCAGCAGCCAGTACGGTCTATTCGGCGAATATGCTCTGTCTTCTGAGTTTCAGGTGGCCGGAACAGTGCAGATTCCTCTGAGATATTTGTTCGAAAAGAGCTGTCTTTCAGGCACGAGAGTCTGATGCAGACCTAAGCTTGATGGACCCTGTCAACCAGCAAGGGAGGAAAGAAGTGCAGAGCTGTCTCGAGATGATCTTCTCAGTATGCTAAGAGCTGGTCCCCTACTATGTCGCTAGAACCACGTTGCCGCGAGTCGATCTTCCTGTTAAGATCGGAATGCTGCTGCTGCTGGGATCGTTTGGAATCTGAGCAGCCGAAAAGCTCTTCTGTGAGTATTTCCAGCTATCGGCTATACTCCAGTATATGATGTCGAGAATGGGCACAGTTAATATGGTGGAGCATTCATGCGTTCGTGGCTGCCATGCTACTAAGTCGTTTTCGACGAAGCTAAAATCCCTTCCCGCTCTTGGACGAGGCACCTCGTCTTTACGAGAAGCCAACTACGAATATGCCATCGGCCCACGGATGGCTGGGAACATATCAACGACTTTCTCCACGTTGGCTACCTCGACCATGATATTGAGAGCCTTGCAGATATCATCGACCTCTGCATAACGACAATCGATAATGCAACCATTATTCTCCGATCTGCTGTTCATGCGAGCCTGTGCTGCATAGCATGAGAGGCCGGCAAAAGACTTGAGAGGACATGGAAGCTGCACTCCATGGGCTTCTCCATCTGGCACGGCCTCGTACCAGAGTCTCGATTGGGGATCCCTGTTAAGAGCTGCATACCAAATGTGAAAGGAGGGGCCAGAGCCGTCAAATTGCGCCATGCAGGCTACAGATCAAGTCTGACCTATTTCGCTCAACACATGCAACTCACTGTCTCGCTCACGACTCAGTTGAGAAGAATCTTTCTCGTTCTTGAATTGGGTTTTCGGTTGAGCATGTCTGACGCAGAGGTAAGACGGGAAGGTTGGCAACGGCCGTCTTCCTGGAGCCACGATGCGCATGGGGTAAATTGAGCCAACCCGCGGGTTGTACTGTGCAACACCAGACACTCCGCACTCGGCGCTTTGCAAGCCCTCGCCAATGCGCGCCGTTGAATAAGAATGGGGAACGCTTGAAATGGTTAGAGATCAGCCACCGCTCCACCACGATATGCGAGCCGTCTGCAAAGCATCTGGCTCCATTTTTTCCTCCGATTTTGACCACAGACCAGCTTCAAGCTGGAATGCTGTTGACGTTGATCCATCATCCTTATCGCTGAGGCTTGCACTCTGAAGCCGCTGTTTTCGGCGCTGGCAGACACTGGGATAGCAATCTGGTGGGGCAATTATCGCCTCCAAGATACTAGTTACGTCTCTCAACGACCTCAACTGCCAGGTGTTTCCAGATCGCCGGAACTGGTATAGCCTGGAAACGGGATAGTTCCGGCCCACATTCAGCGGGGATGCCGGTTGGCGAACTCTGCTCTGACCGAGATGCAGAGCTGTCCTTGCGAGTGTAAGAGTCTTTGGGGATGCTCAACTTCCCACGTTGTACCTGCGTTACCAACTACATGCGCTGCCGATGCTCTTGGGGAAAGCACAATCCGCCTGCAGTGCATCACAGCTGCATCACCAGCTGTTCCCGGTCTACGTAACCACGAGCAACCACATGCAAAGTCATTGAGACATCGCAATTGACAAGTCTGTCACCGACTGCAAGGAGTCCCAAATTGGCAAGAAGCACGTTGAGTAGACATGGTTTGTGCTGGTCGCTGGATATGTCAATCGACTTCGCTTTTAGTTGCCTTCTCGCCTATCTTGCATCCGAATTGTCCGAAGTCGAATCCCTGTCAACTGCGCTCCGATTTGCTGCACGCTTCTTGGGAATGCTCGTGAGCAGAGAGTTGTGCCTAAGGCAGCGCTGCGGCGCCTTGTTCAGCAGCCATATGTTCTAGAGAAGTCTAAGTCTCGGAAACGAGCCTCGCACGCAAATCCGCTGCTGTTCTCGGTTTCCTTAAGCATTCCGCGCACCACCATACGCCGTCGCGGTCAGAGCAGAGTCTTGGGTTGTCAACGATGCTAAGGATGCAAACAGCTCATGTCGTAAGACATCGCCGACAGCTGTCAAACTGCCTCGAGATCAGTGCGTTATCGTAACATTATCAATGCCTATAGTGGATTCCGCCGCACACGTTGAGTTCTGACATAACGTTCGTCGGACCGTTCAGCATGCCATGGCACGAAGCGAGTGCCTGTCTCCGCACAGTCCTCCAAGTCTAGTCCGACATACAGGATGTCGTCATCTACCATGTCTTTCACTGCTGGGCCCAGAACAAGTACAGTCAACAACCACGACTTCCTAACACACTCGTTATCGCCCGACGTCCTTGCTTTGAACAGTCCAGGCGAAAATTGGTGAGTACGCTCAGCCCACTGGGCGCGCGGATAACCGACACCGAAAGACCGGTCCAGCCGTTGGGAGCCTCGGATGTCTGGTCTTTGTGCCTGAGATAATTTATCAGGACCACAAACGCAAACCGCCCTCGCTTCTATAGCAATGCAGGAACAAAACTTAGGACACCATGTTCCTGAACTTCCGCGACAAGTTCCTACGTGAGTGTCTGCGACGCCCATCTGAGTCTGCTCTCGCGGAGTTGGAGTCCCGTTTGGTAACGAGATGACCCTGAAATGGCTCGAAGGTTCAGCATGAATGTGGGAGTATGAGGTAAGTTGTGTAGTCAGGGTCTCGAATTTGTTATTATCGTCGTCAACGCCCCACACGAACTTGCAGCGTAGTGAGGTATTCTGGCTCGCCGACTCCGAAGTACCTCTTTCTGCATCTCTGAGCAACGTGTCCTCGGGATCGGGCTTCCCCTGGTGGCAAATGTGGCTTGCTCCCACATCTATCGTCGTCTCGAAGACCAGAGAAGGACTTTGCGTACCCTTGATCTGTACAGAAGACACCGCCGGGTGGCTTGCGGCGGCTCAGATTCAGTGGCAAAGGGTAGGAGATCTCATACAAACAATCTTGCGCTCCTTACGTGGCACCTGAGGCCAGCGATCCCGCTCGCAGCGCATGCGATGTCTTCGTCTCGGCTATTGATTGCTCACAGTGGTTCCGAGTTCAAAAGCGACGTGTTCTTCTCGCGCAAGACAACTTTGTCCTCCACCGCATTCCTCGCTCTCAGCTCAAAGCATAGCGCCATCCTCACAGCGTGTTTCTCGAAGCGACGGTCGGCGATGCACTAATCGAATCTAGAATTCCAGCCATAATGTTCGGACCATTCCTTCCAGTGGACTTCGTCTCTGCCACGTTCTGCGGCGTTGCCAGTCGGGTTTATGAGATACCAAGAAGAGGCCATTTGATATGACGATGGTCCTCCTGGGCATCGTTATTCTTTGTTGGGAGTCACGTTGACGCATGACATCCGAAGTTGACGGATTGTCAGGTCAATACAAGCTGGTTCCTTGCTCACCACCGCCACCCAGCCCACACAATCTCCCACGACAGCATAATCATGAGCTGTCGACGACACCCTGCTGTTGTATGAATCCAGCTCCGAAGCACATCGTCGCTGCAGGGAACTAGAAATCCATCAAATAGCTCCTGTTCAATGCGCGAACGAGCTGCTACAGCTGAGCTCATCGCCACTGTCTTCATTACTGCCTACCTCACGCCGAACTATGTGCCGATGAGGCTGTCGGCGCGATTCTGGTCTGAGTTCGAAGCATACTGGAAAAGCCGGTAAGCACTGCCAGTCAACCGGCGTCAGTCATGGAACGTCATCCGGTCTTCTGAAACACGATGTAGCGACTCGCAAGTACTTCGGTTAGCAGGCCACTGAACTTAGATGGTAAGGCACGTCGGTCTCATCACGTAGGGCGACTGCTGACGTACATCAGGTCACACATGTGCTCTGATTCGACTGGTAGTCACTCTTGACTGAGAGCATTTATATTAGCTCCTGGGTAGTGAGGGGCCATGACTCTAGAGCCTGCGCTTTACGACCAGCAGATTCATCCAGCATCCACCAATATCCCGTGGCAAGGCTTGAAGTGTAGTGCTGCGTCCATGAGGCGTCGCTGTGATGAAGACCTTGTGACTCTGTGTTTCGCTTGGCAGGTCCAAGGCAACCCATCGCTGGGCATTTGTGCCAAGTGAAAAAAATTGTCTGACATGCTAGACCTCGGACACTGCTTCATCACGCCTAGCATGGAGCTTTGTGCTCGATCTTGACCCGGTCGTCGTGCTCGACTCAGTCTCGCAGTGCGAAGGCATGAGTCCCCAAAGTAACTAGTCGATGACAGCTGAGCAGGTAGGAACACGGGCCGTCGACCCGCGATTGCTTTTAGTGGAGATGTTTTGAGCGGAAAAGGCACCTTCTTACCTTGGTGACCAAGTCAGCAACGTCAGCACGTTCGACATCCAACAGTCGACAGTGCCCGACGGTGTAGCTTAGCCGACCAAGATGCATGCAGTCTCCAAGAATCAGGTCTGCTCGTCTTGAACCACAACCCACTAGCAAAGACGGTGCTACAGATGCTACAGATAGGACGACTGTGGTAGACAGAGGATATGGGTGTGCGGGCCGAAGCACCATGCCCCCAGAACGATTTTCGGATGCCCTTAGAGGCCAATCTGCAGAATGTTTATCTCAGATCATCAAGTCCTGGAACGAATGGGCTGACTCGAGCACCTTCGACCCGAAACTCAAGTTCGCCGGCAACTGGAGTCCAGCTTCGTGTTTGAGATTCCAGACCCTGTCATCCCCGCAATTTGGGGCATTGATTCCCTTATCAAGGTTTGAAAGCTTCCAACAACTTCCCAAGAAGTGATAGATATTCATTTGATGGCCAACGTCTAACGTTCGGCGGCAACCTGTTCTGGCGCGGGTGCACAGGTGCTTTAGCCGACATAGCAGCTCATGTTGCCAGTCCAAGGTGGTGACTGACTTGACTCGCGTCTATAGAATCTTGCTACATATCATAGATCAAGACAAGGACTCGCCAGCGCAAGCAAGTTCAGGAGACTGACACAGAACATTGAGCCTCAAAGCCTCTTCTGGTACCGCTTGAATCGTTACGAGGAATCAGACAGGAGAGTCAAGATCGTTCATCCAACTGCTAAGGAGAACTCTCTGTGACTTCTGCTGGCAAGGGAGCCTCGACGGTGCTGTCGCGCTCCAGCTGACCCTTGCGGCGACTTTCAAACATGGTTGAAGAATGGGATATGATCGTGGTCGGGGCAGGTTGGTTTGGTCGTAAGTTCAAAGTAGTCCTTGTCCATTTCCTAGACCCCGATGCACAGAACGACATACAATTCGCTCAGAGATACCAAGACCTCTGACTCCATGCCCCCTCATACAGTCGCCGCCGCCAAGGTCTACCACGAATTCCACCCGAACGAGAAGCTGCTCGTCCTCGAAGCTGAAGGCAGCGTCGGTGGCACCTGGAGCGCCGGGCGTATCTACCCCGGCCTGAAGTCCAACAACCTGCTCAACTCCTACGAGTATCCTGATCTGCCAATGGACGAGGCAACCTACGGCGTCAAGGAGAATTGCCACATTCCCGGGGCCGTCCTGCACCGCTATCTGACAGACTTCGCCAAGAAGTTTGGCGTCTTCGAGCGAACGCGCTTTCACACCCGTGTAGTTGAACTTTCGGAGTCCGGCCAGAAAGGCTGGGCGCTCAAGGTGATCACATCGAACAACGAATCCACCCTCACCACCAAGAAGATAATCCTCGCCACCGGTCTGACGTCCACCCCCAACATCCCCCAATACCCTGGCCTCGAGCACTTCACCAATCCAGTCTTCCACGCCAAAGACTTCTGCAGAAACGGCGACACCGTTCACATGGCTAAGCGCGTGACTGTCGTGGGTGGCGCAAAATCCGCCTACGACGTTTCCTGGGCATACGCCAACTCTGGTGCTGAGGTTGACCTCGTCATCCGGCCCACGGGCAATGGGCCTGTATGGCTATGTCCGCCTTGGGTGATGGGTGGCGCGAAGAAGCTCGAGAAGCTGCTGCATACGCGGTGGATGACGTGGTTCTCGCCTTGTCCGTGGGGCGGCGAAGATGGCTTTTCATGGGTGAGGAACTTCTTGCACGGAACGGTGGTGGGCAGATTCATTGTGAAGCAGTTCTGGGGTGGGCTGGCGGATGATGTGGTCAAATTGAATAACTATGATGCACACGAAGAGACGAAGAAACTAAGACCTTGGAACGAGCCGTTCTGGATTGGGAGTGGGCTGAGTATTCACAACTATGATTCGAACTTCTGGGACATGGTGAAGAAGGGGCAGATCAAGGTGCATATTGCGGACATCGACCACCTCTCGGGCGATCCGGACACGGTGCATCTAGACAACGGGGAGAGCTTCCCAGCGGATTTCCTGATCATGGCGACGGGCTGGAAGAAGGAGCCTCAGTGCAATTCAAGCTTGGACCTAGTGGTATCGGCCTGCCATACAGCGACGCCACGCAGAAACAACTTGCTACAGATGCTGATGGGGAGATTCTCAAGCGCTTCCCGCGCTTAGCAGATCAACCTTCGCTGCCATTCAAGCCCAAAAACGATCCCTTCAGACTGTACCGGTTCATGGTGCCGCCAACGAGGATCAACGATCGGAACATCGCGTTCGCAGGACTCGTGAGTAGTGTCTCAACATCCATCTGTGCACTGGCGCAGGGCCTGTGGATCTCAGCGTACCTGGATGGTCAGCTAGATCGATTGGCCGGCAGCGAGGACGAGGTCACACAAGAGGTGATGATACACACTCAATGGGGACGGTGGCGGCATCCTACGGGGTACGGTGCCAGCCTGCCAGACTTTGTCTTTGATGCTATACCAGTAAGTGGTCTGAACGTGTTCGGTCGAGGCTTGCTGACGGTGACACAGTACGTCGACTTGATGCTCCGCGATTTGGGCCTCGAGATTAACAGAAAACCGAGCTTCTGGAAGCATGTCACTGAGCCGTATGCGCCGCCTGATTACAAGGGCTTGGTAGATGAATGGAAGGCGAGTCACTAGGTGCAAATACCCTCAGTCTGGTCTTATTCCTGGACCTTGATCGCACACGCGAAGTGTAGGTGAACCCTTTTGAGAAGATCTAGGAGTCTGTGGACGATTTTGTTGTCAATCTCGATCGACATAGTTTTAATGAACGGACGACCTCCAAGAGGTCTGCTTAGGTAGGCATCGTGTCGGAATCCTGATACAAGCTCAATTTTCACCATAAGACTGCGTTTCGACAATCAGGCATACCACTCCCACTAGGTAACGCATGCTTGCCCAGCTCTTCAGTCGGAGTCGCAGAAGATATCGCCCGGGTTGGGAAGATTGTTTGGATCGACCACCGTGAAGACATGACCGGGACAGACATTGATATCACAGTTCTTTGCCCCCTTCTTGACAGTGTTCCGCCCATACTTGAACAACCCCTGAATGACCGAGCCATCCGTACCCACGACAGGGATCAAGTCTGCCGCGACCTCCACACCTAGGTTCAGCCCAGCATTGAGAGCAATGCAGATCGCGTCACCAAGCCCAGCAACGATCTGGTCCACAGCCTGCGCGCTGCCACATTGGCAGATGCCCACGGGAGCCAGCTGTCCTGCGCTGTTGCCGCCCTGAAAGCAGTACGTCGATAAGCCGAATTGATGTACGTCTGGATCGTTTGCTGTTTGCTGTGTGCAGAATCCGACGCAGTCGTTCGTACTGGAGCACTGTACCTGCTGGGAGTTTATGGATTCGTCTTCGCCCTCGACATCGGCACCGGGGCTGTTGGCGCTGATGATGCCCGGGTCGCTGCTCGGTGCGGCTGAGGCGGCAGCGCTCGATGCATACGCCGGTGGACTGGCGTACATGTCAAGCAGTGAGCTATCGTTCGGATCGTCGGTGGTGCCTAAGACGCCACCGAAGGCGCCACTCTGTCGACTGTCGAGCGTTGGTGCTGCAGAGACGAAAAATGGGAGTACGATAGCAGCTGCCACGGTGAAGAGAAAGGTCGTATGCATGGCGATTTGATGTATGACTGTGCTGGTGCGGGAAATGAGACAAAGGCAGTGAGACTGCAATCCGACGAAAGTGACAAAGGAAATGAAGGGAATGTTGCTAAGGAAACGAACGGTGTGTATCGATGGCCTGGCTTGCGATGGTCTGTTATGTGGACTAGGACACGGCGAACCGGTGGGCTTTATACCTTTGAAGTCACTACGTGATCGTCGACCCACTCGTTCCGCTGTATGCGAGGCTGACGGTTCTTTCACAGAGGATTGCGGGCCATCGTTGCTTGTGGCGTCCATTGCTCTGTACAGGAATATCGTAGGCTGTGTTTCGAAGGTTTGAGTTGCCGCTCGAAGGTGTTTACAGGGTTTGTGAGGTAAAGCTTCACGGAACGGCCCAATCAGTACAATGCGTTTGCGTGGTGCTGACTTTATGCTCTTCTCGTGGCCGTGCGCATGAGCCAGCTGGGATGATCGTAGATCCCGAGATGCATAGAAGTCTCATTCTGAACGATGCTTACTCTTGACCGTCGTGGTGCATAGTAGCTTCGAACAGAGCCCACCTTCTCGTAGGTCCACGACTCAACCCTCCGTAGCAGTAGGTCCACGACTCAGTCCTCGGTGGCAGCTGGCCAATATTGATGGAGCCAATCGCTATGTCGTCGGCGTGTATACTCTGACTCCTATCACAAGCGTTGCTGGGCATGCATTGATTGGTCTTATGCAAGATCGGAAGACAAGATATATCCCAAGACCTGGTGACACATTTTTGCCTCGGCAGACCTCGTAGGAGACGTCGCAGATGAAGCCGTGCCAATACGGCAGTTTGCGGCCCACAGCGAGGTATCATCGACGTGATTCACAATGTCGGCTGCGGAATGAAGCGTATTGCAGGGAAAGGCCCAAAGCTGGGGAAAAAGTAGATATAAATGAAGCTCAAACTGTGAGCGAGCATGACATCGTCTCTCTCTGTTGATGCCATATGCCGTGCCAAGGTTCAGATCTCGCTGCAGGAGTTCCACGATGTTACGCGGGTAGTGTCCAAGTGCAGGCGCAATCTTGGTGGGTGTGTGACGACAGCGCCGACTGCAACCTGTGCTGGTCTATGTTCTGTACCTGGTGAGACCCGTAAGTATCGCCTCACTCCTAAAGGCATTGGGAAAGGGGGCACGAACTCCCATCTCAACCCGAAACAAGAAATTCCGCTGGCTTGAGGTCACCCAACAACGTCTAGCCAATGGTTACAAACTGGCTGCAGTGGCTTCAAGGACTGATTCAAAAGGATCGCATTGATTATTGTATCGCCTTACAGATCTCCGACGCCGGATGCCTGGCACAGGTTGCAGTCGGAATGCTCATTGGCATCCAGCGGACAACGATAGAAGTGCTTCAGATCGTCATCGAGCCGCTTGAGGCCGCAGAAGGATCACCACTGAGACGCAGTGTGCACTGACTTATGCCAAAAGACCTCGGCCGCGGCGTCAGATCCATCAAGCAGCGCGCATCCGTAAGCGCCAGCATTAAGACCGGTGCCGGCGCCGACGCTGGAGAGACGTTTCGAGGGGACGGAGCGGGAGTCGATGGAGCAGGCGGTGGTGATGGTGGCCAGAATGGCGAGGACGATGAATTTGCTGAGGAGCATTTCTTGACTTCCTCGCGGTAACGTTGTGATTGAGATGGTGATCGGGGACCTTCAAGCAGCTATCGGAACCTCGAAGCTGACAGTGGTAGTGATGTGGCGAGTTAGAGTTTTGATTGGGTGTAAAGCGATATCAGAATTGGAAATGTGACAAAAGGAAATGTCCCAAGCAAGGTGGAATGGATTGTGTGATTGTGTGTACGTTAGAATGCTCGAACAGTGACATACACCGTCAGTCATACACTTGCTCGATCAGGTCACCAACCTTGCGGGCATCAGTGCTGTGGGCCTTCTATTTCAATAATGCACACAAAGACGATCAGCACTGTGAGAAGAAGATCTGAGCCACATCGTACATGGTAAATTCCAGTAAGGTCTTCAAATTTTGTTATTGTGTTTGAGCACTTCCAACGAGCCGTTGCAATCACTCCTCGGGCCCTATGAATAGGATTTGCGAGCCTAGTCTCTCTTACAAGCATCCGAAGTAGTCAGTCCTGGTGACACGTCGTGGAAGGTGGCTGTGCTGGCGAGATCGTGGCAAGAGCCGCGTTTGATTTCATGAGGAGGAGTGCCCGTCAGTGTAGTTGCTGCTCTGTCAGGTTGTGGCGGGTGCGGAGAGGCGATGTTCGAGGTCGTCTTCATTTGACTGGAAGGTGACTTGCATTGGGCCGCGGTGGTTAGTCACTGTGTCTCGAGGCGCCGTACGGGTTATATGATCAGTGGCATACAGAGGTTCCGACAAGACCTGACTGTGCGGCCTACAGATAGGGTAGCTACCGCTGGTTGGAAACCATCGAGCTGCGAGCAGCTCCATCCGACCATTGGGCCCTTGTCTAGGTAGCTGGGTACTCGAGGCCGTGAGACAATTGCAATCTTGACTATTGTGATGCGTAGGAATCAATCAATGGAGACGGGAAAGGCTCACTTTGATCGAGAAGATGTGAACAGCCGAAGAGAACGAAATCCATCTGAGCTTGCCTGTCCAATCGCCATGTAACAGTCCCGACCAGATTTCAAGGATACTAGTCATCGATCCGCCAAAGGCGAAGCTGCTGTTTCGTGGTAATCGTTGGCCGTCACGAGGCAATCGCATGCCACAGATTCACACACAGAACTGGTAGCTGTGGTCTGTTCTGGGTCGCCGTCTACCCTCGATGTCATCATCTGCACAAGTTGGCACTCTCACGGAGGTGCAGTCTGGCAAGGCTGTGATAGCAAAGTACTTTGCGTGATGCGGCTCGGTGTCTCATGGAGCCTAGTCGATGGACCGCGAGCATATCGTTGTGGGTAACGTAAGTCTGCCTGAGCTACGGAAGTAGAGGACCAGATCTCCTCGGAGGTTATGTAATAAAAAGATATGCGCCTTACAACTTTCCGCTCCACCGGCATCAGTGTCATTCCAGCATTGGCGTACATTCACGGGAAGGACCTCCTGCCTAAACGGGTAGGAGGTTGTTGGACGAGGTGAGGGACAACAGCGGCAGGTGAGGTACTCGTGATGTGATGCGCAGACGTTCCTGGAGTTTTGCAGTGTAATAGATTCAAGGTTCGTTGGAGAATGACGCACATCTTTCTGACTGCCACAAATGCAATGACTCGTCGACCCTCCCTAAATGGACTCAACAGAGGCAGTCACGACTCACGCGGGTGCCATAGCAACTCCACCAGTCGAAATCGTGTCTTTCTGATATTGCTGGACACCACTCTGACAGAGGAGCGCTTTGTGTTTGTGTGGCAAGCGGCTGGCCGACCGTCCTTACACGCAGTTGTCGTGCATTGGACCGTAGCCTGCTAGCAGTGCTAGATCCCCGATCGACGCCAAGATGCAATGCGCGCTGTTTGAGCGACCATGAAAATTCTGTGCTGCCGAGTGCCAGGTGTCACCGGCAGCAAGCAGGAAAGAGGCACAGGGCGCGAGCTTCAGGAGATACCAAGCCGTTTAACCGATGAAGGAGCCGTGCGGTCCGAGGAGAGTGCGAAGGCTCTAGACATGGCCTTGCGTCCTGATGGACGACTTACAGACAACGGAAAGTTACGATAGACAGGCGGAGGCAAGGGTGGCATACTGCTGGATGCATACGATGCGTAAAGAGTCACGGAGGCGTACATGATGAGATAGCCCGGAATGAATAGCGGTGTCGTGATTCGAGTCGGTCCAATTAGCGAGCTCAGCGTTTTTCGGAATCGCTACGTCCGCCCTTTTATTTGCACATAGCAGCCGCAGACCAGGCGTTAATAGGTACCTAGGTAGGCGAGGGCACCTGCGCTGGGCTGGGCATGCGTTAAGGATGCTATCAAGACTGTCAGAACCACGCGTTACGACGGCAAGTGGTCACCCCGCCCGCTTGGGCACTTGTTGCTAGGGCGAACATGCCAGCTGAGACTCCTGACAACCCTGCGTCCGGTGTTGAGAGTTGCGCCAAGTCCGATTCAACATGTCGCTTATCAAGGACGTTGTTCAAGTGACCCGGTGGGGTCCACCAAAGTCAGATCACTGTGCCTGGTAACTATGAAAGACTGATGATCTCTGCGGGTGGCAAACAGCAGCATCTCACAGCGCCTCAAAAGTAGATGTATCCGATCCTGAAGTAGGAGTCGCAGGTAGGCCAAGCATTTGGCACAGGGATTTCACAAACGGTTCGCAACGAGACCGAACCTTCGAGAGCTAACAAATGCTTGTTTCAAGCCTAACGTTGTACGAACAGCCACCCTAGTAAGACCGGTATTTCAGCGTGGTGCAGGATGCACTATCGGCTAATGGGAAATATTGCAAAAGCCCATAACAAACTCTCTTCGGGGCACTAGTCGTTTTGCGCAAACCCCTGCACTGCAGATCGTGTTATTGACGATGGTGCAGTTACCGTACTGACCACTGATCGACCTTTGGGTCGACATCTGGGCCTGAATGAACAACACGATTTAATAATCGCAACGATTTGGAGCGGTGACAAGGCGTGGTCGAGCAGCACAGGAAAAGTGTGTAGACAGTCCACAGGTTTGGCGTGACTCGTCCAAATATAGCTTACGGGCGCTATGTACAGGGATGTCTGCGTGCCGGGGGAACGCCAGCGCCGACCGCAAACGACGGGCCTGCAGCTACCTCTGCTGGAGGCTTTTCAATGTACGTGGACTTTCGCACAGTGCAGACAGTGGGAGGAGGCTTACACATTTGACATGGACTATGACAGTATCAGGCTAGAGCAGTCCAATGCCGTTAATACCGAATCTCAGCTGTGATGTCTGCTGCTCAGACTCTCTGAGATAGCACTAGTGTCGAGCGGAACTGGGTGGGCATCCTCCATGGTCGACTAGTCGCAGATGAGGGGAAAAAGCGATTGGGACGTCGAGAGAAAGTCAAAAGCAGGACTCAAACTAGAGAGGGTGTCGAGTCGCAGCCAAGTTCGTGCTCGATCATTGCCCGTGAAGCAGCCGTGTCCGAAAGAGGGTGTTCTACAACACTTAACACCACAACAGGCCGAATTTGAGTACCTTGACTCGACTCGCTCTTATCGACGAATTGACTGACTGGATTCGCCGTTCGTCGCGAGGCCAGTGTATCGAACGTCCTGCCAAGGTGAACACTTGTACGCGAGAAACATACAGCTCAGTCGTTGCGATTCGCCCGGGAACGACGCTTGCTGATCACGGAGAGTTCAGTGGTAAAGCGCCGTAAGCGAACCTCGGAAACACCACCCTGAGTTTGCAAAAGGACATGTTAGAGGTTGAGACTTTCGGCGGATTCAACGAGAGATTCGGGACATGCGTAGCCGACACATCGCCGATGCGCGTTTGGCCGTCAGCAGTATATCCTGTACATCGTAGGTCGTCGAGAGGTCGCATTGACGTTGACCAATGGCACTAGTTGAAACACATCATCCTGGCATCAGACAGACACCCTGGGCTATCCATGATTTGTCTCTCTGCATGCCTGACTTCGAGAGAGGTCTTGGTCTGCTAAGGCAGATTAGCCCGTGTAAGAGTCATGCAGGGCGGTCGCTTACCAAGGTGCATTCAAGAATCGTTGTCGCCTCATGTGTACTGGCCGACAGCGATCATTCGAGTCGATCGTACCAGGTAGATTCCTTCGTTCCTGCCCGACGGTCATGGTGCAGTCTTGTTTTGAACCTGCAGTGACGATCTTGACCTGTCTAAATCATTGCAGTAGTCGAAATCAGCAGAATCCATCAGCTAGCAGCTACGACTCAGTCAGCGCGATCCATGCAAATAGAGCCTCACTCCGAATTGTGAACATTGGGCGTGAAACTTTATAACCTCCGCATCAGGCTCACCGCCAGGCGAAAGTCTATATCGTCGTCGAGGCTGCACATACGAGCAATTATGGTCTACATCGCCGAGTGCGTGAGCCTGTTCATGCATGTGGGAGGCTGCCAGTGCCAGGACTCCTCGTCACTTGACACGCACCACTTCGCGCGCATTCGGCCGTCCCGCCTCTGCAAGCTAGGGGAGTATCTTCATGCCTTCACTGTCGAGTGACACAGCACCGGTGACACTCACGATATGACAGCTGATAGTCCAGTGATCCTCCGCCCAGGCTTGGGTACTATCGACCCAGGTTGGCTTGGGGATGTTGAGGGGCTTATTGTGTGCAGGAGCTACACGACCTGCAAAAGCTCCCCTGCGGAGACATATCACCAGCCCTGCTTCTTCATCCTCTGTATCCTAGCACACTCGGCCACAAAGCCTTCCTTGAAGCGTGCTCCTGGTTCAACTGTCAGTACGAAATATCAGAGGAGGGGACCAGGACTCACGCCACCGCACGATCCTCTTGTTTTTTCGCAGCTGCCCTCTTCTGATATGGAATTTCTGGCTTAGCGTATCTTTCTTGACCTGATTCCTACGAACGATGCCTTCCATCCGCTGAAATGCCCTCGTGACATCTGTGTAGCCAGCGACTTCTACCGTCTTGCCAAGGGAGGTGCTCAGCCTGATCACTGGGCCCTGCGGGGCTTTGAAGCTGGCGTCAATATGCCGCATATGCTCAACCAAGGTCATAGGCCTCCCTCTATCGCCGAAAATGTCTGTGATTGCGTTTGCATTTGCTGAAGCGGATGGCGATCCGCTCTGCGTGATTTTGTGCAGGTTGGCCACGTTCGATGACGGCCCTATGTTGAGTCGATCGAGAGTGCGGCCGATATTTGAGCGCTCCGGCCTTCCTGTTGCCGACGCTCCTATTCCACGTGTTGGTTCAACAGGTTGCTTGTCGACAGCGGCGGCGAGGATGTCTCGTAGGCTTTGGCCAGGAAAGCGAGCCGCAAAGATTGGGTCAACGACTGCTCTCAAAGAGCTCATGTACGGAGCGAATGACTCAGGGTTGGCGTTTGGCGCATTGATATGATCGTCTACGCGATGCAGAGACTCTTCGAGCTCTATGTACTGCCGAGTGGACATATTTTCTGGCTTGTGGAGTTCATGATCTTTGATAATTTTCCCCACCGTATCAACATAGGACTGTGCTTGCTGTTTCGGTGTCGCGGCTGGAGGAGATGCAGAATACGTGCGACTGGTGCTGATCTTAGTCTCGGGATCGTGTGTCGTCGTCATCTGAGCCCGGCGCGAGACTTGTCTCGAAAATGAACGCCGCTGAGGCGGTAGCTGCGATACGACTGGCCATCCGGACCCCAGCTCGTTCGTTCTGTACCTGACAGTGCTCTGTAGACATTCGCATCGAGCGGCTCGGGTTAGGGAGAAGTAGAGGGTTTTCCGAACGACCTTGGAGACCTCCATGGATATCGTTCGGCTATCACAGGCCAGAGACCAGACTCGGGGGCCGATGACTTCTGCAGGACCATTCAATCTTACAGACAATGGCAGATGACGAGCAATGATGTCGAGGTCGTGATGCGACTCGCATCATGCAAGTGAAGCTCGAATAATTCCATGGACCACTCACATAAAGCTATCACCAGCCTTGCGCAGCCTCGTGCAGATCGTATCTCTCAATCACGACATGGGCAGGTCAGACTCGACACACATGTATGCAAATACGCCAAGTCGTCGAAGGTGCAGGGAGCGCTTGGTATCACATATATACACAAGTCGAGGAGTGACAGTGAGCTCGCCGACATTGAGTTCATCATCGTCTCGCAAGGCGACCGCCATATCAGACCATGGCACCCGCCTCTGAAATAACGCTCTCTTCCCTCAGCTACATGAAACCAGAGCAGTTATTTACAGAGCTAGAGCAGCAGTTTGAAACTTCCCCAGGCTCGAAACCGCGTGTAGCAGTCATCGATGTGCGCGACTCAGACCATCTCGGCGGCCACATTCGTGGTTCCGAATGGGTGCCCTCAGACCAGCTGGACGCGCGTATCCCGGAACTCATCCGGCTGCATGGTGACAAGGAGAAAGTCGTGTTTCACTGCATGCTCAGCCAACAGAGAGGCCCAAGAGCGGCTTTGAAATTCGCTCGGGCCTTGGAGCGTGAGAAAGCTAAGACGTTGGCGAACTCAAAAGGCAAGAGCGTGAGCAACGACGGTGAGACTAGAATGCAGAGTGAGGGCGAGCAGCTGGTGCAACCGACCATCTCAGAAGGCAAGGGTGCGACTAAGGATGGTGAGGTCTCGGATAAGACGGCGGACGAGGAGCACTTGCCCAAAGTATGCGTGTTAGAAGGCGGCTTTGGAATGTGGCAGGCAAGATATGGCGAGGATGAGCGACTGACAGAAGCATATGTGAAGGACCTGTGGGAAGACGCTTACTAGACAGGACGTTTGATCGTTGCATGAGGCGACCTGGCCCAAATCTCGATCACGTTTACGGCAAGATCTTGGGAACAAGGGTACTGCAGTATCATTTCATGCAGGAATTCAAATTGTAGAACGCCGCAATTGAGAACATCATTTCGCTCGAATGGCCTAGCGTTTACAGCACGGCCGGCCGCGCTAAGTACTTTATGTGAAGCCGCCTACTAGTGGGTAATGAGCCTCACGCGAACCAGCTGACGACCGTCCAGCAAGAGCAAGATTTCAAGCCATCAGCGTGCACAAATGCTGACTTTGAGATGTTCGACATTGGCAACTATTTGACGTGTCCGAAGTATTCGTTCAAATGGTGCACCAAGGATAGAGTTCTGTCAAGTAATGGCTGTTACATAACGACGGCCTTGGCTGGTCCCAGGGTCATCTTTCTTCACTTGGGCAGGGGCAGTCAGAGATTGTGCAGGACAGCCGCTGTCACAATTGACAACAACCCGGACCCTGGGAACGTTTTCCATCACCACAATCAATCATCGATCGACATGCGCTCGATCCCAGCACGGGACGGGATTTCTGCAAGCAATGCAGCTAGCCTGATAGGGAAGCATCAGCGTCGTCTCAGCCAATAGAACGGTATTAGTGCCGTATGCAGCTATTCACCTGATCACAGCACACGTATGCCTTATGACCCTCTGTGAGTGCTAAAAATTTCCTCGTTTCCAGGCTGAGTTGGCTCCGAACGAGTCTTCTCACAGCGGAAGGGCTAGTCGGCGATTGTCTGGTGGAGTTTTAGTCAGCATGTTACGCTTGCTATTGGTATACCATGTGAAATTTAACATGCTGAGTGCTTTCTACCGGACCTTCTAGTCCACTGAGCAGGGCTGATACCTGGTCTCATATCCTGTCGCGAGTGCGAAGCTTGCGCAGCAGCCTTGGGGCACGGCACTGGAAGCAGCGATCCACAGCTTCACCCGTGCACTAGCCGCAGACTCGAGCGAAGCAACATCGCAGACCCAAGCGTTTGTTTATCAAAGGGCGCTAAGCTTCCACTCCGCGCACATTGTACATTAGCATGCATACTGCTGATCTTCGTGGACAATGCCATCGGCGTCGTCGGGGTCATCCATCCGACACGATTGTAGAAAGCTAGGCTAGTCATTATCACTGTCCTAAACGCGGCACAGGCCTTAGTCGGACGATAACGCTGCAAGTTGTGGAATTGAACTAACTCTGGCCTGCCCCAGGCACTTCAACGCGCGCATGATTGTGAGTCGACCACTGTGAGTCCTGACGCCCAATGTGACTCTCCGAGGACTCTTCGTTACACTGCTGCTGAAACACCTGATCGTAATGCTGTTCAATCATCTGAGCTTCCCCTCGACGTCCATTATTGCGGAGTAAAGCTGCTAGTGAGCACATTGCCGCCTTAGTCTCTGGATTGAGTGCTGTGAGATAGTGTAAACGACCTTCGTAGACCTCTCTGCGGTGCTCTTCGGCCATATCGAGACTGCCGAGTTGCTCCTCTACGTCTGCAAGTCGCTGCAACATCATAAGCCTGTATGCTTGTAACGGGTCCGCAATCGAATTCAACCGTTGAACAATATCTGTTAGTGTAGATCTGGCTTCTTCGTAGAGATTGTTCTCAGAGCAGCCGCGACCAAGCATTGCAAGACAGTTGATCGTCATTAGATTGCAATGCCCCATCACAGTCTCTGAGCGAGATAGACAAGCCTCCAAGATGGTTCTTGCCTTTGCCCAGCCAAATGGTAGAGACATTTCATGCCAAGCACGATAGTACTCATTGACAAGGACATTTGGATGGGATGGGCCGTACGTCTGTGTCAACCTCTCCGTTCCAGCCGCAAAGTCCGAGCCGTGGAACGCCATACCGCTTGGAGACTGGCTGCAAAATGCTTGCAAGTATAAATAAGGCGTTGATAGGGGAAAGCCGTTCTCGGGACAGTCATGCAGAACTTGGCAGCACTCATCGACAAAGTCCTTCAAATGAGTAGACTTGCCATTGGACACTAGAACAGTGCTCATCCAGTTCAACAGTGGCAGCACGTATTGATTCTCGGGCGTTGTAGTGAGAATGTAGCGAAATCTTTCCATGGCAGCTGATTTCGAGAACCCGACTGTCTGTGTGTTATTCGTAGTCGGAAAGCATGGAAGGAAGAAAGGGGCTGCGCATTCTATCGCCATCCTTCGCCGGTGGTACTCAGTTGGTGGAGGCAGCATTCGAGCCACTTCCAACGATCTGTCGAGGGGGCTAGGTGGCGGTGTGACGCCAGTCATCGACAGAGCTCGAAATTCCGCGGTGAAGTCGTACGAGTCATCCTGCCTGTTCGAGGGGCGTGAATCCCACAGCCGCTCAGGTAGGAGATTCACGCCGGCGAGGCTTAGCGTGTTCGCTGGACGTTCAGGTCGAAATGCTACAGATGCCGCTGACGCACTCTCGAGCCCGTTTGAGACATCGAGGAGACTGCTGCGGCTGTATGAGCGGCTGCGATCGATCGCAGCCAGCAAACTGTCCTGACCACTTTCGAAATGTGGCGTCACGTTGTTATCCTCGGTTTCAGATTCGGGTAGAGATAGATTGACAAGATGTTCGCGATCTGCGACGGAAGATAGCTCTGAGTTTCCTGCATCGGACCGATCGCCACGGTTGATGGGGACTTGTTGTGCTGTGGGAGACGTGTGCTCAATTATAGCTTGGATACTGGATTGCTGCAGTACCAAGTGTGCCTGATCGAGGGTAATAGGCCGGAGATTGTGAGGTCTTCGCAGCTGTTTTGTTATTTGTGCCGGTGTCCTCCGGAACATCTGAAAACCAGATGGACCAACGAAGTAAGCACCGATACCTCGCCGCTGAAAGTCTTCGGCAACGACGCCCATAGCCTGATACTTCTCCATGGATATCTTCTTAGGATGGACAGCCATATTGCGGATACGGTCCTTGTACATTCGCAGCGTGGCATAGAATCCAGTCTCCTGCTGAAGAGCATTCTGCGTATCTTCGAGAGTGAATCGCTGCCCATAGTAGAGATCGCAGATCCGAGGCAGGTGAAGCGACCACTCGGCGTCAGAAGGTCTCCTCGACGGTGCGGCAGTGGCCGCCATAGTTGCCTCGTTTCTGACAGCGAATGCTTGCAGGTCAGTTCCTCAGCGATACCAGATCTCGAGTGACAAAAGGACTGAGTACGCAATCTTTAGGTTTGCAACTGGGGTAAAGTCAATAGATATGCTAAGGGCCAAAGTACACCATATTATAAAGTGGATGAACTGTGAACTCCAGGGTGTCGTGACGCAAGCCGATTTGCATTGGGGCAGAAGCGAGCCAGGTCCCGCTTTGAGACCACACCCAGTTCAGTCCATTGCTTAAGCTTGACACGGAATGAACATGAGGGTCAAGGGATGAAGTAGTTCCAAACCTTATACCAGAGATTGATCTGTGTAATGCAGTTACTGCAAAGACGTGCCGCTCTTTTCGAGATTCCAAACAACAGGACCACCTAGGCTTCAAGGCAGCTGTGGGTACGGCGCTAAATCTGCGAGATGTGGGAGAAGACGTGGCGAAAGATACGGGTCCGGCCACGAATGAAATGCAATGCATTTCAGCGGCGTATCTTGGTGACCGTTTGACAGAAAAGTGGCCACACTCGAGCCATGGATTATGTGTCCGTGGTGTAGCGGAGGTCGTTACTATTACCGTGCAGGATCGGCACTGCCACGTTCACCAGTATTGAATCGTTGTCGATACCAAAAGCCCTGCACCCCGAGTGTAATCGACTTCTGTGAGTTTTGGCCTCCTATCAGGCTTTAAAGTAAGCGAGTGGGCAGTCACCCAAAGCAGAGTTTTGCTGGCCGAAGTGAACATCGGTTAGGTTCGTGAGTGTAAGTTCCAGACAAAAGTCTCAAGTCGTTTCCGAGGCCTCTCCCGGCTACGCGGACCCACACGTTTGGGGCGCTAACTAGGCGGGGAAGCGCCTGGCAGCCATGCTTGTCAAAAGTCAATCTGCGTGCAGGTCCTGCTCATGACAGCGGTCAACATAAGTGCTGGTGAATTCTGGCGATACTGAAGATTGGCATCCCTTGATTGATCGAGAATCGGTCACCAACCCTGCATCACATAGAGGAATGCCACCTTTCGTTTGGTTCGTGACGAAGGCTTTCTGACGTTGTACGATGCGTTGGCGATATGACAATCTGCTCTGGGCATGCAGCTTTACTGCTCTGTGACCCACCCTGAGCATGGTCAGTTGCTCACGATGTCTTGGGCTTAGCAGGCCTAGATTACCATTTCGTGGGGTGCCGCTTTCTGCCCGAGCAATTGACACAGGAAGCACGAGTCCAACGTTGTCTCAGATAAGGCTGAATTTCCACGCGTTCACCGGTGGTCGAGTCAGAGCCTGGGGACCCGCAGGATCAAAGTGCGAAGACGACGCTTTCATTGGTGAAGAGCGGCTTGCATGACCTTTGTATGAAGTAGCAGCGGACCCTGAGCTGGTCCATTCCGGATTCCGAATGATCTCTCCGGACTTCGAATGATCTCTAGGTACGCGCCGACCGTGATGCGATAACGATGACTATCGCTGTCAGCTGTGTGGTTCCCGCACGTGTTGTCTCACAATAGCCTTGTGAGTAGACAGTAGACCTCGGAACCTCAGTCGCCGAGATCCTGTGCGACAATGCTGAAGCCCGAGCCTTTGGACGATTCGTCTTGCGGAATGCGGCCTGGCATAAAGGTGGATCGGCGCGGCGCGCGGCGGATCAGTGTCCCCGAGGCCCCCTACTAGACGAAAGGCCGCAACTTGGCAAGACCGTGCACTATCAATCGATGCTATTGCTGATTCGATCGTCCACGAACAGGAAGACTCTGCATGCACTCTGCTGGATGTCGACTATGTCATTGCGGACTGAACGGCGTTCGAGCCGTCGATTCTGCATGATCAGCACGCAGCAGAAAGGGCAGGTTGATTGCGGAAGCTTACCATATCCCTGAGGAGAGTAAGGAGGTTTTCGCCTGCGCCCGTTGATAAGCCATCCAACTCGAGCTTTGAAAGGGTGATAAGTGTATGAGAAGCACAATGTATGAACGTGATGGGACGAATGGATCCAAGGAGGAACCATCCATCTACGTCGGAAGCAACGCGAGCCATGGTGACATTAGGCCAGAGCAATGCACAACGCAGCACAACACAAAATGACTGGAGGAGCTGAAACAGTTTCGAATACCTTCTCGACAAATTCCGGCTTCTCTTAAAGGCAATTGCGACATGAAAGCCGCTCCTTCCAGTGATAGTTGCTACATTCTGCCTTCCCACATGCAATCAGCTTTCTGGCACTCAGCGCAAGGCTCCGATACTCAGATTCCAACTTCGTGAGCAGGCGTTAACAGGCACGATCGCACATGCTCTGCATGATATGCTAAATGCCTGTTGTCTGCCGTCACGTCTCTCAATGCACAGTCCTTCCTAATGTGAGCGGGTACAGAATAGCGTTGGTCTCGTTAAGATGCACACGATCTTGAGTCGTATACTGACATGGCCACTATTGCAGCTGATCACGGCTCAAGTTCCTCTCTTGTTCCCAATACGGCGTGGTCGCATGCAGGCGACGTCAAGACACGCCAGGCGTCGGCCGAGGGTTTTCTGGCTTAGGTTGAGGCTTTGGCTTCGGACCAGAGAAGTTTGCCGTGCTTGAGAGGAGCGCAACAGCTTTGCGCGTCGGCCGTCGCTTCGTTCGTACGTCTTGCGGTGGCATGACCGAGGAGTCGCGCACGGTGATGCTGCCTACCTAGTGTGTCAGCATATCTGCCGCTTTCCGCAGATACCTGCGTACCCGTAGCACAGATTGATACTTGTTCTTTGCGAAATACTCTGACGTGACAAACCTTCGACGATGTATCTCGTCCTTTCGCGAGCGGCAAGGGCCACACGACCGCCGGAGCCCAAAATGACTGCTTCAGACGTTCATATACCACCTTATGCGAGAAGAACGATAGTGCTACGACAGGCGGAGGTTTCCCCGGAAGGAAACTTGCGCGTTCCGACCATGCAGCGCGATTGGCTGGCGCAAAGGTCGAGCCAATCTGCCATCTAGAGTTGGGTGATCGATCAGATCCAGAACTTTGATGGCCCGCTAGGTTGCGGCTCCTGGTCTTTGTCGTCCACCATCGCCAGGTCTGCAGGATCGTTAAAGACCAGCGACCACCTGTCGAAGCGATGTGATCGGTAAAAGACCCGCTCAGACATCCTGTTCACATGCAAGGACAACGCGCCGCTGGATCTCGTTGCGTAGAAGCACAGTGCTGTTAAGCGATGAACGGGCATGAACGGCGGATCGCAGTACAGCCGCCAAGCCCTGTGAATCGCCATAAGATCAGCCCGGGCATCGAAATCTCCGGATTACATAAAAGTCGAGACCGTCTGGCACAATCCATCACGCTTCTTGCCAGTGCTGCAATACTGACAATTTTTGATAAGCGAAGCCGACAGTCGAAGCGCGCATCCAGATGCTGTCAGCTGGGTGTCCAGACTAATGATGTGCCTCAGCTCCGGCAAAACGGCATATCAGACAGGTGTCTTGGTCGCCTCCTTCCGCGCTGACACAGTCTTGGAGAGTACAGAGTATAGGCGTACGACCCTATTTTGTCATGCATTTTCGCATTAGGTATGCATCGAACAAGAGATAGGCTCAGATCCGGGTTCGCGAGCTGCCAATTACTGTTGATGCCATCGGTAACTCGACCAGTCCTGCCATTTACCACGTGCGCTGTATCAGAAGCACATACCTTGCCTGTTTCTCATTGGGACCGCGAGATTCTCTTCTTGTACGACTTGTGGCCCATCTCGCACGACTATTCGGGACTTGAGACCGCCATACCGTACGTCAAACTGTGGCTGTGAGCTGGCACCAGATTGAGCGGGCGTGGGGACCCCTGAGTCGCTCTTGTTGCTGGCCTTGTGGTGGCTGCTGTGTCATGCAAGCCAACCCACCCGAAGTCCAGTCTTCTCCAGGTTGATGTTGCTGGACCGCAGCAGCGTACTTCGATCCTGGCAGTGGCGGCCGCCTTCCGACCTCAAGGACAGAACACTCGCCGTTGTTCAGCGGACATGTCCAAGACGTACGCCCTGCTCCAGCCATACTGAGCTCGAAATCAAGGAGCTCGTCCGCACTCACTCTGTTGTTGGCCCATCGCCTGCTGAATGGTTTTTTGTAACGCTAATAAGATTCTCAGCAAGCACAGTTGCGGCTGGACGCGTGATACCGACTCAGGAACTGTTTGCCAACCTCATTCCCCTTCAAAGTTCCGGTTCTCTGCGCTTGCTGAGGAGCTCTGCTCTGACGGGAATCTTGTGGAGTTGATGAGCAGCAGCAACCCAGCTAGTAAGGTCAGAGCCCAACATTACGGTCACGACGGGAGGCGACAAGTCGCCGCGGTTGAAACACTCGGACAACAACACGTTTGCAAGATTTTGGGATACGTTCTGCATCCGCCCCTTGACCGTCTAGTAGGGGTCCAGCTGCTAAGCAGCAAGCAGACGAGTATCAGTGTTGGTGCTGGTCCGAATCAGCGCCATCTGACGAGCACAAATGTTGATTGCAGCCTCGGCACCTCCGGCCGCATACTTGTGCTGCCAGGAACAAATGTCTGTGCGTGGTGATCACTCAAAGTGGCTTGAAAAGGTGGCCAGAATGGCATGCATTGTAGATCGCACTTACGGCATTCCCCATTTTCGCTTCACGGCTAGATGGACCGTTCTAGACGGTTCTCGATACCCACATTGCTCCATGTCCACGACTTAAGATCAGCGGACTCCTCTACAACGCCACCTGCAGTACCACAATGCCTAGGAAGAGGCGCACCGTGGTTTCAGAAAGGCAGAAGCCATGTCGGGATCGGCGTGGTTGTTTCAAGCCACGGGTGCAGCACGACTCCGGTACACTCCCCTTGGAGTCTGAGGCATTGTCAACCCACACCAGCGGTATCAATCCACATTGTCAACCCACGCCAGCAGTTCTAATTCACGTTGTCAACCCACAGCAGCAATATTGATTCACATGCGAGTCTCCAAAGACGGTACAGGTGCATTACCAGTCTCAATGTCTTTATAGAGCTCCTCGCAAGATCTTCACAAGCACTATGCGGGACCGCCAAAGACTCAATTTGCTTGACGCTTGGAGCTGATCTTCGTACTTCACGTTGATGCAACCCAGAAACCCTAGAACTTGGTAGTTAGTCAAGCGAGGACTTAGGCGACGTTGCAAGGTTAAGCCCCTGGCGAATTGTACAGTGCCTACTGCCGACATTTAACCTCAACCAGAGAGTACTACAGTACACGAGTCTACTGACGATGTCTTGGTTGTGGTCGCTGAAAGAGACACATTTTCTGTAATTAAGCGTGCTGACGATGCGACCCAAGTCTTACCCAAGTAATTCCATTGACGGCTGTGTCCTCTACTGGTAGAGACGGGAATGTCCGGCGCAAAGCTTGAAGCCTGATCTCGGAACCATGAGACTTCCACACCTGGGCAGCTGGGCTGTCCATGAAGTGCACCTCCAGCATTGGCTTCCAGCAGATGTGCCACCAGCACGGAAGAGTATTGATCGGGATCGGCTGTTACATGAATGATCGCCAAAGCGCTTCCAAAGTTGTTTGACTCTTCAGTGAGTCTTTTCTGGCCTGGAACCTCGCTGCATGTTAATCAACATGTAGATCGGGGCAGATCGGTAATGCCGCACGTTAAGCGATATAACTTGCTTGATCAACAACGCCCAAAAAGAAATACTGCGTAGCTCGACTTCGGGCCCTCCTGACAGAGGTAGGCGGTTCTCGGGCCGTGCCAATCCCCACGCGCAAGCTGTTGAGTCGTGCATGTCTTACGGATAATTTTTTCCACTCAGGCACATCATAGTGGTAGGCTGATCAACCAGGCTCAGGTCGACTGCATCATCAACGTTGTGATAACAGCTTGTCCCTATTTGCTTGAACAGGCATGCTTGATTGACAACGCCACCGATGGTTATATTAACTTACAAGATCAAATTACCAACCGTTTCGACTTCATCAGTCCACCCTTGAACGCGCTACAGATAATTGCTCAAGAGGCGACAGGCTGTCGGCTTGGCCAGTGACAATGCCGTCTAAGTCGCGCCATGTCCAGCACTCCCGCCTCCTCATTAGAGATGATGACCAGGAAGAACACGCTGTGGGGTCTTTTGGTTCAATCGAGATTCTTCTTTCGTCCTTGCAGACCCGCACTCGACAGCGCTCTCGGACTCGAACTCACCGAGGAGGGAAGCTCCTACGTCAAGCTCTCATTGTCGTTGAGGTGACAGTGGCCAAGTATGCGTCAGATTTCTCTTTTTCATCATCCATGTTGTTTGCGGGATCTTTGGCACAATCGAAGTTCTTCTATCATTCTTGTAGAACCCGCCCTCAAAGACACTCTCCCAAATCGACCTCACCGAGGAGGCATGCTCCTACGTTTCCAAGCTCTAATCGCTGTTGAGGTGCCGGTTGACCGAGTATGCGTCAACTTTTACTTTTTCAGCACCCATGTGGTCTGCGACCTTCCCGCAGAACCTTTCAGGCCTTCAAACGTGCCGAAAGTCAGATTAAGCTTGCGGGAAGATCCCAGGCTCGCCAGGGCATGGCAATGGAGACATTGGCGGTACCCAAAGTCTGGCAGATTCCACGTCACACGGCTTCATGCTCCGACCACAAACCATTCTGGGTTCGCACTTTCCCTGGTATGCCAAGGTCTACGTCTCTGTCAAAAGGGGCTAATCGCGCGCCCTGGAGTCGCTTTCCGGCCCCAACAATGAACGCACGACATGGCAAAGATCCACAGACGGGAACAGGTGGACAACAGTCAAGAGCTGATGCCGTTTCAGAACATACGTCACGCGACATGGCACCCGTCCTGGCTTGCTTTGGAAAGAGGTCCGAATCGAGTTAGTACACCATTACACGCAGCTTGACTATCGTCAACTTGCTATCCTTCTATCTACTTAGCAAACCGTTATGCAACCACAAACGCCCATTGGGGGTATCTTTCCAAATACAAACCTGCCGTCATGCCAAAGCTCCCTGCCATATGCCAGTGTTGTCGTCTAATGTCGCCGTTCCAAACGCCTTGCCGCGGAGATGCTCTTTTCTTTCTGCTCCCAACCGTTGCCCAACCGAATTAAAGAAATGTCGACTATCTGTAGTGTTCTGGACCACCTCAACTACCCTGCTCGCCACCCACAAACACCCTCCATGTGCCTCCATCAACGCTCCCCGCAACATTTCCTCTGACATCTCCAGCCCCTGTCGGTGTCACATCGTCATACGCAAAAGCATACCCCTTGCCATCCTTCTCCGCTTCGTGCACGAATTTACTGTAGTAATTCGTCGTCTGGTCAGTATAATACCTGTCGGCTCCTACAGTGGCGATTGGGGTCGTATTGTCCAGCAGCAATATCGAGCGATTTAGTGCGGCACACACTCGGGGCACGATGGCAAGGTCCACACCATTGTCAGTCGAGAGCGAGGTAAAGATACCACTGCAGCCGAAGATGTCGAGAGCTGGGTTCGAGGCGGCGTAGAGGGAATTCGTAGAAAGCGGTGCTGGAATGGGCCGGGATGCGCCGGCGCAGACGAGGTTGCCTAGTAAGATCGATTAGTGAATGTACCGTACACAACGAAGCGACTTTCGTGGAGGCGGACGCTCGCCAACGTAGAGGATGTGGACAATGTGGCAGAGAGGCACTTACCACTAGCTGTTGAACACGTCACCGTACCGTAGTCGCCGGTTTGTGTGTCAATAAGGAGATCCTCGGTGGCATACTTAGTCCAAACGGCGGTCACGTAAGAATCCCAGTATTCTCGAAATGCACTCGGATCGATGGCTGCTATGTATTTTGCAGGGGAATCAGCTCTTAGAATTGAAGGGGAGGAAGACTCACCTGTTTCCGTAGTATTGCCGCTATTTTGGCAGAGCTTGTCCCACGCCTGGCCATCTCTGGCGGCCTGGGCTTGAAGATCGGAGCAGACTGCGTTTACGCCTGTGATGCTTGTGCCTTGGACAGTCTGAATAGCTCCAGACGACTCAGTGAGCTGCATGGCCAGCGCCAAACGAGAGATGAAGTCCACGAAGGAGAGATTGGCGAAAAGACCAGCATCTGCGTTGTATGTCATCTCCAGGAATGACCAGTCCGAACTATAGGCTGAGTCCGTCGGGTTGAGAGCGTCAGGCTGTACAATGGTCACTCCGGATTGATCGTTGAGAAGCGTAAAGAAGTCGAGCGAGGAGCTTCGTGAGAAGTATATTCGTCCTGAATTGAAGTAACCAGGGAGATTGATAGTGGTCGTACTGCCCGCCGGCCCAAGCTTGATGGTAATTTGAGACGCATCAATTGCCTGGGGTATGGTGGAACTCGATGCTGTAGGGTAGTACCATGCCTGCGACGGGGTGAGGAACATGACTCTTCCAGCGTTATCCTTTGCGGAGATATAGACATTGATCGATGCGCTATCGCTAAAGGTGTTCAACAGGTCGACGTTCAGGCCTGGAGTCGGCTGAGGCGGCGATGTTGGCGGCGAGTTGTTCGGGAATGTGCCGTTCAGCATGTTGCCTGGGCCACCACTCGCGTCTGGAGGAGAAGCACCAGAAGACCCAGCTGTTGATGGTGAGATCGTGACCGTAGCCGCTGTTGGTGCTGCCGTTGTTGTTGTAGTTGATGGTGATGATGAGGATGGCAATAATGTCGATGCCGCCAAGGCCGAGGACGAGGACGAGAAAGCGGCTGATACAGAGACGTGAAGTCAGATAGTGCTGTCGCGCTCTGACCAGGATTGCTTGAGGCGAAGAAAGTCGTGAAGCCGTTGGTGAGCGTGGTCTCCGGCGCAGCAACGACGCCTTGCGTTTCCGCAAAGATTCCTGGCGTGCTTGATGCTACGACTGATGTCGCTGCTACTATTATCTCTGTTGTTTCAGGGACTGCAGCATTTACTGTACCGCCAGATGCCGACGGTATTGTCACTTGTGGTGAAGCGAAACTCGGTAACGACGATACAGGGAAACTTGTTGGTGGTAATGAGATTGCGGCTGACGGTGTCGTTGTTGTTATGGTTGCTGGGACTGGCGAAAGCTCTGTAGATTGATCAGTAGTCGTTGCTGGTGGGTCGAGGCCTGGCAAGGCTGTGCTCGGTTCAGTTGTAAGAGCGTCTGGTTCTGGTATAGGCGCTGGGTCCGGTTGCGTGTTGTCTGACGCTGGCGATTCCCATGGTGGCGATATCCATGCTGGCCACCCTCCAGGCCTTCCAGGGCCACCTCTGCCCGGTCCTCGTGATCCATACTGTCCGTTCGGTCCGAATTGTCGCTTCGTTGGGGCTGCGGAGATGTGTGGGGATGTCAGTAAGAAAAATGTCAAAGATAACAAAGATGAATGCATTGTTGCTATCTGTGAGATATCCTAGGATCTCGACAGTACAACGTTATGTGTTCGGTGTGGCTGTATGAGGTGTGCTAAAATCCAACGTGAAGCTCATCAATCCTTTTCATCGTTTCGAAAGCTCCAAAGATAGGGTCCTTGGTACCTGGAACTAGCTGTTCACCGCAAGCATGTTGGCAAGGCAACATGGCTATCAAATTAAGTTCATCTTGGCCGCCGAGCGTGGCATTTGGTACGTGATCGAGAGATCAGAGGACGGCTGGGTCGCTGACACGAGCAGTGAAGTATGTTCAAGCCGGAGAAAGTCAAAATGATGTTTGGGTAGGAGCGATGTGGTTAGCGTGGCTGCCTCGCATGTATATTCTCCGACTCCCTTCCAATGATGCCGCTACGTATGAACCAAATTTCCCTTCCATGGAATGCTTTTCCCTGTCAAACTCGCTAACCCGCGAGATCGCCCTCGATCTTATCGCGTAACGCCAGGCTCATTCCAAAGCGGAATATACAGGTATAGGACTATGTACAGTTGCCAGAACTCCATTCCCACTTGCGTCATCGTGACAGTCGTATGCCAGCAGACTCCAGCAGCCCTTGCAACATGTTATACAGACAATAAACGGACATAAGTCGCAACATTGTACCAAGGCCCGAGCAATATCGACAGTCATCCTACCGAACGCCCGCACCAAGTCGTGTAGAAGTAGCAATTGCGAAGGCGATTTCGGGCTCATACGGGTGGGGCGAGTTTTCCCAAATCCCACCGTTATCGCATATGTTTCAATATCTTCGCAACTGTTATTTCGTCAAACTGTGGCAGTGGCGGTGGGTAGAGTATCCTCGAGGATGCTGATCTCGGAGATTGGAACAATGGTGATGACCTCTGTCACAACCGTGGGAGCAAACGTCGTTGTCTCGGATGTAGTCGTGGTGACGGTGACCGTAGACTGAGACGTTGTGCTGGTGCTGAGCGATGAAGTGCTCGAGCTCGCTGAATCCATACTACTCGAAGACGCTGACGTCGACGAGCCGGTGGAAGATCCACTGCTCGTTGACGTGCCGGAACTCCTAGTGGCGGATTCGGTCGAGCTAGTCGCCGAGCTGGAACTGAGTGTGCCGCTTGACGACGTCGTGGAAGAAGCAGTGCTCGACATTGACGTCGCAACCGATGTGGAGCTGCTGGTTATCGATGTCGAGGCACTGCTGCTGGTCGTCGAAGTTGTCAAGCTGGCGCTCGATTCGCTGCTCGCCGAAGTGACCGCGCTGCTACTAGTCGTCGAAGCAGTGCTGGAAGTCACGGTCGCAAATGTCGTTGATGTCGTAGATGCCGCGGGAGAGGAAGCCGTGGTTGACGATATTGTCGAAAGTCCGGTAGATGAAAAGCTTGTCGGAGTTGCTAATGAGCTGGCCGTTCCAGTTGTCGAGGAGCCAGTAGAGGTCGGGATACCAGTCGTCGAAGAACCAGTAGCTGTCGAAAGTCCAGAGATAGTGAATCCAGGACCAGCATCAACGGAGACCGCATCCTGACCATAGATAACGTTGATTCCAGGATCCGGGAAGACGACCTCACGCTTTTCAATCGTCTGACAACCATTGCCAATGTTGCACTCGAACATGTCTGGGAGTGCGTCAAAGGAATTCTGCCTCCGCTGCGGAGATCTGACATTCCTCCTTCGCTGAGTTGTGTTGGTAAATGGTGAGCCACCTACAACCTGCACTCTAGCACAATTCTGATACATATCCCGATTGCCGATAAGGTTGAACCAGGACCATGACAGCAGAGCCGTGCTAGAAGACGGCGCAAACTCAGGAATGGTGAAGTCGTAGTTCGGCGTTAGGGGACATCCTCCAATGATGGACTCGATGACTTTGAACGTCGCGCCATTGTCATAGGACAGCGATATTTGGCACGACCCGCCGCTGTGTGTTGCTCCTCCAGCTAGGGATATGTTGTAAGTGCTGCCGGCCATATATGTTGCGGTAATGTCGTATGCCTGTGGATTAGTAGAGTTATCTTGATACAATTTGCAGGGAAAGTTAGAGCCGTCATTCTTCAGAGGACTTGCTGCAAGGCATCAGCTTCCTTCCCGTATGCTCCAGCGGGAGTACTTACCCATATCATAATCCTTCAGATCAACAGGCACATCTGAATTTAGGGGACTTCGGAGGGGATATGGCCAGGCCAGCTGCATGTGCGCGCTGCAGAGCTCGACTTGGGAGCTAGAAGTGATAGTGCGGTAGCACGGAAGATGGACGCCATGGTTTCGGTAGAAGTGCTTGGCAGTTTGAGTAGTCCGCTGATAATAATTCTAGCAGTTCGCGATGATAGCTATAGCTTGCTTGACCCATGTAACAAGCAGCCAGCTGCTTTTATGGTCGGAGTATTGTTTCATCAAACCTGTTTCTGGCCAATTGCGACTGAGAGGAACGTTGTCGCAGCAACGACGACGGTGTTCCCAAAGAGTCACGTAAGTCGAAGGCATAGTGTCGTGTACTTGTCTCCCAAGCTGTCTGGTGCCAAAGGCAAATTCTTGATGTTGAACCAGTAAATGATATGAGTACGAAGGCAAAGTCCCAGACTTGACGAAGTTTTAGATTTTGATGGAGCCCGGCACTCGGCGCAAGGGCCGCGCAGATTGCCGACCACTTTATTTCTCCCATTGGGTCCGATCCAGCTGCTCGGGCCAGGCGCTTGTCATAGACCCACAGCAATTTCGGGTCGAAAACACTATTCCGAGTCTCTGGAGCTGCTGCTGACACGCTCCTCGAGCTCATCCTAGGATGTCGGGGAAGCAATCTTTGAATCACTTTTGGCAACGCCCAAGGAGAAACCATGCAATGCTGGTTTCCGCTTTGTGGTAAGAAGGAGATGCACCTACGCTGTCTCACGCTGCCGAATCTGGCTGGCACCTTGGAGGACGAGGTCGTCGCAAAGGAGCTTGCTTCATTTGGTCCTTGGCCATCAGTTTGGCCGGAAAATAAACGCGCCACTACTCACTAGGGTTGTTGACGCACCCAAGAAAGGAAAGAAGGAGACAGCTTGACGTAAAGACCAGCTTTTGCACAGGCGACCCATGGTCAACGCTACCCAATGCGTCTCCTATGAGTCTAGCAGCATCTTGGTTTGGGACTTGTTCCTGGATCAATGGTTCCAGTGCGGGTCTAAGGAAGATCAAGCGAAGAACTATTGAACCCTGGGGAGTATCAGATGCGTCCTCGTCAAACTTCGCGATATCTTCGCGATTGGCGAAATCCGCTAGTCATTAGTTTGTCGATCGCTGAGGGAAAGCTCCGAATTTCCTCATCGGCAGGTCATTATTGACACAGCCGAGCAAATGCAAATTGTTCGGAGGGGGAGAGGTAAGCCGAATAGGTGTGATGTTCTAATTCTCACTACAGGAGCTGTCGCGATGCGTGCAGGCATTCGGACCACCGAATGATACCACCCAAACGGCACATGTCAGCATCAACGTAAATGAGCCAGCTCAGCATCAAGTAGTGTCATCGGTCAAGCACCCAACCCATGCCAAGCGAAGATTCTGAGATGACACGAATAATGCCACGCTGCGCGTCAAAGGTCAACAGCGACGAGCCAAGGTCCAAGTAGCCTCCAAACCGAAACCTTTCCGTCGACCAGCCAACGACGACGACTTTGACGTAAAGTCAGGTCCAGTAGCCGCGCTGGCGCTTAGCACATCATTCGCCTGTCTCACGTGGGCACGAGGCCAAGCAAAAAGACTGCCCTCACCAGCCACATTCCTGGGCTCACAAAGTTCGGGCAATTTCGCAGCCAGCCTCGCGCCTCTCAACCCTATACTCACAATGGCATGCTCTGCTATACCCACATCTTAAGCAGCAACTACCGTCATTGGCCACATGAGCATACAATAGAGCTTTCCAGCCACTATAGAAAATATTCCAGCATCCACAGTCCTGGACTTTCGCTCGTTCTGAGCGGCTCTGACAATGCTATAGATATACTGGACGAGCATTCGCTACGATGTACCGACCACGATCACCGCTGCAGCGTCTGGCACACAGCACACGACGTGTGAGGCCTGTCCATCTTGTCAGCAGCACCAGAACCAAGGCCGGCTTTCGCCAAGATGAAGCCTTCACTATGCTCCCTCACCTCGCTCGCCTTCTACTCCCTGCTCACTTCGGCCCAGGCCCAACAATACACACTCTCGGACTACTACAACCCCAGCAGCTTCACCTCCCAATTCATCTTCTTCACGGGCGATGACCCAACGCACGGCTACGTAAACTACATCTCCGAGTCCGCGGCGTCGGCCGCCGGCATCTTCAGCACCACCTCCTCATCAATCCGCCTAGGCGTCGATTCAACCAACATCCCCTCGGCCTCCGCTCGAGGGCGGGACTCCGTCCGCGTTGAGTCGACCAAGACTTACAACGCCGGCACCCTCATCATCCTCGACGCTACACACATGCCTGTTGGCTGTGGGACGTGGCCCGCCTTCTGGCTTTACGGTCCAAACTGGCCTACCAATGGGGAGGTGGACATTATCGAGGGTGTCAATACACAAGGCAGAACTCGTTTGCTGCGCACACGAATGCTGGGTGCTCGATCTCGAATAGCCCGCAGCAGTTTCTGGGTGAGCTGAGCACCCCGAATTGCGATGTCAATGCTCCCGGCCAGGCGACGAATGCTGGCTGTGGCGTCGTCTCCAGCCAAGGCGGCGCCTCTTACGGCGCGGGCTTCAACGCGAATGGTGGTGGCGTGTACGCTACGCAGTGGACGGATGAGGCGATCAGCATTTGGTTCTTCCCTCGCGGGAACGTGCCGGGTGATATTTCATCTGGCTCACCTAATCCCTCAAGCTGGGGCCTACCACAAGCCAGATTCGGTGGCTCAGGCTGTGATATTGGACAGCACTTCAGAGATCAGAAAATCGTGATCAACACCGCACTATGTGGTGACTGGGCAGGCAATGTCTGGAGCCAGGATGCGACGTGCTCGGCGAAAGCAGCAACTTGTTCGGATTTCGTGCGGGACAATCCAGGGGCGTTTGCGGACGCGTACTGGGAGATTAGTTCGTTGAAGGTGTACCAGAGCAATGGCAATGCGTCGCCATCGTCGACGGCTGTGCAGCTGCCTAGCACTCTTAGCACAGTCACGACGGTTGCCACTTCGTCTTCGGCGGCCGCCACGACAGCGGATACCACGATCATGGCGCCAACGACGACACCCGATACGACGACGCTACCTCCCTCGACATTCGCCACGAGTACAATCACTGTACCAGCGACATCGTTTTCTACCTCAACGATTACTGTCGAAGAAAGCACTCCTGCAGTCGTGCCTCCGACACCTTCCGCGCCAGGGGAGACAGCGCCACCAATGACGTCGGCATGGGCCGATTCCACCCCAAGCGACGCCCCATCATGGACCGGAGGTTATCGCGGAGGAGGCGGCGGGCGATGGGGCGGGGCCGGCGGTGGCGGTGGCGGTGGCCGTTGGGGACCACCGCCGGTGACGAGGACATTGCTCGGACCTGATAGGATGAACACTTACGAATTTCCTTTACTTTAGAGAGATATGATACCCCGGTCTTAGGACCACAATATTGATTGGATAGGTAATACAATGTACCATAATAAAGAGGACGAATGTCTTGGTGGAAGTATATTTCCCCTAGCATCAGCTGGTGTATAGTTTGATATGTGTATATTCAGATGTTCTACACAACATCACCCCTAATCCACCCAGCGTAAACACCCATCTCACCTCCACCTCCCCCTGCCTCCCCACCCCTGTGCTTCAATACCCACAAGACATCCTCCTCATCCAACTCAACCCTCACGCCCGCCCACTCATCCACCGCCACCAGCATCCCACTACCACCTGCGCCCTGGAGCGTGAGCACGCCCCATTCCCCAATCATCTCCTCCCACGCACCACGACAGACACTCTGACTCCATGCCCGCATCCCCGCCGCCGGACCCGTCGCTCTTGCGAGACTCGCGCGGCCGGACGAGGCGAGGAGTTTGGTGCGGTTCAGCAGGAATTGGTAGTGGGTGAAGGTGGTGGAGAAGGAGGGGAGTGGCGAGGGGTAAGATGGAGAGGAGAGGGCCGCGAGGAGGGCCAGGTGGAGGGTGGGGAGGGACATTGCGCGGGAGAGGATTGTGTGGTGGGGGTTGGTGGAGGGAGTGGGGAGGGGCGGGTTAATAATCGAGGGCTTGGTTGTTAGGCCTGAAGATTGTGATTTGCGGGCCTTTCCTTGAGATGCTGGTGTTTGTGGTAGAGCAAGGGTCGCGATTGGGGTGTGTAACGCTGCGAGGACGTCGGGAACGGACTTCGTGGTATGGAAGGTTTGTGAGATCAGCTGGGCGATGATTGGCGAAGGCAGGAGCGACTGCTGTTCGTGCACGTTAGCTTCACTAAGTATCTGGAAGGAGCGTCACACACCTTGATGTGGTCGTTCCAGGAAGCGACCTCGCGATCCTTGTCACCTGCCGCTCTGACGGTCAACGCCTTCTCAACAACCTCGTTCATTTCCCCAAGGGTCCGCACTGGTGTATATGCAGCCAGCGGTGACTGAAGCGAGACTTTACACGTTTCTCCAGTGACTCAACCACATCCATTCGTGTTGAGCAGCCGACCACGGCGATTGGTGCTTTCCTCGATTGGGCGATGTCGAATAGATTGTACAGCAGCGTCTGACGCGGGTGCAGAGTAAACAAATCGAATTCATCCAGTATAATGATAGTCGACTTGGCCACTTTCGACGATGTCCCGTCAGCTTCATCTGTCATTCGTGCATCCACTCCATCCAGATCAGGCTCCATCTCGTCGGGATGAGATAGCAGCGAGAGTAGGGAGGCAAGTGTATCAGCATAACTCAAGCCTGCCGTCACTGCCACAGACTCATCACCATCCGAGGAGGGCTCCTGCGTCTCACGTCCTAGTTGCCGCCAGATCTCGCGGAGTGCCACTCGATCGTCAGTCTGGAAGAAGCCGTTGAGTCTGACGACATGGAAGAGCGAAGAGTGCTCTTCTTCGAGCTCTTTGAGAACGTGCTCAAGCAGCAACGTTTTGCCCGACCCGCGTGGCCCCAGCATGAGCAGTGAGTTCGACTCGCCAGATGCGATCGTAGATCGGAGAAGATTGGTGAGGGTCGACTGCTGCGTCGATAGATGTGGTCCGGGCGGGCAAGGCCTTGCAGAAGTAAGCTGCGACAAGACTTGTTGCTTAATTGAAGATACTGATGGTGAGTCTACAGTAGAACGAATTGCTGGCAGGGCTTTGGTATGCTGCAGAGACTGTAGAAGATCGAGTGGCTGGTCAAAGTCCAGTAGAGGATCGTCTTCCCTTGTTGGCTCCGGGGAATCGTCTTCAACAGCTGGGTCGTCTTCTGCCTCGGCATAAGATGTAGTCTCCTTTGTTCTAGTACTCCTGGCCGACTTCTTGGGTGATTCATCGATGTCCCTGAAGCCAAGCTGTGCTCTGATCTGTTGCTCATCTGGGTCGAACACTACCGATTTGTGCCGAGCATTTCGCCTACCCTTGGAGGGAGTGAGTATGCCCTTTGGTCGAGGCGAGGCCACCGCTGCTGATGTGTTCTTCACGGCGCTGGCCCGCACCGGCGTCGGCTCTCTGCTTGGTTCTGGATCGTCTGAGTGTCGTGTGTGTGCTCTTCGTGATCGGGCTGAAGGTGCCTTCACCGGCGTAGTCCCTGCACTTTGCAGCTCGTCTTCGCTTTCAGATATGACCATGGCATCTGCTGTTGGCTCAACATCTTCCCTGGCTTGTCGCTGGTCAGTAGACGACCTTGCGTGGTCCGTCTCCTCCTCCCTATCGGCCACCGCTCTCGGTGCATTCGGCCTCTTGGTGAGGGAACTTTTTCTTTGCTGACTGTAGATCCGCCTTGTGCTAGATTTCTTCGATCTCGGTGTCTGTACGGCTTCACGCTCATTGCCAGGCGTTTCTGGGATCTCTAGAGAGGCTGTGCTGTGGGCTGGCTGCAGCGATATCGGGTCCTTTGCCGGTAGTGGTGCGCTGTCCAAGTCGTCTTGTGTCGGGCCCCCTTCTACGAGACTGTCTTCTTTACTCCCATATGCAGAGTCAATCAAATTCTCGTCCGATTGCTTCAGTACTTCAGAGTCGACGTCGTCGTCTTCCTCGTGTTCGGGTACGGTCTCGGCGTCGTGCTCGGCAGCAACCTCTTGCAATCTCCGTGAGACTCGTCGCGCAGATCTCTGTGCTCCATCTGCAACCGCCGGGGCTCGTCTTGTGCTGGCTGGAGTGTTTCCCGACTGTGACTTCTTCGGCTCGCTTCTTCGTCGCGGCCCACGAATTCCTTGTTGCACATCTGAAGCAGCCTTTACAGGAGAGCTGAGGTGAGTGCGCGCCCCGTCGAGAGTGCTGTCAGTGCGCCTGCGCTTCGACGGCCGTGTGTCTGGACTCTCGTCGAGGCCGGTAGCTTGCGCACCAGTTCGCGCAAGTTTCCTTGCCATTGTCTAGTCACACCTGGGCGCTGTTGATGAAAGCACCAGGCTGAGTCGCAACTGACAACTATGGCTAGCATCGAATGCGATTCGAAGCTCACTAGACAGATAGCAACACGGCCTCGAATTCAAAGGCACCGCATGTGAACTCATCGCTCTGCTGCAGCCGTGCTCAAGTCCGGGGGGCGGTCAATGTGGAGAAATTTCACTCTACGCGTCGACGCGTCCGCTTAATCCTCGGCGGCTGAGCCCCGACCGGAAGAGTAGTCACGTTCTAAGGATTGCTATCTCACTGTCTATGTCTATGGCTACTAATACTTCCGTCCTTTTCGCAACAGCTTTGGCTTCCCGCCAACGTATACGAATGATAGCAACGCAGTCGTACCAGCGATGCCCGCCAACACAGCATTCATGTTCCCATATCCAATTGAGTCCCTCAAGGTACCCGAGAGGATTGGCCCAATCGTAAGGCCGGCGCTGAAGACGAGTGAATTAAATCCGTACAGCTGCGCATACGGTCCGTTCTCCCCAAAGAACTTGGGGTTTGCCTTGTCGTACTTCTGCACCACAGAAGATGCCTCCACGATGGAGGGTGAGCCAATGATAGCCATTCCGGTGCCGACTAGTGACAGCATGCCGCAATAGAGAATGATATTGTGCTTCTGTGTGTTCACAATTCCTTCCGCAGGAAGACGCAATAATACCAAGGCAGGCGCGAGATAGCCAAACCCAAGTACTGCGATAACCTTGGGTCCGTACTGGTCGCAAGCCCATCCAGCGATCGGGCCCAAGATGAGGTAGGGTATGTCCAGAGCGATGAACAACAACCCGGACTGCAGCGAATCAAACTCGAAAAGTGTTTCTGCCTCGGTCGGTATGGTGGCGTCGAACGTTGCCAGGAGCGAAGCTTGGACAAAGGCCAGCAACAGAGCGACGAGCAGCCGAGGATCTAACAAGCAGTACACGATCGGCAGCGCTCGGACGAGTCTGTTTTGACCGTCTGGGATGGTGAAATCCTCCTCATCCTCCTTTTTCGGCAACAGCGCGTCCGATTCGCCTGCCTCTCCTGGACTCTGCTGCTGCCCGTCGTCGTCCGAGTCTGCGCCATCTCGCTGGCCGTGATCTCTTGGGTTGGTTGCCCCATCGCCGGCGAGCTTCGGATCGTATTTCTTGGCAGTCTTTTTCTCGATCAAAAGTACACGCATGACGAAGTCGAGTCCCAATACTCCCGCCCCTAGACCGAAGACACCAGCATACCCAGTTTTCTTGTACAAGACTCCTCCTAGTACGGGCGCCGCGAGCTCTCCCACGGAAATGAATGAAAATATCGTGCCCACCACTTTGCCCAAGTTTTGAGGGCCGACAGTGTCAAGCACCATAGCCAAGCCTACCGTCCACACCAACGCGCCACTGATTCCCTGCAGGATCCTCGCAAGTATCAAAACGGCAATGCTTTGTCCGAAGGCGAGAAGCAATGTGGCGCCCAGAAGGGCTGCCAGACCAGCAAGGAAAGGAGTCTGCCGTGCAGAAGTGCGATCTGCAATCCAGCCCGCAGGTATAGAGAACAGCACGGAACTACCGGCGTAAGCAGCCAGCATTCCAGAGACGTATGATTGGACTTTGTCATCTGGTACTGATACTCGTTCGCGAAGCATCTGTTCCTGTTAGCCACTGCATCTGGTTACGGAGAGCATCGCTCGCTGCTCGAAGACCTACAAATGGCAAGACTGGCACTATCAAGCCGTAGAGAAACAGGTCTGTAAACAGACCAACCGCGACAGTTGATATGATGAACGTCGTCGAAGCCCGCCATCGTAAGCCACGTGGCGGACTCGGCCTCCCACTGTCAGATCCCGCCATAGCACGCTCTCTTCGTCTGCGAGCGGCGGTACTAATCGGTCCTTAAGTCAGTATTATCGTAACATAGGTGATCGTGTGCCGTAGGAGCGATAGTTGTAAGGACACCGCGGTGATGCCAAGGATGCACGGAGAGCCCTGGTCAAGCTGCTGATGTCAGCTCTGTTGCGAATTGGCGCTGTAATGACTGTGGCAGTCGATTGATACTACTAACATAAAAGAGAGAAAAGAGCAAGATGCCGGTTAGAGTGATAGGAAGATTATCAGACAACCGTGCTGACTTCGAGTCTCGATGCGATCATGAGGTCATGAGTTTATTAAGGTCCGAGTGGATACCTCCAGGCGTACCTGCTTCGCTAAAGTAGTGCACCTGCGTTAGTTCAACTTCCTTCATTTTGGCACCCATCGTGCTTGCCGTCACAAGTACTACTCCACGACACGTTGTTCTTTCCTTCGAGTTGACTTCTTCTCTTCGCTACAACATTTTCACCGGCCAGGGGCCACTGCACTGCCTAGGTACATGTTCTGCATGTCAGCTACTGGTGAAGGGCTGCTGCGTGTTCCCATCTCCCCTCTACACCACTCGCCATTTACTGCATACCATATCCCCATGCAGGAGCCTCGTTTCCTGTTTGGGGCCGTTGCTTTGCGTCTCGTTCATTCAATGTTGCATTGTCCTCTGTGTTTCTCTCATTTATCAATCATGCTCTTCCGCACTTCCTTTGAGCAACCCACCGGTCCAGGAACCCCTGGCTAAAAGCGAAGATCTCTCATGTTGTGACCGGCTTTCTTCATTGTTCTCGACAACCTGCTGGTGATGAGCAAATGCAGAGCTCTCAACAGACATGTTGCCGCTGCCCGATCAGATACCTACGTGTGGTGCCGAAACACGGCAGGCACTCTGTCTGCGTTCTGTCAGTTCAACAGTACTTCAAGACGTCGAGCCTTCGGAACAGTGACTATTGCCAATGATGGACTATTTCGCCCCACAAGAAGCCATCTAGCTCATCCAGCGGCCTGCATGCCTTCTAGGCGCTCTAAACATTCGTGTCCATGGTACCATAGCTGCTGCTGAGCCCAGACCACGCGTCAAGCGCGGCAAGCCTCCAATTCCGCCCACGAAACAACACACACCGGTAAAGACAATGATCGAGCCATACATCGACCCATATCCCAGACCAGCACCTTTCCATGGCTCCATTGCAAGCAGCTCCTCACTGACTGGCCCGGCTAGAAGACTCCCTATTCCCTTTCCTGCACAAAGGAGGGAGATGACCAGACTCGCACTCACATTGGGGAGTGACTTCTTGATATCGATCGCGCAGCCAGTCCAATGACCAGGATATCCAGCTCCAAAAAGACCGAAAAGGATAGAGAAGATGTACAACGTCGCCTCGCTGCTGCTAGTGGTACCCCAGAAACCGAAAACGCCTACGACCGAGCCTATTGTGGTCAGCAATATTGCGTAGCTGACATGGTACCGATCAACTAGTCGGCCTAGAATGAGGTATCCGCCGCAAGAAGCGAGGCTCAAAAGAGCCACAGAAAGCGGCCCAGCAGTTGTAGACATTCCCATGGAACTGGTGAAGGACGGTAGCCATAGAGCCGGAAGTGGAGCGACCATGGACTGGATTATGGTTGGGCATTGGTATAACCAGAATGTCTTCTCCTTCACCAGGCTCATGTCAACTGGTTGAGCTCTTCGAGGTCCCCTAGTGATCGGGATTCGGGGCCGCATGAGAAGAACGCATGGTACCGCGACCGTGGCCTGTTGTCTTGTCAACACAAGATCAGTTGACAATTGAGAGGCAATCTTACCAGAATGCCGGCGCATACTCTGAGCGTCACTCTGTGGCCCTTTGCGTCCAACAGCCACCTCAGCAAAAAAGGGGTCACCGCACCTCCGATACCGGTCCCAGCCCATGAAATCCCAAATGCCAGCCCTTTACGCTCCACGAACCACTCATCAATCAAGAACATCGCCGGGAAGTACACCACCAGGGCGCCGAGCCCGTACAAGAAGCCCTCCGTCCACAGTAAAACCATCGACGAATCGGTCACGGAAGCGATTAGCAGCCCAGCGACCATGACGGCCACGCCAGCACAACCACCTACGCGTCGGAAATGCGGAACTCGTTGCATAGCGATAGAGACTAGCGGAGAGCCAATCAACATGACCGCAAATGCAGTGGTTGACACAGCACCGAGACCTTTGCGTGATTGTGATGCGAAGGGCTCGTGGTGGATGTAGTACTCCTGCATGACTCCATAGGAGTGTATGAACCTGGAAAGAGTCAGAAGCGTGCGCCCAAACATTGATGGAGCAAATCCTGTCAAGATGAATGTGGTACTGGGCAATACATACCCCCAGACCGTTGCCTCCAGAAAGAAGCATGCCACAAGGGTCAGCCATGCATGCTTGCCACGGTCCACCGGCGGCAGACTTTGAGCATTCAAGTCGCGTTCGACACCATTATGGTCACCATGGTGCCCAGCATTGACGCTGCCTTCCTCTGGCCTCACAATGGTAAGCTGAATGCCTGCGTCGTTAGACATATCAGCGAGCGTGATTGTCTCTTCGGCTGGATCGTAGGCTCTGCAACGTATTGCATCGAAGCGGGAACACGAACGCAGGTCAGGAGCCTCATCACACTTAACAGCTTCACTGCTTGGTAATATCAATGAGGTGGACCTGCAGTACACGTGGCGGAACTCCATCCTGGGTTCCACGTGGAGACGATCTCCGCCATCTTCGCAACATACTTTGTAGACCGCTACGCATGTTATGCCCCGATACGGCAATGGAAGTGAGATCCAAGAGGCACCGAGGGCTTGGCACGGAATAGTTTGTACGTGGTCCAGTCGGGCTTCCAACACAACTTGAGGAGGTTCTTGTTCTTATCAGGCTCCGTAACACCTGGAGTTAAGCTCACTCGCCAGCCCGCAAGGCCAGACAGGGCGTCAAAGGATCTGTGGGTGCGATACGAATATAATTGTTCTTTGGCTACTGATAACGCCACTTCTGTCTCCATCCGACAAGTTCCCAATAAGTTCTTTTTGACTCGTTGGCACGGTCCCACACTACTCAGTATGCCCTTAATCGCAGTAATGCCCATCAGGAGGCCCTGCTAGCGATTCTACCACAGAATGCCACCACCCAGCAGCACCCTAGTGATCCAGCCGATCCACCTCACAACTAGCGCCACCATCTTCACCACACCCAAAACCCACCTGACAACCCTGACCAACAGCACGAGTAGCGCAAGGAAGATCAAGACGTACACAAAACTCCGCACGCAGTCCCACATGAATTGCGCCGGGGTCATCTGCTGAACGTCGACCACATCTTCGGAAGTCTCGTCCCAGCCATCGTTAGAGCCCGAGGCTTTCCGCTTCGTCTTTATCTTCGGCAACCTCAACTTGCCTGTCTTGCTGTAAACGAAGGCGATGTGCCAGCAGGCTTCTGTCGTGCCAAGTAACACAGTCAACATGTCGAGTCCACGATTAACGACGCTGGATCCGCCACTACCAACACGAGGATGATTGCGGAGCCACATCCGACTGGCTTCGACGGGCACGAGTACCATCTCGTAAGCGGCGCTGATGCCGGATGTCAGTGAAGTAATCTTCGGCATCGCGACCTCTAGCGTTGCGATACTGGTGGCGTCGCTTGGACGACGGCGGCTCCTACCGTCACTGACACTTGTGGCATCATCATCGTTCCAGCCATCCGATACAGCTGGACCTGGCTGGCTGGTCACCCGACGACCTTCATTTGGAGTCACCTTTCTGTTCGACTCATCGACAGCGGGCGCCTTGCCATTTCGCCTTTTCTTGACCAGGACAGCGGGCTTCCGAGTGTCGCCCGTTGACTTCAAGCCTATTGCAGTCTTCGCAGCGGCAGCAGCTCCGGTTGAGGTCGATCCACCACTATCGCTCCGAGATAGGGCCACACTCGCTGCATGAGCAGCTGTTGCGGAACCCTTTCGTGGGCTACTGCCCCAGAATGTGCCTGGAGTTGCCAGTCCGCTTGGGAATTCTTTCAAGCTGACATCGCCGTCATTCACATCCCTGATCCGTGAGCTCAACGAAGGCGCGACGGAAGACTTTGTGGGACTAGGTGTTCGCTGCAGACTTCGCTTGAATGCATTTCGCACAACTTCAAGCTTTTTGCCTCGCCCGGCCGATGGCGTCAATGGCTGTCCCTCCAGTGACGTGATGCTGTCTGATCGGCTTGAATATGTGTCTTCCATGGACCTCATCCTCTTCACAGGACTTGGCGATGGACTCGGATGGCCCAAACATCCATCGTGGCAGTCTTGGTCGCTACAGCATTGTGGACAACAAGCAGAGTGATCCTTACCATCCTCGGTCGAGACTGGCATAGGCGCATCACACGAGTCTTTTCGAGGCATCATCAGAGGGCGAGGCTTGGCTTCAGTGTCTGGCCTTCGGAAAGAGATCGTCCTTTCCTCTTGTTGCCGCTTCTTTGGCTGCTCTGGCGTGGTAGGAGCTGGTTCGATGGTTCTGGGCAGCTCGGGCTCTGGCACAGCATCATTTGCGATCACGACGACTTCTTTCTTCATCACATCGATCGACACTGTGTCAGTACGTGATTCATCCTGATGCTCTTCGACGCGAGCGAGCTGGACAGATTGGTCTTTCGGAGCTTCCACTGCTGTGGTCGTTGTTGAGGCAGTTCCATCGAGATTGTCTTTGTGATCTTCGACGAAGCCGTTCGTGCATTTGCTGCATTTCCGGTAGAGTGCTTGATCTCTTGATGGGAGTAGGGTGGAACAAGTCTCGGTAGGCTTGTGGGTCTCGTGGGTGTCGACTAGATTGCCCATCGGAGTACATCTGGAACGACTTGGTGGAACCTGTTGGTATATTCGGTACGGCGCCTTGTCGATGATGTCTGGGCTGCGATCGGCGTAGATCTCGGGCATGCTGTTTGCTGTTGGCATACCAGTCCGGTTCCACGGGTAAGGCGGCCGCGTGCCTGTTTGGTGCATCGGTCTTCGGGGGCCGTGCAGGACGCGTGGAATGGTAGGTATAGTATCCGCCGCCTCCATTCGTCCGGGCATTGGTGGCCGGCCGAACTTTCGAGGACCGACGTGGGGCATTGCCATATCCATGCCAAAGAGATCGCCCGATGACATGCTCATGTTCATATTCATGGTACTTCGCAATCCTGGCGCTATGCCTCGGGGGCCGATCTGGCGTGGGCCATACGTCTGCTTCACGGATTGGGTGGGTGCGGCGCGGAGTAGTTCTCGTTGCTGCGTCTGTTGACTGGAATTGAAATCCATCTTTGAAGTAGTACTTGTGTACGTGTTCGTGGAAGTGTTCGTGGTGATGCCATGCATGTCCTCGAAGCGTAGTGGAACGGGACGGTCTTGATCTCGAGCTCTCGGCAGACTCGAGGACATTGCGAGACTCCTTGGCTGGATTGGTCCGTCGGGAAGAGGCGGAGGATTGTCGTATACTGGAATGTCCATCGGTCGTCCACCTTTGGCGTGCGTCTTTGGACCCTCCAGCGTCACGCGCTCTCTTGGTCTGTGCAAGCCCATGCGTAACATGCTCGGGGCCATGTCTCTCGGGCCGTTGACGAACGAGTCGGGAAGGATATTTCCTTCCACTGCATTTCGAGAGATCGGAGGGGTGCGCTCCTGAGGTATGATGACGTTGGTCAAGGTATCTTCCGGGGCCAGTGTGCGATGATTCAGCAGGTCTTTGCTCTGTAGTGACTGGAATGGGCCATTGTTCGTCGGCAGACATGGGAGCTCTTTCTCGGTCCTTTTTGTTTGGCATTGGGCGGCTGATGCGCGCCTTGGCTGCTGGTCTAAAAAAGATCCGGGAAGAGGAGCTTGAGAGCCAACAGTAGAGATGCCCTCCACATCACCTCTCGAGGCCTGTCGAATGTCCGATCCGATATCCGCAGGCGAGAAAGGATCTGGTTTGTGCCTGATTGGCGCCGATGTGGACCTCATTGCATCTTCTCGCAGGGCATGTGCTCCATCAGGGTGAGCTACATCTGCTGACGTGCCACCTCCCGGCCCATCTCCCTGACGGTAGAATTTGGTCGGGCTGCCAACCGGCTTGCGTTTGATGCCGTGGTCCGTCATGGCCGTCGGCAAGCAGCTGCTATTGTTTGCTGAAGGAGTTTTTGGGAAAGACCCAGGGAATCCTAATGGTGTTACTGGATCTGCGCCGTCTTTCGAGGGTGGAGCAGGCGGTGATTTTGGAGGAGGGCGGGGAGGCGTGGTCCCATTGTTGTACTTGGCTTGGGTCAGCCTAGGTGGCGTGCGAAGTGTTGGGTCGACAGCACCAAGTTCAGACGTTGGCGTCGGAACAGGTGTGGGTTGCCCGAACTCGAGGCTGATCCACTGGTTTCCGCGTTGCCTCCATTTTGGCGGTGGGAGAATGCCTCTTGCCTTGAGCTCAGAGTTCTCATCAAAGCTGCTGTTGGAGCTGTGGACGCTGGAGTGACAATACCTGTCCGAGGGTTGGCGCCTCGTGCCATGAGGTAGTCATCTCTCGATACATTCCTGATCATGCTGACGCGCCTGACGAGACCAGTGTGCTCGTCAGTACGTTCGTAGTAATCCGTCTCAGTCTTACGTCTTCGATCGTCCAGTGCCTGTTGCAGATCTGACGGACCTGCATGAGCTGTGGTTGTCTCTGGCTCTTCTTGCGGAGAGTGTGGCTCTGTCAGAGCACTGACATCTGGTCGCTAGCCATTTCGAAGTGACCTTCTGCGGACTATTGTGGTGTTCACGCTCGAGTCAGACGCCAGCCGATCACGACTCGACCGACGATGCTCGCCAGCGACTGGATCGAAGATCGGGAAGTAGGAAGTTGATCGGTCCGGTCGTCGTCGAGGACGCTGGCTTGGTAACGTTCGGAAGGCCTCAGGTCCTTCTGCTGACGGGTTTCGATGTTCTGCATTACCTGGTAGCCACGATGCGGAAGAAGCACGCTGTTCCTTGCGAGATCGAGGCATCTGCGGAAGTCTGTCAGTAGAGAATGACATTGTGATAAGGTATGGTTGCTATGGAATGTGGATGAAGAATGTGAGAAGTGGGCCCTGTGAAGTCAGGGCTCATGGTCAGAAAAGAGAATATGATGTAGACGGAAATGGCGGCGGTGTCGCTTTCCAATTCGTTATGTGCTGTTCTGGGTATCTCAATGGGAAGGTGCTTGCCGTGGCAGCTGCTAGAATCTACCTGTCTCTCGACGCAATCGGTCTGGTTTCAGATGGCTCACTCTTGACTGAGCCAAATTTGAGTTGAGTCCCCCAAGCGGCATACTAAGTCGCTTGTCAGGACTTCCTGGTCGTCTTTCAGGGCTCAAGTGTGCTCTCGCTCTGTCCTGGTCGACGCATGCAAAGTTGGTGGAGGCGCTCTTGCGCAATGGTGATGCGGCATGCGTGTAGACACCAAGACTGCCGCCATCGCCGCTTTGAGGGCGAAAGACAGGCTGACGAAATGCAGTCATTGGTCTCATCGGACTCATGCCTCTCGTTTGAGCTGGTGTTGCCATTTCTGTGCTACCGGCTCGATGCCGGAGTTGGTCTGAACTCGTGCCCGACAATTCCGGATGTGCTGTATAACTGGGATTTGGGCTTATACTGAAGCCTTTGTTGATATTGACCATAGGTCTGTATGTCTGTACGGTGTTGTATCTGGCATCGCGAGCAGCTGAGGAATTGGCTTGCTCGGTGTACTGTGTGCCGACGTCTCTATACAGTGGTTGGGTGCGTGGTTGCACATATTTCACATCATACTCGTGCAAGACTTCTTTGGAGATGTATGCAGAATCCTTTGCTTGCTGAGAGAAGAAAGCTTGGAAGGCCGACAGCTGCAGAGAAAGCAGCAATGCCAGGACGATCGCTGTCAGGATCTTGATGCTTGGCCGAGGCTCGGTGGGAGCTATGGGAAGGAAGAGCCAGTAGACAAAGACGTGACCGGGACTGAAGTAGCAGAACAACCTCAACGAGACTGGCAAAGGGTCCCAGACAGCGATCTCCCACACATCTCTTGAGGCATCTGGGTGTGCCCGCGATTGGGCCTTTTCTGATCCCAACATGCTCGATAGAAATTGCAGCGGCGATGAAGCGACTGGCTCAGAGTCAACCTCGAGGCGAACTCGACGTGCAGAAGGTGTGCTCGGCACATTGTCAATGTCCTTTTCGAACAGTCGGTAGTGCTTCCGTCGCCAGAAGGTGTATGCGGCGTTTGCTACCGATAGCAGTGTCAGGATATGGGCGGCGAGAACGGACTGCGCAACTGTTAGTACTATACAGAGCATCAGGAAAGCAGAAGACGTACCAGCCAGGCGATCCAGCCGAAGGAAGGGCCATCGCCAAAGACATCATCGTAGCTCCGAGACTTGGTCTGGCTGTTTGCTCTGGCCACCAGGAAGACCAAATTCAAGACAACACCAACAGGGATGGCCCATTCCTTCTCTAGTTGATCCCATCCTCGCGACTCAATTTCCTCTGACAGCCATAGCAAGAAGTCGTAGGGGTTGAGGTAGGCCGCAATGCGCTCACTCAGAGGCTGTCGGCGAACGTACTTTGGCATTATGGCGGTGACAGTGAACTTGACGCTGCTTCGACCATCGCAGTCGCGTAGACGATTGGTCTGACGCGACAGCACGCGACTAGATCATATGCAGTCGTGGATCAGAAGCAGAGGCAGAGTTGTAAACAATGAGGTCAGTCCTTCCAGGCATGAAGCAACTCCAAAAAATTACCCCAACTGCCTACGATGATGCCCCCCAGCTTAATCGTATTGCCTTCCTAGATCATCACTTGAAGATCGATCAGTCTACAGTCCATTGCAAGTGGAGGCTGATGTGGTGACGGCACGCGATCGCAACCAGAAGCGTAAGCAGCCAGATCGGTTCCGTCAACAGCAGTCATGGCAGCACCTCCGTCGGCGTACAAGGTCGGTGACATCGCCTTGAGATCGAGGGTGTACTGACGATACGCAGGACCGACAGTTCCTAGCTGTCATTGGTGACGAAGAGTACGTACCACATTTACAGAGCTACGATCTTGAATGCTCACGTACAACAGCTCGGTCACTGGCCTCTTGCTTGCTGGTGTGGGACATGTTACAGAGCCACCCGATTCGAGGCGGAACTTCCTGGTCGTAGACTCCAAGACGGAGAAGACAGAGATCGAGGACGCATTCAGAAGCTTCACAAGCGAGAGGAAAGACATTGGTATATTACTGATCAACCAACATGTACGACCCATGCCTTGCGACAGTGGACGATAGCGATAGCTGACGAGTCTGCAGGTTGCTGAACAGATACGGGAAGCAGTCGATCGATTCCAGGAAGCCTTCCCAGCCGTACTGGAGATTCCCAGCAAGGACCACCCGTACGATCCGGAGAAGGACAGCGTCTTGCGCAGGGTGAGGAAGCTGTACGGCGAATGAAGGGCTGGGGAGGATGCACTTATCAGCAGACCTGCAGCGCCCAGTTTGGCGCACATCGACCGCAGGCCATACCTTGGCGCATGGATCTTACACTGCCGAGGCTCCGTGTCATATCGAAAAGCCTTCACAGACAGCACTGCTAGTATACAGGCTTGGGCCGTGGGAGTGCAAGGCGGTTACAGCAGGAAGAACTATGGGCAGCACCACAGGTGCAATTATTCGCGCCTTGCAACAGGGCTTCGCGGGATCTTTATCTTAGCATTGAGCAGTAGAGCAGGATTCGGATGGTGATGTCCCGTTTGTATGTGTACAAGCACCTTCAAATCGATGTCTGAGGCCGTTCTTTAGTTGTCTCAATCACGTGAGGCGGGCTGGAAGAAGTACTAGTAGTTGGAGAGGCGCAGCGGAGAACGCTGCAATAGGCGCCGACGACGTCAATGTCTGGCAACCTTGTTTCTTCCACAGAGATAACACTTACCACTGTACATATCTCTTTCTTCCAGCAGAGGATATCTGATACGACGCGACGCCTTTGCTCCCTTGTGAATATTGATCCGTCGCGGGACATACCCGCTATCAAGCTATGAGGTTACTCGCCTGCCTGTCGACGCTAGCTGCCGCCACTTTGGTGAGCTCGATCTCGCTCGACTTCGGAGGGTCGCAAAACCCGATTATCCAGGACGACAAGGTTACTGTGCCGGGCGAGAATCCTCTGGACGTAAGAGCCGGACTGATCATATCGAGCGCAGACAGTGAGCTGATCTATGATAGTTCTGCACCGATCCAAAGGACTACATTCTCACCGTCGACTATGTCAACCTGACGCCTAATCCTCCCAGACCGTACGAGTTCCCTGCCGGATACACACCAAGAAGCATGGAAGCTGACCGAAGTAGTGGCGAGAAGCTTGTTATCGAGGCCAACGGCACTTTCTCACAGGACATCGAGCCCGGCGCAACCGTGTTCCTTCAGGTCAAATACGGTCTCATCACGTTGATCAAGCAAGAGGCTGATCTATGCGACAACCTCCCCAAGGTCAGCTAAACACATACTACATATCTGCAGGTGCTCATATTTAGCAGATCGACATGGAATGCCCCGTCAAGAAGGGTGTTTTGACAATCAAGAAGGAAGTCGATATTCCCAAGCAAGTGGTGTGTTGCCCTCGTCGGTCCTTTCTCTGAATGCAGCTGACCAGTTTCAAGCCCCCTGGGAAGTACACAGTTCTTGCCGATGTCAATACCGTCGACAAGGAGAAGATCACTTGTATGGAGAGTGTCGTCTACTTCTCCAAGCAATGACTAGAGTACGTTAGGGAGCTCTGAGCTACTCAGCATCCCTTCTTGTCCGGTCTCTGTCATAGTCTGTCTATACGCAAGGTGTCTATCGCCTCGAGTTCAGGTATTGGATGGCTCAGCTCACCCCAAGCTCTGCATTTCCAATATTGAGCACATGGGAAGGTAACGCGAGTTTCCACTCGCTGAAACGTCGTTAATGATAAGTTTTCCTCTGTAACAGCATCACAGGTCCCGAACCAACTGGCCTTCAAGCCTCAAGGCTCACCATTAGTAGCTGTCACATCTGCTTGACCTCTTCCAGGTCTGACCTTCTCGGAGCCTGCGGTCATTGCATTGCCGATCGAGTCTCATTTCAATCTGAGCTCTCCCGTTATGCGGTCGCGATTCACAGATCCACATTCACGTCAGCCCACACACAGATCTGAGCCTGTCACTGCTGTGCATCTTGACTATATCTTCGCTCGCAGCCTCTACACATGCTCTAATCCTTTCCTACACCCCAGAACCACCTCTCCGCTCCACAAGTTACTCGGAAGTTTACTTGTCAATCATCTCGTACTCACTCAAGATGCCTCTACGCAGCCGCGGTGAGCGTAGGGCCCTGGTGGTGAGGCAGCGCGGGTTGAACGCAGCACAAGACCGTATTCGACATGAAAGGACAGTAGGTGACCAAATCGCCAACGACTACACGCCGCAAGAACAAGAACGAATCAGGCGGCTTCTCAGTGAGTTGCCTCCGGATATGACGGTCTACCATAAGAAGAAAGGCATCAACATGCGGTTTTCGAGCTTAGGAGACAGCGGCGGCCTGCACGCCAAGACCGTTCTAGAAGCTGAGGTGGCCAGTGATGAGACCGAGGACAGCATGCGAGAGCTCGACATGTGCTTCGGTCGAATGGCAATGCCATCGACTATTCCCAATTCTGCATTGATCGAAATCACACGAGTCGTGGAGATCATCATCCATCTGAAGGGCACGCTCAAATTTGTTTCTCACCTGTTAGTCAAGTTCGAAGGCTACCACAACCCCATTGCGATTGCATATCCCGATTCGGCGTGCACAATCACTCAGGAAGATAATTGTGCTCTGGAACCTGACAATAACGGCGTTATCGAAACGATGATTGCGATGGATTCGTGGACTGATGAAGAGGGCAAGGCGCCGAAACCCTGGTGTCGACTATTGGTCTTTGACCTTAACCTTCTCAGAGACACGTAAGCCATGACCCAAGTTCAGCGGAGGAACAACACTAATCTCACACAACATAGTCGCAGAATCGCTTACCAGTTTGACATCGTTGTTGTCAAAAAGGGCAATCCTAACGCATACTCCATGAACACACAGGTATATCAACGAGATCTCGCCGGACCCATCCCGATGATCAGAAGCAGAATGCAGAATGGTGGCGTAGGACTACGGCCCATGGGCGTCGCAGTCGAGTTCGACAAAGGTTTTCTCCATGCGGATATCGCAAACGCCCCTAAGAAGAAGACACCATTCATGCCCATTCCCCACGGTCCCAATGACAGGGCACTGTCGGCACGTGGATCCGGGTTCAACAGGCTGACACAGAGTGGAACAATCAAGTGTCGAGAGCTGCGTTCTCAGACGATGATTTGCCATGACTTCAGTTTCCACGCCCGTCACCCCTACAACCCTGACCATGTTATCATCATACGGCGGGCAGTCTCAGCAGTCAGCTGGGGAGATTGCGCGGAAGCTTCCTAGCCTTCCAGTCGGCGGTCCAGGCGGTGATCCAGGTGGTGATGGCGACACCGAGAGCGAAGACAACGATGGCCAGAACGATGACGATGACGACGCCGGAGATGGAGGCTTCTGCAACCCCTCCGGCGGATCTGAGGATAACACGCTGGATGGCCGTCAGTCATCAGCAAGTCTGGGTCCATTCCAATTCGACGACGACAACGGCGGCGGGAACACTCCGGGGAGCTCGACCTCTGGAATAGACGACTTCGGTGACCGTGCAGCAACTCAAGAAAGGATCGTGCGCAGTCTTAACGCCGCGTCACCTCGTCACAGTTCCAACAACCAGATCCTTCCCACCAATGAGGACGAGACCGAGGCGCAGCGAGAAACAGCCAGCTTTTCGAGTGACATGGAGCGCGCTAGACAACTAAGCCTCAGAATCGACCCACCGGACAACGTCAAGCAGGAGACGCAAGACGACAATGAGCATTCGATGTTCGTGTCTCCCGAACCAAGCAGTCGTGCTGCAGGCCCCGCGACCTCCGCTCGGCCACCGCGCCTTTCTCAATCTGCGAGCCACCTTGCTCATTCGCCCAGCTTCGCCAATTCCGACGTTCACTCCATGCAACGACGACGAGCCCTCTCCCATGCCTCATCCATCGATCCGCCGCCGGGTACCTCCGCGGCAGCCACAGCTCACCCGGGATCCTCATCAGCGAAGCGACGGAGACTCGAGTCCACAACACAATCGTCATCTTCCGCTTCCCGCCACACCACTCCAGCCAGGAATCCGACTCCCAGTCCACTTCTCCGTCAAGCTACAGATACCGCGCGACGAGGTTCAAGCATCCTTGCGCCGACGTTGCATCCACGGAGGCGGAGCACTTCTGTCGCCGGAGGTCGAGTTTCCGTGGGTCCGAGAGGTAGTGTCAGCAGGAGCACCAGGCACGGTTCTTTCCAGGGTCCTGGGCATAGACTTGGCGGAGCATGAAGGTCGGAAGGGCTCAGGGCCATGATGGGGATGCTTGGGATCTGGGGGGCGGTAAGCAATCGTTGAGGGCTGGTGAGAAGGACCGATGGGCACTCTTCGTCGAAAGCAGGAATCTGGCGATGGGATGGTGACGAGGACTTAACGGCGGAGCTCACGGGTGACGAGGGCGGCCAGGGTGTTCGTGCTCAACTCTGCGCGAAAGTCAGGATTCACCGCACACGCCCGCATGTACAGCTGCTTCGCTGGTTGCATTCTGGCTTGTTGTTGGTGCGTGCTGTCCGAATGGACGCAGGCCATCAGATTCATTAGACACAGGCCATCGGAGTCGACGAATCTGCTCTTGGGTAGGTAGGGATGCATATCAAGCCATTTCGCGTATTTATTAGACATATAGATTGCAATAATAATCGCTGTCCCATATCATCGCTTTGGCTGCTAAGCACGAAGTCTCTGGAGGACAGTGCTGGGAGCTTCATGCTGCCTTCGCCCATGCGCTAGATGCGGTAAGTACCTCGAGATCTGGTTGGCTATGGCTGGCGCGAGTTCGTCGTGATGCAGCGACAGTGGTTTGCATTTGATGCTGTTCACACAGGAGATCTTCTTCGCGTGGTCAAACTTCTTTAGATCCGGGCGAAGTCCTTCTATGGGCATGGTTTCGAACTCTTCCGATGTTTTGGTCTCGGACACTCTGCTGACTCTTGGCCTGTCGACTATCTTAGTGGCATGGCTTCATTTGTGTGCCTCTTCAGGGACTTCATCTGATTGTAGTGAAGTTTACTAAGTCGCACCATTACCAGTAGACTTTGGCCCGGTGCCACCACGCGCTCTGGCCGCAAAGACCAGAATCTTGGGATATTGCAGCGTGGCAGACACAATTGCCAGAGCCGCAAGGGTGTTGACGATTTTCTGAGTCGTCATGTCATCGTGGTTGTCCAGCCTATCGCGGCGGCGAGGTTAGTACCGCGTTTTGAAGCCGAAGAACTGATCGACGAAGTGGTGCCAACAGAAGAAAGTTTTTGGGCACCACATGGCTGTCCAAGGATCATGAAGGTAATGATGTCGTGATGTAGTGGAGATTTGCTCAAGTCTATGATTGGTGGCACACTTACCGGACTTGAAGGCGATCGTGCATCGGAGGCTCGCCGAGCCGTGCCTGAGATTTTCTTTGGCGTTTCCCGGTACCAAATTTTGCTGGTTTCTTCAAGCTTTTCGGGCACATTGAGTTCCGCATGTCAAGTCCGTATACTCCAGAACCATGCAGATGTCTGCAGTTGGGTCGCAGGCGGCTGAGAGAGCCCTGTGGCCTTCGGTAAAGTCGAATGGAGCATTGACGGTGACCCCGACTTTGAAATCCCACGCGCCGTGGAAGCGCCCCGGAGGAGCCTGGCCGGGGTCAGCTGTCAAATGCAAGATCGCGATTGCGATCCGGTAGTCATCCGAATGGCTGCGGTCAGACTGGGGTTCTGTAACAATTCAAGAACAGGGTCGCGGCCACCATGCAGTACTTGTCGACGAGAGCACGGCGATGCTGTTTCTAGGCAGATATCCTCTGGCACTGACAGAAGCTTGGAAAGCCTTTTTGGCGGTGGAGAAGCGGTTTGTGGGGTGAAGGCTAGGTATACGAAAGTTTGGGATATCAAAAAACTTGAAGTGTGAAGGATGTGTCGTGCTGAGCTCCTGCAGTAGGGACTAGGTACTCTGTCCTTGGCTTACCTTCCTAAATCAATCTCATCCTGCTTATCTTCGCATCTCTACTAGCCCTGTCCGTTACATGGCCAGTTCGACTCGACCTTGAGGAAAAAGCTTCCGTCAGTCAACACCTCCCACATGTGGAGCTATTGAGTTTGATGCCCAATGCCCTCCTGTTTCAAGACGCACCAGTCCGCTTTGGTAACAGTTCAGTGATCGTCGTGCTCGAAAGGGCCGCCGAGTGACGCCTAGAACTGATTGAAAATTGTGTGGTGAAGCGAGCGTAACATGAAGAGCTCGAAGTGCATCATACTGATCACTACGGTCTAAGCTCGGCCGGGTAGTGCTTGAAGACCGTTTGGGGTGATCGACGGATTTTCGAAGCTAGCAGAGCCAGCCATCATTCGACTCTTTCTCGGTTGTTGATTTCGGCTGCTTAAACATTTCATCAGCCCAACAGAACCTCAGTCGCATACGCTTCACCGCTGAAAATGCTCAAAATTTGCTGAAGTGGCGGTTTCAGAGGTCAGGATAGAGCCAAACCTTGGGACTAACGACGGTGAGCCTTCGAGAACATGAATACGAGCCTACTAGGCTTTTCTTGAGCCCCAACTCCGAAATTCGCTTTCTCTCCTTACCGCTATGTGGACCATGGCATGGGAAGCGTTTCACACATCAGTAGTTCATGAATCGAACACCAGTACTCAGATTGGACCTCGCACGAAGGGGCTGTTGTGCCCGGCAGTACAGACGGCCATGCGTTTGGAGGTTGGTCGAAGTCATGAAAATGTGAGCCATCTGCCACCCCTGACGTTCATGGTCAGCTTCTGCCTATCACCTTCGCTTTGTGACGGGAGGCACCGGGTTGATAGCCGGTCGGTGTGTAACCGCAAGATCAACCATGCTCGCCATACTCTTGTCTAAGATTTGGTTCCGAACACCTAACACAATGTCTCTCGTACACAGGTCTGGTCTATCTTACGATGCAGGGTTGATTCTGATGCAACTCTAATATTCTAACAGAACGCTTCGCTTAGTGGAATCCCGGAGCAACAAGATTCAACAATGGTCGTCCCGACTATGACAGCCCATAGCATAGGTACAGATCAAACCCAGCACACCGGATCAGCACATCCAGTTGCTTGCAGCGCGGGCAGTGCATCTGTGGGCATGCATACCTCCCGGTCTGGATCCCGTGCGAAAATGCTGTTTCAACCTGATGTTATTGGATGGTGACAGGAACATGCCTAAAATTTGACACGTCGTTGTTGTCCAGGTACTACGGCTACCTTGCACACTGTTCGCGTGATTCTGAGGCCCGCGCGTCCTTTTACAAGCTTGCTCGTAGTCTACTGTGCGAATATGACAAGGAAATGAGATCCGTGGCGAGATCAGGAGGAATTCGGCTCATCACGAAATCGATTGACCAGTATGAAGAGCCGATTGAATGGGTTGCTTCGGCATTTGCTGCTTCAGGACATGCCTCGCCGTTAGTGAGAGCCCTGGCGGTACTGTGCTTGTTCGCTGCAACTGGCGTTTACACTATTTAGGTCGCCTCAGACGTCGCGTGCAGGATGCTGCCATGACGCCTTGCAAACATGCGCATGGAAGTCCATAACGTGAGAATTCGTACGCCAAGGCAAAGGGAACAGTGCCATCATCAAGGGAAGAGCGCCGGACACAGATAGACTTCTTTCCTCCCTGAGCATGATGAGACCCAATAACGACGCATGAATCGTGGGCCCTCCTGGAGTACTCCATCCATCCATGCGATCGGCCCGTCGTTGGTTTCGCTGCCCAACATCATTGCAAAGCTTTTGACTCGTGAGAAGGTCACATGCCTCAGCGAACAGCTCAACGCGCGTCGATCTGCAGCAAACATAGTGTGACAATTGAACACGCAGAAGGCAAGTGAACATGCCCGCAATGTAGCAGGTCACAGTCGCAGCGGGTCACAACGAACCTGGGACCTCGTCTCCCCTATCTTACATTTCGATATTGGCGGTGCGGTGCGCCAGCCGAGGAGAAATAAGTTAGTCTGCTGGAAGTCAAATCCAAAGAGGGCACGAGCTGACTGGGGTGAAGAGCAAGCGGTGACCACTTCGGAACACCAAATCCACCCTGCTCGAGTAGCGAGGATCAATCCCTGCCATGCCTCCTTTCGAAGTGAGAGGACACGATGTCGCGTACGGGATAGTCTGGACTCTGAACCGTCGGAAGGTGTAAGCTGTGAGTACCGACGAAATGCTTGAAAATCTATCTTCCGACAAAACGTGGGGTCGTGATGACAGGTGAGATATCCGAGTAGCGGTGTGATTCTGAACCGCGCTCCATACTGGTTCGCAGCCCTATGTCAGCTCAACAGATACCTTGTACTTTGCTTGGTCCAAGGCAGGCTCGGTCGCCCGTTCTTCCGCCCCATGATCACTTTGAAACCACCCATCAGAGCAGCGGACATGTTCCTCCTGGTCTCAATCCTCGGCAGTTGTTCCCAGCCGTGGCAGACGAGGTGGTGTCACCGCTCAGAACGGTGGAGCAATTGATACAGTCTTCGTACCTCATTGCACAATAACCTTCCGGCTAATAATCTAAGGACAGCGGATTCACCGTTTCATCGATTCGAGCTTGGTTGACACGAGGTGTCGATCACTAAAGACCCTGGGCTATCCAACGCTACATTCCACAGCTATGGGATGGATTCATGGGGAATCTCCTTTCGCTCGGCCCTACTCGTTCTTGATATTCTCGTCTAGAGCCTTTCTCAGAAAGCAAGATGACATTCGAGATCGTCCGGCTCGAAAAGGTCTGCCGCGAATACTTGGCAAATCCATTATGTGCTCTTCACTGTGACTGGATGTCAGAGTTGACAATTTTGCCCTACCGTCTCATGAATATCTGGGATTCGCCTCGTTTCGATCGGAAAATCTACCCTCACCGCGAATTCAATACGTGGTTCTGTCTCCACTAGCTGTGGGTGTTGGCAGCCTTATCGTCAAGAGGACAGGCCTACTCTGGCGCAAGATGGCTTGATTAGTCGTCACCATCGACAGCGAGCTCTTTCGATGAGACGAAGACGCTGGCGGTCCGTATCAGCAAAGTGGTCATAACACCGAGCAAGTCATCCCAACGACATCGTCGACTGCGCGCTCAGGTTCTACGGCTTCTCATACTGGGCGGCGGTCTTTTGCACAAAGCGCAACACCATCTGCGGAGGCTCCCGCTGGCCAAACTGCCATGGCCGGCTTCTACCCTCACGATCTCGGCTCTGTCTCGCCTAGCGAAGGGCAGCATGGAATGACCGATGTACATCGCGCTGGTCCAGGAGGCGGCGTACCACCACCAGCCGGACATATGTCCAGCCAGCTGATGATGCAAAATCCCAAAAGGCATATCGACAGCGCCGCAAAGATCCCAGCTGTGACGCTTGTCGGGAAAGGAAGGTGAAATGTGATGCGACGGAGACCTCGAGCTGTACGGAGTGCTCTAGTCGTAACGTTAGATGTCAGTTCACCAAGGACACCAACCGGCGCATGTCGTCCATCAAGCAAGTACAGGATCTCGAGAGGCAGTTGATTGAGACACGACAGCAACTAGATCGCATTCGATCCCGCGAAAGCAAGATGGACGCGATGGACGAGTACTCCTCTGATAGTGGTCCTTCAATGGGAACAGATCTTCCCATTATTGGTCGCTCTCCTCGTCGGATGTTGAAGGCGCGTACACCGCAGGATCTGTCGCAGGCAAGAGACAATCTCACCAACTTTGGTCGTGGCGTTCTGAAGCCTCCCGTGACGCAGGCGCAGGCCCTGAATAAGCCGCCACTGCCGCCAGGCATGGAGCTGCCGAAACTGCCCCCACGGACCAGTGCTGACCGCTACGTACAACACTATCTCGATCGCATACATCGACACTATCCCGTCATTCACTGGATCACTTTTGAGACCCACTACCGCACCGCTTTTGATGACGGCCGACTTCGAGACCTGCCACCTGAAAATGTCGCTGTACTGTTTGCTGTCCTGGCATGCGGTGCAGTGTCTGCGTCCGATCCAGCAATTTTGCAGGAGGCGCAGGAGAATTTGACTAGAGCGGTGTCTACCATCAACTTTTGGGAAGATGACATCTCCACGAACCAGGTCATCGTGGCCTTCCTTGCCAGCTTGTTCCTTGCCGAGATTAATCGCAAGACAGCAAGTTGGATATGGGCAGGATCCGCTATTCGTGCAGCTCAGGATCTTGGTTTGCACGTCCAGGGTGGTCAATGGTCGACAGTCGAGGGCGAAATGCGCAAGCGTATTTGGTACTCATTGTACCTCTGGGATAGGTCAGTAGTTGCAGCGCGTTGCTCGGATCGGACTAACGTTCACAGGCTCTTAGCAACCGAGCTCGGTAAACCTATGTTGATCAACGACGACGATGCGGACACCGAGTACCCCGAGTTGCTTGATGAAGAGAGGGCACACCTAGGGTTGCTTGAGAAGGCTACAGATCCGTCTCCGTCGATGTTAATAATATCACATATACACGTCGCCCGTCTCATGTCTCCGATCGCCAAACTCTTCCGATCTCTCTGCATAACAACAGAACTACTCATCAGATTCGAAGGTCATCTGAAAGACTGCCTCAGTGCTTTCCCGAGAGTCTTGCAATTAGATACCGACGAGCCTATCGATCCTCGATTCCTCTCTCCACTCATATCGTTTCAGAATATTCGACTTCTGCTGCATCGCCACAATCTGTCCCCGTCATGCTCGCCTGAGCAAAGGTCGCAGGCTATTGAATGGTGTATCGGAACCGCTCGAGACACAGCACAGATCGTTGCGCGTTGTCTGAGGCCGGATGCACATATCGCTGAGGCCGAGGCAGAGAGTCGTTTTGCTTTCGCTGCCACCACGATGCTGTGTACACATATGTGGAGGTGCATGCTTTTCTTGCTTTTCAGGCCGATAGACGATGCCTTCTTCGCCCTCGTCCGGGCAGCCAGCATCATTGGGACCAGAAGAGCGGTGAATTTGAATTGTGGCAGGTATCTGTCATTTTGTTTACGTGGACTGGTGGAGAAGCTGGAGTATCAGCCGCCCATGCCCATCGATCAGGACGAGGAAATCGTCGTATACCTTTCTGGGGATCTTCAGTCGAGCACGAACAGCTGGGTCTGGGGAAGCGCTGAGACAGGCACGCACCTTAGCCGAAGACAAAAGCATGGTAGGCTAAAGTCATCACAAGAAAAAAGTTCATTGACCATGGACCCGCGACCATCATCAAGTTGGGACAGCACACTATCGCCGACAGAACAGCAAGATTGGGGAGGATGGCAGACTGTCGAACAAGGTGCCCGCTACCTTCAATCTCTGCAGGAGAGGCAGGCTCAAACCGCTCAATCGTATCCGCACGACCGGCCGGTTACCATTCTTCCAAGGATCATGACCTCAGACGAGCCGACGTCAGCGCCATCGCAGACTGCGCAAGGATCGAGTCTTGCGCCAATCTCGCCGTCGAGCCAGAGTCAGTCATCTACGGATACCACGAACGCGGCGAAGTCGCGTATGACTATCGCCAGCCTGATCTGAAGTGCTTGACGAGCTCCGGCTGCGGTCCGCATTTGCCTCTGCCTCGCAACCTGAAATGCAGCTGGCAGGCATCTTACGCCGCCCACTGTACATATAGCAGGAGGAGGTTGAAAAGTCGGCTCTCAAAAACTCTTGTATACCCACCATGTAGAGAACTTGGACACAAATCCACGATCCGCCTCCTCAACTTCGGATTCCAGGGGTTTTGGTGACACTTCCGAGGTCCGTCCGCTGCTCCAGTCAGTGCCGAGGCTAGACCCAAAGTAGAAGGCGTCGGTGACCCGACGCCGTCCCTCCTTGGCCTCGGCGAAGGAGACAAGGAAAATGAGCATGTGTCCTCAACCCTTGCGCTATCGAGCATGACGCCTTCCTAGCTTCGTTATAAGTGAACAAGTGACGCCTGTGTGATCAAGGAAAGTCGCAAACGGTAGACTCGAACGTGACCTTCGCACCCCTCGGCGCACGTGAGATGCTTCCCATACGCTTCGAGTCATCGTCATCAAGGCTATGCGAAAGCCGCAGGGCCCTTCCTCTCGGCCACATGTCTCCTTGACGACGAGTGCTGCCAGGAACTGGCTGGTTCTGGTGCTCAGCCTTCTGACGGTGTTCACGCGGGCGTTGTCGCCATCGGAAGTCGCGGGTTTACGGTGAGTCTCCCTCGAGGGACATGTGGCAGGGCAGATATCTGACGTTCTGCGCAGTAAAGAGACTGAGGACCTCTTCTATCATGGCTACGAAAACTACATGGCCCATGGCTTCCCGGAGGACGAAGTCCGACCGCTCACGTGCCGACCCTTGGCTCGAGATAGAGAAAACCCCGGCCACTTCGAGATCAACGATGCGCTGGGCAACTACTCATTGACGCTGATAGACAGTCTGTCGACGTTGGCAGTACTGGCGTCGTCACCCTCGAATACGAAGCGTAACAAGCCTCTACTACTGTTTCAAGATGGCATACAGCGACTAGTTGAGCAGTATGGCGATGGCACGGATGGCGCTAGAGGTAGCGGTATAAGAGCCAAAGGTTTTGATGTGGACAGCAAGGTACAGGTCTTCGAGACTGCTATACGTGGGCTCGGAGGCCTGTTAAGTGCACATCTATTCGCCGTAGGCGACTTGCCCATACGTGGCTATGCGCCTGCAGCATCACAAGCAGACCACGCACGAACATGGCACTCGATACGCTCATCTCCGGGCCCAGGCATCAAGTGGAAGAACGGGTTCACCTACAACGGGCAGTTGTTGCGCCTAGCACATGATCTTGGAAGCCGACTCCTGCCCGCGTTCTGGACAGAAACCGGCATCCCATATCCGAGGGTGAATCTGAGGTCTGGCATTCCTTTTTATGCCAAGTCTCCGCGCAACTTCAACCCAGTCGATGGTCAGTGCGGTGTCACTCAACAAAGCGGCTCTCCGGAAGTCACAGAGACATGCAGTGCGGGTGCGGGCAGTCTAGTCGTCGAGTTCAGTCTGCTCAGTCGCTTGACCGGAGACCCGAGATTTGAAGAGCTGGCAAAGCGTGCTTTCTGGGCCGTTTGGAATCGCCGCTCAGCCGTTGGGCTTGTTGGTGCAGGTATCGATGCTGAGACCGGCGACTGGCTCAGCCCTTGGACTGGCATTGGCGCTGGTATTGACAGCTTCTACGAGTATGCCTTCAAGTCCTACGTCCTGTTGTCAAGAGATGGCCGTCCACAGTCCATCGAAGTCGACCGCGGTCACGATCCTCGAATGCTTTTCGATGAGCTGAGTGCGGATGAGGACAGTGCAGACAGCTTCCGTCAGGCTTGGGTAGAAAGCCAGGGGGCCATCAAACGACACATCTACCGGGGCTCGAACTTCCAGCACCCGCACTATATACAGGTCGACCTGAACACAGGCGCTTCTCGCGGCTTTTGGATTGATGCACTCAGCGCCTTTTATCCTGGCGTGCTGGCACAAGCTGGTCACATCGACGAGGCCGTAGAAACGCATCTGCTCCAGACTGCTCTGTGGACTCGCTTCTCTGCTTTGCCAGAGCGATGGAGCCTGATTAGCGGAGGTGTCGAAGGAGGCCTCGGCTGGTGGGTTGGACGCCCTGAATTCATCGAGTCCAATTATCACATATACCGAGCGACCGAAGATCCGTGGTATCTCTATGTGGCTGAGATGACTCTCCGAGATATCAAGCGTCGTTGTTGGGCTCGGTGTGGGTGGACAAGCATACAGAACGTCCTCACAGGGGAGCAGACCGATCGCATGGAGAGCTTCTTCCTTGGCGAGACAGCCAAGTATCTGTTCTTGACCTTTGATCCGGACCATCCGTTGAATCATCTCGACGAGCCTTTTGTGTTCAGTACCGAAGGACATCCGTTGGTCATACCTAGATACATTGGCGAAGACGCCAAAGCGGCGCCTGCCAGGCCGACCTTGGAACCGGAAGTGTGTCCGCCGAAACCAGCCTCGTTGCCGTTCAGCATATCTTGGACGGCTGCGCGGCGCGATGTCTACCATGCTGCCTCGCTGGCCCGATTACATATGATGCCGATCAGAGATAACATCGAATCTGCTCTAGGCGAGTATGCCACAGATCACCCGAGCATAAACATTGCAGACCTTAGCTCGCCTTCCAATTATACATACTATCCTTGGACGCTCCCGCCAGCCATGGTACCTCACAATGCCATGACAGGTCTGATGCCCACCAAAGCCACTTTCGACATTACGTTTCCGACGATTTCCAACGAGGCAGCGAAGCCTTCGCCGCCCCTTCAGCGTCTTAATGAGGGGATATTGATCAATCACATTGGTGGCCTCAAGCTCGGCATGATCCAAGATGTCCCGGACCTCGATGGCGAAGCATATCGTATACAAGCAATCAATAACCTTGCGCTCGGCAAAGATGAGAAGGTGTACTTGTCGCGGGAAACCGACGCAGGTGTGCTGAGTTTGCAGGACCCGTACTTCACACGCATCAGAGATAGGGTCATGCTCGATCTTGTCGTCGATGCACCGCAGTCAGCCGCAGCTAACAGCTCCAGTACAGTGGCGCCGTTTGCGATCGAAATTGCTAATGTCATCGACACAGCGGATGCTGCCGCTCGGTCTGCCTGGAATGCGATCTTCGGTCAATTGGCCAGCTTGATCAAAGACAATGCTTTCCCACTCGCCATGCCTGTCAGTACCCATCAAGCTACCGCAAATCTGGCCAAATCTACAGTGCTATCGTCCTCGGGCCAAAAAGGAAGACATCTGGTTCCTGCCATCACCGCAACAGGTCTGGGCGCTGCTGCCATTCCAGACTGGCCGGATTCGCATCCCGATCCTCGCATCGTTAGTCCAGTCCAGCAGACTTCCGACCTCCCATGGACCACATTCTACACTCCTCCTGAAGACAATGCAGACCTCTGCAATTACCGCCTTCCCTCGATCGTTCCCAGAACTCACAAAGTTATCGTTGCCAAGCGCGGCGGCTGCTCTTTCTCAGAGAAGCTGCGCAATATCCCCGCCTTCCCACCGTCATCTTCGTCTTTGCAGCTGGTTGTAATCGTTAGCTATGGCGTCGACCAGGACGCGCAAGCCACCTCGAGTACGAGCGGGAACATCGACCAAGACGTATTGGTCCGACCACTTCTCGACGAGGCACAACTCACACCAACGGGCTTGGCTAGACAGAATGGCGGCATTCCGATGGTCATGGTTGGTGGAGGGGCGGACACGTGGGAACGACTGAAAAAGGCGCAGGGAATGGGTATAAGGCGGAGGTGGGAGGTACAGTGTCGGGGAGTGAGGATAGATAATCTGGTGATCCTGTGAGAATGTGTAGGTTGAGCAGCAGCATTGTGTCAGTACAGTGGGTCGCACCTACCTAGATAGGCAACTACGACTTGGACGCCAAGCCATGGTCAACAATCTTCCAGGACTGCTCAAGCAGTCTCCAGGCGTCCTTCCGCACTGCCCCTAAGCATAGAGGCTTTTCTCACGACGAGGATCAGGACTGGCCAGTTTTCAGGTCCTCCGAGCCAAGATTGGCAAAGTCGATAATTAGTTCGTCCCGGAACAAATTTCGCGATCTTGGGGATTTCGTCGGCACGGTGAGGGCATATGCGGCAGAGTAACGCCCTGCGACAGAGATGCTCCTTGATGCTGCGCCCGTCTTTCCCCTGGGTTTCAAGGTCGGGGCGCCGGGTTTGCAGATTCGAGGTTTTGGTGGTGATCGGAGTGCCAAGACTTGTCGAGGTAGGTCTTGGAGGTGGAGGGCATAGCAAGATAGCATAGCCGTCGTGGAGCTTCTCTGGCATGGAAGTGCAATGGTACGACAGTATGACCCATTGTTTGACTCGAGGAAGGCTCTGCGTGCGTGAGAGACTCGTCGAGTATCTCATGTACGAATTGGATGGCGGAGAGACCGGTTGACTGATGTTGGTCAAGACCGGATGACCGCAGTAATGAGACCTTAGTGAGGCCGGCCCAGGGAGCGCGCAGAAGACTGGACCGAACGAATGCTCTAGCTACAGACCCTTTCCTCTTCCGCGACACTGCTGATCTCGGCAAGGCTATCGACATCAGCTGGTGTCAGCCTATCCGCAACATCTTGAAATCCTCCGGCTGCACCAAACCACTTGCTTCTCCGTTCATCAAGCCAGGAACAAAGGCTCTCGACGTGAAGATAGATGACTGTTCTGGGTCTCCTCGCAGGCAGTAAACAGCAGGTTGTCCAGAAAGGACGAAGATGCCGTGCCCTGCTTGGGCTCCAACAGTACCACATCCGATCCGGCCGCGAGTAGTCGTGAAGAAGACTTTGTTGACCCAGAGTCCGATAATGACTCCGATTGCACTGGTGATGGTTTGTCGGCGCATTGCGGGCATCGCGACCCAATTGACTAGCCCGCCACCACGTACAGACTCAAGCAGAGCGTTCAGCAGAGGCAGTGCCGCTGGATCTGCGAAGTTGGGGATAGAGTCGACTTCCAACGAGGTCACCGCGGCCATGGTACACCAAAAGTCCGACAAACATCGTACTCGATCCCCAGGCATCGTCTGTTCGGTCATTGCCCAGCAGCGATTCATCCATGCCAGAATTGTTGAGAGCGATCCAAGAGCGTTGGCCGGTTGCATAATTTCGCTCTCTCGGTGCCATGTTAGGTCTCCAAGCACATCTTTGACAGCATCAATACTGGCTCCAAGGACGAGAAGGGAATGATCTCGCGTTGAGTCCAGCTGGTGAAAGGCCTCTCCCAGGCTCGAGCCAGCGTCGCCGGTACCCTCGCGTGGGTTGGAATGATGCATGGCGCTCCAATCCGGGCACCACGAAGGCATACCTGGCGGCCTGCCCGAAACTGTTGCTGCAAGTAGTATGGTGTCCATCGATTCCCATGGGAGGTACTCGATCATTACTTCCATGAATTGAACATACACGCCGAGGTAATGGTCTGACTCTTGGTTGTAGACAGCAGGTATTTTGTGCTGGAGCTCGTGTGGCAAAAGGCCCAGTAACGCATATACTCTGTCCTCTTTGACGAGACATTGGCGTCCAATGCTGCACTGGATCATATCTATCAGGAAGGAACCACCCGCGCCAATTGGGCGTGCTAAGGCATATAGATTTTGTGCGGAAAGCTTCAGATCGTCCACCGTGGAGATGATACTCGATGCCGGAGCTGAAATAACTGCCACCAAGGACGAATCGTACAGCTTGAGGCCTAGATCAAGGAATATCGCCCAGTCCAGAGAATGCGAACCGCAAAGCACAACTGCGTTTCTTGCAAGCTTGAGCTCCTGGAAGGTCCAGAGGCGATTGAACCATTCTCTGGCATACAGAGATCTTAGAGCCGACCATACGGCTGAGCGCCTGTTTGGTAGGCCGCGACGAGCTAATTCGCTATCATGCCACTGGGTGGATTCCCGAGAGCGTTGGAGTGTGCTCGCTATAGCGGGAAGCTGCCCTGTAAGTTGATCGTCGTACGCTGCTATAGAGGGTTCTACGTCCTGCCGACGGTCAGGACAGCCGAGCCAGGTTAAGACATTCAGACCGAGGTCACTCGCGTCAGCGGCAGGCCCTAGCCACACCAGGACTTGCTTGGCCTTACTGTAAAGTTCGCCCATGATAGGTATCTGACAAGATTTCTCGTCAGCGTCGGCCTGGTTGATACAGATGGCATCGATCCAGATGGGGCCGGAGGAATGGACTCGAAGCCAAGGCAAGGCGCCGAGCAGATTGGGTGCCACGGGTAGCCAGCCGTGCGTGCTTGTGGTCCTATCGGTGCAAGCAACATGGTACAGCGGAGGGTCGGGGTTGGAGCCCCAGACATAGGACAAGCAGTTGAAGGCAGGTGCAGCGTTTAGGAAAATTGTTTCAAGGATCAAGTCCACAGATGCCGGGTCGTCCCTAGATCTGGTGATTTCGAGCAGGCGAATTGCTCCATCTGGAAGCGTGTCGTAAGGAAATGTCGCGCTTGTACCGGCATCCATAGCTTATGATCAATCTTGAACCGTTCTCTGATGTACATCGTTTTCGTCCGCTTAAGTCGCGTCTTGGCAGGCATCATCTGACGACTCGGCGCTTCACTGCGAAACACTAAGGTTAAGGCAACAGGCGTATCGGTTAAGAGGACGGCTGAGGAGGGGCGGCCTTACGAGACCGGACGACTAGACAACGGAAGGACTTATTTGTCGCCGGATGACAGAGATGCGTGTCTAGGCAGAGTCACATTCAGAGAAGTGATGTTCGTATCATATTTGTTCAAGTAGGTAGACAGGAGATGTTACAACTGGTTAGTGAGAAACACACCGACTCGGCGTCCAGGGCTTTGTGAGACATGGGTCGATCGTGATCTGACACCATTTGTTGTTGTTCTTGTAGTCGTGCTGCCTGGACTCCTGTGTGTGAATCTCACAGACTATGCCCGCACACTCGTCAGATAGAGCGTCGTTTCCCCGATGCATGCCAGTGCGCGTTCGGCCATGTGGGTAGTCTTAGGGCGCCCAAGACAATCGCCAAAGTCGATCGACGATCAACGGGCCTCATTACACGTGATGACGGCTTCCGTCCGGGGGCCCGTGAATCTTAGGTACTTGTAGACAGGGGAGTGTGTTCAACCGCCCACAAAAGTCGTCCACAGAATTCGTTCCACCATGACGACGTACAGACACGAAGTCACAATCACCTCCGCCGGAAGCCGGTCCCATGCGGCCTCAAATATGTACAGCGAGCCTAAGATCTTGCTGTCTCGGCGCTGTTTCCATGCTGCAAGCAGCTCATTGTTCGGGCCGAGGAGTTTGAGATTGCCATGGCAGATTGGCGAAGCTTTGGAATCATTCAGACTTTGTAGAACACTATGCGAGCCTCTCCAGACGAACGCCTGGCCGCTTTCCTCTGCAGATGCGTTCAAGGGCTGTAGGCGATAAACTCGCTTGAATCCTTGCTGTCGAACCTGCCACTCGCGGTACGTATCGTGGGGCAGACTATTGCTGTACTTGAAGCAGTCACTGACGTAGCCCATCTCGATCCTGGCTCTGTTGCCCGGAGGCAGATTGCCCAGAGGTCGCATCACCTTAGCGACTGCGGCGTTGATCTCGGTCGCTGGCTTTTCCGATTGGGTGGCACTTTCAGATTGGCCGGCCGATAGAAGCAGGAACTTTGGTGGAAGTGTTGCCATGCATTCCCACCATTTGAGAGCAGTAGTTTCGTAGAGGAGACCGATATCATGGCCGTCCTCGTCCAGTTCCCTCACCTCAAGCCGGAGATTCTGCGGGAGAAGGAGCCCCAAGGCCGTCGACTTTTCGATTTGGTACTTGCGATACTTCGATCCACCGTGCGTGCTGTTGCTCGTTCGATCGTGGCTGCTGCTGCCGCTGACATCTCCTCGGGTACCTCCAACACCCTGGGTCTGCCGTGAAGCACTTGATCCTGAGGCCCTCGTTCTGCTGCCCATCGTTCTATTCTGGCGATCTCGCGGGCCTGCTCAGCACTTTTGGGGTGGCAGGGACATCCTCCTGGAAATCGTAATTCTCGCGTTGTTATAGTTGTGTATCGAGGATGCACGTGCCTGTTTCTCATCAATCTCGTTGCGTCTGCTCGTTCCGACGTGACTTGATGCACGGGAAACAGTGATGTGTATGACGGTGGCACTTCAGCATCTTGTGTAGTTGACGACGAGTCAGATTGTGTAGAGGAAATAAGGGAAAGGACTGAGCCCACTGAGGACCCAGACCGCGTTGACACCGACATAGTGGGCCACAAGTATTGCTCGAAATGCGAAGAGAGGAGGTCATGCTAGGCAGAGGGTGGCCTTCTTACCATATATTCAAGCAAACAGTTGAGGCGGACTATGCCAACAAAGTTGCTGGGGAGTGTGCCAGACTCAGCACGCGTGGAGGATGTGGAGCGGATGGTGGAACTGGGAACGGAAGAGGACGGCTGTCACGAGATCGTCCAATGACAGCACTCCGTTAGAAGGAAATAGACCCGGTTGAGTCTTGGTTTATCTTCGGGAGGCCTCGGCGAGGTCTCGGCAGAGTGTTTCGAGTGCCTGCCCAAGACGAGAATTGTAGGCTGTGCTGTAATGTGATTTTCTCGGCTTGCTTAGTGAAATCTTGGAAACGGCGGAGGCGAGAAGTTGACGAGTTGCTGGCACTCGGGTTACACTCCATGATCTTCAGACTGCTTGTGACATATATAGTTCTCGAGAACGTCAGTGCCTGCTTCATCGACCGATGAACTTGCAAGACGAATACGACAGATCCAGAAAGTCCTTCAAGCTTCCTTTGGAGACAATTTTGACAGCAGCGGTCCATCGGAGCAAGTCGTGCATGCCTACGGGATGGTAGCTGCTGGACCGTGCAGCAATACGGGATGCATGCCGTCAGAACTGATGAGCAAGCAGCTGGACGGGGAGGACGAGACTGGAGAAACTCCATGTGGGCGGCACAGGTGGGCACGCCCAGGATCTTGGTTTTCTTGAACGACTCTTGGTGGTCGCCGAACCGGATTTTGAGGCGGTGTCATGTTGTGCTCGACTTGTCAATGATGTTGCAAGCACGTGGCGATGTCTGATAGTCTCGCATGTGTAATTACACGAGTCACAAACCAAGGCTGTTTTCGCTGGCAGGAGGTGAGTATTATTGGATAGGCGAGAGTTCGCTTGTGAAGCGCGACTTCCCGGGTTTCCTCACGTGATCAAAATTAGCGTAAATCGGGCTGGTAAACTGTAGCTTAGCTCCAAGGTTCCTGAACAGCAGATGAGGTGATGACTTTCGCGACCCGGCTCTCCGGCACAGAAGTTGTCACGCTGAGCAGACATATCTCGTGTCAGCAAAGAATGTACGAGTAAAGGGAAGTGCACGTGAGTGGCAAGAGTGCATGGTCGTGCGCGCCTGAAGATGATCAGGAGAAGTGTTTCCCAACTGGCAGGACCGCCAAGGATCTTCACAACAAGCAGGAGCTGTCTGCGAACGAACGCCTGGCCGCTTTTGCAGCTTCAAAGCTCTTCACAGCAGGCACGTTATGCTTCGTCGAAGACCACACCGACCTCGCGCGTCTTTAATTTCTTCTACGGCACCACTTTGATTGTTGGCCTTGGCATAGTCTACATCTATGCTACGGATACTCGGGCCAGCATCCACAAATGGGTTGTAATCCCAGCGCTCCGGACCATATATCCTGATGCCGAGGACGCGCACCATATTGGCAACCAGACACTCAAGGCTCTCTGGGAGTTCGGCCTACACCCAAGGGAAAGGGGAGATCCAGACGCCTCGCACGATCTTGCCGTGGAAGTGTTCGGTCAGACAATCCGGAACCCGGTAGCTACATCGGCTGGCATCGACAAAGGCGCAGAGATCCCCGATGCTCTTTTTGCTTTCGGCGCCGGTATCGTGGAAGTAGGTGGCGCAACGCCCAAAGCCCAGCCTGGAAATGAGAAGCCAGAGTCTTTCGCCTGACGTCTCAAAATGCTATGATCAATCGCTATGGACTTAATTCGGAAGGCGCTGATATCGTGGCGATGCGCCTGCGGAAACGAGTGCGAGAATTTGCTCGATCGTTAGGACTTGGTCATGACCAGGCGGCCGAAGCGGCAGTTCTCAATGGTGCTGGCAACGTGCCGCCTGGAAGTCTGACTGAGGGCCGGCTTCTTGCTGTCAATATCGCCAAGAACAAAGAAACTCCCATGGACGATGTCGCTGCTGTGACGGGTGACTACGTCTACTGTGTCGAAAGACTAGCGCCTTACGCAGATATCCTCGTTGTGAACGTCTCGAGTCCCAATACTCCTGGTTTGCGATCGCTACAGAAAGGTGACACGCTCAGACAGATTCTCAGTGGAGTAGTCAAGGCAGCCAAGTCGGTCGACCGCAAGTCGAAACCAGCAGTCATGGTCAAAGTCAGTCCGGATGAAGACACGGACGAGCAGATAGCGGGCATTTGCGAAGCAGTCTGGGCGTCGGGAGTCGATGGCGTTATAGTTGGTAATACCACAAACCAAAGACCTAGGCCGATGCCGCATCTGCAGGGATACACGCCGCTAGAGGAGCAACATCTATTGGAACAAGGCGGGTTTTCCGGACCGCATCTGTTCAACAAAACTGTCGACTTGGTCAAACGATATAAGGGCTTGCTCAGCGAGCCTCCCGAAGTGCCTGATACTGCAGAACGAACACGTGATGCTCTGAAGCAGGAAGCTGAGAAGCTCAAAGCATCAATTGATGAAAGTCAGAGCAAGATTGAGGCAGAAGCTGTGCCTGCTGCAGGACCGCAAAAGGCGGAGGAAAGCGATGCGAAAGCCGAACAGGCACAGAAGGCGTCAGCGGAGCTACTTCAACAGAACACCGCTGAGAAAGATCGGTTGCAGTCGATCTTGAATGTATTGGACCGCCTCCCAGCCAAGGAGGATAAGAAGCTTCCTACCAAGCCAAAGGTCATCTTCGCAACGGGCGGTATAACGAACGGCCAACAGGCATCAGAAGTTCTCCAAGCTGGCGCAGACGTCGCCATGGTCTACACTGCCCTTGTTTACGGCGGATCGGGCACGATTTCACGAATCAAGGATGAGCTCCGAGCTGAACGCAAGAAGACTTCGGCATGAACGTGTTATGCTACTGGACGTTCCAGATGATACCAGATCAGCAATGCATGCCCTCGAAAGTCCTCTTCCTCCTCCTCTTTCCCACTGGCAACGAAACCACACTTGGTCAATACATTCGACGAAGCTTTGTTATGTTCTGCAAACATAGCAGACAGCCGCTCTCGAACATCTGCGCCGTCCTTTGATAGTTGATACTCGGGCATCGCTTCTGTCAGCTCGACCTCTTTGCGCTCCAGCGCCCAGTACTGCTGGAGCCAGGCTTTGAGAGCCTCGGTCGAGTATCCTTTGCCCCAGTACTCCCGGCGATACATATATCCCAGTTCAGGAGGCTCGGACTGGTGACAGCCAACGGTGCCGATGATCGGTCCGGGGTTAGAAAGCTCCTCGACAGCGAATGAGAAGGTATTGGCGTTATTAGGGGCGGCGAATCGCTGCGTCCATTTCAAGGTTGCGTCGAGATCCGTGTCGACCTTGCCTGAAGATGTATTGATCATGACATCTGGCTGGGTTCGAAGTTTGTGGAACTCAGCCACGTCATCGACCGTGATGGGTCTGAGAAGCAGGCGATCGGTCTTGAATGCCTTGGCAGGCTGTGGAAGATGGGTCGTGTTGTCTTCATGTTGAGGTGGGAGGCTCCAGGTGGCTATCGAGGCAGCACAGGGATCAGTAGTGACAGTGCTTAGATAGCATGTTGTGCCGTATACATCGCCGTCTGGCTCGACTACTTACTCAGCTGCGACTTCTGCCTGCCTTCGTACGTGCCATTGCGATCTCAGAAGAGCTTGAATGGTACCTGCCTGGCAGGTCGCGCGGCAGGAGCTGCCGAGTACGTGAAGTGGGGCTCAAACCCTGCATCGATTGGTCACCTCACGTGACTAAAATCGGCAACGGCGAAAACTCCAAAAAAAGTTTCAGAAATTCTTTTGCGGACAGTGGCTTGAGGTCGTCGCCGCCCGCAGTTCACCTTTTTGTAGCCGGACGATCACCACAGCCATAGGGTCTTGAGGCAACACCGACAAAATGAAGACCACATGGAAGGAAATCGCTCCCGTGCCAACATCACAAGAGTTCATTGACATTGTTTTGTCGAGGACGCAGCGCAAACTTCCCACTCAAATCCGATCTGGCTTCAAAATCAGCAGAATTCGAGGTAGGCTGCCAGACTTGTGTGGCCGATTGGTGGCGCTGACTATCTGCAGGCTTCTACACACGTAAGGTCAAGTTCACATCAGAGACATTCTGCGAGAAGTTCCAGGCAATCCTCGAGAGTTTTCCACGGCTGCAAGACATACACCCGTTCCACAAAGATCTCCTCAATACGCTCTACGATGCCGACCACTTCAGGATAGCGTTGGGCACAATATCGACGGCGAAAAGGCTGGTCGAGACTGTGTCAAGAGATTATGTCCGATTGCTCAAATATGCACAGTCTCTGTTTCAATGCAAGTCTCTCAAGCGAGCAGCGCTGGGTCGTATGGCCACAATCTGTCGGCGATTGAAGGATCCCTTAGTATACCTGGAGCAAGTTCGACAGCATCTTGGCCGTCTGCCTAGCATCGATCCTAATACTCGGACACTCCTCATCTGCGGCTACCCAAATGTGGGAAAATCATCATTTCTGAAGTCCATCACACGAGCCGATGTCGATGTGCAGCCATATGCCTTCACCACAAAGTCGCTGTTTGTCGGCCACTTCGACTACAAGTATTTACGATTTCAGGCTATCGACACACCCGGTATCCTAGATCATCCTCTGGAAGAAATGAACACGATTGAGATGCAGTCCATCACAGCTATCGCCCATTTACGATCTGCTATCTTGTATTTCATGGACTTGTCAGAACAATGTGGCTATTCGGTATCAGCACAAATCGCACTATTCAACAGTATCAAACCACTATTCGCGAATAAGCTGGTCTGCCTCGTCATCAACAAAACCGACATTACGAAACCCGAAGATCTTGACGCAGAAACACAGCAGGAACTACAGAACCTCGTCACTCAAAACCCGAATACCGAGCTCCTTCAACTATCTTGCGTAACTCAAGAAGGTGTCCAGCAAGTCAAGAACACTATCTGTGACCGTCTAATTGCTGAACGAGTCAACGCTAAGTTGAAGGCTGGTCAGGCTTCACAATCTGCTACAGCAGATGCACCGACTGGCCGACTCGGCGATCTCCTTGCACGTATCCACGTTGCTCGTCCGCTTCCAGGTGCTGTTTCCGAGACCTCGATACCAGAAGCTGTCCTCAATGGCACACACAAGAAATACGACTCAACAGATCCCAACCGCCGAAGACTAGAGCGCGATCAAGAAGAGGAAGAGGGTGGTGCCGGCGTCTACAATATCGACATGAAGAAGTTCTACGACCTTGCAGACGACGATTGGAATCACGACAAGGTCCCCGAGTTCTTCAAGGGACGCAACGTTGCCGACTTCGTCGATCCGGATATCGAGACTAAGCTTGCAGCACTCGAAGAAGAGGAAGAGCGCCTCGAAGCGGAAGGCTACTACGACGAGAGCGAAAGCATGGACGACGTCGACCAAGCGGAGATCCGCATGAAAGCCAATCTGATCCGTGACAAGCGGAAGATGATCATGAGCGACGCTCGCATAAAGAAGAGTCTCAAGAACAAGGCCCAAATCCCACGCGCCAAGAAGGCTCGCACACTCGGCCAGATGCAGAACCACTTCAACAGCATCGGCCTTGATGCTTCGGCACCAGTTGACCGCGCACGAGCACAGATTCGCAATGCTCCTGCTCGCTCCACCGCAGGAGGCGACAATATGGATGTCGATCAGACGCCTTCGCAGCGCGCCAAGTCTGTCAGCCGTGCGCCAAAGACGAACAGACTGACCGACGGCATCACCAACTCAATGGCTGTCACGGATCCAGTGAAGAAGGAGAAAGCCGAAAGAATGGCCAAGCTCAGTCAGCGCAAGATGAATCGGATGGCGAGACAGGGTGAGGCTGATAGGCACACTACAGCTAGTCTGCCAGCGCATTTGATCAAGGGTAAGCGCGGGATGGGCAGCACGAGGTCGAGGTAGTGAGCTGGCGAATCTGCTTTTGCTGCTTTGCTTGAAAGCGTCATGAGAGTGAAGGGAGAGGCACGACTGCATCGATCAAGCACTTGCATGGCGTCAGGAGTTCAGATGGTGGCCAATAAATCGACGAAATTGAGTCGTCTTGCGCGGTCACGGGAGATCTGGTCCAAGTGTCCACAACATGATTAAAGGAGACTTATGCAATGAACAATCTATCGAAGCACATCAAAGCATATATTCTAGTCTGCTCTATGTGGCATTTGTTCGGTGTGGACGATGCAGCTGAATGCTTCGTAGGAGTGCCAAGAAGGTTCGGAACTTGGCCGAGCAAGCAAGCCTCGACGTCCCTTCACCTCCTACTACTGGTTTTGACGCACCAAAAACCGCAGCTGCTGCGAAAATAAATAGATCAGAGCTCTGTCCAGCTTCAGCTTTATCTAAGACCATCTGATCTCGGCGGAATCACTGAGTGTGGCCAAGGATTGACTTCCTTATATACCTAGGTATATAGTACATATCGAGCTACACCACTAAAGAGCATGCCAACCTCAGTGATACGAAACAGAGCACTACAACGACTTTTGAAACTCACATCAACACGATCATCTCCTTGCACGCCGACCATACATACCCTCCTACCACGACTCTCCTGGCCCTCCGGATCACCCATCCCAACAACAATGTCATCCTCAATCAGACACCTCTCCCACCAAACCGCTCCCTCTCCACCTCTCCCATCCCGGACCTACGACTCTCACATGCACATCGTCTCCCCAGACACCACCCGCTACCCCTTTTCCCCATCGACAACCTACACGCCCGCACCTCACACCCTAGAGGACATGACCGCCTTCTATAGCGCCCTTACTCCCTCCTCACCCTCTCCCGCTCGATCAGATCCGGGGCAAACTATTCACCCAGTCTTCATCCAGCCCTCTCCCTACGGTACGGACAACTCCCTCCTCATTGCTGCCCTCGAAGACCTCAACTTCGACTCCACCACCAGCAGCGGCCTCGCACGAGGAATCGTCGTGATCGACCCGCAAAACCCACCTCCAACCTCCACGCTCCAGAAATGGCACGCCCTTGGCGTCCGGGGCGTGCGCATTAACCTCGTCTCCGTTGGCCGCAAGCTGTCCCCTGCAGAACTCGAAGCCGAATTGATGGCGTACGCAGACATCATCCGTCCGCTTGGCAAAGGGTGGGTGCTACAGCTGTACATCTCGCTAGACTCGATCCCAGCTCTCGAAGAGATCGTACCGAAGCTGGGTGGTGAGATTGGGGATGAGGTCAGGGTCGTGATTGATCATTTGGGTAGTCCGACCCTTCCCGCAAGCTCAAGCACAACGGCGTCAACAGCAGAGGGCCCCCCGCCAGTCGATCCCACAACCCTGCCGGGCTTCGACTCTTTGCTGAGGTTGTTAGAAGCTGGGAACACCTATGTCAAGATTTCCGGAACATACCGCCTCACCAGGAATAGCATCGACATCAACAACCCTTCCGATACTGACCGGATAGTGAAAGCCCTGCTGAAGAGCCGGCGTGGGGAGCGGTGTGTATGGGCGAGCGATTGGCCACACACACGGTTTGAGGCAAAAGGGATTGACACTGGGAAATGGATCAGTAGATGCTGGGACTTGATGCGTGAGACTGTACGGGAGGAGACTGGTGCAGGAGGCGAAGAGGTGGAGAGGGAAGTGCAGCGGAGAGGCGAATTATTGTTCTGGGGAAATGCGGAGCGTTTGTGGAATTGATTGGGAATTCGCTCGGCAGTGGTTTTGAGTGAGATAGATGAAGGCCTCGTTGCTGTCGAATGTCTAACGAACGTCGCTTGCTAAATTGCTATCAAAGTCGCCATCATGGGCCCTGGGAATCATACACTACCGGCTCTTACTCCTGCTCGACTCTCCCCCTTACTCCCACCCCTCAGCGCCACACTGACCTTCCTCAACCACCCACCGCCAACGCTACCACTACGGCTTTGCTGTGGCTGGTCAATACTACTTCGCCGGCTATCAGGTGTCGCGAGCCCGCTCCCACTTGGTTGATTTTCCATCACCCATTCCACTCCCTCAACGACCGCTTCTGGCTTATCGCGAATGACATGATGACCCACATCCGTCAGCTCCACGAACTTGTGCTTCTTGCTCAACTTCAACTGCCGCCGCTTGAGCTTCTCGTCCATCTCTTCCCACTTCTGTATCTCAGCCTCCTGAATCATGATCATAGCAGTTTCAGCTTCCCTCACAATCTCGCCGCGTTCCCTCCGTCGTTTGATCTCAGCGCGTTGCTCCTCCAGTTGCTTCCATTTCCGCAGCATCGAGCGCCCCTTGATCACAATGATTGGTCGGTGGCCGAGCTCGTGATGCTCTTCCTGCTTCTCCTGGACCTTCTTGTCCCAAGTGGCTTCTTGACCGGTTTCTACCATGACCATGCCGGCCACATCGGTAGGGTGAGAGTGGAGGAAGCAGCGTGCGAAGGCACCTCCGTGGCTGTGTGCAATCAGGATATATGGTCCAGGTAGGCGCTCTCTGGCTAAATAGGCTGAGAGTTCGTGTGTTTCGGATTCGGCATCGCCATGTGGAGAGCGTTCGAACATCAGCACTCGATGAGTCTGCGATAGTGTCTTGACCAGTGGTCGCCATGAGTTCCGACAAGTATCGCCGGAGCCGTGGAAGCAGATGATGAGTGGGGCGGGAGTTTGTGGTTCGGGTGATGGTATGATGAGTCGATGTTCAAGTGGTTTTGGTGATGCTGGCGGTGTTGGCCTTGGCGTTCTGATATGTGCGGGCGACATGGTCCGTGGCGAGCTAGATCTTGATGCTCGATGGCTGGAACTTGGTCGTGAGGATGACGAAAGTTCAGGCAGGTCACATAATGATAAGGGTCGCCCAAGGTCGGGATTGGGAACGAGGCGCGATTGCCGTGTCGAATGCTCGCTTGAGGCGCTCATGGCCCTGGCTGCTATATAATGTGATGCTGTGTCAAATGGTAAATCGAAATGAAGTATGTCTATATGCTGAAGTATCTCGTTTTGGTGGGCAGTTGGGCAGTGGGCAAATATATCCGAAAAAGGTACTCGCAAAAATTTAATGCTGTTAGGTAAAATGGCGCCCTGGTGCAGCGACTTCCAAAACTTCGAAGTCACCTGCACTACCTAGTAGGTCTCCGATTTGGTAGGCGTGAGGACAACCTGAGTGCAGCCTTATACAGATGGACGAAGATTTGGGTAGCGCGATCGCCGTCCTTACCTAAGCTATGCGCTGTCATAGGGGCCAAGAGGCCGTTTGATCTTCAGTAACACCAAGATCTCGGCTCACGTCGTCCTGACGAGCAATCAATAATACCACGCAATGTGATATAATCGCCCCGAGAGTCCGAGATTGAGACTTGAGGCTTCAGTGCTTGGTCTTTCTCGGCATCCTAGGTATGACGAGGGAGCGAGGGTAGGCTTGCGAGCACTTGAGGCTCAGACATGGTTATAGGGAGGAAACAAGAATGATCGACAGCTGAGCCATGTTCCGCTGCCTTAGTTCAGACCGGCTGACGATTCGAACGACCGGCGGATCTTGGCGCCCAGCCTATCACGGCAACTACAAGCAAATAGTATACTTGTTGTTGTTGCTTCACAAGCCCAATACTGGCAGTGCAGCACCAAAAGTCATCTCAAGAGACTCGTGATCCAGTCAAACGCCATTCGTAGGGACTTCGCTTATGGCGCCTGCATCTGAGGAAGTCTCGTCGCGTCTCAGTCGCGTCCCGAATATGAGGAACGACCTGCTTCCCAAAGCATTTATCACTTGATCTTACACACTCATTCACTGGCGCATTTCATCGTGAGGTCCGTCCGCTCTCTGGCCAGAGTACGAGACTGTCTTCGTGATCGTTTCAGATCTCTTCCTTAAGGAATATTCTCCCAGAACACGCCAGCAACATGCGAGTAACGACAGCCAAACGGCTCCTTGAGCCCTGCACTCATGGTTTGACTCGTCCATGCCCATCTGTCAACATTGATCTCGTAGCCACCGTCTCTACCGGCACTGGTAACAGCAGGGAGACGGTCGAGGTCTGGCGCCGAAATGGGCAGAGAGTCTTCGTTGTTAATGCTCCCGATACTATGATCGACAAGGAGGATGAAGGTGGTGCACCTAGCAAGGCAGAAGTCAAGGCAATGGAATGGAGAGGAGACGGCAAAATGTTGGCCGTGTACTGGAGCCGTGGTCAGAAGGGAACAGTCACTGTTGTGGACGTTTATGATGGCAAAGTTGTCTGCACGTTGAACGTTCGGGCCAAGCGACTGGTGCCGGATTGGTCTACCACACCGCAGGACGACGACTCGGCTAAGCCTGTGGACGGGCGCAATCGCAGAGGCACGATGAGTTGGCAGAACCATTTTGCCAGTCCATCCGAGATCAGGAAGATGCGGGCACGAGATGCAGACGACCGGAAAGCACGGGACTTGGAGCAACTGCTATCCGGCGAAGACTTGGACGGAAACGAACTTGATGGACAGAACATGCTTCGATCAAGCGCCAACCTTCCAAGAGCACTCTCGCGCATCGAGATCGATGTTGCTCTGCCCAAACTCTCCACACTACCACCCATAGCCGCAACAGGGACGGATGACGACCTCTTCAGCACAAGACACTCTATCGATACCATTTTTCATGCAGCAAACACAAACACATCGGATACCGGCTCTTTCGGGGCACATGGCGATCATGATACTGTCGACGTCCTCCTGACTAATGTCGATAAATGTAATATCCACATCAGCATGTACGACTCTTTCGTCGTAGGTACCGTGGACGCCGCGCTGGCACTCCCAAAAGGCTTCAAGGGCACCAGAGTCATTCAAGACGCAAGCCACCCATTCCTCACGACCCACTTCCTGGTACTCGAAGCCGTCAAAGACGGCCCCGTACGATCATCCAAATTGGCACCCGACTTGTCACTGCATGTGGTAGCGCTCGATCTTCGCTTCATAACACAGACCGGCTACAACCTCCCTCTCCTCGCTACAAAAGCCACCCAACTCCAAAATCTCCTCCGCTACCTCATTCAAGTGTCCACACTCTTGTCTGCTGAGGTGCGCACCGCGTTCGACCTCCCTCAGCGCTTCGTCGCCAATATCAGCGAGTCCCTCGCCGAAGATGACCCAGCCGCCTCCTTCATGACCCAGGCATACCAGCTGATTATCATGGGAACCTGCAACGAGAAGTTCCGGGAGTGGCTGGTCGATCAGGTCGGCGAGCGGGGTCTCAAGCGCTGGGAGAAGGCGGTCGGAGACTGCTTAGACATGATCCGGCGGATGACAAGTGAATGCCTGCTGCCCGCTATCGAGCGCGCACAGCTCGTGATCAGCAGGCTGGACGGGCTCAGCCGGTTTGCGGACACAGCCAGTCGACTGGGCTTGGACGAAATGGCGGTGCGGGACGTGAGGAAAGTGCTGGACACGTTGAACGTGCTGTGTCATGACATGCTGCAGGATGTTTGTACCGAAGTGAAAGAGTTTGCGTCTTTTGTGAGATGGTTGCGATGGGAGATCGAGGTTCAAACCCTGGGCGAGGATTCCGAGCGAGCGGAGGAGATGAGGGAGAGCTATACCGGGGAGTCGGAGGTGCGGACTGTTCTGGAATATATCGAAAGTGCCATGGGGGTAAGTCGGTTGCTGAGGTACGTAAGGACGGATCCAGCGGAAAGTGATAACGTGGAGATCACAAATGATGGTGATCTGCTGGAAGGCTACAAATTGGCAAGAGAAGGACAGCACTACGAGGATACGCTGAAGCTGAGCGACCTGCTGAAGGTGCTTGCCGACAGGAGCAAAGTGGTGTTCGACTCGACGGCGGAGACGTTGCGGAAGAACGTCCTTTGCAGCCATGTGGCAGAATTGCCTGCTTGCCTCGATGAGAGAGTCATGGCGTCGAGCGTGCTGCAATCTGAGCTGGGCGAAGGGTTCTCCATGCACGTGGTGTCAACACGGAAGGATGACACAGCTCATCTGTACAAAGTGACATTTGATACTGATCGAGCCGGCAATACGACCGCTCCGGGAAAAATTGAGGAGCATAAGTTCACAGGTACAAGAGGCTCTGAGGTCAAAAGCCTGGCCATGGTCGGACAGGCGAGACAATTCCTGGCATTGGTCGATTTCAGGGGCTCGCCGAAGACTGCTATATCTTGTCTTGCGTTCAGCTGGGATGCAATGAGTGGCGGCGGACATGAGAAGCATATATTCACCATGGACGGAACAACGACCGGTATAAGTCCAGGCGAGCTAAGGGCAGTGAAAGGGCAAAAGGGACGAGACAGGCTTGTGTGCGTTGACAAGGAAGGTTTAGGCTTCGTGGTACTCGAAGACGAGTAGACCAGCAATGCTTCAGGTGGTCCTTTGAGAGAAGATCTTGCGATTGATCCCTCGATAACAACCTTCGAATGTGTACCTAGTGCCAGTGGCAGTTTGAACCACAAAGGCCGAACAATGGGGGTGGGGTTTCAGAAGCAATTTGTGCGTAACATGTCTAATGACAACTGCATTAAATGGCTACTTTGGCCGAATGCGGCGCAATATCAAATTGCGCATGCACGCACACAATCTCTACCACAGACCAGCACATGGCAACTGAAGTTGTGAAGTCCACCGCAAATTTGTAGCACTACAGTTGCCTAGTGGAAGGCGCTAATGACTTGCCCACCCTAAAAGGCGACTGTCAACATCTTTCCAACCTTCATCACTCACATTCGCATTCCGATTAACCTGCCCCTCCTGTACCCAAGGCTAAACATCGAAGACATCACCTGTGGGCAGGCAGGGCCGATCTTCCTTCTCTCAGACCCGTAGCGAATAGCACGGCCGACCAGCGTTCATCAGGCCGGACCTCATATCAAGCCGTACAGACAGGCCGATTCCCACACGTGATCGAACACCGCCTTTCCTGGCGGTACTCCCACAAGGCTGCAACCCGTCCAGATATTACTTCCTCAAACACGCCATTCTTTTGATCCATCCAGCATGGAGGTCCGACCGGTGCTCGAGAGCACGTTCTCGCCCGACGCCAGAGTCCGCGGTGATGCCGAGAGAACTCTCAGAGAGGCTGAAGAGAAAGACTTTGTGAGCACAACATCCCTCCCTGTGCGCTGCTGAGGTTAGGCGACTAACATGAACATCAGGCTCAATACATTTCCATTCTCTCGACAGAACTCGCCAATGAACAGAGTAGTCCTCCCGTCCGCCAGGCCGCCGGCATCGCCTCAAGAACGCCTTCACATACCGCGACCTCATCCGCTTAAGAGCGGTACAGACCCGATGGCTCGAGACCGTACCCGCCGATGTGAAGGACAAGGTTCGCCAGGATGCCCTACACACTCTCGCTTCCCCTGGTTTGTCAGCCGCATCCGCTGCACAACTCATTGCCGCTATCGCAGCGATCGAGCTACCGCGCAAACAATGGCCCAACCTGATGGACACACTGGTCAAGAACGTGCAGAATGCGACTCAGTCAAGTCTCAAGCAGTCGAGTCTAACTACGATTGGCTTCATCTGCGAGACGGAAGATATTGACCTTCGGGAAGTCTTGGTCACCCAGTCTAATCAGATTCTCACCGCTGTGGTCACTGGTGCCAAGAAGGAAGAGCCTGATCAAGAAGTCCGACTTGCTGCCCTCACAGCCTTAAGCGACGCTACCGAATTCATCCGGACCAACTTCGAACAGGAGCATGAGCGCAACTACATCATGCAAGTCGTTTGCGAAGCTACTCAGCCTCAACCCAATGGCGATACGAGAGTGCAAGCGGCGGCATTCGGTTGTCTCAACCGCATCATGGGCATTTACTACCACCAGATGAGCTTCTACATGCAGCGTGCTCTCTTCGGTCTCACTATCAACGGCATGAAGAGCGAGGAGGAGGACGTGTCCAAATTGGCTATCGAATTCTGGTGCACTGTCTGCGAGGAGGAGATCAGCATCGATGATGATAATCAGCAGGCCTCAAATGAGGGCGCCATTGAGAGCGAGCTCCGTCCGTTCTTCCAGTTTGCCCGGATTGCTTCGAAAGAAGTTGTACCAGTGCTACTGGAGTGCATGAAGAAGGTCGAGGATGACGATGCCGACGATGACTACAACGTTGCCCGTGCCGCATACCAATGTCTACAACTGTTCGCCCAGACGATTGGCGCTGACGTCGTACAATTTGTCCTGGACTTCGTCGAACGTAACCTTCAGGACCAGGACTGGAAATGTCGGGATGCAGCGGTTTCATCTTTCGGCGCCATCATGGACGGCCCAGACGTCAAGATCCTTGATCCGTTGGTCAAGTCGGCTTTGCCAGTCCTTCTGAAGACTATGCTGAACGATCCCAAGGTGCAAGTCCAGGATTCTGCAGCATATGCAGTGAGCCGAATCTGCGACTATTGTGCAGAATGTATCGATCCGACCGAGCATCTACCCCAGATGATGGAGGCCTTGTTCCAAGGCTTACAAAGCAACCACAAAATCGCGGCTTCGTGCTGCTTGGCACTTCTCAACCTGACAGAGCGCTTCGTCAGCCCAGAGTCCGCCGATACCAACGCCCTGAGCCAGTACTTTGAACCAAGTGTCGACACCCTGCTGCGTGTCACAAACAGACAAGATTATCCCGATACCACTGTCCGCACCGCTGCTTATGAGGTCTTGGGCGGATTTGTCACAAATAGTGCACGCTCGACTCTACCTCTGGTCGAGAAACTTACTGCTGAGATTATTCAGCGACTCGGCAACACGATTCAATACCAGAACAATATCGTCAGCATTGAAGAGAAGCTTCAGCTTGAGGAACTCCAAGTCAGCCTTGCCAGCGTGCTTCTCGCTATTGTTCAACGCTTGGAATCAGGCTTCACTGCAGATATGGCTAATGCAGTCATGAGTGTCAACTTGGAGATGCTCAAGAATGCTTCGCACACCAGCGTGCCTGAAGTCATCTTCCAGATCGTGTCCGGTTTGGCTAACGCGCTTGGTGCCGACTTCGAGCCTTATATGGATGGCTTCACTCCGTTCCTCTACAACGCGCTTGGGAATCATCAGGCCCCAGAGATGTGCTCCCTGGCCATCGGCCTAGTCAGTGATATTGTTCGAGCCTTGGAGGACAAGGCCCAGCGGTTCTGCGATACGTTCATGAACTACCTGCTCAATGCCTTGGCTTCCGACAAGATCACCAATCAGCTCAAGCCTCCTATTCTGGAGACCTTCGGAGACATTGCCACATCCATTGGTGTTGGGTTCGAGCCGTACGCTCAGACAGTTGCGAATGTGCTCGAACAAGCACGAACCGTTTCGGCTGCTTCCGATGTATCTTTCGATATGCTCGATTACATCGTATCCCTTCGATCCGGTATCGCTGATGCGTGGAGCGGCATTATCATTGCTTTCAAGGGGACACCAAAGGTCGACGTCATTCAAGGCTTCGTGCAACAAATTTTCGCTTTTCTGGAAAGTGTAGCGGCTGATGCCAATCACAACGAGGGCCTTCTGCGTTCGTGTATGGGCCTCATTGGGTACGTTCGCCCCGTATATCGTTGACTCTTACATGCTGACACCTCGTAGTGATCTAGGAGAGACATTCCCCAACGGGCAGCTCGCAAATTATCTCCGATCGCCTCGAATCACAGAACTCATCCGTGAGACACGGGCCGCACGCGAGTATTCCGACCGAACACGAGAAACAGCAAAATGGGCTCGCAGCGTTGCTAAGGCACAGACTCAGGGGAACCAAGGTGATATTATGAAATAAAACCTCCCGGCTTCCCAGAGTATCTATACAGAGCCTTGCCCAGGCCCCCAGCCCTATTCCCAGCTTCGTGCCCAGCAGAAGCGCCCCACTCCCGGCACGGCACTCAGCTCATCTGCCCACCCGACGAAGCCTGCCCCGGAAATCGGCGCAACAACGCATAGCCAACTCGCTGATGCCATCGGGACACTAACGTGGAGTCAAAGCAGAACACGTGCCGGTCTCGCCCACGCCGACCGTGGTTGGCAGTCCGTCTCCGCGACGAGAGCCGCAGTGGGATCTCGCATCCACCGACCCCTCCGACGACATCGATCTCCTTGACGGGTTTGGGCTGTCAGCCGAAGGGGACCCGCGGCTGCGCCGGACCTCGCTGTAGCAGCGTCGGCACACCCTCGCAGACAATTTCCAGGCCAACTCTGCGTCAGTCCTGCCTCAATTGAGGTCTGTCACCAGAACGCTCGCCATATCAGACCTTACAGTAATTAGTCCGCAACGAGATCATTCCCCCAAAACCCCCTCCCAAATCGCGCCGCCACATCTTCACCACCCAACGAAATCTAAAGCACGCCAATATCACACGACCAGCACTTGTTCGTTCATTCACCATTGATACCCCCTTCCGAAATCAGAATACGATCGCACAGGACTAGAGTTTACACCGAGGAGAATTGCAGCACTTGCACCTTTCGAGATGTTGAGAAAGACGCAATGCCCATTGTGGTGGAAGCGGTTGCAGAAGGTTAGGCCACACTTTGTCCCATATGTCCATCGGCTGCGAGAGCACGGCAGAGGGCATGGTCTTGGCTGGCCGAGAGACAATTTTGCAGATCTGCGATGCCTTGAACTGCAGCACCACGTCGATGGAGTTGCAGTCATGGCTGCTGCTCAAATAGAAAGTAGATAGTCCTGCAATGAGATCTTGCTTCCACAAACACCGCAAGTCTGCATGGCGTTCCAGGCTGGTTGGGTCGCTGAAATTACCGAGCTGGCACACTCATAGAAGAGAAGGTACTGAGCTGAGATTACGGTCGGGTCCCGAGGTCCGTCGTTAGACACACGTGGTTGTTGGGTTCCAGACCAGGGTGGGCTGTAGATCATTCTCGCGTCAGGGACCTTCCTGCCAAGAAGGAATTCGTAAGGATCGTTCCTGACCGCTACCGCGTGACATCCAATTGAGATATCAGCCCCATCAAAAGCAGGCAGGTGCATGGTCCCTAGGAAGCCATGGCAGGCGCAATGCTCGGACTCGTGATTCACGTCTTGTGATCTGTTGTCCGTGCACGTACAATGCACGAGGACATCATATCTAACTTTCTCGCTTACACCTCGCTTTATCAATATCAGCCCTAACCGTCAACCCTACGAACCTTCATTTATCTACATCGTCTATACTCTACATCAATCAACGATCTGACTGAAGAGTATCTCATGCCTGGAGACCCTTCAGCACCACGACGTTCGACCTCAGCCAGTCCATCAAACATCCCAAAATGGAGCTTCGGCGTTCTCAACGACACAAAGACAGACAAAGTCCCGGGCACCGTCGTCTTGCTGGCCAAGACGAACGAGCCGCTCGGCGTTCGGCGGCAATCTGGAGATCAACGGCCTTCGACTATGCCGTCGCAAGGTTTTGAACCAATGCCCATTGAAGAAGCCGACGTGCCCGAAAAGAAGCGTACTCCCAGCGGAAAAGTCATACTTGAACCACAACCACACGATTCTCCAAATGATCCTTTGAACTGGTCGTCATGGCGAAGAGATGCTGCTCTCTTGTCTTTGGGCTTCTACTGTGCTGTTGCTGGCGGCATCACGCCGATACTCGCTGCTGGATTCAAGAAGGTGGCGGAAACCTACCACGTCACATTCGAGCAGGTGGCCTTAACGACGGGCCTCTACATGATGGGTCTCGGCGTCGGAGGTCTGTTCATGTCGCCCACAGCCATACTGTACGGCAAAAGACCAGTCTATCTTATCTCGTCCGTGGCGTGCATCGGCACCTCGATTTGGTGTGCCTTCTCACCAAGCTATGGCAGTCTAGTGGCTGCGAGGGTCTTCCAAGGCATTTCCGTCAGCCCGGTCGAGTGTCTGCCCTCTGCAACCATTGCTGAGATCTTCTTTCTCCACGAACGAGCATACCGGATCGGGATTTACGGCCTGCTATTGCTCGGGGGCAAGAATATCATGCCCTTGATCTCGGCTGTCATTATTCAAGCTTCAAACTGGAGATGGGTGTTCAAGACCATTGCCATTGTGGTAGCCTTTTGTTCTGTCATGCTCTTCTTTTTCGTACCAGAGACTTTCTGGGACCGGACTCCTCGACCGGCTTCACATACTCAGACATCACTGTTGCAGCGATGGACATCTTTTGCGTCTACTGGATCATGGGGCAATCGGGACCATGGTCGAGGGCGTCAGTCAATGGCGGCGGTCGTCGAGTCCGATGAGAAAGACCCCGAAGCTGGCCACGCGGCCTCCGACGAAGACCAAGTCCTGAGAGACAGATCGCAATCCCCTCATCTGCACGTCAAGCCTTCAGGAATCAAGCTAAATCCCGATGAGGCCAAGCCTGGAGCTCCCGAGGATCAACATAGCCCGTTGCCTCACCTCCACAACCTCAACTCACCCTACTATTCGAATCTTGAGTCGAATGACTCCTACTTTCCGCCCGGGCACAAGTCCGAATCGAGTCAACCCAGCCAAGACACAGTGATTCCGCATCATGACGGCTCCCATTCACCAGATCTTACGGAAAAGCGTGCGCAACTCGCTAATATCGATACCGAGTTTCCGAGACCTCAACGCTACACGACTCAATTGATCAACGCGCCCGCGAAGTCGTACAAGAAGACCCTTAAGCCTTTCACTGGTCGACTTGCAGCTGACAGTTGGCTTCGCGTGGCCATTCGACCTCTCATTCTCTTTGCATATCCATCGGTGTTGTGGTCGACCGTCGTCTACAGTATCTCAGTTGGTTGGCTGATTGTTCTGTCGGAATCTGTCGCCCATGTCTACGCCAACAAAGAAACCTATGGCTTCACGCCTCTCCAGTGTGGTCTCGTCTACCTATCTCCATTCATAGGTGGAGTCCTCGGAACCGCCATAGCAGGCAAGGGTTCCGACTTCATCGTTCGCGCGATGGCTCGTCGTAACGATGGAATCTACGAGCCAGAATTTCGTCTTGTGATGGCCTTACCAATCGGCCTGGCGACATGCATCGGATTGATGGGCTTCGGCTGGTCCGCCCAGGTCGGCGATCCCTGGATCGTGCCCACAATCTTCTTCGGCATCATCTCCTTCGGATGCTCACTGGGAGCGACAACAGCAATTACTTTCTGCGTGGACTCCTACCGCCAGTATGCTGGAGAGGCATTAGTGACGCTCAATTTTAGCAAGAACATTTTCCATGGCCTGGCGTTCAGTTTGTTCTTCCCAGCATGGCTCGAGGCAAGAGGCACGCGGGAGGTGTTCGTCATTCTGGGCATCATCGAGTTGCTGTGCGTGTCGACGGCCATTCCAATGTACATCTATGGCAAAAGAGCAAGGATGTGGACTGTGAGGAAAAATCTGATGGCAAAGTGGTGATTTCAGGCATGGTTCGGATGGCGTTCAAGGATCTGGAATTCGACTTTCCTGGTCTGAAAAGTGCACTGGACGAGGCACTCGCACACTCGGATTATTCGGCTGTGCTTTCGTTCAATTCATCAGGTGGAGAGTGTGCTCAGAGCTGCCTCGACTCTACTTTCAGGCACGAATGGGCGTTCAGCAAGAGAATGTAACGGAAACGGCATGACAGGAGCACGACTGGGAGCATCGGACAAGGAAAAGGTCATTGAATTTGACTGTGTTGATAGATTGTTTGACTTGCTGCATTAATGACCCTATAGACTGCAGAACAATATTATGCGTCCTTCATTGGACTTATCCAGAAGCCTTTCGCACGTCCCCATATGCGTAGCCGACGCCGTGGGCTGAGAGGTGCTAATGAAGACCGGATGACCAGACCTCGTCATTGCAAGAAGGTCGACTGCCGCTTCTCCATGCCGTTGACCTTCCCTTAGCAGAATATCCAGACGTGACGAATGTTATGCTTGAACTGATCCTTGACAGGTTCGTGAGAAGCCACGCCCGTGCTGGGAATGGAAGCCAATCTCAAGACCCATGAATTGTCTTCTTGGAGTTGAGAATTATCTGCTGGGAAGTGACTCGCTGGGCACATTTATATCGGATCTCTGGTAGACCGGTTGACCACCATCATATGCTACTTATGGAAAGTAATGGAGCTGTTACCCAACTGCGATCGATTCTATCGCTTGCCCTTAGGCTTGCCTTTCCCTTTCATCTTCCCACTGTCCAGTCTCTTGCCTTTGCCCATCCCACCACCACCACCAC